TGAGGTTAAAGCTATGCCTCTGAGAACAAACTCAGTCGTAGCTGGGTCTCTTCTCAAGACCACAAACTCTCTGATATCAAAACGTATCTAAGGTCATAAACAGGCAAGTTTGTCTCGCGATCGTCCGTATGCACATTGCACTTAACTAGAAACCGCAGCAGAGCTTGTGCAGCGTCTGCATGCTCCTAGTATCCATGTTACAGGGCTGCACGTTCCATGCTTCATTCTTTCAAGGGCAGCGGCAGTCGGTAAACATCCCGAAAAATGACCACACTGAACCGTCCAGCCCAACGTCGTAGAACGTTTCCATGCTCGCCGAGATTTCAATGTTCACGAATCAACTTTTTCACATTCACCCGCTGGATTGCACACGATCTTAGTAGATATCGACTACATGCCGTTGGCAAGGTCATACCAATCATGGATGGACAGTATTGGCTAGCAGCATATAAATTGATTGTCGTATAGGTCGTCCCGGGTTCAGATGCAGAGGCGCAGCATTCAGCACTGAAGACGCTCTTCTGATTCGGAAACTTCGGCTTCGACTTTTACTTTCCCACTCGAACATGGGTCGGACTCTATTTTCCCTTTCTCCCTAATCCCCTTAATGGACGCCATCTGCATGTGCCTCGCACGGGTGCTCGGGGAATCACAAATAGAGAAGCGCGGGTTTCAATGCGCGCTGTCATCCAATATTTCCAAAAACCCATGTCGTCGTTCAATCTGGGCATGGTCGTAGCCGGATAAGGATGTGGAGATCCTTCAGACGAATCGCTGAACACCCGAGAGTCGTCCTTGAGCGCGAACATTGCAAAACGTTGGCCTGGCCGCAGGATCGAATAGGCCAGGCCCACTCTACTCCATTTTCCCATGGTTTGCAATGCATATCATCGAATTACCATCTCCCTAGCACAGCGATCTGATTGACAGGTGACTGGATCAGACTGCCTTCCGCTTGAAACAAAGATCTGGTTCAACATCACCTGTCAACTCGCTTGGCTGTCCGATGCGACTCTAAAAAGCCATCAATACAACGGATGAATCTATATAGAACGTATTATGGCTTTTTCTCTCACGTGTATGAAATTTTCGTGCCAGTTGGCATGCCACTTCACGCTGATATCACAGGGACCAGGTATCTTCAACCTGGCAACATTCGTTTCAATATGTGCAAACCAGACTTCTACGATTGTCATCCCATACAAATAGACCCAAGGGTACCTTATCAAGCATCTGACAGGGGCGGCCATAACTCTCCGCGCGGCTCTAGCAGTCCATCCCCCTCGCAACGAACGCCATCCATTTGTAATGCTTCTTTGGATACTGACTGGTCAGATTTTTGTCCGAACGCCTGGTGCGTGGTGAAGTATGCTAGGAAGATCGTTATCCAAAATCTCAATTGCTCCTCTATGATTGATTTCCGACATCAAGGGTAGCTACTATTCTCTTCAGCCCTGCATCTGGGGATGGCACTGACCTGTTCGCTTGCGGCGTCAGGCAAGGTTTAGATTCCTTGTCTAAGCCCAAATTCATTGATTGCTAACTAGTTAATACTGCCTTTGTTGGGCAATGCCCAGTTATGATCTGGGCGTCGATGAAATCAATTGTACCATCTAGAAATTTGCCTGGATACCTACCCGCCTTTTGCATAACCTGTCTTGCTAGATCCGGAAGTTTAAGAATCTGTATTTCGATCCTTGTTTTATTTGCATCTTGGGACGGCAATTGGTGAGCTCACGAGATGATCTGGGCGGTTCGGAGTTTTCCAGAACCGCAAGCGCAACTGACAAGCTATCCTAAATGAGCGGCTGGTTATTATAAGTGGTCAATCGATCATCAGCTGCTCCGTATGGATCATAGGAGCTGCCAGATCATTGCGGCAACAATCGTAAGGGGTGGGCCTACCCAAATCTGCCACGACAGAACTATGTACACCGCCGAACGATAAAAGCGATGCCAAGCCTTTCACCAACTGTTGTTTTTGTCGACCGGTGCATAATTCTTAGGAAAACCTGTTTTACGGTACCTGCAGATCTTTGAGCTGTGCGGGACTATAGTATGCTAATTTGAGGTACCGGCAGGCATTTGCCACTGAGCGTCACCCAAACTCGCCTCCCTAGCCCTATGTGCGGATATCTGTGAGCATGAATCTTTGTCGTCTTTTGACACTCAGCTCCTGCATGCAAATGCCGGTAAAGCTATACTGTCGCAGATCGTTCGTATTCGTTCACAACCTGCATGACTCTCCTCATCAAATTCCACTGGGGTCGTGGGTACTCAATGGCACACACTCCACAGGTTATCATTTCTCCATCACCTTACGCTGCCGAGGCCTCGGGCATAGCACAAAGAGCACATTGTTTCTCAATTGGCTCCTAAGCATGTTTGCGAGGCTGTGCAACACAACCTCCCACGATCATATGTTGATTTCAAAATGACTGGCAGGTGCAATTGCCATTCTTAACTATCGCCACTGACATGCGAACAAAAGATCAGGAGTGTGTCTCTCGGCTCGATATGTGTCCGCATGACAGGAGACTGATAGTGCGCAGATCTCATTTTCCATGTTGAGACAAGGGATATTGAGATGCCGCATGCAGGCGTGTAAACGTTAAGAAGTTCTCAGAGGGTCAATTTTAAAGCCTCCTTGGACCTGGACTTGGTCTCTCCTGGGAAATTTGTATGTAGGCGAACAACTCCCCCTTTCATGGGCATTAGAGGTGTCAGTAATCGCGTGATCATGCTTCGGATGGGATCTTGAATTTTGTTGGTTGTTGTTGGCTTTCCAATAACCCGTGGCATATGGAACAACCACTACTATAGCAGGGGCCTACTCTTCCGGTGACTTGTAATGACAGCAATATGCTCAAACAAGTGATAGCGTCTGGTTGGTTTCCATGGTGTTGGCATCCGATTGCTAGGTCAGCATATTTTCAATTTCACAGGGATGAAACTTCAGGAACATCACGAACCATGTAACATACTGGCTAAGAAGCCTTGGGCATGTAGTACTTTTCTGTCTTCGCAAAGTAAACCTGGCGAGGTAGGCATTTACACAGCCTTTCTCCTTTTCTGGTCTCGCCAGTCATATACTCTAGAGCGCTTGCAGGTTATTATGTCAAATAAAATGTCAACGTGGCATGCCGAGTACTGCTGTTTATGGGCAATGAAACTGGCACAAGTTAATGCCCTTGTAAGCGAGCAGTAAGTACACTTCATGAATTGGCCGGGCAAATAGCATTGAAGCGCTTTCGAGTCGGACTAGTAGGGCTTCTTCTTGCTCGACAGATACTCATCGTGATCTTAGCTCACTCGTCCAACTGTCCAGTTTAGGAAGTCTCCTCTGTCAGACTTTCGGACCGAACACCCTTCGGCCCTTCATTGTTCGCACCTTGACATATCCTTAATTAAACAAACTTTAGTCATTGGGGCTTAATAGAAAGCGCGTATAATTAATGTATTGCTCACAGTGACAGGGACGTCGTTCAAAGCTACGTTGCAGCCGTTGTACTTAGAGAAGCAATAGCACGATTACATCCTTCTCATTGACTGTCGCGCTAGGTCTGACATGAATGCATTCCTCCTTAGTATAGAATTGACTGGACGTTCTTTCGGACTTTAATTGTAGATAGGAATATATATGAGACTGCCTAAAGAACCATAAATAGGACCTGCTGCACCGGATGGTATAGAATATTTTAGCGATGGACCCAGAGTGGACATTCTTCAGTACTCCGTTTTCGAAGATATGTCGCTTGTGATTAATTAGTTGGAAAACAGATAGCTTTGTGGAGGGCTCACACATTGTTCTCGCAAAGGAACTTGAAGGTTAGCTACTTAGAGGGAAAGAACTCGATATTCTTTCAGCGTCCTACTGAAGTCCAAATGGGCGGAACGGCGTAGCGGTAAACACGTAGCTGTTCTTTGAGGTAGCTCCCTAGGCAAAATATCTTTGAGATTTTCCGTACGTTGGGTTCAATCCCCAGCTTAGCCATTTGCCTTTTTTTTTTCTCCTCTTCTTTTTTCTTTTTTCGCATTGTACCTGCTCGTCCACCTGAAGGTACGACAAATTCTGCGAGTACGCATGGCGTAAACCACTGTGTTAGTCGGCAATACGAGTATCTGTGTGCTTGAGGATCTCGAGGGAAGTGCCTTGCCGCTTTTGGAATACACGCGCCTCATCCATCCATTTGGGCCTTTGCTAGATCGTCTTCATCGTCCTTGGATCTTTCGAGCATGTGGTATTATTTGCCTGCAACCTACCCCTCCTGTTCAAACAGACTCTGTTCTTTCAGGCGCTTGAGCGTCGCCAGATGTTCTACCTAGGCTGTGCAAAATTATAGGCACGAACGTCCATGCTCTGGAGACGCTCGAGTAAACGATTATGTGAGCCATTGTAACCACTGAAATATGTCGTGTCGAGAGATCCATTGCGCTTCAGCAAATTCTTATCCTCGTGGGGAACGATATCGTCTGCAAAACGCATGCTGCCAGTCCTCGGGAGACGGGCAACGCGATGATGCTGACTAGACGCCTGTCCACCACTGGCGTTTTGTTCGAAAGCAGTCCTCTTCGTCCAAGTCCTTGGTTACTTTTAGACATATGCTACAAGTCTTCCGTGTCTCTAGCCCAAAGAGCCAGTGCGTGGACTGTCAACTCTCGATGTACAATCCGTCGATGGAAGGACGATTCATCGACCAGGCCCTTGATACACTGTGGTCACGCAAAGATCTGCGACATTCAGACCTAGATAGCACCTGGCGTGACATTATGCTATTTGCAGCCGCACCGACAAACGGTGATTCCGGACTTAGTGTCAGTGAACCAAATTATTACCCTTTGCCCGATGTCTCTTGGTTTCAGAAGCAGTGGGTAGAGCTGTTCGTGAGGACTGTCCCGACTAATACCCAGAACAAACTAGTCAGGGTTCTCAGCCTGATGGACCCGTCTCGCCCCATGAAATCAAGTCGCGTGGTCATAGCATAGTATCGCCTTCCGTGATGGCATCCTATCCACTCAGTGGGGTGGATTTTGACAGGATTCTGAGGGAAGTGGATGATCCCCCAACCGAGGAAAGTGGCGCTAGCTTGTTATTCGACCCCTTTCCTGATCCCTTTCGAGATAGGCATGGCGAACTTGACCCAGATACCGAGCCAGATGTCCGCTCTGACCAGGCCTCGGACAATGGAAGCAATTCGACCCCTTGGTCTACCGACCGATCTCGACGACGTGGAAGTCATAATGCACTCGGATTGGCTAGCTATAACTCTAGCGATTCTGGCGCGGACACCAGAGAGGACTGGGATGATCACAAGTTCATTGATGCGATGCTATTACTGTTAGGTTATCCATTCGAAAGTGATCATGATCTCAACACAATCATCGGCGATGCGGTAGAGTCTTTCAATAGCCTAGAAGACAACGCTTCCAAAGACCAGTCTTACGAACTCGTACTACTAATTCTTACACATATGTGAAAACGTAGGCAGCCGCGCCTAAGAAACCCTCTAGCGTCGCAGTAGAGGTGTGAGAGTGGAGAGAAAAGTAGCATATAGCCATTGATACCTTGGTACGGTAGCACGATACAACACCTAGATAAATCATATGATATCTAAAGCACAAGATTTGGTGATTTGGCGATCTACTTTTCTCTTGATTCTGTGAACTCACACTTGAATGTGGTAAAACACCTGCCGACTGGGCCAACAAACTCCTGGCCACTGGTTGTGATTTTCATGGCAACTTGTGGCACAAAAGCCCAGAGTTGATACCTTATAAACCTAGCTCAGCTTCTCGACCCTAGTACCGGTTCGTAAAGGAGAAATCTATTTAACGCAGATTGACATGTCACATTTTATTTTGGGTGAAAAGGATAAAGACTCCGCCGATAGTCACAAAGAAGATTTGAAACACCATTGGTAATTGTTCAAGCCCATATTACGAATACTATTTCTTCAATCATGGAGGCGTCTTCTCAAAAAGCATAATTGTTCCTGCTCTCACCTTTCCCTGAGTCAGTCCTCATAAGAAAAGTATGCCCGACGATAAAGAAAAGCCGAGCCTGGTGGTACCACCACAAAAGATGGACCAGGACGACGAAGCTGTCCGGGCAGCAATATGGGACAAGTATAGCGCCGGTAACAAGAACCCACCATCCCTGTCGCCATTTTTGCAGTAAAAAAGAAGCTAATCATGTCTAATAGAAACCCGCAGACGCATGTTGGAATGCCTCCTTCATCTCGGAGTAGGAAGCGGACCCCAAACACCAGACGGGATGGCGTTGTTCGTCATCAACGCCGACAACAGGTGGATCGACGAGTCGCCCTGCGAGCCCATCCGTAAGTTGCGCTTCGCCCACTGGCGGAACCGGGAACAGGCCAACAACGACAGCATGGACGCGGAGAGATACAAGAAGAGGAGCGAAAAATGTCTTCGGGACCAGCGGGGTCTTTTGCAGCCTCAGACTCAATTTCAAGAGCAGATGGCGGGTCTCTGCGGAGAGGAAGCCAAAGATTGCGCCTGGAGAGGGGAACTGGCCAAGGAGTTTCACGATACGACCATGGTCAGGATGCATGAGTATGTACGTCTGCAGGTGGAGCATGAATTCAGAGACTATAAAGTCCTGAAGGAAACGATCGGAAACCCGGATAACGAAAAGGGGGCCGATCTGCATCAGCTTGACGAAGACTTGCAGCAGCGGTTTGACGAGCTCCTGGCTGCGGAGGATTTGGACCTCGATAAGTGCAGGCGGTATGACAAGGAGTTTGAGGGACGTTGTATCTCTCGAGAAGGCCGGAAGGCTGAACTTTGCTGTCTTGAGAGAATAGCACGTGAGAAGGGGGCATTGGCGTCGCAGGTATATGAATTAGATTGAGCACACAAACAAAGGTTATTAGACGCATTGTAAAACTCAATCGGTCACCATATTAAACCCAGATGTTTAGTATTCTTGGTATCTGAGCACTGACAGAAGGAAGCAGTAGACACAACAATTTGCGTACTCTGCTAAGCTATTATTACCGTTTAACTGTTTTCTTTTTACTTGAACAATGTAGCCAAAAAGTAAAGTGGTTCACATTTCAACACTACTCCAGTGGTGGTTTGAATCTACCGATGAGGGGACTTTCAATCAATCGCATACCGTGGAACAAGATATGGTTTTCCTCATTCTGATATGCAGTGATCTAGTGACTAAAGACACTCTTGTCTTCACACTCCTGAGATATCATTGAAATATTATTTCATAAAATGGTGGCTGCGAGTTTTCAAGTATAATAAAGACAACAATAATCAGTGGCATTGTTGATTGAAGTACAAAGCATTGTCCAAGCACTGATTATGTATATATATACGTCCACTAGCACCCTATCGTGGGTTGTTTACGCAGCACTACGGATTAGACAGCTCCTGTTCGTAACAGAACCTATTAACTAAGAAAATGTATTCAACACGAAATCACGATTAGCGTGTCATCAACGACGAGGAGCGAAGCCAGCTCTTTGCGATACGGCGGCATATGCTAAAACACATTGCAAGCATGGGTGCGCGTCTTCATCTGGGGCATGAACGCTGACGAGTGCGTCAATTTGAGCGACAGCGGTTGTAAATATTAAACCAACAGGTTATTGAATTGGTTGTCGGACGACGACAACTTCTTGGCCTGACAGGGTCGTTTCGCTTTGGACGAGTCCATGGGGCAGAAATATAACGACGAGCCATACTGCGCAAGACATGGACACCAGGTTGAACAACGAATATGAGGAGTGTAAGAACGCCGGAGAAGAGAGAAACGGTGATGAGTATGTTGTTTACGACACAAAGCCTCTACTAACATCAGCACACCAACAAAATACTTATTTCATTGTCGCATCCCACATGGAGGTTGGACGAGATAATGTATAAATATGTATCGCTATCGCCATGACATTCGTTATCTTTCTCCTCCAGAAAAGCTTGGATGCAAATACACATGCCCAAATTATCATGCCCTTTGCTCTGGCCATGTTCTGCTCGAAGTCTGTGCCCAACTTGGGCAAATGTTCGATCGCGCGAGATCTCTGGGCTTCTGTTACGAATAAGCTCTGGCGCATTCAGCTCTTCCCCGTGACTGTAGTTGTCCGTCTTGTAGACATGTTCCGAGCCGCAAAACAAGCACGAGATCACAAAAGGCGGATGAGAATCATCGACAGAATGCTGAAGGCTGCATCATGCCTCTCGACATCACCTGAGCCCCTTCCCTTTTCTGCCTTCATGACCCTGGCTGAGGACGCCCTCAGTTTGGCCAAATTTCCACCAGGGCTTTCCACAAAGAAACATGCGGAGGCTGTCTTACAGGTCAAGGCACTGCTGGATCGGTGGGCTGTGGCTTTCGTCGCAAGCCTCTGGACACATGGACATGGGAAGGAGTCCCTAGGTGGTTTCTTGCATGAATTGAGGCATGGAGACGGATTGGGACCGCCGGGAAAACATGGAGGAAGACACGGGTCTGTCATATTTCTAGAACGAAAATTTTTGCTCGCTGAGCAGAACTTTCGTTGGGAGTGCGAAGAGACTGCGAATTCTGGTGGAGCTCGGAATACTTACAATAAGGAACTGGCTCAATATGGTGATATGGGTAGATTGAATGCTATCCCAGAGTGACGCGGCATATATAAATGCTAGAATGCCTTGATTCTGGATATTTTGACAGACATTACCACCAAGCTTGCGACGGATCGCTTCTTTAAGCGTACATTTTGGATAATACTATGAAATTTCTAAATAAAAAAGTCCTGGACATACTTTGTGATTGAAGCCAAGGGATCTAGATCTTGTGATTCCTTCTGTAGTGCAAGCGCTGTGTCCTCATACTTTGGGTCATTGAAAACAGCCCTCACGACAGAGCTGATTTCATGCATCCCAAGATTTGGCCTTTTGATTGTGCATCCGAGCCCTGAATAATCTATTCGTGCAGCGACTTCTGCCTCCCCCACGAGTGGCCAACCATGGCAATTGGCCCGCCATCCCCGATAACGTGACCTGCTCCACCATAGCCAGCATTGAATATGAATAGGTCTGCACTATGAAGGATATGGTCGCGAGGGAAGTAGTCAAAGCCACGTGTATTTTCAGGACCCTGAAATCCAGAAGATAACTTGCCGCCTCGCTGACCAATAAGCAGGACTGGGAGCACATCTGAACCGTCCCCAAGAGCACGAATGAACGGGAGTAGAATCGGTTCTGGTGGGAACACAATTGATCCCTGTGCAACGAACCAGCATTCTTGCCTACGGCCAGCAAGACGGATATTCCGGTTGCGTACTGTAACAGCGCTAGCCTCGTAAAAGAGAACGACAGGCTTCTCAGAATTGCGCTCATGAAGGACATAGAGAGCCTCACACACCTGTTCCATACGCTTGGGCAGCGAGGTCAGGATTATATTCTCAAAAGCATAGGCAAAGATCTGAAGCTACATCTTGGCATTGAGCGCGGCAAAATGAAGCATGCGTAATTTCTGAGATGTCTATAGGCTCGAGATCAGACCATACAGCACCTGCCGGCTTTCGTAATCTGCTCTGTATACTCAGGTGAACTGAGAAACAGCTTATCATAACCTTTCTTAGTCAGGTAAGAAGCAAGCTGGAGCGTAGGGTCGACATGTCCTGCCGCTATGCAGCCACGAACACAAGAGTGGGATATTTGCTGGTAGCGGGCACCATAATCGCTCCAGGTTTGCTGAGAGAGTTCGGATGTTGTATTTGACACAGCGCTGGATTTCGACTGATGGTGGCAGGGAGAGCACTTTTGTGTACTTGGCAATGAGTTCCAAGTGGCGTCGACCACAACCGAAATAACTTGGGGCGTGTAATGCAAGACCTCTAACTGTGTCAACAGTGCTATGATAATAGCGGTCTTGGGTAGTGGGCCATTGCTGCACAGTTCGCTCACGGTCCTCCCTACGGACGAATGGGAAGCGGTATATCTAGCGTTCAAGGGGCGATGGATTATCATGCTTGAGTACTGGTACTACCAGCAACGGCTAGTCTACCGCGGGCATAGGGTTTGACGTATGGTACTCTTTGAAACCATACAAGGTTGAGCGGCGTTAAGTAAATGCCAACAAGTTGGTGCAGGAATGCTGTTATTGCATTCGAGTTTGACCAGAAAACATTGATTCCCATCCCATGGAGTTGGATGCCATCATTGATTGGTTGACCGGGTTGCGGTCAAGAATCCTTCAAAGCTTGGACTCGCTGCAGCTGTTCTCTTGCCGGACGTCTCTTTTGTCGTGAAGCTTGAGCGGGAAAACGTGCTAGACGACCGCATGTATTGCAAGTGATGACCATGATATCTGCCCACGGTTTCTTTCCACCTTTGCTTTTGTTCTCAATGATGGAGTTGCAGGTCTCACCTTCAATGAGAAGCGAGTCACAGTACTTGCATACTGTATGTTTCACGGCTGGAGAGATGCGGATTTGAGTCTTCAGTGAGGTTGCTCGCATCTCGTTGAGCAGGCGGCGGGACATTGCTTGCTTGTGTGTGTCTTTGGTTGGAGATTGCTGGCGATTTGGGTCATTTTGAACATGCTCAACATTGTCATGAGAATTTTGCGACTCTGCTTGGTCAAGGGGAGTGTTCGTGCTGGCTAGATAAGAGGCTGCTTGGTAGAGGTAGGATATCCGTGAATAAATATGTCGGTTTGGCACGCTACCTGGCTGCTTCACCTTGCCCATCACGACAAGCTGCTCAGCGTGCGGCCTGCACACTCGAGGATGAGCTGGTCGGCAACGCAAGTATTCGTGTCACGACAGGCAATTGGCGATGTGTGATTGTGTGCAAACGAGTGACTTGGCCGAACCAACAGGGACGAGGCGTGAAGGCGCACCGAGTATGGCAGATACTAAAAAAAGGCATCCGGGGAAGACAGGGCCGGCAGTGTCTCCCGTAGATAGCCCTGCAAAGCAAAAGCGGGAAAATCAGCTGTTGGGCAGTGCGCGACCCACAAGTCTGTACGTGTGTTGTATGTTGTAGAGGTAGACCAGATACATACACACAGTAGCGGACGCAGTGGGCTTAGCTCCACAGAACAACGAGACGCGCCCCCGTGTTGCCTCGCCTCGTGCGGCGTTCCTCAAGTGCCAGGTGCTCTCTGTCCTCTAAGGTTAGTGGGCAGGTAGGTAGCTTTTGCGTGGGTGGCCCTCTCCGCTGCAGCGTATCACACAGTACGGAGCCGTGCGTGCCACCCGCTTGAGTGCTTGTTATTACACTTGCCTGCCAGCCTGCCTTTTCCCTCTCGTATTAGTCCTAGTCCACAGTAGGCGCGCTACGTACTCAGGCCGCCCCCCCCCCGTTGAAAGGCTCAAGCTCCCAGCTGCTGTCCACCTGAAATCAAAAGCAAAAGCAAAAGCTCGAACCCGTTTCGTCCTCTGCTCTTGTCAGATTGACCTTTTCCCCCAGCTCAACAATTCCACCGTCTTCAGCCTCGACCTCATTGTTCATCAACAAGGTCATCGGGAAGGCACACGCGGCTCAATACTTCTTTCTTCATCAATCGCGCACCTACGAATCCGTTGTTTGCATACTTTTCGTCTGTCGCTCATCTCGCGAGTGACGTATTTTCTTTTTTGACCAGACACCCACACCACCTCACATATCTCTAATCTCACCCCAAATCGCCATCATGTCCAACGACGAGGAACTCATCGATTACTCCGACGAGGAGATCGCTCCCAATGATACCGCCCCCGCCAACGGCAAGCCAGCTGACGCCGCCGCTGCTGGCAACAATGTCGACAAGAAGGGCTCATACGTCGGCATCCACTCCACTGGATTCCGTGATTTCCTCTTGAAGCCTGAGATTCTCCGCGCTATCACCGACTGCGGTTTCGAGCATCCGTCGGAGGGTTAGTTTACCAAGATTTCACGTTCAAAACCTACATCGGTCAAGTCCATTGCCCACTCCTCCCTCCTTCAAGCGTCCGTCCACATCGCAAGCAAGCAAGCAAAGCAAAGCAAAGTCGGAAGAATTATCGCAAGCCAAAGTCGTCAGATAAGTCGGTGGAGACAATATCAACAGCCGAGAGAGCACCCTCTTAGCCATGCGACAACCTTCGCGCCCGAAAAGAGTTGATGCTGATGAAGCGCAACCCCGGGCTGATGCTTTGCATAAGATGTCGATCGGGGAAGACACGCGTCACGTGCGCCTTCCGTGATCTGATATCGAGGAAGACGAGACATCTATCTTCAAACCTTGGCATCTTAGCGTAGCCGGTGAAACCCCGATTCGTGCCTTTGGTATAGAGATTACTTGGTAGTGATGGTCATTGAGCCATAGAAGTATCCATCATCGATCATGGCAGACCTGATCGCCTCCTAACGCGACACGGCACTACACAAGGATGAGTTTGCGCTGTATGAGGAGGACACGGAGACACGGCTGTGTGTTTGGGCTGACTTGACGCTTCGACAATGGGCTATGCTGCGATAATGGGCGGACCTTGACGATGACTTTCTTCGTTCACATCACCCGCTTATCAATTCTTGGGAATCTTATCTGACATTCCATCGCTTCTCACAGTTCAGCAAACCTGTATTCCCCAGGCCCTTCTTGGTGGTGACATTATCTGTCAGGCCAAGTCCGGTCTCGGAAAGACTGCTGTCTTCGTCCTGACCACTCTGCAACAGGTTGAGCCCGTTGACGGTGAGACCTCCGTCCTGGTTATGTGCCACACTCGTGAGTTGGCTTTCCAGATTCGCAACGAGTACAACCGTTTCAGCAAGTACATGCCTGCCATCAGGACCGGCGTCTTCTACGGCGGTACGCCCATCGCCAAGGACGCTGAGATTCTCAAGGACAAGGAGAAGCACCCTCACATCATTGTCGGCACTCCAGGTCGATTGCAAGCCCTCATCAGGGACAAGTACCTGCGCCTTGGAAGTGTTCGTATCTTTGTGCTCGACGAGTGCGACAAGATGCTTGACCAGATCGGTAAGTCGTCGGTTGCCACGTTTGCTTGCGAATGAAGACTGATCCACTGCCTTAGACATGCGACGTGATGTCCAGGAGATCTTCCGCGCCACCCCTCAGCAAAAGCAGGTTATGATGTTCAGTGCCACTCTCTCCGAGGAGGTCAAGCCCGTCTGCAAGAAATTCATGCAGAACCCTACGGAGCACTATGTCGATGAGGACACCAAGTTGACACTGCATGGTCTTCAACAGTACTACATCAAGCTTGACGAGAAGGAGAAGAACCGCAAGTTGAACGAACTCCTCGACGAGCTTCAATTCAACCAGGTCATTATCTTTGTCAAGAGCACTCTTCGCGCAACCGAGTTGGACAAGCTGCTGCGCGAGTGCAACTTCCCCTCCATTGCGGTGCACTCAGGTGTGAGCCAGGAGGAGCGTATCAAGCGCTATAAGGAGTTCAAGGAGTTCAACAAGCGCATCTGTGTTGCTACTGACGTCTTCGGTCGTGGTATCGACATTGAGCGCATCAACCTTGCCATCAACTACGATCTGTCTGCCGATGCCGACTCTTATCTCCACCGTGTCGGTCGTGCTGGTCGTTTCGGTACCAAGGGTCTTGCCATCTCGTTTGTGAGCAGCGAGCAGGACTCAGAGGTCCTCAAGGCAATCGAGAAGCGATTCGAGGTCGCTCTTCCGTAAGTCATACATGCGACTCCACTATCCTAGTAACCATTGATCTAACACAACCTAGTGAATTCCCCAAGGAGGGTATTGACGCTAGCACATACATGGCGTCCTAGATGGTCACACTGTTTGACGAAAATGGAGATTTGGGTGTCTAGTTAGACCAAGTAACGTGTAGGCATCAGAAAATCTAACAAAAGCATTGTGAACTGGGTTGTCTCTACTCTTGAAAACACCTGGTTTTGTGCTCGGTGGGTGAAGACGGTGGACATCTCAAGTCACTGGAGGGCATTCCGGCAATCCCGACGATGTGTTTGTCCTCTTCCCTTGGAGATACGGTGACGCTTTTCATTTTCACTTCTGAGCCATGAAGTTACTGGAGCTTGTGTCGCCGTACCCATCTCCCATGGCCGCTTAGGCCTTGTGGTCCGGTTTTTATGAATCTACAGAATGAAATTCAATCATTGAGAAGGACTATCTGCTAGCAGTGATTCTCTTGGTGATATACAGTGACGTTTGTCATAAACTATAGCAACCTAATGATCGAGTATACACGAATGACGCCAATCCCCATTTCTGTTTGGGAGTATTCAAAGTTCAAATACAACTGCCGATATCTGCCGATTCGCCTTTTTAACTTATTCAACTTACCCCTACTGGCCAAGGAGCCCAAACCGTGGAGCCTGTACGTATGAACCTGGCAATGTTTTTGCATCTCTCTTCGGTCCTACCATAGTTCCCGGGGTTTTCTGCTCATGATTTCCCACAATCTTCGCCACTGTTCAGAGGCGTCTCCTCGGACGCTAGGAATCCTGAGTACCTCTCGACCTTTGTCCTTGGTCTATTTCAGTTACTCGAGCTTACCCAACCCACCTTATCAAGAGAGATCACGAACAATGACTGCTTCTTCACACGCCATGACTGCTGACAAAAGTAGGCACCAGCGACTGCCAGTGCGGAGAAGATAAGCATGGTATCACTCACGAGCAATGACTCCTCGCCATGGCCGTCACCTCACATGACGGCCGGTCGTGCTCTGGGTCACAATCGACCCTCTGTGATTCAGATCACGGCGGTATGGTGGCGGATGACAGGCAAAGTTACATGGCCACAGAACCGCCAGTGACTCCTTCCCGTCTAGGGGGCCGTATGACTATTCGCACAGCAGCGGCACAACACTCGTCCGCTCTAGTATCGAGCCTACCCGTCGTGAGGATGGTCACTTCCGACACCAAGAGTACTCTGGACTTGCCACAGCCCCACCGATGTCTTCTTCCCGTCTGCTTCATCAGTGATAATAGCTCAGCGCTGCGGTATGACATGGTTCGTAATCACGTAACAATGGGCAAGTTCAAGCAAGATCCATCCTGCCAACGCGATCTGGTAATGCTGCTAGGTGCTTCTGGTCTCCGGACAGGTTACACGCCTTTGTCCACCATCTTTGTTGCCATGCTATCCGATTGCCAAAATCCATGGCAATGAGGGCTCGATATGTTTCTCGAGAGATTTCCCTCTGTCTCCGATAGCGGCTACTGGGTGGGCAAAAATTCAAGATGCTGAAGCCGACGTAAGCCCTTCGCGGAAAGAAAGAGTAGATGTCAGCTGACGACGCGGGGAGGAGGGGGAGGAGGAGGGGGACCCCAGGCGGCCGAGCGGCTGACTGGTCCTCAGTGGCGAGACGTTTTTGGTGGGTTCAGCACCACGAGATGCTCGTGTGATCCGTCTCTACGATGTTTTTATTTTATTTCATCTCACGATGGGCAATGATGACTAGGCGGTATCGACCGAGTGTTTAACATTTTCCTTCGGGTGAGTCAGCATATGTTCATGTCAGAAATGCTGGGGCCACAGGGAGGGTTTGACCGTTCGGCAAGGGAGAAAGAAGAAGAAAAAAAAAGATGATGGCAAGGTTTCAAGCTTCGGAACGTAATCATGAGAACGAGGGGAACTTGGCAGTCAGGTAAAGATAGTCCAGTCTATACAACAAGGTATACATTTTGCGCCCTATCTGGTATCCCAACTGGAATCAGCGTTGTACGGTGTTGGAGGTAAGCCCTCCATCTACAATATATCGACACATGCCAAACCCATCGAGAGAAAATGGCTGACATGTCATGTCAGCCGATGGAAAGTAACCTTCTTTCTATCTCGTCTTCCTGTTCTTCTTCTTTTACCTGGCCAAACGAAGGATCTCGATCGTGGGGTAGGAAATGCAATGAATGGTTCACGCAATATGCAAGGACTGGAATATTTGCCTGCATGACACAGCAGTTTGTGGGACGTTTGCGACGATACAGGGAAGAAGAAGGACGAGGAGGAGGGGGGAAAAGTCTATCACTATGCAATAATATCATGGGCAATCTTGCTGCCTAGCCCGCACCACCCCAGCTGTCAGATTGAGAACACAGGAAGCTTAACCTTGAGTTTTGCCCCGCGCTCGTTTGGAAGGAAAGGATCAAAGGATCATGTTCTTAGTTTATTTTATCGTCTGCCTGCGTGACTGCTGAAAATAGTTTTCTTCCGATCCAGGTAGGGTTCTAGAAGATCTCGCACGCGGAGATTGTCGGTCGTGGTAGGATTATTTTTCTTTGTCACTGCTGCGATCCCTCGCACGGGCACAACCGAAGGGGGGGAGGGGGGAGGTAAAAGGAGGCGAAAATGTCTTGGGCAGTGTCTCCCCACGACAGTGACACTGTCAAGCAGCAGCAAAAGGCATGTGCTGCCTCATGCCAATCGCATCGCCTTGGTATTTTTTTTTAAACAAACAAACTCTGGATTTGCAAACAATGCGGTTGTGCTCTTCTTCCTTCCTTAGCTCGAGTATGTATGCTGTACGCCGCAGCTTGAACTGTCACCGCCGCATCCGGCGCCTAGATTCAGCTGGAATACCTCGTCCAGGGAGCAGTAGTCATCAACATTGTGACGCATCTAAGTGGTTGGCTCTAAGAATACTACTGTGTAATCCAACACGAAAGACCAAATCGTAGCAAGAAAGTCTAAACACGGGACAAGACTTTTCCGCCTTGTCGCATTGTGTAACAAGCCTCATGATGATGAATGCGTGAAGTTAGTCAACTTTGCCCCGCTTAGTGGACAGAAAGATCCACGACAAACATCTGCATACTGAGGAGGGATGGCTTTCAGGTGCACAATACTGGCGGAGCTATGCGCTACATGGTCTCCATGTAGGCGCGATCTTGGGATATGGCGAACCTCAGCACACGTGAATCAACTGCACAGAGGAGGTTTATTTTAGTTTTCTTACCAGTATACACCACGCTATGTAACTGGGGAAATCACACACTAATGCCGAGTCCCGCATGATCAATGACACCGTGTGTGGTTCACGAAGGTTCACCAGTTGTTCGGCCTGTCCTAGGTGGCTGTACCTTGTTGTGGTTGATAGTCAACCATCGACCCCGCTCTGGGGCTGGCCCAGCGCGATTACTCATGCTTACTTTGAGCCATCTGGCTGCCTCATTGGATGGGGGCGGTGTTGTGCTCAGTCTTGGCGCTGCCCTGTGTACTAAGTAGAAGATTTCGAGTGGGTGGGAGTAGGGCAAACTCCGAAAACTCTTCGGTGATAATTGCGTGCTCCGTCATAGGAGAAGTGAACAAAAGGCGAACAAGTGAGCGGCCTCAGAGCTCAAAAGATTGCACTCTAGAACATATCTGACCTAGGATAACTAGTGTTGGATCTAGAGTTGCGAGTACGGCGCAGTCAGAACATGGCACGAGATGACTCAGCGGGCTGCGGCTGCCCTGAGGTGTCTGACAGATGCCCTGTTGGCATCCTTAGTATACTGTAGTGATGAACCGCGCGGCAACAGCCCCGGCCATTCGTTCCCACGATGACTCGAACTATGAATTCCCCCAAAGCCTTGTTCGAATTGGCAGCTCGTGATGACGGCGTGCTAAACACGTTGATGGCAGACACGCATGCTGGCAGAAGTTTCTTTGTTGTCCTCAATGTGCGAGGTTGTCACGCCACAATCAGACCGACGATTTCGGACCCGGCCTTTACCTTAAGAAGCAAAACACATGTGACCACTACTTGGTGTTGCGTCAATTTCGTACTCGTTTTGAGTCAGGCTGGTACTGGCATCGCCCAGCCGATTTCGCACGTAATATGTCGTTCTTCAATCTTTGTATATCTTTTGGTTTTCTTTTGCGAAATCGTGGCTGCACATGCATATACTATGTAGGACATGCTAGGGACACACCTAGAATCTCGTCGAGCTGAACCTTGGCCGGGGTGAGGTCGGGGGCGAGTTGACGAAGCTGAGCGAGGAAAATTAGTGTTACCCCTAGATTTGCATTGCGTTGAAAGTCTGCCTCAGCTGTGAAGTAAGTATCGTTGTGAGGTAGCCTGATAATGCCATCACAGCAAGGCTGGGACAGACGGCCCTATTCTCAGCCAGTGCCAAACCAAAAGGCTTGACCGTAGGAAAATACAAATTCCAACATGACCTGAATGTTCACCAGTCTGCTGATTAAATATGCGTTATCGGTGTGCTTTTCGTTGCCGCGAAGTATAATAAATGCGATGAACGTGCACGAAGTTGAGAGCATCTTCATGGACCGTGGTTGGCTACTGCATGATTTCGCGGGTGCAACAACCTCTCCTGTGTAACACAGTTGTCTGTGGCCAAGCTCTTCAGGGAGTTGGAGAAAGCTTTACTGTGGTGTACTATACTATGCTGGACTGAAGACCCGATTGTGTCAAAATCCCACAGACTTGCCATCGTGCTCGTGATAGCCTATTTGAATCCTTGTCCCCACGCTTTAGTATCGGGCATTGTTTTCTTCGTCGGCCCGGGATAACGAAAAGTGACGCAGAGCTGCCGCGAGTTACGGCGAGACGGAGAGACAGGAGACGCAGTCAGGAGTGCATTTGGCGACCACACTTTCAGAGAAGGCTGTGGCGAATGAGCACTTTCAAGACTTTGCACAGGTGCAGTAGAATGCAATGTAGGTGTCACGCCGCGAATTGTTGATGTTCTTATTTATTGTCAGGATGTTCGCTGCTTGCTGCTGTTACGCAAAGTAGACAGGAAGTCTTTGATGTTTCCCGGAAACGGTACAGAAAGCACAACATGCTCTCTCCCCCTAATTCATGCGTGCAAGATTAACCGTGGCACGGTTAGAGGGCCTGAAGTGCACTGAGTCTGCTGAGTGTACAGTTCCGGCTCTAGGCTGCCAAGGCGTTGTCAGCCAAAATGATTCGAGCTCTGTATCATGTTCAATTTTAGGTCTTCTCTGTCCCAAAAGCCATGATTCCGATACATCCTGTGCCGTTTTGGTGCCCCTCAAACACCGCAGCCTGCCAGTGCTTTATATTCCCGGTTTGATAATCCAACGCTTGTGGTTTTGTTCATCGGACATTGTGAAGCATTCTACGTAGTTATAGCTGCAGGACTTGATAGAAAACGAATGTCGCTCGTGAAAAGGCTACTGTGTTGTTCTTCGAGGCGGAACCAGGCGGGTCTGACCCGATTATGGTGTCCAGTATGGATCTGGATGGTGGCAGCATGTAGCAAAGTGATGTAGCGCACTGCGCTGCGCTGACGCAATTTTGGGGCGTTTTCAACTAACAGATTACTCCATGTCCCAAAAAAGGCAAGCACCCCATGCGCAAGATTGGGGCTGTTCATAATCAAGATTGTTTTGGCTGTGCTTTTCGGGCAAGGACGCGCGTAGTGCAACTACAAATTGTCCCCCATTGGATTGAGGCGAAGTGAAGTGGTTAGGTATTGCGACACGCAATGCCTGACTTTAAAACACGACATTGAATGATGCACATACCTTCAGAATATCCGACAAGTAGATTGTTTCCAAAATTGTTCATCGTGCTGGACACTGCCCAGCACAGGTTTCGGATCGGAAGTGTGCGGGAAACCACACTACCATGTCGGCTTATCACTGAGTACGAGCAAAGTCGCGAGGCCGGCAACCGGACAGAGAGGATGGCGATAACTTCAGGGATGTGTTTGAAATACGAGCAGATCTTGTGCTTGGCAATGCAGGGCACATGAGATTGGGTTTGGTGAGCGATAATACGCACTGAACAATGGTGACAACAAAACTCAACATTTGCCATGTGGATGCATCTGGACCATCGGCTCGAGGCAACTTCATCGGGAGCTGCGAGACAATTCTCTAATGGTGGTATAGCTATGTGTTGAATATGAGCCATCACCCTCCCGCCATCATGGACACAGCTTCTGACAGCTGGCAATGTTACTCCGTACTGTGAGCTTGGCCATCCGTTGATGTATGGATTGTTGGATGTATTGCTGCAGATACAGGCTTCCCCACGGTGGTTATGACCTTCTCAGCAAATCTACATTACGAACTCTGGATATTGAGTGATGGGTATTCTGACAAAGTTGATTGTATGTAACAACTTGTAATATTTTGAAGGACTGTGCTTGTCTTTTACACAACAAGCGTTGTTGAGGGACGTCTCACCGCATGTGAGGTGCCATTCAAGAATGGAGAACCGATGACTCTTCAATTTCGTCGGTCATTCGTCTGCCTCTTCAATACTCATTTCTCGCACTCAATTTGCGCTGCTGGTCGCTATGGCCGCAGGGTAGTGCAGCATGATGCATCTCTCTAAGCCAAACCGAGTAAAGCTTCTCACAGAGTGGTCATGATTGGACAAATGGGAAAGATGACACAGTTGGTTGGCTGGTCTGTGACCAGTAGCAGTGTATGGAGGAGCGGCCACCAGGCCAAACTTGGACTTTGGCTTGCTTTGCACTGCACCGGGAAGTGGCTTTAGCACCACACCAGCCGAGCCATAGCAGCACTTGTTAATCCCAACCCCATTCACTACCACGCCAGATTTTGCAGAATTCGCAGTGTCATAGAAGCGCCCATCCAATCATTCCTCGTGCAATTACAGTGCCCACTGGCTGCATTCACTCCCGACCTTCTTTTGGCACCTTTGCAGTAACGTACCTTGGCTGAGGCCCCGGTTTTTGTACGCTCTCTGTGTGGTTGTTGTGCCCCTGCTGTCGCTAATGTACATGGCTGGCTGGTTGCTCCAGCTGTGCGCTGTCTGCTCTGATAGATCTCACACACACCAGCAAATCCCATCAACTGCCCCCCATCTACGGTCTCCATTGCAGCCGGTAGTCCTGATTGTTCAAAACTCGCCTGTACCCTCCAGCCGTGTTGCCCCCGGTTTCTCCTCTCTACTATCGAACAAGCCGCCGCGATGTTCGAATCCAAGATCTAAGTACAAACCCGACAACACTGTCGAAAAAGTGTGCTTGAGTGCGATATACTGTATTGTATTCTGGTGCTACTAGTACATTAACTTGATCTTTCGGAATTCACTTCGCACAAGGCTTCTCCGTCTAGTCTGTCAATCAGTACAGCCAGTTGGAGACTAATTACACGAATCATCTATTCCCACAGTCTATTTTCTGTGTTGCTCTTTATCTCGTTCGCAGTGGCATTCACTTGTTCTCTCGGCGACAAAGATTCATTATTTAAAAGGAAGAATAAGAAGAAAAGAAGAAGAAAAAAAAGGATAGCATCATCCACGCACCCCGTCGACTCATCTCGTCATCCTTTCGAAGAACGAGCAGCAACAGGTTTACTCCCCGTGTTACTCAAAGGATTACCATTTCCGGCCAAAACTCTCTTCTCAGTCTGTTGCTAAGCACCATTTCTACCTAAGCTACCCCATATTCTTAATATCAGTCATTCCGCACCATTTCTTGCATCCTTTGTTCACTTGCCACTTTTGAAACTTGTCCCTTCAGGCTTCCACGGCGTGTGACAGATTCCAAGATCAGTCACTCACTCCTCGTGTGGACACCTGTTAGGCACCTGGATCCCCTGTTCCGTTGTCGCCCCCTTCAGCAGAACCCACAAAGAGACCACCTGTCAACCTGGGTCCGCCGCTTCTCTTGGCTCTTGGCCCCATCCCCCCCAGCCCAAAATCCCAAGCCCAGCGGAATTAGTCGGTTAGGTTGCCTTCGCCACCTAAAGAAGAGTCATAGTCAACCTAAGGACTGCTACCGGCCAACGTACCCTGCCACACACCACTCTCACACGACTTCGGACCTTGCCTACCTGCTGGTGCTTTGCCCCCTAAGGACAAGGCCACCACGCGACGACTCATACCAAGGCCAACTCCGCTCAGTGATTCGCCTCGTCGAGTCCGACTTTAAGAAGCCTCTCCTTCCATTCTCTACCCTCCCACCCTGTCGCATATATGCCTTCACAAGCATAGCACAGTGGTTGCAGTTTCCGTACCTTGCATAATCTCACCATAGATTCGACGCTACCTCGACCATCCACCTTGCGCCGACTCTCCAACGTCAACAATAACAACAACAACACCGCCGCCACCCTTTGAGATATCACAACTGCACCACTTGTAGCAACAGCCTCGGACGACTTTGTTTAGATCTATTTTCAACCAATCTCCACTCAACCCTTCCGCTACATTCATGGTTTGGTAGAAGACTTGCTCAGCTCGATGTTGATCTAGCTTTCTCTCCAATCCAGTAACAACTCCCATGTTTCTCTAACCGAAACATACAACACACAATGGTTTTTGCGAACTCTATTACTATTACTCCAGTCGCCAGTCTTGCTTCGTCCTCCGGTCTGATCCTTCGTGAAAACTTGGTCCTGCTATAGAACCGTTTACTACTCGACTCTTACGGTTTTGCAATAGCCCTTACGCTATTGTGAGACTGCTCGAACGCTACATAATCACGATTTGTTCAAGTTATACGATTAACCGGTTGACTTTGCTTTACGGCGACTGGAGGCAAATTCGAAAAGAATTCCCTTCAACCACCAAGATGATGTGCAGCGGCAACGATGCGCTGTCCTACATCAACTCCTTCCCTAATGGACCATACAACCCCTCCCTAGCCTCTTCGGCATCATCGTCCTCGGCTTCGGTCTGGTCGGATGCCTCCTCCCAACACTCTGACGATACCTCCATCTCCGCCTTGACCTCAGATTCCTCGGAAAGATGCTTTAGCTCGCTACGCTCCGAGCTTTCTTGCGATCGGGTACAAGAAGCAAACGCATGGCCAAGGCAAACGTCGCAGGCCTCACATGAGGTTCCTCCCGCGATGCGCCAGAACCCCAGGCGTACCTCCTCTAGTACTATTTCCAGGTCCGGATGCCCACCTGCATTGACGCGCCAAAGCGATCGCAAGGTCAACTTTGTCGACAACCTCGTTGGTAAGCCTGAACGATGACTCTCACTGCCTTGCGGCACACGCTTAAACTCAACTATAGACTCATCGACGCAAATTGTCGAAGCCATTTGGCCGTTATCATCCATTCCCTGCCGAGCAGAACTAGGCCACAAAGCGGTGTTACCTCTGCGCACCTTCATTCAGGAAACGCTGCGCCGCTCTCGTACAAGCTATTCTACTCTGCAGGTTGCCTTATATTATCTCGTACTTATCAAGTCTCATGTGCCTAAGCACGACTTTACCATGGAGCAACCCAATGACATTCACGCGATCCGCGCCTTACAATGCGGTCGCCGCATGTTTCTGTCTGCGCTCATCCTCGCATCAAAATACCTTCAGGATCGCAACTACTCGGCACGAGCGTGGAGCAAAATATCTGGTCTTGCTACTCAGGAGATAAACCAGAATGAAATGGCTTTCCTCTTGGCTGTTAACTGGAAACTGCATATCACAGATGATGTTTTCCAACGTTGGACGGACATCGTCTTGAAATACACTCCCTCGCAACCTCCTTCTCCTGGTACTGGCTGTTCTTTGGTTATCGAGCGCGAAATCCAGGATTGGAAGAATCTCATACTGAAGCTTACTCCCGAACTGGATAATGTTGCGGGTATAATGTCAGCTTGCCCGTCAAAGATCGCCGCCGGCGAATTTACTGCTGTGTCACCTCGTTCGCTGCTTTCAGCTTCGCACGAGCGTAGCTGTGCTCTAGGACTCGGATATGAATCAAACGATTCCACACCCACGCCCAGAAGCTACACCACACCCACGATTATGGAGCCGTCCCCCGCCACTGTATATACACCCGGCCGGTTGGCTCCTGCTCTTGGGCTTCTACCTACACCCCGTCTTACGCCGCAGTCGGCGGGACTCGGCACTCCTGCTGCGAGTGCCGCTCCCTGCCTTCTTGGTGGGAAGGGTTCGATGGGCCTTGCCATGGCGCAAGCTTCGCAAGTGAACGCTGCCCAGAACGTGGACCGGTGGCCTGGCATGCTAACCACCTCGCCTTTGAGCTACTGTCAGCCTGTCCGTCGATCTTCCCTTGCCAATTCTGTTTCTACAGCATCTTCACCAGAGTCGATGGTCTCGGATACTTCCCGCACATCACGCTCTTCCTCAATCTCCTCTGCTTCGTCGCTGGTCAGCGCGCCGTCAACCAAATTGGATGTACAGGCGCGATGCCGCTACGCGAAGCAGTGCAGTGAGAGATATAGCATGAGACCTGCCGTTGCCTCGGTTCCTGAAGATTATGAGGAGAATTGCATCACTGCCTCCCCCGAGTCTTACACCGGTCCCGTGGGCAAAGATCTGATGGAGATGTCACTGGGAACGCCTCTGGCCCGAGGAGGTTGTGATAATGACGATGCCGCTGAGGCTGCCCGTACTTTGCAAGAGCTGCAAAACTGCCACTACTCTGCTCAAGTGACGAGCAGGAGTGGTACCAAGAGAAGCCGAACTGTTTCCGTCGATAACTCTCTGCAGGAACATGTGCGTGATTTGCTCTGCAGTCAGCATAAGCGCATGTGCTATTCGTCAGATGCCTCTGTGTCATCTACAATCCCATCAGCGCATTCAATTGCAGGTGGTGTTGGTGCGCCCGGTATGTGGAGTGGCATTCTTCATTGAGTTCGGCGTTCTCGGCACTTCTCTCAACTATCTACATGATACTCTGTGACAAATAATCGACCGTTTCTTTTGTTTCACCCAGGAAAGGGTTCAATTGAGCGATACCACCTTGGCAATATCTATTTAATAGACATCCAAGGACCAGTGAAAAGCGCGTTTTCTCGCATTTCCAGGATCACAGCATTGGGTTTATGGCGGTTGGTGTTTGTGTACGATGTGCGATAAAGCGAATGGGTGATATTTTGGTCCAGGTGTTCGGGGGCAACAATATGTTGCAAGATCATAGGTGGTATAATCGGATTAAGAAAGCAGTAAATGGTGACGACTCGGAGACGCGAGACGAATACCTTTGCTGCGGACTACAATGCATCAAGAAGGAGTCTTTGTTTTCCGGCGAGCGACTCGATTGAACGCTGTGGACGAATCCACCGGCTCCGTTGATTTCTCGTGGAAACACATACAATCGGCGGCTTGTCCAAAAAAAGCACAAAAAGCACATGATTACTACTTATCTGACCTGAAAAGGCGTTGCGCAACATAGATCGAGGAGAGCTTGCTTGAACCAAAAGCTTGAGACAAAAATACACAACCTCGCAGATAGTACATTAATCTGAAATAAGGGCTTTGAGCTGGGAAGTTAACTTACACAAACCACAAACTGGAAACTATGCTAAGTGTGTATCTTGGGGCCAGTACAGCCTCAAGTAGAGTATTGCTAACCGCTGTGCCTATTTGGTAGTTCTCAGACTACAGATCTCCCAATATGTCAAATTCGCATCTGGAGACGGTTCCCTCACCGCGTGGTTGCCATGAGCGGGATCGCTTAGCTACTCACGCGACAAAGCCGCCAACCCAACCGTGCCAGCCGAGACATCGTCAAATTCCGTGTCTGGTTGGCCCTCGTCTCGTCTCGCTCGCCGGTTGCCTCGGCGCCAAAACGGCCAGTGACTCATTGCGGTGGACTGCCAGCTCCTGGGCCAAGTGGGAAGCTCAGCAACCCAAACATCCTTGTCCCACTCACACCCACGCTCATGTTTAAGAAGAAGGCTAATTATTGCCACTTTAGGCAACGCGGCGCTAAGACTGCACGTGAACTAAATCAGTTCTATTAGGTATGTGCGCCCTCACTGCGAATTTGTAAGACAGGCTTCACGATAGTTGATTAGTTGTTTCATTCTTACATTCTCAAATCATCATGGATCCTTCATGTGAGTATGTAACACTGGCTGGCTCGCCCCCCCCCCCCCATGGTGGGTCTAGGCTGAAGGCTTACTGACGACGACGATATCTGTCACGATGGTCACGCTGGTGACCGGAAGAATGCCTCCTGACGGTGGCGGCGGATCTTGCGGGGTTTCTTTCTAATCTCTGGTTAAGAATGCCCAGCTGGCGGTGTGTTTGCCAGGATCTTGTAGTATCCAGAGTGTTGGTTCCCTCGGATTGCTGACGTTGCACAGTGGTCCGGCCCAAAACGGCGTTGTAACAACATGATATGTAATTGCCTGTTGATTCAGTCTAGCTTCAATGTGGATTTGTCCAGGAATAGTTTATGTCTGTGATGATTAGTGCTTCATGTTCGACCCAGCATCATCTTTAGCGGATGCGCAGTCCCAAGTTTCCGAGCTCTTTTCAAGATGCATCTTTCTTTCTGGGTTTTAAATTTTTTTTTAGCAGTTTGCCGGTGATATTTGCCCTCCTGGGCTGCCTGAACCATGGCATGGTAACAGTATGAGAACAGCTTCTATGGTAAGCTTGAGAGCATGCGAATCACTAGCTCGCATAGACCAATAAACATACCAATGGGCGAATATACTCGGCGTTTTCTTTGCGAGATTCACATACCTTCTCTCCCATACGCAATTCCATCAATCTCACCTTGACACCCCGCGCACTGGAAGTCGATACCTATCAGACGACATGTTCTCATTGAATCATGATGAATCATTTCGGATCATAGATGTTAGTGATTATACCAAGCACAGGGTAACAGATGCTCGATCCAGCCAGGCCGGCGTGCCACAAACGGTCTGAAAAGCTCCTCCATTGTGATGGTTCCTTTTTCCATGCATACCACGCTGGTATCATCCACACTGCTCCCCCTCGGCGAGACGGATTGGGAATAGGCTCAACCCCATTATGCATAGAGATATACACAGCTGCGATGCTCGCCGCGTGACCGCGTGGCCGAGATAACCGAGAGGGGAAGAGGAAGTTCGGGGCCGTGGTTCATCCTGTAGGATAACCTTTTGTTTTTGTTGGCTGCATGCTATGGTATCTATCGGCCACATTACGGGATTGGGCTCGCCGGGCTTCTGTTGGGTGTGTGCGGACGTATCTGTGCTCGCGCCATCACAGGCTCGAAAGCTCCTGGACCAGGGGAAGAATGAAAATCGGAGCTTGAGGGGTGTGAGAATCCCGAGAAAGAAAAGATGTAGTCAGCATGCCTTGAGGCGGTTAAGGAGATGCCAGTTGTGGGCTATTTTGCTGGAGAACGCATTAATGGTTTGGCGAGACAGGCCCAATTGTTTCGTCTGGGGAACTCCTGGCTGGGATGCACTCTCTGGCTTCTACGATCTGCTGTCTTCTTGCTTGCATACATGAGCCACTATAGATAGTCGACCAGATAACGTGTTCCTTATATCTGCAAGTCGCTGCTGGGGTCCTGTGATGCAAGGCACGGGAGGAGTATGTAATGCTGTGCTGATCACAGTGCATTGACAGTCGGTCATAATGAGAAGTGCAATCGTTGTATAATTTCGAGCCTCGTTTTCTCGTTTTTCTCGTTTTATTTCTTTTTATCTTTTGTCTTTATGGTGACAGGTACAACGCAAGACGCGATCCATACCTAGCTCGGCGAAATTAAGATATATCGGCAAAGGAGCATATAATATTGCAAACTCCGAACAATCATGGAGGAGTGCACATCAGGTGGCTACTGGTCGGCTCCCTGTTCATCGCAGGTACTTTGGCACCGTGAGCAGCAGCAAACGAAGGTGTGATGACATGTTATACCAGAGGGCGACTTGCACCCCATGTCGAGAAATGCAAGGAGCGAGTTCGGGTCCCGTTTAAGAAGAAACAAATGCTGCATGTTTGATAAAACGAACAACTGGAACTGCGTGCCGACTCGTATCCATAAAGTTGCTTCAGAAGGCACATGACTTTACGCTAAAGCCTGGTGAGTCTCCGATTATCTATTTACTAGTAGAGATGCTCCGCTGATGCAGTGACCATAGTGGACGAGTGGATGCTGAATAGGAATGGGAAGCTCAAGACTTTGGGAGGTTACCGGGATCCCCTACGTACGATGACATGAATCTGGCCACCCAACAGCGATAATCGCCTTACTAGGTTTGAGAGGGTCGTCGAGGGGGGAGTCACAGCGATTTGTGGCTCCACGATTGTATTTATGGAGGTTTGAAGGCAGACGGTCTAATATTTCTGAATCATCCAAATATTCACAGGAGCGAAGTTCAGTCTATGATGGGGTATATACGACAATAGCCTTACACAGGAGGTGAGAAACCAAGTCTCGTCATCAGTCTCGACGACACAAATACAAACTCGCTAGCGCCGAGTTCAAGGGCAAGTCCCGCAATCCAAAACGCCTAGATATGCTACAAACATCGTACTCGTCACAATTATGTTTCCCACCATTTTTTCTTGGATAGCTGTGCCGTCTTCTGCTGGTTCATGCGACGAAGCTTCTCACGGCTGCGGGGGTCAAGCAACCCAGTGTGACCTTCATCCTGGAACCAATGGTAACCGTGTTCCAGGTTGCGTCGCTCGTCGCTCTGCATCTTGACTCGCTGGACACTCCGCAGTCTTCTCAGACCGTAGATGCAAACCCAGATAGACAGCATACAAGAGACGGCAGTCACAGTGCCGAAGCCCCAGTTGGTCTCCTCAATGAAGTTCTCGAGGTTGGCGCCATACAGACCGGCAATAAAGGTGCCCATTGCGAGACCAAGGGTGCCAACGCTTAGCTTAATTTCGTAAATCATAAGGGCATTTCGATTTGCGTCCAGAATGGCTCGCATACTAGAAAAGGGTTAGAAAATTCAGTCCAGGACATGTCTTGGCTTAAATGAAATACTCACATCTCCTCGGTGTTTCGAATACTGGACACCAAGTTTCCAGCTTCCTCGACTACTTCGTCACAGAACTTGTGGTAAGACTCTAAGAGCATCTCCACTTCAGTGTGATCATCAGAAGCTCGATGTACATCGTGCGTCTTTTCGGTGAGATACATGGATGACAAGTCATCATCTTCTTCGAGGAGATCATCGATGGCAGCTCTGACGAGTCTTGCCTTCTGCTCGAATGTGCTCACCCTCTTAGACAGTACCAAGAGAATACGCAACTTGTGCCGATCAATGTCTTCTTCTAGCTCACTGAGAATGCGAATAACCGGATTGCGGACGGTCTCAAAGTCGGCCTCTAACTCCTGAGTGACAGACTGGAGGACGACTTCCAGAGCACGGAACTCGTAAGGTACCTCGACACCATTAGACGTGGTTGCTTTCTGCTTCAACTTGTGTTGAAGCTCGTACATGAAGGAGGATTGTGCATGTGAACTTCTGGAACCGTAAACATCGAACAGGAGTACTCTGTTGTGGTCGATAAGAACCCTGAGATGGAGAAGATTCAGGAGGATCGCTCGCTCTCGAATAAGGATATGCGGAAGGTTGGACGAATCGATTTTCCTGAGATCACGAGGTTGGAGTCCAAACTATTAGGGTGTGTTAGCCACTGCTGTCTAGAAGAACTGACAATGGAGATGGGTATGTGGGATCAAATGTCAGAGATGCACAAAGTGCGGTGGTATCTGTCGCCATCTGGAGGGTCTTAAGCTCCTCGGAAACACGGACCAATTGTTCTCATCATGAAAAACTGTGTTGAAATGAAGTGGGATATCTGGGAATCGTGCACAGAGAGGCATGGTTCCTTACCCTAGCAATAAGCTCAGTCTTCTTGAACTCGCCATCTACCAAGATCGCATTCCCATTCTCATCAACTTCAGTGCATCGAAGTCGTGGTTCCAGGGCGGCTTGCTCTGCCCGCTGTCGCCGCGTATTGAACATGGAGTTGTTGTCGCCATCCTCGTCGTGCTCCGGCAAATCGTCTGCTTTCAGCTGACTCGGTATTTTCCTTACACGTGGTCCCCATAATCTTTCCTTGAGGGTTGGCGCACAGGAATCATCGGAAGAACTGTGCCTTACTCCCAACGCCGATGGTAGCAAAGTCAAGCGTTTTGACCTCGTGGTTTTTGCATTTGTCGAGGCTTTGGGGATGCGACTCGAGAAGAGCTGCTGGAGATCAAAGATGCCAGACTGAAGTTGTGTTTCGCTCTGACAAGACGTCTGACAGTCAGCGCTGAGCTGCCGCTTCGCAGAACAAGTAACTCGGCGCGATACAGGTCCTAAGCCCATGACAGGCGCTGCTGCATGATTGTGATGATGGTTGGGGCTGAAGAAGCTCACGTTCTCGGATTGTGATCGCAAGAATCGCAGGAGCCCAACAGAGGGTACCGGCAGACGAGCCGATGCCATATTGAAAGGATGACTCTCAAGTCTTTTGTTGTGCTGGGATTATCTTGGCTTCACATCGGCGACCATTTGGTGTTGCACATGTCGTCACATCTTGATTCTCCAAAGGGGAAAAAAAAGTAGGAATTTCCCAGGTCAATTGCACTTTCCCTTGCAACTAGTCTAAGGATAACTCGCGCTAATTTCTGAGCCTCTGCTCTGCAACCGCGACGGGGAGACGCTAGGCCAGTTACGTATCTAGCATCTCGTATGTGGTCTAGTTCAGTCCTGTGGGCATCATACATACATGCAGTGTCCTCTCCCGTTCCTGCTCCATTGGCTGTTCAAGGCCCGGCGTGTGCCTTCTTTATGAACCTTATGAGGCTATGAAATACCATTGAGTAGCACAGTAACTCACAAGACATATTTTGCCAGTGACTTCTCGCCAGAATAGATAATGTTGCGTTGGCAACCACGCGACGCAACCATCTAGCTTGGTTAGCTCGTTGAATCGCGTCGTTGCCCACCATGCTGCTTAGTGGATTCAGTCGACTCACCATGGGAGACTGCCCATTCAAGGCAATTTTGCCACGCAGTGGACTTTGAAGATACTGAACGACCGATATTGGGCTCCTCCCAAGGCAAGCCAAGCCCCATGCTCGAGAGTCCCTGATGGCTGAACAGAGTCATGATACAACCCCATCACGATGGAGTTGACGCCCATCAGAATTCCTGGCAAGCGCCGGCGCAAGGGAGAGCCTCCTGTCGTCTTCCATGTCCCTCCGCGCAAGGACAAACATACGGCCAAAAGGAGGAAGAAACCAAAGGTCCCAAAACTGAAAGCTTCTTACCTCGAGAAAAAGCTTCCCCTTGAAATAATGGAACGCATTCTATGGATGAGTGAAAACGTCAACTTTGCCAAATCCGGAGCACGTGTGGGCTATCTCCTTTCTGGAGAATCCACGAGGAAAGAAACCTTCGTCCAAGCCTTCGGTCCGACCTGGGATGTCTGGTTCGGCTGCGTCAAGAATGGCGATAGCACGGTTGTGAGTTACCATGACTGGCAAAACGATTCGGCTCGCTCGGGAGGCAGTCCTGATTTCCAGGTAAGCACTGCCTACCTTACGCCCTTTGATCAGGTCTCATGGTCTGACAAGTCACAGTCGGCACTGTTGCAATACTCGTGGGTGGACATCAACTTCATCCTAGACTGTTTGGATTCCTGGGTATACAGGTTTGCTAGAAACAGATTTTTTCAGCACCAAAAGCTCTGGGGTGATCCGGATTCGCAACACCAATTGGACGATGACTCGGGCGACTATGGCAATTTCAAATCGGCGAGGCAGTATTTTCTTCATGACTATGATGCTTTCTGCTCGAACTTGGATGATGACCTCCCACCACCCGATTTGCAACCCAGCTGGATGGAGGTTCACCACGAGACACAAATCCCAGACAGCCTCCTGACAGGTCCCTGGGACGAAGACGCGATGCAAAAATTATTTTGGCTTGTTCGAGCTGGTGCCCGCTTGTCAGCTGACCAGACATGGGAGACTACCCTCGAAGGTTTCCACAACGCCATGGCAAATGACGCGGAACTCAAGGTCGGAAATGTCAACTTACCTGTCCTACGACTTCTGTTTATCTTGGCGGGTAACCACTGGCCGGATTACATCGCAAATTGTGAGCTTGAGAAGCTACAGGCCATAGAACAGATGTTGCGAGACGCTGGTCGCAGAGATGCGTATCGCAAATACGCTCTTGTAGCATCCATGTTGCTACAGAGATATTCGACCTCAAGTTCAGGCACCTAAGCCTGTATCAGACGTTCTGTATCAGCATCCAACTCCTATCCCGACTCTGAATCTATGTCTGATTCCTACGGCACCTTTTTGCGGCGATACCATTGAATATGTTGGTATTTCCTGTGAGATGCTAGCCATATGTTATGACTGGAATTTAGCACAAGAGTGTTCGGTATTCTCGACGCTGACAACCAGTCCCATAGGATCTGCAGTCGTCCTACTAAGAGCGCGGCGGTTCATTCTTGAAATATCAGATGTTCAACCTTATCTGCCTTTTAGGACCGGGTCGTCTCGCGTTCTGTGTAGTCCTGTGGTAATACCGAGTGAATTCGCAAAATTTTCTGTGGGTTGAAGCGAATACGTCAAGGAACATTCAACCTCTATTTTCCGACTCTCATCGATCAAGTTGCTTATATCGCCGAGATAGCTCTGATAGAAGATATACGCATGGCTCGCTCAGTGAGTGGGCACCACACCAATGGTACCTTACATACCTCTGAGGTAGAAACACTTTGCTGAGCAAATTTCACCTTTGACTACAACATTAATTGTCACGTCGTCATGGCCAAATTCAGAACGTGATCGTCTCGGCTTCAGATTCTATTGATCGAGCCATGGATCACACATGCATCTACGCATGGTTGTTGAACATCTTGTATAAATGGCTATCGCTGATTCCCCGTCACCTTTGCGCTTTCCGAAAATGTTCGGAGGCTCATGCCGCTCAGCTCCAGTTTGGGAGAAGCTTCGCAACACTCTGGTACCTCTGCCAGAATTCTACCCTGGAACCACCAAGTCTGAGAGGGATCAAAGTGAAGTGCAAAAGAATCCGGTGCTTCACCACTGTCAAGCCCGAGGACGGAAATTAAACATCTTCCAGTATATACGACTTGTGTTATTGATTATAAATAGTGTATTCAGCGAGGACCTGTCATCTGTAAACGGCCTAGAGACTTTCGAGGCACCAGCAGATCTTTGTGTGAGATAGTCAAGCCAGTTTAGACCCCTAAAGAGGGGTCCAAACATAATTTAGTAGTCACTCGACCTTCTACAGTCCCCGCTTGCGCTTGAAGCGTCTTTCCCAGTTTCTATTGTATTGCGAGGCCTGCAGACAGCCTGACTTTACAGCTTTATAGAACGGTAAGAAGCTTTTATTTTATTTTATGGATAAATAGACCATTTTTAACTTCTATTTCTTGTCTTCCGTTCAATGCGAACTGGCTTTGTCGAGACTGCCGAAACAATCGTGTCGGTACTAAACAGTAATTATATGAATAGCTGGACGAGTAGAGTTTCCCCCTTACCAGATCAACACAACCAAGTTATTATCATCGACCTTATCATGTGTGCTGCGGTGTTCTAGTTCTCGTTGATGGCAAATTTCTCTTTCAACTCTGCACTCAACACCAGAGTTTCCAAAAAGTTACGTATCCATGAAGCGCAGCGTCGTGGCCCTTTGAACTAATACTGTAAGAGGGGATGAGTTGTAAAGCAAACGAAGAAAACTATCCACAGATTCTTCTCGCGAGTTACCCAATTTTAGTTGGTCGAATCTTCTTGTTCAGCTTTAGTCACTACAAGTAACATATTTGCCAAATTATTGTTTATCGAGAGGGGGTCGTGAAACTCAGTTCTATCCTAATCATTCAGGACATCCAGATGGTCGTGGAACGGATATCCTGCGGCCTGCAGAGCCACTAGACACTGACATTGCAATATCAGATATTAAATGACCAAAACTGTTCGAGATTTATTCATACACCGTAAACTAGGTGACGCTGCAGATATGATCCGTCGCACCAAACAAGCTCAACAGAAAACTCCTCCTCCTACCCCCGTCCTCCCCCCAATTTTTATCCATTATAAAGACCTTAAGAGCAGGGTGTTTTTGTTACTGCAATATAAATTACGCTGTCGCTATTTTGGCTGTTGTGTTTCCGTTGCCATTGTGCCTTTGAATGCTTTTGTAACCGTCATTTGCCGTTCCCTGACGCCTCTTACATTTGCAGTCGTACATAAGGGATCTCTACGGGATGCGGACCATGAATTTATTCTACACGGATGACAACTTTCCATCCGAGTGCGCCGGCTTCGCGAATAGCGCATGCCAGACAACCCCTTTTACGACGACTAATAATCGCGTTCCAGCCTCTCTCAGCGCACAAAGCTCGCACAAGGATCTCCAAATCTGAGCCGAACTGTCTCCTGCGAGTAGGTAACTTCATTTTCGAGTCAGGACTGGGAGGGTCAATCCTAGAAATCTTGCTGCCTGCTGAAGCTGCAGTAGCCGGCCGATCCACCACATCTCTTGGCGGCATGGGCAGTTGTAGTTGCGTAGCAGTGGGCGATAGTCCAAACGATGACGAAATAGAACTCATACGTGATAGCATAGCCATTTCTGGAGAGCTCGGTGGTGCAAAACCTGTAATGCAATCGATGACAAGGATACGGGGTCCTTTCGAGGTGAAAGAGGTTGAGTTAGTCGTAGCTATGGGTTGGTCGATATTGAGAAGCTCCTCGAGGGTAATCTCAGGTCTCTTGAGTAAGTCGAGCAAATGGACAGGCTTGTAAGTATAGTATTTATGTAATGGATGTCCTGAACTGGTAAGTACACATCATATTCAATCTTCAAGCAGAGGGGCAATACCTGTAATGTGAGCTGGCGCAGTAGCCTTCGCATTCCAGTCCTGGCTTCCAAGATCGATGTGCTGTATTGTGGGACTGGTAGGTGACTTGAAATACTTGACATAACTTGAAGCAGCGCACGGATGGGCTGTAACAAAGTACACATCCCTGGCCAGTGACAGATTCAAAGTCTGTTCCCCTTGTACTCCATCATACGTCATTGTAAAGGCTATGGATGCTTGATGGGTTTGAAGATTGGACGCCTGGGTGAAGTCTGAGAACGGTGTTTCGGGTTCCTCAAAAACAGGGGTCGACTGAAGACTATCAACGGCCGAGTATAGGTCTAAAGATTTTAGATCAATCCTGATATTTGAAGGCGGCGGCTCAGGATGGTTGTTTTCATGAGGGATGATAAAATCAGCAGGAAGGATGTTGGAAGAGTCGGCGTCGCCCAAAACGTCTGACTCGCGTTCGATGGCAAGTTTCCCCCATAGCCGGGCCTTCTTTCCAATCTTGGCAATGTCATCTTGTGGCCGTCAGCTCAAGGTAATCTATCAAGTCACTGGTCAACTTACCAGCGATGTCTTTAACGTCGACGTTTAGCCACCCGTCTCCAAACCCTTCCGGGGAGACATCTGTGGAGATCCAACCCATACATTCAGCGGAGCCTCGGCCTGCAGCCAGAACGCGTCCTACCACGCATGCCGTACTCCAGAAACTTTTCCCGTTATAAACGAAGCCGCCACACAGGTTTGCCATGGGCCCCAATCTTTCCATTGCTTCCTGATCATTCTCCAGTAATGTTGACATTAGAAAATGGGACAGTGCTTCTCCTGGCAGTACCAACCCGGAGACAAATGATTTCGAAAGCCAACCTGAAAAGTGTAATGCTGCGCCAATCCTGGGCCTCCTTGATGGATTCCTCTGCAGTCCGGCAGGTTTCTTATCGCCTCCAAAATAAGATGAGCGCGCTGTGTCGCTCGTGGGCAGAGGTGAGCTAATAGGGGTGGCTTGTGCGATGATTGGGGCATTCATTGAGACGCGCGTTATGTACTCCTCAACTTCCGGCCATCGTAACTTTCGTGCGAATTGCGTCAACCCAAATATCTGTCTCTCAACGAAACGACCTTGGATCGCATATTGATACTCTGTATGGCCATGATGCAGGTGCTGTGTGTGGTCAATGTGATGTGATCCGTGCATATGCTCGTGTTTCAGAGACATTCTACTTGTGAGCGAGGTGAGCCATCCTTTCGGAGTAGACATCCCCGATGACGGAGCTTCCGTCTTACTGACAGTGATATTGTCTAACCACGTCCGAGCCAGAAGTAATGACCATTTGACGGACAGGCTTGCTTCCTTTTCGAACCTGTGCACTTCCGATGCTTTCAGGTTCGCACCCCCAAACTCATCTCCTTCAGTTATTGCATCAAGCCGCAATAATAGTTCGCATGCAAGTAGAATTTGCAAGAGCAACCAGTATCGCTCTTCGCTTCTGTCCTGATCGTCAAGGCCCTCATTGATGGAAGAGCCATCGTCAAGCTCGTCATCCAGCGGAAAGCCCCATAGAACCTGACCTAGCCGAATCCTCCATTCCACGCGCGAGAAATCGATCCAGGCATTCGATGTTGCAAGAACTTTGACCAATGCATGAATCTGTACTGACAGGCTACGGGGATCGTTGTAGTCGATCACTTTGGTGGGTGTGTACAAGACTTTGGTGAATAAGTCATTGTAGAGGTCGTGAGCATTCAGCTGTTTCTCGGAATCTGTGCCTTGGTATCTTTCCTCGCACCGTAGTAGTTGTTCCATGACAGTGGCATCGTCCATGTGCCGTAGACCGTCCTTTGATGTGACCAGCCTCTGCCGTTGCTCCACAACCACAGTCGACTTAGAGCCCAGGCTATCGAAACCGTACTGCTCCTCTTGAAGAGCATCTGCAACGGATAATTCCAAAGCAGCCTGATAACCCATGGTGCCTTTCTCCAACCCTTGCATGCTTAGCATGTTTGGTCTCTCCTGGGTCTTGACCTTGAAGTGAGGTCTTCTCTTGCCCGAAGGAGTAGTGGCTGACAAGGGGTCCCGCTGGATGAGCCGCGGGACAGCCGTAACGCAGCCCCATGCCTCATCTTCAATCTGAGTGTGGTCTGTCAGATCGCGGATGCGGAGGTCCTCATCCCACGGGAAAGCGACAGAGGGGTGCGGGGCACCGGTACCATATCCTTGAGACCTAGCGAAATACTGCGGCGCCCCGGAGAACAACTTCTCAACATCGGCACTGCTAAGAGTCACCATGATGCGTTCAAGCTTCAACACGGGGTTTTTGGGTTGTCCATCGGATTTGTCTACCGTACCTGGAAGAGGCGGAGATGGCAGAGGTTTGTTAGAATCGACAGTGGGCCGCGTGGATGCTGTTGTTCCTGAAATGGGCCGAGAGCTGGTCGATTGCTAAGGAAAACCCGTGTTAGTGACCCCTCGAATCTCAAAAGACGAAGCTATCTATAGCACAACTTCAAAAGATGACAAAAAGTCGCGTGACACATCAGAACAGACACCCCTAGAATTCAAAACAACAATTGAGTTTTCTGCAACAAATCGTTCGAGATCATCAGACGGCACGTCCCCTCACTTGAGATTGGAGCTACCAGCTGCACTCGGTGAGCCCGCAGATGGCGGTCAGCTGAACCATGGGCGTTTAGCATTTGGAGTTGCACATAACTTACTGTCTTGTTCTTGTTAGTTGTTGCACTCGTTCCTTCCGTAGATGCGGTGCCATTTGCATCAGGTGAAGGAGCGCTTGTTTTGGGCGCCTGTTTGGTCCGTCGAATGAGATCTCTTAATATTCCTCGCGCTGATTGTCGGCCATGGACATCTTCCTCGTCTTGTCCACCTTTAGGCATCGACGTCACGTCCCTGGGCCCCGAGATAAAGTCGCGGGCCGAACGCTTCCATCCTGAAAACGACGGCATATTTCCGCATCTTTCAACCTTTTCATGCAATCACTTGAGATGAGAAAGACCGTCGCATCGGCACCTGCATCTATGTAGAGCCGATGAGGCAACTTAGCCTAGTTGGATGATGGAGCTGCTAGAAGATGATGTGGAGAGGACCGAGGACGTAGCGACACCTCAAAACCAACACAATGCAATTCTTTACTCCTATAAAACTCCAGACAGATGAAACGAGTCGGGAGTGTATCGCACACTATGAGGAAGTAAAACACCAACAAGATTCAAGGTTCGGGACAAGCCCCCACGAATTCATCATGCCTTAAAGCGCGCTTCATGTCCGTCTTGTTGAGGTGCACACCAAGCCCGCAGTACATTAGAGCAGTCCAATCTCGTGAAAGCAGGTTTATGGACCAAGCCTGTCCACCGAACGTCCTGGTGTTCGCCTTAGAGCCGCCCGTTCGGGATCCATGCATAGGCAATGACTGGTTGTGCTTCTTTAGTTTGCGCAAGAAGCACGCACAACAAGGTCTGGCTTATCGGTACTGTATGTATTACGCGAGCTGACTTGCAAGGTAGACCTGCTGTTATCGCGACGACCCTTGGCCTATTCGTCATAGGTGGAGGATATAATACAACACCTGAACCATTCACAACAGCGCATCGCATTGTGGCTTGACGGCAACTTCGTTTCACCTCGCCCGCTCTTGTATTTCTACACATTACACAGAAATTATTCAGCTCAGCTCTTCGGCATATTACCAACCAAATAACGTCAACTTCAGAAGATAACCCATAGAGAGCCCTGGGTTCTACAGCCAACCTTGGCGGACCTCAAGCAGATAGGGGCCAGTCTGGCGCACTAAACACTGAACCGCCGCTTCCAACTCAGCAGCAGCAGTTTAATTTAAAACACCGTCCTGGAACTTTTTAATTTCAAATAAAACTTAGCTGAAGGAACACGGGATTCACTCATCGAAACAAAAGACGCCACGTTGATCCCTTCAGCCAATTTATTAGCGGCCGTTTCAAAAGCATCGCTCAACGTGCATGGACTATGTATGTAGTGGTCTGTTGGTCAACCCGCGTTTCCACCCGGGGGGGGCATCGAGACACCCAAACAACCGGTTTTTCCAAGGCATCGCATATCGAAGATGGGAATACTTGCCTTGGTAGTATCCAACCAATGGTCTCGACTCTGCTTGGCACGTTTGTATTGCAAGATCGGTTGTACCCGTTTGTTGTCATGTCATTCTTTATCTCTCGATAAGCAGCACATGCCATTTGCACAGCTCCCGAAATGTGGTCCTCTTTAGTCGGTGTCAAGTCACTGCGCTAAACCACAACGCATCTCACTAACTTTAGGTTAGTAAGTAACCAAGATAGTGAATGCTGTTTTGTTGAGACTATAGCACGAATATCTTTCTTTCTGATAACTACTACTATTGAAGCTGGCGCAGCAGATTTCGGTCACGTTATCGGTACCTTTCTTGTTATGTCTTGCTTTCCGCTATATTCTGAAACCGAGTACAGCGGTTTTGCGCCCCTGACAGCTGTACGCATGCATGCATTACTTTCTTATCGGCTAACGTCGCTATAGAGCTCAGTGCTTCTTTCGAGGCTTGTTCCCTTGCCAATGAAACTGTGCAGCAGCCTAGATTTCGAGCTTGAGTGAATTCAGTGGTGGCCAAGGTCGCCATCTATTGTCTTACAGTGACGTCCTTCTCTGTGAAATCGAGATGTACCCCGTCTCGGAGCCATACAGGATACAGCCGGATGTTATAAGTGAGGGGATATTGCCTGAACGAAGCTGCGGATCCCTTTGACGTCAAATCAAAGCTTGAGGAATCTCCAACGACATGCTCTTTTTCGAAACTTTTCTTTACCTCAGGGTATCATTTGACATAGCAAAACTCCTAACGCCACAATTACCTTGCAAATAGTCCACATCCCTAAGTGACCAGCGTCAAGCATGGATCTGGGTTGGGAAAAAGCTCGAGACCATACAACGACGCTGCTTCTCCAGTTCGGCAAGTGATTACAGCTGGAATGAATGCCTCTTTCAGTTTCCGCAAGCTAACACGTGTGCTCATGCCGGTGGGGTATCATGCACAACAACTAAGATGTACTTTGGCTCGGGCACGATGACAAGCTCGTGCTTCTTTGTCCGTAACCGCAACAACTTAAGCTCATCCTGTAGAACACCATGAGACGTTAGCATTGCCCCGTTCAATCGAGGGTTTTGACTACTGCCCATACCTCTGTGTCAATCTCCTGGACCAGGCTACCAGCCGTGCTCAAGAAACCCCACACCATGCTTCCCAGCTCCTGAGCTGCCTTTGCCTCGCCATCGTTGTCCGTGGTGGCCACAACATCGCTCGAGAATAGATCGCCCCCCGTTGTAGGTAGGGAGTTGTCGTTGTTTGCAGACTTGGGCGGCCGTATTGCGGAGATCTGTCCGTTGGTCTTCAGGATCGCGCCGCTTGAGCGGTCCAACATCAGCCAGCCCTTGACGCCAGGCTTCTTGGACAGGCGGTGCAACGCTTCTTCCACGGAATCGGTGCCATTGGACGGCTACAAGAGTCAGTTAGGAGTATCCTGGCATGCACGGGGACGCCAAACTTTACCATAGCCCTATCCGCCATGTTGTAAGTTAAGCTTCTGGTGGTTTAGGCGCGATGGATATAGAGGGGTGGGCACGGTTTCGAGACGATATCTGCACAAAGATGACCTGTAGTTTGCTGGAAGGCCTTCGCGGGGCACTTTGTTGACTTTCAGGGGATCTTCAGCCACAGACCCCGGGGATCGGCGGCGCATCGCGGGCGCTTTGCCAATGGGGTCCCGCGCTGACTGAGCGCTAAGATAGCTCCCCGAAGCTTATCGCTGATAAGAATTTTTGAGATAACGGCGCAAGGCGGGAGGCTCCTGGCATTTGATTTGATTTGATTTATAGACTTGGATTTGGCCTGCAGCCTGGGACTCGCACATCTTTAGAGATATGACCGAGTCAAGATGGGATCCAGCACACGGAAAAAGAATGAGAAGAAGAAGGACTTCAAAAAGCCCAAGCTGAAAGTAGGAAAGGCGAAGCCAAAGCCTGCCAACTTCACCGATACTAGTTTCAAGTCAAAGGGTGAGTCTTTGCCACAATTCAACTTGAACTGGTTCTCATGAACCGCTTTGGTGGGAGGATGAATGCTGATCCAATTCAGCCATCGTTCTTCACGAGCAGCTCAGGGAAGATGCGCCAGATGTGCTCGAGCGCTTCAAGCACCACCTATCGCTCTTGACCTCAAGAACAGACAGCCAGCGCCGCGATGCTCTGGCTTACCTGACAGGCCAAATGTCGACAACTCCACCGTATAACCCCGTCGGCACCCCTACGCTTATGATGAAGCTACTCCCGCTCATGATAGATGCCACCGGCTCCGTTCGCAACCAGCTCCTCAAGCTCCTGAGGACCATTCCCGCCCCCGAAGTGCGATCCGAAGTCGAGAAGATAATGCGGTACATTCGAGGTGCCATGACGCATATATCGCAAGAAATCAAGGACGACGGGCTAAACTATATGGATTGGCTCCTCGACGTGGCAGGGGACCAGGTCGTCGAAAGCGCTGGCTGTTGGGTCAAACCTCTAAAGGATTTCGAGTCGGTTTTGGCCTGGACTGCCTACGCCAAAGCGACCACGACGACACCTGGAAAGGGTGGCTGGACGTCAGCTCCTCGGACAACGTTTGGAGCAAAGAAATTTGGCGCTTCCTATCCGAGACAAATCAGTGTCGTGGCCAAGTTTCTAGAGTGCGGATTCAAGAGACCGGAGCCGATTCCCTGGGATGCTGGGCAATGGTTCAAGAGCTTCACACATTTGCCCACGACTCCTGATCCCTACGGATATATCGGGCTATTCTCAGTGCCTCGCGACGAGGACGGCAGGATGTATAGGGATCGTGAGGATCGACAGGCAATATTTCACAAGCAGTTTTACGACACGTTCAGTAAGGGAGTCGAAGAAGCCAAGAAGGAAGGCGGCTTGGCTGGGCGAGCCGCCGCTCAGCTGGATAAGGTGCTCAAAGATGGCATGAGCGACTACGAGGACACGAAACGATGCAATGAAGACGATGGGCTTTGGAGTGGCTATATCATGTGATCTATAACATAACTAGACGAGGTCAGTTTCCTATCAAGATACCCAATTGCGCATATCAGTGCTATCGGTTCTCGGCTTCCTGGTGATAGATATCACAGTTGCGGCTAACCACTCTTATTGCTCTCCCCTTTGTCTGCTTTTTCTTTGACCGTTATCAGATACTTTCATTTCCAACCAACTGTGGTTGACAACTGGACTGGGATCATCCCATTATGTTTTGAATCTAGTGAGTCTTGAGCTAGTACAGGCTCTAAAAATCGATGACAGGCCAGCAGAGAGCTGTCGGGCTATACAGCATCAAACCGAGAGCATTGAGTACCTTGACCAAGTCTTGTATACAAAAGCTTCCGGGTGGTCTACACATCGCTAGACCCAGCATCTAATAACGTGATTGTGATGGTTCGTGCTGTATCTGATCAGGCACTTCGGTGTATAGTTACGTACATACCGTATTCTAGAGGATCTCAAGACTGTTTCGCTTTGTACGATCCAAAATCTGATAATGACCAAGTGCCAATTCCTCTGAATGTTTGTGCCCACTACTTGCTGGGACTGGGACTTTGCTGCTCTCATCTCTTTACTGGCTGTGATGTCCCCAGTTCCCACCTACTAACCGCCTGCTGGTCCCCCTTTTCGCCTGGCTGCGGCTGCTGCCACAGCCACAACCACAACGGAAGCATCGTCGAGTGGGCTAAGCAAAATAATGCTCTAGGTCTTAAGGCAATGGAAGCATCTCAAAGCGTCCAGTTGCCCAACCGATATCCAAAACAGTGCCTCAGGCTGATTCAAGCTTTTGGAGCTTGAAGTTGCCTACAAAAAAGGCTCTTCGAACCCTCTTTCACCTTCCCCCACAGCAGACATCACAGCGGTTCCTAGATCGAGGTTCTTCACCAGCAAGGTACTTGATATCTTTCTTCTGTTGCAAAGGTTGATCACTCTGGTATCCATCGTCATCTCAGGTAAGCATCACCGATTTCCTAGGTCTTCCGTATTTCCTAAATCCACCCATCATCATCTATCCAACACCACTCCCATCGCCCTCTATCCTCACGTCAAGCTTCAATCGTGGCTTTCACACGCGGCTTCCCATATATCAGAGACCCAAATGCCAACTGTTCTCATCATATCCATTTGAATGAACATTTCCTTCTTCCCACACCCGTCCTGCGTCAGTTCGTTTGGACATCTGCAGTTTCATGCAAGACAACGGCTTTCACTCGAGCCTTTGGTCGCACGTTGCCTAAACAGAGACACTTCGCTTGATCCAATATCTTCCTGTTTCGTCGCGCGTGTCTTTTGCGTCTTTTTTTTTTTTTTTGACCTCACAACAAGCTTTGTTGTTCTGGATTTGTTCTGTCTGACCTTCGTGTCGCATTTCGGTGCATGTTGATTATCATAACAATCCACTGCCTCGTATCTTTTCTTATCACCCCTCGGCGAAATAAATGTCAACCCATCGCTGATCCTCAACTGACTTCTTTCCAGCTCACGGATCAAGCCTCTGTCTGCCATCGATCTCCACTGCGACACCATGTCTGGCTGGGGCACCGAGGAGGCGGCTCCAACTGCCGATGCCAGCGGTTGGGGCAACGACACCACAACCGATGGCGGTACCTGGGGTGGCGGCGCTGATGCCGGGGCCAACGACGGTGACGAGGCTGTTGCGAAGCCGGCCCCTCCTCCTTTCCCAATAGAGAAGCGTGAAGCTCCTATTGGCGAATGGGAGGAGAAGCAAGCCTATGACTACGTCGAGCTTGCCACTGGTACCACTGATTGGGCTAGCAACGCCCAGGTCTACCACTGGGATGGTGAGATTGGTGACGTCGGTCCCGAGTCCGCCGAGGTTGAGAAGATCCTTTTTGGCAACGAAGAGGAACGTGGCCACGACGAAATCATCGACTTTAAGAAGTATATTCCTCTGCTTTTGCTCTGACAACACACACTAATACACCAATAGGATCCAAGAGATCAAGGTCTTGCAAGAGAGTGAGACACATATCAATCATGTTCAGTCGTTCCAATCTGCCGGCCTACACCCAGTCATGGTGCGAAACATTGAGCTTGCCGGTTACGGTGCTCCGACTCCTGTCCAGCAATACTGCATTCCTGCAATCAACATGGGACACGATTTGATTGCCATTGCTCAGACTGGTACGCACTACTGATTTCGTGTGCAACTTGTTCAAGTTTCGGTGCCAACCGTGAACTAATCATTGCTCTAGGTTCCGGCAAGACTGCCGCCTACTTGATCCCAATCATCAACAAGCTCATGGGCAAGGCCAAGAAGCTGGCTGCTCCTCGTCCAACTCCGCAAGAGATCCAAGCTGGGATTGCTCCTACTGTCACAGCAGAGCCTTTGGTTGTCATCATTTGCCCTGCCCGTGAGCTCGCAGTTCAGATCTTCGATCAAGCTCGCAAGTTCTGCTACCGTACAATGCTGCGTCCAGCTGTTGTCTACGGTGGCGGCCCAATGCGCGATCAAATCAACAATCTGCAGAAGGGCTGTGACATCCTCATCGCCTCTCCTGGTCGTCTTATTGATATGATGGAGCGTCCTCATGTCCTGAGCTTGCGACGAGTCCGATACATGGTCATTGATGAGGCTGACGAGATGCTTCACCAGGATTGGGAAGAGGACATGACAAAGATCCTCTCTGGTGGCGAGCAAGAGGAGGGCAACGTGAAGTACATGCTTTTCTCGGCCACTTTCCCTACTCAGATCCGAAAGCTTGCCAAAAACCATCTAGCCGCCAACCACATTCGCATCCGTGTTGGCCGTATCGGCAGCACTCATGGCAACATTGAGCAGCAGGTCTTTTGGGTGGACAACTTCATGAAGAAACGTGCCCTTCTGGATCTCCTGTACTCCTTGAGTCCTGGTCGCACTGTTATTTTCGTCAACAACAAGCGCCTCGCTGACGAACTTGACGACTACCTCTTTCATCAAGATATGCCATGTACATCTATGCATTCTGACCGAACTCAACGCGAGCGTGAGGACGCCATGCGTGCCTTCCGTAAGGGTACAACCCCCATCATGATCGCCACCGGTGTGACCGCTCGAGGCATTGATGTTCGCAACCTCAAGTATGTCATCAATTACGACCTTCCCAGCATGGAGCATGGTGGTATCACTGAGTACATCCACCGCATTGGTAAGCGTTTATTGCACTTTCATCTTGCCTTTGGGCGTCTTTTAACAAGTACAAGGTCGTACCGCTCGCGCTGGCTTGATGGGCAAGGCCTACTCTTTCTACACCGAGCGAGATGAGCCCATCGCCGAGATCCTGACCAAGACGCTTCTTGAGACTGGTCAGGAAGTTCCCGAATTCCTGCAGCAGTACATTCCCGAGGGTATTGAGGCCAAGACCGGCATTGAGGTGAAGGATCTTAAGTTTGAGGCTGGCTCCGACGAGGAGGATGAGTTCGATGGTGGTGATACTGGCGGCTGGGGTGCCGATTCTGGTGGCAACTCCGGTGGTGACGCTGGCGGCGGCTGGGGTGGTGGTGAGGACTCCCAGCCTGCTGCTGCTGGCGATTCTAATGGTGGTGACACCACTGCTGCTAATGCTGGCGACTCCTGGGGTGCTGGTGGCGACACTGGTGGTGCTGCTTGGTAGATGACGCCTATATCTTCATCTGGCGATTGACGCACTGCTGGCAAGTCGTTTTCTTACATGTCCTCCCACCGGTTTCTGATCCGTCAGGTATGGTCAGCTAAGGTTATACTGCCTGTTTCAACAGTCTGTATACGCTGCTACCATCTAGACGCTATGTACTGTAACCAATTGGGGTCAATTGATATGCGCACAATTCTGTTAGATAATCTTGGTAGATTACCTATAATTGATTGCGATCTTCTCCATAATCAACTCTTCCTACGAGAATGATGGTCTTTTCTACCATGCGCAATCATTCAGGACGTCGCGAGGCTCCATTCTAGCAAACGGGATTGTATAGAGCAATCCATTGAGCGGAGCTTTAAACACTGACCCTCGTCTCGGCCGGTGGCGAGAAGGAATTTGATGGATGCTCTGTTTGTTCCTGTCTCCCGCGACTGCTCTTGGTCCTTCTAGTTAGTAAGTTGATTTCGAGTCATCTTACTTAAGATTTTGGCCGCGATAACTGATCCGATTGCGAAGACAGGAATGAGAATAGCACATATAACCATGTAGGCGTCCATTGTTGCTCGGTTGCTACATTTCATGTCACCTTTCTTGTAGGATGGCTTCGCGTAATTCTCGACTTCCTCGACATGTTTCGGAGCAAGTATTCTAAGGCCAGTGCAGGAGTTTTACTGACTTCATACATGTTTTGAGTTTGCCCAAGCCTTGAAAAGGGGATTGCTGGATCTACTCGATCTGGATGGTCATCTTTGACTTATCGGGATAGCTCGTGGTCTTGCTGCCGTTGTTTGCGGAAACAGCTACAATTCGGAGAAGGTTCAGGTGAAAGTATGCCGAGAAGCCGCAAAGATCAGTTGCGCTTGGGTAATAGTCTATATGATTATCTGAAAAGACCCGGAAACCGGCCGGGAAGGCGGCACACTCGTTGGGCCCACAACCTGCTCTTACGCCTTATAGCCACGGCGCGATTCATTAGAGCCCCATTGGTATGCCGAAGTTCCGATTTTGCATCTAATCAGATTTTTATGATGATCTTATCAATCGCGTCAGCCATCACCGAGTTGCGGACGTTTCGCTGTGGTTCTTGTTCTAGTATAGAACTCTATAAAGTCTTGGCGGCCGAACTATCATGTCTAGGAATGTCGGCCCACTAACTTCTCGTGCACTTGTTCAACCTCAAGATGCCCTCAATGATGGATAAGCAAGAGCCTCACATAGTGGGGCACGATCCGTCGGAATCTGCGGCAGCATCTGAAAAATCTATCCAGCCAATTCATCCGCTGCATTTTCGTTCTGTAGCAACCCAGGTCATCCTTGTGTCGGTCGCAGCATTTTGCACTATAGGCTCCTTCAATGCCCTTCAAGGTCTTGGCGGCGCAGGACAAGAGCAGCCGTACGTAGCCAATGCCGCGACTTCTATCAACTTTGGTCTCATGGGCATCGTATGTTTGCTTGGTGGCCCGGTAGTCAATGTTCTGGGGGCGAACTGGGCCCTCGCGATCGGGACCATTGGTGACCCCATCTTTGCTGCTGCGCTCTACTGTAGCACCAAGTACGGCACGCAATGGTTTCTCATCTTCGCCGCCATCTTTCGGGGCGCGGCCAGTGGTCTCTTTTGGGCAGCGGAAGGATTCGTCATCATCGGGTATCCGCGCGAGCAATGGCGAGGACGAAGCATCACCACATGGGTCGCGTTCAAAGAGCTCGGGAGCGTCGTTGCGGCCTCGATAAACCTGGGTCTTAGTGCTCACGACAACCAGTCTGGTCACGTCGGGTATAATGTGTACTACGTGACCATGACGATCATGTGCCTCGGTCTGCCCGTCGCGCTCCTCGTGTCGCCGGCCACCAAGGTACGACACAGCGACGGAACGCTCGTCGCCGTGAAGACCAGTAAACGGTTTGGCGCGCTGTATGGATACAAGGACGAGTACCTGCGACTGCTCCAGCAATTCCGCAAGACTGATATCCTCTTGTCGATCCCGTATGCCTGTTTTGCCTACTTCTACTACTCATTTGCCCACACCTTCGTCACCAAGCACTTTTCCGTCCGCGGCAGAGCGCTGGTGTCGCTGCTCACGGCCGTTGCGTCCATCTTCGGTTCCGCGTTCGTCGCCCTGATCTCGGACCTCGGGACGCGGAGGAGGAACTACAGGCGGGACTCCCACATGGCGATGACCTGCCTAGTATTGGTGCTCTGTGCGATAACCTGGGGTTGGTTCGCCTACACGGCCCTGGAGCCGCCGGTCAAGAAGCTCGACTGGCTCGACCCGGGCTACGGCAAGGCGGCGGCGTCGGTAGCGCTCCTATTCCTGGCCATGCAGTCTGCCCAGACCTTCCTCTACTGGAACGCGGCCCAAATGTCCGAGACCATCGAGGAGACCGCGTACCTGGCCGGCGTGGTCCGCGGCATCGAGTCGCTGGGCCAGTGCGTGGCTTATGGTATCAATGCCTCCGATACGAAGCCGGTCGTTAGCGTTTCTATCAACTTGGCTTTGCTGGCCATTGGGGGAGCATGCCTGGTCGTGTTGACGCTTAGGAGGAGGTGACTGGACTTGGCGACCTGGAGGCGCATGGAAGTAGCTGCAAATAGTCCTCAATGTGGTATCCGGCAGGAATTGCACAAGCAGCCCTTGGATAGCTTGATTATACAGATCGTCGGAGATATTCGTACTTGTTTCTTAGCCATCTCGTTGCCATTTGCCGTTGTGGATTGTTTGCGGCAGCATCTCCGTCATCGTGCAACGCGCAAAATACGACCATCCGAGATGGGTGCAAACGTGTACGATATCTCGTACAGACGCCTACGTATCAAATTAATGGGCTCATGTCTACATCCCTATTTTGGGGCTTCTTGAAGTAGCCGTCGCTGCAGTATGCCAGGGTGGATGAAGATGCCGGATGTGATCAACTTCATTGGATCTTTGCCCGTGCTATAGAGACTTTGCTCGAGTTCTTCAAGGTCCGTCGTCGACATGTTTTCTATCTTTTGAAGATCCAACAGTACAGGGGAATCTACTTCCCAGAACAACGTGGACCTCCCCGGCCAGTTTCGCTATGCCATCCCTGCCGCACTTCCAGATGTATTGTCAATGCACATCCGGGACTCCCCTCCGTGAATTGGCGTGCTGGGTCCTCAATAGTGGGATGTAGGCATGGGAGGCCGACGGACACGTCCAAGGGGTATTCCGATGATAAGTGCTCGATATATGAAATCACTGCGCGCTCGTGAACCACGGACCGAGACAAACTGCCTTGATGATATAGCCAGATTTGTGATGTCTTAAGTTACTCGAAGCCGGCCAACGGCCAACCATACTCGCGCCCATATGTCTGATTTTGAGCTCCATTTGTCCGGGATGCCCGCTTCTGCAGCGGCTTTTGAAAATTTCATGGCTTTGTAGAATGATAATGGAAGCCGTAGAGCGATATTGAGGTGTCTTATATGGAAGTAAGAGAAGGCGTTTGCAGGTGAGAGAGACCCGAGTTTGAAAACTGTTAGGAGAAGACGGTCAATTGTCTCGAGATCAGTGATATGGAATACATTTGAGCTCTGCATCATATCGTGAACTTTGTCGTACCTATATGTAGTGGTAGCTACCTCCCAGAACAAAAAAAACGAGCATATGGCATGATTGCTTGTCTTTTTTCGACCCAATTTCTGCGCAGATCCCCCAGATATGTTGACAAGGGGCAGAGACAATATAATGTTTGTTTTTGCCACAAAAGCCAAGTCCTGAATTAGAGTGAGTCGAATAGATAAGTTCGGATTGCCTACTGGCATGACTAAGGTTAGTGAAGTTTGCGGGTGTGACGACAATCGTGATGGTAGCCTGTCTCGACACATTATACTCAGCCTATGTGAAAGGGGAATGTGGTTACCACGATCTAGATACATAGCTGGAAGTGGAAGCGCGGTTCTGTTCATATAGTGAGTGTCATTAGTATTGAAAATTTGAGTAAAATAGAAGAGATAATGTGTTACCGTGGATATTCCAGCCCGACCAAATACGGTCGCTATGAGCCGCCGCGGTAATCAAGATTCAGGTTGACTCTGCTACGACTATGTCATCCAGGTTTCTGACTCGATAATTTATCTCTAGAAAATGGCACTGATCCTCGTATTTATTTATACTAGATTCTGTTGATTTGTTTCGAAATACTGTTTCTCATTTCTATGCTTTGAATCACGCTGCTGACAGGGAAAATGATGATGTAAGGGCAGTTCGCGTCCAATTTGTTACTAGTGTATTTGTAAGGTAGAATATGTGGTCTCCTTTCCTTCTCATTTTCCTCTTCCTTTCTATTTCTTTCCCCATCAGTAGCTTCGAATTTTCGAAGACAAAGACAGTCGTTGGACCCAGTGACCATGTAATTTACCCCACTACCAACAATGAGAAGAAAGAATATGGGGCTACAGCCCGGTTCACTTGAGCGGGTAACTCGAAGAAACAATATTTCTCGATTCATGGCATCCCTCAAAAATAGTATCACGAGAAGTATTTCTTTCTTGATCGAGATCATATGGTCCTTTTTTCTACCTTGTTGGAATCTTCCAATTTGCAGATATAAACACGAATGAGGCTTTGGTTCAATAAATAGGTATTGGACGAAGCACTGAGATCAAGCACAAATGCACAGCACTGAACATGAACTTATCTGTTCAGCAAAACACATCAAACCCGCCGCTCATATACCTTGAGCACATACAAAGATTTCCTTTTAACAAAGATGCCACCATTATCATGGATAGAAACAATCTTTGGGAGAAAATTGATGAAACAAAATGGCACAACCGGTAATAATCAGTGGGCTTTTCTACAAAATCTCCTAGCAATCTACATTTAACGAGCTCATAGGGCCTCTACTGAAAGAAGGTTAAGACCAGTCAGACTAAGAACATGTAATGCGAGCCAAATGAAGATGATTTCAATCCCCAGAATCATTATTATAAGTCTTGCTGCCATGACAGATATTGCGGTGTTGCTCAGATCTAACAGACCGGTCCGACAGGCGAGCTTTGGGAAAAACCAACCTACCAATTCGAGATTCCGGCTCATAATTGTGAGAGGGACCAATCAATATGGATAAGGATCAACGGCGAACATAAGGTTCGGGTGTCATCAGCCGATGACTGATAGAGAACTACTTGCAAGCTGCTAGCTTTTGTTCGCTCCAACACACATGTTTCCAATTGCACTTGACTATGCTTCCTGTAATAAACAGTATAAAGTTTCGAGGTCTATGCTGTGTGAGTGATATTTATTACACAAACCGTATACACTTGTATGACCGAGGAGGTAGGAGTCAATGGAGACAGGGGTGGGATGCAGAGATCCACAAATGCGAACGCATCACGCATAGGTATCGTTGAAGCCGCGCAAGCCCCTCATTATCCCATGTCGCATGATCTGATGCTCCGGACCTCGACCTCGAATGTCCACTTCATCAGACTAGAGTATAGTCCATAAGATATTTCGCCTCTCCAAACGATCACAGATGGCACACGCAGGATCTACAGAAGAGCCACAAGGCGCTGGTCAATGGGACATCGATGTGCTTGAGGGGGAAGCCAACTACGTGTCTGACGACGCCGAGTCGAGCAAGTCCTCGGGCCAATCCGTATACGACGCAGATTCGGTCGTTGGTGAGTCAGGCAACCTTTACCACGGGTACAAGCAAGGCAAATACTTCTTGCCCAACGATGCGGTAAGAGCGCCCCAGAGAGACAACGGTGGAATTTTTTTTTTGAATTGTTATTATAGGAAGAACAGGATCGTCTCGATATAATGCACGTGAGCTTCCGGCTGCTGCTAGACGGAAAGCTGGCGCTGGCTCCTTTTGAAGAGCCACCCCGATACGTGCTTGACATCGGCACAGGAACAGGAATCTGGGCAATCCAGTATGGTAAGGAAATCCCGCTCATCATCTCTTATGTGAGACGTTGACCAGACTAAACTTCTCACATCGGTTGCAGCCGAGGAGCATCCAGTCTCTCAGGTGATCGGAACAGATCTCAGCGCCATCCAGCCCGCCCTGACCATCGCCAACTGCAGTTTCCAGAAAGACGACGCCGAGGAGGAGATATGGCTCTTCCCGACACCCAATGGGAGTTTTGACTACATCCACTTTCGCTTCATGGTGACCTGCTTCGACCAGCCCAAGAAGGTCATGGAAAATGCGTTCAAGTATCTGAACCCCGGCGGCTGGATTGAGTTTCAGGACTCGACGCTGCCGATCATGGACACTCACAAGAAGCATGAAGGTGAGCGGTTCATGGTCAATTGATGAAAAAAGCTCATGTAGCTGACGGGAACGCCCGCCAGGCAGTGCCGTCCAGAAGTGGAACGAGTTGATGGCTGTAGCGAGTGCCAAGCACAATCGCGACTTCACGAAGGCTAGTCGATACAAGGAGTGGCTTGAGGAGATTGGATGTAAGTCGTCAGCTGGCTTTCACTGACACGACTCTGCTGCAATCACTATTTGAAGTCCTAATTATAAATTCTTTTGCCTAGTCGTCGACGTCGAGGAGCACTTCATCGAGTGGCCCATCGGCCCTTGGTCTCCTGACCCCAGACTCAAGACTACTGGATGGTTCATGCTGCGCAGCTCGCTCGTTGGCGTCCGGGGCATGAGCTGGGCTCTACTGAGTGCGGCAGGTCTGAGTCCAGATGAGATCGAGAGTCTCGTCTCGGACTGTAAAAAAGATCTTCTGGATCGCAAGCACAGCTGGTATCTGGGAGTGTAAGTGCAATATCCAGGAGCGGGTTTACGGCAAGAATTTTCGAGACTGACGGTGAACAAGTTATGTTGTGTATGGAAGGAAGCCACGGGATGCCGAAGCTGTCCCAGGAGTTCCAGGTTAGCTATTAGCTGAGGCTAGAGATTTGATGTGTTTGAGGTTTATTCCTGTTGAGTGCGGTTGTTGCATCATGAAGGCGGAACTTTCTTTCCCAGAACCATTGAATGCTCGTCTAAGCCGATTACACTGGATTGCGTCGCGGGCTATGCTGCATGGCATTTCAATCCACCTTTAGCTCTGCTAGTTTCTTATCAACTTCTCGTAAGTTATGGCGCAACGAGAGCGGGTCGTCTCTCGTGGATACTGTTCTGCTTGTTCTAGTCCATCGTCTCTAGATATCGGTCTTACATCTTCGCATATGGAAGCGTCGGCACTGGAAGCTTGGCCCATAGCATGTAGAGCTGCCGTCGAACTTTTATTTGAGGATGCCTGTTATCTATTAGCACAGGGTAGTGCATGCCTTTGGAAACCTCACTTCTTGACCCACAGAGCTAATAGACAGGGTCTGTGTAGCCTCCTTCTGGGCCGGCTTATTGGCAGTCTTTTTTGTCGGGGAGTGATATCCTATATCACTTACGAGAAAGTTACGTGCTCGATTATTTTGATATATAATTGATAGGTTGGTCAGCTCATTTCTTTTCCCTTTCTTTTTGATAAAGTAGCTCTTTACCTCATATGGTGAATCATATGATGTCGAGGAGTGATTACAGGCCGGCATCATGGTAAGACATGATCGATTGAATTTGTCAGCAGAGCTTGTAGCTACAAGTCTTGTAGTATGTTTCGTTTGCCTCAAACTCGAATTGCTTTATGGGAGTTTGCAGATGGCCAGATGACCTGAGCAACACGGAGCAATATTCTTTGTTCTTTCTGCCAGCCATCACCCCGAGAACCGCAACGAACCGACCAAATGGCCATGCAACCAAAGAAGGCGAGAGAAAAGAAAACAAATTAAGTTATTTTGATGGTAAGCTGGGTAAGTCCTGCACTGACTATCCCAAGCCAATGAGAAAATTCACGCCACCCAAGCTATAATTCTACGGAATGAAATTCCTAATGCTGCCCAAAGCTCACTAAATCATACTTCTCCTTTCCGCCGCCCTTCTCGATCGCCTTGCGATACGCCGGCCTCGCCGTGATCGTTTCGTGCCACTTCTTGAGCCTGGGATATTTCTTCTCGTCGACATAGCCCCTCGTCGTCCTCGGGCACCCACCCGGGCCTCGTATCCCCCATCTCCCCCGACGCCGTCTCGACCGTCAGGACAGGCGACTTGCCCACGGGCGACACGAGCGGCAGGTCCGGGTTCTTGGGGGATTACGCGCGGGTAGTTCTTGACCTCGAAGTGCAGGCCCCGAGCGTCCTGAGGCTCCTGGAGCGCCCACACCACGCGCATGGCCTGCGAGTGCTCTAGGCCGTGGATCGTGGGGATCTAGCCCTGCCACGGCGGTAATTCCTGAGTGGCCATCTTTCCTTTTGTCTTTTTGTGAGGGGTGGAATACCAAAAAAGTGAAGATTTATAAACAAGGTGGTCTCAATGGTTTGGGTCCTAGACGAGTCGCAAGATGTGTAGCAGTCATCAGCGGCCGCTAGAGTTTGTCACAGCTACTTCCTTTGCCTGGGGTTGTGAAATGGCTTAGCATGCCATTCAGACTTTGATCAACGACTTAGATATAGGAACGAACTAGGAGCAAGAAGGGATCAAATAGAAAACCTGGGAGAGCTTGCCTTTATTTTGAGGCCATCATATGATCTTCGACCAGTTAGATACAAAATGCTCGGACTATGCTCCACTACAGTATAGCAATCCACTGACTGGCCACCATGTTACCTAACCTAGTCTAGTGCTTATCTACAAGGAATCCTCCCTTCAGCTATTCCAATGAGCCGAACTGGGCAGATGCTGTCTATGGCGGCCCTAGCATTGAGCTTACAGTATATTATTTCTGGCGGCTGATCCACACAGTGGGTCCAGTTCGAGCAGAGCCTATTACACTTTAAGAACATATCAGCAGGTATTGGTCAAACTGTTACTCTTCAATGGTTTTGATAGGATGACGGGCAACAAATCGGCACGCAAGAGATGTGGTGTCAAGAAATGATGGTAGCACAAAGCCGATTGATGGCCAATGTTTGCGCCGTCAAATGCATCCATGCCCCCAAGTCTCGACACAGTGGTTTCGTTGAAAAGACATTTGACATATCCCATGTGTATCTTGGGAAAGAAGGAGTCTATCAGACCCAAGGAAGCAACGCCATGAATGTACTGAAACGAAAAAAGTTGATCTTCAATCCTAGTGGGTATATTGATAATGAGCTCCATCTCAAGCTCCGTCGCCTAGCTCCTCGTTTCTTCTGTATTTCTTTCTGTTGAGCTCTGCCCGTTGTCGCGCCTTCCGTTTGACCCAGGATCCGTAGCTTTATCCCGAGTATCTCCTCCGCCCACGGCCTCTTCCTCGTCCCTAAACCTAGGCAAGCGGCTCCGGCTCCGATCTCTTGTGCCACTAGGTATAAGATCATCGATGGCGCTAGTACTGTCACCACGTTCCCGCCCCTTGAACCACCTCATCTTCCATATGCCGCCCAGGGCGTCCTGTACTCCATTGCCACTGGTACTCTGTCTCCTACCAGGCGGCTTTCGTGCTGTAAAGCCTGGGAAACCAGTCGACTTCCTCCTCCTGCGAAGACTCTTCCTCTGCGGTGCGTCGCCCGTCGCTGACGATGGATCAGCTGTCGAGAGTGAACCATGGGAAGCATTTGAAACATGGCGCTTCGCTCCGCCAAGCAGAGCTGTCGTCTCAGTGGCGCCAGCAGGGAGGGTGACAGATCGGTGTGGATGTTGCGGTGGACTGGGGACTTCCTGGTCTTCGAGTTCGCCCCAGATTTCTGCGCGCTCATGCCACCTTTTCGAAGACTTCCGGCCCGGTGTCAACAACGGACTGCTTTGGCCGGTGCCAGGGGCAAAGGTGTTGTATGTCGGCGGTACTGCCTCTTCTTCGTTGGTGAAGCTGTCAGCATCGGAATCGACAGATGACTCTTCTTCGCCCTCGGTATCTTCGACCAATCCGAGGCCCGGTGTCAGTGTCGATTGACCTACGCTGGGCGGGTGTTGCTCGTCGCTAAGACGCCACGATAATGCTAGAACTCCGGCAAGTAGAATGACGGTGCCAAGTGCTATGAGGCTGCCATCCAAAGCTGATATGAGATCTGTTTGGTCGAAGTAAATAAGCCCATCCAAGATGGCAATGATGTTGTAAATGCAAAACACAAGGGGATATAGCACAGAGGTTGAGACGAGCTTCAACCCTCGGTGCAGGTAATACAGTTGAGTCAGGGCCAAGGTGACGAGTCCGAGGACGATCATCCAGGACTGCCAGTGAACGAACTGGTTGTCTCCATCGGCAATGGTCCGAAGGATCAGCTCGACTGCGGATTTGGCAAACAGCAGGGAGTGAGCAGACAGAATGCCACTGATGCCCCCGTACGCCAGTCCCCTGATGAATCGAAAGCGCGCGTTTTGCGCCAAGTTGGTAAAGTGGCTGATCAGATCCGTCGTAACGGCGACAGCGATTACGAGCACGGCCTGCAATGCCATCCACAGAATAAACTGCCACCTTCCCATCAGGTGGAGCAATTCTCGTAGACTGTGTGCTGGCGAGGGAATGGCGCCAAATATGCCGATCAGAATAGCTCCTCCTGACACAAGCATAGTGCCCCATAGACTCCATCTTGTGAAGGGTTCGCTAAGTATCAGGGTGGCGCATATCGAGTTGAAGACCAGGCCAGCGGCCTGTAAGGTGGAAAGAACGGGCAGGGGCAATGTCGAGATCTGAATACTGCTTCCGAGGATGTTGGCTACCACGAACATGCCCATGCCCAGCTGCCATCGGCGCCTTCGATGCGGCGGTCTTCGGACATCGTGGGGTCCCTTTTCGTCTTCGAGTATATGCGATTTCCGTTGCAAGGTAAGTCCCAGGGACTGTATACTGGTAGATATGAGACCAACTAAGACTCCGATCTGTGAATCATGACGAGATCAGCGGAAGCTCAAGGACATGTTGTGCTAGGCGACTTGTCGCGAAAGAAGGACGTACCGCAATGCTCGCTTCGGGGGAGAGACCGCCCAGTGACCCCATCGCGATGATATTGTACAAATATCCAGGTCACCTAGCGAGGGGATTCGCTGATGATATCGAGCCTCGTGTTCGCATTTGTCGTGATGTGGTTCGGCACTGCTGAGCTCCACCGTCATGCCATGTGTTCGAGGTTTGGGGGTTTCGGGTTTCGGGGGGGTCTAGACGTGGCGGTGAGAATGCGCGATGGTATAAGTAAGCCTCTCTCTGGAGGGCGGCTGTACTGGTAATTATAAGGTATACTTTGACCGGTGGTCGCAGAAGTTTGGATAGGAGGTTGCGGACAGCACGTTCAGGTCGGTCGAGTCAAATGATGCGCAGATGACGGGCGGGTGCTCGATGACGCCGGAGACGAGCAGGGGTCCCGTGCAAATAGGCGGGATGGGATGAGGATGCGATTTTGATGGGTGCAAGTTTGACGCGGGTGGTGATCTCCCCCAACAGCACGGATCCGGTACAGTAGTTAGTTCGCAGGTTAGTACAAGTCAACGAAAGACCACGAACGCCTGTTTGTCAGTCGAGCAGTTTTAGACAAATTTATTCAAAATAAAAATGAAAATGAAAACGAAAGAACCTCCCCTCCAAAAATAAGGTAGAGTTGAGCATGATGTAGACTTGGATAATCAAAAGAGGCAGATCTACATGAATTCCCCAAATGCGTCAAATTGAAACAACTGACACGGTCGCATGAAAGCTCGAGAGGCAGCACGGAAAGCAATTCCCCATGGTCACACGTACCACCAAAAGTGCCGGTCTTTAGCGACTACGGTCAGGTTAGACTACAGTACATGCTCCTTTTACCATGTATACATAATGCATAGTCCCACCGTCGACCGGCCCGCTTGTTGGCTCCGGCCTGGGTGCTTTGCTTGTCTCTGGGTGTGCTTGTCTCTGGGGTGCAGGTGAGTTTTACACAAGTTACCATGTAGGGCTTTCTTCTCCGTACGATTTCTTCATTGTCGGTATTTTGGCTGCAGGTGCTGGCTTGCATCGGTGGAGTGAGCGTGGGACCAGACCACAGGCTCCATCATGCATTCAAATGTCTTCCATTGATTCAAGTTCAAGCTGAAGCGTCGGGGGGGGGGGGGGGGGGGTCGTGCACTGTAGGATGTGGCTGTTGAGACCAATTTCTTATCCACCCGGCCCAGGCCCCACTATCTACCCAAATGGTCCGTCCGCTGTCCTTGAGCTGCTCTGCGGTAATAGTTAGCCTCTGCCTGGGGCTGCACAGCGACGTCGTCAGCGCCAGTGTCAGTGGCCGTTCCACTGCTTTGCTTTGCTTTTGCTTGCTTGCTTGGAGCTCGACTAACTAGGTAGAGAGAGAGAGGGACCCACCATATCCAAACCAACGACGACATCCTACGCATACTCCCGCCAACGCCATCCAGATCGAAGCTTATCAGAAGAGCTCGCAAGCTTCGTACACATAGATTGGATTTAATCCATTCTTCCACACACTGGCTCAGAGCAGCTGGCCTCTTCATTTCGCCCCGTCTGAATCAACACTCAATCCCTCCCCCATATCACTCATACAAAGCCGACAACATGTCGCAAGTCCACGCCATGTCGGACGCTCAGGTGCGTTTGTCCCACAGCTTGCATGTCCAACATGTGCAACACACGCCGCGGTCAACAAGCCCCCGAGGCTCGCGGTCGCTCATGATGCCATCGACAACGCTTCGCCCCCCCATCACGTCATGATAGGCAGCTAACATGGTCAACGCTTCCGAACCGCAGGTCGACCAGGAGCTCAAGAAGATGACGGCCTTCATCAAGCAAGAAGCGCTCGAGAAGGCCCGCGAGATCGAGATAAAAGCCAACGAGGAGTTCTCCATCGAGAAGTCCAAGTTGGTGCGCCAGGAGACGGACAGCATCGACGCCTCGTACGCCAAGAAGTTCAAGCAGGCCTCCATGACCCAGCAGATCACCCGCTCCACTGTCGCCAACAAGACGCGGCTCAAGGTCCTGGGCGCCCGCCAGGAGCTGCTCGACGACATCTTCGACGCCGCCGCCAAGAAGCTCCCCGGCGGCACCAAGGACGACAAGAAGCACAGGGCCGTCCTCAAGAACCTGCTGCTCGAGGGCCTCTACGCCCTCAGCGAGGACGAGATCAGCGTGAGGGGCCGCAAGAAGGACGCCAAGATCCTCAAGGGCGCCATCGAGGACGCCGAGAAGGAGTACAAGGACAAGACGGGCAAGGAGACCAAGGTCAGCATCGATGAGGAGAACGCCCTGCCAGAGGAGAGGTGAGTCCGAGACCCCCTGCAATCTTTCCGCGGATTGGTAACTTCTGCAATTCTGTATTGGAGATTGACGGATCTGGGTATTCTGATTGCTAACATACTGAACTTCTAGCGCCGGAGGTGTTGTCATCGTGGGAGGCCAGGGCAAGATTGACATCAACAACACATTCGAGGAGCGCCTAAAGCTGCTGCAAGAAGTCGCTCTGCCCGCGGTACGAAAGACGCTGTTCGGTGACAACCCTAACCGCAAGTTCTTTGATTAAGGGGCTAGGACGGGGACAAGCGACGTTCAACGGGTACTGTTATCGGAGCATAGGAAGACGGAGGCTGTCCAGAATATACTATTTATCATGCATCGTTTTGTTTCGGAACCTGGATTTTTCAGCATGCTTTCCTCCGGTGTCCGATGGTCTAGATCGTGGACGATGTGTATACATACAGCGGAGGGACAAGTTTCCGCACACAAGCAGGTTGATTTCAATACATCAATGATTTCAATTACTTCGCTAATCGTGATCGGCATCCTAGGAGAGATGATGACTTGTGCGTCCGGAGAACTTTTACCCATCAGACGGCACTGGCCTTATTGTTTGTTTGTTCTTTGTTTGTTTGTTCTTTGTTTGTTTGTAATGGTGTCCTTCTCACCGCAATAGGAAAGAAGAAGGAGAAGGAGAAGAAAATCCTATTTATTCCGCAGCCCTGGCAGCCTTCGCAGCAGTCCACTTCTTCATAAAGTCCTTCTGTCTAGGCAGATCGGCATTGTCCTTCTTGGAAGAGACCAGGATTCCCTCGAAGATGTCCTCCTTGGGCTGCGGCCGCGACCGGACGGTGTGGTTGAGCCGCTTCATCAGGCCGTCCATGGCGGCCTTGGCCTCCTTCTTGACCACGAGCGTGTTGTCGCTGATCTTGTCGTGCATGACCTTGAGCCTCCTGAGCAGGCCGTCCACGTCCATGTCATACTGTGCCCTGGCCTCGGCCTCCGAGGCCGGGGACGGCGTCGTCGACGGGGAAGCCAGAGACGAGGGCGTGGGCATGGGGGCGAGCGTGGAGGAGGAGGAGGCCGACGTTCTCGAGACGGAGGGAAATAGGCGCGCTCGGTACAAGTGCGAACCGTCGTGGATGGTGATGTCGAGGAGTGAGATCAGGGCGTTCAACTCGCCGAAGTCGGTCGAGCTTGTGATCTGGAAATCCGGCTCCGAGAGGCGGGAGAAGAGGTCCTGGGCTGTCACGGACTTGTCGGGGTGCCTGGCCCCGAGATTCGGTTCGCCCAGCAACGCCTCGGACGCAAGCCTTCTCTGAAGCTCGACCATGCGAGGCGTAGATGCTGGTAGAAGCGTTATGGCCATGTTGCGCTGCGAAGCTGCGTCTACGCGAGTGTACAAGTAGTTGCATATATTCTCGCACTAGAGGACGTTAGAGCCGCACCGCGGCGCTTGACGAGATGTAGATACACTTACACAGTTGGTCCACTGATCCTCTGGCGCAGGCAAGGCGGACACTAATGCGAGCATAGCTTTCGAGTATGCAACCTGAAGCCCAGCCACAGTTGAGATGACAGGGTCAAGACTGAGCCGTATAAGCATCTTTATCGCCCCCATTTTATTCTCATGGGCAAGATTAGGTGCCATGACCTGCAAGAGCTCCAAGAAATATCTGAGCTGTGACCAGTCTCTACTAGGGTAAGGGGCTTGTAGTCCAGGTGATAGCTCGAATTTGTCGTCTATAGTTGAGTGTTTCTGACCCCCTAACTTCTCCAGCATGTTATACAGCTGCTTCTCGTCAACGAGACGGCGCATGTCATCGAGGCAGGTAGTTGCCAGGTTGATATATTGATTGCGTAGTTGAAGGTCCTTTTCGACACATATCTCATCAAGGATCCAGAGATAGAGCTCGTCAGGCAGTTCTTTGCCCCTCCTCGCCAGGATCGTTGGCAGCCCGTGGATGATCGTCTGTCTTCTCGAGCTTGCATCTTGGAGAATGCTCCACGGGTTTGCCTTGACAGCCTTCCTGGGGAACTGTCGCCTGGGGGGGCTGCGCGGCGCTTCATCCAGGCCAAAAAAGTAAGCTCTAGGACGTGACTCGTCACCAGTCGTTCGATCAAGAGCCATAGCAAGCTTTTCTCCCTTCACCTCGTCGTCGCTGAAGAACTCGCCTGCCATCTTGTTCGCATCTGGTTCAGGCTCTAGGTCCTTCTCGGCTTGCGCCTTGGCTTCTTCGGCCCTGCGAGCACTTTTCTCCGTCTCATTGTCCTTTCTGGCATGGCTGAGCAGAGTTTTCATATCAAACTTGTGTTTAGGTTTCTGCTGATGCGTCAGAGGCGATCTGTGAAAGTTTGCTGATGCGATCCTCTTCGCCTTGGGGGTGGCAGTCAAGGCTGTAGGCCTCTGATAAGACGGCCCGGACTTGCGCCCTATGAGCGCGCCCAGCGACTCGATGGAACTATCCGAATCTTCATCGTCGGAGCCCTTGATCTCGGTGTCACGGGTAAGCGGTGTCTTTACGTTCTTCTTTTGCGGAGTTATCGGCGAAGACGGCAGGTCCAACAAAACCTGCGATGGGGGCGCTGGTGGTGATATCCGGCGTGTTTGCTCATCAGGTGGGTGAGGCCCCACCTCGAATACGCTGTTGGTATATGAAAATGCTGCCGCTCCTGTAGCCGATGAAGCCTGAGATGTTTTTTTCTTGAAGAAACCTCTGATATCTCCACTTTTAGACATCTCGACCAGATCTAGCGGAAGTTCTCGAGAGCTTCATTCGGAGATGTCGCCAGGAATACTATGTAGGCCAGTGCTTGGCATGGGTTGTGCACTCAACGCGGTTTGGCGCCTCCAATCGCGACTTTGGGGCGTGTTCGCAGCTCAAGCCGGGGCGCAAATTCACATGGTAACGTTAACTAATGCATACGTGCATAAAAATGAACGGTGGAACCTCGCAGCTGTCGGCCCAGAGCCAGCTGGTGCTGCATAGGTGATCGCTATTTCCTTTGCTGGGTTGCACCTGCTTGGCGGGGCCCGCTGTCGTTCGCACGTCCCTAGCAACCAACAGTGTCAGGGGTTCCGACGCTGACGACCGCCATGCCCCCTGGCCCCCTTTGAATGCGCCTGGCATTCTACAAGAACGGCTCTCGCGGCAACAAGTGTTGCTAGGTCTGCCAGGGATCCATTTGAAGGTCATAAAGAGATACGATCTGGGGACTCATTTGCAGCCTTCTGGCAGACCTTTTTTATTCATATGGTTATCAAACAGCTTGAAGGAAAGTTCCCGAATGGAGCACCTGCATGCCTAAGCCATTTCAGTATACTCGTTAGCTAGACACGTCAGTTCAGTGATAGTTCAATTTACGTTTCAAGGCGGGCATGCGCAACGCCATATCAATCTGCTGCAAGTGGGACGCGTCTGCCCAGCTTCTAATCTCGTCGCCGTGCGTAATTTGGAAGCCCCATCGCTTTCTATGGTCTTTCGCCAATATAAGGGAGATCTACCGGCACTAGATTTCCGTGACCGCGGTCTAGGCCAAAGGAGAAAAGTTGGACAGTGCCATACGATACTCCGTATAACCACTTCAAACCGGGGGTACCAGATGCGCATGCAGAGGACAGGTACATGCGTTCTGTGTGGCTCTTGTGATTTGGGACAAGAAGCTCTTCGTCCTCGAGGGCTGGGTTTTCAGACGATGTTGCTTGCGAAACAAACTCAATCTTATCCGGATAGTACCGAATCGTGGTTCACAGACAACTGCCTCTAAGACGGGCGATCCTGCTGAGCCCCTGTTTCTCGATCTGCAGACCAGATGCAGGTTTTGGGTTTTGGGGGCTGTAAGGGCTAACGTCAAAGCACCTCAAGCAGGGTTCATGTTCATAGTCATTGATTTCTTAGCTTGATACTATTGAAGGCATTGGAGGCATCGAGGACGGTTTTTTTGGTCCCTTCCTGCAGTGGTTTGTAAGCGAAGTTTCAACGCGGTATTCCGGTATGCTTGGTCTCCTAAAATCTTGACCTTTATAAGTCGGGCGCCGGAAGTCTGCAATCAGACTAGCGGGACGAAATAGCGGCCGCTGAACCCTGGGAGCGACCCAGAATCTCTGGCTGAACGGTCTAAATTAAGCCAGCTTCAGGTGCATCAATTACAAGTGTGACGACAGGTCAGCGTTATTAGCATTTGGAGTTTAGCAGATTTGGGACAAATATGACGAAGGCGGGCAGGAGCATGTGAAGCGTGTTTGACGACTGATGGTTTTCGAGCCTTGACGTAGAATAGCTAGGAACTGATGCTCCATTAGATCTGTATATTAGAGACGTGAGGGGGTGCCGCCAGTCCCACGTTTACCGTAGACTACATGGACAAAGATGTTTCTCGCGCTCTCGCGCCCGTGTGATTAGATCCAGAATGTGCATCTCGGTCTCCAGCAAGACCCCGAATGAGAGAATTGGAGTGCATCCACAAAACTCCATCTCAAGAAGGTCGGCCAACCAAGAGCGTACGGACGGTCTGTCGGGTTTTGACAACTTGGCAAACGGCACGAATACAGTGCGAAGGCATTAGTGCAGGTTGGTTTCATAAGGGGTGATGGATCTTCTGGTCTGTTACCTGCAGCCAGTAATCTTATCACCGCCCGCTTTCAACTGTGCTGAAGCGGGCAATGATGGGCAAGCAAAGCACCACGTTTCTGCACCAAACTTCAGTAAGCCATCTAAGAATAGGCCTAAAAACGTGATCTATTTGCCAATGGGATGGGAATTATGTGTAAGGCTGCGGCTTGTGCGCGCTCGTCAAGGGGCGAATAGTAGTTGACAATGTTACTTGTGATGTTTTCACCAAGATACGAAAGTCTTTGTCGGAGGGCTATAACTTCTTCTTCCAACAGCCAGCATGGCAAAAGCAAATCAATAAAACAACGAATGGAGGCGATACCAGATGTGTGACTTACACGTAGCGTCGGACCGAGAATGTCACCTGTCCGATTCTTGACAGCATTGGGGCGACGGCGATGGGAAAATAATGATAATAACAATAATAAAATCCGTGTCTTTTATGACGATGGCAAGTAACATACACAAACTGTTATCATATGGCACATGTCAGACTCGGTCAAAGTGGAGACTTGAGGTAAGAGTGAAAGATGCGGCTGACATGGCGATGGCCCCGTTACCGTCGAGCAGAATTACTTACATGTCGCGTGCCTCATACTTGCTTTGCGATTGACACAACTACCAGCCAATCTCTACGTTGATCTTTTTAGGTTGGCAGCCAAAAAACAGTCTGGTGGAACGTGGATCGACATCAACAAGGACTTTCCCTCGTGGCACAATCAATTGTCTCAATTCAAGAATTCTTCCAGGGCAGGAAGCTATGTGGCGTCGGGGCGCCAAAGGGGCAGAGGCAAAATTGCAGATTGAAGAAAGGTGTCCTCAACAGTGTACGGAGTAGCACAAGGCAGATTAGTTGAAGGTTGTGTGATCTTGCTGCAACGGTATGTGTGCAAATGCACCAATGTGATCTCGGAGTTGTGCTGCGGGCATCATATTGACGTGCTTACCAAGTGTCCGCCCTGGGAAGTTTTGGGAGGTCGACGCAAGCTTGCCAACTCGAAGTTTGTCGAAGCTACAGTGGGCTGGGCTGGGCTGGGCTGGACCGTGGAAGAGTAATGTGCATACACACTTCATACTCGGTAATCCCTACAACGAAACTACGCCGCACCGCAGTTATGCCTGTGCTTGGTCATGTCTTGCATTGGTAACAGCGGTTTGTCAGGGAAGTGTAAGCGATGGGCGGAAGACGTCTTGCCAGCAAGATTGGCGATCCCATCGTCCTTGGGGATGGCGATACAAGATGGCCAAAGGATTGTGCATAGTGAGCAAGATTTTGTAGTAATACTGTTCTCCTGGTGATATATACGAAGCCAACTAAAAAAGAGGATAAGAAACGTTGGTTGCATGCGGAGGATTGAGGCGCAATGTCATGCTAATATCCGGAGTCTGAACACAGTGTGGGAGGCGCCCGGCACTATGTACAGGCGAAATGTGCAGAGACTGTGACACTTTGTGCACCGGCCAAAACATTTGCAGGATCCAGGTGCTGCCAGAAGCAAGACCACCCAGGGGCCAGTGGTCAACCTAGAAGCAAGTGTTCAATATGTAACTACATTACACGCGGATCCGTAAGGTTAGTGTGCAATGCGCAGTGTGTGCCCAGTCTTGCCAGTCCCCCGAGTGTCTCATGCCTTGACTTCAAGTACCTAAACTGAGCTTCAATCGCCAGCCTGCTTATTGTGATTATTATTAACATTTCTAGTGGGATGTGTTACTGGATCCGTAAATAACTCGACTTATGTAACTTGCCGTACTACTACTGCGCTGAACAGAACATTGCAGTACATGCTACGGGGAGAGTACGTACATGGTGACTGTGGTTAATGAAGCGTGCACTTTTCGTTCGGGGTCCCGCTTCTTCGTTATCCCCGGCCCATCCGATATTAGCGATCCCAGCATTGAACTTTCCAATAAGCAGCCCGACCCTTTTCTCTTTTCGGTCTCGCTGTCATCAGCAACCCCGTCAATCCAGCTTCCCCATTGCGCTGAACGCGGGAAAATCTTGGAGATCGATTTGTCAGAAAAGACAAGACAAGACAAGACTGCACAACTCAACCAACCAGTCCCTGCATCCACAACAAGACCACGACAACATTATCATCGACGGGCGACTACCCATTTGCTCCAGGAGCTAGGCTCGTTTTTAGTAAAAGACGTCAGTAACGCGGATTTGTTCGGCCGACACCCCACGTCAGCACAACTCTTCTCACCCATTCAGTCGACCACAGCCGCTCCAGAAACCGGGAACTGGACAGGCAGGAGCGCGCGTGGCCATAAGGGCCAGTCTGGCGGAACCAGCGGGTTGAACGGGCACTGCCCGTAACTCTAGACGCCAACATGGCCAAAAGCGAAGACTCCAAAGGCAGTGCCAACGACAAGGCTTCGAAACGGTCCAGATGGGCTACGCGGAGAATGACGGTCAAGAGCAGTGGTATCAAAAGGCAATCCCTCATTGACAGGATACACAAGCGAACCGGATCCACCGAGAAGAAGAGGCATTCCGCTGGTAGCAACTCCTTGCGGCAGGAAGGCGGAGCCGATGGCGACGAAGACGACGCTGCGAACCGACCTGGTCAGGATGACACCAACAGCAACGCGTCGACCGATGACGGCGAGGCCAGGACCCTGTATTTCAACATACCACTGCCTCCCGAGATGAAAGATGAGGAGGGCCATCCCTTGCTGCAATTTACTCGAAACAAGATCCGAACCGCCAAATACACGCCTCTATCCTTCGTACCGAAAAATCTCTATTTTCAGTTTCATAACATTGCCAACATCTTCTTCTTGTTTTTGGTCATTCTTTCGGTATGTTAAATTTCTCGATGGCCCTTAGTAGACCTTTGTTGACACGACATGCCTTAGGTCTTCCCCATTTTCGGCGGCGGCAACAACCCCGGACTGAACGCAGTGCCCCTGATCTTCATTATCGCCGTCACGGCCATCAAAGACGCCATAGAAGATTATAGGAGAACTGTTCTCGATATTGAGCTGAATAACGCCCCGGTACATCGTCTAGTCGGATGGGAAAATGTCAACGTTGAAGAAGACAATGTTTCATCGTGGCGCAAGTTCAAGAAGAGTAGCTCCAAATTCTTTGGTGCCATTTGGCATAGTATCGAAAGCCTTTGGAAGAAGAATCCGAACAAAAGTGTCATGGCAAGCATTGCCGATCCGCGACCGTCTATCGATACTCATGCTACGCGCCGGGAGTCTATCGTCATGTCGCCCAGGACTGACCGCACCTCTTACATATCCGCCCAGGAGGATATCCAAATGACACCTATGGCGTCGCCTGCACTTGTTCCCCCGACCGACTTGCTTCCTGTCCCGGGCAGTCAAGCGTCGGAACCTCGTCCAGATACGAGACTCTCTTACAATGCTGATAAACCAGAGGCCATCGAAAGAGTTCAAGGCGATCTCATCAACCACCAAAGACCCACAAACGGAGGCGCTCGGTTCCACAAGGATGCGTGGAAAAATGTCCAGGTTGGCGACTTCGTCCGTATCTACAACGACGATGAACTTCCTGCCGATTTGATCGTGTTGTCGACTTCGGATCCCGACGGAGCCTGCTACGTCGAAACCAAGAACCTTGACGGTGAGACAAATCTGAAAGTGCGGACTGCGCTGCGCTGCGGTCGGACCCTCAAGCACGCCCGCGATTGTGAAAAGGCCGAGTTCACCATCGAGAGTGAAGGGCCCCAGCCAAACCTCTACAAGTACAACGGTGCAATCAGCTGGACCCAGGAAGTCCATGGCGCTGAGAAAGATATGTCTGAGCCCATCTCCATCGACAACATGCTCCTTCGTGGTTGCAACTTGCGCAATACGGACTGGGTCCTAGGTATCGTCGTCTTTACTGGGCATGATACCAAGATTATGATGAATGCCGGTATTACGCCAAGCAAACGTGCACGAATTGCTCGAGAACTCAACTTCAACGTCATCTGCAACTTTGGAATTCTTCTCATCATGTGTCTTATCTCCGCAATCGTCAACGGAATCGCTTGGGGCAAGAGTGATGCTTCCAATGCCTTTTTCGAATACGGCTCCATTGGCGGAACGGCTGGGTTGACCGGTTTCATCACCTTCTGGGCAGCCGTAATTGTGTTCCAGAATTTGATTCCTATCTCTCTGTACATCTCCCTGGAAATCGTCAGAACTCTACAGGCCATATTCATCTACAGCGACGTCGAAATGTACTATGATGTAATCGACCAGCCGTGTGTTCCCAAATCCTGGAACATTTCAGATGATGTCGGCCAAATCGAGTATATCTTCTCAGACAAGACCGGTACTCTTACTCAAAACGTCATGGAGTTCAAAAAAGCAACCATCAACGGACAACCATACGGAGAAGCATATACCGAAGCGCAAGCTGGTATGCAGAAGCGTATGGGGATCGATGTTGTTGTTGAGGGCGCCAAAGCTAGGAGACAAATCGCTGAAGCAAAGATCCGCGCGATCAAAGATCTCCGCCGCATTCACAATAACCCATATCTACACGACGACGACGTTACCTTCATTGCACCTGATTTCGTTGAGGATCTGGCAAATGAGGGACAGTTCGGAGAGGAACAGGCAAAGGCCAATGAGCATTTCATGCTTGTCTTGGCTCTTTGCCACACCGTCATCTCTGAACTTGTTCCCGGTGATCCTCCCAAGATTATCTTCAAGGCTCAATCTCCTGATGAAGCTGCGCTAGTAGCGACAGCTCGCGATATGGGCTTCACGGTACTTGGAAGCACAAACGACGGCATCAAGCTGAACGTCATGGGCAAGGAAATATCGTACCCTATCCTCAACACCATCGAGTTCAATTCTAGCCGAAAGAGAATGAGTGCAATCGTGAAGTTCCCAGATGGCACTATTCGTCTGCTTTGCAAAGGTGCCGACAGCGTTATCTACTCTCGCCTCAAACGCGGTGAGCAACAAGAGCTTCGCAAAACGACTGCCGACCATCTTGAGATGTTTGCCCGTGAGGGCCTTCGAACGCTGTGTCTTGCAGAACGTATCCTTTCTGAGTCAGAGTACCTTGCATGGCGTAAGGAGCATGACAAGGCTGCCACTGCGCTAACCGACCGAGAGGAGAAATTGGAAGAAGTAGCCAGCAAGATTGAACAGGAGTTAAGTTTATTGGGAGGAACAGCCATCGAAGATAGGCTTCAAGATGGTGTGCCTGACACCATTGCTCTGCTCGGTCAGGCTGGTATCAAGCTATGGGTCCTTACTGGCGACAAGGTCGAGACTGCCATCAACATTGGTTTCTCCTGCAACCTTCTCAACAACGACATGGAGTTGATCCATCTCAAAGTCTCCGAAGACGAATCAGGAGCTACACCTGACGAAGAGTTTCTGAGTACTGTTGAAGCGGAGCTTGACAAGTATCTGCAAGGCTTCGGCATCAGCGGTAGTGATGAGGACCTGAAGGAAGCCAGAAAGAACCACGAGGCCCCAGCACCCACACATGCCGTTGTCATTGACGGGTTTACCCTTCGATGGGTGCTTCACGAAAGCCTTGTGCAGAAATTCTTGCTGCTATGTAAGCAGTGCAAATCAGTTCTCTGCTGCCGCGTAAGTCCTGCTCAGAAGGCCGCTGTCGTCGCCATGGTCAAGTCTGGTCTTGATGTCATGACCTTATCTGTTGGTGATGGTGCCAACGATGTGGCCATGATTCAAGAGGCTGACGTCGGTGTGGGTATTGCTGGTGTAGAAGGTCGTCAAGCCGTCATGTCGTCCGACTACGCTATTGGACAGTTCCGCTTCCTTCAGCGCCTGATTTTGGTCCATGGAAGGTGGTCTTATAGACGGTTGGCCGAGTCCATCTCTAATTTCTTCTACAAGAACATGATTTGGACGTGGTCCATCTTCTGGTTCCAGTGCTTCTGCGACTTCGACATCACCTATTTGATGGAGTATACCTATATTCTCATGTTCAACCTGCTTTTCACTTCAGTCCCGGTCATTCTTATGGGGGTTCTGGACCAGGATGTGACTGATGCGGTTTCCTTGGCTGTTCCGGAGCTCTATCGCCGTGGCATTGAGCGTATGGAATGGACACAGACCAAATTCTGGTAAGTCTGGAGTAACACGAACCGCATTATGTGATCTGTACTAACACGAGCTTTAGGCTTTACATGCTTGATGGTATCTATCAAAGTGTCATGGTCTTCTTTATCCCGTATCTCACCTTCATCAACGCCACCACTATCACCGGAAATGGATTGGATGTCCAAGACCGAATCAGACTCGGGTGCTACGTGGCCCATCCGGCTGTGCTGACAATCAACCTGTATATCCTGATCAACACGTACCGTTGGGATTGGATTATGCTGTTGGCAGTCGTCCTTAGTGATGTGTTTATCTTCTTCTGGACTGGTGTCTACTCTTCGTTCGTCTCTTCAGCGAGTTTCTTTGGAGTGGCCAACCAGGTGTATGCGCAAGCAAGCTTCTGGGCGGTCTTCTTCATCACGCCGGTCATTTGCCTTCTTCCCCGCTATGCCACCAAAGCCATTCAGAAGGTTTACTTTCCTTACGATGTGGACATCATCCGAGAGCAAGTCACGATGGGCAAGTTCAAGCACGTCGAGCCGGCCGAGACTGGCAAGGAATCTGTCAAGTCTGACTCGACCGAGTCATCTACTGGTTCCGCCATCAAACGCCATCAGCAATTCCCCAGCGTTGACGAGGACCGACGACCTATTTACCCGCCAACGTTACATTCGACGACGACACATAATGCGCGGAGTCAAAACGGCAGCGATGGTACCAACTACACGAGGCATGAAGCTTCTCAGGAAATCACTGTACGGCCATCGCTTGAAAGGGTTCGGCCATCATACGACCGCATGAGGGCGTCGATGGATCGGATGCGACCTAGCTACGAACAATCTAATGACTTCACTTCGGCTGCTATGTTGAATCGCTACGAATCTACTCGTTGCGCTTCCGTGTCAACCGCACCCCCGGCCGAGGGAGGAGAAGGCATAGTGAGTCGAATCAGGAGACGTACCAGAGGCAAATCTTTCAAGTCAGCCTTCCAGTTCCACCACAAGGACAATCACATCGCCGAGCATGAGTAGAATTCATATTCCTCTTCCGTATCGGGTGTTCCTGGCGACCGTGCAGTTTGCTTAAGTCCACATTGCACAGGGTATCTCAACTTCTCGGATCCTCTTCCGTCAAAAAACGATGGCTGAGCGAAGGTCAGAACCCCTGCTATGGCGCGACGCAAATCGTCAAACAGGATTGGAACAAAGCGGATTCGACCCGCATTTGGAACGCACTTGGCGTTATCAGCACAGTCTTAGAGTTGCACGTTGTACCATACAGAGATTCCCCCCGAACCACCTGGTTCTTACAGTCAGGCCTTGGGCCTGCGACATCATTTTTTTGTTTCCCTGGCGATATCGAAGAATCGCAAACACAATACCTCAGACCGAAATACCACAACCACGAATTCTTTTGGATCGGGCGTTTAGGAGCATCGGGAAACCCCAGCGAGATGGAGACGCATTGTATGAGATGACTGACTAATGTGCGGTCCAAAGACAATGGGCCACTTTCTTTTTTTGTAACTTGTTTCATGGGTTTTATTCTATGTTTTTGATAACACCCCGCGGGCAAATGGTATTTGGCGGGCGTTTTCAGAGAAAGAAAGATGGAGGTGAGAAGAAATCTAGTTTGGCCAGGCCGAGAGAGCATAAGAAGCAGCTGCAGAAGAGAAGGGATTGTAACGGGCAGCGTAAAATGAGTGTGTATATAGGCAGTCGAAGGCGGTCGATGGTTTGGAAGTGGCGAAAGTAGAAGCGAATACAATCATGCTGAAAACATTCGACGTGGTATGAGTGAATCTGACCAGTGATTATTTGCACCTCCCAGCATGGGTTTTGGATGGGGATCTAACTTTCAGGCACAGCCTAGAGTACAGTCAAATGCGGAATGAGATGACAGAGGTACTTGGGAGTTCCGGGCATTGATTAAGCCCAGTCTAGAGCTCATTTGCTCAAGCCAAAAAAACAATTAGGAAAAAAAAGAAGAAAAAAAAAGAAGAAAAAGGGCAGTGTAGACGTCAATTGCAACTGGTGTTTATGTCGGCGTTTAACCCACCAAACGCCACTGTAAGTTAGTCTAGTCTAGCTTGAGCTTCGAGGGGAGCAGGACCCCCTGGAGGTGTGCCTTCAACGTTTATTTTTGGCCGTACGACAACAACGACAAACACGCAGGAGGAATGCGCCATGCCATTGTGCAGCTTCCGGGGTATTTAGTAACTCGATTCCATGATATCAGCGTCTTGGCAGTCTGGCCATGAGATAGTCATTTACTCTTCCAGTTTTGTCCAGGGTTTATAACACTTGCCAGCGAAAGCCAGCCTTCCCAAAACCTCCAACATGGCAGCCGAGGACCTGGAGAGCTGGGTCAACCGGCTCAAGGTTCTCTTGCAAGACTTCCCGTATGCTCTGCTCATCGGTATATCTCAGCCTTCAGACCTCAGGCCCATAGCTGATATCTTGCTTGCCAATATAGTCTCCAGGAGGTGCAACCTCTCGTCGCGCCCACCCTCTACGGCGGCGTCGCCCTCCTCTTCTGGTTCCTCTTCCTGCGCTCGCAGTTCTTATCCGATCCGCCCGTTCGCTACACGGTACCCCCTCCCAAGCTCCCCGAAGCCAACGGCGACAAGCCCAGGATCCTCGACAGCCCATCGATCAAAGTCCCCGGCAGCACCGCCGTCCAATGCTACGCGCCCGCGACGGGCCAGTTCCTGGGGCTCGTCAACCCGTCGACGCCCGCAGGTCTCGACCGCGCCATCTCGTCGGCCGCCGACGCGCAGCAGAAATGGCGCGAGACGACGTTCCGGGAGCGCAGGAAGGTGCTCCGCACCCTGCTGCAGCACGTCCTGGACAACCAGGAGCAGATCTGCCGGGTGAGCAGCCTGGACTCGGGCAAGACCATGCTCGACGCGCAGCTGGGCGAGATCCTCGTCACGACCGAGAAGCTGCAGTGGACCATCAAGCATGGCGAGAGGGCGCTGAGCGACGAGAAAAGGCCCACGAACCTCCTCATGTGCTACAAGAAGAACAGGGTCGTCTACGAGCCCCTCGGCGTCGTCGCGGCCCTCGTCAGCTGGAACTACCCCTTTCACAACCTCATCGGGCCCGTCATTAGTGCCATTTTCGCCGGCAATGGCATCGTGGTCAAGGTCTCGGAGCAGACCTGCTGGAGTGCACATTACTATACGAACATCATCCGCGGTGCGTTGGTCGCGCATGGACACGATCCCGCGCTGGTCCAGAGTGCGGTGTGCTGGCCGCAGACGGCCGGGCACTTGACGAGCCACCCCGGTATCAGCCACGTCACGTTCATCGGCAGCAGGCCGGTGGCTCACCATGTTGCGGCCAGCGCGGCAAAGAGCCTCACGCCCGTGGTTGCGGAGCTGGGTGGAAAGGACGCGGCCGTCATCTGCGACTCGGCCCAGAACGACCTGAAGAGAATCGCGGAGATCATGATGCGCGGCTCCTTCCAAGCTGCAGGGCAGAACTGCATCGGTATCGAGCGCATCATCTGCGCCCCCGGCGTGTACGACAAGCTGGTCGAGATGCTGGCACCCAAAGTCGGGGCCCTGCGGCTCGGCACCGACAAGGACGTCGGCGCCATGGTCTCGGACGGCTCGTTCGCGCGTCTCGAGAATCTCGTCCAGGAGGCCGTGAACCAGGGCGCGAGATTGCTGGCGGGCGGAAAGAGGTACAAGCACCCCGATCATCCCTCCGGCTTCTACTTCACGCCCACCCTGCTTGTCGACGTGACGCCCGATATGGCCATCGCGAGGGAGGAGTGCTTCGGACCAGTCATGACCATCATGCCTGCGTCGTCGGGTTCCGCTGAGGATCTGTTGAGCCTTGCGAACGCACCTGATTTCGGGCTGGGATCGAGTGTGTATGGCAAGGACTCGGATCCTGTCGTGCGAGATATCGTCAAGGGCATCCGAGCTGGCGGGGTGGCTGTGAATGATTTTGCAGTTTACTACGCCGTGCAGCTGCCGTTTGGTGGTGTCGGCGGATCCGGGTACGGTCGGTTTGCTGGTGAGGAGGGCTTGAGAGGCCTCTGCAACGTGAAGAGTATCTGTGAAGACCGGGCCGGGTGGCTGGGTGTCAGGACGGCTATACCCCCGCCGGCACAGTATCCTGTGAAGGACCAGGACAGTGCTTGGAGGTTTGCAAGAGGCGTTGTTAGACTGGGCTACAGTCTGGGAGTCGGGGGCATGGTGGAGGGTCTTGTGGATGTGATTAGAAATGGCTAGACGAGATTGGGTCTTTCAAAATGCCACATGTGAAACTCTTGTTAGGAGACACGTTGAAGAAGCATGCATAGAGACTAGAGTGGGTCACAGAGGCTGAGGCTAAATCTAGCCGCGAATACAAATAATCTAATGTATATTCTGTCATGGTTTGCTTTGTTTTGAGTGAGTAGACTTGCATGGGTATGTATGGCTCGTCCTGCTTAATCGAGATGACTCGAACCTTGGTTTACAGTCTTGCATTCTTTGTATAGTATATATTTATATACGCATGCCCCCTCGGGGCAGAAATCGTTTCAACTCGCACATCGTTAGGACTTTGAACTAGACATTTCATTGGGTTGGAGTTGCGGTGCAAAATGTTATCTGGAACAAACTGCGCTCTTCCTGGAGCTGTATGCCGTCTAACCACAAGTACTGATCCCACCTTTTTATGTCATAACACCCAAACAAGGGCCATGTGCCAGTTGTTGTTGTGATGTTTGCAATGTCTCAATGACAAAGTACACAAATGAGTACAATGTACACGCGTATACAACATGTCAACGGCTACCGTCATCCTAATGACATTGTCTAATCATGTGTGATGGTGGTACCCTGAGTTCTGAGATCAGGACAGGTGTAACACGAGGTTGAGGTATTTCCATGATGTTGACACAGATGGGGGCGGAGCAAGCAAAGTCACCAAAGCAAGATGCGCCCATGAAGGAGATAGATGTGCGTAGACAGTCTAACTAGTCCATTGAGAGAATTAAAGAGCCACTAGGGTCGCTAGCGAACCCATTGATGACAGGAAGATGGAGAGGGACGTTGGTGAGAACTGAAGGCGAATCCGACCTGATACCCCGAACGAACTGATGAAATGAGAAATCATAAACCAAGTAGTAACCTTTCTTCAACCAATGGCAACAAACATATATACACGGAAAATGTATTCACAAAACGGCGACCTCCGCTGCAGTGAGACGTAGAACGTCATCCACTTGCTGTTATCGCTTCATGCTTCAACCTTCCCTAGAACCATTTTGACCTTCTTGTCGAGAATGTTGTACTTGACAAATTTCTTGTTCCCTCCAATGCGACAAGTGCCTCAGGTGTCGGAAAAGAATTTGTCAAGGCACCTCATATGTCAATGAGATTCACTATCTGGTTTTCAGCATCGGTTCCGAACCCAACACGATAGGGAAACTCTTTAATAGCACTGATACTTTTATGTATTTTAAGACGCGAGAGTTCTTTGAGTAGTTCTGTCTTTGACGACTTCTCGACTTTTATGGGTTTGTCCAACTCGTGTGAAATGTTATTTTCAGCTATGGAATAAACAGCGCTGAAAAACCTGATGTGCGCGACTCTTTCCATTTTGCACGTTGGTCGTTGCTGCTATTTGTTTGCGGTAATCGGAACAGAGGAGGGAAATTCAATTCCTTCACGGATAAGGATCTCGTGAGGCTCATGCCCTTCAAGTGTATGTCTCCCCTAATCAATTTAAGGACCAGGCGATCGAAATCCACCGGGTTTATAGCCACAGTACTAATTCTATCGGGGCGAAATTGATATAGGGATGATCCAGTGTTCGTCAATTATAGAAGCAACTACTCATATCGGCGAATTCCTTTTAAATACCTTAAAAAGACAGCTAAGATTCAACCATCTGATATCTTGAGATTCTTTGTCGTCCTTCTGGTTGCCGTTTTCACCACCAACAGGTCATCCGGGTCCAGTCACTCACTCCAATCTAAAGCTCAATGCCGTAACAACTCACGGCCGCATCATGTGCCCGATCCTGTAACATGAGCACCAACAATAAACATGAAGAGACCTCCTTCATATTGTTTGTCTTCAAGTCAAATGGCGGCACACACTGAGAGTTGATGCTCGTGGCATGTCACTCAAGTTCGTGCTCCACTGGATCTTATTTGTTTTGCCATCAATTATTGGTTGGTTTGAAGGGCATCAGGAAATGTAAAAGTCGGTTGTTGGTTCTTGAGTGTGATGCATTAAATTACTTTTGCAGTAAATGACCAGAAAAGCGATGCATCTATTTTAAAGTTGGCTGCGCGTTCGGTATACTCTTGGCGCTCCCTTGTGTAGACTGTGACGCACTACTTCAGTTAGTGATAGAAATTCTTATCCATTTAAGTACTATATTGCCTTTTACAATAATTAAATTAATATTAAAAAAGAATTTTGGGTATTTCTTCTACTGGGATGGACAATTTTAAAACACGGCTAGAACGAAACAGCATAGTTTGGAGAGGTTGAACGGCATACTTTGAGGGTGAAGGAATAGGATGGTGTTTCATACTTTTGCTTATGGAATATACAGAATAGATAAACAGAATGTTGTACTGTACGTTATGTCTTGGTAACACGTCCGGTAGACTGACAGACATGGCCGACGTTGCGTACAGGCTCTTGAAACTCTGCAGTTGATCATCTAATTCATTATAGGAAGCAGGTATCGAATCTGAACTGAAGTGGCCGCTGTGTCAAATGTTTACATCACGGCTCCATCGGGACAGCCGTGCCACTCATGTTCGAACCTGGCCCAGCCACCATCCAACTCGTCGCTCATCTGCAAGCTGTGCACAACAAGATCATATATACCTTCTCTGGGGATCTTTCCCTGGCAGACAGTCCCTCCCATGGCAACATTTAACAGCACGCACCAGTCCTCAATACGTCGCGTACCAGCAGGCATGAGGTTCTTCATAACTGGCCGCCCGTCGATCAGCCACATCAACCTTCCACCACCAGCACTCTTACCATCCTCGTTGTTGCGTACAGCCTCACAATTCCAGACGAAGTCAAAGCGCACAGCACGGTGCGCTTTGTCCGGTATCGGGGTCTTCCGGACGAGATGTTTCTGAGCATCCTCACCATTGTAGAAGCCCCAATGCAGACAGGAGTGGTTGTCCACTTCGCCATTCCAACTCTCGGCAATGTCTACCTCGCCCTCATCGGGCCAGTGGAACGGCTCGCGTGGCAGCATCCAGAACGCGGGCCATATGCCCTCAGCCGCGGGCATAGTCAGCCACGCGGTTAAACAACCCTTGGGCCGTGACAGCGTCTGACGCGTCACTAAACGCGCTGACGTGAAGCGAGCCTCCAGGTCCCGGTGCCCCGGACGCGCGATGGCACGCAAGATCAGCTTGCCATCGGATGTATAAAAGCTGTTTTCTGGGGAAGCCGTGTAGTTCTCCAGCTCGTTGTTGCCCCATCCATATGGCTCGCCGTGGCCCTGCTTCTGCTCGAAGTCCTGGCCTACTGGGGCATTGGTACTCATGTGCCAGTAAACTTGTGGACCAGACTGCTGGTTACCACTGGGATGAGAATGCATGGGCACGGGCGGTGGCTGCTTGTAGTGATTGGGCTGCGGCTCCTCAAAGTACCACTGCGCTTGGTAGTGTGGTTGCTGGTGACCGGGGTAACTCTGATGTGCATACTGGGCATTCCCCTGTGAAGGGTTGCTTTGACGGATTGGGATACCCAGATTGTGTTTCCTGTTCAGCTCCTCGGCCTTGGCCTTGAGTTGATTGAGGTAGTTCCCGAGTGGCATGCTGCTCGGATTCTCCGTGTACTAACACAGGGGTTTTGATGACGAGAGAAAGGATGACACTGAAATGTTTCCAGGACGTCAAAAAATCGTGCGTACATACGGAGTAGTAGTGCGGCATTTGGCATGAGGTTGCGAGGTATTGTGTGTACAGTACTTAGTAGGCAAGGAGGCAGGTGCGTTTTAGCGTTTTAGCGTTTAGTTAATGGTGCTGCAGATTGACTGGTGGGGGCATGTCCACAACCTGGGCATCAAGTATCTGCAAGGACCTGCATGGGTCTGCCTGGCGCTGCGCTCAGAAACAACGCCAGAACCTTGTCAGAACGCCAGCGGCAAACTGGTGTTTCTGCAGGAATACCACCCACGTAGACTAGATATAACAATTTGCCTCCCTGCACGATTTTGCGTTTTCTCCATTCTTGTTGTGCGTTCGCAACCTCTCTCCTCTCTTCTTCAAGCGAGGTATTTGATCAATGATCGGATAAGGTTGTGCCACCATGCTGACACTACAAGCACTTGCACATTTCCACAACTCGATCAAAAAGGCGACACTACCCACATGGACGGACAATCGATCTTCAACACAGAACGAGCCGATAATCATTGGGTATCTTGGTTTGATCCGTAACTCGTGATATATATACAATTCAATCAACACCCCCGCGCCATAGAACTCACTTCTGCAACTGAGTCCTCGTCACCTCCGGCGACAGCGTAATCCTCATTAACGCCATATTCAGCAATAATTCCACGATCCAACCTGGCTAAGACTTGATCCGCTTCCTGTATCCGTCCTACATCACGCAGTTCCTTCTCCAATTTCCCTAAGACCAAGAGGAAACTACTCTGCCTTGATCCTATATATTGCCTGACAGACATGGACATTTCTAACCCAGGTCCACTAACTTGTACAGGCCTCATCAGGTAGGATTCCATCTCATAGCCCACCCGAATAGCCCCTTCTTTGTCTCCCATCTTCCGCAGCGTTAGCATCATTACAATCCCCGCATACATCAACTCGTATGGGGCATTGTTTAACTCTGCTTGCTCACGGACACCTGTAAGTAACTCTAACGCTTCGTCGAAAAAGCGGTTCCGGTGCAAGATAGCAGCCGTCTCAACTCTCAAGTGCAAGCTCGACAAGCCAAGCTCATCAGCTTTGCCTACGAGTTTCTCAAGAATCGGTTTAGCTTCGTATACTCCCATCATGCCAGTCCCTTCCATGAGACTAACAGTCAAGCCCCGCATCTCGGTAATATGTCCAAAAGCATTGGTCGACTGCTCTAGGAAAGGCTCCAGATGATCGAAGTAACAATCCATAAATGGCCGAATGTTCTGCCCGAACTCAAATACGTCAGTGCAAGCCAAATGGCTAAGTATGACGTACAGAGGGTGTTTTCGACCGAATATAACTTGACACAATCCAGTGATGTACTTGAGAAGTGTCTGTGCGAGGTTCCGTCCTAGGGTATCATAGTACATGCAACGGATAACCTGTTGGATTACATAAATCATCACTCGAGGGTCCTGGGGTTCGATGATGGCTTTCGTATTGTCAAAGCATTGCTTCAAAACGCGGAATGCTCTTTTCACTTTCTTCTCTCTAAGAAACTCAAAAGCAGGGTTGAAGTCATTGTACCACTTTTCGAGCTTGCTACATTCCATGTCGAAGAAGGACGAGTCAGTTGTCTGCGACAAAGCCCACAGTCCTGTCGAAAAGGTAGTAGATATAAAATGCCTCGCGAAAAACATGGACTTTTCAGGCCGCAGCAGAGTATCTGGAGATGACAAATGTCGGGGGAATCCTGACGGCACATCAAACGCAGACAAATGTCTGGGACGTTTGTGGTCCCTCGAAGAGGGGCTGGCCGAAGTGTGGGAAGAGTCCGAAGAATTTGATGAACCAGAATTCGCAAATGGATCTGAGTATTTTGACCTTGGCGGTGTCAGTGTCATAACAGTTTCCATCCAGTCGTCTTTCGGAACCAGCTGTCTCGGAAGGCGTGAGAATTCGGAGGTAAACTGTTGACTCTCGATTTGAGATTCAGGTTCAATGAGGGTATTTGTGTAATCATGCTCATCCTCGAGATGCTGGAGAGGTACTTGCCCTTTGTTGAGGAAATCCTTCCAAGCATGTGGGATTGGCCATTGTGAGTCGGAGGGTGCCTCAGTCGAGTCGAGCCTGTCCCGATCAACCACGGCCTGTGGATCAACAGCGTTCCTCGCGGGTTTGGTCAGATTGTTCTGATTTGCTGCCCACGAACGTGGCATGGCTTGGGGGGTTTGGTTTGGAGCAGTCCTATCTGATGAATGAGACACAGCACTCTTGCCGGAGATACTGAAGTTATCTGCTGTAGGAAGCTCGTGAGATCGTGAGGAGGATGCGGCACTTTCAACCTCTTCTGATTCTTCGCGTCGCCTCTTGTTTGCTTTCTCCTTCGCCTGCTTCTTTGCCTCTCCTGGCTTGGTTTTACGTAGTCCCCATTTTTGGTAAATTTGCGTTTGAAACATTTTGGCGCTGCATTATATGTCAATATGTGTCTGAGGCGCGGCAATATTGCCGCAGGAACCGCGCTTACGTCGCATTAAACTGATGTTCATCGCGCATTACGCGCATCACAACTGGAAGTGAGTGACACATGAAGAGTGCCGTTATGGTGTTCTGATACTTGTCCCAATCTTCAGGCTTAGCCCATGGAATTCTCGGTTTTGGCGCCGCCGCCATGAACGGTTGCTGCTCCATCGTCAAGATTTTAGTCAAGATAACTGTGGGTGCAGTTTTGGGCTCTCAAAGGCTGATTGATGAGGAAAAGAGATGACATGACCGGCGAAGCTGAGAGAACCGGCGTGGACGGGAGTGTTGGTGGTGTGCTGGTTTCAACCATGGGGGCCATGTCAACCACATCGATAAGGCCAATTGGATCCCTGTATAATCTTGGGCGGCCCCAGACGATGATGATACTAGTCTTGATTTAGAATGGGCGCCATGCAGCTTGGAGTGTTACAATCCAATTGATTGGCCTGTTCCAAAAATCAGGTGACTTAACCGCTCTCCGTTCCTTGCTCATAATCTTCCAGTTGTGGCTGACTGAACGATTCAACTCTAGAATTAAGGCAATGATCTACGCTTGGCACTTCACACTTCACAATCACTTAATTTCAGCCCAAACTGTCTTCGGGCCGTGGCTCATTGGCCCCTCTGGTCTTGAGCTTGGATCGACACTGTGGCTGAGTGAGTGCTCAGGCACACCATTCCATAATGCAGTCCTACTAACAACCACCCAGAAGTTCTTGCTAATATAACCCCCCCCCCCCCCCCCCCCCCCCCGGTGGCTCTGAGCTTCTTTTATTTTACTTGGAAGAGCTCTTTCGCTGCGTTGCGCAGTGCCTGGCGTCAGTAATAACAATAACAATAATAATGCAGTGTTGCAGGGGCGGGCTTTACGTGAAATATGCTAAGCTCACAGACGAACAAAGTCCGTGTTAATCGAGATTTCAAGATTCGGCTCCGAACGCTTGAGTTGCATCTTATAGAGTAAGTTCATAACTTCAAGCGTTTATGGTTAGTTCCAGGGGTGAAATGGGCCGGTGAGAGTCCCTATCGTTAGATAGATACATAGTAGGAAGTTGGGGGGAAGTTGGGGGGGAGGGGGTAGTAAGCCATTGTGAGCCCGGGCACTGAGATAAAATAAAATAAAAATACGACCCCTGACACCCTGCACACACGAAATCTGCAACGCACGATTCTAATCTGCATGCAATGCACTGACGTATCCATGTACAGTAACAGGCATTCTGAGCATAGACTAATAATTCGACATGTATAGCATTGTGAACTAGTTGCCGATTAATAAATGGAGGTAACAGCAAATGCCAGGACAGAAAAATGAAAAATGCAGAAGATGCAAAAGATGCAGGAGAAGGTGAGCCCAAAAAACCGTGGCCTTGTTCATTGCTCATGAGAAAATAACCCATTGTCCGGAACGCCTATTGGTTGTGAAACCATATGCTAGTCAGGATCCCGAATTCCCAACTTAGCCTCTTTTAACACGTCTAAAGTCGAACCCAATCGTCTTGATTTCCTTAGAGCCGTTTTCATGCATCGTCGCTTCCAGATGTGATGAGGCCCATGCCTGTCCTTTTCGTAAGAATTTCCGGTTGTGTAGACTCCTGACCAAGATGATTAGTCCCGACGCCGGGTAAGTCCTGGTGTGGCGCTACTACCTTTGCACTCTGTTCCGAAGGCAAGATTAAACCATAACCCCGATCAGATAGCGCTGTTCCCTCTGCATCCTTTTCTGATGTCAGGATCAAACCGTAGCCCCGAGCAGATGTCTGATAATCTATATTAGCGATCCAGCATAATTTCAAGCTCAAAACAAATGTCTCACCTTGGAATCCGATTCGGGCTCCGCCACTGCCACTGGTACTGGCTCTTCAATTCGTTTCGAAGCAGCAGGTCCAGTGCAGATAAGACCGTATCCTCGACGTGCAGTGGTCTATAAGATTGTTGTTAGTTACTATTTGTAAACTTTCGGTCGATAACAGACTCACCCCTGAGCAGGATGTGGGAGTTGGTACGGGGGCTGCAAGACAGCTCGCTCCGAGGGTCAAGGCCACGATGTAAGTCTTTACGAGCATGTTGGTGGTTCAGAACGTGTAAGCTGAGAGTTGAAGAGTCTGACTGTAGATGGAGCTTCGGAGTGGGCCTGCTTGAGTTTATGATCGATATATGTTTGGGATGAGCTTGTATCTATATGACAGAAGGGAAAAAGGCCTTCAAAGTAACCTTACAGCCATTTTGGACCCTTTATATAGACGACTCGGACAGATGTTTCGGTCTCTGCGGACGACAAGGTCTTTTAGAACGATGCAATCTTCTATGTCATAGTCTACGTGACAAAGACGCCCCTATTCGGAAGGATCTTCCATAGTTGTAGTATCTAATACTTGTGTATACTCGTCTTGTTGCCAGGTAACAACCGTACTATATACTTGTGGTGACGGAAGTGGGTAGAAGGGGCAACTATCTATCATACGGCCCCTATCATATTCAGGTTCTCTCAGCTAAGCTAAGTCGGCGCCTGTCTCACCAATCGGACGATTCGTCAGTGCAAGAAATTACTAAAAGGTTTGCATTATTTCTACGCGAATATCCAAAGCTTTGCCAAAGTCAGGAGGTGAACTTTAAGGTCCATCTTGGATTGTGGGATTGTGACGGAACAGTTCGAGATTTGACAAGTGTTGCCGTGGCAATGCTCATATGGACCAATCAGCTTCGAGGGACATGGATAGAGCCAGTAATGGTGGAGGGGCAGAGTGACGCGCGAAGAACAGCGGCTAGGACGCTTCAATCGAAAATCGTTGCAAGGGTCAAGCTTTGGTGGGGTATGTTTGACAGGGCTCTTTCAATGCGAAAAAGTGACTTCTACGACTTGCAATAGGCCTTGGTAGCTACAAACTATATTGTAGTAGATCCGCAATACTTTCTACTAGTAGTGTAGCCTACACCGATACTTTTCTTCCAACGTATGGGGCTGATGAGCGGCTTGTTTGATCTACGTCAATAGTGGCATTTCGTAATCGGCAAAGTCAAGGCATCAGAGTCTTTGTCAATACATTGATTCCCACCCTCTGACACTTCATGAAATCCAAGGTCGCAAACCAGAATGGGTAATCATGGCTCACTGTCAGTAAGTCAAGTGCTCTGAGACTTCAGGTCCAATGTTTCACAACAGCATGAGATTGGTTCGCTTACCTGAGAACGGGCGCAGAGCTAAGCCACGCCAAGTTGTGTATGCGATAATGTATAGCTGTGAACTTCATTTGTATTGTGTTATAATCAATATCAGATATGTGAACAACCTGCACCACTTGTCGCTTTCATTCCGGCTCTCCGCCGTACGAGATCTAGCAGTCAACGAGTCTCATAACACATGGGCGAATATGAATTTTATACTTAAATCCTTCCAAAAGGCATTCGCCAAGGCTTCATATACACGAATGTACAGCAGGCAAATGGCTCGTCCTTACTGGCCCCACACAACCCATGGTCGTACATATGTAGTTACATGCCATGCTTAAATTATTCCCGACAATGTGGTCATACTACCGTGAACGTTAAAATTTGTGCCATCGATACGGTACTTGTGCCTCCCAAGATGTCGGGACGTAGCCTTGTCAGCATATGCAGCTCGACGCCCTGTCACCCCTGTTGCATGGCGACCAATCGGAAAAAGCAGTCATATTAGAAAACAGGTACGGATCCGTAGGTGGCTTTCTTTTATCTTCATCAAAATAGTGGAACTGCAGGTAGACTAGCTTATTGTGGATACATGGTATCGTTGCGTTTGTATAGATGTTAAAGTTGCCGCATGACATGTTCTTGGGAATAGCACACGGTTGCCAAATTAAGCTCATATGTTACAGAGGTTTCTTTCTTTCTTTTTCTAGAAACACTAATTTCACCTTTGTAGCAGCGTTCGGTCTATTTAACATTTTCAGCTTTTCTCATTTCCCATTAAAGCGCAATCGATGCTCGTGCCAGTGGCGCACTGCTCTCTTTAAAGTCGTAGTAGGTTTCATGTGTTTCATATCATTGACCGTGAATGTGAGTTCATTGTCCAAGAATACTTGATATATGACACAGTAGTGACCACTCCTCCCAAGGAGGATTCATGTGTCAGATTCCACTCCTCAGCTTGGAAAAGAAAATATATGTAGCAAGCCGTCTTTTCATGTTGCTAACCATGTCTTCAAGTATCTGCTATGCAGAAATTTGGGAGCGGCATAGTTTTATACTTTCACTCTCCAGTGCATTGTCCCATTTTAGCTCTGTAATAAAAAGGCAAACTGTTTGCTGCCGTGACGAGAAAACGTGATGCTGTGGTTTGCATGCATTGATTTGATGATATAGATCTTCGGGCGTTAATATTGGCTGTTTTATGATGATTGATATGATTTGGGGATAATCATGAGCAACATGGATCTTGTATGTGTCTATCATTGAACAAAATGGAAGGTGGGAGATTATAATCTGCTGCCTGAAACATAACGAAACCGATCAAGCTCATAGATACTTTTCAGTGAGTTGACAGAGTAAACACCCTTGAATTACCCTTTGAGTACTTAATGTCATGTTATATCTTCTAATGTAGGATAGCAGCAACTCATATTGGCAATCCACAGGGAACCATCGACCCCAAGGTTCATTCTTATGTGTTCTTCTTTATGTGGTGCAACACTGTGTGCACCATTTGGCTGCATCCGCTTATGGTGAAGCAGTATCTAGAAATTCACCTTCGTTTTGCATTTATTTCAAATGTTTGGTTAAATATCGTCAGGCCAGGACGATATTTGTCGTAACGGACTTCTCAGGTACCCACCTAAGACAACCACTTTAGATAGCTTCCAGTGGAACAGAAGAGAGCTCTGTTCCTTGACCGCAACACCACACTCGACCAGTAGGCCTATATTTGATCACCGACTGTGTTATGCATCAATCATGCTGTTCAAATCATATGTCTTTCGAGTGTCTGGAGGCCTACCAAACCCACTCTAATCCATTACACAGCCACACATCGAATTGAACGCATGAGAACCCTTTTTGATCCACATGGAATCCAACAAGGATCTGAAAATGAACTATCCTAGACCAGGAAAACGTTATGCCCCGAACAGCCCCGTACAGGTCCTTACATATCACCCCCCGCCGATCCCCCAGAGTTACATCCGGATGGTCGGTTGAGCTATGTACAGAAATACTTGGGATGCTGTTACGTCTATGCACTTGCTCAGACTTGGTTTGTTACGGGTAGCAGTACGAAAGTGCAAAGCAGGAACGGATCAATGCGAGGAAGGGGTTCAGCGTAGAAACATGCAATGAATTTATTCAATGTCCAAGACAAAAAGATTGGCTGGGTTGTAACCAATCTAATGTCGTGGACACCGTCGACATCTTTCTACTAACCTATAAGAAATATCACTCTAGGTTGACTGGCAAACTAGCGCGACCAAATTTAGGTTCAATATGCCAATTAGCAACGTATCTCCAAGCCCCTCTGACATGATGAAGACCCTATCCAGCAGCCAAATCAGAGCCAAGCAATGGCTCACATTCATGTTATAATGATTCTTCAATGAGTTGCAGCTGTCAAGGGTCACTCAGCTCGGAATGCCACGCTGATGACAGTTTAGTGGGCAAGAGCAGTGTGAATGTGATTTGTTTGCCAATCGCTCCTCATGGTGCGGATAAAATATATTGGATCGTCTGTATGTTACGGATACGAATGTACAATCTCTTATGTTCTTTGAGAATACTTCCCCCACCAAACAAACAACCAACCAACCAACAATTGTTTGGACTCAAAGCTGCAGGGGGCCCTGGCCCCCAAGTCGCCCGAGTTACGCACTTCCATTATAGAACGACTTGTAATGCAAAACAGGGGCCACCAGCATAGTATTCAAATACTCCGACTTTGCAATGTCCATATACCTCAATAATCTACAAGTAGTGGCGCTGCTTGTTTCATCTATTTGTCGCAGCGGAATATAGGACATAATAATGAAAATCTGGTTGGCCATGCTATTACAAGCCTGATATGATTGTTGCAGACACTAACATTTTGGCTAGCGCTCATGTAGTATATAGATGAGAAATGTCTTCTAAGTTTGAATCATAATGATAACCTTGCCGAGACCTCCCATATAAGCAAAGAAGTATGTCGCCGGCTGTTGGCATGTTTATGCAATGCAGTCTCCTTGCCGCCGGCTTGGGGGCCTGTAAAGACGCGGCATGACACTGCATGCATTGACACGTACATGCTCAATTGACGTTGCCTCCGGCTGATGGTGACCTAGGACTGGCTGGCCTCAAGAAATTGTCGGCTGTGTTCAGGCATGAATTTCACGATCTGCCTACGCCATTATCTCTATCGATCCTTTTCATCTTTCGTCTCCTTGATGCAGAATTTTAAGAGAATGATACGCGCCCATATCATCCGCTGCATAAACGCCTGACGGTTCCTTTACTGGGCCGAAGCAGTCATACAATCTAACAGCGACACCGTATGGAGCGTTGCACAGGTCGACTGTGACTGTTCTTGTCACCACATCACGCTTTAGTTCCGTTTGAGAACCAACCGGGGTGTGTAAACCTTATCTCAGTTGCTGTCATAGTTCACACTGGCATGGCTCTGCTCCCGGGGTTTAGCAAATGTGTGCGAATGCTGTGTAACACCAATAAAGCTTGGCTAGACACCTGCATATTCAGCCACTATCACATCTCCCAACCTTGAGTTCCTAATTTCAGACCTGAGAATTACTATGTAAAACGGTGATCCGTGTCTGCTGTGAGCCACTACGCAATTTCCCATACTCGAGTCCAAAATTTTTAGACAATTGCGGCTGAAGCCACAATCACATGAGTTTTGCATATTGTCGCGAGATTTGAATTTATATTCCCCCATTACAGTGGGCCGCTCCTAAACCTCTAATTTGGATCGTCTTCTTATGATGTATAGCTTGGTATATGGTACTTCTGCGATTCTAGCCGAACCCCATATTGTTCATGCTGCGACACTGTCTCGGCTGTTGTGCATGGCCCATAATCAACGTCTTTGAGCTTAGCTCATCGGCCATCAACTTTTGCTCATTTGGTCAGCTTGTGCAGTCTCTTCAATGATCCAGTATCCCGTTCTGGCAATCCAAGTACTGATGTTGTTGCCAAATTCGGTCGCGAAGACATGTCTCTCGTAACCACACCGCCGTCTTGTTTATGTATTTGGAAAGATGTATCTGGGTACATATTTCACTGCCAAGCCACTTGCTCGTAATGATGCTTATTTCTTCTACCGTTGCCGTGCAACGCTGTGACCATCCAAGAATTCCAGCCCAGTCCCGTCACACTATACTCCGTATTCTGTGTGCACCGAATGATCCGTGAAAAGCTCAACCCAAGTCGAGCAAGTAACCTTTTTTGGTTGAGTATGAACACCTGCCTCATATGTACTAAGGTTAGACACTTGGAGCCAATCACAAAAGCCCTAAGTTTAGTTGACTCCACTCCAAGGCCACCCCTCCCAAGCAATCAGTCCAAGCAATCTTTTTGTGTTGATCACTCTGCAAGTTCGCAATAAGCTCTCCAAAAAGCAGTGAAACGATCTATATTTCTGAACCAAATACTAGGACGGCCATATTAGTCCAAGCCTCCTTAAGAATTATGACTAGCTTGCGCGAAAGGGCGATACATGCCATTCAGAGCTTCAATGATTGGCACATCGATGCTATCATGGCCTGGCGTGCCGAGTCTTGCATCCATGAGATTCTGCCTAGTAAGTCTTTTGACATGACGCTCGTACGATATTCAGTTGCTATCATATTGGACTTGTTCTTGATGTCTCGCCATGATATGCTCTAGCTTACTCTTGTCTAGAATCCCTCAAACAACCACCTATGGATAACGCCACATACCGCGCATACTTCACAACCCAATTGCCACTATTCAAGAACTTTCATGTTACTGTGCACGAAGTTTTCGAGGATGTAGTCGGCAAGCAAGTTGCGGTATGGTGCTCTTCAACAGCTGACAGTGTCGTGGGACCGTATCAGAACGAGTATGTCATGATGCTCTACTTCACCGATGATGGTAGCAAAGTTGTGAGGGTCCGCGAATTCGTCGACAGTGCATTCAGTATCAACCACTTTGGGAAAATGCGAGTGAAACTCGAAGAGAAAAACGGGGTACCGGGAGGTGATAAGCAATCACCTAAGGGGAGTCTCTGAGTCATGTCTAATATGTCTGTGGCATGTTTACTTTTCTTTCCATTTGGGACTAAAACACGACGTCTCAAATGACAACCCGGTGTTTGCCTCTGGAATATGTCGCATGATATTCTTGAAATAGAGACTTCAATAGCCATGTAGATGATCTCACTGTGTCAAACTTATGCGGACGGAGAAGCAATCACCACAGGCAGTTGTCTTCGCATGATTGTCGCGCCACGAAAGGACTTTTAGTTGTCAGGGCCAAGGATTGAGTCGTGACCAGGAGTAAGGATCACAGCTTCATCAATGAGAAACAAATTTTGCTACCATACTGTCTCTGATATCGACGTTGCCATGGTACAATGATCGAATTAAAAGAAAAAAATTGAAAAAGGAAAAAATACAAGACAAAACAAGTCTCCCCCCTTACCCCTTACCAACGCCGTCAATGGCCAGCCCAAGGGTGCTTGGCTGCAAAATATAACTTTTCTGTAGCGCATGGACGGAAAAGAGGCACAATTGAGGCAAAGAAAAGACGTCCCCAGTAGTTTTGAGATGCTCACTGAGTTTGCCCTTAAATTGCTTTTAGCACACTTGTCGTTAATCACATTACTTCGAACGTCAGAAGCCGGGCAGCCAGGATAGCATAATGCCTCTTGCCTTGGAGTTCTAGCGCTGTATTACCTGGTGAGGAACCTGCTTGGTTTCAAACATTCTGACAATACAAATGATGGAAGCATCCACAATGTGGATCTGTCGCAGAAACTGCGGAGAACCCGCCAAATCTTCGGCTAATGGAGATAGAACCGGCTTATACTCGGACAAGATGCTCCCACCTCATTGGTTCAAGATGGCAGTCTTGGAGTCGGGGAACGATACTATGGATCATCACGTCCACTAGACTAGCTGGAGCTTGTCACGTCGTCTCAGATGCAGCTGACGAGCTCTGAAAACAATTTGAGGTAGTCCCGGAGAAGCCTCGGGCGGAGTAAGTCGAGGAGATTGATGCCCAAATGACCATAAATACACAAACATCCGTCATGGCCCTTTACTACGAGCAAACAGCTCATTGGGTAGACATCATCGCCAATATATATCAAGATGCAGAAGACAGACATCGAAGCAGTACTCAATTCTCTCACCCTAGGAGAGAAGGTAAGTGTTATCCTTGTCCAGTGATGCAGACTGCATCGAGATAGCTTCAGTAAACATTGAGTTAACATTGGTCATTTGGCTGACTCATGTCTAAGATCTCCCTTCTCGCAGGTCAGAACTTCTGGGAGACAGTACCAATTCCTGGAAAGGTACCACACATCAAGGTTTGTGGCCACTGTGAATGTCAATGTCGATGGGTATCTGACTTTACGTAGTGTTCAGATGGTCCTAATGGAGCTCGCGGGGCGGATTTTACCGGTGGCACGAAGGCTGCCTGCTTTCCTGCAGCAAGCAACGTTGCAGCAACCTTCGACTTAGACATCGCCAATCGTATTGGCCAAGCCTTGGCCGAGGAGGCCCAGAGTAAGGGTGCTCGGTGTCTGCTAGCACCAACAACATGCATCCACCGTCACCCTCTAGGCGGACGCAACTTCGAGAGCTTCAGCGAAGATCCCTTGTTGGCGGGGAAACTCGCATCCCAAGTCATTCAAGGTGTGCAATCAAAAGGTGTCGCTGCCACCATCAAACACTTCGCTGCAAATGAGCAGGAGACGGAACGCCTGTCAGTAGATGAGACGATCAGCGAGAGAGCACTCCGGGAGATCTACCTTCGTCCCTTCGAAATAGCCGTGAAAGAAGCGAAACCATGGGCTATCATGACCGCCTACAACTCCCTCAATGGCGAACACTGTGACTCAAACATGTTTCTCTTCAAAGTCTTGCGCGGGGACTGGGGTTGGAAAGGTCTCGCCATGAGCGATTGGGGTGGCACGAACTCCACCGCTGAAGCATTGAATGCGGGCTTGGACCTGGAAATGCCGGGCCCTACAAACAAACGAAAAATTCCTGACGTTATTTCTGCCATTAGGGACGGCAAGGTATCCGAGAGCACAATTGACGATAGAGCGCGAACAGTGCTTGAGTTTATTAACAGACTTAAGGCATTCAAAGATCCCATAATTCCACCAGAGAAGGCCATCAACAAGCCAGAGCACCAGGCCTTGATTCGTGAGGCCGGTGCGAAGGGATGCGTTCTTCTCAAAAACGACAATAAAGTACTTCCCCTGAGTAAAGACAAGGTCAAAGGCAAGAAGATCGCAGTTATTGGTCTTGCCAAGACTCCTCTCGCGCATGGCGGTGGTAGTGCAAGTGTCCAGGCACATTATAAGATCGCACCTTTGGACGCTTTGAAAGAAGCCTTTGGTGACTCGACAGATTTGGTATTCGCCAAGGGTGCGCACACAGAGCGCCTGTTGCTGCCAGTCGGCGAAGACGCATCTGCCGGATCCATTATTGGACTAGATGGAAAGCCAGGTTTTACGTTGCAGCTCTTAAACAAGGACACCAACACGGTAGAAGAGACCAAGAACGGTCAGCCATCATCCAATGTGTCTCCAATTGGAAGCCGAGCCACCTTCTTCAAGATAGTAGATCTCATCGGGGATTTCACGCCCGCTGAGACGGGTTCTCATTACTTGGGCTGCACAGGTCTTGGTGTAACCCAGGTTTATATCAACGAGAAGCTGGTTTACGATCAGCCCAAGCCATTTTTAGATGCGATGGGATTCTTGTTTGGCGCAATATCCGAGAAACAGTTCACTCACCCATTTACTGCTGGAACAACCTACCGTATCAAGATTCGCAACTTTCCACCCATAGATGTTCCTGGCTTGGAGATTCTCAACGGAAGACCTGGTGTTCGCCTTGGTCTTCAACTTGCTTCAGCACATGACGCTGATCTGCAAGGTGAGGCATCTGCCATCGCCAAAGACGCTGACTACGCTATCGTTTTTACTGGTCACGATCCCCAATGGGAGACAGAAGGTCAAGATCAAGTTTCCTTCAATCTACCTCGGCAAGGCACGCAGGATGCACTTGTGAGTGCTGTCGCATCCGCAAACCCTAACACCATCGTGGTCAACTCAACGGGCGTCGCTATTGCACTACCTTGGCTGGACCAGGTCGCTGGGTTGGTGCATGCCGGCTTTCCAGGGCAGGAAGTTGGCAACTCCATTGCTGATGTCTTGACGGGCGCTGTCAACCCTGAAGGTCGTCTGCCAATGACATTTCCTAAGCGACTCGAGGATGCTCCCGCGTTCGGCAATTTCCCTGGCGAGTACGTGAACGGCCAGCAGAAGGTCGAGTACAAGGAGGGCGTCTTCGTGGGTTACCGCCATTATGACCGCATTGGAGCTGACAAGGTCAACTTTTCCTTTGGTTATGGCTTGTCGTACACCTCTTTCGAGACAGCTAACCTGCGTGTCTCCCGAAAATCGGAGACGGAGTACTCGGTGACCGTCGATGTTTCGAACACTGGCAGCACGCAGGGTGGTACGCTGGTTCAGGTCTATGGCGGCAACTCCGAAACTAGCGTTGAGCATCCGATTAAGAGCCTCATTGCCTTCAAGAAGATTAGGCTCCAGCCCGATGAAACGCAAACTGTTCAGCTGTCCATCTCTGCAAGGGACCTCGGCTTCTTCGACGAGTCAAAGAACCAATGGGTCGTGCCGGCTGGACAATATAACTTTTCTGTGGGCAACTCAGCCTTGGACATTATTCAAACGGTCAAGGTCGCTGTTGAGGAAGAGCTAACATTTTCTCCCTGAGAAGTTCTCCGATATCAATGAGCCAAGTCTTGCATTGCGCTGGCATGCTTGTTGATTGTAGCGTCTATCTAACGGATTTGAATGGTATTTAATGCGATTGGCACCCATTGCTTTATGATCTGTGGCACGAGGTCATGGCCGTTTATACTTGCTTCGAATATAACAGCGTTTCTGTATTAATCATGTTTTTGAGCTATAAATTGTCTAAATGCATTTGAAGTTTTCAGGATGCCAAAATTTGATAATAGTTAAACTCTATGATTACAACAACTCGGCGGCTTTGTTGTTACCTTTTACCTTTGTGGCCAACGGTCATCATTGCATGTGGATGCCCTGTCACTTTGTCTCAGACTAGTCCAGACCCTATGCTCGATTTAACACCGCATCCAGCGGCGCCAAGTTTTGGCTGGTCTGAATAATCACGCTGTATAGCTCTCTATTGTTTCGATATCTGAGTGAATGCAACTCTATCTTTAATCAAACGCTTTGTGCCCCGAATCCATAGCTTGTGCTGAGATATGTTCCAAAATGACCTCGTCAAAACCATTTCGCTACACAGGCGTCTTCCTGCCTTACAGGGAAATATACACGCAGTACATGTACAAGAGGGGAGAAAAAAGAACCAGCTCTATCCAAGTGGTTCAATCGTTAAAGACTGGAAAACCTCTACGTCAGAAAGGCCCTACTTGAGACAACTATTCTTGAGCCAGGCGCGATTTCTGGATGTCCTTGGTTCACATCACGCTATCTACCAGAACTTCGTATTTCTACATGGGACGATAGCAGCCTGCTGATAGAACAGAACTAATTTCATGACAGGGAGACATGACATACTTTAATATACTGAATATGTGGTAAAAAAGACATTGAGAATGGGAACATTATGCTATTAATTGTAGGTAAAGCATGTATCCCTCTCAAAGAAGCTGTTGGTAATAATGGCAAATGGTAAACATTGTACCGGAGGTGACCTGCCGAGGTTCATCGAACTGGACGGAGCGAGACACTGGCACAAACCTTGAATGTTTCATGGACCAAACCTGAGCGTCTCATGCCTTATATCTGCGATCATACAACGGATTATGATGCACACAAGATCACTTAAGTTAACGAAACTTGTGGGCTCCTTGATCTACTGTACCAGTTTATGCCTATATAAATGGATGTTGTGTCTATGGTAAAGCAGGGGGGCGTGACACCTGGAACCGTGGACATTGTCAAGCCTAACTTCACAGGAAATCATTGGGACTCCTACTTTCTACGAGTACCAACCCTTGATCTGAACCCCGTGCACCATAGTTTTGACCGAAATGCAAACAGCCTCGTGGGCGCTTTGAGGTCATTGTCCGTCCATGAAGCCCATCAACTGACAGGGGGAGATCCGCCATCTAATGACGACCTTGGGCCCGATTATGGTAGTCTTCTCGAGATAGCGCAACAAGAGATGATTCGCATAGCCACTGTCTCTTTGAGGTTATTCAATAAAGCTATAGTTGATGCAGAGAGCGCTGTCGCCGCACACAATCGAAAGCGTAGGAATATTCGTGCGGAGCGGAACCAGAAAACACTGCGTGACTTCAAGATAGACATCTTAGAATTACCTGTGAATGAAGAACACACCCTGGCCAAAGTCATTGATACTTACTATGCGAACCGCGATACACCCGAGCTAGTGCCCTATCAAGATCCTCTTTATGACTGTTCCATGGATGTCGATGACGTTAGCGATAACAATGACGATGTCGATAACGCTGGTAATGCCGATAATGATGCCGATGATGATCTGGATGGGCTTTACAGTTAAGACTGAGCTGCCAATCGCTCTTTTGATGGCTCAAAGCTGGATGTGATCCGCTTAAAGCACGAGCTCGTTTGAATTTCATGCTTCCTGTAGCTAGACTAGTACCAACGTTATACGAATGGAATTATTCGGCTTTACGCGTCCTAAGATATGCTTTGTTCAGGTTATAGGATTTTTTCCTACCATATAATAAGTGCATGACTCATTCAGTGTTATTTTCTCTCAGTCAAATATGGTATACTGTCACAGCTAACGTGTGTGTAAGCCATACCGTGCTACAATCGTACGCCTTCAACGCCAACGATGAGATTGAGATTGGTTCATAACCTCCGACTGTAAAAGTTCTCATTGCTAAGCAAATATCAGCGTAGACCTTGCAGAAACCTCCCCCAGAAACCTGGTTTAGACCCCTTCTTGCTTTTGGCCCTCTTTAGATTCATCGCTTCCTTATCCCGGCTTTTTCTGTTGTCCGACTCCAGTCTACCCTTTCTATACGTGTCATAGCTACCTGCTCTCGACCGTTTCGGACTGCTTCTGATAAAACCCGTTAGTCGTGTCCATGATAGGCCCCAAAGCACACTTGAAGTAGAATTTGGCGGTACTCACTGGCTTTCGTAGCTCATGGTTCCATCCTTTTGAGGCCCAGTCTCGACCGGCGTAGAGTGCCGGACTCGATCAATGACCCTCTCCTTTCGCCTCTTCATATCAGCTGCGCAGTTGCTGCACATGGGCCGACGGCCTTCGATTTCATTGCAGGGAATTGCACAGATCACGCATGGTGCGATCTGGTGCTCTTCCGCGGGCTGGGTTGTGGCCATTTGGGTAAAAAGTGGATGTTTGCATTTGATCACGATGCTGCCGTATATGCATCCGGATGGTGGCAGGGGCCTTGACGGACTCGAAGCGCGTTTTACGTTTGAAATATCGTTCATTGTGACAAACACCCTTGTATGTGATCAATTTCAAGTATGCTTTGTCATGTTCGATGCCCAAAGGTTTATCACCACAAGGTACAACAAACCCGCCCCATGAACTCTTGCACAAAGAAGGAATGTACGGCTGAGAAGAATGGATTCAATATTGAATTATTGCGATCGTCTTGTCGGATTCTATCCAATAACTGGTTCTTATGATGAGTAGCGCATCAACTTGATGTAGCATCTTGAGTGCGCAGGTTGCTGCTGTGGGCTGAAATGCGCATATATTGGGACGCGCTCATAGTTTGCGCAACTTGAAGAAAGATTACACGCATATGTACATATGCCATATTCGATAACCTATTTGAGGATACTGTGCAGGGTGGAAAACTAACTAATGTGTTTTCCCCATACTACCCTAGAGGATGTTTTTCTGGGAGTTTATCACAACCCAACATATAATACACAATCATACAGGGCACCAAGACAGAACAACTCCGAGTGTTACATTTTTTCAGCAGTAGCGATTGACTAGCTGATAGAAATATTCCAGGTAGTCTGGTGATTCTCCAAAGCAGAAAGTGACTAATTTGCCCAATGTTATAGTGTCTCATTCTCGGCGACTTGAGACGGGTGAGTAAGACAATACTATGAGTGAACAAGAGCGCGACTTCAACCGACCAGTCGCGACCGGCAGCGATTCTCCGAGTTTATTTGACTTTACTGTACAAGAGCATCACGTCCATACCCTACTTATCTTGAATCCTCCAGGCACACGGTCTTGGAAAAAGCCGATGGGATCATACTGCGCGGCTACTTCCTTCAAGTATGCCACATTCGTTTCTCCATAAGTAGCAATCGGGTCCTGAGACGGGTTGATGTAGTTCATATACTTCCAAGAAGTGCTTGCGCCTCGCGACTCGATATCAGCTTCGAGTTTCGCAGTCATGCTAGCAAGCTTGTTGTAGAATAGCGTCTCCTGCTCCAGAGTGTCAACTGATATCCAGATCAAGTAAATGATAGAGTCATGCCCCAGAGATTGATCGAGGCCGAGCACATTGTTTGCAATATTCTTGACATAATGCTTTGGGAGTGGCTGGAAGGTTGAGTGGAGGCTGAAGTTCGTTCCGGGGACGAGGTTCTCCATCTTGTCGATGAATGATACGAATTCGTCTGCTACATGGTTCATGACTTCGATATCATTCTGGAAGCAGAATGAGAACCAGACACTTCTACATGAGACAATTAGCCGTAGCACATAAGATGGACGATGACTTTTTGGCTGTATGCCCCGGCTCTGGCAATAAACTAACCGTCGGCCACCAGCAGTCTGGTAATCTGTAATGATCCTCCCATAACTCTTGACTCCTCGCTCATCAATCACAGCTTCCACACCCGTTAAAGGTGCGAATGAGGTAGAGTTCTCATGGCCGTCAGTGTTGATAGCCACTATTGCGATCATTGGAGCAGGTCCCGGGCTTGTGTAGGAGAGAGTCACCAGTTCGGTATCCTCTGGATGCTATAACGACTCGAAATCATTAGTTACTTGCTTCACACAGGACTTGTCGCATCGCGAAGATTAAACTTGCATCGACATTGATATCAATCAGCCTCACAAACTGGTTGAAGACGGCCGCCCTTTTGTCGTAAGCGTAGACAAGCAAACCACCATACAGGTTGCCCTGCTCAAACGCTCGCATATCGAAGCGTGTCACCACGCCAAAGTTATTGCCCCCGCCTTTGAGTGCCTTGAAGAGATTCGGGTTCTCTTTGTCGCTAGCTTGCACGACCGACCCATCGGCAAGGACGACTTCGTAGTTAACGACATCGTCGCATGCGAATCCGCGCTTGCCGGAATAGAAGGACACACCACCGCCTTTACGTTAGATGCAAATCAGCGTTGACCTCTTCGTGTTATCGGATAGATATAAATCATGCTCACTGACCAAGCAATAATCCACCGACACCGACATTGCCCTCGCGCCCTCCCGTCACCGAGCGGCCATATCTTTCGACTTCTGCAAAGACGGATGCCCACCTCGCACCAGTGCCAATCGAGGCGATACCGCCACCTTCTTCTTCTCTGAAGACAGTGGCGTTGATATAGCTCAAATCAATCGTCACGCCGCGCGCGACATTGTTGGATGGCCAGCTGCTGTGGCCGCCACTGCGCAGAGCAACGTCCCAGTTGCCGGCTGGACTGACGCCGGAGAGCGCCGCGACAGCGCGAGATACCTCTTCGGTCGAGACTGTGCCAAGCCAGTCTCAATCAAAAACCTTTCTTTCCTAGTCTTCGACGGAGAGAATTGCCTACCTGGCTTGACTATGCACCATGGCTCTAGAGCCTGGACCGTGCCGGACCAGTACGACTTGATGGTCTCGCCGTACTCAGCGTCCGTGGATACGTATACGCGATCGCTCAGTCCAGCTGCGATCAGCGCATCACACTGTGCGCTGGCGAATTAGCAAATAAAACGTTGCGGGGGGAGGTATCATGCTTACGCCCTTGAAGCCCGTGAGATTCTGGGCCTGTGATGCCGCTGTCATGAGAAATGCCGCTGCGACAGCCAGTAAAGTACTAGGAAGAGCCATTTTGGAGAAGGTAGTGGTTGAATAAAGAGATGACCAAGTGTTCAAAGGGAGGGGAATGATGGCTTCAACTGAAAACCACGTCGATGGCAATATATGCAATGCAGTCTTCCTTGGCTATTGGTGAGTGGTGGAATCCGTGCAGGATTGCGATTCGGTGCATCTGCTTGGACTCAGGCCCCTGCGACTCTCGTATACATTTCCGCATGTAAAGCCGGTGCTGGGCTCCCAAGTCTGGGAAATCTCTCGTGCTACGCAATCAATAATTGCTTCCTACAGTTGTGGATAGGGATCCTTAGTAATGAAAGTCCTGGTGAAATAGTGCCATGCAATACAGACCGTCACTGTGCTACTGCCAAAATGCGTATGGAAAGTATTGTGGTATCCAATTCGCTTTCTAAGCTGTCTGCCACCATCACTACAATTACCTCTTCTTACCCTTTCCACCCTTTCCACCCTTCCCCTTATCGCCACCACCGCCGCCTCCTGAACTCCCACCAACGACCATGACTCTCACCTTTCCCACAGGAATAGTATTGACCGCCTCCTCAGCCTTGAGACTCTTGATGAGCTCCACTTCCCTTGGCCACATGCGCTCTTTGTCCTGGCTGTTTTCGTCCAAGACGCCTTTCTTCGCGCTGACGGCCTTCCAGCCTTCCAAGACTTCCTTGACAGCCTTGCCCTTCTTCTGCGCCCCTGGCTGTAGCTTGACTTTATACTTGAGCTTTCCTAGCGCAGAATAGGGACCGCAGACGACCACTGCTTCCAAGATCTCATCGCCAACCAACGGCGTACCGACCAGACTATCCAGAGGTGTAGCCTTCTCCGCTTCATCTGGCTCAAGGACATCAACGCCCTCTTCGAGCATCATTTTGCGGACTTCTTCATGCTCGGCGGTCTCGCGTTGCTGCTTCTGGTGCTGTGCGCGACGACGTTCCTTAGCAAGTGCTTGGGCCGCCTCGCGTTCTGCTTTGGCTTTAGCCTCAGCCTCCGCTCTCTTTTGACCAGCACTGGCGCCGATAAGTACTTCGATAGCCTCGCGGTCTTCGTCATCCTGATCCTTGTACTTGGCAGCAATCTTCTTCGCTTTGCCTTTCTGGCCACGCTTTGGCTGCTGCTTCTTCTGCTTGTGAGCCTGGGGGGTTGCTGTGCCGGAGGTTGTTGCAGGAGTGTATGTGGCCGATGGTCTGGTGTCTTGCTCATCTTCGGACTCGTCTTCAGCGCCATTTCCTTCGTCTTCGTCTTTTCTTTCTTCGTCTACTGCAGGTGTTTCGGCTGACTGAGGCTCTTTGATGTCTAGCTTGTCTAGCTCTTCAGTGGGCGCAGGCTCTTCATCGGCTTCGAGCTCTTGGCCATCGTTTCCAGCAAACTGTAAAGGATTCGCTCTGTCCTCATGATCGTTGTCCTGCTCATCAGCGGCGTCATCCTCGGGCTCCGTGTAATCTCCGATATCGCTGTCCTCGTCATGAGCTGCAATCCTATCGTCCTCAAGGTCTGTTGTGTTCTCTGTCGCTGAAGGTGCGGGTCTACCGGATTCGGTACCAAGACGGTGCTTGATGTGCTTGGCTTTGCTCTCTTCACTAATTTTGAACATGATTCCAAAACCCAGGATGAGTTGTGCTGGTGGTAAGAAATTCTTCTTTCCGCGGATCATGAAGCTACCTGTAGGTAGGAACTCTCCAGTCGGGGCTGATTTGGACACTTGATCTGCATTGACCCAGTAAGCTCCCATGCCAGCTTTTGAGTCCCAAGCAGATGAAGCGCAAACAGAAAGATGGCCTGCTTGTGAGAGTGTGGATGGTGGGACGGGGGCGTCTGGCGTCTGCGGGTTGTTCTTGATAACCACAGAGGGCGCTCCGTGAAGGTCGGCGTGGACATAAACGTCACCCTTCTTGAGGTAACGACGATATATAATCTCATTTTGCGCAGCATCCTTGCCACCTAACACCAAATATCCGTCGGATGAAATAAACCATATGAATTTCTCGAACCACATCTGCTTTCTAACATGGTGTAGCAGCGGCTTTTCTTGCTTGAGTCCCTTTTTGAGTTCAATGGCAATCTTCTGCTCGGCATTCTTCAGTGCAATTTCTGACTGGGCCGCAGTCTTCTGTTCTTTCACCACAGCCTGTTTCCTCTCTCCGTAATATTCTCTCGCATTGGCCCAAGGCGAGAGACCAAGATTTATTTCAACGGACAGTCTCTTGTCATCGACTCTCTTCGAAGGTGCCGAGCCAAGCAAGTCATCGTCCGAGTCCGAATCGGTTTCGTATGCATCGTCATCATCATCATTGACCTCTGCCTCACCAAGTAGCAAAGTAATTGCGTTCTCAGACAACTTGAGAGGTGAAGCGATGATTTCGGCGACTGGGTTGTTTCGTGTCCGTTCTCTCTCGATGAGTTTACCAATATCTACCCAGTCCATGCCTTGCGCAATGAGACCGTTGACCGCGTCCATGGCTTCTTGGACTCTCTCAGCATTGGCTTGGATGGCGCCTGCTTTTCGCATGTTCAATGTCTGGGCTTCTTGCAATCCTTCAATTCTCTTGGCCTGATCAGCCCTTGCGGCTTCGAGTTTCCTCTTTGCCGCAGCTTCTCTTTCGGACAGCTTCGACTCGAGTTTCTGGCCTTCTATAGAGGAGAAGAACTCGTCGACCATTGCATTGTAGTTGTCGAAGTCTAGCACGTCATATTGCGAGTCCTCCCGGAATTGCTGGGGGACGAAAGGGTGAAAGTCCTCATAGAGCAACCCACTAGAACGCTCTTGGCCATCCTTCTGTTCAGCCGCAGTCTTGGGCGCATCGGGCCTCCTCTTAGCAAAGATGTAACCTTTACAAGTGTCGGAGCTCGTGACGTCCTCCACTGTCTTTCGTGCCTCCTCGAGCGAGCGTAACAAGTGGTCGAGTTGCTCTTCGTTTTCCAGCACAGCAGCAGGTTGCGAGGTCGTGTCGAAGCCATTGGTCTTCAGCGCATGGTCAACCAAGATTGGGGGCAGCTCGGTGATCGTTGTGGCCAGACCCTTTCTGAGCTCATCGCCTGGCTTCTTCTTGATCTTCTTGCCTGCTGCTGTCGCCTTCGCATTCTTGTCCACTACCGTCTGGAGCGCGTTCCGCACCCTTTCCTTGGTCAAATCGGGAACACGGGGATAATTCTGTCGATTCTCTAGCGAGTACGGCAGGCCAGGGCTCTGCGGTTCCTGGCCTTCGCCCTGGGGCACATTGCGCAATAGGGTGAGGATCTTGAGCTCACTGTCCGTCAAGATGACGTTTCCGCTGGCAAAGAATTCCAGGTACAGCCTGTATTGGCCGTCACTGAACTGGAACTCGATGATACGGTCGGTGCCGATCTGCGAAACGGAGGTCAAGCGCCTCGTCTTGAGGTACTTGCGCAGCTTCTGGACGAAGACGGAGGGCGCGGCTGCGGTGGTTCGGGCAAAATCTGTGAGGTGGCATCGGAAACCTGAGTCGATAAGCAACTGCTTCTTGATGTCTGGTTTGGCGAACTTGAAGAGCAGGATCTTGGAGGAGAGATCGTAGATGTTGGATACTCGAAGGGAGACCAAGCTGGCTGAAAGCTCGTGGGCGATGACCTAGGAGCACGATGGGGTCAGTGTGCGAAAGCAGAAGCTGTATGCAAGCGAGGAGGGTCATACTTTCACATCCAGAGACGAGAATCTCTGCTTCATCTTGATCTTTGACCTCTGGAGGCTGTCAGTTGAGGTGGGGGAGTAGTTGGGGCGACAAGATCGCTGCTGGAAGATGTATGAGATGGCGGGGCATCATACTGCACATGGTGCGGGAGGGACGCCGACTATAGCGGGGCACTTTTTTTTGGGTTGTAAATTCGGTCATGACGCATTCGGCAGTGACGTCACGTGCTATACTCTAGGTCATGTAATTGATTCGGCATGTGCATTGCGAACTCTACTTTGACAACCCGAAAGACATGATTGGCTCTATAATGTTGGCCGGGGCGTATGGAGCGTGCTAAGTGTCTGTATTGGTGATGTTTAGCTACAGATATTCAACGCACCAGTTGCGTCAAATCACAACAATCTGCGCACCTGCCGCTTTGTTCCATGCATATTCTCCGGACTTGAAGAAGAAGCAAACGGTAATAGAAGCAGCGCATATACTGCCCTCAATCCAGGAAAACGGATCCCTGCCCAGCTCATGGCTGGGGCAGGCCCACTTGCCCAAGTTCTGCATTTGTTGTCACTATAATTGCGTTCAATCTTGCGTCGGCAACAATTCACAGACCATCAACTGACTTGTATAATGAATAGACCATCCAGCCGCCCCACAGGGCCGGACGATAACATATATCAGCAGAATAACAAAAAACGCCCCATGATCAAAAGTGAAGGCTGAAATAGAAGCGTTGATCTGGGCCATTCCGAGTTGGACAAACACTCAAAACGCTACCACGAAGCGCATCTCAAAAGGATATTGCGACAACAGAAAATCAAAAGACACCCATACCCATCCTAACAGCCTCAAGACGCTGTGTTTGCTCTTGAGTTTGAGCGGCAGAACAACGGGATTCTTTAGCGAAACACTTATACAGCAGTCGGTATATGTGCATAATACATTTGGTCCTGCTTGTATAATTCTTATTCTCGTAACTCAGCCATGAAACGATACTGTTCCCCTCTGCCGTAAAATCTGTGATCGAAGCAGACGGATACCGCGGTTGCTTAGCACTCATAGTAAGTTGCCAGTCAAGGCTTAGCAATCCCACAATACAGTCTGATGGGTCCGACATCTCGTCGCGCAGTTTGACCACAACATAGTCATGCCGAATGTGAAAAGAAATGATAATTTTTTAAAACATAGACGACCACAAACATGATGACGATAACTGTCACGTCGAAGGCAACAATGGCCTATTTGGAGATGAGCGCATGACCAACTGCATAAGGAGTTGACTTACAAGTACACCCGTCACGTCTGGATCATCAAACTTGTCCTCATCAATTTTGCAAATGCCATCACTACTTTGACATTAAATACACATTAATTATAATTCGGATGGAAGCTTCCTCGACTTGTCTATTATAGAGATCAGGTAGAGGCTGTAGAGTTTGTCGATCCCTGATCGAAGAGTGTCGACACTGCCGTGACTGTGAGCCACGAGAAAGACATGGCGAGTAACAGACCAACGGCTACCGCTAACATCATCTGTGGAAACAGTTACGCTTGTGGCAGTATGTTTTCGATTTGTTGAGCAAGTTTACTGAAGTGAGAGGGTATCGGGATGTACCAGCGACCTATTGAGATAGGTAAACAGGTCTATCTATCTACTAAACACATTGTTGAAGTAATCGTCTGTAACATTTAAGTAGCCTTTAAAAGTCAACAATGCAATGATATTCGAAAGAGAAAAAGGATTAGAACTATTATGCGTATATTATTCCTCTAATCTATACCCCCTCACCCTCTCGCCGAGACATTGGAAATGCATGATATTATCGTACAAATTTGGTGAGCTCCTGGTTGTATACATCTTGTGCACTTCGTGTTCATTTTCAAGAGTCCAGGACGGAAACAGAGCTTGGACCATTGAGCGTGGTTGCAACGTTCCTGTTACCCTTTGCTCAGGGCGTCGACGTGATTCTATGAGATGCGTTACGCATACTGACTACGTACGACCAATTGCTACGAGGTTGCGACAGTGAAAGCACAAATCAAGACGCCATCTCGAGTTCCCACGCTGTTTTTCAGCATCACTTCAATTAATCGACATCCCAAGGGGGCTTAGCACAAACGCAGGGGGGGTCGTATCAATCCAATTTTATTTTCAGCTGATGTGGTGCCGCTTGGCGCATACATTTCGCGGCCAGGGCGATTACATCAGCAACTATTCGGCAAATGGCTATACTCAATTTTTGCGAGCATGCTCCGTACAGTGAACGCTTCTCGAGAGACAAGATCTTTTTCCGGACTCGCCGAGTTTCATGTGAATCGGATCATTTGTCGTTATTAAGCGCTCTCGACCGTCTGGAAGCCGAGGCTCCGCCGCGCCGCAACAAGCCTGAGCGACCCCCAATGAGATCTTAGCGCGTTGATGCTCCCGGTCGTCATAGCAACAATAGTGTAGCATCAGGGGTAATTGGGGGAGCCAAGGATCTTGGTTGCATTCAGTCGGTGCGTCGGCACTCTCGAGCGCATTCACTGCGAGGTCGGTCCAGGGAACAACAAAAGCACGGTATCTTCACAGATATCTCGAACTGCTTCATGTCTGCAATTGCACGTGCAATGGGAGGGAGGATGAAGCTCGCATGGACTTTTGATGGCACTAGAAGTCCTAGTTGCTGCAACAGACCTAAAAACTGTGGAGCTATGGTGCGTTTCCAAGCGCAAGAAAAGCAATCGTGCTCTACAACTACAGTACACCTTCTGGCCTGCATAAGCCTCGGGCAATTCCCCAGGTCGCTCCAATGACATCGATCCACGCTCATCGCGTCCTTGGGAGGTGCCTCCTCAGCCCCAAGATCAATGGTCAGCGCGAGGTTGGGAATTATTGATGGTCGAATCGGCGCGCTCTTGATAGCTGAGGCTCCAATTGGGTCGGCATGCCTGAGCGATCATTCCTTGATCAGTGCTGCTACCCAGCCATCTCGAGCTCCATCAATTATGGACTGCAAACAGTACGTACTGCGTACTGGGAGCTCCCCAACCTCCACAAACGCGGTCCCCTGTCGTTGGTATCATCGAAACAGCTTACCCAACCTTCGAGACTGGGACCTCGTTGCACATGCAACTCAAAGTACGAGATCAATACAGACCAATTGGTATTCTTAATGGTCAATTCCTCGTGAGAAGGATGGCAGCAGAGAGATGTCTATCAAGACAGTGCCTATCGTTGTGACAGCTTGGCTCGTGGCGCCAACCCGAGCTTACTAGTGGCTCGTCTCAAAAGTCAATCGACGGCCCAGCGCGTCCAGCTGCAGCTCCAAGCTCCCCATCCTCAAGCTGACACTAATCCCCCAACACCGACAAGAAGTCTCACCCATGCCGCACAAGCTTGATACACATACTGTGCAGGCAGTCCCATTTGGCGGCCCAAGCATATCATCCCGGCTTGCCCGGGTCTCAAGAAGTCTTGGACCAGGCATATTCCCCAGCTGTCTCGTAGAGCAACTCGAGCTACGGAGCCGTATATGGCTGACGCTTTCTGGGGACCGGCTGTGACCGCCCATGGCCCTCAAACGAGGTTGGCAAATACCCAGATACCCAATAGTCCGACGTCCCAGAACCAGAGCTTAGCAGCCCTGGCTTGTTGTGATCAGGCACTCGGGTGCATCCGCGACCTGTGAAAGCGGTAGACAGTGGATAGTCTCCAGGCCAAGTGGAGTGTTGATCAAGTCTCTCCCCAGCCGCTTGACTGTAAATAGGCTGGGATAAACACAAGGCCCACCTCGTGTAAACAACGTTGGACCACAGAAACCCTGCATCGAGGTGCCACGCATCAACTGAACCATTGAAAAGCCAGGACCAGTGCTCCTCCCCCAGCCAGTGCGTCTTCTTCTTTCTCCTCTTCCCATACACCTGCAGACCGCTTTTCAACCCAATCACTACCCAAAAACCCTCTCTCTTCCTTTCCAAACTGAAAGACAGGTAAAAGAAGCACGTCGACCCCGTACGTAGCTTCTCTCCCTTCTTTTCTTTCAGATTATAGAAAGAAGAGCAAGAGGAATCTTCTTGTCTTCCTTTCGTAGTTTCGCGAAAGGTTGTGCGAGGAGGTCTCTCTTAGCGCCATAAAGGTCGGCAATCTGGATTTTGAAGCCAGAGTACCCGTTCCCTTCAGCATCTTCCCTTCGTCTTACAAAGACGAAAAGCCCGCTGAGGCTGCTCAGACCACCACTGTCCAAACCCACGAAGAGGTTGAGATCAAGCTCCCCGAGAAGAAAGCCGGACGGGAAGGTCAATACTCTTCGCCTCAGGCCTCTGTCCACCTTCCTCCTCGCGGAGAGCAACGTTACAGCGAAGAAGAGGTCCGTATAACTCGTGAAGAGAAGCATCACCACCGTCCCGGTGTCCAGCACACGCACTACGAAGAACACGAACGCAGGTTAGTTGCAGTTATTGCGTCCCACAGTCAACGAACAACTCTCCGGTGCATCTCCGACTAACAAGACCCAGACCTGCCAGCGCCTTTTCCGAGACTTACGTCGAGGTAGACCGCCAGCACCGCCCTTCGTACACCGCAATCGATAAGATCGAGCGCGAGTACCGTAGCCGCAACCAGGCCACCTACAAAGAGGACATCCGCGTTTCCGGTACCACCGTAGACGCTCCCAGCCACTTCTCTAGCCACTCCCCCTCCTACGACGAGCAAGTTCGTGTTGAGACTACCGTCGAGTCATCGAAGCCTGCTCCCTCCTACCACAAGGAGACCAAGATCGTTGAGGAAACTGTAGAGTATCCTCGATCTTACCACTCAGGCGCTCAAAAGTCTAGAATGGGATATTACGACGAATCGGGTATGTTAACTTGTGACAACTTGATATCTACGACCGTAGCTAACAGAAGGTTCAAGGACATCATCACTCTATCCGTCACGGACTTCACAAAATGGCCGACAAAGTCTTCCACCACCACGACCACCATGAGGTCAGCGGTGCCCCGAGCGCTTCTCGGTCTTTCGACCAGCCTCGCGGTGTTCCCAACACCGTCACCATCCCTTGCCACCACATCCGCATGGGCGACATCTTGATCCTGCAAGGCCGTCCTTGCCAGGTCATCCGCATCTCTACCTCGGCTGCTACTGGCCAGCACCGCTACCTCGGTGTTGACTTGTTCACCAAGCAGCTGCACGAGGAGTCATCTTTCGTCTCCAACCCCGCCCCCAGCGTTGTTGTCCAGACCATGCTCGGCCCTGTCTTCAAGCAGTACCGTGTCTTGGATATCCAGGATGGCTCCGTTGTCGCCATGACTGAGACTGGCGATGTCAAGACCGGCATCCCCGTCACTGACCAGTCTGGTCTCTGGACCCGCCTCTCCAAGGCTTTCGAGTCTGGTCGCGGCAGCGTCCGTGTTCTTGTCCTCAACGACGGTGGCCGTGAGCTCGTTGTTGATGTCAAGACCATTCACGCCTCAAGCCTTTAAATGTGCAAATACCTAATGCCACTCATGATGTATGGATTATAAACGGAGTCAAGTATCTTTGCATTACATAGGGACATTTCTTGCACATATGGATTAGGCCGGTTAGCTCCTCACATTTTACGTAGAGCTGATGTAGCGATGGATCTTGTGAGGTGGGAAAATTTGTTGTCACGTTATTCGGTAGATAGTATCTCTGTGTATGGCTGGGTAATTGATTGTTCACGTTGTCTACACTTTTGCAAGCAAGCATGTTTATTCGATTGTCTCTGACATTATTGCTCTGGCCTCTTTTCGGATTCGGAGTTCGGTATCACAAATTATCGATTGGAGCTGTCTATCTGCCCTCGTGCCATCAAGGTTGATACATGGCTCCCCAGGTGCTTGAAGGCGAGACACACTACTTGATTGACGCCACCATTGCGGACCAATGACAGCTCTGATTCCCCGCGGCAGGCTTGGTGTTTGGGGTATCACTCGACTCAGGTGCTTGATAAGCTATCTACCTGCTCGACTGGGATATAGCTTGAATCCATAGTGCCGTGTCACGAGGGAGCAGCTTGATGTTGGTTGCTGTTGAGTCTTTCATGCCATCCTCTGTCTGATTGTATTGACACTCGGAAGTCACTGTGACTCGTGTGAGTTGACATTCGGGAACTATCTCGCTGCTTTCTTAGTATACTGCTATATCAACCAAGCTATTGCCTCCACCTATCGTCCAACGCTATAATGGGAGCATATCAGTCCAAGCTCACGCCAGAGGCAGCTTTGCATGAGAAAGCAGTGTTGGAACGACTCCGATCCTTCGCTATGGACGACGATATTGCAGAGGATGTTGCAGAGGATGTTGCAGAGGATGATTTCATCCATGTTGCTGACGAGAAAGTCGGCAGGGTACACTTGTCACGCCAAGCTGAAGGTCTGCCTGTGCAATTGCTCAGCTCGTGGCAGAGCAAGGTGCTTCAGGATTCCAAGAACAGGTACGAACAGCTCCTCAGCATCGTCTAAAGACATGGTGAGCTAACACGATGTGTGCAGACTTGCGCTCTCAGCCCTAAGCGCAGCCAACCCAGTAGAGGTTCTTAGCCAGCGGGCGACCAAGATTGCAGATCAGCACATCTTCAATATCCAGATCCCTTTCGAGGGCGCCCCAATCACTAACCAGCGATCTTCGGGTCGCTGCTGGCTCTTCGCATCCACTAATGTCTTCCGCATTGCCCTGATGCAGAGGTACAACCTCGCTTCCTTCGAGCTGTCCCAGGCCTATCTGTTCTTCTGGGATAAGCTCGAGAAGGCAAACTTCTTTCTCGAGAACATCATCGAACTCGCTGACGAGGACCTCGAGTCGCGCCTCGTGCAGCGTGTCCTCGCCGACCCCGTCAGCGATGGTGGGCAGTGGGACATGGTGTACAACCTCGTGGATAAGTACGGCCTCGTGCCCCAGGCGCTGTACCCGGACAGCTGGAACGCCATGAACAGCCGCGCCGTCAACTACATCGTGGTCGCTAAGCTGCGCGAGTACGCCATCACTTTGCGCAAGCTCGTCCGGTCCCCCTCGGTTACCACCGCGGCCCTGTCGGCCACCAAGCAGAAGATGATGCGCGAGATCCACCTGGTCCTGACGCTCACGCTGGGCCCCCCGCCCAGCGCTTCCGAGAAGTTTCAGTGGACCTTCTCGGATAAGAACGGCAAGGTGCGCACCGTGAGCTTGTCGCCCGTCGAGTTCGCCAAGGACATTGCGTCCCCCGACTTCCGCATCACAAGTTCCGTCATCGCAGGTCACGTCTCGCTCGTCCACGACCCACGGCACGAGCCCCTGAGCCTTCTGTCGGTGGACAGGTTGGGCAACATTGTGGGCGGTCGCGGTATTACCTATATCAACGTGGAGATGAACGCGCTGAAGCAGGCCGTGATATCCATGCTCAAGGCCGGTTTGCCCGTGTTCTTTGGGTCCGACGTGGGCAAGTTCAGCGACCGGGTCGCCGGTATCATGGATTTGGATATCGTGGATTACGCGCTGGGCTTCAACGTGGATATCCTGCGCGGCGGCCTCACGAAGGCCGAGAGGCTCCGGGTCGGAGAGAGCGCCATGACGCATGCGATGGTTCTGACGGCGGTTCATGTCGACGAGAAGACGGGGAAGCCCATCAGATGGCGTGTGCAGAACAGCTGGGGCACCGATGTCGGCGAGAAGGGGTGGTTCGTCATGAGTGATGCGTGGATGGACGAGTTTACGTATCAGGCGGTCGTCGACCCGAGGTTCCTCACGAGGGAGGTCAAGGATGTGCTGAAGAAGGAACCGATTGTGCTGCCGCTCTGGGATCCTATGGGTTCGCTTGCTTGAAAGATCGGGGCGGAACAGTATTATGAGTTTTGGCAATGCCTCTAGGTAGGCACATTATGACCATGTGAACAGACTAATGAACGCTATTTTTGAGGGAAATGGATTTATGAATTTAATCTCAATTTAATCGGTATCCATAGCTGCCTGTTCAACCTCAAAATCCATGCATAAGCTTCTTAGCTGATGATAATAGCCTGGGATCTTCGTGGGTCCATGCGGCTCCATAGCATTCGAACCTTGATATCTCCTATACAGGGATTATGCGCAAACTATCTCCAGCAAAAGCTTGAGGGCCTAGGGGACTCGCATGCAATCAGTTGGTATTGGGTTTTCAATTTGATATTTGTTAGCACTGTGCTTTCTTTTTGGCAAAGTTGTTCAGTTAATATGTGGCATATGTTGAATGTCTGGTGGGAAGATTGTACATAACTGTATGGAAGTTTCCAGACTCCGTGGCCCGAGAAAATATCAAGAGAAATTTGTGTCGTAGCACGGAATTATTTAGCTGCTTATCGGTTGATCTCTCTGTAGTACTAGATGATACGGCCTTGGGTCAGGTTAGCTGCTCCGGCCTCTCCATGCATTCTCTCGTATTCCTAAAGTGTTCTGCCAGAAATCTTTCACGGTGTGCTCTTATTGGTGATGAGACTTGGGCAGCTGAGGACTATGTTTGATCCGCTACCAAGAGGTCGTCGTTGTGTCAAGACGATATGCCATACGACAGATTGTACCCGAGGTCTTGTATATCGATAGGCATCGCGATGGCAGAGATGACAGAAACAACATTGCACAGTCAACAGCGTTGTATTACCACCAGCTGAATTTCCAAATGCATGGTCGAAGCGTGAGGACTTTGAATGAACTGTCCATGTCTTCACAATCCTACGTGTCAGCGTGGATGGGCCCGGAATTAGGACAGCATTGTATTCATTATCGTACAATCTCATCGCTTTGATTTGACAGTTGGGAGATTGGTCACGTATCTTACTTTGCATGATCATCTCTAGTTTTCTCCCATGCACGATTTCTGAATGCTATATGGGAACAATGGTGGAGCCCATACTGTTGTGGATGTCCTGCAACTGCAGGTTGGCTGTTTAACGTACAGGGAGTCCAGAAGGCCGCCTCCCTACATCGACAAGTCTTGTCACTTCCAACTATACTTCATCGGAGTTGCCAGTTTCATCCTGAATCCATGTTAAAGCACGAATGTGACTCTGATACGGCCGATGCAGCCGACCTTAACTTCTGGAGACTTGATTATTGCTGCCGATCGAGCAACGCATTTGCAAGCGGACCTACATCACATAAGAGCTGCTTCCAACATGCATTCCTCACCAAAACTCAAAAGAACTTCTCCTAAATCAAGGCACGGATGGCATTTCTGGGAAAGAAGTCTCCTCGTTCCAAACCAGTGACTTCTTTCTAATCATCATTGTGACCGCTTCCAGGGCATTATTGGCGATGTCAGCCTTTGGTCCACCACTCCGCCAGACAAGTGGCATATTCGGCCAACGTAGCCTGACTTTGGTCGCTGGTTCATGTTCGCCTTAAGCTCTACTATCTACGGTCGAGCAGGCAATATCGCCACAGCCATAGTTAGCCGTACAGTTATGGACATTAGTGCCATGGAATTAATGTGCTGATAGATATCATCCCGCGAGTATTCTTCCCCAACGGAAGTGGCCTCAGTAAATGGGCGCTATATTTGCGTTCTACTCGATTGCTTTGATGCTCGGTCTTGTCATAGGTGGCTTGTTATTTGAGCGTGTTACGTAGAGATGAGCATTTTATTTAAACCTCCCGGTAGGCGATGTCGCCCTTGCTCTTCTGGCGCTCATGTTGAAGGTGCGATACTAGAAGGATTCCTTTAACAGATGTATTAAACGTGTAGACATCAGTGGAAATACTCTGCTAGTCCCCTCGATCGTTCCCATACTTCTCGTGCTTTCTCAGGTGTACTTTACAGCTGGTTAGCAGCGCAAAGATTAACACCACTTATCTTGGGCTTTGTAGGTTCAGCTGGATTTCTCTGGAGACAAGCCATAGTTCCCGAGCCAACAATGCCCTTGAGACTCTTCACCAACAGAACATCACTAGGTGGCTTTCTTCTAACATTCATTCGCTCTATCCTCATGTATTGGATGACCTAATTCCTCCCCGTTTATTTTTAATCGGTTCTTAAAGCAGACCCACCACGTCTAGTTTTTCTCTCCTGCCATTGGTCGTCGTTACGATGGTCTTCTCGTTATCCGTGGGAATCACACTGGCCGAACTTGGGAAGTACCGGCATATCCGTTCTTTCGGGCATGATTACTCTAACCCTGGCCATCGGGCTCCTCTCACACCTAGACCAAAACACATAGATTGCTTCCTAGGCTGAAATCCAGTGCCTTGAGCCCACTGGTATCGGGTTGTTGATGACAACAACGTTGGGAACAATTCAGGCGCCTCTTGCTGAAGCCAATTTCGCCGTCGCTATCGCTATATGGGGATTTATACGCAGCTTTGGCACTGTTTGGGTGGTTGCCATCCCAAGTTCTATCTTTAACTCAAGAGTCGACCAATAAATATGGCGTCTTCAGGATGAAAAGGATGCGAGCAATGCTAGTTGGTGGTGGAGCCTACGGTATCGCCTCGGGCAGTTTCACGAAAGCATTAAACTAAGATCCGGATTTAAAAGCGCAGGTGAAAAGCATATACACAGACAGCCTATGCTTGACTTTACAAGTGGAGACCACATTCGACCTACTAGGCTTCCTTGTTGCGTTTATGGTGATGGAATTGTTTTGTGCACAGAACTTGGAACTGAATTTGGCATGAACCTAAAGGAAGAGCGAAATGATTCGTAAGAGGCTCGGACATGATGCGACAGGGATGCGATGAGAATCTGCTGAAAAGTGGTACATGAGTGCAAGACTGGATTTTTGATACGCCTAGAATTGTGTGTTTTTCCATATATTACAATATCATAAACATAGTTATTGCCTTCACCCACCTTTTTGATCGTCGACGTGTCTCGAACAATGTCCCGCCATAACGGTAGTCTCGACTTCGCCCACCATTTTACATTCTTCATTAATATAATATCAATTATTTTAATTTAAGCGGACGGGATGCCGAAATCCAAGAGCTATGGTCGTACGTGCTCTTTTGGTGATCAAAAATGACTTACATTATTATCAATATCATATGTACTTAAGGGAAATGACCCATGGAGAACCCTGGCCGCTGACGAATGATGTCTTGCTGGGATATAGCGATCACATTCTCCATCCGCCAGAATTTCCTTTAGAGCTTTCTATCTTGTGTTACCTTAGCACCGATCCCTCTGGTAATGATTCCGTAATACGTCACCATGTTGCAAGTAACAATTGAGAGCTGTCAAGCTTGCCCAGTTCATGGAGAAATATACAGCATATGATATATATCGTTATTGTTGCTTATTTTATCAAGCATTACTGTTGCTAATTTAGTGCCCAGCTATTAGGATTCACCTTTTCTCGCCATTTCTTGAGCGTCGGTTGGGTACGATGTGCCGATGAAACAATTTCAGAGCTGGAGATGCATTGAGAATTATGCTGATGTTCCCATTCCATGATCTTCAGGAGGTTCTCTCTGAAGAGCTTCCAACTTGTGTCTCCGACAATAGCGGGAAAGCTATCAAAATCTCGTAGGATCTTATCGTACATTGTGTTGGCATCAAGCTGGTCCAGAAGGTTTTCCTCGTGATGCCTCTTGACATCATCAGGCATTTGGTTTCGTGCATTCCAAAGTTCGTCAAAGTGAATAACCCAATACACGAACCTGAAGAGCTCGAGTGAATTGTCCTCCAGTGGTAATTCCAGTGCCTCCCATAGTCTCAACGCGATATACGAGAACATCGTACGACTTTCCTCCAGGCTGCTGTTGATCACGCGACACCACAGCTGTTCTCTTGAGATTGTGTAGTCGGCAGTCCATGATCTTGAGTGTGAGGGGTCCAAGAGCCCAATCAAGGCGTAAACTCTGTCACGGAGATCTGAACAACGGCATGACCGGAAGTATACCAGTAGCCTGTATAGCTCCATAGGATATCCTGTCTGTTTGCGATTGAACCTCTCACTCGCGAGCCAAACAGTGACGCCGGTCCCCTCATCTTTATCAAGCCACTTCGTCGTCATTGCTTTGACGATGTTGCTCATCTCACGGTCCCACCGAAAACTGTCCGAACCGCAGATCATTATGATCTCCTCGGCGAGAATGAACTCCTGCACAATCCACATGCGCTCAAAGTACGATCTTTGTAACAAAGAGACGACATGTGAACTGTTTTCCGCTAGCAGCATGTCCTTTTCGGTCTTATCTGTGGTCAGGTTGTATGTAGATATAGCCTTGATCGCGGCGTGAGAGTCGTCTGTCTCTGACCCGAGCCACGCAACAACGAACCGTGCGTGGGAATAGATATCCCCCATCAGATTCACCTGATGACCACGTTCCAGTATATCATCCTGGTTGATGCAGATGGCATCGATCCAGAAGTACTTGACCTTAAGGTCAACCTGACGGGTCTTGAGCTGCGACAGTGCCAGCCATAAGCTATTCCGAGCCAAGAGAACTCCGTCGTTGATCACCATTTCATGTCTCGGTGCGTCAATTCCCCACACATAGGAGAGTGCAAAATATGGGGGGCACTCGCTCATGTCGTGTGTCTCTAAGGAAAGTCGAATACCATCTTCATCCACGGTTGCATATTCTTGGAATCGTATCAGCCTGATCTGACGCTTCCCTTTATCCAACGATGTGTAAGTAAATGTAGCCAAGAAATCAGGCAGCGACGACATGATTATCACAGAACTGCAAGAAATTCAATTCCTTGATCAAAAGCGAGTGAATTTGGCAGAAGGTAGTTGTTTCAATTTGACCGTAATGAGTCGCAGATGGATGAATGTGACCTGCATAGTGACAGGCTAAGCCACAAAAAGAGCGCTTACTTGAGCAGCGATTGTGGTTGGTTGGCCTGCAAAAGCTCCTGGGTAGTGGATACATCCCTTTGATATGTACGGGTCTAAGTGCACATAAGAGATTACCAGAGCAGCTTTAAGATAGCTCAATCAGCAACTTCACTTCATTCTGCACATATCTTCTGCCTTCCCAGTATTATTTAGCACAAGCCCGTCTCTCCAGAGTCGCGATCCTCCCACCAACATAAGGCTATAAGGCGTTGGATATCTGGGTCACGCCATCACCGGTTTTTCTCGGACAGCACCGATCTGGACTAGCCCGGTGGTTCTCATGGAGACCCTTTGGAACACAGCGACAGATATATGGTCTTTTGACACCTTGGTAGGATTCCCATTTACCTATCCCGATTACTACGTCGAGACCAGGTCTAACCGTGCTGGTATAAAGGCTCATAAGCTTGATATATGGTGGCAACTTCAATATCTTTCGTCCCAAAGAAGCTCGTGACGGCGACGAAGACTACAGCATTGAAGTAGTGAAGTCACAGTTCCGCAACTTTGGCCCTTTTCCGCTCAATGTTCGAGAGATCGTCTGTGACGAAACTTTCAAGTCGATTGTGTATCTCATGGACTTGATACCACCAGAAGCCACCACGCCATTTCGGATAGTAACGAAACAAGAAGTCACCCTGGAGGACAGAGAGTTCATTTTGAGAATCATGCGAATGAACTGACGTGATCGACCAACAGCCGAGGAACTACTTCAGGACGCATGGTTTGGTTTGGAATGAGTGAGAATGTCCATGAAGGTACATTGCTTCTCCGCTGCAAAGGTGTTTATGAAGCTGTACAGCAAAATCCGCCTCGCATTTTCTGCTCAGGAAAAATTCACTTAACATACAACGCCGAGCTGGTGTCACGCCACCTCCTAAGGACTCAAGTCTTGAGCCGGCACCTATATTCGCAAATGGCTATTGGCAGGCTGCCGTCAGAGATATCGGCGCGAGCAACATGGATTGCGGCGTACTAGGGGTCGTATTTTGTTTCGGGGAGGGAGATTGGGATGAGAGTTGATTCCCTATTATTTAATCTGCAAGCTCAGTTTACTAATAAAATCTAGAAACTATTCCCGTATCGTTTATATATTTATAAAACCTTTTTGCCATGAGCTAAGACTAGGCTAAAATGAGCACGGTATCGGTAGGACCACAAGATGGAGGCTCAGGTGCCCCGCCGACCGGCGACGGCGAGCCGCTGATAAACTTCAACGCCGAGCTTCGGGTCGAGGGTGGCGCTGGGTGTTGAGCGGTATGAGTATGAACGAAAATCATGTTATCTAAGGGCGTGGCGGTCACGCGTTGATAACACCGGTTATGGGTTCCCACGAAGCATACATGCGCAGCTAATACAGATTCTATTCGATCGGAATGACACCCTTCTTGAGGATAATATTTCCGTACTTTCGGGTTTCGCCGGTTGCTACTACCGCGAAAGCCTTCTTGGCTCTTTCGTAGAAGGCGAACCTCTCCAGCTTCTCAATTTCTCCATCGTATGTGAGAGATGATCTGAAGTCGCTCTCGACACTCGCGTCGGCTGTATCGCCCTTGACCACCTCCATCATGATGACCGGCACGACGCCGTAGGTGTCCAGCTCAAACAGCGGCGAGATGCCCGCCAGCAGCTTCGAAACTGTGATACCTAGTGGCAGGGGTCAGACAATGAGCTCCGCGTTGAGGTAAGATGAGTGGCTCCAATCTGACTTACCGTCAGCCCGAAGAACGGGCACTTGAGGCGGGCAAATAGAATGAGAAGGGAAATGCGCATCGGCGAGCACAATCTCATCGCCGTGACCCATCTCAGCCAAGACCTTGAGGAGGTCCGGCGAGATGACGGGTGATATTCCTTTCAAGACCATGTTGACTGTGTACTTTTGCGTTTGTGTTTGTGTTTATGCTTGCGTTTAACGTACTCGAGAAGAGCCTGAGCCGGGTTTTGACTGCCAGTGGTGTTATGCCTCGACGTTGTTTCGCAAAAAGTGGGACGCTTGGGAGTGGTGGCAGATGCGCTTGATTTTAGCGTTGCGCGGTAGTTTGTGAACCGTGTACTGCCTTCGTCCCTGTCATTACGTGGATGTAGAATGGAATCATAATAATATGCAGTTTGCTCGATTGCAAGTTATATAGGCAAAGAGATTAGACTACAATGCCACAATGCTATAATGGAGTTTTACACGATGTATTAAGGTGCGCCTTCTTTTACGATTATTCTACATGTTCCCCCATCTTTGTACTACAAAAAATTAAACCACGGGGAGACTGAATGCTTGCTATAATTCCGTAAGTATACTGTTAGGAAAGAAACATGATACAGATAGCTCCAGCACAATGTCGACAACTCCGAGATGGATGCTTGGCCATATAAGTGATTCGTGATCTGTTGACTCAGTAGAGTTTATTGTATTTGTCATTCGCAATATTTAATCTTCCTAGCGAACGTCAGTTGAGTACAAACTACAGCACCAATATTCATAGACGAGCGTAGATGTACAATCGAAAAGAATGCTATTTCTATCCGACATGTCGGCGCGATGATATCGAGAGGCTACTAATATGATCAACATATCACAATTATTCAAGTCTCATCCACACTACCAGGAAGGACAAGCAAACAGCGCATGATTCGAACCATGTATGTGTCTATCTTGACGGTCGCACTACCATTCTGCTAAGATCAGACACTTCCGTACAGTATACCCTATGACCATCGGACAGAAGCTTTTAGCGAGCAGTGCAGTTGGCGGGGTGTGGTCGTGGATTATTGAGGTGATACCTAGCGGTGTAGGTATCATGTTCATTAACGGGAATATGCTGTTGTGCTCTATCTAAGCCAATAGGTGGCGGCCGATATATGGTAGAGGGCGTAAACATGCTTCGGAGGGGTAGCACTCGGCCGGCATGGTCGCATGAAGCGATACTCGGTGTATCATATCAGCCTGTTAAAGCTCAAGCGGAGACGTGGAGAAGCCTCAGCTACCAAAGGCGATATGGAGACTCGACGACTAACGATTGGGTCTCGTCCTTGGTTTTCTGATGCGGCCGACGGGTGGCATGGCTAAGGTCCTTCCCTGTTCTCTCAAATTACCATAAACGGAAGGGTCAGCAATGAGAAAAGCCCCCATCCTGGGAACTCCTCGAAGGAGATCCTCACCGGAGCCCGAAGCTTTTGATGGACACTCAGGCTTCCAGACCGAGAAACCAAGATTTAACGGGACTGTGAAGATTTTGGTGTATGACATGTTGGCCAGTCATATCACAGGAGCCGTACCATGCCGAGGATGATCTTCGTGCCCAATAAAATACTGCAACTCTGAACTCTAGTGCGGCAAAATCATAACTAGGGTGTTCTCAGGGCAAAGATTTGGCTGACAGCGCACTGCTCATACGATCATCAAGAGACAGCGACTGGCACATGTCCAAGCAACAGCTCCTCATGTAAAAAGTGATTTAAGATCGGCCCGGAAGTAAGTCGCCAGAGCTTGGCCTGCTTGGACTTCGTTCGAGCTCAACGATGTGTTAAAAGTCTGATCTTTTCTCTGAGGGTACCCCTTGCCTAACTGCCCGATCCTCAGCACGATCTTCAGTGACACCGATGGAACCGAAAATCTTGATAGCAGCTCATACAAGGTTTACCCAAGAGTACTCGGATTGTTAAGCTTGCATCCGACTGATGCCAGGTTGAGGCTGTGACTGGTGGTGGTTTTGTAAAGATGAAGTGAGAAAGAGCTGTCCCTTGAAGATCCCTTCCAGGATCAACCTTTTACATGGTAGTAGCGGTTGGGCAGAAGGAAAGACAACCTAGCCCAAACAATTTGGCTAAAGCTTTGTCAGGTGAGAAACGGGACCCGAAACCTTCTCACCGAGACTATTGCATGTAACTACTTCGCTTGTAGAATGTTTGCCGCTTTCCTAGGCAGGGCGATGCTGATAGTCTACGTCCTTGACTGGGAATGGCCTAGTTTGAAGTGCGACTAGGTGAGGCAATTATGATGGTCCCAACGGTCGTACACGGGCCCTGCTGCACATAGTAGCTGCGTTATGATGGACAGTACTGTGCAGAATCAAGTACGTATCGCAAAGAGGGGGGGAAGACGAAGCATTAGACTCTGTGTCCTGTGGGGTGACCCGTGTTCTAGAAATTTTGTCGAAACGGCAGCGCCCATGGAGATGCGTAAGGAAACCCACGCGCCATGGGGATATGCTCCATACATGTTCTATGACAATCCAAAACATCCAAGATTTGCCACAGCTGGATCAATGAAGTTGGGCGTCCATGGGGCTCATGTAATTTTCGTTACGGATATTTCGTAACGCACTATCAAGCCGCGTAAAAGCAGAGCAGGTGCAATTAATCCAGCAAATTCTCGAGCATGAGAAGTGAGACTCGTCCAACTACAATAGTACGTGCAAGCAGTAATTTTTCTTCTTTCTTTTTCCTTTCTAATAAGTGGTTCTACGCTTGTCAAGCTGGGCGGATCTTCTAAAAGTTAGCGATTGGGTTGGGCGCTAACATGATCGAAGCCCAAAGCCGAACTGGGGTTGTTCAACAGGCGCTCCCTAGATATCCTTGCAGCTCATTGAATGTGGTAATACTTGAGATGGAGACAGTTCAGATTAAGGCGGACCCAAGGGAGGAACCGTAACCAGCAACTTGTCCCTTTGAAGCGATACTGTAGTTGCGATGCTTGTACAGTAGGAAGGGAATTGAACAAATCCGCTTCAACCCCAAACGGTTGAGGAAGTCGCTAGGTTTATTAATAGTCTGCTGTTAGCTGAGAGGATTTTGGCAGTGACGGTTAGTGCAGTACCAAAACTACTACCCGGCGTCCATGATCTACTATATCTCTTGTAAGTCCGCAACATAGGATGGTGTCGTCGCCTTACTCTGCGGATTCGCGTAGCCACACCCGCAGAATCTTCCCGAGGGATATGTTGTCGTCGCTGCAGCTGCAGCGCTGTGCTGAGCTGAGCCGTGCTGACATTGGTGCTCGTTACACAGCGGACTCTTGGTAGAGTAGTCGACAGCACTAAGGTCAGGCCGAGAAGGGACCCAAACAACTCGACATGCCAAACTAAGAGAAAGACTATGATACGTTGCACAGGCACAGTTGGTAGAGAAACAGGCCGATCCAAATTGACGGCGGCAGAATTGAGTTCCGTTTCGATGGCTTGACGGAATTACTTGTTGCTGATCACCACCCAAGTCGCCGTGAGACGAGCACTAAAGAGGAATAGAGGCTTGTAAAGTGGTTGTCTTTAGTGCTGTGACGGTCCTTCGGGAACTCAGCCCAGGCTTACAAGCGTCCCGGTGCGCCGTACTCACCCCTGCACCTTTAACGGACTGACGCAATACACCACATGCTTTGTTCCCTTCCTTCCTTTCCCTCTCCCAGGGATCTAATATCTCATGGCTCTGCTGAAACGGACGTCATCGCGTAATCTCCCCAAAGTCCATTCCCGTCTCCATCCCAAAGGCTTGGGTTGCTTGTCCCGTCCGTGCTACCGTTGACATCGATTACCCCTCCACTTGCAAAGCCCCTGCTGAGCCAGGGAGATTCCCGTTGTGCCCTTCCCCCACTCTGTATGCAGAAGCCTTTTCCTGCACTTGCGCTCGCACGAGAAGCGAGCACGAGATAACCTGCTGGTACTGCTCTACATTTCTGCCAAACTGGTCGCGCCTCTGGACTTTCCACAAGTTTTGCTTGTTCGGCTGGTCTTTTCGTGTATCTCTTTCATGGACCGTGAGGGTTCAAATATCTACTAGTTTAGCATCTTCGCTACCCATCTGTATCTACCTGTATCTATCTGTACCTATCCGGCGGCATTGCAACATTAACCGTCCACTAATACGGACGACACTTACAACGAGGGAACGCAGAGCGCCGACCTGCCCGCAGTTCGCAGAATCCCAACAACCAATACTTTCCAGGCAAAGCTCTCGTCTCGACGTTCAAGTGGTCTTGGAGTGGTCAACCTGACGATATTTTGGTTGCCGAACTCTTATTTTGCACTACGCCTATGAGACAGCTTGGTAGGGCTGGCATCGCACCACCTGGCACACACGACATCCGCTGCAGTTTCCAGTGCTCGCTGTTTGTCTGGTGTCATCTCTCACATCTCGAGGGAGTCTTTTGAGCAGAACAACGTCCATACACTGAGACCTGCATCACGAAAGGTCTCGTCTCGTTGTACTCGCTGAGCGTGGTTCGAAACACTCGAACGAGTCTCATCGCGGCTTAGTGGCCCCATCTCCCCTTCGCGCGTGCAATCGCCATCTGCAGCCCGACTGCAATACTGCGTCGGTGCCGTACGTACTTTGTACGTGCAGTGCGTGCGGCCACTTTTCTACCCCACGATAGGCTGGACCCCTACCGCCTTATTGGGTTTCGACCTGCTTCGACGGCACTTGGAAACTCGACGTTGAAGTGCTAAGAAATCAAATTTCCACTCCATCTTGAGCAATACCGCAGCTGGGAAACAAAGCTGCGTCAAAGTCTCGGCGCTTGTAACTCCCTTCTCAACGACGTATAGCGCCACAACTCCTTATGACACAATAATCACCTACTTCTCGCCCCCACGACACGAGATACTATCGCGCACGTATCTGACGCTTCAACTTACGACTTAGCGCACGTGTGGCGTTTTGGTTTGTGTGAGAACGCACAACAAGGTCCCGCTCTCAGGCTGACTGTTCGGTCACCAGTTGAGCTCAGCTTATTGAATTCCTGTCTGAACCCCTCATCCGAGGGCTCATTCGAGTCACCCCCCTCCAAGACAAGATAAGACAAGACAAGACAAAACAAGACAATTTTACTCACAGCCACTCATGAAAGTCGAAGTCGTTGCGTCGCCGAATCAGTCGCCGTACATATTTAATCATTCAATGGCGGACCATCGATACCGGCCGTCAGGGTCGGGGCGACGATCCCCTACGTTTAATCCAGCCCGGGCTTCTTTGCCCGTAGGCGTTGGCTACAATTCACTCTACAACGGGGACCTCCACGCCGTTCCAACGGGCCGGTACGATGCCGCAGTTCCTCGACGCACTGGCGACCACCATCATCGCCCCGCGACAACTACGATTACAACCTATAACGTTACGAAGGAACCTATTTCACGAACCACCAGCCTACGCGATCCTAGCCGGACTCGGCACCGGTCATCAACGATTGATACCGGCTCGGTTAAGCCCATCATCGTAACTACAAACCACAGTCGCCCTCACAATAGCAACACTCCGTCCACGCATACTTCTTCTAGCACATCGCGGAGACCTGAAAGTCCAAGTAGAGACCCCTACAGGTCTAGCGAGGAGACCTATTACACTCAGCCAGCATCTTCAATCCGATCCCGTAGCCACCAACGACATCACAGCGCAAACTATGAGCAGGACGATTTCTACCGAATGAGAGAGCGGATGGGGGGCAATGACCGCCTTCATACCCCTGCAAGACCCCACAGCCGGCAAGGCATGTACGCCAATAATCCGAGGGCCAGCGCCACCGGTTTTGCGGAAGACTATGAATATACCAAGCCAAGTGACCTGGCCAGATACGATCTGGATCATGACCGGCCTCGCAGCCGGGCTGGTCGTCGTGATAGTTTCGACCGTGGCGCAAACTATTATCGACCGTCCGTCAACGTGGTGACGAACGAGGTCGTGAGCCGCCCCGAACGTCGAGCACCCCCTACCTCCGGTGCACTCGATAGGTACAACAAAAACGCCGCGGCCGGTATATATGAGCGAGGGTCTGTGGCAATGCCCGCCCTGCCACCCTCTGTGCCGGCTGCACCACCAGTTGACCCTGCCCGGAGGTCGGGTCTACTCGACCCACCAGCTAGTCCTTCGGTTGATCGGCGAAGTAGCACACGTCCTCGCCCTATCTCGCTGTATCAGGACCCTGCTCCTCGCACGGATGATCTATCGTATCGTCCCCGCGATGAAAGCGTTCTTAGGGACCGCCGCGAGCGTGATCGTGGAGAGGAAATCTACCGCGATGACGCAGTTGCATCACGGGGTTTTGGGCTTCGCCCAGAACTATTGGACCAAGGCGAACACCGTCGTCCCATCGAGCCAGAGCGGCGAGACTTTGACGAGCATCGCTCGCGTAGGGATTACGAGCCTCGTGAACCGAAGCGTAGATCGGACGAAGATCTTGACAAACTGCGAGGTCGCCACGAGCTAAGACCATCTGAAGCCAGAGAGAGACCTCGCGTTGAGGAGAGCAGAGAGCGTAAGGATAATAAAGGCGACAAGATGCGTGACAAGGTTGTTGCAGGATTGGGCGTCGCCGCCGCCGCAATTGGACTCGGTGCAGGCAAAGAAAAGGAGAAAGAAGAAAAAGATGTTCGCGTATCTCCCCGGCGACGAAGGGACTCTGAGCTCGCCGAGCCAGAGCCTCTCGGGTCACGTGCCGCAGATCGCTATAAACCACGCGATGCAGACATCGAACGAAGATCTTCCCCACGTGAGGATCCTGTCGTGGTAGAGCGACGTGGGTCTCCAAAGGAACGCTCTGATCGACGAGAAGAATCTGTTTCTCGTGATCGCGAGAGAGAGCGCGAGAAAGAGCGCGAACGCGAACGCGAACGTGACAGAGAGCGCGAAAAGGAGCGCCAAAGGGAGAAGGAGCGTGAGCGAGAGCGAGAGAGAGATCGTGAGCGGGAAAGAGAACGAGAAATTGATCGGGAGCGAGACCGTAGTCGACGTGATACAGAAGCCAAACTTACCGGCGTGAAATCAAACACGAGGGACGTCTCACCTCATTCGGATGATTCAGCCGCCGGGGCTAGTCGTCGGCGTCATCGTGCTTCTACCTTCGATCCTACTGACACCAAGGGGCTGATGGACTTGAAGGCCGAGCTGGCCGCTATAGACCATGAGAAGCCCAAGGAGAAGGAAAGGCCGACTGCTAGAGGCCGGGAAGCTGAGACTGTCATCCCAGCAGGGCCTGATAGGCAAACCGCCTCAGGTCGAGAACGATCGCGTGGCCGGGATGATTCTCGATCGCGTCATCGGGACGAGTCTCGCAGCCGGGAATTGGCTCTAGTCGACGCTGAGCAGAAGCAAGTCCGCGTTGTATCACCACCACGCGACAAGAAGGACGAGAAGCCAATCAAGGGCATCTTGAAGCAGCCTACATCACAATTTCCTGAGGAGAACAATCCGGTTCGCGAAGGTGTTGCACCCCATAAAGATGACAAGACCAAAAAGGATGTACCCCAGGGTGCTCGTTGGACCAAGATCAATCGTCGAATGGTCAACCCCGAAGCCTTGACAATCGGAAAGGAGCGGTTTGAGGTGCGTGATGACTTTGTCATCGTGCTTCGTGTTCTGAGCAAGGAGGAAATCCAGGCATACGCCACTGCTACTGCTCAATTGCGAGGTCAGTACATTTCTTGACCGCGAACATTACAGATCCCGTACTAATATCCTAGCAGAGATGCGACGTAAGGAACATGAGCGTGACCAGGGTGACCGTGACTCTGATGATCGTGGTCGTGAGCGCGACGAGGAAGACCGCAGAAGACGTCATCGGCACCGTCGCGAAGAGGAGGAAGGCGCCAGAGACCGTGATGCAGATCGTGACCGTGATCGCCATCGTCGTCAGAGACGTGACGATGAAGTCGAAAAGCCCCTCGCCCTCGAGTACGACGATCACAGCCGTCACCACCATCAGCGTTCTTACCGGGACAGGGACCTGGAGACTATTGCGAGCAGCACTGATGATAGGAGATGAACCTCTTGAAGAGTAATTGGATATTTCATGTTTTGGTTCTGCATTTGGAGCGATATAGAAGGATTTCGGCAATTTTTGACAGAGATACCATAGCATGTACGAGGCAGGGCATTAACAAAAGGCATGTAACTGGGCGATTGAGCGATTATAGTTGAAGTCTAGGGTTAATCTTTTCTTGTTTTGTATGAACAGAGGGCAATGGGAGAAAGTCATGTACGATCTCGTGTCAAATTTTTGGATTGGCCAATGCTAAATACATTTTCCTGGAACGAAACTCATGCTGATATCCATATTATGGATTTATCTATCGTGATGATGTCCCATGTTGTATCAATGACACCAAAAGACTGTTTGCCTTCCTGTGCGGACTCGATCCGAGACCCGGCGTCCGTAGGCATCAATAACCGTACTAAAAGGATGGCCGGCTTCGCATTGGATTACTCCGGAGCAAACGTCGTGCGATCTTGAGGTTCAACGAGGAAACTGTTTGTCCTGTCGGGCAGCATCAGCCCCCTCCCGATCGATCAAACCCCAAGAGGGAGCTCCTAGTCAGAGTATCGTGTATTTGGCGACAAGAGTGAGGGGTGATGTTACACGAGAGACTCCCAGGCGTCTCCTTGGAGTTTGTTTGGCCTGGTCGAATGACCTCGGCTGGGGAGAGCCTTGCCTGCGTGATCCCGTCTTGTGTCTCGGCTGGCGACAAGCACGGCGTTGGTTGTTGGGCGTTGGTTGTTGGGCGTTGGTCGTTGGTCGTTGGTCGTTGATCGTTGGTCGTTGGTCGTTGATCGTTGGTCGCTGGGCCTGATGGTCTTTGCTGGTTCTTGATGTTCCGATGTGACTAGCGGTGTAGAACAAACATGAAAAATTAAGGTCAAGTCAGATGATCCTCATTGATGGGGCGTTGGTAAGCCTTGAAGATGTGGATAGATATTGTTAAGGCCGGAGTTTGGTTCGTTATGTCTGATGTTCACGAGACTTTCAGTAATTTCGGAAACCACTGTGGTCCATTCTAGGCTGGCATGAGTTGTTAGATGCCGAGTCATCTTGTGGAAGCATCTGAGCGACGAGTTTGCTACTGGCTGTGTCTGGTAATAGGTCGAGAGTCATCATCATCAAGTATCAGTGGGTCAATTTTACGAGTGCAAGCAAGAATTTGACCCTTTTTAAAACAATATGGCCTCAGCACGTGGTATTCTCTGCTTTTATTCCCGTTCTTCAAGTGGGTTTCTCTAGATCTAGATACCTTTTTCGTTTTCTGTATCCTCGCAACTCCGTAGTTGGAATATTTCCCCATAGCCTCGTCAATCTCTGCTCCAGTAATCAAGCAGACAGCAACATGCCATCGTCCAGGCTACGGAAGCGACCACGCTTTCGCCGCGGCCGTGGCGACAAGCCAAATTGGAATATCCCCCTCTCTCAACAATTACACAGCCACCAACAACGTATGACTCCTTGGGGCCCTGTCAGCATCAGGACAGTGCAGGACTTTGGACTCCCTTGGCCAGATGGGACCACGACCAACCATCCGAGCACAATATCGCCACCATGTTTTTCACTGCAGTCGCCTTACATGATGGACACGGATTCGCAGCAGTTTCAGCTTTTGGACTACTATCCTTCTCCGCGGCAAGGTTGTTGTTGCTGCTGCTGCTGCTGCTGCTGCTGCTGTTGCTGAAGGTGATTAGGGATGAAACGCCATACTTGGAGATGAGGCCTCTTCGACAAGAGTACACCTTGAGACTCTGAGTTTCTTATTAACGAGCTCCAGTTGCAGCTAGAGACAAGGGGAACATCTTGCTGTTATCTCTATAGTGTTTTGGGGCATTTCGTTGAAGGTGTTTCTTTGGGCTTGAAGATAGGGGAATTGTAGGAACGGGATTGGCATTTCTAATCTTATATGCCGTCCTCAATGAAGCGAATAATATCGATTGGAAGCTAGAATTTGTCAGTGATCATGACTATCTTTTCACACAAAAAGTGGTGACGAGATCAGGGCTACATGGTGGAATCACAGAATGCATGTGTTTATGATCTATTCTCAAAGGAAATTTTGAAGAACTTGGTGATTCCAGTACGATGTCACATCATAGAAAACCAGTAGCTTTGGCACCAGTACTACTATACTACACTATCATCTACGAGACCGGACATCCTCTTGTACACATAGTGAAGCAGACGCTTCGGTTGCTTGGCCTGTGATTACATTGGTCGTGTATCTCTGAGCAGGCTACTCAAATCTGTTTCATAGTACATTTTTCTGGATTTATGAAACGATCATTCCCTCAAAGATGAGACTAGTGTTGGTATCGCGTGTAAATGCTAATGGTCCCTTCTTGAAAGTGATACAAGAGCTATACTCTGTACTCATGCTACTATTCCTACTATGTACGCTCAGCTTGGACCATTTGAACGTGCTGCGCCATACTCGGCCCGAGATTCCCTGCCTCAACGATGTAATCCCTGCTCTGTGGTGGCTTGCTTATTCTATCATTGCAGCACCGACGTCAAATCAGAATAAGATTGATGACATTTAACGACATTTGACATAAGATCTTCGTTTGCTCATCGGTAGCTCGTTTCATCTTCCAATAGAATATGATGCTCGGTCGAACATTTCGCCCGTCTATAATCACATTGATAACAAGTTTCTGAAGCTCGAGCCATACTGCATCAAGATCGCCCGAGTTTCAAATTGTTGTTCATTTCCAAGGATATCATCCAGTACACTTTCGTCCGGTCATTAAACAGAGGCTGTCTTTACATGACTATCGATTTCCCTTTTCGGCCAGCCTTTTCCAAACCCAGTACTCCGTATTAGCAAGCAGAACCCCCACAGCGGATAAGCATGCCTGTTCACAAATTGTGGACATCATCTGGTCCTACTGTAGCGCTCAAATCCCTGAGATGTACGTACCCCCGAATCATGCACGACGTGCTGGTTTTGACAGTCGATAAGCTCCCACACATGAACCGCATCGCCAAAGCACGTATTCTCAGGAACCCCCGAACGCGGCTATGTACAATCTGTCTTGTACAAAGCCTGTGCAGGGGAGGTTCTGCTGACAGACATCGAGTCCAGCTCTCGTGCATAAAGATATGCAGTATTGCCGTAGTACACATGAAGATCCATGAGCTACAAAACAGGTTCAAAAACTGAGGACGCAGTCATCGAGAGCCTCGATAAAGATTTCTGTGACCTCACGCATTGTTGGTTCTGCTGCAGGAACAGTTGGTCCCGAATGCAACGTGATGATTCTATTCCAAACATGATTCTATACACGGCGCGTCATGCGCAGTACCTTGGGTCACTCACGCGTTCGAGACGAACGACCCTCCGGAACTAATTATGATGGCTCGGCCGGTAGGGGGCGTCCCGCTATCACGATAGTCAAGGAACGATACTTCCCAGGCCAAGCCTGGAGCTTTTCGGTACTTGATCCTTCTGGGGACATATCTCGGTGGTTTTAGTAAAGAAAAGCCCATCGAGCTAGGCTGTAGAAGGCAATGTGTCCTCCAGTAAGCTCCAAGGTCCGTACGAGCGAATGGAACGCCACTTGGAACAAAGACTGTGTTGAAAAGAACCAGTAGACACCAGAACCGTGACCAGTTTGCAGTACTCCATACCGGGTGTGCCCACGAAATCAGTAAGGCCAAGCACCAGAAAGCAGGGAATCGGTCAAGAGCGCCACGGGGACACCGCGGCTGCGTGAATGGTGCAGCACCCTCCAAGTTCTGCTTGCGCCGTAGTCCCCATGCCAATGCTCGCTCCCTGCTGGCTGGAAGAAGCCGTTGGGCCCCAGCAAACAAAATGGAGCCAGAGAAAGAATCGAAATGCAAGGCTCAGGAGGATCCTCCCTTGGGAACTCTGGGATCGTTCCCCGCGCTTACGTGGTGGAGGGCTCCCTTGTAAGATGATTTCGTAAACAAGGGTTGCTTTGCTGATGGTGGTTGTAGAGGTGTGAGTGCGTGTGTGTGTGTGTGTGTGTGTGTGTGTGTGTGCCCGCACTCCTGCTCCATCTTGATTTCCACCCCTCCCCTTGGCGAATGGCAGTACTGTGGATATAGGAGGGCCGGGGCTCCCGGTCTCGCTTGACCGGGGGAGCAGTGACTTTTTGCTCGGTAACGAGATCAGTCCCCCTGCTCTCAAGATGCAGAAAGGATTTGTCCTTTGATCATGTTTAAAGAATCTTATCACAGTTCAGGAACAAGCACAATCGCAAAGTTTCAACTTGATGCAATCGAAGTATTCTAGGCCTCGCCGTAGTTTCGTGGTCTTGTTCTGTTTCACAACCTAATTTAGCTGATACACATAATGTGTGATGGACAAGCGACGTTTGTGGCCGGAGAATTTTTGTGTTTCAATTAGCCCGGTTCTGTCAACCCATGTAACTGATATAGTCTAATTCCACTTCCTATAGTTACCTTTTATAAGGCACGCTCATTATCAAACTATTCGGAGGAGGCTACGTCAGGCTATGGGTAGGCTTCGTCATCAATTTTCGAGACACGGCTCCTCAATACTGGTAGATTCATTTCGGCTGCAGAAATATCGGTGATGAGCATAGACTGTCAAGACGCATTGCTGAATAAATGGATCACGGTAGTTGCTGTTGAGGTGGCTCGGGCACGAACCTTGTCCGAGTATACATACAGTCCTGAAAGCCATGCCAACACTGATGCAAATACAACGATAGATCGGGAAGTCGTATTTTAGACGGATCAACGCCTTCCTGCCATAGTACTCAAGTGCGGAGTTGTATCGTTTGCATACATTAATGATGGTAGAGTTGAGACTATGAAAAATTGGACGTCCGTTGTTGACCACCATAGGAACTTTTGATCATGGACCGATGATAGTAATCAGTAAGACATGCCCTGCATAAAAAGATGTGGCCGTTGTTGCCACTGTTATTGCCAAATTTTTATGGTGCTGTCCAACAGGTCTTATGAACAGGTTGCAACCTGTTCACACCGTGCGTTTGCAATTCATAATCTGTAATGAACATTGTTGTTCAAGATTGTCCAGTAAAGCATCAGTGGCAAGTCTTTCAGCTTTGAGGCTTGAGGTCGATTGGATCTCAATTTTTACTTCTAGGTAGTATTGATATGCAGGTAGCGGCTGCAGTTCTGGATATAGTCAGGAAGGGGCAAACATATTCACCCTGCCAGGCCTGCCATATTAGTTTTTGAAGCTTGGGTGTCAACCAGTCATCTTGAATACTGGAAAGTCTATTCGTGGTGGCCAGGTGGCGCAGAAGGTGGTACCGAACATCATCAGAATTGCTTCTTTTGTTGGGGTCGTTCGTGATGCCGTTCACGAGATGGCTGTAGTCTCGGGTAGGCGTCGGATCCGGCGCAAGATATTGCTTTTTAGATATTAGATGACATATTATCGTTAACAACGCTACATGAGCCTGTCGCCAAGATATTTTAGGTAGAAGATACGGTCTTGAATATCGGTGGTTGAAGCTTGGGACTGGAGTTTGAACGAAGTCAAAATTTGTAAAGACATCAAGTCTCGACAAGGAGGAGGTTGATTGCTGCTCAACGGAACATGGCAGACTCGAGTACCCCCTGACCTATTTAAGCTCAACCCCCCCATCTGTCAGGGTTTAGTCTTTGCAGCAAGATCGCTGATATTCAAATGTGGTGACCAGTTTGCCGGAACCTAAACGACTGCATATGTAGACAGCGACCAGGGCTCCTTCTTGGCCGTGAGTGTCTCAGATGGCCTCGTCAACATAAACGGGAAGTCGGGCCAATCTCTCCCAAACGGTTTCACAGCAGCATCGCAAAGAAACTCTTTGGTGCGCAATGCAAGCCCGCTGGCGTCTGGTATGCGTAGCCATGATTTGTCTCCAGGGGTTATCCTGAGTGCCTGGCATTAAGGAACCTCAGCATACTAAGTAGTCGTTGAGACTGAGTAGGACGGCGGCAGCCACAGATCGCACTCTCATTAAAAAACACGTAGAGATACAAGTACCCTAGAAGATAACATCGTATGCACTGTCTCGATCGATCATGAGGGCTGGTGAGGACAATACAGGCGTCGTATCACGAAAACACTACATTTGCGATGTCCCCCCTTGCAAGATATTTGTCCCTTTACGTTCACACCGCAACAGATCACGGTCTAGAACAAAGTCATTTGATTCGCTTCAATGGATTTCCCGTGGCTGCATCTCACCTCAAAAAACGCGTTGCCCACCACTATCGGGCTGCTACAAAAGTCCTTCAAGAGATGCCCACTGGACTTGTGAGTTGTGGAGCAGTAACGAAGGACGTTGCAGCTTCGGGTTCCACATTCGCAAAACGAAAGCTCATTGACGGCGAATGGATTCCAGGCCGGCAATCCTTTACATGCCATCGGGTTCACGAGATTGTGGCGCGAGAGCGAGGGCCTGGAAGCAAAGTGAATAGAATTAGCGGTACCGCACCATCACCGGCACGCTGCCGCGGGCTGCAGGACTTCCTTGAAACCAAAGGAGATGATTGCTCTTTTCGATTAATCTTCCGGGAGTGACGGAAAGAAATAGGACGTACTATGTAAGAGGAATATTGAGCGAGATAACAAGACTTTCCGCAAAGCAGAATATCATACCAATAAGTGGATATGCCAATTACTTCGATAAAGCAAATCCATCTGAACTTGCTAAGCGAGGCACAGATCTGACAGGAACATCCATGTTCGCAGCTAAGTCTCGCACAAGATATGGGTCCAGCTGTGCTAATAACACACCGACAATGACACCATTTTTGCATGCGGTCTAGACTTTTTCATGCTAGAATTACATAGTAAGTACCAAATAAGTGCCAACTGTCGAGTAAGGACCTTGAATCCCTGAAAGCCTTATTTCGGGGAAGTTAACTATGACGAGGCACAAGGCTGTCAACAGTTAGCAGATGGTCAAGAAGGAAGAGGTCATGCCGATCCGCCCGCCTTCATGAGGCCCGACTTGGCGGTGTTCGTGTCAGAACGAATCGCGTGGTTCGGCTCGAAGCTCTAGAAAGTTGGTTCACGTGTATTGCATAATATGAGACTGCTATGCAGTCTCAATGCTCTAAGTCGTCTTTTGAGATAGATCTCGTGGCGCTATTTTTGACTTCGCGACTAGCATTAGAGACCATGTCTCTGCCCATTGCACGTTTTGCGGAAGCATGGCTGCAAGCCCAATACCAGGAAGCAAAGACGGGGGGGGGGGGGGGTTGGTAAATTCCCGAGTTCCTGGCGTCTACAAGGGCATTTCCCCAAGTGGCCGTTGAGAAAAAGAATGGTGCTTGTCTTGCTCGCAAGCTTGTGTGGCCAGCAATTCGTTTTTTAAGACTTGAGCTAGAGTGTGTGAGCAGGAGCGAAGCCAGGATGAGGGATCGATATGCAATCCTGGAAGGTCGAGCAAGCAAGCCATGCCAAAAAGTAGTGCACCCGCTGTTGCTGTCGTACTTGGTACACCCCTTGTTCCTAAAGGTGCATGCCTGCATGCTGCCCAGCTACCTAGTAGGTTACATAGTACCACACACTCTTTTGAAAAGGCGGATAGCTCCCACATTCCTGGTGAGGTTGCAAGTTTTTGCCAGGGTGGCAATTGGGATCACGGAAGGGCAAATGTCTCCTCAGCTCGATCCTTGACCGATTCGCAGTGGGGTTTCAACGTGAAGGGGCAACCAACACAAGCAGTCAATGGTGGGGACGCTGGCACAAATCATAACGCTGGTAGCAGGACAGTGTGGTTGGCAGTCGATGCAATACATACCAAAGCTCTGGAATTGTTGCATTGCCATTGGCGCCAACTGTTTTGTGGGAGGTCTCTAAGGCCGTTGCTTTCCATACGTGATGATTCGTAGCTGGTGTAGTGAGAAGTGCTACTAGCATGATCGTAGCTAATCCACGTTGCGGCAACGTGCGACGGCTCGATCATCAGGCTATTGAGGTAGGGACCACCCCCAGCAAAACCGCTAGTCTCTCGTTAGTTCGCCATGTCAGTTTACAATAGTGAGATCTGCTGTGATGGCTTTGCAAGTTTGCTTTCCTTTCGATGTTGTGGAATCTATCATCTGGCGACTCGCTGCAGCTTCTTCGTACGTAGGCTTGTATGTCAGTATCGACGGTTCAATTGCAATAAGATCGGTATAACATTAATTTATTCGGTGCCCCTCACTGCGGGATGAGGTTTAGCGCTGTGTTTAAATTCCCATCAAGTTTGTGCCCAAGATTGTGATCTCGAAGAACCCTAAAGCAACCAAGATTAATGGTTCACGATGTTTGCAATTGTGCATCTCACTTTTGCTGGCAAACGCCAGGGTAGATCTGCCGGTCAAGGATTGATGCAGGCACTACATCGTGCGTCTTGTTAACGGCTCTTGGCAGGCAGTGGCCGCTGTAAAATACACTTGGAGCATATTTAAACTTGATTTATACACAAATGTGACTCCACAGAACAGCAACATGCGCTGGTTTGAGGACTTGCGAATTTGAGAGATTCTCTCATCGTTAGACAAGCAGCGCAGCGCCGTGAACAGAACCTGGCAGTTTCAACTCCTCGATTCAAGACAATTGATGGGGCAAGGCGGGAAGCAGGGCCTAAATGCCTGCACGCCATTCCCATTAGCGTTTAGAGCGAGGAAGACATCTTTAGAATATTAATAGCACATCTTGGTACCAAGTAGTCACGTTCATCAGCAGGCTTGTGTCTCAAGACAGTTGTGGTTACAGTAGCTATGGCACTATGCGTTCCAGAACCAATCCGAAAGAAGGGATCAGAGCATCGCGCTGAAAACACAATGTCATAATGCACTTTCTCGCGCCCTCGCTTAAACTCGAGTCCCAAATCTACGGTTCGAGGAAGCAAGCTGCAGGCTGGACTGTTCTTGAACAGGAAGGTGCTATACTGGATGGATGCGAATGCCTACAGCTGCGATATAGATGACGCAGCTATGCTACAGTAGCAACAACATGTACTCAGAACATACCTAAGGTCACATGCCACATCCTACGTGACTATCCTGTACCGGACTGTGTTCGCCAACGGGAGTATGTATTTTTTGCAGTCAATGGGGCCTGGCACTGATGTTCCGAAGTACCTGATTTTAGTGTCACGCTGAGCGCCGCCCTCACGGTCAAAGGCGAGCGGCTATGGTCTAAAAGCAGAAATAGTCATCTCCGCACGTGCATGTGCAACTCTTCAAGCCGCAACATCATTGACGGGATTCTGCTGGCTTACGAGTCGCCTAAAATTACAAGAAATATTGACGTCGGAGAAATTGTTTTCGTCATTAGAGAGTCAGGCGACAAGTTCGAGTTCGATACTACGTGAGATCAACCCGCGTAACATCAATTGTATACCCTAGAATGCGATTGGCGGCCCCCAGTAATGTGGGCTGTATGCGTTCATCGGGAGGGAACACCACCGATCAGAACAAAACACATCCACCGCCGGTGTCCGAACTGTTTTTGTCATATGTCAACCGAGGTGCAAAGCCCTTTAGGATACTGTAGCAGCCATCGGCCGCTTTACTTAGAACCACGCCGTCCCGTTCGCCATGTTCCCTCACCGGTCATTAGGCTGAGACAGCCTGGACGAAGCGTATCCAGCTGTCTCAACTAGAAACAAGCGTAACAACTTAGTAAGATCAACAATTCTGTCATATTAACCAAGCATGCAATCATGTAGGCGCGAGCCGCATGTAGAACAAGACGTATGCCACAACGTAACTTGATGGCGTTCTTCATACCGGGTACCGCTCATCGACTAGACACTGATATCGTCATAGCATTCAGACTGTGCAACGGGACCCAATACAGTAATATTCTTTGAAGCCCGCCAGGAAATGTTGTACCATCTCATGTTTCTGCCCGGACATGTAACATTGGCTAAGCAGAGAGCGTATTTTGACCAAGGAATCGCTGCTATAACCTGTGTCACACGCACTGATGCTAGAATTCGTTTTTCATGACAACCATGAATTTACTATAAAGATAATCGGAGTGCATGTCCAGCGACCTTTTGTGGCCCATCCGGTCACATCTATCAGCGCTGATAAGTAGTGAGGCAACACCCACGCAGCACACGCCGCCGCCTGGGGTGGTGTATGCCGGCATCAGAATCTATGTAGGGGGTTAACTTAGTTCTAATGCAAAGTACTATCTCAAGTACTTTAGCTAAGAGGCAATATCCGGTACCACGCCTGCCACGTTAGTTGATTGGCGTACTTGGTATAGTTTGTGTCCACATTCCTTCCCGACGAACCGCGCTATGCAGTATTCGTTACTGGTGCGTGGGGAGAGTTATTTTGCGTTTTATCAATGAGTTATGGGATTGACATGATGGAATTGGTCGTCAATCGTCTCGTCTGCATAATCCTGCAGAAGATCGCAATTGTGGTGTCATACGAATTCCCAGCACGTACCAACGGCAATTCCAGTCTGCTGGTAACTGAAGTGTACCTGCGGCGAAGGGTCTTCCGTATTGAGCTTGGTTTTGTCTACCTAATCTCGAAGTTTGGAAGAGAAGCTGTCCTTGTTCATGTCGTTCTGCATTAGTGATATTTCCACTGACCCAAGTCTCTGTTATTCCCTGTTAGGTGGACATGGGTTAGCCCGAACATGGTCTCGTCCCCACTGCCGTGTGTCTCTGGGACTGTAAGCTCCCGCGCTTCGATGGTGTTTCTTGCCTTGACTTGATGAACATGTAGACAGCGCATGAGCGCAGATCATGCAGAATACTACCCTCTCTGAACGCTCTACATAGCTACTCTCGCATAGGTCTAATCGGCACAATTCAACTGGCCACATGGCAAGTCTTGAAAGTTCCAAGATTGGCTTTGAATTACATGGTAAACCCATTGGCTCTAGTCTAGACTAAGGCTGGACCGAGCATGGCAATTTTTTCGTACTGTATGGACAACTAGAAGATTGTGAGTACATACTGTCTGTAGTGAGGGCAATAGTGTCTTTATTTCTGGGAATTCGCGTCCGGCACAAAACTCAAAGCTGTGGCTTCCCTGCAGGTTTCTGCGATTGGGACGGGACCGTTTACCTTGCCCCTGCGCCTTGCCTCTTCAGCACCTTGCAGCGGCGTGGGAGTCGTGGGCCCCCCCCCTGACATTACATGCCCAAGCCCGCTTCTGCTTCTGCTTCTGCGCAGGCCTGCTCGGGTCTTTCCCTCCACTACAAATGACCCGTTCTTGCTTGACTTTCCTTCTCAACGGCTGCTGGTGCGCCTCCACTGACCACGGTCCCTTGTCCTGCTTTCTTGTCATCCTGGTCCATCTTTCGACTTTCAACATCCAAACATCACAGCCACGCGAATCAGGATATCAGAGTTGCAAAGCGTTTCTCGAACATCAGAGCCTACTGCTCGATTCTAAGACCGCTCTACCCAAAGACTTTTCCTATTTGTCTTCAAACCTTGGCCAAAAACCTTCTCGTTGCGAAGTCACCAAGTTGGCCGTCACATATCGCTTCGCGCATCTGAATGGTCATATAAGTTGTCGCTGCAATCCTAAAACATTAAGCACCGCCGCTCGTCTTGGAAGCTGTTACTTGTCGCGTCGCGTCGCTCGACCACCTGATGTATCAGAATCTTCACATCTCCTGGTCATTTCTCGAACGTCACTAAATACAGGAAAGTTTGCAAGGTGAGTCGAAACTATCCCGAGAGCCTACACTGTCTCCAGCGATACACAGTTCTAGCTACATCTTGTCTTGCAATATCTGAGCCTAATACCCCCATGTCCCCATCGACTTTGGCACTTATCTCCATGCCTGCCATGATCAATCTTACACATCTATAATCATTCGAGTACCGGCTCCAAGTATTGACATGAGTCTAGGTTGAGCGCAACCCTACGTAAACTGTGTCCAGCCCAACTTAAATATATCGTTTTTCGACCTTGATCGTACGCACAGAGTGACGCAGATTTAGAATCTACTTAGATCTCCTAGTCTTCAGGTATGTGGGAACGGCTCATGCTAACACACTGTTTCCTTTTTCCCGTAACCACATGCGCAAGTCTCAGCGTTTGTCGAATTTGAAGCATGGCGCGGTCCGTCCACGCGCTCGCCACGAGTTTTTGCACCTCAAGGTCTCACTTATTCCGCAAGCCATGCGGTTAGTGGAATTGCACTCCAAAGATTCAGTAGAGCTTTAGCACCATGGCAATGAGATGGAGCTTGTCTTCATCTGGTTGCTAATGTGTACAGTGTTAGGATCATTCCTATGTCGAATTGTCTTTCTTCTTTCCCGCCGCGTGCTCTGGTTCTCAGACTCTAATGTTCTATGGCAGCATCCAGTTGTAGTTGCAACTAAGTTCGTCATTGTGAACGGTCATCCCTGCAGGCCTTCCCGTTACCGTCACTGAACCCCTGAGGGTCTGAAGTTTCCCCACGACGAAGCCGCGGCTAGTCGTCTTTACAGATCACCTACCAGCAAGATTATACGACAACACAAGACCAGATAAACAAACGGGACGGATTCGGTTTAATTCAACCCCAGCTGTTGACGGCATTTGTGCGAGAAGAACACAGGCTTGTTTCGACATCTGTCGAGCGCTATCTTATATCAGCGCAGCGTCCTCAACTTTCAAAAGAAAGATATCACACGACGGGACCATCCAAACACTTCCCAGTTTGACTACGACTTCTATCTAGTCTAGTGTCAACTGGAATAAGCTGCTCAATTCGATTTCCCAGGAGCCAGCAAAACCACGCATGCAGGCCGCTCATCCAAAAACTCCAAAATTGTAAGTATGCATTTTGTGCATTTATATAACACTCCGAAACGCCACATCCTTCGTTTATATACCACTGCCAGTGGTAGAGTCGTGTGTTTTGTCATGGTCATCCTACCAGTCATCGTCCCAGTGGCACACTTCAAAGCCCCCAGCTTGGAGATCTAGCCGGCTATATCGCAACATGGTTTCCTTTCACCCTGGTAGCTATGCAGTAACCCATCCACACCACCCCAGCTGTCTTATCCTTGCCTCCTTCCATGGGCTCTGTGTGGATTACCAATTAGTCACCCCTTGACAGTTTCCCGAGGCCTTTCACGGCCCGTCATTCTTACTTGCACAATCACTCTGCACCCAGGTTTGCACCGAATCATGTATATACATACTGGATCAGACCCCAACCCAAGTGCCCTGGCTCTTACAGATTACCACTCTTTTCCCAGCATGTTGGAAACGCTGCATCCTTGCGTCACTAACACCATTGGCATGCGATAGCCCTCCTCTTGCTTTCCTCACGCAACGGTATATTCCCCATGTCGTGTCAAGTAGCATCTTGTTCTATAGTTCGGCGATGCATCTTGGGAACAACTTCTAATTGGAATGGCCTTTCTAACTTCATGTGACAGGACTCTCTCTTAATCAACTTGCAGCTGCACGGCCGAAATCGATTTCAACCCTCTCTCCTCGTAACAATCAAGCTCAAAAGAGACGCCGTACCTTTTGCGACGTCACATTGAGGCCAGCTGCACGCGACAACCCAACTCTTCTAGCTTGACAAGGCCTTGCATGCAATAACTGCAAGAATCGTACCTAGCGCATAAGAGAGCAAGCCATCAAGACACTTGGTCAATTCCGACGCCCTATCCTCATTTGATAAGTAAGTGCACTCTCTCGGCACCACCATCCCATCATTCAGACGAGACGCATTGGGCGAAGAAGATTTTGCATGATTGTACTTGGAAAGTTGCACATTGAAGCATCAACGCCGATGTTGGATCTGATGCACGATTCCTGTTTCAATTTCAGCATTGCCCCATTCCTACGCCAGATATGTGTTCGCATGAAATCCCATTTATTGTTCCCCTCGAGTTCATTTCCTACAGACTCTGTCCAGGTTCATGGATGTTTCTATTTTTAATGCACCAAAAGCTCGCTTGCGCACTTTGCCGCATTAAGAGAGAAACTCCACTTCCAGTTCGTTGTCAGCGGCTGACCCAAAATATAGGAAACTGTACTCACTCGAGCCTGCGGCCTCCTGAACTACAAGCAACGTTTTCGTTCGAAATACACAGCTACCCAAGATCAAGGAAAAACTACGAAAAGGGCGCATTCCAATACTGCTAATTGACAACTTCCCGTGAGTGCTCAAAGTACTTCTTATCTCTCTACGCTCGCATCATCTCTCCGTGTGCACGGGCATACGAAGCCCATCAGCGGAAGCATGGGCAGCCTGGCTTCAATACCTGTTGCGGGGAATCTCATGACAGACAAGCCCATGGCATTAGGCTCGTATCATTTTCCCAACGGCCGCGCCGGTATAAGTCGCGTGGAGTAGAATGGCTTGTGTTCATGGATCATTGATGCGATGACAATATCTGGCATTACAGCTGACGCATCTTTTTTTTTGTTTACAGACCGACGAGTTCATACTTGAATACGGGCTAATTGGGCAAATGCTTCTGAAAATGGCCCAGCACCGACAGGCTCCAGGCCATTACGTCAAGGAGGAGCAAAATGATCCTGTGAGTAACAATTTCTTGCCTTCCTTCCCATGTCCAGTATTTGTTTGGACGCTTGTCAGGGCAGTCCATGACTATCTGCATCAGGTCATGGTGACATACCATAAACTCTAAGCATTGATCCTCAAGTGAGTCTATATGGTCTTTGGGGCCATGGAAGGGCACCCATGTTGGGAATGTCGTCCCAATCGCGGTGTCTACTGGGGATACAGAAGCTCTTGTGAATTTCCATCTTTCCAGAAGGCCTGTCGCAAGCTTGCCCATGTCCGGACTCGACATGATGAAGGGACTTTCCAGGGGGGAGGCCACTGTTTCACGAGAGGCCGGGATGTCATTCTTCTGGAACAGGGCTTGTGTGGGCCAGCATGTTAGTGTCGCTCGTCTCTGCTTTTGCAGGGGCAAGGGTGGTTGCACTTGCTTGGTTCCACCCTTTGCCTGGTACCTTGGCCGACTTTCTGGGTGCTGACGTGCCTGCAACATCCGAGCCCGAGTGGGGTCTGATTAGTGCAGAATATCTCACCACCTTGTGATTCGTATGTCTCCCGCGCTGGTGCACTAGCCACACCGTAATCTTCAATGGCTCGGAACTCTCAGAATGATGGGCCGAGTCTTTTGATGGTGTGAGTGCGAAACAAGCGTGGCGGGCAGCGAAATGAGAAACTCGGCAACAATAACGGTTCTTCGTGGGGCTGATGAGGCCGGTGCGGAAGAAAGTATCAAAAGCACAGCAATTTCAATTACGACCAAGCACAGCGGCACGTCCGGGTCGAACCACCACCACCACCAACCTCCATTGCGCCTTCCTGAATCAACGCCGGCGTTCTAGATGAGAGTGTTGAGTGTAAGGTTCAAAGCATGATCGATGGCCAAGTTGACAAGAACATCATTCCTTCAACATGAGTGGCTTTGAAGATATGAAGTGTTGAGATATTTGGTGTTCATTCACAAGCGTGAAGGCGGTGGAGAATCCTTCTTGGCGTCACATGGATCCACTTGCCTCCAATAACGGGTAGCTTTCACCACGACCAACAGAGCCACAATGTCATCTTGACTCAGACTGGAAGTACTCGCTTCGCGAGAGTTCTTTCCGGCAAAACAGCCCAAGCAAAGGTGGTCCTTTCAACGAGAAAGTGACCATCCCACGCTGGCGACGTCACAGAGACTCGACGCAGGGCTACCTCTGGCTGCAGTGCAGAAAACGAAAGTTGCAAAAGCAGAGGTCGCACATTCTTTCCCAAGAAGAGCTATTCCCTTCCGAGTATGGACCAGCTCGTAAGTACATACCCGTTCGTCCCCGGGCTGGGAAGGTTCTTCAAGTACCTAAACACGGCTTGTCACACACCGCCTTGCTCCTTGCTGGCTCGTTAGAAAGCTCCCCCCCTGCTTAGTTGCTTAGGCTCGGAGCTCGATTCTCGATTGGGCATAGAATGCTCCTCGGTTCTGCTAGGTCAGACATGATTGGGCATCTCATCTAGAATGCTGCTCGCCCCTTGCCCCCTGTCACGTTTCCTCCATGCGGTCGTCCCACACTTCGGGTTTGATCGAGCCACGCCCTATCCGCAGAAAGGATTTCCTACCAGCTCTACACTTGACAAGTCCACTTGTATGTTTTGCCGCAGGCATCGCACGTCCTTTTGCTAGGCCAAACGAGCAACAATATCGTCTCTGATATATCTCGGGGGAAGAGTTGTCACTCAGAAGCGCATATCATACACTTCAGGCTGCGTACCTGGCCCCAATTTTAGACCGTACACAACCCCTACCTACACTTATTCCGTACCTTGTCCTTCACCTTGATCTGTACAAGCCCTCAAATATCGCCGACCCTGCCCCCTTCATCGTCACATCCAGAATCCTCGCTCCGATCTCCAAATCTCTTGACGCTGTTTTCTCAAGGTCCCCTGTCTGGACCCAATTCTCTTAATTTTCCCTGTGGTCCTTGAGGCATTGTCTTGTCGCGACCCGATTAAGCTTGAAGACGGTACCTAGTTGGTGAACCCTCTATCGTCGGATTTGGCTTCCGATTTCTACCCACTCCCACCTCGAAGGCGTGACTGTCTCGCTGGAGTGTTTATCTCCTGGTACCGCTTTTTATTTTCTCGCCCTGGTCCTTTCTCTCTTACTACTGTGGGCTGCATGTTCTGGCCCCGGTCATATATCCCAGTACAGACACCCTCGTCAGGGCACGCCTCAGCCGTTGAACCTCGTCACCAGGGGAGCATGCTTGAGGTTCCCCAGACCTTGAAAGTGTCAGAAAAAATAAAAATACCGACGCGTCCTACAACATTGTCTTTTCACGGTTATCATTATTTAGCTTTGACACCTCAGAATCAGTACTAATGGTCGTCGCCTCTATGCAGCACCACCCCCACCACTCGCAGGGTCCGGCGCCGCCTCAGCACTTACAGCATCCTCGGCCCTCGAGCATCGTTCATCAGCAACATCATCAGGCGCCTCCACCGCAGTCCCAACACCCGTCTGCATACTCGTCATACCAGCCTGCAGGACAGACGCAGAGCAGCCAACACGCACACGCGCACGCGCAAGACGGACTTCCGTACTACGCTCATCCCAGCCCCTACAGCACACCCGGAACAACTAGCGGTTACCCAGCCGCTGGTAAGTTTTATCCCCCAAGGAAAAACGCGCCTTTTGACGCGTCAAATCGCATACTGACAAGGAAAATAGACACCTCCGAAATGATGGCCGCAGCGCAGATGCCTCGACCGTACCCGCCGATATATCACACTCCTCAATCAAACTCGCCAGCTTCTGTTGCCTCTCCTTCTGGTCATGATCAGCATCGCAGCCTCTACGGTGCCCCGGCGCCACTTCAGCAGCAACAGTCTATGTATTATGGCGCGCAGCAACCTCAGTACTCGAACATCCCGCCACAAACTGCTCCCTCGCCCTACCAGCAACATGCCCAGCAACCGCATCAGTCCATGACGTCGCAACCCAGCATGATGATGTCTCACCCGAGTTCGCAGCATCAGATCCAGCAACACCCGAGTCAGCATGGGCAGCCAGGTTTGACTGGCAGCCCGCGTCACGCGAAAATGGAGCCTCAAGTGCCACCGCAATTGCAACGACCGGCCTCTGGTCCACTGGGCACTCCGCAGCAGCACCAACAGAACGGTAGTGGACCACTTTCCACGCCTGGCGGTTCCTCGCCTGGTGTGAATTCAAACGCAGCGCCTGGTCCTATTCCGGCAACTACGCCTCTTGTTGTGAGGCAAGACAACAACGGCGTTCAGTGGATTGCGTTCGAGTACTCACGTGATCGCGTCAAGATGGAATATACGATTCGTTGTGATGTTGAGTCGGTCAACACGGACGAGCTCCCCAGCGATTTCAAGACGGAAAACTGCGTGTACCCGCGGGCGTGCTGCCCCAAAGACCAGTATCGCGGTAACCGTCTACAATATGAGACGGAGTGCAATACGGTGGGCTGGGCATTGGCTCAGCTGAACCCCTCGCTGCGAGGAAAGCGAGGTCTGATTCAGCGCGCGGTGGATAGCTGGCGCAACAGCAACCAAGACCCGCGTCTGCGAAGTCGACGCGTTCGACGCATGGCCAAGATGAACAACCGCAAGGCGGTTCAGGCTCCTCATCCGTCACACATGTCCGGCCCCAGTGGTCCGGCAGGGATCCCCGCCCCTGGTGCCATGGGCCCTGGCGGTGGGACAGCCATGGGCAAGCCTGGTATGGGCAACATGGGTGGCTCACAGATGCACCACCACCATGCTCACTCTGATGGGAACTCTCAGGGAGGGGAAGAAGTCGGTATGTTCCACCAGATGTGATTGATGCGTTATTGTTGTTATTGTTATTGCTGTTATCGTTGTTGTGCCATTACTTGATACCTCTTACATTATACCTTGTACCTGTTCTGGTATTCATTGGTTTGGTCTTGTTATATAGCGGCACATGACCGCCAACGGCGTCTCTGGGAAAATACTCTTTCAGGAGGGGTGGTTTTTGGTTGTTTTTTGTTCTGTACATTACCTAGTTGCTTTGCACCTTAAGCCTTCTGCTTGTACGTCTCGTCTCGGTCTTCATCACCGTCACTCGGCTCGCATGGCATCGCATGGCATCCCACTGCACACACAAACCTTGGCGCACATATCATTGCACCACAAAATGTCTTCCTGTATTGCAAACCATCCTATCCTGCCCAGTCCTGTCCTGTTGCTTGTTCAAGCCTGTTATTACTGCTTTGCTTTTCCCGAAATGTACCCCGGCTAACTCGGCTGTTCTCATGCAGGGGACGGAGAGTACATGGATGAGAACCACCATCACCACCACCAGGCCCCATCCGGCCCCGGTTCCGGTCACGGCGATGATGTCCGCCAGGCCCAGGTCTTCCCTGGGTACCCCCAGCCATACCCCAGCAACTCAGGTCCCGGATCCGGCATGCCCCCCTCGTCTCACCACAATGCCATCGCAGCACGCAACAACGGTACCAGAGACGATGACGAAGCACCGTCCAACTTGTTCCCCGACATTCCTGACGCGAAGAAGCGCAAGTTCATTCTCGTCGATGATAACAAGCGAGGATGCCGTCTACGAGTTCGTGTAACTCTGGACAATGTCGATACCAAGGAGATACCCGATTCTTTCCGCAAGAGCTCTTCCGTCTTTCCGCGCAGTTACTTCCCGCGCGAGATGCAGAGCCCGCCGCCAAGTGCTACGGGCAGCCGCTTCTTCCAGGAGGATCTGGACGATGACGACGTGGAAGTCGATGGCGGCCGTACTGGACGCTCCAGAGGCAACACCAGCCGCGACCGTGTCATGGTAAAGGTGCCCTTCTCCGATGGCTCCGACGGTGAGGTTGCCATTCCCCGCACCCGGAAGGGTACACGGGGCAGGGAAGTCCGCCTTAACGACCTTGGTTACCGCATGGCCTGGCTGCAGAGTCGTGTCTTTTCTGGTAGAACCATATTCCTCCAGAGAGCTCGTACGTATCCAGATACCTTTCCTCACCCATTTTCCTACTCTCGACTAATTGTTTCCAGTTGATTGCTACCGCAACAAGACCCGGAACGCCATCGAGTCCGTCATGCAGGATGTCAAGACGACGGTGCCGCACTACGAAACTCGAGCTGGCAAGCGAAGATGGAGCGAGCGTATGCGCCAAGGAGCTGACAAGCGCGACGACGAATAGTCAATCTGTTAACGCCGCTACTCACGCTACTGGATGTCACATCTACCTCGCGCATTCTGGTCGCTTCGAACCCGCAAAACGGAGCGCCTGATAGACTTGAAGCGCTCGCGCGCATGTAATATACAAACTCGGCCACTCATTGTGACCACTGTCTATATGACGATTGGACGACACCTCGACAACTGTGTTTTGAAAGGGACGAGGGATATGCTAGATCGATTTTGCGCACGCCAGATAACCCTTCGATATCACCATCATTTTTGCGTCCCTCATGGTTATCAGAGACGGTGCTGGCGAATCCGCAATATCAACCCTGCATTATTCAGTTTCGGTTTTAGTGCTTGATGGATATGGAATTTAGATGGTCTTCATTTCGTTCTCGGTCGCGTACATTCAGCGGACTCGTCATTTATGTTTCGACGATGATACCATGGTAAGGAAAACCGGTGTTTACTGATTCAGATACGGCTGTAATGAGAACAGAGGGGATTTCATTTCGAGTCATGTCAATGAAATGGGGAGGGATACTATAGCTGCTAGATTGGTCAATTTCATCATATTTTACTTTGTACTCAAACCATCCAATCCTTACATGTGAGCACATCTTCGACAGATCACCACTCTGCCCAATCAGGATTACCAAATGAACTCTTTCAGCTGTGCATGTTGTAGGAAGCTGCACTTGACCAATGACGCGCATTACATAGCGAAATACGAACTCTCGAGAACATAACAATTAATTGTTAGGCTTGCAAGAGTCGTGAGCGTACCTGCCTGGAAACCACAAAAGTTGAGCACAGACACGATATTCCCGGCGATCAGCAGTACGGCAACCAATATATCCGGAAGAAGTAGGACGGTCTTAGGGTGTTTAGCAGGCGCTTCATTAGTGGCACAGTCTGTTCGTACAGCATCAAGGTCAGTGGATGGCGCCGCGTCAAGCTTATGCAAGAGCGGGAGGGACGAAGTTCGGCACTATTGACGAGGAAAAGAACAATGGCAAAAAAATTAAAATTTTGTGGACAATTCAACTGACGCTGACGATCGGCCTTGTCTTGCATTACAACGGGTCCCCCTCACCCCACTGGCAGACGCGGCTCGGTTTTCTTTCGCGTGCGGCGTGTGTGCTAATATGGTCGTTTAGAATGCTAGTCAAACGAATTAGTGCTTCAAGGGGGCACACAGATCCAGTCGCTTTAATGCCAACAAAAAAAATTGTGGCCTAAATGGGAGAGAACTTAAGCATGAATGTCGTGATTCGGCCGAGTTATAACCTAAATAAGACACTCATGTGTGTACTATAATAGCAGCTCCAGTTGGGCGCCAGGGCACGCGAACTTGGCGCGCTAAGTATCTGGTATGCATCACGTATAGTCGGAGAATTCTCTCAGCTCCTGATCTGCAACGTGGTGTGAAGGCCTGGCCTTTTCGGTTACCCATGAGCTTATGGAGTGTCGATCATGATGTGGGTGTTAAGTTTACGGGTTTCTGTATCGCGGCCTAAGATTTATATCCGTGTACTCGTTTTATTTATTTATTTTTGGAATGCCAGCCTCGATACGGCCACGCCTAAATGGAGCCAACGACATCCCAGTGTCATCTTGGGCTTCGAGGACCCATGATCACCGCCGTTCCAGCTCATTCGAACTAGCTGGTAAAATCTTGATAGGTAAATGAAAATGTCAAATGCGGGACGCCAGTAAGGATCAACTCGCAAAGATGTATCGGGAGAACCTTCCACGTCGTCGTAGGCAAGAAGTTCTTAGGGTCTTTCGTAAAGCTTTTAGAGACGACTCGACGATGTGCTTTACATCAAAGCCCCGTGAAAGCCCAAATAATATTCTACACACCATGAATCTAAGTTGACCCAATGTTTTTCCATGACTGCTACTCTGTGGTGTCGAACATAAAAAATGTCTACAGTTGGTTACAGATATGTGGCAGTCGTCCGGGCTTCACGCACAATCTTTCATGGTCGGCGCAGAAATTCTAGGTAAATCTTTGATGAATTTACTGCGTTCAAATCACTTTTGCATGCTATTGAAAATCAATATGGAACTGAGCCCAAGGTTGCCATTCAATATGGTATCTGTGAGTTATGTTGGGTTCAGTGCGTAGAGGAATGGCATGGTAACAAATCTTTCTATAATGTACAATCATTGATAACAATTGAATTTGATAAGGAATCACGTCGGATCATCCTACCTTTAATGGTCACGATCTGGTGGTAATTACCGCCTGTGTGTGATATGGTTTCGATTTCGACTGTGCATAGTATGCTCTCGCCCTCATAGCAGCATGTTGTCTTTCCGAAGCCGCCTCGATGGAGACCTCGAAATCTGTCTTCTTGTGCATCTTGCCATTACTTGGCGTAATGTTGTTCAATTCCAAAGTGCTCTCGGCTGACGAGACGAAGCCTCTTTCACTTCCATCGTCCACATCATACCACGGCTTTCACGGAGACATCCGTTGCTACGATGAGTATCCGCTGGTGTCCATGCCGTAGAACCCTTTTTATTGGCTTGCTTTCTTGCTTTCGCATCTCCACCGTAGCTACGTAAGGTGCTGCGAAGACCGACCTTGTGTGCGAGCAGTTGAACAACTGGTGGGAGAGCAGGAAATGAGGCGCACCAGAGGCCAACATGTCCTCCAAGGTCAGTCGAAGGGCCAATGGCTGACTTATTGAATGTGCTGTATGCATGAGATTCTGTCAATAGCCATTTGTTCGTGCGCGAAGCGAGTGACAGGATGGTAGGGACATCGAGTCATACGGATCCTCCAGGGATATTAACGTCTTCAGCATTATATTTCGTATGATCCCAGTGGCTAATACGAAGAGTCCAACACGAAACCCAAAAATGACCTGAACCTTCTACTGCGTGTAAGGCGTCTTGTAGTGGATGACTCATATCGGCAATGCCAGTAGCGCAAAGTCGATTGCGATTCCAATAGCCTGATGTGCCACCATCATTGAATTTTCTTCTCGTGCGCTCACGCAATCCAAGCCGGGCGTGGTCGGAATCAACCAGTCATCTCTGTTGGAGATTGTTGAGCAAGACATAATTCCACAAGTGAGGGCTGTACTCACCTCATGGGCGTGCATTCTGTCACCCTGTAGCAAAAACACCCAATTGCCTGTGCGACGATGACAGCACCAACGCAACAAACAGCGCTATTGGAAATAGGCGAAGTGACTCTTTTTCGCGCGAGTCGAAGCTGTACAGTTTGGTGGTGCACACATTCAATATGTTCCTGAAAGTCTCATTGCTCATTTCTCCGAGGTGAACATTTCGAACATGCTCTTTTACGAACAATCACAACGTATTAATAAATGCTAGTCGCTCGTTAGCAACACCCTGATATAATTACTTCTTCGGTGCTCGACAGATGCGACTGTCCATTGTGGCGTTTTACCCAGGCTAGCCAAGGATCGTCAGTACCTGCTTCAGCATTGGTTGACTAATCTTTATTTAACGCTATCAACGCCAGTTCTATAGAACCTGAGGGGAGACACACATCGTATTTCGAAAACTGAGGGAGCTACAACGCATCCCTTGCACCATGTCAGTATGGCGCGCCTTTTATATGAGACAGGAAAAGCGACAACAAGTGAGGAACCAATCAGGTGGTTGTTGCTCAATTGTGAATACTGGGATCACAGACATGGCAACAATCTGCTGCCCTGGTATTACTTTGTGCTTATTTAGATCGGGTAAGGATCATGTACAGGGTAGCTCAAGTAAACTTTTATTTGGCCAGAAAGCATAAGTAACGGTTGCTAGTCGCCTAAAAGCAGTACAATGCGAATCTAGTGAACATCACCCTACAATGTGATACGTACATGGAAATAAGAGTGTCTGTCTTGCAAGTGTGTTTGCGGCCCTGGTCTTACCGTGCGTGACCTTAACTTCATGCAAGCAAAATAGACAACTTGTTTCGATCCATGAACAAGAGGCATCCATCTGCAATACGATCATCATATGTCACATTGCAACGAATCGCATAACGATCCTGGCCAAAATATCGACCCATTATAGGTGCATCCTTGGGACCGTGCTACCAATGGCTGTCAAGGGTATTCAATCGCTAGCAAACATCACAGGGCTCCAGGTATTTCAACTCATTTTGATCGAACCAAAACCAATATTTGCGGCCCTGAATCACGCCAACAAACAAGCTGTTCTTCACAAGGGAATGATGCTAGGATATAGATGCAGTAGATATCTGTCACGGATTGTGTTGCCAGAAATAAGGGAAACGTCAAGTATTGACAGTGGTGTGGGGAGAGTAGTAGCCGTTTGAGGAAGCTTAGTTTGTTGTAAAAATGAAGCTGAAAAGCTGAAATGAGCCAAATGATATTCCGATACAAGCTCGATTTTCAAGTGATGAAAATAGGTTAGCAGATTGCCAATGAAATTCATCTCCCAGTGTTGGAGTCTGTGGACCTCCCTCTAGAAGTAATCAAGGCGGTGTTTTCAGGGTAGTCGGGCTTTCGATCACTTCTCCTCTGCAAACCTTGTTTAAAAGATTGCGGGTTGGAACCGAACAATAGTTCTCTTGGACTGAAAAGTCAAGTATAAGTGTCGCATTCGGTCCACTCGGGGCAAACTGTGCGGTGACTCGCAACTTGGAGTGCGGTTCGATTGGTGGGACAGAGAACTGTGCTATCGTGCCAATAGCATTGATCCCCCATCAAGCTTAAATATAGCCTGGCGTGCCTACAGATACGTATACTCATATTGGCTCAGAAAAACCCAAATGATGATATAATACAAGATTTAGAAAACCAAGTACATCAGGATCAGCTGCTCCGGGAGGATCAAACATACTCAAGGGTCCCTGTTTGTGTACACGTTGCACCTGCTCAAATCAATTGTTTTGAGCGGCCCACAGAATTAGACATGAGGACAGCCTTTTAAGTACTTTATATTGACTTGTCAGTGTCATTCGTGTCCAAGAACCACTTCGGTTCTTCCTGCAATTCTTGCTGGTTTCCTGTAGCAAACAATCTTATAAAATGCAGGATCCTTGCTGATCGAACCACCCGATTGCATTGACACTCTCAAAGAGTATCAACTCTTCGACGCTTGTTTATTATATTTTGCTTCAAATTTGATGTGTAGTGTACCTCCTGCACGCAGCCAATGTGTACTCGTCTGCGCAATTTAACGCGTGTTTCGTTGCAAAAGTCATGTGCTGCAGAAGAGCTTGTCCCTCCAGAACAAAACCAACCCAGACAGAGCGCCACTAATTCTCGTGGAAAACTACATCGTACTTACTTAGTTTAGCTAATTCTGTCCCAACTTTGCTGTCGTTCCGTTTCGGTTATCGAGCTCCACGCAGCAAGTCTGGTCATAGGACCTGGTATACGATGATGCAACGGGAACCTCACTAGACTAACTAATGAATGATTTTCATAGATCAAGGAACCTTGCAGTCGACCCAGACGCACTGATAGTGTGGTTCCACATGTCCTGCGTCGGCAAGGTGCTTGTGTAGTATCATGGCCAATTCGAACATGGGGACCAATTAAATGAAACATGCGCTAAGCTCTAATAGTAGACCTGGAGGTTTGGTATAATCCGTACGTAGTAGAGGTCGGCCACGCCTAGGCACAATGTCACAAACTGCATCCCATCACTTACCACTCGTATATGTTTGAAGAGCCTCCGGGTTGTAAGCAACGTATTTTGCTGACCTTCACGTGCAACCATTTCGTTCAACTGGAGCCTCCTGAGCTAAAGATGCAGATGTTGTCGGAGGCTATTGAAGTCCTGTCAAAACACGCATACAATCAACATACATTTCTCTAGCTTCGTAACCACAATCCTTCGACTGGTGGATGATCTTGACCGTGTTTTTGGCACACCAATGCCCACCTCATATGGCATCGCAACCACTTCTGCCTTTTGTTCAAGCAAGGACATGTTGATTAGGAAGGAATGGCTCGTAGCCTTGTGGCCAGCCGCGCCATCCGTTTCGTCAACAATCATAACACCTGTGTAGGCGGGAAAGGGTTTTCTTTTTCACCAAGCCATGTCGCAAGAGGCTGGAATGTCATAGATGGTGGATCTTGTTCTTTGCAAGTTTTGAGTCAACACAGCGAAGATACAAAGCATACCACGTAAAGAAGCATTATTTGGGATGATATGTGTGTATGTATTATCACCGATCTCTAAGTATTTACATGAAAGTGGTCACCAGGCCACAGGAGACATGCGGCGCATATCTCCACGAATAATTTCACTCCAAAATTAAGTATCCTCAACAATCACTCTCCAAATTCTGTCAAATGGATGCATTGTTCTCAAGCTCGGCCATGTGCCACAGCTCGTTGAATGATTTAACAAGAGGAGAGCGTCTTGTAAACACAGTGGGATGAAATTCCCGAGCTGATTTCCGTGGGCTCGTTGCCAGGGGTGGTACCCTTGTACTCGACACAGGTCTTCTTGACTGAAGTGGCGCAAGTGCCGGTGATGGTGGCCTTGTCGCCGTAGTTGGAGTTGATACCGACGAGGGTCTTGCCGTTGTAGGCCTTGACGTTCTTGACGACGACGTTGCGCTCGCCCATGGTCTTGCAGTTACCGCAGCTGCGGTAGAGCTTGCCGAAATCGACAACGGTGAATCCGTCGATGGTCACCGTGCCGAGACCGTTGTGCTGGATGACCTTGTCATCGGCTCCGGTGGCACCACCGCCAGTGATCTTGGCGTTACCGTTGCCCTTGAGGGACAGAGCGTCCTCACAGACCGCGGCCCACCAAACGTTCTCGATGGTGCAGCTGCCCTCGCAGTGGACACCCTCGATCTGGTCCTTGCCAATGATGGCGTTCTTAAGAGTAGCACCATCCTTCAGGATGAAGACAGCGTCAGAGTCACCGCCCTCGCTCTGGCCAGTGCAGGAAACGCCACGGCCGTAGGTCTTCATGCCACCGTCGAAGGTACCAGAGAAAGTCTTGGGGGCCTTGTAGGTGACGGAGCCCTTGCTGGCGGGGATGGGGAAGCTGGCACGCTTGTCAAGTGCGAACATGGTGTTCGGGGTGACATCGGCAGATGGCATGGCCATGACGGCGGAAGAGGCGCTGAGAGCTGCGAGGATAGCGGAGTACTTCATTTTGAATGAGTGAAAGTTGTTAAAACCGAGAAATGGTTGTAAGTTGGGATTAGCGATAGATTGCTGGAAAGAATGTATAAACCACCCGGGTTAAAGAATGTGAGTAAGTTGGATGTTGTAGAACGAGAGAAGTCTGAAGAGATGCTGTTGGGTGCTGAGTGAAGTTCACATTCGTAGAGTCACCATGGACTTATATATCGGGTTTGTTCACTATGTGCCCGCTCAAAAGACTGGATCTTTTTGCCTCCTCACCAATACGGACTGGGCCAGCCCGGGGTGCAGCAATCTACCGTGGGATCGTGTCACAACCTCTCATGATAGTCCCGCCAAGAGGCTGACTATCAGCTTAGCAGTTTGCTCGACGAGGCTCTGTCATTTTACTTTCATCTGGAGAAAACGCTCTCAGCCTTGGCACCCCTTGGCACCCCTTGACTTGACCACATGCGGCTCCATCGCGTCCATCCTGGTGTTAGTACCGGTTTCGGATAGTACCGAGTTGGTGGAAACCCAACTGACTTGCTCGTTTCCAGAACATAACGAGCGGATGTGCTTATCTGCTGATTGGGCGGGTTTGGATTTTTCCAGTGTCACAACTGCGCCCAGCACATTCTCTGCTAGTACTAGAATCAACTTCAGACGACGAGTAATAACCGTGATTCTTGGCGGCTTTTAAGCTTCAAGGACGGTCGGCTGTTTCCGGTTTGCGTACCAGCACACCAGGAACCCATAGCTGAGCTCGTATGGATGTCGAAGCATAAAATTAAGCCTATCCAAATTTTGCAGGGATGCGCCGGTCCTTAACCCAACTGCAAAAACTCTGCGCCTCGGCCCTGGATACTTGTTATCCACCTGCAGGAACATACATATCTTGGCAATGGGTCATGTCATCTCGCAGTTCATTCTTGCTTGCTATGTACTCCTACGATTCGGGCGCATCACGGCAAAGACACTTGGAATCTATCCACACCGGATTTTGTCGTGTCACTCCTCAGGGGGGACGGCTCCAGAATCGATATGATGAACTCAAGGCGGTGAATCATGCCAATGGATGTCGACTCCAGCGGTTTACAAAGAGCCCCTATTACGAAAAGGAGGCGACCTCGATTGCCTGTCGCAGTGCTTCACCTTGCTCGCTGGATTTGCTTTTTGAGCAGTTTTGCTGAGATGAGGATGCTCTTGTTGGGAATCGTGTTTGGACAGCGCAGGACGCGATAGCTTAACGGACACGGGTCGTTAGTGCCTAGGCGCTATAGCGGTGCCTCCGGGTAACAGAATAATGTGTTTCAGGAGGGAGGTCCTCCGATAAAAATCGAGCACCCATGTCGCTCATTCCATCGGACTCCGAGAAAGTCTCGAGATCATCGAGCCGCACACATTGCTATTCGAGTTCGTCGAAGGATCACCTCCTGATGATGGGGATTGCCTGCCTGCCGAAGTTGGCTGCATGAAACACACAAGCACCTGTATCTGCATGCAGTCCGAATGCATGCAAAGCGAACTGCCAGGTAACAATGGAATTTGTGCCCCGAAGTGTGTTTGTTTCTGGGATCGGATCACTCTCAGCCAAGCCTTTTGATAAGCTATCTTGGCATTTTCCCACCCGGTAAAAAACCGTGCAGGCAGCTTTTGTGGCGATCACACTGTGTGGTTGCTTTAGTGGCACCAGCTTTAGTTCCACATCTCTGTGGCCCTTCTGTTCTTTGTTCCTCTTCACGAGCGAAGCTTCAAAAATCAAGTTTCGACAAGCAATTCGACAGACGCTGGTCCCTCGCATGACAGAAAAACTGGCTGTCCTCCTGACCCAGAGTAGTATCAGGCGAAGAAATTGTGGCGGCGGCTTAGTACAAATCTGTTCCAGAGGCATAGACGAAGCCTGCAAGCCCTTCCCAGACGGCCGATCTAGCCAATCTCTCCATTGCTGAATACCCAGGTTTCGTGAAGGAGCATGGCAACCGAGACGTGTACAGTTGCTGCAGAAGTTGGTGGTAATGAGGCGTGATAGGAATGCAGCTGCTGCAGGTGTGGCTGGCAGATACCGCTGAACTGAACTCTCCTGGTTCACGTTATAGTTGCCACCGATGCTGCTAGACACGATACAGTCTGGGTATGTTGTATATCAGAGCACCCAAAAAAACGCCTATTGCTGCATTTTGTTTCGTTTAGGTGACCCTCTGATGGTTTCGTTGCAATCAGTCGGCTCTTGAACGTCGTTGCCATTCGTCTCAATGAATTCGGTAAAGGAGCAGAAAGTCCCTCCCATAATTGAACACAAGTGCAAGGAGAAGGAACCGGTTTGGGGGCCGACTAGTAATAGTACGATCGTTGATTTCTCTTCCTCTGGGATACAACGCCATCAGTTTGTCTCCCCAATTTTCTGATGTTATCTTGTTGGGCTGGCGGAGTTTCTTGTATCATTTTCCGTCATGCCGGCAATGCCGCCATGTCTGTCTTTCTCTTGTGTTCGGCATGATCGAGTATCATGGCAGCATTGTTTTGATGAGCAGGATGTGGCGTCGTTCCTCGAAATTTTATCCTGCGGTCAAATTCCTTACGAGATTTGTCAGTTCCGAAATCTCCACTGACACACGAAATAAATATTCGCAGGAATGAGAGCGCACCCCAAAAAACGAACAAAGTGCATTCTCAAGACGTAAAATGTCATGGTTCTTGCGGTTGCTCTTCTGGTCGGAGCCATAATGTCAATCATTACTCCCAGCCTGGATTGAAGTTGTATTCCTCAAGGGCTGTTCTTAAGGAATCCACAGCTGCCCATGCACCAGACCACACGCCTGTCAGCGCCCATGCCCAAGAAAAGAAATAGAAACCCCATGCGTAAATTCTCGTAACGTCTATTTAAGCTTAAATGAGCTTGGATGGGGTCGTCCCAGGAAATTGTTAACCATGTGCCGGTTTGCCGTCGCGCTGGTATCCACAACACGTGAACCTACCGGATACATGGCAACCCTCCTCTACCCCAGGAGTTCAAGAGCCAGCGCTGGCAGTCTCTAGTCAGGAAAGACCTAGCAGGTCCAAGGTCATCGATGAGGAGCCGTTCTGCCGTCGAAATAACTCTGTTTGGTGGAGAACTGTCCACTGGGTTGTGAGCCTGAGCGTTGCCGGTATAACCGATAACTATATTAAAAGGGAGTGCCCTGTACACCTGGGAAGTTCTACACTGGTTAAAAATCCTTTGGAGAGTCAAGAAATCTCTTCAATCAGAACCTTCTTGAGGCGAGTAATATGTGATACGCTTCCCTTCCATATGCTGCCCGATTCGGTAGCTACGCTCGCGCGGGGATGAGACGAAGGGGGCTAAGCTCAAATACCGCTGTTTCTTATTTGTTTGAACGATAGTACTCCGCTTCGTGGAATTCCGAGCACTCTAAAGACCTGTTAATTTACCGAGTAATTCTGACTAAGATAACGATACACATTTGTCCTATTGTGGCATTAGTTCAAGGCAAATATACTTAAACAGTGACGTGTTCTTATATGAGAAGAGTCCCGTTCGAGTTCATCCCACAAAATAGAAGCGGCAGTCAAAGAGCTTCAACAATCTTCATGCAATCGCACTCGGCGCTCAACCGAGAATTGTGGGGGTTCCAGAGGTTGCCCATGATCGCCTAGATATAGATTGATGCTCGTAATTCGTTTCGACATGCAAATTGGGTCAAGAGTAACTGTGTATCCATAACAGATATTTTCTTACACAAGTGGCGGGGATAACGAGAAGAGCAGTGGCAGAAATGAAGCTGGCGACTTTATGAGACCCCAAGGTTCTTCAGTGAACAAATTTTCAAGCGTATTACATCAAGCTGGCGAAGTGGTAATCACTTGTTGCAATATCTTTCGTGTGGATTTGCCGCCTAAAAGCATCCTGGCGTCCAGATAATTTGACCGGAGCTGAACAGTCGCAAAGTTTGCATCAGCCCAAGTATCGTTGATTGAAACTTTCGCCTATTTGAAGGCCACGATCACCACAGACTGTTGGGTCTCCTTGCAGTGCCATAGTTTCTTACAAGAATAAATTATTCTGCTTGGGATTCTATCAGCCTTTTGTATCTGTGGTGGTAGCCACCATGTATTCGGTGGTCACTAGTTCTCACGTCAATGCTGGCTGTTTGGTAACTCAAATGGCTGCTGCCACGGATGGTTATTGTTCTATGTGGGTATTCTATTTCGCACCCGTCTATTGTTCTCGCCATATGGATAGCCTAGCGACGGCGCATCAAAGATCACTGATAGCTGACCCCACGACCAGACCCAGCCGGGATACCTGTGTGGGTGCTATCCATTCCGGGGAAGATTATTGCAAGCCTTTGTGTACCACGTTTCTATTACACGCTGCAAAACAGAATTCGCTCATACGATTTGGACCTGTTTTTTGGGATGCCATTGTCGACCGAGCTTGACTTAGTACTAATGTATTTTCCTAATTACAAAGCTACAAATTTAGGTTCCGATAACCAAGAGAGAAAGAACGCCGTGTTTATGCAATATTCATTACCATAAAGCCTCTTACTCAGGCCGTTTTATCGTACCAACCACTGCCGACAGCCTGTGTCTTGGCCTTACCGACATAGGTCTCAGCCCAAGCCTCATACTGCGTAGCCAACGACCCCTTAGTGTCGGGGAAGTTGACGGTGCAGCCCAATGCCTTGTAGCCGGGGACGAGGAGTCCAGACACGGCGTTGACCACGGACTCGAGGAGGACGACGGAGTTGAACAGCTCAGCCGGGAAGTTGGCGTAAACGGCGTTGTAAAGGAAGCATGACAGGGCCTGCGGGTTGTTGGGCACGTCGAGAGGTCCGATGACCCAGCTTTGGTCGGCACCGGAACCGCCGAGGGCAGGGAGCGCGTACAGGTAGACGTCGAGGATCCCACCGACGGCCTCAAGCACGGTCATGGGCGTGGAGCGACGGTACCAGTTGTCAGGAATGCGCTCGGGAACGTGGGTGTAGGTGAGATCAGGGTCCGACCAGGCGTTCTTGCGGGTGGGCTTGGCGCCGTAGAAAGAGGTGATGGATGCCTCGTTGGCAACACCACCAGCGCCAATGGTACCGTTGGAGAAGAAGCCGGGAATAAAGTAGTACGCTCCCATAACAACGGCTGCGCTGGGGAGGTTGAAGTAGAACTGGCTGTTCGCGGCCTTGGATGCCGTATAACGGTTCTTAAAGTGTTCTTTAATGGCGTCGACGCTATAGGTACCGTTGCCCCTCGCAAGAGCTTGCTGGTGCAATTGCTTGAACAGCTCAGGCTTGAATGAGATGTTATCACCATTTAGGTAGAAGTCTTCGCGGGTGGCGGACGCATCGCCTTCGTTGAATTTACCTAGGCGTCGAGTGATGTTAGTTCAATTTAGCGTCGATATGTAGACTATTTCAAGAGGTTCGTCTTCACTTACCATGGCCAGAAATTCCAGATGGAGTGCCGAAGATGCCGTTGAGCGCACCGTTGAGGAGACCAACACGGTCATCTGGGCCGCCAATGCTCATCTTCTGAGAGAGGATATCGCCACCGTCAAGGGCACCACCGGTAGCGAGCAGGGAGGATAGATCGGCTCCCATGTTGAAAACCTTGGCCGTAGCAGCATTGATCTGGCCGATGGTAGCAATACCAGTACGAGGGATATCTACGGATTACCGTCAGAATGACACGAGGGGGTCTAGAGCAGCGTTTTACGTACAACCATGGTTGGCAAGAGTGTTCAAGCCAGGGCAAGGACCACGCTGATCAGTAGCGCCAGGTGCCTTGAAAGGATAGTCCTCTGCGATACTTGTTAGTTCTGACAAAAAATTCCAACATTGAATTGTATACGCACTCTCGGGGAACTTCTGCAAGCCCTCAACTGCTGCGTTTGTGGGGATGAGACCAAGGACGTTGTCCACCACGGCCTCGAGGGTGCCGCCCAGAAGAGATGTGACGCCGCTCACAAGGCCTGTGCCAAGTTGACGCTTTTCCGTCTCACCGGAGCGGAATCCCGTAAGCCGACGGTCGATCTCCTGGCGAGCCTCGGGGTGGTTGAGGAGAGCCTCCATACCCTCTGGGGTCATCCACGGGAAGGCAAGAGCAGATGGTGCGCAGAGCGTACCAACGAGCAGAGAGAAACGCATCTTCGCGAAGCAAAGTACTGTTGATGGACGTGTGACGGATGGTTGACTATGTCTTCTGGAGTTGCACGATCCAGTTATCCTTTCATGGCAAATTCTCGAAGCTCTATATAGAAGCTCAAGCACCGTCAGCCCATCCCATATCCCCAGCTTGACTCCATAGTATCAAGCTGTGAAGCCATTCTGACGTATTCCCGAGAGACTATGAACGAAGAGGCTTTTACCAGGACTCTTAGAGGCACGGCAAGGACATATGAGACCTGTACGGAGATCGGTGTCCCTGCTTTGTTATTGGCTCCGACACATGGGGCTGGACCCTCTATAGCCTAATAGACTCCTCAGCCGCACCAAGGCCCATCAATAAACAGGGCTCCCTGGGAAATCAGGTTTACCGATCTCGATATTCCCCATATGTGAGAACTCAGCTTTTGATTGTTTACGACCAGTCTGCCATTGGTCGGACTAGGATCGAGACCGAAGCGGAAATTCTCCGCGCTTGCATGAGCCGAGGTAGATCAGTCCACTTCAAGCCACGCCAGGAGAGATCCAGAATAATTGATTTGCTTATTGAGTTCGTCTATCTTGCTTGGCGAGCTTGATCTGGTTTTCTCCAATGAACAAACACGAAATATAGTGCTGACCTCTATAGGAGAAGACTCTGGCATCCTACCAGAACGGAGCGGTCAAGCCTGAGCCGCGTCGACTTGGTCACACTCTGGTCCAGGTCGATGGCAACTTCATAACCCAACAGACCAACCCGTGCTTGCAGTGTACCGTCGCGTCAAGCGCCTTGGCATGGCGTTTCCTGCCAGCATTTCCTCGTCGGCCCATTGTGGAGGGGTCGATTAGCTTGCTGTTTAGTCGCCCCCATCGGAAGCAGGACATATCGATACAGTGACGTTGAGAGCACAACGGCATCGTGAAGTTCCGAGCTATCAAAATTGCGATTGGCTCGGCTCGCTGCATGGGAAGCGGGCCCCTCCTATCCACCGTCCAATCCCTTTCCTGATTAGTGCCCGTTGTCAAGTCAAGATTGCCCCTTGAAATAGTTTGTTTGCATTTCCCAGTTTGCTAACCTTAGTCTTCACCTCCACATCCAAATTAGTTAAGTTACTTAACCTAATTCAATTATCCCAATCCCTGGGGGTGATGCACGTCACCCAAGCGTTAACAGGAACTACTGGCACGCTCTCAACCGCCATTTAGCAAATGCTCAAACTTTAAAGTGGTAGGACTCAATCGACGATCGAAGATCATCGTGACCATATATATATTTTCGGACTACATGGATAGTAACTGTTACAAAGTTTCCTCTTGAGTAATGGATAATTTCCACTTGTCCGGTGTTCCAAGCTATCTTTCCGAACCAAAGGACGACGACTACAGGGTGGACTTACTCCTGATAAGGAATCAGTAGAGAAAACGCTCGTGCCATAGATCTCGGACGAGGAAACGATTGTGCGGCGTTACCTTCTGACTCCATGGACATCCTGCTGGATTTCGCTTGCAATCTCAGGTGGGCAACTTTACCATTGATCCATCTGAATGCGAACTTTCGGTGGAGGTTCGACTGATTATTTGACATATCCATGACTGTTATTCAGAGTTGAGACCATCGTGTCATCGTGCACCATATTGTAAGACTTTTTAGTGCCTAAAGTTTACAGTCAGAAAGCCAGGGTATCAACTATGCGTCTATATCAAGACTAGACCAGACCATACAACCAGTGAACTAGCTACACACCATTCTCAGAACACAATGCCCATTCACTTTTTCAGAAATACACTAGTCATCCAGTTCTCTATCTCTCACACGCACTGAATATCAAAGAATTGCCAACTACCAGAATTACTTGGATCGACGTTTGCAAATCCTCGTCTTGTTTGCAGCGCCGGGCCCTTAGCGATACTTGATGGAAGTTACAGGCGTAGATTTTCTACCTACACGTAAGTGTGGAGGTGTGCGACGCGGTTCTGCTCGAGGCCCCTCGGCGAGAGTGGCCGTTGTTGGAATAGAGATTGTGGATACTGGGGGGGAGTTGATCGGCGTTGTGGTACGGGAAACCGGATGCCGACGCGATCGTAAGTGCGGCGGTAGATGGGCCTCATCGTCGGCATCGCCAGAAGGTGAAATGGGTGCAATGGAGATAACCTTTGGCTCTGGTGTCTCCGTGGCCTGACCCTTCTCGCGCTCATGGGCGTAGGCATATTCGTCATTGGGACGGGAATTCTTCTCTGGCGATGGCGGATGAACTGTAACTCGAGGAGTTGATTGGTTTATTCGAGGGCTGGACTCAATAATCAGCACCGACAGAGCCAACTGAGCCGTCTGAGTGTTGTCAGTAGTAGTAGCGTTGTCGTTCTGGCTAGTACGAGCAGCAATCTTAGCATCTTCAATGCGCCCTTCGACTTGACAGATTTCAGCCCATTCGATACCCAATTGGTGGACATCATGAGACATAACAAGGAGTTTTGCCTGATGATTTATGAGCTGTACAAGAACTGGTGAAAAGTTAGCCTTAGTTGACAAAGATGAAGAGAAAGAACTTACACTCGGACATTTCATCGATGGCTGCTTCTAGTCTGCCACCCGCAGCTGGACATCGCATAATCAAGGCGGAAGCAATGTAGCGAGTTGGACCACTCAAGACCTTGAATAGTTCCTTATGTGGGTCAAGGTTGCGGCCATAAGGCATGCCCATGGGAGGTATGTTGGCAATGATCCTACCCCAGACGTAATTGGTCAACTCCTTGATAGAAGTTGGAGCCATTTCATACCACTTGCCTTCGCTCCAGTCCCGGCAGCGCTTGTTGAAGTTGGCTGCGAAGCCAAAGGTCTTGGTGATCATGTCGCCAAGCACCACTAGGGACATGCGTTGCTCAAGGGCGTTGAAAAGAATGTGGCACTTAGTCTCATCTTGTTCAGCAGCACGAATAAGCTTGTCAAAGTGCTTGTGGGCCTCACCAAGGTTGTTTGAGTGGTAACCTGGCGCGTTGAGGGATTGCTGAAACATATGCTTCAGGTGTGCCAATTGAGATTTTCGATTGCCTCCGAATGCACCACCAAGGAAGTGAAAATAGTCATAAGCGTCTGATGCAGAGCTGTCAACGTCACCGAGATTGCTCCAGCGTTTGGCTAGCTTGGCCAAAGGCATGCCACTGCGGTCACCAATGAGCGCGTTCCAAGGATCGTTTATCTCATCGAAACAGAAAGAATGAATGCTGTGCTTCCAAAGGTAGCGACTGGCTAACTGAGAATAGAGCTCTGCGTGAAACTTGCCCTCAGCAGCCTTGAGTTTGGGACTCTTGATAACGGGAACGGATTGGATTGGTAGTCCGGCGGCGTCCTTGCTGAGGTACGTGGAATGACCACCATAGAAAGGACTTATGAGGTAGCCACTGAAGAGTGCACCACACTGCCGTGATGCGAACTCGATCGGTTCAGCCCTAGTAGTCATGGGCTGAGTGAAAGAAGGGTTGACCTGCCAGCCTGCAGAAGTTACAGAAGGGGTGATGAAGGTAACCTTAACATCCTTGCCTATGGCGGCGCAAATGGAGTCGCTCGTCTAGTCGGCGAAATCATGTTAGTCCGTGATACGAGAATGAGGTTCGCATTTGCTTACAATGGTGGCGACGTAGTCCTGCCCATCCAACAGAAAGATATCTTGCTCGAGAGAGGTAAGACCACAAGCGATGATAACAAGGGCGTCATCATCATCGCGAGTAGCTTGGACCTTCTTCGTAAGCTCGCTCATGAACCTGCCAACCAATGCTTGTGCATTCGGTTCAACAGTAATGGGCAGAGTGACATTCTTTGCAACTCCACTCACATCACGGCCAACATGATCAAGGTTGTGCTTTTGCACAGCATCAAGAAGGTCAGTCTGCGAGAGCCACACCTGCTTGTAGTCATTCGTGCCAGGTTCGGTGCAAAGAGACATCCATGCGAGGAAACCAGCGATGTGATGGCCCAGGTCATCCTTGCCTTCGCGTCCAAAAGGGACAGTGCAGATGCCGACGATACAATCTGTACGTGCGATATCAGGCGGGTGGCGGGTGACAATGGTAGCATCAAGAACGTTGGAAGCTTTTGTTATGGGCCTGGGGACGAACTCAGCGCTAGTCGCGCGCAATTTCGACGCGGAAGGCGGCATAATGAGCGTGCAGTTGACCGATCGATGTGATGAGTCGGGACGAGGGTAGCAGTCGAGAATGAGGGAAGAGCCTGTGTAGGAGGTCAGTCTGCGGGGGTTGAATTATTGACTGTGTTGGGTTGAGATGGTGCTGAGCAGAAGGAAAAGGAAAGGAAACAAAAGGATGGGATGAAATCGATATCTCCAAAGACCTCTGGTGATAGGTCACGGACCAAAGAGCCCAAGGTGATGTTGGGAGGGTTGGGTTGAGAGGGTGAGAAGGAGAAGTAGAAGTCTAGCTGGTTCAAAACACCAAGGGAAATCCAGAGGTGCGGAATTTTTGTGACGATTGTGGTTGCCTTGCGGCACAAGACTGCAGCTTGACTCCGGCCTAGTAGTTGTGGCTGCCTGCTAGTAGTCGTCGAGATTGTCACCAGTGTGATCGTACCACTCACCAATCGCCGAATATATTATACATCTCACCGACCTTAGACTATACGAATCACGGTTGCGCCTTCCCAGTTGGCAGAGTCGTGTAATCAGTTAGGTGTACTCGCAATGGACCAATGTTTTCACATGGAAGCCCAATCAGCTGAGATTGTAAAGACATTGATCGCCAATCAATGAGGGATAGTCTTCCAGCTTTTTAAGTTATTTAGTTGCTAACCTAACACCACAATACGATGAAACAACATAAAAGTTTGACCACTGCATTGGGGAAAACACATGCTGCATGTGCATAATATATCATCGAACATGAACATGCTTAACATGCCATCTTATGCCAGATTGATATTCTCGCTCTGGTAAGCATTGGACCGTGGTATCTTTTCTTATATATAAATTTTCTTAGCAAACTCATTGACTCACGGCTTCAGGGACTGAAGAAGTTGGACAAGCGAACTTGGTCTACATGATAGTACGTTGAATCAACTATGAACTATAATATTTGGTGTAGGGCGCTTTGATAAGTGACGCACAAGTGTTTCGGTTTCATACAGTACACAAAATGGGCAGCTATATCCACAGGGAAATGGTGAAACGTTCGATTCAGTGTGATTCACGCATACATTATAAAGTAGCCTGCTCAAAGGGAAAGCGCTTACTAGGAAAGTGCATAATACGGAAGAATTTCCAGCCATCGTGAAAGGATTCTGCGTGGAGTTTAACTAGAAAAGTAGGAATCGAACCACATATAAACATATATTGACTTGTTTTTTCTTCTTCTTTAATTTCACTGGTATCATAGCAATCCACACCAGAATCATTTGATATCATATATGCTCATGGTTGAGCATTAAGTAATTGTTAAATTCCACAAGGATATTTGGGCAGACCCAGGTCCTCATACACCATTGATAAGCGCTAGGGTGGAAGGATCTTTGCAGACACAATAAAAAGATTGTGATCAGGACCAAGAAAAGAGAACTTGATACGCTATCTCTAAGCCTCCCCGTCTTACATATTGTCGATAGGTATGCCGCGTTTTGGTCTGCTATACTTTCGTATACACAATGGGATACCATGATGATATAATTGCACAATTGTGGTTGAACAGTTTTCTTGAATTACGGATGCCTAATGTTGCTCTTCCTGATGCGATGCAATTGATGCCTGAGATATAGGAGTAGAGTTCGAGGGAGGTTGACCTGTATTCCGTACGGACCCGTCGTCGACGTATTGACATCCGTGGCGGGCCATGCGCTTGGGAGATGGTGCACATCTGCAACCTGCCAAGTACTGAGCAAAGATCTCGGACTGGAACTCGTAATAAAAAAAACCCTGTATCTCTCAACTGGCGCGAGACCAATGGCAGACCACGTTCATGTTTTCGAGATTGAGGCGGGTCCTAGTTGCTTTGCACATTCCTCCTGGGTGCGCGATTCCCTCTCTGGAAAACAAAGAGTGCCTCATCCTTTCCAGGAAAGCTTGGCAACGGTATTTGCACGACTTTTGTCCAGTCCGGCTCTTCTTTCTCCATATACTCGTCCATGCTCATATTCCTAAAGCCGGTATATCCGTTGTGGTTTTGCGTCCCTACAACAGCGATGGTATCACCCTTATAAGCCTTTACTAGTTGCCGAGTAAACCCGCCCTCTTCGCCGCCAGCAATACCTCCGCCCACTATAGGGTATACCAGCAAGAGTACTGCGTGCTCGCCGCCTTTGTTCCCTGGCTTGTTCAAATATTGTACGCCGTCCGATATCGTGGTGTCCTTGACCCACGTAACTCGCCAGCTGCTCTGGGCATTATCCACGGGCTTCACCTCCAAGCCGTACTGCCTCAGCATGAACGTCCAGTACCCATTGCCACTTCCCATGTCCCATATCTCCCTGCCGTCTGCTAGTATCTTCAATATGCTCAGTGCCTCATGACTAGGGCACACGCAGCCGAAGTGATGCATAAAGACTGGCAGGCTATGATGGCTGCTCTTCACGGCTTCGCTCTCCGGGCATGGACCCGCATATTCAAGGTTGAGGCATGCCCACGTCAGGAAATCCAGGTACGGATTCGGCGGGGCAGCTTTCGAGCGCGCAATCTGCAGCTGTGGCAGCGCAGGATGGAGGTAGCGTTTGCCGAGAAGATGCGCCGCTATCGAAGCGCGCAGGGAGTTCTTCTTTGCATTGGACGAGAGGGACTTGAGTATGTTCGGAGTCGCGGTCTTCGGATCAAAGATTTGTAGGTATGTTTCCACGTCGGGCTTTGGCGGCGGCGGTAGAAAGTCAGATGGTCCTAGTTTTTGCTGCTTCTCTGGGGGAGGTGCAGAAGGATATCTGTACCATGCGTGCAAGCCGTTCGCGGCGCCGAGCCCGATAACATGTTGTACTTGTGCAAGTGTCACAGATACTATGGCGTGGTACACATACGAGTCGCGTGGGGGAAGGGAGAAGGATTCGGCAACGGCGGATATAAGGTCATCTTTGGCGAGATGGGCAACGGCGCGTGCGAGTAGATCCTTGTCGGCTATGTAGGTGGCAGGGTCCCATCTCGACACGCCTTCGCAATAGGTGAATGGTTTCGTGGGTGTTCGACTCGGCGCCATGTTGCGTGATCCGTCGCGTGCCAGTCGCGCCGAGCAGAAGATTGAGGGACACTTCAAGGGTGAGGGGTCGTGGTCGCAGTCGTAGTCGCAGTCGCATTGAGACCTGAATTCATTGTTCGGAGGCCCTAAAAACGATGACGCACAAGACCCCATATACCCTAACGCTCCTAAGTACAGTGGCTCCATGTGGAAACAAGCACATGTATGCCCTATAATTTTATACCCCATAGGCCGTACTGATTACTACTATACACCGTTTTTAATGACGAAGCGTATTACATGTTAAATATAATGGCAGATTTCTATTAATGACATCGTTTTTAAGTATTGCCTTTTCCTTAATTGACTTCGGGTTCGCCTAAAAAATCACGTGTACAATAATTTCCCCGGTACCTACTTTATATAGGCACTTTAGGCACTAAGCTTAGAACTTCAGTTATAACCTCGAAACTGACCCAAATCAGTACAGTACACCATGATTGGTGCAACGACTCTAAAAACGCCAGAAATGGAAGGCACGCTAGGAAGCCTGCCTGCCTCAGGTAGGCAGAGCTTGCTAATTTGCAAATTCTCCATTTGGGACAAAGCCTGGAAATGAGCAAAAATATATGGCACTGAATGTTATTGTGAGTCTAGAGCTGTCCGCCTCTTCACTTGATTCAATGCTCAGTTGCGCCAGTGTGGTTCTCAAAAACAATGGCAGTTGCGTTCCTGTTGGAGATGGCAACAAATCAAGCCAGATTGTTGCCAGTTTCGGCTTTGCCATTGTCGCAACAATTCACGACTGGATATAAAAGCAAGAAAGAGAGCGCATACATGCGCAAAAGTAACATATTGCATTGCGGATTGCGCATTGCGGAACCATCCCAAATTGAAACTCTGTATCATCTGAGAGAGCATATCGAAGTTTATCATTTCCCAACTCTCCAACAGACCAACTTACTTGGGCTCTAGCAGTCATCTCATCGACGTAGACATATCCACACGGCTCACTCAGCGTCAATCAACTAATTTGTAATACCAGCATAATGGATCCTATCCCTAGTTACAACAAGAAAAGGAAGCTGGCTGAGAATGGCGACGGCAAGCCTTCTAATTTCAAGAAGATCCAGCGAGCAACAGCTTCGAAGCCTAGCCTTCCAAATCAGAGCACCTATTCACGAGTGCCTTGTTCAAATCATGGCGCAATCAAGGCCGACCTCAAATTTAGCCGGAAACATTCCCGTGGCGAGGATGAGGGTATCGCGTCTAGGAAAAACTTTCGAATGCCATCGCCAATACTCAACGCACGCCCGGTATTGCCAGCTCCCACGGCGCCGGCTGCCCAACCCTGGTTACCTTCATACCCTGTGGCATACGACCAACTATGTTCCACAACCACGTCGCTCAGTTTGAGCAGTGCAGACTCCTTCACTTTATTCCCCACGCTGCCCCCCGAATTACGTCTTGTAATTTGGCAGCACACCTGGGAACATCGTCAACTCATTCCCCAACGCAAAATCATCGGCTGGATCACAGATGGGCGAACATATTCGTCGACCCTGACCAACCATGAAATCATGTGTATCAAGATTAGAGACACAAAAAAGGCACGTTATGGCTGGTTCTCAAACAACCATGCATCCGTTAGCGGCAGTGTTTGTGCTAGCACCAATGGGATCAGTCTCATCACCAGGACCTGGACAGAGACACCAGCACCAACTTCACTTTATGTGAACCGCGAGTCTCATTATGAAACTCTGCGATACTTTCAACGTGGTCTCGGCCTTTCTTCCAATAAGTTAGACGTCTGGGTGAACTTCGACAGAGACGTCATACACGTACCAGTGCATAGCCCACTTCACATGACTTTCACCCGCGCTGATTGCGGTAAACTAGTTCGGCTCACTATTCCTGAACTTGCTCCAGCTCTTAGTCTCTTCTCGCACAGAATCGGGCAATGGGATAGTGAAAAGAGTCGGCTAAGTGCCATACCAACACTCGTCGGCACGCTGCCTCTTTATGAAGAGTTCACTGACGTATGGCGTCTCATCAGATCGCGTTTCCCTAGTCTTCGCGAAATCAACCTCGACCGCTTTGCTGAATGTAGAAAATACGAATTGACTAGCATGTTGGGTCTTGACAGGCCACTACCACCTGGTCATCTATATTCACACTGTCACTATTGTATGAATCTACAGCAGAGGATCAGACAGAATATACCTAGGATTGGTGTAGCTCACGCAACAGATGGTGCACTCTCAGATATTTCGCGGATCCTCGATGCTCGCAACATCATGAATCCCCTGTACGAGCGTCGAAGTGCTGTTATCGGCAAGGTCAAGGGACAAAAGAAGGGCGAAATGGACGAGGATGTAGTAGTCAACTACTGGACTGTGTGATGCAAGGAACAGGACTTTAATGGTAACTTATATGGCTATACAAGCGAGTCGATCCAGCGGCAGGTAGTAGCGAAAGCCTTGGAGATGTACCTTGGTTTTCCTAACGATTATGACTATCTAGCTTATCAGTTCTGAGTGATTGAGTTGTCAATGAAATTCAAGTACACAGATAGGAGAGACCGTAGAAGATTCAGCTCATCAATTCTGATAGCGTTCCCTGACTATTGAAAGAGCATCGTACTACTCACATACACAGCGTTTTCTCTCTCTTCCAAGGATATGCTTAGAAAGACTCCAAGGGTGCAAGAAATAGATAAAAATATAAACGAGAAATGGGCACCGCCTTCTTTGAAATCATCTTTAGTTCACGAGTTGAAGTAAAAGTTTTTACAGCTGCCTGATCGATTGCACTAAAGTACTCGAATCATCTCTCACACCTCCCCTAGCAATTATCAACAATCTACAACACCAGCTCGCGCGACCTTTCTATTGAAAACCCAGCTTATTCAATAACGCAACACCCAAACCTTAGGTACGAGATATAAGTATGTATCAAATCTGCCGCCGGGCGCTACACACAGAGCACCACTGATAATTCAATTGAGCAGTCATGCCTGTCAGAGAAGACGGTGGCTGAACCCGTTCAAACTAACGACGATGACCTGCGGCCTTCTGAGCAGGAAATTTCTGCGCTCCGCAGGTTCCATTTGTTCCCGTGGCTGCCTGCCGAAGTCAAGTTGTTGGTATGGAATGCTGGTTGGGAACCGCAAAACTCCAGATCTGCCGTGATTATCTGTGACTTAACGACGAGTTTTACGAAGAGGTCGCACGCAAATACTACCTTGGACCGCACATGTTCGAATTCCCATTTAAATGGCTCCACAGCATGCAAATGATGCGCTACGACAAACCATGACAATGACGGTGATGCAGGCTCGGAGTATCTAGGGCTTATCAAGACTTTGATTAGGACCAGCTGGCCACCGCCTACGACTTTGTTCGTTCATCGTGAGGCTTATATTGAGATGCTACAATATTTTAGTTTTGTCTCGGTTTGCTTGCAGGCCAGTCTAGAGTTTACTACAATTTTAACACCAATGTAGTGTTTCTGTCACGATCCATAAACCTGCCTCAAATTTTCGCCAGACAAGGTCTCATAAATCTGTGCGAGCTGGGCATACCCAGCTTTGACCAACAGTTTGAAAGTCCATTGAAAACTAGGTAGTAAGCCACACCAGCTCTTAGCATCTGTCAGTGCCTACTTGGACGCAAGGGTTCAAGAACTTGCTCAATCACTTGACACGATTCCTTACTGCCGAGTTTGCGGCCAATGTACCGAAGTTAGAGTATATATACGGATTACTAGTGTAGACATGATCACATAAAAAATGCATAATCATACAACACCTCAGTGGTCACATCACTAGGGTAAGCGGACGCCATGACTGAATAATTAGTGCTTTAAAAACGGACTCCTCGTCACCTTTTTACTTTCAGTTATCGATTTTTATAAATTTAGAGCGTTAATTTGAAAGTAATAGCTTGCGATTAAGGGTAGTATTCATTGAGTTTTGAGTTAGTAGCACTATAACTATGGCGTTATCCTTATGAACAGAAACGTAATATTGATCGTGCTAGATACGACCACAACGTATAACAATACCCAAAATACTCAGCAATCTCTTCTACCATGTGTCGAGACCACCGCCTAAGACTCATCAATCGATAACTATAATAAAAAAGACAACATGTCATAATATAGGAATGAGTTTCACGTAACCTTAGCGCCTTGTTACTTTATTACCCATGTCTAAGCGTGGTGTCGAATTCCTAGCACTGTATATCACAGAGGCTGGGCGTCATTACCCAATTCTTGCGAAGCGTTACAAAAACACCAGCAATTTCGTAAAGTATGCACGAAACAAAGCAATTCAACCACAAACAGTTGGCAGAAGCCGGGAAAAGGTGGTCGACAGTCAGCTTAATATTCACGTTTTATAAGCTATCACCAACACATATTACAATATCTCCCAATGCATTAGTGCTTTTTCTAAGGTCTCTTAGTCATTTACAAGCTTCCACCCCCTTTGTAATACTTTGTAAACCGACCGAAACCTTGTCAAATCTTAAGTAAGTCGACTCTACCAACTAGTCACGTAGAAACCACTATAAATCGTGTATCAAAAGGCGAAATAGTTATAAATATTTTGGTGATTTTCTATACAACTAGGTCGACATGCTTATCATCAGCAATCTCTCATAAAACTCAAATTCCAATCTCAGGTCTCCTTTCCTTCACAGACTATTACACCCGAGTTCTCGAAAATGTGCATTTTTGAAAATCTTCCTCTACACCTTTGGCCACCGGAAACAGCAAATTACCATGGGCTGCGATAATCCTAACGTGAGGAATCATGCATCTTGCTGTAGTGGGCAGTGATCAGCAAAGTCATTTAGTTCTATTCTTCATGGCCGTTTGGGCAAAACCCAAGATCGAGACAAACACATAGATCGAGACTCTGAAATTGGCGCCCAGCTGCTGAACGATTCTGGGGTAACACTCGCTATGCTTTGTAAGAGGCTTCCTCGATCAGGCAGTAAGAGTATCTGCTTGGAATATGGTTACGTGGTTTGAATATACCCATAATCGTGCCAATCGCGTTCGAGTCGCGTTCTGATGCGCTCCAGCTTGCTAAGTTAGTGTACCTGCTTCGCCGTTCCCACTCTTCCAACATCTAGCGTCCGATATCTAGTGATGGTTTCGTCATCACAATGATTCAGCAAAGCTAGTATACACTGCGACATCATTAAAAGTGCTAATTCCGACCAGCGTCATTCCGAATGAGGAAGGTGTATTGAAGGCACTCCAGGTCGGAAACGGGAAAAGACCGCGACGGGAGTGCGATAATATGCTGGGCTCAGATTGACCCCACCAGAGAACAAGAGCAGCGTTCTAACTCAAAGTCACGTATTCGATCGTCAGCGGGGATCACGATATGGACGTCCTCCAAACCACATGTTTTCCTAATATCCCATAAGCCACTGGCCTGCGAAATAATTAAATTAGCCTGTCGCTGATTTCAAACACTCTATCTACCACCTTGGCGATGATCTCAATGCCGAACTTCAGAGTTCATACTTCAACGCTCTTCGATCCAAAGAAAAAGGCTTTTACCCACAATGTGTCGATCACGGTTGACCCCAAGACAGGCACCATCGTCTCCGTAGACCAGCGGCCTGACGCCGAGATTTATGAGCTGGGCTCTGATGATATCGATCTTCGGGGCAAGGTGGTAATGCCTGGTTTTGTTGACGCTCATACTCATATCTTCCTGCACGACTACAAGTAGGTGTTTTTTGCATTTGGTGCTCCCGGTGGCTTGCTCAGTAATGTAGGCTCACCACACATTAGCGAGCGCCCCGCAGCGGAGCAGCACCGAGATGAGAGCATCGTGGAGCGCGTTGTGCGTGCCACAAACCATGTGCGGACCGCCTTGCTTGCCGGCTACACGACATATCGTGACTTGGGATCGGAGGCGATGCAAAGTTTTGATGCAAACCTTCGAGACTGCATTAATCGCGGCATTATTCCGGGGCCGAGGCTGTTTGTCGCGACGCATCCACTAGGTAGCACAGGCGGGTTCGAGGTGAGGACGGAGAACTATTACGGGGGTACGAGAGCACCGTCTGCCTCTGACCCTGGCGATGGACCGGACGGCGTAAGACAGGCATTGCGACGACGCGTCGCCGAAGGTTGCGATGTCATCAAATTTTATGCAGACTATCGCCGGAAAATCATGAGGTTTCCGCCTAGCCAGCAGCATCCGTACAGATTAGGTATAGAGTTTCCTCCGGCAGCGCCAAATCCAAATGTACCTCTATTCAGCCAGGAGGAGATGGATATGATCGTGAAAGAAGCCAAGTTGGCCGACCTGCCAGTTGCGGCGCATGCGGGAGGGCTGAAAGCTGCGCTGATGGCAGTGAAGGCTGGAGTGACATCTATCGAGCACGGTTTTGAGGCTTCAGACGAACTACTCGAACTCATGAAATCCCAAGGAACCATCTGGGTACCGACACTTGCAGCTGCGGAGACGTTGAACAGGAGCGGCATGAAGAACCTACTTTCTCAAACAAAGCGAGCACACGATCTCGGAGTCAAGCTCGCCGCTGGTGGAGACACTGGGGTCTTCTCGCATGGCAGGGGTGCCAGAGAGATGGAGCTCATGATTGAAGCTGGCCTCCAGCTAGAAGACGTACTCGAGGCGTGCATGATTGGTGGTTGGGAGAGCTGCGGAAAGGACCAATGCGGCTACAGATTTGGCTGGTTTGAAAGGGGGAATCGTGCAGACATAATTGCGCTGCAAACAGACCCTAGACATGACAAATTTGCTCTACGGAAAATAGATTTCGTGATGAAGGATGGCAGAGTATGGAAAAAGAACGGCGAGGCGGTCGGAATGGTCGAAGACCACTTTCCATGGTGAGATTTCAGAGCACTTTTACTACGCTATGTAATCATAACAATTCCGCGCCATTGACTTCTAAGCCCAACTCGTAAAAATGAGGCATTATCAAAGACTGACGGCGTCAGTGCTGGGAAAAAAAAAGTAAAAAAGAAGAAGAAACAAGGTGTCTATAGTAGCAGTTGGTTCTAAGGGGACGGCAACAGTAGTTATAATTGTCCCCTTGCATGATTGAGCGCTAAAAGGCCAGGTAGGCCGGGGGGTTGCCAGATGCGTCAGGAGCAATTTCAGACGTGCGAGAAACTTTTACACCAAGCAATGCACCGTTTCTAATATGTATATACTCCATGTTGCAAGGACAGCAACTCCTCCCACAACGGCAGTCTTTACTCATGCTTGAATTAGTACTGCACTGTATTGCGTAGGTCTTTGCGCTGGCACCAGCGTAGAATGTCAAGCAATGTGGCAGCACAACAACGTTGACGCGGTCTACGGCGTATGAACAGTACAATTCATAGGCCACAATTCTATTAACCATATCTAGCATCGTGTTGTTCCTTGACGTAACACATGGTGCAACCACTACTATGCATTTTCTCTCGATTCTTATGGAATTGTTGCCGAGTTGATTCGTTCTCTTGCACTTCTCCTCGACATGTATTTATCACATGTATCCATGACCGCCCAAGAAGATATATCGTCTTAGGTTGACGAAACAGCTTGTCCCTTCATCGTCTGAGTAAAAGCTTGAAGAGCAAGTTTAGGCGCTGCAACATTTAGGTTAGATGCTTGTGTCTTAGACTCGAAGACCCGTGAGACTTACAATAGTAAGGGACCTCATGACCTGCTCCGTACACTCGAATAAAGCTAAGATTGTCCACTGATTTGAACTGCCCAAGCTCTGTACCGCCTACTGTGTACGGCGCAAGTGTCTTGGCGCTGAACTGAGCTGATCCCGAGTAGGTCAAAGCATTGGCAACGTCAAGATTGCCGAACCAGTTACAAATGAAGTCGGCATCACCAGCCCATGTGAGCACACGAATCCCCGACTGAATCACAGTCGAAAGGGTAGAAACCAACGAGCGAGGATCTATAATTATGTTAGTATGCGACATATTTAACGATTGGCTTGGTTGAGGGTTTCAACTCACAGTCACCGGTGGTGAAGAACTTCTGGTTGACACTGTTAGGACATTCCTGATAGGTTGACTGAGCTCCAATCGCCTTTACGACGTCAGCCCGTGCAAGATATGTCGCGTATGTCTCAGGTGGATTCGGGTCATTGCTGCTGGCGCGAACATCATACGGATCAAAGTCGGCACTGTTGTAGATTACATCGTCAATGTCCTCGCTACAGGTATTGTATGCCTGTTCGCAGGATGCGTCGGCACCAGTGAGGCCGGTGCATTTATTGAGCAGAGGAAGACACTTGGATGTGTAGACTTTGTTTAGCGACGTCTGTTGAGCAGCAGTAATGAGTTTGCGGTAGGTATTGTTGTAGGCAAAATCGATATCAGCCTTGTACTGGATCGTCTCATCGTATAGACCATTGTTGATGCCGAGGGCAACAAGATTAATCTTTTCACCCTGGAGACTGCCACTGGCAATTGCGCTGTTTTGAGTCTCGATGTAACTAGCAAACTCTGGACCGTAATGTCCACCATAACTCTCTGTGAAGATGCCGAAATCACGACTCTCATACTGTGGAAATTGGGTTAGGAATGCTTGGAGAAGCTTCCACACGAATGGCGCTACATGGTGTTAATAACGGTTCCGTGACCCAAACGTAGTGATGTCAGGATCGCAATTACCTGCGGTAACGGTTGATGTGACAGTGTCAGTGCCGTATGAGAAGCCAGTACCAATGGGCTGATCGACGTAGATCATATTGGCATACTCATTGAAGCTGTATGGGTTGAGAGAAGGGGTAGATGCGCCGTTGTAAAACTGGCATGGGCCGTTCTGCGGAGGAAGCTGTTAGCAACGGGTTTCAAGGATTGGGGTGCTTAAGTCCGGCGTTCCTAATAGGGCTTGAAGTAGTAGGCGCTTGACTGCTGGCAATACAAACCAAGAATGAGTCTGAATGAAAGGCTACTGACCTCCTGGAAGAGTCCGATCATCGAACTGCATCCTGGGCCACCATTGAACCATGTAGCCAAGGGTGCGGTGCTCGCATTGTTTCGTGCCTCGAAAAACCTTCAGTAAATAGTCAGAACTATTTTCTGTCATTACAAGAGGCTTCGGGATAGGCAGATTTACCAGAACCACATATTCATGTTTGTGCCGACACTGAGGTAGCCCGAGTATTGATTCACCCCCGGCGTGGTCTCGCAGATTCCTGAATTATTGACGAAGGACATCTTTGTGCCTGTTGCGGCATGCTCGAACACATTGTACGTAACATCATCACGGACCTCGACGTATCTCTTGTCGATCTTAAAGTCAAGCGAGGCTGATGGAGCCGCAAGGACAAGCCTCGCCGAGGCGGCCAAGAGCCAAGCAGTGAGGGACTTGAAGGCGACCATAGTCAACAAGTCGATCTGGACTTTGGGCCAAGAAAGCAACGTAGGGAGCCAAGAAAGAGTGAGCGAACTTGGCATGCTCAATCCGTCCGCCAAGAACGACTCAAGCTTTTATCGAAGACGAAAACCGCGAAGCGAGGCAAATAAGCTTTTTGGAGGTAACCTCCAAGGGTCATGAGAAATTAAGAACCCACCAAAGGTATAGGGTATTGTCTGCCAGATTGGAAAGGTGGCAAGGGTTAGGAGTGCTATAAGCTATAGTTGAGCTTACTGCTTCCAGCAGGTGGATCATCCGGTGCCCACGTGGCACACCACAAATTACCCACTAATGTCGGTCGTGCCAAGATCAACTGCCGGATAGGGATTGGCACTCCGCATAGTGCTACTGTGCAATACCGCCTTCCTCGTGTCAGGGCACAACGTCAAACAAAACAAGCATTTCGCGGGAGGTTATATATTCCTAGCGCACAACAGTCGCGGTGCTCCGGTCCTTATTTACGGAATATATCATTTCTCTCTTGGGTAGCCGTAGCTACTTCAACGTTGAAACATAGGCTTGCCATACGAGAAACATGCTGAGAACATCCTTTTTCTTCATGATACCATATTATAGACGTTACAAAGCCATTGATCATGATCTGCCGCGAGCATAAAGTTGCAGAACGCTCCTCATTAAAAGTCGAATGTCCAGATCTAAACGCACATGCTGGGCTGCGGTTACATTAAGACAGCTTGTACTACCCAGTTCAGCGCGGATACGGGCGCGAACATTGATAAGATTCCGCATGACGTCTCAAATCTCATACGAAAACGACAGTCGTTGGCGAAGTCCCGGTACCTCCTCATAAGAGGCATGACCTACGTCAGCTGATTGCGTTAGTCACATTTAGTACAACTCCGCCATTAATTAATTAATTAAAGCCACACGGCCTCGCGTTGTTAGGTATAGATCTTACAGGCCTATGGCCTCTCTTTGCACTACCACAAAAATTCGTAGACAAATGTCAAAGGGAAATTCGCGGCCGCGGAATTGTAAGTGCAGCCGCTTCCAAGTGACGAGCACAAAAAAAGACGTATAGACTGTCCCATTCAAGGAGTTGCCACAATTTCGACATTCCAGTAGTAGCTAAGCACTTCTCTATTGTGTGTTGCATAGTTAAAGCCGCGAGCACACTTACTTTCACGTCAAATGTATATTGACAACTACTCACTGTCAATTCAGCGTACACAGTGTTAACCATGTGGTTTGCTTGTGCAATGTGTTCTCATGGTCTAATAGTCTCTTTAAATTTGACCGGCACATATTGTTTGACGAGCTAGAGAAGAACGCAAAAGACCTCGGTTGACTTTGCCAAATAGAAAGCAGCACTGTGCCAAACCTGTCATTCTCTCTTTAGACTGAGAAGCCAAGTAGCTTGCTTATGCCACCAACATCGACAGTATCTAGTATGCGTTATTACCAGTAGAAAACTCAATATCATGAAGAAATATTGTTTAGATGGGCTAACGTGAGTAAATTTCTCTTAAGACTGTACCATACCAGTATCATAATTCATACCAACTCGTTCAAATGGTTATATAACACCAAAAACGTAAACAAAAGGTTAGCCGGAATTTATCTCAACGAAAAAACCGGTAGCAAAATATCCCACACTCAGATTCTTGTGAAACCTTGATATGTTCACTTTTTCAGCTTTCGAGGATCATTTGGGACCACTCCCTCTGTGTTTCCTTGCATTCGCTACTAAATGCTCGATAACGAAAGAATGTATATTTGAGAGTACAGGCAAGTGGATTTCTGCTTCCTCGTCACAATGAGTATGGCATTGAAAAATCTTTTCATAAACAATTCTATGGAGTGTCAATTGGGAGTGGAGTGTAAGGAATTTCTTTTAGCGAGAACTGGGTCTCCACGTTGTTTGATATGCTGATGTTTGGAGTGTTGCTTATGGTTCCAAGAGCGTAGTCACTATGAGACTAGACGAAATCATTCTGCACGTCTTCAGATTCGAGTTTGAGTTACTATGCTAACTATGATATTGACATCAACTGGTTTTGACAAAACGGCTATGTGGTTTGTGAGGCCTTGATACAACTCCAGACTGCCAATGATTGAGGAAACATGTATGAACTTTCCAAAATAAATTGGCCTAGATCAGGTCATCTTATTCATATATTAAATTGATAACAATCACACCTCATGAGGAGACCAATACTTTATATTTTTAGAGACAAACTGCGCCGATCGGTTCATAGCAATGACCTTCGTCGAAGGGTGCGTAGTTAAAGCACTTTTCCACATATTTTGATGCCATGGATATCAATCAGAGATGATCTGAACCCCAGTCTACGCCCTCCGCCGCTTCATTTCAAGCTGGAGGTCCGACTGAAGGCAGTTCTTGCTAAGCTCAAGCAGTTGTGTATTCAGCCGCCCTGGAACCACCAGACACTTCCAACAAACAAACAAATAAACAAAAAAGAAGAGGGAAAAAAAGGGGGGTTGAGGGCATTATTGGGTACTTCAATTGTGTCTTTTTTATCCGCTTCGATCCATGTCATTTTCTGTCATGTTAAGTCAACACAATGCCAGCAACGCCAAGATCAACGGCCAGCGTGAATGGATCGTGAACAATCATGTCACCAAACGCGAAAGCTGCCAGAATGAAGCTACTTAGAAGAGCATGACAACACTCATTGCATGGGTCTCCAATAAGTCTAGCCTGATAGTTGAGCCTGTTCCATACAGATTGTCACAATACTGTAGAAGCATTGGTCTAACAATCCAGGTTTGTGGTTGATATGAGTGATATGAGCGGCACAGGCCTGGGAAGACAAGCCCTACGGCCTCCAATGTTGATAGATGAGCCGAAATGCAAACTGGGATGACATTGAGTGAGAGTTTGCTTTTTTTTCGGGGGGTTTTTTTTTCTTCGCGTTTGGCTTCGACGTTACCACGAGCGCGCTATCAGCGATGCCTGCCAGTAACCAACTGCACCCTTGTGATAATGTGACATCCGCACCGCCAGGTGTGCTTCCAGTCAGCCGCGAACATGAATGCGTAAGTGTGATTCTAAGAGAGTGATCTCTCGTAACCTCGTCTCATCTGCTGTCGGATGGTTTGATGTGGCGAAAGGCTCCCCTGAGCAAGTATCCACATTTGAGCTGTTTTTGGGCTAAGCGCATTAGATCCCGTCAGCCGCAAATGGCACTAGTGGAAAACCCTTCACTGAACAGACGCTCTGAAATCTTTACTCCGCAACAATATCTTACCTGTTAAAATCGTTTCTTGGAAGATATTCGCTAACATGGCTGATTCATCAAACTGGAGATCGCGCGCCCCTGTGGACCCAGACGCCCAGCCCAGGCGCAACAACTATGCTTCTCGTAGACCCAGAGATGACGAAGCCTCGAGAGAGGGCCTCGCCGAGCGAAGCCGTTCTGACGACCTCAAGGTACAGAGGCCGCAAAGACAGCACGAAGATTCTCCCGAAACTTCCAAGGCTATCTTGGAGGGTCGCCGTATCTACCTTGGAAATCTGCTCTACAGCACCAAAGTCGAGGATGTTACTGCATTCCTCGCGGACAACGGCTTCCCCTCCGTCGTGAACGTGCACATATCCATCGACCGTTTCACTGGTCGGAACCCGGGATATTGCTTCATCGAGTTTGCTGACAAGGCGGCTGCCGATGACGCCATGGAGAAGCTGGAAGGCGTCCCCTTGTTTGACCGTCCCGTTAAATGCCGGCCATGTCAGCCAAAGGGCAACCAGCGACAAGCAAGTCGTTGGCCTCGTGAAGAGGGACGCGATGAAGGAAGCACTCCCGGCAACAACCGCTGGGGCAACTGGGGCCGACCAAGCGGCGAATCTGGTGACCGTCCAGCTTTTGTTCCGAGAAATAGTGGCAGTGGCATTGGCCAGATTTCGAAAGCTCAGGAAGAGGGCCGACAACTTTATGTCGGTGGTTTACCGAGAATGCTTGACCAAGCAGAGAACGACGTGGAAATGAGAGACATCTTCAAGGATTTTGAAGTGTAAGTCTCTTGTACCTAATGCCAATGCTGCGATGATGCTAAACTATTCGACAGGGAAGCAGTGAGCAAGCGAGTCAGCCCTCGCGAACCCGGTGATGGCCGCAGGAACTTCTGTTTCATCGACTTCACAACCCGTGAGCAAGCGCAGGCGGCTAAAGTAGCTGTTCATGGCTTCTCGTACAGAGACGCGCCGCTCAAAGTTAATGAAGCAGTTCCAAAGACTGATAGATTTGCCAATAGGGCAGAGAGATCGGACAGGGATATCAGAGATTGAACACCAGAGTTGCATTTCAACCAAGTCATGGGGATGGAAAACTCGAGTCAATAGCCGGCCATACTCATGAGTTTTCCGTAATTGCAGTAGCGAAAAGCATTGGATATCTTTGGACAAGAATTGGGCATATTTATGGGTGGATAAAACATTGGCGTGGTCACTTGGATGAGGATACTGGGTATAAGTTTAGACTATTTTAGTCATAGACCGCTTTACCCTGGCGTAGTGAAATCCTACAAGTTATGAAGGCCATGATCTGAAGATCATGCAGATCAAGTAGCCATGTCTTCAATCATATCCGAAGCGAGCAATGATATAAAACTTGGGTTTGATCATAAGCATCCGACAGGGGAGCATATGACAACTCAAGCTGAGGGCGGTAGTTGGTCAGAATACCCACAGTCGCAATGCTTTTGTGCTTAGTATCACCTTGATAAGAATCTTATGATAACACATACCGTTGCCCTGTGCTGTCAGTCATTTCAAGCTATCCTATCTGTCGAGACGTGGTCTGAATAAAATCTTGATGCATCCCACAAACGTGCTAGGCGTCGACCATCACTGTGAATGCATATGTAGTATACATTTGAGTCACTTAGACATCTGACAAACACTTGAGCTTGCCAGATATGGACTGTGGACCGTTTGCTCCAGCACCAAATCTTTGTCCCTTGAGTACTTGTACTTGACAGGCTGAGTCCTTTTTGGCAAACACTCGGCGGCTACATTGCAGGACTCTGTGAATTGTAAATCAGTATCGACTCACCAGATCAATGCATTCATCCTACTCTCAAATCAAGTCAGTAAGCATTTGGCGATTGCCCGCTCTTACAATTCTTGAATTGCCCGTGTATAAAGGCAATCCTGTGGCTCAATTGGAATGTCCCTGCACTTAACAATTTCTTTGACTGTGAACACTTTAGTCTCATGTCTCTTCACCTTAAAGGCATAGTGAATCCTTTGTTTTATTGTTCACAATAAAACGGCTGGTTGGAGGTCCTCTCAACCTCAACAGCACATGACTGCTGGAGGCTGTCGGGTCCTTGCGGTGCCATTCTTAACAAGTTTCTCAACTTAGACTCTCATTTTTCTATCCTTTCACCTTTAACAGCTATCCATTCATAATTATCAGTATGATCTTTTCATTGAATACAGATGCTAGACACATGTCACTTGACCACACTTAATCCAGCCACTTATGCTTCAAACCAACAACAAAAGAGGAGTGAGACGCCACGTTCACGTGTAACAAAGCACTTATCGACTCCCTATTTTTATAAGTCAAGTCAATTGTGCGAATTACAAGATTGATAGATAGAGACAGTACAAACTCATCTTTACACTTTTCTACAGGGCCTCAATTTCCTTGAGGTATGTATCATCACGAACTTGAATTCCTTCCCATTTCCTCAGAAGCTTGAAAATGTTGTATGAACTATGCTGCCTTCGCGTTCAATAGGCGTCACAACAACTTCGACCAGTCACCTTGCCTAGAGACCTACCCTCTTCAAGTATCACCGTAGTTGAGTCATTGTGTAGCGAGGAAGCTATCCTCCGCCTGCCACGATTTCTGCTCATTCATTTGCACAAAAAGCAAACTGCTAGACCCACTTGCCTTGACGCTTGAGCATCACAGCTACCAGAATATCAGGAACTATACTCCCTGCCTGCCATTTCTCTTTTATTAAGTCCTTGATAATTTCTCATCTTATGAGTATCATCATCAAGGGTATCTGGTGTGACATGCACGACTAAGTTTTGAACATCACTAGCCAAAGACATCAAAACAGTAAACCGCTCGCAGAAATACAAGTAAGTAACACAGTATATCTGGTTGACGGACTTCTATATAAATTGATATGCCGCCATAAAACTTATGAGGCATTGGCCAACGATGTTTCAGACTATCCACAGCTCAACCACGTACTATACCCTTAAAAACCAGCTGCTGTCGTCTGATCCCAAGTACAACCATACTCTACCAAGTCAAACATATATGCATCGCCATTAGTACCTTTCTCGCCACGTCCTAAAGTCTCGGCTTGTCAATTACAATCTTCCACCAAGTGACGGATGACTAGCTGCTCTCTAGTACAGTATATACGGCTACCTCCGCCTTTCTCGATACCGAACGAATTTACATGAGACAAACAACTATCCCCGGCTTTCTCCGAGACTTCAAGAATTTATTTACTTTCGAGGAAGGCGGGAGACAGCTATGTGTACCAGGTGGTCTTTAGAGAATTCCCACGCCATCACCCACTTTCTTTTGTGCTTTCTAAAGAGAATCTTAAAGAAAGCTGATATCACTACGTAAAGCTTCACGGGTACAACATTAACTCGGCAAGTATGACTTGATTGGAGACTTTTATAGAAGTATAATTCTTGAAACTACATTCAACGTTTTCTAAAACTTAATGCGTACCGTATGTTATTCTTTGAATCAAAATTCCCATGAAGATCGGGTGTTCTACGTATCAATTCCTCTGGTTACATTCCAATAACTAGCGTCCAACTTATCATCAGAACTATTCCTTGATGACCACACCAAGTAAGCACAGCAACTCGAACACAACCGCTCTTTGGCATCTATCTTTCCAAAGCACAAATCTGGAGACTCCCCCTTTTCACTATCCGGCACCTGAAAAGCACAGGTGAGTTACTATTTAACTCGAAGTCCTTCATTTCATATATCCTTCACTACAGCAACCAAATTCTGCTTGCTGCCTTAGTCGCTCGGGGTTGCTTCACGCTGTTCATCTACGCGTCACCCTGGCTGCCCCAACCATGATAACACCACCACTACCTGCAGCCATTCCACTTTCAAACCAACTCACGCGTCTATTTTAGACCTTTCCCGGCTCCTGCAACCATTTTATTTTTCAGGCCTGTTCAGGTGTGCATTTCAACACTCTCCAAATACCACTCGACCACACATCACTCACCACTACACACAACACAATCAACCACGTTGTGGTCAGCACTTACGTCCTCCGCATCCCATTAATCATCCTCGACCACTTGTTACCGTGCGGGTAAGTAGGGACTTCCTATTTCTCCCATCTCAAGATCTCTTTCCACATGAAACTGCGCGTGTTTGCATTTTGTTAAATTTCTCTCCTAGTTCTTTGTAGACTTTTGTTCTACTTTGAGCATACATTAACAATTGCTTAAAACGTCTCTGACACCACGGTCCCATAACCATATTCATCAATAGTTCTTCAGCTTCTCACTCACCCATCCCTGCCTAGACCACAGTCTTAACGGCACTTCACCATTATCGAGAGATCGAAGTACGACCGCAGTCACCGCGTTATTGTTATCTGATAATAACATGATGGCTGGCACTGGCGACCACAAGGCTGTCTCAGCTATGGCAGTCCAATATTCGGACAACACTCCGAAGCACAAAAGACTGCTAAATCTTTATAGCGAGGAGGACTTGGGCCACGATCCCATGGTCAAGTTTGGAGGTATGATCTAATACAGCCCAAAGAAAGGATGCGTACTGATCAACAAATAGGCATCAAGCACTACGGTGTGATTGGTGACCGCATGCCTCCTGCTCCCAAGATAGGCACAAGGCAACAAGACATGCCCCATACACTCACTTGTGCGTTCTTGAGTGACGCCGGCTCCAGTGCACAGAACTCGCGCACACCATCTGGAGCCAGCAAGCCTCTTCCTTCAACCCCGGGCTTGCCCCTAACTGGTCGTATTAGTCCCGGTATAACCAATCTTCCATCAAGGCTCCTTAGCGACCAAGCAGAGTTCGGCGACAATCTCTTCACCAATAGCTGTGAGGATTATCCTCAACCCATGCAGGGAAGATCACGAACCGCAGCTGTCGATGACATGTATCGTCGTCGAGCCCCTGTCGCTGCCATTAATCCTACCACTTGTTACTTTGCACGGGGTGCCAACAGACCTCTGCGGAAGTTGATGACTCGGGACATGCAGCCCGATCTACCGGCGGCCAAACAGGCACGTCCATCGATCCCTGGCTATACAGATATAGTCAGAGTTCGTGGTGGTCATGAGGGTTCCCGCACTGGAAGTCCTGCATACCATAGCAGAAGTAGTTCGGATGAGTTCTATCCTGGAACATACGGCTCGGAAGAAAACGTCCGGCCTTGCAATCCAGAGGTCAATAAAGCTGACATCGGTGACAACCACAAAAGTGGAGGACTTCCGATTGGCGATTTTTGGCAACTATGTGATGACAGTCTAGAGGATTGTTCAAGCACCAAGTTTGCACAAATCTGTTTGCAAGATCACAGTGTTGATACCCCCTTGATCATTAACTTTCACACCGTACCTCACTACCCAGGCTATCAAGGCTGTATTGTTTCCTTGATTCCTGGACCTTTGCTCAGCGGCACGCCTGGTGCGCCGTTCAATCCAACTCCCTGGCCCTTCACGCTTCAGGTGCCACGTAGCCAATTCCAAGGGCTCCCGTACCACAACAGCCACATCAACCACAACAACGGTAACTCTCCCAACTATGGCGGCAATCCTACACTCCCCAGCAACCAGTCGGCGAACATTCCAGAGTGGCAGTCTTGCTCTCTGTGGATCACAAAACTTAACCTCCCCAACGACGAGAGCGCATACCACCAGCTCCTCTTCGCCGTCCGTGGCTGCGGCAAGGTGTATGCCTGTGTGATCAACCCCCCTGATCTCTCCAATGGACACATGACCTGCGCGGCGAAGCTTGTATTCTTCGACCAGTCCGGGGCGCAAGAACTGCTCCGCCGCTCCTCGTCGGGCGAGTTCGTTGTCAACGGCTACATCCCCCAGGTCGTGTACAACCGGATCCGCACCGGGCCGCAGCCGCTGGGCCCTGAGTCCCGCGTCATCCACATCGAAGGACCGAAGCGCGTCGTCGACCAGAACGTCCTCCGCATGTTATTTGAGGGCACCATCAGCTTCCAGACGGACGAGGTCGTGACCCTCAGCGAGGAGCCCGGCCCCGAGGGGCGCCGGCGCATCGAGTGGCGCTTCGGCTCCTATCGCTGCCAGGCGGCCAGCGCCGTGTCTGCCATCCAGAGGAAGCGCCGTTCAATCCCACCTGACATCGGCGAGAAGTCCAACCTCTGGCGCTCCGTCGTCACATTCTATGGCGTCGACCCCTGTGCTGCCAAGCCTTGAGCAACACAGCGACGAAAGCATGTGAACGGAGAAACGGAGGACGAGTGTGTGCATGACGCCGGTGGTGCTGTCTTGCACGTACGAGGGTTTCCTCGACAAGAGCATGGCTTCCTTGTGCTTGTTGTCTTCAGCACATCAGTGATGCAAGGGTTTGTGCCTCACTCGATGAAAACGAAAAATGCTATTCTTGGGGGTGGGGGGTTCTTTTTCTTTTCTTTTTGCCGTCAACGCAAAGGACCTGTTTGTTAAATTTTTTTTTATTTTGATGGAATGGTTTGCAGATATACATCAAAGGATGCCATGTATGCATTATTCTCCTGGTCTCTCTCAGGGGGAACAAAAGGGATCTCTGGCGTTGGATTAAAAGACAGTGCACCTTCCCGGCATGGTTTGGGACGATCGATGAATGGCAGTACTGATTTCGTTGAAAACTTCTCTTCTACTTGCCTACGAAGAACTAGGTAGCGTTATTGAATTTGACGATTTGTCACATTTGTCTGGTCTTCCGCAGCCATGACTGCATGCTGGCGATGTGCTGCGGCGATAAGCTATTTGCAGGAAAGTCAACGACAGCCCAGAGAAAGAAAATGGCTCACCAATGCAGAAGATCCCTCAATATACAATGAAACGACACAATTGCCTTGAGAATGTCAGACAAAAAAGATATCTGGATGGATAGCAGTTTGATGATCCATCCAGGTTTTTGGCTGTTCGCTGTCAAGGCTTGGCTTGAATGTTGAATCAATATACTTATCCAGCAAGGTCAATTGGCAGTTGCCAAGTACAGGACAAGGAATGAGGAGGAATAACTGTAAAGACAAGATGAATAGTCTCTCGTCACATCACCCATTGCAGAGGAACAGACATGCAAGCCAGAAAACCTCGCTTGTTACTGGTTTGCCAGCTATCTCTCTCCATGTGACGTGCTGAGCAAAGGGCTCACTCATGTTGTCAGGGGGAAGGGTGTGTACGTGTGGGCGGCTTGCACTAGACTAGTGCTGGACTGGACCAACCTAGTTAGGTTAGACGCTGGCCTTACAGCATGTACTAACAGTATTTAGCAAGTAACCTTGCTAAGGTTAGTAGACCTCTCGCTTCAGCTCAGGACCGCACAGGCCATGGGGCCAGCTGTGCGTCTGTAGGCAGCCTGAGCTTTGCGTCGCCTCGCGGATTCCAGCACGACTGCGGGCTACGGACTGCGGGCAGTAGCAGCTCATCATCATCCGCTATCAATCCGTCTCGAGAGGTGAGAGGTGCAACGTCAACGTCAACGCCAACGTCAAACACCACACCCAAACAACCAATCTGCAAATCTCCACCTCCTCCCTCCACCTCCAACTACTCGCCCGCTCTCGCTTTCTGTCGCAACATCACCGGCGCCTTCCCCAGCTTGACAGGTACGAATCCGACCGGCTACGAGAAAATAGTTCATCATGGCGGACGCAGCCTTCAAGCCCGAGAAGGATTTCTCCAAGGAGGCTGACAAACAGATCCCCGAGGCTGAGAAGCTGGCCAAGGTACCTTTGAAGTTTGCAACTCATGCCGCATCACCTGCAGCTCTACTGACCATATTTTCCTCTCTCTAGAACGACCTCGGCGCCGCTGTCGAAAAGCTCACAGTCCTCGAGAAGCAGACCCGACAGGTAACACCAGCTGCGCATTTCCCTCGCCAGGCTCCCCCCGATAAACTAATTCGTTCTGCTCTCACAGGCATCAGATCTTGCTTCCACAACAAGAATCCTCATCGCGATAGTCACGCTATGCAAAGAAGCCGGCAACTGGAGTTTACTCAACGACCAAGTACTGATTCTCTCCAAGAAGCATGGCCAACTCAAGCAAGCCATCACCAAGATGGTCCAGGCCGTCATGATCTTCATTGATGAAACACCAAACCTCGACACCAAGCTTACCGTCATCGAGACTCTACGCACCGTCACAGAGGGCAAGATCTTTGTCGAAGTCGAGCGAGCCCGTGTCACCAAGATCCTCTCCGACATCAAGAAGCAACAAGGCGACCTCAAGGCCGCCGCAGATATCCTATGCGAACTTCAAGTCGAGACCTTTGGTTCCATGGATAGGCGGGAGAAGACAGAATTTATTCTTGCACAGGTCGCACTATGCATCGAGAACGACGACTGGACCCAGGCAAACATCCTCAGCCGCAAGATCAGCACGAGGTTCCTCGCCCGGAAGCCCAACAAGACCCCAGAACAAATAGAGAAGGAGAAGAAGGCGAGAGAGGACAAGATCAAGCGTGGTGAAGAGGTGCCCGAGGAGAAGGAGGACGACGTCACCGACCTGAAGCTCCGTTACTACGAGCAGCAGATCACCTTGGCCAAGCACGAGGGCAAGTACCTGGATGTCTGCAAGCACTACAGGCAGGTCTTGGACACAGAGGCGGTAGAGGAGGATCCCAAGAAGCTCCTCCCTGTAAGTAGCCACCAACGGCTGACAGGCCATGGCAGCTTTGGCTAACGTTGCACGTGCAGACTCTCCAAAGAATCATCTACTTTGTCATCCTCGCCCCCCACGACAACGAGCAACACGATTTGTTGCAGCGCGTCTTCCGGGATCCCCGCAACGAGAAGATTGAAGACGATGCCCGGTTACTGAAGCATTTCACTGTCCACGAGCTCATGCGCTGGCCGGAGATTGCCAAGCTCTACGGCCCTCACCTCTGCTCTACCGACATTTTCGACAGCACACCCAGTGCTTCCGGCCATGAGAAGGCACATGAGCGCTGGCAAGACTTGAGGAAGCGAGTCATCGAGCACAACGTCCGCGTCATCGCCAAGTACTACACTCGTATCGGAATGAAGCGCCTGACACAACTGCTGGACCTGACAACAGAGGAGACGGAGAAGTACATCTCGGAACTCGTCTGTTCCAAGACCATCCATGCACGCATCGACCGTCCTGCTCAGGTTGTGAGCTTCGCCAAGCCTAGAGATGTTGATGACGTTCTGAACGAGTGGAGTCACAACATGAAGGACCTGCTGGGACTCCTGGAGCGTGTTGATCACCTTATCACAAAGGAGGAGATGATGGCTCGCATCCAACCGGGTGCTCAAGGCAAGGGGGCCAAGGAAAAGAAAGGCAAGAAGGCCAAGGCATAGTGGCATTAGCACTCGCCTCAATCAGAGGATCTGGTCTGGGTTCCACTCAGACCAGCTGTAATGAGGACGAAATACAGGTCTGCACAGCATTGTGCAGAGTGTATATTACCAGTAGATGACGGCATAATGCCATAGAGAGCTGGACGCGTTTATCTCGACATGCGCTCATGAAATGTGAACATATGGCAAACTTGGAGCAATGCTCTACTTTCGTGTAGATCCTTGGAGTGCAATTGTTTTGATCAATCAGCGTCCGTTCCCGGGACTGTTCAGTTGTCGACTGGCCAGCGCCGCCAGCGCCGATTTTCTCGGTGGAGTCGGCATCACCACACCTTTACAAATCGGGCTGGCCGAGAAGCAAGCAGCCATCTCATCGCAGTGCGCCTTTCCCACGACATAACCGAATACCTTTTTATAATTCACCGTCGCTGGCACTTGATGAATCTACGGCTGAACACTCGTCGTCATTTACTGTCACTCACGCATCATCGATTAGGCGTTTTTCCTGCCAGGCTCTACTGCACCTCTCAGATGTCCGCACCTACCCAAAATGGCAGTGCCAAGGGCACGCCGAAGCCGAACGGCAAGACTGAGCTGAAGATACTCATGCTTCATGGTAAGTGACGAGAGACGCAGTGGTGTCCGACGGCGGTTGCATTTGCCAATTCGGCGTCAGGACTGAGTCGGTGATTCTCCCTTATCACCGAAACTCATCTCATCATCCCATCTCACCAAATGTCCTATCCACATATCCCAGCCTTTGACCCAGGTGATCATTTGTGTGGCTCATACCCAGACTGAAAATGTATAAATATGTCTACAAATAAATTTACTCACGACCGCCTGCAGGCTACACCCAGTCCGGCCCCCTCTTCAAGTCCAAGACGGGCGCGCTGAACAAGCTCCTGACCAAGGCCCTGGCGCCCCTGAACCTCGAGCCCAAGCTCATCTACCCGACGGGCCCGCACCGCCTGAAGCCCTCGGACATCCCCGGGTTCCAGCCGCCCGAGGGCAAGACCGCCGAGGACGTGGACGAGGAGCAGACCGACAGCTGGGCCTGGTTCCGCCGCGACGAGGCCACGGGGTCCTACCGCGGGTTGGGCGAGGGCATGCGCAGCGTTGCGCGCGCGGTGCGCGACTGCGGCGGCGTCGACGGCGTGCTCGGCTTCAGCCAGGGCGGCGCCATGGCGGCGATGGTGGCCGGGGCGCTGGAGCCGGGGCGGGCGGCGCCCGAGGGCGACGGCGAGGACGCGTCGTGGGTGCGGGAGCTGAGGGAGGCCAACGCCGGCGGGCTCCGGTTCGCCGTCGTCTACTCCGGGTTCGTGGCCAGGGACGAGGGCCTGCGGTGGCTGTACGAGGGCGCCATCCAGACCCCGAGCCTGCACTTCGTCGGCGCCCTCGATACCGTGGTCGAGGAGGGCAGGAGCAGGGCCCTGATCGAGAGCTGCAGGGAGGACCGGACGCGGACGTTTGTGCACCCCGGCGGCCACTATGTGCCCGTCAGTAAGGAGTGGACCATGGCGCTGGTCGGCTGGCTGAGGGAGGTTTTGGAGAAGGAGAAGGAGACGGGGGAGAAGCTGTGAAGTCTGGCCATGATTCGCATATAGAACATGAAGGGGTGCTCGGTGGTCAAGTTTCCTAGATAGACATGTTTGGAAGGGATTGGCTCCATGAAGTTATGGAGCTTGCGTCATTTTTCTTTTTAGACGGTCAAACATCCATGTGGGCCAAAACGAAAGCCGCTCTTTCGATGAGAGCCAGTGATGACTTCAGAAGGCTTACTAGAACTAGCAGATATGGTGCTAGACACATAGCTCGGAGAATTGTACTGGTAATGTCACGATATCACAGCCTGGAGACCGGGAGTGGATTTCTGTGCTCACAATGTCCAGAGGGGGCTACGGATAACTGAGACATTATGAGGCGCACGACAATGTCCTTGAATAGACCTGGCCCCAACAAGATGGCAATATTTTCCTTGATACAGTTCTTGTTAGAGTTTTCTCTGATCACGGTAGTTGTCCAATACCTCTGGATTTCTTCAAATCCAGTTGTGCCTAGCTAAGAATTTCCAATGTTAGAATTGTCGGCGCTAGGACGGAACATTTGGATGAATTGGTTTCCTCTGCGTTAACATGGCATGGGACATGTCGTTTCCGATTGAAGGGTGTGCCGCCGCACAAGTATATTCGGGGGAGGGGACAATATTGTTACTGGTTCCGAATGTGGAAATTTGAGCAATAGCAACACAGCTAGACACATCAGCTGGGATTTTGTCAGGCGCCAATGGCGGCTCTGAACCATGTAGCACATGTTCGCAAAGACTGATAGAGATATCATCATGGTCGGGCTTGGCCCAGAGTCATGACATTTTTGGTCGAGCGAAACACCACTTGGCGATGGAGAAGTAGGCTCGAATCCCTGGTTCGACGTAGCTCTGGGCATCAGCAAAGACATGGCTCACGTCATTGGTTTGGCGATTACATATCCGCGATAGAATATCCCAAAAATACCAGCCACGATGTCGACAAGTTGTCGCGTTTCGAAATCACTCGACAATTCACGACATGATGTAGTCTCCACGACACAAGTAGTTCGCGTAGCCGCAGGGGAACAGCCTTAGGCCATTGCGCCTCGGGGCAAGCATGCAGACTGTGCGGATGAGTCGGCGGATGTTGTTGCAACTTTCAATTCACGAAGCTGCCTCTATGATACAGATGGGCCTCGGTCGGTTCGGGGTCTCTATAATGCATGGTGCGTCGGCCAATGAGTTTCGCCATCCTTCAAATCGATCATTCCACCGCCAGGCCCAGGCTTAGTGAGCAGGCTTCTTGCCGGCGTTGGGGTTGCGGGGGTCGTTCTTCCACTCGTCGGCTGCGTCGGGTTCTTGTCAGTAGCAATTCCCATGCGGCGGTAAGTAGGCGGTTCAGGACATACAGGCCATCATGGAGTTCTGGGCGGCGTTGACACCGTAGATGATAACCAGGCCTGTGCTGCATGTCAGCTTTCGCAGTCCCCGAGAGGGGCCAAGTGCGGGTTGGAGGATGTCGTCGTACCGGCAGCGAAGAAAGGAGCCATGGGCCGCACTGCATTCCAGTTAGTGACCGGGGGTTCTCCAGGTGGTCGGAGGGGCAGCAATTGACGTACGAACGGGCGCAGGGAACTTCTTGAGAGGAGTGACACCGAACCAAGACATTGTGAAGGCGGGGTTGTGTTGTTTCTCGAGGGGTGGATGAGATTGGTATGGGTGATTGGCGATGCAATTGAAGGCGTTGTCGTTCGGAAGATGCGTGAAAAGCCGCGATGGTCTTTGTCCCTTTGCACAAGAGCTTTGATTGGCGCTAGCCGAGACTAGTCCCGGAATGCAAATGTGCCTGCCTTGGAACTGAGGCTAGAATTCTGGAGCGCTTGAGGGCGACAAACTCGGGTACGTGCAAGATGATCGTCGACTCGAATTAGCCCTCTTAGCTGCAAGACTGTGCTGAGATGCATAGCCCATATAAATGACATCACTTCTGGGGTCCGGAAGCAGCATGCCATTCCAATAGGCCCCAGCGTGGCTAAGCCCCCTTAGGCCTTAGACACCCCCACAAGCCCACAAGCCTCCCCCTGCCCCCCTAGCTCTCCGCAACACCACAGCACCTGGAGCTGGCTGTGAGCTCCCCGGAATTACAGCACCACACTGAATGCGGAGGAGCTTAGTATCTATCCATCTGCTTGCTGTCTCTATACGCACGACTTCGGGTCTTTGGCTTCTCTCCTCCCCATCCACCACAGCTCAATCAACACCAAACAAAAAGTGCGGGGGAAACACATGACCAGTTACTCTCCCTCCCTCTTGTTGCACATTTGATTGCATCCTGTCTCCTCGTACGATACAATACGGCATCTCGTCCCACCCTACCTCTCTATCTCTTTGTTCTGGTTGCCGAGCCGCCATTTTGTGCAGCCGCGGTGATTCACTCCCCTCGTAGACTTACATCGCCATCGATTCCAAATCCTCCAGAGCTGGGATTTCGGTAAACAACGCAGTCAAGCTCTCTCCTTCAATTGAGCCACGCCCACACCCAAATTCCCACCACTGCCCACCGTCCACTCCACCGGCACCATGCTGTCCCGAAGCTTCGCCCGAGCCGCCATCGCTGCACCACGCTCATTGCGAGCTTTCAGTGCCACCGCTGCCCAGCAGAAGGTCCCCTCCATGTCAGACATCACACTCGACCAGGTCGAGTCGTTCAACGCCAAGCAGAAGGAATTCCGCGTGCACTTGGCTCAGCTGCGGAGAGAGAAGGAAGAGAGTACGTCTTCCCCATTTCCCTTGGAGCATGGCTCTCAGCATGTCCTGAGACCTTGACTCACCATTTATCTGCTTTCAGGACAGAAAGCCGAAGCTCGCGAGAAGGCCGCCAAGAGCGAGCCCCACCGGCCCGAAGGCCTGTTGACCAACCTCATCTACGGCACCAAGGAGGGCCGCGAGATGGATGCCCAGCTCGAAGCTTCCTTCTCTGCTGTTCTTGCTCGAGGCAAATACGTCCACTCGATCGTCTTCCATCAGGTCCAGCCCGACAAGGTCGACGAGTACGTTGACCTTGTCGGCAAGTGGTACCCCAAGATGGCATCCCTCGAGGAAAATAAGGTTCACCTCGTCGGTAGCTGGCGAACCGATGTTGGTGATTGCGACACCTTTGTCCACATCTGGGAGTACGAGCGATACCAGGGCTACCACCACTCTTTGCACTCAATCTCGCGACACCCCGAGTTTCCCGAGTTCGACAGGAAGCTTAGGTCTCTCATCAAGAGCAAGAACACCTCCATCATGCAGGAGTTCAGCTTCTGGCCCACCACTGCCCCTCGACAGCTGGGCGGTGTCTTTGAGCTGAGATCCTACACCCTACACCCCGGCAACTTGCTCGACTGGGAGACGTACTGGCGCAAGGGCCTGCAGGCGCGACGTGAGGTCATGGAGGGCGTGGGAGCTTGGTTCGTCCAGATTGGTGATCTCAATACAGTTCACCATCTTTGGCAGTTCGCCAACCTCGAGGAGCGCAAGACCAGACGTGAGCAGAGCTGGAGGCAGGAGGGTTGGGCTGATACGGTGCACAAGACAGTACCTTTGATTCAGAGCATGAAATCGAGGATTCTGACCCCTATGCCATGGTCGCCCGTGGCATGAGGTACCAAGCGGTCTTTTTGTGTTAGTTTGAGAATATCGGAATGGCTTATTGGAATGAAATCAGCAATCAGGGCTCTTGTATCTTGTCACCAGTCATCGGCGTCGTCGGGACGCTGCCGCCTACCCTTTTGTATCGTGCTATATCGCTAGGTATACATGAGTGAATGTGCTCCCGACCTCGATGCGGCTTGATTTAGCTCTACTGTATCGCATAATCGGTACGAGAAACTTGGAATAAGAACGGATTTAGCACCGTGTTTAATAACTAAGATAATTAATTTTGGTCCTACTATTTTATAATGAAAAGGGTTCTGAGTTAAGTATGTTATGTATTGGGCAATCTCTTTGTGACTCCATGTATACACATATAAAAGCATTCTCAAAAATATTGTGAACTTTTTGCTCAATCACTTTTAAACCACAAAAAGCATTTTAGTACTTCACCTGTTAGATATATAGATGATTTTAATATCAATAACATACCCCGAAGGATTGCGGAAAGAGAGGCATCTTACCGTAACTTGATTCAACAAGGACGAATATTCATTTGACCACATCCGCCGTCACGTACAGATCCGCAATGTCAGTATCCTCTTCCATCAACACTTGGAAATAACTTGCCGGAGGCATTAGTTTTGTGAAGCGAATATTCTTTTTTTTTTTTCGGAGGGGGGTTTTCTTTTAGTGTCTAAAATCATCTCGTGGCCGTCATGAAACATCATAATCCCTCCCCCTCCCAAACTCTACCAAGATCCCCTTCCGCGAAACACCGGTCCCGATGTTGATCCTTTTCATATCCACCGAGACACGAGAGAGAGAGAGAGAGAGAGAGATGGAGTTAGAGAGAAAGAGAGAGAGAGAGAGAAAAAAAAGTAGAGAAAGATCAAAGGCAAAATAGGGAAATCGATATCAACCCAGACGATCCCCCAACCCCCTCCTTCAAGTATGTCAGATGCACGGCGAGAGACCGGCACTGGCAGATACACCCACGCCTACGCGGCCCTGCCGGTGACGGGACGCGATAAAGGGCTCGAGGGGTGCGGGGCGGGGGAGACTTGTCCTCGGAGATCCGGGTCCTGGGCCACAGCGCCGTGCCGGCGTTCGTGCCCTCTACAGAGTAGGCCTCGGAACGCTGTTGCTGCTGGCGTTCAGGAACGGAGCGGCAACGGTCGTGGAAAGGTTGATGGTGGGGATGGCCGTCCTCGTCGTGCTCAGGAGCCCCGGCCCAACCAGGCTGCTGAGGGTGGTGGGCAGGAGGGTTGTGCTGGGTAATGTCGTGTTTAGAGTCGGCAGAGAAGAGCTGCTGACGCGCGGCGGCGTGGGAGTAGGGATCGCCGTGGTGGGCAATGCTGTGTTCAGGGAAGCCAGAGTTGTGGAGAGCGTCAGGTTGGTAGACGTCGGGGTCCCAGTCAGGGCTGGTACTGGATTGATGTTGAAATACCCACTGGGGACGGTGATGGTGGGAAGTGTCGTGTTCAAAGCTGACGGAGTGAGTGAGCTTAGGGTGGACTGTGTCAGGGTCGGTAGGACTCGGGTCGACAAAGTGGTGTTTAGGATGGGTGGAAGAGAAGTGCTGAAGATTGAAGATGGCACGGATAGGCTAGTCGGAAGACCACTGATTATCGTAGGATCGATTATTTGGCTTGAGAGCGTCGGTGAGGTGGTCGGTAAAGTCAGATTCAGCGAGGTAAGAGTAGTCGGAAGACCGCTGATTGTCGAAAGACTGCTTATTTGGCTTGAAAGCGTTGGCAAAATGGTAGATAAAGTCAGATTCGGCGAGTTGAGGCTAGTCGGAAGACCACTGATTATCGTAGGATCGATTATTTGGCTTGAAAGCGTCGGTGAGTTGGTAGGTAAGGTTAGACTGCTTATTTGACTTGAAATCGTTGGTACAATGGTAGATAAGGTCAGATTCGGCGAGGTGAGGCTAGTCGGAAGACCACTTATTATCGTAGGATCAACTATTTGGCTTGACAGCGTCGGTGAAACGGTTGGTGCAATAGTAGATAAAGTTAGATTCAAGGAGGTCAAGCTAGTCGGAAGACCACTGATTATGGTAGGATCGACTATTTGGCTTGACAGTGTCGGTGAAACGGTTGGTGCAATAGTAGATAAAGTTAGATTCAAGGAGGTCAAGCTAGTCGGAAGACCACTGATTATGGTAGGATCGACTATTTGGCTTGAGAGCGTCGGTGAGGTGGTAGGTAAGGTTAGACTGCTTATTTGACTTGAAATCGTTGGTGCAATGGTAGATAAGGTCAGATTCGGCGAGGTGAGGCTAGTTGGAAGACCGCTGATTATGGTAGGATCAACTATTTGGCTTGACAGCGTTGGTGAGGTGGTAGGTAAGGTTAGACTACTCAATTGACTTGAAAGCGTTGGTGAAATAGTAGATAAAGTTAGGTTCAAGGAGTTGAAGCTAGTTGGAAGACCGCTGATTATAGTAGGATCGACTATTTGGCTCGAGGACGTCGGTGAAATGGTTGGTGAGGTTAGACTCAGCGAGACAATAGGAACACTGCTTATTTGACTTGAAAGTGTTGGTGAAATAGTAGATAAAGTTAGGTTCAAGGAGTTGAAGCTAGTTGGAAGACCGCTGATTATCGTAGGATCGATTATTTGGCTTGACAGCGTCGGTGAAATGGTTGGTGCAATAGTAGATAAAGTTAGGTTCAAGGAGGTCAAGCTAGTCGGAAGACCACTGATTATGGTAGGATCGACTATTTGGCTTGAGAGCGTTGGTGAAATGGTAGGTGAGACTAAAGTAAGACTTGTAGAGGCGAGGCTAGTCGGAAGACCGCTGATTATCGTAGGATCGACTAATTGGCTTGAGAACGTTGGTAAGGTGGTGGGTAAGGTCAGACTTGGAGAGGTAAGGCTGATCGGAAGACTGCTTATTTGACTGGGCAGCGTTGATGCAATGGTAGATAAAGTCAGATTCAGCGAGGTGAGGCTAGTCGGAAGACCACTTATTATTGTAGGATCGATTATTTGGCTTGAAAGCGTTGGTGAGATGGTAGGTGAGGTTAGACTCAGCGAGGTAAGGCTAATGGGAAGACTGCTTATTTGACTGGAAAGCGTTGGTGAAACAGTAGGTAAAGTCAAATCCAGCGAGGTGAGGCTAGTCGGAAGACCGCTGATTATCGTAGGATCAACTATTTGGCTTGACAGCGTTGGTGAGATGGTAGGTAAGGTCAGACTCAGAGAGGTGAGGGTTGGCGAGATTGCGGTTGATCGGGCAGAGCTTGAATCCAAACCGGTGGTAGTCGAGCTCGATGGAATAATGGAACTTGTACTTGATGGACCAGAGGAGCTTGTACTCGCTGACCCAGTGGAACTCGTGCTTGACAACAGATCAGACCCTGTACTTGAAGACCGAACAGAGCTTGAACTTGGCGGTGGAGACAACACTGAGCTCGAGGCAATGTTAGAGCTTATGGTTGGTAATTGGGCAGAACTTGAAGTCAGTGACCCCGTAGATCCAGTTACCGATGATTGACTTGGTATTATAGTCGGCAATTGAACGAAATATGCGCCTGGGTACGTGGTCGGGTTTACAGCCGAAATTAGGCTTGATCTTTTCCTTGGCAGCGGAGACGAAGCCGGGCTCAAAGACCTTGTTGGGCTTGTAGAAGATGGTTGAGCAGAACTCGGAATCAGTGACCTTATGGAGCTAATAGCCGACGAAGGACTTAGACTTGTACTAGGAAACTCAATCGGAGACGTGCTCAAAAACCTAGCAGAACTTGAAGATAGCTGCAAAAAGCTGAAAGACGTAAGGCTTGCCGAAATACTCGCGAACTCGCCGCCAAGGATGTTGCAGATAGACTGGGTAATAGGGAATACTTGGGCTTTGTCCTGGTCAGCAAATTGGAGATTGAACTTTTATCACCGCATTGTATCATACATGTTGTAATTTCTTGACCACATCTTTGTTGGAGGCAAGACGATGCATCGGCGAGGACGGCCGGAAGACGATCACAAAAACATGAGATGTCGAAGATGCCGCAAAGGCCGCCGGCAAAGGCGGCATCCTCGACGCATTGGATAGAACATAGAGGAAGATTAAAGACTGAGCTCGAGAGAGGTTGAGACACAGGAACTGCCAGGCTGTGAACCGTGGAGATGGCGGTAACAAATAACATCAACTTCATTTTGATTCTGTTATCAGTGGTTGATTCTCAGACCGGGAAGAATAAACAGTATGGTTGGTATGAATTCTGTAATTCAACCCCCTTGATTGCGGCCCATGCAGGATCTAAATACACAACCACTCGGCCTTCTCGTCAGCATCTTGTTTTTTTACCCACTGTCTCAATTATCATGTTGACCATGATGCCATTGAAGTCATGGTGGTCGGTTGATAAGGGGTGAGACGAGGCTTTGGCGATATCCAAACGAAACACCGCAGATAAGGTTCGATGGATATATTTACTTTGAGAGATCTCCCAACAGTCCTACCATTGCTTTGAAGCTTGGATGCATACACCGGTGAATTTTCCTACTGAATGGGGTAGTCAAGAGGAATATCACATACAGATCGGCGCATTCAGTAATCTGGCTTAGACAACGTGTCTCTTCGTACGAAATCGATGCGCCTGTAATCCAGATAAAACTTGAAACATCCGCGCAAGCCTCGAATATGATCATTTCCCTCAGACCCACTACCCAATGTCAAAGGCTATAAAATTACACACGAGCTTAAACGGCGCCAGGCCAAGTCTCGTGGGCACTCCCGTTCCGTCATGTCAGTCAACTTAGCCATTTTAAGTTCACACTAGCATGGACCCTGCGGACCCTTAAAACTATGTACCTCTTTGTCACAGTGGCCTTTGATATATAACTTCCCGAACATAAAGTGTCATGCATTGAACAATCCCAGGTAAACGGTACTATACATCTCAACAAATAACGGTATCTTCTGGCAATTTCTTATTCTCCTGCTGTTCCTGGATGACATTTTATGCTCCTAATGACACCAAAATAAACACTCTGCCTTTTGTTTTTCCCTTTGTCTGATTCTTTTGTCGACTTTCGTGCAGCATGCTGTTTTCCAGACCTCGGCATATAGTCTTATAACTTAAGATTTAAGGGAGGGCTTCTGTTTCAGGAGATCATAAACAATAATCAGCACCAGGAACGGGCGGGTTTCGTCCATGTCATTCATGGCACGAGCCAAGTACGTCAGTCCTGCTTTCTTCCAAAGAAATGAAAAGAGCCGCGCTAGTTCTGAGGGTGGTGAAGACTCCGTGGATGACGACGTCGAAGACAGAGTTTGAGATGTCTAATGAAGCCACTCCCCGGCCCGAGGTGATACCGATCAGGTTCCTGAAGTCGCACTCGGTCAATTTATCCTGATTTTGCTCCCACCCCTCGTTCCATGTACCAAGTATGTATGCAGGGCTGTGGAGGTTGGGCGTGAGCTGAGACTCTACTGATGAGGCTGCCGCAGACGGAGACTTTGATTAGGACGCTTGTCCATCTTCATCTAATAAGATTCGTGATCTTTTGCCAGTTCCGACTTCCTCAGCGGTGAAATAAGTTGGTATACTTTACAATTGCGACATATCGGTGTTCTGGGAAATATTTCTTGCAGTCTGATCATTCACGTGCCATAACGCTATCGCGCGTGTTGCTTCCATGTCTCCGTAAAGCATTGATGTCCCTAAGGCGCATGCTACACTTTGTACAATGGTTTCGTGTCGCAGCAGCGTGACTAGACGGACTTCGATAGTCATAAAAACCCGTGCCGGCTCGGTCATGTATGGACATTGTTGAATGATGAAACCCTTTGCTTCCCACGGTTTGATGGCGAGAACAGAGGCTGAACCTTTCTCCATTGTGAGATGAATCTGTTCAAATTTTACTGAACCAAACCACTCGCATACATAGGGCAAATTTGGGCATTACACTCACAACTGATATGTGTCATTCGCTCGCGTTCGTTGACTTCCCTTAGGACATGCCAGACACTGTTCTCAATTGTTACTGGACCCATCACTAATATATGACAATTCCAATAAATAATCTGGACTGTTGAAACGAAAAGTATCAATGCTACTTCGTTTCATTCTTCTTAAGATTTTCAAGACGGTCTTTCGTAATTATTACCCTCGTTATGTGTTTCATATCTCGTTGTACAGATGGGATTGCTATAGAAGTCAAGGTCCGTAGGAGTTTTGGTTTTAGAACTGTGAAAGTCGGGGACAGTTTATCAATGAAATGATACGCGTTATTAGCTAAACCGATGGTTTGGGGGAACTTTTATGTTTTTATTTTGGCCGCGGTAATATTTCGGAATTGTTACTTCCTAAGTTCGATACGGCTTTGCGCAACTTATATTGTTATTTTCTTGCTAGACTTTCAGCATGCCCATATCAAGGACTGGCTCGATGCGAGTCTCCTTATCTTTATATCTAAATTACTTACACACACTTCATTGCCTTTATTGCCTAATGCAGTGTACGGTTATTTGATCTTGGACTTATCTAGTACGATCCCGGAAGAATTTATGACTTGAATTTGTCGACAGTGTGATACATGTATATGGTTACGCAATGGCTTGTGTGAAGGTGGATGTTCACATGATCGGACATCACAACATATGTTTGATAGGTATCTGCTCAAACCTGTAAGCAAAATGATCAGATAAGAAGTGGAAGTGAAGTTTGATGTGTGAGTCTGAGGTTAAAATATGTGCCTTTCAGGTAGAGTTCCAAGTGGATCAGCCAAAGCCCTTAAATGACAAGACCTTCATGGGATCAAGTATTTCAATAGAACCAAGGCCCGGGTTCAAGGCGACACCGTCTCATGTACCCACATCATCATGTGCTGATATGGATTTCCCTGCTGCATTTTCGACATGTTTGTCCTTTAGTGCTTCCAAGATGTGGATAGTCAAACTTGAATTGTCAGATGAACCCGTGTGAATCTTTTGATTGCGTGATATTACTTTTGGTGACATTTATTTAATGAGAGATAGAGCAAGTACTTAAACCGACCCATGACCGCAACTCATGCTATGTCACTGAAAGTTTGTAAGAGTTGTCCCGATTAATGGAATGAGAGAGAGAATCAACTGTGGCAAAATTCACATGAGCAACATATGGCCTGGAGACGACGCGTTTGTTGAGCATACCCTCGATGTGCCAGTTTCCACCAGTGTGTGTGACTTCCCGGGTATAGGCCCAATATTGAGAGTTTATCGAGGACTTGGAGAGTTTACTCTTAGAATGTGTACAAGAACCCTGTTGACCGACCGGCGGCTGTTATTCAAGGTTATCCAGCCCTCATGTGTTTGGTCTTGTCTTCATCGTAATGGTCGTCACAGTTCGTAAGGTATTTCGCTTGGTGTGAAACATAAATTACTCGTATCGCCCTTGCGATCTTGTTCAGAGACGCATGGTTGTGGAAACTTCACGCAAGCATGGGATAATCGGGCATTACTGCTATTGTGTAAGAGTAGGAAGCGCGATTTTGCGACTGACAGTACAATAGAAGTAAACAGGAGATCTACAAAAAGTTGTAGCCAGTGATTTTACCAGGGAAGCAAGTGAAAGCTTCTTGGTTGGGCAGCCTTGAAACGCCTACAACTTCATGTGTGCAATCAACAACGCCCATAAAACATGCTGCTTGAACAATAAAGGCCACATGATTACCTAAATAATGTACGAGGCCACGTTGTCTTGATGGGTCTCGAAAACAAACCAAGAAAATTTTTACCATGTCTTGCATGAACCTCCTGATAGTGTTGATGTCTCCGCGGGCACGGGCAGCAGAGTACGGAAAGGGGTTGTTGTCAAATTGCCCACGGATGAGTATGTTAAGGAAACGATGCCTTTCGACATCAGCGGCTTGTCCAGAAAGTACTGTTGGAGGAACTGGGCATGTGAACTGTAAGGAAGGTCTAGGCAGCGATTGGTTTTTGCTTTCGTCCATCCGTATTCTCCCGAATTACCGATTCATTGCCCGATGTCGAGATTGTGTGAATCTCCATTGATAAGTGATTAGTTTGGAAATGCTGTTGATGGTAGGGATTAGCTTCTTCTAAAGTTGAGGGCCTCAACCCCCTGTGATTGGGATGATTGCAGAAGTAGTTGGCTGCCTCAATGGACTCTTCAAGTTCGATCTGGCTTGGTGATTGATGTACGAGTTGGCAATGTTGCAGAAATCATCTCAACTCTTGGTATGTTGTTTTTTTTTCTTTTCTTTTTTACAAATCTACATGCCATGAGAGACTCGCTGGGTTTTGGAACAATATGAGTGAAACAGGATGAGTTGAATTGAAACGTAACAACACCGCGCCCATTGTAGTTTTTTTCTTCTTTGAAAGATAAAGGATTGGCATAATTTGCGGTGATTGGTCCCCTTAAGAATTTGTGAAGTAGTATTTGTTCGGCTGTGAAAATGTGGTTAACAAAGTATACTCGGCTCAAACAGAGCAGGTTTGTCGGCAAACAGTGCGGGCAGAAGAAAACTGCTACTATTGCGAGAAGTAGAGTGGTCAATGGCAGAGGTTGGCTTCAGTAAGGCTCCCGAAGGTCTAGGTCAAAGCCTCCGGAAATTGTGATGCGGTGACATCGATCATGTTCGTTAAAGAGTCCGGTTGTTGAATCAACCAATGTGTATAAAGTTCTGTTACATCGCTTACAACAGTCCATTTCACTCTCCTATGCGAGGCTTGTGCCCTACGTAAGCTACAGCGCTCCAGGAATCGAGCGTGAAGTCAACCGCTGGTACCTGGAGGAAGCACATCAGAAATGAACGAATGAAGGCACTCGTGACGTTGATGTTATTTATGCTTGGGCTTACCTACGTTGTTCCTGAGGTGCATAAAAGGACAGTGGTTCTACGTTTTATTCGACAGGGATGGGTAAGTTGGCTTGTGATATGTTCATTAACTTGCCCAAGCTATACGTATGTACTACAACACATATTCCACGTGGATTATCCCGTCAATTTCCCCAAGGGCCCTAACATATACCTACTGCGTAGGGGGATGTGCAGCGACCTTCACCAAAGTACTATCGCGCGTATCGCACACTAGGCAGACAGCATATAACCTCTGCTGTGGCTTCGTGAGTCAGGGCAGTCCTCCGTCCTTTCTCATCAGCTACACCATCAATTTGCCCTCGGAATAAGATATACCCGTGTATTCGTGCGGGTTTGATCCCATGACCGTCAAGCGGCACATGACAGGTCTCATTTATGTCATCCAGAGCAGGGATATTCTAGACCCCGATTTCTGGCAAATCCTCTCCAATAACAACCGCCAAGTTGCGCCTCGCGAGGAGAAGCGTATGGCCAAGGGCACCTAGTTTGGCGCTGAGACTCATGAGACTGGGATCGGCGCTCTCCACTCTGACTTTTTCGCGAACATAGACCTGCGTTTCTGTACCTCTTCCCTTGCCCATTCCGCCGCCCCTTCCGCCACTGCGTGTGCGGTGGAGGTTGCCCCGAATAGAGCCGGAAGCGGTGATTGGCGGTTGTTCGTCTGCGCCCTCGGGACAGTAGGCAAAAACACGATCGGCTTCGTCGTGCTCGAGTCGTCGAGCTGTCCCAATGGCAAGAGCAAACTTGGTGCCGAAGTTGACGGGGGCGTCAGCCGACTCGAGAGCTCGGATGTATAAGACCAGGGAGGCGTCCTGAAGTGTGATGTAGAAGCTCAAGTTTGGGGGTAGAGGTGGTGTGAAGCAGGAAGGTGGGACTGATGAGCTCGTCCACAATGTATCAACCTCGGGACTCTGCTCTGTAAGTTGCGGCCCCTTGATGAGGGAAAGAGACTCGGCGAGGTATTCGGAGAGAAGTCGGAGCTGAGAGGAGAGAAATTTGGGATCGCTTCTCCCGTTGGTGGACTCGGAGACGATGAAAGACAGAATATCGACGGACTGTGTCAGAAGGGTGTTCAATGTGATGAGCTCTGGTATATGGATGGGGTTGGAAGCATCCAGTGTGAGGCCTTGGTGTGGGATGGTCTTCAGGCGCAGGTGGATTGTGCCCTTGACCAGGCGGGTGCCGACACGAGTGACATGGCCCTTGACGGCTTCATGTCGGGGTGTGCTGACAACGAGTGTGCTGCCAGGATCTATGGGGGCGAGGAGGGCGTACGTCTCCTCGAGAGAGGATTTCAGGGTCTTGAGTGTTGACTGGAGTTCGGACAGCAGCCAAGTGAGCTCGCGGGCCTGGGTACAGGGGATTGGGATTAGCTCTCTGGATTGTCTTGGATATGTGCGCACAACCAGCCAGTCCTTGTCTTCGTCGTCCAGAGGCAAGAGTGTCATGGGCAGCGTAGGGGCAAGCAGTTGAGGCATTGTTGGTGAGTGATTTGGCAAGACTTACGAGAGTGGCATCCTCCTCGATTTTAAGCTGCTCAGGCGTGATGGGAGGCCAGATCTCAACAGACATGGTGATTGACGAGCTGCCATCAGGCACCCAGATATCACGAGTTCATAATTGTTGTTTGCAAGGCTGCCTTGGATGCTGTCAAGATTAACTAAAGGTTAGAGTAGTCAAGTTGAAGATGATACGTCAGATGGCGGGGAACAACAGCCGGGTTACAGGGCACGCAGGTACTCTGTAGGCAGCCGGAATGAGTCAAGTTGTAGGTACCTCGAGCCACTAAGGTTAGGATTTAGTGCGACCAGCTACCGTCTCCGGTAGACCTTGAGCGGAATTGCCCCCGCCATCTACCCCACGGTCCGCCCCACGCTCCTCCAAGATTTTGGATTTTGGTGGTTCTGCTGCGGTTCGGTAGCTTCCAACATGCAGCCCTGCAGCACATTACAACTCCAATGAACCACTATTAGGTATTCCTGGTAGCCCCGAAGACCATCCACATGCCTTAGGTCTCCATGTGACACCTCCGATCGCCCTACACATCTGGAAATGCTTTGATGCTCTTCACTAGGAGCATATCATAAGCAGCCCTCTCACAACGCGCGCCCCCGTCATGGCATCCTCCAAAGCAAAGCCAGCTCTGTCCAAGCAACAGCCCAAGAAACTGCCCCCCGTACCAAAAGGTAGACCTCTCTCGCCCACAATGCTCACTCTCGCGTCCCGGCCCTGACACATCACAAAGGCCAGACAGTCCAGCGCGGCGCTCTGCCCCGACGCGACCCGTCCACCCACTCCGCGCACCGCATCTACGTCAACGGCCGCTCGCCCTTCCGCTCCATCACCACGCGCGTCCGCAAGCAGCTCGACAAGTCCCTCCGTGCCGCCTCCTCGGCCTATCCGCAGTCCCTCACCAACACCGTTGCCAGCAAGAATGGCCTGCTACCGCTGGACAGACGGATACAGGCGCTGCAGAAGGGCCCGGAGGACGGCATCTCGCTAGACGATGCGCGCCAGGTCGTGGTCATCGGCGCCGGCAAGGCCATCGAGAAGGTGGTCAACGTTGCTGCCTTCTTCCAGGGACAGGGTGACGTCGAGGTTCAGTTGCGGACTGGCAGTCTAGGGGCCGTCGACGAGATCATGCCGGAAGAGGAGGAGGAGAACGGTCTAGGGATAGGCGTCGGTGAGAGAGAGAGGATGGTTAGCTGCTTGGAGGCGGTCATCAAGTTGAAATGAAGGTTCGGGGCCTGTTATCAAGGTCGGGGGATCTAGGTTTGCATCTTTTGGCGTTATAGGTTGAGCCTTCTGCTCGCATGATACCCATTCATAAATCCACCGCGTCGAAATGCATGAAATTGACTATTGCAGGATTGATCAAAATTTCATGTCAATAGGATGATTGGAACTCGAAGTGTACAAAGTCCATGCTACAACATCTCTAAGCAATAGCTGTCTGCCTGCAATTATGTATTCCAGATGATCACCTACCATGTTTCAGCAGTTGGTCTACTCGTCTCTATCGACAAACATTCCACCAACTTATAGAAGTGCATAACAAAGCGCACATTTTCACCTATAAGCCAATCGCAACAGCACTGATATGCAGTCCTCGACCGAGTATCTCTCGACGTCATGCTGTTGTTCCGTTCTTGATTACCATAGAATGACAAGTTACTGATACAACCGAGGCGGCCCACAAAACCGTCTCGAACGATACCATACGGACCAGCACAGCCTGGCGGAGCGATTTGACCTGTAGCAATGCGCAAATAGGGAGATATTTCCAAGTCCCGAGTACGGAAGTATCTCTCGGAAGCTTTTCGCAGCAAGGTAGAGCACGGCGATTAGTCGACCCTCGACCCATATCGGACGTTTTGTAATGCCGTAGTGCTTACGGCACTTCACGACGGTCACTGATAAACTCCGAGGAGGGAAAAAGCCAGACAAAAGTCCTCATTTCTCCGTATAGAGAGGTGCGATTACGTAGCACTCCGGGCCAACGACACATCATGACGGCGGAAACATCGAAATGCGAGATGGTCGAGCTGACCGGCACCGGGCTCCCTCGCGAGGAGTCCCGAAAAGCCGCCGTCTGGATGGCCAAAGCCTTCGCGCATGCCCGTGAGCGGAAGCTTCTAAAACGTGTCGTGTGGAATTTAACATACTAATTCCTCTCGCGGGTTGGAGCTGCAACGCCGGCCTTGACCATCTTCTTCGGCGCCGCGCCTTATGACTCAAACGTGGAGATGCACGAGCGGTTCTGGTCCTCACACCTGAACCGAGTCGCCATGTCCGGCAAATTGATCGGTGTCAGAGAAGACGGAGAATGGCGCGGGTTCAGGGCTTTTTTTGAGCCGGGCAAATCACGACTGCCCTACGTATCGGATTTTGTGAGATTCGTCAGAGAATTCCAGATCAATGTCTTAAGCTGACCGGCAAATTCGCAGAGACTTGATGACAATGATGACTGGGACCGCTTCCTTGAACTCTCGGGGGAGGAGCAGTACATGGCTCGCATCAAAGAATGGGGCGAGAAGACGAACCGCACGAACGAAGAACTCGGGTTGACTCCGAGTGAGTATTACACCACTTCAATCATTGCCGTCGAGTAAGTTTGTCAGACAGTAGTCACATGGATGGGAGGCTCATCGAGCTCTAGTCCAGCACATCAGAGAAAGGGCATTGGCAGCGTACTAGATGATTTTACGCGAAAGATTGTAAGTCAATCGGAAGTCTACGCACTTTTGCGCCGCCTCTGACACTGCCAGGCACGAGAAGCGGGGAGGCCACTCCACGTCCGAATTCATGAGTACATCGTGAGTGAAAGCCACAGACAACCTTGACGGGTGAACTATGCTGAAGTATTCTCTCTAGTTACCATTCTATCTCGCGCAAGGATATCGTTTGATCGCGACTCCCACGTACACTCTTGTGGGGTCAGCCCCTTTCAAGGTACACTTCTTGATGTATGATGAATATGGGCAAAAGAAGGATGCTTAATTTAGGGTCTTTGAATCGAGGTACGATAATATGAGACAGGCTCCAATATGAAACTCGGTCTTGAGCCATGGTGACTATGGTGCATCGTCTCTGCGCGCTTCATTTGCTAATATCTTTCTTCATATACAGCAGAGTCGAGTACCACTTCTTCCCTGTAGAGTCTGTATTTTCAACTCCATCCTTCACCGTCTCATAGATAACATAGCCTCGGCGTGCGTACCAGTCAAGAACGGGTACCTATAGAAGTGAGCCCACATAAACGACGAAGTTTTTTCCTGTAAAGGGCCTCCCCTCACCTTCGGTCTTTCACGACCAAGAGCGATCATACGAGGGCTGTTGGGGTCCGTGTCCTCATTGGAAAGTGTATCGAGAGTGAATACCTTCGCGCCGTACTGCTCTGCCGCGATTCTGGAAACCAAATGTGAGATCCCGATAGTTAATTAGCTGCAAATCGGCGTACCTTTCGAGAGTCGACACCGTTAAACCTCCAATTCCGGTACCTTGGAGCGCGGTTGAGACATAGAATGCAGCGATCGTGTAGATGCCGTTGGCGGGGGATATCATTAACCTGTTGTTCTCGTGATTCTCAACACATCCGTCAAGGCAGATGTGCCCGACTGGGTGGAATTTCGATGAGTCAGGGGTACGCTCATTGCCAAGTACAGACCGACAAGTGTCCTGAAGCTGCTCTACTTCATCGGGGTACCTTTCCAGGTGGCCCCCGATCAAAGCGTCTCTGTTCGGATACGAGGCTGCCAGGACCTAGATGCCGTCAACGCTCTTGTGATATATGAAAACAGGGTGCGAGCCGTGTCACTTACTATCCAGTAAAAAATGAGTTTGCCGGCTCGCTGGAATTTCTGCCAGTCCGCAATCTTCTCAACTTTCCACCCGCATGCTATCCGCTGCTGTCTCATACGCTCTACATGGGCTGTCGAATCAGGATCCCATGGTATGAGCAGGATTGAACGTTGCGAAACTGCGGTATTGCCATGTTGTAAAGACATAGTACTGGTGTAAGTACACTTAATTCAAGATCTCAGCAAGTAAGCAATGAAAGAAAGAGGACGACATAAGGCTTTGGGCAGGATTTTGGTACTGTGAGCGAAGTAACATCCACGGGTACTATAACCACGTTGAGTGACTCATGCGAATTGATAGGCGATCATGACAAATCACGTGATGGCAACCATTTCGGATTCAAAGGCAGGTCAAGACTGCAAACTATCGGGGTTTTGAGTATACGAAACAGTTGTCGTAACCACGGTCAGCTGCAGATGGGCCATGTACACAGTTTTTACGCCTATCCGAGGTCTCTATCTCCAGGAGTCGCACCACCGAGCTCCTATGTCGGCCACAACCCTGTCGATGACGATATTTTGCTATGTACCCAGTCCATGAAGCTTACGGCGCGTTTGTGCCATGTACAAGCTACTCACTCATCGGCTGGCAGCCGAAGCTGGCCAATTTCAGCAACCGAAAAGTTTGCGGCAGCACCAACAATGTTCTTCCAAACATGAAAATCCTGCTCATCCCGCGGAGCGTAGATCAAGGTGTACCCCCAAGTCAGCATACCCCCGCTCAAACGATGGCGCTGTCCCCAGCCCTTCTCGATCGCCTCCGCCGAGTCTACCAAGCTGAGCACGAGATGCGTGCTGCCGTCCGGCGGGTGGATATGCACAAACTCTCCCCTCGTAGCCTCCAGGAATGACGGGAACGGTGAGCCCTCCCTGAGCTGCACTGCGGGGACCGGTCCCTCGAGTTTCGAGTTCTCCCTCTGCAAAATGGCAGCATTATCCATGACCAGGTTGTCGAGGTAGGCATTCATGGCTCGCCTCATCGCATCCGAGCACCTCTCGGTCAGCTGTCGCTGCGGTGCCACGAACCCGCACACCTCGGGCCGCGTCCCGGATCGCAGCTCCAGAGGTCGGGCGAAGAACGACTTGGTCGAGTTGGGCCCGTTGGTCTTGGCCGTCTCGGCCAGGTCGTACGGAACGGGGACGGTGGTGTCCTTGCGTGCCTTGCACGACATGCGCAGCTGCTTGTACCAGCCCCACCAGTTGTCTGGTAGACCGTGAGGGCCCATGGATACGTAGTACCGATAGTCGTTGTAAGCGACTATGATTGCGGCCATACCAGTTGCCAGTATGGCGGTCGTGAGGGGTTGGCTACTGGCAAAATACTGACCCGAGGCCAAATACTGGCTGATAGTTTCCATCGTGAGCATCGCGTAACTACTAATTATTTGGTCTTGGTCCGTCGTTGCTATGCTGTATTTATCCCGGAAGATGTTTATGGTCAATGTTGTTGACTAGGTGCTACGACTTCTTGGAAGTTATGACTAGCAACTTATATACTAATTTCATCATACTCGCCACTCTATGATAGGCAGCAGTAATATTCATGACGACTGTGGTGGTCGAGGTGAGTTTCCGGATGCATAATATCTTACTCTCGGATACAGGAGTTAGGAATTACAAAATACGGTAAGTTACCTACGAAGTAGTCGTCTATGTTCAAGCTTCAATGTAGCCCGAGCAAGGCCGACCCTCAATTCATCAGCTCGGAGCTAAGCTCGGAGCTATGTTTCGGAGAAGGAGATCACCTTCGTTCAGCTTCGGAAATAAGGTTGTCCAGTCGCAATAGTGAGAATATGTATGACCCATCAATTATAGGACTGATACAGAGTCAACCGTAATATCCCTTCTCGTATTAGATCACTAAACAGCAAGATTCTGAGCATTCCAGGGGAGGATCTGGCAAAGTCAAAAAAGACAATCTGACAATACTACGGAGCACACAGTAGGCTTCCCAAAAATGGCGAGACCTGGAATCTAACCAACGACATGCAAGCATTACCAATGCCAATGACGATACCTACGTCCACGGTCGGTATGACAGCAACATAGCCAATCTCCGCACCAACGAATCAGACCCAGTTTTGACTTCTTGCGACATTTGGTATGTACTCTCGGAGACCGTCATCACCCTTATAAGCTCCTTCTTTTGTTTATTTGAGGAGTGATATGAATGTCCCTTCGTCAATGCCACCATGAGCTTATATGGGCTGGCATGCCATACTCTGTCCAACTGGCGCAATATACAGTCTTGAAAAAACCGCAAGATCCTAACCGTACTATAGTCAAAATCGTGGATAATATCTCAAGAGGTATGCACGGTTCACATCTTACAAGTCATATATGGATCCATTAGTCAATTTTGAAGAAGTCATGATAAGTAAAGGTCTCTTAGTCTTCACCAAGGTGTAAATTTTGTACTTCGAGAAGGTCATAGGGCGTGTGCACAATGGAAATGCGCGGAGGAATTTTAGGAAACCTGCCTTGATTGAACATAATCTAATTTTATCAAGGTTAGCGTCTGAATGGCTGGGATGGTATCCCAAGTCGGACGATGAGAAGGATATCCTGGTCCAACATATGTTCATTGGTTCTTGGAGAGAAGATCAACATGGTTGATCGAGACACTGTTGTCATTCATCATCTAATTAACAGCCTCCTGGGGCTTTATCCTCAAGAATCATACTCCAGATACTTTTTTACCACTGCTTTCGCATCCCACAAATCTTCAGCACGACCGAAAACACTTGTAATGGCGTATTGTACCTTTGTGTTGATAAATATGTAAGCATAGAGCACACATGTCATCAGCCAGGACATTGGCATCTTCGGGTCTTTCCACTCCATCGCCTTGTCTCGAATTCTGTGTACGCGTTCACGTCGTATGTCGTAGATTCCTGAGATGGTCCGCGACACTGAGTCTGCTATATCGTGCTTTGCGAGGTGCCCGGCCAGAAGAAGCCCCAATGTCTGCGCATCTTCAAATGCCTGGCTTCCTCCCTGTCCGCTTCTGGGAGACATGGCGTGCGCTGCGTCTCCTACGAGTACACAACCATCTCGACCCCAGAGTGGGATCTTGGGCATAACAAATATGGGGTAAACATGGTCCACTGAGGCATTCTCAAGACATTTGCTGATGATGGGATCCGACCAGCTAGCGTGGCGATCGCGTAGTTGCTGCATGGCTGCATTGCGATCGAACTGAGTACCCTTTTCGGGTAGGTCTGTCTCATAGATAGACCAGTAGAGTAACTTGTTACGATCGGTTTGTGTCAAGCCGCAATAGCCAAAGGCACCAGTCGAGCCCATGAAGAATTGCAGACATGGATCGTCAATGAGATGCTGGGGTATTGGTATGTCAAGGACACCACCAACTGCAGAGATGCCTCTGCGCCATTGTTAGCAAGCGAGCATTCTAGTCAGGTCAAACAGACTTACAAATACTCGGGGTGGCAGTCTCGATTATCACCAAATAGACCTCTCCTGACGATACTACGGATTCCATCTGCTCCGACGACCAAATCTGCGCTCTCCTCGGTGCCATCTTCGAACTGTACGATTGGCTTGAGGCCTTGGCGTGTTATGACATTTGACACAGTCCTGTAGTCAAGCACATCATTCGGTAGGACCTCCAGGAGACAGTCGATGAGGACAGGGCGAGAAATCGGCAATACGTCGAGATACTCTCGCCCTAGGAGAAAATTGCCAGCGGTCTTCCACTTGAAATGCGAACATGGATATCCAGCACTGTGGACTCGATTCTTGAGCACGGGGTCGAAATCCCCCAGAATTCGAAGTCCGTTACCCTGCAAGCTTATCCCAGCACCGAGTCGAGCTCTTCTCTCGTCGCTAGATTCAGCCCTCTGCTGACTCTTCTCGTACACTTTCACTACTAACTGATCATTATCACGAGGTTTAACGTACTTTCGCAGAGCAATCGCTGTACTAAGCCCGCTAAGACCGGCACCGATAATAATTACCTTCATGGTATTAAATGATGGTTTTTGAGGATAAATGATCAATAACCGATTTATGTGTCAAGTCGAGATTTATATCATGCGAATCATACGATGTCGAGTCGGAAGAATTACTTGCCGTCTTACACTGATGCGTTGTAATGGCACAGGTGGGGGTCGTGAGTTAGGTTTCAATGGCTTTCATTTTAACACAAACCAATCATTCAACACCACCCATACGTGGTGGTCAGGCAATTCCTTACACTGCATCCACGCTATTTATAATCCATGCTCGTATACTAGCAGTATGATCAGCGCGACAATCGGTGCTCATACCCTCGTCTTGTCTGGTCTTGCCAGCTCGTGTTTCTACTCGATGGCCCATTAGCACCGTCGTCCAACCAGTGCGTTGCCCAGCACTTGAATATACTTCAAGCTGTAAGTGCTCATGTGTGGATTCAACACTTGCTCCGTAGCAATGTAATCAGTCAGAGACTTTTACAAACCTCCAAAGGGTTGTCCCATGCTGCCGCCTAACAAGACTTTTCCCGTCCTCTGCGACAACAATCGCCATTAGTGATTGGAGCCAGTGCGGCGACAGCAGCTGATATCCTCCATTAGGATGGTCTCTTGTCGTTATGCACTCCCACCCACCCAATTTAGTGGCCTGGGCACATACGTTTTGCTTGCCGTCATGGCCCATGTATTTGCCAGATTTGACATCTTGCAAAGCAAGGTAACCATTGCTTTCAACACAGAGCCATCGGTTGTTTTGGTTCCACTCGTCAGAATCATCCTCGATGTCTTCTAGGCAAAGTCCATCGCCCGTCGACGTGATGGCTCTGCTGGATATCTTCTCCAAGATCACATAGGTTTTACCAGGAAAGAGCCCGCTGAAGGCGAAATCGTCACGGGAATTGCTGCCAGACGCGGTGGGGCTAGTCGTTGGAGGGGCACGTACGTCACTCTCAGTTGTTGGGATTTTTGGTGATTTATTCTGAGCTTGGCTTGCATGCGAAGTCATCTTGTTGGTATCTTCGAGCGGCGTGAGAATTACCATGCCATAGAAAATGGAAAATAATAAGTACAACAGTGCTGGAACAATGCACAGGGCCGCTGCTTTGTACATTGTATTGTTGTTAAAAAATCACACTGCCCCACAGTCACGAATGCAAAGGCTGGCGTGGCCAACTAGTCCAAGTTACACAATTTTAGAATGGCAAAAGAACGCTACTCATACATCATGACCACGTGATGTATTTACATCCAATAAGAGGTGGGCAGTCCGTCACGGTTCATAAATATGATTGTGAGTACATATTGCAAACGTAGGAGCATATGATATATTCCTGCCAAGGACTGATGACAGTGTTTAGGATCAGATCATCTCCTGTGAGGCCATACCCCATCCGGTTGCTCATTGGTCCTATAATAAGTCCCAATCAATGCCTGAAGCATTATAGCCACTTCCGGAAGGTTTACAAAGAGTTCAGTGGCAACAAACGCCCGTGAAATACAAAATGACAGTTCACGGTACCAGACAATGAGATCAATCCCTGATGTTGATGTGACAAACCAACTGACAATAGGAATCTGCTTTGAGGTAATGCCGTCTCCCCAAATGTCAATACGAGAAGTCCGTTGTTGCAATGTCAAAGCTTTATCGTCAACTAGGTGTCAAATCGACTATTGTACGCGTCGGCGATGATACTGGCCTGGCACCACTCGAAGAGTGGTCTCCATGGCCTCAAGATACCAGAAAGTGAAAGCTGGACGATGATGGTGACCCTTTGCCGATTGGCAAAGCACGACAAGATCGTCGAAACAAGAACATTTCTTCAATGCGGTTCTTACTGGTTAGTATTATCAAAGATAGGGTATTTCTTGTATAGTGTGTAACGTTTATTGGCTTCCGCTTTTGTGTGCAAATTTTACTATCAGGGCCGCCCATCTTGGAGCTTGGCGCTCACATAATGCCAGTCCACGCAGAAATGTGGGGCAGCTCAGCTGTTGTACCTTCTATCAGCTTACAGTTTGGGATAAGTATGACGAATATGGAGATTCATACGATGGGCGAAGATCGACACAAAAATCTAGATGAAGACAAGTTTATACGTCAAGGGTTTTGAGCTGTAGGTTTTCCTATGGACAATATTTTAATAAAATTGGAATGGTTCTTGAATAAACCCTCAACTATTCCCCTCACAGAACAGGCGATCGAAGGAGTTACAAAGTAGCGATTTGTCGCAAAGAATAAGGACCTGTCCTACCCACCACAACATGTGCAGGTCGTAGTGGAGGCTGTAGATGACACAAAGGTAGTGATTGAACTGAAGGACCATATCGTACAAACCTTCACGTTTCGTACTACCTCAACCGTGCTTGATAACATGACACCATGTGCTCCAGACAATCTGTAGGTAATACGTTGGTCCTCAGACGGCGCTAAAATGACATTAATTTCCATCTTCTTTCTGGAGCACGAAGATTAAATCGAAGGCATTCGGAAAATGTAAGCAGGTTTGAGATCAATCCCTCGGCTGCAGCTCGAATAAGTGCACGCACTGTCAGTGAGTATATTTGACTGACGAAATCAGCCACTTCGTGTTCGAAAATGGCGTAAAGCGGCTGAATAATTAAAGATTAGCTACGGGCAATACTTGTGCATTTCATGCAGTAAACTCGTGGTCCATGGGACCTTTTATTCATTTACTCGAGTCTGGCTTCCCCGTTGCTACAAGGTCCGCACCCCGTTCCAATAATTCGAGGCAAAGAAGAGAGCCGCTGCTGTGTGATCAGGTCAGTGATGAGGTCAAAAGAAACTCGGTTTTAAGCAGCGCCTAAGCTCAGTTGACCTAGGTTAGGTTAGTGGGTTTCGTGATGATCATTGAGCCGCAAACGGCGATCGCAAAGCTGATGAAACTAGCGACAATCAGCGCTCAATGCCTCTTTGGCTATCAAGTGCCATGGCACAAATAGTGAATCATGTATCAATTGGTTCCATCGAAATCTTATCTAAATTGAGTTCATGATATCTCCTTGCATGTAGCTGGACCCTCTTTTTGGATGCTTGTCCGTAAAACACTATGGCGTCCTGGCACCGGCCTGCTTTAGAAAGAACACAACTTGTGCAAACAACTTTCAAATGACTGTTTCGGGGAACCGTATAGGTCCTGGGTGCAATTTCCCCTATGTTTGAGCATGTTTTACACGACTTGATGAGCTGGAAGGGAGACAGGGTATCAAACTCTTGCTGTATCATCGTCGGCCGAGCTGGTCGTCTTGGCGGGTTCATCCGACCCAGTGGGTTATTAGACCGGACGACTGAGACAAGACCATGAACGTGGCCACGAATGACCCAGCGAGTTTCAAACAAAAGAAGGGAAGACCCTTGACTGAGGCTAGGAGGCTACAATACAATGGAAAGGAAAAGAGAGCAATTTGTTGTTTGTGGCTGATGCAATCGCCAAACATCTAAATCAGTGATACAAAACCAAACGAGGCCAGTGTAATCAGAAGTAGCACTTGGTGAAACCATGTCCCAAGAGTCGCGTGGGCGCGGCTCATCAAGATGCGTAATTACTTTTCCGGAACGAGAACGCATACTGATTTATGCCCGTTCCCTTTTCACGTGGCACACTGAAGCGCATTTGATGCTGTGACTTCCCGTGAGGCTAAACTAGAAGCAAAAGAAAGAAACAGCTGATGAGCGCAGGCATTGTCGATGGCGCGACGAGTGCTTGTCAATGTAGCAGGACGATTACGTGCACCTTGAGCGCTGTGGCCAACTAAGAACCAGACTTTCCGGAATCGGCGCTGCACCCAATTTGTGGTCAGTCTTCATTGGCAACCCAATTGGCACCGGCGCACTTGGCTTGCCAGCGAAGTGGACAATAGTAGCCGTGACTGTGATGAAGGCCCGGAATAGTGGATCTCTGGTTTCGTTCTGGAGACGGCCAACGTTGTCAACGTGACAGGCAATGTGGGCTTGGCCGGTGCGCCTGCGTGGCACCACGTTGCCGCGGTGCCACGAAAAAGAATGTTTGTTGGGCTTCCAAATAAGTAGGTTAGATTTTCTTTTTCCCCTCATCTCATCTGGGGAGTTGTCGTGCCTAGTAAAGCGCTAGATCCGCACAAAAGGCGCGAGTGAGATTTATTTGCACAAGATCGAAAGCCAATGGGTAGGGTTTCAACGGACTGAAAGTCGGCCTTCAATCAATCGATAAACTAATGGATAGGCGTACCTGTTGACACTTTTAATGGAAGGCTTTAAATTGACGTTATTAAATTATCAATCGACTATCCCTTCTTTGATGTTTCTCCGCAAAATCTACGGATCCGTAGTCTCTAAGGGAAGTTCCGATTTGGTCAGTTGCCGATGTGCTCGGGCCCACTCTTGTTTGTTAGCAAGGCCAGGTTACAAAATGCCTGCGCGTCTCTGGGGCAATCAGAGTGCTTTCGCTCCCAATACAGGTAGAATTCCGATGAGGATTGGAACGGATTCATGGGAGCGGAGAGCAGTAATTTGACTGACACCTGATAGTCTGCCCGTCCTGGCCTAGCTTCAGGAACGAGAGACATGCTCACCCAGACGCTCCAGGTGGGAGGCGACGCAGGAACAGCCGTTGAATCATACCCACACACCAAATCTGACGCAACCTTAAATGGATCCTTGCCAAGCGTGGTCACAGAGATGGAAAACCAATCACGAAATGCACAAAGCCCAGACCCTTGCCCTTAGCCTGGTATGAGATTGTGCAATCTCATCTGGCCTGGCCAGCATTTTTTGTGAACGGCCTCGATTCCTTCGACCCCTCCAGCCCTCTGCACAATAGAACAGGACGACAGGCTCGAGAGGGGACGCCAAGATGGACTTGAACAGAATTGCATTGGTTCCGGGGGGAAAAACAACGCACGATGCTACTATGTAAATTGGTGACGACGACTGAGAATTCTCCCTTGAACGAGTTTTCGTTAGGATGACTTGTCAGCGGATGAGAAGCCCATTGACACATGACCTTGCTCAGAGCTAGTACTCATTGTTTGTGATTGCCTTGGTCAAGATCTTCGCTTCATCACAGCAACGAAAGGATGGCAGGGAAGTAGTTCTCTACAGTACGTCTTTGAAGGTTGCACAAGCATTCCACATGCTGTACATAGTACGAGTACACAGGTGTCCATGAGAGCGATACCCAACCTGGTTAGACTCCGTGCATCAGCTGAACTTGCGTATACTATGTACACATGGTACATAGAAGAACGGCCATGATGACTCGTGCCTTGTAATTTCCGGTGCCTGCTCCCATGAGACAGGCAAAAAAGCACCTCATCCTCTCAACGCCTGCACGAGTTTCGACTTCGCAACGCCAGTAACATGCGCCATGGAGTTGATATCTCTCAAGAGGGGGTAAAGATGAAACTAAAGCCAGTGTGCGCTTTGTGAGCGGACTGAGCGAGCGCTTTGTCTGTGACCTTGAGTTTGCTTGAGATATGAACGTGTTGTGTCGTGTCGCTCTTTTGGTTTGGCGCCTTGAAGCAGAAAGGGAATTAGTGCTGATCCAATTGAACTCCCCCCTCCGTATGGTACCTTTCGCAGACCTTACCCAGAAATCAACAGTGCGCAGGGGTCCTTGCCTTAACCCCAGTCGCCAACCCCAAGCCTAGCCCTGCGACATTGACGATCGGTTGCCTTTGACCAATTACTAGTCGAGCCATTCATTCATTAATCTCGTTATGCCGCCGTCCATTGTTACCACCCACCTTCCACCCCCAGAAAGATCGTGGCTTTTCTTCGTCGTCTCTGCCGTCTGTCGCATCCTTCTGCCTTCCCTAAATACACCCACCTCCTCTTCACAGTACATTCACTCTCAACTACGACAAACCACAGGACTTCGTTGGCAAAGTCACGCATCAGCATTCTGGAAACGCATCAATATCGTTACCAACCTTGAGTACCGAGTACTTAAAACAACACTCACTGATTCATAACGCAATCATCCCGCGCGCGCATAAAGTCACGACGCACATATCACACTAGAACTAGCCCTTCGGCATATCTGCATTCAAATTTGAACTTAGCAGAGCATCATCGCATCGAAGTTGGAGAAGGAGAAATCTAGCTTGTTGAAAATTAAAGTTTGCGATCCAATATTTCTATATCAGACGAAACTATCCACCGTGGATCCATCAAGGAATCAGGCCGTATCATCAAAATGCAGATCTCCTCGATAGTCTCTCTTGCGCTTCTGCCCTTGTTGGCAGTTGCTGATGGCTCTGTCAGTACCGCAACTTCTACCACGACACTGTACAAGACCATCACCATCCAGAGGGCCGTTAGCACCTCCACTGCTTGGAACTCGACGTTGAGCTCCTACCCTACTGGCACTGGATCCTCTTCGTCCTTCATCGCAGCCACCACCACGAAGGCTACCAGTGGCAGCACCAGCGGCACTTCATCGACCGCGAGCGCAGCTTCCAGCAGCTCGACCGTTGGTAGCGCCGCCGTCTCTCTAGAGGCTGCCAAGGTTGCAGCTGCTGGTGTCTTTGGTATTGTTATTGCTGCTCTGATGTAAGCCGCGCCACCGGGCGTGGCTTATGGGCACGGCGGATGGAGCAAATAATATGGTTCTTCGTACTTTTAAGGTTGCGGCCGACGCCGCACCTTATTCTTATTCTCACAACGTCGATTCGAATCCTTCGATGCGATCATCAATTCCCTTCTTTCTTTTGTCAAAAACCAGCTTTTTCGTTTCCAGCGCAAACAAACGACACCTTACGCAACGAAACGAATCACTGAAGATATCTAATCGGCGGCGATACCCCTTAAAAATTCAAGTCTCCTCTTTCTCTTCTTGAGATACCCCTTGTGACTACTTTTTTTTGTCAATCACAGATGCTTGCGTTTGCTTGCATGAAGGGAAAGGGAGACTGTCTTCGAGCAAACAACAACAAAAGCTTTTGCTTCTTTTCTTTCGAGACCGAACAGAGTGTTTGACGTCGTTCCTGACATTTCACATAATGTTTCAATAACTAGCAATTGTATGCATCCACCTCGACGCTATGATTCGCTAGTTTCGACAATACCACCACATTATAACTCGTTCTTCTATCAACATTGCCCTGTTTCAGGCCACCTTGTCACATTCCCAGTCCCTCAATTCCAACCCGACTGTTCGCGCGAGTATCATCTATCCCATTGAACCAAAGGGCCGGTCGCCAAAAAGTTACAGGTTTCGATCTTGCTATCGTGATCGACGGTAGCATCAGGAAACGAGTTGTATTGTCGGCACTAAGCACACATTGCTGGTTGGCACTTTCGTTTACTTCTACACAAAAAACAACTTTTTATGCCCCTCCCTTTCCCCCTCGCCCCGTTTTTTCTTTCGAGGCGTCGCAGCACGGAGAATGCGACTAGATAGGAGATCACGAAGGCATTTTTAACATTTTTTATATTTATCCACTCCCCTTTTTTCAACGCCTTCGTGTAGTTGAGATACCCCACCCATCCGCTTTTGTTGTTGTTATTTGCTTGCTGGCGAGGACAGTTGTCTGCTGTTTGCCACGAATCATCCTGTAATCACCTCATGTGAACAATCGGCTATCTGTTGGTTTTTGACTTTTCATACCCTGCATCTTGCTTTTTTCTTGAATTTTGTGTCTTATGTCAGAACGATTATGAGGAGCATGGAGGATTGGTGAATTAAAATTAGCATGGTGTTTAGTGTTGGGCTTGGAGATGAGACGTAGCTGGCGATAGCTGAGGAGATGAATGGAATGAAGTTACATAAATGAACAAGGTGCATACAAACTGATATGTTATTTCTAGACTAGGTGACACGTCTCTCTATATAACACAGCCGAACTTGTGCTCATAGAAGACGAATAGTCCGGGACACGAAACTTGGAATCGATACTGACTGCTTTAGCTGATCTAGGGCAAAGTAGTCTTTATGTATACATCACTCCATCTCAAAGCTTTTCTGATCGGAGATATAGAAGAAGAGTTTATCTCTTTACCAGTCTTAATTTCGAGCCGATATTCTAGATCTTTGAGCTCGCGGATCTTCTGCTTGCCTCTTTTCGGTTGCCAACAAAGCGTTGCTGATTACTCTACTTGGACAGCGTAGGGATCCCCCGCTCCGATCCAGCCGTGTTGTTGAGCGTCTAAGCGGCATCCGCCACGGAGGCTAACTAAGATCAGACCAGAATTGATGGAAACTACTCACTAAGAGTACCTTATTATGGCAAACACCCAAATAACGCATATCTGGATTACTTTTAAGCTGCAAGCAGAAGAACTGGAGGGTAGGTCGTGTAGTACTAGGCTGGGATTGTATGTTGTGGAATTTATCTGATGCATAAGTTCTTGACTACATACGTTTCCTCCACATTGAGCAATCAGTTGAGACTAACCTTTTCAATAACCTCAAGCCCTAAAGCGTCATTAAACCCAGGAATATCTCATCAGACTTGTATGTGGACCGATTTCGTTCCAGCAAAACTTGTACAGACACAGGGACGTACACTTCGTAGAGCGAAAGCAAGCCTCTCAAGCTTGGAATTTGTTTAGTTTCGTACATTGTTTTTGAAGTTGACTTCTAGCATATGGTCTGTAATGTAGCGAGAACGCCGTGGGTGGATCCAATTGGCAAGCGACGAGGCTATATGATTCTCATGTATCGCATGTAGTATCATGCCACTCCATCTTATACCATATTTGTCACGAAACTTCTTTTTTTTTGCACCACACAAGTCTGCCGCAGCTCTTTTCTTTGTTTCAGACTGGTGAAGCTTGTACAGATGATAGTTAATGCTCAGATGACAATGTCTGATCCTTTATGGCAGGATACGAGAGCTCGACGTATTGTGCAACCCATATTGCTGGATGTCCCTGATCTTCACGTATGGATGATGGCGATTGCAAGAATCTATACGTGTTTTAGTTCGTGAAGGAGAGTAGGAAGAGCAGGAATCTACGGTGTATTGTCTGAAGAAACAGATGTGCAAAGAATCTTGCACTACTCCTTGTAAAAGTTACTACAACGAAAAGGAAAAGATAAAACAAAAAGGGAAAAAGGCGAGAGAAGTAGAAAGAACTCTTACTAGCCGACTGTTATATAGTTGAAAAATATTAACTCGTCGCTTACCGGAGCATCTACACAATTTGAAATAAGCATCAAAGACTCCTGATTCACGCTTAATTGCAGAAGTTGACCTGCGTGGAATCTTGTATTCTTTGCAAGCGTGGCTAAAAGACTTGAAATATTTCGACTGTTTGCACAACCGAAGTGTCTACATTCGTTTGACAAAAGAGCCCCTTATATTTACATGATGACTTTCGGTATATACAAGCAGAGGCTTGCATCATCTAATCATTCCATACCCGGCCGGCGGTTATTTGTGCAAATGAACAAAACACGTTGGATAGATACAGATCCCCCAGAGCACAGTATATGTGCCACCTAGGCTGAAGGCAGACCAGCATGAGCTGTTGCGGCATCTTCGGGGCTGTTTTCGTTAAGAGCGTCGATGATATCAGCAAGCTCCTGCGGGTCGGCCGCAACCTGTCTTTTCTCGTCGGCAGGCAGACCAGCATGTGCAGTAGCCGCATCTTCAGGGCTGTTCTCGTTGAGAGCATCGATGATGTCGGCAAGCTCTTGCGGGTCAGCAGAAACTTGTCTCCTCTGGGCCGCAGCATTACTTTTCGCTGCAGCCGCATCGTCGGGGGAATTCTGCTCTAAGGCAGCTAAGATAGAGGCAATATCATCCTGTCGCTTGGTGGAGGAAGAGTTCTTGGCGGAAGAAGCGTTCTTGGCAGCCGCGGCATCCTCTGGGGAGGTCTGTTCGAGAGCAGCAAGAATGGAGGCTAAGTCATCTTGTCTCTTCGTAGAGCCAGCGGCCTTGGCAGCAGCTGCATCTTCAGGAGAAGTCTGCTCGAGAGCGGCTAGAATGGACGCCAGGTCATCCTGTCGGCGCTCCTTGGTAATAGTCAGACCCAACGACACAGTCGCCAAGGTTAAGATGATGGCTGCAGAACGCATGTTGAGAGATAGGCGTATTAAAAATGACTTGATGTATAATGAAAGCTATCAGACTAAGCGCTGCTCAAGTTGATAGACAAAGTACAAGAAGATGAGATACCGATGACAGGTCTTGGTAGACTTGGTAGACTTGGCGGCAGGTCTAATAAAGATCAATACCATCAGCGTACAGAAGAACATAGCATCATCACTCTTGGAATGAAATATCGACGAAACATGAGCATTCTCGGGATGGTGTATATCCGCATCAATGCTTTCAAATATGCCACTGACCTCTCGCGACCAAAACCTGAATTGGGGAATCACTGATGTTTCCTCTGTTATAACATAAAGCCTCGCGACCACTATTCCGGGAGATTTTCGAAACAAAGCCCCCCTCGGCCCAATCGAGTAATCAGATGGTTTTTAGCTGATAAAAGCCTGTTACAATTGAAGCTTGCTTCAGAGCGTTAGTGGAAGCTACTGCCGTTTCAAATGCGATCTGTGCGTTGAAACTTTCAAGTTCCAAGATTAACATGAATGCGCAGAGCTCGGATGCATAAGTGATAATTATCCCCAAACAATTTAAATGATGGTTGAAGAAGTGCCTTTATATTCATAAATATGAATTTATTGGATTTAGATTCGTGCCAGGGCGGTTAATGTAGACGCAATTGGAACCAACCATGCTCTAAAATGGGGCAGCTTGAGTAAACGTCAATTCGGTGGCAACTTAACATGTTTGCTATTCGTTAAGTAAATAGGATTTTAACATGTGAGGTATGGCAGATATCCGTATGACTATTTTTGCAAGTCTTGGTCCACAGTTGAAATTCATAGTGATTACTGAACTTGTCGACACATGTCATTGGCACACGTATGGTTGGGAATTGAAAAGTCGCGATAGAAGGGATCGGAATGGCATCCCCTCAAAGCATAATTTGGATTTTTTCTTTCTTTGTATAGAATGAAAGCCCACCTTGGTCTCTCCTCTCTGTGTACGTTCAAGTCGCTAGCCACGCCTTATTGCCCCTGGGAGCATGCGCCGGCCACTTACGCAGCCACCGTAAAACAGGAAAAACAAACAAACAATCATTGACACTCGCTGTGAGGTACGATGAGCTCCTAAAGACTTTCCTAGGGCAATGCGAGAGATATACAGCATTGGTTTTTGATGGCATCAATCTTGGAAATGGCAGTCATGGCCGAACTATACAAAGATATGGATTGAGGCTTTCGATCATATGTGGATCGGGCGAGCGTGCGATATTATCTGTGGCGATCCAACCACAGCGTCAGTATGTTGATGGTCAAAGCCTAAAAAATAAAAATGAAAAAGGGAGGGGGAAGGCGTAGCCTAGTGTGCCGGAGTCCTTCTCTGTGTTTAGTTGAGACGTCGAGCGTAAAATGAGGCCTTGCTATACACGACGAATCCATTGTTTCGTAAACATGATTATAAAACCAAGTATGGCAGACCGCTGAGGTAGGTGTAGTGTTACTGGCTAGCTCAACTCGATGTGACAATAAAAAATGGTGAGTTGACATAATCACTTTGGAGAAATAGGACTTGAACGATGATATACAAGGAAAACTAACATACTGATCCTTGCTCCCAAATTGTTATGTTGAGTATACGTGCATACTAGAACATGCCCTAAAGAAACATGTTACTAGAAAGTACCAGAGCATACTAAAAGCGATGAACATCTTAAAGTTTCAGATTCCATTACTACTACGTTGCAGAATGACAGGACTGACTTAGTTAGTGCTTTATGTATATGTTTCGAGATATATTTGGAAAAGGAGACTATTCTCAAAGTTTGTGGAACGCATTGCTTTATATGAGTCTTGCCTTGCAGCTGGTACTGTAATGCCAGAATCCTCCTCTATTGGCGATTATCTTGGAATGGTTCTGTAGCAAGAAACAAATAATTCAATTGCATCGAAAGTCTATTTCAAGAAAACTGCGAGGGGCAGTCTATTTCTTTCTGTTATGTCTGGTTTTTTTTATCATTTACGTCATTCGTAAGCACCAGTCTTGTTTATTGGGGATGACGCATCTTGTGAATTCGCCGTTTGTTGACATTGCCCTTATGTCGTGGTGTTGTTTCACATATAATTGCATTGGAATGCCTGGAACCTAGCTTCGACTAAAGCATAACGGTGATCATGGGCACGGCTTTTTAAGTCCTTTCGATCGTTTGCTGAGCGCTCCGGGTATTTGGTCGACCTTGGAGAGCATGGGCCGTAATTGTCGAGAGCAACACTCCATACTGTGGCAACAAGATCCTTCGAAAGAACGAAAGCGACATGTGTTTGAAGTCATGCTCTGATACACTCTCTATGACATAGAATACCACCACCAAGCTGGGCTCAGTAGGTGCGTATTGAATTCGCCCTGGTCAGCTATATTTAAAATTGGGATCAGATTCAGGAAATCCTTCAAGCAGTGAGCCTCTTTTGTATCACGGAAGATTGCTCCTGCTCGATGCGCCCATTGTGTCATAGAGAAACTTCTGGAAATACTCAATAACTGAGATGTTGTTAGGTCCAACCCAATCTTCATACTAAGGGTCAACAAGGCAACACACGGTCACGTCGGATTCGATTCGCGTATCTCTTCAATTTGTTTCAGACTCGTTTATGGAGTACGCATGGCGGTTGCTGGCTGGGTACATATTCGTGTTAGACGTCTACTACCACTGATATATATCTAATTGATATCCTCTAAATTTGTTGGACCCAAGTCTATCAAATGGCCTCATGAAGGCTTCAGAAAATTACGTCGGAACGTAAAAGCCAACGCGTTTATGAATACTTGGCAATGGCATGGGTAAGATACTCGACAAGCTCTAATTGACCTGTCGTCGGGCGCTATGACAAATAAATATTATCCTTGCATGATAGAACTTATTCAGGTCAATGATGTCTGTCGCGGATCTAAAGCGCTGGGTTTTGATTATGGGTGCCGATCTGATCCATTGGCCTGGTATGCCTACATGTTATTTCTTTCTAGACATAGGTTTTGCTACATCAGTCATCAATTCCTACAGTAGATATCGAGAATCTCAAGTCTTCCTATGAGAACATTAGTAACAAGGCAAACTACTACCTTTAGGACAAATACATCCGTAATATAGTGGGGAAATCACGGCGGGCCAATTGGAACTGATCCTATAGTTCAGACAATTTGACATGTGTCCACAGTTAAACGAGGGGTGGATTATTTCCCCGATACGCTCCTAGCAGCTGTGGTCTGTAATATCTGCTGGGGAGTACCAGACGAAGATGGCTTGTTAAATGACCTTGTTCGAAGTGTATGGTTCGCGAACACCTAACGGCACCATGCTCTGATCGGCCAAAAAACTCGGACGCAGCCGACCGGCTCTGAACCCCGGTCCAGATCAAGCGTCGGAAGCCACGCGTCGATAGATCGAAAACTCGTTGATTTTGCGCGATCACAGTCACCAAATTGCGCGACGACCATTGGAGTGAGAAAGGAACTTATTTTGCTTGAAGATACGGTAACGATATTGGGGCTGGCTTGCCAATGGCAGCCAATTAGTTCTAAGCAGTAAATACCGAATGATTTCGTTACGTCTGAGCGCCACCCTTGCCGGCCGAGAGGGTCTGGAGGTTTAGGGTGTTGCTTCAATGCTGCCCGGCTCCTGGAATGTGGTAAGTCGCGAAAAGTTCTTTCCGGATTCCTGGGATGAACTTGTGGCGCTAGGCTTCAGCTTCGTGGAGTCAAAGAGGGTCCTGGCTGGAGATCTCAATTGATCCTTCAACATCAGTCACCAAAGATTGATGCTGTTCGTGGCTAGCCATCTAGCAACAAGAACCCTAGAAGCTGAAAAGACGACGAAGACGAATATCGTTAATGTTGACATGTGGCTCCGCTCTCATCGGCTGAAAACCCGTGTCCGCGACTGCGGATCTTCATAGGATGAACCGCACTAGGTACTTGTTTCCGAATTGGGGTGTGCTTGGGAATGGGCCGGTGACTGAAGCCAAGCTGTGCAATCCGCCAGCGAGCCAGCCAACAGGTGAGCTACGCCTTCATGACAACTTAGCGAGAAGTGGGTATAGTGCGTGGCACCTATTGTATGTGTATCTCGACCGACCATTGCCGATCTTTGAATTGTGCTAGGCCATCAACTACGAAGTTTCTGCGAGTGTGCATGTTGTCCAGAGCTGGATGCACAAGGCGGCTTGTTGACTTAAATGATCAAACGCAATGTGAATATGTTCGAGCTCCAAGATGATGGTATGGTTTGTTTTTGCTTTATGGTGACATGCATCATTATTTGTCGAACTAGTTTTTGCGGTTCACTACATAAGCCAGCATCACTTTAATCTAGTCTGATACTTGATGCCCATAAATCCAACTCCACACCTATGCGGATCATGGACATACCGGTATAACCCCAGCTTGCACAAAGCATACCCCTGAATCCTGAGCTCCTTTTTCGACAACTACAGATCCGGGGCTACGCGTGTCATATACCTGGCTGCTGGGAACCCTTGAATCAGATCAGCGTAATAACAATCTAGATCTCATCTTGGTATCACAACTGATTGGTTGGGAAATACAGGTGAGAGAACAGAGCTCAAAATGGAATACATTAGTGCTGAACTTAATTATGGTCAGAGCGTATTGCTAAACTCCTTCGAGACTCCTCTAGAACTGACACTGGACTTCCATTTTCTCGTTAGAGCACAAAGGCAAAGGTACGCGAATCGGGGATTAGTCCGCGCTCGACCCCTCAGGATTAGAGATGCTAAGACTTTAGTCAAGCCACGATAACTTTAGCCCCGGGCCGAATTTTCTAGGCAATATCGACTAGCCGAGTAGCTCTTGATTTATCAAATTGTTTGTTGGTATTTGCCGCAGGCCGACGGTAGATATGCCAGACATGTCCTGTAACGCCACCACGCGTGGGTGACAGGTCTAGCATTGCTTCTCCTTGATATAGTTCAGTTATTCCCACTCCCCTCCAGCCGGTTGCCGGCAAACCTCAATACTCCGTGGACGCTTATCTGGTCCTGTGGTGCCGTCCTCAATTGAGCTTCCTTAATTGTGTCTCGTCCTTCACTTACGCCGGTCGCTCCCTTATACTCCTCATACGATGGCAGCCGAAACTCGTGGGCCGCAGATTGCGGCCATCGCATATACCTTCATGATAATGAGCTCTATCTCTACACTTCTTCGCATTTACTGCCGTGGCTACGTTATCAAAGCTTTTGGATTAGACGATTGGCTTGCCGTTATTGCCCAAGTACGCCGCAAAATGAATCTCTTGATCCAAGCTTCACTGACATGTGACAGTTTCTTTTTATCGTTTTCTGTGCATACGAACTTACAGGAGTCACGTATGGCACTGGACAGCATCTGAAAAACCTCTCCGATGAGGCAATTCCAAAGGCAATGCAGGTGTGTAGCAACAACCGATTAAAAGGACAATGCCACGAGGAAAATATTCTAAAACTACTATAGATGTGGTGGACTTGCGAGCCTCTCTACGTCTTGTCCAACATGGCTATCAAAGCCAGTATCGCAGTGTTTTTGTTGCGACTCTGTATCACCAAGACGCATCGCATGATTATTTGGGTCGTCGTCGGAGTGACCGAGATTTACAGCTTATTTTTCTTTCTACTATTCGTGCTGCAATGTCGACCCACTGCATTATTTTGGCTCCGGTATACTGGTAGTCCTCCTGAGGGAAGCTGTCTCGATGCGAGCGTCGTCTCGAACGCATTCTATGGCTATTCCGCTATCAGCTGTTGGACAGACTGGACATACAGTATCCTTCCAGTTTTCCTGGTTTGGAACCTACAGATGAACACTAAGGTCAAGATTTCCGTTATTGGAATTCTGGCTGCCGGTTGCATGTAAGAATGATCTTCCCCTCGATGTTTTTTTTTCTGTTCTGCGTGCGTCGTGCGGTTTGGCTGACTCGGAAAAATAGTGCTTCGAGTGCTACAATCGTCCGATTCCCATATCTCTACTCTTTGACTGATATCAACGACTTCCTATACTCGACTTCCGACGTTGCTATCTGGTCCACTGTCGAAACCGGGCTGGGTATCACTGCTGCAGGAGTGGCTACTCTTCGACCCCTCTTGAAGTCATGGTTCGGTGGCGGTTCATCCGCACGAGGAAACGGCACATCAGCTCGTCAGTGGCACAGAACAGGCAGCAGAAACCCCACTGGAGAGGATGCTTTCGACCTTCACGACGTCACCGCGAAACAGCGCTTCGGAGTCACGACGGTTATTGATTACAACAACAAGGCCGATAATGATGTTGAGGGTCAAAAGAACAAGGAAGGTGATACCGAGTCTGAGGCATCCGGATCTGGCGAGAACTGGAATAGCAGCCAATCGAATCTTGCAGACCGAGCCCAGGAAGGGCGCGGCGCTCAGAACCCATGGAATGCAATCACCGTTAAGAAGTCGATTGTTCAGACTCGAGGTTAGAGAGTTGACGGAACAACGGAACGACGGAACAGCCATGGCACGATACCCTTAATGATAAGCTTTTGCTGAATAGATGATCCGAATGTGTAGAGACTGGATCAATATTGGTTTACTTAGCGAATACTTACAGCCATAATAACCATTACTATAATTAATCTTCTTCACAACTCGTTTATCCGTACTTTAGTTGAAATCTGAATTCTCATCCCTTGAGCGTGACAATCACATGAGGGTCTCCTTGCACGTAGCGGCATCTCAGCCCTACAAGGAGCGATGGACTGGAGCTGCGGTGGAATGAGGGACTTGAGACGAGAATTCAAAATCGGGTCGTAAATGGGGTAAGTCATGATTACAATCTGGCCCTCAGTGCATTCACGATCTGTTATTGGTGTTCCTGAGCCGCAAATCCCAAGAACATTGCTTGCCCCGCTCCACACTCCCCTCCATACTCCCAGTGGTACGAAATTGATTTTCCACAACCCACCTGAGCCTGATTCCGCCTCCGGGCCGTCAATCGCATATGGGACGATGCACCAGGCACCGAGTAGTGTGAGTGGTTCTGGGGTGATGATGGCATGATGGGGGGTTTGAGCGCAGGCCTGTCTGGAGTCTTGGGCAAAGCCATAGTGGATTCGGTGGCAAACCGATAAGACACCATTGCTTGATTGTTTTGCTCGTCCCTGATGCTAGTGTCAGTGCACAAGGATGCATGCCCGCTGACCGTACGGATCCGTATCGTGGCAAAAACAAGTGTAGCACTCTCTTCCGTAAAGTCTCGTTAGATGACCATTGCATCTGGGCAGTTCGTGCTCCATGGTGGAATAAAGAGGGCAGATAAATAGGGCAGACGGAGTGTAGAAGTTTTCACAAAAGCTTTCACTAGTATAATACAGAACAGCCTCGAATGTTAACCAATCTTATGCGCTCTTTTTATTAAAATTTACATGGTAAGATGATGTGGGATAGCATGAGTAATCGCAAGAAGGAAGTCAGTGAGTGATCGAGTTCATGCGATTTTGCGAGGTTCTGTATCGATACCATGCTAACCTAGGGGAACTTGTAAACATAATACCTTGTGAAGTCGTATAAACTCAAGGCACTTTATCACCCTAGCTATAATGAACCAACCATATTGTTATGTCTTATACGACTGGCTCCTGACTTGAGAAGTACTTACTAGTTTAATCACTTTAAGGCTATTACATTTTACAATTGTGAAATGTCAGTTGGAATGAACTACAGTCTCTGTGAATCTTTCTTGGTGCTACTCAATAGGGCTAAAGTTAGTGGGCAAAAGTACGCTGGAGGCGGCAGGCCGGTGGTACGATACACACGGTCCATGATGGAAAACCAAATGTAAACTCCTGGCACCTTTCTTCATCCTAGCCTTGCAATAATTCGCAGAAACAAGATTCCCGTTATGGAGACTCGTGTCCTTCGCTCAAGGAGAATTCTAGATAAGAGTCGTGGTCAATTTAGTAAAGAATATGCTAGTCTAAAGGCTTTGCCAGTGCAATGGTGTCGATTGTTTTTTTTTTGTGGTTAGTCGTGGACTCAGCAGCTTTCAAGAATCGGCATCCAATAATGACATATCTGATATAAAGACGATGTGCACTGATTGACTAAGCACTCCTAAAAGCGTAAAAGTCAAGGGCATGCATTCCGAGGAGTTCTTTATATGGCGTGCGGGATACTAGACTATGGCTAGTATAGTTTTGACTGGCCTCAGGCTAACATGGCCTAGAAAGTTAGTTCCAGCATTCTTTGCAGTGTTGTGCAGATCACAGATAAGTGACACATGAAACAGGGAATTGATTATCATGGTACATCACTTTCATTTGTAGAATGTAGGGATTTCTAGGGGCGACAGCTCGACGTACTTGTGTGTATTAATTGCTTGGGTAATGAGGTGTTATTCTCTTCGTTACCAAATGGACTATACAAAACGGTCACCACGGCAGAATTTGTTGTTTGTACGCAATATTAATGAGAATTAAGGTTAGGACAATGAGAGGAATAGCCAAATCAATCACACAGCCGGGTCTCCTGCTTGTTTGCAAATAACTGCCTAACAATCATAGCACTTTTGCAGAGCACTGTCCATACATACATAACCTAGCCTAAGGTTAGTGCCTTGTGAACCCTGATGAAGTCAGGGTCGCACTAGCTAGTGCCGCTGTAATGTACAACACTGGCAGGTGCCTGCCCACGGACGACTGATTCCCAGGAGCTGAGTCTAGTAGAGCATTTGGTCAACAAGTGAACCCTGGATCGACAAACTGGAGTATTTTGTGTCTGTGCAAAAGCCGTTGCACATCACAAAGAACAATATATCTCATGTCCGGGCACGCATTCCGTTTTTAGAACTCCATGGCCACTATTCTGTAAGGTATACCGAAAAGCATGGCATCAGCTCCTTCTGGCGTAGTAGCCCATACTCAGCGCTGTTGGAGCCCTTGTCTTGCTAGTAATTTCGCAAACAAGTTGACCCTATTACAGCATCGCTGATGTATCTCGTAGCCAGGACTCTTTCTTGAGAGCCATTACTATGGGCGGCCTTCCATCTATAACTGCCAGCTGCCGCCTCTGTCTTTCGTGACCGACTTCCTGGCGGGTGCTGTTCATAAAACTCGCAGAGCCCATCTTCGTCAAGATGTCGGACAATATTGTTCGTTCGGCCGAGAAACTGTCGGACTGGCGGCTAGTCCAGGGCTGAACTACCGGGCCCAATCTAGGCGGTGGAGCTGTTTCGGAACAACTAGCGAGGGAAACTATCACCACTATCGTCGCCAACCATGTTGTCTGGACATCCTCGATCGCCTTCAGCACTCAACATGAAACTGTGACTAGCATTCATATTATAGTATACGGTGCGGACATACATCAACAAATACGAGCCTCATTGGCTCACCGGTAGAGCGCCTCACTAGTAATGAGGAGGTAACTGGTTCGACTCCAGTATGAGGCACAACATATTCTTTTGCCTGGTGTTCATGTAGTTCTAAGCAGGAACCACGTATATTGCTTTTCTTTTTTTTCCGAATGATTTCGGTCGCCAGCTCAGACTCGACTTAGAAGTCCCAGGAAGCCTGCTATAGTCTCTCCTGCTCGGTACGCTGAGATTTGTGATCCTCTCGAGCGAATCTTTGGAGGTAATAATGTCCCCTCGTTGCAATGTGTAAAAGAATACAAGGGAAGAAACTGGTGGCAGCTATATCATGGCATTCACTCTAGTCCAACCCACTAGTTCATCGATCTTCCAGAAGAAAGAAAAAAAAATTTATACCATGGATCTAATAGTCAGAAATCTCGTCTCTCCAGGGGTGCGCTCCTCGCACTTCCCTTCCATTCTCCTACTTCCAACGAAGTCGCGGACCGCGCACCTCATCATCACGAGCCCAGAGAGAAGTGGATTGACCTTCTTTGCACTTGGTACCTGCAGGCATTTCCCTCAACTTGGTCCAACCACCTGAAGCACACTGCTGATATTGATTTCCGCCGATGCAGAAAAAGTCTCCTTCCTCGGTAGGACACTGACCACTCTTCCCTCCACTGGTTGACCCTGATGAACCTGATTCGGTCAATGCTGAGTTGCTACTCGGGTTTGCCGGAGAAGTTGGGGCCGTCGGGTTGGTAACAACGGTGGTCGAGGTGGCCTTGGTCTGGGTCTGGAAGCCACTGGCAACAGGCGATGAAGCAACAACAGGTGATGGCGATGCAGCAGCTGGTGAGCCGGAACCTGAACCCCCCGAACCTGAAGAACCACTCGAGGGGGCACCTCCACCACCAGGGGCACATGGCGATGTGCCTTTGCTAATGGCTTGATACTTCGGCGACGCAGCCAGCTTTTGGAGGTTGCTACCTGGGTCTGGCCAGATCATATCATTCGCCTGATCCGCTTTTGTCATGCAATCGTTCACACTGGCGAGATTGACGACGTTGAGGTTGGGGAATGCGTCGCGAGTCACCAGTTCAGACATCTCCATGGTCGCGTTGACGGATCGTTTGGCAGATCCAGTCACTTCGATCGGAGCGCAGTTCATGTAGAATTCTGGAGCCCCAGACATGTGTGGTATCCATGTCCAAGCGAAAACGTACTTGCCGGGAGCAATACCATCGGGGATCGTGAAGTCGTACGTGTCTGCAGCCCCACCAGCCTTGCTAGGACAGCCACCCTCGATAGAAAGGATGACTTGCCACTTTGAAGAGACCGTTGGTGCGGCGTCACTGGTGACAGCGAGCTGGCAGGAGCCTCCGCCGTGAACTGCCGAGCCCGTGAAGGACAGCTTCTGGGTTTCGCCGATGGCCATCTTGGTGGCATCGACGCCAGAGTAGAACGAGGGTGACCCATTGTACTTACAAGGAAAGTTAGAAGAGGTCAGGGGCGAACTGTCTGGGCTGCCATAGGGCTTAGGGGTAGCCATAATCATATGGCCATTGCCAGCGGTGCTGAAGAGTGCCAGCGCGGTGGCCACGAGTGCTTGAGCGCTGGTTCGAACCATATTGAAGATTCAAGGTTTTGTTGAGTTTAAGTGTTCGGGTTGTCTTGCAAATACCACCTGGGTATTGGCTGCTTGCTCAGTTGACTTGTATTGGGTAGAAATGCGGAATGAAGGTGGCGCATGATTTGTGCCTTTTATGCTTGTCTCAATCTGGACGCCTGTAAAAGGCTACCAAGTCCATTGTATTGAGTTTCAAGGAAACTTGCTGCCTCAATCCCGTTGTTTCGACGGTCTTGATAAACGCCTGGGGCTCAAACCGATTCTCTCAGAATAACAGCGGGTGACAAGGCAAAATTATTCGAGAAGTGTTCATTGATGGCATATCTGAAGCAAAGAGAGCTGTTGTGATCTGTCAAAGCGTTCCAAAGAACCAGAAATCCAATGAACTCATAAGGCAATCGGTCAAAGAAGACCGACGAAGTTCATTGTTGATATTTCCCCCAACGGCATTCAACGGAATTGGCCGTGAATGGGCACAAACCGGGGGACCGAGGTAGCAGAAGAAAGTAACCATATGTCCTATGTCCTTCAAATACGCTGCCACAGGGCTTGCCAAGACGTGGACATGTGTCCTAAACGAGTCAAACAAATGTTCGAATCGTGGATTAATGAATAATCCTCTCCGTGAACAGAGTTCTCTAGCTTGCTCAATGTATAAGGGGTCCCCTATTTGCCATATTGACGCTGAGAACGTAAAATGGTTGTACGTTGATTTGATGCATTTATAACATCCGATCTCGCAATATATGCTACTGTTTGTTATAGAAGCGATACAGGCTTGTCTACCATTACCTTAAATCCTTTCCGATCCAATGACCTGTCATGCATCGTCATCCAGTTTTTTTCCAGAAGAAAATCGAATAAAATGCAATTTTAAGGAATCCTGCACCTATGAGGACGCGTAGATAAACTTCCTTTCTCCAAGCTTTGTAATCCACGGGCACTTCTCCAATTTGCGAGGTTTTGTTGTTTTGTTAATCTGTTAGAGATGGGTTTGAAGACCGCGGGCTCTATCAGCCACGACTTGACTTAGATCCGACACCTTGGAGCCCGCGACTGAAGTAATGTACTCAGTTGAGTACATACCACAAGGAACTCACTCGGTTACTGCTTTCATGTCCACTGATCTCGACTTGTGATAAATCTCAGCCACCTGTTTGGAATCATGGATCTTCACAAAGGTTCTTTGGGAACAGACCTACATGGATGTAGAATTATTGAAAGATGATAATGTATCATGAGTTGTACTATAGCATGATGTATATAGGCTTCCATAAATTTCGGGGTTATAGGTATGGGAAGACACTCCTCACTGTTACCAGTTGCGACTAATACCGAGTGATGTATGGGAACCTAGACAAAAATCGAAAGAAGAGGTCCGGCTTATCAAACGCCGCATCTGGCCGTTGAGTTTATGTAAGGCAAGCACGTGAGAGACATCTAGTAGTGGTAGAACCAATCATGGAGTGTGCTCGTGAGACGGCATCACCCCAAAGTACTTGTTCTTATTTTATTTTATTTTATTTTACAACGCATCGGATTTACCGTTGCTATAAATTCGCGTGTCAAAAGAAAAGGAGCGGCTGCCTCAATATATGGCTTGAATGGCATTCAACAAAACCCTGTCTTGGAACCTAAAGAGTAGTTTGCTAACCGTACAGACCCCCTCGACTCCTTTGCCACTGGCGGCATATCGCTGGGCCCGGCAATTCCCGCCCCAACCCGATAAGCCCAAATTTTTGAATGGGACCAATGGCGATCTCAGATCTCGTAATCAACTCAGATCAAGTGCTCATACGTGGTGAATAAGCTTCCGTCCCACCTTTGCACACGACAACAACAACCAGCAGAGGCAGCCGATTGATTTGCACACCTGTGACTGATCATGGCGGCAACACCAGCTTGCATCCAGCGCATCCGCGCTCCCCTCCAGCGGGTGGCTGGCGCATCTTTCAGCGCAGTCAGGTCCTACGCCACTGTACCCGACGCCCCCTCCGCGACAGCAACGCCCGCATCACAAGGCGCCGCGCCGTCACGGCGCCCGACATATTTCAAGAACACCACAGTGTCTTCGCTCGACGACTTCATCTCGTCGCGCGACACAGCACTGCCGGCCTCAGAGGCATACACGCTACGCACCGCCGAAGTCGGACCTGCCCACAACCGACGAACCATCACCCGTCTGCCGGAATGGCTGAAGACGCCCATACCGGCGGGCAACAGCAACTACAAGCAAATCAAGAAGGATCTCAGAGGACTTGGTCTGTCCACCGTCTGCGAGGAGGCGCGCTGTCCCAATATCTCCGATTGCTGGGGCGGAGACAACAAGAATGCGGCCACCGCCACCATCATGTTGATGGGCGACTCGTGCACAAGGGGATGCAGGTTTTGCAGCGTGAAGACCAATAGAAAGCCCGGCCCTCTTGATCCCCACGAGCCCGAGAATACAGCCGAGGCCCTGGCACGATGGGGGCTGGGATATGTCGTGCTCACCAGTGTCGACCGAGACGATTTGGCCGACGGTGGTGCTAGGCACTGGGCTGAGACCATCCGCAAGATCAAACAGAAGAAACCGAGCCTTTTAGTCGAGGCCCTGACAGGAGACTTCATGGGTGACCTCGACATGGTCAAGATCGTGGCTGAGAGCGGTCTGGACGTATACGCGCACAACATCGAGACTGTAGAGGGACTGACGCCATACGTACGAGATCGGAGGGCCACTTTCAGGCAAAGTCTCAAGGTGCTGGCCCATGTGAAAGAAGTTAGAGGCCAGGAAGGCATTGTCACCAAGACGAGTATGATGCTCGGTCTCGGCGAGCAAGAGGAGGAAGTCATGGACGCCCTTAGAGAGCTGCGAAAGGCCAACGTCGACGTCGTCACTTTTGGTCAGTACATGCGACCCACCAAGCGCCACTTGAAGGTCGAGAAATATGTCACCCCCGACGAGTTCGAGATGTGGCGCCAAAGAGCTCTGGACATGGGCTTCTTGTACGTCGCAAGTGGTCCCCTTGTACGAAGCAGCTACAAGGCTGGTGAATCATTCATTGAGAACGTGCTCAAGAAGCGTGCCGCAGAGAAGGGCGCTGCCACCGTCTCCGGAAAGCTAAACGACGCTATTGCCGTCGATCAGCTGAAGGCCGAGGGTGTATAGTGCGCATGATCCTTATATCTGTATATTCAACACTGTAAAATGAAATGATCACATGGGCTCTGTGCGGGGGTGCATCAGATTGGGCGTTCATAAATCTGCGATTTGTATATGAAGGGCGACAGGGCTGCCGCCATGGTTAACTCTTCAACGAGTATCACCATTTTTGAAATATTCCTGGTTCTAAATCGTGCCATGTGATTTTGGACAATAACAAGTCGCTCATAAGCACATAACTACTGTTCGTTAAGTTGTCTTGTCTAATTGAGTTTCGATACGAATTTTTTGTTTGTGTGGGTTATCCTGCCGTTTGCTTGTCTGGATATGTAACATAAAATGTTGTGGCCAAGCTTGAAAATACTTCGTCCAGCTGCTATGGGTTCGACTCGAGAATGTCGAGTCTATTCAACTTTTTGGGAGTTGACACTACAGCTTTTGTTTTAGCCATTACTCACTCCTATGATGATTTGGTTTCATCGAGCTGGCATTCCACCAGCGCAAGTTTCGGGTTAACGTACTCGAAAACAGGTTTCAAAGTAGCCTGGAAATTCGATCGCGATCCGGAGAGCTCAACCGTATTCAACGGGCAATTTCTCTAAAAGATTGACCTTCAGAAATACGCCATATGCACCGTTGCATTAATCGTCCATCAATGAGCTCTCCTGTTCATAAATATCACTAAAGAACATATGAAGCGCATCTCATGGACGAGACCCTTCCAAGTTCAAACACGGCTTCATTTCGACGCCTCATTCTATCCCACACCCACGATAACACCTTCCGCCCGACCCACACTCCCTGCCAGCAGTGGCCGTCGTGCTGCACTCTGGAGATCTCGCCAATGACGGCGGGCAACCCAGCCACACCGTCGTCATTTATTCACTACGACGGATGAAGGCGTAGTTTAAGCTCATGATTCTCAGCAACCACGCACGATCGCAAGACGAGATGTGGCGGGAGGTACAATCTGCCTTGGGGGGTAGGTCTACATTTGTAAAGTGGAAAGACAACGGTACAAAATCCAAAGTGACTAAAATACTCAAATAATAAGAACTAGAGGTACCAGATTTCTTTTGTCCGCATATCCAGGTTAGCTGATCTCGATTCTACTCCATATCACTTCTTTCTATTTATTTCTTTTTGGTTGCTTATCGGGATTCTCACGCCACCGATGTCAAACTCAAGCCTCCGAACAAACCACTCCACCCACTCCCCTGCCCACCCAGAACACCCAGCGGTGCCTCGATCGCTATCTCCGCCCAGTGGTGATAGACACCATTGATACCTATGATTGCAAGGAACTCCTCCTCATCACTGTTAACTGCCGCATAGGTGCGGTTCCCTCGGCCGATGAGAGAGAGGTCGAACCAATCGCCTTGGGGCACTGTTGCGTTCGAGCGGAAGTAGTTTCCGCCCGCGAAAAGCGTGACCGTCGGCGTCAGCATGAGCACGGAGTCGCGCCCGCTCAGGATCGTGGCATTGGTCGGGTCGTCCAGCGCGTCGACGCGCAAGGAAAGCGACAAAGTGTAGTTACGCCCCTTGGACTCCAAAGGGGTGGTGATGCTGCAGCCGTCGGTGATGGATAGTGCCGGTTTCGTGGGATAGCCGGAGACCGCCTCGCAGTCGGTTTGTGCCGTGTACCCGTTCCCGGACGTATCTTCGATCGAGCCAGAGGTCGGTTCGGTCAGCGTCAGCGTGTAGTTTACGATGACGTCCGAGATGGAGGCGATCGTGCGCTCGAGGTTCTGCCCGGGAACATTGGGCTGGAGTACCGCGAATGCTTCCGCGAATGCCGCTTCGCTGAGGTTGCCGCCCCATTGCTTGTCAGCGAGCGCAGGTATACCCTCGCGCCAGGCATAGTACGCCTCGGAGTAGACGGTGGCGTTGGCGCCATAGTCATTCCAGAGTGGTACGATAGATCCGAGGACATAGGGGCTTGAGGCCGGCGGGTTGTTGGTAGCGTTGGACTGATCGAATATGTACGGACGCCATAATCCCTTCTCAGGCGACCCGTGGAAGGTCTTAGTTAGGTTGATGGTGTTCAAATAGCCTCCGGGTGGGGCGTACTTGTTGACGATGTAGAAGTCATCGTTGGAATTGACCACGGAGTAGTTGTTCTTGATGTAGTCATAATACGGGTTGTCCTCGAAATACTCCCAGTGCTGAACGGACACATTCTGGTGGACATTGGTCCATGTCGAATTGTAAATTGGCGGGAATGTTCCCCATATGCGCATTAACTTCCCGCTTTCGGCAGCGATGAAGGTGTTCATCTCGTTGACGAACATATTGTAGTCCGCTTCTGAGGCAGTGTACTCGTCAGCACCGATCGACACGGTCTTGGAGTGAAACCAAGGCAAGAAAGTAGACCAGATGGTCTTCATGGTCGGAATGGTATCGGGATGGGAGATATTCAGCAAGCTGACATTATCCTCTAATGCCAGCTCCGGCTTCCATTGGGTGATGACCAGCGCATGTCCAGGGGCTTCGATCTCTGGGATCACAGTCACTCCGCGTGCAACACATTTTGTTTGGATGTCGTCGAACGTTGGCCGGTCATAGGACTCGTTTGCGTACAGATTGAGCCCATCAACGGCAGAGTCATCGCTCCACAGACGGAAGCGCGCATAAAGGCCCATAGACTGTTCATAAGTATAATTAGGGTTGTTATACAAGTTATCACTCAGATGGAGGTGCAGAGTGTTCTGTTTGAAGAACGACATGTAACTGCAGAGGTCGGTCAAGAAATCAGGAGGATAGTAGTGACGACCGTCGTCAAGCATCATTCCACGCGTTGCCCAGCTGGGGACATCAATGCTGGAGCCATACGGTATGGACGGTGTTTCCGAGTTAGCAACAGAGAGTAGGCCTTGCTGAAGAACCGTCCGGGTACCCCACCATACTCCTAGTGATGAAGCACCGGTGATGGTAAGGCCGGATGGGCTGACGTCAAGGCTGTAGCCCTCGGATGACAGTTGGCCCGCTGCATCAAGATAGTCACCGGCCTCGCCCAACGTCAGGAATATGCTGCCATTCGAAGAAATGGTGCCATTGTTCAAGCTGACTGTGATGTCGAGAACATCACTCAAGTCCCCGGCAAATGTTGTAGCAAATTCATAGAGTGTAGGTGGTATCAAGGTTTGGCCACTTTCGTCCACAGAAGCAGCATATCGCGTGTCGACGACTATACTATTGACATTTGCGAGATTGAAGGTTCCATTCGAGATATACTCGAATGACACTGTCGGAATGACTGGTAGAGATGCGTACACATAGGCAGCCCCTGGGATAAAATTAGTCAAGCAGGGTTATCATTCAGTCCTTTAAACCTTACCAATCGTGCTGCTGATGACCGCCTGAGTGCACTTCATCTTGGTGGTGTCTTATTGGCTGTAGCTTGACAGACGATGTGGCACAAATTACCCGGTCATATATGCGCCTCACGTGAAACTATGATCTCGATTTCCGACCGCCATATTTGAAAGGGATACCATAACCTATGTATGACGCAGAGTGATTGAAACAGCGAGCATGCATTATCAGGGCAGTCTTATCCACCTGTGATGCATACCTGCAAGTCTCGAAGCTTGGTAACGTTACCGGGCGATCATTGCCAGTCGTTGTTAATTGACCGGCCATTGTTGCTGGTGTTGGATAATTGCCGATCAGCGGAGTGGATACTCCTTGCGGGGAAACTATACCTGCTGTTGTGTAGTGGTGTAACCTCACTTCATCAAAGTAAACTAATCTTTTCCATTGATGGATTCTCGGCTCGAAATTACTCCCATTGATTTCTTTGTATGAGATTAGGGCTATCAACGCCTATGGAAGCCTGTGAGACAAATCGGGACTACACTTTTTACAAGCCCCATAAGAATCTTCGTTCGTATTGACAGCGTGCTCCCATGTGCGGTGATTGCCACTAATCTAGGTTATCGAAAATGTATGACTGCATTATTAGAGCCTGTGGGAAGTGCATTGAGATCCCGGGACCAAACCCCGCAACTCAATGGTCCCTAAAGAACATGGAAGTGTAGGTCTGATAAGGTACCTGGCCAACACGCTTGGAAAGTTATCGATGGTAATGTCTTTGAACATTGAGCTGCCGAGAGTTTTTGAATTGATGATCTGAATACAACCATACAAGGAAAACTTCTTTGGTGGCTAGCAAGATAGGTCGTCATTTTAAATATAGCTTATCTTGAACACCCATGTCCACTTATCAGCTCCTCGAACTGAGTCACTGATCTCCAATTGAACCACTCTTAGCCCATCAACAATACCGGAGCTGGTAGGTACTACGCTTCCATGCAGACTACCACCTACGACCGTCACTTCGTCGCCTTCAACCCATGGTATCTCGCTCGTCAATGCCAGCGAGCTGTTGACCTGATTCATTACAAAGATGTAGAACGCGTCCATAGTTGTGGTAAATCTCACATCTTTTCCTTCCTGAGGGGTCACAAACCAGCTTGTAGTATTGAAAATTGCCTCGGCATGATCTTTGATCCAACTTCCCGCTTCGCGTAGATGCCGAGCTTCAACGTCAAGAATGCTTCCATTTCCTGTCGGTCCAATATCCAGGAGGTAGTTACCATTCTTGCTCGTGATGTCGACGAGGCTCGTTACGATCGTGCTGGCGTTCATGTAACCTGCCACCGAGGTGGCACGGTTATAACCATAACTGTAGGGATCCACTGCATCGCATAGTAAGTAGAAGACCCCCCAGCAAAGACGACCGCGGCCTGCAAAGAAAAAGAAAAACTCACTACCAGCATTGCTTTCCCACTTCCTCTTCTGTGTAACAGAGAGTGTGCTATACTCCGGCGTGTCAAAATCACCCGGTAGGCCACAACGATTGTTCATCGTGACCTGCCTGTCTTGAGCTATCGCCTCATTATACCATTGCGCAGCGAACTCCGCTGTGAGGTTTGGTCCACCAATGTCGCACCACATAATTTCGCTGCCAAGGGCCGCTAGAGTTTGCATCTCAGGCAGAACTAGATCTCTTAAATAGTCGCTAACGGGTACATGTCCAGTGTATGGAAGTGTCGAGTTCGTAAAGGGGTTAGTAGCACTGTGACCCGGCCAGCGCCCAAAACCGTAAGGCGCATAGTCCGGATGGAACCACTCTGGAAGACTATAGTATGCGGCTCGGTGTAGGTGTGGTTGGTACTTAGCAGCAGCATCAAATAATTCCTTTATGAAATCACGGTGAGGGTACTGCGCGACTGAGGTACGCTGAGACACGTTCCGTGGAAGGTCGAAGAGCGCAAAGCCGTCGTGGTGCTTTGCCACTTGCACAAAGTACGTGACACCCGCATCGTTGAACAGATCTACCCAATCTTTCGCATTATAAGCTGTGGCGGAGAACTCCTCGATAAGATCGTCGTAGGTGAAGTTTGCGCCGTATGTTGCGAGATGATACTCATACGTTTGGTCTGAAGTCTCAGACCCGGCAATCATATTCCACCAATACCTATATGAGTTAGCTTGTTGGTCAATTGATCAGAAATCGATCGCATATGCCCACCACTCTGCATACGTCTCATTGACCCCAGAGTTGCCCTGACAATTATTGTTTGAGTATTTATAACTAAAGAGTTGCGTTCATTCAACGTGGTGGCTTACCCAGGCTGGAATAGAGTAAAGACCCCAATGGATGAAAATGCCAAATTTGGCGTTGTTGAACCATTCAGGGCTTTCGTGTGTGTATATTGACTCATACGTGGCTTCGTATGCCCCAATGCCGAAAGTGGCCTCAAAGGTATGGCTCAAATCAACCGTCTTAGAATTCAGACGCGCTGTCGCAGTACCTGTTGTACCTTTCTCGACACCATTTTTGTTTGCCACCTCTACTTGGACAGTGACTTGATCTCCTGGCCGAAGGCGTTTGATAGTTGCAGGTCTCACGGTTTCCACACCGTCAGACTCGATGCCAACCACAACAGGGTCATTTGCCAGAACCCATTTGTGCCCGTCTATATTCCTGACTGTGACTTCGAATATTTGCGTCGCTGCACAATCTGCGTACTTCTTGGTAGATCTCGCATATTGCACTGCGAGCTGTGGTGCCTGTGCCGTCTCACTTGATGATGCTGGCGACAAGGTCATGGAGAAGATGTGCAATCTGCTAGATGAGCTAGAATTCGGCATTAGCAATGCCGTCAGATTCTTACTAGAGTCCAGCCACGATGTGGTCTGGAAAATGTTAGATCTGTTGAAGTTTATCGATTCATTGGTATAATAGAAAGGCATAACGATGTCTCCACCAGATGGGTATGCCCATAACCACCAAGGTGGGACTGTTATCTCTGCAATCGTTTCAGTGCCATCGGCATATGTCGCTTTGATATTTCCGCCTGTCGTCGAAGTTTCTGCTGAAGCAAGAATATGTACACTAAAGTACCTCGCAGGTGTTATTTCAAGTAATTGACTTTGGGCAACAAAATTGTCGTTGCCGTCATTCTGTAAACTTTGTAGTTCATAATGAACTCCTCCATAGGTCAAGTTTGTGCCAGGATGATGTTGTGCTGGGAAGCTGTCTTAAACGTTTTAGTTCATGATGCCCATGTCAATTTACTGGAGATTTCGTACTTTGGTTACCGTCAAAATCAGCATCCCCCGGCATCCAGCCAAAAGCTTTGTTGTCACAAATACTCGCTATATCTAAGGGTTGGGTGCCGATTGTTGTATACTGGACTGCTGTATATAAAGGATTGAGGACCTGTGCCCAGCTGGTTGCCGCGACGGCAATAACACAACAGAACGTAAATTGCATTCTGGCTATCGGCTTGGCAGGCCACAACTACAATATGGATTTCATCGATCGACGACTGGATCGGTCCCTGAGTTGTTGTGATGTTGTCTGCTTGTTGCATGAGTAGTGTTGCAGGCTGTTATTTGCAGAACTGTTCATACAATGAATGCAGCACCCATAATTCTTTCGCGTCAAATCAAACCGACGGCGGCCCGGCTGTATGGGCTTGCTTACAGCGCTAACCTAACTGTAACCTTGGCATCAAGGTACCCAATAACCTGATTGGAGTGCGCTAACCTAGCGAAAGTGACGCCTCTTACTGAGATAGAATGCTGGTAGAAAATGGCCAATGTTATCTCGCCCCGTCTTGTAATGATCTCTATATCTGAGAGACGTTGTAACGTGATATTGATACAGAGGGACAAGCAACAAAAATGCGTATCAGCCTCTTATCAGCTCCGCCCAAGACTCTAGGTTGCCGTCTCCAGTCATGATACCACTTGAGCTGATCATACCCTGCTAACCTCTGTACTGAATCCAGCAATGACGACGTTCTCTCTCTACCTCTCTCCGCACTTGTCACTTGTCGGAGCGGCCTGCATTTACTCCAAGACACTGCAGGAACTAACATGCAAACTATTCTTCCAATGCGACGCTTTTACCTTGTAGAGGTTTACCCCGCCCTGATTTGAGCCTTCACGATGTAGCAGCTCTGCAGTTATGTCACTAGCTGTACTTTACCGTGGCGATTTTCCTTCGAGCGTGAATATGGCATGCCTGGCATGAAGGGCTTGGTACTCTTGGAAGTCACAGCTTACGTTGAATGCTACGATGCCAGACTGACTTACCATCTCGGCGCGCCTTTGATGTAACGAATGATTCGGAGCTTAATCTCGAGCCCACTTTGGTGTTGGCGATCGCTGGACGGCTATTAGTGGAATTGACAGAGCAGTCTATGTGAAGTCACATTTGCTGCGCTTTGAACTCATTGACCAAGTATTACTGTCTCGTATCCAGGATGCAAGATTGAACAAACTAAGTGTGTTCTTTCATAGCCAGCCGAGTGATATATGCCCACACTAATGACTCTCGAAGTCATGTCCACGTCCGTCACTTGAGCGTATCCCTGGCAATGATCATGATCGTATACAAAGCTTTGCTTGTCTTGGTGGCAGGTGTCACAAACGCACAGGTGCAGTCAACAATTAGTTCTAGTCTTTCGCCAACAACAACAGCCGCGGCACCGGCTTTCACGTACGACCGTGAGAATTTCCTGCTCCATGGCGAACCTTACAAAATCATCGGTGGGCAGATTGACCCGCAACGCATTCCTTACCAATACTGGAGAGATAGATTGTCCAAAGTCAGAGCCATGGGTGTTAACACCATCTTCTCTTATGTCTTCTGGAACAACCTAGAGCCTACGCAGGGCAGCTGGCTTTCGGATGATCCGCAAAACGACATAGCAAGCTATTTCAGTATCGCGCAAGAAGAAGGCTTGAATGTCGTATTACGCCCAGGCCCGTACATATGCGGTGAACATGAATGGGGAGGCTTCCCAGCTTGGTTGAGTGAGATACCAGAGATGGTTGTGCGTACCAACAACACACCGTTCCTAGAGGAGACCAAGAGGTACATTGTGAACCTTGCGGAGAGGTCTGGTTTAGCTGAGCTCCAAGCTTCTCGTGGCGGTCCCATTCTCATGGTCCAAGTTGAGAATGAGTATGGCTCATTCGATGAAAACCACAACTATACTGCTGCTCTGCGGGATATTCTCCGGGAGAGTTTCGAAGTGCCTCTCTATACCAATGATGGTGGCGTCGACTGGACACTTGAAGGTGGCGAGATACCCGGTGTTCTTGCCGAGGTTGATGGAGGGTCTTGGGCTTTACCGGCACGAGATCTATACATCACTAATCCGACAGAACTCGGCCCATTACTGGATGGAGGTGAGTCTTGCAGATATCCTTGTGGTTGAGTATGGCCCGCTGATGCGATTTTGTTGAAGAGTATTACACATGGGCTCCAGACCAATGGGGCTCCTTCAATCCCCACAACACGACGGTTGACAACAACGAAACTGTCTCCGGATTCGTAAGCGACATTGCTTACCATTTGAACAACTATTCTGCATCAATCAGCTTTTATAGTAAGAAATTTTCGATTTATTTGGTACCATTCTCAGCATGTACATAGAGCGTGAATTGCAGATGACAAGCGATTGAGCTCTTTGTGATTGCTTCGTAACACTCTCAAACACCCCACAACTCATCTCAAGACGCAATTACTGACGCGGAATGTGAAGTGGTACATGGGGGTACCAACTTTGGCTTTCAGAATGGCGCTATGTGGCAGAATCGGACAACGGTTTTCACTTCATCGTACGACTATGGCTCCCCAATAGACGAGACCGGACGCACAACCGACTTATACTTCAAGATGCGTGAGGCTATTTTACCATTTGTGCCAAATGGTAGTGTTCCAGAGCCGCCAGAAAATCTGCCAAGAACATCGATTCCAGAGTTCGAGTTGTGCTCGAGCACTAGCTTATTCGACATCCGTGGAGAGAAGGTTAGTTCGGCTTTTCCTCTCACCATGGAAGCACTTGGGCAGTCGTACGGATTTACCCTCTATGAGCATATCGTAACCTCAAGCATCGAAGGTTTCGTCCAAGCTGGTGACAGACCGCGAGATCGTTTACTAGTCTATGTGAATGAAAAAGTAATCGGAGTGATGGACAGCCAATACCAGCATCCACTGAATGTCAGCGTCTCACTGGAGCCCGGCGATAAGCTCCAGCTACTTGTCGAGAACCTCGGGCGTGTTGACTACTATTCAAGAGGCAATCCCTATAGAAACTATGTCCAGGACCCATGGAAAGGAGTCAAAGGAAACGTATCTATTGGAGACCAAGTAATATTGGCGGGTTGGGACATGTATTCTCTGCAACTCGATTCCTTACCATCTTTTGGATGCAGCGGATCAGAATACCCAGTTGAGCCCGTATCAGATTCGCCAGTCTTTTACTATGGTTCGTTCGTTGGACCGTCCATTTCCCACAATTCGACAATGACGCTCGACACTTTCATCACAGTGCCACACGGAATCAAAGGAAACGTGTGGGTCAACGGGTTTCACCTCGGTCGGTACTGGCTTGTAGGACCGCAACAGTCTCTGTATCTGCCGGGCTCGGTAGTCAAATCCGAGGAACAGAACGAGGTGGTCGTGTTGGAGTTAGAGCCATGGCAGATGAACTCAACCTCGATGGTTGCATATGGTGCATCGGAGAGATTCTGGGGCAACAGCCCTGATCCGGACTGCTTAGTTTGTGTTTAATAAGGCAGTACACCTTGGTGTTATTTCACCCTTCTCAATTTATTGGATACTACTACATCCAGACCCCTACCCTTTATACTCCCTGTTTAAAGCATCACGATATCTACCGCGATGTAGTTATCAATGGCTGGCTACGCATAGTATCTTATAAACTCAAGCATTAGACATAAGGAAACCCAGAAAATATACTGGGTTAGGAGCAATCATGTGTTGACAGAAGTGATCCGGCACTCGCTGATGACCAAGATACAGATACTGGTTGACATTGATCATCAGCTTCGGACGAGGTCGCATAGCACTGCAAACAAGATGTTCTAATAAGACTGTATATATATATCTAGATATACAGACCGTGAAAAAATCGAGCACCTACGAAGGACTTCCTCTATATCTGAAACAGAGGGACAGAAAAAGAGAACATCATTGCATGAAACAAAGACAGAACATAATGGAAACAAACTGCGTCCAGTTGGATTCTGCCATTGCCAAGTAGCAAAAGCCAGAGTATTCATCCTCGACGGCCACTCGGAGAATCGCACGATCGTCTCTGTCAAATTGGTCTCATTCAGATATGTCGAGCTCCTTAGCTTTCATTGGCTACGACCTGTATCACACCATGTACCAGAGCGATTCGAAATAAACATTGGCCTTCTTATATTTTACATTTTATTTTTATATCTAGCTTATTCAAGTGAAATTTGTATTGGGCCCAAATTGACGTATACCTACTGGCCGACTTGAAAGGGAAGAGACTCATACATGACCGAATGACAACGACTCGGCAACAGCATATCGGATGTGCATAAAGCATGACACGTACTTGAGGGCTCAATCTGGTTAACGCTAGAGACTTAGTATAATGCGTTTGGGCTGCACAGGGACGATATCCAGCTCCCGGCAAATGCTCAAGCAGATCCGAAAGATACATGGTCGAATTATTCGGTGAATGATGTAGGGACGTAGCTTCTGCATGACTGATATTGCAGTGGATTCAAGGGTTGACGGTCATTCGTTTGCCAGTTGTTTGCTGACTATGTCGTACTTCTCCTTGCGCCATGTCGTTGAGCCCAAACTTAACAGGCGGGATTGACTATAGCATTGGCGGGCAACCTACAGGAGTCTCAATTCGCAAGGATACCATCCCTAGATACCTGAAAAGATTCGGGAGCATGATTGCAATAATACTTTACAGAAAAACTACGATAATAGGTCCATTGCGTTTGCAAGGCAACTGGATGTGGATCGTGGCACAAAAAAAGACTATCTCTAAAAAGGACTGAACCATGCTTCAAGTATAAAAGACGTCCGTACCCGTGTCACACGGTGCACTTAAACTTTTTAACAATTCATTTTAATAAACTATTCTGATAATCGCAATAATGAGCTTTGAACAAGGGAAGCCTTTGACCCTTTGGAGGGACATTGATCCCAATCCGCGCCCATTGAAGAGCCCACCACGCAGCAATGCAAAGCATGTGCCCGTTATAGGAGGCGGCATCACTGCTCTTGTGACAGCCTGGGTGCTGCTCGATCACGGCTACCGTATCACCTTGGTGGCGAAAAGCTGGTTCAGCAAAACAGAACGTCTGACATCTCAGATTGCTGGTGCTTTAGTATGCAAATTCCGGAACTATTTTCTACCCTTTCAGCATGTTTAAAGAGTGTATATTACTTTTAGAAGGCATTAAGCTATGTATGGCTGTTTCAAAACACTCTGGAAGACTCTCTAGCCTATTGTGAAGAATTAATTACTGACCCCAAATGTTGTAGTGGGAGTACCCTCCTCCTGTTTGTGGAAATCGTGAGTCGGGCCACTTCTCCTCAATGCCTTTGAAATTATTAGCCATCTGCTAAGGTACCTCTCAGACTCCAATGACTCGAACAACATATCACGTTTCAAAAACTGGTCAATGGTTGGCTACTATATCTTCAAGGGACTCGCTGCCGAGACAAGCTTTGCTACTTCCTGTGGAATTAAAACGGTTTCTTCAACATTCTTTTCCCGGTCACGCATTGAAGATATTCCTGATAAGTACCAAAAGATGATTGAGATCCAGGCCAGTGGGGTGCAAGGCTTTCGGCGGGACGACAAAATTTTACAAGAGCGCGGTATTGATGCAAGCGCAGGTGTAGTCGACACTTTTGAGCTTTTAGCACCAATCATCGATACCGACAAGGCTCTAGAGCATATCATGCATCTAGTCAGAAGCAAGGGCGCTCGATCTGTCACTGAATCAATCGAACAAGATCTCAACGACATTGAGGAATCTCTCCTCGCCCGTTTTCCCGCACACGTTGTCGTCAATGCCACGGGCCTCGACAGTAAGGTCGTCGCCGGCGACACTACTGTGTCCCCGATTCGAGGGGCACTGTTGCGCTTCGTGAACGATTGGGTGGGCTACCCAAAGGTAGACCGGGCGCTGACGGCACCATCCCCAGATCTTAACAAAGATCAGTTCATCTTCCTCGTGCCTCGAAATGACGACACCCTCGTGATGGGAGGAGTCAGTCAGTCTCACCAGTGGGACCTGAATTTGACACCTCAGTCGCCCGAAGTCGTACAGATGCGGGAAATGTGCGAATTGTCCATGCCAGCATTGAAGAATGGCTGCCTCGTGGAAGAGTATCCCTTAGCGCAAGGCTTGAGACCTTTCCGGGAGCAAGACACAAGAGTGGAGAGAGACACACGCAGGAAGTGCAGTCGAATCATTCATTCTTACGCTCAGGGTGGTTCGGGTTGGAGCTGGTCTTTCGGTTGTGCACAAGAGGTCCTAGATCTGTTTGAGATTGTCATTAGAGAGACTCACAGTTCCGCACTTGACTGCGAAAGGTGTGCTGCACCTGCGCCTTAGATTTTGCTCGGAGCCGCGACGGAAATACCTGTTCTATGAGATGGCTTAAGTGATTAGCTAAAAGGCTTGGTTGCGCGACCATATGTTACTAATATTAGTAATAATTGCGAAGATGCCAAACACATACGACCACAGCTCTTAGAGAACTCGGCATCCCGTCCGCTCTGCCCTAGATAAACTGAGAAGCGCTGGATTAGTACTCAGGTGGGTGACCACTGGGGAATCCCCGGTGTTGTATGTTTTGGTCTTTTCTGAACTTCGTATTCTTTTTTCTCTTCCCGAGGATTTGTTTGTTTCTACGTTGCTACAGCACGAAACCATCACATACGACCATAGCTCCTAGAAAACTCGGCATCCCGTCCGCTCTGCCCTAGATAAACTGGGAAGCGCTGGATTAGTACTCAGGTGGGTGACCACTGGGGAATCCCCGGTGTTGTATGTTTTTGCCCTTTTGTATGATTCTGTCTACACTCGTAGATAGCATCTCACTTACATTGACTCTCAGACCTTCACTTCGCTGCCGTACCATGAAGCCAAATTAGTCAATTCCAACCCGGGAATGCTGCGCATCAAGTTACACTGCTCAACTTTCCAACAATGAATATGAGTTCCAAGCCTACCTAGTACGTAAACTGAGATAGATTTCTCCGTTTCAATTGATACAAGGGTGCTATTCGAACTACACCATTTCTAAAATTGCTTGTCAACTGGAGCAAAGAATATGTAAGGAGTTGACGCAGCAACTTTCCAAATTGTTGGAATCGAGAACCCTGATGCGAACTGCACAGCGTTATAACTTACTTATGCCAGTCCAGTCTCTTATGACTCCGAATTATTCGATCCAATCCTAGGAGGATTTTAATTTTATGCCCATATCAAGCATACTTCGATGTGTATCATGAGACGGCTCCAGATACTTCAAGGCACTGCCAATCAGCGCGCTATGCATCCTTCCAACTCTAGCGGGCCGGTGCGCTGCTGATTGCTTGAAGTTGACACCCAATGACAAGGTTGAAAGCCTAGCGCCCATAGCAGTGGTGCATTGGTTTCACCTGTGGACCTCTCCCGCCAAGTCTGGGTCCCAATAGCTCGATTTGCTGGCGCCTTGTGGCTAGCTGAGGTGTGGGGTCGCAGGCAGCTGAAAAGTTTACAATATAATTTCAATATCAGACATCTGCATAAGTCGCGGCTGTGTATTCTTCATTTCTTCTATCCAGACTGGAAGTGGACATCTAACTATTAACATACTGGCTTGAATTCGGAATGTCTGGAGTAAGAATGTCGCCAAGAACTAGTTTGAGCGCTGTCGTAGCTCTTGCAACATTGACTCTGCCTACACAGTCATGGCATCTTGAGGTTCACAACCAGATCGGATTCATGGCCGATGCCATCATTAGTCCAGCAACGCGAGTCATGGTTTCCCAGATACTAGAGCCAGAGTATCAGGGGTCACTAGGACGAGCAGGAGCCTGGGCTGATACAGTACGGAAAGCCCCCCACCCGTATAGTTACTCCTGGCACTACATCAGCGCTAAGGACGACCCGCCCAACGACTGCGGTCTATACTACCACCGCGACTGCCAACAAGGCGGTTGCGTAGTGCAGCAAATCTCCAACCAGACCAACATTCTCGAGACTTGTCTGGTGGCCGTTCGTGATCAAAAGATGGCCGGTTTTCCTGGGGAGACAGTCTGCTCTGAGGCGTTGAAATGGATCACCCATTTCGCTGGAGACGTGGCACAACCCTTGCACACATCGGAGAGATCTTACGGTGGTAATTCCGTAAAGGTCAAATTCAATGGGACAGACACGAACCTCCATCAGGTCTGGGATCGCGAGATTCTGTACGCGCTTGCGCCTCTCCCAGATGGTCCATCTGCGGTGGCACTGCACCCGTTCTTCGCGGGCCTCGTGTCAAGGATTCAGACTGACTCATTCCGCTCCCCACGTTCGACCTGGTCCATGTGTGACTTTGATGCAAGGAGGGGAACATACTGTGCCGAGCAATGGGCGAAAGACTCAAATTCCATCGTCTGCGATTATGCATATGGGCGTCTTGTCAATGGCAGTGATCTTCTCACAGGAGAGGATAAGTATGCGCAAGGTGCGTTCCACCTCGTCGAGCAACAGATTGCCAAAGCCAGTTTCAGATTAGCTGCTTGGCTGGATGCATTGGTAGATCGAGTATTGCAGGTAGACGGAGAGTCCCGAAAGGAAGGCAAAATGAGGTTGAGGATCCAAGATGATACGGCACATGAATACCAGCCAAAAAAGTTCCAGCACATTCAAAGTTTTCCTTCTGAGATAGAACTCTGATACGTGCGAACCGCATTATGATTAGGACACGGACTGGCTTCGTAGAATATAGTGAATGTAAACAAGGTAGATTCAATGTCTACTTTACAAAAAATAAAATAAGAGAATTGCTCAACTGAATTATGGTCAGCATGAAAAGATTGGAAATGAGCATAGTTTCGTCTGCATCTGTTGGCGACAGTGACGATGTCGTCTTCAGCTCCGCTGCGTGGCCTCGGACATAATGGGTGTCCAATTGGGACATTCCTGCTCATAGCCATTGCACCTGAGCAACTGATGCCATGCCGCGCGACCGTGATGATATCAGTCTTTTTGTACAGGCTCATCATGATTACTTCAGGTTGTTCACATTACCAAACTTTTGTTCAGACATGACCACTAGTCCTGAATTTTAAAGCTGTGATACAACACAGCAGAATTATTCTGCTAATGAAAGTAGAACCTAAGGAAAGTCAAGACCATGGACGTATGATAGCAAGTAGGGATTCGGTTTCATGATCGCATACTTCGTTAGGTTCATGTGAGTCTTTAGGGAGAGCGCAACGCGATTAAACCAATTCAGACGCGATAATTCTATTATGCAGTGTGATTAGTTTCTAGCAGTATTAATTGACTGATCGGATCTCAAAGTCCAAATCCCAATTCACGAGCTACACAAACACAGCGCAATGAATTGTATCGTGTACAACGATTGTTCCAATCAAAATGTTAGATCACGAACCATGCCATGCAATTGAAGTTAGAATAAACGCATTGCCGAACGGCATGTACTAACCTGCCACTAACCTCCACAAATGGAGTCTGCAGCCTAAGGAAGCCTGAAGGTAAACTCCACGCGCATCAATTTGGACAAGGTAGAAAGAACTAGACTAGGTTAGTTGAATACATACTTAAATTGCCCTTTTCCTCGAGGCTTAGATACAGCAAAACTCTCCTATGCAAGGGGATCTTCCTGTTTGCCGTCCACAATAGCGAAGCCTATTTTTGTTCTCTCCTTGTCTCATGCGATTCGCCGCCACTTGGCTCTTCGTGACAATATGCGCTTGAACTTCCAGGCCCCATGGTCTCCTAGATCTACAGGAAAAGAACCAAGTTTGCCACCACCCTTTGACAACAGCGGCAATGGCAAGCTGTTGGTTCCCGGCATCGGTTCACAGGACTTCTACGAACTCCCAAGGGAGGAGCGGTTCGCCCATGGCGCAAACGACTTCAAACAAGACCCGCGCCTTCTGGCAAGGGAGATAGCAATGCTCGGCGTTATGAACAGTATCACCGACAAGGCCGACTGGAACACTAAGGTGTTTAATGAAGATATTGTAGAGAAAGTAAGTGGGCATATGATTCATTTTAAGGATTTTTCATAGCATAAAACCTAATGCGGCGTCCTTGCGGAATATTGACCTCAAGTGGTTGCCAAATTTCACCACGCTGAAAGTGTTTCACAAGAGAGCTGTGCTAAGCTGATATGGAATAACTATATCACGGATGGAAGGCCAACAGGATGGCGGGGAGTAGAATGGGTAGTTACATTCAGGCTCCGGTAGACGTTCTAGTCGAATATTTGTGTGGACATTTGAATGTACAACTTGCTAACATAGGACTAGTGGAAGTCTGAGGCGTTAAAAATGCCACTCATCACCGAGAATGCATGGGACTGGTGCCTCCAGGAGATGCGCGATAAGGCAAAGCTATTTGAAAACAATGGACGAATCTTGGTCCTAGATGCTCAATCAATGGTGTGCAAGTCCGACACACTGGTCGACAACGATCTGAGAAATCAGCTCATCACTTCGACGGACGCTTTACGTACTGTACCTGAGTCAGAGCAAGACTGGCATCCCAAATCCAACGATCAAGTGCTCAATTTGGTTCATCCGTCACTGTTCCCATTGGTATATGGCAGAACTCCAGTCCTCTCGCGCGGAGGTCAGGTCTTGCTAGATGACATTACTTCCTACGGCAACACTGAAATCGCACCGGCTATAGAATGGCCGGTGGAGGCCACCTGGTCGCGGCGCTTCCAATGGTTGCCGTGCGAAGTTCAATTCGATGGCTCGTCCTCAGACGTGCACATCACTTCTTATATTAACAATCTTCATCCTATACACAAAGATGCCTATGCAGCAATTGAGAAAATCATCGCCCTATCTATAGATCCATGGAACGATGTTCTTGTGCGAGACAGATATGTTGTGAGAAACAAGCCACGATTTACGGCACTTGGAGCAGAGTTCGATAGCGAAATGCCGGAGTGGATTGACTGGTCGGAACTTGAGGACATGAACCGGCTGAAAGAAAGAGATCCGGAGCGGTACAGCCAAGTCATCGAGAAAATTAAGGAATACATCGCTCTCCCGGATATCAATGAAAATAGAGAGCACGAGGGGGAGTACGAGTTTCCTCTCGAAGACCCACGGAACTTAGAAGACGATTTGTCGGAAACGGTAGAAAGAAAGTGGAAGCGACTCAGAACGGTCATTCACCCAGACGTTCCTTCTGGTTCCTACGAAAAGTGGAAGAAGGATCAATCTGGCAAGAGTCAGGAAACCACACCTGTGGACTTGCGCAAAGACTTCCGAGAACAAGGCCTCCAGGTCATAGTCAAGCTTTCAAGCATTGAACTCACGCCCGAAAATTCAGCATATTCAGGCGGGAATTGGCATATTGAAGGTATGCTCAATGAGCACATTGCCGCGACTGCCATCTATTACTACGACGTCGACAATGTGAAAGAGTCTCGAATTTCTTTTCGGGCTGAAGCCGACCTCGACAGCGTGGAAATGAGTTATCAGCAGAATGAGCACGAGCCACTTGCAGCAATCTTTGGTGTCGAGTCTCTCGAACTCTGGGACGAACCAGCCATTCAGAACATGGGTTCTGTTACCACGCCCCAGGGGCGCTTGCTTGCTTTTCCCAATACTTTGCAGCACAAAGTTGAGCCTTTCGAGCTTGTTGATAAAACCAAGCCTGGTCATCGCCGCTTCCTGGTGCTCTGGCTGGTGGACCCTCATTATCGCATTTGCTCGACGAGGAATGCACCGCCTCAACAGCATGAATGGTGGGTGCCGCAAGGCTATGACAAGGTTGACTTCTCCGCGTTTCCCCCAGAGATCTTGAATATGGTTACGGATCAGGTTGGACAGTGGCCAATGGGTCTGGATGAGGCAAAGCAGCTTAGATTGGAGCTGATGGAGGAGCGAACTCGTGGTCAGGAGGCTGTCAATAACGGGTTCGACACGTACAACTTTTGCGAACATTGAACTATATATGGAGTACCTGAGGACAAAACAACATCAAAATATTTTCAATACGATTACTTAACAGGGTTAGGGCAAGAAAAGAAAAAGACACTGAGATTCTTGCAATTGGAGGTCCATAGAGGTGAAATTAGGTGACCATGTTTCAACGCTAGAAATGTGCCCAGAACTATGCACTCAATGTCAGCGCATAAAAACGGATTCATGGATGCGTCAAGGGAATTTCCAAGCTCGGTAAGGTCAGGCACGGTGTCCATGTATATTTAGACAACAATTGTATACTCCGTAATCCTTGGCTAAAGAATAACCCGCGCCGTCTCCGAACCATGAATCTCGGAAAACATGGACCTGTACATGATGTCAAGTAATGGCTTCGAGTTTCTGGATTTCCGTCGCGTTGTTCTGATTATTTGGTATAAAACTCGAATATCGCTGCAGGAGAATACTAAGGTAGTTCTATCAAATACCAGCAACTAGGACATGTAGGCTGCGAAGTTTCCTTCGCAAAACCTTTTAGATTTCCAATTACGGTAGTGTACCTCGTGGACTGGTCTTCTACTTCGGTGCCCAACATAAAAATTATACCGACTTAGATGCGCCGGGCTTAAGCGTCGCGGAAATGCTATGTAGAACCACTCAGGATATACGTCAGAGAACGAATACTAAAGGGATGATCAGAAGAAGTTCTAATTCGAGGTCAACTATCTGCCTGGCTAGAGTGAGTATCTGAAGCCCTTATTGTCGAGCTCAGTGATATCGTGCATTCCAGCCTCAACAGCCGCCTTCTCATCGGTAAGCCCTGCGGCATCTCTCCTCTTGTTTTCGCGCCACATGTAGATATAGAGAACAACAATCGACAGAAGTTTCACGACGTAGCCAACAAGCATGGCAATGTATGCACTGTGATAGCCGGCTTTATTGATATTAGTAGTGTCTCAATATATTATTAGGGAAGTGGTTTTACTCACGAGCCTCACTGCTGATGAATGTCTGAGGACCAATGATGTTGCCGACGCAATATCCGGTGAACAGCACCGCGGCCGTCAACTGCTTCTTGGTGGAACCCGCGATATTTGATGATATCATAGTGAGTGACATACTAAAACCAAGACCCTGGAAGTAGCACAGCCATAATGCCACGAGACGGCCCCATTTGTTATTGCTGGGCAAGCCAACCAGCATTGCGGCGCCGAGAATGCAGATGGAGTTGGCGACAAGCATGGTCGGACATCTAGAACCATTGGGCCATTTCGTACATATCCAACCACCAAGAATCAAAGCCAGAAACTGGACTGCACCGCCGGGGATTTGAAGATACTGCGTACCCAAGGTGTCAAATCCAAAACTTTTAACAATGATACTTGTAAAACTTGTGATGGCGGCATTGGGCACTTGAGCGCCAGTAGCCATCACGAATAGAATCCATGTCTTGGGGTCTTTGGCACACTGAATCGCTTGGTCCTTCTTGAAATGAGAGTTCTTGACTCCTTGGCGATTCTTGGACACTCTGTTGGTCGCAATGGCCCGTTCCGTTTCGTTCAGGAATTTTGCGGTTGAGGGTACGTCAGGAAGAATGAGTAGGCTCACGATACCCCAAGCCGTGCTGAGAGCGCCGAAAATGAGGAAAACGTACATCCATCGAGGAAGCCCGGTTGTGATATGACCAATAGCGTAACCAATCAAGCCGCCGAACATCGTCGCAATGCCGTTAGTACAGTAATATGCTTCTAATCGCAATGGTTGTTCGGCATTCGTGTACCAGATTGACATGATCCATACGAAAGCAGGATTCACCGTTGCTTCAGTAACACCGAGGAGGAAACGGTTTGTAGCAATACCAGCGAATGATGTGCATGCTGGCGTAGTCATGAGGATGACACCCCATAGTATAGTCGTAATGGACACAAACTTCCCAATCGGTAATCGTTGAAGAAGAAATGATGACGGAAATTGTGATATCAAGTATCCGAAATAGAAGATCGACCCTGCCATAAAGACGCATTAGTACAATGGTGGAAAACCAAGCTTTCTTGGCTGCGCTTACCAAGCCACGCGTAGTCTTGGTCATGCAGGTTCGTGCCAGCCTGGAGCCCATATACACTCGAAAAGTTAAGAGAGTTCTTGTCGAGATATTGTAGCATGTATGTAACGAAGAGAACAGGAACAATTCGTGAGTCGATCTTGCGCACTACTTTCTTGACCTCGATTTCAGTTACTTCCAATTGCTCTGTAGCCTTGTACACCTTGTAGGTCTCGTCCAAGTCGCGATCCGAACTCGAAGAGGCACCCTCGAAAGAGCCATTGGTTTGTTGAGCCGCGCCAGGCACCTTCTCATCTTCCAAAATAGCCATTGAAAAGGAATTTGATGAGAGTTTGGCCAAGAAAAGCAGGACGTTGAACAATCATTTGCGACAAAGGGTGACCGCGGCAACATAAGTATGATTTTTAATGCAGGGAACAAGATAGGAATCCCGCAAAATACCCACCCATACATGCATAGACCCTCACGGCAGAGATTCGTCCAATGCAGTTCGTCATGGCTACCTACGAGTCGCGATGATAGTATCCCGCGGGAGATCTGCAGCCTGTAAACGACATCACTGGCTGAGAGGACCTCGATACGGGGTCAGTCCACCCAAAGGCGTTGCATTTTTTCAGATGAAGGTACAGCGTTCGGTGATATTAGCTAATTTACCCCATTAAATTGAAGAAAACGACTAGAACTATCACTGCCGGACGCGAATGGTTCCACGATCTCGGGAAATAGTGAGATGGCATCATCGAAGGGGATATTGATGTGATCAATTGTCATTGGCCAATTTGTGGAGAACGAAATTGGAGAAATGCATTCAATGCTTCTATCTCCGGCTAACACCGGGGCGGGGCAAATCGCAATGTTCAAGAGGTCCATGATCAACAAGACTCAGCTCAATTGGCTGCAATACAATCGTTATCCACCATACTAAGTCTATACATCCAACGACCCGAATCGCTGATTAGTGAGCGTCCTGACGGTCTCGAGGCCGAGTCAATCGTGATTATGTGCAATGAAAATCGGGACAGGTGTGCCCTGGTTCACAGATGTAGTATTCCTATGTATTTTTGGTATATACAAAATCTATGTCGCTGTCTAATTTCCGTCGCTCCCAAAATGCGTAAAGTGGTTCTAGCGTCCTGAAATATGTGCTTTTTACATTGCGGCAATGGCTTCTCTCAAGATTTTCATAAAATTGAATACATCCGTAAATGTACAGTACAAGGGAACAGGTGCGACGCGAATGACGTCTGGCTTACGCTTGTCGCAAACGATGCCATTGTCGACAAAAGACTGAGCGACATTATCGATCAAACCAGGCCGCAGCAACACACTGAGTTGTGTGCCTCTTTCGAGCGAATTCGCTGGTGTGATGATGCGCAGGGCAGGCTCTGAACCATTGTCGCTGGCAACAATCTCGTTGAGCAGATGCTCAGCATATGCCGTGATCACCACTGCCTTGGACCTCAGAGCCTTCATGTTTGTTTTGTTGAAGACTGACAGAGCACCGGACAGTGCGGCCAAGTCAATGGCCGAAGGATTTGACACCTGGAAACCACCAGCGCCGACGGTGGGGAGAAAGTTGTTATCCATGTTGAAACGAACAGACTTGTCACCACCATACCAGCCGGTTAACCTGTGCCTGTAAGTAGGCTTTCCAGACTCTGGGTCGCGCTCAACTTTCCCGTGCCTCTCATGCACGAAAGCACCTGCGATGGATCCTGTACCGGCATTGATATACTTATACGTGCACCACGCTGCAAAATCGACATTCCAGTCATGCAACGAAAGTTCCACATTACCAGCTGCATGCGCCAAATCCCAACCGACAATCAGGCCTTTTTCCTGCGCATACTTGGTGATTGTAGGAATGTCAAACAACTGGCCACTATAATATTGAATACCTGGCAGCAGGATTAAAGCAGTGTCCTCTGCGTGCTCGTCAATAGTGGCCAGGATTTTCTCCGTGGAAATGTAAAAGTTCTCATCAGGCTGGATCTGCACCATTGACTTGGCCGGGTTAAGGCCATGCCATTGTATTTGTGATTCGATTGCATACTACGTTTGGTTAGTTTCGAATTCTGCCAGAAATTGCGAAACAACAACTTACGTGGTCACTGGGAAATGGTTTCCATTCCAGAATGATTTTGTGCTTCTTCTCCGTGGGCTTGTAAAAGCTGGCCATCAGCATATGAAGATTGGCCGTTAGGGTGTTCATGATCACGATCTCGCTGGGAGAAGCACCGACGATATCGGCAGATTTCTTCGCACAATCCTCGGCCATATCTTGCCAGGCGACGAGAGGCGAGTTGCCGAAAGTCTTGAAGTGACCATCCACACCAACAGAGCCCCATGTCTCTAATTGTGCTTCCAGGTATTTTCTGACTGCTTTAGGCTGGCACCCCAACGAGTTGCCGCAAAAATAGATGCCAGGCGTCTCTGAGTCTAAGCTGTGTCCATTCACATGGCCATTGATTCCATTACTTGTGCCGTTCGCAGTCTTTGCAACTCCTGGTATCGTCCCATCAAGGGCGGTTTTCTTCAACGATGCCTTTGTCGGAAGTATGAAATCGTTCCGGAGATGCCCGAGCTCATCTTGGGAGTCCAGTTGTGCCGCAAACTCAGCCGAGTTGGCATTGCTGGGAAATAGCGGCTTCTTGCCGGCGCGGAGGGTGTCAACAAATCCGTTGAAGGCCATTTTAAGTGATTATAGTAAGCCGAATCGTACGAGGGGTTGCTGATCTGCTGATGGACGTCTCCTACGAGCGAACGATAATTTTCACTTATAGACGTTTCGACTGACTTCTTGATGAGCATATCCACTTTGAAAAGGCGCTATGGACGAATTCCACTACCGACTTAGCCATTGACGCATCCGAACTTCCGATGCGAGCAGATGGGCTCGATAGGCCGAATACATCGCATTGACAATGATGCACAACCTGAAAAGCTTTCGTGGAGTCGTGAGCGGAAGCGGTTTCGAGTAAAGTGCTCATGGTCATGGTCTCGACTTCGCCCTGATGTCATGCTTGCTCAACCGAGATGCACCCACATATATGGTTTCAAGCATCCCGAATGCGATAACGGCATATATTTTATCCTTATTCTATTCAAATTAAATAGATTTTGATTTTAATTCATGAAAATATGCTGTCGCCCCACTGCCAATTCGATTGCTAGGTGGTGCTCTTCACTTTGATGCAGACATCCGAGATCCGTCATCCGATTTCACCGACACTCACTCGGTCCGGCTCTAACATCGCGATAGCACGGTTGTCGAATACGGAAACTTAGGGACCAGGAAACAGAGTCTCGGATCTGGTGAGGCTATTCAATTTTTCTGTTGAATCTGTCCATTGCGAATCTTTGAAAAAGTGGGCGAGCGTTTCTGGTTGCAGGTGCATCGTACGTTATCAAGTCGTCAACTACAATACAAACAACGTATACTATAACCGCTCTGCTACACTCAGTGGCTTCTTGTAACAGTCACTTTTAGACAAGTTCCAATTACTTAAGGCACTACTCTGAACTCGATTCCAAAGCTGCCTGCCTCGCACAAGTGATTTCATTCCTAATTTAATTCGTTATTTTGACAACCCCCTGATCGGGTACTTGTTTACCGTTTACCACCCAGCAACAACTACATCGAATCAACACATCCATCAAAATGCCGGGACTAATCGAAACACCTCTCGCTTCTCTCCAAGCCACCAAAGCAAGCATTTCGCGGAAATATGATGTTACAAAAAACGGGTTCTTACCCAGCACAGCGCCGCTGAAACAGCTTACCAATACATACTACTCAACATGGGAAACACTTGCTAGAAACCTCCCCGAGCTACTGGAGAGGAAAGAGCTTCGTGCTGCCGTGGAAAAATCTGCGGTCCTTTCGACTGAAAAGTTGAGCACCGAGGAGGAATGGCGTCGCGCGTACGTGACTCTGGTATTTCTAGCACACGGCTATATTTGGGGCGGTGAGACACCCTCAGACGTAAATATATATCCCATCAAACTCATCATCAGGGTCAAAAAGTACTGACATTGTCCAGTCTCTTCCCCCGCAAATTACTGTACCGCTCTTGCAGGTATCCAAACACCTCGACTTGCCGCCATGTGCTACATACGCGGGCCTGGTGCTGTGGAATTTTGAGGGCACAAGCGAAGAGTTCCCTGATGACTTCAGTAACCCAGACTTCGTGCACGCCGTCAACACATTCACGGGGACCGAGTCGGAGTCCTGGTTCTACATGCTCTCCGTGGCCCTCGAAGCGCAGTCCGCGTGGGTGATGCCGCTGATGGTGGAAGCCATTGACGCCACACACAGCCGCGACTACACCAAAATGGCCAAGGGCCTGGAGCAGATCATCGTCGCCATCCAGAAGATGGACGAGCTGCTGAAGAGGATGTACGAGAAGTGTGACCCGGATATCTTCTACAAGAAGATCCGACCATACCTCGCAGGCAGCGCCAACATGGAGGCTGCAGGATTGCCGAACGGCGTCTTCTATGACGAAGGCAATGGCAAGGGCTCATGGCAGAAGCTCATGGGCGGCAGTAACGGACAGAGCTCGCTCATCCAGTTTTTCGACGTCGTGCTTGGCGTTGAGCACACGGGAGGCGCCGATCAAGCGTCCGTGCCAGCGGTTTGCCCTGTCTCCGGCATGTCACCCGGTGAGAGCTCTTCGGGCTGCCCTGTGTCGGTTGCCAAGGAAAAGGCCATGGGCTACCACGAGAAAGTCCGCACCTACATGCCTGCACCGCACCGACAGTTCTTGGTGGACTTGGCGCGGATGGGCAGTCTGCAGGAGTTTTCTTCGACGCCACAGCCCGATGCAGGCTTTCACAATGTTAAAAAGCTCTATCAGCTCGCGTGCAAGACCATGGGCGACTTCCGCTGCACGCACATCCAAGTTGTCACCAAATACATTATTATCCAAGCAAGGAAGCAGCCAGTGGGCAAGACGCTCAACCTTGCGAAGGCTTCTTCCAAGTCTGGGAGCGAATCAGAATTGAAGGGAACAGGCGGTACTACGCTTAGTGGTTTCCTGAAACAGTCACGGGATGAGAGTTACGAAGCAGGACGTGTGCCTGACGAAGTTAAAGTGCCAGTATCAAGTGCGTACGGTGTTGTGATGTAATGGGCATTTTCTTTGGGGGTTCGGGTATCATCGCGACAAAATCGATAGACTTTGCTTGGCATCCTGCAAGTGAGCGTGGGTAGGCGCGGCGTTCTCGGAGTTCAGGGCTGCTCAGATTTCCCGTTACTTGTATACAGTATTGGGCGGCACCATAATTAAATAGCTAATGAGCTGGCTAGATAAAATAAAAATAAAAATAAAAATAAGACACTCAGTGGCTCATAAGACGTCATAAAATGTGACAAGTGCCTTTATGCATTGTAGTGCTTTTTTTGCCAATGATTGCCAATGAAGTGCCTCCTTCACAGTGTCCGCTATCCTTCTTATCCAAGAGTGGAGATATAGATATCTTGAAAACTGCTTAGCGTCAACTATCCGTCTTCCGAAGTTCCGAAAGTCGGACAATTCTCTCCATATACAACTATCACACAATTGTGTAAATGACGCGCATCCCGAGTCCTCGTCGGACGGGATTGTTGACCCTTTTTAGTGCTGCCAGGTCACTGGAGGAAGAAGAAGGCCAAGAACACGGGTCGATACAGCGTGGTAGTAGCATGGCGGGAATGGACCAATCTCCGCGAGAGCCGCATTATGTGCGGGTGAGGGTTGCCAATGCCTGCGACTCCTGCAAGGTCCGCAAAGGTGCGTAGCCATTCGTTCCTTTCTCCGTTTCCGCATCCGAAAACTCTATACTCATACAATCGCAAACCAGTCAAATGTGACGGCAACTTGCCTTGCAGCTATTGCACTCGTCACAAGAGGGCAGAGTCATGCCACTTCACCCCTCAGAAGCGACGCCGCTTGAACTCTGTGCCATCCCCCTTGTCCGAGCAAGGGCAGCAGCAGCAGCAACAGTCCACACCCCGCGCTTCCGTGCAACCATCCGTTCGGCCCGGAACAGCCAGCAGTATTCATCCCGCACCCGTGTCAACGCCGTCGCATGCGGCTTCATCAGCTTCGACGGCCGGGCAAGGTGGCCCAGCCATCCGTGCTAGTTCCGCAGAGGAAGAAGCCGAAGTTCCTCGAGATGCACGGCTCTTGTATGATGCCCAAGGAAAGCTGGGTACGGATCATCCTTCAATAATGCAGGTCCCTCGCTGTTTGACGGCTAACTTGAATTCCAGTATTCATTGGTGATTGCGCTCCCCTTTCTTTCTTCCAAACCGTGAGACAACTGGTCCTTTCTCGGATTGATCCCAATGCCTTCGCTCATCATACCGGGCGGGTATCCATGCTACAAAATGTGCATCCGAGCCAAGCGGTGCCGACCAGTAACCAGGAGCCGTATGTCGACATTCATGCTGTACCATCCATCGTAAATAAGTATCTAGTAGTCGTGAGTACTCCCGCCCAATAGCCCTTGGCTTGTTTTGCTGACATATCAGACATCCGGTCTGGTTGACCTGTTTAACACCAGGCATCTCGCAGACGATATCTCAGCATGGGTACCCAACCGGGGCCATGATGTGTATGCTGCTGTAAATTATCTGGTATTGGCCGTTGGACTTCAGTCAGTTGATGATTCTCTGGCATCCAGTTATTTTGAGCACGCCAAAGTTCTCGCGCTGGCAACACTTGGAAGCGAGTTGAGTGTTGGAACTGTGCAGGCATTTACTTTGATTACACTGTATATGCTCAGAGCTTGTCAGATCACGGGGGCTTTCTTGTTTTTTGGAATTGCTGTTAGGGCGGTTTATTCCATTGGCGCTCATCGAACCGAAGTGAACTCAAGGTTTGGACTTGATATTCACAAGCACAGGGATCGATTATGGAAGACTGTCAGGATCGTGGACCTTTTCTTGAGCATTTCCATGGGACGCCCGCCTGCTACGGCTGACGTCGACTGCACTGTGCCCTACCGCGAAAACGACAGCAATGGCCACGAGATCTTTGATCTACTCAACTCCTCGGTTCAAGTGTTACTGATCATTGAAAGTATCGTGATTGAGGTCTTTTCCCGGAAGAAGATATCACTTCAATTGACGGAGGGTATCTCTCGACAGCTCCGCGGGTGGTCAAACCGTTGGTTGGCCGAGCTTAAACGCATCGCCGGAGCTCCGCCTGGTCAGGAGGATGAGGTGCGCATCGTCGGCGCTTGCCATGTTCTATGCTCGTACTATTATGCCGTGATGCTGGTGTCCAGGCCCTTTCTCATGTATGAGATGGTTAAACGACTTCCAGAAAGCCCATTAAGATTCGAGACAACCCGCGACAGCGGTAGCACCGGTCGTTCCAAGCTAGCAAATGCTTCTATCGATGCAGGCAGTCTGATGATTGAGTCAATTTCCGATCTGATCCATATGGGTGTCTTAGATGGATGCATGCCACTCATCGTGTAAGTAGTGACGATTGCGAATGAAAACGTGGGTTTCATGGGTGGATGTTAATACTGCCAACAGGTCGTGGTTGTTTGCGGCATCTCTCGTTGTTGGTGTTGGCCTTCTGGGGGACTTTGGCCGAATCTTGGAGAAAGATGTTCAGATGTCAATATCCGCCTTGGAGCACTTCGCCAAATACGATGCACACGCGTTGCAATATTCCTTAATCATCAGGTCTTTACACGCTAGTGCAACCGAGTATCTGGGGCGAAAGGAGCGATACGAAAGACTACAAATTTCCGAGAGCTCTTCCCAATTATTCGGCTTGACGCCCCGCCAGCCACGCGAAACGTCTCAAGCCACGACCGGACAAATTCAGGACAATAGTTTCAATTCTCCCGCTGCCAACCACAACCCAATTGGCTCAGTTGAAGGAATTGATTCTCGCGAACTAGGCGCCTCGTTTTTTGAGGATCTAGATCCGTCCATCTTTCCTTTCATTCACTCTTCCTCACACACCCCCGAGTTGCCTGTTGTTAATGGAATAACACAAAACTCTGACCAGGTATTTGGTGCGCTCAATTTGTTTCCCCTATTGGAAGAAGGCGGCCATATAGATCTGGCGCACTATCTGTGACAAGCTTCTCGTGGATTTTCCTCTCTTCCAAAGCTACCTCCAGGAACCACCTTGGTCAATTGTTAACAACCTCTCCGAAGTTCTTCGGCGAATTGCTAATCGAGGTCCCTGGAACTACAGCCTTACCCACGGATTTACCATAGAAGCTACGCTTTGCCCTTCGTGAATTGCTCATTTCACACTCATCACCTCCTTCCCTGTTCACCACAAACCCTCAAGAGTACTTTCTGCTTTGCCTATATCACGGTCGTAGCGGCTCATCCTTGCCGCTTTCAGTCAGGACCAAGCTGCTGACAAGCGTTTGTACTGATTGTTCACTTGGAGTATGCTTGGTTCAGCTCGTAATCCCTTGATAAGAAGGATGGAGCCGCCAGCTTCCAAAATTGAGAGGACAGCGGCGTTGCTAGAGTCTACCGAATACCGAGATATGCTTGATGGGATTGATGCACTTAGGCCATAGAGTGTTAGTCGCTATATTGACTTGCCTTACATCATCGGCTGTGGGAACCAGTCATTTGCCCAAAACTTTGCTGTCAAGGCAATCTCTGGCGTCGATTCCCTAACCAAGGATGGTATCTGCACGCGGTTCGCTACTGAGACGGTTCTGCGTCATAGCGAGAAAGAAGAGATTCGCTTCCACATTACCCCCGGTTCTAAACAGAACAATCGAGAGAAGGCGAAGCTCTCCAGCTTCCACCTAAGCGTGAGCTCAGGCTCTATCGGTGATGCAATTGAGCAAGCTAAGTCTGGCCAAGATCAACCTTGTCTTACTATTGTAAACTTGTCTGGTCTCTTCCTGGCCTCAAACAGCAATCAGTCCGCTATGGCCGCCGAGAAGGTACAGGAGATGGTACTTTCCTACATAAAAAAGCCTTGGAGCATCATTTTAGCTGTGTCTGCAAATAATGAGGTCGTAGTTCAGCAGATTACTCGGCGTGCTCGTGAATTTGATCCTACAGGGAAGCAGACTCTAGGTCTCATTACTAAGCCTGACAAGCTGGACTGTAGCTCAGATAACGAGTGCACCTTTGTTGAGCTGGCACAGAATAGGAAGGTCTAGCTAGATCTCGGTTGGCAAGTCTTGCGTCATAATTATGCAGAGGTCAAGGAAAATTTGGTGTTCGAGACAGCCAACAGTTTGTCTTTGTCCCGCAAGAGCGGGAAGCGAGAGATGCTTGAGTTGAAGAAGTTCGCCTTAGATGATCCCTTTTCCGTCTTGGACCGTATCTTGACTTCTCGTGGTCGATGACCTTCGAACGCTTGATTCGATATCAAATCTTATTATATTACAGTGAGGGATGTTGTTCTTACGTATGGATGAAACATCAAGACTGAGTCACCTCATGGACGAATCAACTATATTTGTTAATGTGGTTTATCTCTCGATACTTTGTCTCGCTTTTATGCGATAACCGAAATATTATTCAGCAGCTAGCTATTGCACTGTTTCGATCCCATGCCCCATTCGAATATTAAGTACTCCGCCCTGTTGCTATCAATTTCGTACTCAAGGCTACCCCTGTGTCTGTGCATTCGACTCAGCTAGATACCTGGGTATCTTTTCTCCGGCACGCCACTTAAATTGACTTCCCGGATGATCCTCTGGCAGTCTTTTCGTCCCTATATAAGCCTCTCTAGCTGTTGCACCTTCTTTCTCGACGCTCGTTCTAAATACACCTCGCTGCTGCAACTCAGGGATCAGATACTCTATGATATCCTCGAACGTTCCTGGATTCGTGATATGGGCGAGATTGAAGCCATCCACGTCGGATATTTCTATCCACTTTTCAAGCTCATCTGCGACGGTCTTGGGACTACCGATGACCTTGGCTTGCAATCCACCAACACTCAAATACTCTATGATTCTTTGTTTGGTCCACGGCAGGTTGTCGGTCCCAGGAACCGTGGCTGCCCAGCGTTTGATGATGGATTGGATTCGCGGCGAGTCGCTCACACGGAAATCCTCATCGTCCGCATAACCGGACAGATCGACACCAGTCCAGCCGCCAAAAAGAGCTAGCGCCCCCTCACTGTCGGCATACTTCAGATATTCGTCACGTTTTGCATAGGCTTCTTCGTCCGTGGCCGCCACGATGACTTGTATTCCAAGAACGACCTTGATGTGGCCGGGATCTCGACCCTCTTTGGCGGCTACATCACGGATGTTCGCGACTGTTTTCTGAACAACTTCGGGCGTCTGTCCCCCAATGAATATCGCCTCGCCATGCTTGCCACCAAAACCATTGCCGGCCTCAGAAACGCCTGCTTGGAAGAGAAAGGGGGTGCGCTGTGGCGAGGGCTCGCAGAAATGCGGCCCAGGAACCTCGAAATATTTTCCCTTGTGGTGTATCTGACGCACGCCGTCACTGGCAATATACACCCCACTATCCCGATCCTCGATAACAGCATCATCTCTGAAGCTTCCTTCCCAGAGCTTGTAAAGGACTTCCATATACTCATGTGCGATTGCATACCGCTCATCATGAGGAATCTGTTCTTTCAACCCATGGTTACGTGCCGCGCTATCCAAGTAGGATGTAACAATGTTCCAGGCAAGCCGACCTTCGCTGAGATGATCCACCGTCGAAAGTCTTCGGGCAAGCGCATACGGCTTCTCATACGTAACGCTGGCCGTGACCCCGAATACTAGGTTCTTTGTTGCTGCTGCCATGGCCGGGACTAGATAGAGCGGGTCGTTGACAGGAAACTGCGCTCCGGATGCCAGTGCTGGCACCACATTAGCCGGCCCCTTGTACACGTCGTACGGCCCAAGGGTGTCGGCAATGAACATGGCGTGGAAGTTGGCCTTGTCCAGAAGCTGGGCGAGTTCGACCCAGAATGAGAGCTTCTTGTAATCGGCTGTCTTGTTCCTCGGGTTCCGCCACTGGCCCGGTGCCAGGTGGCCAGGTGTATTCATCACAAATGCATTCAGTATAATCTGCTTCTTGCCGCCAGCGGCAGCTTGGCTACCGGAGTCCGCGTTGTATGTCATCGGTGATACCTGAACTCAATCTTGCCCTGTCCGTCAAATCTTGTCATAAAGTTAAGCATTGCATGTGCGGGCAGGGGGCGCCCGGAAGAAAATATAGTCGGCGCCTTGTCTGCTGGGCTTTCTCATTCTCCGCCCATCACACCTTCGACAGTATGCACCCACCCTACCGGGATGCGTAGCAGATCTTCGAGCACGATTCCTAAATCTCAGCTTGGGATTGGGTGGCAGAGCCTGCGGCCCACTTCTGCGGCTTCGCCATACGGAAGCTATAGCACGCCATCCCTATTTCAAGCACACTAGGTGGGCACCTCAGTGTATAGTCCGACCCCGATCTAACGCAATACCGGGCCCATACGGCGTGACAATAAATACTATTCGCCGAAACTAAGGCTTATCGTACCCGATCCCGACTTCGCACCACTTTTGTAATGGGGGTCGTCGGCAGGGGTCCAGCTTGGGTGCATGTCGTCACAATAATCAACGACGTATAGTTTGATTGGAAGATGGCTTGAGAGCTATTTCAACCTAATAACCGCCGCTTGTTCGTGCTCCAGCCTTGGTATTTCTTGGTGAAAGCTTGACTTTGAGCTGCTTCCTCGTCAGTCGTTATCTCACGATGGTCAGCGTATCAGGATTGGAGCTCATTCCCCAAGGCACGGCCTATGGCCTGCTTGTCGGGCTTGGCGTACTTTTCTGCGCGGTCATTCTCATCGCCATCAAGATCCAGAAAGCCTACCTATCTGAGGACTCTGGAACGTCCGAGATGTTTATGGTCGCCAATCGTTCCGTCGGGGTGGGACTGACAGCGTCTGCTGTGTTTTCGTCTTGGATGTGGATCAACGAAACAGTCTTTGCAGCGGCAATGTGTTACCGGTATGGATTGGCAGTCCCTTTGGTGAGTTTTGCACCCAGCCCAAGCCTGTAGAGTTGAATCATATTGATGCTGATTATAAGTGAAGTGGTGGGGCTCCGGATTATGTTTCCAGATTGCGCTGATGGCAGCACTCGGTGTCCTGGCCAAGATCCGAGTACCTTACGCGCATACATCTTTGGAAATCATACGAATGCGCTACGGAAAAGTACGACCACTCCCGTGCCCGTTTATAAGAAATACTAATAAACACATACAGGTTGGCCATATCGTGTTCATTATACTCAATCTCGTGAACAATGTATTTGGATGCGCATCTATGATCCTAACAGGATCGCAACTCATTTACGGTGTATCCGGCATGCATTTTGTTGCCGCCACAATCCTCATCCCTCTTGGAGGTTAGTGTCTATGATGGAATTTACCGTGTTTACAGTCGCCCCAGCTACTAACCATCTTGTTACAGTCGTGTTATACACGGCGGTTGGCGGGCTAAAAGCCACGTTCCTCACCGATTATCTTCACACACTCGTGGCTCTGATACTCATAATCTACTTCACTCTCACCATTTTGACGCACGACGCTGTTGGTGGGCTTTATGGATTATATGAGAAGGTCATGGCCACCGTAAGTGTAGAAAATTGGATCGAGTTTTATGGCAGGAGACTGATTTGCAAATAGGCTGCAGAGAACTATATACCTGGCAATTATCAAGGGTCTCTTTTAACGATGAAATCCAGAGATGCCATTATTTGGGGACTTATCCTGAAGTTTGGTAATCTGGCTCTTGTTGTAATGGTAAGTGCCACCGCCCATACAGATTAGTGTCTATGAAGTTTGGCGCTGATGAGCATGCGAAGGACACCGCTTTCTGGCAAAAGTCTTTCGCCACTGAAGTGAACGCCACTGTGCCGGGTTACAATCTAGCCGCTTTCGCGATCTTCGGAATACCTTGGGGCTTGGGAACCGTGATCGGATTGACGGCACGCGCAATCCACAACACCCCCATCTTCCCAACCTATCCGGGGGAGTTCACCAGCGCCCAGGTCAATGCTGGTTTCGTCATGCCTTATACAGTCAAGGCTCTCATTGGCGACAAGGGAATCGTAGCTTTCTTCGTGCTGCTATTTATGGCGCTGACTAGCACGGTATCGTCCTCGATGATCGCAGTTAGCAGTATCTTGTCATTCGATATCTACAAGACGTACTTGAACCCGAAGGCTTCCGACAAACGTCTTGTAAAGGTCAGTCATATAGCAGTCATCATTCATGGCATCTTCATCACTGCTGTAGCACTGGCTTTGAATTATGGAGGCGCGGACATGACTTGGATCGGTTACTTCCGACCCATCATAGCGTGTCCGGGAATCATCCCGCTAGCACTCACTTTGCTCTGGTCCGGTCAAACCAGACTGGCAGCTGTGGCATCACCAATCCTTGGGTTTCTCACGGGACTGAGCATTTGGCTCGGCACAGCTAAGGCATTGTACGGTGTTATCAATATGACGACAACGGAGGCCAGTCTTCCCGCTCTTTATGGTGCGATTGGGTCTTTCTTCTCTCCGGCTCTATACTCTGTTGTCATTTCACAATTTGGACCGGAACAATTCGACTGGCGTATATTTCTACGCATCGAGCTGGTAGAAGAGGCTCAAATTCACCATACAACCCCGGAGTCAGAGGGTACACTGACCGATGAGAAGTTCGGGGATAACGAGACCGGCGCTGTGGAACCTTCCAGGGCAGTGCTGAAGACACCCGTCGCTGGCGTGACGGATCCCGCAAACGACCTGGAAAAACACCGAGCGGGCGCCCAGCTAGCCGGTGCAGTTGCCGATGTCCCATCCTCGTCATCGTCCTCCGCCAAGATCAGCCTGGACGATGTGCGGCACCCTTTCGACGAGGGCACGCTGCGCGAGCTGCATCGGTGGCAGCGGATCGCCTGGATCATGTTCGTCTTCGTCGTTTTGGTGACCTTTGTGCTCTGGCCTATGCCGCTCTACCGGGACTATGTCTTTACTAGGACCTTCTTCTCGAGCTGGACCGCGGTAGCGATATTCTGGCAGTTCTTCGCCTTCGCCGCCGTCGTCATCTACCCGCTGTATGACGGGCGGCACGAAATCACGAAGGGTGTAAGAGGCGTTTGGAAAGCGACGAGCTCTTTTTTCGGCAGACGAGGGTAACATTTCGGACGGCAAGTGACAGATATTAAATTCTATATGCCTTTTTATATTTATTGGTTTACTCAGGAAATAGCCAGGCACTTACGTAGAAGCTCAACATCATGAAACCCCCCCCCCCCCCGTATTATCTTAATTCGTTCGAGCTCCGATTCAACACATGGCAACATAATCCAAAACACCATTCCAAACGGTGTATCAACCTTGAACTGAAGCTTAATGAAGAGTTTTTTGTTCACACCCGTGTCTATGGTTTTGTCTATTCGCCATCACATGGAGAAAATGCCAAATCTGCACTTTTTATGCTGTGATTCGGTGTTGCCAACTCAAACCTAAATGCCCACCGTGCATAGAAAACTCTCGCCCAAGATAGAGTCAGTAACCGATCTTCATATCTACAACATCGGTATTGGGATCACTTACCATCGTGGGGAAAAGACTCGAGACATACTTGTCTTTCCGCCATCGGCCTTGCTCCAAGCATCGCAGATGGCTCTGAACACATTTCTGCACACGTGTTAGTGACGAAAAGAAGTCACCAGCACGCACTAAAAACGAACGTGCCCCTACTTTCAACGCATTCTCCTCGCTATTCTTGGCATGACGAACTTTCGGAAAATTTGATTTCGCACAAACTTCTACTCGTTTTCCCAGCTCGTTCTGTACAAGGTTTCAAAGAAACATGAGCGAAGTCCGTGTCCACGTCAAAATCACCACCTAATGACTCCTTTGCGTTGTAAGCGACGATTTTCACGCCAGCCATCATCACGTCCCAGATGGGGTGGGGGAGATTGTTCTACTGTATTGTATTCTTGCGTTCCTTGCAGGATTGATCAACCCGGACAGTGCCGCCGTTCTTTTCCAAGCCCGCGAAGTTGAGCTACAAACCGTCGCAGATACCCAACCAGGCAAGGGCGAGAAGGGGAATCAAGAGGAGCATGTTGGGGCTGGGAGAGTTAGTTGGTTGCGGAGTCTTTTGATTGTTGAAGTTCGCTATGATTGGTGTTGGCAGTTATATGAGGTACTGTTGACGAGTGACACTGATGGGTGGTTTTCCCATGGGTATCGTATTGTTGAGTGGGTATCGCTGCGCTTGTCAGTTAAGAATGAAGATCCCCTTATTGTGCAGCTCGATCTTTGAAGTCAAAATAAAAAGAAATTTCCCAAGTCCTATGTCCGACTGGTCCGGGATTTCAATTGACAATGCAGACAAGAGTAGCTAAATTTCATCAAGGAACAAACCCACAATAAAGCAACACCGGTACCCACATGTTCAGTGTGGTTTGCGAGTTCACCAAGAGTACCAAGAATCATTGAGGGCAACACCCGAATTTGTTTACAGAAGTTTTGACCAAGTCAAGCTCTTTGTTGGGCATACTATGGCTAGCCTGAGGCCTTTTGTCCACAGCCACAGGGATTATGACCGGCATCAACTTCGAAAGTCAGCGTTTTGCCGGTGTATCAACCATGAGTGTGACAGATACTGAGGTGTGTTTCGGCGGGAACCAGGTTTATTGGTCTGGTTATGTACTCTATGGTACCATATCCTGCCCAAGCTGTGTTACTCAATGGACAAGGAACTCCATTTTGAAAGCAACACCCCCATTTCGCTGCAAAGTTGCTGGCCATCAGAATCGTCGTCCGAGAGCAATTCCCGCACGGCATCAGCCTGGGGCAAAGCGAACGCCAATGGTACATCTCGGAGGCTTTCTTTCCCAGCACCAAGATTTTCCAAGTATTGCATTGCAGCAGGTAGTATAGGCATTTTAAGTGTCCAACACAAAGCTTTGATGGCTTGCAAAATGAAGCGTGCCATAGGGAAGTCCCGTGCTGTCGCGCGGATAATAGCGCATGCTGTCGTAAATGGTATATGAGTTTTACGGTCGTAGAGATGTGAGCTGAGCGTAAGCAGTCCGTTATAAGCGCCGCAGCAGACCATGCAAGAGTAAGCGTTGAGGGAGAAATTATTGACATATTTTTTCATGTTCGCTAAGTCGGAGATGGCATATTGAATACAGAGGTCTTTGACACTCGATTTCCCGTCAAAGATGATATCTGGCTGTAGAGGCCTCAAAATGGCAATAAACAGCTCGTTCAGATAAATGCTACATGACTTTGTTAACAAGACCCCTGTACAAGAATGGAGGAAAAGTATGTATACCTCAGAAAACATGTTTGGGGTGTAAAATTAACCTCGTGACGCAGGTTGCATGGTAGAGTTTCTCTCCATTGCCGTAATTGTTGGTGAAGCCGCAGGCGCTGATCGAGATCCTCTATGGTTCCAATCATTCCTGGTGCTTCAGCATTCCATGCCATGAGGTCATATAGATGTACCGATAAATCACACGTGAAATCAAGTATGTTGGAAACGAAAGGCGGGGAACGACTGCTAGTCGTGTGCGCATTTCCAAGCAGGTCCAAGTTGCAGTCAACGAGTGCAGGAGACATCGTTTCTACCGGAAAAAAGCGGGCAACCTGGGGCGCTTGAACCAAAGATTGCTGCAAATAAACGAATGCAACGATACTGGAGGGGGGAAAAAATTTAATATCATACCATGACGACGATAAACGTGCATGCATACCTTTCGAAACAGAAGATACCCCATAAAGCTTTGGCAATGATTTGCTTTTGCCGATTTTTTGATGGATCAGTCCATATTTGCATGAATGTCTTTTCGAGATCCAGCCTTTTGAGCATTTCGTACGCTGCGTATCGATACATCTAGTGCGTAGTCAGGACGACTTCTCCTAGGCATGACCAAGACTTGGAAGTTGTCGTGATGATTAGAAGAAACACTGACCATGCCAGCTCTATCCGTTCCTCGATAGGCTGAGAGAGTGAACATCAGAGCAAGTCCTTGAACTGTGGGTAGCGAGGGACGACCGCCCTCGAGGTCGAGTAGTCGCTTAGCTTCCATTAGGAACTGGTCGCCAATGTCTTTCCTTAGAATGGCGCTATACGCTTTGGCGTTTCTTGATGTAAACTAGTTTCGGCCAAGTCAATACTGCTCCTATCCACACGTAGCGTGGTAACTTACACATCTGGTTGCATATATAGCATTAACAAGAAATGGCGAACAATAGTTGGCACGTTCTGGATCTCCAGCATGCATGTCCTCGAGTAGTGCCTCTCTGTCAATGAAAGGATAGAAAAAGGAATCGTCCCACATGAAAAAGGATGTGATCATTTCCGAGACTATCCCATCATCGGCCACAACAGTCCAAGGTCTGCTACGAACTTTCATAAGGCTATGCTCCAACGCATTAGCGTTTATGGCTTGTAGCCTTGGGTCAAGCTCGCCAGACCGAAGTGCAGCCCTTGCATCAGAGTTCAGTATATGTATGCCCTGAACAGAACGCATGACAGAAATAGGATCTTGCGTCACACGTATTCGACCGAGCAGCTCCTGTGCCTCGGCCTCTGGTGCTCTTTGAAGTAGATCGAACAACTCATGTACTGGTCGTTTTCAGCTTTCATGCGGTCATAACGTTCCCTGAGCACTGTACCACGAGAGAGCGCACGAGCTTCTTCCGTCTCACTCAAGGCATAATTGCACTTAATATTAGGCTTGCCACTGCTACAGTTGTGGCAAGCAGGCCGTCTGCCGTCGCATTTGACTTTTCGTCTGCGACAGTTCTCACAAGCGACGCGCGTTGTCAGTCGCTTGGGTAAAGGAACCACCAAAGTTTGCGGCGGAGTGCGGAGATTCAGCGGTCACACCAGCTTCAGCTGCCGGAAGTAGGCGGGGGAGTCTTCGATCCATGACCGTGATTGTGGGGTTTCTTATTATTGGATGGCGGTACACATTGCTCCAGTACATCGAACACGAGCACACCAGCTCTCAACGAGACGGTGCAAACACGAGCACACCAGCTCTCAACGAGACGGTGCAGGCAGGCGTCCACACGCAGGCACTCGATATGAGTCTCGTTGATGGCGTGCGCGGAAAAATTACGAGTGGCTCGGCAGGAAAACAAAACGGCACGACCTAGCAGGATATCTGCCCTACGTCCGACCGGCCAATTGAAAATAGCCTTGCGGCGGTTATCAAAGCCAGCCATAAGCAAGCCCTTTCGACGCTTTTCTCCGGAATCTTCGAGGCCTGATCAAGCTGGCCCAAAACCCGCAATATGTGCTCGCAGGATCGGCTTTCTCCGTGCATTGCAATTCCTACATATATACCCATCAGACCCCCCACTTTTGATCAGGAATGACCTAGGTAACATATTGTCACGAGGCTTCTGCGTCAGCAATTCTCTTGAATCCATAGTAATTCAGGTATATCAACCAACAATGAGTTCACCTTGTTGTGAACGGAAATGACATTAGATCCAATGCACTGAAGGATACAGTTCAAGACATATAAATCAACACAGCGTAACGTCATGGCGTTGGCATCGAATTTCAAACTGGTCTGGGTCTTTCACCACGAAACTACCTTCCGCTACGCCCTTGGCAGAGTGCGGCGAGGGGCTCTAGGTAATCGAGACACGAATAGGCGGGTGATATCGTGACTGATCTTTGGGAAATCCATGTCTGATCCATCGTGGCCAGTTACAATACGCAGAAACCTCTACTGACGTCAGACAGTCAGTCTCAATCTCAGTCATGTTGAACTTGGCTGAGAATTAGCGGGGTACAGGGCTGCGAGCAGATGTGCTACTATCAGTCTTTAGTCTAGGTATACATGCCACAAAGCTCTTTTGGTCATATAATTGAACGGCCAATAGCGGTCGAACACGCTTAGGCTGTATTATGTCCTTGGGTACCTGCGCCCAGCGTCGAAAATTGAGGGCATAGAACCGGATATCCAAGGCTGGAAAATAGCCCAGGAAGTGGCACTTAGGTAACATTCGGGGGATGTCACACACAGTTGGATACCATATCATAATCTGGTGATAGCAGCCACGATTTGATGTATTGGTTTATACTTTCGGGGGATTTCCAGAGATATCCGATCCAACTAAAATATCTTATTATCATTTTTAGCCAATGCATCACCCGTGATGCTATCGAGGAATGTGGCAGATCAAATCCTGTATCTTGAGTTGAGGTAGTACACCGCTATCTCTACACGTAAACGGATGGTCTCCAAGCTATCAAGAAAATGCTTAATGACATTTCCGGCCAAAGGTTTCCAAAGCAACTGGCCATTATGCGAGAATATAGCATTTTTCATCATTCATTATGCAATAATAGAGTACTTCGATATTAGACGTACTATACTTTGCTTCGGTTTCATCATGCGTCCTTGTCACCTAACGGCTTAAACCTTTCAAGGTTATATCACAAGCAGCTTTACTTTGATCATTGACGGCAAATTGTGGAAAAACTGTTCTTGACATTGATTGAAACAGCAGCCTTAATACGAACATGTATGAGAGTGGTTGTTTTCTTCTTTTCTCCGAAGTAGCTCTCGGTATCTTGTCGCTCAATGACTGTATAGCTATGTAAGAGGAAGGATCTAAAACCGATAAAGCTTATTGCTCCAGAATCATACAGGTAAATCTCGTATTTCTGAGCAGCCTGCACAGTAAAAGCGTTACTACTGCTGAGGTACTCGCTGCGGACTGCTGGCAATAGAAACCCTTGGCATAGGCAGTCGAGTCATATCCGGTTCATGAATGTATCTGCCGCTAGCGCGTACTACACGACAAGCAGCTAACTAGAGTCGGTTTTAGTGAGCAATAGCTGGATTTGGTTGTCAATCACAATAGTGGTGGTATTTCTCTACTCCGGTATGGCTATAGTCCGCTCCAATGGGGTCGCTCAGCGCCATCTGATTACGGTAAGTGCTGCTTGGTCAGAAACAACGCCAGTCGCAAGCCATTCGTTGGGCAAACGGGGCCCTTTTTTCCCTCCAAAGATGCTTGCTGGGCCCATTCGAACATTTGGAGGCACGGTATTATTGCGATTCTCGTGTTACATTTTATATTTGCTAAACTTGGCTATCACGTAATGGGAGCGCACGAATACCTCTTGGGAGTCAGTGTGCTTTTCATTGTGCATGATGTCACCGCTCTAATCTGAGCACCTAACGGCAGCCACAGCCCACACGATCGTGGGACTCAAGTCAACAAGATTGTCCAACCCCGGCGGCCAGAATTTGTTACTGGGCGATTCGACCAGCTTGCCCGATTTCCACACGTACTTGATGTTCTTGGTAAGGGCAAAGATCCCAATGTGCCCCAACGGATTCCCGTCGAACGCGATTATATTAGCATCCCATCTATTTGCGAGAGAACTCTTCTTTGGCAACTGGTTGCATTTGAGAATCGTACAACAGACGCCTCCTATCTCTTCCATCAAGTCCTACACTTTGCCATTGTTAGAGGAAGCAATGGCGCACCCTGACGGCTGAAAACAATGTCTTTTCCTTTGCCTTTTCCATGTCACAAATGCTCATAAAGTAATTTGAGCTAGATAGAGATGATGCGACAAAGGAACACCCAAACAGGTATCCGGACGGCATCTTTAACGCCACAACATGTGGGCCTGTTGTAGTCTAATAATATGTGTATAGGTTTGTCGAGTAGCTCTCTAGCTAATAACGGGAATAAGCTGATCATATTTGCTGCATTAGGCGTGAACAGGTCGTCCTAGCTGGATGAGGAGGAGTTTTGCCTTATGCAGTAGTCCAGATCACATTATGTGGAACATTGGATCGCTGCCAAGTTATTTTTCTCAAGAGTATGAAGGCGCGACAAAACAGTCAATGCCTACGGGTAGGTTATACACCTCGCACAAACGAGAAGTCGATTCGCTTGAGCCCAAAGTCAAACCTCTATTCTGAACGCAACGAACGGTTGAGAAACGCAAAGGTATATTTCTTATGGCCAAGTGCGGAAGACTTAGCTGCCTGAATTCCTTGTACTTAAGGCTGAGGTACCCTCTAAGTTCAATCCCCAGATTACAAATGCCTAGATTACAGCATGCAAGTATGATGCATTAGGGTCAACTCTATGGCCGCGTATAGGCATAGGCTAATCCAGCACCGTGGAACACTTGGCAATATAATACTTGCAATGTCATGATATGACCTTACACCTTATGCTTTGGCTTGAAATATAAATGACTGTACGATTCCTTTGTGGCTACAGTACCTCATTAGTATCACTTTCAGCTCGCACAAGTCGGAGATTAACACACAGACCTTTTCATGAAGTGTTGCGTGGTAAACTAGGAACACCGTGTCTCTATCGCGCCTTGTGTAATTTTCGGAGTATATTCAACATGTTGAGCTCTTGGCCGGAATATCAAGTGCCTCCTTGAACATCAGTATTGCCTCGTCCCGTCTGTTCGTCAAGCGAACAAAAATTTCCTTCTGTTTATCAAGACAAATAGGATGCCGACACTAAAAACCTCGGCTAAAAATCATTATACCAGACTCCTTTGTACCTGAATCTCTGCAAGTAATTCTTCTACAATTGCCCATCCAATATCGGCTTATTAGTCGCGTAATCCATACGTGGAAAACCACGAGGAGATTGGTTTGTAACATTGCAATACACTTTTTTGTTCTTTCAATTCCCACCCCCTACTTCCTCTCCACGATACCTAACTTTCAACCCTTTACTGCATAGCCTCTTCTTCTTGGTTTAGAAAAACCCATGACACTTGTATAGAAGTAATACTCGTCGCTTCCCTTCTCTAGGCCGCCTCTCCAGAGGAACAAGTAATTTCCATGAGTGCTGACAACTGGCGGAAAATACTACCTTGTCAGCATTCGAGGATGGTACGTGCAGTGGGAAGAGAAACATCCAGAAAGAGATCTGTGAGTCAAACCGGGGGAAGGTTCGAGCTTGGCATTATGGTTAGGATAAGGACACTTGTATGGTTTCGGTGCCCAAGTCGTCAAGAAGCATGTCAGCACTACTGGATTTGGTGGGCTGCAAGTCAGAGAGGTAGGCAACCAACACAATGGCACGGTGACTAGAAACCCGGATCAATATGTACGTCAATATAGCCACTGGAAATGGTTTTGTCTTTACCTTCTTCAACTATGTCATATAATATTACAATACATCAAATTAAATATCAAGTCAAATGAATAGATATCTATTGTTTTGTTCCAAAATGTTGCCGGTAGTCAATTGAACAGTCGTTTGACATCAAAAGACAAGCAAGGCTCCAGTATTAACTAACCTAGTCTAGTCTTCACTAATCTAACTTACTTGTAAAAGATGTGGCTGGTTCCTGTCTTAGTGGTGGCTGCGGAAGACTCAACTAAGTTAGGCGTGATTTGTCAGTTTCCAGCATCGCTGTTATTTAGCTGCTCATGGTGAATTGTGGGGATTTGTCACCCTCGCGTTTTACAAACGGTCGCTAAACGCGAGTACCTAGCATGCCATGGCTTGTGCCATTTCATAATTGGTAAACGCCATAGCGCCACACATCCGGTTTGCACTCGCTTAGACGGAGTTGTAATCATGGTTACACTGATTCCCAAGCGCTTGGAATGTCAGCAAGGCGGCTATGGACTCCCAGAGAACAGGGGAGCGAATATAAATAAAGGGAACCCTCTTGACGATTTGCGGCCCAAACAAAATTCAACCATCAGCAAGACGTCCTCAAAGCAAGAACTCGAAAGTGAAAACTAGATTCTATCAATATATATTAAATCCTTCACTAATACAAAAATCACATCAAGCCAGATGGCTAAACTTTCTGAAATCCGTTCAGTCAATGCCTCACTGAAGTCATCACGGTCGGGAATAACGGCCGTGGTTGTGGGTGGAACCAACGGCATTGGCCGGGGATTCTTGACCGCGCTCGCCTCACAGACGGATAACCCAAAGATATACGTGGTGGGTCGGAGCCCTGAGGTGCTCTCGACTATAATTTCGGAGCTCCAGTCGTCGAACAGCACCGGGACGTACATTCCAGTCCAGGCCGGAGATCTGAGCCTGCTCTCCGAGGTTGACAAAGCGACGGCGCAGATCCTTGGCAAAGAGTCGAAAATAGACCTCCTCTTCATGTCGCAAGGCTTCCTATCATTCGGCGCTAGGAATGAGACGCCCGAAGGTCTCGACAAGATAACTTCTATTAGGCACTATGCCCGCACATTATTCATACTCAACCTGCTGCCCCTGCTGAACGTCGCACCGTCGCCACGCGTCATATCCGTAGTCGCTGGCGGCCTCGAAGGTCCCATCTTCCCGTCGGATCTCGAGTTCAAAGATCCAAAGAATTACAGCTTGGGCAAGGTCGCCGGTGCAACGGCTAGTTATATCACCCTCACGTTGGAGCAGTTACAGAAGCGCAATCCAAAGATCAGCTTCATCCATGCATTCCCCGGCCTGGTGAGAACAAATCTCTTCAACACAGAGCATTTCGGATTTGCAGTCAAGTTTCTTGTAAACTGGATTGTCCTCCCTACGGTAGGGCGTTTCCTTTTCAGCTCGGCGGAGGAATCAGGGGAGCGTTTCTTGTATCTGGCTTCGAGCCCAGACTTTGGAGCGCAGGATGTAGGTAATACCTTGGCTTTGGGATCGAATGGCAAGAAGGGCAGTGGTTCATACACTGTGAATGAGAAGCCGGAGGCTGTGCATAATGATAAAGTCCTCGTTCCTCTAAGGGAGGATGGTTCAGATGTCAAGATCTGGGAGCATACGCTAGGGGAGTTGGAGAGAGTTTTACAGAGGAAGATTTAGAAGGCATCGGTAATAATGAATCTCTAATATAGAAAGAAAAAAAATTGTATCTTTCATCACGTTGCATTGTTCAGAGTTCTTGTCGCTCAAGCTTAGCGACATGCAACTTCAAATGCCGAAAAGTAATGTTGTGTCTCTAATATAGAATACAATTATTTCACATTCTTGATGTTGAGTAACATTGGATTGCGGGGAAAGAGCGCCGCTAATGAAGGATTAGAGGCGCCATAGGGCCCCACGGTGACTTTCAATGCAACTATTGTGTCTTGTCTACAGGCTGTTGCAAAAGCCGTAATCAAATTCCCCAAGCCTCCGAGCGTCCGACCGACATTACTGGGCAGAAGCAAGCTCTGACATCTCTATGCGACGGCGCGGTGCAAGGGGTACCGAGAAAGGTACACCGAGAAGGGAAACAAAATAGAATCAATATGGTGTGAGGTATTCTGGTCGCAGGAACCATTTGTCGTTGTGTAGCAATAGCGACCAGTACTACATTACTCACCTGGCAGCCAATCGTCTTCATATTTCCTGATATTAACCATCAAAGCCGGGTGCAGCGCAAGTTCGGCACTTCATACTCTTCTCCAAGCGCCAAAATGGGGTTTCACGCTCTAGACTAACTAATATGATTGGTTTGACGGCAAGACACCCTATAACAATGTTGTTGTCTAGGTCGGGGATGGAGGGAAGATCGTGCAAGTACAATATGTTTGGCATAGCCATAGCGTCCTTTACCTAACATTTAGAGAAGCAACCAAGCAAACGAACAGTATACTTTCCAAGCCACGATTGACCATGCATGATACTTCAAGATACTTTCAGACCATTACGGTCGCTCTCCTTTTGCTTGGAACACAATTAATCACTGCGTTGAGAATCGCGGGCGCTTTCTCTGTTATTGAATATAATCCCCTGCTCATCGCCAGTCAGGATTACTATAAAGGTAGTGCACAAGTCGTCAACGGCGGCGTGGCCGACCTCTTCGGCGGTTCCAACATCGACCTCGCAGGCAACGCCGAGACTCAGGCGCTACGACAGTACGCCACCCACAAAAACCTGCGGATCATCTACACAGTTGTAGAGGTGGCGTACCGCCTAGCAGCGAGCAAGAAGGCCGGCATCGTCCTGCCCGCGAGCCTCAAGGGGAAGAAGATCGGCACCATCCCCGGCACATCGGCCGCCTACTTCGTGCAGCGCTATCTCGCCAGCCAGGGCGGTTTGCGTGATACCGACTACACGACGGTCTCGGGCAGCAACTGCAACGCGCGCCCGTGCGGCTCGGGGACCCTGCCCTACATGCTCGCTCGCGGATCCGTCGACGCGGTCGGCATGTGGGAGCCGACGCTCGAGCTGGCGATCGAGGGGCTCGGGTCCACCGACACTGCCGTGGTGTTCCAGAACGCGTCCGTATACCGCGAGATTTACAACCTGTACACGACGGCCGAGAAGCTGAGGGACCCCGGCACGCGCAGGGATATCGTCGCGTACCTGCGAGCGCTCGACCAGACGGCCCAATTGTTTGCCAATCGCTCCGAGACCGTCATCCCTCGTGTCGCCAAGACGATGAACATGGATGAGACCCTCGTCAAGGACGTCTGGCCTGTCCATGACTGGAAGGGTGGGCTAGCGCCTGATTTGCTCGACGTGCTTGTAGCCGAAGACCAATGGGTGGCTAAGGTCGATGGGCGAAAGGCTGTTTCTAGGGCTGACCTGGCGATCATCGTTGACCAGAGTGTTCTCCAGGAGGCTAGGTCTAATTCGAGCACGGTGTAGTATGAGGTAATCAACAATACCAATGATACAAATACATCGCCCTTTCAAAAACTGCTTGAGAAGCTGTGCCTTCAACTCTAGGTGATATAAAGACTACCGAATTATCACAACCATCTTTCCATGGAAACCCAAAACTTCAAATAGTATACGCCAGCAAATTACTAATTTAGTGCTCAGATTGACTATAATTATTATTTTGTGCCGCGACCCTACACATGCAGCGAAGCTTGTTTATGTTATAAAGCAAACGCAGCCCAACAATATTTGCTCAGCACTACCTCGAGTTGTGCGAGCATAGCTCATAAGCTGGTTGCTATCAGTCGGTATCAGCGTCTCATCCTTAAGATTTGACCGGCTTTTTCGTATGGCATACAAATGTTTATACAACGGATGATAACCTCTATGGGTGGTAACCTAGACGAAACAGAAGACATGTTCGTAGAGTTGAACTCTACCAGCACGATTCATAGAACGTAAACACATCATTTAACATCGAAACAGCCCCAAGGTTAAAATAGCGGTGTTGCTATGACTAATCGTGGAGAAGCATCTGCCACAAACTTTATGCACACAGTTCATGCAGCGGAGTTGGAAAGTTCCTCGCTCTTTCCAGAGTCCTCGATGACTAGGTTTATGCGTCTTTGGTGGCGAGCTAGGTTGTGATTCAGTAGTACAAATGATGGGATTTGTTCATTTTGATAGTCGCTCTGAAGCGGTTATGAATGAGCCGCTGCGGATCGTAACTTGACGATCATCTCGTATATGGACTCTAGATTGGCTTCCGAGGCGCCATGTTTTAGGGCTTTCGAGCTGTAGTGTTGACATGGCAGCTATTTCGTCACAAGGCATTCCATTCTGTGTTAGAAGCCTCTGTCGTAGTATCGCACTCCACTAGACTAGACGATTCTGAGCAAGTGCTTGACGTGCGATATAGCCACTCCTGATTGAAACTTTTGTTGATATAATAGTTATGGGTGGCGGCATTGAGCCGCATGGTCACGGTCCCTCCTGAACTATGATTTGCGATTTTACCATAAGAGAATAAGAATCGCCTTTAGAATAAACAAACGAAAGTCGCGCTATCTTATGTGGTAACATAATCTGCGTTCCCTCAGTTACCTGCTTCGTCTAATTTGCCGAAAGTTCAGAAATGGGTAATAATGCTGCCAGAAAGCATGAGTCTGTCATTAGAATATAGTCGAAGCTAGCGCAATAACGACCCAATGTGTCGCCGACTTTTCGTCCTTGAGTGGCGTCCAGTGCGCCGTGAACACTTCATCTCCACGGAACCTCGCGCTTCGGCGTGTTTGCAAGCGTAGCTCGACACTAATGGGGTTACCTGACCGGGTGGCATTCCGGACTTTGCTACGATAGTCTGTCTCCTTGGTGACCATATTTTGCCTGAAAAAGCGAAAGACCTCTTGTCCTGTTATCAGACCAGTGTTATTAGCAGGGTTCAGAGCTTCTAGCACGCCTTCCGAATAGTATGATATAATGAAGGTATCAGCCCGAACCACAAGGTATTTTGAGTATGCCGTGTGGAATTCCTTGATCTGCGCATCTTGGTTTAGGCCTTCCATCCGATGCAAGACGCTGTGCTCCATTCCCGATGGGCCGATTGAGGCTTTAGCTTCATCTACACGGACACCAAATGCCTTCAGAAAGGCTTTTCGTGCCGATGGCAGACCGGGTTGTTTATGAGCGGCTTGATTTGACATGCTGCTCGGTTGGTCTTCCTCCTCACCCAGTGCAGATACTGATAGAACTTTCATGATGTCGGCATTGCTATGTATGGTCGTCGAGCAGTTGACTTGAGCTCCGATGAAGAAGGCCAGCTTGCCGTTCCCGTCAAACAGTGGTGCTAGTGCTGATTTTAGCTATAGTTCTTGTAGATCCCAAACGAGGAAAGGGAGGCCATACCAACGTAAAGAAGATTCCAGAACGGGTCACCATTTTTCTTGTAGTTCAAAATCAACTCGACTGATTCACGGCCTTCAGTGATCCCTTGTTTGAGTCGCCGGACAGGTTTCCTATCTGTTTGTACTCCTTGGAGAAACCTGCAATTGCGAGGTACAATCTCCGGACGGCTGTAACCTGTCACCTTTACGAAGCCATCCGAGGCAAAGACAATGGGGTTGTCTGCTTTGCTGTAGAGAGTTAGATGAAGAGTACTGTATGCCGAGCGCGGTTACACTCACTTGGGATCGGTCAGACAGAAACAGTCGCCCAAACCAGCATACTTGTGGCGATCAGTTGCAAGTGCTCGTGTTGCACTAAGTGCAAGTTGATGCCGGACGAATCTCGGATAAACATCAGTAAAAACGAGGTCCTCGATTCTTGCCTGCATGTCCGTAAATAATCTACCCATGCCCGGCAGAGTTTTTTGCGCGAGAACTTTGATATCTTTGTGAACCGATCGTATCACATCATGAGGCACATCGAGTTGAGTGGCTGAATCTGTTGAGATGAAGCCTTTGTGCATTGAACTCAAGACATTGGTAAGGGTAGTCAGAGCTTTCTGATACTCGTCAACCTGGGTTTTATGTTAGCTGTTCAGCTCCCAATATCTCGGGTTCGAGCGTCAAGGCCCACCTTGTTCAGGAACTCAATATTTTCACTGCACATGACTGTCTCGCTAAACTTGAGAAGCTGATGTGCAGTGGTCACATTGTGGAGAGCCAACTGAAAAGTTTCGTAACTGAAGAAGTCTGGCCGGGTTCCTGATCTGAAGCTGGCAATACTGTGTCTATCGGCTGGAAGCCTCGTAGATAGAGAAAGTGTATCGTCACTGAACATCCTCTTCGCCGAAGATCGAGGCCGGTGGGAAACAGCACTCACAGTAAGACTGCTGTGCCGGGGGACTCGGTTGGTTCCAGCGTCTGCGTGTAGTTGATTGTACTTCTCTAAAGGGTTTGCCTCTTCGCGAATTTCATCGAACTCTCTAACAGACTCTTGGCGCGACCTTGGTCGATTGCTGCTTCGCGTGCCTGGAGGATACAAGCCAGACTCTGTGCCTGTCGGTAGTTGAGTCAGCGTGGCAGTGCGGCCATTCATTTGTTGAGTATGTCGGTGTGAACTCCTTCTCGACTGATAGCTGACCAGGCTCGCTTGGCTCTGCCTCCGAGATACAGGAAGAAAGTGGGCTGCATCTTGCGGCAGTACCACAGGCTCTGACGATGGCGGTGCCAAGCTTCGCGCTACGCTCCCATCTCCTGATCCATGATCAGTCCTTCTTCGCCTCCGTCCAATCGGTGGCGGTGTTGCGGAACGATCACTCTGCATCGACGGCTGCCGTTGATGAGACGAATCGGAGTTGATTTTCTCGGCCGCCGCGAGAAGTCTACGCGCCCCTTCCAGCTCCTCAAAAGCATTCTCCGGCAGCGCAGTGCTCTCGCTAACGTCAGCATCTCCAAAGTCACTGCTGCTTCTATTGCTTTCGGCCCTCAGCCGCGACGATCGGCGTTGGGGAACAGGAATCCTTTGTTTAGACGAGGATCTCACACTACGTCTCTCTGGACTCTGTGCAGACGTATCCGATGAGTTCCCAGGATTGCCTCGACCAGGTCTGGGCATAGGTGGCAAATCGCCAAAACTACTCTCCTCATCATCTCGAATAGACGGCGCACTCGAGATGAATCCTGAGCTGGAAATACTCGTCTGCTTCAAATGGTTTCTACTCGAATGTAGAGAGCTGCTACGGCCTTGGCCGTCAGGGTCCCGCCGGGCTTTAGACGGGCGGATATCATGACCTGTCCCTTCTTTTGGTATGATCGAGTCGAATATGTCGTTGATTGGATCTGCAGGGTGGATTACATCACCAAAACTCCCCTGGGATTCCGGTCGACCGTTCCTGAAGTCTTGAAAAGCCTGCGTCCTCATAGTGGAGGACGTGCGGGACCGGGGGTGTAGCGTCATTCTCGAGGGTTTGCATGCGCTGCACACTGCCTCAAAGTCAAGCTACTATACAATACATAAGAGAACGACAGATGTATCACGGCAAGACAAATGTTTTCCAATCTTCCAAGAAAGGGGCGGGCGGGCATTGCGTCCAAGAGCGTCGCGCAACTGGCTTGAATTGCATTTTGTTTTCAATGGGTCTTCTTCTAAACTACATCGCTGAACCATGATGAGGTATATGACAACTGATAACACTAACTGCTGCACTGACACTTCAACGATGGTTGGCAGTTCAGTGTTTCGTCTTGATTAATTCCTCGTGGCGGCGGATACTGGAGGTGCTGAGCATGGGTTATTCAGTGGATCGCCATGCGTAAATGGCACGGCTTTAGTGCCAGGTCCAGTTAGTGGATTGATCCTCATGTTAAGCGATTCGGTTCCTTTGACCCCAGTGTTGGTGTTGTGGAATGGAAACTGAGGATGCTCGTGTCAGTCCGCATGCAGCCCGATGACTTGTGTACATAGATCGGACCCCAGATCCTTCATCATTTAGTTCAATGTTTTGTTCTGATTGCATGTTCTAGAACTAATCTGCCTCACAGTCAAGCTCATCCATGACCATGCAATCTAAGCATGACCCATAGCTTAAAGTAGGTATCCGGTTCGTCAGGTACTACCCCACAGCGAACACCATGCACTGAGCTCTAATTGTTCTCCATTGGACTTAAACAAACTGCCCATCTATTGATTTCCATCATTCTGCAATATTAATAAGCACGAAACCCCCTGCGAAATGCCACGGGATAAAACTAATAAGTATAGGCTCAAGACAATGTGCGATAGTTAAGTGTAGTGTAGTCTCATCTCTGGCGCCGCTACGCCGTAGACTTTGTCAATTGAACTTTTCCTCCCGATCATATCGCAATCTCTCAGGACATTGCTTTCTTCGATCAACAGTACGGATCATATTCCCAGAACTATAATCACAACACGGGGTATATCAATGAGGCCCGTATAATGCAACTTTTCATACACAAGTTGTAGAAGATCTGAAATTTATCGAGCAGGCCTGATACTTACTTGAAGTAGGATCACCTTCGTACCGTATTTAGATGCCATTACCGTAGTCGTGCACGGAGCAAGCCTTAATTAATATACATGCGCACCCAGCCTAGGGCAACGTGTTTGCTAGCGTGAAAATCTAGGCAGGATATCTCTTGACAACGAGACTGAAAGGGCAGATTGACAGATCTGATGATGACGCTGTCATGCCTGAGTACCTAGTCGCGATGTGCGATTACCTTCAGCCGCAATAATCACTTGGGTGGTACCATTACTAACCTTAGTGTATCGCGATACCCCATTTCGAATGACTTGGAGCCTGAATGAAAGACGAACATATCAAGTGGATATATATGAGAAGCGCGAAGAGAGCGCCTGACTGGATTCAACCAGTTTTGAATATAAAATCACAATCTGTATTAGTGAGTGATTTCGAAGTCGATCATAGACGGTTACATGTGGCGATAATACTGGAATACTGCTGCGTACAAGTACGAACAAAAGAGCTATGACTTCAATAAGGTCAGAGCTTCAGCTAATAAGTCAGTGGGGTAGCGCTACGTCACGGGGCTGAACTTTAGGTTCTGAAACTAGCGGACCTGTCACTCGCTTGCACTTTCACTTCGAAGTTCTGGCTCGACGCGTCTATCATTTCAAGCTCACTAGCTTTCACTGTTGCAATTTCATTCACACAACTATGGAGTACTTGGACGAACAACAGGTACGCTGTCTCCAACGGGCGCAATGGCCGATTTCAGCTAACCGCAGGCATAGGTGAAGGAGCTAGTGTTGGAGCGTTTAAGGGTTCATGCGGACATCAAACAACCGATGATCAAGAAGATAAGGTATCGCGTCACGGCAGCCGATTACTTCAGTCGAGATGACTATCAAGGTGGCCTTGTACAGGAAGGTGAGAGACACTATCGCAAAGATGGCACTGAGCACACATTTGAGCACGTGTCCCTTGCAAAGTTGCTCGAGTCTGCAGAAGCCACAATTGGATGGGCAGTGAAAGAAAGCAATCGTACGATGGTCTTTGAGCGAGTGATGGATGATATACCTGGCAGAAAAGAGATTCCAGTTTGGGATAAACCAATTGTCACTCCTAGTGACACCATTCAGACACCCTTTTCGGAGTCTCGGCGGGTGAGTCTTTCTGAATCATGAGATAGTTTTGGCCCAAGATTATTGAAACATGGACAGCGACGCAAGTATAGAAAAACCAACGAGAAGATGCTAGCGGATCTTGCGGCTGCATCAAATCTGGGCAAAGAAACTATAAAATCTTTGGCCCTCAGCATCACCTGGAGTGACGCATATGGCGACGGAACATGTGCCATGTCGTTGTATAATAACGTTATCACTGGTGGTCGCTTAGGCAGGGACCACAAGCTTGAAGATGTTCCCAATCATTACGCTAGGGACATGGTCATGGATTACATCAACGACACGGTCGCTGAGGAATTCAGAGACAAAGCTCGAGCGGCCGTCTTCTCAGACTTAGACCCTGAAGAAATTGAGGAATATTGCAGGATCAGGCAGGAGCGGAAACATAATATTGAACGTAAAGGATTCCTCCGGGGCATTGAACGCGGATTAATACTTTTGGTTGAACCTACCGAGGAGCATATACGGAAGTTTGAGGAGAAGATGGAAAGGATTGAAAAACAGCACAACATCCTGGAGGACAAGAAAAACGGTGTCACTACCTGGCAAGAGACTGAAACCATCTTGAGTCAGCAGGAGGCTTTCGACGCTATCGATGACAAGGTCGATATGAAGCCTAAAGAGAAGTCTCCTTACACCCCTTCTCATCACCTCACCCGCTCAGTAATCACACCTGGCTTGATGGCAAATGATGAAGAAAGGCAAATAGAACCGCCACACTTTTTGGATCGGGATTGCGATCAAGTCCGAGTCATGATCAAGCGCTTTACCAGCGAAGGAGGGTGGTCCGTGGATGACTTTAGACAAGCTCTCGAGGTAAATCGTCCCAGGTTAACCGCATTTCTCCGGAAGAGGGGCCCCAGAGACGGAATCAAGACAAGGGTTTTTCAACTAAGCTTGGAGTTCTTTTACCGCAGAGAGGAGCTTGGCCTCCGCTTTACGCGGCCAGAAAGCAGCGTGTTGAAAGAGTTGGATCTGAACAGTGGACCGAAGCGGCGCCGCAGTGGCAAATACAACTACGCTCCCAATGAGTCGCCTAAGGGGAAGCGCACAAAGGCTCAATAGGCTAATGTATCGAGCCCGACTATAGATGCGGCGCCTGCTAAGGTTTCAGTTAACCTTGCAACCACGTCTGACATTGTCTGGCTAGAATGCAGTTGACAGGCCGAACCGCAGCCTTGTACTGTACAAGAAATCACGGTAGCGGCGCACCGTTTTTATGCTCACTCAAACGTGTTTTGAACGTCGGCTTCTATCGGCAATATCAAATTGGACTAATTTAATTTCGCTTGCACGCTCGCGTACTGTCTCGTCTTATGCTGGAAGAAGAATTGAGGAACTTATTTGTGACAAGATAACAGATTGATAAACGGTTTTGGGCAGGTTATTGTTGAGTATGAGAGAAGTACAACCAACAGGAATAAGAGAGAATAGAAATATGGTGGCTAAGTAACACATCTGGAGTCCTTCTTCTGCGAAACTTGCCTAATATACAATTTGTGTTCATTATACCATCGGTAATGCCGTTATGGCTTTGGATTGTTTTGGCTATATATATCATATGTTCGATATGCTATACACTTGTGCAGTGTTGATCTGCATCTGTTACGTCGCTCCATGATGGTGCGGAATAACCACGACGTACCATGTACTGCTCAACTCTTGGTACGAGATAACGTCTTGCATGGTTCAATCGAATAGACGGCTCCGCTGAGCTGGATATGCTCCATGGAGATCACATCCGTATCCTAGACTGCAAAGCTTCCTTCTGGATCCCGATCGAGGTACATTAATTCCCCGAAAGTCGACATCGTACCTTTGACAAAGGCTAATTGCTGCTTGAAAGACTTTACGAAAACTACTCAGGCCCTGGTCTTACTGACCCGGGGTGACAGGGTTCATGAATGATGCCTCGCGTTTCCTGAGAGCATTGGCGGTGTATGCATGGCAAGCGAGAGGGTACTATTGAGGGCTTTGTAGGACGAAGAAAATGAACACAAAAGTATCTTCAAAAGCTGCGAGTTGTCTTTTGGCGAACCACTACGCAGCCGGTGATTCTCCGGCCACTGGAGTGTGCATGCCAGTTGAGGCTCGAGAAACTGTCGCCATCATGTAGTTTCATGCCGGGAGAAGGCCATTATCGCGCAAACATCAATGTTTCTGGGTTCTGACATTGAAAAAAAGTAAACGTTTGGTACTCATGAAACATTCTGACGCCAGATTTCTTGAATATATCCGCTCTCCGGTCTCGGACAGCTATTGTGGATGTATCTGGGGACAACAGAGATGCCGTATTGCTATCTGGTAACACCACGTAGAGATATGCAACGGGAGCATGGATTACAAGGAATGATTATAAGGTGTTTTAGGATAAGTAGCTACCATGCCACCCATCCATCTCTGTCGTGGGTTTCGATACCTTGGACCAGAACTTCAAAATCCAAATATGAAGTCGGGTTTACCTTCGAACCATTCGTCCCAGGTGACATGTCCGCCATTTTTCTTCTTCTTCACACTTGCGGCCCAGTAACCTCTCAGCTCATCCGCTGCCGAGATAGGGCCCAGAGTACCGCACGCTGTGCCGACAGTTTCTAACCCATGTGCTACAAAGTTCTGGAACCCCTCCTCTGCTTGGTCCAGCTCCATACCGCACACAAACATCGGAAAATAAACCAGTTTGCCGAACTGGTGTGCATTGGTCGCATCTGAGAAAATTGGGGTTAGACATTCTCTCAGTGCCCGACTATGTTCTAGGCGCAGTGCTTCCAGATTAAGATATGGAGTATCCTCGGTATAGAGGAAATCCTTATCCTCAGGCAGGTCGAGTATCAGTGTGCGAATGGCGTACAGGACGATTGCCGAGCGGTAAACGACAGCAATATTCAACCACAAGTCTTCGATCAAAGCGGTTGGCTCCGGTGTTGCATTTGTTTCCATTTGGATTTTAGTTGAGTGCTTCGTCGTGGTGGGAGACGTCCTTGGGGCCTGTTGTCCTCTCGATAACGGCGGAGTCTTCCTACCAGACCCAGATGTCGTCACATCAAACTCGACGCCATCTCCGCTCGGCTTCCAGCCTCTGAAGCTTTTCATTTTCATGGCCCATTGTGGAGCATTGAACGCTTGTACTTTATTCAAGACCATCCAGGTCCCTGCATGTCGCCGAGAAGTGAGATTGGATTTCTTCGAGATAGCGCGAAGGTAGTTGACTAATATTAGAACTTGGAATAATTCTTCTGGGCAAGGGGCACTGATAGCGTAATTCGACTGAAAGATTCCAGGCGCTGCTTCCCAGTAGTGCAAGGCCATGGTCGTAGCAGCATACATGTGTCTGTGGCTTGAAGGGGCCGTCGTTGCAGACATGACATCAATCCTGGAGACTGTGTCAGTTGTAAACCCACCTCATAACCTTGTTATGGATGACTAACGCAACAAAAAATGCCATGAGCGGCTTAAAGAATGGATTCTGCCCAATGACTTCTTTCAATCCGCCTCTGAGTTGGATAATACGTCGAGCACCTTCCAGATGCGCCCTCCAGTCTCCATAAGCCGATTGTTGCATCTGGTCCAAGTGGGTCAGCCTCGACCGAAAAATATATCGGGCACTCTTGACTTTGAGACATACCGTGGATAAAAGCAGACATATGACACACATCAGAGTGGAATCACTTGTCTGTGTATCTTCTTTACTTAATCTGTTGTTCACTTCTTGAAGAGCCCGAAGTCTGAAGGTATAGAGATCATGCTCTCGCTGTACCAGCGCAGAGGATCTTACGAACGCTGGATCTTCCTGCATGGTACGATGCACGATAGCAGTCGTGACAAGCAGATTGACGTAAATGCGCTGTACCCCAAGAATCAGTCCCATTGATGAATAAAACCCATCAGCCAAACACGGGATGAAATCTTCAACGAGCCTGCCATTTTGAACCTACCGGTATCTTGTCCATGCTCGACAGCGGTACTTGATAAGGATTGGAATGTGTTGCAATGGAAATCAAGTCATTGCTGACGCGATCGTTGACTGTGAACCATATCAGCTCAATACTGCCTATCAGCACGCATGACGTGTGTCCTATCGACTTGCTTACAATAATGAAGGCCATCAAAAATTATTTGCGCCTCATTGTACAACTCGGGTACGGGATCGTACACCAGACTCTCATTCATGGAGTCCGGAACGTGATCTGGGTGGAGCCTCGCGAGGACACCTACCTTGTCTCTGCTGGGTCTCTGCGTGGTCGTATAGCCGGGGCACGCGAAGCCTATGGACTGACATTGCGAACAACATGGCCGGGCGCCGTCACATCGAACGCCTCGATAACGACATATCCCACAGCGTACGGGCATGATCTGTCTACCTTGGTTGAGGTTCCCGTTGATCTCATTTTTGCTCCCTTCGCTGCTGAATGATGCGATTGGCAGCGAAGGTTTTGTCAAACCACTCCAGTGCCAGTTTTGGTTGTCGGTCACGAATGTCGCCCAAGTTCGCAGGAAGGATTCATGGAGATACCGGCTGTGCCCCTCAGCAGAGCCTCACGTAGGACAGGACGGCAAGGGCCTATGTTCAATAACTCCACAGCGTAACAGGGATTGGGCAAGATACGACCGGGATTCCGCCTCCGCGGTTCAAAAGCCGACACGCTGAGAACCATGTTACTATAAACAATTCGCCAGATATATGATAGACATAGGCATACCGACTTTCGCATGATGCACATGTTCCTGAAATGGATTTTTGTGTATGCGCACTTGCGTTGTTGTGTTAATGCAACGCCATGATTATGGATAGACGGCAGAGAATCTAGAGGCTAACATCCGAAGCTATAAAGATATTTATATATGCTGAAAACCGAGATGAGCAAATTATAGGACATTGCGACCGGAAGCAGCGCATACACGGTCCACCAAAAGCGCCAGTGGAGCTCAGGTTCTTAGCGACAACTCACCACCGGTGAGATACTACTCCGAGCTTTTGTCAATAATTCAGTCAGCGTGGCATTGCTTTCGAGAGCCTATCAGTCCGAAGCGCGCTCGCCGACAATTCCCGGGAAAGCTGTGGCAATGAGTGAAGAATGCTCAGGAGTATACCGCTGATGCTATATTTCCAATTACTAATTATCATTAAACTCAAGGAAACGGTGTCGCTGAGGTCGGTTCGTTAGTGGGGCGCACCAGACCCGACTGATTACCTAAACAGCTGAGATTTTTACGCGTTTTCATTCATACGGTCAACCACAACGATCGTGCTTCGAAGGCTCGAAATATTGGCAACTAGACTAGGAGGAATATATGGCAGTTCTTGATGCACGATACAAGGTGCAAGATGGTGGAGCTAGAGCGCGCCGCCCGTTGCCGGGCTAGAGGTTGGGTATCGGCACTTGCCTGTTTTGGAGGGACAAGACCCTGGAAATTCATCCTGTTTAAGCTGGCGGAGCTGGCGGAAAAGTTGCGTCCCGCGCATCAACCCGCACCGACCTCTAGCGCTAAATGCTTTGGAAAGGAAAAAGGAAAGAAGTAGAAACCAAGACGATAGTGGCCCGTCACAATGCAACGGGCCAGAGTCTATTGCATTGGAAGGCTACACTAATCATTCTCTCGTGATGGAAATCACCTCACGTGCATACGACACGGAAAAAGCGGCATCCGCACTGGTTGTGAAGCAGCTGGCGCGTCACTAAGACTACTTCCTCTCAAGTGACGAACCGGTGCGGTGTTGGCGCGCAACATGAAATGAGCATCAGAAGATTTGCGAAATCAGACAGCAAAGTTTCTGGGCTTTAGCACAGGCCGTCTCATCAGTGACGTAAGGCGCCGATGCTTTTTGATGACCATCACAGACCTCGAAGGAGCAGCTAGCTGGAACGAGGTAGCAGCTATGCTGTAACGGGCAAGAAGCTATCGAACAATGCTCGTGCGTGTCGTCATACGATCCACCCCGCCGGCAACCAAATCCTGGTCCAAGAATTGGAATTCAATATGAAGATGGAATTGGACCGTGCTGCTTGGCTGAAAAAAGGTGGAAAAGCTGGAAAAGTGCTTGGAGTCCAGGTGAAAAATACATACATACATACAGTAGTTGGTGACGATGCACATCCCCGCGGCCATTACTCATATGGCTCCGCTGCCCTCTCCGTCCCGCCTGACTTTCCATCTTTTTTTTTTTCCCTCCAGTCAATCGTCAATCTGAAACTTGATAATCCTTCTTAATTCCTAATATAGCAGCGGCTATAGCTGCAAGCTTCGTTACCTCGCCTACGAAATTCGTCAGTCCACAACACCTTCAGTCCAAGCTCTGAGACAGAGACATTACAGGTATGCGGTTTTCATCACAACAACAGAGCACGGATGTCCGGACTTTGGTCGCTTGAGACCACAAGGCTCGAGACTATGTCATCAGTCGTTTTCCATCATTCTGACAATTGTTCTTTCAGGCGACCAATCTCCCGCCAAACGGCGTCGTCCGTCGCAGTACGACTAAACAAACCCTGAGGATACGCACACAACCCTCAAGATGGCGCTCTCACACGCAGGCCTCAGCATCGCGTCGATGCTCCTCCTCGCCGGAAGCATTGTGTTGATGTTCTTCGTTATCCTTGCCGGCGTATCGAACACGACACCGCTAAACAACACATACTTCCTCAGCGCCGACACTTCGGGCATCACCGGCGCTCGCGACACCACACAATGGACATACTTCTACATGTGCGGCCCTGGCAACCAGGACTGCAGCAGAGCGTGGCCTGCGCCCGCTGTCGGTTGGGCTTGGGACGCGAACCCAGCTAACGCTCCTGCTGAGCTCGTCGGCAACCACGGAGGCGACACCACCAGCTCGTACTACTTTTATATGTGGCGCTTTGGTTGGGTCTTCTACATCATGTCCGTCTTCTTCGCTGTTTGCGCCTTCTTCACCGGATTCTTGGCATGCTGTGGACGCCTCGGATCGGCCGTCGCTGGTTTCGCGACTGCTGTCGCGCTGTTCTTCTTCACCATCGCCGCCTCTTTGATGACCGCCGAGTTTGTCAAGGCACGCAACGCGTTTATCGCCGCCAACCGCACTGCCACCATCGGCACATATGCTTTCGGTTTCACTTGGGGTGCCTGGGCTGCCTTGTTCATCTCCATGATTCTCTACTGCATCGGTACCCGCGCTGGCAAGGACAAGTACAGCAGTGGTGGCAGCCGATGGGGCCGCCAAAAGAGTGTCCGTAGCCGCCGCAGCTACGACATGGGCAGCCGCCGCGTTAAGGATGACTACTCATAAAGGACGGAGTAATAATACCATTCCAAAAATAAAGAAGAAGAAAAAAACGACCCAAGAAAATCTGAAAGTCGATACAATTCTCGACACAGCTACTCAATGAACAAGGAAGAACTGCTCAAGGGGGGCAATGCCATCAACAGTTACGGCAATGATTTACATGATTTGTACTGGCGGCTGGAAATATGCATCTGGCGGCGTCGTGTGGGTTTGCTTGTTTAATATGATTTTTGCGGTCATGTCAAGAAGATGATGTAATGGAAGTAATTGATACCAACAAGAGCCCTTCGCTAGAAATGAATATAACGCATCAAACATCAAGACCAACCAAATGTTTCATATGCGAGATCAATGGTGAAAGAGCGCATTATGCGGACAGGAAAGAACTGCGTTAAATGGCCAGGATCGATTTGAAGGAGCGCTTCTACATTTGAATGATCGGATGACCATCACGAAACGCGCAAACCATCGTCTCTCAGCGCCTATGAGACCTATGTTCACTCCTTTGAATCAATTCATTGCCCTTACTTTAGTCCGAGTCAGATGAAGAACCCGGTAAAGAATCGCCGCCCGAGTGAGTCGAAGAAGTGCCAGATCCTTATGCAGCCGGGGCTGCTGCTGTCTCTCCAAGGCCGTTGATGCCGTCAAAACTAGCTGCAATCTGGCCACGTCTTGATCCCAAGCCAGCGGCATTCCATCTTGAAGCCTTTGCAGGTCTTGCATATGCAAAATATCCACCTGTCACCCTGCACCTCGTAATGCGCTCCATGTTCAAACGTCATACAACAGCACCGGGGCGGTATTGTCCCCTTGACGCCGAGCTTCTCATTGTACATGCGCATGTCCTGGCACATGGCAGAGACGACGGCACGCTGAAATGCGGGCACGTCCTCCAGAGCAGCCTCGAACTCCTCGCTCCGCAGTACGGTATAGGCCGATTTCCGGACGACGTCCAGGAACGGCTTCCGAAGTTCGTCGGACTGTGGGAGGGCGTCAGAGTAGGCCTTCTGGACCCCGGCGAAGTAGTCTGGGAGTTTGTATGTCTGCAGGCTTCCAACCTGCTCGTAGACGCACAGGGGGGCGACGTAGGAGATCGGGGAGAGACGTATCGTGACCTCTTCGATCGCGCGGCTCCGGAGGTAGCCAATGTCGAAGAAGTCGCCCAGCTCGTACGCCTCGCAGGTGGCTACCAGCGGGTTTTGGTCAAAGCCATCGGGTGGCAAGGCGTCGAAGCACGATATGTCGCCTGCGGGAAGTTGAGGTATCAGTCACTCGTCCCTTAGAAAGGATCGATGGGAGGGTTGTCGGCACTTGCGTACTCACCATCGCTATACAAGTACTCGAGCAGCCACTCGATCTTTACCGAGGGTGTTTCCGAGATCGTGACGACGCCTGTCTCGGCCTCCTGGTTTTTGTGCGAGCCTCAGTTAGTGTGGTTGTGCCATTTAAACGTTGAGTGCCATGCGGAGTTTTAACAAGTAATATCGCTATGTAGGCAGAACCCTCATCAGACTCACCTGGAAGCGCCCGTTCAGGACCTTGTCGAACCACTTCGAGCGGCTGCACACGATTGCTCTATGGACATTCCAAGTCTTGTCGTCCTCTCCGCACTTGACCAAGGCGTCCGCAAAGTTGCTGGACATGAAGAGTCTTTCAATCGTTTTTATCGTGTTAGCAGAGCTGTGGCAAGCGGTTCATCTGCGTATGGCAAGAAATCAAACACAAGAAGTGATGCTTACTCCGAGAATGAAGACCATTTCGAGGGCGCCATGATGCCCTGCGGTATCTCAAATAGTCACGGCTCGATGTGGTGCTTGATGCTTGTTGGTGAGGTGGCGTGAGAGGTAATTAAATGGAAGTGGCAATTGTGTGATTTGCAAGTGATTATTTTGTTGTGTTGATTGTCCAGCCCGCGACATCAAACCCAGGCAAGTTCTAGGGTCTCGCGCAATTCAAAACACTAAAAAAAGCACCCAAGGGCAAAGAGAACATGCAGCCATTGCCAAGTAATAGATGCGAGATTTCGCTTTACTGTTGTCCATGGTCGCCGAAGGACGCAATAATGTTTCTGACGTTCTACCACTGATTCTTTTGTCAATAAATACGGAGCATCTGTGGCTTATTCTACGAGTTCTCCCCTCATATACATTTGATTCACGACCTGAGACCAATTGGCCGTTTGGCACAGACACTGGCCAGGAAGCCCATTCTCAACCATGAGGCCTTTGTATATCTGCATGTCCTCGAACATGGCTGAAAGAATGTCGCTCTTGAAGAGATGTTGTTTCTTCAATGTTTTGGAGAAAGTCACTGTCGCGCAGCACCGCATAGGCAGTTTTGCGGACAGAGTTGATCATTATCTTACACAAGCTCTCGAAGATGACGAAGCGAGCTCCATATAGACGGCTGACAGCCTCGGTGACTTGTTTGTGTGCTCTCGTCCCATCTCATCATCCACGTCTGTTCCCCGGAAGTGCTCTCGTATAATGACGTCTGACTTGTTTGGGTGACGTGTTTTTGTCCACGGAAACGCCTGATTGGTCGCCATGGGGAACATGAAATCGATTTTCTTGTCGAAACGCTCGGATGCCGTTGAGCACATCTGCTCGATGTTGTAGAAACTTCCAATTTATAGACATCAATGAGAGGTGTCCTCTGGGATTTTATTGTGAATACACAGAATGTTGCTGACTATAGGTGAAACTACAGAGGTGTCGTGTCTTGGCAGGTACATAAGGTCATCATCTGCAGCCGCTCGAAGTGGTTTGAGAAGGCGCTCAACGGCCGATTTCAGGCAAGTCGAACGGCAAGCGCGAAATCCAAGCTCAGCAGACTAATGATGGTTCGGAAACAGGAAGCTCAGACAGGTATTATTACGATCACGGAAATGCCCGCATGGAAAATTGAGTGGATGCTTAGGATCATGTACGGGGAAGGTATGTTCACGATTGAGGTGCTTGGTCCACAAACTGATGCGGGTTGGCTGAAATTATTTTATGGAATCAGGACTAGGCATTAACGATACTAGGGTAAATAGGTTTCCCGAGGATCAACTCATCGCTGTTTGTGAAGTCTTCGAGCTAGGCGACTTCTTCGACATCCAATGTCTGCGCGAGACGGCGGCCAAGTGGATGGACAATGAGCTTACCTGTCATTATCAGGCTTTCAAATTGTCCTTACGTCAGTTTAGAGATGGACCGAATCCAGAGCTATTTGATGCTACCCGACAGATCCACTGGACGGACCTGATACCAGGGTTCCGTCGGGTTTATGAACTTAGTGGCCCGCAATCCAAAGTTCTCAGGCAATGCTGCGTGTCTTACGTTCGAAGGCTCCAGTACAGAGTTCTTTACTACGAGGGATTCTTTGACCAGCTGAAGGAGGATCACGAATTCAAGAGCGAAATACTGTCTGCAATGTTGAGGGATCATCGCATCTATTATGAGCTGAAGAATGCCGCCGGTAAACACATCTATACAACGCTGTGTAGCTGCCCGGAAGAGGGCTGGCAATGGGTTGTAAGGTTGATACCGGACGGAGATGAATACAAATACTACCTTTGTGGTAAGTGTGGTGGTTTCCTGATGGACACGCGCGAGCTGGAGCAGAAGCTGCCTAAAGTTGTCTCACAAAGTTGACATCGTGCTCGAGCATGATGGGCACACTTGTTCTCACACTTGATTACAGCGTCCGAGAAGTTGCTAGACTCGAATAACCTGCGAACGGGTTTAGCAGGGGTTTTCGTATATCCTACTTGTAGAGATGGAGGCGTACTCGATGAAAGAAGCGGAGTCACCACCAGTCGTAGTGAGAGCCGTGGTAGTGCGTTGTTATTGTTAAGGAAGGATGTTAGGTTCATTGATGATGTATTTTCTAGTTGCTTCTGCTGCTGCTGCGAAGAGATCTTTCTAGATTGCTAACCTCAGGAATAGCTAGAAATTGTGGTTGAAGAAATGGAACAGCAAGCGAATCAAGGAAGTCAGATATCATCTGATGCAGAGTGTGGTTAGGTTGCAGACGAGCCTGTCCTCAGGTTTCTTGAAATTAGGAATGAGTTTAACTAGTAGTCCACTGTTGTATAGAACCCCAAGGCACAAACGCCCGAAATTCGTTCAGGGCAACGGCAGGTTTTCTATTATGCCTTCACTAATACAATATGGAAAACTGTTAAACGCACCGAGATTCCATGAGCGCCTTGAGTAGAAATCCAGTACTATAGGGATAGTATCATAGTCATGCTAGTCAATATCAGAGTTCATGTCGCTTCGTGGTTTATGTGTCATTAGAATTAATGCACTAGACATTCCCTACCGGTCTTAGTAGATAAGTGTTGAGGTGAAATGTACTCGTTGGTTGGCGGATTTTGAAGATATTGATTAAAAGTCGATCCATGCGAATGTGACTTGGCGGCTCCGTCTATCATGTGCTTTGTTAGAAGCGAGTGTATGTTGACTTAGAGTAATACTGGAAGGTGTACAATATATCCTATCTAATGGGCCAGGAAATGTTGACCAATGGCAATACACTCAGCTGAATAACTATAATGCCAGTTGTCGACAGCCCGCCCGGTAGCCGTACAATCAGAAGACTCAGCTTAAATGAGTCTGGATCTTATTGGGTTTAATGCGTCACTGCTGGGAAGCCATAAATGGAAAATAATAAATAGGGTAACAGTATGGGGTGGCATTTGTTGCATTGCTTCACCCACGTTGGTTGCGCCTCGTAACGAGGAACATCGATTCGCTCTAATCGCTTCGGCGAAATCAGTCTCTAGTGCGGCCTCGGGCCTTTCTCTTATTCTTTCTGCCTGCTGCTGACATCGAAGTCATTAAAAAAAAAATATCTTCAATGTCTCCTCTGTCTGATGCACATGGACTGAACTCCCTGCTGAATGCTTCCAACCCGCTCGGCAGAGCCTGCGTATCCTCGTATGTTCATTGGCCCTTGACATGTCCATTGCCTGATTGCCCAAAAAAGCTCTACTCGAAATCCGGAAAAAAAAAAAAGGGGGGGGGGGGGGGGGATGTTGCCCATTGAAAATCAAAGCGCACTCTACGCCATCCCAAATCGTGTACAGGGACGCCGTCTGTTGCCACCGTCGAATAGTCCATTCTCTCGTCTTCGTGACTCATAGCCTCATATTTCGCGACAGAGGAGATGGTGATAATAGCCGTGTGACGAGTGTTCAATCTGAAGAGTAAAGTAAATCGACAAAAAAAAAAAAGTTTGTACGCCGGCTTATGCTACATTTGTGTTCTTGTGAGGGGTTCAGATAGTAGAGACCATGTTGCATGCGGAAAGGCCCGCTACCCGCAGCTATTGCTCCTCGTTTGGTGTGGATGAGGACGGATTATCAGATCGAGTACTGGCCTCAGCTATCGGCATCAAAGAAGGATCGAACCGCCTATCGTAGTTTAGACGGGAGTCACCAAGGGGCTATTAGCTGCAGCGTCAAGAGGTGCCGCATGCAACGCAGGTTTCGGGACATCTTCGCCATACTGTCCGCTCGTCTTCTTCGCCAAGACGTCCTGAACCCAGGCGGCCACTTCAGGATCTTCCGTACCCGAGTTGCTGACGTCCATGTTGTTGGCGGCATTGGCTATCGCTTCTGCGCTTGCTTCATTCTCCGCATCTTCCTCATCCTCTTCTGTGATGGTTTCGGGCTTCGTCAAGTCCTTGATCCATTCGGCATTGAGGAGAGCTTGGTACGTCGGCCGCAGGTTCGCATTCTTGTTCAAACAGGACTTAACGAATTTGTGGGCCGTGGCAGAATAACCCTCCTCGGGCATTTTTGGAGGATCTTCATGTACAATTGCCTAAGGTAGAGCTAGTTAGTAACATGTGTACATCGAGTGCGTTCATCAACATACCGAGATCTGCGCGAAGATGGACACACTTTGAGCTGGTGTGTACGGATAGTGGCCCATGGCCATCTCGATGATGGTCAATCCCAAACTCCAGATATCGCTCTGGACGCTATATGTACCATCTGATGCGCCGCCCGGCTGATGAATACGCTCAGGCGCCATGTAGCTTTGACAACCTATATTTGTCCTCGCAATACTGGCCACTAGGTTTCCACTAACACCAAAATCGCAGATCTTGACTTGTCCACGAGAGTTTACCAGGATGTTGGTGGGCTTGACATCTCTGTGGATGATGTTATGCTTGTCCTTTAGCTCCTTCAAGCCCATAACTGTGCAGTAGGTTATCTTCCTCAGCACGTTCTCGGGGACACCTCCGGCGTAGAGCTTATCGATAGATCCACCATCCATATACTCGATACACATGTAGACGGCGCTCTCTTGGAAGAATGCTCCATAGAAGTCTATTATGTAGGGGGAGGCGCATTCGTGGAGAATGACCAGCTCCTTTAGAATAGTTGACAACTTGGCCTCATCCAGCTCGAGACGAATCTCCTTCATGGCCATGACGAGACCGCTGGTGCCACCGGCCTTGGAATCAGTTGGGGAGTCTGGAGTATCTGTCGGTACATGTGGGCCGGGTATATGTGACGACTTGAAACCAGACAATCCGGGGCCAAAGCGAGGCAATCTTGGCTTCGAATGTCGCACCTTGTAAACAACTCCGTAGTTACCCTTGCCTAGCTCATCGAGTTTCTCAACTTCGTCTAGGGACATCTTGAAGACGGAGCCATCTGAGAAGTTGACACCTTCGTTGGTGATGATAGCCTTGCCCTTGAACGTCAGATATCCCCTTTCCGAGTCAATGTATTCTTCGAACTGCTTCATTTGCGAGGGTGCACCTTGGCTCGACGGCTGCGGTAGTCCTCCCGGGATGGTGAGACTTGCACCTGGAGCGGCGCCTGCTCCCTCTTCAGGTGCAGCTGTCATGTTGCTCAACTTCAACCCGAACTTCCTCTTGCCCGCAAGGCCACCGCCGCCGGCGACAGGAATTTGGGGCATGGAGTGAGGGAACGCAGGCGCGCCTGGCCGTTGCAACGAAGGTGCTCCGGGCCTCTGCATGGTACCCGGCAAATGAAGGCCCCCGCTCGACGGGCCAGACATGGGGATTCCGGCGACAGGCGACTGAGGCGAGGCGGCGTTGGGCTGGGAGTTGAGGGGTGAAGAGCCCTGCCTCGAGAGATGGAAGGCCTTCATCTTGGCGTTCAGCCCGTCTGGCAGACGTCCGCTAGACATACCGGAGGACACGGGGGGTCTTCTCGCGCTCGACAGGACACCGAGTGGTGTAGACGAGGCGGACATGGGGTGGTGCGGTTTGTCAGGCTCGGATACAGACCGTAAGGACGGCATTCTCTTGGGCGCATCGCCGAGGATCTCGTCGAAGTCGGGCGTAGGGGTATCGGGAGTGTCAGGGGGAGAGCCCGGGGTTGGCGGCGTGTCGGCCATGTTTAAGGCTGGCCGGCTACTGGGGATTTGGGAGTGATAACAGGTTTTTGGTGCTGTGCTGCGCTGTGCTGTGTTGTGCCTTGCTGTGGGATGGCTGATGGTGTGGTGTGTGTAGATCGTCGATTCGCAGGTGAGCAGTCGGGTTGTTTGCTCCGCTGATGAGTGTTGATCAGAACCCCTCTTGACAGGTAATGAATGGGCGAACGCACAAGGCGAGTGGAGGATAGATACGGATACGGATGGATGCCTCGACACTTTCAGGTCTTAGCTACGGCAAGTCGATGCTGCTAACTCACGGTAGATAAGGTAAGTCAACTTGGCTCGGTACGTCAACTCAAACTTGCTTATCAAAAGTCTTTGGGGGACAATCAACGAGTGCTCAGGAGTGACTATAGCAGCAGTGATTTCCCGTGCCAGGAATTACAACGGCAGAAATTGCATTAGCTAAGGCCAAGGACAATCAACCTGACCAGTGGTATCGAATCGAGTATTTGCCGATCAATCATTGACCTCAAGTAGCTTGGCTTTGATTGAATCAACTGCAAAGTGGGCTTGTCTTGACCTGATTCCCGCCCGTGTCCCATGTCCATTCTCCCACTTGCTGCCCCTCAAATCCAAGCAGGCCCGACTCTACCCCAAGCTCCAAGTCGAAGCCCCGCCAAATCCAACGAAGCGCAGCCACAGTTGAAGACGTCAGTGAGACTTAAACTCGTTGAGAGACCAGACGAGAGTCGAGGCTCCATCAGCAGGCCGCCACCGCCTAGTAGGGGCACTAGCGGGCCTCTTACAGGGATCAAGACGCCGCACATGCGAGGGAAAAAAAAAATGCGTTATCAAGCCACGCAGACCCCACCACCTGTGCTAAATTTCCCCAGGACGAGTTGTTGCCGGCGTAGATCGCACATGGCGACGTCATCGCTCCAATCGTCTTGTCAGAGACGCAATAATTCTGCCCTTTGATCCAAATCACAATACCGCATTGTGGCAGACACCCTATTTCGCGCACTCGTTGCACATTCGCATCCGGGTAACCAGTCGCTGCACCTCCCTATTTCTGAAACTCGTCCTTCACAGCCCAGCCGTTGATCCGGGATCGACCTGAAGTATCCAGATTTTATCACGACTCTGACGAAGTTGTGCATAAAGCAGGATTGCTTCCGCCTGTCTCCATTCGACTACGGACAGATCTGTGGACCAAAAGCAGATCCGTCCATCCATATTTAGCAACCTTTATTGAGCCTACCAGCCTGCCGTATCCCACCTTGCCATTGAATCCTCGCTTGCTTGCTTGCTCACGACGAACTTGTCACAAATGACTGGGACTGACAGTTGCACATACCTGCTATAAGCGAGCTTCCCTGTTATTCCCACGTCTTGTCATCATCACCCAGCCTTTCCATTAACGTCCAAGATCCATCCATGTATGATGAATGTAGGGCCCATCTTGGCCACTTGCAAGCAGTGTATTCCGATCAAGGCACCACAGTCACACCAGTGCAGCTACAGGTCATAACCAGACACTTCTTTTACTATGCTCAAAGACTACTCGTGGCGGTCAACGCACATTACATACTTGAGCCACGCCTCACCGCTCAAACACCGCTCAACACTGCCCAGTAGCGCTTTTGCCTATGCATGGAGAGCCTGTGCAATTGAACCCGATAGGATTCACGAGGTTGTCACAGAGGTAGCCAACCGGCGATGTCGCGCCGTTGCTTGCCTTGATCAAAGTGGCATTCCTGATAGTAATGTCATGGCATGGCTTGACGGCGCTGCATTGGAAACTCGTCAGGTTAAGGGCAGATGCTGTCCCGTAGAAGTTTGCAATCTCGAAATTTCCAATCTCAAACTTGGAGTCTGTACAATTTCCCGCCGCACCTGCGAATGTTGTACACTGAGAGATAGTGAACGGCCCACCGCGGAAAGATGTGCCATACAGGTTTGTGAACGACAGGTTTCGGGCATCTTTGTCAACGGTCAGCATGGGTATGGTGTAAAAAACTGCTCGCTCGCATAGTTTGAGGTGCTACTCACAGCCCAAACCACCACCTCCTCCATTTGGTGGATAGTTGACCTGTTCGCCAGTCCATGTCTTGAAATATGCCTACGGTCTGTCAGCGGCTGATAGGGTCAAGTGCAAGGATATACCACTTACTGCGTGTAGGGTATTCTTGAAGCGGATGTTATCCGTCTTGATCCTTTCAATCGTCTCGAACTGGTCCTTGTATTGGCCAATACTACCGATCGCGATGCCTAGCCCATTGATAAAGTAGCTGTCTGTGACAGTGATATCGGTGGAGTTGGCTTTGAACGAGATGCTATCATCCAGGCTGACGACAGTCCAGTTGCGGAATGTCAAATGAGACGAGAAAAACGTGTCAGCACCGTCGGTATTGCCTGCCAACAATTAGTAACGGGATACTGCGTAGTTGACGAAGCCCCTTACCACTGGATGATCCATCGAGTGCGGTGTTGTTGACCAAGATGTTTTCGAAAAGCGAGTTGTGGCTGTGTATAATAGAGAAGGACCTGACAATCATGAGCTGTAGTCCTTCTGAGCGCCATCTCCCAGAGGATCACTCACCACATCTGGCTTCTAAGCAGATTCAAACCCGTTACTCGAGAGTTGGTAAGCCCGTCGAGGGTCAAGGCGTGCGGCCGACCCTTCATATTCGATACACCTGCAGCATACTTGTACCAGACACCACCGTTCCCGTCGAACGTGCCAGCTTGTTTGCAAGAACTATTAGCGTCTTTCCAACATGTTTACCAGTAGAAGCATCCCGTGGCGGAGACTCGCAAGGAAACAGAAGTCACGTCTTCATATGAGTGGTTGTGCAACGAAAAGTCAAAGATCTTAGCCACTCACAGCCATGGCCGTCAAACAAAATGCGGTCACCGCCTAATTTGAAGGCAGTGGTCTGGTTCTGATAGCCAACGCCTATGGAGTGATTCAGCCAATATTGGATATCGGTGGACCACTGCCTTACTTATCAGCAAATCTGAGCCCGGACTTCAGAGGCGTAGTGTCCACTCACCACCAAGGTACCACGCAAGTCAATGTAACAATCCTGCAGTCCTGAGACGTTCATCACAGTGTTCACGTAGTACGTCTTGTCCTCGAAAAGGACTGTACCACCTCGGCCGCACTCGGCAAACGCGTCCAGGATTGCGGGTGCGTCATCAGTTGAGTTAGTTCCACCAGCTGCAACTGTGCAGACCTTTCTGCCATGTTCAGAAAAATGCGGCGGTCCGTACTGCGCAATGGCGGCAGACGAGAGTCCGACAATTCCCATTAACGCGGCGATATACATGGTATAGAGAAATTAGCAGTCAACTTGCGTGCCCACAATTTTGCAATAGAGCCCAATACGTTCGGACTAAGGACTATATAGTCAACCTGAGCCAGACCCTTAACCGTACCACAGACTTGGCATACCATAAATCCTTACAATGTGCCACCAATTAAACACGACGCCGCAAGCTAGCTGTGCAGATCGCATGCAACGTTGAAAATATGTCACCATAACTGGCCCGAACCCAACAGCACCATTATAGCCGTAGGACTACTGCTCTTGAATGATCTCGCTCCTTGTTCATCCGACCAGCTCAGGACCGCCGGGCTGCCACGCTACTTCCCCGCATCCTGTCGTCCGACTGCCAGAAACCTCCAAATGGATATGCACAATTGCACACTTGCATGGATAATGAAGAAATTTGATTATGTAACGCAGAAGAGCTCAGAATACACCTTCAACGGTGAATCCGACGTAAAAGAGTGTACACTAGCCTAGAGTGAACGATTTTTCGAGCTCATCTATGAAACCTCTCGCACGATTTCAGATGAAACTGCTCTTCTTCCCCCTGAAGGCCCCCATCCAAACTACCAGCTGGGCGTCACCCGGGCCCCCAATTCCCTCCCCCTTCATACATGCCTCTTAGGAACCGCCCTGAACCTCCAGGACCCAGACGCTCGGCGCCTTAGTCGAGTAGTTGGGCAGATCGTCGGCAAGCTCCTTCTGCTTCTCCGGCGAGGTTTGACTCCTCATCTTGCCGAGCGCCTCGGCGCTCTCCCACGTCACCTGCAGGACAGCATCGTAGGGGCTGTTGTCACCCAGAGCGGTCAGCAGCTTCCAGTCGACGAGGCCACCGATGTCCTTCCAGGCGTCGACGGCCAGCAGCATGTGCGTGTTGAGATAGTAGTCCTTGTTGAAGGAGGAGCCGGCGGGGTAGGCGATGTTTAGAACTACGGGTGCCATCTTGTCGGTGGTGATTTGTTAGAGGGTAAATCCGACGGTAGTGGTGTTGGAGGTTGAGCTTTTGTTTTGAGGGTAAGTGAGGCAAAAGTGGTCGGTATTGCACTGGTTATTATATATCTTAAAGTTCTTAACTATGATTGCTAAGCATGTGGACCGCATTCCAAAACATTCTTGTCCATCATAAGGACCTTGCGCAACACTACTATGATCTCAGTACCGAGGCACATTTCCTCACTGGTTTGAGTGGAGGGGCCAGATGACCAATCGGTGGCTCAGCTCCACTATAAGCAACTGGTCCGGTCCTGACCCACAGTAAAACAACACTGGATTTGGTGCGTTTTGGGGAATATATCGTCGACTGGGACCATTGTGTTGGCAATTTTCGGGACCATTCCCATTTTCATTGGCCCTCGATCATACGACTAAGCTAGTGAAACACCTTTCCTGCGGTATCGCAAGGGTATACGTGCGTGGTGTTCACATTAATCAGCCGCCAGTGGTGTGATTGCGTTCCCGGTCGACGAGCCATCGAGTCGGGATCGATCAATATTTACACCGACAGATGACAACTATCACGACAGATGGCGACACAGAAGCTCTAGAGTTCCGTCGTGGGCTTGATGATGATGTGCGGCGCGGGTATACTGCAGGCCACACAAGCTCAAGGGCCAGAGCCGCAGTCTTGGCGTCATCTAATGCCCGACTCTCGTTTGGCGTGCGAACATTCTATGAACTTTTGGTCATCTCGGCGCAGATACACGCCCTTGGGCTGAACCAGATAGCCACCGGGCGAGCCTTTGTATCGCGTGTGGTTTCTTCTTCTTATCCAAACGCCGTCACGTTGTCCTATATTGCCGTGAACAAAGCGCGTTAGCAAAGCGGACAAGGAGGCGTAGCAAGACAATACCATTGTTTGATCCCGTAGTCATGTCAGGGCATGGGAGTATATGATAGTCTTATTTTGGCTGTTCATTATGCGGCTTTGAGCTGTCGACGACGAACGACAGAAAGAGTTCGACATCAACAAGGTCGTGCCTTTATGTTCTAGCCCCTGTCCTTGTCCTTGACTACAATGAGTAGATAATGTATAAGTGCAAAGGGAACAGAATGTGTAACGGGATTGTAAATTCATTTCCCAGGTCACAAATATTGACGCGTGAGACGTGTAATCGAGGCCAGTTACCTATATACTATATTGATACCCGTGGCAACCTCCAACCGTCGTTTACCCCGTCCAACACTATGGCTGGTAAGGTATGGTCCTTCCTCGAAAGGGCCAGGCAGAAGCGGACGCCGGCGGACGATGCCAAGATAAGTTGCAGCTGGGAGGCGTTCGAGAAGACTCTCCTGGCCAGTCAGAGCTGGTCGTCGTTCGGCAAGATCAACCTCGCCACGCTGGACCAGCTCAGGACCATGTACGAGCATCTGTACCACAGCGTCGAGATCGGCCAGCGGGCACTAAAAGACGCCGTCTACACGATAGACATCCTTCAAAAACAGCTGGATGCGCGCGAAGGCGAGATTGATATGCACCAGGATCTTAGTGAGCGTCTGGGACAGCTCCAGGAGTTTATGGATTCGCAAAAGAGCGACGGGGACGAGACGGTGGTGGATAGTCACCGCGGTTCGCAAAAGAGCGACGGCGACGAGACGATGGTGGGAAGTCACCGCGGTTCGCAAAAGAGCGACGGCGACGAGACGATGATGGATAGCCACCGCGGAGATACTACAGTGGTAGTAGCAAGGCTCCAAGTTCAGCTAAAGGCTGCGCAGTCTCAGAGAGATGGGCTGCAAGCAGCCCTCGACGAGGCGCGGACCGAGATGAAGCGGCTCAAGGATTCTGCCGAGGGGCATGTGAAAGAGCCCAACAGCTCTGCAGGCAGTGGCATGGTCCACGAGCTTCAGAACAAGCTGGCCGACACCCAATCGAAACTCGACCAGTCGGTTGAACTATTCCAACAGCTGCAGAACGAAAGCACCGACACCCAAATGAGGCTCGAACAATCGGCTCAAAAGGCCCGACAGCTCCAGCACGCAGGCGAAGTCAAGTCGCAAGAGCTCATTGACGGGCTACAGTCTCAGCTAAGTGCCGAGGAGGAGAAGAAAGCCTCTGTCCTTCAGCGCATCGTCGAGCTCGAAGCCCAGTTGCAAAATGTCAATGACAAGTACGTCAGGGCCCAGGATAATGTCCGTGAGCTCTTTGACGAGTGTCAAGACCTCAAAGGGAATCTTCGGGTTATGTGCCGTATCCGTCCCCAGCTCGATGCCAGTGACAGCGAGCTAGAGCCTCTGTTGACGGACCTCGGTCCCGGCACCGAGCACCTTCAGGTCATTGAGATGGCCAAGCGCAATGCTAGAACTGCCGAGGATGTCGATCGCTTCCAGATGGAGCGTGTCTTCGAGAAGCACGACACCAACCAGCAGATCTTCAACGAGGTCGGCCAACTCGTCGGGTCGGCCATCAATGGTCGGAACGTATGCATTTTTGCCTATGGGCAGACCGGATCGGGCAAGACCCACACTATGAACTACCCTTGGAATGAACCGAATGCGCCAGCAGGTTACGTTGATTTCGGCATCATTCCGCGGTCTGTTGAGAAAATTTCAGACTTCATCAACACGAATCAAGGTATCTGGGAGCTCTCGATTAGCGGCAAGTATATTGAGATATATGCCGAGAAGGTCTATGACTTGCTCAGGGTGGAAACTAGCACGGTGAGAGGCAAGACAGTGTCAGCCGCGCCTGAAGTCAAGGTGATGTACAGCAAGGATAACGGTGTTGATGCGTTCTATGCCGATAGCACAGAGGTCGACCTCACAGGCGACGGTGACTTTGAGGAGAAAGTACGAGGACTTTTGGCCCAAGCCAGCAGCAACCGTCGCACTCGCTCGACCAAGGGCAACGCCCAGTCGTCCCGCAGTCACTCCCTTTTGACCCTCCAGATTTCCGCTCGGCGTGTCGACGGCAAGGGTAAGCAGAAGACAATAGGCCTGCTGAACCTGATCGACCTCGCTGGCTCGGAGGAGCCTGATATCAATGACAAAGCAAGTCAACAGGAGGGAATCAACATCAACCTATCTTTAAGCGAACTTCGAAAGGTTCTAGGCCAAATGGCGGACCCCAAGGTCAAGAACATTAGCTTTCGCGGATCGGTGCTTACCAAGTTGCTTCAAACTAGTCTAGGCACTGGGTGCAAGACGATGATGTTTGTCATGTTGTCGCCTCTGAAAAAAGACAGCAAAGACACGAGGAGCACTCTACAGTTTGCCATGACTGCCCAACAAGCGAAACTAAAAACTTCGAAAGCGCCTCCTCGATGAGCTGCGGTCTAAACATGACGGGACATCAGGTACTACTATTCAAAACCAGAAAGCCTGAGATAAGGAGCAGAATTATGTGGGCAAAAAGCTTAATTAGGCCGAACATTGGAGGAACGAAGGTCCGAGTATCGTATTTAATTTCATGTCGTTATCTTTCTCTGGGGCGTGATTCGAGCTGACCAAGGCACTTTGCACCAACCTCCTGTACATAGGAAGCAAAGTTATGAGCCAATATCCTTTTAGATTCGACAGGTCGATTTCATCGATCGGCGTGAGCATAAATGTTGGCAACACCTCCTCTGACCAGCGGCACCAGGACCCGACTGTACTCTGCACCCTCGAACGTATCCAATCTGTCCCAGCTGTTTGGCAGCATATCCGATCTCAAGAGCTGCACCGGAACTGCATCTCCTTGTTGACTCCAAAGTAGTGCCGGGAAGCCCATTGCAGCACCCCAGCCTGACTGCACCAATTTTCCCGTAACGGCGTCGTCTGTCCAAGTTCCTTTGATATCCGAGATATGATGGTGGTTTGGCTTCCCGGGTCCTAGTGTTCCATAGACGGCGAAACTGTGGTTTGCTTGATATAATTGGTCTGCCTTTGTCTCCAGTTCTGCATTCGGTGATTTCGATATCCTCGCGGCATTGATGGCAGCTATCAGATCAAGGTCGACCGTCGCTGAACCAGTCGGCAGGACGTTCCCAGTCATTTCGCCTACTTTCGACACTGCCCTGGGCACGCTGGTAAGGTGTAAAGAGTGGACGATGTCGAGTTACCGACCATTTCAAACAGTCAAGGTCGCATGTCGAGGATTTTATAGTACAACAGACTCGAATGACTCAAGTATCGATTCATTTCACCTGTTCCACCCCATCTGCCGATCGCCCACTCCGTATAGCAAGGGCGTACAACTTTGACATGTGTGTGGGGAGGCTTCAGGGAGCTGCGGGCACTAACTTTTTGACCGAAGGCCTCGAGAAGCGGCCGATGTAGTGCTCAGCCACTAGCAGTCCTTACTGACTCCGGCGACTATCGAGTGTCCCCGAACGCGTTGCGGCGAATGCAACGCCTTGCCGAAACTGACAACGATCCCTTGCAGCATTACTGCTGTCACTCGCTCCGGACTTTATGCATTCACTGCTCCGGGACGTCAACAAGATCCTGCTCCGATCCGTGATGCTTGATTGAGGAGACGGGTATTACGGGTTTGCGGGTCAATATCGATATTTTTCTGCTAGAGCCTGATTTGTAGAGGACTTGTGGTTAACGACATCGTCGCGGAGATTTTACGACTAGTACTGGATATGATGCCTTGAAAATTCTTCCGACTCATAGGTTTCCCATTGTTTCTAGGTACCGCCGATCTACCTGGTCATTCTTAACTCGTATATACGCACCTACTCAAATCAACTGTCCGTACTTTGTTCAAAGTCGATACCGTCCTCCTGGGTAATGATTGATGCATGATGGTACAGTGACTCAGGGCGCTGTTGTGAATCAAGAACTAGACAATATTGAAGTATTGGATATTGACCCCTTCATCGCGTAGAAGCTGAGGATGGATTTTGAATTTTCTCCAGGGATTATCTCTTAGCTCTTCTCTGTACTCTTCGAAGCCAGGAAATCTCTCGAGACGAGGATCTGCGACCGCAACTGTCCCGGTATCATTATTTTTGAAAACAAACAAATTGCAGGCATTAGCCTCTGTCCGGATATATGCCTGAGTGATATCCGAAAATGGTCCTAGGACTGCATCGCCGAAGGGTATATGACTAACAAAACATTGCCCTACTAATGTGAACCGGCCGTTGCCATGAGGACGAAGTACCATTGGCATGTTGCATCCTAAAATGACACAGATAATGTCCCCATTTTGACTTGACCTCGGCACGAGACCGCAATGAGCCGGGGGACGTTGTGAATCAGTAAAAGCCCCGTGGCCGAGTATGCACCTTAGCAACTGGCCAATTTTATCCTTCCACCTCGTGTCCGGGAGCTGGTCGACCACGGGAACGGTGTCATTCGATTGCAACCACAAGAAGAGGCTGGTCAATCCTGACAAGTCCCAGTACTCATCTCGAGGCGGATCCCACAAATCGGCGATCACAGCTGCACCAAACACTCCAGTCCAGACTCTGCAGGCTTCTTCAGTGTTCTTGTCAGCGAGCCCGTTCTCTCGTTTAACGAACTTATATAGACGGTTGAGCGTATCGTTGTAGGATTTATCAGATTCCAAGGTTATCCCGAAGTCATATACATCACAAACCGTCGTAATCATGACTCCAGCCACGGACAGCGTGTTCATATCCGTAAAACAAAATCTGAAGCCAGTTGAGATGACGCGAACATGGTGGTAAATTGCTCTGTTTCTAGCTTTGCTGTCCAGTCAGGAACCCAGCTGGTGTTTTTGATGTTTGTATCAATCTGGCAATCCTGAAGAATCTTGACGCTCCTGGACTTCTCAATGTACATTCTTGTGAGACATTTATACACGGACGCAGTGGACTTGGTGTAGTCTGGTTGGATGTTAAGTCGTCGATCCAAATCATGTAAAAGATCAAGAATCGCGTATATCCTGTCACGACTATCTCGACATTCGCTTCCATCGAATAGCTGTCTTATGGTAGTGATACGAACTGGAAACGTCTGGAATATGAATGAAGAAAGCGTCGTTTTCAGCCTGCTCCATCCCCTTGGTACCTTGTGGCAGGGTTTACAATAAATGGATACCATCGCATTCCTGAAAAGAGCCCATGGGGTGGCAAATGATCCACAGACAAGAACAGCTTTGCCTGTCGCCAAGAAAATCTCCTGACGAACCCACAAACGCCTGAACCATCTACGAGATAACAAGTGGTAAATTGACTGAGTCTCAGGATAACTGAAAGGCAGATACGACATTTTATCGCCCAAAGACTTATCGAAGGCTGTTGGAGTAGGGCGCATAGACCAGGGGATTGAACTGCCATGAAAAGGCGGCCAAGCTACAGAGACTTGTGACCCGAGATACCCCATCAGGCGCATAGCTTGATCACTACTGTTCTGTTCCGGTCCGAGCCACGCCGTAACCCGAGCGGCGTGTTTGAAAATCTGACCCATCTTGGCAACCTGTGGACCTTTCTCTTCATCGTCGGCCTGATTGATGCAAATAGCATCAATCCACATAATTCGGGAAGATCCGTGTCTAGGTCGAAGGTGTCTCAGTGCCACCTCGAGGTTTCTCGTCACCATGATGATCGATCCGCCTTGTTTTCCGACGTATATGGGCTTTTTGTTTGTATTGGATCCCCAGAAATAAGACAGAGCCTCATAATAAGGCGGATGTGCTGGGTCGAAGGGAACACGACTCATATGTATGACAATGTCATCGTCGTAAGCTCCGGGTTCGAGAGCTAGAGTCCTGATGTAGCCACTTTTGGGAAATGGCCTGAAGACGTAGGGCAGCATCGCGAGAATGCCCCCTCGAAGTGCTGTAGTCTAGACTGCTCAGAAACACCGGTTGTGCGATCGACTTAAGTGCGCGAGGAGCAGTCATCCTTCTGAGTATGCTGAAGAGCGATTTTGGGGCGATGAAGTACTTAAGTGGAGTTATTACATGAATAACAAGACCTGAGCCATCATACCTTAACGGTGAAGTATGTTCTCAACATTTCATCGTTACCTCAAGTGCGCGGTATGTGGAAAACGAGGCTGAGGGCGGGTCAGGTGAGAAAGTACACTGCCCCTCTATCAGCATGTAGATTGCGGCTACATATGTAGTATAATTCTACCGTACGATAAGCCTGGTGTGCTAGCTGTAATCATTCCATCATTTGAGTTGTACTTTCATGTTATTCCAGTTCATGACCGGGATGAAATTGGTGAGTCCGATTGCATCTGTATACACCATTACGAAATTGCTCCAATTAGGCCAAATATTCCGTCCTCAGACGCAAGAGCTCTGTGCTGTAGCCAGAAGCCGCAATCAAAGGTTCAGGGCTTGTTTCCGTAGCCCACTGACGAACTCCTGATCGCCATATTTCCCTTTGCGTGCTCGAGCCTGATTGTCTCTCTCACGCTCTAAACGATCACGTTCCTCAAGTGCGGCTAACCGTTGCACTCTATCTTTGTCTAGTTCTGATGCGTCTGCTTGCATTGCCGCAAGCTTTCGCGCGCGCTCTTCCTCTGCCGACGCGTTGTCGTTCCCACTAGACCCGCCATTTCTGTACGAATCGCCATTCGATCGTCCATTGTTGCGATACTGGCTTCGAGGCCGCCTGTCGTATCCACTACGATCATCTCGGTCCCGACGATCAAGGTCGCGCGGCTTGTTTCGATCGTCTCCACCGTCCCGGTCGCGGGAATCATCACGCCTGCTTCTTCGATAGTCGCGGCTCTCTCTGCGGTCCTCGCCATCTTCGTCGTGCCTTCTGCGCCGATTAGACGGGGTGTCTTCCGAGCGATCACGCTTGCTTCGGTGTCGATCCTCTTCTGTTCTAGAACGGCGCGGGCTTCTCGAGCGCGGAGATCTGCCCCCAGATTCCGAGCGACGGTGGCGGCGGCGGCGTTCTCCATCTCCGTCTTGGTTCCTTTCCCTGGAATCTGACCGGTGGTGACGGCGGTGACGTTGGTCGCGATCTCTCGACCGTGATCGGTGTCTGTGGCGGTGTCGCCTCTCAGATTTGTCCTCTTTCCTTGACGATGCTTCGTCCGACTTTCCCATCAAAGCCTTGAGCTGTCGCTGGCGGGCAGGGTCTTTCATCATGGCTGCATAATGCTCTTGCTCCTTCCTCTTCATGGCCAGTAAGGGATCTTCCCTGATCTTGACGGCTGTGTCTCGATCGGTGTTGGCGTTTTGCAGGGCCATGAAACTATCCTGGCCAGCTTGCTTCTCGAGTTTCTGATGGTCGGTGCCCTTGAGGATGTTGTCGATGCGGCGCTTGCCAAGCAGGAAGCCCTCCAGCTCTTCGCTCGTGCCGATGCCATCGCTTGGACCCTGGTACATCCAATCGACACGGTCGAGCCGCCTTTTGCCGCCGGCGGCTTCGAGTTCGTGCTGCAGCTGCTCCTTCTGTCGTTCCTCCTGAATCTCTTTTAATCGCTGATCTGTCTTTTTCTTCTCGGCCAATGCCTTCACTTCCTCTTCCCACACCCTGGTCTGATTCTTCATCAGACCAGGATGAAAGGACTTCTTCAGGTTTAGATCGCCGCCGCCCATTTTTGCGGTGGTCGCGCCTCAGTGCTGATGTTGCAGGTTGGGAGATGAATTTTGGGTTTGGAAGGTTGTGTGGGAGTACCTAGGCTGCTGTTTATCTTGTTTTGATTTGATTTGCTTTGATTTGATTTGACTTGACGTTGGCAAAGTAATGAAGAAAATATGGTACTATCTGTAGAGGGAAAGGACGACGGATGCGATGAATGTTTTAAGTTGAGTTGCGCCTGCTGACATGGGGATCTTAAAGATTGATGATTGCCACCCGCCCGCCAGGACGTCCAGCCACGCGCTAGCACACGAAGGTTGGCGCATCTCTGGTACTGTAGTACTAACCTACTTGTAGTGCTTGTACACAGTCTAGACTAACCTAACCTTAGGGATGACTTGAATACACACGGCACGATGGCGACGTGAAAGCAATATCTATCCATTACTACAACAAGCTTACAGGTCACAGCAGGAGATAGATAGGAGGAGAAAGGATCAACATGGTCCTTGGATTTGTATCAATGTATGAGATATGCGAAGGCCTGATCTTTGTCATTCGTTGCGTCGGTCACAGTCTGGATCGTTGACCAAGGTCCTTCACAATTCTACAGTACTTGATAGGTTAGTTAAATAGGTTAACGTTCGCTAATTCACAGGCGCTCTGGTCCGCTTACATAGTGGCTTAACCTTGGACGGTCGCTAATCAATCACCCCGCCAGTGGGGTCTTGCTACACACACATAACCTACCCGCAAGCAGTGTGTTGAAGCTTCGATAAGATAAGTATCTCTCTGCCTGTGTCTGTGTCTGTCTCATGCTTGAAGTTGTAAGCCTTGCTTGCTCATTCAACATTCACATTCACATCATATTCACGATCCGAGCAAACAAGCGCCATCATTGAGCGCATTATTTCCAAGTGGCATCTCCTGGCGCAGACACTCTTCGCTGGGTAATCAGAGACTACAGCATCCGGTCCAGAACCTAGTGCTCTTTCCCAACCACTACCCCATTCGTGGTCACCACCGCCGCCATGTCTGACGATGACTTCATGCAAGAGTCGGATGAGGAGCAGTAGGTCGTTCCGGTGAGCCTTGGTCCGGGTTATGGCTTAACATGCGCCCAGGTACGACTTTGAATACGAGGACGACGATGAGGAGGAGTCGGGCGATGTCGATATCGAGAACAAATACTACAATGCCAAGCAGATGAAGGGCTCAGATCCCGAAGATGCCATCGCCGAATTCCTAGCCATACCCGACCTAGAGAGCGAGAAGGGCGACTGGGGTTTCAAAGGATTGAAACAAGCTATAAAGCTCGAATTCAAACTCGCCAAATACGACCACGCAGTGCAGCACTACACCGAACTCCTTACCTACGTCAAGTCGGCTGTGACGCGCAACTACTCGGAGAAGTCAATCACCAACATGCTCGATTTCGTCGAGAAGGAAGCCGACAACGACAATGCTCAAAAGTTCTTGGAGAAGTTCTACTCGCTGACCCTCGAGTGCTTCCAGAGCACAAACAACGAGAGACTCTGGTTGAAGACCAACATCAAGCTCGCTAAGCTCCTGCTCGATCGTAAAGAATACCTGACCGTCACGAGGAAGCTCAGGGAGCTTCATAAGGCATGCCAGAAGGAAGATGGCACCGACGACCCCAACAAGGGCACCTACTCCCTCGAGGTCTACGCCCTAGAGATCCAGATGTATTCCGAGACTAGAAACAACAAGCAGCTCAAGGTCCTGTACCAGAAGGCCCTCAAGGTCAGGTCCGCAGTACCGCATCCTAAGATCATGGGAATCATCCGCGAATGTGGTGGAAAGATGCACATGAGCGAGGAGAACTGGGAGGATGCGCAGAGCGACTTCTTCGAGTCATTCCGCAATTATGATGAGGCCGGGTCTCTACAACGCATCCAGGTCCTCAAGTACCTACTTCTCACCACAATGTTGATGAGATCCGACATTAATCCTTTCGACTCCCAGGAGACGAAGCCTTACCGCAATGACCCGCGCATCGCTGCCATGACGGAGCTCGTGGACGCCTATCAACGCGACGACATGCATCAATACTCCAGAGTCTTGCAGTCAAATCAAGATATCCTGGCCGATCCGTTTATTGCCGAGAACATCGACGAAGTCACCCGCACCATGCGCACCAAGGCTGTAATCAAGCTCATCGCACCATACACTCGTACCAAGCTAGCCTGGATAGCCCGCCAGTTGAAAATCACTGCCGCTGAGGTGCAGGATATTCTAGGTTTCCTCATTGTGGACGGCAAGATCAACGGCAAAATTGATCAACAATCTGGCACTCTCGAAATCGAGTCCGGTGGGGATTTAGAGCGCGTCAAGGCCATTGAGACCTGGGCTACTGCCCTCTCGAGCCTGTACACCACCATCTTTGAAGGTGACGGCCTGAAGCCAGTGGAGACACACGGTCCTGACATGGAGGATGAGAAGAAGAAGAGAAAAGACCTTATGGCAATGGGAGAATATCCTGGAAGACGAGCTGCTCGACAATGATATGACTAATGACACGATTACGAGAAAAGAGTTCCTATGGCACATATCTCAATAGCAGATAGATTTGCGGTTGTACTTGCGAGAGTTTAGGGAATTGGTTCAACTCTCCCACACGTCGCTGCGTAGACATTGTCGAGTCAGATCCCGTCCGCGAGGTCATGAATAATAACAACAACTGGCAGTCTACCAACCAAGACTTCTGAATACAAGTCGCGTTATGTTGATCCTGGCTTATTGGTTGTTGACGTGTCCTGACTTGCCAGAGTGTAAAACGCTTCTCGAGTCAGCCGGCAAGAAGATTATAATGCACAATCACATATGCCGCAAGCTATATGTTGATTCAGGACAGCTTCTCGATCCCGTCTCCACACCTTCGTTGCTAAGAATCGAGGTTCAAGTAAAGCCGGCAACGCGACTACGTATACCTCACAGGTTCTTGGTCGCGAGATAGCTGAGCTGCTTTGCCAGGAGTGTGCAATCAAGCTCAGCAATGCCGACCCGTCACTCGCATGGTTTCTAAGATTCCCGCCGTCAGGGTGGTCTCTTCCTCACCCAAACCCCTACAACGACCGGACAATTCCGTGTGTTGCCGATGACGTGAGCCTTCTTCACCCTTGTGCGCCATTGACTTTCACGTACCGCTCGGGGCTTCTGATCACTGTCATGAAACAGATAGGTTAGCACCGGAGGACAATATTGTCATCGGGAGGCCGGCAACCATACCATTGTTTTTTGAAGGATAAGTGTAATGACACATGGTTGGATGTTTGGAACCCGTGAAAGTCGTAAATAATTGGCCGTGACATTTGCTACTGTTCAGTACAAGTTGCTGACTCGTAACAACAAGCAAAATATTAGGAATCTTTGTGGAACTGCCAGATTCTACGGCTCGGCAAAGTCCTAGACTCGCTTCACCGCAATTTGGGCTCCATAGCCCGAGTTCTTTGTGCCATGTGTCTTGGTCTAAGCATCAGGCTAGCAAATACAATAGACCATAAGGTCTGTTCGACAAAGTCATCACCACTTGTGTGTTGAAGCTAATCGAACATTACGGAAGACTGGATGTTAACACTGTACTGGTGTCATAGAGAGGGGCTTTGGCTATGACACGGTATATGTACACACAATACCTAAATACCAGGGCGCAGTCATGTAATCGATTGCGGTCTAATCTTTCTCCGCCCCTTGCCTATTCAGATGGGTTCGCCTCGGCGAATACTTACACATGTGCAGAATAAGTCTCGCAATACGATCGGGATTCTTCTCGCGTGTTAAGAGGAAGGGCAAATCTTGGCTTTTTACTTGGCCAGCAATCTGTGGAGTCTCCTCACAGCAGTTGACGTTCTTGGTCATCGTGACCGACATGTAGGAACAATCCACTCTCGCGTGATATAGGAGCACATCTGTGATCCATTTCCCTACTCGGAGTCCGGCACTGAGCTGAGGCAGTTTGGGTGACACCGTGACCAATGGCGGAGAACAATATAGAAAAATGCCTTAGTGGAAAGAGGTTGTCGATCATTCATCAGCTGCAGACTATTGTTGTCTACTGTAGAGCTTTGTGGGGTCCTGTAGTCGTTGAGCGCCATGAAAAAAAAAAAAAAAAAAAAAGAAGAATGCATGGCTTCTTGGGAAGAGCATGATACTCCTCGTTGTAGCGCCAGTATCCGGAGGCTACGGAGGGTATCTCAACAGTCTCGAATGGTCAAAATGAACCGCTCACAGTATTTTAGTATGCGATAAACTACGACAACGTCGCTCAAATAACTAATTAAGATTGGTTGGCTGTGTCAGACATGGCTTGGTTTCTCTGAGCTGTTCGGCAATTGGAAAGGGCTACATCCTCTATGATTGTATACCTGTCCGCGAGCAGTGAGAACCATCACCGATAGACCAAGATACCACGAACACTACCCCTGTGCCAATCAGCGAAACTATCAGCTGATCTCTATAAGCCGACGTCTCAACGAAACGGCCTAGCGGATCGACGCTGGCAGAGCTTGAACGCTGCCCTTGGCCAAACGTCTGCAGGCTGGAACACATCCGTAATGTCCGAACTCCCTTACCCAGACTAGCTCAACCATTGCTCACTGCAGGGAGCAGAGGGACAGATTGTAAGCCTTGAGAGGCCAAATCTTGCAAACTGTAAGCCGCCAATCTGCCACGCGGATCCTCCCAGATGAGATGGGTCGATGTTGACTTCGCACATACGGAAATCGTCCTCGACCGCTAAGTCAAACCTAGTCAGCAAAAGCACCTCTGTGACTGGTGGTCCCAATCGCCCCTTGCACGAAACAACACCCCAAGCCCAAAAGCGTAACCTCAGGTAAACTAGCCTGGAAGCAAATCCTTGGGCTTCGTGCGCGTCGTTGCTGTTCCTCCGCCTGCCCGAGAGGCTGACCTAAAATCAGTCTATACGGCTAGACCCCCCCAGAAGACGCTAGTGGCCCTGTGGGGGATTGGGTGCATCTGGGGAAATACGCGGGGATAGAGTTTGATTCACGACGACTAGCGTCGGTCTCTGTCATCGTCTCAGGCCATTATAGTACGATGGCCTAGTTCTTTCGGCGAGGGCTGCATAGCGTCCCGGGCTCACGGCAATTGCAGTTTTGGTGGGTGCTCATGCGTCTAGCTCCAGGAGTGAAGCGTCCGCACGAGCAGCAGCGCCCCAACATTCACGGAGTTATGGAAATTCCTTGACCTACGCTTTTTGCGGGGAATGTATAGGTATAAGGTAATGGGCGCGCACTGCGATACGGAGGAGGGGGCGTGTCTGGTGGATAGGTCTTTCCTAATGTCCCTTGAACTGAAATCCATCTTGCAACAGAATCGCATCAGACACTTTTAAACTTAGTTTCTGACAGCTGGCCGTCATGGAGGAATACGGTCCCATTCGCAATGGCCACAACCCAAGTACTGGCAGCCACCAATATCTCACGAAAGAGATGAGTTCCGATGAAGCTCTCAAACGAATCAGAACTGGGGGAAGCATATCAATCAGCCCTGAGTTGTTCGAGAAGCTCTATCTGTCGCCTCAGAACAAAGTGAAAGGAGAACTGCGAAAGACATTTGCCAATCCTACTCCTATGTTCGTAAACTTCCGGGTGATGCACTCAGTCCTCAATCCCTAACATATCCACGTAGCGCGCTTGTTGGCTTTGTCATGTGTCTCGGTCCTCTATCATGCGATCTTATGGGCTGGCGAGGAGCAGGTGGAGGTGGAGCTGCTAGCATGTAGGTTACTTTCGCTCCGAGACGTCCAGAGGTGCTTTCGAGTCAGTTCTAATACGAATCAACAGACCCAGCTACTTTTTCTTCGGGGGCGTACTTATGTGTCTAGGCGGCATCCTCGAATTCTTCCTCGGCAATACCTTCCCAACCGTCGTATTTCTGTCGTTCGGGGCCTTCTGGTCGGGCTATGGCGGTACACTTCTGCCGCAATTCAACGCATATGGTGCTTATGCCCCGGCGGATGCTAGCTCGGCTGCTGAAGGCCTTACCACCCAAGGCTTCAATGCAAGCTTCGGTAAGTAGCGGACCAGACTCCAACCGGGTTGTTTCTTTTACTTACAAGTGGCTCACAGGATTTCACTCGTTATCGATGATGATTCTCTGCTTCGTCTTCCTCTGCTGCTCAGTCAGAACCAACATCGTCTTCGTCGTCATCTTCCTGACGCTTGTGCTCTGCCTAAGTCTGATCACCGGCGCCTACTGGGCCTTGGCTTCGAACTACCTAGAAAACGCAGCATTTGCTACGAGGTTGCTCGTTGTACGTTTACCCCAAGCCTGGATGAACTACCTTCACTGACGACTTTGCAGGCCGCTGGTGCTTGTGGGTTCGTGACGACCGCATGTGGATGGTGGCTACTATTCGCTATGCTATTCGCTTCGGTCGACATGCCCATTAACTTGCCCGTCGGTGATCTTAGCACTGTAATCAAGGGTGCGAGCGATCGCACAAAGTCTGCTGCATAGAAAGACTTTGTTTTTGCTGTTTCTCTTGGTCTCCTTCGACAAAGCGTGAGGTCTAGCCGCAAGCGAATTTGTCATGAAGAATGGAATGATCATGTATGTGATAGTTTGTATTTACTCGGGGCCGTGCTTTGACCAAGAGATATATAACTTTTTTTTTCAAAATTAGCGGCTCATAGCGTCACTTACGAATGGTATGGGCGTGCCCTGGTACAATATCATGTATCATTGTCCGTCAAGAGTACGCCGAAGAGCGTTCGAACTGTTCAGATTCACACAGCGTTGTTCTTTGAGCAGATAGCAATATGTTGCAATGTTCGGTAACCGATCATGCATGTAGTGAACCCGGTATAAGAGCGTTCCCACGTTCAGTTAATTCGCAAATTCCAGTGCGGACCGGACAATGGTGGGACGGGTGAGTAGTCGGGTTGCGACGCTGTCCCAGCAGTTCGAGTGTCAGGCGACGCTGTGGAGGACATCACTTGCAATTTGGGCCTTGAGAGCCGCATCATCATGTATATTTTCCGCATAATGCTGCGTCGTCACTATGAAAGTTGACTATGCTGACCGGGTTAGTTGACCCCTGCAAGCGTTGTGTCTTCGTAAGGGTATAGAGCCTGATTAGGAAGTCAATCTAGGGGAGATCGCAAGTCTTGGCTGCCCAAAAAGGAACCAAATGTTCAGTCTCCAATTAAAACAAAACTTCATGCGGAACGAAGAGATGTTTCTACAATGCTGAGATGGAATCTAGCAAAGATTCGTTCTTACGCCAGGGCGCGGGATGCGTTCTCAAGGGGGAAACGACCATTGGAAGACCAACCCGCATTTCGCATCGAGACTCTACTGTAGGAAAAGCAGTTCCTTATGCGCCAAGCCAAAGACGTCAATTGCGAAAGTTTTCACATCATTGGGGCTTTCTGCGCGTAGTTCTTCTTTGAAACACATCCCGCTCATTTGGCGTTGGTCTAACTTCCAGATCCAGCAACACCCCGATGACAACATTAATGCGGGATCGGGTTGTCCCCTCACAATGGAAACGACGTCGATCCCCGTCCCCCACGAACCGACTCAGTGGACCCCCTTCGAGACCCTGGCCCCGGCAATCATATGGCAGCATGTGTCTGTCACGGGCAATAGCGATGGCATGGCCCTATAGTTTATATCATTCAAATATGCAACCCTCACGCACGTAAAAGGCACTTTTCTCTCCTAGAAGCCTATGAAGCGAGTCGCCTGGCTACGACGTCGCTTTGTGCTCGTCAAAGGCCGTATCGACAACATGTTCGTGCGACGGGACTCGGCTGTCGTGCTTGACGACCAGCAGGCGGCCGATACAGTCGCACAGCATCGTGCTGAGGCGGAGGCCAAGCTCGAGGGGAAGATAAAACCGGTCGTCTTCCCAACCCGAGATAATGATACAATACCTAGAAGACGCAATTCCCGCAGTGCGCGCGAAAGTCATGGAGTTAGAGACTCAGCCAGGAACTCGCGGCAGTCATTTGCCAGCCAGCAGTTCGCTATGTCGGCAGTCACTGCTGGGTGTGGACAAGGACTAGGCTGGAGCATGGCTGACGTCCGAGCCAGCCAGCCTGAATTACTCGGTATCGCCTCGAATGAAAACACGTTCCCCGAGGATGGGAGAGATCACCACGGGCCGAGTCTCTTCGCGAGAGCGAAGAGGAAGAGCCGCTTTCGATACAGCGTCCTTGACCCTTCTGCGGGGCTCGGGGAAAATGCACACCACAACGACGACGATATAACCTATTCTCAACAAGCGAATTACATCCGAGTCATGATGGAGTCGGGCAACTTCGACCTTCGACAATTCGGGCTGAGTAAGATGTCCATCGACGACCCGCGCTTCCAAACCGCCCTGCATGCCGCCCTGGAAAGTTTCCCACCGGGTATGGCGGCAAACATTATCGAAGCTGCCCCGATCCACCAAGAACGCGAAATAGAAGAGGGCAATCTAAGTCGTACGCTGTTGTCCAGCAGGAAATCGAGGTTCAGCATCGCAGTAGCAAGCAAAACAGCCTGGCACACGGCAAGTAACCGGTGGTCGAGAGTCAGTTTGAGGCGGGATCCGGATCTCAAACCGAATGAGAAACCACGATTTTCTAGGAAGGTTTGGTCGCGCATCTCATGGAGCAAGAAGGATATTGATTATATGACCTACTGATGTGCATTGCGTAGTTTACGTCACGTTGGTCATTTCCCCTGTCATATTTGGTTTATCCTAGCGTCGCTTTTGTTAATTTTGTTGATTTTGTTGGATTGATATCTCTATACCATTTTTCTTATTTGCTGAAGAATCAAGAACACGAGTAGTGTGAAATATCCTCTGGATCCCCTATCAACTCATTCGTAAACTCCACATTTCAAACACGACACAAGCTTGCGCGACCTTTAATTATGAATGGCCAAAGACGCGGCCAGCCTTATACTCGTCTCACGCAATGTGCAAAATTATGCATCGTAAGAGAAAAGGGGGGAGGGGGGGGGGTTCTTTTTTTTTTTTTTAGGGTTTTTTATGTATATATATATATATAGTTTTTCCTTTCTCGTAGAGATGTGTTTGATAAATCGTCTCCTCTGGCACTGAACTACTTATGGTACATAAGGACTCTTCCGTAGAGTATTGCGGCATCTCGTATGTTACTTGCCACTTCTCTTCACAGCCACCCCCTAAGAACAGAAATATTGATGGTATGCATATGGCTTGCGCTATGCGCAAGAATGGTATAGCATGAATATTGAGGCTAACCATTAAATATAGCGTTTCTTGATGCACATTGTATGTTCGCAACAAGCCCGGGATGTAACACAGTGTATAGAATTCAATATAGTCTAGGTGGCGACCCTTTGAGGAATGTCCACTTTAATCGGAGGAGTATTACAGCAGACACTAACGCAGGCAGGTAGTCTATGACGGTTGAAGAGGTACTGTAAATAGCAAGACACAGTACCACGCCGCTTGACTGCTAATAGATCGACACTTCCTACTAGTGCAGCTGCGGATCCCCTTGACTACTTAGATATGAAGTCATACTGATAAACTTAATTTGAGGTGTGCCTCATTGCCAACGGCTAGGCTTTATATACAACAGTGCTGCACAAACTCTGCCGGATTCCTCCAAATAAGCACGCCTCAGCGAACAAAAAAAAGATGACATCGTTGAATATCCAAAAGTTCGATCCCACAATCCCGAAGCCAGAAGTCGAGAGGCTATGGCGAAAGCTGAAGGACACCCGTCTGCCGGAACAGCCTGTCGTCCCAGATGCCGGCGCTGACTACGGTCCCCCGCTTGATTGGGTTCACAAACTGTACAGCAAGTGGTCCAATGAATTCGACTGGGAAGCAGCGCAGCGCAAGATCTCGAGCTGGAATCATTATACCACCGAGATTGAAAATTTGCGACTTCATTTCGTCCATGAGACCGCTAAATGCAACACAGAGAAGGCCATTCCGGTATTGCTTGTGCACGGCTGGCCAGGAAGTTGGTTCGAGTTCTCGCGCTGTATCGATCCCTTGAGCAATCCTGAGGGTGATGAGCAGGCATTTCATGTCGTTGTTGCTTCAATCCCGGGATTTACTTGGTCATCTGGCCCTCCACGAGACTGGACACTTCAAGATACGGCGCGGGTCTTTAACAAGCTAATGCAAGGACTTGGATACCAGACTTATGTTGCGCAGGGAGGTGACTGGGGCCATTGGGTGATGCGGGAGCTAGGTGCACAGTATGGGAAGACTTGCAAGGTCATACATACCAACATGTGCCCATCTGAACCAACCGTACCTAAGGAACAATGGACTGAGCGCGAAGTCACTGCACAGAAGATGTCAGGCTGGTGGCTCGGTAAGCCACGCTTCGAATCTCACATGGGCTACGCTGTTGAGATGCGCACGCGACCCCAGACAATTGGCATAGCACTATCCGATAACCCAGTAGGTATTATGATGTGGGTTGGTGAAAAGTGTACGTATATAAGATACCCTCAAATCTCCTTGTCACTTAGGAAAATGCTTGCCTGTGAATTCCCCAGCTCATCCGCGTGCTTCCCGAGAAGTAAGGCTAGTGAGGTTGATCAATCCAGATTCCCTAATGATGCTCCCGATTTTGATTGAGCGTTAACTAATGGGTATTTTGTGATATTGCAGACTATGAGCTGGTCGATCCGAAATTTCATGACCTCGAGAACAAGGATTTCGTCGACGATGTTTGCACCACACTGTGCTTATACTTCTTTACCAGTCCAAGCATCATGACGAGCTGTCTCTGCTATACGAACAATGTAAGACATGAGGACTATGTTGACTTTAATACCAAGCAAGAGAACCTTATCAAGGTACCTTTTGGATTTTCGAGTTTCCGGTATGATATTTCTCCAGTGACGCAACGTACAGCGGCGACTACTGGGGATTGCAAATGGTTCAGAGGTATGTAATGATAGGGCAATCTTTAGATCTAATGCTAACCAGTATTCAGAGTACGACCATGGTGGCCACTTTGCAGCGTTGGAGTCCTCGAAGGAGCTGGTTCGTGATATGAGAGAATGCTTTGCGGAGCTCTACCACTAGGTGTGTACGGTCCACCCCGGTTCTTAGGAGAAGTCACACATCTACGCGATTCGGATTCAATGAAATTGTACAATTCCGACCATGTACTCTAATAACAGACACATGATTTTAGATTCCTCAATATACACGAGACCCAGAGCATGGATCTGCGGGTTACATCTTCCATAACTTGTGCACTTGCAAACCCGTGCTGTGATCACAGTCTAGATCTTTTCCATCACACTGAGCAGATACTTCGAAGATCTATTAGACTGATAAATCTTGGAACCATAGACGCATGAAGCATCCCAGTACCCTACACTACATTCTCCCTTAGAACGGACTAAGTAAGATCTATTTTCATAACACTTTACGGCGTGATGAAGAGCAACGACGTCAATCTTTTCATAGGTAGGCGAATGATTATGGAAAATCATCATACGAAACCATTCATGTAGAATTTGATCACAAATCCATGGTGGCCGTCGTGCAATTGTGTCTTGTCGACCAGTACCAGTAGCAAAATTGGATGCCGTATTATTAAATTGGATCTTTTCCTCATTTTCAGGGCCGTGGTATAGATTATACAATATAATATCAAACATTTGGCCATAAGACTATTCATCTTTGCGCTTCGAGAAATCTTCCACGTGATTTATAGGTTCACCACCTTCCTCGGACTTTCCTTGGTCTGATCTGCAGAAAAGAAGACATTTCTCTATTCTTAGCGCCCTGTATTTCCTGGCTGATTATTTTAAGCTGTAGGTTGTAGATGTATCAACCGACCATTCCTCTCTTCTTCATTCACTATATCATCACGACATTAGCAAGGCACAGACGACGCACTCTTTTTAACTCCGCCCACCCGAGCTACGCGTCCAAATCTGGAGACAGGTTCTACGCAACGAGTCAACTGACTGGATCGTGGCGATCGGCCGTTTATCCAAACGCTACTGCCCATGCCTCAACTGGTATCATCTATATCAGCTGTCAATCAGGAAAGCCGGCATGGGACAGGCGCTTTCAACCTACCCGCTAATCATATGCCGCCGACAAACAGCACCCGCCGGCTTTGTATACTTGAGCATTCCTAGTGAATATTTAGTCATTTTTGGACTCGTTGAACAATCCCACTCATCGACAGACGCGCTCTCACACATTACTTGGCATATTATCCATGGCAGCCATGGGCTCAAAAACTATAAGACGTTCGTGTGAGCTAGACTCTTTTTGCACCAGCTGGCCTCTACAAAACGCTTATTATACCAGGGCACACGGCCTTCAAATATCTCCGTACTGCTGTCGTAGCCACCGCCAGGGACACTTTTACGGGATGGCTTCATTTGAGGAGTCATAAGAAAGTCTCTTCGGGAGAGCCTTGAGCTATCACGTCTACATCTATGCAGCTTGCAAGTCCTCTTTGACCGAGCTTCTACATAACCTGTCGATTCTCAGTCTCGAACAATTTAGACAGGTCCACGAGTAATAGATGACAGCGATCCAAAATGAGCAGGGCAGCGAGTGTGGTACAGTGCACTTGAAGGATCCCATTCCAAATTTGATGGTACTGCCCTCGAGTTTCGAGATGATTGCACTGAGTCTGGCCGACGTTGAGCGAGCGCAAGAGAAACAAACAAACACAACGCTTCTACGTGACACACAGCTAGCGATAGGCTAGACGAATGCACTTGGATTTTCTGTGCATGGACATGAAGAGTATGCCACCGACGGCAATCATTTAGCGTCGATATTGGGTCAAACTATGCTGTCTCGATCGCCTCCGTGTACTTATAAGTGACCGCACAGTAGCATGCTCACTAATATGCTTACGCAACCTACAGATGGCTCGTTATACACAGAACAGCTTTCGAAGATCCAGAAAGATTTCACGAAATTGCATTTCAAATTTACCCACAAAACCCCAGCTAGAATTGGTTATTATTGTGGTGCAATATGTCCTCAGATGATAAGGTGTATGTATGAGCGCTTTTTGATACCTACGGGGCTTTACCATTGCAATGGAGGAATCTCAACTTGTGATGTAGCTTCCGGTAAAACATCGATTGGATACAGTGGTCTGATAGAAGCACGGATGGCAAAGACTTCGAATCTTGATGAACCCCGCACTCATGCTTCGAATATCATGCTTCGCGGTTTCTGAAGAGGACCTGATCCATGCAGGTGACAGACAGAATCAACTTCGACGACCCCGAGCACTGGCTATTTGCGCGGAAAGGTACGGAACATGGGCGGATCCAATTCATATCATGGCACACCCATAACAGTGAGACCGCTTGTGATTCTACAAGGACCGATCTGTGATACAAACATTCAAGAAAACAGCCTGGCGCAGCGGTCCCTTTTATATCATCGCTAACATGGTTGGTTCGATGCATGATCCTGTCAAAGGTTAGTTCTCAGTTGAAGAAACAGGTAACTGAAGAATCACACGATATGGAGCCCTTGTAAATTGGAACTCCTCCTCCTGCCCGACCCATACTAAACGATGATCACCAAAAATAAGCGATGTTCGCAAAGGATTTGCCATCATGTGTTCACTTCTTTGGAGCTAGTATCCTAGAGAGGTCAAACAACATTCTTAGGCTTGGAGCACCACTACATGTGAGTTGGTGCCTCTACGGAGAGGCATTGTCACTGTGGTGATACTGCAGAATTGGCAGGTGAATGTCTGTTTCCGATCAAGCGAATGCCAGATTTATTCAATTTTTGCCTTCGGTCCCTCGTCTCAGTCGCATCTGCGTGATGGGACACTTTATTGCTCATTCTTTGCTCAGCCGGAGAGTACTTTACCGAAATACAAGAGACAACACTGGTCCAATGGAAGGCAATATACGATGATGTAATTCTTACGATTGGGGGACTCGTGTTGGTTTCATATCACAACAGAGGCATTCATCCCCGATGGAGCGCGGTGTGGTAAGGAAGGAAATCGCGGTTGAGACGCTCGCAGTTACAAAGGTGGGCAGTAACTTCGGTGGAATGACAAGCGAACGCATGCACCTTGGGATACATTAATGAGCCGTGAGAAAGCCAGCGTAAATTTTACAGCTATCCCCCCTTACTTGGGTTGTCCTACACCACTGATGCAGGCGGAAAAGCGGCGAGGAGCGAAGTATTGTCTGCCACTGTAGCAACCCGACGCACACATGGGCATCGAATGTCCTCACGATGGTTGCTCAGTGCATAAGATCTTTGTACATCAATCATACGTTTGACAGGTATGATCGACGAAAGATTATGGTTGCTTGTGTAACAGTGTCTAGACCAGGTGATTGGAGTTCTACGCCTAAATGGTTTCACAGGAGCTAAAAAGGAATCAATGGGGGAATCACCCGATATTGAATAAGAAGACACACGAGAAAATATCTCTCGACTCGCTTCGGTGTGTAAAAACTGTGTCTTGTTACCAGAGCTCCTTGCCTGAGACGGTCCGGAAGCGAAAGGAATGTCCCTAGCTCCAATGACACGCAGCGCAGTCATTACGGGAGGATCCTATTGGGTAATTGTGCATCTCCCCATGTAACTTGCAGCGGACTGTGAGAGGGAAGACATGGAAAGTTCTGCCGTCAATAATTGGAGAAAATAGTTTGTTCGGAATCATTTTGTTGCAGTTCAGGTCGTTCTTTTCGTTGGCGCAACCTCGGTCGTAAATAGTTTCTCCAATGCAGTCGACTAACTTAACCTAGCATTATCGCTGAGAGGCTGAGCACAAGCATTAGTCTAATCTCAAACAGAGCGACATTTCCAAGTCTCCTCTTACCATTCATAAAGTATCATCTTTGATTTGTGACATGTCTTCCTCGTGTCCGTTTGCGGGAGGTGAGACGGGAACCTGTATATCTACCTATGGATGCCGCCATAGTTTGTTTCACGACACTGGTAACCGGCTTAATAGTGAGACACATCGTGATGCCTGCTGCGGCTTACCGTCATCGGGCCGGTCGTCCTTCAGTGTCCCTGACCTTCCGTTTAAAGCACTGGTGGTGATTGGTTCCAGGCAGCCAGGGCTTCTGGTCAAGCATACAGAATTGCGGACCAGCTCGCAACTATCTCTAAGTGTTCAGGCCTGCTAAAGCAAACCGCTAGTTGTCGTTGGTTCCGCGGGCCTTCGGTTCAATTACAAGGCTGGGAACTATTGACAGCCATCCAGGCTAAGTTAGCCATTTGAGGTGTCCACTGGCTTGAGTGTGCGCCATGGAACAAGTCAGGTGCATAATCTTTATTCCCGTAGACCCAGGCAGCCAGTGCTGAAGCTTCTCAGAATACACCGACGGTGGGTAACTGAGCTGAGGTTTACATACGTGATCGAGAAGTAGATCATGGCCATGTTTGAAAGAATTGAATCAAGATTCCTTGTGATTAACTCAATATGAGAAGGCTTCCGAAGTGCATACAAAAACTGCAGGAGTGCTGCAGCAATGCGGGAAGGCCTGCTCAGGGTAGCGACAACGCAAATCGAATACTACATCGTGGAATCATTGAGCCCGCAACCCCTCCGCAACCATTTTGCCCCAACACCGTCCACAGTGTATGAATACGACAGCCACCCATCACTTTGTTTGAAGCATGTTTTCCAGAACTAACTTGAGATCTCGTGCTGATATGATCTAGCGTACCATAAAACTTGGCATTCTGGTTGCCTTTTACATGTCCGTCAGCATCACTTGTGGAAGCTAGCATTTCTACGTAGTTGCATTATTCTAAAGATCGATAGTTCTAGGCTATAGGAGACAATAAACTTTGCATGGTGACGTGGTTCTTTATCTTCAAATGATCAGGCTCTCATTGGTTAGTTTGATCGGTATATGAAGACAGACAAGAACCCCGGATCTCTAGTTGTGATCAACACGCGCATCAAGCACGTCTGCCGGCCTGGGTGGCATTGCGGACATGTTGGAAATTCCAATGCCGCCGTGTGGTAAGTTGACAATATTGAACCGGCGTAAGACAAGCCCGTCAACTCACTTCTCACTTTAGTGCCTCGGCAATAATACGGACGACAGCGGCAGCGGTGAAATGCGCAGGGCCAGGCGAGCCAGGTTGATGGCGGAGCGGCTGGGAGTTACCGTCCATGAACTGAACAACACATACATCAGGACATCGAGAATTAAGCGAGTATCGATCTAGACTGTAGGTCCCCTGTACCATGCTCACTTACCCCAAGGACGCAGGGGCCTTGCGTTCCAGTGCATGAGTGGACTACATGTGGAACCCAAGAGCTCGCAAGCCGATACTCATGAACGAAATGATTTACCTGTCAATGGACCCGGCGGCAGAGAAGCTCAAGGTCATATTGCAATAAGTAAGTGAACAGCGGCACTGGCCATCTACCAGGTCGGGGCGTGATACTGCAGTGTGACGGAGATACATATTAATTATGTATGTACATAGTATGTTGGTTGAAGCTACAGCTCAGGTATAGCTGGAACTGTCGTGCAACCTCAGGTCAGACGCCGCAGATCCCGGCCGCGGCACTAACTGATGTCGTTGACATGGCCTCCGCCAGGGACCCTTTTTTTCACATCATGGAAATTCTGTGCTCATCTACAAAAAATAGTCTGTCAAACATACGATAAATGCTTGATCTATTTTACCGAGATAATGGCCAGTGGAGCATTGACATGGGCCCAGAGTAGACAGCGAAGATCAATGAGATAAGCACCAAGAGTTTGTAGCACCACCGCTCCGTTGCGTTGTGCTGCAAACTGCATGGCCCCCAAGAGCATAAGCATGAGCGGCCTTGCTATGGAGAGGGTTTCTGTGTGTATAGTGACTGGTGAACTCCCTTTCGATGCGGTGGGGCTCGCAGCCGGGAGCAAAGACCGGACACTCATTTGTGCATAATGCTCTTTTTTATTGTACGCAACGTAACACAAAAGGGTTTTTCTGTTAATTTGAAACAGAAGCTATATTGTTCTGCTGATCGCGCTGGCTCAAGCAGAGAAAGCACCGATCATATGTTAGGCTCAACGCATCTGAATCTTGCATCGGCCGCGACGCAATGATTCGGAATAGTGGTTCTTGCTTAAAGGGTACTATATTAATCTAGCCTGGTCCAAAATATCGTCATCGTTTGTCATTATACAGATTCACCCAATCCTCAGCATGTCCGATCTCAAGTCCCTGCAAAAACTGGGGAAGGGGACAGCAAAGACTCCACCTGATAGATACCATCCCTCGTGGGTTATTTGATTGTGAGAAGCGATGCAGTTGGGATGTAAAGCGCGAAACGTTTGTGGTGTGAAGCTTGGAGCTTGAGGCCTGGAGCAAGCATGAGGTCTCAAAGCGCTGATTATGCTGTAACTTTGTGCCACAAGCTACCTTAGCCTCAAAGAGCCCCTGCAGCATTTGATTGAGATGCGCTGGGGAGGGCAACACGAGACCAGGAATCCTACAAATCGGTAAACGGTGCTTACTGGACCAAAACATCAAGCCGTTCAATGATGTAACACGGCCATGATAGACCGAACTTGATTTGTTTGCTCTATGATCGGGATTGAGTATTCCTGACCTGTCATCTATCTAGTCTAAGTGGAAACTTTTCTTCAGCTCTCCCGTCAACCGGTCGATCAGCCGATGACGCTAGTGTGCTCTTGCGGCCTTACAGAGCCGTTTATCATGTCTGAGAGATACTGCAGCGCGTTTTCCCTAACAAGCAGTGATGGATTAGTTGAGAGCTGTCTCACAAGTTCTGTACCACGACGGTTGCTCTTTGGACGCCGCAACCTGCAACCTCTTTTAAAGCCAGCAAATGGTCCCCGCATCGGCTTTTTGGACCCCGGGAGCCTTTTGGAGAGAAGTTCAGCTCCGGAAGCAGAAGTGACAACGAAAGTGGCGTTAACGTTTCGATCATGGATTGTGAAATGGATCAAGAGGGGGGCGCTTTCATATGACTTCAGGTTTTAGCCCAGCACTATTGAGAGCTCTGGCAAGCTCTGGCTAGCTTTAATGCTATGAGATATACCCTTACCCACTGATACTGATAACAGTATTGGGAAAGATTGTCGACACCTTGACAAAGGTTACAAGGGTACAATGGTGTGAGCGTGTGTCGTGAACAGGGATACAGGATAGCAATCTGATTCTCGGCATCCTGTCTTTGTACCTGCCAATGTATGATTGTGTGACGGTCGCACAAGCTATCTCTGGCATCCATCACTGCTGCAGGTGTTGCGTTATACACTTTATGCTATGATCGATGTGGCCTATACGCCCGCATAATTAAGACCAAGAGCGAGATTCCCAACATTCGTGCGAGAGGTTTCTGCACATATGGGGAAACCAGGCAAGCAGCGTCGAGCTCCAAACGCATTAACGGTTAGGGTGATCTGGGCGCGCTGGGAAAGAGATAGGGTCGCAGCAATGAGAGTCCTTTGCTTGGACGCGAGATATCGATGTGTAGTTCCGAGTTTCTAACTCGAACCGGCCTAGCGATTATATATATTTTTGACAGGCGACCAGGTAGCACGAAATCTGGAGCTCGCTATTGCAGGCTTGTGTTGCAAGCGACAGGCCCTAAGGCACTTTGGCGCAACGATTTGTGCCAGGGTCCAATACGGTCTTCTTGTTCAGTCCAGTAGTGGTTGTGATGGATCATGAAAGTGCTAGGGAATGACCAGACGAGTATGCAGAAGGAATCCGCTGCGCTGACAGCATAAAGTTCTCGAGCCTTGATTGACAGGCCGACCAGGCTCCTGCCGGGAGCTCTTACGTATCATTGAGAGCCTGTTCATTGCGTACTTGGCTTGATCCCGACTGCTGTCTCAAGACGGACACTAAGTAATTTACTTGCATGACCATTCCTGGTCCCGCTGCTGCATTGTTGTCAGTCACGCCTAGTTGGACGGGAGGGTAGCCCGTAACATGTAAGTACATGACCATCCGTCTGTATTCCCTCCATGGACCATTTTCTCGTATCACAAATCTCTCTTTGCACGTTTCTTTTTCCTGCTCGCTTCCGTCTGATCCTTTCGTTCTCGTTGGTTGCACAAGAGCCACTGTCAAACTTTAAGTTCATCTCGGCAGGAAGCCCTCATTCACACTCGAGAAGGAAGTGGAAGACTTCCCAATTACCAGATTTCCTTTTTGTTTTTCTTGTGCGTGCTTGTCTCATGCTCAAAAACCCCCCCGTGGAGTTGCAATAAGGCGCAGGCATGTTCCAGCCTATTCGTACACCATTATTCTACCACACGTCCTATGGAGTAGCGAACGCGAACATCCCAGATTACACATTTGCATCCACTCCGCTGGGTCAGGGCCGCTGCGGCAGCGGTGGGGGGGTTAATACCGGCCCAGATGCCCTGAGTCCGGATGCTGCTGCCAGCGCCTACGCCTCACCTAATTTCCACGGCCTCCTCGACAATAATCCACAACACCATCTTCCTCGTGACACATATTCGTCGCCCCAAAGTCTTTACCACGGGTTTCCCAAGGCTTACCGTAACGGCAGACATCGCGGCGTCAAGATGGAACCGCCGAGTGATCTTGCACAACAGGAGGCAGCTGCCCGGGACTACAAGCCTGAGCTTGAGGTGTGTTTTTCCTCGCTCGCTTGCTTGCTTTTTGAATCTGCAGCGATCACTCCCTTTTTTTTTTTTCCTCCCTCTCTCCCTCGCCAGTTGCAGGAGAGCTTACATGCATCTAGGGCCCTCTAGTCGGTGAGCAAAAGTCAAGTCATGCAATTACGGAAGAATACGCGAAGGCGAATCCGATATATGTCACCAAAACAATAGTAAGCAAGCATTAAACCTCTGGACACCCGTTGTGCTCTGGGCGAGCTCGAGTGTAGGTAGTGGCGGCAAGCTTTCAGCGCTCGCTGGCAACCTCAACGTGTTTTCCACGTTGCTCTTCACGACGCCACTGCTGACAGCTGTGCACCCCTTCATCTTACCTTGATCTACCCGAACCAGAATGTTGACTTTTCATTCCAGGCACTGCCCCATACTTACTCTCTCTACCGGCCGATCCAAGGTGATGGTAATTGTGGCTGGCGAGGTGAGTGACAACTTTGCTGAGATACTGGGATGCTTCTGCATATCTGACCACTACCCCGCAATTCAACTCATGCTGTCGCCAGGGGCAAATGCCGGGCGACAGCCCTTTCGCAGAGGATCGAGCCTTATGACTAAATCATTGCATGACATGGCACTCCGTTTCCCTCCTCTGCTCTCCATTCTAGTTTAGTGAACGACGCTGACAACTGTTGGCCTTTAGCAATCGGCTTTGGCTATTTCGAGAACTTGATAAGATGCAGAGACATCAACCGCCTGCAGGCTGAATCGGCCAGGCTGACAGCGTTGAATGAGTACATTGAGAAAGTAGGAGGGTACGACCCTTATATCTTTGAGGATATGGCAGAGTCGACTTTCGACCTATTCGCGGAAATCACACAAGCAGTCAGCCAACGGCAGGATGCCATGCCGATTCTGCTCAACAAGTGGAATAGCATAGACCACTCGAACGCAATGATCTACCATCTCCGTCTACTGGCTGCTTCATGGTTGAAGGGAAATTTGGCGCAGTATGAGCACTTCATAACCGGAGATGCCAACAGCTACTGTGATGAGTGGATCCTACCGGTCAACAAGGAGATCGATCAAATTGCCGTGGACCTGCTGTTCAATATCTTCCTCGAGCCGGCGAATGTTGTCTTGGAGATTGCGTATCTTGACACGAGTCCAGGGGCTGAGGTAAATGTGCACAGATGGCCCGATGAAGCCAAAGGTATGGATCCTACACAGCTCGGTCCTACAATCAACCTTCTTTATCGTCCCGACCACTACGATATCCTATATCGTGATTCCGTTCCGCAGCCGCCTCCACCTGCAGCACCCGTTTCACTACATGTCAACCGCGTAGCCTCTCTTTCGCATCAACATGAGATTCAGAATCATGCTCCCGTTCCACTCGGGACGTACCATAATCTCGACATGACTGCCCTTAGTATGCTACCGGGCTTTGATTCTGCCCCATTCGCACCTCTTGGCTCTCCCCAGCCTATGTCTCCCATGGGGTCTGCTTACAGCCCTTCACCACAGCCAGCATGGATACAACAGACACCTTATTCCGATCCCGTACCATCAGCTTCCTCGCCAATGTCCTCGACCCATAGTGGTCCGTCCCAGCCATCACCCCAGCCCCAGTCACAGGATGCTCCCACGGGAGGTCTGGCATCACTTCGCTTCAGCAAGCACATGTTCCCCATGCCTGGTGGGTCCGATTCGACTTCTTACACGCCAGAACCAACATTCCAAGTTCAAACAAATATATTCAAGCAGAGTTTTTACAACACAGCACACTATAACAACCCTCATTTTCAACCGGAAGAGTACAGACCGGATCAGGACGACGAGATACCCACGGGCAGAATGAGCGGGCGAAAACGGAGTCCCTAGCATGGTAACGGGCATCAAAATTTCTGGTTCTTGTAGAGGTCAGGTGTTTTGATTTTGCTTTTCTTCACATTCACAACTTCATCTTCACGGCCATGGCCATGGCAATGGCAATGGATTCACATAATGAGGCGTTCATTAATGAGATGGTTGTATTCGGGCTTCTTGTGTCTACTAGCATCGATTTGGGGTGTTCAGTCATGGGTCGTTGTCAAATGTCTACCGTAATCCATTCAGCGTATCATTTGGTGCAATCACTCTCATTTATAGGAGAGTAAATTTGACAATTTAAACTCTAGCATGGAAGTAAACTTTTGTGGTGGAATGTTGAGAGTTGTGAGCCAATGTTGACATGGTATCTAAAATAAATATCCACCTCCATGGCCGTCAGAGTCACCTAGATTGGGGCCGCCATCACGAGAGTCATACTCATAGTAGTGCTCATTATACTCGTCCTACCCCTTGTTGGTTAGGACGGGCATTGCATCAGCAAGGTTTCTAACATTGGGTCCTTGTATTCCTCTGCTTGCAGGCTCCAATCCATACCAAGTCTCTCCTCGAACTGCTGCGCCCATTTCGCTCGTACATCGTCCGCAAGCCCTTCGGCAAGACGGCCATCCCCGTCTTCGGCACCGCGACCGTATAGCTCCCTCATCACGCTCGTGACGCCCTTGCCCTCGAGCCCGCACGCCACGATCCGAGCCCACGGGTTCTCGCCCTCCGGGCCCGTCACGGGCATGCTCACGTTCACGGCGACCCCCAGGCCCGTGACGTGCCGGCGCAGGTGGACGCCCAGCGCCGAGATCTTGCGCTCCGCGCCCTCGACCCGCACCTGTCTCCCGAGCCTCGCGCTCCACGCCGAGTGCTTCACCCAGACCCCCGGGTTGTCGGTCGTGAACCCCTCGACGGCACTCCCCCCCGGGGGAGCGCGCAGCTCGGCCAGCATGGCGATCGTCGTCTTCTCCAGCAGGCACGCGTAGTCGCGCACCGTGAACCTGCTGTGGTACGGCGAGTGCAGGTCTATGACGGGCCAGAACACGACCTGGCCCGGTCCGTGGTAGGTTGCGAGGCCGCCGCGCGGCGCGTTCACCACTTCGGGCTCATGTTCTAGCCAGGGTTGCTCCGCGCTGCCGCGGCCGTGTTGTCGTACGTATAATGGTGCGCGAAGACGGGCTTCCTCCGCTTTCGAGAGAGGCCCAACCTGCCGGCGGCCGAGCGTGTATGTCGGGGCGGGCGTGAACGAGATCAGGGTGGGCGGCGGCGCGACGGGTCCTGGCTCGGCCGGGCTCTTGAGGGAAAGAGCGGCCTTGTACTCGTGCAGGCGCTTCTGGAGGTGCGCTTGGACCCCGACGACGCTCTCGTATGCTGGGAGGCGGTTCGCTGAGGAGGGGATGCGAATGTGTCGGAGGACGGTCGTCATCGCGGGATGTCGTTTACGGTACACCCGAATCGCTTTTCAGTGGGTATCACGAAGCTTCAGCGACGCATTGCTCCAACAGGGGGGAGCTGGAACGCTAAAGTTGGGGCAGGTCCTGTCCCGCCGGAGATTGCGGCATTTCGGTGGTATTCGGCCGTTACGGAATACTATAAGTGGCAAGCCTGCGTAAATGCACCGGCCCCAGCAAAGCTCGCAAAACCAGACCATTTCGACATTAATGGGCGGACTTCTTGGTGGTCTGGGCGACATATTTACTACTGCAAGGTCCTAATTGGCCCCTGTAGAATAGTATCAGATCATCATGAACTGATTGGCGGGTGGTCAGACCTAGGTACGAATACGGAGGTTGGTGGTACAACAGGTTTCCGTTATCAGAGCTGCAGGTAGTTGAGGTCATGTGTTGTCAGCATTTAGACTGAACTAGCTCGAGAGTATGTGGTTCAGGTGCAACAGTCGTCTGTAGTACAGACCTCGGTCCCCGCTGACTATCGTGACATCCCAGCGACGGCGGAGTTGCGCCTCCCAAGTGTGTGCAATCCGTATGTACGCTGGGCGTGGCGTCGGCCAAGATACGCCGCTGAACTACGACATTCCAGTAAGGTTAGAGAGCCCGTGGTCCTCCGTTAGTGTCCTCGCCTGCGTATGTTTGGAAGCAGATGACACATCAAAAATAGTGCTGTCATGCTCCAGTGAAGACGCTAATCTCAGCCCTAATAATATTCAACTCCAGTGAGCCGAACTACGACATGGTTACGGCCGTCCTTGCAGTCCAGATAGGCATGACGGACAGCTTACCCGCCCCATAGGTTCAGTCCGAGCGCCTGTTACATTGCAGCTTCCAAAACAGTATACTTCGGGCAGCCGGTTTACGGGGGATATCAAACATCGCACAATGTTGGTAGTTGTATTGCAGTTGCTATATAGTATAGACTGTTGGGCACTAACTCAGATGGATGAGTAAGCTACACGGTGTCGCGGTGAGCATGTGATAGCTCATAACGGTAGCACAAGGGTTCGGGTCCAGTACCCTTTAGACCCTCAGGGGTCAAGAGTTTCGTTGACTGTATCTGGAAAAGATGTTTGAAATCTGATTTGACGTGAGTTTATACGAGTGGACGAATGAGGACCCTGTCGACTCGTGTGGAGATATAGTTGCAGGGCCATGTTCGTTAATCGTCATCTTCATCTCTGCTATCCATGTCGTCGGTATCTTCCCCTGATGCTGTACCTGATAGGTACTCGCCCTGCCGTTGGTGGCCCTTGTCTGAATGATGTGGCTCACCAAGTTGGCTCCTCAGTCCTCTCAATATACTGCTAAGCCCTGCTCTGACTTGGTCGCTCTTGGTCTGATCCATGCGAGCTTCGATCTCCTGAATCTTCTCTTCCATCTCCTTCATTCTCAGTGCTTCGGTGTCATCTTCCAGCTCGTTCTCTGACGGAACTTCGGGTTCATGTCGGACCAACTCCTTACCAAAAGCTCGTCCAAATCTGTCTGCTAGGCCAGAGTCCTTGATGGCGAAAACAACATCCTCAATCCCGCTCCAGGACTCCTTCAACTTTCCTTTATTCTTGCCGCCGACCAGGACCTTTTTCCATGCGGTAGCTATCTCACCAACAGGGTTACCGTAAGCTCCGCAACCCCAAGCGCCTAGCACGATCTTCTTTGCACCCTTGGCCTGAAAGATTCTCATGGCTATTCTCATCTTCTGCATGATAATGTCGCGATCTTTATCGTTTACATATTTTCCGCGCCCGTTGTCCTCGTCGACTTCTGTTTCTGGCATCCTGAGCATGGCTGCACTTACACAGTCCACGAACCAGCGATCTCGCTTCTCCAGGTCTTCGCTATTCTCGTCACGGAACACGAGGACATCAGATGTGTAGACTGCTCCAAGCTCTGGTAAGCGATAGAACTCGTCCTTCAGCGAGGAGAGTAAAGTGCTGCGCATGCAAAGTGACTCTTCCTGGCTACTGGCTCCATTGACAAAACCCCCACCAGGTGAGAGCGGTGATGCCATATTTAAGATGGCCACTTTGGCATCTTTGTTGCCGAGGTCAATCTTTCCAGTCGTCTGATTGCGCAGCAGCGAGTGAGCTGCGGTCAGTGTGTCTGCATTTTGTAGAACCAGTCTGGGCCCACCGTTCAGCTGTTGCGTCGGTGGGGAGGACGACGACGACCCGTTTTTGCCATTCGAAGTCGCCGCCTTCTGAGTTTTGCGTGGTGGTGGCTCGATGATCAACTCTGATGCTTCTGCTCCACGTTTTGCGCGGGGATGAGCAGAGAGTAGGCCCGGTATCACTTTGTTGATGGTAGCTTTAGCTTTCTTCGCCCTCGCATCGCGGCGGAAGCTAGGCGGTGCCAGACCTTGTGATGGTTCAGTGCGGCCCATGATGCGAATATGTAGTAAGGGCGTGTTCAATGCAACGAGGGCACAATTTAGATCCACAATGGTATCGCAACTGAAATCTCGTTGTTCACAAAGTCTTGGGAATTGTAGACATCAAGGTACTTATGCCATATTGTCCGTCCAGGTGCATCACACATATGACCGTCTGCAAATTCGCCTTCAGGTGGGGCCAGCATTTCGCTGGCGCAAGGAAACCTGGCGCTATTACCGGGAGGACAACGTTCGAACAAACAACTGCACAATCTGTGTGGGCGACCATGTAGACATTTTATATTAGAGCCGAGTTCCTTTCGAAATGGTTTCACGAATGGTAAAAAATGCTGTGCAATCCTACTTCTAACACAGTCAGCCATAATTAGCTATAGAGACTCACGACTTCCACGAAACAGTCTTTGCAAGTATTTTGGCACTGATAAAAGCCTGCCCCTCGACGAGAAGTCTCCGGTCAGCAATAAAGTAAGGGTCGATATTTAAGAGATCAGTGTCTTTCAGTGTCTTTCAGAACTGGAAAGTCATTTGCTTGTCTACCAAAAGAAAAAGGTTCATCAAAGACATTCAAATTCGATGATTAGTCGATCATGACATCCACGAAGCAGGAATAGTTATGTAGGTTAATGAGTTTATTATATACTTTAACTCTCGAACAATTCCTAGCTAATGATCAAACATCCAGAAATACCAAACCCCCTTCCACCAATTAACACGAACAACAGGGGTTTTGCAACCGAAATAAATCAAAACTGGACTCGACTTCACTCGCCAATATCATGGCAATCGAGCAGGGTCTTTTATTATAAAGGGTGAAACCTGTACAGATCCGTACAGAAGTCGCTACCTAAGTCTTCGGCCGCTCCAGTTCTATAGGCGACTACACATGGGCCGTGGCCAATTACAAGCGGAATTGCCTGTAAGGCCCCAAGCACTACAGCCACTAAAAGTGCACTATAAGTAAATCGTCATCAAGCACTAGATCCGCTGATAACAGCCCTACTGTACAAGATACATTATTTAACTTAGCGAATAAGCCTAAGTACGACTAACCTAAAGAAAACTTATGTACCAAGCGGCTGCCAGGCCACGCACCAAAAGTCTTACTGGCGACCGAAGGCTTCAAGTAGCGACCTCCGTGGAAACAGGATGTAACAAGCATCCGTATAGCAAGATGCTACTCGTTTTCACAAATTTCAACGTGCTTTGAGAGTACCGGCGCTGAGCTGAAAGAATGGTGTTCGCCAAGCATTAGTTCGTTATCTGTTAACCCTCGTGCCGCATAAATGTTTCCGATATAGAACCTCGATTCCTATGTCTCAGTCTCCGGTGCCCGGGTCCACGAGGCTCGGTCTTTATACCACACTTATGGAAAATGATGGTTGCGGGAACACGGGAATATACCGCCCTGGTGCCTTCAATCCTATTGATTTGGAGGATGTCTTAGATGCACGTCACGAAGTTGCCAGTAAGCTGGGATCCGGTAGCTGCTGCTGTCTGACTTTTTTATGATGAGCGCACTAAGAAGTGGCATGCTACCCAAGAAGCTAAGTCACCCAGCGGATATTGTCCCGGCTCGTCTTTTATCGAAAGATTGAGAGGCGTGAGGTCCATGGAACTTTCTTATATATTGCCATGGGGTCATTTCCCTGTTGAATGACCAAATTGCAAACCCTCTGCTTAGCATTGCCGGTCCTTGGTGTTAGTATTGGCGACACAGGCGACGATTGTCAACACAGAAAACCCTACTATAGCAGACTAGTCAAGCGTTGCAACTTTTGTACAAGCAAAAGATACCCCATGGCGATCTTCGACTCTCAAATAACTTTGAAACCTCCATCCTTAGAATATGTTAGTATGGAAGAATGAAAGGCTTATTACAGCAACTCTGGAATGTTGAGATGGATGCTAGCAACAGGGCATATCTAAAACATAATCATAAGTAACTTGTTGCGCCCGAAATATTGCATGAATGCCAAAGCAAGATATTTCCATCGATGTTTTCAGTTATTGGTTCAATGTATCAACCCCCATCGTCTGAGGTGAAGATCTCAATAAATTATGCGGCTCCTAAGCACAGTCACAACTTGAAATAAGGTATAACTCAAATTGATTCAACAATGGCGGCAGTGAGTACCGGAAATTCTCCTTTCACTAGGTTCAATGTTCATTATGTGGCTCGTAAAATATAAATACATGTACCACTTCGTTAGCCAGTCTGCGGAGCTAAGAACAAGTTCTGAATCGAAGCCAACAACTCTCAGTAATTGGAAAGCGCGTTTGTTGAAAGTTATGGGTAACTCACCTGTCCCTAGCACCCATATATAGTTGGTCCTATTACGTCGACCTCCGCTTGTTTCATCGCTTGACTGTCTTTCACTCTCTCTAAGAACCAGAACCCTCATAATACAAGGAACGGTCACGCTTACTGACATAGGACCAACAATAGCATTATCCTGATTGTCCTGGCTTAAGGTTTATCCAGTAAATAAGTATGATGAATTGGAGGAAGAGAAATAGTTATCTGAGCAAAAACATGACTATTCCAACCTACCTCAAGCAGCAATTGGTGCTGGACGGGTTCTGGCAGAACCACACAGTCATGGTTATGACTTGGATGGGGTGGGCTTAGAAGATTCCCTATTTGTTATTGAAATATCAGATGACGAAGCAGCTGTACTGACCAGCATTCTGCGCCTCTACCTTCAGGATGATCCATCGGAACGATTTAGACTTTCGCAGATGTAAACGAAGAATGGTTTAGTGGATATTGAGCGCATATCAAGCCTGGATTACCTCTCAAAAATACAAGAAGCTCGTCTTGGATAAATTCGAATAGATTTGCGTTGTGATTTACCATGTTGTAAGACATTACTACTTCCGATCCTAAGTTGTCTGCTGAACTCCATGCCCAGGACCTTTGATATGGAGACATGGAAGTTAACCACAAATGAGTGAAACTCTTCCGAATCAATATACTGAACGTTGCTGACATTCCAAAGGAACAATATCATTCGCAAACCTCTGAGGAACCTTGATTTGTACGAGGACACAAGAAAGTACACAGGCTATATGTAAAACAATTCACGCTCTTCGCTGCGTTTGATTGCTCAAATTGCGTGAGATGTGATCAAAACCTCGCCTGTTTAGAATCAACGAGGTCAGTCGATGCGAATATGCCCGTGGTGCGATTATCTTGCATCACAACCAGACCGTTGGCTGGATGACACGGACGGACAGGCCCCTTCTCGTTGGTACTGATCAGTGATCGCTCTGAGCCTTTTTCGAAAATGTGGATATCAGCCTTGATAGAGCTATAGTCTAACCTGCCTCGACACCGATCAGAATATCAAGCTGCATTCATTGCGAACCAATGCCAGATACGACATGATATTGGCCCATTTACCCAAAGGAGTATGCAACAGCTATGGGGCCACGCCGACTCCACTTCTATCGCACGCCTAGAGAGCAGCTTCCAAGAACTGCGAGTGCTAGTTAAAACAAACAATATTCGAATCCGTTGCATACAACAAGCGCTCAGCGCCTACGATCCAATCTATGGTCGAAACACCACGACTTTCAAATGCGACATCACTATCGGGAAAACGATCCTCATGCATCTCTGAGGAATATTCCATACCGCTAGCGCTCTCGCTGAGCCTCAAGCGAAAAGGTGGCTGTCGGAAAATATGACCGTGTTTTACATTAGCGTTGGTCTTCCTGCATTACTATGTCAATCTGTTCTTTACGATTTTTCGAGGGACATGACCAACATGTCGGCGCGCGGCCCGCCTGTGCCGTAACCGACAGGGTTGAGCCACTCGAGATGTCACTCAGAAGGTTTAGGATTGCATATTGCAATCCATAATGGTGGCAGCTGGACCGGCGAGAAAAAAAAAACCTTCGCAGATCGCATTGGTACTGTGTGGTTTTCTCTCCTAAGCAGTGTACGTAAGATTAGCTCGATACTCCTGCTGATCGTTCGATAGGCTTTAAAGCCGTATATTGCAGATAAGGGTTTTGATTGGGAGTATCATGTCGAAAAGCCTCAGCTGCTATATAGCAGTGACACAGAAAGTAGTGAACTGAAGATGAATATACTTCTCCGTGGCAGTGCAAATGGCAGTGAAGTGGTTAATGGTATTATTTGTCGTAATACTGTTGGTATAGGCACCAAAGTATTTGCCCAGTTGATTACTTTTCTGGAAAGTAGCCTATTCACGATGGAATCATTTCCAGTAATTTCTGCAATATAACTTGGCAATTGAATTATAGTATTCGTGTTCCGAGATGGTTCCGAGATATTACCTTCTATGAATTGTATTGGATTTATTATATTGTTGATCTGTTGTCTTTCCCGGATTAGGAGAGTTCCCTATTCAAAGCAAATATGAACACAAGGGTTAAGGTCATTGACCAGTTTTGCGGCTCGAATAATCTTTTTTATTTTAATAGGTAGGTCTCAATCGCTTAAAGGCATATAACACGGCGGGAAATGCAGCACTGCAGGAGTTGGCACAATATCTTGTCACCTACCTTGCTTTCCAGTTCGAGAGGTTGGTTAGCAATGGTGCAAGGAAATCCGTGGCGCTTGTGAAGCAGAGACAGACACATGATAAGGCCATGGTGCGGCACTGTATCGTCAAACGTTTATTAGAACCCAAAATCGAGGAAGAAGCTCTTCGAGAGATTAAAGTGTAGCATACAAGCTAAAGAAAGGTATACATTTACGTGGCTAATATCATCGCGCACAGAGCCTTTGGGGTATAGCACATATCAGGCAGCTTCTTGCTTTCAGTGATGGGTTTAAAATGTCTCTATGATGAAAAGTACTGGCTGCACTCAAGTGATGCTTTATCCGGTGTTGTGGCTGGGCTTAATCGGACCGGCCTTCGTGGGCCTACAGCGGTTATTGAGTATCTCAAGGACAGTGGTTTGAGGAGACTGTTGCGAAGAGCATGTGAAGAGGACAACCAACTACCAAACTATATGTTTCAAATTTTCTTCCAATGCCGTAAGTTCTGTGATATTTCATGCAGTATAGTCAGCTAGTCACCATATTCAGTAATCGAAGCAGCCATCGCCATCGCATGGTCACCAAACGGCGCGCCGTACATACCACAAAGATTGGAAAGTATACCAGGTGTGAGACTGCCCGGTTTGCTAACCGATAATGACTACAGTATACTCTAACAAAATGGTAGAACAGGACGTGGCCAACTATCAGCATATTGCTGATTATCAGGGCAGTGATTCTACGTAAAATAGACTGCTTTCCGCGAGACCATGGAAGAGTCCTGAGTCTTGAAGTGATTGACTTTCAAAACGCAGACTATTAACCTTCCCTGGGCGATGGTCTGTAAGTAGACTAGATGAAATCTAGAGTCTGAAGAAAGTTCTAATACTGATTTGTGGTCAGTAATAATGCATTCAATGGGATCGAAACAAATTCACTATATGTACCAAACCCGAAGCAATCACTGAACCAACTGTGCACTCACGAAAAGCTGGACTAGACAGCAGATAGGTTACAGCCTGCGATTGAGCCACAGTCGCTATTTATACCTTCATCTGCCATACCGTGGGCCATTATCGAGACTCATACTGTTGAGCTCTTCTCATCCAGATCTGCCGCTCTCGCTAACGTGAGCCTCGATACCGATCTGAGCCTATGACTTGCTAGATGCCTTGCAGTTGAGAAGCAACATCGGCCGGACCTCCAGACGGTACTTAACGTAATTAAACAAGCGGCTTCTGAACGAGATGCGCACCATCACCCGTCCGGTCCGAGTAGTTCGATTGAGATGGACGCTGCTGCCCTTACGGACATCGTCCACCAGCTTATTTTAAATGGCAGCCAGGATGACTTTACGCCAGTGGATGAAGCCCGAGTCTATTTTACTTCTCCTCCTCAACAGCTTAACAGGGGCTAATCATGCCTGAGAACGCGCTGTGGGACGTCAATCTAGAGTTCAGAATCAGAGATTGGAAGACCACTTTAGAAGCATGAGAGTTGCAAATAGAAATTCTGCTCTAAATTTGCCAACTCAGTTCCCCATCGGACGCCTAGAAATCTGTCACCCAAAAGGGCTATGCCAAGGTCTTGGCTACTGTAACACTGCTGAAACGCAAGCTAGGGCTTCCCCACATGAACAGGTTGGATCAGCGGCATGCACAACGATCAACCCATATAGTATGATATGATATCATAAACTACTTGAGCTGTACGATTTATGTTCGAGTATAAGATTTAGAAAATTGAAAACGGAGCTACCATCCCGGCGCGTAAGTAGCCAAGGAGCTCGTGACGACACCATGCACACCTCAGTTGAGATGCTTGCGACTAGTCTAGATGGCAGAAAGTCCGAATTCCTTGAAACACCTGCACGGTTCGGTGGCCTTGCCCCTGTATGTGTCAGTCTGGGGTCATACTGAGCTATACTTAGAAAGTGCATCATGAAACCAAACACCAGCCAGGCCTGACCATAACGTAACCGTATGTATGTCCAGACACTCTGATGGCCCCGCTAAGCAGCAGGCACTTCGAACAATGTCGTCTCAAGTGCAATGGCGCCAAACATAGGGATAGGATGAAGCACAGGCTTGCGGGCACAAAAGCTGTTCGCGGGCCGACCACATATGATGAGAATACTCCCTGAGCTCGCGTGGGCGAATATTGTTGGCATTTCGGTCTTCTGTATGCCAAATCTGTAATTCTAGGATCCAAATTCTTTTTATATTCTTTTTTTTTAAATTCAGCATAACCAACCATGGAACCTAGAGGCAAGCCATACGAGTCGATCCCGTCAGTGGAAGACCAGGAAGAACTACTTTCCACCACGGAAGTGGAGGAGTCGCTCATGGGTGACGAGGAGAAGCAGCAATGGCGCACATCGCCTCAGGAGATGAGGCGGAATAGGGACACACTCAGAACGCATCGGTGGCTCATCAGCACCGTCTTACAAGTTATAATCATGGCCCTGTTGGCACTCATCCTGTTCCGACAGCAAGACACCCGACGATTGCCTTCAGAGGCGCCACAAGTAGGAAGCGTCGTCAACGGGAACTCGCCGGCGCGTGAGTCGCTCCATCTCATAATAGTGACCTAAGGGGCTTTACTGATGTAGTCATACAGTCGACACGACGGTGCAAAAGTTCGACGCGGACGCCCGGTTCGTCCCCACGAACGCCTCCGAATTCTTCGGCGACGCGGTGATAGAACAGTGGAAGACCCTATTCCCTCGTGAGTCCCCTCAACTTGCCGCAGATCACGCCCTATACTGCGCTCCTGGCTGACCGCAATTCGTCCATCACAGCCGGCACGGGTTGGGGCACCGACCTGGAGACCTTCTCGACGACCACCATGACGCACCAGCTGCACTGCCTGTTCATGATGTCGCGAATCTACGCCGGCTTGAAGCAGGGCACCCCCGACATCCTGCCGAAGGACCACAACTCGCACTACATGCACTGCGTGGACTATCTGAGGCAAGGCATAATGTGCTCCGCGGACCTGGCGACCGAGCCGCACAAGCCGACGGACTCGGACGACAATGGCCCTCTGGACGGGAGCTGGGGCGGTTTGCACGTGTGTAAGGATTACAAGCAGGTCACGGGTTTCCTTGGGAAAGAAATAAAAGACGGGGTCAGGGTTGTGCTCCCTATTGACGATTGAAAGATAACACAGATTAAACACAATACCTTAGCGGGTCTTATGGAACTTTACTGTCCGTTTTTCTCTTCCAAGCCCAGGGATTAGAAAAACGACCGCCTGCGGCCTGGTTCGAGTAGAGCGTAGTTCTGATTCACCATTTCCCCCTACTTTTCTTGCAAACCTGCCCATCCCGTCGCAGAGACAAGAGATAGCCTGCATTCTACGGACCGAGTCGAAGACTGCGGCGGCACTGCGTCTAAACGCGCAGCTGGCAGTGAGCCTCTTCTTCTTGTTGCTCGTCTCGTCTGACTCTGCTACTTCGGAAAGCGGACGGCAGGATCCGTCCGCATGCTCTCAATCAGCCCTTGGAGCCCGAAGTAGGCCCAGTGGACCATATGTTGGTCGTGCATGTCGAAGGGGGTACGGGCTTGCAGTACAACGATGTGGCGGTTGGACTGATCATCAAAGGCAACACCAACCATGGCCCATTTCCGTTCCGGATAGTCCACCACGGGCAGAAAGCCGCATCTATACTCATCATTGAGGGACGTTATTAAGCCGTAGGTTATGGATCAGACGCCGTGAGGTCCGTATGCTGTATGTGTAGCGTCAGGTGAGATAGACATGGCAAACCGTTGTGATGTGTGAAAAGAATTTAGAGCTTGGCTACTTTATCTCCTCACTAGACGGTACGAAAGAGATTGTAAATTTCCAAGTTTGTGGTGATGCCAGCAAGGTGGCACTTCAGTAGATCCAGAACTCCAGCGATTGAGGAGCGGACCATTTTCGGCATGCCTTTCGTTATTATAGCCTCATGTATTCACCATATCAGTATGGGTGAATAATGCACGTATAGCCGAAGTCAGAGTCGCAAGTTCTATTAAAACAAATAGCAGGCACCGACCACGTCGTATGTGCAGAACATCGAATTACAGTATGTACAATGAAAGTCTTCCGGAAGCTGAAAGAAATGCAAATGCCACAGAAGACGCAAAAATGCCGACTTTGAGTCGATCGGGTGAACGTTTGAAGCGACAATTGACCACGAGACGCCCCCAGTCCCTCAAAATCACGAATCAAACAAGGTATTTCCTTCCAACAAGAACTCCTGCGCTGGCCCAATGCTTCGCTGCTCTAGAAGAGCGGGAAAGACCCTTAGCCATGAAAATATAGATTCTTTTTTCCTTTTTTCATTTTACCTCCACCAGGTAGGGCGTTTCTCTCCTGAAGTTCTGACAAAAGTCCGGTTCGAGGGTTCGAGAGTTCTCGGTTTGTACTCACATGACGGAGCATTTCGAGTCGTTGTCCCCAGCAGACTTGACGCTGAGGGCTACCCTTGCGGCTTCCGTGAATGCCTCGTTTACACCACGGTTTCTCATGGCGGAGCATTCTAGGTACCGCAGGGCCTTGATGCGCCGTGCGACTTCCAGCCCTTGGTCGTAGCCAATGGTAGGCTTCTTCTCGCGTTGCGCGCTGTCGGCATTGGTGGTGGTAGGGGGTGCGGCGGGGGCGGCAGCATCATCTTCCTCCGCCTCGTTCTCTCGCAGATCGCACTTGAGCGCCACCAGGACCAGCTTCACTCCAGGGCAGTTCTCTTGTATCTCGCCGACCCATTTGCTCTCCACGTTTTCTAGCGAATCCTTGCTGTCGACACTGAAGCAAAGGACGACGACATCTGTGTTGTCATATGAGAGACTTCGTAACCGGTCGAATTCTTCTTGTCCAGCCGTATCCCAGAGAGAAAGCTCGATGTGAATATTATCGACGAAGATATCTACACTTCAATCAGTATTCCGATTACGAAGCAGCCAGGGGCACCTGGTCCAGTCTAGGCAGCAGAAGGAATTGCCGGTGGTGCGCTATGGTGAAAAGACTGGGTCGGCATACCGTGTACGTAGTTCTCGAAGACTGTGGGCTCATAGACGGTCGGAAAGTAGCCTCTCGTAAAGACATTCAGCAACGAAGTCTTTCCGCACGCACCATCGCCACTGAGGAGGGCAGTAGAGCCTGTCAGTATATTTTCGGCACCGTAGATGCTTTGCGCATATCGAGGTCGCAAGACGTCAAGGGGGTTAAAATGGGGGCGGGCCGTGAATGGAGTGGAATGGGACAGACAACAACATACAGAAGGACCAGCTTGCGCTGCACGGTCTTTGACCCTCCACAGAGCGGCATTTTGGGCGTTTGATGGAGTGAACTTGGTCGTTCGTTCGGATCGAGTCGGTGCGTACGTATTGGTATTGTATTGCGTTGCGTTGCGTTGTGTGGTGTGGTGTTGTTGTACGAGGGAATGAGTCGGTGGTTCCGGTCAGGAATCTGGGGTCGCTCCCGCAAGTGATTCAAGGTTATCGAGGGTCCCGTTGCAATTCCAAAGTTAGGTGATTCCGTAGGTTAGCTCGGTTCTGGGCCTTCGGATCGGACAGTAGTGACCGGAGATTGGGTTGCAGGCGTTGGCTGGAAACTTGTGGAAGCGAACGATGGGTGAGTATTGTATAAAACGAAATGTAATAAAAAGGACTCAAGTATGAGAGTCCGGTACGGTACGGAAGACGAGAGCTGCAGCGTAATGAGAGTATGGGAATGGGAATGGGATTGAGACCGAGAACGGGAATGAGAATGAGAAAATCGTCGACGAGTCAGAGATGGCAGAAATGAAGTCACGCAACGAGCCCATCTCCCAGCGCCAATCTGCCAAACCCAATTCCATATCCATATCCATATCCCCATTTCCATCCAAGTCCACTGCATGCCCATGCATCTTCCCCAATTGTGGCACCCATATGAATTGTCGCCAGCGTTAATTGAAATTGAGCCGATGCACTTTTAGAGTGGAGGTGGGGATGCGCGCCCTCAACCTCACAAGCCGCAGGAACGGTCACACACATCACGAGCCACCCTGGAGACTGTGCCCAGGTGCAAGCAGGTATGTACGGGATTTGCTGCCTTTCCTTTGATCTTCAGGAGAGCCACCTCAGGCTGCTGGTTGCGAAGCTCAAGGCAGTGTAAACACTTGTGCCCGTATCTCGGCCTTCTAAATACTACATATGTAGGCTCACTCTAACATTACAGTAGGTCCTCACTGATCAACCGGAGAAAGTCGCGACTTGAAAAACCCCTCAGGTATTTGCGGTGTCGACGGTGCCGACGATTGTGTCTACAGTATCTACACAGAGCTCCATCTTGCATCTTGCATCTTGAATCTTGCATCTACAGCCCCACAAACGTCGTGGCTCCGAGAACCTTGCCGCCTCCATTGCGCAGCTGTAAATAAGTACATCAACTTCTCATGTCAACCTCGAGGATTTTTTCGGTCCTTCGACCATGAAGCCATAAGCCGGACCCCCTCGCTTACAACGAAACTGCTCTTTCCGGATAAGCTATGAGCTGGTAAGTAGTCTTGTGCTTGTGCATGGTCGCAAGTGCAAACAAAGAGGTGTTTTCCTTTCCTTTCTTCTTTCTCTACTACTTGTCGAAGATCCAAAGCTGCATTGCCCAAGGTTCGGCCATGCCACGAAGTTTGTCTTGGCATTTACCTCGCCGGCGGGCTGGTTTCTTCCATCCGTTGAGCGGAATGATGGGGATGTTGTAGATGCTGGCTTGGCTGGCTGCAGCTCACTTGTTTTAATGCGATTCCGAAACTCAGGCTGAGGTCCTCAGCACCATGCCCCTGCTGACCCCCCAAACCCACTATAAGCCTCACTTCCACAGCGTCCGCGCCCTAGCATACTTCCGACAACCACTATCTCTGGGCTGTTTCATTGTATATGACAGGTAGACAGGTTTATAGATGACTAGTCTAAACCGCATCCAAACCCCATTTCACTACACAAAAAAACAACAGGGCGAAGTGCCTGTATTTTAACATTCAGTGCACAGGATCACGACAGCAGCTCGGACTGATCGCGGCATGGCTTCAATTGACGCGATGGGTTGCTACCAGCCGCATTAAGTTAAGTGCACGCATACCTATTAGATCACGGTGAAACCCCCCTAAATATGGACCATCCGACCAATAAGTGAGCATCGCCTCGCATCTCCCCCACAACTCGTTAGCTCAGCTGTGTTGTAGGGTCATAAGTATATTGATATATAGCTTTGGTATCCGAAAGACACAATTCGTCTCTAAGCGACAATTGGATCACATATGAGACTTATCAACGCTCATAAGTAGAGGGTTGATGAGTTTACTAGAGACCCGCCGCCCCATACAATCCTGTCTCATAGGTGGGGTCGAGATATAGACGAGGTCAATAACCGTGGGTTCCCTGTCCCTGAACATGGAGTTTGGCTATAAACGAACGATGAAGTTGAGTCGCAGCAGGCAACTGAATTTAAGCGGCGACCTGAATGTAAGAAGGTTAAAGGTTGTTTTGACTCAGCGGTGGGTTAGGTTAATACATGCTGCATCGACAAGCCAAGTTTCAGCTGAGCTTTCCGAGGCGATCAACTCCATGTTTAAAAGGTATCGCGAAGCGGTCATTTACTGGGCGTTCCTTGAGGACGTTCACACAACCAGACAGCCCGCGGCCCCAGGTCTGGCTGAGCTCAACAATACCACTTGGGTTACACGTAGAAGGACTCCTCAAGAGGTCCCAAGTATTGGTTTAGTAGGGGCTGAAAGAGGATTTTGGCGGCTGAAAAGGGGTGCTCCTGTGCCAGACTAACCTAGGGTAAGCTAGAACGGTCCGCTAAGCGGCATAAGGCTTCGACGTTGGGAAACACCAACCCAAAAATAGAGGTAACCAGACCGGGTATTACACCAGACCTGATCGCTCGTCTGATGTATACTTACTTGCATGCACGATTGTGCCAATGCGATCAGTCTAGTAACTCAGCATGTGCCGCTGAAATGAGCGTATCTGTACTTCCTACAATCCTAGTTCAAACGCCTGCTGCAGCCTGCTCATGCTCCTACTAAGAATAATCTACTTTCGCGGCATAACTCACGACATAGACAAATGCCACGGTACTAGGTGTCATAAACTAAGTTCCTTTTTTTTATCAGTAACTAGCAAGTCATAACAATTTAGCAAACACTGAATACATCAATTCTTGCCAGTATGAAGTACTTTCCCCAATGATAAAACTCATGAGAATTGCTAGATATTGGAAGAAACAGCTGCATATATCACGGCCTGCCTACATTTTGAAAGATGGAGTCAATCATAATTCCCCAATGAGTTGGAGCCATCGGCAGAGACTTTCGAAATGCTCAGACAACGCGACATAGCTCCGTTGCTTACGTCACAAGCCTCGAGGGTTGTCAAAGCGTATTAAATATGAACACAATTGTCTTGGAACGTAAAGACTCTTGTTCTCAAACTCCTCTTCCAGAAACCCAGAACGCAAGTTGCGGGTCGTATACGTAGATATTTGCAATACGCAGAGATAAGGACATCTTCCATTTGTCATAACTCTTCTTTCTTCTTTCTTCTTTTTGTTATCTATCCTGTTATGAATGATGTATAGTGAATCTGATAGACACGTCACGTATGGTGATCATAAATAGTAGTGTATTGATACGAAGTGTGATGTAACGATGAGCAACAGAGCCATCCTCCGTTCCACTGAAGGCTACCTAAAGTGGTTGCCCTAGGTGTGATTCGAGACTGGAAGTTTGATCAAGAAATGTACTAACACAATTGAAAAAGGCTACACCAGATTGGAAATGGTAGCCGCCCCTCCTCTGTCTGTCTTTACCTTTCTTTTGTGCTTCAGACAACAATACCTCGGTCCCCTATGAGCGACGGTATCATTGCTGTTGGGTTGAAGCTGAGCCAAGCATCGTGCTTGTCAGGCATCACGTGGACGGTTCTTTATTGGGGAGGAGAAGCTGTCGACTATGCTTTCTCTACAGCCCACGGCGAATAAATGGCGCAATAACCAACAGAAGCGAATAAGGTAGATAGAGGTACAAGAATAAATTACAGTCGGTTTGCAGTAGTTACACCACAGTTTAAATGTTCTCCTTTTGGGGGTAATCACATGGGACAGATACACAAAAGGTGCAATCGCGCCAGCAACACCTGAGGCCGCAGCTCGCTGGAGGGTCTTCTCACTCTCTCCCTTTCTCCCTCTCTCCCTCCAATACTTGAATACCTCCTGTCATAATCACTCTTTGCAACCGCAAATCATTTTGCTGCTGCGTCATATCCCGTCACAGTCCGTCATATCCCGTCACAGTCTCGTCACACCACTACTTACAAATCTGTACTAGACTGCTCAAAAAGAAGTCTCCGATTGGACAGACGCCCGCTGACTCAAACCCGCTGCTCTCAACCTATTCCATCATATATGCCACCACCCATTCCTGATCATCAGTCCACCTCTCCTTTCCGCGACATCATCAAAATGCCGCCAAAGAGGAAGGCCTCGACAGGCGTGCAGGGTGTGTCCAAGACGGGCAGGACCTCGGCCGTTTCGACCCCCGGGCCGACCACTCCTCGAGACCTTGATAGCGACGAAGACGATTCCGACTCCCCCGGCCCCAACGAGCTTCCGCCGCAGGAAGACATACAGAATGCTGTAGACCGCTTCTCTTTGGCCCATTACCAGGATCAAACCATACGAGGGCCCATCGACCACGCCAGCAGACATTTCGGCAATGGAAGGCGCGATTTCTCCTACCTGAGCCTGAAGCCTGACCACAAGGACCGCCCTATCTGGATTGACCCCCAACGAGGCCGCATCATCCTCGAGAACTTCAGCCCTCTCGCTGAAACCGCAAAGGACTTCCTCATCACGGTCGCTGAGCCTCTATCGCGCCCAACCTTTCTACACGAATACTCTTTGACTACCCACAGTCTGTACGCCGCCATTTCCGTTGGTCTGCAGGCTAGCGACATCATTGCGACACTGGACCGTTTCTCCAAGACGGAGCTTCCTGGCTCTATTCGCGCCTTCATCGCCAACTCAACATCTGCCTACGGCAAAGTGAAGCTCGTCATCAAGAACACCAAATACTACGTCGAGAGTAGTGATCCAGAAGTCCTGCAGAAGCTGTTGAAAGACCCTGTCATCGGACCATGCCGTGTCCAGGGCACCGATATCACCACAACCACTTCGAACATGCCTAGTGTCGTCATTCCTGGTACCATGAACGCTGCTGGTGTCAAGCAGGTCAAGCCTAGTGAGAAGTCGCAGGAAGACATTCTCCCTGACCAAGCCATGCAGACCCTGAGGGAAGATGACGACGACGACGATAATCAGGAGGCAGCACACGCATTCGAAATCCCTGACAGTGCCGTCGAAACCGTACAGAAGCGATGTCTTACCATCCAGTACCCTATTCTGGAAGAGTACGACTTCCGTAACGACGATCGGAACGCGAATCTCGACATCGATCTGAAACCCAATACGCAGATTAGATCTTACCAAGAGAAAAGCCTCAGCAAGATGTTTGGCAACGGCCGAGCGAAAAGCGGCATCATTGTGCTGCCCTGTGGCGCAGGGAAAACGCTGGTCGGCATTACTGCTGCATGCACAATCAAGAAAGGCTGTATTGTCCTTTGTACAAGCACCATGTCTGCTCATCAATGGCGACAGGAATTCTTGAAGTGGTCAAACATTCATCCAAAGGACATTACAGTTTTTACCGCAGAAAAGAAGACCAAATTTGAAGGAAACACGGGCATTATCGTAACGACCTACCCCATGGTGACTCAATCCGGCAAACGAGCACATGATTCGCAGAAGATGATGGATTTTCTTACTAGTCGAGAATGGGGTCTAATGCTCCTTGACGAGGTTCACGTTGTTCCGGCCAACATTTTCCGCAAAGTTTCATCACATATCAAGAGTCACTCCAAACTGGGCCTTACTGCTACTTTACTAAGGGAAGACGACAAGATTGGAGACCTTAACTTCCTTATTGGGCCCAAGCTCTACGAAGCAAACTGGATGGAACTGTCGGAACAAGGGCATATTGCCAAAGTGCAATGTGCAGAGGTGTGGTGTCCAATGACAACGGAATTCTACGATGAATACCTCAGGACCACCGACCGCGGTTTAAAGTCGAATTTGTACATTATGAATCCCCGCAAGATCCAGGCTTGTCAATTCCTGATCGACTACCACGAGAAACGAGGAGATAAGATTATCGTCTTTTCAGACAATGTTTATGCCTTGAAAGAAATCGCTTTGGCACTCGGCAAGGCCTACATCTGTGGAGCCACTGGTAACAATGAACGTTTACGAATTCTGGAGAACTTCATGTACAACCCCCTGGTGAAGACGGTCTTCCTCTCCAAGATTGGAGACACATCCCTAGATCTGCCCGAAGCGACGTGCTTAATCCAGATATCATCTCATTACGGTTCCCGGCGTCAAGAAGCACAGCGTCTGGGTCGTATCCTAAGAGCTAAACGCAGAAACGACGAGGGCTTCAATGCCTTCTTCTACTCGCTCGTGTCTAAAGATACGACTGAAATGTACTACTCGACCAAGCGCCAAGCTTTCCTGGTCGACCAAGGCTATTCCTTCAAGGTCATCACGCAACTTGCGGGCATGGAAAACATGGATAATCTTATATTCAAATCACCGACAGAGAGACGGGAACTATTACAAAAGGTCATCGTCGATACCGAGGCCAAGCGGGGGATGGACGATGAAGACGCTACCGACGATCTCTTTTATGCAAACAAGGGCAGCAAAAGGGGCGTCAGGCGCATGGCTGGCACTCTTGGGGAACTCAGCGGTGGTCAGGATATGTCGTACATCGAGCAGAGAAAGAGCATGAACAAATCGCTCAAGAAGAATGCTAAGCAGAGCGACTTCTTCAAGAAGCATTATAGGGAGGTTGCTAGAAACAAGGACAAGGCGCGATGAGTCTTGGTGCAGACCGCAATCAAACTGCCGCGTATCGTTCTTACCTCTTCACGCCCTGAATCTTTGCCTGCCGAGCCGGGAGACGCTGTCTTGCCGTGATCTTCTAGATGCCGGCACTCAGCCCGATCGTGATGGGACATCGGGCCCCCGCGGTACAGAAACGCCGCGTTTTTCAAATACGTACATGATAAACGTCAGACGCCCTTGATTAGGAAGAATGCCTTGAAGAAGCTGATGGGTAAAGCGACTGGATGTGGAAGGAGAAGAAGATCTGAGGCCGTGAAATGAGCCGATCCGGCGTTTGATTGGCTGGCAGAGAATATACACATGGGATGCTTGGGCAAGATGTCACTTTAGCGCAAGGCGTACAGGATTTTATGTTACGAGGAAAAAGAACATTTTAGAGCTTAGCAGGTTGGATTGTTAGGCACTGGCTACTGAATTGTGGCAGAGGTACTGTTGAATTCTCTGCAGCCCTTCCTGTATTGGGCAAAATCAACGAAAAGCCCAACACTTTGTTAGATTGAGAACCAAAGGTGTTCAAATAACGACTTCTTTCCATCACCTTCAACGTATAATGTCCAGCAGCTGCTTTCCCTCCCTTGATGAAATTATAAATCATATCCAGTGAGCTCGATGTTTGGATCGGCATATCGAGGTCTGTGACGAGCAATTCCAACGTGACAAATGCTTCATTCCAATTCTTTAGAGATGCCGATCTCACACGATCCAGCGTGGCACAAAATACGTCCTCGGATTTGGGGAGATCGACCAAAAGGGTCGAAGATGAAGCATGTCATCTTCTTGGAATACTCATGGTCAACACGCCTCATCTTTGTGGCGAGGGTAGCCGTGCATTCCCAAGGCTGCAGGTTCAATATTTAGGGCTACCTATTTCCTCTTCGGACTATCTCGGGAGCTGGAGTTCACCTTGCTTGATCATTCGGGCTGTCAAGGCACCGAATATGCATGAAGATACTCCTAAGGCATTCTGATTGGAGAGATTGCTGAACCGGTATGTGATGAATAGGAGGAAATCATGAAAGTCTCGGACGATTAGAAAGTTTCCACCTGCATACCAAAGAGATTAGAGAACCCTTCAGCACACGAATTCTCATATACGGACTCTGCCAAGCTTGATGGCGGATTTCTTTCACCTTCCGCAAAGCAGTTTGAGAAATCGGGACATACTGTTCGTGCCCCCATCCCAGCATTGGCTATAAGCACCCCGTCCGCTGCCAACGACAAAGGCCTACAAATAACACTACCGACCATAGCCGATGGAGATATTCCTTGTTCCAACACAAATAAATCCACGTGTGTTCCGGCTGAGAACAATACAATTATCCCTAAAGTCCCCCGTAGGGGAGTGGTAAATGCCGCTGCCGCGATGATCAAAGAATCACTAATCATTAATGGCATCAATGATCCTCAATTCAAGCGTAGTTCAACACCAGTTTCCAACAACGCTGCTAGTCCTAACACTCTCGCGGGTCGTCAAGGCTTTTACGCAATATTACATTGCGCCTGCACAGACAATGCGTTCCTACTTGGCCATATCCATGAGAAGCATCGATAATACTGGCTTGAGCATCAACAACAATACAGGCCCATTCGTGCGAACAAACCACGATCAAGGATCCAGTCGATTCATTGTGCTGGTAGCACACAGAAAGGCAAAGCCGCGCAGCCTGCTGATCAGACCAAAAGATGATATTTCAAGGGGCTCTCGCCTCTGGCCAAACCGCCATGATGGGCAGCGTATGCTCCTCGATCACCTCCCGCAGATCATATCTGGCTTCAAGCTGATGAGAGCCATTCCTCGCTCGAAGTTCAAACAAGGCAGACAACGGTGGCACTCCGCTCCGCTTACACAAAACGCACTTCAGCAACGGCCGCACAGCGCTCATGCTGGCCCGCGACAGCAGTGACTACGGATCTCTGCTAATGATCAACCCAGCATTTGAAGATACTGTTGAGGATCGATACGGGGTGGTCTGCAGTACCAACCTAAGCAGAAAGGGGCAGATCAACTGTAAGGATCGATTTCGCGCCGGATTGCCTCACGGGACTTCCACGTTCCCTCAGGAAGGCCCGGTTGGCAGAAGATTCAGACTGGTATTGGAAGTGCGACAGCCGCGTCATGCGCTGCTGTCGAGAGTCGCGGCAAGTATGTGGCAGCGAGACTGTAGGTCTGGGAGATAGACGTGCGAGCAACGAGCACGAAGAGCCGCCGCATCCCGATTCCCCGAGCCGTTGCATAGCTGGTCTCACAACCTTTTATGCATCAGTCATTTCTTCACCACAAAAAGAAGGTTAGGTGGGGGGAAAGGCTTTCCCAGTCAACAAACAAACCTTCTCGAGATGATATTCTGTTCGAATCGGCACCAAAAAGATCCGCGATAGGCAATCCTGCAGTGTTAGTAGTCCCGCGCTGGCAGAATAAGCTTTTCCCACTGCAGATTGAGGGAATGGGGCCCAAGACGCGGCCGATCGTCCCTTCATCTTCTTCTCCTTTCGTCCTCGCGAGCTTGAGACACGGCATGGCCCGGGAGGGAGGTTTTTATTTTTATTGCATCTTTTATGCGCGAACGTTTGTGCGTGGGGGAAGACAATCAAGATTTGTTCCAACCTTAAAGCAGACTGCTCGCGAGTGTAAACAACATGTTTCGCCCTGACCCAAACACGTGGTCGCACACCTTGCAGGAACTTCCTGCTCGAGCAGGGTCTGAGCATGTCCTCACAATTTCGAGACAAGGCGCATGGGCATACGGATATGCGATTACCGCGAAACGTAATTTTGCCGCGTGGGTTGCCATCCGGCTGGGTGGCCATGGCAACACAGGGTCCTGAGATGACGCGTTGTGTTGTCTGGCAAAACATACACGACAATTAGTCGTCCTCGTGGCGGTTTGAGTGGTTGCATATGCAATTCTTTTGTAATAAAACCCTCATCATGCACTGAAACCCACATGTCGTGGGTTACACACCATTGATTAGCCTTCGTGGCTACCTGTCAAAACGCAGGGCCTAGAAACTTATAAAGTTGAGCGAGGCAATAGATAATATGGCGTTGTCATATCTGGAGCATGTCGGACTGAGATCATATTCCGCAGTCAGTAACTAGTCAGGAACCCTATACCTCGTCTAATGTCAAAAAGCTCCTTGAGATTAGTTTTCGTTCCATGCGGGGAATTTATTTAGATGGTGCAATATGGAAACAAAATAATATGATTCTAAGACGGATTTCTGACACTGTGCCCTTTCTATCTTACCTTCTAATATGGGCTTTTGTGCCCATGTTTTTTGGCCACTATTTTCCCTTCCTCGCTGCTCCTGTAAAGTATATGGAAACATCCGCTTAGCTGCTGATGAGGTTAAGAGACATTAATACAGGGATATATAATCATCCCTTCTCTCCATGCCCCCCCTCTACCCCAGTCCTTGCCAGCCCCTTATATCTGGGCATCTATAGCCCACTGTCGATCTGATCGGGATGGCTCCGGGATGTGAACTCGTCCCACTCAGCACAGGTGCTGGCGATATTGTCGGGTATCTCGAGGCCTATGAGCTCGTCGGGCTGGAAGAGCAGCTGGGCGAAGAAGCCCGCGCTGGCGTGCCAGGTGACGTGGCAGTGGAACGGCCACATGCCCGGGTTCGATGTCTCGAGCTGCACCACGATGTGCCCAAAGGCCCGCACGTTCTGCACGTCTCGGCGCATTGGGTTTTCGGGGCGCACAAACGCTGTGTTGTCGGCCGAGTAGTCCCCCGCGCCGTCAGCGATAGTGTACATGTTCAGGCCGTGGGCGTGAATCGGGTGAGGACTGGAAAATCGGAACAGATGGCTTTTGTTAGCGGGTTTGCTTTTGTGTGATGTGATAGAAATGTTTGAAAGGGATAACTGGGGGCTTACGCAGGACTTGGGTTATTGATAATTAGTCTGACGGACGAGTTGGTGCCGAAGTTGATGACGTTCATGTCCTCGGAGAAGGAGAAATTGCCATCCTTGACTTGTAGCATGGACGGGGAGTTGTAGTCGACGCGAGCCGACACATTACCAAAGGTCCAGAGGTAGTTGTCTGACTCGTTGATGTAGCTGCCAATATCCAAGTTCTGAGTGTAGGTGGCTTCTGGCAGCTCTATTGGAAAGAACGGGATAGTGATCTCGAGTGGATCATTGGCACAATTACCCGGATCGGGAACATCCCAGGCCTGACTGGTGGGAGGCTCGTTGGGGTCTGCATCCTCGTAGAGGATGGCAGCGAGAGCATTAGGCGCATTTGCGCTGGCGCAGCTGGTAAGGTTCGCGCGAAGCCAGAAAGACGAACCGGGTTCGCCGGCATTTGCCTTAACCAAGACATCAGCTCGTTGGCCGACGCCAAGGGTGACGACAGTAGTATTATACGGTTGAACCGGGACGAAGTCGTACGCAATGACAGTCATGGTGTGCTCGTCGATCGATATGCGTTGAGTACCCTGAGACCCAGAATTGATTAGACGAAGTCGATGCATTTTGCCAGACTGAAATCTGAACTTGGCCAAACCGGCATTATCGGTGCAGTTGGTGGTATCACCAGCAGATACACTCGAGCAGTTGAAGTTGTTTTTTCCCTGAATCAAATTGCTATCTGAGAACGAACGGCCAGAAAAGTTTGGTTGCATAATACTTTCAACGACTTCATAATACTCCTGATGCCACCAATCTGGACGCGTTAGGTGAGGTCCAAAGAAGGCATTGAAGAAGATTCTCACCTTCGAACTCAATGGGGCCTATATCAGTGTCGTAGCTCAATTGTGTGGGGCCGTGGATGACTATAGGTCCGTGAAGGCCACCAGAGTACTGCGAGGAATAATGGGAATGATACCAAGAAGTGCCGTATAGTGTAGCCCTGAAGCGATAGGTGAATTTGCTTCCAGGAGCTATGGGACATTGTGATACACCTGGAACACCATCCATCCATGGAGTCCCCTCCATGAGTAATCCGTGCCAGTGGAGAGATGTTCCCTCCGCAACGGTTTCGATATTATTGGAGACCGTGACCTCAATCCAGTCGCCCCAGTTGGCTTCAACAATAGGCCCTGGGAATTGTTCGTTGACTAGAATAACACTCTTGTTGTAGCCATCCGGCTGAATATACCCTCGTGTGATGGAGAAGTCGTAGTATCGTGTCATTCCCGTGTCTGGCGCCGAATGGTATGGGTTATTGTTCTCACTCAAATCTCCCCAAGGGCAGCTCTCGCTGTTGATACCGTTGTCCTGAATCCAGAGCCCGAGGCATGGTTGGTCGAGTGTACCCCACAAAGATTTTCTGGACGCAATTAGCTATACATGTGAGAACTCTGTAGCAAGTTGACCTTCTTACCCATCTTGTAAGTCTGGACTCAATGCTCCGAGAAGGGCACCGCAGCCTTGTAGGAAGGCCATTATTAGTAAAGATTGGAACGGCCTCGAAGAAACCTATATCTACTAGCTAAAGAAGAAAAAGCAAAGAATGAAAGGATATTCAAAATAAACCAGAGGGCAATAGCTCGAAATTGTTTGGGACGTGAAGGTCAGAATCATCCCTTATAAGAGACCTTGAAATCAACAAAGCAGGCAAGCTGGGGGCGGCAGAAGCCACTTGGCTTCAGCTTCGGTTGGTGAGCCGCTTCCAAACACGGATCGTCATATGCGAGGGAAGCTATTTTGGATACTATACCCGTGGCTCGATGTACTCTAGCCGAAAGCAGATGAAGTTGTACGGCCTCCCGCGCATCCGGTAGGTTGGTCAGGGCGGTGATCAAGAACGTTGGACATCGGGCCCCTCAGAATCCTGGCGTCCCTCAACGATATGCCTACCGTGCTATCCACATGATATCATATGTATCAACCGTGTCGTTTCACTTTTCATCATGGTGTCACCAGATATGACGGACTAGATCATGTTGTGGGTTTGGGTAGAGAAGCCGAGTCGAAGCGCACTTTGTGCTAGTTTTGATATAACCTCTTTCACCAGCGGTTCAACGACTAATCTTGTTAAGCCCAAACTTTCGACTAGTCATTGGCACTGATACTGCACTCGGCATGCGAACCATATGCTGTGTGCGATTAGACATAAGTCGTCACTTATATTGCCGAAAATCGCGACCAGGAGACCGGTAGAGAAGCATATTGATGACTCAGTTCATAGAGCTCAATGGTTGTTGATATCAAGGACGCAATTTAGTTTCAGCTGAATTCAAGAAATGCCGAAAAGAAAGCCGTGGAAATTCGAGATGTTGGCGCAAACTCCCTTATTTGCGGCTTATGCTAAATACACGCACGGAAAAGAAAGTACGGCAGAAAAGCGACTTTGACCAGATGGAGATTAGGACGAATCGCCCCAGGCAGGCCATGGTCATCGAGAAGCGTTGTATACATTGCAGAGAAAGCTTCGTAACGTAACCCAGCAAACTTTATTGATCGTCAAGACAATCGATCTTTATCCATTGCCGGAACACGCAAGCACGGTGCTATTGATAGCAGCCGCTCACGAGTCTCAAAGGCGCCACAGCTTACGCGGACGTATGTTGATAACTTTTCAGGCTTATGAAGGGAAAGGGACTTGGTTTCGACGTCAGTAGTGGAACAGTTAAAAAAAAAATTGCCTTCGGCGGCAGACTGGCTGCTGTATGATCATTGTGGCCGACTATTTCTCGCTGCAAGATGGGCTGCAGTTGTTACTCGTCCAAGACGGCTTGTCATACAATGACCTTCCTTCTTCTTTTCTTTTGCGTCTGACATTGAACTCTGAGGATTGCTCTGATGCTAAGCTGACAAGTGATGGTTCAACTTTTCCCATGCATCACATTGCCGCTCGGGGGGTAGATAATGGAATACGTCAGCTGCAAAGAAGGATCCATATTCGCTTGACTGGGTGTTGACTTTGACGCTTGATCAGAGGCTCTTTGAATCCGCAGAGACGTGCGATAGCGTCCATGGCTTCTCAGCTCCTCCCACTCAGACATGGGATTTGCATACATAAGCTGTGGCGGATAGATCATCCCAGGTGTTATGGAGCCACGTTTCCCCATGGTAGCATATTGCTTTTTGGGCGTTTTTGGCATTGTGTTCGATGGCTATCCGGAAATTTGTTGGGGAAATGCAGAACTTCAAAGGCGCAGTTACTTAATGACAGAATCGGCGTGCCAAAAGCTGAAAAGAAGGGAAAGAGAGTGCACGGGTAGCTGGGAACAATGTGGCAATGCAAAAAACAGCGAACGTGTATTGCCAATGGCTTGCTTGGTTGTTTTGTGGCATCGAGCAAGTCTTGACATGCCGGTCTGTTTTGGTCAGAGACAAGAAACGGGACGATATTATGCAGGGAAATTGATGTAGACTTGGGGACAAAAGTCGATTTTATAAACTTTCAATTTAGGGCGTTTTGATTAGACTCTAATTTTAATACGGAATGGAAGCCGCTGCCTCACTGAAAAGTCGAGTCTCTACATATGTAACCTGATTGTTCTTGCCCGACCGCGTCGTTGTTATTAGGCCTCCCTGGGCTAGATATATTTCACAATCACCACGTTATTCTTCCAAGCTAGCAGTGCTTAGTATTGCAAGATACTGCCGTGTTTCTCCTGAATACTGGTCACCATGTGCTTCATCGTCGTAATAGAAGCAGCCGCACCACGATTGAAAATCTCACTTATAGAACGGGCTCCGCCCCTTACACTTTCCTTGAAGCGCACACGCTTAATCCCTGTAGGCAGACACGCGGGTTCGATGCTTCACTTTGATAGGGTGGAGAGGTCAGATCCGAATTCCAAATTTTTAATCATGATTCGTGGAATGGTATTGTCGCCGTGAAACGCCTATATGTACATATGTTTACTATTGTACAACCTGGGCCTGGCCTGTGTCTCAGTGCGCGAGGCAGGCCATTCTTGTGATGATTGCTTCCGATGGCTGGGTGCTACTCGGATGAGATGCTGTGACTATTGGGATCTGGGACGGTAGGCTTGTTGCGCGGCCACGATATATGGTCTTCTTTGTGCTCGTAGAAATGCTTCGTTGGCGAAAGGAGATGCGTCCGTTCTGATGACACTTCCAATGCCCATGAAAAAGCTGCATGTAAGTTAGCCAGTGATCTTGTTTCTCGCTCGGCCTCCCTGGGGGTGTATAACCCACCCGAAAGTTGCACCAGATCCAGCCATGTATTGTCCCAAAGTTCGCATGATACCGTTGGGGCCTGCGCCATATCTAAAGATGTTGACGGTTCCTGGCGCATAGTCAGTCGCGGGGGGCTAGGTCGTCGAGGGAATGGGACGAGTCGCATACCAAAGACGAAACCCATAATGGCACCAACAGCTGAAAACAATGTTGTTAGCTACTATGTGATTGGTGAAATATCAGGCTGTGGACGTACTGCCGCCCATCATAGCACCCATCTTCACTGTTTGTCGTTAGCGAAAGTTAGCGATTCGATCTACTGTGGGTTGGGAAGGACCAACACTTGTCCATGGTGGACGGGCCGTGAGCACCCTCGGGGAGTCTTGGTGGAGGAGGCATGACTGTGGTTATGTAGCTTCGACGGGATTATGGATGGTGGATATCGGGGTTATCAACGTGGTCGTCGGCAGCAGCGGTGGACTGAGGGGATCAAGTGCAATCGTTCTTTGCTGTCTGTCTCCTGTTCAGCCTACTGAAGAAATCACGAGAGCTTTCGGGGCAACTTCAAGCTCTTCTCCACCGAGCCACCCTCGACTAGCTTTTGCATGCATTCGACCGCCGGCTGGCAAGACGGGTGGCAGAACAAAGCTGCTACTTAGTCTAGCCAATGCCACCAGCTATGTACCAGCCAGCCACCAGCCTGCCAGCTAACTTAGCTTACCAGACAGCTAACCTAGGACCCATGCCAGCACTCAACTCAACACCCTGACACCCAGCAAGCACTAACCACCCAGCACTAAACACCCAGCACTAAACACCCAGCACCAGCACACCGGGGCAGAGGTCCAGTGGTCCGTTGGTCCAGCAAAAGCAGTGTGGGGTTCGCTTCAGTCGTCTGTCACTGTAGGTAGGTACTTGATCTTCAGGGAACCTCTATTCTTTGCAGGTGCACTACATGATCCAAGCTCTCGACGGGGTATGAGGCAAGGTACTACGACTGCATCGTATCAGATCGAAACGAATCAGCTACAAAAGTCAATCCCCAGTTTGGGCGTGCATCTTCCAGTAGGTACGGGCCCGTAGATAATTAGGTAGTATTTGACTTTGCTACGATACATGCTTCTTTCTGCTTGTTTGCTCCTTCGCGGCAGGTGTCACGTGAGCTTGTTCTTCTCTGCTTCTGCTTGTGCTTCTTCTGCTCCTGCTCCTGCTCCTGCCCTGCTTGTGCTTGCAGTAAGCGGCCTGGGTTGCGTTGCCGGCTTTAGCATTTTAGTTTGGCCATGCTTATTCCAAGAAGTTAGTAATTAGTTTCCTGAGAGAGAAAGAGAGAGAAACAAAATAATTTGTGGATAATATTCTTAGCGAGTAAGTTAGGGAATAATGGGGGGCTTTTTTTTTTCTTCTCGACTTCTTTCATGCAGTAGAAGACTTTCCGACAAATGGGTACTGCTGCCCTTTTCCCTTTATTCTTAATGTGATGCGGCTCTGTTCCGGATAGCAAGAAAAGACAAACAAAATAAGAGAGCGACCCCCGACCCCATGCTGCTGCTTCCTCTTGGAGGCCCGCTAAGCGCTTAGCGAGACGGGGGCAACTGGGACAAGTCTGTGTCTTGAGTCGTAAAGTCGCTGATGTCGGATCTGTCTCCAAGTCTCGAACAACGACCATCCGTGCCATCATAATCCGTCCCAAGGCGCCCAGTATCAACTAAATCATTTTGACTATCCCAAGTCAATTGCATGGTATGTGTTTTCTGACGTCGCAGTTCCGCCCAGACCGTTTCTGTGGGTTCTCTACCATCCTTGTCACTCTTCCAGCCTGCCAATGCGACCACGGGGCCTCCGTTTTCCTGGCCTCGGACACTGACAATTTTCATCCACCAGGGACGACACCAACGCTATCAACGCTCTGAACAATCATTAGAAGAAAAAGAGCGTCGTTGTTTTTGCTTTCCCCCCCCATCCTGTATTGTGTGATTAGAGCACCTGTCGTCTTCTCAACTCTACATCGCATAGTCGCGTCACATGCAGCGAGTGGGTGGATGAGGAGAGCGACTGCCCACACGACACGACACGACACCTGCGATTATCCCACGCCTTCGCCCCGATTCACCTCCATCCCCATCGTTGCTGCCGATCCACGACATCTTCCTCATGACCGCCGTCGCAAGCCCCCCTACCTTGTCCCAGCATAACCGGCCGGCATGGGGTATGAATGGTCACCGGGGAGTTCAGAGTATTGATGCCATGAATCCCGACGAGCTGAACCGCATGTTCATGCCGCGCAAGAGCCTACAACGAAACAACTCGTCCTCGTCCATATCTTCCACATCCTCCAACTCCTCGATATCCACGGTTGTTGGCCCCGGCAACGGCCAACCGCCTCAAACTAATGGTTCCGCCACAAATGGCGCCCCCATGTCCGTAGCTGGAGATCTGGGTTCCTGGTCCAACCCCGGCGCGAATGCATTAAACGCGACCGCTGCAAATGCTGCCCCGAGGAAGCGACCACAAGGAAAAGCCGCTCCCTGGCCAGCACCCAAATCCGACGGTCAGGTCCTGTCGGATTTCACCCGGATGGCGGGAGGGCGACCACAGCTGATGGGCCCCAACGGCTCCGGGCCCATGCAGCCCTCACCAATACTACAATCTCAGGCCCAGATGTCTTCCCAACACGGGAGCACACAATCCTTGGCTGGTTCCGCCGCCCCAGGCGGACAGCCTGTACTCTACCTGCTATCACTCAACGGCACATTCGAGCGCAAGACGATATCAGTACCATTCTCCCCTGACGCCCTTAGGATCGGCCGTCAGACAAATGCGAAAACGGTCCCTACCCCCAGCAATGGCTTCTTCGATTCCAAGGTCCTCTCCAGACAACATGCCGAGATATATGCCGACAGGCAGGGCAAGATATGGATTCGTGATGTAAAATCTTCCAACGGTACATTTGTTAATGGCACGCGACTTTCACAAGAGAACCGCGACTCGGAACCTCATGAGCTACAGACTGGTGATCATCTGGAACTGGGTATCGATATTGTTAGCGAGGACCAGAAGACGGTCGTGCACCACAAGGTTGCAGCAAAGGTCGAGCATTCCGGCTTTCTGAACCCATCGAGTAATCTCTTGGACATGAACTTTGGCGATCTGGATCCCTCCAACGCTATGATGCAGCACAACGGCGGCTTGCCCTTTCGAGGACGTAATGGCAGCCAGGCTTCAGCTGCTAGCAATGGTCGAATGATGCCCGGTGCGGCAATGATGGCCGCCCAAACAAACGGAGTGCCCCAGCAACGAGCAGGTTTCTTCTTCTCCCCGATTAGTACAGAGCAGATCGTGAAGAAGCTTCAGGTGAGTCGAGCTGAACGAAACACGCTGGTGCCCCAACATCCCCAGTTTACTAACTGCCACGACAATCCAGACCGAGATGCGTACAGCTCGTCTACAAACACAGGACCTTGGAAGAGCGAACCACTTCGTTCACACACTTCTGTCCAGGGATGATATTAAGGATTTAGAGAAGGCCGATGTCTCGGAGGTTCCGAAGCACCAAATGGTCAACGGCAACGGCGTGCCATTCATGCGGACCGACAACAAAGCGAGGTTTTCGGACCCTCCTGCACCTCCTCCTCAGCAACCGCTTCCCGAGAAACCAGACGTGCCATCACTGAAGCGTGGCATCACTGAAAGGCCCAAGACGAGTGTGTCGAGTGCCAACGTCTCTCCCATACGACAGGATGGCAACGTCAGCCAAATTCTTCAGCTTACCGAAGCCCTCAACGTTGCCAAGAAGGAGCTAGAGACACAAACGTCGAGGATGAGGGACTTGGAAGAGCAGCTGCATAAGGAACGTGAGGCTCGGGAGCTTGCCGAAGAGCTCACAAGGAGACTGGAGGAAGCTGCTGCCGCCAAGATGAACGGTGCTGCCGTAAAAGCCGAGGAAGGGAACGAAGAACCTACTTTGATTCTAGACGAAGCTTTCGAGCCACCTGTGGAAATTCCTACCTCTCCCGAGACCGATACACCGACCAGCGACAAATCCCAAGGATCCTCGGACGCACCGCAAGTTGAGACTATCGAGGCCTCTGCTGCACAGCTACACAACCAATTAGAATCTATGGTGCTAGAGATGAAAGATCTACGACAGCAGCTTGAAGCCTACAAGGCTCGGGCCGAGACGGCTGAAACCGAGCGCGATGCGGACCGAAAGACTTTGGCACAGTTGATCCTACAAGCCCGCCAAGATGCAGAGAAGAGAGAGGCTGTCGCCCGGGAACAGTCACGATCTCAGTCAGGCGTCCGAATCTCCGAGAAAGACGACGGGAGCGTGTCGTCCGACGATTCAACAGCCATGGTTCGCACACCCTCAACAGAATCAAGTATGGGCACAGGACAAGCAACTCCTGCTGGCCCCAACGATGCCCCGACATTGTCGAGAGCAAATACGATCACGCCATACAATGCTCAGGCTGGCCAATTAGCTCACAATACCATACTGGAAAGTAGCATGCCTTATGCCTCGATGCTCGGCGTTGTGTTGCTGGGTATGGGGCTCATGGCATATATCAACGGCTGGCAGCCACAGCCCCCACGACTCAACCGTTAAACGATATTATCACACAGACTACATCTTCTTCCCTTTGTACCTACTTATACGACGATTCCTCCCTAGTATGGTCTTCTGGCCGACCCACGTACACCAATCTCTTTTCTATTCTACGGCTTACCACGTGTAATATGGTCAACACAAGGCGTTCAGGCAGCGGCAGGAAATTCATGGATAGGTTTGACATGCATTTCAAGGGAAAGACCCAACGACGAAATGACTTGTATGTGCCAGAGTGCTGTTTGAAAATGGACAAAGGGAGCGCGCAGAGACAGCGTTGAGATTTGACTTCAGCTTGCATATTTTACACGTGTTGTAGCCCGCACCAAATACAATGCTATACCGCCCTTTAATTTCGTCCAAAAATGTGTAGTGCCATGTACTGAAGAAGCCAAGTCGTATTGAGATAATCTATGATCTTGCACTACTAAGTTAATTTGCCTCATTCCCATGTATTTACCCGCAGCCACGACTTGCGAGTGACTATGCTGTCAACATCACTTACACCTGCCTATTCCTTGTAACATTATTGCTTGGCCTGTCAAGGTACTTTGACGTAATTACAAGAGGGATGGGTAACCGACAATCTAGAAGCGTTCGACTCCCGAGTCTAGGAGGGCTCTGTAGGTCTACTCATTGGCGCATTCTCTGGTTGACTTTGTGTTCGTCCCCCACCAAGCATTGACCCAATAACTGGAAGCATAATAAAAATGGTCCATAACCAGGATACCATCGCCACAACACTCACTAGACCAGATAGGTGCCCATCTTAATAACCACATTAGTCAGAATCTATCACGAAGACCAGTAATCGAATTGCGAGCGAGAAAGGACGTGCGTGACGACTCAACGATAAATTACTCAAACTACGATTGCCTTCTGCGCCACTTGAAGTCACCCTTCAACTTGGCTTTGAAAGGGTAAGACTATGAACAGGATTCATCATGAGCTCGGTACCTAAAGCAAGTTGTTATCCATGGTCTCCATCATAGCACTATGTAACCACATATAAACTGATGAATCAAAGACGATTGGTGATTTGATCAAAGTCTAACGTCTTGGGTTTCGCGAGACCAAGTGTTGAACTGTTTATTCAGAGCATCAAAAACTCCATTACGCAACTTGCGCATAATATCAAATTAAACTTAACCTGCTAAACCACTGAGAGCATGTCAGCGGTCGTTGCTACATCCAATCCAAAGGGTTCGTCCTTATGGTTGCAAGAAACTTAAAATCACAATCATATATGACTAGTGTATGACTCCACGATGTTGAAATTTCTCGAACAGAGTTGCGTCTCAACTTACTGCGCGAGTCTCTTCACCTGTTTTACCTGACCTAACCTCAAATCCACACGACATGAAGCCCACCACTTTCTTAACTTGCTGCACGGTTGCCTTTGCAGCTGCACTTCCTTCAGGTAGTGACGGTGATGCCGAGTGGGCTGTCAGCAATTTCAGTATTGTGACCTATCCTAACCCGCGCGGAGCGATTACGAAGTAAGTGTTTTCTGATATTATAGTTACTCATCGGTAACTTGAGATCGGATGTCAAAGGTCTTTTAAGAGTTGCGGAACCTACCACAATCTCGAGCTGTATCTATGCCCGTGCTGCTTGCTTATCCGGGCTCCTACCGATGTTCTTATTTCCTTTTTTCATTAAGATTTTAACGAGGGGCTCCTTAGTTACTCCTTCAATATCACGACCTCCAAGGAAACTATACAGTGCATCAATTCATCGCAGGGGAGCCCCCAGCCTCTGGGCTACACCAAGGGCGTCGAATGCGGCCCGACATTCCAGTACTCTTTCACTCCGAACGGAGCGTGGGAAGCTGCCTACACTGGCTCTACCCTCGAGATTGTTGACTTGGCCAGCAAATTGAAGGCCACTCATTCAGTGCCTCTCTCAGAGTTGACCCGCCTGCCTTTCAAGATCCACGGAGACCGGCCTTACGCCTACAACGGCCCCACCGATTTCAAGGTGCAGACCAAGCTCTATCACAAGGCATAGGTTGTTACATAGAAAGGCACATGGCCGGCCACGCTTGGCGTTTGGGCTGGACCAAGACTGGCTGCATTTGGATTGACGTTGGTCGCTAACACGTAATGGTGTACCACGTACGACGTTGCTATAGGCGCGAAATCGAGTTATTGATACTTCTAATTTATCTTTATTTTAACAAGCTAATATTCGCAGCACAGTCCAGTGTGTATTCAGTCAATGTGATGTTCCACTAGACAATGTCCAAACACCTTGTAGAATACATATGTTCTACTAGAATGCGCGCACCCACTGTGCTTACCATCCCTTGTACGATCTAGCGATCGGCCGTGTCTTCCCAATGCCGGCGAACCCTTTGCCCTACAACTTGCCACAAGGTACTTGTCGAGAACCTTCCAGCTTTTTATTGAGCCAGGGGATCTCTTCCAGGCCGTAGCGGTACGCTCGAAACAACGCGTTCGACTCTCCCGGGAACATCTTCGCCGTCGCCTCGTCCGGATATGGGGCAAAGTGCGGGTTCACGTACTCCCAGCAGATATAGCCGTCCCGTGCGACCTCAAAGATGCGCCCAAAGGCGCTCTCGCAGAGCAGGGTGTTGCCGTTGGGCAGCCTCTGGGCGCTGCCCATGAAGGGCGTGAAGAAGTAGAGCATCTGCGAGCGGTCGCGGTACTCCCAGACGATCTCCCTGGTCGCACTGTCCACCTCGACGGCGCGGGTGTAGGTGACGGACTCGCCGTTTCGGAAGGCGCCGTTGTCGAAGATGAGGATGTTTCCGCTGTCGAGCTCCGTGGCGTTGTGCTGCTGCGCCAGGACCTCCGGCCCGAGCTTCCACACGATGTCGCCCGTGGATCTCTCGATCATGACCACCGCCGACACCGATCGCATGGAGGCGAGGATGTGCTTGCCGTCGCGCGTGGGGAGGACCGAGTTGATTAGGGGGTAGTGCTCGCGCGTGTAGTGAGGCTGAAGCGGGAATTCTTCCCTGGGTAGTCTCTCGGACACCTTCCACTGCCAGACAAGCTGGCCGTTCTCGTCAACTTCGTTGATGGTGTCGGCATATGTGATACCATCTATTTCAGTTCCAGGCACTCCACCGATGACTTTTGCTGACTCTTCTGGCGATAGTGCTTCGAGGCTGGTATAGAGAAACCGGCCATCTCCATAATGGTATTGGTCATGATGACCGAATGGGTCGGTGAATTGACGAACAACTTTGCCATCTGGATCCAACTCGCTCATAACGCCGCCGCCGTACTTATTGAAGAAAGGAAATGGGTAGGGACCTCCATCCTTGGTCGTGAGCTCGGATTTTCGCAGGGTGTTAACAGCGAGGTTTCCATTTGGCAGGATCCGGGCATGTCGGCCAATCCTGCCTGGGAGCTTCCATGAATGCACTTCTCTTCCATCGATATCGACTAGGTAGGCTGTATCGCTGGTCAAGGGGCAGAAAAGTGTATATCCGCCAAAAGATCGGCCTTTATCTACACCAGTGAGGCCGACGCCCCGTCGTTTCAAGGTGTTTTGCTCCATCGGTTAGGGTTCGCGTGGTGTGACTTATGTATAAGAACAGTGCCAATCCGCGGTGGTCTCTTTAATTCCAGACAATGTGACAGAACGACACTAGTATGATATATATCGTGGGGAGTGAGGCAGGAAGATGAGTGATAATCTAGCACGGTCGTCGTCCGGATGGTATTGGGGTTAGTCTTAACTCTTGATTTTATACAATTTTCATCCAATCTTGTTTTCGTCTTGACAAATTTGGAATACAATATCGATCGCAGCCGACACATACACACGGCGTTGGAGGATCTAGTGACCCTTCGGCATCCCGACGGCATCCCGAGGGTACCCCGCAGGTATCCCATAGGCAAACCGTCGGCATCCCACTGAGACATATGGTCACCGCTAGCGCTATCGCGACTAGAAGTCATCTAATAGGTGCATCGTCAAGAGCACGTTATTATCGCTGATATGGTATCTTCGAGGCTACCAGCAATGGCTTCATTGATCCATGAAGATATCAGTGCTGTGGTAGACGTAATGTAGTTATAAGTTCAAGGCAATCGGCACCAAGTTCATAGCTGAGATGATAGCAGCAGATGAAGTGAAGAAATAATCGCCAGACGATCTTCAATAATAATCAACATTGCTAGCGATTATTTAGTTGCATCCACTACAATGGGTTCCTTCTCTGAGAAGAGCTATTCCATGCCACTTCCGCCCTCCGAGCATGATGACGAAATCAATTTGGAGGACCATGTTTATGTTCCCGGTTATGACCCAAACCTCGAGATAAAACCTGGCGAGACCAGGAAGGCATTATTGAAGGTTGACTTTGTTATTCTACCCTTTATCGTTTTATGTTTCTGCCTACTTCAGTTTGATCGCACCAATATCGGCAATGCCCTAACCGACACCTTACGTGACGACGTCAAAGTCACGAACTCGAACATCAACTTGGCACAAACTCTCTTCACCGTCGGGTTTATCATCACGGAGTTGCCGTTCAATGTCATTAGCAAGTATATCGGCCCGGAGAGATTCCTCCCAATAACCATGTTCCTATGGGGAATTGCAACATGGTCTCAAGTGTTCCTTACGAGTTCTTCTGGTCTCCTCGCAGCTCGGTTCTTCATAGGTGCACTCGAGGGCGGATATATCCCAGGTTTCGCTTTGTACATCTCCAGGTATTATACGAACGACGAGCTGGCACTACGATACGCTATATTTTGGGCCTCGAACAGTTTCGCGGGTGCCCTGGGTGGGCCGCTGTCTATTGGGCTGCTCTCCCTCCGCGGAAGAGGCGGCCTACAAGGGTGGCAATGGCTTTTCTTGATTGGTATGTTGATGAAACTTTCTTGTTAATAATTGTGAAGCGTGACTAGATACTCACAACATTTTCAGAGGGAGCGTTGACTTGCGCCTTCGGAGTTATCGCGTACTTGTATCTTCCTCACGGCCCCGCTGAGCCCAAGTCGTTCTTCGGTCGGTCCCTCAACATGTTCACAGAACGCGAAGCGTCGATCCTGGTAACCCGTGTTATCCGCAATGATCCCACAAAAACCCTGCGTAATAGACAGCGGGTACTGTCCTCTCATTTAGTCGAAACATTTACGGATTGGAGGCTGTACGGGCACCTTGTGGCCGCCTTGCTCTCAATGGTTATGATTGCGCCGATGAACACATACGCGCCGTCGATCATCAAGTCTCTAGGTTTCACCACAATGCGGGCGAATGGGCTCAACTCGGTGGGAAGTGTGTGCGCTTTGGTATGGTCGGTGTCTTTAGCATTCAGCAGCGACAAGTTCCGCGAGCGTGGATTTCACATCGCTCTGGGATACCTGTGGGGCGCAGCTGGCTTGCTTTGGCTTGCTTTGGCTCCTAATAGTGTCAGTAAATGGACTCTCTATGGCAAGTAGACTTCTCCAACGTCTGTTCCTGGTTGAAACACTAATGCATTCCTCAGGTGGTGTCGTATGGACTCAGATGGGCATGGGTTCCGCACAAGCAATCAGCGCAGCTTGGCTCACTTCCAAGATGCAAGACCACAAACGCCCGGTCGCTTTGGCTGCATATGTGATGAGTATTCAGCTTGCAAACTTTCCTGGTAATCAATTATTCACAACCCAAGGTATGCCAGTGTCTGTACTTCTCACGAGCCCAACTAATATGTATGCATGTAGATGCACCTCGCTATATACATGGGCTGAGCATTGCCGCGGGCTGTGCCATTGCAGCTGCCGTCGTCATCCTCATTTGGAAACTTTTGTATCGCTTGTTTGATCACGGAGATTATGGCGTTGAGAAGCAGAGCCAGCTCACCTCGACAGGAGCTAGCCAGGATGTATAAGGAATGCGCCGCTTCTCATTTACTAGATGAGGATTCATTTGCTTCCTGCGTTTCTAGTTTTAATTTGCCATAGTCATATAATCTAAGCTTAGGGTCCTGACTTAAGTATGCCTGAGAAGCAGTTTACAGAAACCGAATAAGAAATACTGGTCTTGGAAAACGATAGTTCTCATTGAATTCTACAAGTTACCTGCTTTTAATGACCAGATAGAGTCTATGATATATATTCAACCGGTACATGGGATTACATAGAATAGGGTCCGAATGATCGTTTTCGAACTAGCCGTTAAAAGTAATGCATTTGACCCTAGATGCCGCTGCTTCCTACGATATTGAGTATGTGTAGGCTTTTGATAAATTATAGGTCACACTTTGCGTTCTGTAACGATTCGCCCGAGGGTATGTTAGATAGATATGTCGGTGTCTGACTGGCTCTGACCCCATTCAGGCCACGGGTCTGTACCAATATCCATATCGAATAACTCCGAGCCGATGAAGCTAGGGTACAGAAAGGAAAGATCGGGTGGAAGGGCCGACTGGTCTTGCGGAAAGCCCTGTAAGCTCTCCTCAGCTAAAACGCCAGAAGATATTAAACGCGGTGTGGGTTGATAATCAGGTCTGAGTTTCTGGAACTGAGCTGAGACGACATCGCCAAGGATACGTGCCGCGTGACACGGAAGACCGATAGATCTTAGCCAATTGACAAGTTGGAGTACCAGGTTATCTATTTCGGTAATGTCGTATTCTGCTGCCTTCAGCTTTGACTCGTAGGTATGAACAATTCGACACAACGTCAATGCCGAGAATGTGATGATGTGGTAGATATGATCTGTCAAATGGCGAGTACGTTCGTCGGTAGTATCGATAGCAAGTTTGATGATAGATTGACAGTGGTGGATCACTTCTTTGAGTACCGCCTTATGCATGACCGATTTTGGCGACTTGAGCCACTGACAGTGAGCCAGCAGATGAGCAAAATGAAAGCCCATTTGAAGAAACTGAGAGCGAGGCTCGTCTTGTAATACATGTTAGTTCGAACCTTCCAACTTTCTTGGCTGATCGACAGCTTACCAAATAAATCCATACAATCTCGCTGCCAATTCTGAAGTGCCAACTTCGTTTCAGCCAGATCAATCCGAGGCCTGCCACATTTATTGTAGATAATCCAGTATAATTTGACTTCAGCCACCATCCGGGCTTCATAGTTGGTGACTTCACTCGAGTCAATCAACTTTACACAGCGATCAATATGTGCTTGATTAAGTACTGTCTGTCTACGAGTACCGACACAATATCTAGTATATACATTAAACCTACATGCTACCGAGTAGTAGTCTGAGATTACTTACTGGAGATGAGCTACACAAATATGGTTCCATACACACCACGAATCTATGTGTGAGACGTCGGTTGGCGAAAGGGGATTGGCTCGCAACGTTTCCGAGAAACATGGACTCGCAAGTGCTTGTTGAATAGCATAGCCGGTCAATAACCAACTATCAATACTCAGTGGAACTTGACCGACAGTAGTGGACCACAAACTCAGTATAAGTGCAGCCTGAAAGAATTCAATGGCTTGAGGTACTTCCAATAGTGATGATGTCATGAGCCGCTTCGCTTCTTGGAACAGTTTTGGAGCCATAATACGTGCCGAATCTTGATTTGTATGCCTCACCGCGATTAAGAAGATACTACACAATAGCAAGGGCGACTTTCTCACCCGCGGCAATAGTATCTCTATCGTAGCATCTTCTGGAAACCTCACCCATCGACCATAATGAAGGTGGAATCTAGCTATGTTAGTTGGGTCTCTGTTGCTCTAGATCAGGATCAATGCTTTACAATGTGAGAAGCGAATGCGCAAAAGATAACGGGACCAACCCAGCTGAAATAACATCATGTTGGAAGGCCGAGCCAGAATAAGCAAGATTTTGTTCCGGTGACGTTACGCCGGCATTTGTAGCAGCGTCCCGTATCAACATAACAGGGGCCGCATCCGGTTCAGGCGAGGATAAAGATGCACGAGAAGGTGTGCGTTGATGGCTCGAAGTGTTGCCGAGCTCGCTGAGCTTTGAGTCAAGCCGGTCTACAAGAATACTAACTGTTCTTTCAAGTCGCTCAAGCCTGGTGCGTGAACGCCAATTAGTTGGTTACATGAAATTTACCATAGAGCACACCTTTCATCCGTAGAGACTCCCCTATCTGGGTTATGTGGGGTTATAGATGAACGCGGTCTGTCGTGAGAGTCTATTCGCGAGATTGGCGTCGTGTGAGCGTAAGGTGACCCTAGGGAGCATTGTTGAGATAAGGTCTTGCATCGCAGACAAGGCTCTCGAGGGTTATCAGAAGCATAACAGCGAGTCTTGTGTTTACGACAGAGATCACAGGCTTTTGAGGCTCTGCCATTTCGCAATGGAGGCATAGCTCGTATCTGATCAAACTGCGACAGGGAGTATACTGACGGCGAACCGACGGGAAACAAATCTACGACGATGGCACGTATGACAACAGAATGTCGTGCTCACCAATCACGTAATAGATAGCGGGTTAGATAAGAAGCTGCTACTGACATAATCGCGACAGTGCATGGAGTTGGTAGTTTAGTGGCTTGAGAGGGGTTGCTTTTCTAGGTGTCCGACCCCGCGTAAACCAAACAGCAATTTTCATTGTGTAGTAGACTTTTGCATGGATGCACGTTGAACGCATAAAATCTTCAAATATATATTCAAGCATAGCAAATATCCGTCAACCCTTGTTTATGTGCCGGGGTTGTCAAAAACCTTCTGGCATACGATTGAGGCATGTGTGACTCATGAGAAGTACAAGAGTAATACAATAAGAAGCCGATCCCTTATCAGCACGAAAAGACTTGAACGGCAGAACATGTTGGAGGTAACACCAGCCGACAGCCCGAATGAGTTATAGGAAAATATCAAATGTAGCACACGAGCATTTAGGACTTTGTGGAATACGAAACCTTATTGCAGAAGTGACCAAGCCATTCTAGTCTTTTCCAACACCCGACAGCCGACTCGAGCTCAGGGAAAGAGAACCCTGACTCAAACCTGCTGTGATTGACTTGTATTTACAAGAACAGTAAATGATATGAGAATGATAGTGGTGGTAAAGTCCGATATGTGCTGACGATATCCGATAAATTTCATTTATAATAATTTAGATTTTCCGAAGCCTCCGAATGCTGGCCAGCCGCTGTGGGATCGATACGAACAGCAATAAACCTCACGGAATCGATTGCTGCAATGAGCTGCCAGCTCCCCGATCGATTGACAGCATTTGATGAACCCGGCCATTGAAATTATATACTACCAATTTCCCAGCTAGGCCTCATACTCTGAAATGGCTGTCATTTTGATGCATAAGTTCTTGCCTAGTATGACTAGACACAAGTTCGATTACACTTCCATGCTGATCACTGCTCCAACTTAGAGGTGGAGCTCTTTATCAACCTTCCTGAATAGGAAAGAGGGCATCTGCAATAGTACCGTTCCCTGGGCTAGAGTACCAATGGCATTACATAGCGACAGTCAATAAAAGGCGGCATAGGGGGCCCGACAGGTTCCTGGCATGCCAAGAAGCCAAGTTCTTGACAAGCTTTTGAATACTCTGGGGTAGTATAGAGCTCGTTGCTATGAAGCCATTCATCACAGTCTTAGTGCTTGCGGCTTCGGCCGTCAATGCACTGCCCTCTACCAACTATGTGCTTCACGAATCGAGACATGCTTCAGGTATCCGGAAAAGGAGTTTGGCTTCACAATACGCCAGAGCTGACTCTAATGCCATCGTTCCCGTCAAAATTGGACTTGCGCAGTCTAATCTCAACACTGGCTATGACAGGCTAATGGATGTTGCTCATCCTTCATCTCCCAACTACGGCAAATATCTTAGCCAAGATGAGGTCATCGAGTTGTTCGCTCCGAAGAAGGAGAGCGTGACGGCTGTCAAAAACTGGCTCACGCAGTCTGGAATAAGTGCTTCGCGTATCAAGCACTACCAGAACAAGGGCTGGTTGTCTGTGGATATGCCTGTTCGCGAGGCAGAGGCACTCTTTCAGACTCAATATCATGAAGTTGAGCACAAGGGTGCCTTGAAACTTGGGAGTGAAGAGTACTACCTTCCTCAACATATTCGAGAGCACGTTGACTATGTCACACCTGGTGTCAAGCTTTCGTCGCCCATGAAGAAGCGATCTATCACTCGAGGCAACCACCAAAGGAGCCGTCCATACAAGGTAACACCGTCTCCTGCTGATTGGCAAGATGCGGCTACAATAGATGCACATCATCTGGGACATGATCTCGCGGGGTGTGCCAAGAACTTCACCCCACCGTGTTATCGGGCCCTCTACAAGATCCCAGAGGATAACAAAGCCCTTGAAGGAAACTCTGTGGGCTTGTACGAGTCCGGAGACACATACTCGCAAGAGGATATCGATCTCTTCTTCGCCAAGTACGCTCCATATATCCCTCAAGGCACTTCACCAATCCCTGCTTTTGTTGACGGCGCAGTCGCTCCGGTGCCTGTGGACTCTGACTACAACACGGGCGAGTCGGAGATCGACATCGATATCGTTGCTTCTTTGGTTTACCCTCAGACTATCACGCTTTACCAGGTTGACGACATTCCAAACTTGAGCAGCGGCATTGCCGGCTTTCTGAATACTTTCCTCGATGCTCTAGATGGTTCTTACTGTACCAAAACCGCGTATGGAATCACTGGTGATAGTGCTGGTATCGACGCTTCGTATCCGGATACTGCTCCTGGTGGTTACAACAAGACAGAGATGTGCGGCGTCTACACCCCAACGAAAGTCATTTCGATCTCTTACGGCGAAGCCGAGTTGGATCTTCCTAAGAACTACATGTATCGACAATGCGATGAGTTTTTAAAGCTTGCGCTGCAAGGAACCACCACCCTAATCGCTTCGGGTGATTATGGTGTCGCTAGTTTTGCTGGCGATATCACCGAGAGCGGTTGTCTTTCCGGGTACAACTTGACTGAAACAATTTACAACCCAGATGCTGTTAGTGCGTGTCCATATGTGAGTAACTCTATCCCAACGTCAAGCCAGACAAGATCTAATCAGAAACAGGTGACGTCTGTCGGTGCTACACAGTTGCAGCCCAACCAGACAATTCATGACCCCGAGTCCGCTATGCAAACAGCATTGGCACCAGCTCCAAGTCCCGAATCCCGCTTCTCGAGCTCTGGTGGCTTCTCCAACTATTTTCCAGCTCCGGACTACATGAAGGATGCTTTGGACACCTACTTCTCTAAGCACGATCCCGGCCACCCGTCTTATATCGCCAACGAGAACGCCACTAACATTGGTGAGGGTGGCGGTTTATACAACCGTGCTGGCCGTGGATTCCCTGATATATCTGCCAACGGAGCGAACTTCCGCGCCTTCAACGGTGGAAACGACTACCACTGGTTTGGCACAAGCCTAGCCGCACCACTGTGGGCTGCTGTTTTGACGCTCATCAACCAAGAGAGGCAGGCTATTGGTAAATCGCCTGTCGGATTCATCAACCCGGTTCTCTACGCCAACCCCGATAGCTTAACGGATATCAAAAATGGAAGTAATGCAAACTGTGGTAGCAGTGGTTTTCCAGCTGTCGAAGGATGGGATCCAGTGACAGGCTTGGGCACGCCAAACTACCCAGCATTGTTGGATCTCTGGTTGAACTTGCCGTAGTCAAGCGATGGACTCGGCCACAACATAAGCAATACATCCGTAAAATCTGTTGGAGTAACTCTCTTCATCTAATAAGTGCTCGTATCTTTGATAACCTAAAAGTCTTGTGCACCCACACGCATCATATGTATCATCACTCGAAGTGGTAGAATACGCATGAACTCACGCAGTAGTCTACTAACTGAGTACTCTGCACGGGCTTGATCCTTACGAGGCAGATAACACGTTGCACCAGTGTACCTTCTACCATGGTCCACAACTTCTTGTCTTGATATTAAAACAATAATTTGGAGTATACTCCACCGCTTTGCTCGCCTTATACTCTTAGTCAGCTCGTCGCCAACCCGACGACGATAAGCAATCGCGGGAGGCCCCTTTCTTGTCACTCTAACCTGCGTACGTAATAGCAGTCCCAGAATCCAGAATTTTCAAAAAAACCCAACCGCCATCTCCGCAGCTATGATACATACTATCTTCAACGACCTTGCTTTCATCCAATCACCCAATACGGTGATCTGGTCATTCAGTTCGTCTGATTCCTAGGGGATGTGGTCTAGTGGTATGACGTTTCCTTAGCATGCTCTCATCTCATCTCGAGATGATCCGTATGGAAAAGGTTCTGGGTTCGATTCCCAGCCTCTCCACCAATTCTTTTGCCTCTATTGACCAAATGGTTTGAGCTCACTCAGTGAAAGTCCTTTTTGTTTTCGGTTCGATCTAATTTGACTTTATTATACACAATCTTTACCTACATTCACCTTTATTTAGAACGATTAAAGTATAATTGAAAGACAAAACTGTCGGACTGAATTTGCTTGGTTTTACCATTTTGCGACATTGCCTTGTAGTTATCTATAGCTGGACATGTTCTCGACGTGTTCTAGTAAGGTGGACTGTAATTGTCCGGGCGCCTAAGTTGCCCGCTCTGTGGCACCTGGCAGAAAGTCGGCCTCTGGTAGCAGGCCCTAAGAGGCAATGATCATCGTGATGAGGCAACGGTTGAGCTCCATGCTCGAACTTTGTATGCCCAAAAGTCTCAAAATTCTGATTCGTTTCCCCAAGGTCGCACAAAGGTGCTAGGTAGTAAGCAAGACAAATGAATGACCACAGGTATCATAATCCTCCTCTTTGAATCAAGTTGAGGTGGTACAGACTACCCACCGACCATTTCGTCATTTGCAGGTGGCAAAAACGCTAAACGTCTGCCGGACCCTTTCTTGACGTTGCTTAGCCTACAGAGTGGGATCCACTAACAAACGACCACATCAGACAGGAGTCGGGTCTCTCTATCAAAGATCGGGGCCGCCTTTTCCCAGCTTAGGTTATATGAAGGAGATGTCCGATGTCTCAGTAGAGGCGCTGTATTATCATATGAAACGCCGACTAGATGGAAGCGGTTCTGACTTGTCTCGAATCTGCGCTGCGTTCCGAGATTGCAGCATGGATCTAGGCCGCTCAGTCGTTCCCCCGGAGACGGAGCACACGCACACCATCATCTTCCTCCACGGGCGCGGCAGCTCCGCCCAGGAACTTGCCGAGAGCCTGTTTATGCTCAGGGACTCGGCCAAACGGTCCTTGTCCGATCTGTTCCCCTCAGTGCGGTGGGTGTTTCCACAAGCTGAGCTGCTGTACTGTGAGCGGGACGACCAGGATTGGTCACAATGGTTTGACGTGTGGAATGTGCTGGATTTCGCAGACAGCGAGGAACTACAAGCACCCGGGCTCCAGGACAGCGTCAGGAATATCGCCAAGCTTGTGCACCAGGAGGCGGTGAAAGTAGGAGGAATGGACAGAGTTGTTTTGGCTGGGTTTGGTCAGGGCGGAGCTACGGCGATACATGCCCTGCTGAACATGCCCGCTCCTGAGATCTCGGAGCCACCGAAAAGGAAGCGCATCAAGATCGACCATTTCGAAGCTCAAGTAGAGAGGCGCCAGCGCCTCGCCGGAGTTATGTGCTTCAACTGCCGTTTGCCCTTTCCAGGCGGCACGCTCGACGAGACCAGGGAGGTTCTTGCCCTGGACCTGATTCCTAGCGATGAGATCTTAAAGAGCACCCCGGTGTTTCTGGCTCATTGTATGGACGATCCTCTTATCTTCATCGAATACGGCAGGCAGCTGGCTGATGCACTGGGCTCTTTTGGGATGCAGGGCGTGTCAAGAGAATACCCCGAGGGAGGCCATCAACTCAATGCACCCCAAGGAATCGACGACATGGTAGTCTATCTCACGGCGCAGGGGCTGCCAGCCATATTAGCGAAAGCTAAGACGTCCAACGTCTGAGATCTGGCTGCAACATGATGCAGCCGATCGGTAGATTGACTTGGCATGTATAAGCATGGTGCATGACGAGGGGCAGGGACACAAATGGAGTTGCAAAGAACCTCGGCGTTCCTCACCGGAAATCTTTGGATTAAGGTCGGCTAACGGAAAGTTTAAGGAACCTGCGTTGATTCGGGCTCGACTACTCTACGTTTCCTCTCCCCGAACTCGAACATGATCCACTCATACACCGCCCACTGGATTGCATTCACAGCAAAAGCTCGAACACTGCAGATGGTTAGTCCTCTGAAGAACACTCGAGTTCCTCCTTCCCTGTATGCTTCCCTTGCAATCCCGACCGCACCAAGCCTTTCTCTTGGTGCCAGTGGGTTGCTTATTAGGGATTGCGCCTCTGGGTTCGAAGTCTGCGCCTGCACCCTTGTCTTGATCACATCAAGCGGGAAGATACTAGCCCAAGTCACCACACCAGCCAACCCTCCGCATACAAGAACCTTTGCAGCATCCTCTGCGAAGGAAGGCTTGCGGCTCGAGGACGAGACCATCAGTTGGCTGCTTAACTCATACGACCAGAAGTAAAAGCCATAACCAATGCTGTCCCTCAGGGCCGTCACCGCGCCACCAAAGTACAACCCTCTGACGCCCTCATTCCGGATGATCGATTTTGTAATACTCCAGCTTGACTTGGGAGGAGACGAGAGCTGGGCTCTGCATTTAATTAATTCAGTCGGCGTACTGACTATCCAAGTGGTCAGACCGCCGATAGCACCTGCTACCCAGGTAGTCCACAGACTGGACTGGACGCCTAGTGCGCTATTGATGGCAGCCTCGCTTCTGTTGTAAGAGACAAAGAGCAGTGCGTTCAGGGCGCCATAACCCAAGACGGGAGCGGCGGTACCCGTGATCAGAGACGAGGTGCCCTCGAACTGGCGGAGGTATGAAGAGGCGCTCTGAGCACCAATCGCGTCTTTGGCTTGCAGGCGGACCTTGAGGATATCCAGGGGATTGCCAACAAGGATGCCTATAGCGCCGCTCACGTATCCGGCCCAGAAGTCTGCTGACATGTTCTTTTATTGTGACGGGGTTGTGCCGGGAGCTGTCAATTGTTGAGCATTGGCGAATATCCTCGGCTAAGTGGGCATTTAGATTTGATGATTGATGCACGTAATGGAACAAGCTACGTCTGCGATTTGTAAACGAAATAAGAATCTGTAATTTGAAGCCGCGAGGACAGCCAAGAATGGGTTATGCGAAATTGAATATAGGCTGCTTGTACTCTGAACTGAATTATATTGCCGCTCTTTTACTGGAGTTTCATTGAGACAAGTTCTCGGCTGATGGGCGGGCTGCCCCGCCACTGAATGAGGGGCAAGTACCTAACCAGCTAACCTACAGTAGGCGGCTGTAACGAACCAACTCGGTCTGGTACATGATGTTGTTCTTATCAACCCTCACTCATGCGCGACGAGTGAAGTCATCTGTCCTGATATTTTGTGAAAAATAGACATTTTCGGAAAGATGATTGAATCAATCTGATACTGGGCTATCAGTGGGTCTGTCCCGCCGAAGGGGTGCAATGGAAAACAAACACCCAGAGCAGGAAGGAAGGAGCAGGGGAAGCTTTAGCGCAATCTGCCTAGGTTAGTTACAATACGAATGGATATCAACTGTGCTTGGTAATGCAATGAATGCACTTTCCACCAGTCCCAGGTCATGTGAGCCCGTGTCGCTGCCTATTAATTAATTAAGATAACAGCAACAAAGTCGCGTCGCGCTTCCGCCGGCACTACGGTTAGGTAAGTTGCCAACGATCAACAAACTACCAGATTCGCCATCATTTCCAAGTGGCAAATGGAATAGCACTGGCACTCATCAATTTCCTTCCTCACTTTCGAGGCCCTCTCTTTTCGAGATTGCGACCCACCAACTTGTCGATTCCATTGTGCAAAGATGTGAGTTGTCGCGTGCATTGTAGCCCGCACTGCTTTTACTAACATGAGCATCGGCATAGGGCAACTCCCGCCACAGCCACCGTTTCCACGCCGTTGGCAAGAAAGGCGCCTGCCCCAGGTCCGCGATATCGCCCAACCGACTCAGCACAGCGGCTGCACAAGCCCTTCAAGTGTCCCGGATCTGCAACTAGAACTCCAGCCTCCGATCGCCCGACTCGAAAGAAGCGAAAGGTCGATTATGGAGGGGCCGACGGCGAGGTCGACGGCGCTGACGCTGACAAGCCATACACGAACGCCGACCGCTTAGCACTTGCCAATCGCCATGTCAACATGTTCCCCGTATTCCAAGCCAAGGACAAGGACAAGGTCTTTAGGAAATCCTTCTCCGTCCCTTTCCTCAATAAGTTGACCGCCAACTACAACCCCAATCGTCCGCCCCCGACCCTCGGTCTGCGAACGGGAGCTGTCTTGGTCGCAAAACCCCTGCATGACCCTGCCGGGGAGTTTTCCATTGTGCTGTACGATCCGACTATCGATGCGCCCAAGAAGCCACAAGAAGAATTGGAAAAGGAGGAAGCGGCCAAGCCAAAGATCGACGAGCCTCTGGTTCACAAGAGTCTGGCGGAGATTCTGGGCATCAAGAAGAAGGTTGAAGGTGAACACCCACGGGTGCCTGTCGTCATCGACCCTAGGCTCGCCAAGGTGCTGCGACCGCATCAGGTCGAGGGCGTCAAGTTCATGTACAGATGCGTCACTGGCCTCATCGATGCCAAGGCCAATGGCTGTATTATGGCCGATGAGATGGGGCTCGGAAAGACGCTTCAATGCATCACGCTCTTGTGGACTCTCCTGAAGCAGTCACCCGAAGCTGGCAAGACGACAATCCAGAAAGCCATCGTCGCATGCCCCTCCTCGCTAGTTCGAAACTGGGCAAACGAGTTGGTCAAGTGGCTTGGGCCAGATGCTATCACCCCCTTCGCCATTGACGGCAAGGCGACGAAAGAAGAATTGACCCGTCAACTGCGCCAATGGGCTATCGCAAGTGGGCGTGCTGTCACACGGCCCGTCATCATCGTCTCCTACGAAACACTTCGACTCAACGTGGAAGAACTCAAGAACACACAAATCGGTCTGATGCTCTGCGATGAAGGCCATCGTCTGAAGAATGGCGACAGTCAGACCTTCAGCGCTCTCAACAATCTTAACGTGACGCGGCGAGTAATCCTGTCAGGTACCCCCATCCAAAACGATCTTTCCGAGTATTTTGCTCTCATAAGCTTTGCCAATCCGGATCTGTTGGGTACTAGACTGGAGTTTCGAAAGCGGTTCGAGTTACCAATCCTTCGAGGGCGAGATGCCGATGCTACGCCGGATGAGCGCAAGAAGGGCGACGAACGTACTACTGACCTGCTGGCTATTGTGAACAAGTTCATCATCCGCCGGACCAACGATTTGCTGTCCAAGTATTTGCCAGTCAAATATGAGCATGTTGTCTTCTGCAACTTGGCTCCTTTCCAACTTGATCTGTACAACTACTTCATCAAGAGTCCCGACATCCAGGCACTCCTGCGTGGCAAGGGAAGCCAACCGCTCAAGGCTATTGGCATGCTGAAGAAGCTAGTCAATCACCCCGATCTGCTGAATCTCAGCGAAGACCTACCCGGCTCTGAGCAATATTGGCCAGAAGACTACGTGCCGAAAGAAGCACGAGGTCGTGATCGAGATATTAAGCCATGGTATTCGGGTAAGATGCAGGTGCTCGATCGCATGCTCGCTCGCATTCGACAGGACACCAACGACAAGATTGTTCTGATCAGCAATTATACGTCGACCTTGGATCTCTTCGAGCGCCTCTGCCGCAATCGCGCATATGGCTCTCTTCGACTAGACGGTACGATGAATGTGAACAAGCGACAGAAGCTCGTTGACAAGTTCAATGACCCCAACGGCGAGGAGTTCATCTTCTTGCTATCGAGCAAAGCCGGTGGTTGTGGTCTGAATCTGATTGGTGCCAATCGTCTCGTCCTCTTCGACCCTGACTGGAACCCTGCATCAGATCAACAGGCTCTTGCTCGTGTATGGCGTGATGGACAGAAAAAGGATTGTTTTGTGTATCGATTTATCGGAACGGGTACGATCGAAGAGAAGATCTTCCAACGTCAAAGTCACAAGCAGTCGTTGTCATCGTGCGTTGTCGACTCTGCTGAGGATGTCGAGCGCCATTTCTCGGTTGACAGCTTGAGAGAGCTGTTCCAGTATCGTGGAAACACTACAAGTGATACCCATGACACCTTCAAGTGCAAGCGTTGCAAGCCCGATGGCAAACAGTACCTCAAGGCTCCCGCTATGCTCTATGGTGACACAAGTACTTGGAATCACTTCGTAAATTCTGGTCTAAAGCCAATTCAGGACCATCTACTACAACAGGAGTGTGGAGAGCAAGAGGTATCGGCTGTATTTCAGTATATTTCTCACTGAGCGGCATAGATTGCCTGGCTTGTTTATGCTTTCCTATGGTCGATAGAGAGATCGTTATAATCATCAGAATGCATTTCTTGATGATGATGGTGATGATGATATGTTGAACGGTTATAGATATTTATAGCATTTACACTGGCGTTTATGGGGACAAGCAATCCTTTGCTTGAAGGGAGATGGACAGGTGTCCTGTAGATTTAGCTATGACGATGCCCATGAGCCTCAAGAATACCACTTGCTTTTTTTCTTGCTTTCTTCGAAAGGACATTGGGCAATCCCCTTGTGTTGCTGTAGGTGCTACATTTGAATTGCTTGGGTCAAGCACCTACTTGGTCTGAGCTGTTGTATTCTTCCGGCTGCTCTTTTACTTCCAACGTTTGTGGGTTGTGTGCTACATCCTTGCCCTCCTGGTCTGTGAACAGTACCTACAACAATACCAGGTCAGCAATGAGTGTAACAATGCTTAGTAACATATACTGGATTCAACCAACGCAAAAGGGGAAAAGCAAGAACACACCTTCGGCGGGTTCTTGACACCTTCCTTCTCTGCTTCGGATGTAGATGTCACGATCTTCTCCACATCGCCCTCGTGTCGGCCGCCCCGGATCTTGGTGTAGACGTGGTAGCCATCCTTGATGGGCTCGCTGGTCTTGTCGTGGATTTGTCGACCCGTCATTCTTCTTTACGGAGCAGTGGTATGTGGTAGTGAGACGTCTTGTAGTAATGACAGCGGGTTTGGGCACTTTTAGAATTAGTTTTATTTCAAAAACAGAGCATTATGGATTTTGCGATTTGGTTTTGTATCTGCCTTGAACGTGCTGCAATGTATTTAGATTCTGCTTGTTGCGTGTACAGTCACGGTGAGGTGATCCCCGCGCGGGCACTTGACGTCACGGCCACAAAACCGAGCCCGTCTTCTGAGTTCGTTAATTTTAATGCTCGCCGTTGCAAGAACGTTTAACTATATACTTAGAATATGGAACAATATTCTTATGTTTTCCATGCGACCATAGTGTCCGAGCCTTGAAGCGCTTTTACGGTATCATTGCTCGTTGGTGCATTGGAATAGTGGTGCTCATACTGCGGAATCGGAGATTTGTCTTAATCCCCGTATGACAGGCGTCTTACTATCTCGAAAATAAACACTACGAATCGCTGTATCTGACACGGTAGAGGGTTATGGGTCTCCCGTGATCGAGACGATGCAATCACTAGCTCGCCTATAGTTGTCGGCGCTGACGCATACAAGCGAGCTCCATCCGACGATGCCCGGGCAATAGTACCGCTGGTCTAATCCCCGGCTTGGTCAACGTGCATTGCGAATCTGCAGCATATACTTATTGAACTTGAAATAGTTTGCGATGTATAAAGAGGGCACTTTACACAGCCAATTGTTTGAGTAGCGCCCAACAAAATTTACTGGAACTATCTAGGTTAAATCACTACCCCTTGAAACTATAAACCTTATGGCTATACCAGAAGTTCAACTCCCGTCCGGGAGCAAAGTTCCACAGGCATGTAGATACTCCTGTCTTTGTCTCACGGCTCTACTCGACTAACTCAACTTGAACTACAGATTGGCTACGGTACCGGAACTTTTTGGTTGAAGAAGTCCGAAACTGACATCCACCGGCCGACGGTGGACGCCATCAAGATCGCGATCGAGCTGGGATACCGACACCTCGATGGTGCACAGCGTAAGTATTGATATTGCAGTAGCGCCTTGACAACCGACATTCGAAAAACATGGACTTACCCAAACTTCCAGACTACAAGAACGAAGCCGAACTAGGCCTCGCCATCAAGGAGTCCGGCGTACCGAGGTCCGAATTGTTCGTCACGACCAAAGCCATCGACCACCAAAACATCCAAGGCTCGCTGCAGGACAGCCTCCAGAAGCTGGGCCTGGAATACATCGACCTGTATCTTATTCACGAGCCGTTCTCCGCGCGCGGCAGCGCAGAGGCGCTCCAGGCGGCCTGGCGCGGCATGGAGGCGTGTGTCGACAAGGGGCTCGCCCGGGACATTGGGGTGTCGAACTTCCAGGTCCCGCACCTCGAGACGGTCCTGGAGACATCCAGGATCAGGCCTGCCGTCAACCAGGTCGAGCTGCACCCGTACCTGCCGCGCGCGGGGCTTGTGGATTTCTGCCGACGCAACGGCATCACGGTCGAGGCGTTCGGACCGCTGACGCCCCTGACACGGGTGAGTCCGGGCCCAGTTGATGATGTTGTCGGGCGGTTGGCGGAGAAGCACAGGGTCGGCACGAGCGCCGTGCTCTTGAGGTGGCTCGTGGAAAGGGGTGTTGTGGTCGTCACGACGAGCGGTAAGAGGGAGAGGCTGCAGGAGTATTTGACGCAAGTTCCAACGCTGCGGCTGAGCCAGAAAGAGGTCGAGGAAATAAGTACGGCCGGTGAGGGGAAGAGGTTCAGGCAGTTTCTTGCGGACGCGTATGGACAGGACAACTGGGAATGATCGGTGGCAGTGGAGCTGAGGTATAGCTAGATCGAAGCATCTATTTTGACTCTTACAACCAACATGAAACACATAGTTCTCTGGGCCACAATAATATATACCGCAAATATCTCAGTAGAGTAAGGTAATGTGATCAGTGACTTTAAATCGACTTCCTTTCAACCTACCAAGTCGGTTAGGTCGGCGAAGCAAGGTGTCGATCAACCAGTCGTTGTCTATTGTAGTAATAAGATTTGATAGCTCAAATCCTAAGCGTCGTATACTCTTCATGATCAGTACCGTTCGAAACCAGACGGTTTCTGTTTCCAAACAAAGTCTTTTCCACCCTTGTGCAAGCGTTCAATGTTATATAAATGGGCGGCAGTATATAGTTAACAGTCTCCGCAATCTTAAGCACACACGACTATAGCTCTTAGAAAACTTGACTTCCTGTCCGCTTTACCCTTGATATACTAAGAAGCGTCAATATCTCACGTAGACGCTCGGAGTAATAGCTTTTGATAGCTCACCTTCCCTTCCTCGTAACGCTTAACGTTACGCGCCGGGCCCGCTTTTTAGTAGCTGTCTCCCTTTGATACCAATATCCCCGGCCTGCCGTTTATGATTTGTATCGGATCCGTTGCTACTCTCGTAATTATAAAATTTCGCACGCATGAATTCTTGGTATTCGAAAGTCTACTCCATCTCTTCTCATCAACTAAAGCCACTCTTTTGTCCGCCCATCACGAAGTCAAGAACCAACCACGTTTAATCACATCTAGCTACCGCTTGGAAAGCCTTACGCTCCTTAGAATTGATGGCAGAAATTCAAGATTTGGAAGTGAGGGCTTGCTCACCTGGTCTTACCTTCAATGCGAACATCTTTCCACAGTCCAGATTTTTCCGGGACTGACGAGCTTCTGCATTGCCGTCACCAGCAGTAATCCGATCGCTTAACAAAACATCGGGTCGTGATCGGGTCACTCTATTCAATCGTTCATAACCCGTCATTATCCCTTTTCTTGATACGATCGTCAAGTACGGAGCCAACGTCACTGTAGCCGAGGCAGAATCTCAAATCTTGATGTATCAGCTGTTACAAGGCCAAGTACCGATTCCTGAGGTCTTTGGCTGGGCTGAAGATGGGGAACGAGTTTTCATTTACATGGCTTGGATAAAGGGTGATAGTCTGCAGAAAGGATATGCCAATATGGATGAATGTGAACGACAAGCTGTCTTCAAAGAGCTTAAGGGTATGGTGGATGTATGGAGGTCCATAGCGCAAGACGAAACTGATACCTATATTAGTAATACACTTCCCTTGAGCGCTCTTACACGGCCAAAGATATCTGACCTAAGCAGGAAGTGTCGGTAGGCGCCCACTCAACGAAATTTTTGTTTCTGGTCATCCGAGCTCGCGGGCCCATTTCTGGACCTAGTCTAGATGCACTGCAGAGGTTCTATGATACATGTCGTATCACCATCACTCGCCAAGTATGGATTGAGTCTACCCACAATGACCTTTGTCCTCCCAAAATCCTCCTATCCCAAGGGCCTAATCTGAATGTGGTCATAATTTTGGACTGGGGCTAATCGGGCTGGTATCATTGCTTATGAGAGTATTTTAAAAATCGATGAGTGGAACGGCTCGAGGCATGCTTCGATACTGCTCTCCAGGAGGAGTGACACACCAAGTAGTTGTCGACCCAGTGGATACTGAGCTGTTTTTTCACCCGTGGATTTACTTCATGTTATCTCACATATGAAAGCATCTCACCGTCTAACAATGCTCTTCTTTACAATTCTTTTCCTTTTGTTTTGTCTCTTTTATGTGTTTGGTCTGGATTCACTGACCGTAGCTCCCTATTGATAGGCTTTAGTAGGTCCCTATTCATCATATGGTAGAACCCCACTTTTATACATCCCGGCTGTTATAGGTAAATATAACCTCAGAGATTTACTGAATAGAAATCAGACTGAACGGTCTTTCATTTCCTTGAGATATTACGGGCTCCGATAAATCACGGACTCAGATCAAAGGATTAACACATCTACTACAAAAAACACAGGTTAAGGATCCCCAGTAGTATTCTTTCATAAGTGTTGGGTATAGTGGTACCTTTGTAGATGTGGTGTCGAGAAGCTAGGATAGTTCTGCGACTTCTGTTCATAAAGTTGAGCTCGAAATAACTCGAGAGTGTTCTTGTATGGCTCTACGGCATGAGCTCCGCGCATGAGGCTCTAGAAGTAAGTATATTTTCGTCGGTATGTTGCTTTTGTGGAGTCTAACGGCGCTGCTCTCAATGCTGAATGTGGTTCCGGCTCTTTGGCTCTGTCGAATGTGTCCCCTACGTCGTCAGCACCTTACATAGTTTGTGATAAGAGAACGGCTAATACCGTATCACACTCCAAAAGTATGTAAGTAAGAGACTCTGATCGTGGCTCTTGTGTCTGATCTGGTGTGACCGGGATCCCAGGTATGATGTTTGTATTCAGAGTGATACTGCTCCCGCGTCTGAATGATACGCCATACAAGAATCTGGGCAAATCCATGGGAACTATCGTATGGCCGACTGAATAATTGATTCTGTACCTAACCCGCACGTAGTTGCTGGCCGTCTCCGAACCTTCTGCAGTTTTGGCTTGCTGTGCGGTGAAGGATTCATTCTGCATGGTACTAAATATGCTATATTTGCACTTATTGCATATGTACGATGCGCGGTTAAATGGAATTAAGAACCCCTTCTTCCAGCAAAGGGCAAGGTAATTTCTGTCTACATTGGCATCTCCGCGATGGTGTTAAATCAGAAGCCCTGGGAATCGGTTTGTTTTGCCTGTTTTTGACGTCGCAGACTTGACCTAGTTGTAGTTATCTGCCAATCTTACCTCGTCATCATTTCTATCATCTATTCCATCCCTTGCTTGTCCTGCCTTCTTTAAATTTTGTACCAGGCTCTTAAGACTAGCCATTTCGTTTGACATCCAGGCGGTGACAGCGACAATATCCGCGCCGCAATTGACGAAATGAAATCCTTGTGCATATCGCGTCGCCGCTAATGCATACAAACGGAATGTTAGATGCTGAGCGCGCCGTATACCTGTCTAAGTCATTGAGATCACTTACCAATATCAGCACTCAAAGCGAAGTGGCCCGCATATTTTCCGGCATCCAAACTTGCCTTGAGAATGCGTGCTGAAGCCTCTTGGACCTCAGCTATCGAAGCGTGGTCGAAAGCAACATATCCCATTGATGAAGCAAGGTCATTTGGACCGATGAAGAGCATATCTATAGGGAGCATGTATCAGCACAGTCATTTTGGTATGGCTTCGGGGGAAAGTCTCAGGCTTACCGATACCATCTACCTTGGCGATCTCTTCCACATTCTCGACTGCTTTCCGAGATTCGATCTGAACACAAATCATGACGTTATCGTTTGCGCTTAGCAGATACTCCCGGCCGGTCTGATTGAAGTTCGCAGATGCAAACATAGCACCGGCCCCACGAATACCTTGTGTCCAATTGTTCGACGGGTATTTACACGCGCGTACGATGGCCTCTGCTTGCTCCTATACTCGAATATCAGCCCGAGTGTCTGCACTTTCTTCACCTCTTACTCGTTGAGTCCTACCTTCGTCTCGCACATCGGAACCATGATTGCGTGGGCTCCAGCATCTAGTACCCGCTTCATCATCCATGACTCACTGCTTGGTATCCTCACGATTGGCGAGCACCCAGACGATGCTATCGCACCGACTTGCAGGTACATGTCATTGTCGTCGATGTTTCCATGTTCGCAATCAATGAGGACCCACTGAACGCTACCGAATCAGCATTCTTACCACATCGCAAGCTGAGGAAATGACTAACATCTTGCCCTAATGAACCTATCGTTCTCGCCAGCGTATATCCTGGAAACTCGAGCCATTGTCCGACGCTGGGTCCTTCGCCTCGCTTGGCTCTCTCAAGAGATTCCCGAAGGCGGGTCTTGCCGGAGGCATTCACGACAGGTGATGATATTTGGCTTGACATGGCTGGTTTGTTCATTAGGCGTAACAAAAAGCAGATCAATTTGACTTGACGACTTCTATTAATAGAAATCGTAAACCACCTCGGCATATGAGAATACTGTGCGCTAGGTTGTGTTGACTTCGGTTCGGAACACGGAGCCATCCCGACAGACAGACTTGACTTATCGGAGTTCCTGACCCACCATATTGCATAATATAGCTGTTGCTCTACACTGGAACGCTAAGTCTTCAATTGTGCATTGCAGTTGCGCAACGACAGAAAATCCGTCATTGCTATACAGTCGCATGAGATCTGAATCTTCGGGACACGGCTTCTTCTGTCAGAGTCTCATAAAAGCATTTACCCAAGCACTAGAAGCATGTCAAAATTTGACTCGATGCGAACCATCTACTGCTCGAAAAGCAGTGGCCTGATCAAAGGATAGTAGAAGCAATACCGGTGGTGTTTTCCTTGGCCAGACCCTTATTCGACAGGCTGGGATAGATCCAGATTCATTCCGAGGGACAAATTCTAGGGGTGTTCTTGCATTAACTCTATTAACCTTGACGAACATTGGAGTTTGAGGCAGGGAGGGTGTGACTAGATTATAGTGGTTCTAGCAAATCCACTTGACACATTGAGCATATAGGTCGGCGCTGGTGATGATGGGCTTTCTTGAGCATGACGAAATCACTCAAATATTTCAACCGCACCCAGTCTATTTCCAATAGCAAATTTCTGGCACAACAGCCGATACAGAGGCATAACCGACAACGGCTTGAACAAACATCCAATCAATTGGTCATTGCTAATCTGCATACACGTTTCTGAAAGAATTCGCAACCAATTAGCAACCACTGTGACCTTTATCTACAGTGGCCTGGGGAAGTGGGGAAGTGCTGGATGGGTCACTAACATTAGCATGCCGATACGGCCTGCTAGCTTGGCGAGAGGAATGGCAGGGAATGCGCCCACGGGGATAACGTTTACCACAGTCGGGGGCTGGACATTATCTGGCTACGATCTTGTGGATGGAACTGGCTGAGACCTCCGCATATTGAGATCGCTTCATCACTTCTGGAGGTTGATACCATTCAATATCAACCGCCGGAAACCCAGCTTTCTCCACAATGGTTCGGGACGCAACTAAACGAGATTCAACAGCTCTTGAAGCTCCTAGCAATAGAGTGTGGCAAGCCTGCATCTCATGCCGAAGGAAAAAGGTGAATCGGAGAGATTTGTCTTTCATTCGTCTTTCTGACTCTGAAACCAGGTCAAATGCGATGGCTTAAACCCTTGTCATAACTGCAGCTCCCGTGATATGCCTTGTGAGTATCCTGGGAGCAACGACAATGCCTCCACAAGTCGCCAGTATGTTAGTTATCTACCGAGGCCCGAAATATTTGCTAATTGAATAGTTATGCGATGTCTTTCGAGTCAAGGTGCCAGCATTTGGATCTCTTCTGTCAACGCCTTGAAGGTCTTGCTAGCCAGCTCTCACACAGTGTTGAGACCTTGACGAGAGCAAGGCTCGAGACCTCGCCGAATTCTATGGAATATGAGTTTTTGCACGCTGCTAACACATCAAATTCTTTTTCAGAGGTAGGTGAGCATATGCATCCACCATTAGGTCCAGCCTTGCAAGAGGCAGCGGCACGGACAGAAGCGCAAAGCCTGGTGAATATGCCATCTCAAGGCACACGCCATGAGTCTGATTCTGAAGAGCTCGAAGACGACGATTTAGACTTTTCTGGCACTGGAGAAAAGTTTGGGTCGTTAGTGACTGATTCCTATGGAAAGCTGAGGTAGGTCTTGGAGATCTGTCTAGCACCGGAACATCTAACAAGTTACAGGTTCGTAGGAGGGGCTACAAATGCGGTCCTTATCGAAGCTATACAAAGCCTTTCACCTGGTCAGTCCACGGGAACAAACTCGCCAGGTACACTTAGTGTCAGTCGAGGTACTACTGGAGAGAGAATAACTCGGCCACTGGAGGTACCCCTTTTCGTCCAGGGTCAACGATGGCCTGAACTACCTCATCTGCCCAAAGCCGAGCAACTGAATCGCCCTCCGCAATACATATCTGACCTCCTGGTTAATTTGTATTTTGACCAACTTCACTACACATTGCCTGTTTTGCATAAAAAGCACTTCTTGACTCGTTATAGGCAGATGAACTCTCCACGGTCAGCTGAACCCCCCGACCGAAAGTTTTTGTCCGTCTTCTTCGCTGTCTGTGCCTGCGCTTCAAGTCTGCTTCCTTCTAATGGGAAGTCCTCAAGGTTCGCAGGGCTCGATTACTATGAAAAAGCTCTCCTGCTGCATTATGCATCTACTGGTGATGTCTCGCCCGAGGCCGTACAGTGCTTAGCATTGCTTGCAATGTGCTGCGCTGGTTGGAACACGCTCACACAAAGCTGGAATTACGCGGGGAGAGCAGTCCGTGCTGCTCAAGACCTAGGTATGCATCTGAGTAGTCTAGTGAGTGGTTCTTTTCACGATTGGACAACCACACATACTGATTAAAATAGAGCTCAATGGGTGCAAACATGGACCTTAGCCCAGCGGCCATAATTAGACAGCAGCTATCGAGGCGCATATGGTGGAGTGTTTACTGCCTTGATCGGTGAGTATGTACCTGTCTTCACTCAAATATTATAATCTAATGCATGAGAAGTGTTATTTCGATATGCCTTGGCAGGCCAATGGCAGCACAGGATGCTGACTGCCATTGCGAGCTGCCAATGGATATCAGTGACGATGATCTCGATACATGGTGCAGGGATCCAGGGCATCCGCCACAAAACCCGCAAGCATCGACACTGATGACAGGTTTCCTGGCTTTTGCCCGATTATGTCGCATTGGAGGCAAAATACAACAATTGTATTCGCCTTTGAGAATCAGGGAGCTTTCCGACCCTACGAAAGCCAAGCGTTATCTGCGCACTATCGGAGCTCTTGACAAAAAGCTGAATGAATGGCTCGCTAGTTTACCAGATGATATACGCTTCAGCGCAAATGATATGGATAGAGGTCCGAACTTGACGATGTGTGTCATCATGTTCATCGTTCATGCCGGATCTCTCCTCAATCTTTACAGGTAACCTTTCTGTCCATCACCATGTGCAAGTTGTCACTTGCTGCTGACGACGTGGAAGATCACTCATGGGAAATGTCAACCAATCGCTGCCGGGACTTAGTACGGTCGACGCGGTGTCACACTGTATCAGCGCAGCAAAAAGTTGCATCAACGCAGCTGAGCTCGTTAGGGAACTTGTGCCACCCTCACACCATCTAGCCTTCTGCGTGCATTACCTAACACTATCGGGCTTGGTACTGTATGTCCTTTTCACTGTTCTATACGATTACGCTGCGTTCATCTGACAACTATCACAGACTTCAAATGCCCGGACAACCAAGAGACCAAAACATTGCCGATGTGAAAAAGTGCGTCACGTTTCTGAAAGACCTCGAGATGACATGGAATGGCGCTGCAAAAAGCCGCGCCATCATCGAACAACTCATGGGTGAACCATCGGCCGGGCCTGGCTTGGGCCACAAGAAAACATTGGCAGTCTTTGAAACAATGGAACCTTTTGCGTGGGATCAAGCACCAGGCTCTGAGCTATTCAACTATGATGTACCAGGGGCTGATCTACTTAATGCCTGGCTGCCATAGACGCAAACGGTACAGATTCATGTCTGTGTTAATTTGTTGATGGACTATTTCTCCGCAAGGTAAATTGTCGAAAACCTACGGAATACATAGCAGTGAATTGGACATGGTGGCACGCAACACCAAAACAAGTACTAGACTAGCTAGTCTAGCTGCATTGCGGAGATGTAGGGACCGCAGCTTGCTTCTGTCGGCGGCAATTGCACATCCAAGCAATGCGAGTAATTTAGTGAGAGGACAAGTCCTAGCGACCGTCTATAGCAGTGTTAGGGGGTGCTAATCCTTTAGTCTGTATATTTTAGTGGTGTTCAGTTATAGCTACAAGGTCAATTTAGCCCGTCTACCAGTCACAAGTGCTTTGAAAGTTACTGGGGATTTCCCCCCTACCCGGATCGGCTATCGCACTGCTTACCGTGCGGTCGGAACTCATCCGCTCAGTGCTTATCGAGCTTCACCACCTTCTGAGACCTCATAGTGGAACATAAGCTTGAAATAATCACTACCACCGAGCCGCATGATTATCTTCATTATCAATAAGCTTTTATGAATCATTCCGTAAATCCGGCATGCCGATAAGGTATCATATTATATATCAATGCCACTTCATGAGTGTGATCCTACTACCCTCTGCAATATCCATCTATACCCCGCTTGCACCAACTGGCTGACTGGGCGAACACAATAATACTTGCTCATCTATTCACTTCTAAATTTCCCCATCCAAAAAGGAACATCAAGATCATTAATTAAATCTATATCGGGTTCCTTAGACTTTCGCGATAATCATGAGTCTTCCTTCAGCACCTATTATCACATTGGCCACAAATGCGTCACTGCAGCCCCCGCTTTCACGTCGTGGTCGCGGACCCGGCATCGTTCTTGTGGATGCTGGGCTACCTTACTCTGCTGTAGCAAAGTCCGTCGATCCTGCACCCCAAAAGAAATGGGCAGAGGAGGGCTATGCTGTTGTGCGGTTGACGTTTCCTCAAAATGGTGTAAGTGATGGAACGTGGGATATTGAGCAGGCTTTAGAGAGGGCCGTCAAGTCGTTGGTGGATTTAGAGACTTGCGACACCAAGAACAAATTCGCACTCGTTGGTAAGTATTTCGAAATGCACTCCCAACGATGAGGTTGACTTACGTCGATTGCAGTATACGGAACACCATCGCATTATCCTGATGGCTTTGCAGCAAAACTTCAAACGGCCTACAAGGCTGCCGCAAGCATCTTGGTGTCAGTTTCATTTTCGGCGGAATGGGACCTTTCAGTGAAGCCGGAGGTCGTACATATTGCAGGCACTCCAGTAACGCCACTGTCAAGACACAACACAACCACGTATGATTACGTCCAAGCTAAATCGGAGGCGTTCATCGTACCTGGAGCAGAAGGTTTCCACTACTCTGCTGCCTCGGTGGCGCATACGAGGGGTCTCACTTTTATTAAGAGGCACCTTGAAGGGCCTATCTTTGACCTCGAGAAAATATGGGATGAGCACACATATTACGAGTTTGAAAACCGCTCAGTCGAGAACACCATGCTTACCATGGTTGATGAACCTTACGTCAACCACATCCCTACCATGACCGGTGGCGTTGGTCGTGAGAGATTGACAAACTTTTATCGCCATCACTTCATCTTTAGCAACCCCGAAGACACGCAATTAGAGCTCGTCAGCAGGACGATCGGCGTCGACAGGATTGTGGATGAGTTTGTTTTCTGCCTTACGCACACGGCGAAAGTCAACTGGCTGTATGACTGCATCCCAAAATGCACTTGTGCGTAGCATAGAACAAACCTTGCTGACTCTCTTAGACTACCCGGCGTGCCGCCTACGGGCAAGCCATTGAGGATCCCTTTCACCTCCATCGTCAATATCCGAGGTGACCGCCTGTACCATGAGCACATCGCATGGGATCAGTGTACAGCGCTGATTCAAGCTGGTCTCATGCCGGAGTACCTCACATTCCCCTACGAAATCGATGGTCAAAAGCCCGAGCCGGGAAAGAAGTTTGAGTACCGTGTTCCTGCTGGAGGTTTCGAGGTTCCTGCCAAGTTGCAGGATCATAGTGCAGCGCCGAGCAATGAATTGTTCGAGTACAAGGTTAGGCAGGTAGATGCTTAGTCGAGGATTCGTGTCTCACACCATACGACCAATGATATCAATAACCAGCATGAAAGTGAGCTACGTCCGTCTTTGTGGGTGTGGCGGCTGTTAGACTTGATGTTCTATCGTAATTGATCTGGTCGGTGATACAGTGACTCTGACAGCCCTGTAAAGTTGACTTTGGATTAGGCCCCACAGGCGCCCCTGGAAACGTAGGACGCGATTGTGACCCAGCGAATAGCGATATCTTCCATCTGAAATAGTCTGAACAGACACCAATCAGGATCCTAAAATGCCCAGGTCACACCATAAAACCATACTTGATTCATTTTTGCGACTACAACATCATGTTCACGATCCCGCGTGTGATTCCGACACGTTGAATCGTTCCGCGAACAGGGAATTCAATTCGCGTTACGAGCAGAAACGCCAAAGTGGTACCTGCATCGCTTATCAGGGAACTAACCATTTGAAGAATGGCGTCTTGCATGGGCCACCCCCAGCTGATCATCATGTCAACAACAGAGCACATGACGCACACTTGCTCTATCGCCCCGTCACCGGTTTGTTGCCAATTCTCTCATTCTTTACCATAAACCACTCAACAAGACGCAAACATGGTTGGATACGGTCGTTTTCAGATGGCGGGGAGCCTTGCTCTCATGAGCGGTTTTCAAGCACTCGCTCAACAAGTCCCGCTCGGCCTTAATCAGGACGAAAAGCCGATGGTCATCGCCGGCCGGCCGTTGGTCGATACTGAAGCTCTCCAGGACAGCATCAAGACAGACAATCTCCTCGCTCGTGCGAAGGAATTGTATGAGATTGCGAAGCTAGGAGAGGACGAGTATAACCACCCGACTCGTGTGATCGGAAGTGAAGGTAGTGCACATTCCTAGCTATGTGTCACCTGATGCTGCTTATCTTTCGTCGATGGTGCCTCTACTGACAGGTTCAAGGTCACCTTGGCACGCTCTCTTACATCTACTCTTCTCTAGCGGAACTCGGAGATTACTATACTTTATCAAACCAGACGTTCCCTGCTGTCACTGGTCGGGTCGCTGAATTTCGTCTCGTGTTAGGAGATCAGGTGCCTGGATCGGCATCAGCCATGGGCTTAACTCCTCCAACGAAGGACAAAGAGCCGGTGCATGCAGATATTGTCATCGTCAAGAACAGCGGGTGCAAGTCATCCGACTTTCCGGCTGAGGTTGCCGGCAATATCGCTTTCGTCGAACGTGGCACATGTGCTTTCGGCGTGAAATCCGAGAATGCTGGAAAGGCAGGCGCCGTAGCAACCGTCATTTTCAACAATGATGAGGGACCTCTTCATGGAACCTTGGGAACGCCATCTCCATACCATGTCGCCACTTTCGGTCTATCAGACAGCGATGCCGCACCTGTTCTCAAGAAGCTCGCGAAGGGCGAGCGAGTTGATGCTATTGCTTATATCGATGCCGATGTCACGACTACATACACCGACAACATCATCGCTCAGACCGTTCAAGGTGACCCCGATAACTGTGTAATGCTTGGCGGTCACAGTGACAGCGTTACGGAAGGCCCTGGTATCAACGACGATGGGTCTGGCAGCTTGAGTGTTCTCGAGGTCGCCAAGCAACTGACCAAATTCAATGTCAACAACTGCGTACGTTTCTCCTGGTGGGCTGCTGAGGAAGAAGGTCTCCTCGGATCCGATCACTACGCAGCTACGCTTTCCCCGGAGGAAAACCTAAAGATCCGCCTATTTATGGACTACGACATGATGGCAAGCCCAAATTTCGCTTACCAGATCTATAACGCCACGAACGCTGATAGCCCAACCGGTTCTCAGGAGCTGCGGGATTTATACGTTGACTGGTATAAATCCAAGGGTCTCAACTATACTTTTATCCCGTTCGATGGTAGAAGTGACTACGATGGTTTCATTCGTGCTGGTATTCCAGCTGGCGGTATCGCTACCGGCGCTGAGGGTGTCAAGACGAAAGAGGAAGAGCAGAAGTTTGGCGGGAAGGCAGGAGATTGGTTTGATCCTTGCTACCATCAGTTGTGCGATGATGTCAGCAATCTCAACCTTACCGCTTGGGAGGTCAACACGAAAGTGAGTTTCCAAATTACATTATTCTTGCATCTTCGACTTACTGACACGTCATAGCTCATTGCTCATTCTGTAGCGACCTATGCCGCGTCCTTCGATGGCTTCCCAAAGCGGACTCCCGTGAAGAGCGCTGCCACTGGAGGTTATGGAGAGAAGACCAGATACCACGGTTCTAAACTTTTCATCTAGATATGACGACTGATAAGAGAGTTACGCTACCTCTTTACACGTCTAACGTGGTTTCAACTCCACTGAGCTCAAGTGGTACGAGCTAGAGTAGATTGTAATGAAATTTTATCAAGCTTGACTTTGATTCTACCATACTAGACTAGACTTTGCCATTATCAAGGCTATTTTGCTTCGCTAGAGCCATCTCTTAGTCCCAAAATGGGAAAGAAACGCACCCGCCTGGCCACCCTCCACGCTTGAATTCTCGATGACTGACAGGACAGATTTGACAGAGTCTTGTGGCGTGTCAGCTTGTTTGAAATTCGGTTGGTACTTGAGAAAACTGGAAACAAGTTGCCCTGCCTTCTTCTGCTGCGCTTCGGTTTCTACATTTATCATTAGCAAACTGCTTAGCAGCTCTACAAGGCTTGCACTTAGTACTCACCACCAGAATAATTCATGTCGGTGTTCACGACACCAGGAGAAATAGCCATGAATAGAATACCTTGGGAACGATACAAAGCGCTGAATTTCGCTATCGCCATGTTCAGGGCAGCCTTGCTGATCGCGTAGGGGGCAGCAACGTCGATGTCATACTCAACGGTCAAATCCCGATCGGCCAAGCCTGTAGATATAGCGATTGCTTTCTTGGTGTCACCCTTCAGCAGGAGCGGCACGAAGACATTGAACACGTCGATGGGGCCGACCACGTTGACGTTGAAGGTATCGATGAGTTCGCGCTGAAGACGCGGCGTGTCTTCGGATCTGACAGTATATGTACATCAGTTTTTGATACGTATGGGTTAAAGACGGCAAACGAGCAAGAATGTGACGCACAGTTCGCCGAAATCAGCCAATGAGGACCATTTTGATGCTATTGCGGCATTGACAATGATGTAGTCGATACTGCCGCCGGTCGCAGCAGCAACATAGTCAGCTGCTTTCTTCAAAGCTTCGTGGTCCGTCTGGTCAGCTTCTATGATGTGGATGTTCTGTCGCCCAGAAAGCTCGGCCTGAACTTTGCTGTCGGTGGTGGCTTTATCACGAACAAGACCAAATATGGTGTTATCCGTGTTGGCGGAGAGCTGACGCAGGAATTCGAACTGAGGTCTTTCTATCAACAATATTCGCACTAGTCGATGCGACAGTCATACTTACACCGAGACCTCGAGACACGCCGGTGATCACGTATGAAGGCATCTTTCAGAGGAGCCGTTTTGCTTGAGAGAACTATCAAATGGGGTGACAAGAGCCGAATCTCCGACTAATAGATTGATCGTGTATATCTTGATGGGTTGTGAGTGAACGAGTTTCACATTGACCTGGGCTTTCGTCCTAATATATACTTGAAGACAATCATGACTCGGCAGCACTTCTGTTTACCAGTTCAACCAATACAGCATAGCATTTGTAAAATGGATTTCAAATCGAGCCAGGATCCTCACGTATGCACCATGCCAGCGGACGTCATTTCAGGTTATTAACATGCTCTAAATAAATTTTAAACATAATACGTGATAACGCGACGAAGAGTCCAAACCAATGTACGGGGATACCACAAGCGGGAGCGCTTAGCTACAGGGCTTGCCCCGAAAAGGTATGGCTTGGCTGTGGGTGCTCGCAGAAAGTTGACTTGCTTCTCGATTGGGTTAAGAGGTGGGACACATGAGGTTGACAATTCTCGAGTTAGTAAGCCACTCATATATGCAGTGACTTTAATCTTCCGCGAAGTTCCGCTCTTTCAAATGTCAGCAACAACAGGTGCCCTCGGATTGGAAGAAGAGCAACTTTCTGCGTTCATATGAAACTTTGCGCGGCAGCTCTGGGTTGAAGCTATTGCATTAAAATGTCGTCGGATGCTTGCTGGACATGCAAAGGTGATGTTCGACCCTCATATTGGTGCTCCTAATTAACAGTTTGTAGATCGGAAAGTGCGTTGTGACCGCATACACCCACAATGTTTGAGGTGTGCGCAGGCAAAGAGACAGTGCCACTACGGCCTACGGCTGTCTTGGCCGAGGGCAAATGACAAGCGACGTGCCCTAAAGCATACAAACTTAATTGTTGCCAGAAAGCCCAGCCGTTATGGCAGTGTTCAATTTGTGAATGTTGGATTCTGGGACATTCATCTTCACGAGTTCCTCTCCCAAAACGGACGAGGAGAGAATAATCTCGAACACCAGTACCTTCTCACACACTTCAATTCGTCGACTCTGAACGTCCAACTGAATCCATATCACCTGAATAGGAAACTCGCAGACTTGCTCGAGTACTGTAAGTGAACCAGACTCGGTTCTCGAAACTGGTGCTTATAATATCTAGTTTGCGTAAAAGTGTTCAGTAGCATAGGCAATTTCAACCAAGATAGCGTGCACTTTCATGGTCTGATTCGCAAGTTGGCTTTTTCGGATAATTCTCTTTCTTCGAATGCAATCATCCAGGCTACTCTAGCCCTATCAGCGTTGCATAGAACCGGTCGAGGTTCCGAAGCGCTGCGCTTGAAGTCATTTACACTGCAAACATTGAAGGCCAGCAGCAAGAACGGCATGACTCCCGTGGATGGTATTCAGCATGTAGTAGCTGTGATGATTCTATGCTATTTCGAGGTATTTCCCTGTCGAATCTTCCCGCAACGACATGACTGACAGCTGATTACAGATTGAAGACGCCTGCGACACGCATATGCAATGGATGCTGTATGTCGTTGGCTCGAAAAATCTCATGCAGGCCCTGAAACTCAGAGAGCAGCCATTCTCAGGCGAGTTCTCTGCTTTACTCGACTGGGTGGACTATCATTTCGTCATCGGCATATTCACTTTGCGTCACTGGCAAGCGGCGTATCGTCGTCAGCTATCCCATGATCCGGGAATCCAACATGTCGTATGCATGAAGAAGCTTGTACGAGTTATCAGATCCTCGGAGTATTCACTGTCTCTGACGTTCTTTTAGGTGCCAAATATTTCCGATTGTTCGCACCCAATGCTCGATCTTCTCTACGAAATTTCTAATACCGTCAAAAGACCAACAGAAGAAGGCTACTTTAGTCAAGAATATGCTGCATATCTGAAAGACCTTGAAAATAGGGTCATGACCGTTCCATTCGTAAGCAATCTTCGAACCTACTTCCTACCCGTTATTGCATATCTACAGAGCCGAAATTGGGGACCAAAGGCAACTGTCTATATGTGACTGTCTCAAAATATTTCCGGAGACCGCTCGACCCATTCTGAAGAAGTAATTCCTAACTCCAGATACTGTAGTGTCCTGAGAATCTGGGGTCTTCATCAACTGAGGCGTACCTAATGGGTGCTGAACTGTACCAAATTGCAGCGCTCATCTACCTCGAACGAACTTCATGCAACTTTTCCGGTCAATCTATCAAGATTATGCGCCTTGTCGAGCGCGGGTTTGAGATCTTTCAACAACAAGATACCTCTAGTGCATCCCTTGCCATCTTCATCCTTGGACTGGAAGCTAGGAGTGACGAGCAACGAAAATTCATCCTGGATCTCATTGAGCGCAATGCTACCAGGTCAAATCTGCGGAGTTTGGAGGCAGTTTCCCGGATGCTACAAGCCGCTTGGAACCAAGACGATCTGGAGACTGAGAACGACGTCAATTATGTGCTCAAGCTCGACACCATCATAAATTCGAACAACATTATTCCTGCACTGGCCTGATGGGGTTGTCTTTTGGTCTGACTTGGCAATACTCAATTGGGCGTGTTGATTTACGACAAGTCCTCGATTTTGCGCTTTGAGGACTGTTCGGAGAAAAGCAAGACTAAACACTATTTAAACAAGTATCTCGACCGCATGCTTTACCTGTATCACTAGTACGTAGCCGACAGGCATACCTGATTCCCTATCACAGCATCTTCAGAAATTCTTAGTTCACGACACGCAATCCACCTGCGTATGGGCCATTCTCCTTGGGCATCCTATTGCCGTCAAGCTCAGATATTATGCTAATCTCATGTCTCGCCTCTGAAACAGACTCCCCTGGTCCAAAATGTAGGGGCTCAGGGTAAGGACTGTCTCTGGTCGTGAATGCCCACACTCCCGAAGGCGGCGGGCTAGGACTGCCGACTATTGATTGTGCCTCGAAATTCCTGCCACTAGGGTACAAAGTCTTTTCACGGCTGTCTATTGTGGGATTGGTGGTTATTGAACCTGCATGTGGTCAGTGACTGAATCTCGAATAATTCCTGGAACCCCCACCTTTGTAGGGCCTATATGGATATATGGGAGAAGGTGGTCGTCCTGGTCTCGAGGTAGTCATGTGGTCTTCTCGCATTGATTTCTGTTGCTCAAAGTCTCTGCGCCTTCTCCACCAACAAATGAGGATAACAGCGGCAAGCACAAGCACCCCGCCGACTACGCCACCCACAATGGGGCCAACTGGGGCAGCAGACGTTGAGGGAGCCTGTGAAGCACCAGACGATGTTTCAGCTGTCGGTTGCACGACGATCGTGACATCCGACCCTATCGGTTCTGGACTCGTCGCGGTTGTAGGGTTAGTAGCGGCTGGGTCGGAGATCACAGTGGTCGAGGTGATAGTGACAGGTATCGGGCGCGACGAGTCTCCATCGCTAGTCTGCGTTGTGACTTGCGTTGAACGTGGCGCTGTGGTTTGATTCGTGGTCTTTGTTAAAATTGATGTAAGCGAGGATACTGGCGTTGAAGACGTATGCCTGTATGAGGTTGAAGACTTGGTGAAGGCTGAAGACTTGGTCAACGTTGAAGTCTTAGTCAAAATTGAAGTACTGGTTGAACCTGAACTTGGTATGAAGACTGTTTCTGAAAGTCTAGCTGCAACCAAATTATCTTTGAGGCAGCTGGAGCTGCACGAATTGATAAGACAGCAACCCGGGTTTGTCATCTTGACTCTGGCTTCTCCGCTCCAAGAGTTCTGAGCGACATAATTGATGAGCGTTCTGGGTTATCTACTCCTCTTCTAGTCATCCGACAAAGTCCCCCCGCCTGCCACTTCCCTCTTTCCGAAGATTTATGATGAGGCGCATCTTGCCAATGTTGGCAAGGGGCATCATCTTCGTGGCAGGGCAGTTAGCTGCACGTGCTTGCTAGTTGCAGTATCGCACACACAGCCAAGCACTCTTGGTGATGTCCCAACCACCTTGGGGACTGAGCAGTGTGATACAGCATGCGAGTGGTCTATTTCCCTCTTCTTTCTCTAAATATAGGCATGAAACCTGGCCGCCGTTTTGCATCAACACCGCCTCCCTGACATAGAAAGGTTGTCACAAATGCATCGAAGCCGAAGTGTGCTACGGCCCGCGAGTTCGGTTCGGCGGGGTCGTGTTTGCCATTGGCCCTGCTATATAGTCTTGTACCGCAGCTGAGCACGATTCTGCCGCGACTTGCATGAAACAAGCATGAGCCATGCCTGCATCCCCGGTCGCAATTCTCGCTAAGACGATTGGTCACACTGTCACAAATTTGCATCGGCTAAGGGACAGGAAGCACAAACGATTCATCAAGCCAGCGTGTAATATTTTCACTACAGTAAGAATGATATTCATATCGACAGCAGCGTCGCCGCTGGATATTTATGCAACATAACCTCATTATCCAAAAACAATGCCAACATGCTAATTGTCAACCCCATGCAACGCTATCTCTTCATCATGGGTAAAAGTTTCGACCACTTTACAAAGTCTTGGTGGCGAAGCCAAGGGTGGGGGTGGTGGCACCGTTGAAGACAACGTAGGCAGCCTTCAGGGCGATGTCACCGTAGATGTTGATACCGATGCCGGCGGAGGACTGGAGACCACCGTAGCAGGTGGAAGAGCCATCCTCGACGGGGGCGTAGTTGAGGTAGGTGGCGGGGATGACGATGCTGACTGAGCCGACGGTGTAGGTGAAGGTGGGCAGGGTAGCAGTGCAGGGGAAGACGTAACCACCGTAGGTGTTGGAGTTGCTGGAGCCAGTGACCTTGGCGTAGTAGTTCTTGACAACGGTGGCGGGCAGCAGGAGCAGGGTCGTGCCAGTGTCGGCAATACCGCTAACGGCGGTGCTGTAGGTGGTGGTGCCGACCTTGTAGCTGGAGGCAGAGAACTGCCAGAAACCCTGCGAGGAGGTGACAGAAGTGTAGGCAATGGAGCCGGTGTACTTGGTGCTGTCAACGTAGCCGAAGTCGTAAGTACCACTGGAGGTCGTATTAGTCAAGTTCGCTTAGTACAACATCACAGGAATACTCACGCAGTGTTGTGCTTCAAGTCAGCAGTGAACAGCGGGGAGCTGAGCGAGGACTTGACGTTGTCGAAGAAGGTCTTCTGGGATTTGGGCGAGACAGTGTTGATGGTGCTGAAGGCCAGACCAACGAGACCGTCGTTGTTGGTGTCCTGGGTGAACTCGGTGGAGATCGTGGTTGCGGCCTCAACAGCCTGGGCGGAGTAGGAGACACCTCCGATGTTGACGACGTCAGTGTATACGGTACCGGAGGCTCCACTGCCATCACCGTAGGAGATATCCCAGGAGTAGCCAGACAGCAGCTTAGAGGTGGTGCTCTTGGAAGGGTTGTACACGCTGTGGCCGGTCTGGTAGGAAGAGGCCAACCCGGTGCTGAAGACCCACAGATCCGAGGACCCAGTATCGAAATCCAAGTTCAGCGTCTGGGCGGGGGTACCGATGCTGACGGGAGTGAGGTACTCGACATCGTACTCCTCGGGCGTGGTGACCGCGCTGCCGGTGGTGGCACGCTTGGTGGTGGTGTGGTTGAGGGCCTGGGTGAGGTACTCGGGAAGGGGAGCACCGTACTTGCGGTAGGCCTTGGCCAGAGCAGCAGCACCGTTGCGGACGTAGTGAGGGTTGCGGACCTGCTTGACAGTGAAGTCCTTGGTCTCAGGGCCCTCGACTGGCGCGGCCGAGGTGAAAGAGAGGATGGCGGCCGAGGCCAGGAGGAAGGTCTGCGCAAAGGTCTGCATCTTGATTATCTTGGCTCTGGATCACCGACTACAGCTGTGTTGGAGAAGAGAAGGCTGGTGCTGAGAGAGCAATGGTGTTCCTGGCGGAGGGAGATGATCAGTTTTATAATCGTCGTGCCGATCATGATGGAGACCTTTCCCAATGATTTCCAGACGTTGGCATACCCCATCGCCTCCCACCACACATCATAATGCTTGCCAAAGCTTGTTCATGGTCGATGTCACTGCATCTTCTCGGCGAAGCTTGGCCCTTGTCATTGGGCATGTCTTCTAGACCACCCTCCAACAACTTCATGCAGGACCAGCTGTGGAAAAAGATGAAGTAGCGTTCACGAATCGTGGGGCATGGTACGAGCTGTTATCATGACCAGGTAGAAAAATCCCACGAATCCTCGCGTCGCCTCGGACAGAACTACCACTGTACTGTAATCTCCATAAAGCGGTAAACTCCATGTGCCCCGCTTGCTTAGGCCCCTGAGTCAAGTGACACCAAACTAAGAGCTGTTAGCCAGCTGGGGCTATTGATTATGAGACCAAGGCAAGGCCAATCAGCTTTGTGCATGCAGTACCTGGATTTCCTGTAAAAGCAAGATCTTCCATTCCAGAGTGTCGACCCCCATTGCGACATAGGCCAGCTATTGGTTCGTAACTCTAAAGCGAGTGGAAATGAGGCTCAAGATTGAGCATCAATGCGCCCAGCATCGTCTGCCGCAGTGGCGATTGCACAGCAGGTTAGAATGAATCCACTGGTCTCCGTCGGTTGCTCATGTGGGGCCGAGAATGCTTGCACCGATTTTTATTTGATTGTCCTTTATTAAAGTAGGACCACGTGCCATGCATTGAGCCGACGTGCCACCTTCTGTATTTGGGTGTATACTCCCATCCCGTCCCGTCTTTCGTGATTCTAGCCTGGATGGCGCCCACGACAAGTCAGTGTCCATCAGGGTGCTGAGTGATGGCGACTCAGAAGAATGCGCCTCTGCGGTCATTTCTTGCGCGTCCTACTCCAGATCTGTGACACGCATTGCAGAGACAGCGGGAAGATTACTTGGCGTCTTACGCTGAGACAAACTTAGAAGCCATCGCGTTGGACACGGCGAATTCAGCCTAATGGACGATTATAGTCGTGGCTGCTATGACGGAATCTATAGTCGGCGGCTGTCTATTGTCAAATCAAGCTTATTTTTGCTTCGTTGCAACTCAATCGAGAAGGTGACAGAACTCAGGGGGGGTGATTTCCGGGGGACTAACACCTAGACCAAGGCACTTCGAGAAGCTATTACGAGAGCTAAACCAAGAAAGCTTAATCACATTAGCGGCCGTGATAAGCTTTCATGAGCCGGATCTACGGTAGCGCCCAGACATGTCCTGCAGGTGCAATCGCCGCAAAGATTGGCGCAGCTTCTCGCAGCTTATTCCAACCCTCTGGTCCAGAAATGTCCAATAGGCGTTGTAACCTCAACCTGGAGCCGGTGAATGCTAACCCATTTAGACAGGTGGCAATGCGATCGGGCTGTGATTGGCGTAGTTGGCCGGGTATGGCACTGGGAGATTCTAGTCCTGGTCATTCGAACTAGCACGCGATCTAGCGTTACGAATAAACGAGCCGTTGTCATTGGTTGTGGTCGGATAGGTGGAAGATGAACCTAGACATTGCCCCAAATTCGTCAACGAACCTGCTCGATCTCCGAGCGGGAGCATGCGTGGGGCCCGCTGTCGATATGCACAAGCACTCGTCTCCAAAGGGGCTGAATGATAAGCCCTGCTAGACGACATCTTCTATTACGACATCTCATGAGCTAGCAATTGATCCTTCTTTCGTGAAGACATTACGTTACCAATATGTTTCGTGTCACGTTCGGGAAAACGGCTTCAACTACGAAGCCATCAAGCCTGCTGTATATGGCCTAGTGATACCGAGCGTGGAATACGATGTGTGTCTTGCGTGCGATCACAACACGCCCAAATCGTGGTACTTTTTACGGGGGGGTGGTTTAAGTTTGCCGCCTATGCGATATCGATGGCAAGCGTGGACGCGAGGCTCTTTTCTCAAGATAGAGAATGTGTTTACTTGCTGGCGTTCCTGGGTTGACACTGCTGGTCCCACGGCTGCTCCGGCTGCTGCTCCTCCTCCAGCTTCCAGCTTTAGTTGCAATTGCCGGATATCGTTCCACCGGGCATGATGAACGTACGAGAGTGTTAATCGCAGTGTATGATGAGTTGTAATGATGTGGCTCAACATTAGCGCAGCATTTCGGAGGCAACGGTCATGTGCAGAAGTGTGCGCCGCGGCAGCAGGCAATAACGTACCTTTGACAGTCCAGTTGTGTGATATTTTTTATGTTCTTTTGCACATCTCAACTTTCATCGACAGGAGAAAAAAAAAAGACGCTTGAAGTAACGAAGAGACAATTTCTCAATCTCAGGTTACAAGTAACACTTACTTGTCCAGTACGCTCTCCGTACCCAAACCCATCTACTTTGGTGACACTGCTGACAACTCGGTAGTTTGGTTTCGGGCAAGTGGCCGACAGCAAAATATGAGACATGTCACAGTGATATAGGTAGTCCATTGAGTTTGGATCAGAATACAATATCCGTCCATTGCCAAGGCGCTGAATCTATCGTCAGACGGCTCGGCGTGCAACGCTCAAGCACACTTCAGCTGTCTATCAGAAAGACGTTTGATTTAGCGCAAGCATGAAATTCGAGGTAGCTTACTTGGAGCACGTACAAGACTAGCGCACATGATTGCTGTGCTGGAATATGTTGTTTTAGAGATCACACTATATCATGATGTCTGGAATCGCACGCTCCACCGTAGAGATCGAACTTCAGCTCATAATGGTATCTCGCTGATGTAAACCCGAGCGCGGATGCGGAACAATTGCTCCCCTGATATGGGATCTATTGACCGTGTTTGTTTGGACGCGTTCCGTTGTCGCAACCTTCAGGGCCATTCTTAGCCAGTCACATTCTCACCCATATTGCCTGAAACATGGCGTTGCCTTTTCCATATTGTGTCTCGCTCTCCAAACTGATCAGCCAGTGACATCCACTCCGCTTTGTGATATAGGTGACGTATTGATATGATTCTGTGGCGTGCTTGATGCTCGGAGCTATGATTGATCTCGTAATATATTGAAAGTAGCCTCCTCTATGTAAATTGTTTCACTGAGCTATCAAGCCTCGTCATCGTATAATTCACATCACGGTCCCCTTCCTTAAAGGCTGGTACGGATGCTCTTTAAACGATATTTGCCTCCACCAAATATCATCTTTTTCAAATTTGTATTTCTATGTATCTTGTCGGCCATATTTTTTCCTCGGGACACCACATCACTGAAATATCCTCAGACTTGGAGTACTTTAAATAGCCACATCTGCCCTTAGTAGTCACCACCATCGATATCGCCACCATCCATTCACGTCATATGCAAAGCCATCAAATTCATATCCTGTCGAACCGCGTGCTGTCTCAACTCATAATGTATAGGTACGCAATTGTAATCTAATGGAACTATCATCCAAAGGTCGTCATAGTTCCATTGGCCAGGTCACCAGCTTCCTTGGCAGCCGCTCAATGTGCAGTCATATTGAAGCTGGTTCTCTGTCTGAATCATGTTAGTATTGGTTTGTCATAGCTTATCCGGTATTGGACTGTTATTAAGCATGTAAGGGCTGTAAGTCCCTATATGTGATAGAGATTAGGGCTCAGCGCGTCAATAATAACACCCTAGCACTCCCTTGTAACAATATCGTCTGACATAGTTCATCGTTCTCTGACAGCAAGCTCCGTCTGACAATCAGAGGTCATTATTCGACGCAAAAATCATTGTGACTATTCTTTCTCCAATGTAAAACATCGAAGTGCCGCTATGCATTTGCGCAATCGTATCACATCAGCTGGCACTCATAGGTAGGCTCACATATTCAAATGCAACAGTTAATGACGTCTTTATTGAACTGCGATTTTTTTTGTACTACCAAAACCGAACATTAGACAACGGATGTGTCTGTCAACGATCTACCGCTACGATGACGATTGTCTATATACACAAAGATGATTACATTCGTTTATATGCAGCACCTTTGTCATTCATTGTTGGACACATCTTAGGATAAGATATTTCTTCTAATTTGGTCGTTGCTCGACTCCATTCGTAAAGATTCTCGTGTTGGAGTTATTTATGACGAAACCTTTACTAGTAAATTAAATGGCTCTTGGACAAGCCAATAACTGTAAACTAGACCTCAAAGCACTATCATCCACTGACCGGATGAGACTACGAGGGGTCGTAAAAAATTGTCCTCGTGTAATTAATTGCATCGAATATCCGAAAGGTAGGTCTCACAATTTCTTTCCGTTAAACTCATGATGCCCTACTCAGGATTAGTTCGGGCACCTTTCGCAACCGGACTTTTGAAGGAGAAGGAAACAGGCATTGTATCTGGGCACGGCACAGGCGCACATTTCAGACACCTATTAATTAATAATGCGGCATTCAGATACCATATACTTACACAAGAGTTCATTGCTCATGACAACCACTGTACATTTTAAACGTGATCAAAGTCTATATACTGAGTGCCTCTTCTGTGCCCTGGTCTGTGATGGACTTAGGTTGGTAAACACCAGCGTATGCTAAGTTTTATTGATCAAATAATATCTTCAGCATGTACTTTTTGTAAGTAGTCCACCAGCGGGGCATGCTTATCACACGAAGCGAGATGGGAGGGCACGGCGGTCTACGGTTCGGTACGGATTAGTGTATCACAGACTGCACCATCTCATGCAGATGTACTATCGTGCTCGTCATATCCAAGAGCTTAAGACTGTATCATGATAACAAAAAGAAAATGAGTAGAAGAAAAAGTCAATCACAATAGCATTAGTGGTGTCCGGTGTATACTCATGGTCCATGAAACCATAAAAGCTCAGATATAGCTTCCCGCGTGGTACAGTATAACCTGAACCGGCAATCTACGCTGGGTATCAACCAATCAAACGAGGCTAGCATTTAACTTGTCTCACAATCAATCATTTTCGCGCCTAGTATAGTTACTGCTGTGACGCTGTTGGTATAACCGTCAATCGCGCCACACGTTTACCTCTAGAAATATGCATCTCCTTTGAAGCGCCGTCATGTCAATCCCTCCTTTTAAGGAGAAACGGCCTAACCTAGCTAAATTTAGCCCCCGCCGAACGCAAATGGTTCCTCCGGTCCATGCTTACGCTCTGGGGCTCGAGGATATTCTGGTGTCCGTGATTGGTGGGCGATGGCTAGGCGTGCAACCCCACAAACCTCGCGTGGCGCTCAGGCACTCTTGTCATTGGGAGCGAGACTGGAGAATTGATTGCTTGCAGAACTCCGGAGTCTGCTGAGTGCCCCTGTCGCTTGCAGTAGGCTCGTATGGGGTTGCAAGGGGTGAGGGAAATGCAGGATCATAGGTCAGCAGAAGCTGAAACATGAAACAGACTGTGTCGACTCGCTGGCTTTTTACGAGAAACAATTGTTAGAAGGGGCGGGAAGGGGGAGAAAAGATTGAAACAAAGGACCTTTAAGTCTTTGTCGAGCTGATATATTGACCTGCGATGCCCGTGTGGGTTATGGTTTCTTTTTAATTTTCCTTGACATTTGATTTTGAAACTTATAATTTCCTTCCTGAAATGATCAGAATATCTCACTTGATTGCCGGCTTGGCAACGGCCTCGATCTCCACTGCTTTAGACCTCAACACCAGCGATACAGCCTCGATAAAAGATACAGCAGCCGAGATTGCTAAGGTTCTTTACCTCTACCACAATGCTGAGTCAACAGCAGGCGACTTTAATCAGCCACAACCTTGGTTTTGGTGGCTTTCGGGAAACGGGTGGAACGGCCTTCTCGATTATACCGTATACACAGGCGATACAACGTATCAGGCCGATTTCTTGGTTGCGATAGCAGAAAACATCGGCGATAACCGGGACTTTGTGCCCGAGTCGCAGTACGGATGGGAGGCCAACGACGATCAGGCGTACTGGGTGTATAATGCGCTAACAGCGCTGGAGTACGGTTTCGAGCCTCTGCCCTGCGATGAAAAGGCTGCCGACGGGACATGCCTCAACTCATGGCTGGCGCTCAGCACCAACGCGTTCAACCTCTTCGCAAGCCGATATGAGGCGGACAGCGGAACGTGCAATGGAGGCTTGAAGTGGCAGTATCGAACTACAGAGTCGGGTTATTACTACAAGAACAGCGTGACGAACGCAGGGTTTTTCCAAACGGCCGCGCGACTCGCGCGGTATACGGGGAACCAGACTTTCGCGGACTGGGCGACAAAGGTATGGGACTGGTCCTCGGGTGTCGGCTTCGTCACCGCAGATTTCCACGTCTTTGATGGCGCTGGTGATAAGGACGGGGCAAACTGTACCGGCATCAACCAGGATCAGTGGTCTTATAACATAGCAAGCTATCTTCACGGTGCTGCGCACATGTATGCGTACAGCGAGGATGGCAGCGATGCGAAGGCGCTTTGGGAAAGTCGAGTTCAAGGGCTCGTATCCGCAGCCAAGATCACCTTCTTTGGACCGACAACGGATGCGCCGGATGTCATGTATGAGCAGAAGTGTGAGCTCTCGAAAGGCTGCACCACAGATCAGACGAGCTTCAAATCCAGCTTGTCACGTTGGTTGGGGAAGACAGCGGTCTTGGTGCCTAGCGTTAGCGACACGATCTTCGAATTGCTTGAGGCCAGTGCCAAAGGAGCTGCAGCTAGCTGTACCGGGTATAGTAATTCGACATGCGGCAGTCAGTGGTACACTGGCAGTTTCAACAGCCAATCCGATTTTGGAGTTGAGCTTAGCGCTTTAGAGATAGTGCAGAGCTTACTGGTGAAAAGTGCACCGGACTTTGCAGTTGCTTCTAAATCGTAGCATGTACACATATAGTCTATTATAGGATATATGTTAAAAGGAAATATAAGTACGATGTTCATGATAAACTTCAGTCCGACGCGATATTCAAGCAGGCCTTCCGCGAGCTGCACTTTCACTACTGTGTGATAGTACTCCACTCGCTGGTAGGACCGTCCTTTGGTATGAAGGGCCACTGTGACGTCCTGCTACAAAGACAAAGCTTGCGATTCGGTAATTATTGGGTATAATTGGGTATAATCATCAAATGGTAATGTGTGGTGGCGACCAGATACGCAGAACTGCAACGTGTGCTGTCGAGTCATTGGTAGTGTACTTCTTGACAATCTCTTTGCTCCTACACCAGAACATTACCAGTACACCGAATCACGATAGCAGATCCACTCAGCGTAGCCTCGAGTTTCACTGCACTCGTGACATTTCGTATTCCAGTCTAGCGTGACTCTTTACAAGAGTGTAAGCAGCTTTTAGAACCATGACAAAAATGCTTAACGTCGTCTTCGAAATCCCACAGGCCGATGAATGTATGGGGAGTGGAGTCCATTAGTGGCATAAACACCGGTGATTTAAGTGCTTTAAAGTGCCTATTACTTTCCTCATTAACAAAGCGTCTAAATAATGACTAAGTGTGAGTGGTGTAGGTATATTCAATGTGTAAAATTGGTTGACTCCTGAGATCAGAGAGTCCCTCACAACATATTTCCGGCTAGCTTTGATTCCTGGCCCATTCATGGAAATTTCCTGGTCATCATTGGCTTTGACTTCAGTCAAACTTGGTCAGCATACCTGGACATCATGAACGCTTAGTGCAGATGTACTTTTTATGTCTCATGCTAGAAGCCGTACCATTGTATATCCACGTCTTAGATTGATGCAGCCTATGATATCCCCTCACGGATCATACCAGTACACACCTTTCTTACAAAGCCGTACCGTGGATGGATGAAAGTATGGTTGAAGCCCCGACTCTCCTGTTCGACAATCTTCGCGCAGAGAACCTACACCTAACCCCTAGGTGTATGCGCCAAACATTCCATGGCCTTAGGCAGATTCTCTGACAATTGTGGAGGGCATTTGACGCTGCCTCTTCAACAACAATGCAACTATCGTACTGCACATTGGACGGCACGTGGCGAAAAAGAAAGTGGTTGTCTTCAACATCGTGATCTAGCACTCAGCGCTCAAACGCGTCGTAACGACGCCCCAGGTGTAAGGCGCGCTTCCTCAGGACGTGGTGTAGATCTACCGCCTTGACTCAGCATACGAGGCGGCTGATGGGGCTCGCAACAGTGAGTCTGGAACAGGACTAAATGCTGTTGCTAACGCCATCTTGTCGTGAAATGTAGCCGAACCAAGCACGAGGCGATGCATTGAGTGAACCCTAGGGAAGTTCTCCCACTCTAAATACGCTTCTTCTTCCCGTTGAATTCAGACCCAAAGGTGGGTAGCCACTGAGTGTATACCTTGGTAACGGCCCACACCACACGTGAATGTCTAAGTCTATTAGATTGTTCATTTTATTGAGTTTGCCTCTCTAAGCATTCGAACTTTTGATGACAAACTTCTTAACCATAGACTTTATGCATACACGAAACAGTCAAGAATGCCCACGTTGAATTGGTGAGCTGCGTTTCTGAGCACAGCAATATCATTTAGCACTGAGGTCTACTTGGGCATTGTTAATTAATGAAGTTCACACAGCCTCCAGCTCCTCCAGCCGACTGTGTGCGAAGCCTTTTGCCCTCTCAGCCATTAATATGAAGTGGTTTCCCATCCAATTATCAAAGACCTCTACCATTGGTACCGCCACACCGGTTCTAGCTTGGTAGGCGAGGGCGGCAAGATTCTATTCGAAACTCATGTCGGCCTAAATTCTGACCATCCTTCCATGTATCCTCTTCAGGTTGAAATAGTTGATAGTAGCCAGTGACTAGTGACTGACAAGTCAACAATGAAACTTCTATGATGAGACTACCTCAAGCTGGCTTGAACGTAAACGAAGTCTCAAAGCGCACGATCGTCCGCCACCTGCAAGTCTTGATCACGTAGCCATCAACACAGCTGTGTAAAAGACAGCTGAAAATGAGCCGGTGCAATGACTCCTTGACGTTAGATTTTAAGCATGACAGTGCCCCATCTTTGATCTTTAAAGGTTACACACGCTTGACAGACATCTCACATACCGCGACGGCACGTTCCATTGTGTATATATTACTCCAATGGTCGTTTTCACAAAGAATAATGCTATCCCATTCTTTCGAGACTGACTTCCGGCGATGATCCTTCCTGAATCTGAACCAGCGGTCTGGCAGTGTCAAGGTCCTTATTGTTTGAACAACGTAGACTCCTTGAACTTCTTGCTGCTGAGAGTTCAGGGAGGTAGCAGCCGAGCTGCATCTATCTAAATCACAGAACAAGGGTGACATTCCTGCAACTGTCATCAGTAGATCCTACACAATTCAAGTCATGAGGCTAAGCAGCGCTATAATGATGTCGCATAGATTGATTGCCTTCCCACCAGGGATATAATCCCTATCCATACGTCATAATAACAATCAAGTCCAAAATGCCACTTCCGCAGACGATCAGCAACGGCGAAGTACTCAGGTCCGACCTCTAAACTTTTCTCGTAGTCGTTCTTTGAAGCTAGTCGAAGATATTTGCTATCATGACTAACGACGAGCAGCTCTCCTGCTCTCGTGGTGCAAGATTGGAGGACATCCCAGGCCATAGCGTCGTTTCGTTTCGTGTGAGCTACGAATATGTCGTGCTGACGTCTCAACGAGCTCTGAGCCCGTAGTTGCAAATGTCGGTTGGTCCTATAGGCGTCGAAACCTTGAAAATTGTAGAAGAATCATCGGAAGGTAAGTAACATGGAACTCGTAGCAGAGGAGCTGGTAGGAGTGTTGCATGGGATAGTAAAAGACGACAGAAAAATAAAAGTGCCATCTCTGTGATGCCTTTGATTGAAACAATCGATGTCATCTTCTGGCATTAGTGGTACTCTTTCGTAAGCCTGCATCGGATTTTCAATTGTTTTAACAAGCATGAAATCATTCACATCGTCATACTTCTTTCGGGCACCTTCAGCGTGGCGTCTTCATATGCCAGTCTCTGTTTCGATGTTACCCTTGCCCGGCTCCGCATTTTCTGAATCGGCGGGTAATTCCACCACCATTTTCCGGATCTTCTTTTGACCTCGTGGTTGCTGAGATGATGCATGAGAGCGACAGCTTGAAAAAGCAGCGATTATTTCCACTTTTAATTAACGGCAACGATTTTAGCGTCCACGTGTAACCACTCCACTGTTCTTTTCCGCATTCCGTGGGACCAGATTGGGTCAAAATGTTAGCATTTTCATTATCGGCGCTTCGGATCTGATGAGAACTTGAGCATATCTCGAAAGTGTATGCATGTCGCAATGTGATGAGATCTGAGAGGAGGTATTACAAATGACATTTTGCTGTTGTCAGTCAGACCACACACAATGCAGGTCAGAGGATCATGTAAGTTAAGGCCGCTAGAAAGCGCTGTAACTCATATGATCCGTACTTCAATCTCAATTGTGACACCAATTCCTCGTTCTTTCGTCGCACCAACCAAAAGATTGCTCAACGCATCATACTGATACCAAATATAGCCACCAGTACTGTTTTGAGCTATGTTCTTAAGTTGTGGCTTAGCAAAGTAAAGCTCATATGTGTTTAGAGTGTGCTCCGAGATTCACTGTAGCATGAGTTTAGAAGCATCATCCCTCGGAAATTCCAAGGTTCGAGGGAGGTACATTGATACCACGAAAAACTTCCATATCTCTTTTCAGAAGTATCAATTCGATGTGGGCTTGGCTAATCCTACAGCTTACCCCTTCCTTTGGTCCATTGGGTTCATGCAAGATGGTTTCCAGGCATTGGCCGAAACTAAATATTTGCATCCCGCCTCATCCACAGGCTGCACGCTTTAGTGGCCGTCGGTGCGTTGGCATTGCTGCAGTGCAGGACCCTTCACTTGTACATGTTAAGACCTGAAAAGGCGACGGTCACACTCGACTATTCCTGCCCAATACATTTTTCGCATGCGACGAATCACCACATTCACTAAGGTTAATGAAGTCAAAGCTTTCCTTTGCAGCCATCGCTTGCCACGCCCCTGAATACCCGGAAAGTTTGCCGAACAGCTGGATGAAGGCTACACATACCGCAACTCGCATGAACGATAACGATTCATAGATCCGCCCAGCTTCTGGAAGTGGCATTGATTGTGTTTGTAGAAATAAAGCTACGCCATCTAATATATTATATGCTGAGTATTCTGCCGGAGAACAGGCTCCCCGACGCTTTGATGAGTAGGCAAAACCAGAATGTAAGAAATTGAGGGCCATAAACTACCTTGGATGACTGATTGTCGCCTTTAGTGAATAACAGTTATAACTACCACTTCGACCTCTGTTCGCTCTTTCTTATGATTGAGACTTGGAAGATTGCTTCATTGTTTTGAGTACGCGCCTTGCACAGCAGGAGCCCAACCGTTCTGTGTGCTTTTCGACATTGCAGCCGACCCCGCCCACGGCCGGGACAAACGACAGCCACGACAACATGCATGCACCTACTCTATCGTGAAGCGTTTCCGCATTGCATCGTAACGTAAGACAATACACTGCGGTGGTGGCATCATACCAGCAACGAATTACAACTCGCGTCAGCCCCTCCTGATCGTAGGTTTCAACCCAATCGTCGGACGCAAAAGGACAATTCGGGGAGAGTTCCCTGTCAACCCATGCGAAACATGCTCATCTGCACAATCAATCTACTATGCCCAAGCATAAGTTCTGTGTTGAACAACAGGAAGTTAAATCAACTCTCCTCGCACATTTACTTTACTCTTATGCATTTATTCTGCGTTCATTTTTCGTTTTTCGCTCTCGTTATGCTCCTCGTGGCTCCACATGTGTGAATCTATCTATTTTCATACATTTGAACAACGCTTGCTCCAATCATAACATCGCCTTACCTCGATGTATATCCCACAAGTCCCCGACCTGCAGCCCGATCACGGGCAAAGAACTCCATGGACGCCAGCCTCGGGCCTGACCTCCAATTATGCGCCGGACCAACAAGCTGAGCTGAGAAATACCTGGTCCACCGTTTTTCAAAGACTCAATCGCAGAACCGCCCCAGTGTCTTCTCACATAAACAATTATGAACACCAACTCCGACAACGGGCGACATCTCAAGACGTTGACACCACCATCGGCATTGTTGTGGGGGTGCTTCTTGGGGTATTTTTGATTGCAAGCTTTGCATTCCTCTATATTTATCGAGGATCCATTCGCGTCAAAAAACACAGAAGACGACATCGTCACCAACACCACAAATCATCAAGTTCCAAGAGCTCAAAGAGCTCCAAGGCCTCTGATGGAGGTGAACCAGCGGCTGCACCGCCACCTACATGAATGGCTGCTTGAATGAGGTGGTTAATTGCGCGTGGGACTCTTCACGAGTTGAGTTTACAGCGGCAGTATCAGCTTCTAGGATATGGGAAGCATTCACTCCATACTGGTCTCTTTAGATTTTGCCCCTCTTGCAGTAATTTTCTTTGGGTCATGGTAGCGTTCTTTTATCTTTTATTGTAAGATATGGATGGACACGACGGTAATAAGAACTACTGGCGTTGTAGTGTGCGACTTCGTAGGGACGACGATGTCGCAGTCGACGGAAGCGGCTCTATGCACTATTAGAGACGAATACTATTGGCGGGGTACGTTGTTATATTATACATTCTGGCATTGAAACTTGGTTGCTGTGTTCCCAATCCAATGGATCGGATCTTACTCCGCGCCTGCAAAGCTTGGGGTATTGCTGCCCAACGAACAGTTCAATTGCCATGCGGCCGGCTGTGGGTTGCACTATATCCGATAGTGGTGTGAGTGCGTTCACACACGTTGACAGCTCAGCTTCTCGAAGCAGAGGACCAATCAAGCATTATCGGCCATCCCCATTCTGTCGAACTGTCATGTGTTGGCAGAACGAATCGGTCATTCCCCGCGAAAGTCCACCAATTTTAATTGGAGACGATGTGGTCAAGATACCTTGTAACCATTCGCCAGTGATAATTCGGTGGTTTTGGAAGCGACGTACGAACCTAGGGGGACTGTATTGTATGACTTGAGCAAGCTTGTCTTTTCGAGTCCCTGTTTCGTGGGCTAAGCAATGCAGGACTGCCACGATCAAATAGTAGATTCATTCCTCTCGAGGCATATTCTAAGTGCTGCTAAACCCATTCTATCAGTTCAGGCGGATGTGCATGGCTTGACTCTTACTTCGTATGGAGGTTTGCTTTATAAGTCATCTCTCTCAAATTCCCGGTATTATGTTTCAATGACTATCCTGTACATCTAAGCTGATATACGTTGGTTTTTTTTTTTTAGATGCGACATAGCTTCTCCTTTGGCGCAGTTCCCATCGGACATTTGCTTTCTTATTGCGGAAATGCCTGTAGAAGGAATATTCCCTAGGTTTTGCGGCCAGTATTATGTTTATCGACAAAGATTCCAATGCAAGTCTGCCGCACTTGTATTCCTTACATCATAGTACTGCCTATACACATAACGGTCCTGAACGTTGTAGCGACCAGCTTATCTGTATGGCGTGAAGCTAACATACTACTGCTGGCTTAGACTTGAAGTTTGCCGGTACGATAGATTTGTTTTAATGATCACTGGAGGCGCGAGCATTTCACAGTGTTCGTAATCCACAATGGGTGAACCTGCAAATACCGACAGACTGGGTCCAGGTCCCAGCCTCATCAGGGTCTAGAATCTGGATCTGGCCGGAAGTCGGTAAGCCCGGGAGTTGAATGGCAGGTGGACCAGTCAGAAAAGCACCACAGCCATTTTCTGCCGCATTTTTAGCGCAATCTGCGATGCCGAATATCTAGTGCTGATGAGGTCACCCTGGCCAAGCTGCCAAGAGTCGACCAACACCCATTCCGACAAGATTTTGAACTTTTCGCATGCAATTCATTTCATCCAAGAAAGGGCCAAGACGATAAGGGCGATGTCAAGAAATGATGGACAAAGTCGCGATAAACTTGATGTCAATTCAGAAAGGATTGCGCCCCAAAATGTTCGCCAAGTAGCATTTGCAATTTCACATCGATATGGTGTAATCGTAGAGAATCGCTGCAATTTTAGAGAGGTCTCTATATGAGTAGAGATATGCAACCGTACCTGTGCCTTCTCTATGAATCTCGCCTGCACTACTCAAACTTACAGGATATTATTTGCCGACCAAGTCGTGCAGCCAGTCTGTTCGTATTCAGAAGCATTAGATTCACCGCGTTCGAGCGCATGCTTTAGAACGATTCTACTTGGTTCTCAGCATCATGTCTTCGTCTACAGACGAGAAGCAAGTAGCTTCTCTCGATAATTCCCACGCTGTCGAATCTTCGGAGGCTCCAACGGTTGACGCTGATGGATACGGCTCGTCCGAGAACCACATATTCAAGGACCCTACGATAGCTAGTTACTGGCGTAACGTATACAAGAATGCAGGGTATGAGAATCGCCACCGATTTGACCCTAATCTAAGCTGGACCGCAGACGAAGAGAAGAGAGTGCGTAGGAAGATTGATCTAAGAATCATGACCTGGGCCTGGCTCATGTTCTGCGCCCTGGATATCCATCGGAGAAATATCAATCGGGCTATCTCTGATAATATGCTGCCAGAAATTGGTGAGTCCCTTCCACAAGAGTTCAAAATTATTCAATTCTGAACTTATGGCTATAGGCATGAACACCAATGACTTCAATTATGGGCAAACAATATTCCTCGCCTGTTTCTTGGCAGCCGAGCTTCCTAGTGGTCTGATTAGCAAAAAGCTCGGTGCCGATCGTTGGATACCTACTATCATGGTGTGCTGGTCTATTGTTGCCGGGTCACAAGCTTTCCTCAAGAACCGTGCTGGCTTCTATGCCATCAAAGCCCTCTTAGGACTGCTCATGGGAGGTTTCATCCCTGACATCGTCCTTTGGTTGACATATTTTTATAAAGGAAATGAATTGCCTATCAGACTATCGTGGTTTTGGACAGCCTTGAGCACAGTCAATATCGTTGGCTCTTTGCTTGCCGCAGGTATCCTCCAGGTGAGTCACAAAAGCATACAGCCAACACGTTGCTTCTTAATCTTGTTTTCTTATTGGCAGTACCATGGGATAACATTGCCTTTTCCTTTTTATTTTATTTTATTTTATTTTTTCCACACTTGACTTACGTTACTGGTAGATGCGTGGTATTGGTGGTTGGTCCGGTTGGCAGTGGCTCTTCATCATTGAGGGAATCATAACCCTTATCATAGGTATTTTCTCATGGGCGTTGATGCCTCCAGGGCCTTGCCAGACACGTAATTGGTTTCGTGGTAAAGACGGTTGGTTTACGGAACACGAAGAAGCCATCATGGTCAATCGCCTGCTAAGAGATGATCCAAGCAAGGGTGACATGAACAACCGCGAGGCGGTTGGACTTACTCAGCTTTTCGCAGCAGTAAACGATTGGGAAATGTGGCCATTATACCTCATCGGACTGCTGGCCTATATTCCACCATCTCCGCCGAACACTTACTTGTCTTACATTCTGAGGCAACTTGGATTTTCTACCTTCCAAGCCAACCTCCTCGCTATCCCATCTCAATTCCTGTTCGCCATCAATCTGCTCGTGGTCACTTGGATCTCCAAGAGAGCCAACGAGCGCGCTATTATCTCTTCCATTTCCAACATATGGATGTTTCCATGGCTTATCGCTCTTGTTACTTTGCCTGCCTCATCAAGCCCATGGGTCCGTTATGCTCTTCTCACCGGCCTCCTGTCGTATCCTTATTGCCATGCCATTTTGGTCGGTTGGAACGCCAAGAACAGCAATGCAGTTCGCACACGCGCTGTTTCAGCCGCACTCTACAACATGTTTGTGCAGAGCGGAAACATGATCGCTAGCAATATCTACCGAGACGACGACCAACCGCTCTATTCTAGAGGAAACAAGATCCTCGTCTCTATCACAGCTTTCAATATCCTGCTGTTCTACGCCGTCAAGGCTTTCTACATCTGGAGAAACAAGGTTCGCGATAGACAGTGGAATTCGATGTCCCCCGAAGAGCAACACGACTATGTGTTGAGTACCAAGGATGAGGGACTAAAACGACTAGACTTTCGCTTTGCTCACTAAGCTGCTGCGCATGGCGCAAGGACCGAGTACATTGACACGAGTGCATTTCAGTACGTGGCAGAGAGTCCCAATGTGATGAGTTTAATCTTGGTCAATAGCGGCTTGTATTTACGAGGATAAACTACCTGTTATTCCATGAGAAGCATTGAAGTCCATATCTTTGGGCACCTCAGACACATCTATTGATTGTTCCTGTATTTAATGACAACCTACCCTGACGTTTCAGCGGAGCGCGAGTGGGACATCTAGGGCTAGCAAAAGAAGGTACTTCCGAGCCTTTATTGCGATTAGACTAGCGCAGAAAATGTAAAGAAACACTTGTCTCAATACCTATCAACCATGGTCATTTTGCTGATAAAAACAAAAAGGAGTTCTTGTTCCTCACCCATAATATGAGCTCGTGGAAGGAGCAGTGGATCTCTTTCGGCTTTGCCTACGAGAACCTTTTGGCCGAGACCTAGTGCTCAATTTCCGAATGAGGCCACTTACAGCGCTTCCGACGCTTCCGACAGCCCAGGCGATATTCTTTCCTCGTGATTTTTGTACCTCAGAATCATAATCAGAATCGGATGACTCGAAAATTGATAGAGTAGGGGAATTTGCCAAGGACGCCAGCGAGTTAATCCAACGCTCAGTCTTCGTTTCCCCCCAATACGGCTTAAGGATACTTCGAAGGGTCGCGAAGTGAGTTGTCACAAGCTGAGAATTTCCTACTGTGATATAGTCAGTATGTATTCCTGCAAACGCATGCATAGCCCTTTGCCATGTATCGTTACTGAGACGAAGCATTGCAAATTCGTCTTGTAAATCACCCCACGCCCCCGCGTATCTTCCCCATAAGAGACAGTCTGACGGTGCACTCTTCGCCACACCTACACTATTTGCTCGCCGAGGCACTTCCTGAATCCATTCATCATCATCATTGTAGCAAGAGGATCCTTGATCTTGTTCGTCGTAGCAAGAGGATCCTTGATCTGGATAGCTACAAGATGCCTGCGCCGAAACGGCAGGATAAGGGCGGCCTTCATAATAAGTGTGACGAGCACCACCATAATCTGCAGTGGTGGATCTTTCCACAAACACTGGCTCAGTAGCATAAGGACGCGGATTATCGGGCCATCGAGGGACCGGCTCGGCGAAGCCAACATAAGAATAGTCAAATGGAGCTCGGCGGACCTCGGGTCGATGCGACGGTGCACGATGGTGTGACCTCCCCGGCAAGTGGAGGGGCGCTGGATACGGAGAATCTCCAGTTCTTGGAACTTGACCTTCGCCAGGTCGCAATGGCAATGGCTTGTTTCTGTAGTTTTCACTCACCTGAGGCGTAGACGGCAACGGACGATAACGGTAACCTGACGTTACTGGGTCATCATTTGCATATGATGATGCACGAGTTCGCGCCATCGTGGATTAAAGTAGCTGAGCTTTAGTGCCCTGAAGAAGTGCGGGGGATGCACAAATTCCTCTGTAGATATCTTGATGAATTTCTGGTAAACTGCGGTTCATAATTCACGCTCAAAGCGAAGCTACAACATTTATACTCTCTTCTGATGATAACAAGACTTTGTTGGCCATTTCTTGAAGGATAACAATGGCTGGTACAAAGGACGAGAGAGTTCCTTTGTTATGGACTCAAACGCGTATGTAGTGAGATCTTACAATTTTTGACTGGAATAAGTTCCTTCAAGACATTACTAGCCCAATCAAGTTTACTGTCCGTAACGTTGTAGGTTAGTTGTATGGTACTCTAATTATCATTTACAACAGTATTGACTATTCGCATCTATATTCTCACACCTTTGGAGTACTAAAGACGGAAACCGATTATACTATAAGGCAAGGTGGGTTCAGCTCTGATAACGACCATGCACTATCAGCGAGCCACTCCAGGCAGGCTAAAATATTTCAAATCTGTTAACATAAGGTCACAATCGGAGCTGTTATACAATAGCCTCGTACAATCTACTCAAACTACTAGAGTGATTCTATATCTTAAGGGGGTCGCGTGGCTAATCACCGTGGCTCTTACCGTGGCTAGGCCACCATAATTACCATTATAGCTCTGCCTGAGGGACCTATATTGATATGTGTATATAACCACAGACCTAGAGATCCGTGGATAGCTTCCCTCCGAACAATCCATTATACACTATAAAGCATACACCCCATACATTTCCACGCCAATCCTTTCTTAGTTTATTTATTTCATATGGTTTCTTGTTATATTGACTTTTTGTATTATGAAAATTAGCTATCAGTTTGACCGCCGCACCCTTTGAACGCTAATAGGAATATAAATCCACAAGCCAACTAAATCTTGGTAACCCCGCATGTATCGTACGCAGGGTAAGTCTGTCCTAGCTTACCTCAGAATATCGTCTTGTCCAAATTTGTTTCCATGCCTTGCGAACAATTCGTCTCCTATAATTGCTTTTTGGCCCTCAAGATGGCAGCTACAGCAGGAGATGACCATTCACATAATCGATCGCAGAAGTCCTGCAAGTACCCCAAGCTGTATATATGCTTCAGAGTATCTTGGATGTCAATGAAACATTTAGTTACACGTTCATGATTTGGGTTTTCAGACTCGGATAGTACCGATAGGTTAAAAAGCGCGTTAATTACCAGGTTATGGCGTTGCACATCTAAACGTAATGCCTCAACGTTCTCCTGAAGGGTCCGCCAGGGTGGATCTAGCCTAATGACCCAGTAATTTTCTTCTCCCCGTCGTCGTGGCTGAGGAACAGCAGGAATTGGCCACTTTGGTGCTGCAGGTCTCAAAGGAGTAGTCGAAGCCGTTAGTTGATAGGAGGTCAAAGGAGTACTCTGCTGCGCGGTCTGAGTTTCCTGTTCATGCCGATTATTGTAAGCAAAGTGCCTGACAGTGAACTCCGCATCGTCACCATCTGTCCACGATGGACGGCGGTCATCGTCAGGAGATTCTATAACCTTTGGCAAAGGTGTAAAGGACGACATTATATTCCTTACGAATTCTCGAAATAGGTTCAAGTAATGTTAAAAAGGCGTATTATGGAGCAGGAAATGGAATTAGCTGGCGCCGATCGGTGGATGAACTGCAATCTTGGTTCTAAGAGTTGTCCTAGTAAGATAACTGATCAAATTAGTGTTAATCAGATAACTTGCTGCCGATGGCAATGAGATTAGGAATTGATATTTTCTTGCTTGGGTCGAGACTAGTGTATATACTCACTAGCCTGTACAAGTAAACATTTGTGATATTAGCACATTTTCTTTGAGCGTAATAGATGTTTCTCGTGATATAAGATATGAAACAAGCAGATTGTATATAGCTGTATAGTATTTGTCTGATATGCGGTCTATTGAGTGCTATAATTTCGCTTTATACGCTTACATCTGTCTGTTAATATCAATATATTTAATCTCAGTTAGCAGTTGATTTTCTTGCACGGTGGTGCTGCCTACCAATGTGCAAAAAAGAACATGTTGTGATGTCAATGATTTACGAATAGCAAGCGTTCTTGCCAACTATCATTAGAAACCAGAGCTTAGATAATCAGTCCCGCTCCACTATAATCTGTCTGTCACAGATCATTCCATGCGGATTTTAAAACCGGAGCAGCTAGTGTTTCGTGCCAACTTCATTGTAACATAGTCATAAGCAGCTAAACAATGTTACATGGCTTCTGCCAATTTTTCGCATTTTTAGACAAAGATAACATGCAGACTCGGGTATCGGTGTAAACAAAGACTTAATTGTATCACAAAGCGGTAAGAAGTACAAATAAAACGAGGGGAGCATATGTGTAAAGCATTCTTTTTGTACCGAAGGCGTACGTGTAAGCCTCGGACAGATTGGGTTTTATGCATATATGAATTGTTCAATCTAGACTAGGAACTCTCAGCTTGGGTTATCGTTGAATGATCATAAAATATAATGGGGTTCTCTCACACAAGGAGGTAAAGCCAGACGGTTCTACTAGTGTTTCCAAGCCAATCATGGTTTGCACCAGCGTACGAAAAGACGAATATAACTGTACTATATATGTTCGTTCCAAAATTATGATGTCTCATTTAAAATATTTTACTCATACCTTACCTTGTTCTAATACAACCAGATAGATCTAGCTTAAATTAGGTTTTCTAGTGTCGGACGTAAGCACACAAGAGAAATTACTCGCCGTATACACTAACCAACCTGATCCTCGAAATTCACCTCGAAATACCACTTGTTACAAGGTTAGAGGCACAGGTTCTAGCTGCAGTAGAAATTGATCCACTTCTCAAAGTGGAACCAAATCATACCTCCGTGGAGCGATGACGATATGCCATCGACTCATCGTTGATCAGTGCCTGGCGCTTGGTTTGTATCAAGCAGAATTGCACGTATTTCGGGACAAACAGCATCTCGAACCTGGGTGAGTACCTCCTCATGTTCTGCATTGTTCATAGAGATACCCGCCAACATGACTCGAAGCCTCTGATAAGCCTGCATCATGTCTGCCTCAATCAAGGGCTCGCTGGTGGAAGACGCAACCTGCAAGTGACGGAGTGATCGCAAAACAACTTCCAAGCGCCGTTGACTGTCGATCAACTTGCAAAATCTTTCCCAAATAGCGTTCCAAGGCTCTGTCGTAGCGAATGGAGATGACGTAGACTCTGCTTCTGGCGACCCGGCATCTGAGGACATGTTGCTGAAGGACGGTGAGGACGGTCGAGACGAGCGGCGAAACGCGTTTTGCCTACGAAGCGAGCCAGCGCTACTATTTGACTTGTTACTGTATGTGCGCGGGCGGAAAGTTGTCTCTGCTTCTGATGTTTTAACCAATCCATATGCTTCCTGCATTTGTGCCTCTAGGAATTCCTTCAAACGCCCAGAGTAACCCGCACCTGGGGTCTCTTCCCGGTACGTATGGGGCTTGTCGTTAGATATGTCCTTTGCTGGTGCCATCGTAGCAGGTGGAAGGCTTGCGTTCTAATAGACAACCAAGAGAGACGGTTGTGCTGTAAGAGTACAAAGTAAAAGTTCAGATAATGTACTTGCGACAAGTAGATCGGCTATCCCCAATGAGGCTGAATGGCAGCTTCGGGGAGATGACTTGGTGGAGCTTAGCAAGCCACTGCTTGTTATTGTTATGTACGATGAGATGCTGCAAGTGATATCTTTCGAGCAGAGACACGAATATAGATATATATGTGTGTATGTGTGTGTGTTTACATTTCTACCTCAGCCCGGACACATAGACTTTGTAGAATTACCACCAGGACAGTCACTCTTCGTTTCAGATATGAGGTAGAACAAGTAAATTGTTCAGAGCAACGTACTTCTACTCAACGTAGTTTGCAAGAGCTGTGGTGGTCGCTTTGTATACCCACCATTCGTTTGTCTGCAACAATGTCTTTGATCCTCTCAATTCTTTGGTTATTTTGTAGAATCGGCCAAGTCTTGCTGATTTATGAAGATACAAGCTCGGCCACGGCTACGACGCCAAAGCTGTAAAACTTTCAACTGTATTTTCCACTGAAACGTTAGAGGTAGGAGTACATAGTAACATATCACATCACATGAAGTATGGGAGAAAGCTTGAACTGGTCATTGTGCATATACACCTTATTAATTTTTGTTTGTAGCTGACATTCTGTTGTCTGCCAGTATCCTATTGAGTTGTTCTCTAAACAGCCGCAAGGCATGATATATAACTCCTTTTCATGCTAGTCGCCAGAGGGGTATATTTCTAAAACCAGATAAACCGTCGCCAAGAAAGAAAGAGGGGCTGTGCCACGCCTCTTGATATAATGAAGCATATCGCTTGTGTAACAATAAAAGCAAAACCAGAGAAACTGTCGCATCTTATACTAATGCGCTCTATCCGTTGGGCCCATGAGAGGGCTGAGTCCCTCCACTTCCGCGTAAGGGATCTCGCAATGATATGAAGGCGGACTAGGCGGTACATCCTGGTAGATAGGAGGGGCCTCATTGTCCCAGCTAACACCAAGACCGCCACGCTCCGTGACAACTGTGCCGAAGTGCATTCTTAGAATCCTCGCAACTCCGGTCGGGGTGACATGCTTGGGTTGGTTGACTGGTGCGTACTCTTGAGCAACAACCATTTCGATGACCAGTTGGTGAGTGACTTCGGTGCCGTCATTGCTCTTCATGTCGCAAGCAGCCTTGAGGGCGGGATTGATTTGATACTCAATTTCCATCTCAACGTTGCCATTAGGGGAGTAATCCGCTTTCCAGCCACTGCCAAGATCACCAGAGCCGATAGTTCGAGCTTCTGTTCTCTTCAAGCCCTTCTTAGTAGGCTCGCCGGTTTCGGCATCTTTGGGTGAATGCTTCTTGCACGCCGGTACAACGGTGTTGAGATGCTCCTCGATCTTCCATGACAAGCGCTTCAACTTCCAATACTCGATAGTTTTAACATCCGGGTTAGACTTAATGATTCCTTCGAGACGTAATTCGAGCTTGTTGTTGCCGATAGGGTGGATGACATTGGGATAGTGCACAGAGGCAGTGATGTTGGTCGGTGGGAAAATGCGGACCGAGTGGTGAGGAGTCTCGGGGACGGGAAGTGCTCGCCTGACGTCAATGGTCTTCAACAGCTTTAACGTAGGCCCACACTTGGGCTTCACCTCTGCTGTGAAATCGTACCTCACGGTGACAACGGAGTTGTCCGTGGAAGCAGGAAGGTGGCCTTCAAGTAGCACTGAGAACGGGTAGTTGTGCACGTTCTTGGACAATGCGGCTGGCTCGGAAATCAGCTCCCAGCTCTTCAACTCGGTCTTCTGGTTTGAGCAGTCATTGCAGTGATCCTTGTACGGACGCTTTCGGATAACGTGGATGTCCAAGCGGGCCTTGAAGCTCTCAACCTCAAAAGGGGCCTCCTTGACGGCTAACAGCAGCTGGCCTGACACCAAGGCACCAGTGCTGTTCTCCGCATCGCCGTGCATGACGGCGGGCGGTGACTCGATTTTCCAGTCAAGCGATGCATGCGGATGCTGATGACTATGGTCTTTCGATTTGTGACCGCCAAGGTGCAAGCCTGGAAAACTCAGGCGATGGTGGGACCCTTCCTTTTCTTTTGCCGATTCCGGCATTCTGACTGGGGGTGCTGGTGCTGGTGACTGACTAGTGGAGCGAGCTCGCTCTTCGGCTTCCTCGTCGATGGAGTTGGGGTACGATACTGTTCGTGTAGAACCTGGCCTAGGCGTGGCGATGGGCGACCGGGAACTCGGACTTCTTCGTCGCTGTGTTGACGTCTTGCCAGTATTGATGCTGTCAATAGACGAGCGGAAGAAGCTTGCCACTCTGTGTGGCATTGTAAAGGTTAAGGTTGGGAACTCCTAACCCCAAATGCTACAATTTGCTGCTATTCGCCAGTCGCAACCCACTAATGGGATGGCTGCTGCAGGGGTGAAATAAAACAAAATCCGGGGGATTGCGCCACTAGGGAAACCCGGATCATGCAAGTTGTGGTGATGACTTTTGCAAATGCGCCGTCGCAGGAAAGAAGCTCTCTCGCGACCGCCTTGTTATTTCCAGATGGCAGTCCAGGTACTGTTGTTGTTCCTTGCGCCGTCCTCCAGAATTGGGAGAGTTTGTCTCTAAGTTAAGGGGCGACGCCTGTCCGTGAAGTATTCCAATAAACTTGAACGTACACTTCCTCTCTCTCAAGTAATTTGGGTAAGTCTTGTTCGGATCCTCCTCGATGACGTGAGGCAGGGGTGTATGTAAGTCGCTGACTACTCTTGGATGGTGGGTAGTATAGTTGATGCGTGGGTTGTGTAAGTGCAAATGTGAGGGTCAGCTAATGACCTGTGTAACAATGGTGATTGGTATCAACAAAGAACAACGATGTCCACGATAATTATGTTAATAAAACTCAGTCAGCCTGCGACCTGGGTAGCGGGGACATTGTTTTAATATGTGATCCTAAAAGTTCTTTCGCAATGCCATGTGCACCGTCGCGTCATGCTGCCACCAGCATTCTCATCAGGTAATTTATGTGTCATGGGATCAAAGCTCATCGATGCTAGCTCCGGCCGGGCCAGGGGTCGACTCAGAGCCTGAAAATGTTGTTACACGGGCTCCAGCGGTCAACCAGCAAGGCATGAAAGCACTAAAACAACCTTGGTAACTGCAGCCCGCCCCGCTAAGAGAAACCTTTGCGATCAGTAACATCTGGCGCAGCTGGGTAACACTAACTGTTACTGGCGCCCAATCTGGCAAGCCCTACGGTACATCGCCAAAGATCGAGATGACAACCTGATCTGGAGGCAGTTGAGGCGGTCAGCCCGACTCATCTAGCAGCAAGTCTGCAAGTTGCCTTCTAGAACAGTGCCCCGTTGACGCAACAAGCATGTAACGATACGGCGTGGATTACTCACATTGCATGGAAAGCCGTGAAGATACTCTCACCTTACAACGTCAGCAACGCTAAGAATATCAGCTTACGGTCTCCAAAACCTTCTTCGAATCGTCTGCAACTAAAGAAGCCCCCAGTTGGTGCTTAGAAGACCCTTGATATACTCTACCGGCGCTGACTTGAATCTGAGATCAGATCTGGAATATGTAACGCCAACGCTTGTTGTTGGCGCCAGGCACGAATGTGGCTGTAAATAAACCCTTCGTTCTACCGAACGTTACATCCAATACCCTCCTGCACCGGGCCGGATCCGATGAGGCTCGCGACATTCAACAACGAGCCCTGAAAACAGATGTTTCGGATCGGCTCAAACTGCTCGTTGGAAGCCTCGATCGGGTCAAGCAATGCCAGTCTGGTTCTATACCAGCGGCTTTGCCTGCGGCTGCACTCCAACCCGTCACATGTGCCTGAATCGCAAGATATGGTACGAGGATTGCAGTTGTTGTTACCCAGTTGGATCCACAGACAAAGCCCATACATACATAGGTACTTTTCTCATTTTCATTCCAAAACAAGCTCCCGCATGGGCGAAACTAGCACGATCGAGAATTTTCTTACTAGACCGATACCCACAAGAGTTTGAACGGGCATCACCACAAAGAGGATCCGCTGTCGAATCATGCTAAGGCGTGCTTAGAATTCGATCTTGGTAGGTGGGTAACAGACTACCCGGGTTTGGGATCGTTCTTGTTACCAACGGCGGGGCGATTGAGTCAGCTGTCAACAATCAAATTTTCCCTTCTCTTTTTTTTTCTTTTGTCTACCATAGTACGGACCCATACTCCGTAGCACTGACGAGAGAGCTGGCTGCTGGGAAGGCCGTCGATTACCGCCATCTCCACACACGAAACAACAGCCCTTCTGGACCATGGAGGGTGGACAAGTGGATTCTCTCTTCCATGGAATACAAATCCACTTGACGGCATCGTGAATGTTTCTGGCGCAATGCAATCAAAGTATACGGAATGAGGACCCGAGCGGTAAGATACCCTCCCATTCTGGGAGGAAATGGTCCCCCCCTGATGGTGTGCATACATTGCTACTTGGAGTCATATTCACAGTCTCACAATGCACTTGATGCTTTTCTATGCCCTGTTACGGCGAAGCGACATGCGTCTCGTATGATTATGCAAAGCACAAGCGCAACATTGTCAGAGAGAAACAATCTCAAAGACGGCACAATATACGTATATACTTTTGCTTCGGACGATCATGGGTACTGCATTTGTGACCAGGCTACACAAAATGTTGGCACAGCGCATACCTTGATCATCGCACCATTCCCACAAAGGCGGACCGACTTCGCAAAGCAATTCGGTCTGTCGCTGCTTTTTTGTTGTTTCACAGTATCGCAGTGCTGACGCAGCGCTCATCACAACCCAATGCGATGTTCGTGGCTTGTTGAAGCTTTCGACACGAAGCCTATGGAGTAATCATAAACTTTATCACCAATTTCGCATCATCGACACGCAATACATCTCACTGCCACCCGCCCGGACTCTTTCCTCCCCGCGTTACTAAGCTCCCAACCAGCCCTATATACTAGTTGAGGCCCCTGACGGCGATCTTCCGATCACCAGACGGCGGACTCCGTAGTGATTTCCGCGGAGCACCGTACCATAATAACGTCTATTTTGAATGCCTTCAAACACAGCAGTAATTCTGAACTGGATATTCATTTAGACCCGCGCTGAATTTGATGTTTACTTACAACTATGTCTTTTGTATATGGTCAAAGACAATTTTATGGACTTGACGCGTCAAGGCCGTAGAAAAAAGCCAAGACAATCTGAATACTGATGTGGTGAGGCATGAGCGCTCTGGTGAAGCCTCTACAGGGCATCACTATGAAAACATCAGCACGTCATCCGAATGTAGCCTTCAAACAGGTGATGCAAATGTATCTCTGCCCCAGAATACCAAGAATACCCTACCCTTAGCGGCTTCCCCGCGATGCTCCCCAGATTGCCATTGCATCTCAACGCTGTCATTTCCCCGCTCAGTAAAGTCACTTCACTGTGAACATGAATCTCGACAACTGAAGCATTTCCTCGGTTTCCGGTTGATATCAAAGAGTTCTGACAGTTGAAATGTAGTCATATGTGCTACATGAGCCTCATTGAGCTTGAGCTTGAGCTTGGCGACTTCAGCATCAAAGCGCTAGATTGCGACTGGTCGCAACACAGTTTCGCGCTGAACTAGGATATTTTTGGACGAACTATTACTCAATCATTACTTTATAGATTCAGCCCTTTTTCCGCGCCCAGTTTCCAAATTCAACGACGCTCGAGATTGACCAGCTCGATTGGGCACGCCACGTGAAGGTTTTCTAAAAGGCGACAGGATAGTTTGAATCAATAATGCAGCGAGTATCAGCTCGAGCTTAGCCGCTGGTTTGGTTGGTGATGGTGAATAGGCGCCGGTGCAGGATTTGGGAAAGTGAGCTGATATTTTGAGACGGAGCTCCGCCTGGCAAACCCGTCAAGATGGCGTGCTTGGATGCAAGGAAGTGTGTGACAATAAGAGGGCCACAAAAAAAAAATCGGATATAGAATGCTCTCCCAATCTGGGGATAAACCACTATCCGCCAGCGGAGTTGATACTCTCGGAGTTAAATGTGCAGCACAATTGGGCCGGTCTTGTCTTCCGAGTTGATTTTCCAAGACTGCTAGTAATCTCCAGCACTAACGTTTTTTCTTTCGGATGCCGTTACCGTTGCCTCTCTGTTGCCGCCAAGGCCAAGCGTTTCGCAAAGCTTTCCGTGTTCTGTGCCGGGAAGACATCCGGAGCACTGCGGATCCAGCCGTTGCAGGAAACATGAGATTTTTTCCCAAGTAATGACACGGACACGAATGTTGCATTCATTACGATAAATCGCCTGTTCACGGTATGTATCTTCAATAGAACGGTCGACGGATGGCACGGGGGGCTTCGGTGGCTCTACGTAAAGCTTGGGTAATACCCACCTCGGTGTGCGCGCAGGCCATGCTTCTAGAATCTCGCGATTCCACAACGCATGAGCCTCAAAAAGGTGTCAGTCAACAACTGGTCCTTTCACGCAGGGCAACGTCGTCTCTAGCGTCGCTTGACATCGGGTAGGGTGGATATTGTCTCTCTTCTGGAACGCTATGTATGGAGACGACAGGTTTCTTTAGCTAATGGCCCCGAGAAAAAAATTGTGCTGATCCTCTCGCTTGGACTCTGCTTGATTCGGTAAAGCGTTCAACCCCCATCACTTTCCTTTCGTGATTCATTGCGAGTTTGAGGCCATCGTGAAAATTTTTCTTGTTTTGGTGTCCCAGCGGTCAAGGATGAAAGAGGATCGCAAGTGCCAAGTGATGGCACCATTGAGAGATGATCAAGGCTAGATCCTACCCAGTTTCCTTGAATAGTGCTCTCATAGCGCAAAGACGAATGGATTGGCTTGAGAACCAATAGTGAGATAGTCGTCAATCTCAATTTGGCATGTTTGCAACTAGTTTGCTGTGTTTTCAGAATGTCATGAGCCTGTGTCATATACTCCGCAACTCCACGAGTATACTCCGCATACTCCGTACAAAAGTAGAATTCCATTGTTCGGAGTGCCAAGACCGACTTCCAACTTGCTTCCGCGGATAATCCTCGGATCCTTTTTCTACACCAGAACTTCCACCAAGCAAAAGTAACACCAATCTTTGCAAATTGCAAAAAGCGAATTGTTCCATTGAATGGAACGCATCGGGAATTGAGCCCGATGCGGGGGTCGAACCCGCAGCCTTGAGATTAAGAGTCTCACGCTCTACCGATTGAGCTAACCAGGCGGGTTGGGCGCTTGGTGCGCTGTTGAAACTTCGTCGTTTGAAAGACCTATAACCAAAGTGTCAGGTTGATTTGCAAGCTCTTTGGCGCTTATGGCCGTTTGTGGAGAACAGCACTTTCACATGCTTGGGGCTCCCTAGAACCATGATTACTAGTAGCCAAGTGCCTGAGTCATCCTAGTTTGGACTCGGGCACTTTTCGGTATTTCTTGCAGGTTAGGATTGTAGTATATTCGGTCTCTCCGAACAATGTGTGATTTGGATTATGATGTCAGGAAACTGCATATTTGCTTGTGCGGCGCAGCTGGCAACTTTGATCTAGTCTAAGCCTCATTCATAGTGTTGTTGGCATGCTGACATGTGTGATATACTCTCTCTAAGGCGACAAGCGTGCTCCCATATACAACATGGCTAAATATGTATGAAACAAGACCCGTCGGCCTGCTTGTTCCAATGAGTAACGTTGTAACATTATTTTGATGTAATGTTTGGCCAGTTTTCTGGAGTTCACGGCATATTTGCCCTGAAATCTAATATTAACTTTCCACCATTCTTCGCAGCACAGGTCATGCCGATATGCCTCACTTTGACAAACCCTACAATGCCGCAGCTTTTGTCATATCACCAATAAACTCACATACTCCATATCGTGTTTAAGGTTATCTGAAACAAGTAGTTTCAATGGCCCGGCTTGTATAAAATTTTAAATTTCTTTTTAAATTTGCGTAAGCGCGATCATGGTCAGTCTTGAAGCGCTGGATAAGATTACGCGTATAGTACAAGTTCTTTTTCGATAATGACGGTCCTACTTGTTAGTAAGTCTACTCTAGAGGGACTTAACTATCGCGCCACTAGTAATCCGATGGAATTACAGTAAGACTAAAGCGTCGTTGATGGTGGAATCGAAACATCAAACATGATCTTTCACGAGCAGGGGTAAAAATGTTGGTTTGGTTTCCCGATTCCATATCACACCGATATGCAGTAGTAGTTGAATCCAAGAGGAGACGAGCCACAGATCCGCTCCTCGTTACTCAACACTTAATGCATTCACCGACGTAGGAAACAGTATAAATCTATCAGCCCATGATAAATCACCAATTACCTACTCGAAGGAGATGGACTTTATAGATTTCAGGTTGGGTTTCATAACTTTAACCACAACTTGAACTCTGGAACAGTAGCCTATTCAAGCTGCCTCGCACTGATTATGCTCAGCACGCAGCCTAGATGTAGGCAATTATAGTTTGGTAACAATTTCGCCTCGATGCATGTCTTGGACAACAGATGTTACAATTCTATTTCTCACCAAAAGGCTCTCATAACGGCCTAGGAACGCTGACGTGTATGCATTTAGTTTTCGCAAAATGGCAGCAACTGGTCAGTCCGTGAAAATCGAGGACTACTTGTACATTTAAAGTAGTCTGTGTGCAGGAGTCGGAAACGATATTGCAAGTTAAAACCTAGACTCGTATGCCAGCGCCACAAAGTTGCTACCATCTGAAACGCATATTTTGACGCAGAAAAGAAGTGTCAAGACCAGTGATACTGTAGAAGATCCCATCGACCATCCATTGAAGTGAATGTAGCTGCTGTATGATCTGATATGGTGTGTATTTTTGTTCGACTCGCCAGTTGTTAAATATATCTGTGATGTTGATGAATTACATATAGTACATGATTGGCTTCTGTCCACCGTGTTTTGACTGAGATGACACATCATATCTGTTTTGTTTTTAATGCTCTCCATAACCTCCAAGGCAATTTCCAACTACTCCTGACCGCAAATGGGTCGAAATTTGTGCCTTCCAATCTCTGAAGGTAATCGCTGGCAGGCACCGACTCTAGCAGAACACTGAAACCGCGGTTCAGATCTCTTTGCGTTTCGTCGCCCTCCAAGTTTGGCTCATCATACATGTGCTCTGCTTCATTTTGGTGCTCATACTCGTGACCAGGATTTTGTCCTGCTCTGATATTCTTCATCATCTCTCTTGCGGTGATGAGGTGATCATTTGCCCTGGTGGCGACCTTGAAAATCGCGTCTTGGAATCCTTCTGCTGCGGGACCATGACGATAAACGTCTTCTTCTTTCAACCCAACCTCTGCCATTACGTCTAGGGGCAACAGCAGGACTGGATTCCTTCCACTCCCCACGTTTGCGCCCTGTGGCGACTTGACGGGGGCTGACGGCGCTGCAAGAAATGGCACACCTCTCAATACAGCGACAATGCCACATGCCTTTCCAATGTGACTTGCCAAATGATCCATATGCACCGAGTTGATGGGGAGTGTTGCGAGTGTCGAGTACATCAAAGTCGAATATGTGTTCTCAGCGTAGTCCTCCAAGGCTTCAACGCTGGTGAAAGGCCGGTTGTCCATATACTTCTCTCTGGTGTTGATCAACCTCAACAACCAGAACTTGATGGAGCTGACACTGAACGACGGGTCGACTTCTCGTAGATCGGTCAGGACCTTGTGCAGTAGAATCATTATTGGCTCTTTCGGCGGCTTTCCCGCAAATGTGTTAGCGACTGCATCTCGCCAGAACTTCATACGCATAAGACCGATTGTCGGATTCGAGACGAGCTCGGGCAGGCGCACCAGCTCGAGGTTGAAGGCGCGCAGGGCATCGTAGGCATCGTGTCGGCTCTTGGGAATAGAATTGCGTATCAGGTAGGAGTCGTAATCAGACTTTCTGGTCTCATTAGTCTTTCGCGACTAAGCGCACAAAGGTCGCAAGGTGTACCTCAACTGATCAATACAGTACCGTCTTGCGCCTGCGACGTCTGCATCGGTAATGTAGCCTCTCTTATTGGCGGACTGCGCCAAGAGCTTGCTGGACCGTTGCAGGCCCCGACGCGCTGTACGGGCAGGATACATTTACACAAGGAGGGCAAGTTTCACCTCGAGTCCATCATACCAAAGTAGGATGTAGGGATGTCAAGAAAGATGTGCTCAATTGTTGCACGCGACAGTCATGACAGTTCCGATGACCTCATCTGGGACTTACTTTTTTCTTCTTCCCAATGCTCCGACGCGTCAAGGAAACTGCAGGGTGCTATCCATGTGCTAAATACACTATGCCGAAAAATGAAAAAGACCCCGCTTGGCCACCACTAAATTAGACGGCAACACACCCGCGCCAGTGGACTAAGCGCGTCTTTAATGGAATAGTCGCGTCTTCCATCAGGGCGACCCTGCGTTCGGCAAAGTTCGAAAACGATGCCTGGCCTTTTCAGGTCCATCGACAATCTGCTTTTCGACATGAATTGGTCAGATACTGAGGGACCCCCTGCCAAGAAGAGGAGGTTCTTCGCCGACCCTGAAGACGACGAGAATAGCGACAACATAATTCCAGCACCAGCACCTGCGCCCACCGCGAGGTTGCCTACACAGCCGCTCGACGACGTCACAGATCGAGGACATGGAGCCGTGGTTCCTTCTGCAGCACCGACCAAACCGCCCGGCTTTGACCAAGACACGTTTGAGACTTTCATTGGAGACAAAGTCGCCCCCGAAATCATTACCATCCTCCGAGAAAAATGCGGCGAGAACCTGGAAAATGCAGTTAACATGTACTTTGACGGGACGTGGAAGAGGTCCCAAAAACCTGCAAACGTCACACCAACCCAGTCCACGTTAAACCTCCGCGGGAATGTTCGACCTTCTGCAAGTGCGAGGCCCGATATCAAGGGGCCAGACGCACCCCAACCCGCGCCTGTCATACGAGCGTTCCCCGAGACCCGGTACATTGGCGCCTTTGGGGTGGAAGGTTGGGCGACGAGAAGCGGTACAAATCTTCTGAAGCATGCAGACATGGTGAACGTGGAGCGTCAAAAGTTACAAAACCAACGAATGGGTGGCAAGCTGCGTGTGGACAACATAGTACGTTTTACTGATTCGAAAGGATCGGAAATCGGACGGTTAGCTAAGGAGACAGCAAACTGGGTTTCGGCGTTGATAGACCAGAACGTGTGCAGATTCGAAGGCACATGCGTGTATGCACCTGAGCGGTTGCGGACCAACGACACAGTCTTCCTACAGCTAAGATGCTACATAAAAAGGGCTGTCTTCGAGACAAGACGCCCCAACACAGCAGACAACCGAAGCACTGGCCTATTTGAGGTGGCCGAAACGGTTGAAGAGAGAGATCTGCGGCTGCGACAGGTATCTTTGGTGAAGTTGTTTCAGGAGATTCATCTCGAGCCCAGTCGAACCGCAGCAAAGCAGGACCGTCAAGGCCTACTTGAGGCTGCAGAATCTGCCGAGAAGAAAGAGAAAGAAACCAAGACCCCAAAACAACCGAAACTGCACAATGGCGATCCAGCCTCGTCTCCGCCATCTGATGATGCCGAAGAGGGCGAGGAGTTGGAACAAGATCAACTCGATGCATTGTACAAGAAGGCACAGTCCTTCGATTTCAACACTCCGCAAGCAGAACCTGCGGACACATTTGCCATGACCTTGCGCCCTTACCAGAAGCAATCTCTACACTGGATGCTGTCCAAGGAGAAGGACCTGAAGGACGAAGCCAGGGAGACATCTATGCATCCTCTGTGGGAGGAATATACATGGCCTACAAAGGACGTCGATGACAAGGACATAGCTCAGGTCGAGGGCCATGATACATTCTACGTCAACCCTTACTCGGGAGAGCTGTCACTAGAGTTCCCGGTGCAAGAACAACACTGCCTTGGTGGCATCCTTGCTGATGAAATGGGTCTCGGCAAGACGATTCAGATGCTCAGTCTCATACACAGCCACAAATATGCAGAACAACCAGATGCGACGAGTGTAGGCAGTGTCCGGCCTAGACCGTCTAGGATTTCATCGAACATGTTACTAACCAGCAAGACGACATTGGTCGTTGCGCCAATGTCCCTGTTGGCTCAGTGGCAAAGCGAAGCTGAAAATGCCTCGAGAAATGGTACTCTGAAATCTATGGTGTATTATGGCAATGAGAAAGCTGCTAATCTGCAAGCGCTTTGCACAAGCTCCGCAGCACCTGATGTCATTATCACAAGCTATGGTGTGGTTTTATCAGAGTTCAATCAATTCTCCGGGAAGAATGGCAATTCCCATTTGCATGACGGCCTTTACTCTTTCAAGTTCTTCCGCATCATCTTAGACGAAGCCCACAACATTAAGAACAGGCAGGCCAAAACCTCCAAGGCGTGCTACGAGCTTTCGGCAGAACACCGATGGGTGCTCACAGGTACTCCGATCGTCAATCGTTTGGAAGATCTGTTTAGTCTCGTGAGATTCCTGAGGGTGGAGCCTTGGAACAACTTCTCATTTTGGCGAACGTTCATCACTGTTCCATTTGAATCTAAGAATTTCATGCGCGCACTAGATGTCGTACAGACTGTGCTGGAACCCCTAGTTATGCGAAGAACGAAAGACATGAGGACTCCTGACGGACAGCCTCTCGTACCTCTTCCTCCCAAGATCATGGAAATCGTTGACATCGAGCTCTCAAAACAAGAGCGAGATGTCTACGATCACATATTTACCAGAGCAAAGCGGACTTTCTCAGCCAACGTTGAGAAGGGAACTGTTATGAAGGCTTATACGACTATTTTTGCCCAGATCTTGCGGTTGCGACAGTCATGTTGCCATCCTATCCTTGTACGGAACCAAGAAGTTGTGGCTGACGAAGAACTAGCGGGAGCTGAGGCTGACGCTGCTGCTGGACTCGGCGACGATATGGATCTTGATACGCTAATGGAGTCATTCAAGGCGACGCTTGAGACCGAGAAAAATGCAAACGCGTTCGGCGCACACGTGCTAGAGCAGATTCGAGACGAGGCCGCCAACGAATGCCCTATATGCTCGGAAGAGCCAATGATTGAGCAGACTGTTACAGGATGCTGGCACTCAGCATGCAAGAAATGTCTGCTTGATTATATCAAGCATCATACCGATAAGGGGGACCTGCCGCGCTGCTTCAACTGTCGTGAGCCGATTAACAGCCGGGATCTATTTCAGGTCATACGCCACGACGATGACCCAGAAGCCCTCGCGTCGACCCCGAAGGTCAGCCTACAGCGACTGGGTGTCAATGAATCATCGTCCAAAGTGGTGGCGTTGATGAAATACCTCCGAGAACTGCGAAAGGACCACCCGCGAATGAAGTCAGTAGTCTTCAGTCAGTTCACATCGTTCATGTCTCTGATTGAGCCAGCATTGGCGCGGGCAAACATGAGGTTTCTACGCCTTGATGGTACCATGTCGCAAAAGGCTCGCGCGGCCGTTCTGGAGGAGTTTCGTGATGCTAAGAAGTTTACGGTCTTCCTTATCAGTCTCAAGGCCGGAGGTGTGGGTTTGAATTTGACGCAGGCCAAGCGTGTTTTCATGATGGACCCATGGTGGAGCTTTGCTGTTGAAGCCCAAGCCATTGATCGTGTTCATCGCATGGGACAAGAGGATGAGGTAAAAGTCTACCGCTTCATCACCAAGGACAGTGTGGAGGAGAGAATGTTGAGGGTCCAGGATCGCAAAAAATTCATGTGAGTTCAACGTATTCATGAACAAGTTGCACGCTTACTAACCACGCATTTAGCGCTACTTCTTTGGGCATGATGAACGATGAGGAGAAGCGATTACAGCGAATCGAGGATATCAAGGAGCTTCTCAGCTAAGCCACATCATATGATAGCATTTGCAGGAGTTTGGGCTTGGCTATGTATACATACATTGCGGATGAGCCTTCGCTGGTTGTGGGACTAATTACCGCGAAGAGCTGCAAGTGGCTCACTTCGATGTGTTGCAAAGCACTTGAATAAACGTCATATTGTTGCAGAGGCGGCATGCCTGTGAATGTGGGAAATTTGTGGAATGTGAATCACGATTGCCAATTACGCATAAATGCTCCACTTCAACTTGTTCTCTGCTCCAGGACTTTTTCAAAGAGTACCGCTCAGGTCCCCGACTACAGACAATATAAGCCGATCCTGACAGAACTGACGACCAAATTTCATTTCGACTAGTCGCAGAACAGCCCTTCCACACCTCCAAGCCCGCACTTTGGCACTGTCATACCGAATGCTGCTTTGGGTACAAATTTCATTGTTTCTTAAACTGCTGCTTCACACGTTACACAAATTCTTGTAGCGCCAAGTCAAGTCACGCAATATCACGCCGCCCCATCGAATGCGACAGCGCCGCAAAGCACGCCGCCTCGAACGGCACCGAGGCCGTTCTCTTTCAACCACAACCGACAGGCCACTAGGCCACCGGCGATTACTCACTCCCAAATGTGAGCTATCAATGCGGCCACTCCAGGCGGGATGCCAATAGTTTTTAACCTCGACCGTAGCCAACTTCAGAGAGGCTCGCAGGCTTCATCCTCAGTTTCGGTGCAATCGGCAGCAGGGACAGCGCCGGCCGTCCCAATAGCACAATCAACGCATAGAGTACGTCCGGCATCTCCAATTACTGCAAGTCAGGCACAAGCGATCCTCAACGATCTGAAGAGGTAGCTGGATGATCCGTCACTGGCACCGCCATGGCATCCTGCCGGCACACCCACTGCGTATACGATTAGTGATGCACCTCCTCGTGCTCCGCCCAGACCTAAGTCGCATAGCAGATACAAATATCACCACAAGCATGAACACAGGCGGAAAAGACATTACTCGAAACGCCGGCTTGAACGCCACGGACCGGGCGGTCAACAGGATTCTGAATCGAAAGCATCCGAAGACAACACCTATTTTCAGGTGCCTTTTACTCAAGGGGATTTGAGAATAGTGTTCCGCCACCTCCGTATGGCCCGACGTCGAATCACGACCATAGGTATTATTTTTAATACGATACAAAGTGAGTAATACTATGCCTGTCGCCTCACACTCTGCTAATGCATTATTCATATTTGTTACCAGATTTTATCAACTGAATAACGCCTTTTTAATTAACATAAAATCTCTTCTATCACGCATTCCTAATGCGCTCCTTTCCACCAAAGTATTTCCTCAACCTGTAGACATCAACATCAACACAAACGCCAACTTGACTACCTTAATGCATATAATTAATACATCGATATAGGTCTAATAACGACATAGCTAATAAGCGGTATTTATAAGTTTAAATACTAATTAATTCCTTATTATAGTTAAATGGCTTCTTTAATTTTTCGTGGAATCTCTAGTCTATAAGTTATACGCATTATTCTTAGATTTATATTAAAGGAGACGGATATTATATTAATGTGGAATGGCTTCTCCATTCAATTCTTTCCGTACAGTGTGGGCGACAAATAGATCTATTCAGCGCTATCGTACGAAGGAGAAGAAGGGATTCTTCCCCTCGTACGTGGTCTATAGATAGGGGTTTGGGGTTCACCCGTACGGCTGCTGGCTGCCGACAGCCACATCGTGGCTGTGGTGGCTTACTGCCAGCACGCCGGTGACTTCCTATACTACGTAGTCAACCGTCGTACGAGACCGCGAATAATATATTCCAACAATTAATAAATTTAATACTAATTAGCATTCTTTAATATAAGATAATAAACTATTATATCATTATTATTATTATTATTATTAACAAGGATTATAATAATCGGATTATACTAGCATCGAGAGAGCAAGAAATGGTAACGAAATAATGCAAGAGACTAACAATACTATTACCGATCCTAGTAAGACTCTTGTATAAAACAAACAATCTCGAATAAAACTTAAACATTTCCTATTAAGAACAGAGATAAGTCTTAGACATAACTATAGCATTTCTTATAAAGAACGGTCACACTTTCTCATACAGAACAATGGTTACTTTTTATAGAGACCTCCAAGAATTCTCATCACTAGCAGAATCATTTTCTTTTAGACTATTTAAGAAGCCGTGTCCAAAGATGCGATGACCAGTCATGTCTATCTAGTGTATCCAAACGTGTAGTACTACTCGACCATAGTGTACTTCAGCACATGCTTTAAGCGATACAAATTCTAGTATTCAGATGCCATGACTGATAGTCTTCCTCCATCGTTCACCAGGATTAAACCGTTGCAGAACGAACCAGCGCGACTTGCTAGGTACAGGACAGCGCCGCCCATCTCCTCCTCGCCACCGAACTTCCTGGCTGGGATGAATGCCGGGTGATCGAAGCTCTCGGCACCTGGATCGCGGCTACCAATGAGTCCGGCAGCTAGCTCGGAGGGGAACACTAGGTCATGTCAGCTCATACACCCGTCCTTCCTGCTCACGGTCACTTACAGCCTGGTGCCAGGGCATTGACCCTGATCCCGTACGGTGCCAGGTTGGTGCTGGCATGCTTTGACAGATGAGCGATAGCCGCCTTGCTGCCAGAATATGCCGGCGTAGAAGGTGCGGCGCGGCTGTATGCCGAAATACTGCTCGTGATGATGACCTGGCTCTGGATGGACTGGACGTCGCTGCCCTGCTTGACCGGCGCACCAAAGCCACCTTTCAGCGCGTTCTTGTTGCCAGCGTCTAGGAGCTCGAGGAAGGCCGTCATGGTGAAATATGCGCCCGTCACGTTGACATGAAATGCCTTGGTGAATTCGTCCATGTCGACGCCCTCAAATAACGTCTTGCGCAGTTCTGAGATGGACAGTTGAGTATTGAAGCGGCCCTCGGGCCCAATTACACCCGAGTTGGCGATGAGTAGGTTCACGTAGCCGATTTCCTTGGTGATGGTGTCGACCGCCGACTGGAGAGAGTCTTTGGATGTGACGTCGCATTCGATAGGACTGATATTGCTGTGGTCTGCTGCGGCCCTCTCAAGAACATCCTTGCGCCGTCCTAGGATGTACACCCTCTTTGCGCCAGCGCCGGCCAGAGCTCTGGCCATGAACAGGCCGATGCCGCTTCCTCCGCCAGTGATGGCGGCCACCATCCCATCTACCCTGAACAAGCTGGAAGAGTCCATATTTGTGATTTCGAACTATGATGTGGTCACTAATGATTGCGATGCGCAGAATTCAGTTCTGTGCCTGGAGTTATGATATAGACACGAAGAAACAATGGGTTCAACTGATGTTTACTCCATCTTTGCCTCAAGCCCCGCAATCTCCGCCTGCAGTCATGCTTATACCGGAGGTATGATGGGAAGTCCGCTTTGAGGCGTCCGCGTCGAGCCGTGCACGGCGCCACAGGGAGCTTAACGCCGATGTGTAAGCTATCCCGCATCGATCGCGTCACAAGCTTTTGTACTACGATGCAGTAGTCACTGAGTGTGCAGATAAGATGTTGTGGTGAAGCATGTGGTACATTATCAATCAAAAACACTAGCAAGGACTGAGTCGAGAATCAACCAATACATAACGTATCCAAACTCCGAAGTGCACCACTAAATACTCATTGAAACTATGCGTGCCAGACTTATCTCTCCTCCTCAGTGGGCAATGGGTGACAGGAAAATCTCTAGTGGCGGCTTGTCCCAAAGCCCGTACATCTTTTGGGTCTCGAGCCAGCCACGACTTTCATCTGCGATCCTCATATCAAAGTTGTATATGATCTTGGCAAGGATGAGGCGCATTTCAGCATATGCCAGACTGATATCAAGGTCAACATTAATACTAAGGAATAGGCACCGAGGCTGGCACTTACTTGCGGCCGATACAGTTGCGAGGTCCCATGCTGAATGGCTGCATCGCATCAAGTTTGTCACCCTTGAAGATGGGATCATTTAAGAAGCGTTCAGGGTGGAACTCCATAGGCTTTGTCCAGTGGTTTGGATCATGGTTGATGGCCCACTGCCATACAGCCGTGACAGTGCCTTCAGGAATGAAGTGCCCTGCTACCATGGCGCCACCCTTTGGCGATTGACGTGGTAGTCCTATGCCGACAGGAGGATAGTGACGCAAAGTCTCGTTCAAACATGCAAGCATGTACTGTAATTTGCCGACTGAGAGCAGCGTAATTTCTTCGTCGTTACTAAAGGCTGATCTTACTTCTTCCGTAAGCGTTTTCAGCACACTCGGATTGGTTGTAAGAAGGAATACAGCTCCGCTGAGGAGTGTAGCTGTAGTTTCAGAGCCGGCAATAATCAGGAGACTGGCATTCATCTGGAGCTGGCCTAAGTCTAGGCCCTGTTGACAAGTTAGCATTCCTCAGTTGAGGCAAATATTCTTGGAGGAAACATGAAAAACTCCTTACCAGTTCTTCTTTCTTGTGGATGAGGCCTTCAATAAGATCAGGCCTCTCAACTCCTAGTTCCATTCTCTGCGCAAGCTTCTCCTTTACTAATGCTTGATGCTGGTCCCTCCGCTTAAGTAGACCTTGATTTTTCAAGAACTGCACGATTGGTCTCCCGCCAACAGACTGTAAGGCATTCAATAAGGCGCCTTGCTTGATGTTATCTGTTATCAATCGTACCCAAGGATGATAGTCGCTACTGTCGAGACAGCCAAAGGGGCTGCCGAAACCGAGGTCGCCAACAATATCGAATGTCGCCCAGTTGAGCCAGTTTCGCATGTTCAGAGGCTTTGTGCCACCCTCACAGTTCGCCCGCAACTTTTGTATCAATAGATCGACATACTCCCCGATGATCGGTTCCTGCCCACGCATGCTCCGCTCACTGAAGCCATGCGCCAGCTGTCGCCGAAGAGCACTATGCTCGTTACGATCTGCTGAGATGACCGACGACGGCATGTCGTCAAACGGTTTGTAGAACTTTAGGTACTTGGGAAACTCCTCCTGGCCGGGAGTACGATGTCCGTAGATGTCTTTCCATGCTTGGGGGTCCGAGAACGCCAGCTCATTAGGTCCGAGGCGTACCACTGGGCCGTATTTGCGGTGTAAGTCTGCGACGTGGAAGCCAAGCTCGCCGCGCGTACTCTGAAATGCGCGAGGGAAGTTCGAGACACGATGTGAGATAGGTCCTGGAAAGGCCCGAAGTGGATGCAGCAGCACTCTGTAGATAGCAAGACAGACGAAGTAACCTGTCAACTGAGACGTATGTTACTCACTTTACATCTATCACATAACAGTGTCTAACTTACCGAAATAGAAGCGAGGATGGCCCAGTTGGCCAAGCCAATACTGTCAACGTATAGAGGAGCCATGTGGAACGTAAGGATGGAAAGAGAAGAGCACTCTCCTTCACCGGGAGTGATTCACTTATACCAGTTTATTGTAAGGCACAAAAACTAGGCAGCGGTGATTTTTGTGGCAGGGCTAAAGTATGTAAATGCTCGAGATGCGACGGGGAGTTTCCGATCGGGATAATCGAATGCCGCCGTGACTTCGACCAATAGACATACCTCTCGTCTTTGAATGCTACACGTTCCATTTCTCCTCTCCTGTGCGAGATGGGACGGCTCGGTGATGTCACACTGGGATACCCTGTCGTGGACTTGGAGATCATGCGGGCGAAGCTTTCTTCAGCGTCCTTTAGCGCCATCCACTTCATAAACCGAGTCGCTGCCGGGGAATGCACCTCCCGAGAAAGCTGGCATAACTCCGAATCAGAGAAAGTTGATTGGCTCGGGCAAATACTTGTCAAAGTTGTGCCAATTTCTTATACCAGTTGCGGACATAAGACGGCTTGTCTTTCGAAACGCAGCACACGGGTTGCCGGTCCTAATGCGACCGTTTGCTTGGCTGCTTGGATACGATTGCGAGGTGCAATAAAGCACTGCCTTTAAGCGCCACGTCATGCAACCGGAATTAGGACCACAGCCACTCTCCGCTCTTCAGAGACCTTGTGATGGAATTCCGGCGTACGGTCTTTGTATAATCATCCGGCCTCCCGTCCTGTTGAATGTCTCCGGGGGGCTGACACGCTACAAGCAGTATAGACGTGACAGGCGCATATTCCCGTTGTACACGCTTACGAGATAGATGTTCCAAGCATGTGCCGGTATGTAATCGACCATCAACTGGTCGTTACTTCCGTCAGCTTGCATACGTCAGCCAATTGAATTCTGCAAAGAGCCGCGTCTGGCTGTCGCATTTAGGTGCCGGGATTATCGCATCCGCTATCGTACATATTTTTGGGCAACATTCGATACGAGTATGCAAGCGTATTTTGTGAGCGGCCGCTGACAAGAAGTCCCCTTTCGGCAATTGGCCAGAGGTCGATTGCATTGTAAAATAAATAATCTTGTTCATTCCGTCATAATAATACTGCAATTCGAGCATATACTACTTGCATGCTTGTGTTGAAACCCACGTCCCCTTGTGTCATGAGTATGCGACATGCTAGTTTATGCCCAACACGCCCCGGTGACCTAGCAAGTATAACCAACCATGACAACGACATCAATCTTGCTCTCGTGCCCGACCATGATACTCATGTTTTTCACAGCTGCGCTTGGCATCCACAACCCAAACTACATAGTACACAATAACGAGATGCATTACCATCACATTAAGTGAAAGCCACTGGCCGGCTGGCGAAATGGTATCGCGTCAGATTTCGGTACACTGAAATCCATTACTCTGAAGATTGCAGGTTCGAGCCCTGCGTCGGTCGATATTTTTGCTCTCATGTCCTGGCTGGAAATATCGATCCTCCAGTTTTGACGAAATTGGACCGTTCACAAACCCACCGGTATGTGTTAAATCAAAGTCTACTGGACTTGGCAATATCCGTTCTCGATTGGTCGCGTCCTGCTGTGCCTCTATACAACGTGATTGGCTAGCTGTTATACGATGACTGCATTGATGATGAACGCTATAGATATCTATACTCTCCAGATCCGTGGAACTCGCTATAGTACTGCCACGGAGGCCATCATGCTCATGCGCAGCAAAGCATTCAATATTATACAGAGTCCATTTCAATAGTTCAACGCCAATCGCTTTCAAGAGATGATTGTCGACGTCTGGCGGCCTCGGAGAGATCCTGACTTGACGCAGCTACCCTACTCAAATTACCAAGCACTTGTCCGAAGTAGATGTATGCATACCGCTCGACGATAGGCTGTTTTCGTCACCGAATTGGCTGAGTCTCCAAGTGCCTTTCCGATATGGTCTTTTCTCCAGTGGTGCGACCCAACTTGCAGCCAGCGCGTTAAGTTGCCCCGCCTGAGCCGCTGGACTGCCCCATTTGCTTCAGTGGTATAGGCCCTACAGGGGAGGCGTATGTTTCCGTAAGCCGCAGGCAAAAATGATGTGTAGAGAACGACATGTTAGAATTTAGCCGCCAACAGTTAACATCAACTAACTTCACTGCCGGTCTGTAAACTTAACGATTTTATAATAATGGAGGTTGCAACAGATAGTCCGAGTCAAGCAAGATCATTTGAGGGTGAAGGCAGATGGTTTTTTGACTAGTGTTAGTTAGATGTTATGGACTTCGCTTCGCTATATTGACGCGAAGCAGATGGCTATATAAACAGAAACACATGCTGCTTAGAAAAAGAAACTATACTGACGCAATTCTCCGGCATGCATTGTATATACATATCAACTTATGCACAGCAACAAGGCCACCTCTTCATTTTCATGCCCCTACATGGACCTCAGCACCAGGTGCAGCTTGCCCATTGTTCTGTTCTCCATTACCACCTCCATCTGCCGGCTTGCCAGACAGCGGTTTTGAATGGTCGTACCCGACTGATTTGACAATGCCAAGCCCTTTGGTGCGACCTTCACGGAAGAGCAGGCGATCACCCTCGACGAGATATTCTGGCCGTGCGGTAAAGCGAAAAGCAACCGTCGCACGATCTCCAGTTCGGATAAATGGCCTATCAATATCGATTATAGCACAAGTCTGTGCAACTGGGCCAACATGTAACACTGAAGACTTGAGTTAGTGCCCGAGTCTCCAATTGCTGATTGGGCAGTGACTGGCACGCTAGGATTGTAGGCAAAGGATAGCGGTGCGTCATAAAGTGTAGTGAGGGTGCTACGAAGTAGTGCAATCAACTTACTGGCTTGGTACTTTGTTTTAATGGTGGTCGCGTGGGACAAGATTAGGACCTCGGCAACAAACTCTTGTGTAACTTTTGGAGGCGGCACGCCCTCCACCTTCGGCAAAACTACCATTCCTTTACGTACATCCTTTCGCCGTACTTTTCTGAGTGCAAAACTAGCAGACTGGCCAGCCGACGCAGCAGGAACATCTAGACGTTTTCTTTGAATCGATCGCACATTGGTGGCTGTGAAGTTGCCATTACTGTCAGGGCCGATCCAGACATTATCACCGGCGTGCAGGACTCCCGATTTGATGATTCCACTAACAACAGTGCCAACGAAAGGTACTGAGAAGGTGTCGTTTATAGCAAATTCAAAATCGGCGTCCGCGTCATAACGACCATGATGAGGCAATATATTCAGGAAGGTCCGCACTAGGTTAAGGTTTTCTCCGGTGACGTTGGACACCTGGAATATGGGACAAATTCTTTGACTGACGAACTGTGTAGCGGTGTTGATGCACTCTTCACGGTCTCGGATGAATATTGGGATTTTCCGGGCTCCGGGGGATTTGAGAATTTTGGTGATCTGCTGGATAGTCTGCTCCAAAATATTCGGTGGACAGATATCTATTTTGGTGATGACGACCATGACAGGGACGTTCAAGGCCAAGGCAATGCCGAGATGCTCTTTGCTCATGCCGATCAAGCCATTGTTGGCAGCAACCATGAGCAAGCAATAATTGGGACTGCTGGAAAGCAAGCCAAAGACTGTAGTGCGCAGGTATTTTTCATGGCCAGCCAAATCAGTGAAAGTGATGACTTTGGCACTGCGTTTGCCAATTTCCTCCCAAGACAGTTTCCGGCCGGGAGTGTCAGATGTGATGGTATTGCCCATTGTGTCGAACCCCATAATCTCCATGCCAACGGAACTGGTACGGCCCGTCTCGATTTCGTGCTTATGCCGGAAGAGATTGACACGAGCTTTCCCTCGTCCATCGTCTAGGTCACCCTTGACAAGGACACCCAGCATTGAGCTTTTCCCAGCATCGACGTTTCCGACAACTGCTATCCGGGTCTCGATAACGTTCTCTGCCGTTGGAGGGGCCTGCCGTATCAACACCTTCCCACTGCAGTCTTTGTCCTTGTCCTTCCCGGTTGCTACGGACTCGGCCTCCTTCTCACCGCCAATATTTTTGGTCAGCAGGATATCGCAGTCTGCTCGTAGCCTTTTCGCAGCTTGTTTTAGTCGGGTCAGAGCCTTCTCCCAGTCTGGTTTCGTCAAGCGCATAGATTCGCCATTGTTCTCGAACCCGACGTCGAACACAGCTTCACCATGGCCCTCTTGTAACCGTTCATCGATGATATGTACCAACTTGTCCAGGTTCTCGTCGCGCTCGGATAGAAGCAGGTCGCGTAGCGGTACTTGTGGCTCGGAGTCTTCAAGATTTAACGAGTCGAGAATGTCCAGCTCCTCGTGGTGCTCCTCAGCAGTTGCATTGTTATTGGTGGGCTTGGAGGCGGGATATCGCAGGGCCTGTTGCTTCTCGACAAATTCGGCGAACTCGCTGAGGGCCGCTTCGCCCTTCCGGCGCTCGTGTGGCAACTGTTTCGTTGCTTTACTCATATCGGGTGCCTTCGTAGTGGAACCATATGTGGGATGGGATGGGATGATGACGTCGTGAAGCAGACTGTGCTTGGTTGCTGGCGTGCTCGTCGCGTGCTTTTCGCAATAATCTTGAGGTCGTGACTTACATAGAGGTTCCGAAGACGCGATAATATATTAGGGATTGCCTCGTAGTTATATAGGAGGTTGATACAAAGAAAGGAGCAGAATTATCGAGTCATAGACTTTTGCCTCACGCCTCGAGTGTAAGTTAAGTGCGAGTATGAGCGTGAGTGTGAGTAATTCGGAGACACCCGGCGTTATGACTGGTCGCAACTTGTAAACCCCCAAAGCCGACCCCGCCATGACCCACGACCCATGAACCCACCAGCCCACTTGCCATCTGTGCTTAAAGCGCTTATCGATAAAAGCTTAAGCTTGGGGACGCTGGAGCACGGCCCCCCCATACCCATACGGATCCGTACAATCCGTATGCACTCGTATGTATGTATCCTTTGAGTACAAGTCCATTCTGCGAGAGAAGACAGTCAGCTTCTGTGAGAATCTCAGATGTTTCTTGGTGGGTATCTCGACATCGTTGAGGTACGCATTTAAGTTGATTGCCTGACAGTATCCTTTGACGAGAAAACAATAACGCTCCAAGGCTAATGCCATGTATATTGTATATTGTTACCGGTCACGACCTTGACCAAGCTGAAACCTGGCTTGATAAGCAGTCCGCCAAGGTTATTGAACAGAGAAGGACAGAGCAGCTCATATAGGATCTCTCTCATGAACCAGTTGGCTTTGTCTCAGTCTAACCAAAGTATTAACATGGCCTGCAGATGCGTTGATGAATGCGCTACATGATTAGCTTAAAATAGTCCAGTCGCCCATGTAGGCCAGAGTCGACGACCTCAGTATTGCTAATAAGGTACAAAGATCTCAACAACGAAGGCCAAGAAGACCAAGAACGAGAACCTTACAACACAAAAAGCGCTTCGCTTTGCTGTCATGGAGAGGAGAAGAAATAGCTAAATGCTGCTATTGCGTAAGTTTTTTTAGCATCGGCACCTTGCTCTGGCCCATTAGGAATCGAGACTATAGTCTCCGATTATACCAAGAGCCTCTGCTCCTAGGAGTCAACAACAAACCGAAGTCTCACGTATGAATCCTGGTACAAGCTCAGGCCGATGCAAGGCATAAGGAATTAGTATGGCAGCAGTTTGTTTAGCCGGCATCCTTTCTTCTTCTTTTTCTTTTCGTTCTTTTTAATCCCTTATGTGTTGTTCAGCCTCTCCTGGCGCATACGTTGCTGACTGTCTGCAATTTAGGGCATCACCCGCGCGGTTAGGGTTTATAAAGAAATATCCAGACGTGTGAAGTACACCTTCTACTAGTCTAGACTAGAAGCCATCGAGGCCGCCGAGAATTGCCTTGGCTCGGCAAGAAATGCACAACGGGAAATTCAAGTCCAGATTAGACGTACGCACCGCTTAAAAGGGCCTTTCTGTTGAGTTTATTTGATGTGAGTCAACGTTGGGCAAAGTACTAATACCGAACCGTACTTGTCAGAGATCGCAGAGGCTGAAGCAATTACGGCTAGGTGAGGCGGGACCTCAAGTTCGCACTAATTCGAATTGCGGTTGTTATGTAAGTTAGTACAATATGTCCAGCGCGGTTCGATAGGGGTCTGCTAACTCATCCCAACGCTTAATTATAGGTCTACTTTTACGGCATCTACTAGCGCCTACCACACGCTCCGTATTATGAATTCGTTTTATTGTGACATATTAATAATATAATTAAATCTTTTATATTATATCTAACTATAAGGCCTGAAGACTTTTTAAAAATGTCTTAATAGCTAGCTGATAACCTTTTCAAAATAAGAGAGTAGCCCAGTTAACTCGGAATGCTATAGTGGATATATTTTATTATGTGTAGAGGGTACCAACAGTATCATAGGCCCTTCTGAGATCGTGGCAGTTGCTGAGAAGCCCCTTCTCTCTGGCTTCTGGACTGAAGGGAAATGCCCATACCACGAGCCCTGCGCTTTGCTTAAGGAAGAAAATAAATAAATACGCCATGACTTTATTCAAGGAGCTTGCCTCCCAGCTGGCTCAGAGCTGACCCGGTGGGCAGTCTTAGTGTCCACCTTAGTCACTGAGTTTAAGGGCTCGCCCACTATGTGTGCTGTAATCGCACGGCTGGGGCATGTCTGCGGAGGCTTGTGGCAGAGTTCGCAGCCTGTGTGATTCCTCCAAACTGTGGCACGTGACTCAGCTTTCAGCCAATCACAGCCCCGCCCTAATCGGCCGGACTTGAGCCGCGCAAAGACCGTTGGTGTGACTCACGTCCTGCCCATGAGGTGAAGGATAGGTGAGGGAGGGGTAGCTTTCCAATAGAATTAACTGCTTGACTTGCTGCAGATTGAAGCCAAACAGTCCCCTCCGCGTTATCCCTTACCAATCACCACGACGTTGTCTCGACCGCTTTTTCGTGCGCTCCTCGCGCGCCCGTCGGCGTCGTTCGTCCTAGGATTATCCAACACATTGGCAATGACTACCAACAGCGCACGAGGAAACCCGAGTAAGTCCAGTCACGAACACCTGAGGGCCCAAGAGCGATGGTCCAGCTAACAGACGTTTTTCGCCCGCCAGTCGCCGCGGCGGACCCGCAACAGGATGGCGCACCGCCTCCGGTGTCCGGCGACACCAAGGCCGCCACTCAGTCGAGTTCATCCGGCCAGGACGTAGGCACGCCCCCCGCCCCGGCCAAGGTGAAGTCCGAGAAGGAGCTCGAACGGGAGCGCAAAAAGGCAGAAAAGCAAGCCATGTTCGAGAAGAAGAAAGCTGCCCGGGCTGAGGCAGCCACCACCGCTGTGAAAAAGACCAAGGAGAAGGAGAAAAAAGCCGAGGTGGAGGTCCTACCTCCTTACGTTGAGGTCACCCCAGAAGGAGAGAAGAAGCAGCTCAAGCCGTTTGACGACCCTTACTATTCCTCGTATCACCCTGTTGCTGTTGAGTCGGCTTGGTATGCTTGGTGGGAGAAGGAGGGATACTTCAAGCCACAATTCACACCGGAAGGCGAGGTCAAGCCCGAGGGCAAGTTCGTCATCGTCGTGCCTCCCCCAAACGTCACGGGAGCCCTGCAGTAAGCCCCTTTCCTCACATATCTTCAATGCTCAGCACCGAGGATCACTGACACGAACAGCATGGGCCACGCCTTGGGCAACTCACTGCAAGACCTGATGATCCGCTATAACCGGCAAAAGGGAAAGACCACATTGTGGCTACCCGGTTGCGACCATGCTGGTAAGATTTCTACTGACATATACTGGTTAATTGACATGATCTGACGGCTCCCAAGGCATTGCGACACAGAGCGTGGTGGAGAAGGCGCTTTGGAAAAAGAAACAACAGACCAGGCATGAGCTTGGCAGAACACAGTTCATCGAGCTCGTCCAGGATTGGAAGGAGGATTACCACCAGAAGATCAACAATGCCTTCAGAAAAATGGGAAGCAGTCTTGATTGGAGTAGAGAGGCGTTTACAATGGTGCGTACTACAAGATCGCACCGTAGCTTCGACGCTCACACTAAACCCTCAATAGGACGAGCACTTTTCAGCAGCTGTCACGGATGTTTTCGTCAAATTCCACGAAGAGGGCATCATCTATCGAGCTAACCGTATAGTCAACTGGGATTCTACATTGACGACCGCCCTCAGCAACGTCGAGGTGGACAGCAAGGAGTTGACAGGACGGACGCTTCTTGACGTACCAGGATACGACAGAAAGGTCGAGTTCGGAATCATTGTTCATTTCAAGTATCCCATCGAGAACTCGGAGGAGACTATTGAAGTTGCGACAACGCGTCCCGAGACTATGCTAGGTGACAGCGGCATCGCTGTACACCCCGATGATCCTCGGTACACCCATCTACTGGGCAAGTTTGCTGTTCATCCCTTCATCGAGGGCCGGAGGCTTCCAATCGTGGCCGACAGATATGTCGACCGCGAGTTCGGTACGGGTGCCGTCAAATTGACACCAGCACACGACCCTAACGATTTCAAGCTGGGCATGACCCACAACCTCGAGTTTATCAATATCTTGACAGATGACGGATTGATCAACGAGAATGGCGGCCCGTACCAGGGCCAGAAGCGATTCGACGTCCGATACTCCATCCAGGACGATCTGAAGAAGCTCGGTCTCTACGTGGATAAGAAGGACAACCCCATGACTGTACCACTTTCAGAGAGGACCAAGGATGTCGTCGAGCCCATCATGAAGCCACAATGGTGGGTGAAGATGGCTGATCTCACAGAACCAGCCGTAAGGCCTACCACTCACAGACCGTTCTTTGTGCTTTGTCTTGATTGCTAATATTTGTCTCAGGTCAAAGCAGTCCAAACCGGCGAGATCAAGATTAAGCCCGAGTCGGCGGAGAGAAACTACCTCCAGTGGATGGCAAACATCAACGACTGGTGTATCTCAAGACAGCTGTGGTGGGGACATCAGTGCCCCGTGTATCGTGTTCATTTTGAAGGAGAGGAGGACAGCCCCGATGTCAACGACAGGTGGTTCGCGGGACGAAGTAAGGAAGAAGGTCTGGCAGCTCTATTCTAACACTTACTCTGGGCGTCCAATACTGATTAGAATACAGCCTACGCCAAGGCCAAGAAGGCATGGCCGGACAAGAAGTTTGAACTGGTTAGTCAACACCCTTATCCCCTTCTTTTGTCTACATGAGTTGGAGCTGCCAGGGAGTGTGTTTCCCGGTGCATATTCTCATCTCTTGGTTCGCCAGAGGTCAACAGCTAGGAGACTTACGTACGAGATAATAGGTTCGAGACGAAGATGTCCTTGATACATGGTTCAGCTCTGGTCTCTGGCCTTTCGCAACGCTCGGCTGGCCTAACAACACTCTTGATATGTCTCGTCTGTTCCCTACCAGTGTCCTAGAGACCGGATGGGATATCATGTAAGTCTACCCCGGCGTGGAGACATCCAACTAAAAGCAAACTTGGTCGAGAGTTTGGTCGTACCTACGAGTATATATCGGGATGACCCACATGAAAAGCGCATGCTGACTCAGAGCCCCGCAGTCCCTTCTGGGTTGCTCGTATGATCTTCCTCGGTATAAAGCTCACTGTAAGTAGAATGCCGATGCAAATCATGCGACTTGCACCACAGCGGCAACCCTTTTTGTTGTTATCCCCTCTGCCATGATAGGCAATATTGACTCGATAAACAGGGCAAGGTGCCATTCTCTGAGGTGTTCTGTCATTCTTTGAGTAAGTACACAGCCTTGGACCCGGCGTAGCTCCCGCTTAGCTGACCTTTGTATAGTTCGTGACTCCGATGGGCGAAAGATGAGCAAATCACTCGGCAATGTTGTTGATCCTTTGGACGTCATTCGTGGCATCGAGCTCCAAGCTTTACATGATAAGCTACTTGTCGGCAACATTGCTCCCTCTGAAGTCAAGAGGGCTACTGTGTACCAGAAGACTGCATTCCCACAAGGAATTCCGGAATGCGGAGCAGACGCTCTTCGTTTCGCTCTCATTGCCTACACCACGGGTGGTGGCGACATTAATTTCGAAGTCAAGGTCATCCACCTGTACAGGCGCTTCTGCAACAAGATCTGGAACGCCTGCAAGTATGTCCTCGGCAAGCTAGAGACCGTCAAGGACTTTGTTCCTGCGAAGCAGCCGGCTCTTACTGGAAATGAGTCGCTATCAGAGCTCTGGATTCTCAGGAAGATGAATAACGCTGCGAAGGAAATTTCCGAGGCTCTCGAGCAGAGAGATTTCATGAAGAGTGCCAACCTTGTATACGCCTACTGGTACTTCCAGCTGTAAGCGGCCCCCAGCATAGTCTGATCTTATGCTTGACTAAATATTCATCATCTAGGTGCGATGTCTTTATCGAGAACTCGAAGGCTTTGATCCAGGAGGGGTCTGAAGCTCAGGTGAATTCTGCGATCCAGACACTCTACACCACTCTTGAAGCAGCTCTCGTCCTCTCCCACCCATTCCTTCCTTTCATTACAGAAGAATTGTGGCAGAGACTGCCCAGGCGGCCGGATGATGAAACAAAGAGTATTATGGTGGCGAAGTACCCCGAATGGGATCAGCAATTCGAGAACCCAGAGGCTGAGGCCGCCTACGACATCGTTCTGGGCTGCTCGAAGGGTGTCCGATCCCTGATAGCTGAGTACGCATCCAAGGACGAGGCGAAGATCTTCATCCATGCCTACGACGCAGCGTCGCACAAGACCGTGTCCGAGCAGAAGTCATCCATCCGTTCTCTCAGCGGAAAGGGCCCCATGGAAATCGAGATCCTCTCGCCGGAGCATACTCGCCCTTCCGGCTGCGTTGCTTTCCCCGTGTCCAGCGCCGTTTCTGTCTTCATCTACGTCAAGGACCGCGTCGACTTCGACGAGGAGATCGCCAAAGCGACAAAGAAGCTGGAGAAGACCCGTGCTGCTGTCCAGAAGCAGCACAAGCTCATTAACGATCCGGTGTACCTGGAGAAGTCGGCCGTCGCAACGCAGAATGCCGAGAAGAAGAAGCTGGATGATCTGGAGAGCGAGGCGAATGGCCTTGAGACAACTATTGGGCAGTTTAGACAGCTGAAGCTCGAGTAAGAAAGGACCAACATCGTAGACCATTGAGTCAGTAGAGTGGTAGATCTCAACCTTCACTGGTTTCGTGTCGTATAGATTTCTCAAAATGCGGCTGGCTTGTGTCAATCTAAAGGGGCAAAAGTTTCATTCCGGTCCCTCCCGTTCTCTACAACGCAGATCCACAGATGATGGCGATCTCGCTTGTCTAGTCTACTCGCTATCAGCAAATCAGGAGAGAATCTTAAGTGGCTTGGTTTTGCATTTGTCTATTTGGCACGACTTGTGACAATGCTCGCTTCCAACTCGAAACATGTTGGATGACTGGATTGTCCAGATCTTAAACTCGATTCGCTCAGTTCTGTGTGTTTTTGTAGATGCATGGCGGGAAATGGCCTCCAGGCCGTCTCCTTCGGATATTCGCAGAGCGCTTGGGCTAGAAGTTATTCCTGGCTTGGATCCTGAATCTCAGACTGTATCTACCCCTCGTCCCCCCCCCCCAAAATAATACCTCCAAGAAGACCTAAACAAGAAGGCTTGGCTATAGCTGATAGCTGAGAGAGCTCGCACACTCATTACTATTAATCCATAGTGGAGAGAATGGGCTAGGAATGGGATGAGATATACACCACTGCTAACAGTCTGGGGCTATTCATAATGCAATACAACACGATCGTGTTGAAGACACTTGAATCTTTTGCAGTAGAGAAAGGCACGATGATCTTGGTCTTGATTGAGCACAGCGGAATTAATATTGGAAGCAGGGCGAAGCCGCACATAACGGACTCCCTGCTGGGGTCCGCCTATCCCAATCTTTGTCAACTTTCGGGTTTTGAAATTGCATCTGTCAGTCCAAGCTTGTGGTATGTTGAACTTCGATTCAAGCTTGGAGTCAACAGAGTGCAATATATAAAAAGATATATTAAATTTTTTTAAAAGTTTACTGAAGCATAAAATAATAAATATAATGCTTATATAATCGTAAAATTGTAAATATAACGTTTTAAGCGTAAAATACTAGTATAAGTATTATTCAATAATATATAAAAGTCTAGGTCCATAAAAGAGAATATCGGTATACAATAAGTAAGCATATACTTACTAGTTAAGTGATCCAAGAGCTTGTCGCCTTAGTGTATAGAGTGCTCTCCGTGCACTGTGGCCATCTATAGTCATCCATTTTGCCACATGTTCCAAAATTGAAATCATATCCCGTTCATGCATCGTGTCAGGTAGTTTACGCGCATGGTTTCAAGGGTCTAGTTGGTCGTCGAAATAGACTTCTCACTTAAGCTGGGGGGTTTTAGCCATATTTATGTGACCTTGAAAGACGAATTGTACATACTGTAGACTACGCATCTCCAACTAGTGTAACAAGGTGGATACGTAGGCATCGGTCACTTATTAGCCAGAGCCAAAGAGAAGGATTGAAGACATTAAACCGACATGTGCTGAGGGACAGGCTCACAGGAGAGGAACACAGATTCTTACAAAAGGACGGGCATCGAGTTGACCCTGAAAACTCCCAGGTGTAAGCGATAATAAGATGGGCAAGCTGACCCTACATCCCTTGCAAGTTATCTTTAAGGATAGAGGCTAGCAGCCGGGAGTCGGTCATCATTTAGCAAGAGCGGCGGGAGCTTCCAGGAACTTCGGCTGGGACCACCATGCCACGATTATCTGGACGTTCTACACGAGAGTAACGAATCAGTCACAACGTAGCGCTTCCCGACGAAGATCTCCACCGAGTTGTTGCAGAGACGGTTCCTAGTTAGCTAGGTTAGAAGACTATCTCAAGGGGACCACACGACAGGCCAAGGACAGGTGGCGTTCCCACGTTCACATGTCAGTTGACACTTTCAAGGTCCCAAACCAATATAAGATTTAGTAACTCTTTGGATATTGGAATGCTGGTTTCTGCAACTGGAAGTATATCAACTGATCAAACATGCTACTCCGTCTTTCGTCTTTTCGGAGGCCGTTCTAGACGCCCACCATGTGAGGACGCTGTCTATAAAGTCAGTGTTGTGTACCGGAGGTTTCAAAGCCGGACCTGCTGCATGAATCGCTCCGTCTTCTCCAACTCACGCTGTCGACCAAAGAGTGTCTCCACGAACTCGACGCCGGAACCTTTACCAAGCTGGGCGGCGTTCTTGTGATTGCTTACTCTTAGCATAGGGTATTTGCATCGCTTAAGGAGCGCGCGGAATTTGTCAGTCAAGCGCTCTCCAGACTCCATGAAGTCTTCAACCAGCTCCCGATTATCATGGGCACGTATCCTGGGAATAATTTCCACGCAACGCTTTAGCTTTCCGGACAGTTAAATCAAGAGAATCCAAAGCTCGCCAGCCATATCCGAAATGGGAGTAGCGGGTCCATGGTGGTAGACAGTCCAGTCATAAATTCACTTGCCTAAGGAGTCGGAGTCAAAAACACTACCAAGCAGCATGATGGGCTCCTCCGTGGGTCTTAGCAGTTCAGATTGTACCCTGATGGAATTCGGTGCTTCTTCGTGTCACCCTCAGTTGCTTTGGAGGTCGAGGAAGAGGAGGAATTCTTCTGGTTATCACTAGACAGCCTGACACTTGGCGGGCGCTGAATGGGAGTTGTACGGGAACAGTGGCGGCTCTGAGAAGACTATCTTGCTGACTGCGTAAAAAGATCATCTTGATATAACGATCTCTCATAAATTGGACCCTGCTTGTAGCAGAGATAAATAATATCATGCCCAGCTGTATCGGTGTAATGATCACACGTCTCATCGGGTGCCCCATAAGACGTTTGGTAATATGGGTATAAACTGCGTCGCTTCAGTAATTGATTTGATATGCTCATGGAGTTGCGCATGCGCGAACTCAACGTTGCGTCAGGAACAGTGGCATACTCACCGTTGCTTGTGTACCTAGGCGAAAACGTAGCTATGTGATCATTATGACCGCTGCTGCTGGTATTGCGAAAGTGAGCTCGCACCGATGGCTGGGTGACGTCGAAGTAACCGTGGTGCAGTAAAGGAACCGGTAAAAGATTGTATGAATAACAGTAATCGGAGTAAGGGGGGGGGGATTGCGACACATGAGTTTCTTTCAATTGAAGTTTCCTGTTGAAGGCAAATTCCTGTCGCTTGAAATAATCTGACCGCAACAAGGTTCCACCTGCCTCCAAAAGATAGTTAATCTCAATCTCTAAAACGTGTCGCATCCTTCAATCGCCAATCAAGGCTTCCAAAACAAGATCCGAACAGAATTTCCTTACGCTTAAGGCCAGCGGCAATCCTACCTGTAACGTGAGCTAGATCGTTCTCGAGGAATATCAAACATCACTTCCTTATTCTTGTCGTTTTTGGTGTCAAGCATCCTCCTTGATCGCGAGACGTAGCAATAAGCACGATTTAGATCGACCACTTACCCGCAAATAATCTATATTTTCACCCCGAAATTAACTCAGTGCCTGGATCAAGGCCCCCTGGTTAGTGGGCCCTTGATCTGGGATAGATGTCTAGTTTCAGATCATGACTTGGGTAACTTGACCAAGACTCTAAGTTGTCGCCGCATAGCTAGTCCGGTACGATTTCTCACAAAAAAAGGGAGCTTGGTCCGGGACCTTTAATGGATTCAGAGAGTGGGCGCATCTTTAAGCAGCAAATCGACCTATAACTCATGATAAAAGCAGGATGTCCGATGTGAAGCTTAGCCATATTTATGGTTGCTGATCCCTGCAGGATATGTCATCACACTCCGCGAAACACAAATGTAGCCAATGTCGTAAACCCGTTCCCGATCGTTTCATCATCTGTTCCCGCCGGGTACGGCCTATCCTGTTGGGGAAGATATTTGTCATCCATGTCGTGCTCACGAGCAAGTACCTTCTGTCTATTTGATCCACCACCATCATTATTACTATTGTCCTCATGAAAATCTCTCTTCACAGCCGGATCAAAACTGCTTAACAGATTAGCGCACGACTGGCAATCAAGAAGCTCCGAACTTACCTCGAGATACAGCGCCACAATGTTCGGCCCTTCCTTATTCTGTTTCACAGCGCCCTACCACCCAACATGTCTTACCTCCATATCACTCAAATCATTCGATGCGTTGTACGCCAATCACATCGAGGCTTAAAGTACCCGTGTTAACTCATCACGAGCTTCCGGCTAAAAAGATATTGACATCATTAAATCGTCCACCAGCCGCCGAAAAGCCCAGTGTTCTTCGCCCCTGGCCTCGCCGACGTTCTCAAGGTCCATATTGAACTCGGAAGCATTATAGGCTCATTGGAGCCTGTGCGAATTCAACCATGTTTATGTAGCAACCACTATTGGCTCATTACAGTAGTATCCACTGTATCGCCGATGCGGCAATTAAACCGGTGCTTCTGAGCTAGATTATTTAGAAAAATGCTGTAAATATGAATATCAGAAGTGCTAGGTATTGAAATCATGGCTGGCTAGCTTGTGGCTCAATCGAGCCATGATTCTAGTACCTGTAAATGATGCTTCCATATATACTAGCGGCTACAGCAGTGTAAAAACGTACGTTTTAGAACTCTTAAGAGGCATCATAGAGAAAGAAGTACTCGAGAATCGCCCTGTCTGTAGTGGATAATGCTATAGGGCTTTACATAAAGAGCCATGTTACAGGTAACAACGTCGCGACATCCATACCGTGCCGTAATTTAATTGATTGGTCTTGAGAAAATGATAGTTGCTGACCTTACATATTGAAGTAGTGAGGATAGGTTGTACGTTTCCGTGGGTCCTGATAGTGCGTAGCTTTCTCGTTTTCTTTGCGATGAGTTTCAAGTCATGTTTTTTAAGCAAGCAACAAGCAAGTTTTGGAAGCAAGTTACGAAGAAGTTTACAAGTTAGTTTCGAGACCAAGATGGCAACAACATTACCGACATTATTTTTCACTCGTTTTATTCATTATCTAAGTTTTCATGAAGGTCATGTTGGACATCGTTTTAATACATCCGCGTTTGTCTTCATCTCGTCTCTTATCATCGCTCCTAGTGCACTGATCACCAAGGCCTTGGAAGAGTCAGCGTACTCTTCCTTTTGACTTAACAGGGCAGGTCGTCGTCCCTGGTTTGATATACCTCTCCATACCAGGCCTGGAGTGTTCGTCTATGTATAACTGACTACTAGGCTGTACTTGGTCCAGGGCATACAAACTCAACCCTAAGTGGACAAAGCCTAAAGGCTAGAGAATCGTGCAAAAGTACTAATTCTGGTGGACTATGATGCTGACTATATATATCGCCTCTGGAATACGCCCACGGGCGCGATTAAACGCGCTGAGGAAGTTGTGTTTGATGAAAATGTCTTTCTTCCAAAGGGCTGCCACTTGACTCACCCTGCCGGTACTCAGCCCTAACGTTAATGCACCTTCATGTGCTGAGATGGTTCTTCATCACACTCGGCTCTCTCTTCGCCCTCAAATTTCTGTCTATCATCCTTTACCACTCAAAACACTGACTACACAGACTGAGGCGAGGAATATCGGAACCTCTAAAGCACGATAATCTGAACTTCATCTTCCACAGCTGGTTTCCCATTCGCTGGAGAGCCCATCGTTTCAGATGAGCCAGCCCTTGAACAGGTCTTCTCAACTGAAGCCCAACCTATAGTCATCGACAGATCCGCTACTGATGAAGCCATCAATTGGGTTCAGCACAACAGTCAGCCTGAAACTTCGCTATAAATACGCCCTTTTGTTAATGACATCAATTGCTAGATTGAAGAACTTAAGACCTTCGATCACTCACAGACAAATCAAATGACACTGTGGTCTCAAATTAAGCCTAAGGACATCAGCAAACTGGACATTCTAGTGTAATTCACAGCCACATGTCAGGGCGTTGCCTACACTGCACAAGACGGACACCGTTTTGAAATAACGACGTTTAAACAAGCAATGGATACAGCACATGCCTACGACTGGAAGATATCATGAACAAGGAAATCAGATCAATCAATGACAACACCTGGAAAGTCATCAACGACCCAGGAGGTCTTTCAAAGCTCACAAACAAATGGATTTACGAACTCAAACTAGGCCCTACAAATGGATTTGTCCGTCATAAGTCCTGCTGCGTTAGATAAGGTTTCGAATAAGAACACGGTATTGGCTACATTGAAACCTTCGCCTCAATGGTTTTACAAAAAGTTACAGGACACTTTTTGCCTTAGCGGCGCTCTATGAGTAGAAAATCGAAGAACTAGACATCAACACCGCCATTCTTTACGGTGACATTGATACTGACGTTTACAAACACTTACGTCCTGGTTTCGAGCGCCAAGGGAAGATCGTCAAACTCAAGAAAGCACTGTATGGCCTGAAATAAGCACCTAGGGTTTGGCTCAACACGCTACCAGTTTACCTAGGTGCTTCGCTACGTCGCTGAACCTTAGACTACGGCCTGTAATTTGATGGTAACAAACAGGGCTTCAAGAGTTTCACTAATGCTAAATGGGGATCAGATACTTCTGATAGTATCTTAGTCAAGTGCTACATCATCTGTGTTGCTGGTGCAGTTGTGAGCTAGAAATCACGCAACCATCGATCGTTACCACTTCTAGCATTGAATCTGAATATCTTTTACTGTTCAAGCAGGCCATTCGTAGTGGAGTAGCCCACTTATATTAATCCTTCGTAGTGGATTGAATAGCACCTATAGGGGTCTAAAAGTACGGTGGGAAAGGATTAGCTATCTATGGCACGGTGTTGAGGGGTGGTAAAAGGGGTCTTTAGGTGGGTTTTCATGTGGGTCCCCTCGGGACTATGCAGCCCGCGGATAACCACGGGCCTAGAATACTCTCCACTATAACGTACAAGGATCCTCTAAGTAAGCACTTGGCGAAAAAGCTTAAAGTGAAGGGGTTATAGTTAACGATGTGCCATCCGTAGTGGAGTGGCCCGCTCGTATGATCCTTCGCGAGTGGAGTATCTCACCTACGTTCATCCGTTAACTGAGGCTTAAAAGCTTAAAAGCCGAGGTATATGGGGTCCCCACTCCATATAGCCGGCCGCTAATTCAGACGCTATCTTCGGAGACCGGAAAAGGATCTTTAACCCTGTAGACCCCTGTAATTTCTCTAATCCTTGTCAACCTAGGCGGAGGATGCGGAGATGCGATGATGTCTAACTCCAATGTTCGTACTACGCTACGAGGAATCAGGTGACCGTGGGCATTCCCCACTTGGAAAACCTCGCCATCGTGGTGAACACGATCGCTTTCAACAAGACAAGAAGGAGTTGGCGTGTCGAAAGCATCAGATATGCCAACCCTGCTTCCGCATGGGCCGTAGGAGCCTAAGCTACGGCGTAGAAGTGCGTTCAAAGTACCATGCATATCAAAGCTGGCCATCGTGACATCCTTGCCCGTTACGAATCGCCTTCGGAGAATCCCTCCATTTTGCGGACTCAGGATGTGATACGTGACTCCATCTAGAGACGCTAATCGTAGCCTCCTCGCCCACTGTACGAACAAGGCACCATCACGAGGTACCTGAAGCAGGTCAATTGCGCAACCATGAAGTATTCTAGCGAGTACACCAACTTCAACGGGCGCGGCTTCCCCGATGTAGCCGCGCACTCGGCAAATCCGGGGTGTATGGGCTTTTACGATGGGCAGCGAGATTACAACGGCGGCACCAGCTCAGCCGCGCTAAATAACATCATGGCAGGAACAAGAGTACAACGCCGTGGACGGTCAATCCAGCAAGCCGAAGCCGGGTGGCGTGGCTATTATTCTTAGGGACGTTCTGCAATGCCACTCCGGGATGGAATCCGGTGACAGGCTTTGGGACACCGAACTTCGATGATTTAAAGACCCTGGTATCCTTTTGCTAAGTATCTACGCCTAAACGTAATGTATAGGTTATAAATCTCTAAGAAATGACATAGTCCTCGGCCAAAATGATGCCTTGATGCGAAAGCTTGAGCTGGAAGTGTTTAATTATAATGAGTATTAATAAGTGACATTCGCATTTTAACCTTAGTTTCTTCAAATGCAGGCTAAACTTAGTGTTTCCAGGAAAGCTCCGGAAGCCTAACGCATTCACCTTGATACCTCGCTGTTGATCGGTATGCTAAATAACATACCAGTGCGAATAGGATCCTCTATAGATGATTTCTAATAAAAGCCATTTCCAAAGATTTTCGAGCAGCCTTGATTTCTAAGCCCCCGAGACCAATATTTGACAGCTGAAACCTTGCGCGTCCTCGTAAATCATATTCATCGATGACTTCAATTGATCTGATCGATGCAAGCGCCTTGCCAACTTTTCAAGAACGACACGGCCCGTACTTTATGCAGCATTTTGACTATTGATCCAGTGTCCTGTTTCCCAGCTTTATTCGAGGATCTTTCATCGACCAACACTCTCAACGCTAACTCCCAGCTTGTTGAGTGTCTCGGCATTGGTGATACCTCGGCCATCGAAAACCCATTTCGGCTTCTGTAGATGATCTACAATCTTGGTCCAGTCTAGCTTCTCCTTGGGTTTGTGCTCCGTTGAGCTGCTACCTGTTAAATAGCTACTCTGGTCTGAGCCGCAGTCTGGGCAGTCGTTCGCACATGATGGCTCATGTACATATCTTTGCAATGGATCCTCTTTATCTAGATAGGATCCAGATCCAATGAGGTATTCATGTAGAGCTAGAATTTCAGACTCAGATGGGCCGTTTGGAAGAAAGGGTCTGGGGTCCACACTCCCGACTCGACGTCGTATGTGAGACGCGGGCTTCGATGAATCCATGCGAAACTCCTCAAATTCGGTTGTGATGAGAACCGCATTAGATGCCACGCACGCCAGGTACGCGTCATTATACACTACAATGGGACCTCCATCGGCCTTTAGGGCCGTTTTTCCTTTGAGCAGGGTTCTGATCTCCTCTCTGATAACGACCGGATTGCAACAAGGATCGAAGATAGCGATTTCCTTTGGACCTTCTTCCAAGAGCGTCTCGATGATTTCCAGAGTTGGAGATTCACGTGTGTCGGAAGTGTTTGCTTTGAATGCGTAACCTAGAATAGTAACCTTCTTTCCGATCAAGGTGTTATTAAGGCACTTGATAACACGCTTACTAAAGCGATCAAGCTGGTATTCGTTCATTTTTACAACTTGGCGCCAGTATTCGCCGACTTCTTGAAGTCCAAAAGATTCGGCCAGATACACAAGGCTTAGAATATCTTTCTTGAAGCAACTACCACCGAAGCCGATACCAGCCTTCAGGAATTTGTTACCAATTCTTGGGTCGCAGCCGATAGAGGCCGCCACCTCGTCCACATCTGCGCCCAAATTTTCGCATATAGCAGATATCGAATTGATAGAGCTAATTCTCTGGGCTAGCATGGAGTTTGCTACGAGTTTGGCCAATTCTGAAGACCAAATATTGGTTGTGATAATTCGGCTTTTAGGAACCCATGAGGCATACACCTTCACAAGTGCTTCGGCTGCTCGTTTGCCCGATGGTGTCGTCGAACTCCCGATGAGAATGCGATCAGGTCTCATGAGATCTTTCACGGCTGTACCAGCGGCTAAAAATTCTGGATTTGAAAGGATATCAAAGTGTACACCTGGGCGATAAATAGACATCTAGCAACATTGTCAGTCATCAAGCACCATCGTCACTTATCAGGAAATGATCTAAGTTGTGGGCTTCGTCAAAACTTACGGTCTTTTCCACAAACTGTGCAGTTTTACACGGAACAGTTGATTTTTCCACAATAATGGCTCCAGGCCGAGCGTGTTGTGCGACTACGCTAATTACTGCCTCGAACGCGGTCATATCGGTGGCACTTCCAGCGCCCATGCCTCTTGTTTTAGTTGGAGTATTGACCGCAACGAATACTACATCGGCCTCTCCAATGCATCTGACACCATCGGTGGAAAAGAAGAGGTTCGGCTCACGAGCGGGGATGGTGCTACACCTTGGTGGTGGCGATGCTGTCTCGGACGGCACGTCAGCCGATCTCACACTAGGGTGTTCATTCAGGAACAAGCAACCCCGAGAGCCATCTCGGGCGATCCGGACGATGTCTCTAAGACCCGGCTCATAGATCGGGAGATGCTTGGAATTCCAACGTTTAATCCGTTTCTCATCTCGATCTATAACGGTGACACGGATTTGAGGATTTTGATATGCAATAACAGCCGCAGTTGGACCACCTATTCAGAGTCAGCCGTTGATGATGCCAACAACAACAACAACAGCAACAGCCATCAACTACTGCCGCAGCAGAGATATTGATCAACTCACCAACATAGCCAGCGCCAACGCAGCAGATGTTACGTATGCAAAGTGGCCAGGCATTGGATACAGTCGACAGGGCGCATGTTTCCGACATTTGGCCCATGGGGCTTGGACACTCAATTTTGAAATGATCGCCAACTCTAGCACGTTGGATAGGTCCGAGTCCTGGGCTACCTTCGGGGGGAGAAGGAGGCGTAGATATACCACTATCCGTCAGTCCGCCGTCTGGATTATAACCAATTGGTGGTGGAGAGGAATCCATCTTGGAGGAATATCGCATAGCAATCACTTTCGAAGATCTTTCTTTTCTTCAAGAAGAGTCAAAGGTGAGGAAAAAGAGGCATTGCGTAAAGGTGTGTAATGGTTTACGGGTGGGATTGCAAAGCTTTGCAGTCATGTCTGGTTCGCTACTGGGTTGGGAACGCGGCAGGTAGCTTAGATTAGCCTTGCAGGCGCCTCGTTGAGACTCCGATAGAGGAGCGACTCGGCAGAAAACAACACGAAGTACGACTAACATCGGACATAATGATTTTCGATTGCAACAGATTTCATCATTACACCATGCAGGCTGCAAGGATGTTGGAATGTTTCGTATGAAATTTTGACTAATACTTTCATTCAGATATTGAGAATTCTAGAGTAAATCCAGAATAGTCTCTTGAGAAGACTCTGGCCCGCTAACGGCATAACTGGGGTGGCTCCTTGCCACTTTGAAGACTCAATGTCGATTTCAGCTAGTGAAATGACTATCTGTCTATTTCGCAAGCTACGTAGCGATCTTAGAAACAGTGCGCATCAACATATAGCTCTAAGAGAATATAATCACCTATGAAAGGATGCTTAGCGCTTACCCAAGGACCTTTTACAGGGGATCAAACTTGGTACTGCCCCTCTCACTACAAGGATCAATCTCCACACCCGTGCAAAGCGTAAAATGTCGTATTTGCTTTGAAGGTAAGTGCTCAGGTGGGTGACACAAGAATTGGCGCATTGGCCACTATAACCTCTCAACTGTGCGCCAATTCTTGTGTCACCCATCTGGTGCTATTACGCTTTCACTGTAGGTACTTATACTCAACCCTAAAGTATGCCAAATTTATAAGCTTTCCACGAATGTGGAGGATGATCCTTGCGGTAATAAGGGCACTTTCTCATGAAGGTACCATAGGGCTTGCTGGTACTTAACAGCTACGTAACAGGCTCCCAAACGCACAGAATATGGAACATTCTTGTATATTAGAAGTATCTCCTTTTCTAGGGGTACATACACAATTACGCGGATCAATACACATATGCGTTACTAAGGGCCTCACATTTTACCACCATCTCGTGCATTTACTCTATACCTTTAATATGCCCTAGATCTTGGTGAACGAGCATGCTAAGCATGCAACATAGGCCGCGGCTGGCCACACTACGCCGCACCCCTATACTACAATTCGATAGCATGTATTAAAGTCAAGAAAAACAAGACCAGGCCGAAAAGGAAGCCCAAACAACCGAACAAGTCATATCCTCCATGCAACTGATAAGAGTACAAGAGAAGCAAATAGTTCAGCCTACTACTTGTGATTTGTGCCATTTACACCATTGACACCATTGACACCATTGACACCATTGACACCATTGACACCATTGACACCATTGACACCATTGACACCATTGACACCATTTACGCGGTTTGCGCCGTTTTTGACGATCGGCTTGCCTTGTCCGTGCTCGGAGGAGAACGCGACAGCGTCGCCCATGTAGCCGTACCAAGGGTCGTCATCCTCGAAAAGTGCTGGCCAGTCAGGGGCTGGGTAGTTGAAGTCTATCTCGACATTGCCGTGCCAGTCATCTGCTGCTAGCTTGAGAAGTCCATCGAGAATGGCGCATGTGGGAACGTGGGATGCGAAATCGCTCTGGGTTGGCTTATCGAGAAGCCACCTTTCGAAGATAGCTAATTCAGCGGAGTAGGAATATGAATTACCATAGGGGCGCTCAAAATGCTCATGACGAACGAACCCTTGTGTTTGAGCAAGTCGGGCGTTGGCTCTTGTGACTACAGTTGCGGTATTCGTGCAACGGATGTCGGTGTCGCCAAGACGGGCTTGGATTGGCTGCTTCGTGACGTTCGCAGCAATTGAAAAAACCGTACCAAGTCTCACGTCGACATCGGTACAGTGCAGTCTGCCGTTTATATTGTATGGTACGTCTGGGAAGGGCCCCCAGGAGCGAATCCCTGGCGTGGTTTGTTCCATGGCAATTGTTCCCAAGCAAAGCACACGGCCAGAGGAACGAAATTTCATCGCGAAGGACGCAACAATGTCAGTTTCGCCATAGGGGAGCCCATCCGGTAGCTCGGAAAATTCTCGTCGGTACCCTGTCGTGTATTCTTCGAGGTTGCCAGTCCGCATTTGTTGATCGAGGGGACCGGCTTTGAAGCCTTGCATAGTGATAACAAAATCCTCATCTGGAAAGAGCTTCTTGTTCATCAGAAGAAGGCAAGTCAGATTATCAATGTAGTGATAGGCGCCGTGCATGAGCATGCCGTATCCATACTTGTAGGGGTGGTCCTCCCGCTGACCGAACTCAGAAGGGAGATTCCATACACCCGAGGCGGTTTTGACGTGAACAGACGTAATCGGGTGCTGCAGACGATCCATCATCATGGCAACAGGCTTTCGCACCTTCTCTTCGTAGATATCGTGCAATCGTCCAAGGCACAACACTGAAGCACTAACACCAGCCTCAATTGACGCTGCAGCAATGCGGTTCACGTTGGGCATGAAAGCCCGATAATCAAGCACGCCTTCCTTCATTGGCAGTATCAGCGGCTTTGTGACTAAGATGTCAAACCCTTGTGCTAGTGCATATTTGATGTATGCACCGTGAGACTGTGGCTCCGTCATTATAACCACCTTTTTCTTGAGCTCCGATTTGGTAAACAGACCCTTTTGGGTGATCCATTCAATTCCGGAGTCGGGGCCGTTCTGCAAGACGAGCTCGGGGATGTACGTGCATGTCGCCGGCTGTATAGGCAATTTGGCAAGCCGAGCCTCGACTTGCTGCTGCTGACACTCTCGATCGATAACATGATAGCGACTCAAATGGCCGTGCAAAACCGCGTTATGTATACATCTTGAGTACTTGTAACCGGCAACTGGGCCGAAACCAATGATTATGAGTTCCATCATCGCCCGTAAAGATTGTATAAGGGTTGATGCCAAAGAGGTGTTGGTGACAAGCCCTGCAGCAAGCCAGGCTAAATGCAGAGGCCAATGGAATAAAATAGCATACTGGAAGACGGTGATGTATGTATTAACGGAAAAGAGATTTGTGATGTCCCCCTTGCCCACTGGAATGGGACTAATTTTTCCTCCACTTATCCCAATGTATCTCTACGAACTGCGGCTTACGCAATCTGACCTAACTGTGCTGAAACTGTGAAGCGAAATTGGCGTGTACCGTACACGTTAGCGCTGAATCAAAACCCAGAAGTGGATATGTACACATCAAAAACAGGTATAAAATTATGTGCATGTAGCGTGGCGAGTAGGTACTCATCTTTATACCTAAGTGGATATGTTTGTTATTTACCACTCGTTATAGTATCTTTGATCTGCAAGTGGGCCACCTTGGGGGTACTTCTCCGCATTTAATCGACACCCTTGTACAGGCTGTGCCAACCATGTGACGTTGCGCCGCATGCGCGGTCCCTTCTAGGATCTAGGGAGTTTCCACGGTCGCAGTATTCATTCTCAATTTCAAGTCGTGCTGTGCTAGATAGACCGATTCCCGAGTTTCAGCATTGGCATCCGAGCATGGAGAGATCATCGTAGCCATAAGTGATCGGTGCTTGGAGAGGTATCCAAGCCAGCCGCCAGCGAGATGATTCCAGAGCCAAATAGCACAACACGCGGTCAAAGTACACCATTTACCCACCATACCATACCTACCTACCTAAGATTTATTTTTATTTTTCAACGGTCTTGTCTTTCCGTTCTGTTTGGCTCTTGATATGGACGAGACTACTCCTCTTCTCCAAAGCCAGTCCCATTCACTGTCGCAGAAGCGCCTCTTGGTTATTTTTCCTGCACTCGCACTAATACAATTTACTTCTTTCCTTGACGCAACCGCTATCTCGACGAGTCTGCCTGCTATTGCGTCAGCGCTCGACCTTGGCGCCTCTATCTCCCTTGTCGGCGCGAGCTTTCTCATCACCAGCACCAGCATTCAGCTGATCAATGGCAGACTGTCCGATATATTCGGCCGCAAGGCCGCTCTCGTCACTGCGCTCTCCATTATGGGCGCCGGAAACTTGTGGAGCGGCTTCACCACCACGCCTGTCGCGCTATTCGTCGCGCGTGCATTCACCGGCTTCGGCGCGGGAGCCATCAATGCGCTCGTGCAAGTTGCCATCGCAGACATTACGACGCTGGAGCAGCGCGGATACTATTTCGGCATGATTGGGGTAGCGGTGGCGTTAGGAAATGGGTTGGGTCCTCTCATCGGCGGAGTGCTCACCAAGACAATGGGATGGCAGTGGGCATTTTGGTTTGTCTGTCCGTTGTGCATCATCGCTATATCCTATCTTATGGTCGTCTGGCCCCACCGAAACCGAACGCCAGCTGGAAACAGGATCTGGGATAAGCTGAAATTGGTGGATTGGGCAGGAGCCGGGGCGAGTTCGCTTAGCATTTCATTGCTTCTGGTAGGCAATGAATTACACAGGCAGGTGTGTCGGGTGAATACTAATAATACACAAACTCATTAGCTTCCCGTCTCACAGTACGGATCTACCATATCCTGGACCTCGCCTGCGGTGGTAAGCATGCTCATCGCTGGCGCCATGCTCTTTGGTGTCTTTCTGGCGATCGAGTGGCGCTTCGCGAAGCTACCCCTAATGCCAATTCAATTGTTCCGGTACAATCGCTCCACTACGACGCTCATATGCATCAACGTCCTAATCGGCTGGGTTTACTGGGGCAATCTATTCGTTCTCCCGCTATATCTACAAAATGTTCGTGGATCGAGCCCTGCCCAGGCTGGAATATTGATGCTTCCCATGGTCATCACCCATGGGCTTACATCAGGCCTGACTGGAGTTCTCATATCTATGTTGAAACATTATAAACCTATCATCGTCACAGGAGCCATCTGTTGGTTCTTAGCAGCCGTGGCAAAGATGAATTATAATCAATCGACGCCAATTTGGCAAATTATCGTGGTCGGTGTCTTTGACGGCATAGGTGTAGGTTGTTCGCTGCAGCCAGGTTGGTGATTTGTTTTCTAGATTGCTATAGTCTCCACACATCAGCTAATGATTCTTGTATAGTCCTCATTGGTATCTTCGCAGGAACCGATAATAAAGATCGAGCGGTTCTCACTGGACTACGAAATTTCTTTAGAGATATGGGCGGGGCAACTGGTACTACAGGTATACATTCCCCTTCAAGGTGCCCTAACGCTCTTTAATAGTAATCTAACGATGACCAAGTTTCGGGAGCTATCTTAAGCAACGTGCTGTCTGGCCAATTGAAATCGAGATTCAGTGAGAGTTTCATCTTGCAACTAATCTCCTCAGTCTTCGTTTTAAAAGACTTGCACCTCACCGACGAGGAGATGGACAAGATAACTCAAGGTTACATGAAAGGTCTTCATGCTTTGTTTCTCTCTTTCGTTGTGATAACCTTCAGCCATCTTTGTGCTTCTCTGTGTATTCGAGATTATGGATTGAAACAAGGCAAAGCACAACGACAGAGGACAAATGTCGAGGAATAGGAGAGAGCGCAAAGCAAGCCCGAGGAACAACGCCAATCTAGTTTTACCTCATTTTTTGAACAAGTGCAATTGAAATCAATCCATGCATATAGTCCCAGACATTGTGCATGCAGCTACTGAGGGCGGATGAAGGTGATGGACTTATAATCCAGCTGGTCGAGGAGATTGATCGCACACATCGCCTAACGATAGTCGAAATACAGCTCGAGATCCCCGCTAACGCGCAGAAGCGTAGTAATTCATCTCTGGATAATCTGGCACACCGGTGGGCACCACGATTCATAGCTGGGACTGTGGCATTCTGACTACAGTAATGTTTCTTTTTAAGCTAAGTATCCAATACCTTCATGGTGGAGCGATCGCCAGTTAGGGACGCAGTGTTTTACTTGAGCTAGTAACAGCCACGAGCTCTTAAGATACCACGATTTTGATTATTATCGTTGTAGTGGTGTAGTTGTAGTGCGTGGCAGCGTTGTTACTGTAGTGCGTTACAGCGTTATAGCTGTAATGCGCTATGGCGCTATAACTGTGATGCGTTGCGGTGCGTTGTAACCTAGTGCGTTGCAGTGCGTTGTAGTGCGTTGCAGTACGTCATGGCGCTGTACCTACAGTGCCTAATAATGCGTCGTAGCGCTATAATGATAAATCAAAAAGCTGGCGAGCAAAAATCGTTGTCAGTAAGTGGGTACGTTATGAACAGCTCAAGGCGAGGTGCGATATAATCGATAATAAACATGGGCGATAGAAACATAACACATAACGTTGCCATCACAGCTCGGATGTTTTAATGAAAGCGGTGATAAGCTTGTCTGTAACAAACCTCTGTAACTGAGGACACCTGGTTCGATTTGACTTGTTGGGGAGACCAGCTAGGGGTTCACACAGATCGTTGGAGGAAGTTTGATACTGTCATCTAAGAGCAAAGTCATTTTGACATGTCACTTTAGCTATAGATACTGAGATCCTCGTAGGTGTCTTGGTCTTCTTATACGTGTCGCGTAAGGCCAGAGAGCCCTCCAAGTCTCTTTAGTGAAGCTCTACCAACCTAGCTGACGTCCTCACAAAGAGCATAGTCTCACCATAAAATAGCAGCCGATCGGCTAGTTCGCTGGCTTGGGGGCAGGTTTGATCAAGTAGGCAGTGGAATTGTATTGGAAAGTTATCTAGCTAGATACAGGGGGTTAAAATGCTCCCAATACGAAAGAAATCCACCTGACCAATCACTACCACATATCCCCTTGTGATGTTGTAGCACCATTTTCTCTTGCAAAAGATCTCCGAGCCTGATGATCGTAAGTCTTGTTGAAGCAAACACCAGGTGAGTCTCCCATATAGTGCGTACCTCAAATGGAACCTTAAAGATTCGAGTTTAAGCGACAGTGGCGGCGTTGGAATCGGAGTCAAGGAGGCTGCCGTCGGTAGCAACAAGCGAGCAACGTCCAACAAGTAGGTTGCCACTACGAGCGACAGTAGCGGCGTGAGAAGGATCGAATCCGACACATCGAGTAAGGATCTTGCCGTCCTCTGTGCTCGCGCAGCATGACCCAATATCCAGGCCACGGGCTGTCACGCTTGGAACAGCGACGCTACGGGAGCATCGAGCAAGGAGCTTGCCAGTCTCACCAGTCGCCAATGTTCCAACGCCACGGCGAGCGACAGTGGCGGCGTCGGAAGTATCGAAGCCGACACATCGAGTGAGGATCTTGCCGTTCTCTGTAGTCGCGCAGCATGATCCAATATCGAGGCCACGGGGAGCCACAGATGGAGCAGCGAGGGCGGTAGCTGCAAGAGCAAGAAGGGTGGCGACGGAGAACTGCATTGTCTATGAGTGTTTGCTGGTCTTTGATGTTGTGCGAGGATGCTTGTGTGAAAGAAGATCTGGTGATGCTGGGATGAGGAGAGCGATGTGTTGAAAGAAGAAGAGACTGAGTCGTGGTAGACGCCTTTTATAGACAGCTCGTACGGAGGAGCTTGCCTTCATGTCTCTGGTATAATAGCGGCTGTTGGAATATCATGCCCAGAATCGGAAGCTGCATTGCAAAGCACTATGCAAACGAAACGAGGAAAACATGTCCAATACTTTCCTCATCTGAGCCATTGGAGGATGCTATTCCCCATTTCGCGCCGTTCGGCTGCAGCCCACTTTGAGAGTAACCCACTTAACCAGTATAATGATAGAGGATCTCGTTTTCTAGTTGTAGCGAAAGTACTAAGCATGCAAAACTGGGAAACCATGCCCAATGATTTCTTCATTTAAGCCAATAGCGAGCACCATGTCCCATCTTTACCGCTCGGTTCTATGTTGATATGAGAGAGAGGAAGCTGCTTAATTTTGCATACATGAGACAAGAAATATTTAGCCGAGATAAAATTTGACTACCTAATAGAGGTAAGCCGAACATTATTTTAATTCATCCTTCTTTGGTTTGATGACTCAGCCGTGCTGCCTCGTATCATTCCTTGCCACTTAGGTAACTGATCAACAGAAATACACGTAATCTCATTTTAGTAGACATCCCGGCAACGGTCCCTTCTATATTCCTTCATAAATAGAGCTAAGAACCTGCATGGTCAGATGTTACAGCACCATTCCCTCTTAACTCCCAAAGTTCTTACTGTCCATGCTTGTTTGGTTTACGTCTCGCTCACCGCCCGAGGCTAGAGAAAAATGTTTCACTTCAAGTCCATCATGGCAAGCCAAAAAGAGGACCAATATGGTCGCCTCATGCATGACGAAGAACATAGCGAGAATGTGGACAAGGAACTCTATCCACGATTTCAGTGGAAAATTTCTCCTGTAATCTGCTTGCTCATATCCAACACCTTTCTAGCGCTGGTGATTGTAGGACTACTAGCCCGACTCTCCTACCAGCCCACGGCATCAACCACATCAATCCCATATACTGGGGTTGGGCCCGTCCAACTACTTGAGGATCAGCTTGGAGTCGTATCAAATGTCATACAGACCTATCGGTTCGCTGAGGATAACCTGGATGATCTAGACTTCAGGAAGGGGGATCCTTACTGGCGCGCCCTGTTTCCTAGTAAGACTACCAGACAAATGCACAAGTGTCCTTGATCATAGACTGACATCGAATCTAGAAGGCGAGGGCCAAGTCTATCTCGAAGACGAGGTTATAGCGTCCTACAAACTTCCACCATCCATGAGAAACCCGGCCAAAGGAAACTTGACCGCCTACCTTATGGCGGGATACCATTCCTTACATTGCATAGTAAGTCTATGTTAAGTCTAATGGTACTTGTTGGTATATACTAACTAGACAAAGGGGAGTATCAGGCAGTCACTAGGGAGGTTCATGGCAGCGCATATTATTGGGGAGCAGTATGATATAACGCAACACGATTGGCTTCATACTGTACATTGCGTGGCAGACTTACGCCAAGTGCTATTGTGCAATTTTGATGAGACTCTCATGCCATACCAAGCAACTATACACCCTGGGTATCACCAGAAAAAGGTGTGCAAAAACATGCGCCCTATCGATGAATGGCTAGAGTATAATTATGAGGGGAAGTTCCAGGGCAACGTTTGATAGAGAGTTATCATTGTATGTTTCTTTGGTCTAAAATATTGCGAAACTTTTCTACTACGTGATTAATTCTACCTGTGTCTTGAAAAAGTGATAGTCGTGAACTGTGAACAATTCTTCCTAGTTGTTGCGACCGTTCTGGCGAACGAGCGATGACACCCTGAAGAAGACGGGGATGCTTAAGGCAACAATTCTAAAGTGTCCCACTTAGGAGAAGGGCCTCGAAGAGGATTTTCTGACAGATTGGAACGAGCGGTGATGCAAATTCCCGTGGGACACTACGGTTGCCATGGATGTGGAAAAGGCCACGATCAGCGTCTCTAGATGGAGTCACGTATCACATCCTAAGTCTGCAACACGGAGGGATTCTCCAAAGGTGATCCGCAACGGGCAAGGATGTCACGATGGCGGATGTCACGATAGTGGATGTCACGATGGTCACCCTTGATATGCACGGTACCTTCAACCCTCTTCTGCGCCGTAGGCTCTTACGGCGCATACGGAAGCATGGCTAGCATATCCAGTTAACATTAGTGAGATGCTCCACTCCCGAAGGATTATACGGGCGGGTTATTCCATGACCGATGGCGTGATCTAAACTAAAACCCTTTTAAGCCTTTTTGCCAAGTGCTTACCCTGAGGAACTATACGGCGGGATCTTAACTCTAACCCTTTTAAGCTTTTTTGCCAAGTGCTTGCCCTGAGGATCCACTACAGAAAGATCCTATAAGTGGGATACTCCACTACGGATGGCACATCGTTAACTACAATCCTTACAAGCGTTTTAGTTAAGTGCTTACCCGAAAAGTCCACTACTGAAGGATTCATATAGTGGGTCTCTCTACGACCCACTGTTTAACACGTAACACTTCAAGTATAGTTCTACTATTTTGGCTCCCTGCGGAAAATATAAACACCCCGGTAAAGTACTGCATAAGGACTCTAAGAATGTAACGTTGTAGTCACAAGGCCACTATACTTCTTTGCAACCCTATCCGTTGCCGATACGGGCGTTTTAGTCGTGGGATCATCTAGCTTAAAAGCACCCCTAAGGTTTTGAATGCTGGTTAAGCGCGGCTAGTGAAATACTTTACAAGTAACCCAGAACAGTTGGAAAGCAACTAGTAAGGATCGATACCGTTGTCAAATTCCGGCGCCCACAACTAAACGTAGCATGTTTGATTGAAACCCGTAAACCTCATCCTAAATTCCTCCTGCCACTATCGCCGCTCCTAACGCGGCCAACCCTCCAGCCCGCAATGTCCAGCCAACGCTGTCTCTCAAGGAGCCTTCAAGCATCCAGAAGATGAGACTACAGCTTGCAGCGGCTACAATTTGGGGTCCTGCGATAGCGACATTGTGCAGTCCCAATATGACACCTGATCGTCGCTCGCAGGCGTCATCCACTTTGCCTCTATCGTCATAGTCGTCTTCCTGCTTGTTTATTCCCTCCATCTCATGTGGCTGGGCATTCTGTATTAATGAGTCCTCTTCCTGTTGTAGCAGTGGCTCAGAATGCCTCGTACTTCTGCTATCGCGCACGTCCTGTACGATCTGTGCATTAATGAGAGCGTAGGGTGCCCAAATGGTAATTGCCCAGCTAATGCCACAAAGACCAACGAGAATGTAGACGCCTATAAGTGATGATGCGAAGAATGTAGCAAACATACAAATAGCAAAAAGGATCTGGGACATGATCCATAGGCGTCGAACGTTCCGCAATAATCTAGTGAAGGCGCTTAAAAAGTGTTTCCCACGGTTGGCACCCTGGTGAGCGATGGAAAGAAGGGTGCCGGCAACGAGTGCAGTCAGTGCGAAGAGCATCAGTCCGAGCGAACCCATTCTGGCCGCCCTGGCCTCGAAATCCTTATTAAGGCGTTGTGCGGCAGTCGTCTCATTTTTATCTGTTCAGTGAGTATTATGCACATGAGAACTTAACGTTTATTACAGGTTTCACTTACAAGTTTCGCTTGTAAATGTGGTTATATAGAAAAGGAACGGGAACCAACCGATCCAAGAGAAGAACTGCACCTTAAATACTTGCTGCACCTGTCGGGGTAGACAGGAGAAGCTGGTGCAGAGATACCGCAGCTGGGCGCATGCAGTATATCTTGTGCCTCTTGCTGCAGTGGAATGCGTGTAGAATTCATCATCACCTGGTACCGCGCTCCTTTCTCTAATGCTTAAGCACGTCAGGCCTACCGAGATGGCCAGAGTTACCGACGTAAGTATACACAAAATGGAAAACCGAGAATCGCCTCCTAAAGCTCGCAGGACGGGTATGCGCTGGAGGTCGACGAAACCCAGGGCATAGCAGAGGACATTTGATGCACTTATAACGATACCCGCCACGGCAGTCACTGCTGGCTGTTGCGTATGCGGGCACATGTCAGCAACGAGAGCGCGAAGTCCTCCTTGCAGTGGCTGCAGAGCAATGTTGAGAGCGACGATGAAAAAGACAGTTACATATGCCGCTGCCATTTTGACTAGCTCGTCCTTGGAATGAGCATCGGCGGAAGAACAGCCACTGTCACAAGGATGCGTGAAGACGATGGCGACTCTCTCGGCCGAGGCCAGGCCAATCAGCGATATGATGACGGCGATTGCACCCCAGGCGATAAAGGGGCGCCGCCTGCCCCACGAGGAAAGGCACTGGTCGCTACAGACGCCACAGTAGGGTTGTATCGTCATGCCTGCAACCGGGCCGGCGGTCCATACAAGTGCCTGGGCGGGCTTGCTGAGGCCGAGATTCTTGAGATGTACCTATATGCTTCTGTTAGGTTTGTGGTCTTCATGGTCAAATGACGAAGAGTACGACTACGCGTACGGAACCAGTGGAAAATATAAGAGCGAAAACGCTTTGTAGTCTAGCAATTCATTTAGTCTACTTGGTTGAGAGATAATGCGTCTGCATACTGCGTACTCACCCGCCAATACCCGCTGTCAAGAGGAAAAGAAAGGCAAGGGTTCTGGTCGGGGGATATGAAGACTTCAGAACTTGACTTTTCGGTTCCATTTCGTACCAGATCTGGTCGACGTCGTCTTCCGTGTCCCCGTCGAGGTCCATAGTATCGAATTAATGTCTAGACGTCCTTGGTGGTGAGAGTGATTCTAAGAAGTCGTGAGAATAGGTGAGACGGAAAGGAGAGAATGGCATTGCTTTTATAACATCAATTACCTGGCACACTCGTTCACAGTGACTGTCAGCAGAGCCGAGAGCAGAATACTATAGCCCTGTCGATGCTACATTATTTCCAAAAGCTCAGGCGGCGAAGTTAGGGTTGTTTTCCCCAGCACTTATTCAAGCCGTTACCTTAAACGAGCTATAGGAACCACCCAATGCAAAACTACCCGATTAAGCATAGCTGCTGATCATGCGCTCCCGCAAGGATTTATCTCTCCTCTTGTTCTCGGGGCTGACCCGACACTAATAAGGATCCACATGGGCCCAATAGAGGAAGGTCAAGTAACGGCAATACAGCACTAAGGGCAGCATCAAACTTACGGCGTGCGCTGCGACGGCTCGCGGAGTGACGGGCGACTTCTTGACTTCTAAGCAGAATCTGGTATCAACTTTGGGGGTTCTTCTTTTGTTCTAGGCATTGGTATTGCTTCCACCTATGCCATCATCCAAAGCTCTCTACGAGATGGATTTCGCCCTGTTCTTCCAGCAGACCGTCTTGTCAATTCTTCCGTCTACCATATTCATCTGTGCATCAATACTAAGGATCTTATCCGTCATACGAGGACCACTACGAGTCAATAGTGCCTGGCTGCTGAGGTTAAAACTGGTACGGGTCTCTATGAAAATAATTGCAGCTGGGTCGTTAACCATTCACAATAGGGCTGCTGTAGCATTTTCGTCAGCACCCAGATCGTCTTACTCACATCATTGATCAGATCCAATGCTGTGAATGGTTCTGTAGCCGTCGCAGCCAGCGTCCTGAGGTTGGTCGTTTCGGTGGTGGTCCTCTGCCTCTTGTACCAGGAGCATCAAAGATGGAATCATCCCTCCATTCTTACCAGCAGCTACCTTGTGTTTACTATCCTGCTCGAACTAGTCGAGGCAAGAATCCTCGGGAGTCGGCTTGGTTATACTCATATTGCCACCATGTTTGCTGTATCTATTGCTGCCAAATTTGTCATTCTATTGCTACAAGAGCTACCAAAAGCATCATCCTCAATTTTCAACCAATTAGGTACAGCTAAAAAACCGACTAGTAGTCTCCTAAAGCAGACACTACTTTGGTGGCCGAATCTTCTCTTCAACAAGGGTCACCGAAACATCCTCACTAACAGCGATCTCGGGGATGTCGATGAGGAATTCGACTCGAGAACTCTCTTGGCAGCAATCACTTCAACGTGGGCAAATTGTATGTTCCAGCCAAGCCTAGCGTTCCGCACGAGTGTGACTTGCTAACATCTTCACCTTCCCTAGGTGCAGCCCACAAAGTCGGAAAATATTCACTGGTATGGGTGGTTCTAAAAACACTCAAGCTCCAGTGTCTCGCCATCGCGGTCCCCCGACTCCTTTTATCCGCATTCATGTTTGCGCAGCCCTTTCTCATCAACCGAGTCATAGATTTTGTAGGAGAACCACCGACACGATATGATCTAGAGGTGACGCGAGGCTTGATTGCAGAAACTTTCTTCGTGTACGCCGGAATTGCGGTATGCCCCCGAATATCTCCTAAAGAATATGAGCTTCTTAATGACCATGTCTTAGGTGACAAGATGCTACTCTAAGCACTTAAGATTCCAACTCATCACCATGATCCGGGGTGCGCTAGTGGGTATCATATACCAAAAGACACTGAACCTTGAGACCAGCTCGATTAGCGAGTCAGCACCCGTTACTCTCATGAGCACTGACATCGATGGTATTATCTCTGCTACGCAGTCATTTCATGACTTGTGGCCAAGTGTGATCGAGGTCGGCGTTGGCCTGTTCCTGCTTGATCGAAAGGCTGGTCACTCAAGTTTCCTGGTACTAGTACCAGGTATCTGTATGTAATTCTGTCTAACTCGTGGCACGAATCGATTCTTACACTTCACGTCAGTCTGTTGGTTGATATCGCAGGCAATCTCCAAGACCGCCATTCCCGCCCAGCGTGCCTGGAATGAGGCGATCCAGGCCAGGGTCTCAGTTACATCGTCTATGCTTGGACAGATAAAAGGAATAAAAATGGTGGGACTGAGCGATTACATGACACAAACTATCCATAGCTTTCGGGTTTTCGAGTTGGACATGTCTCGGAAGCTTAGAACTGTGCTCGCCTGGGTCACAAGTCTCTGTATAGTTTCCCTCTCCATCAATTGCACATAGCAAACTGACCATCTCTCTAGCGGCGACTGTCAACCTGCTCTCCCCTATTTTCGTCATAGTTGCGGCCGTCTGCTGGGCCAAGGGCTCATCGGGCCTCACAGCAAGCGACATATTCACGACCCTTTCTATGGTCATGCTTGTGGCACAGCCAATATCGACTATTGTGGGCTCGTATACAGTTTTCATCTCAGGTCTTGCTTGCTGTAGCCGAATTCAAAGCTTTCTTCTGCTCAACGAGAAAGCTGAGTACCGAGTGCTCACTAAGAATCTTGGTACCCGACTGCCGTCGTTGAATGACAATGACGTGCATCCGAGTGAGCGAGGTGTCGAGCTATCAGCATTGTACCGCTTTGCTGGCCGAAATCAGTCACCTGTCGTCGATGTCCGCCAGGCTACCTTTACCACAAAGGATCAACAAATCAAATTGCTCCGTGAAATCGAATTCCAGATCTCAACTGGATCCATTTCAATGATCGTAGGTCGCGTTGGCTGTGGGAAGTCTTCGTTGCTCAAAGGCATCCTCGGTGAGCTACACATGACCAGTGGCACAGTCCACTTAGCCACATCCTCAATATCGTACTGCGACCAGACACCCTGGCTTCGAAACATTTCTATCCGAGATAATATTACCGGTCCACTGCGTTTCGAAAAAGACTGGTATGCCCAAGTTGTCTCAGCTTGCGCTCTTGATCGAGATTTTACTTCGTTCCCATGCGGAGATCAAACCCTCGTTGGGAGCGGGGGAATATCACTCAGCGGCGGACAAAGACAACGAGTAGTACGTCACACAATATCTTTTCCTGGTTCAAGCCACGGAACTAACATTTACAATGCATAGGGGCTTGCTAGAGCTGTTTATTCACGGAGCGCACTTGTCCTTCTCGATGATGTTTTCAGCGGCCTCGACGACACGACATCAGCCGCTGTCTTCAGTGCTCTACTGGGCGATGGTGGACTGCTTCGCAACAGAAACATAACTGTGCTCTTTGCTACGCATTCCAGTACGTACTCCTAGTGCTATCTTTCTTTCTCTCTCTCTCGCTCGCACGCGCGCACCCCTGGCTAAGCTGACCCTCCAACGCAGTCCAGTTCCTTAACAATGCAGACTTTGTAACCGTACTTGAATTAGGGATGATCAAATATAATCAAGTCAAGTTTGACTCTATCAATAATGAATTGAAGAATGCGATAAGAAGGAATGTAATGAAGACACGCATCGATATACGGCCAAACGTCAACTCTGAAGATGAGCTCAGTAAATTGCCTTGCCATAAAGCATCTTCTGGAAGCCCGAAAGATCCTGATCTGACTCGCCAGGCTGGAGATCTCGGTCTATACATGTTCTATGTGGGATCGATAGGACCTGTCTTCGCTCTGATATTGATCGTCCTAGCAGTTTCGTTTTCTGTCTTCAAGAAAATGCCACGTTAGTGAATCATGGTCATCCCCAGACTCGAATTGCTAAAACACTAATGACACCTACAGAAATATGGATCCGGATATGGACTCAACATGGAATAGACGAGGATAAGGGCCACTTTATAGGCATTTATCTGACATTCGTTGTAGCCTGTTTTGCATCAATATGGCTCCTCTCCAGGTGGGTGTCCTGGTAAAAGGACTGTATCTTTGGCGAAAATATTCATACTAACCAAGGATTCCAAGATTTTTCCTCATTCATGTCATCAGCAGGTCCTCGCAACACCTGCATTCGCTATTACTGAACGCGGTGATGAAGTGAGCAAAGCTTGTTGTCTTCTATATTTATCTTACCTCGTAGACTAACAATACCGCGCGAATAGGGCACCCCTTCATTTCTTCACGTTAACCGATAACGGCTCCACTTTAAACCGGTGAGCTAAACACGCAAGTCTCTTGTTATCTCCCCTACTAACGCTTCTAAATCGATAGCTTTAGCCAGGATATGACCATTATAGACCAGGTATTGCCTGGTAGTTCCTTCAATGCCCTACGAGGTTTGATACCGCGACTATTACCAGCCAAAATCTCACTCTGCTCACTTTCAACTAGATACCTTCAACATCATCACGGAGATAATTATTATTACATCCGGTGCACGATATGTTGCGGCCATCATTCCATTCTGTACGGTCGCGCTATATTTTGTTCAGTCCCTATATCTGCGCACATCTCGACAGATTCGCCGTCTCGATCTTGAAGCAAAGTCGCCCTTGTATACTCACTTCTCCGAGACACTCACTGGGCTCGTTACTATCCGAGCCATGGGCTGGAAGCAAGATTTTATCGAGGAGAACAGCAATCGTCTGAATAAGTCTCAGAGGCCATTTTACCTTGTCTATAGTGTCCAGGTGTGGCTGAATATTGTCCTGGACTTTGTTGTCTGTGGCATTGCCACCGCTCTGGTCGCTGTGGCGGTACTAACGCGCGACTCAACGTCCAAAGCCGCGATTGGTCTCGCACTGCTCAACATCATCAGCTTCAACAACACACTTTCGTTTCTCATTAACTCATGGACAAACCTAGAGACCTCTTTGGGGGCCGTCGCACGGTTACGCACTTTTTTGCTCCAGATTCCTGAGGAGGGTTTCATAGCTGAGCGCCAGGATCCGCCGGCGGATTGGCCTACCATGGGCGACATAAGATTCAACAACGTTACGTCAAGTTACGGGTATAGCATAGCCTGTTATAGTCCTTCATGGGGTTCTAGATATCGCTAACATAGATACATCCAGTCCCGAGCTCGCTCCTACAATCAGAAGCGTATCCCTCAACATCAAGGCTGGCCAGAAGGTTGGCATATGTGGTCGGACTGGAAGGTACGTTAGGCTGCTAGGAAATCTTAATAGACAAACTAACATGTCTTAGTGGTAAATCATCTCTGATTCTCACCCTCCTCCGCCTATTAGACCTCAGGTCAGGCTCCCTACATATCGACGGGCTCGACCTCTCCATCCTCAGGCGGGAGGCGATTCGATCTCGTATTATCACGCTACCCCAAGAGCCCGTCATACTGCCTGGGACGGTAAGAGAGAACCTTTGCCCAGCTAATCAGGTATTCTCGGACAAGGACCTCGTGGCAGCCCTGGAAAAGACAGGAATATGGGAAGTGATCAGTTTCAGGGGGGGCCTTATGGCTGAGTTAGACGAGATAGGTCTTTCTGTCGGCCAGAAACAGCTCTTCTGCCTCTCTCGTGCCGTTCTTCACGAGGCAAAGATATTGTTGTTAGACGAGGCAACGTCCAACTTAGACCCCGACACGGAGCAGAAGCTGCGACGGGTCATTCGCACTGAGCTTGCAGACTGCACTATCCTCGAGGTCGCACACAAGCTGGAAGCGATTGCCTCGTACGATCTAGTTATTATCATGCAAGATGGGGAAATTGTTGAGATGGGAGACCCTCGAGAACTATTACAGGTTGACCTTAGCGGGTCGGTATGAGTGACTACGTCTCGATCGACTCACAACCTGACGCGAAAAAAGTCCTTCTGTTAATTGTTGCGTTTTAGTTCTTCCACAAAGTATGCGAAATATTCACTTATTATATGAAAGCATTTAAATCATTGCATTTAATCGCACCGAAGCCTGTGTTTGTCACAACTAATTGCTCAAAGGTGGTGGGCGTCAACGTGATTGCGTGATATATTTATCATTAACGTTAAGGAAGTCTCCACGAGAGTATCTTTTTCATCGGAATGTAGAACCTATCTCCAGTCATTATCCGCATACCAGGGCACTTACGTGGCTTCATGTGGCCCACTTAGATCCACTACCCTAAGTTCCTCTGACCCACGGCCACAAGCACCCTGAATTTGCTAGCTCACGACAAGGGCTCGAGATCTGCCTGAAAACGTCTTAGTTCTGACACATGCTTGTAATAAGTGGAGTCGAGGCTACATGGTCTTTTGTTGATTAGTACCATTTTCAAACGTATCCATGTCCCATGCATTGAAGTACTTTTCCCTAGCAAAGTGGACCTGATACCAGAATAATAGAATTGCCCAGTCTACAAGGGCAAAGAGGATATATAAGACAGCACACCTACAAGGATGCGGGGTAACATTCTACATCCTAACCTCTGTCCATTGTAAGACTTCAACATACTTGAACCTAGATCCGTTGGTTCCTCAATGGCCCCAGTTTCAGTCGTACCGGAACAAGGTCCTCTCCTGTTGGATATTAGCGATGAGCATTACAATGATGTTTTGGGCGAGACGATCGAGGAAGAGGATGTTTCCGGCTCTCAGCTGCCTGATGCTACAGTTTCATCCGACTCTTCGCGAGTACTCATACAAATATGCATCGTAACACTTTTGTTCGACTTCACCCAGTACTCAGTCTACGCTCCTTTGACGGAGGTCTTTGAGGAGATCATCTGCAACAATTTTTATCCAGCAGGCTCTCTTCAACGGGACTGTAAGTCCATCCCGGTGCAGAGTGAACTCGCACTTGTAAAGGGATACAAGGATGCATTCAACCAGATACCAAGTATGTTCTCCGTTGCAGCATACCTGACCGTGGTTAAAAGAAATCTATGACCTAATAGCTAAATATGGTGTCGCTCAGGCATCGTCCTCGGCATCCCACTGGGCCTGTTGGCGGATCGCATTGGTCGTAAACCACTCATATTGTTATTTCTGCTCGGCATATTCCTTAGCGATACGTGGGTGAAGATTGTGAGTAAGTGAATCTTCTGTGAAACGTGATGAGACATTTCTGAATCCCTGCTAGCCCTCTTCCCAAATCAGCTTCCTTTGCGTCTGGTATGGTTAGCACCAATTCTGAAAGCCGTGGGAGGTGGCGCAAATTTCGGTACGTCAATGTTTTACACAGCAGTAGCCGACATCGTCGAAGAGAAGCGTCGGTAAGTTACACATACTCGCCGGTTGTTGAACTAGCTAATGAATTTTGTGTTCCTGGCCATTAGGGGTGATGCCTTCATGAAACTGTCCGCCATGGAAATGATCGTGCTAGTTGCCGGCGCCCCATTAATATCAATTCTTATGAGAATTAATGCTTGGTATCCCCTTGGGCTCTCCTCTGTACTCCTCGTCGTGGCGGGTCTCCTCGCCATGGCGCTTCCAGAGACGCATCCACAGCACCGGAGAGCCAGCCTTGAATTGCCGGATCCAGTGCAAGCACAAGCCTCCGTCTCCGGCAACAATGAAGAGACTCAGCAGTTGGATTCTCATCTTGAAACGGTGCGGAAGCTGATGCCTCGCGCTTACGCAAGCTCAGCAGATTTGTTGAAAAATCCAGGCATTATTCTGTCGCTTGCTGTGTTTCTTCTCGCCGCGTTTGGAGCGCACGTGTGGGCATTGCTATTGCAGTATGTTTCTCATAAATTCGAATGGGAATTCAGCACGGTATGATAGTCTTCCCATTTATCAGTCCTTTACCTTGCTGGTACGATATTCAGGGGAGGCAAGTTTAGGATGCAAGGAAGCTGACATGCGAAACAGGCAAACCTACTATTTTCCCTCCGTGGCGCTATCACTCTCCTGCTCTCCCTGATCATCATGGGGGCAATTGACAAATTTATGCAGCAGAAGCTTGGCATAAAGTCTGCTCAGAAAGATCTGTGGCTCTGCACAGGAAGTTGCATCTTGATCGCCGTCGGAGTTGCCGTGGTTGGAGTATCTCAGAGCCCGATTCTTATGGTCGCAGGCGTCGTTGTTTCAGCGCTGGGGTCTTCGCTTCTGGTTTCTTTGCGATCTGCTATGATTTCTCTGTTCCCGCATACTCCAATGGCATCGCTGAACGCTGTTGCTGGCATGGCACAAAGCCTTGGTATACTCATCTCAGGCCCAGTCCTGGCGGCAACGTATAGCTGGGGGCTCTCTCAGGGTGGTATCTGGGTCGGGGCCCCGTTCTTACTTGCGAGCGGCTTGCACTTCATAGCGCTTGCTGACATATTCTATCTACGCCTCACTAGAGCTCCATCGCAAGTTGTTATTGCACACGAGAGCTCAGAGGCGTGACGCTTGGTATCGGGAGGCTCATAAGACGCGTTTGGAGCAGTATGCAATCTTGATTTCAACTACATCAACGACTTATCGTCGGAATTAGAGATTATGCTAGAATTACGTGCAAAAAAGCAAAATATTGTGTCCAGAAGCCAGGCTAGATCGAATGAAGGTAGATTCGAAGGGCTCCGAGCATGACGGGTTCTAAAGATAGGGCACCTAGAATAAATATGTTGTAACACTCTAAACTTGTACTAGCCCATTGCGAAAGGTAACGTCTTTCGGGATGCAGTCCTGGCTTGAAATCTTGTTCATTTCTTCTTCGAGCAGCTTAGCCTGCTTAAATTTGACCTATTAGAGTTGTGCCGTCGTTAACAACTTTGCCTCTTGCCATAGTGGGTAAAATACATTTGTTCCTTCTCTGTGACTCATTTCGCGGATTGATTTCAGGGAATGCCAAGCCGGTCGACACAAGCTGAATGTAGCTGGTACTCGCGGTCCCGAACCATGCTCAACGCCTGCTCCAAGTCGAATGACGCCACAAGTAGCAGATCCTCGAGCGCAGTGGGCTTTGCCGCCACCACAGCTGCAGTCAGGGCGTCAATCTGGTTTTCGACGATTGGGAATCTCGATAGAAAGTAATCTTGGTAGCATTCTACCACTAATCTGGTAGCCTCATATTCCGAGACCTGAGCACGCGAAACCCGGGGCGTTGTGGAATGAATGCGGTAGCCATACCCGGGGCCTCGCACAAACCCAATTTCTAGGGGCTCATTTCGCTTCCATCTGCGCGCGAGCAAAGAGACACCGAATGCCCAGTCTTGCCACTTGGGTACGGTCTCCATGTAATGCAAGCCGTCTAAGATTTCGCTGCGACGATATAGAATAGCGGTGGGCACGTGGTGTTTCCGAGCAACCAATTCTTCGCGTAGCGGATACGAGGAGATGGTCAACCCGTGAAAGTCCCCAAACATGCTCGCCAGCGTGTGTACGAATGCAATGTCGTGATTTTCTGAGAGAATCCGTGCTCCTTCTGACAGAAAGCCTTCGTGCCCCAGGGTAGGAAGTAGGACGTCATCGCCATCTACACAAATAACAAAATCGCCAGTCGCCGCTTTCAAGCCTGTATTGCGAGCGACTTGGACGCCACGATTGTTTCCATGACGGATGATCTTGAGGTCTGGCTCCGAGTCCAAGTCGCCTATCACACGTATGGTCGTCCCATCAGTTGAGCCATCATCGACGATAATCACTTCGACCTCAACGCCGACTGAATTCTCGCGGATCGAAGAAACACAATCGGCGAGATATTGGCCCGTATTGAAAGTGGGAACGATGATAGAAACCCGATGCATCGTCAAAATGTTTCGAGAAGGACGGCAAGTCCATCTGATAAAAACCGGTATAACAAATAATTCATGAAGTCAGTGACTCAGATCAGCTTGCACCACTCCATTTATGAGGGGGACAACTTATTTATTTTCCTTTTTGCGTTAGGCAATTTAAAGCGATATCGATTGACAGCTGATTTCAATTGTGTCCGAACTCCACCCACTGACAGAATAGTGGACGCCTAAATAAGTTAGATGCGATCCTGCTTCAAACCATGATAGTATCCACTGCTGCCTTGAGTCCGTACGTTAGCTTCGGACTTTCTGCCCATGAGCTGATCTCCCGATTGACCTTCTTTAATGGTATTAGAGGCAAGAAAGAACAGGGAGCAAGATCAGGGACCAATTTGACGGCTAGGGTTTCCCTGCGATGTTGCAGTAACTAAACCTTCTGGACTATTGTACCTCCCACGAAAGAACACCCCACCCTTCTCCCCCCTTTGGGTTTTTTAGGCGCGCTACAATAGTGTCTACCAGGTATCTAGTATTGAAAGCTCCCAGGCTGGTGCTCGTTGATCGGCCTTCTACAGCAAGCTTTCTGGGCGCCAACCTATCTGATATATATCAACCGTCCACGTCAGACTTATTATGCAAGTTTGTCTCTAGACTAATTCCCTAATAGCACGGAGATTGCACCGAGACTTCTTATAGCCCAAGTGTCTTGTGATTAAATTGCAAGCTACCGTCACTCATGGGGATTCTTAGAATTCGTATTCAGAGAAATATACACTCAACGATCATGAAGCTCAAGTACAGGCATGTTCACCTACAATGTGCTAGACTATGTTACTTCTTGGGTAGACCTTCCGACAAGCCGTACTCGGCCCGCCCAGCTTGGATCAAGTCTCGCTTTTCCACGTCTACGATTACAACTCCGCTTCCTGCAATGAGATCATTCACGGTAGCTGAATTGATGGCACCCGATCTTGCACATGCAAAAAACCGGCATCATGTAGCCAGTGCGGCCCAACATCTTGAGCAACATGGTATTCTTAAGATTAGCCTGGGGTTTCAAGATCCTGACAGCCAGTACCTCGAGCAATTGGTCCTCAGCCTTCATGAGCATCACGGTCATCAGCTTCCGATATCACACAGTGCATCGTGCGGGTGGTTCTGGAACGTTCGGCCAACCATTAACACCCCTTTCCAAGCCTCTCAGTACCAGGCACGATCGGAAACAGCGGAGCCGTTTCCCTGGCATACCGATTGCAGCTATGAAGACTTGCCGCCACGATACTTCGCACTCCACGTGCTTCAGCACGATCGACTCGGCGGCGGATCCCTTGCGATCATGAATGTGCAGAAGCTGACCGAGCTGCTCTCCCCAGACACACAAACATCTCTGATGCAGCAAGACTACCGCTTTTTAGTCCCGCCGGAGTTCACCAAAGAGCCTGCAAAGAAGGAGATCGTAGGTAGTGTGTTGGCGTCTCGGCGGGAATTCCAACCCTACATGATGCGGTTCCGGAGAGATATCATTAAACCATTGACAGAAAGAGCGTCAAAAGCTTTGCAAGAGCTCGACATGTCTCTGAGCGATGATAAAGCGAAGGAATATTCAACGCTGTATCTTAGATCGACAGACCTTCCCGCAGGGAGCATTATCCTGGTGGACAATCGACGTTGGTTACATGCACGAAGTAACATCAAGGACCCGGAGCGGCACTTGCGTCGAGTGCGATGGGATGCCATTCCCTTCAACGATGCTCATCTAGAATAATTCAAAGTACCTGTGCGGCTATGTAATGGAAGAGAATCATGTTGATGGGCAAAATGAATTGACTAATGCGTCGACAGGAAGATGCGTTCACTCAGTGCTTCCTATCTAATACATCAATGTATCAAACCTAGCCCACCCATTGCAGAGCCAGAGAGCGCTGCAGTCGTCCAGTGCTCCATGGATATGACAAGCAGACTGTCGACAAGGTCTCACCTATCTCGCAGCACTCCCTGGGCAGCCAAGCGATACTTTGGTGTGACGTTCTAAGTTCTCGGGTCACTCTGAACAAATTTGCTCTTTAATCTGTTCATCGAAACAGCGCGAATACCCTTAGCTTTTAGATCTAATTACACTCTTAAGAGCTTCCATACGATATCTAGCCATGCTGATTCTTATTAGGCCGTTTGACTAAACTGTAAAATGGCTGTAGTCTATAACCTGAAACAAACGTCAAGTATGATTCCAGCTTGTGATTACCAACTACGTTCTGCTTATGCCGACAGGCTCGGTATTGCAGGCTGCAGCGCATTCAAATTGACGACGATATCACAGAGAAGGGTGAAAAGAATATAGTTGTCAAATCAGAATTGTACCTGTGTAAAAACCATGGCTTTAGAGGTATAATGAGCCCGAATCGATACCACTACGCTCATTTCTTGCTCCGCAACAAGATGGTGCGAGGATGTCCCCGCCTTCCTCAGGCATTGCCCTCTAGTCGTGCGATCGTCTGGCTAAGAAGATCCATCTGGCGCTGTACATCCCGATCTTCTTTCCCGTCCCAGAAATTCGCATACTCTAGACGACACAGATCCAGATGCTGCCGCTTGCCCCAGCCCGGCGTGTTGTTGAGAATGGAGCCGAAACGGTCCTTCCTTAGCCCACAGAAGATATACGCCAACTCCTCGGCGTACTCGCCGATGTAGCCGCGCACGACGTCGCGGGTGATGCTGGCGCTCTGGAAGTGGTAAAATTCAGTGCCGTAGACGGAGTGGAAGAGCCCAGCGTCACAGACTTCCTGGGGCAGCGACTGCGACTTTAGGAAGCTGTAAACATTGAAGAGATGCTGATAGAAGGACTTTGCACCGTGGTATTCTTCGGCGGATGTGAGCTCTTTGAGGAATGCGAACTTGTCTTTAGCTAGAGGTTGACGCTCCTCGGCAGAGGAAAGCATGTTATCGGAGCTGCTCAAGGCTTTGTTTCCGCCGGCAACCTTGCTTGAAGTGGCCATTCTGATTATTTACACAGCCAATTATCTGAGTAGGATACCTGTATGGAGAGGATTATGTGGGAGCAGGTTTAAGAAGTTTAGGAGTGCTCGAGTTCGGCAGACTGGCAGGCGTCGTACAGCGCCAACGAAAAAGACAGTCAAGATGGTGGCTCCGCTGGAGGATGATGAATCCTTCTATATAATATATTAGGTACCATAACCGAGCTTTCTAACTGTGGTGGAAGCAATAGATAACTGTACTATGGTCTCGAAAGTAATAAAGCAAATGTACCCTAGTATTGGTCTAGGCACTAGCTTCGACAGGGGTATCTCGAGGTGTGTGTTTTTTGGGCCTGTGCCACAGTACTGCAGGTACTTATCAACAAGTTTGGATATAGCGGTATCTACTTCGTATTCAGTAGTGACGCCGATTTTAGCCGCCCTTGTGGGGTCTGCCTATACTGGTGCTTACCGTTACCCCTCGCCCGGACCACCGCCCCCCACTCAGTACACTTCTGAAGACGGATCTGCAAGCCTACTGAGCTAATTACTCCCTGCGCAGCAACTAAAGTAGACGGGCACAAGTGCTTTTTACCTACTGGGTACTAAGTAGTACGCAGTCCAGCACGCATAGCATTCAAGGAGCCGTCCCTATCTCCTCACCTTCAGGCCCACCAGCTCAACGCATGAGAACGTATCATGATGTGATATATCATAGCTTGCCCCGATGATTTTCCTAAGAAAAAACCTGCTATTATAAGTGGACGGCAGGCGTATCACGGAAGCACAACAAGATTTTATCCAACGACAAGCAACATCAGAAAGCAGATGTCGTGCACATCAAGCTTCCAGACTCCAAGGGAGACCAAACTCCCAGCCCCTCGAGAGGGTCGAGAGAAAGATCAAGACATCGGTATTTCAAGGACGGTGGCTTTTTCATTGGAACCGACAAGGCGTTTCTTGTTCGCTGTCATTGCTGTCACAACAGTCGCTCTGACAGCACTCTCGCGATGCAGGGAAAGCATAGTCAACCCACTCAGTTTCCAGCCTTGGAGATCTCATCCCTTTACACATCCAACGCTTGAAGGATCTGTCTCTCTGCCAACCTTGGAGACCGTCTTACTGTCCGAGCCCAATGCGTCTTGCGCCGCGGATTGGAGCTACTACTATACCTCGCAAAGCCACTTCGCAGGTGAGGGCAAAGCACAAGGCCTCTGGACCGAGAAGAAATGGCGAGAATTCGGCATACCAGAGACGGACATCATCAAATACAACGCATCCATAAGTGAACCTGTCCAGCAACGGCTGGTGTTGATAGACACGTCAAATCCTCAGTCCCCGTCTGTGATGTACGAAGCCAAATTGATGGAAGAACTGCCACCCAACGACCATTCTGAGATTCGAACTCCTGCTTTCCACGGGCAATCTTCTAGTGGTGATGTGACGGCACAATTTGTATACGTAAATTTTGGCCGTGACCAAGATTACGACGAGTTAGAGCGGGAAAACGTCTCCGTAAAAGGGAAGATTGCCATCGTGAAGTATGGCATGGGCTATCGTGCAGAGAAAATGACTATTGCAGCAAAGAGAGGCCTTGTTGGTATTTTGATTTACACGGATCCACAACAGGACGGCAATATCACAGAAGGAAATGGGTACAAAGCGTACCCAGACGGACCGGCTCGGCCCGAAACTTGTATAGAGAGGGGGGCAATAGGATCAATTCGTGAGTATCCTTGCTTGAACCGATCACGTCCATCGGGGAATGTTAATAAATGTCGTCAGGTAATGCAAGCGCCGGTAATCCCAGCATACCAGGCCATTTCATTCCATCACTCCCAGTCTCCTACGGCGACATAGTACCATTCCTCAAGGCGCTCCATGGTCACGGCCCAAAAGCAGCTGACATGAGCAGTGATTGGCATGGCGGTGGTTTGTACTACAAGAGAGTAGAATATCATGTGGGCCCATCGCCATCACATGTTGTATTGAATCTGGATAACCAAATGAGCTTCCCGACTAAGGACGTGTACCAAGTAATTGGCACCATTAAGGGGTCCACCGAGGATGAGGTGATCATTTTAGGAAATCATCGCGACTCGTGGGGGCCCGGGGCTGGTGACTCTATCAGCGGTGCTGCAGCGTTGATGGAAGTTGTCCGAAGTTTCGGAGCGGCATACAGAATGGGTTGGCGGCCTCGGCGAACCATCATGTTCATCAGCTGGGAAGGCGCAGAAGTCGGACAGGTTGGGTCCCAGCCATGGATAGCCTCTCATTTACCCTGGCTTCAGAAGACGGCTGTGGCATATCTGAACGTCGTCGTTGCAGCAGGAGGCACCCAATTTCAGGTCAAAGCAACTCCACTCTTACAAAGAGTAATCCACAAGGCCACGAAAGCGGTCGCTTCTCCCGAAGGAAGAACAGTCTTTGATCACTGGGGCGGGGAGATGATCGCAGCAGGAGGAGGAGATGCCATTCCATTCCTTGAGACTGCCTGTGTGTCAACAGTTGACTTCAGCTTCGGTGCAGTTTATTGGGCCTACCACTCAAACTTCGACACCTTCGCTTGGATGAATACCAGTGGAGATCCAGGATGGAAGTATCACGTCACATCTGCAAAGATATGGTCTTTGATAGCGGCATACTTGTCCGAGAGCCCCGTCTTGCAGATCAGAGCTGCTGAGTATGCTATCGCAATGCGGAAGTACATCAAAAGGATCAGAGACGCCATCCCAGGCTCGGCGTCTTTCGACCTCGCGCCTCTAGAAAATGCTATTGAAGAATATCATAACGCAAGCATGATCTTGGATGCTTACGCGTCCTCTCTCGAACCAACCGAGACAGCTGAGACGATTAGACAAGTGAATCAAAAGTACCTGAACCTGGAACGACAATTCTGCTACAAGGGCGCACATCTGGTCTATGAGTTTTCTGCTTTCTACACAGATCCGCCAGAGTTCCCTCGCCTCTACTGGAGCCTAGAGTTAGGAGACTTGGAAGCAGCTCAGGTAAACATGTCCCTCAAACCCTCTTCTCTCCAACAACCGTACTGACCACGCCAAGGGGTGGATGGACATCATACAGGCCAGGATTAAAAATGCCGCTGATCTTTTGAAGTTGTAAATCAGGGCAGCCAGCCGAAAAAGGCAGTCGTAAGACCAAAATATTGTATGAGATGGAGAACAAAGATTGAAAATGTCTCTATCAGTCCAAGCTTGCGGTATGCTTGTCTTCTACTGAAGATTGGAAAGAACAGAGTGTAGTGGTTCTCAATTACAAAATCCGAAAGTTGAGAGATTGATTGGGACAGGCAGATTTCTAAGAAGGGTAAGCGTCATACATAGTTTCTTATTGCTTCTAACATCAAATTCGTTGTGCCATAATCCTCGTGCATCCATCTACTACAGAAGATTCTAGCACCTTCAACGTGGTCACATCGTACTGCACTATGGATAGCTCCAGTGCTAGTAGTGGCGCACGCATAACTTGTCATATCTCCAAGCCATCCTTTCAGGGCACAAAGAGGGAAATTTCATGGTTTAAGCCACAGTCAGATGCTGGTGTGGATTAAGCAGAAATGCACACCTTTTCCCAACAAGAAGCATAACGTTTAAAAAATCATAACGAAATAAGTTAACGTATATTAAACGTTTACGTACTCTTATTTAAGCACGGTTTAAATATATATTAGCACGTTTAGCTTTAGCTCTTGTAGGGAGGCATTATTTTAACTAAAGATTATATCGTTTCCGAGAGATTCCCAACCTATATATCATGTTTAGGCGTAAATATTTAGAGAGACAACACCAGGGTCTTTAAATTATCGAAGTTCGGTGTCCCGAAGCCTGTTACTGGATCCCATCCCGGAGTGGCATTCCAGAACGCTCTAGGTATGATACCCGCGCCAGCCGGCTCCGGCTCGCTGGATCGACCGTTCACGCCGTTGCACCCCACGCTTTTTCCCGCCGTGATGTCATTCAGCGCTTCGTGCCCGACCGTGTACAGCAGTGGGTTGAGCCAGCCCAGTGTGGACTTGCCGGCGCGCAAGCGCGCGTCGTTAAGTAGAGCGACCACGCCAGCCCAAATCGGCGTGGCTCCGCTGGTGCCGCCGTTGTAATCTCGCTGCCCGTTGTAAAAGCCCATGTACCCCGACATCGCCGAGTGCGCGGCTACATCGGGGAAGCCGCGCCCGTTAAAGTTAGTGTACTGGCTGTAGTACTTGATGGTCGCGCTATCGACCTGATTCAAGTACCTCGTGATGGCCCCTTGTTGATACAGTGGGCGAGGGAAGTACTTGCTGAAGCCGCCCGAAGAGCCTGACCATGCAGCCTCCGGGGAAGAGCTACCGACAGTGCCGCCAACGGAGGTAATGTAAGGGCAGGTAGCGGGGAAGGCCGGATTGAACTCGGCAGTCTTGTTGTCTGGGGCAACGCAGCTGGCGCCAACGCCAGTGTCGCCTGAAGCCGAGATGATCGTGATACCGCGAAGACCTTGAAGGGCAATGAGGGAGCAGGTTAGGACGGCGTAGTCATAGGGAACAGTCTGGACTGCATTAGCAACAGCATGTCTACGAGTGGGAGCGACCGGCCTACGTCTTCGGCCTCGCCATACGATAACGAGATGACTTGCGGTAGCTCGCTGTTGGGCCTTGACAGCAAGTACCGGAAGAAGGGCACGAAGGGCTCATTAGTGTTCTCCTCAGAATCGATACCTGGGATAAAAGGTCTACCCAAGGTCAGCCCAACAATTCCTAGATAGAAGACGTGCCATGATTGACGTACGGCGAGCCCCCAGTAAGAAACTCGGTTATCGGTAGGGGAGCAGCAATGCCGATCATGTTTTGGACATCAAGATTTGCTTCATGAAACGGTGTGGCTGGGTCTTGGTCGTCAGGGCCGTCTGCTATGATCACCTTGGTGACATTCTGGCGCGCGACACCGAAAAAGTCCTCGAACTGAGCGACGTCGGCCCGGAGCGACGACTGCCCTAGGAAGCTACCGACGCCGGCACGACTTCCCGCTGTTTTGTCGGGAGAATAATTGCCGATGTTGTACATCTCTTTTAGACACGCAGGCGTCATACCGTTCTCACATGAAATATTCGTCCTTGTTTTATGCTGGGCCTGTTCGCTGTGCTTTACTGAGGTTGCCGCTTGCGCTTTTGATTGAAACGCTTTGGTGTTGCCAAAGTAGGTGCTGGGTTCAAGGAGCACAACGTGCTCTTGGATGTTATCTGGAATGGAGTACGATAGAGTCCGCAGCTTTGTTATATTCTCAGTGGTGTAATGTTGGTATGATGCATTGAAAACATTATTGGCGGTCGTCAGATCAGTGACGAAGTCGACGAAAGCACCGTCCACCTGATAGTTGAAGATTCCGCCCGCTTCCAGCCAGGCGGTGACGTTGTTGACGGCACCGGTCGAAGGGCCGAAGATCGATTGCAGCTCCTGGGCATCTTTAAAATTGCCATAGTCCGAGCTATGGGGGTCTGAGGTGCAGAACAGCAGCGGCTCGAGCATTTGAATGTTCTGCATCGCCAGAGCGAGCGTGAAAGTTATCTTGGTCTCGCTGCGCGGCTGGACTACTGCCCTGGACCAGCCCGCAGGCGCTGTCGTAAAATGCTGGTGGTAGGCCCCAAGAACGCTTGGGGCGGCTAATGAGAACAATGCAGCATAGCATGCAGCGTTAGGAGAGATCATGATCATGGTACTAGCCTTGGACGGTACCGGTAAAAGTTGGCGAGCTTAGAGCTGCAAAAGTACGGCTTGAGGACGAGGAGACTGACGGAGCTGGGTTCGTTGAAGATTTATAGACGCGGCCTAGCCGCCCTGTTCTTCCATGTCTGATAGGGTACGCTCCTCCATGATTATCTAGGGATGTTAAAGCCCCTCACAAGGTACCGACGATCAGGGTGGCCAATAAGACCAGCACAGCCCAGCTCAGTACAAGTTAGATATGCCCTTGGAGCTCCTCTACCCATTGGCTCTTGATCTTACCATAAGTACGGAGTAGACCTTTTGCTATAATATGTCGATACTTCTCCGTGGTTCTATCGCTACTTGGCCAGAGTCCCGCATTAGCTATCCAAAATAAGCGACTCCTAGATTCAATTACGCCCTGAATTATTCCAAACCTCTACTCTTGATGACCCAGTCCCTCAGCCACCTCTCTATTACAGTAGTGCTTTTTCTGCTATTTCGGGGGTTGTTCTAACTACTGGTTTCTACGGACCTGTCAGATTCACCTACTGAGCTAGGATCATACACTTTAATTCCGTCTACTGTGCAAGTCGTATATTCCTGTAAGGCGCCAGACTTTGGTACCTCTTTTTTCTGCGGTAAGAAGTCGGGCTTCGTCGGTGTTCGCCCGCGAGGTACACTTACTTCTTGCAACGTAATACCAACATTGAAGTCAGGTATATTCGCATTGGCCCCTCTGCATACTTCGTCTAGGTCAACAAGGTCTATAGAAAACTACACGGGTTTACAGGGTTTAAAGAACTTACAAGGGTCTGCAGTGGTCTGTAAGATGAGGCTGGCACTTTGATTAGATCAAAAAGGGCTTTGATGTGGCCGTCTGGAGAACCACTTTTTCGGTTTCCGGAGATGACGTTTGAATGGGCGCCCGCGATACGGAATGTGGAAGGTAGTCCCTTATATGTGGACTTTCAAGCTTTTGAGTTTTTATCTGACGGATTGACATTAGTGAATACTCCACTCTCAAAGGATTATACGAGTGGGCTACTCCACCACGGATAGCGCATCGCTAACTATAGCCCTTTCAAGCTTTTGGCCAAGTACTTGGCGAAGTACTTGCTAGAAGAATCCACTTACGAAGGATTAATATAACTGGGCCTCTTTATGACCCGCTATTTGTAAAAAGAATTTTAAACGACATTGACGCCATAGTGGGCCTTAATTGCGATTAACTTTAATACGTAATACTCCAGCATGATCCCACTATTTTGGCTCAGTGCGGAAAATATGGATACCGTGGTAAAGTACCGGCTAAGGACTTTAAAAATGTAACGTTTTAGTCACAGGGGCATTATACTAGTACATCTTTGCACCCCTGGCCCAGGCCGGTACGGGCCTTGTAGTCGTGGGATTATCTAGCTTAAAAATACCCCTGGTACCGACCCTATGAGATACGCACCTATAAAGGTTTAGAAGTGTGGTGCTAAAGGATGGATTCTTCAAGCTCTCCTCCGGGTGGAGCGCGGCTATAAATCTATCTAGCTATCTATAGCAGAGCGGTGTCTAAAATTTTCATAAGGAAATGGTAAACAACATAGGCATGCTCATGAATCAAATGTAATTTTTAAGATGTGACTATCCTTTAATTGTTAAATAGTGAATATGTTGCTAAGCTGCACATACAAACTTCAATACGTTAATTAGGTTTGTCTTCCCGATGACAGCATTGTCGATATCCTCAAATTCTCTAGCTATTATACCTCCTGGTTTGACGGCACTTATCATTTCCGCGACCTCTCGTACATTAACAGTAGGGGGAAGCTGTTGACTCAAAGCGCTGTCCAGATGATCATCTCTCCGACGAGATACCTTCTATCCAGATGTTCCATCATAAATAATACCACCACGATAGTGTTTCTTCATTGATAGCTCCAAACCGCTCATCCGCTGCCCAATTCTGTTCACAACAGGCATTTCGTACCCTCCAGCATGACCCATTTGTCTTTCCACGCAACAAAAAGAATACGGTCCTTCCAGTGTACTCAAGGACACCTTGTTCAGCTCCGCCTTATTCGGGTCTTGCGTATCCGGGGGACCGACATTTCTCACCCTCGCACTCGAGTTATGGAATGCGCTAGACTCCTATCCCAGAAGTAAAGTGCGACTAAGGATAGAGACTGTCCCGTTTTACTGGCACAAAACGAGCCTGAAGCCTAGACTGTAAGATTCTATAGATATTAGCTTCTGGGAAATAGCGTCGAATTATGGAGGGTCCTACTTCTTCGATGCCATGAGGTAGCAATCCAATAATTTCTGATTCCTTAATTCCCAAGTGCCTACTTAGGCTCGTCAAGCTAACCAGGGCTTAGCGATTGTTTCTGTATCCTGTACTGTAATACATTTGATTTGTCCTGTTTCGCAGGCCTGAGGGCTGTTAGAAAAGAGGGCTTAAAGGTCGAGGTTGTCCGCAAACTCATGAAAAACAGCCTAACCAAAGTTCTTTCCAGCCATGAAAGACGTGTTCATGAGATTCTGCCCCCGACCTTTAGCGGCGGAGGTGAAGGCCTTGGGATTAAAACTACTGCGGTCTACGCTTCTTACAAGAGTTGCGGCGACAGACTTGTTGTTTCTGGTGGCGAAGACGCTAGAAATCAGATGTAGCGACCCCCGGGATCACGTCTTTGCGCTACTAGGAATCGCATCCGACGAATATTGTTTTGATCTTATCGACTACAGGTGTCCGATCACAGCTTTATCTGTTTGCATGTGAACCGTTGCTGCTGTGCTGCCTACTAAGTTCTAGGGGTAGGCTCACCTGTAGCTTGCTTGAACCATCTTGAGTTATCAATCCGTCGAGACTCCTGTCCATTCGATATTTCTGACTTGGCCCAGATCTAATCAACATAGGCTGTCGTATCCTCATAATCCGGCAGAGTTGTGATGCGATGGACAATAGCGAGATTGGTTGCTACGCTTTGGCGATGGTGTAGTCTTCGTTGCCGGGCATCTTTAGCGGGACGATCTTGTCGGTTATGACATAGACTATGAACGCTTCACTACGTGTTTCCAGAGATAATTCTGATGGCGAGAAAAGCAACAGGCATGAGGGACATTTGAGACTGGAACTATCGACTCAACCATAGCCAAGATTGATAGGGGCAAATCTAAAGTTAGAAATTTCGTCTCGATATTATGTGGCTATACAATGAATTCCAGTATTTTCTTTCCTAGCAAAGGTTTTCGACGGAGAAACTAGTCCCGAAGCCGTTCGCCTGTCCTCCCTTTCATTTACTGATGGATCACCGTTCTCGGGCGCTAGTTTAAAAGTAAATTCTCGAAGCTGCTGTTCTCATATATGTTTACCATGCCCAGAATTTTGATATATTATTGTCTAGCCTTCAAATTCTTCTATTAGAAACCTGGCTTAGGTTAGTTTGCGGCAACGACGTAGTCGCTGCAACGAAGTCTTTATCATCTGTGTTTAGACATGACTAGGCGTAAATTCTCGACTACTTTTGTACTTGCTCCGGGTATGTCAAAAAGGATAATGAAGCAGGCCGGCCGGCCGGTCGCAATTGCGGGCGCGGTTTCCTAGAGCTGCCATATCAAGTGATTAAACTCTGCTGCGCCTACCTGCATCGTCTTAGCCCTTGCATATGCATGCTTTCAGAACGGCCAGGGCTTCGGGACTGGCCCGAACTTTGGATGTTGCGCCACACTTTCCGCAAGAGATGCTCGGCTGCGCAGTAGAATAAAACCCGCTATTCGATTAGCGACCGGAGCAATGAAAAGCTCGCGCGCGAAGCTAAGAAGAAGGGTTGCTTTGGGCGAAGGCTTTGTCGTGGCGGCCATGGCGAAACCATCACGTTTCTCTTACATAGGTCGGTACTGTAGTTTATTTCAACAGAAACTGAACGGTACACTGTGTTCAATACACAGATGTTGGAAACCTCATCATTTGGTTGCAATTCGATTATCTCCTACTTCCTACCCCTTTAGTAATTAGGCTATCATGATCTTGTCTACAATGCAAGTACCATATCTGTATCTGTGATCAGCTTAGTCTCGTTCAAATGCAATGCATACTCGTGCCAATCCACTTTTAAGTGACTCATTGAAAGGATTGATCCGGAAACTCAATGTGTGTCTAGATCTTCTCAGAGGCGAGCTCGATTTATTGCATCAATGGTGCAGGCGGCAGGGGTAAAAAATTAGATTGGTTTGGTAGCAGACGGAAAATGCCACGTCTTCGGCTTCGGAATGCCGGAATCCGCCAATCTATTTTGCACGGAAGCCCCTTGCGTATGTACCTATCTTTATGGCATCGTGCCAACAACACTATAGCTCCTTGTTCAAAGGAACCTTGTCCTAGGCGTCAAAACTAACGCCCGACTTATATGTGCACAGCGCCCTGCTCATGCTATCCTGTATGTGCCCACTCATTGCCTTCTTTGCCGTGGTCCGCACAAAGTGCAATTCCTACCTCTTTAATCATGACTATCTCTCTTGTTTCGGTCGTTTGTATCGAACTCTTTTCTCTCATTTGCCTCATGATCCTTTGCCTTGTATTTTTCGAGACATGTCTGAAGTCCGCAATGTTCTGTCACGGCCAAGTATACTTTGGGTTTGTCTGACATTCACCGCTATGTAGGTGATAGTCAATGGGATTCGTTTTCCACTCGATTCATCAAGACTTCTAGCATGGACTACTTTTGTGACTCTAATGGAGGTCGGTTGGCTTTCGTCATTGGCTGAGAAATTCTGATGAACACAGTCTCTTTATGTCCTGCATGAGCCGCCGAGATCACGCCCGATCCTCACAACGAATGTATGGATGCTAGTTGCCACCTTCGTTGTCATCGTAGAAGTCACACTCATCGGGCTTCGCTTTCAATTTAAGAAGTGGCCGCAACTTGCCGCGATCATATTCCACTCTTGTCAAATTTCACTCTTGTCAAATTATACTGCAGAGGATGAATTTTGAATTAAGCTAGTATACGATTCTCGATATTTCACTCCACTTGCTGGAGACGTTGGCTGTAATCCCCTTGACCTTGGGTGTCCAAGAAGCAGTATCGTGTAAATCCGGTTATTATAGCGAAGAGCTATTCAGTTAACTCTTCTGTGTCCTTTTAGGCTTGCTGGTCCTGAATATAATTTGTTACGAGCTATTAAGCTTTCAACGAACTGTTACTGATGGTGAATGTTCTTTTCTTCGTCCATAGCACGTATCTGTGTACTTGGCTATGGTATTGAAGCTACGAAAATATGGATCGGGAAAAAGAACGGCTGTCGCCTTGTACAGTCTGGCCCTTTGGAACGGTCTTGTTTCGACGTAGCTGTTAGAGGTACATGTCAGCGTTTCCTTTGCTAGTATATTCGAGATCCCAATCTGTCCACCCTGCGATGTGTATCTAGGTAAAGTTGGTGGGGGTTGTTGGATGGCATTTTTCTTCTCGTCATAGACGAGAAGAACAATGCCATCCAATGGGTTTTAGAAGGATGGAACTTTTGGATCAATGAAGGTGTGGCTAGTTAAGTCCGAGGCACCCCGAATTGCTTCAAGTCCTTGGGTTGGAAGTGACGACGCAAAGATTTGGGCAAGCTCTAGTGGCTGGACATTCGTCAGAGATGACCTGGAAGAAGGAGCATCGGTTGTGCAGATTTCCAGAATTTTTATCTGCAGGGAACCACGAAAAGCGGGAATTTGAACCGCACTCCATCTACGGTTCTCGTTATGACGGTTAATCCGATAGGATCCATGCCTCGTCATGTTTTTAGATAATCGAATGGTGCGGTGAACTTCTTCGGACCAACACGGTTGCTCTGGTTGCTCCATCGCCTGGTCGCAGGTTGGACGTCGAATGCTCGTCGGTGTTCATGTAGCCACGAGAAGGGGCCAAGGCAAACTTGGCTCAACCGGTATGTCTTTGATAGCCCTAGCTTCCCCATGATAGAATTCAGCACGAGACTCAAAGTTGCTATAGAAATTGCGATTATCCCAACACATGCTGGACAGTGTGGACGGATGGTCTGAACCCAGCACCGACTTCCTTAGCTCTAGTGTCTCTCAAAGCAGATCTTCGGCATTTTTTATAATTTGTTAACTGGTTATAGCTTGCTTAACAATGTTGATCGTTCTGACAACCCACAACTAACATGGTTTTAGGCTCGTCGGGCATGGCGCTGTAAGGTTCAGAGTGCAAACATGCTTGATTCCCGTCAGCACTGACACAAGAAGGAAATAAATGACTTTACTACATGTGCAAGCAACCCATACCTCAGAGCTTCCGCCTCACAGGATACAACCGTAAGGGTATGGAGTCTCGATCCAAGTGATCACGAGCAGCCATGTATTGCTATCCTCAGCGGAGAAGGCCACTCCTCAGGCTTATTAGCGACTGTGATGTCGCAATGTTTCAATGAGTTGGTGATATATTATTGATGTATTCTCGACAGGCATTCCACAGGAGTGGCCGGTATATCCTCTCTGCAGGTCACGACAACTGCGTATGCATGATGCGGTCTTACCGTCATCGCCGTCTTGCCAAATCTTTGCCGATCGCTTGCCACAGTGGACGTTGCCAGATTTGTCTCGAAAATGGAGTGACAGGAACCCGAAGCCTCCAATAGTTGTATACTACCCGCATTTCTTAACATCAGAAATTGATCATGGGATTGTGGACTGGTAAGCGCGAGCTCTTCTCTAATCTACTAAACTGACCTGATTAGTGTCGCGTTCTACGGTGATTCAATCATTTCCAGGGTATGTCACGAAGAAGATCTTTGTACTGTGAGGATCGAGGGATTTTCTTCAGGAAACCCTGAGCCATTACAATCCGATACCCCCACAACTAGTGATAACTGAGCGGCGTACTCGATCGTCCTTCATAGCGGCATCTGCGTTGACAATCCCTCGATACACCCGCATGATACTAATCCATACGCCGGGAAGTGGTTATTAATTCTACATGCGCTTCATTCTCTTTTATTATAAGGAAAAAATATACGGTCCTCGCTTTCTGCAACGCCAAATCAACCATTTTCTTCTGGGACCTAGCGAGACTTGAGGTATATCACGATTTCATGAGCGAGCTGAACAAGCCGGGTCATGTAACCGCTGTATAACGGCCGCACTGGCTCCATTCACACCGGCGATATTGGGTTGAATAGAGACAAAGTGGCGCTGACATGATGTTCTAGGCCTACAGCATCCTCGCGGCACTGTGGACCATGCTGCGAGTACGGATCGAGGAGAGGACTTCCAAGCCGGGTCGACCAACACCGCGCTTACAGAGCGGGGAGAGCGAATCGCTCTCAAATCATGCACGACATGCGGCTTCAGCACCGATGAACTATCACAGCTCTGTGAGAAAGCGCTGGAGTTCCATCGACACGACAAGATTGCCTGGAACAGGTTAGTCAATGATAGTTATGCGGTGTCTTTGCAGGAAAGAATGCGACCATGCTGAGGATCAGTCTCTGGGCGATCCGAGACTATGCTATGACGATGAGGAGAAAGCGAGTTGATGGCGGCGCTGCTGCAAGATGCAAGGAAGGCTTGAACTTGTTCGGACCACCTAGCATCTCTTCAAGCTACAGATCCCAGATAAACGTCTGCACTCCTCCACGAAATCACACGGACCACACTTCTGATGATGCGTTATACCTCAGGGAGAACGATGATAATTTGGGACACACTAGTGATCAACACTATGTAGACGGAGAGCCCCGGGGAAGACCTGCCAAGAGAAGATGTGCCATATGTCATATGCCTTGGAATCCCCGGCAAGAGCAGACTCTGCGAGCGGGGAAGGAACAAGATCAGAGCGGGGAAGATATAGCCACAAGATTAGACAGAACGCCTAGAGGAGTGAGGCAGCATTAGATTATGATAGAGCGCAGGTTTAGTTTGAGGAAGCGTCGAATTTAGAGGCAATCGGATTAATGGATCTCTATATAAGCGAACGAGAAAACTACATGGGCATAACTACAATGAGTAAGTATATATTCCAACAAGACAAGATGTAACAGCTGGACAAGACTATACAACTAGAAGGTAAACCTAACAAAGATACAGAGAGATATACGACCATACTTTTTTTCCTCGACGACTCTATATATTCCTGAGCCATAATGCGTGTAGCTTGCGATTTGGACACGCGTCATACTCTCTCAAGATACCAAGGATGGTCTCAATAACAGGCGAGGATATGTCGCATAAGCAGTCAGATGATGAGAGGAACCTGATGAAACTGCAGCACGACTGGTGCAGCGGGAGGTAGAGCTGTTAAGATCTGGTAGGAAAGTCGACCTGACTTGTCTAAGATGGCTGCTCAATGGGAGGGAACCTCTCCCTTGTCGGCCTCGGGGCCTCTCTTTCTCGCTCGCAGCCAGGCTCAAGCTTCTTGGTGGCCATGTACTTCTACGTCGACTCGAAAGTGTATAAGAAGAGCAGCTCCCTATTGTTTATTTCCAGAGTCGCTACATGTTTTACTTGCTGCACCACCTCCATAGTCCCATTAATAGTCCCAAAGATCCCTTAGGCGTTCCGACTATATGCGCTACACGCTTAAACCCCACGAAAATCAGCCTACGTAGCTCTGTTTCTACATGGATCATATCTTGATTTTGTCCGTCTATTTGATGGTAATTATGTTGCTGGTCATGATTCTAGGAGAAGATGAAGAGCGGACGATATTTTTTTCTCGACGACGTTTCTTCTGACATTGATGACGTTTGCTCTCTTAGTAACAATGCGCGCACTCCCGTCGACGTTTCCTGCTACTCATTACGTCAGTTTCAGGTACTTTTCTAACGGTTCCCAACTACGACAAATTTTCGAGTGCGACTGTGACGCAAGTTCGGAAATAGGTTTATTTCATAAACAAAAGATAAGGGAGAAACTGACCGCGTGTTCCAGATTGTGTCAGACTGTCAATTTGTGGCGAAGACGGATAACTTGGTTCGCTAGAGCTTCGAAATGCCGCCAAACTTTGCCTTTATAGAGTGCCATGACGTTCGACGGGGACAGTTCTTGGTTTACACGGTGACTTCCCGCACGCTTCTACATGAAGTGGAATTTCTTGATTGAATATCCATCGATCGGTCTAGGGAAGCTCTACCTTTCATCTTCATTGCGCCGAATGGTCACGGGATCGAAAAAGAGGACTGTGTTAGCGAAGAGGATGTGACGTCCCTGGCTAAGAGAATCAAGGATACAAGGGGTAAGGTATATGCTATTTCAATCAGCAGGATCCAAAGTAAATCGTGTACGTCGCGTACGGAATTTGCCTAAGTGAATACATCGGTTGATTCTTGTGATACGGTTATATTCGACCTGATACCATCCCGTTGTAGACACAAAGAGCTGCCGCGGATACGAGTTGCAAAATTGTAAGCGGCTAGAGCTCTAAGACCACAAACGTCTCAATGCTGGTCTGTCTCTACGTAGGTCTTCAACCATGCGTACAGTCGAAAAGATAGACGCTGAACGAGGAACGTTGTGATAAACTTATCTTCCTCCCTCTTTTACAGACCTTTCCCTTCTCTATCCAAGCCAGAGCCGCAGTCTTCGAGGGCTTGACCAAGAATTTGGTTCTTGGAGGCAGCGCGCGCTTCTCGTAGACAGTCCACAAATGCGTGTCTCGCAATTATATCGGGGATGTGGTTGCATGAGTCCTCCCGTTCATCTCCCCACGTTCAACCACCGGCGACGAGCTAACACGTTCGCCTTGCGCATCTCTGCTTGGCCCTGTATCGTGGATTGAGACAATCATCATGTGGCTGGCGACAAGTTGCCGAAGAAGCCAGACTAGCCGCGATGCTATGGAAGCGTAGCCATCGTCTCGAACCGCTAGATTCATCGATTGATCGTTGATTGATCATCAACCCACTGTCAACTGATCACGAATGCCGTCCTTGTAGCTTCATCTCTCCTGAGCAGTGTCCCCGTCGGACTGGAATTCGTGAACGAGTTTGTCGGGCTGCCTGCGTAGCTGTCTTCCTTTGCTTGCATGCCTAGCTGCGAATCACTGCTTCCTGGCTCCGTCCCGTTCGGATGCCTTGAGGTCTTCTCGCTAAGCTTCCGCTAACTGAGCTTCACAGGTCGGACTTCTCTGAATCTTCAGCGGCAGGCAGATTGGGAGGCGACGGTTGACCTAGCTCATCTAGAAATGATAAGCCCTCAGGCAAGTCTTCTGGCCTCCTTTTCGGCCGTTGTCCTTGTCTTGTTTCGCTCGTAGCTCGAGAAACTGCTCCAAACTAAGCGACATTTTCGATGCCATTGTTGATACACGTACCGCAAGAAGAACCAGTAACAGTTGAAAGGGGAAGAATTGCAGGCTGATACTTTGCAGGTTGACCTGTTCCAGCGGAGACGAGCGGAGTAGAAACAATGCCTGGAGGCGCCGCTAGTCCTGCATTGTCACGGCATTGTCACGGACTGCACAATCGCTCCGCGCGGGCAACCACGCTATGGCTCCTAATAAGCGATTATAGAACGGCGAATAGACAGTTCTTACAATGTCAACGGCAGATTCTCACGAGACACGAACTAACCGAGTAATCGCCAGGGCAGCATCTTTCAAGACGAGTTGGGGATGTGGCAGAGTTAGGCAAGTACCGACGCGGAAGCAGTCAAACACGACAAAATCACACGCTACACAGCAACCGAAAAATTCACCCACGGGCGCAATATCACCTTTCTATTTAGAATTGACAAAATGCTCTCGGAGATTCTACTACCAGTCATGAACTAGTCTAACCTAGTCATGAACTGAGACGTAGAGCTGCTTCTGCAGCCGTGACAGGTTTCCGGCCTGCTTGGACAAGGGAGACAATTGGGGTCGAGTCGTGCTCCTCGGACAAGGAGTGTCGGAGGTTGAATGGTTCTCTATCTCCATGACCATAGTTTCTTCTGAGGGGAGCCTAGTGCTTGATTCCATTGCCTGGGAAGAATCGCCTATGAACTGCTGCTCGATCATTCTGCTGTCCATATCTTCAGACGAGGGTGTTTGGCTACACCGGGTTTTGTCGGGCAATCGAACACGATGGTGTAGAGCATTTCCCATTCTTGGTTGTGAGGCTTGTCCGTTTGAACACGACCTTTTCCTGTGTTGACCCTACGAGACGGTCCGAACGACTCGGTCAAAATGTTGTAGTCTCCTGACCGCAGAAGCCACTTCTGTGCCACTACATCCCAGACACTGAGTTCCTTCCTCATCAAAGGGAAATAAACATTTGTAGTCTCACCAGCCTTGATCATCACCTTCTCAAAGCCTCGTAGTTGTCGCACAGGTACACCGTCGCCGGGCATGCCAAGATATAACTGCGTAACCTCCTGGCCGTCACGGTCACCTTTGTTCGTGACCGTGATAGTGACATGTGCAATTGCATCCCAAAGCATCAGCCTGACCACCCTCTATAATGGTGCCGCACGGGTATTCACCCGCGGCTTACTCCGTCTTGACCACCGCAAGGTCCGAATACTCGAAGATTGCGTAGCTCAGACTATACCTAAACCCATATCGCGGTGTGATGTCATGGGCATTAAAATGACGGTAATCCACAAAAACTCCCTCAGAGAAATTCGACTAACCTAGGGATATCTCTGGTACTTACTTGTTAGGGTTAGGTCTGGCTTCTGTAGGTCACCGTAAACGGACTCGTTTTGAGCCATAGTGTACGGCAGTCGGCCCGAGGGATTGACATGGCCGTATAGTAGCGAAACGAGTGCCTTACCTCTCTCTTAACCGGGCAGATATGCGAAGATGATTGCCGTTACGTTAGGTTGTTCCGCGAAGACGTCTACGAGCCGCGTCCCGGCGTTGTGGAACACCACGATGATGTTAGCGCACTGGTCCGCGACGTGCAGGGTTAGGCAGTCCGTAAAGTCGTCGCGTAGTGCTAGCCGGTTATAGCTCTCGGTGGCCTATGTGTTGCCGACTACTATACAAGCGTTAGAGGCCGGGTTTGCGAGCGGCGAGCTAGATTCCAAGTCCTAGTATAGCGCCGTACCGTCCTCGTGAGCTTGGCGACGAGCGCGTCATATAGGGTACTTATAATTTTATGACAGAGACCTAGGTTGTTGACCGTGGAGAGTGCTAAACTATTTTACTACCAAGCCGGACCAAGTCAAGTGGCCCTGTCCAGAGTCAGAATCTATTAAGATTAAATAGCCCTTAAGCATACCCTTTCACATCATCCTAAATATCATAGCTCAAGAGGATACCCTCGATACTTCGGTCAGTGCGAGTCTCCCACCACAACCACCAGCAGCCCGCACGATCTCCTAAAGCCGACCTGCAAATCTCAAGCGGTCTGATGTTATATAGGGGGAGGATCCTTTTATTACAATAGAGCATGAAGCTCTCATAACTCCAAGAATATCCATCCACACTGCCAATCATGTGAGGATCAGCTCCATATTCCAACAAGATCCTTACTTTAGCGTCATCCGACCACGCGGTGGCTATTTGCAATGGCGTGAGACGGTATAAAGTAAGGTCAGGGTCGGCTCCTAATCGTAGAAGCTTTCGAAGAACAACGTTTTCATCGGGAAAAGGACCTTGTACGCCTGGATATAAGGTTTCTCTGGAGAAAGTAGCAATCGGTGACCACATTCCGGAGAATAAATGGAGGACTGCAGATAGATTGAACAACCCTGAACCATGGTCGATGAGGAAAGCCAGGATTGTGAGGTGGTGCCATCCTAACTGCGCCGCAATCTCGATAATTGTTCCTTCAAACTCATCATCTTCGGGGGTGGAGTCATCACCGTTATACTCGCATCGGGAATCCCTTTCCATATGGAAAAGAGAGTTGACTGAGAAAAATATCGGGCTTCTGGTTTTGTCGTATAAGAACCTCTGCTAAATGGTAATGGTGAGTAAAAAGGAGATTCAGGAGAATCGCCGACTCTGGGCAATTGCGCACCGATCGCCATTGTATTTTGAAGAATTGGCGGAATGGATCAAAATCTATCCCATGAAGCCATTCAAACACTTGAATAGTACCACAGAGGTTGTCTAGGAGCTGGCAAAAACTAAAATAGCCAGGTCTCGTAGGCCTCAATAGTTCAAATACGTGCTCCGATAAGTCGGCCTGACACGACATCTTTTGTTGCCATGACTCGGAAGACAGCATAACAAGAACTGTCAGCTTGCACCAGGAGTTGATATTCTCAAAGAACGGCGTCAGGATATCAATTTCGCACATACCTCCAGGCTCCCCTCTTGTGCTTGCACAATTGAGAGCCTCACTCAGGACTGCTCTTGCTAAATCAAGATCCACGACCTCCCTGCATAAAGGCAAACGTCGCACTCGGGGTAAATCGGTCAGACTCAAGATATTCTAGAACAGTGTAATGCGCGAAGGAAACCTCGGCCAGTGGCAATGTTCCACCCTCCATTTGAATCTCAATAGGCGTGACAGTGACCAAGGATCGCACAATTCGCGGAGCGTGTCTTCGTCGTAATTGAATTTGCGAAAATGGTCTCCGACGGTGATCATAGTGAGATCTACAGCCTGGAGAAGATGTGTGCAGCTGATCCTCATTTTCCAAATTGCATCGTGGAAGTATATCCATCGAAGAACATGGGATACAAAAAGACGCTGCTCTTCATCGATGCTCAAGAAGACTCGCTCATACGTTTCATCCAACGTTTTAGGAAGGGTGGCTAGCTCGTTTCGGACAATGCGGTAGTCTGGCCGTAATCGTTGAATCACCTGCATTTGGCACACAGCCCAGCGGAACCTGTCATACTCAGAAACTTTCAACTATATGTGGACACAGGAGATGAGCCATACATGCCTCTATCCTTCACTGCCAAAGAGTCTTCAACTTCAGTGATGAGATCTCCTGGCCAATGGCGGAACTTGGTGTTCAACGCCTTTTGCGATCGCACATGAACTCGAATATCAGCTGTGACTAGATCGTTATCCATCGGAATTGAAACGGAAAATGTGGCCATAGCCCTCTCAATATCAACGTATTCGCGACTTGAGGCGACAATCTGAATTTTGTGAAACAGAGAATCCGTAACGAGTTTTCGTAATGTCTCAAGTAACTTGTCCCGAGGGTGGGTGCTCTCATCAAGCGCGTCAATGAGTATGAACAGTCTTGCAAAGTGATGAAGTGCGCTTTCGAGCGCGCTATATAACTCGGACAGACTTGACTCTGTGCCCATCTGCCACATTGCGTACACATCCTCTGGAATAGAAGAAGTTCGGCGGCACAATTGACCAATAACCCACCTCAAAAATGAACTAGTCTCATCTTGTCAATTCCTATAAGATCAATAGTAGTAGACCCAAGTAGTTTTTTTGTTCTTAAAAGCCTTGCAATATGATATAGTCTCTTCGATAAGGTATGACATCAAGACGGTCTTGCCAGCGCCAGGCATGCCGTAAAGCCACAAGCAGCGACTCACTCCAGCAAGCCAGCTGCTCCAATAAAGCGACCTTACCATCCACCTGCCGGTCTCAGGTTGATGCAGTTTCTGATTCCGACGATGTACTGGAGAAGGATCTGCGCACTCGAACCACTTGAAAATCTCATGGCATTGAAAGTCTATGCTTTGGTGAGCTTTCAGATCCGTTTAAGAAACTGTACTATTGATGGAAAAGACCCTAGCCCGGTCGACGAGCATACTGTAGGTCTAGTTCGAGCTAGAACCGCATCCAGGGAGATGAAGGGACGAAGGTTTACTTACCAGTGAGAATTCTATTTATTTTCACGATTTTGTCTTTGATGGATTCAAAATTCTGACTAGAAGTCATTTAGGAAATGTTCGCGATCTCTGAAAAAGTTGCTATTAAGAACAATGAAAGGTACCAACTAAACGTACTGACTCACATCATGCCGGCACTGGAAGCAAGCTCATTGATGGCGTGCGTGCATTCGATCGCTCCTGGTGGGATCTGGGACAAAATATCTTTTGTGTAAGCTGCCGCAATGGCTGCAGCATATGGCTGCCAAATCTTGTTCTTGTGAGAATCGGCGTAGTCGCTAATACTACGGATGACCAGGCAGGGGAATGCGTCCATCAGGCCAGCTGCCTCCATTTCCACGCACAGAATTCCCATGCTGGCTCGTAGCTCGTTTCGCTTTTGGCGTCCTTAATGACCATGTTTGACGACCCAATCGTTCCGTAATGAATTTGGGGTTGTAGATTGATCCGTTGCTCCCGCTTAACAATTCGGGCGGGATCGCACTTTTTGCATCTCTTCCCGCCTTCGTGTATATAACTAGCTTCAAAAAGCTGGTCTCCATCTGAAACCGGATAGCTATACTTAGCTTTCATTTGAGGATACTTCTTCAGCATTTCGTCAAAATGCCGTGACATGCCGTTACCGTAGAGGTTATGCACAGCTTTCAACTGTTGAACGTGACTAGCTAGTACGTGCGGCGGCTTGTTTAGGTGGCCTGTCCTTTGGAAACCCCCGTTCGTACTTTTACCACGATCGAACTGTACGACACCACCAAATGTATCTAAGGACTCGCTAACGACAACATCCCCAAGGCGGATATCAGACGAGTCACCGCTTTCGTAGTTCTCTTGATGGATACCGCCGCCGATACCTACTAATAATCCAAAGCGTATCCGATTAAAATCGTTTAACAATTGTGTAATTACCATCGCGGCAGCATTATTGCCAATTGTCGACATTATAGCAATCACAACATTATGTTGACCCATCCGCCCTAATGCGTAGGCATTCTAATCGCGACTTATGCTTGTATTCTCGTGCTTCTCGTCAAGCAAGGCGAGTACGGGGCTTAGCTCGTCCCCCGTGGCCCCGTGGGACATATAATAGCAACGGTGTAGTCGCTGTCTTGGAGGCGAGGTGGCAACTCGGGATTAGGGGATTGGAGCTGGCTTCGACGGGACATGTCGCTCTATAGTCGTAAATACGAACGCTCAGGAGACCAACGGAGCAATAGCTGCGAACAGGTGCTAGTGAGTTGGAAAGATAAGGAATGATCTAAAGGTAGAAAGACATACTGGACCCTGGGTTTGTGCGGGATTTTGGCAAACGTTGTAGGGCGCTGAATTGAGCAACCTAGCGAAGAAGGGAGGATTGGTTTGTCTAGAACTACGGCCAGCTGAAAACCAAGACAAGGTGGAGACTACACATAACGGAGGGTTGCGTCACAACTCTCTTCTCTTTAATAGCAGCCTCTTAGAGTGCTCTACAAGGAATCTCACAGACAGCTCGTATTAACCCCAATCAGAATGGCGGAATGTGGGGTCATCTTGAGATGACCGTTATGGTAGGTATCTTAAACTAATCGCCGATGAGATTTAGGCGCTATTGCCACCTAACATCTTTATTACACAGATAGACACAGAACTAGAAGGGGCCGCGTCTAAGTTCTAGTAGCCTTTAAATATGGTCGTGTTGCGTTAGCTTCGATCACTACCTAGCCGATGAGAGTAAGTGGGAAAAGTCAGTTATAAAGCTTCTAAGCAACAGTATCCTAGATTGTATTCGTTTATTAGGATTTTAGTTTAAATTATAAAGACTTATTCTTTTATATTAAAAGCAATTCAAGAATATAAAGGCGAAATTTACTTGTTTTATAAGATAATATAATAACTTAGTTAAGGCGTTAACTCAGCGCTTAAATAACTGTAACAATTACGATAAGATCACTAGGTGATAAGCTCATAGGCGTAACGATTATATTCAAAGACTTATTCTTGAGGAGGAGGAAAGGAATGTCTCCATCGCTAGTTACGAAGCGGGGGTTTTTACACTGACTACGCATGGGCGTACTTCGTACGCTGCCCGAGCGCTTAGCTGGCACCTTGGCCAAGTCGTTACAACACCGATTACGTACGGGCGTACTTTATACACTGCTCGAGCGCTAGGCTGGCGCCTTGGCCAGGTTGTTACAATATTTTAATATAATTATTATAAAAATGATAATAAAATATAATTAATATTTCATTTAAAAGTATCAATTTAAATGGGCTGTAACCTGGATTGTATGTATAACGTGGCCTGACCGCGGTGGCCTCCTCGGATCACTTACGGAATAATTACCCCGCTAGTTTGACGTATACCCAGAGCAGAGTGTGTTTAATATTGTTCCTTGTATGAATTCAATCTAATGTTTGTTCCATCAGATCACCTTGATGGCAATCAGTCCCTCCGCAGTTTTGAACGCATTCCACCCCGGGAATATGTTTACCATTCCTAGAATAGATTGATGCAATTCTTGACCCGACTGCCCGCTAATTATGCCTGTCTTTAACGGATACCAATATGAGCCTCTTGGCACCAAAGATTCACTTCGGCTCATCGCCCTCAATCAAGCAATCCATAGAACAACTCCACTAAGATGCTCCATTATCCAGTGTCGACGTTCGGCATTGAGTAAAGATTACTCTGCAGTTTCTTACGCATGGGGCCCTCGCGATTTCACGCGTAACCTAGAGGTAGATCACGATGGTGACACCTCGTATATAAGGACCACGTCCAACGTCGACATGTTGTTAAGGTACCTTCGCGGTCAGAAGGAAGTGCGCCATTTGTGGATTGATGCCATCTGCCTCAACCAAGACGATCATGTCGAAAAAGCCCAGCAAATTCCCCTAATGGGTTACATATATGGGCAGTCGCAGCAAGTGCATATCTGGCTTGGCACCGATAATTCCACAATTACCCAACTGTTTGCTTTTTTTCGAGCAGCCAGCCAGCTTCGAGAGACTAATCAGCAAGTAATCTCTACACGTGTTGCATCACTAATGACGAAGTATTTTAAAGATGCCTCAATCGATGAGACATTCAGCCAAGGAATTTTCCTGCCTGGAGCGGTAGAAGCACTCGATAGCATTACCAAGTTCTTCGATCGGCATTGGTTCTCACGCCGTTGGGTTATCCAAGAAGCCTATGTGGCCCGTCAAGCTATTGTACATTGCGGAAAATATTCAATTCCCATGGGACTTGTCGCCTCGGCTGCAAACAAATTTCAGTCCATGGATATATCAAGCTATCCCATTAGGATGGCGGCAAATTTGCACCGGCTGAAATCTTCAAACAAGCTTACCCTTATGGAACTATTATGGAATTTTCATGAAGCTCGATGCGCCGAAAAAAAGGATCGTATCGCTGCTCTAGCTGGTCTAATATCAGAAGATCTCTTTCATATCGACTATGATACTCCTTGGGATATTGTGTACAAGCAGGCTGCTTCACTTGCGCTACGCTCCAAAGATAATAGCATCAGACTACAAGTACTTCTGCACCTGTTCGAGTTTGGCCACCTTTCTCAGTTGAAGGATGTCGTCTGTCCATCGTGGGTCCCAGATTGGACAAGTTGCCGGACTCGCAAGTTGCCCTATCACGCATTGGCGAGGAATGTTGACAACATATCTGATTATCACACGACTTTTGGATGTTCGATTACAGCGACCTTAGCCTTGAATAACGATATTCTAGAAGTCTACCCGGGTCCCCCGACTGCTACTTCTCGAAGCTGGCAAGTGTTTTACGCAACAGAGATAGGGATGTATCCAGTAAACGAGCTTGACACCGACCGAGTCGTCAAAATTATGCAAAGACTCTTCCCATTCATCACCTCTAACTCAGCTTTTGAGGTACTCGAGATCTCATCTTTAATTCAGTTGATTTTGGACTTCCGCCACTCAGAAGCAAGGGACCAGAGGTTAGTGAGTAGGCCTCTTGAGCAATTCATAATAGCCCTCACCGAAAAGCTTCCAGAGTGGATACATTTAGACTTTTTCGACTCCTTACGAAAGCTGGGCTCATTGTTACGAGATGTCTGCTTCTTCGCTCTTGAGCCCTCAAAACCAGGAGTCAGTGCCTGTCGAGCCTACGGTATCTGTCTCACACAAGTACATTCTAAAGACATTATGGTACCGCTTTGGCACCGAGAAGAGAAGGCCACAGGGCGTCAGAGTATTTTGGGTGGGTGGAAAAAGGCCATCGACGTCACCACAATGCTTGCTGTGCGTCAAGCCGAGAAAAGACCTGGGTTGGGCCAGGAAAAAAGATCGGAACGAATTAAAGGACTAGAAAAAGACATAATTGCCGTTCCAGCAGTGTGTGTTATACCAAGTGGGTGGGCCTCTCTACAAGCCCGTGAGTATGACCTGAGCGTGGCAGATTGTGCATGGCAGGCTCCAATATGCCTGCCATAGGACTCTCGCTGACAATACCGGTTGGGAGACGAGATGGTCATCAGACACGACAACTCTCAGCCATGGAGGGTTGAAAAGATCTAGTGGCTGTTAATTGATGGCACTGGTCCTTACTATAATTCGGAGAACGAGTATGGCAACAAAAAGTGCAACGCCTTTCCGGAAGAGGCCTAGCACTTCGAAATTTACAGCATCATAGGGGACTCGACCGAGAATATAATGTCTTGGAAAGCAAGGAAGTCAAGGAGAAGCTTACGAAAGCCGAGAAGAAGCTTTCAGACGAGATCAGAGGGCTCAAAGAGAAACTGAAGGTGATCAATCAGAATGCTACTAGGCAGGAGCAGGAAAGGGAGAAAGTGATCCTCCTGCGGAATTATTTTCGATCAATTTGATTACCAAAAGAAGTTTGGAGAACGCTGGTCAAGATGAGGTTTTATGAAATTACGTCGCTACTTTCCCGCAACTGGTACGGGACTGGTTAACATCATGGAAGATGAGTTAGAGCATAGCGGTACGTACTCTATGAGCTCTATTGTCAATTGAACTGACAGTGACGGTGGAAAGGTGAAAATTGTTGTGCCGATGTTAGTTGTTATTAGATCTGGTAGCAGCGGGAGTGGGGTGGGTTTTACTTGGCTGGCATTTGTGCGTTGCGGTCTTCTGGATGGCTTGAAGCACTGCTACTGTATTAACGATTATGGATCAGGCTTCCAGAATGTCAACACTGGTGATGGGCTCCAAAGTAACAACAATGCATCGGGTCAACAGTTTATCGGCGGCACTTTTCATGGGTTTAGTCCGTTTCAGTCTTCCAAACATTAATGCGATTATGCTATCAGATGTGATTTTTAATTTTGATTTATGAAAACTTAAATATCTCAAACTTAATTAAGAACGAGATTAATTAAGAAATAAACAATGAAGTTAATGTAACTATATTCAAGTTAATTACAAAAATTTAATAAATGTCCGGTGTATTTTTATCTAGTTTTCAGGAAGATGCACGGCTACGCACGGACGACTTCTGTTAGTGTTCCCGAAACTCGCTAAATCGTGTGTCCGAGTCGCTTGTGGAAAACGTTAAATGTAAAGTCTTGCTATTGACTGTGAGTACTTTAGACATAGCAAAGTACACATGTTGGAGATGCAATTTTCCGTTGTCCATTGTGATCTTGTGTCGCCACTCGGATGACATGCCTCGCTTGCTGTCCAAATTCCTGATCGCCCTGCATTTGCAACCATATATGAGTAATCTCATATTTATAGCTGTACGATACAAGTGCTCCGACTTACGGCGCACCAAGATGCCGCCGACAGGAACGACCCTCGTAAGCATGTGTTTACCTAATAGTACGACGTGAGCAGATCACTGTAGAAGCTCACAACTAAAGTAACATGATATTCGGATGTTGTTATGCAGATACAGCTAATTTTATGAAATGACGTGAAGGAGACATCGGAATGACCTCTAGCCGCGTCGCTTCCTAGCGCGTTATTTAGCTATTATGTATACCGTGGTGTTTTAGCAAGCAATGCGGCACGATCTGCTAGAAATGCTGAAGTGCAAGCTAACCTAGATATTACGCCAAAATCCCTGGTCCTTGTAACCTAAATCAGCCTTGCTCTTCTGTTCAGCATGAATGAAAATTAAAACATAACGAAATAGAAACTCATAAATGTGAAAAGCTAAGCATCTCGAGACTGGCTTCAGCCACAGGGCATAAAGTTGGTACGATTGTAAAGCGCCATTGGCTGAATGTCCGTGGCCAGTGACAAGCCCGGCACGGACCCGACAACACACCTCTTCAGTGGCCTCCTTCGTTCAGCTCTTTAATCAGCCTCTCATGTCAAGGCTTCGCAATGATACGACTCATCGCACTCTCATTACCCTCATCTAGCATGTCACTTAACTATATTTGTCGATTCTGAACTTATTCGCAACATATTATTTCTTTCTGGGTTAGGCCAATGCTCTGCTAAGTATGCCTGCGGACGGCTCTATTAGCAATGTGGCGATGGGCGCCAAAACGTCCAAACTGGAGGTGGGCCGCAACACAATAACGACGGCAATGACATACAGTTCAACAAGTGCCATATTAATGGATGTACGAAGAGCCCATGCACGCAAGCAACACTTCATTAAAAAACGCTAATCATCCTGGTGCCATTCAATGATCATCAAGCCGACGAGACCTGGAAATTCGAAGAGAAAATGAGTGAGCAGCACAACCTACAGTCAGAAATGAATCATTGACAAAATTACACGTCATAATTAATCCTTATTGATGCAAACCTACTGAGTGTAATGGAACTTTACAGATTCCAATACGTTTCTGCATGTGAACTATCCATAGAAGACAGCGAGTTCTTCTTCGCGTGTCCGTGATGATGCTTGAGCTTTTCCTATATTATAACTAGTGTGTAAAGTCGATTGGGAGTTTTGCGGTTCCTACTAGTCTTGTCCCTTGCTCTATAATGACGGTGATGTTCGTTTTGAGTGTTGACCTTGGCCTTGAAAAGTTTCCTACTTGTTTCATCGTCACCTTGGAAATCTACTGCGAACTTGCGTACGTTCCGATATATATCGCGGCACTTAGACGAAGTTTGAGAGGTCACACAACTTCGTTTATTTGACGATGTAAGAGCGTGGTTATTGAGGTTCCCCTTGCTAATCGCGTAATTTCCCCCGACATCTTGCTGAACTTGACCACCACGCATTATCCATATATCGTTCCAACTTACCGTCCATGCCTCATTAAATGGAAAGTGATGGTGAGTCTATCGCACCGTCAATAGATTCATTATTCCAGAAGCATGGTGAATCCCGGCATAATTGTCAGAGCTTATATGGTATCGGATTGCAATAAGGTATGTAAGGGCTGGAATCCTCCATATATGATAGAGAGTAGGGCTCAGCGCGTCAATACTAGCACCCTAGCACTCCCTTGCAACACCAACGTCTGACAAGAGGATATTTACCAGAACTAAGGCTTTCGGGCCTACTTAACGGTATAATCCAGGAATATACAGACTATCTTGCCTCGAAATTCACGCGTACTAATCTAAAGAAAAAAAATTAAAAGGTCGGCATTATAATAATAGAGGAAGTGTAACGATCGCCCAGTCGTTAGGGCTGCTAGCCTATATCAGTCTTGTCTGTCCTGTTATGAGTTAGTCCGTCAGTTTTCAGTCTTGTTCCAATTCAAGTCTTTGGTTTCCGTCGTCGCACCTCACCTACGTCGCCTACTTATCGTGACTCTTCCGTAGTCATTACACTTTTATTAATTGGGTTTTCCCTTTAGACAACTAACCGGGTCGTTTAAAACTATCGCGTTTGTCATAGCCCGACTTATTAATATATACTAATTAATATAATTTAAATATTAAGAGTTTTTATAAATAAATGTTTTGTATTTAGTTAATTTGGTCTTTTATATTTCAGCGTGCATTCTTTCTAGATTATTTTATGAAAGATAGTGCTTCATTAATTTTATGCGTTGTCGTAACGATCCGGAATTCTTTTCTAAAAGACTTTAGTCATCTTATCTTAGTATAACTAGGCTTCCTAGTAAATTCGTTATATAAAGCCTCGAGCATAGGAGGAGTGATTCTCGAGGTCGGCCAAGGCCATTCGCTAGTGCCCTAACAAATCTAAAGCTGTCAGATCGGGGTTGGCAGCAGAGTGAAGAGTTACAAGATAGGCAATAGGTATGGTATAGATTGAATACAGACTGAACTCTGCCCTCCTAACTAACAGCTAGCCCGTCCTCTTTTATCTAGCGCTCTTACAGCGCAGCGCCTGTATTGCCCATAATAGGCGTTACCGTAGATCCGTCGGCCCGGTTTGAGCATGCGTCACAAGGGCAGAGCCCCTGAAATGCAGCTCATACGCTGCTGCTACAGCCCCTTAATTGAGATGTGCGCCTTGTTGCAATTCCTGTCTGCCAAAAGCACTGCATGTTCGAGCGGATTCTACAAATTGCGCGGTCGTTACAGCCGTCAATTTTAGCTCGCTGGTTATTAGTGAGTGATACATCGAGGAGCATGCCTTCGATGAGCTCGACTTGTGATAATGCGGGTTTAGGTACCATATCGTTTGGTATCTAGTGCAACTCAGATCACCGTTACTACTTCTTACTAGCCAATTCGCGTTATATATTACATTTATAAGAGACTCCTAGTGTAAGCGGTAGGCAGTTGTTTAAGACTATTAAAGTATTTATAGGTGACTTGTTTCAGAAATGGCTCAAGCATGGTAAGGGGACTCAGAAACGACTATGGGGACCAACAATGGCGCCGCCTAGATACACTTCTGTATGATGAATCCAGAATTCTACTGTCCCACTTTTGAAAATGCCGGCACCAGGGCCAATATCGATCTAGGCTCTAGATCTAGTCTGTCGTAACTTCGTCCGCAACCCGAAGTGAGACATGGTCATGACGGCAACCGGTCTCTCCCATCCCAGCCCAGAATTTACTTGACCACAGGTTCAGAATTAACACCACTTCCACCTCACACCTCACATCACTTTGTCCGTTTACTAGAGCAAGGAAATAGATTACAGTACAGTGACGAATAGCAACAACTATAGTGACCTACGGAATGCATACGACCTCTAAATAGTCATCTTTTGAGGGATGGTCATCTTCCTTGCCAATTCTTTACTTGCGAGTCAAAGTCGAATATGTCACAGCAGGACTCGAATTCAAAGTCTTGGAATGAAACGGTCTTCCATTTTGAGCCCTCAACGTGGCTGTCCGCAATTGTGTTACCGCACTGCAGGGACGTCGAAGGCTTACACCAATTTCCTGACTCAAGAAACATCTAGGTGAGACTATGACAAATGGCGGCTTACATCGTAGGTCTCCATCACATTCTGGTTGTAAGTCGACTGAGCTACTATTGCAAGATGGGTCCTTTGTCAATCAGGTCTTTTGTTCATCTTCAACAACTTACGAAAGTAGACATCCCGAAAGTGAGAGAAACAATACGAGATAGGCTCCTCGAGTTATAATCTCAATTTCGAAAAATGGGGTTACGTCTCATGATTTTCCAGTTGCATTTGATTTGGGCCTACAATGAGGTGTACAAGGTACACGAACGAAGGAAAGATAACTTCGCCACAGTTTATAGCGAGACCTCCACTATAATCCCCAAAAGGGCTTTAAAGAAAAGATAAAAGAAACTAAGTACCATTTATTATGCACTCCTGCCGCTGTCGTACGTTTTGTAGGCTGAACAACCCATATGCTCTTCTACGCAATGCTTGTAATTGAATTATCCCCCGTGATAAGCCGTCCATGCACACGTCATCGGAGGAATATGTAGCCTTCAATTTATGCTGAAGCATAGGACTGGGCGAATTTGGGTTACATTGAAAATGGAGTGGTGGTGTGCAAATTTTGAAGTTTTAAAGGTTGAAAAACTCAACTGGAACTCTGGCCATGCAATCGTCGATACTGCCAGTAATATGTCGCTTCATACGCCATTATTCGTGAGCTCATTTATGTTTTATGAAGTTGTGATATCATGAAGTGGCATGTCTGATAGATCAATCGGTCAGGTGTGCTAGACTCTTCTGGCATTCTACGAACTCACGCTTGAGATGCCTTTGGAGATGATCAGCGTGCGTAATCCGACTAGTTTGGCTTTCGTGTTGATGCGTTTTAGAGTGTCGATTGTAGTCTGGTGGTCCTGTAAAACCCCGATGGCAGAACCTGCACCAGGTCAACGGTAGCTTGTTGTCGGACTTTACTGACTAGGGGAGTGATAGTAGAGTTTGTGAGGCCGTGTTAGTTTATTCTCGGCGAGTTTGTGACGAAAGACATAACCACTAATTCCGCTAGCTACCTGATCAATATTGTATTGCCTGCAGTGAGTTTGAATTGTTCAATTGCAATGGTGCAAAGCTGTGAGAATAATGAAGATGTAGGGAGGACTAGGTTCTGATGAGTGGTCATGTAAGATTTTGACTGGCATATTTGAGATTCCACAGTGATGTTGGTACCCAAGGCACATTGTCGGCCACATCTATGGATAACCCCTCATGTATCTCTGGATATAGCGATTGAGCGTAATTGGTTGATTGTCTAGCATTTCCAACCTCAGGCCATCTTGCTTATGAATGAGTTTGTTTTACCATGGTAATGCTTGCCCCACATCTCTGGCATGCGATATCTTGCCAAGCCAGTCTTGTCTCTACAGTCCTTGCTGACTGCTCCAACATGGAAGGTAATTAATTTGACACGCTGTATACTAAGACTGTTTCGGAACCTTATGCACGCACTATGGTAACGAACGTTGATAGTGGCTCGTGCAGACGCTGGTACTTGCAATGGTTTCAAGCGCATAGCAGATATACGAGACGCGGGGGACCGCGACGCGTTTGAACTTTCTTCAGGCCAATGGAGCAAGTCAATTTTTAGTTATTTATATTTTTGCTCCACGACGTTGTCATCAGACCATGCGTCCAGTATTGGAGGACTGATATCGTCTGTGCAACGTATGATCTGAAAAAGGTGCGGGGGCTGCGGCATTGGGGTTACGGTAAACATTCAATCTCAATATCCAATTGACAGTCCAACAGATCGGATCGCATCTCGTACCATTCCTGCCCCAGAAAAATACTTCAAGACTTTGGCTGGTCAACCCATTGTGTCAACCTTATCAAAGCCGAGCCGATTCTGCCCTTATCACGGATGGAGTATACTCCACCGTTTACGGGTTTGTGGCGGACTAGCGCAAAGGCCAGGCGGAGTGCACAGCTATGATTGGCTCAAAGATCCCAAATCCAGTAAATTCTTTTTCTGGAAGGGATCTAGAAGCCAATAAGACCGAGGCTAAACGCGGCGATTACGAAACTGCTTATGGGACCCTGAATTGGCCGAACGCATAAAAATATTCGTGTGCGCTGTTGTGTTCCCTTGTCCAATTGTCTGAGAAGACCCTGAACGGCAGCCTCACCATACTTGCAAGCGCCCATCATGTCGCCGTTCAGCAACGAGAAGATAGCTGAGAAGCGAGCTTCGGCAGCAGAAGCCTTCTCCAGCTGGGTAAGCCTGAAGCAGGCTCTTCAGGTGAAAAACACCCTCGGAGAAGGCGAGAGCCGTTATGTCGATGCTGATCCTCTCTGGATCAATGAAGGCAAGCCTGTAGTCCGTCGTTCATGCTGGTAATAGCATTATTGACAGCTTATAGACCTGGAGCCCACACCGGCGGAGAAGAGAAGTACGTTCACAGTATGATGCCATCCGTGCGATGAGCATTGCTGATCAGTATCGCAGCTTGGGATTTCAAGACGTACTGCCTGTTCTACTTTGGTATCTCTTTTGGCAACTGGACACTGGGATCTGTAAGCAGTCTCGCTTCGTGAAATTGTGCTCTACAGCGATCAAAGCTGACATCATCTCAAGACCATGATTGGAATTGGTCTTAGCTGGTGGCAGTCGATTGTGGTCATCTTCGTGTCACAGACCATCGCATCCATCGTAATGGCTCTCAACTCACGCGCCGCGTCAAGATACCACCTCGGCTATCCAGCGATTGCCAGAGCGGTCTTCGGCATGTATGGAAGTTATTACTTCGTAGGCGCTCGTGCTGTGTTGGCCGCAGTATGGTATGGTATTCAATGTAGGTTGCGTGCTCTAGACGTAGACGGTCCAAGTGACTGCTGACACTCTTTAAAGTGTACTCAGGTTCAGGTCATGTTGGGAACATGCTAAGAGCCATCTTCGGAGATTTGTACAACAATATTCCCAACCACATCCCCGAGTCCGCCGGAATCACGACAAAGGGAATGCTTGCCTTTATTCTGTTCTGGCTAATCCATCTCGTCTTCTGTTTCTTCAGACCATACCAGCTCAAGAAGTTTTTCTGGTTCAAAGGATTCATAATGTTGCCGGCAGTTGCAGGCGTGTTCATTTACTGCATGATTGAGAGTAATGGTAAGGTAGGCAATACGCTAGCCCAGAGCACTGTGGGTGGTGGCATGGGCTGGGCCATTATGCATGGCATCAACTCAGGTATGGGTAACACCGCTACTTTGATCACGAACCAGCCCGACATTGCGCGTTGGAGTACAAGTCCGAGGGCCTCCATCTGGTCTCAGATCGTAGGTTCTACCACAAACTGGCATCACGTGTTTTGAGCTGACCCAGATACAGATGGTGCAGCCGCTTTCGGTGACACTCTCTGCAAGCTTTGGTATCCTAGCAACTGCCGGCATTAATGGCAAATGGGGTCTGGAACTCTGGTAACAAACACCACTACGACCTTGAATATGAGCAAATACTGACTGGTGCAGGAACCCATGGGATCTCTTGGATGCCATTCAGGACCACCACAACAACTCGGGAGCTAGGTTTGCAATATTCCTGGCGGCTTTCTGTTGGACGATAAGCATTTTGGGTACCAACATTGCGGCCAATATGATATCTTTCGGTTCAGATGCCGCCCTGCTTTGGCCTCGGTATATCGACATGAAGCGTGGTTTCTTTATTGCTCAGTGCTTGGGATTTGCCATCGTTCCTTGGAAGATCCTTCAGTCGGCTTCAATCTTCACAACCTTTTTGTCGGGCTATGGCCTCTTCATGGCTAGTGTCGTAGCGATCATGCTCGCAGATTGTGAGTGTCCCAGATGTCAAAGTCCAAGACTTGGGTTGCTAATCCTGATTACTAGATTTCGTCCTCACCAATGGAAATATCGCAACTGGGTGGCTCTTCAATCCGCAAAAGACAAACGTGCACTATCGCTACTACGGAGGGTGGAACATGCAGGCCGTCATAGCTTACATTGCTGGAATTGCAATGCCGTTCCCCGGATTTGCTGCTTCTCTGGGAGCAACAGGAGTGAACCAATCTGGCGAGGACATGTTTTATATCGGTTGGCTGCTGTCGTTCTGCACTGCGCTCGTGGTCTACATTGGGCTCTGTAAAATTTGGCCAACACAGAATCAAAAGCTCATCCGTGAACGGCAGATGGTTTGGGAGGAGTGCGCACAGGATCCGATTGAGGACGACACAAGCAGTTCGGCACAGGAGATGGGTATCTCACATGTCTCAACAGATCTTGCCGCTTCGAGGAAAGAGGCTGCTTTCTAAAAAGTCGGGGATTCAGTGCGCATGTTGAGTTGCGATAGATGCCAATTAGGGGAAGACCTCGGCCCAAAACCCGTCAAACAATTCTCAAGTAAAACTTCAAGGCCAATGATGACACACTTCAGTACAGAGCTTGAACATCGAATCGATTTTCTCGTGATGTATCGCCTCAAAGCCGATGCATGACGTCGTGCTCGTGTCTAGAGCAAGTTGCAATGGGGTATGGAAAATCTGCGCACACGACGGGAGCTTCTCAAGGCCTGGAACAAGACAGTGACTGGGTTCCCCACAAGTTCCGGAGGGGTTAGTCCTTTGATCTGCCGCCGCGAGTACCCGACTCTCCTCAATTATCTTACCTCAGCGATAGTCCAGCCGCATAGAGCTGTTCTGCTGTGGATCGCAGGGCTCTAATGATAGTCTGAGCTCATGCTGAGCTAAAAGCTCATGTGGGTCGTACCTGCATTCCGTGCGCATCATCCTACGTCATGGCAACAATTGAATTCAGAACTTCGAGGAAAAAACACCTATGAGCTAGGTATGACGATTGCGGCTTCCAAGGTAAGTTTGCAGCTCTCACGGAGGCGTCTCACAAAATGTAAAACTCAGCAAATTTCTCTTTCTCTCTTTGTCCGCATCACAATCTTCTCATTTCACTCTCACTCTACAGCAATAGTCCCTAAAAGAGGAAACTGAGAATCATTCGCCATCAATTTCCCTTCTGACCTTTTTCGCCATCACATCCCTAACATCATGATTCCTGCAAGATCATTAGCACGCTCGGGCTTGCCCAGAGCTACTGCTCGCACATGCCGAGCCACGAAGCCTCAGACTCGTTTCCAGTCTAGCACAACGTCGTCCTCAGCCAACACCTCGGCCGGCAGTTCTCACATTGGAGCTGGTGTGGCCGGTGGTCTCGCTGCCGCCACTGTCCTCTATGGTGTCTACTACGTCAGCCCGGCAGGAAAGATGTCGCGAGGTGTCAACAAGACAGTCAAGGAGGCAAACAACAAATACCAGGCAGCTGCTCAGCAGCTCCAGCAGAACACTCCCAGTGCTGACGAGGCTATCGAGTACGTCAAGAACTTCTGCTACTCATACGTGGCATGGATCCCTGGAGGTCGCCACTACGTCGACTTGGCCTTCAAGGATATTGAGACTGTTCGCAAGAACAACCGCGAAGAAGCCGACAAGCTCGTAAACGACGCCTACAAGCAGTTCCAAGACTTGTCCAAGTCTGGTCTTAGCATGGAGACTGCTTCCAAGGCTGCCGAAGTACTAGCTGATCTTTCCAAGAAGCTTGGCAACCTCGCCGGGAACGCTTTCGAGGATATCATTGAGAATCACCCTGAGTTGAAGGAGAAGTTTGGCGGCAGCGTTGACCAGCTCAAGAAGCTGGGTGACCAATATGGACCCGAGGCTAAGAAGCAAGTCGATGAGACATGGAACCAGGTCCGTGACGTTCTCAGCGGCGGTTTGACTGCGGCAAACATCAACAAGGTCCGACAACTAGTTCAAGAGAAGGTGGAGCAGGTTCAGAAGTTTGGTGATGAGGCTTGGAAGAAGGGATTAGAGCAGGCCAAGCCTTACCTCGACAAGAACCCCAAGGTGAAGGAGCTCATTGAGAACAACGCCGATGCACTGAAGTCAGGCAACGCCAAGGAACTTTTTGACAAGGTGAAGACTGCTGTTGAGAAGGGTGACATTGGCGATCTCGAGGGATATGTCAACAAGGCTGTTGACCAGGCCAAGGAGAAGGGCTCGCAAGTTGGCAAGGCTTATGGCTTGGACCAATACCTTGATCAGATCCCCAATGGTAGTGAAATTCTTTCCAAGTTGAAGCAGTTGAAGGATGTTGCCGACAAGCACTCCGAGGAGGGTAAGAAGCTTTTCGAAGAGACCCTCACCGAAGTGAAGAAGGTTCTCGAAAAGAAGTCGGAGAAGGCACAAGAAATTGCGGAGAAGGCCAAGAAGGAGTCGAAATAAGTTAAGAGCGGTTGTGCGGATAGGCTTGAGCCAGCGCACATGCGCCTGCTGCATTTTGTATCATAGTACCGCGAAGTTATGACCATCATCGCGACGATAATTGACGATACCCATGACCACATAAATTGCCCGAGCTTCCGAAAGTGTCATGCAATGACTCGTTCTGATAAACTTTTTCACTACTCTCCGTGACTATAGGGGCATTGCTACATTGTCACAATATCGATGTCTAATCACTACATTACAGGGCGATGTTGTAATATCAATCAACTTTTTAACGGAATCATGAGACCCAGGTGTTGATTCCTAGCAGTTTGGCTCCGTAGCTGTGCTGCGTAGAAAAAGTTGACATTTAGAACAGAGTACCATCACCCTCGAAGAGAATCGGACTCGACTTGGTCTCCGGTCTGAGTTTGGCCGCAATCTCACGTCCACCCAGCCAACTGCCGGCCTCAAGCACCTGCGCCAGACTAAGCTTGACCCCTTCCTTCTCGAAATGGTCCGAAACCAGTTTGTGCAGCTCGTCCAGCAGAGCCACCGTCATCGCACGCCATTCGACGATCGTGTTGCCGGTTGCGGGATACAGCGGCAGGTCTTGGCCCGAGGCCTGCTGGCCGGCCTTCAGGACCTCCGGCTTCAGCTTCAGCGCCCCGAGGTCGTAGAACAGACCGCCGTTGCGGTACTCCGGGAGCCCGGTCCCTAGGGTGCCGTTGATGATCTTGATGCCGAGCACGCGAGAGAATGGTGTCGTGAGGGAGTAGCCCAGCCACTGCGTCAGCTTGTGAAACGGTGCTATAGTCGCGGCTTCCCTGTCATTGCCTTCTTTCTTGGCATTGTCCGCTAGGACCTTGAGCGGCCAGGCGTCACCGATCGGCTTGCCGAAGATGTGGGTGCGCTCCTTTGGCCATGATGGGATCAGTACGCTCTGCAAGATCTTCCACAGGTCTTCGTAGTCCAGCGTGTTGGGCTCTTTTGCATTCTTGATGAGGTAGTCTGTTACGTGTCAGTGATGATACCTATCACATGGACAAATAGACTACGAAATCTGGGACGGCCATACCAACCATGTGACCAGGTCTCGCTGCTGGCCAGTTGACTTGCGCGCTATAGTCTGACAATTGCTGTCCAGCGGTATTGAGCAGGCTGACACGTGAAGAAACGCCAACCATAGGGTTCTCGGGGGTAATTTGGTAGTATTTGGAAAAGCTCTCCTCTGTCAAGGCCTTCAGGGAATTTGCTGGCATTAACGCGTTAGCATTGTTAGTCGGAGCTGATGATAAATACCATGGATTTTCGTACCATCGACACTATGATCACCGGTACCATCTTTGCCTAGGATACCGGACTTAAACATGTAAAGAGATGCCACTGCGGTGCCTTCACTGCGGTTGTAGACACGATCTGTGTTCGGTTCTACAAATTTCCACTTGTCACCTACTCCGGCGTCCGTGAGGACAGACACAAAGAACAGGTCGATGAGTCTCCGTGTCTGTTCCAGCTTGTCATGACCCTCGGATGCCCACTGCTCCAAAAGCTCACCGATGCGGTCGATGCCACCAACGTTGAATTGTTGCCAGCGGCCATGAGGTGGTATTTCCGAGTATCTGTCAGGGCCAAAGTCACGCTAAAAGACCATTCAGTATACCATTTTTTGACCGAAGGGGTTTTCAAAAACGTTTACTTTGATGATGTTTATAACGAATTTGGCAACCTCGGACATGCGCTGCTCATCGTAGTCGAAGCTGTCAAGCGACCCCTCTTTAGCGGCCTGGAACACTAACTGCGACCGCTCACGAACGGCTTGCAGGCTCAGAAGGTAGTTGATCTCAGATGAAGCGTAATCAGCCATTTTAGCTTGTATAGTATTGTTCGTCCGTTTCTTTTCTTTAAATTTTAATTTGGAAGATCGTACCATCAGTTTGCTTCAAAAGTGTGAATTGTGCCTCAATCATACAGTTGGCGCTGTTGTTCTATCTTCCACTCCTGTGGGTAACGCACGGAACCGCCCGATCATAACATTCCTCTGTCAATCATGTTGGCACCGACGGATATCGTGGGTGAAGATAGCAACGACTTACAATTTGTGTTCTTAACTACAATCTTGACTCTATATCTATGATATACTATCTTGGTTGCTTGGATAGTATACAAGACAAGAAGCAGGACACACTTGGACAGGGATGATGGGCGAAAGACTCATTTGACCAACGTCATTGAGTCAAGAATCCGGTCCCACAAGATCCGCTCAGCATATTCGTTATGTCAATGGGAAGCATGCTTGTGATAAAACAGAAATATGCATCAACTACCATGAGTTTTCAATCGAGTAATTTATTACATACTAGAAATCCGATCTCGCAGGTCTGCCAAGAAGTTTTATCTGATCCGGCGTCGGGGCATGGATGATGATGCTGGAACGAGCGAATTTTTATCAGATCCGCGCAGCCAGCCATTCTCAGTCCATGATGCCGCACACCACCCCACAATAGTCCACTTAAAGTTATCAGATCCGGCTTGCGTGGCCCTCGCCAAGCACACCTCCCTTGCCCGACCTGCCATCTGTAGCAGACGAGCTCCATCTTGTGGGTGTGAAGTGTTTTATTTTTGCATTAGCCGCGAAAACTCTGATCGACGCTCCGGTACTTAGGCACAGTCGACCCATCTTGAACCTTGTTCAAATGGGGAAATTGCGTTGTCCATCAGGTACTTGGAGGTACATTGGACTTGTGGATGGGGGCACTTTTCGGCAGGCCGCTCGAGGCCATGCGATGTTCGCCGGCTGGCTTGTGACGTGATGGCACGACGTACTCGACCATGATGCAGGGACCGCGGGGTGAAGTCGCGGAATTTCGCGAAGCCAGGAGTCGGCAAAGTGCTCCACACGAGCTCGTGAAGCCTGAGAAAAAAAGTAGGTGACAATATGGATTGGATTCTTGTAGTTCCGAATAACTGCTAAGCAACTTGCCTGTGTAACCGTTGCTATAACGCAAGCTTCCCACTTCCACCCCATTCCTCATTATCCGTGGAAGATCATACTCGCAAACAAAATATTGGTAATAAAGACACCATGACACTGCCACAGGAAAACGAGCCGGTGCTCAAGCTGCCACACCCGTACTTGACGCCATACGTTCTGGTAAAGTCCTCCAAGGCCACCCAGGCAAAGGTTCCTCTGCTTCAGGTGCAGCCTCAGAAAGCAACCAATGGCAAAGACCTATCCGAACCTTTACACAGCTCCTCCCTCTACTTCACAGAGCCGACGGACCTCAAGTCAAGTGAGAGGCCAGCCGAATCCAACAACACGCCTTGGGGTCGAGCTCGACGATCTCCCTCCTCAACATTCACATGGGACGGTGCCAATGCACCTACTCTGGGACAAGCATGGTTGCTGGTCTACGTCCTGTTCACAGTCCGGCCACAGATGGAATACTGTCGCCTATCATTGGAAGGCACGGGCAAGGAGAGCCTGGCCAAGCAGTTGAGGTCTGTCTTGCTCGCCATTGATCACCCAACCAACTCAGAAGCCGTCGACGAGCTCCTGCTCCTTCGAAGCACCTTCTGGCAGGGCGCCGGCTCGCCGTTCGGCCCGCGAAGCGCGTGGATCCCCGAGGACGACTCGCCCGAGACCCCCAAGTCGCTCTCCTCGTACCCCCTGGCGCCGTACGACAACATGATGACGATTGAGCCGTCCAGCACGATGGCCTGGCACCCCCGACGGCCGGCCAAGCCGCGCCCCGGATCCCTCATCTACAGCCGCTGGATCCCGCACCTCAGGGAGAACTTCTCCATGGTCGCGCTGGACTGGGAGGACGAGGAGCACCTGAGGCTCTTCCACGAGTGGCAGAACGACCCGCGCGTGTCGCAGGGCTGGAACGAGACGGGCACGCTGGAGCAGCACCGCGAGTACCTGAGGAAGCAGCACGTCGACCCGCACCAGGTCACGGTCCTGGCCCGGTTCGACGACGTGCCCTTTGCCTACTTCGAGATCTACTGGGGCAAGGTAAGTCGAAACAGACCCTGATCCGATCCTTCTGGTGTAGAGTACTGACTTTGGTGGCAGGAGGACCGCCTGGGCGCCTACTACACCGCTGGCGACTTTGACCGCGGCCGCCACTCGCTCGTGGGGGACATCCGCTTCCGCGGGCCTCACCGCGTGTCGGCTTGGTGGTCGAGTCTCATGCACTACCTCTTCCTCGACGACCCTCGTACCATGTACGTCATCGGAGAGCCCAAATACACCAACAGCTCTGTGCTGGGTTATGATTTCATCCACGGGTTCGGATTGGACAAGTTTGTCGACCTGCCGCACAAGCGGTCGGCGTTCATGCGGTGTTCGCGGGAGCGGTTCTTCCAGCTGTCGCCGCTTGGGGAGAACGAGAAGGTTGTGGGCGGTACTCATGTTGGCTTGCTGCCCAAGTTGTGATATCCATGAAATTTAGGCGCTAGTTTAGGACGATGGCAATAAGTTGATCATCGTTACATCTTTTGGTACTTTTTATTCAAATATTTCGTGCAAATGAAAATTTAAAAACAAATAAACACTCGTTCATCATCTATGGAAGTATCATTTTGCTGTGTCAAAACTCATCAAATCCATGCTAGCTTGTCTCTAATTCTACCTTAAGCAGCTTGTCAAGCACCTGTAACGCCATCATACCCATAATCCAAATGAAAGGTACCCTATGCTGGGCTGCCTCCCAGGCGCAGATGGTCCCAGCAAACTAGACAGGGTTAGTAACGCTATCGTGTGAAAAGAGGTTGAGGCGCGACTTACTTCTGAAACCAAGGTCGTTCTCGAAGAAGTACTGCATGACCTGAGGGCCAGACTTCATGCCGTCATCGGGACCATATGAGACGGCGACCTTGCCGACTGCCAGACCAATCATGGGCGGCACCTCGCTGATCTCGTTAAACTTGACCTCCTTGTCGACAAGCTCGCGCTGCATCAGCTGGTGGATGTTCAGACCGGCGTACTTGCCCTGGTGCATGGCGGAACCGCACCGCTTGATGCCGGACCAGTTGATCATGTCACCGATGGCGAAGTGACTTTCTGCATTCGGGATGTCATTGTTGGAAAGCTGTAAAGTCGGCAGGACGTTGACCAGGCCATCCTCGCTGAGCGCCTCCTTGGGCAGGAAGCCGCTCGAAGGCACGCTCTTGGAGATGGCCATAACGACGACGCTGGCAGTCATCTTGTGGCCGTTCTCGAACTCGACCTCATAGGCATCCTGATCGGCAGCGTCCTTGATGGGCGTGCTGCGGGTGAGGCGGTGCTCCATGAGGCACTCGACACCGGCAGCGCGGGTCAGCTCTAGGGCCTCGTCCTTGACCATGTCTGGCAGGGGCTCGGCGGACAAGAGCTTGGCTCGCGAGTGGGCAAGTGTGACGTTGACGTTCGGCTGGACCGTCTTCAGCTCCGCGGCCATCTCGATACCAACAGCGCCACCGCCGACGACGAGGACGGGATATTGGCTGTTGGTGACAGCATCGATGTGCCTGTTGACCTCGATAAGATATGTCTTACGGGTCAACGCCTGCGGGACCACAGGCCACACCCTCCTGTAACCAGCGGCGCTGATACAGAAGTCATAGCTCTCGGTGCGCTCATGCTGGTTCTCATGCTCGCGAATAGTGGCTGTCTTGGTTGCGGGATCAATCTTCGTGACGCTACCATGGACGAATTGTACGTCGGGTCTCTGAAGGATCTTTACATCCTTGAACTCCACCCAATTCTTCTCCGCGTACTGTTTATCGGCAAGCGCGAGAGGCGAACCAATAAGATGGACTTCAGAATTGTTAGCACATTATACATAGACGAACAGCGTGGTGCAGTAGTTTACATACAGTAGCCGTCGCGCTCATCTGCAATGGTAATGGCAACAGGAATAGGGTTCTCGGTGCTCTTGTCGCACTGCTCGAGTAGGTTGATGGCGGCGGCAAGACCAGAGTAGCAACCACCGGCAATGAACACCTTGAACGGGTTGGCCGCAGTACGGGCAGCGGGAGTGTGGGTGGCCATTTTCCGAATCAAAAGTTCTCCTTGGGGGCTAGTGAGACTGGGTAGGGGGTGGGATGGAGCAGGCCGAGTAATGCAAGATGAGATCTGGAAAGAGCCACGCGAGAAGGGCAGTATGGAAGTTGATCTACTGGTAGAAGAACAAAAAGCAGGAATACGCCGAAGGGAGGAGCAGAACATATTGAACCCTCGTTCAACATGTGGGGAAGCCATCATTGGACCGTGACATTGGGTCTATTTCTCCCGACGGCACCGGGGAACGCCCACGGAAAGCAGGTGGCACTGGCAGGTACATAAGTGCATTCAATGTATATTAATCACATACCTCACCCGTCGGCGATACACTGGTACCGGCGTCGGAAACTACCTATTGATTTCAAAGCCATGGCAAAGTGTCGTGAACCGACATTGATCGCGTTCGCCCTTCCTCATCCGCCTGAGCGCGAAACGTTTGGTGGAGGGCTGTGAGGCTTTCAAGAGGGTCTTCGAGTACGTAACGCTTATCAGATCGAACTAAAAAAAATCAGGACGGAGGGGTTTTCCTGCCGAGCAAAAAAGAGTGGATGAAAGACAAAAGGGAATGGTGAAGTGCGACCTCGAATTTGCCCGAGATGTGGAGAAGCAGAATCAGATAATTCGGCTTGGCGTAATTAACACGACCAGCCAAATTTTATCAGATGGAGCTTGAGCAGGGGATCCGCATATTGTGACGCACACTTGTTATAAGCATGATGTTAAGCGAGCTTCCGATATTTGCATAAACAATCGATCACGGACCCCCCCCCCGCTACAATGACACCTCGGCTAAAGTGGTGCGAACCAGTTTGATGGTGAATGTACGTAAGTAGTAGCTAGCAACTCTTAAACTTTATACTGCCGATGATATTGAGACTTCGTCTCCAAGGGCTTATGATACACTCGCTATAGTGGAGACCGTGTAGTATAAAGTTCTTGAGTATAATTTACAAACCCCACTAATATGCAACTCATTCGAGCTTATACCGCATACTTTGCTGGAAAATTTTCTCTGTCCCAATGAACATCTTTCGCAATATGTCGACTTTTCAACGGTTGCCAAAAGTTGATTCGTAATTTTCCTCTCAGATAACTACATCCTGGTACTCAGAAGCTGTATACTTTAGGGCCAATTCCTACAATAACTGTAGACTCGAACAAAAGTTGCCTGAACCTCAGCATGACCTGTTCTGCTTCGTCAGGGAAGTTGTACAAACTTCTCAAATGACAGCGGGGTTGGAGACTTGGTATCAGCTAAGAGCTCATTTAATTCAGGCCATTTCCACATTCCTCAAAGTTTACTCTCATTGTCATTTTGTTTCTTCTTCGTCCCCCTTTCAACTTCCTTGCTCTCCAGCTCATCTACACTGCTAACAAAAGAATTTGCACCAAAAAGGATTGTACCTTGGTAGGCCGACCAGATTGTAAGAGCCAGGTTCGTGGAGATAGGCGATCAGAAGGATAGCAAATACACTCGTAGTTAATACTCGAAATGGTGGCAAATCCATCATTCGTGCGGACTGTAGGTAAAGCTAAAAATAGACCGGAACCCTAGATACGTCGGGCGGTCTGCGGAGCGAAGAAGGCGCCTCGATTGTATTGTGCGAAACGCACTTGCTGCGAGGCTGTGGTTACCAAGGTCTTGAATGCGGTGGCAATCTACCCACAAGGCTCACCTTGTCACGGACCAAGTTATGATCGCATCAATGCAAAGTATTCGAGAGAAGTGCTCCTCAGAACTGCGAGTCCTACTATACCTGGGGGGCTCGGCCAGCCGCTAGCCATCATTCTACTCCGACGATGGGCATGGACATGACAGATTTCGTGACCAGCTTCACTATCACGCAGTGTGGGTGATGGCTACAAAGACGGCAACAGCAAAGAGAAATTTGCATGTCATACCGGTCCATGAGATGCGCTGAGTCCTGTGCTGCAGATCGGAGCCATCGTAACGCAAGCCTAGGAAATAGATCCCATCGTATGATCGTGACATGTTGCGCGTATGGTGAACTTACGGGATATTGTAAATTCGATCATACCAAACAAGAGAAACTAGGTTTCATGAGTTGGAATTGTACTTTGCTGCCATGGCCATGCCCATTGAAGAAAGTGGTACTAAACCAATATACGCTATCGCTCACCAGTATTCATCCATGCCGTGAAAGCCCAGTAAGCCGGAACGACCATGCGAGAATTGGTGGTATCATGACTGCAAGTGCCGGATTTCAGCCCGGGGCTTCTGGAGAGTATGGATATCCCTTGGCGATGATGATGACAACCAAGCATAGAACGGAACCCGAGTGATGTATGCTGTAGATTTGTAGTTTGGTGCCAAGGCAGCGTAGGAATCCAGGGGATCAACCATGTTGCGCCATGCCTTGGCGACCTTTTTCAACGTGCCAGAGCGTCGGCCACTTACGGATAGTGTTACAAGAGTAGTGTCGTCACCATGGTGGTCGCAAGATGTTCAGCCATCGAGCTTCGCTCTCCATCGAATCGCGAGTAATATTTCGAGGAAAAGGACTTCCCCTATACGAGGGGCGCTTTAGTATATTTTATTGACGGTCAAGTTAGCGCATTCATGAGAGCAAGTCCAGGTGGCTTAGGGTTCGGCGCTATAAAGCCCGAGCCAAAGGATGGAGACAAAGCTCGGAGAGTCGGCCATAGTATCGCGCATTATAGCACTAAAAGGACTCCTCATTAGCTGTCCCAAGGTATCGCAACTTTCTCGCGAATAACCATAATATCGTCGCCTACCTCTAGCGCGCCGGGGAATTTGTTAGCAGTGACACCACGAAGACTGTGTGAAGGTCTGTGTTTAGAAGTAGAAGTGCTTTAAGAATAGCCCGTCCATGCGTCAGTTCCTGAAGGTTGTGTGCCATCAGCTCGTTTAATCAAAACGTACTGTAAGCCTGCACGTGCATGCAGTGAGTCGTATCCTGACGACAGTGCCTGGCATCGTTTCCAGAGGATGGCCGACAGCACTGAATAGTTGTCAAGCTGTACTGCTCCTTCGCCAATGACATTCGCGAGACTCGAGGTAGTACGATCAGTCAATCAATCCGTCATGTACGGCCAAGAACCCGAGCACAATTTAAATCCCAAAAAGAAAAGTCTGAAGCCATCACGAGAAACCGGTCCGGCTTATTTGGTTCTGGGTGATTAAAAAGTAAAAAGTCGGGTCTACCGTTCAATAGTCGCTACGGCTAAGCCGCTAAGGCCCCTGGCGCGTGAGCTCGTGGGTGCTGAATGCAGTAAAGCCGCGCCCAAACCCCTGCCAAGGACGCTGCAAAGAGCCATCCAACCGGTGCAACCACCAACTGCTTGCTCCTTAGCGCCCTGTACGCGGACGGCGACGAGAAATTGCGCTGGAATGACCTGCATGGCATTGGCGTCCGGATCGAGGCGACGCATGGCACTGCTGCATGTGTGTGCGGCCTTGATTCCCTCAGGAGCAGCGTGTTGGTGTGATGATGTCGACATCCTCCTCCTCTGCCGTGCTTCCTCCCAACCCACCCCCCCAATTGAGCGACAAGTCTCTCCAGCCCGTCCCCGTCCATCGTCGTCGATTGAAGTCTTGAATGGCGCGGCTTCACTGAACCACCCAACCATTCGAACCGGCGGACCGAACCGAACCCGCCCAGAAAGCGAGCGCTGTGAGCGCTGCGAGAGCGAAAAATGAAGCCGTACCGCTCCTCCACCCTTCAGTCTGGGCAGCCCCTGTTCCCGCCGACCACCCCTACGGAGCTTCCCAGGGCCGCCCGGGAGAAGGACCTGCGCTTCCAACAGGATCTCAAGTCGCGGTTCGAACTCTTGAATATTAAGTCGCCTCGGTGGTCGCTCTCGTCCTTCAGCCAGTCCCTCGGCAAGCCCGCCCCGGCGCAACAGTCATGGCTTGGAGATCCCTCGCCGCCTGCCACCCCGGATCCCGAAGCAGCAGCAGCAGCAGGGCAGCGGGGAGGTGATGGCCGGTTTCCCATTCCTGCCGGGGGCAAGAACGCCAGAGAGACGAGAAGAAGGAGGGACGGCAGGATATGCGGTTTGGAGAGGAGATGGTTCTGGGGGCTCGTAGCCGTGGCGGTGGTGGTGCTACTGGGCATCTGTATCGGAGTCGGCGTGGCGGTCAGCCAGTCCAAGAGCAATTCATCGCATAACGCCGGTGCGGGCGGCTCGAGCAGCAGCAGCAGCAATAGTAGCACGGGGACACTTGCAACGGCAACTTCGACGGGCACCACTGGCTCGACGGCGTCGTCCACGTCGGCGTCGGCCACAGCGACAGCAACAGGGGGCACAGACTGCCCGGCCGGCAACGCAACCACATATACGGTCCCGGGCTCCACCAAAACATTCATGCATTATTGTGGGCTCGACTATAGCGGCGACAGCGAAGCTACGGACCTAAAAAGCGTAACGACGGACAGCATGGCGGACTGCATGGCGAATTGTGCGGGTACTTATGGATGTACGGGGTGTGGCTGGGGTTATGTCGATGGGGACTCGTTATATGAGCATACGTGCTGGCTCAAGAGCGACCTGAAGACCGCTCACAAGGCCGATTCCAGCTGGGCATTTGCAGTCTTGGTATAATTAAACTATTTATTGTAGTGGTATAAGTAAATCACTTCTGCCCACATATTTATCTGCTCGTGGGATTGGATTTCATCATTGCGCAACGGTGGGTCAAAGAGACGCCGGTGGCGCCAAATATTGTGTGGGTCGAGCCAGTGTCTACTGTATGTACATATGTACATACGAACAGGGGACTGTGGTTTCGAACACCGCGTGGGCCAAGAGCGACCTCAGTGCCACAGACGGGTTTTGCTTCGGATAGAATGGCTCGACTGGCTCCGAATGGGCGCCTTCCACGGATGGGACTACCAGAAGCAAGATCGTTGACGAAGAATTGCAGTCGTATTGGAATCAAATATTATTCCTGCTGGTCACTGGTTCCATGTTCACGCCAGGAGAGAGAAAATTTCGGATATCAAGAAAAGCTGGTAATAACCCAGTTATCATCCGTTATGCGTGTACTCTATTATTCATGACCCCAGGTGCCCCTGTGCTCTGAAAATGCATGGCTGATGCATGTGCTAAATCAATGTCTGGATGTGTCGTCAGGCCAACAGTCATTATTGGGAAAGCACCAAATGCAGATGCTCACATAAATCCCAACTTGAAAAACAGGCAGAAACCAAAAAGAAAATTCAAAAATTCAAAAATAAACCCGGCCCATGTCCAATATGCCCGGGCCGCTGCATATTGCAGGCACACCCGGGGTCCTCGGGTTTCCATAGGCCTTTGCATCATTCTTATTCTAGTTGCCCAAAACCTACTGTTCTAATATTCAGTGCAATACCACACCTGGGCGAGTAGATTCCTTCGATTACTCAAAGAGTGCATTGTCGATCTCCACGTGATCGACAACGTTGTCCCTGGGAACCCAGAACAGCTGTATAAGTCCGATGACTGCAACGCCGGCACAGCTGAACCACGCAGCAGCTGAACCACCGGCTGCATAGATGATACCAACGAGAGGAGGGCTGAAGGTGCGCGCAAGACAGCAAGCCGCCATAGCCATACCGTTGACCTTTCCTAGAGCAGAAGAGGCAGGCGCTGCATTCTTAAGCAAGATAAGCGCGCATGGACCAACCAGGATTCCGAAGAATCCTTGCACGACCATAGCCAGGTAGATGGCTGGGGACACGAGCCAATCGGGGAAAGCAGAGACGAAGGGATTGAGCAAGTATGCTAGCGGGTAGAAGACGATCATGAGTACGAACGTTCTCCAGACTCCAACCTTGTCGACAAATATGGGGAAGATAATGCCCTGAATGAAGAGACCAAGAAGTCCGTTTACCGCCAGAAAAACTCCCACGTCGTGTACCGTGAATCCCAGACCGCCATTAAGGTCGAGCTGGCCTTGTGGCGTCAGACGATTGTCAAGCAAATGGGTAGGCAGCAGGGTAGCAGACGCCATCTGATGATACGAGAAGATAACCAAAGCAGCCGTGACCATGATGACATTTCTGGTGAACGTCTTACCCTTGAAGCTCATGGCGCTCTGCATACGACTTGGCGGGCCGGGGCGACCACCCGACCTTACACGTGGCGGAGGGGCAGGAAGCCTGATCGAATGGACTGTTCCAAAAGATGACCGACGCAGGTCGAAGTTGGGTGCAATCGGTAGAGGCAAGCCTTCCTCTGCAAAGCGCGGCCGGTCACTGGCGATGCTGATGATGCTTGCGCGCTGGTGTCGTTGTTGATGACCGTTCAATAAAGAAGTAGTTTCGTCGATATCACTGTCGGCGATGGCGTCGTCATCTCCTATCAAGAGGAAAGGGTTCGTCTCCTCGAGGAAGAAGATGCCTTGAATGACTGCAAGGAGAATTGCTCCGACGGCAACTAGGTTAGGGAGTAGATAAGGGTATCGGCCAAAGAGTCCGTCCTCAGAGAACACCGAGGGATAGAAGCGTGCAGGTTGAGCCAGAAATCCGCCCATAGCTGACCCAATGATGCCTCCAAGCGTCCAAACAAACGGCTGAACTGCATATGCCTTGGGTTCGTGTGCAGGATTTGTTACCATCTCTGCCACCATTGTTTGCATGACGGAGACATTACCATTCAGAGCCCCACCAATGAATCTGGCTAGCAGCGCAACCCAGTAATTTTTCGCGAAACCAAAGACCAAACTCGAGATACAGACACCTACGAGTCCGAAAAGAACGACGGGTTTTCTACCGTAGCGATCGGACAGAATTCCCCAACCCATGGAGGTGATGGCTTCTGCGACAGCATATGCAGAAACCAAGAGTCCGGCGTAAAAAGATGCATCTTCGGCGGTACCATTAAGGTCTTCCACCATTACATACGTATATGCAAGAATTGAGTTGAAGGCGATTGGTTCTGAGAAGCGACATATTGCTGTTTGGGTTCGGTCAGTGGCGACGCTCACGGTGAAAGTCTCGGTGAGAAGAGCTCCATACCCAGGACCGTGAGTTGTGCAGTAGGAAATGTATTGGGGTCTTTCGACTTGGTTGAAGCCATCACTCCACCACCCTTTTTTCGACGATTTGAGTTTTCCGGTAGTTCGGTGAAGAAGGTTTCTGCTAGTGATCAATCTGATTAATCACAATACAAATCTTCTCAAAAAAGATTGTTGTACTGAATCTGCTGGGAGAAAGGTTGAATTTGAGCGGGGAAAATGACGGCGAGGAAACCCGGACTTGGTTAGATCAAGTGTGGATGCACAACTATGTCATAAGCTAGGATTTTCTGCAGGTTTTCCGCCAATTGAACGCGGGATGAGTTGCCCGGTCGCGAGATACGCGCTCGAAGCGAAACTCTAACGACTCTATTCATTGTGTTGATGTGAATGCCAATTGAGTCCAAGTGATTTAGTTGTTTGGTACTTGGTATAGACTGAACCAGTCTCCATATGCAGCACACTATTGCTCCAATTTGGTTCAGCTGCAAGTCTATAGTCAGCTGGCATTGGTCAGTGCAGCAATAGCCACGTGTACCACCAATCGCTTGTTTGGGCTCTGGGAGAGGACTATAACCGCCTTTTTCGTAAGTTGGGTCGCAATGTGACCTATCGCCTTTCTGCGGCTATTGAGTTCCTTCAGCTCCTATCGGCTAATATGCAGAAATGTGGTTTAGTATACCAAGCTTGCCGCGTCTGTAGTTCCACCTTCGCACGAGGTCCAATTCACAATCGCTTAGTCTTCCCTCGAAATACACCCGATAACCACAGCTCATCGCGGGAATGCATTGTGAATGGCCCGATTATTCTTTTCGAGCAAACCCAGCAAATAACCGCGCACCGATTTCCCCATCCAAAACCCTGGCAGTCTAAGAAGCGATATTCTGGGCAGGACGAGAATAAAACACGACCAACTCAAAGCAATCATCCTGGCCGGTCGGTTCAGTGGCTGGAATGGCCACCAAACTCTGGCAACGACTTGAGATACCCAAATTTTGGTCGTATAGGGACCAATAGTACCAATGATCCTACCAGAGTTGATCACGCCATACGACTGATGGCATTGCCTTGACACTTGACATACACAACAATGAGCCTAGACCTAGACTTGCTCGGTACTGAACTGGGGCGATGGGTGCATTATCTTGAACCAGGGACGGTCAGAGCAACGTCATGAGCTGGTACCTCAGTCAATATCAGCACCCCTTCCCTTGAACTTGGATGTAACACGAAGCAGCAATCCGATCACACTACCTTTGAACAACTGGTGCATGCTTTTATGAAACATAACCAATATGGGTCGTCGAGGAGGGACGATTGAGCACTTGGCAATGCGGATCATAAGAGGTCATGTTAATGTACATGATGCTCTAATGTCATTAATCAGGGGTATATATATCCAGTCTCCGAGGTTACAGCTTGGATAGGCGCCGCTTCCTCAGCGACTCCTCACCAAACCTAGCCATTTCGTACTTCTTGACTTTGCCGCTGCCTGTCAGGGGTACATCAACTGGTACACCATCCTCTCCCAACCAAAAGATGTGCGCGGGTGCCTTGTGTTTGCCGAGGTTCTGTCTCACCCAGTCTCTCATCTCTTGATCACTTGGACGTTCGTTGCTGCCACCATCCTGAAGGAAGGCGCCCACGACTTCGCCGTAATGAGCGTCTTTTAAACCTGTAACGATTGCTTTTGTGATCATCGGATGTGCCATCAAACGCTCTTCAATCTCCAGCGGATAGATATTTTCGCCACCTGCTCTGGTCAGTACCAATTCTACAAAACTGCCATAAATCTGTACGCACCTCTAATGATGATGTCCTTGAAACGACCTGTAATGGAGCAATAGCCGTCTTCGTCAAATACTGCCTCGTCTCCCGTGTGCAACCAGAGAATGCCAGCTTCATCGTGGATCATGACCTCAGAAGTCTTTTCTGAGTTATTCCAGTATCCGGCTTGCAGTTGGTAACCAGCGATACACAACTCACCACGGGAGCCGATTGGGACGATATTGCCCTCATGGTCGACAATCTTGGCGTGTGCGTGTGGCATCAGAGTCCCAACAGTTGTCAGGCGTTTGTCGATGGAGTCGTCTGTAAAAGCATTAAAGCACGTCGGCGAGGCTTCAGTCAAGCCGTAACTGCTGGTGAATTCAGTCATGCCGAAGCGCTCGACCATGAGCTCCATCAAGTACCTCGGCACTGGAGCACCGGCAACAATACCGGTCCTTAACCTCTCACAGTTGAAGTTGGGAGGCATTGGCAGGTTGAAGAGAGTATCAAACATCGCAGGGACTCCATGTACTGCCGTACATTGTTCGTCGGAAATGGCCCGAAGAACCGCACTCGGGTCGAACACCTCCTCCGGAAAGACGATTTTGGCACCATGTGTAAGAACAGCCATCAACCCAAGCACCAATCCGAAACAGTGAAATAGTGGTGGTGGACAGCAAAGGACATCATCGGGCGTCAAACGCATCCGATCACCGATAAAGCGAGAATTGTTGACAACATTGTGATGTGTCAACATTGCTGCTTTCGGTAGGCCGGTAGTGCCACTCGTGAACTGAAGGTTGCAGACATTATGCGAAAGAACCCTTCTTCCAAGACGATGTAAATCTCCTTGGCTCACCTTCAGGCCCTGTTTCATCAAGTCTGCATAAGTCGGGTATGAATCAGAATCTCCTCGGACGATGACAACGTTAGGCTTGGCCTTTTGAGCTGCGAGCTCCGAGAGCAATCTCGTGTTATCAACACGACCGATCTTCTTTTGCGTGAAGAAAACCTTCGAGTCTGAGTCAATTGTCAGTATGTGCTCAACTCATCCTTGATGTTATCGCATCTAACCTGAAAACTTCAAAGCATATTGTGCTTCGGTAGGAGTGTAGGTGTTGTTGAGAATCACTAAAATAGCCCCAATACGGGCGACCGCGAAGAAAATCGCCGCATACTCTGCGCAATTACCTGCCATGACGGCAACTCTGTCGCCAACGCCTATGCCCACTGACATCAGAGCTCTGGCCAGCTGACAACTCTGCTGGTTTAGTTCGTTGTACGTCCATCGCGTTCCATTCCAGGGTGTGACAAGGGCTTCTGCAGTGCCGTGATGCTGGCATTGAAGCTCAAGAAGCTCACCCAGGGTGAGATCGACCAACGGAGGGTCGACCGGGCCGTGCAGGATGGAGAGTTTCTGCCGCTCGGCATAAGACTCGTGTGAAAATGAGGTCTCTAAAGACTGTGTAGCCATTTTTGCAATGAGAGATTGACAAGCAGGAAAGAACAAGATAGAAACAGAAAATGGAAGCGAAATTGACTCAACATGTCAACACCGGAATGAGAAACGTCGAAAAAAAAGCCAGTATACGAATCCGTAACTGGGGTAGAATTCACTGTGACGTGGAATGGAGCGCTTTGGAGCTAGGGTTTTCAGAAGTGATACGGCCTTGACCTAGTCGTTACCTGACTTTCGGAAACCGATGTAATTGCGTGAACAATCTACGAATAGCCGCTTGCTCCGACTTGAAGCAAGGGGCGGTGGTAGGGCGAAAGCTGAGGTTTGAGTTCGGAACGAGCCATTTGCGACTTCCTGTTGGGGAAGCGATGGCTCTCGTGGGCCGAGTGTGCTTGCCTCGCAAGTCTACACGAGGAAGACAAGTTCACCAAAGTACCAAGCTTGCGTTTCGCGTATGTTCTAGGGTGGGCATCGCTGCGGCACTGTCGCCACTGTCGCAACCGGGTCTGCTGATCCTGACCAGCGATTCCTAGCAGCCATTCAGAGACGGAGATGGGAAAGACCCGTCGAGAAAATCTTTCTTCCTGATGCAAGCAGGGGTTTGCAGAAAGTGGTGTGGAGTACCAAGATCTAATCAATTCCATCAGATAATCTTATCAATCAATCACCTGAGATGTACCGAAAATGGCCGTTCTCCATCTACTTTTGCGAGATCGGCGTTCTCATATTTAACATGCAACAAGAGGAGTAGTTGAAAATTGATACTTGAATATGTAGAATACCGCTAGAACTAGCGCCATAAGTGGATTATACCCGCTTGCTGCTACGATCATGTCTAAATGCATAGGCACGAGCAACGTATTGTATCGTGGACTCGTTTGCCAGCATCTCATATAATCGTGTCGATAAAATCCCGCATTGCTGCGCATCACCCCGTCAACTCGTTTGGCCGCCATGGCAATAAAACCCGCATAGTCAGATTTTTGCATGCTCCTGTATCTGAAGTTTTCTGACCGTTTTGAGGCCTCACCGTCCCAAACACCATGATAGCCTAAGATATTAGCGCACCCAAAAGCTTGTTGCCGGGCACTAAAACAAGGGAACTAACGGGTGTACCGATTGTGATGACTTCATGCAATATCCACAAAGCTGCACATGTGCCCAAATACGTAAAACGCGGTATTTTGTCTATTTGCACTTTCTATCTTTATACCGTAAATCAATCATTCGGCAGCCAATCTATCTAACCAGGAATCGGAAGGCTTTGATTCCGCTGTATTGTTGGATCTCATACCACCTTGCCCTTGACCTGCTTGACTGTGCTAAGCTTCGCATCTCTCCACATAGCCACAGCTATGATCTGAAGGAGTGAAATGGCAGCACCAGTGATACACATTTTGACTTGTGCCGTGCTGTATGCTGTGATGATCGCATCTCGGGTGGGCGACCCCATCGGATAGCTGAGTTGCTGCTTCAGGTCCGAGCAAAGGATTTTCAGCTCGGAGGACGAAAAGTTCGGCAGCAGTTTTGCGAGCGTGGTTGGAAGAACACTGTTCCATATTGAACCGCTCAATGCATTGCCTCCAGCGGAACCAACATAGTAGGCCAACGAGAGAACTGCCATGACTGATGCAAGTTCTTCGTGACTCGCCACAGCCATCACTGCCATTTGGTCGCACATCACTAGCGTACTTCCTCCGACAGTAAGGAGGATCTGAGCCAGTACCAAAAGACTGATGTGTGTATCTGGCCGGCGAAATAAGATCAAGGACACGCCACCAGCAATATGAATTGGAAGGGCCACCCATGCGAGCCACTTGTATCGGTCAGAAACTTTGAGAAGGTACCCAACCACCACTGCCCATATTGTTGATCCAAATCCGTAGATGTGGTTGATATAGCCAGCCTCGGTGATAGTTAGACCATGAACAACCTGTAGGTAAGAGGAATAGTACGAATCCCACGCGAAGTACGCAACGAAGATGAAGATGGATAGGAGACATGACCCGGCAACATTGCGTGAAAAGAGTAGTCTGGCGGAAATAACAGGCCGCCGGGCGTAAAGCTTCTCGTGCACAGCAAATGCTACAAGTAAGAGAATTCCAACAATAAGGAGCGCGAGCTTCCAGGCACCCCCAGCGCCTACACCGACTCCGAGTGATACGGGCACGAATGCAAAGGTCAAGCCGAACGTTACCAAAGCAAGTCCAAGAGCTACACAATGGTAAGTAGCCAAAACAAAATCCAATATCAGAAGTGCAACATACCATCATATTCCCAAAGGTTGTGGCGAATATTCTGCAACGACCACTTCTCTTCGTTTGTCTCTTTCTTCAGTAGTCCAGCCTTCACCGCCTTACGCGCATTCATCAACAGAAGGACGAGGATAGGTATGGACAGAATAAAGAACAATATGGAGGAAAGCGCAAATCCCCATCGCCAACTGCTCTTCTCGTAAAATGCTCTAGCGATAGGCGGGCCGATGACCGTAGTGACCAAACTCGGGGTATTCTGGAAGGCGAAGGCCAATGTGCGATTTTTCAACGACGAGGTGTCCGCGACGATGATGTTCAGTACATAGGAGAAGCCGCTAATACCGACTGCATAGAAGACCTGCAAAATGTTAGCGACTACAGATGTGACGAGGAATGCATATTGCAGTATACCTGTGCAGCCGCATAGGTCTCAACGCTTTGGCAAACTGCCATGAGGATTAATCCTAAAGTCGCCAGGACTATCATGGCTGCTAGCCCCTGAGGGCGACCCCATGCATCAATGATCTTGGAGATTGGTAATTTGAGGACACCGCTTAATATTGATGAGACAATCTCAATTGTCGGGATAAGGGAATGCGAATGAAACTCGCTGGTAACATATGGGGTGAGGTTCGAAAGGATCTGCCACTGCAGAGCTTGGGCGAATGAACATAGGAAGATGCTTGTTATGCATTAGCAAGAAGCTTATTACAATGAATGTGACGAGCCATCATTCGGCCATGATGGAACTTACAAGAAGTAGGCTAATATCAAAGCATTCCTAGACCATACAAGGTTTATAGCATCCGCTTGTTGAACGCCTGCTGTACCATCGCTGCTATGTCCAGGAAGATCGTCATCTTCATCGCTGTCGGCATCATGGACTGAGGTTTTAAATGAGGTCTTATTTCCTGACGTACCATATTCATCAGAATTTCTGAAACTCCCTTCAGCACTACTGGCGTCCGAGGAGCTTAAGAGCGGTACGCGACTGTCCGTCGTCGCTAACATGTCTACGTCTGCGGTTCCGTCCTGGGGTGATACAGCATCTGCAGAGGTTGGAGGTGCAACCCGGCCGAGCTGCACATATTCAACCATATTAAATAGCAACCGTCAGGTCGGAACCTGCTAATGCGGCGGAGCTGTCTGTACGCAAACCAGGGTCGATAAGCGCGCGACCCTGATTTGCGGCGGGCATCGGCTGGAGCCTCACTCGACGTTAGGAGTCACAGGGGCTTTGATGCCTGACGGTCCAATAGATCAGTTGATTCGGTTTTGACTAGAGTCCTGCAGGATCTGACCCGCCACCGTTGACTGGGAGTCGAGCGATCCGGTATTCACTTAATGGAGACGCGAAACGCACGTCACACTGCCTATGGTTGCTTGCAAGTTGCAACAACCAATCATTGTTATGCAGCGATTTATTGACAAGTTGTTAATTAATTTTGCGTCGACTCGAATTTCCGAAAGGGCCTGCAACCTGTAGAACAACCCGACGCTTGAGCGGGACAACACGTGTGCTATTGTCAAGCACACCTCAGCTCGCTAGACGTAGGTGTGGGCCTGTGTGGCCCAGAAGTGGAGCCCAGCCCACGGGATGGCATATCGCTTTAGTGCAATCTGATAACTTGATATCACTATCCGCGAGGTTTCGTCATGAAACGCGATTATCCCGATAATCTTATCCAATCTTATCAGATGGCGCTATGGTGGGCATCATCTCGTCAAATTCCTCTTCCATCCGGGCCAAGCCCCTACGAGGTGGAGAGATGCCCCGGGTTCGGCGACATGGGCTTGTCAACTGCCAGTTAGGTACATTGCTGTACCTCGGGCGCCCATATTAAGCGTTACATCATCGTAACTGCAGGAAGACCCCGAGCCCATTAAAACTCACTTTGCGATCGACTTACCTAACTCAGGGCGGGCGGACCAAAATGGGGTCTGGGAAAGTGGCACAAGCTTCTTTTTTTTCCGGGCCCGCTTGAACAACATTACACGTCTTCTCGGCGCGAAGACTTTTCTTTTATGATTGATTGTACAAGGTGAATAGCCTTCGCAATGAGATTTGAAGTTCTTGCCATCTTCAGCTATTGTCCGAAGATATGAGTGGACAAGCAACTCAAGAGAACGAGGTGGCTGGCGCTGTCACTTTCGCGCCTCCGCCGCCCCCAGCAGACTCGGCAGATGCCCCTAAACCGAACGAGACGAAGTCTTCATCCGGCGTAAGTCCAAACGTCCACAGCTGTTTTTTGTTTTATTTTTTTGAATTAACACACTGAACCTGACGAAGGGTGTCTTTGGGGGCTTTTTCAACTATTTTCGTCTTCTGTTCTACGCCGAACCGAAATTTGTCGATGTTCTCCTGCTCCTAGTGGGCATATTTTCTTCTATTGCAGCGGGTGTGCCGTTTCCCCTCATAGGAATTGTTTTCGGTCAGCTATTGGATAACCTCAACTCTGCAACTTGCGCCAATGAGTCCGCAACGGATGCAAGTGACTACCAATCGAGTGTCAACTCAAAGGTGCTCTTGGTTGTATATCTTGCAATTGCCCAGTTCGTTGCCATCTACCTTTACATTGTGAGCTGGAACCTCTTCGGAAACCGCTTAGCACATCGTCTTAGAGCAAAGTACTTTAGATCTCTCTTGAGGCAAGAGGTCTCGTATTTTGAGAAACTACCAGCCGGAGATGTATCTTCACGACTCACAACCGATATCGAGACGATCCAACAGGGCACTTCAGAGAAGGTCGGCGTGGTACTTGGAGTACTTTCCATGTTCGTGACTGCATACATTGTTGCGTTTATCAAGTATGCCAAGCTTGCTGGTATTCTTGTTTCCCTGCTTCCTGCTTTCATGCTCATGGGCGTTCTTGGGGGACATTTCATCGGCAAGTACTCAGGTCTTGTTTCAAAGCATATGGCTGCAGCTGCATCTGTCGCACAAGAAAGTCTGGCAAACATCACGGTAGTCCAGGCGTTCAGGGCTAACAGCAAACTGGAGCGAAAATTTACCAAGCAGCTGGATCTGGCCCGTAGCGATGGAATCAAGAAGGCTATTGCGACGTCCATACAATCTGGTATGTTGTACTTCCTTGGATACGCGGCCAATGGCCTCGCATATTGGCAAGGAAGTCGTGCAATTGCGGATGTCGTCAGTGGTGAGCTACAGGGCATGAGTGTCGGCACAACCTATACCATCATTTTCATTATCGTCGATGGTAAGTTTCTAAATCCCTAGCATTCAAGATGCTTACTGACTAAGACAAATTCCAGGCACCCTCGTGTTGAGTCAAATGGCACCATTCATTCAAATCTTTGCATCCGCGTCGTCGTCCTTCACGCGGTTGAGGGAAGACATTGACCGACAGTCTCGAATTGATGGCACCATCGAGTCATCGAGCGACACACCCCCCGCCTGCGAAGGAGACTTCGAACTCAAGAACGTTGCTTTCAACTATCCGTCTCGCCCTGATGTACCTGTTATTCAGAATGTCTCGCTCCATTTCCCAGCAGGAAAGCGCACTGCCGTAGTCGGTCTGTCCGGAAGCGGTAAATCTACCATCGCTGGACTCCTTACAAGACTATACGATCCCGAATCAGGTTCGATATACTTGGACGGTAAAGATCTTCAAGGCATCAACGTACGAGAACTCAGGAGTCACATAGGTCTGGTTCAACAAGACCCCCTGCTCCTTGAGCGATCCATCTTAGAGAACATCGCGCTAGGTTTGGTAAACTCGTCACGACCCGAACACGCCATCTTTCGGCCAATTTTGCTTAGTAATACTTTTGCAAACATCGCCGAGGATGCCCGGAATGGTCAGGATCTGAAGGCTGCGGCCATGGCCCACGGCGACCTTGCTGTCCAGATCCTCGAGATGGTGCAGAATGCTGCAGCATTGGCTGATGCTGGTATTTTCCTTGGTAGTCTGGAGTTTGGACTCGCTACAAATGTAGGTGCCAATGGTGACCTCCTCAGTGGCGGCCAAAAGCAAAGAGTCGCTCTTGCACGAGCTCTTGTCAAGGACCCAAGGGTTTTAGTGCTGGACGAAGCCACTTCGTCTTTGGACTCAGCTAGTGAGCAAAGGATTCAAAAAGGTCTCGATCAGGCCACGGCAGGCCGCACCGTTATATCAATAGCTCATAGGCTCGCGACGGTCAAGACTGCAGACAACATTGTCGTTATGAGAAACGGCCGAGTCATTGAGCAAGGAACCCATGCAGAGCTTATGGCCAAGGATGATGCATACGCTGCACTCGTGAGGTTGCAGAACGTTGCCTCCGAAACATCTAGTGTCACCACAACTTCATCCAAGGATATTGACGAAGATGTGCACAAATTCAGCCAAGTGCCCACGAAAGAGATTGAGATCACATCAGACACGAACGCCAACAACCAATCTGAGGGAGAACAGCAGCCAGATCCAGACACAAAATCCGATAAATCCAGCATGGCGAATTTCAAGACTATCGGACGTTATGCACGCCCTCATGCTTTGTTCCTGCTGTTCGCATTCGCAGGGTCTGCCGTGGTTGGAGGTGCCTACTCAGGTTCCGCTGCCATTTTCGGCAACACAGTCGGAGCCCTCAGTCCCTGCAACGAACCAAGCTACATCAGATCTTCTGGTGCCTTTTTCGGTCTTATGTTCTTCATTCTGGCTATCATCGAGTTCTTTGCCAACGTGATCAGTTGGTCTTCGTTCGGATATGTTGCCGAAAAAGTTATCTATGTTGTGAGAACACTTTCCCTACGATCGTTGATGGAACAAGACGTTCAATGGCATCAATCGGAAGGCAGGACCCCTTCAACACTGCTCAGCTACATCACAGCTGATTCTAGCGCTCTTGGTTCTCTGACTGGCTCGATCATTGGCACTCTCTTCTCAATTGCAGTCAACTTTCTTGTCGCTTTGATATTATCACATATCTTAGCATGGAGGATTGCACTCGTGTGCCTGGCTGTGCTTCCCCTCATGCTGGGCGCCGGCATCATGCAGATGCGCTTACTGGCAAAATTTGCTGCAAAGCACGAAAAGGCTTTCTCCAAGTCTATAGGCATCACAGTAGAAGCAGTCAACTCCATCAAGACGGTGGCAGCCCTGTCACTTGAACAAGAAGTTTTGGGAACCTACTGGCGAGCTCTCAAATACCCTCGCAAAGATCATTTGAGGACCAGTATCTGGGCCAACCTTTTCCTGGCGATGACATACAGTGTTGCGAACCTCATCTATGCACTTGCCTACTGGTGGGGCGCAAAACAGATCATTGAAGGCTACTACACCCAGACCCAATTTTTCATTGTTCTTGTTTGCCTTCTCGTAAGTGCACAGCAGTGGGGCGAGCTTTTCACACTTGCTCCAGAGGTGGGAAATGCTGGTAGAGCCGCTGGACGTATTTTCAGCTTGATCGACCTAGGCTCAAGCAGAACTCTTGATGAAAAGCATATTTCTGAGAAGGACCCCGAATCAATTGTTGAGATGAAGAGCCCAGGTCCTCAGATTGAAGGCGGCATGCGAGTCAATTTCAATGAGCTTGTGTTCTCTTACCCAGCTCGTCCCAACCGACAAGTGCTCAAAGGACTGAGCCTTGATATCCAGCCGGGCCAGTTCTGCGCACTGGTTGGGCCAAGTGGTGCAGGTAAATCGACTATCATATCTCTGATGGAGCGAATGTACCATCCAAGCTCTGGAGTGATTGAGGTGGACGGCATGGACATCGCAGCCAAGAAGGAGCCAGCTTTCAGAGATGACATCGGCCTTGTTCCACAAGACAACATTCTGTTCGACGGTAGCGTACGTTTCAACATTGCACTAGGAGCCCGTCCAGGCTACGACCCTTCGGACACCGAGATAGAACAGGCATCTCGTTTGGCAAATATCCACGACACAATCATGGCATTGCCGGATGGATATGAGACCGAATGCGGCCCCGGAGGCGGTCGGCTCTCGGGAGGACAGAAACAACGACTTGCCATTGCGAGAGCGCTGGTCCGAAAACCGCGACTGTTGCTACTGGATGAGTCCACCAGCGCTTTGGACGCCGAGTCAGAGCGACTACTTCAAGATGGCTTGGAGAAAGCAACTAAAGGCATCACGGTCATCGCTATAGCTCATCGGCTGCATACCATCCGTAGGGCCGACGTGATCTTCATGATCGAGGATGGAAAGTGTGTGGACAAGGGTACCCACGAGGAGTTGTTGCAGAGGAGTGAAAGTTATCGGGTCAATGTTCTCCACCAGACACTGGGTTGAACTGCTGAGTTGCCTACTGATATTTACCGACCACCAATTGGCCAATTATAGACATGCATCGTAGTAATATTATTGAGTTAGAAGCTTCTTTGCGTTCCAATTTGGGTTTCTCCCACGTCTCGGTTCGGTGCTGTCTAAGCGAGACAGTAAAACAATGCATCTGTCAAACGGCCTGTCAGCCCCGATAGTGGCTTCCCAAAATCCGGGGAACGCTACGGTAGCTCTAAAACTGGTGAGGCCATTATCGAATCACGATCACAGTAGCTGAGCAGCTGATACATACAGAGAGATTATCATGAGATAAGGGCATCGTGACATCTCGGCCGGCCGGCGTTTTGGTGGAGTCTGGACCCTCATCTACCCCTCAAACGAGACTAGTGAGGCATAATGGTCAGATAGTCGAACGATGCTCCTTGCTCATCAACTTCCTCGTGTCCGGCGCTGCCAGCGCCCCTGTTGACGGGAGCTGCCGGGTCGGTGATTCAGCGTCTTTGTTGGCTGTCTATCCCCTGTAGCCATTGGCCCTGCCCGCATAAGCGTTCCAACTTTAACGGCCGGCAGGCCGCCCTAGCATGATCTACACTTGGGAGTTGGGACCATACCCAACCACGATGCTCGGTCAAAACCGCTCTTATCACCGGCACTTCCCCGGGTTCATTGAGAAGCGCCTCAGAGGCTGACGAGTATCTGACGGTGCATACTCTCCACAGGAGGAACAGCATAGAGCTCCATCACCGGTCGTCCGGAGACTTATGTATGTTGGCGATTCATGAGCTTGCGGCTTTAAGCCAGAGGCAGCTCGATGAGGGGTAGACATTGGCTCCTCCTCAACTCGTGGAGAAGAACCTCTAGGCCAAACACAGTATTGACAAGGTTTTGACGAGGTATCTGACTGGCCGGAGGACGCATCTACAGGTTCGATCCTACAGATTGGTAAAAACTATGATCAGGAACCAGATTGTGGAGTGTGTTCCATGCTCGTGCGGAATGCGGGGAGATCTTAAAGACTTGGGTCTCGCTAGCTAGCTGAGCGTGCGGCCCGACTATATAAACACCAGTCAATCGTACGATCCAAGGCATTGCCATCAAAGTCCCATTCTCTCATCACGATCTCACGATTAGTCAAGCCATAGATCCGCTCAGTTTACTATATAAAGCGCTTTACATAAGTCTTTCTAGCAATCCAAAAACAAACAACCATCAAAATGTCGCAGAACATCCCGCAAGAACAATGGGCGCAGGTAGTAGAGAAGACAGGCGGACGTAAGTTGGCTCCCAAACCCTCCCTGTACACACTCGGTGCAATACCTTGCGGATTCTGACCGATTAATCTTAGCTGTTGTCTTCAAGAAAATTCCTGTCCAGAAACCCGGTCCCGATGAGGTCTTGATTAACATCAAGTTCAGTGGCGTCTGCCACACAGATCGTAAGCTAGAACTTCGTCACACTTAAAAATGACGTCATCTGATTAATTTGATAGTTCATGCCATGAAGGGCGATTGGCCACTGGCAACCAAAATGCCTTTGGTTGGTGGTCACGAAGGAGCTGGTATAGTCGTTGCAAAGGGCGAGCTCGTCCACGATGTCCAGATTGGCGACCACGCCGGAGTCAAGTGGTTGAACGGCTCCTGTATGGACTGCTACTACTGCAGGCAGGCCGAAGAACCCCTGTGCCCCGAACCATTGCTGTCGGGCTACACGGTAGACGGCTCGTTCCAACAATACTGTATCGCCAAGGCGAACCACATCGCCCGCATCCCGAAGGAGTGCGACCTCGAGGCCATTGCACCCGTGCTTTGCGCTGGTATCACGGTCTACAAGGCCCTGAAGGAGTCCGGTGTCAAGCCCGGCCAGTTTGTCACGATCATCGGTGCAGGTGGCGGCCTCGGCTCCATGGCCCTTCAATATGCCAAGGCCATGGGTGTGCACACAATCGCCATCGACGGTGGCGAGGAGAAGCGCAAGATGTGTATCGAGCAGCTCGGTGCCACCACATATGTCGATTTCTTGACCTCCAAGAACCTCGTCCAGGACGTCAAGAAGGCCACTTCCGACGGCTTTGGCCCCCACGCCGTCATCGTGCTGGCCGTCAGCGAGAAGCCCTTCCAGCAGGCCGCCGAGTACGTCCGCAGCAGAGGTACCATCGTCTGCGTCGGTCTGCCCGCAAATGCATACCTCAGAGCACCTGTCTTTGACACAGTGACCAAGATGATCAGCATCAAGGGTTCGTACGTCGGAAACCGCCAGGACACGGTGGAGGCCATCGACTTTTTCGCACGGGGCCTGGTCAAGGCACCCTTCAAGACCGTGGGCCTGAGCAAACTCCAGGACGTGTTCGACTTGATGGAAAAGGGCGAGATCGCCGGTCGCTACGTTGTTGATACTAGCAAATAAGTCTTATATTAGATGATAGAGGATATCCAACTGGTCCGGAGTTTAAGTGGACGGCTAATGCGGTATTACTAAGAGGAATGAAAATAATCTACAAATGAATCAAATTATGCTACTTATTGTTTCGCCATACTGATGGACTGATTAGTAAAAGCTGCCCGGTCCTTCGTCCACATGAGCGGCAAGCTGAAAATGAACGTTTCTCATTGCAGTGGACGCTTTCTAGCTGCTATACACGGATATACATTCTAGTATTACTTTCCACAGGCGCTAAGAAATAATAGTGCTGCAAACGTTAAAAGTACTGTCCAGCAAAACGATCACGCCACTTTTTGCCTTGGCTATGCGCTTCATAATTCGACTTCCACTTCGGACGAGTGCCGCAGAATATAAAGCCTCAACAGTTAATCATACGGGATCCTGGTTTCCAGGATATAACGCCTCGGTCTGAGCAGTTCCCGCAGCCATCAGGTCTTGTTGTATATATGTGCTTGAGCTACTGGCCAGCGTATCATCGATTCGAACTTATGTGGCGTTAATCGCACCTAACCCCTGCTGAGGACTTTCTCGTTTGTCGTTAGCTGTTAAACAATAGTGGCAGGACGGTATAGCCAGGTTCAAGAAACTGTCTGACGGTATGACAGCGTCTTGAATATTCCCTAGTATGACCATCAATTGACAGAAATTATGCCTCTATGGCATGACAGATTTTTCTTTCTTTCTAACTCTTGGCCCCCCCTTCCCTACCCCTTTTTAGTTCGTCTCAGCTCTGGCAGAAACTGCTCCGCAATATCGGTGTCTTCCACACAGCAATCGTCCGATCGAGATCTCAATGAAGGCGCGTGGTGTGCCCGGGCCGAGCTCGCACGATAGCGGGACCCTCGGCCGATCCGCCAGTGGGCCGACCTCGAGATCGTGTCATCTCCTAGAGGACAGGCCGTCCTGGCCGAGCTCGGAATCCAACGTGGCCAAGATTCCAAAACCCAGTCTCGAGCTGCCTGCAGGACTCCATAATGGAGTCTGTTGAGCTGTCGGAGGGGGATGAACAGGTTGCGAAGGACCCCTGTCTTCCCCTGGTTGAGGCACATACCGTGTCAGGCACAGCACAGAGCCGGGCAGGACCGACCGGGACCGCAAGCCATAAGACAGCACGAGACCCTCGGTGCTTCCGAAGTTGGAAGGGACGCCGTAGATATGGTAGAACATATACAATGCCAGATAGTCAAACATACGCCTACGGACTGTAATGAAATTTATCGGTAGTCATTTTTCACGTCTTCGCCCGAGCAAATGTTGGAAAGGTCAGGATCAAAATACTTCGCCTCCGACGAAGTGTATGCTTCCGTTTGGGCTATCAAAATGCCGCGGTCGGTGATGGTCTGCCACCGTGGAAGCAATCTTGTGTCGACAGTGGAAATGGATGTTCGGGAGCAAGTCTGTTGCCCAGCGTACAAGATCAGGCAACCGAACGCGTCCGAGAAACGACCGAGAAGAGGGGCGCCGTGGTTCATGTCATCTCCAGGCACGACCTACACGTCGTGTCGACCATGAACCATGCCTCCACCATGGAGGTGCAGAAAGATACCTGGAGCGGCCCCTCCTTGGGTATTCGAGTTCATAACAAGGCACTCGATATTACGCCCCCCCGGCTCTGTCGATGGGACCTCAACCCCAGCTCCATAGAGAAGTTCCCCCAAACCACGGGAGTGGAAGGACTCTCTCATCTTGCTGACAAGTCCCTGACGCTTTTGTCGGCCTGCAGCCCGACGTTCCAGGATTGTAAGGTCTCGTTTCGGGGACTAGCAAATATGTTCTTTGTAGCGCAGTTATTTTGGCGCGATATATCGCAGAACTTTCCTCGTTTTTTCGGGTGACCTTGCTGGAATTCGAATCGCGGACCATCAATGATCAGACCAGATTTTACTCTCCTCGTAGTTGCTTGATAGAAATTTGTCCTTGGTTGTTCGGGTCAATTGGAGCAAACTGATAGTCAAGGAGCACGACAGAACCCAATAGGAAATCAGACAAGTGTTAGATCAGCACATTCACAGGTGCGGGTGGCGGATGGTGAACTTGCAGCACTAGATGCTTTGGTTCACTTGCTATGTGGACGACATCTGGACCAAGTCACTTTTGAGAGAAATCAACGGACACTTCTCTTCTCGATGCAGATTGGAGACCAGGTGAGATCATGTGCATTTCATTCATTGCGGGGCAGCACTGCCATTGGTCGTAGCATAGACTATCGTCTACGTATGAGCTCCTGCTGCTATTTCCTCCCCATGCCACTAGCTTCTGAGTAATCCCATGACAACTCGAAAAGGAGTCCCCGGTGTCCGCCAGAACCCTGACCTAATATAGATCCGATCACTCGGGCATTGCAAGAGGATTGTGCTGCCTCCTATCACCAAGACTGGCCGTGAGAGAATCGCCTACTTCAAGGGAATGAAACGAGACGAGTGGGTGGCACCGATACCGGGGCGACCGTGCTTGACGGGGGTGTAAGAGATAGAGAACTCGGCGAGGTAGTGGCCGACCATTTCGGGGCGGATCTCGACGTTGTTGAAGGACTTTCCGTTGTAGATGCCGATGACGGAACCGATCATTTCGGGGACAACAATCATGTTTCGGAGATGTGTTCGGACCTCCGGGGGCTTCTCGTTGGGTGCAGCGTTCTGCTTGGCGACACGGAGCTTGCGGATCAGGGCCATGGGCTTGCGCTTCAGACCGCGGGAGATTCTTCTGCGAGCGCGAGCATGGAGGAGATCGCGGAGCTCGTCAGAGCCAAGCTCGAGCAGGTTGTCGAGGTCTACACCACGGAACTGGTACTTTCGGAATGCGCGCTTCTTCTTGAGCTCAGCGGCCTCAACGGGGTCCTGGAATCGGGAGCATGGTCAGCAATTCTGCAATATTCACCGAGAAACACTTCAAGTGGACATACGTAGTCGGTGTCAGCCATGTTGTTTGCGGGCACTGCGACAGGATTGATCGTGATAAGTTCCGGTGGGGGGAAGTAAAGTGTGCGGCAGTCTCGTCGCAATCAATGGCCAAACACTCTTCTTTTTTTTTTAGAAATTGCAAATTGGTGCAAGTTGCGAGTCTGCGAGTAGGGCTTCCGGCAGAAAATCCAAGACGGTCTCCACACAGCTGCCGGCCAGCTGCCCTTTGTTGGCCCCTCTTTTATGCTCAATCGCCGGGCCACTTCTGCTGCGCTGCTACGTACTTGGACTGGACTAGTCTAGCGTCCATATGTCCACCATCTCTTGTGCACGGTGGACAGAGGAACGAACAGGCTGGTCAATCAAGTTCATGCGATTGGTTGCTGCATATCGTCGAGTCAGTGGCGGAATGTAAATTCCGTCCGCGTATTCCAAGCCTCAAAAGTCCAACACCTGGGCGCAAAGCATGCTGCATCGGCCTGCCACAGCTACCGTTACCGTTGCCATAGTCGTATCACTTGGCTTGCAATAAGAAATGACCCCTGCTTTGCCATGACCAAATGCACGCGGCCCATCAGAGCTGGACTGTACATATTTGCTAGACTAGTGACCGAGTGATGATTATGGCAAGTGGTAGCACGCAGTCACCACGCGGTCGCCCTCGCGGAGGAGCAACAAACTCACCCGCCACTGGAGAATCACCCCCAAAAGCAAAGTCGGCAAGACCTCGCAGCAAGTACGCAGCTAGAGCTTGTGATGAGTGTCGACGACGTCGCGCGAAGGTATGTCTTTTGGTGTATGCTATGAGTTTGTCCCAAAAGCTCGAGTACAGTTGCAGGGCGTGGCGCGTCCACATCTCCTGTCTTGAATGCAACCCACCTGCACATCTCTCGCAAAGTCTCGTACCCATCCTGATAACCCGCCAGTGCGACGGAAATAAACCATGTGCTCGCTGCGCTACTCGCAACCTGGTGTGCAAGACGGCCGATGACGAAGATGCCAGGGGCACTGCTCCAAAGTCCTATGTTCGAATGCTGCAGGCTCGGATCCATGTCCTCGAGCGAATTCTGCAACTCCATTCCATCAACATTGACGCTGCTATTGCCCGGCTAGAACAAGACAAGACTGCGCCGGCAAACACTACTTCACTTGCCGCCGACGGCTCTCCCACAACCTTGGATCATTTCTGCGGCGCATTTGAAGGTTCCTTGACTCTCGACGAATCTCTCAACTTCGACCGTGATGGCCAGGCACGTTACTTTGGTCCATCAAGTGGCCGTCTTGATTTTCAGAGCCTTGAAGGTCGGTATTTGGCTGATTGCGCTTTGCGTATTGCTTGTGCGCAACTCGTTGTGTTGGAAGGTTCTGTTCTGACTGTGAATCGCAAACACGTATAGACTGCAGCCAAGAAGGAGTACCGCAACGTACAGCCGCCATAGGACAGATCGAGCAGAAGTCGATCGCAAATGCCAACATATTGGGCGACAATAATCCACTGTCTGGAGAGTTGGAGTCTCATCTACTTGACCTATATTTTACATGGGAGCAGCCATGGTTTCCGGTTGTGGACGAGAGGCTATTTCGGGAGAGCAAAAGAACCAATGGGCGCTATTACAGCCCCTTGCTCCTGAACAGCATTCTGGCAGTTGCGTCCCGTCACAGTGACCGAATGGAGGTGCGAACGGACCGCCATGATGCTAACACGGCAGGACGTATGTTTCTTGAGGAAGCCGAGATGCTTTTGCGCGTCGATCTTCGCCAGCCCAGTATTACTACTTTGCAATCAGTCGCTGTGTTGGGCACTGTGTATGTGGTAAGTGACACTGCCCAATCCACCAGTCTCTATCCTGATCCTAGTAGGCTTTCGGCTACGATGCCGCAGGCTGGCTGCATCAGGGAATGGCGAGCCGATTAGTTCTCGACATGGGTTTGCATTTAGACCCTGGAGCTCTTGTTGAGTCAAACTGCATGAGCCCTGAAGAAGCCGAATTGCGTCGACAAATATACTGGTCCCTGTATTGTGTTGATAAACTCTTTGCAAGTTACACTGGTCGTCTCTGCACTATGCTGGTAAGAGATATCAACCTTCGGCATTCTTTCAACTGGCTCTCAACACAAACTAACCGTGCCATGATCTCGACATAGGATTTCCAAGGAGCTGTCGGCCTGCCTTCAGTACAAAAGCCGAGCACGCGGCACAAAAATCACCAGGACCCGACAACTGTGGATCGATCACTTCTGATCGCCCTTCAAAACGCATTAAGCACCCTTTGTCAGATTCTAGAGAGTATTTTGCTCAGTTTGTAAGGTCACACAACACCAGCTCTCTTTACCCCGTCACACTAACTGACGGAACCGGAAGGTATTCACCAAAGAAGCTGCCTGAAGGAGCTCAGAGGCAGAGTTTCTTTGATTCGACTCTTCTCGCACTCAAGAGTTGGCTCTACACCCTGTCGCCAGAAATCAAACCCATCAGGGCTGACAAGGTCAATACACTTCCCCAAGCCATTACACTTTGCATGGTCTATCATACTACCGTTATCCTCCTCGCCAAGCCATTTCTCGTTGTTGAACAGCACAACCACCAGTCGGGAAAGGGACCAACGCAACACGAACCGTCGAGTAGCTTGCTTCCAGAAAAGGCTGTGGCTCTCACTCTGGAAGCTGCGAAAAACATTTCCACCCTTGGCGATCGCTACCGCGAAGGCTTCGGCAGTTTTCGAAGGAGTCCAATATCAGCTACGCATTGTACTCTCAGCGCGGTACTGGCGATTCTGCAACTCTCGAACTGCTCTAACCATACGGCTGATGGCAGCAATGCTGACAAGATTCGTCCCTGTCTCCGTACGCTGCATGAGCTGTCCGTGTCGTGGACCCCGCCCCGCAGGTATTATCAGAACCTTCTGAAGATGGTCCGCCGTGCTACCACGACTCATAATGAGACCAAAGAGCTCGACCTAGCTGTCATAGAAGGCCGACCAAGTTCCGGGCTTACAATTGTGGGGCCAGAAGAGGATCCACCAAACCTTTCATTCTCACAAGACTATAGAAATGATGTGGCCGATGAACCAGGATGGGCTGGACATTTACTGGCAGCCGAGCCTCCCATGTATGATCAGATAACCATGTTCGATACGCCATATTGGCCAGGTTTTGAGACAGATGATATTCTCAATCATGAACACTGGGAGAAAGTTTTGCTAGAGAGCACAGCGTTTGATTTGCCGAACTCATAGGTCTTCGCGCATATCAGAATTCCGACCTCCTGCGTAGGTGGCTGTGTTGCAATGCGGTCCATCTCGTCAGTAAGTATGGTACTTGATCAAGTTGTAGCTGGCTCAGCCCAAGCGCTCTGTTGCTGACCGATTGTAGTATTCTGGTCCGAGCCATTTGGGAACCTTGCTTCAAAAGAGTGTACCTAGTGGTTGATTTGAATATAATCTTGTTTGAAAAATTGTATCCAATATTTCAGCCGATACATTCCTGATACTTCTACTAATACCGCAAGACCTGAAATTCTATATCGGTGTGATGCAGAAGGTCGCTGTGGCTATCTTCTCTATCCTAGGCGGGTGGTGATTTTGTTCCCACAGCTCCGAGGCATCTCAGAACATGGTGGACCAACTGCATTCACAATGTCATCATCGCGTCAATTGTGAAGTTACAGCTCCTGCTTCAAGTAGGATTTTTCTTTTTCTTTTTTCCCCTTCAAATTCCCAGTCAACGAGGCCGTGAATCATTCTATCATTTGAAAAGCTGTTCAGAATTGCTTACGGCGTCGTTTGTATCCGCCACGGCTCACTTAGCCTATTGTGATGCTTCCTGCCATGCAAGGGGCTCGCGACGCTTAGTGTTGGCAGCGCAAAATCCTGCTTCAAGGGATAAAGCAAAAGCCGAAAACACTTTTAAGAAGTCTTACCGGCGATCACAGTGGAGCGAAATTGAGTCGAATGGAGACTTGGCCGTTGGATCCGGCCACATTCGCAAGGATACGCAGAGTGGTATCTCGCTGGAGCAGCTGGACCCTAGCCTTAAAAACATTATCCTCCCGAGCACTGCCCTGTTCTCCCAATGATTGTGAACATCGGAACACCGCGAATGAATTGATATCAATTGTTTGGAGGGGCAGCCGATCGGTTTCCCCTTCACATATATCGGCACTTGGAAATACGGACGGATCTGGAGGCCGCTACTCATGTGTTGATGCAGGATGACATGGATGGCGGAGAAGCCTGGAATCTCCAATGGCGGGGATAAAAATTAAATTAGCTTTTTGAGCCTGGAAAATGCCTAATTCATTAGCACAGGCTTGCACAGGCCAACTGTCAGCCAGTGGCTAGCATGAATTAGCGGGTATGTTGACAGGCTTGACGGGGGTTAGATGCGTGCTAGTAGCACTATCACCCGTTAGAACATGCCCTCGGCAGCAGCCGACATAGAACGAAATGAGATTCAATTATTTTAATCCCATCCTGGCTGGTCGGGCGCCCCTTGCCAGGGTACATGCTCCTCTTCATTTCAATGAGCATCATTGAGCTTACGTATATAACGCTGATCATGTCCTGTCGCGCGCGCGCATTCGAGACGACTTTCTTGCTCAGACGAGGATCTCACGTCTGTCGGCTTTAGTCCTCCTGTTTCTCATGCCTATTTGGGCTTGTCGTTCTTTACCAATTTGAAGTATGTTCTTCACCACACTCGTTTCTGCTGGGCTTACTGCCTTTGCCTTTACCAACACGGCGACTGCCATTGCAGTTCGCTCTGGCGACGTTTGCAAGGGTGGCCCTTACACGGCTTACTCTGCTCTGTCCCACTATCCTGCAGCGCAAACTTATTGCTCTTCGGCATATGCTGCTTCCGCCGTCACCACGTATGTCACCACTACGTTGACTACGGAAGCTCTTGCGACCATTACTGTCACCGAGCTGTCGACGGTGATCCCGACGTCCAGCGTTTCCCCAGCAAAGGCTAAGCGGGGCAAATGCCGAGGAACACCGGCCTCGCAGTCCGTGCCGGTATACTCAGCGAACTCAACGGCATATCATATCCCTCAGTCGACAGGTTACCATGTCGCTCAAAGCTCGTCATCAGCCAAGAAGGCCGACCTCTTATCCAGCCTGATCTCTGGCCCATCGTCCGTTGCGAAAGCCGCTTGCTCATGTCTCGTCGGCACTACTGTCACTGTCACGGCCACCAGCACTGCTTTGTATTCTAGTGTCGCGACTGCTCCTGCCCAAGTCAGCGGCACAGCAACTGTTACCACCGTGCTCACGGTGACAGAGGCAGTGTCCACAACATCCGAGAGCAGCAGCAGCAGCTCCAGTACCGTATCCAGCACTTCTACCACAAGCTCAGCTGCAGCAACTCCAACATGCTCATCTGAGACGACACAATACCAGACGGACAACGATCTCGTCTGGGAAATTACCTCCAACAGCCTTTATGGAGCAACTGATTCTAACTCGCTTTCCCGCTCTGAGCAACCAGATCTTAGCAGCTGCCTTGAAGCGTGCTCCGTATATCAAGACTGCGCCTACGCCATCTTCGTCGCTGATGAGTCCTATGGAGCTGCTCATCAGTGTTACTTCCTGAGCAGCAGTGATGCCGGCTTCGGGACTGGTTACTGTGGAGTTGATACAGCGAGACTGATTGCTGCATAAAAATGCACCGGGAGGGAGGCTGAATTGCATCAGATGGTCCGAAATGATGAGTTCTTAGGCTTTAGTGGAATTTATGCGAAAACATGGTCTTTGTTAAGTCAAGACCTCAGCAGCACGATCTATCAACGAAATCTGACGTATTATATATCTATTACCCAAACCACTAACAAATACGTGCTTCTTATTTCCAGTTTTTTGTTTTATTTTGACAACCTGCCCCATCGTGAATAAGCAACCCAATCCTTGTGCCTCTTGCAGGGATCATTCCTCTACATCCATTACACCTTCGAAACCTTTCTGCGCCATCCTCAACTTACGTTGCTGCTGCGATTGCATGTCCTGCTGATGTGAGCCTTTGGGCTCCAGAATTGATCGGTAACCATGAAAACAACTTACCTGCTCAACAGTGTCGATCATGATGTATCGAATGACAGAGACATGCCGATCCTGACCGAGACGAATGGCTCTAGCGATGGCCTGGCTCTCGACACTGGGATTCCACTGCAGCTCCACGATAAAAACACGGTTCGCGCATGTTAAATTTAAACTGCTCCTTGTTAGCAGCCAATTTCTCCTATAGACTGTTTCCCGATGCTGCCTACCCAAAGGCCCCCGTGCCCGTCGTCATGATTAGGACTGGATTGCCTGACTTTTTCTCGAAGTCGTCGAGGATTTTCTGTCTCTTGGATAAAGGGCACTCCCCGTCGATCCGAGAGAAGGGGATATTGGCGCGCTCCAAATGCTTGGCCACCAGGTTCAGCGTGCGCGTCCAGCAGGAGAAGATGATACTGTGCCATGTTAGTCACCTTATCATCAAGGTCTAAAGGCAAGCAAGGGCCCCCACCTTTTCGTCTTATTCAAGTCCTCTTCGACATCTGATATGAGCGCGTTCATCTTGGTCGAGTGGCCTCCGACGCGGAAGTAATGGGCATCATCGAGCTCGCCGTCATCTCCCCTGGACCCTTGGCTGTCGTCGGTCATCTCGATGTCGACAGCCTCCTTGTTGAAAACCAAACACAGGGGGCAATGTTGCCGCCCGGACCCCGACCCTTTGGCCGCTGCAGTCTGGTCGAGGCATTCGAGGCACAGAACATGATTACACTTCTCCGCAAAGTTGTTGTAGACCTTGTTGGACCCGAGAACCGGCATCGGCTGAGCACATCCGTCGCAGTTGACCTGTGCACTGCCGCCGATTGCTGATAACATGGCTTCTTTGATGTCCCGCAGGCTACGCTCGCTCTGCCACGAGAACGTCTGCTGGAAGGTGCCGTGGTTGCACAGAATGCGCAACTGAAGGTTCGCCTGGAAAATGCCGAACTTGCTGGTCTGTTCATGCTCGCCCGCCTTCTGCCGGATTTTCCGGAACAGGATCTCCTTCGTGTTGTTGTATTGCTTCCGCTCCCCCTCATTCAGAGCCAGCCGCCTGACGGACTCGTTCAGAGGTGGGAGGTCGAGCAGTTCTTTCGTTCTGCGCAGACAGAGCGAGTCGTTTAGCTGGACGAGTCTGTCTATCGCCGTCCTGTCCTCGTTCTGTTCGAAAGGAACGACGATGTATCTTCGGAAAACTGCCATGCTGTCAAACGGCTTGGCTTTGATGAAACAGAACAGTGCACCGATGTCCTCTAGTTTGTTCTGTATGGGCGTCCCAGTAAGGCACCATCTGGATCTCGCCTTGAGCTCCGCACAGGTTCTGTGGAAGGTGGTTGCTTGTCGTCGGATGATATGCGCTTCGTCTAGTACCACTCTGTACCACTCGATTTCATGCAGCAGACTTGTCCTGTTGATTGCAGTTGTGCTAAATTCTTTCGCCAAAGTGTTGTACGTAGTTATGACTATGTCGGAATTTTCTAAAGCTTCCAACCCTGTCTTGTCTTTCGGGCGGCTTGGGCCATGGTAGCGGATGATCTTGAGCGAATCTTCCAGGTGCCTAGTACATAATCAATCCAAAATGCTTTGTCAACCATAAAATTCCACATACTCTTCGATTTCCTTACACCAGTTGTTTATGAGGACTAGAGACAGTCAGCTTGATCCCACAATTTAGTGAGAAGAGGACCTACGTGCTGAAGAGACAACTATCAGCGTTGCACGGGTGTGGCCTTTAACTTGACTGATTTCGTCTGGCGATCTTCTTGCTACGGCCCATTCTTCTCCATTCTTGAGGGTCTCAACGATCAATGAGAGAATACACAGAGACTTTCCCATGCCCATCTCGTCCGCTAGAATTCCACCACCTTTTTCGTCTGGTCGTACTCTGGACTTGCTCTTAGTGATTGCGTGAGAGTAACTGTTTTAGAATCAGTGTAAATGTATATTTAATCAGGCTCTGGATCCCTACCTGGTGACACCTTCCACTACGACCATTCTCCAGAGCCGAAACTCTTCATCGATTTCTCCAGTTTCTCTCTGTATCATGAAATTCAAAGCTTTGGTTTGATGCCTGTCAAGACTGTAAGTGAATATCGTTGGTCAGTGAATTTAAAATAGTTCGCTTACGGTAACATCTTGGTCTTGAAATGGCCACTAACATCTCTTTGAGCAAGGCCATCCTGTCTTCTTGTTGAGTTATAGACCTGATGCACAGTTTGGAGGAGATGATCCTCCTCGGTTCGTGGTTTGGCCCGTCCTCTTTCTAGCAATTCCATAGGCTGGTCCAACAAGCTCAAGTCGAGGTCTTCAAACTCCAAGACCTGAGGGTTCTTGTATTCAATATCACGGAAAAGGTGGTCCGGTTTTTGCAGCCACAGCTTATGTTCAGACAGACGTGCCCCGACGTCATCTGCCTCACTCGGCGGGCCATACACGTTGATATTCACCCTCACAAGTGCTTCAGAGGGTTTTGCCGCGCGACCAATAGTCTCTCTAAGAGTATCAGTGCCAACAATTGCCTCGAAGTAGAGGGTCGGCGATGCAAGGTAGGATGCTAGACCTTTTGTGTAATTGCCGCGCAAGTAGCCAAATTCGGTACCATCCGCAAAACTCAATTGCACATGATCAGTTTTATCCTTGAGCTGGAAGCGTTGGTTGAGGGTTGTATTTTGTGTAGGCCTCAGCTTTGCGTCAAGCACACTCATGTCCCCAACGACCTTCACATCTACATTGTGAAGCTATGTGAGGAGTTAGCCAAATTTTTGTTGCATTAAACTGTCCTGATTTTCGACATATGTTTTCATCAATAGTCGCACCACCTACCATTCCATAGCATATGTCTCCAGGGCGTGTGCCATGGGCCGTTCCTGCATCACCGCGCTCGTCTTGAGAGTCTCCTCTATCTACGTTTTCGACATCGTCAGCAGACGAAGACGAATATCGCCCCCGCGGCATCGTGTCGTCTGCCCATTGCTGAAAATCCGCATTGAAAGCCGGATTTTCGACTCCTTCACCTCCGAGATCAATGTGGTCGAACCACTCGGTGAATGGCCCACCAGTCTGCTCTTCGCTACGGTTTAAGATACTGCTGCAAGGTCAATCATGTTCTTGTATGGCCTTGGAGGGCACATACCTATCATGGCCATTAGAAAATCGCAGCCGGGTCCCGTCACCTTCGGACGATTCGTGATTCAATAAGCGCTTCACTGAAAGTGCCATTGTTTGCAGTAGCAGAAAAGGTACGTGAACTCAGTATTCGTGGGCCGAGGCTCGAAAGCCAACTCTCACGCCTTTCCATGCTGCTATCGTACAAAAAGCCCAGCATTGAAATGTCGGGTAGCAATATCAAACTTAGCCTCGTTGCCTTGAGGCGAACCACTTTCGCATGTTCGGTAGACCAGACCAAGTGCATGTAGTTTTTCTACTTGGTCGACGACCCTGTAGGTTGCAGTGGAGGCGGCGCAGGGGTAGTCGCAGCTGGCCACCTATCAGTTAGCGAGGCGCTTGGATAGCTGCAGTAAGCCCCCGAGGTCCACGGCAATTAAGTCAGCTAATTCGCTGGGGACTTTTGGTCAGGTACGCACATGACGCCTCGCTTTCTGCCTTAGTTTTGCAGTGCAGTAGCACTCAGTATCACAACGCCCGACTATTATGAGAGAAGGGGGCTGAGCATATGCCGCGCTCAGCCTCAGCGATGGCCGAATCGGAAAACGATCGCTTCCCCGTGCGGCGCATGGCAGTTTGAACTGCTGAAGAAATGGATAGTTCGTGGTAAATTCCACTTCGCGTGTTGCGAGAATAGGTATCCTACCTTCAGGTAGCCCAGTTTGCGACCTGGTACATTGATAGTAGCATGGCGCCAGCATTTCCGATTGACGATGATGGTGATCGAGAGACCAAGGCGGCCTTTCGTGAGGCCCTGCAGGCCTTCAAACAAAAGATATCGCAGCGCAACTTGCAGAGATTTGAGGTCATGTCCAGTCAAGAAGTGAAACTTGAAATATTTCGCATCCAGCGAGATCAAGAGCTTCTGAAGGCCATGTTGAATCTGCGCCGGATGGAAAGGTTTCTTCTCAAACTGGAAGAACTACAAATAGCCCTGCGAAATTTCATGGACGCTGGATCATACCTTTCATATGTGTGGGGTGCGATGCAGTTCTTGTTGTCGGTACGTGGCAGTGATATGCGCCATAGATAGCATGCAACTCACTAACACTATGGCAGATAGCATCAAACTTTTCTCAGGAAGGCCTCGACAGTCTACTGCACGCCTATGAAACTTTGGGTCGAAAGATGCCAACTCTTCGCAAGCTAGAATGTCTTTTTACCAAACACACAGGTTTGCGAAAGTGCCTAGTCGCGTTGTACAAGGATATATTGGATTTTCACGCAGGAGCATATCAATGTTTCACTCAATTTTCAGAAAGAGGTACGCTGAGCTATCTACAGCTTAGAAACATATCTGACGGTGTGAAGGCCGGAAGAAGATTTTCAAGTCGGCCTGGAAAGACTTTGACAACAAAATACGCTCGCTCGAAGCCAGCATGGCGGCCCAGAAGGATATGATCGAGCTGGGAGAGAGCAAGCTAGACTATCGACGCTCTTCTGGGCGGAATGGCGACTTGAACGGTGACGATGTCTGGGAACTCCGTACTCAGATCTTGCACTTTGAGAGCGAAAGTAGGAAACGAGCTCAAGACTTCGAGAATAAGGAAAAGGAACGCCTTCGCAACCAATCCGATGAGGCACTAAAATGGGTTTCGGGTAGTCAGAACACTTCAGAAGATACGCACACTCATTGTTCTACTGTGCGTCGTACGTACCCTGGGACATGCGACTGGATTCAGAAGAACGATGCGATTGACAATTGGATGAGTGTCCCAACACCGACGCACTCCATAGTATGGATCAACGGAAGCATGGGTGCAGGGAAGTCTACATTGGCATCCCACTTGATCGACCGATGCACGGAGTGCACTTCAGCAGGTGCCCCTTTCAAGACAATATACTTTTATTGCAAAGGCAAAGAACCGGAATCGTCGAGTTGTCTCGCCATGTTTAGAGGGCTTCTACGCCAGCAGCTTATGCATATCCGAAGCGACGAAAAGTTTAGACACCTTGTAGCGTATTGCCACGACAAAAAATATGGATCCGGTCAGCCTGGCCAAAAGCTCAACACCTACGAGGTTGCAAAATCTCTGCTGGAGCTGTTTTTCGAGATCATACCACATCAATATATCATCATTGATGGGCTGGACGAGTGCGAAAAACCTGAAATCAAGCAATCGCTTCCGATCCTTACTGCAGTCGTTGCACGACAAGATAACACTGAGCCTGGTAGGCTGCGTCTCCTAATAGTTAGTCGTGATATGCCCGAAATCAAGAGGCCTCTTTCATGCGAGACAACAACTGCCAACATTGTCAAGATTGAATCGAAAGACAACGAGGAAGCTATATCCAATTATGTCACACAACGACTGTCACAGTTTCCACCTGCGCTCAACTTGACCAAGAACGAAATGGACCGGATCAGAGATCTTACGTGCAACAAAGCCAAGGGCGCTCTAGGTTGGTTTTTTTAAATAAAAAAAATAAAGACCACCAATACTGGCTGACACATTGCAGGAATGTTCCTCTTTGCTGAGCTGGTACTCAATAACCTTGCACAAGTCATACAGAAAAAGACCCTCTTGGAGGAGCTAGATACTCGGCGCTTTCCCCAAAACCTCCAGCAAGCGTACGCCAACGAACTCTTATTCACGTTTTCGAGTGTGTGGCTTTGAAACTGACGGTATAGCAGATATGATCGCATCATCAACGGCATACGAAAGAACCAGGATGTCGAGCAGTGGGAGAAGACTAAATCGATTTTCGGCTGGCTCATATGTGCGGGGCGTACCCTTCGTTGGCACGAAATGCAAGCCATTGTGTCGATCGAGAGACATGACCAGCTGGTAGAGTTTCAGCAGAATAAGTTCATTCCGGATGTACAAGAATTGTGTGGGACTCTAGTACATGTCAAGCCGGGCAACAAGGTAGAACTCATACACCACACTGCTCATGAGTATGCGTCATCATTACCCAGCTTCTTCGTCCTTCCCTGACACCTTCTAGGTACATTCTGAAAAGCCAGTTTGTCAATAGAGCTGAGGTTCAATTTGACCTTGCGACATTATGCATGCAATACCTGACGTTCCCTTGTTTTGAGAGCGGCCTTACTGTGCCTATCAAGAAGCAATTCGCCGAAGATGGCTTTTATGCCTTCCAGGACTATGCTGTGTCACAGTGGTTCTACCATATTGCCGAAGTGGTCCACATTTCAGAGCACCTGCTTTCTATGGATGCAGCCAACCCCGAAAAGCATGCCAAGTTTGTGAAGTTTGCCAAGATCCTAGACTTGTTCATACACAGGTACCAGGATTCCATTGATGATCAGGACTCTTCGACGCCGGAGGACGAGCCGGAGCCATCGACGTCTGCGCGTCCTAATACGAAAGAATTGGAAGAGCATGCCAAGAAGGAATGTGACAGTCTCAAAGACATGCCGTTCCACCCCATGCTGTTGAATCTTTGGATCCACATCCAGAAACATGAGAAAGAACATATCGACAACCGAAACAAACCGAGCCTGAAGGAAATGGAAAAGATACTGAAAGAAAACCGAAAAGTGATCGAAGCCTTCTTCGACACTGTCAAGGGCAGTAACGAAGCCGACAAGCTGAACGAATACTACGGCAAGAATATTTACAAGTGCCCGAAAACCCGCTGTGGATATTTCTATGAAGGATTCGAGGAGGAAAAGAAACGCGAGCATCACATCAATAGACACGATCGGCCGTTCGAGTGCACAATCCCTGGCTGCGGTATCGGGGCAGCTGGATTCATCTCGAACAAGGATTTGGAGAGACACAAGAAGAACTATCACATGAATTTCACCGAGGGGCCGGCCGCCTTCCCGCTGCTGAGCAAGAAGAAAAACAACGAGGCGAAGTTTGACTGCAAGATATGCGGCCAGAAATTTACGCGCAAGATCAACCTTACTGGTCATACGCGTAGTCACTTTGGGGAGCGGCCATATCAGTGTCAGAACTGCGGGAAGAAGTTCACGAGAGTCAATGATTTGAGGAGACATGAGAAACTACACCTCAGGAAATGAGGAAGAATTGAACAGGTCCAGATGGAAAGAAAAATGTTGTTTCGTTAGGATCACACTGACAACAGGTGCCCATAGAACGTACTCGAAGTATGGGAACGTGAAAATGGGCGCGCACCTACATTGCTCGTTGATCGCTATTCTAACTCCTGGATGCAGGGTCATAGACGTTGCTAGATACTCGTCTAATACCATCGTGTTTGCTATGGTGCTTTGTGGTTGTCGTGATGAATCGTATCATTGGTATCTAATCAGCCACTCAGTTGCCATTTGCGATTGCACGCTTCGTTAGTGCTCCTCGAGCAACAGATGACGATAATTGCCAGGATTTCCTGGAAATGTATTGCCTACAGATATAGTGACAAGTGTAAGTACTGATGCTCCAGCCAAGCTGATAACAGCTTGTTCATGTCACTTTGTTTCGGAGCAAAGGTTCCAACTGTAGTATTATCAACAGCTCAAGATCGTGAGTACAAAGTGGAGTTTCTTGGCAGTGATCATGCACACGGGCACGGGCCATACAAGCCCAGATGAGCCCCTAGCGTCTTAATGGTTAGTCTAACCCCGTGCAGCACAATATTGCAGGTCACGTGCAGACTTAAACTTGAACGTGCGTGCATTATCATCATCATCCACCACCACCACCAGCCGCCTGCCAACATTACAGCCTTCTTTTCCTTCAATTTGCACCTACCACACCTATCGCCGTCGCAATATCGCACCATTTTCCATTGCACGATATACGCATTACGTTTCGGCTTCGTTCCGCTCGTTCTGCTTGTGCGCTGATAGCAGACAGACCGTCACCCACGGCCCCGATCGCGCGACTGGTCCATATCCCATTCGGGACAGGATCCAGGATCGGGCAACCCGCGGAACTCATCTGCCTGCTTTTGTGCACCAGCCGAGACGAGTGGAAGCAGGCAAGCAGGCTGGCTCTTGTCCAACAGCAGACAGACCGTCACCCGCGGCCCCGATCGTGCGACTGGTCCATATCCCATTCGGGACAGGATCCAGGATCGGGCAACCCGCGGAACTCATCTGGCAGTTGTTTGGCAAGGCCGGTCGAGACGAGCGGCACCTGTAAGTAATTTCACTACCGCCCTCCACTAACCGTCTGTTCTGTACGCCAGTCTAGGTTTGCCGGCGATTGGAGTTATGCCGCCCAAGGCCGCCACCATCCCGAATGGCAGCGCCCGGTTCACGCACCGAGTACTTGCTGTCTTTCCCGGACAGCCGAATCGAACGAACGAGCAGGGGGACACTGGCCAGTCGAGTCTCGGTCTGATGCATCAGTTTGTCACCTTGGATGCAAGCTTCGACCCATCAGCCTCGATTCTCTTCAGGTTCAGCCTTGTTGTCTCCAACGGGATCCCCCTTTACTTGCAGATACTACCAGACCGTGTCGCATCCTTTGAGCGCATCTCTCATGACAGTGCTCACCGCGACCCGGGACTTGATATCGTACGTAACGAGTTGGACGGCGTCCGTCGCCTTGTATGTCTTCGTTTTCGACTGTATAAGGCAGGCCACCTCATCACACCGGTGGGCTTCGAGATTGATCGTTCCGACGCCGAGGCGCTCCATAACTTTAATTCTATAACCTCTTTGGCCGCAGCTTTGGACTTTTGTGTGTATATGCGTCCTGATGTCTTGACCAAGTCTAAGTTTGCCGTCTTTCACAATGCGATTAAAGAGCCGCGGGATGCCGCCCAGATCGCTGCGTTGGAGTGGAGAGCAGACCCGTCGCGTCTTTACAATGGCAAGGGTGGAGAGGTGGTAACCCAAGGCGCGGAGTCTGTCTCCAGCCCGGCATCATGTGCCTCCACCGTAGCTGTTGACAGTCCGCCAGGCTACCGTCTCCAGTCACACGACGTGGCATCTCTTGCACCGCCAGCGTACCAACAGGGTTCGTACCAGTTAGGCATCCTCCTCACCGCCATTCGCTGACATTCAGATCAGCACACCAACATGTTGCGCCTCCGGTCGAGGAGCTGGGCAAACGACTCCGCTCAAGCAGCAAGAGTGCTGATTCGAGACCATCGAAAAGGGTTGGGCCGCAATCGTCTTCTCCTCATGTCACCTTTTTTGGCCCGCAGGATGAGTTGCAAACTCGACAAATCCAAGAGTTCACGGCGATATTCGATTCTCGTGTCCATAGCCTCCTCGAACAATATCAACGCCGAATCGACAAGCTCGAGGACAGTGTCAGAATTCTGAGTGCGAAGAATGAGCAGCTCGAAGCACAAGGCATCCAACAACAACAGGATATTCAGATGCTAAGGGACGAGGTGAAAGTGCTTCAAGAGGAGGGTGACAAATGCTTGGGTCGCACAGGCAGTTTGGAAGAGCGTCAAGATGAGTTTGAGCGACGTCAAGAAGACTTCGAGGACAGCCAAGCCTTATTGGAGCAGCGTCAGGACGCGACAGAGGAGACTGTCGAATTGACTGACGTTCGTATTCTAGGGTTGGAGGGCTTACTTGATGAGGACTGGCGATGTGAACTGGTGGATGAGGTTAGAGGCGAATCTGTAGCAGGAGTAAGAGAGTTTCTCCGAAACATTTAGCCAACCTCCGCCCTCCTCACCACTAAATATTCTGCCATTTTCGCGTCTTCTAAAAACACCAGACAATTATGGACGGTAAGGTCAGATGATTGATAGCGGTCGTCCATCGGTTTTCGATCAGGATTATGTGCACCTGGCCGTAACAGTACGTGCAGGACACCCTACCCTCAACCGCAACAGCAGCGACCCGGTCAAAATTGACGACTTCGATGAAAAAAAGGCCCAATACGGGTTCTCCTGAGCAGTTGATGCCGGACATGGCGTTGAACGACTTGACCTCGTGTCAGGCTTTGCTTTACAGCTGAGATGCTCTTGGATACATTCGGGCATGGGCGCTAGTCATCGACAGCGCACTGGTGCCAATGGCCGGAATGGAGAATGTGATCAAATGTGCGTTTGTTCCAGGACTGGTCATGGGAGATGATCATAATTCAACGCAGCTCCACTTTCGGGATGAGCATCATCGTCAGAGGCACTTGCATTGAGGTAAGCTACGTCTCGGCTCAGAACACAACTGCAATACGGTACACGGTTGTGATATAGATGCCGAGCAGTCTCACGTCTACCAACGTTGGTGTGGAAAAGGTCGCAGCCTTTCAAGTCTGGATTTGTACCTGGAAATATGTGTATGCCACGGCTGGAATTTGCCACCCGTCGACACTTCAAGCATTTTCATAAATTACCCACGTAACCCCCATGCTTATAGAAGTACTCAGGCCAACACAAGAAGAACTCACTCAAAGGTATACTTCAATAAGCCCAACAGCCTGTGCAGCACCACAGCTCGATCCCGACCTGGCATGCCTCTGGCGACACCTCCAGTGACCTATGACATGGCTTCGGGGTACACGTGTACAGGATTGGTATCGAGCTAAGCATTTCAGGAAACTTCTAAGCGATAACTAAGCTGGAGGTAAACCCATGAGCACTGAGACCTAGCAAGACTAGAACGAGTCAAGGTTTTGATCAAGTCTACAGTCACCAACCTCATTAGCTCGACACATGGCGGGAGCCTGATTTTGTACGGACCGATGGTGGCGCGGGCCACGAATCCGCCCCAGGCCCGACTACTCTGGTGCGTCTGATAGCTCCCAGTAGAAGCAGACGAACTCGGTCTTCGCCTCCAGTTCCACGTAGTCCCGGGTACTCATCCAGTTTGGGGCGCTTAATCACGAACTGTTCGAGCACGCCGTAAATGCCGGTGATGATGTTGTATACCAGAGACAGGAACGCTTGGTTGAAATGATAGAGGTTTCCGCCTAGGATTTGTTCGAGGTCGAAGTCTCGAATAGTAACGTCATAGTTCTGCACGAACAACATCACACCAAAAGTTGATCGGACGTGCCGCCGCCGCCAGCCAGAACAGCTCGAGGGAGGTCGCCAAGACCATTTCCAACTTGTACCAGTCCCCGTCCAAGATCGCTTTCGTTTCAGAAGATCAGCTGTTCTAGTCGTATCGTGTAGATACATATATATATATATGGCTGTCGGAAACGAAAGTATCTATAAGAGCGTTGCCGGCTTGGTCTAGTACACCGCCTAGGGAGAGAGTTACCGCAACTTCAGGGCTCGTTTAGTGGCGGAAAGAAGTCGTAAAACTAATCATGGAATGGCGACATGGTCCTAGACTTGAATTTTTACAGCCTAAAAACATGACGAATAGTCGTTACAAGCTGACAAAAGTCGTGTAATCATCATGTCAATTGGGAATCCCTTCGTTACGACGTGCATTGGGAATATTACAACGTCGAGGGTTTGGCATGCTGGACGCACCTGTACCAATGTACGTAATTTCGGTCCGACGACGAAGACTCACCGCTCCGGGAATTACGACCATATTTAATGGCGTCAAAGAGTAGGCGAAGCATTCATCTGTGCGGTCCTATACCTCATATATGCATCGGTTTCATAAAGATGATATGGTCATGGAACATGCCATTGTCAATAATTATGATGTAAGCCCATCAGTCCAAGAACGCATTGATGGCCGTCCAATGGTTATATCGACGTACTATGAGATGCCGGGCGCACCGAATTTTTCCAAGGTCGGACTGGTGATCCTCATGTCTGGCTTCCGATATACTACTTGGAGAAAGCCAATGTGGCAGTATATTCCTCGGACTACAGATACTGAGATTGCCGTCCGTCATTATTAAGGTATTAGAGGCATCGGTGAGTCATCGTTGCTTCACCTGGATATATTGTTGCGCTCAGGTCCGCGGGTGTTCATAGGTTCAAGGTTGTTCGGTTCCTCGTGAGAAGTGACGCGTCGTCCAAGAACCTCACGATGCTATTGCACAGACTGGACTGAGACGGCGACGAGGCCGCATCAAAGCTGAGGATGGTTATAAAGTTGATGGAGCTGACGCTTGGGGTCCAATGAGTAGCGCCTGAGCGAAGATTAATTCGAAGTCATCAAGCTCATGTCTAGTGGCTATAACAATATTCTTAAAGGCAACGCCTCCGTACCACCGCTGGAAGGATTAAGCAAAAGAACACCAGGCCCTATAGGGAGATGACCAGGAGTGACACCGACGACAACCAGGATCTCACTCTTCGTTGTTGTGGATCGCGCTGGCTCCGGCTGATACATTATGGCCGTCTCTAAATCCGCCCTTTTCCTACAGAAAGCAGTAGCACAAGGAGGCTAGGTCGGCCTGGTAAAATTGACGGGCATCAAAGATAAATGTGACGAAGGTTCAAGACGAGTTCGCTAACGCTCGTGTTGATAGCAGGCAACATGCGCACTAATATATGGACTTAACAGTTCCTCTCAAACCTCGATTTGAACGCTCCTTGCAACAGTTGATCTTGCACCGACTGCAAAGAACAGCAGGAGCAAGGCAGAACAGTGGGTGAGAATGGCTTGGCTAACAATGGTTTTCCACGGCGAGAAATGCGTGCTAGATGAAGACAGAAAGGATCTAAATGGCAATCTGATCCTGCCCCTCGGTCTTAAAATCTCAAAGCTCCAGGATCGATTACATGCGACACAGTGGCATTCTGACGATATGATCGTCTCAATAGGGGGGCACAACTGCCCATTTTTGGGGAGAGTGAAAAGAGGACTGTATGATAACGAGCATTTGATAACATTGACATGACTCGACAGCAGCTCGTGTTCGCCTTCAGAGACAAGATGGCCATTTCGGCGAGATAGGCATCGCTTCGTCTCCGTTCCGGATTCAACTTTAACTAAGACCTATTCGTTAAAGTCGTCTCTAAGGAATTTAGTTGCTGCTAAAAGAAATGAATTCTTTCGCTAGAAGACTCCAATTGAAATTGTCAGCAACGGTCGCCGGGTCAAAAAGGAGACGCCAGCGTCGATACTGTACTTGAAGGGACATATGTCGGGGTTATCACAAGCGATATGCGCTTGCACTCAGATGCGCCGCCAGCCATCGGCTGGTAACTCAGCCTTGCGAGAATCGACGCCCCAGCTCTCATCGAAATCAATTTGCAAACCCATTGTCGGCCCCCCTTCTCAACTCGTTTCCATCTGTTTTCGATCAGTCCGCTTTGGCGGCCTTCAATGTCGTATGAGATGAGATTCGGTACAGCGTACGTCCGTGACGGGCGCCCTCACGGGGCTGCTTTGGTGGGTTTGGGTGGCTCTTTGGCAAGGGTATGGTAGGACCAACCACCATCAATTCCTTGATTCGTCTAAGCCACATAAACATCCTTGACTACTAGGGGCCATCTCTGCCAACAGAAAATGGCCAAATATAAAGGATCAATTTTCTGCGAGCTGGTCACGCAAAACAGTAAAACAGCTTATCAACGGTATCGTAATACATTCTCGACTATATTCGTAGGCCGTCAAATACCCCCCCCCCCCCCCCCCCCCCCCCCAAAAAAGATCTTGCCTGGAAATTCACAATCTTGGAACAATCCTCGTAAAAGGCTGCTTTGGAATTTATGCCTAGAACTATTTCTGGAACGGGACGTCCGTCAGCTGTATACAAAATGGCTGGAAGACACTTGTTTGGTGGGTTTGGTGAGTGGGACCATAACCAGGGCTGCTGAGTCCCCATTGGATCATTTCGCGCCCAACATAGGTGGTCTCACCACTAACTGATGGGATGATGCGCCGTGGTGGGCATGTGCCTGGTTTTAGTGCAAAGAACCTCGAGGCGTAAGCTATCCCCGATTCTCGGCTGCCACTGGTCGGGCCTACCCAATGGTCGAGGCGGAGAATAGACTCGTCTTGCCGAAACACTTCGCGTTGACCGCAAGATGGCTCTGCCGTAGTATTTCCACTTGCTCTTCCTCAAAGCAAGCATGGCACCAACCACCTGACCGGGATTGAGGTTGGCACTTGGTGGTGTTACATTCGTCCACATCCTACAACCTGTGATGTGCACATGCGCGTGGGTGAGGCGCAGTTAAGTTGGTGCTTCAGAATGGCCTCAATTTTCATGCAGTTTAAAGATGTGTATGCGGCTGTGCCTGGGCTAACAAGCTGGTTCGGCGCTGTATATAGTAACGATTCCGAGCTTCCGCCATGGTGCGGTCGAACATGGCATGATACTTTTCTTCTCTTTGCACTTTACAAGTTATACCTATCCACATGGGCCAGTCATTGATACGAAGTGAGGATGGCAATTGCTATCGATTTAACACAATTGAGGATGCCGCGGAGTTTCTTTTCCGTCACCAGCCACTATTTCGATGCCCGGCTCTAACTCTGAAAAATCAACCATGTTCGAGGAAACTCGGCAAGCAGAAACGACAAACCATTATGTCATTTCTACAGCCTATGACTGATATATCAGTACCCTCACCAGAGTTAAGCAAACTCCTTGTCGACTGCGTTGGCACGGCTCTATGTGGCCAGAGTAAACACGTGGGGGACGCGAGACGGAAAGATGTATTGCGTGGTTGGTGCGAAAGACTACGAAATGAGTACAAGATTGTTATAGGAACGGCCGGGCGTATCGTTTGTCAAGCTGAATCGGACCAACATGGCGATGCGAGATGCTGGATATCCATTGCTATGGGGTCAATACCCCGAGCGGTGACCCACATCGATATGCCTAGCATAAATGAGCCGTCTGAATTTGGAGAAGAGAGCGATTCGAATACCATACTTGCCAAAACTTACACTGCGAAAAAAACCAGGACGAAAGTGTCAGGCAGCCCGACGGAAGACTTGAGGTCAAAGGCGGCGTCATACTCCTTGAATTTATCACGCGTTGAATCTAAGCACCGAAATGTTTCCACTCCGCTCGAAACCATCTTTCCGCGGTACGATGGGCCTTCACATGCTTCTGGGAGGGACGAAGATGATATAAGACGGATTCAAGACTCATGTATACACTCAGAGGGGCCAGTCCAGACGCCTGTAAAGCGCCAGCATCGCCCGCAACTGCATAGGAGCGAGCTTCAAATAGTTCCTTCCCCCATTGCAACCAACTCCGGAAAGACTTATGCCATTAATGATTCGCCCATATCTCCTGGAAACGAGGTATTGGGATATAGTCCTGGTTCTGAATCGTCTCCAGTTTCAGCACACTCGATTGAAGACTCCAGTTTCGACAACACTCCTTCAGATTCATATTCGTATGCCACACCTCCTACAAGTCCCTTACCAACTCAGCAACTTTCCGGGTTGTTGATGGGCCACCAAGGAATTGACGCAACATCACCATTGCAAAAGTTCTCTCGGCATAAGTCATACACAGAAAATGATGATGAGAAAGAAAGTAGCTCCGAGATGCTCGAAAACGATGAAGTGTTGGACATATCCGCCCGTACAGTAATAAGGAAGCTTTTCCAAGAAAGGGATCTGGAGAAGTGTGGCGCTCCTGCCGGAGGCGAACGTGGGTTTGCATCGGTAAAAAAGGAGAAGGATGAAGAAGACGACGAATTTTGTCCAGCTCCGGCAGCCAATCAGAGCCCACCAGCTCAGGTTCCGCTCATACCTCGTCATAATCTTAAATCTTGCAAAGAATATACAAAACCACTGCACAAGTTATGCGAAAGTATGCGCAAAACTATCGATAATACTTCGACGGCAACTCCTGGTTTCATATACTGCTATGAACTTTCGACTCTGCCGGGGCACATCAAGATTGGACATGTCAGAATGGACGAACAGAAATTTAAGGCACAACTGTTCTCTGCAGTTTCCAAATCACCTGTGCGCGCATGTAAAGGTGACGAACCGATTGTCATGCCTACAAAAGTTGAGCACCGTTTGCGCAAGTGGGCCAAGAAGTGCGGATACACACCACGTCTTGTCTACTGGGCGCCCGTGGTGCAAGCTGCGTGGAGGGTGGAGACATTCATACATCAGCAATTGAGGGCACACCAGAAGACCGAATCGAATTGTCCAGGTTGCCAAAAGGGTCATAGAGAGTTGTTCCAAATCGATAGAAAGGCAGCACAGAATGCAGTGGATCTTTGGTGCTACTTTGCTCAGACGAGACCTTATCAGGAGGACGGGAGTCTGAGTAATGCGTGGAGACTTCGCACTTCCGACTGGATGAATCAGAAGTTGGTAGAACCTGCAGGAGGCCTTCCAGAGTTCTTGGTTCAAGTACGTGAGTGGATCGGGGAGGATGAGCAGATCGTTGCATCTGGAGGAAGTGGTGAGGACTTTTTTGGTCGCATTGTTGACGGTTAGAAGGTCATTTTCGAGATAATCGGCGTGTTTCGTCGAAGCTTTTACCAAAAATCAACACGATCAAAGAGCTGTAGTATAAGCGTACTAGGAAAACGAACAAAACGCTCACTTCTCTCTCTCTCTCTCTCTCTCTCTCTCTCTCTCTCTCTCTCTCTCTCTCTCTCTCTCTCTCCCTGTTGCTGTCTGTCGTTGGTATTCGCATGTTTTAGTCTGCTGTGTAGTATTCTTTTATATATAGGCATTCCGCTTGAAACAAGCAAGGACGAACGGGGCCAGATATTCCTGCCACCAACACCATCACTCTATTTGTAATCACATGGGTTATGCTAGTACCCGTATACCATGCTGGCTATGCTTTTCCGTAGTTATGTGAACAAAGGCGGCCACGAGTACAATGCACACTCTTAGGGTGAGATATCTCCGTTGCCTGTAAATGCAGGTTTTGAATCGAACATATTGCTTACTGCTGTCATGAAGCTGTACAGAGCCTTTTGCGTTGATATTAGTTGGCTGCTCAAAGAAGTGGGAACAAACACATGATGTGGGAATGCCGTGATAGGCGAGACAAAGCTGGCATGATCATGTGTGTGTGTGTAAGGCTTATAGAACTCTCTTGGGTAGTACACGAATCGATCATTGTAAGGAAAATAAAAATACAGGATCCTCCTCGACCGACGTCACGCTACGCGATGCGAAATTTGGCACTTGGGCCTGTCTGTTTCCTACCGTTGAAGTATAAAATAAACTCCACCGATGCCCCTGATGGGACCAGCTCAATTTCGAAGTCCAGTTTCTTCGTATTCAACCAACTCTTCCTCCCGAAGTCTGGGAGATCCGCGTAACCCACGTCCAAAGTACAGGAGAGTGTGCCAAGTTCCCGAACGTCGGGGGTCTTCCGTCCCGGTGGTACTTCGTCATCACACTGATAAAGAACAATTGACAAAGTCCTGGAAAAGTCCCGCTCTCCATAAAGCCTAAACCAGGAGGAGCGGACGGGCTTACTCTTCGAGACCATATCTCCCTGACTCTTGCGTCAGTTTCACTACAAATTAGAGGGTAGAATGAAGATCAAAGAATTCCATTCAATGGTTGGGATAAAACGCACCCGCTTCAAGTACCACTCCATCTGGTTCGTCGCCATCCACGTCCCCTTACGTATACTCCATTTTTTATCTTCCTCGAGGTGTGTTTGCGAATTGAAGCCCGTTTCAAACATAATGCCGTAGCTAGCTCGAGCAACTGTTGATGTGACCATAATTGGTGCTACTACCATATCACAATTGTCCTGATCGGCTTGTTCCTGCAAGAAACCTTTGAAAACTGCACCTCGGCAGATTGCTGTGCGCCTATGAAAACATTAAATTCAGTATCGTGTATGCATGGTAGAAGGCTTGGTGCGTACGGCTTAACCCCACCAGACTGAAGCACTGTAATTCCTGCTTTGGCATGTATAGCCTTGAGATAGTCATACAAATATGCACTACCCCCTAATCCACCAACGAGAATGATACCCTAGCAAAAGTTAGCAATGAACCATTCTGGAAATGTATCCTTAAACCGCCAGTAGTATCTCACGGTTACATGCAGACCCTTTTCAGTAGCCTTGCAGATTTGTTCGTCAACAAGCTTCTCAATATTGGAAAAGACCCCCTCGAACGCTGTTTTGATGTGGGAACTGGTTCCTGACTGTCAGGCGTGAAAACGACGAAGGAACTCTGGAGGAGACTTTACCCAAGAAATATGATTCGCCCATTCTTGATATAAGGATATCTTGTAGTATCGTCTAGGCTCGAATTGCTTTGGCCTTTGAATGTCTCGGCGGGCAGTGAGACGGTATACTCCTTCACTAGCTTGGCTGGCTTGTATTGTGGCTTGATACCGTATTCCCATTCATTTTTCATGATCTCTCTGATTCCTGTCTTGCTGAGTTGTTTCCATCTAGGTCCGAGGCGACCACTACACATGCGCTCGAACACTTGATCGATGAAAATCCCGCCACATAGCCCACCTATGGGTGAAGTAATCGTTAGTCTAAACCACTCTGAGTTTGGAAAATAGGCACATTGAGGGGATCCCAACCTGTTCCCTCTACAGCTTCTTGTAAGACAATGGGGTTTGTGCTCTTTACTTCATAACTGACGAGATCCTAGGTAGCTTGTCAGCCGCTGCTTAGAGAGAGAAAAAGAAGAAGAAGAAAAGAAAGAAGAAAAGTAAACTCAGCCCAAACTCACCACCGTGCCACCACCTGCATCGCATATCACGTATACGTTACCGGGACGAACGCCGCTGCCTTGTTCATGGAGCGTTGACAACGCTGCAACTTCTGGCTCAATTGCTAAGGTCAATTTCGTGGCACCAACAAAACGCTCCTCAAAGATGCCAGATCTTTTGGCAGCATCTTGCAGGGCTTGTCTTGCGTAGCTCTTCCAGATTGCCGGTACAGTGATAACGAGATGGATAGCGAGGCTTTTTACAATATCATCTCCACGAGCTCTTGCAATCGTCGACACAATATGTCCCCAAAGCAGACGCAAGTAGTCGGCGACCAGGTCCACAGCCGATTTGCCAGATTTCTCCATCATATCTCGAGCTCGAACCACAAATTCAGACTCGTGAAGCTCTGAATCGAGATCCTCAGTGCGGAGAAGGAGAAGCTTGAACCAGCGGAAGGGGTCGGCGTGAGCAGGGACCTCGTAACCCCATACTGGTTCTTTGTTATCATCGTACCAGAGCTCTGTAGGAACTTTGCCTTCCTCGCGACCATTACCGGGCCAGGAAGTAATGTAATTGATTTGACTGTTCTCGAAGTCAACCCTGGTCGCCCAGGCAACTCCAGAGTACCTATTACGAGATGAAAGTCAACAAGGAGTTCGAAAAGCTATAGAGAAGCGTTTGCATTCGTCTCTTACGTTGTTCCGAAGTCAATGCCAATGACCAGAATATCCTCCACCTCGTCATGATCGTCCGGTGTACCGAATTGTAGCTTTTCGTTAAATCCATCGAGTAATCCTTGGTCACTTTCAGATGTGCTTGGCTTGTTGTCGGATGAGCCAAGCAAGCCTTCGGATGGCTTGTAGTCAGATCCACCGAATAGACCTCCCGATGGCTTTTCGGCTGATGTAGCAAATAGACCTCCCGGTGGCTTATAGTCAGATCCACCGAATAGACCTCCCGATGGCTTTTCGGCTGATGTAGCAAATAGACCTCCCGGTGGCTTATAGTCAGATCCACCGAATAGACCTCCCGATGGCTTTTCGGCTGATGTAGCAAATAGACCTCCCGGTGGCTTATAGTCAGATCCACCGAATAGACCTCCCGATGGCTTTTCGGCTGGTGTAGCAAATGCACTTGTCGTATTACCAGATCCACCGAATAGACCTCCCGATGGCTTTTCGGCTGATGTAGCAAATAGACCTCCCGGTGGCTTATAGTCAGTTCCACCGAATAGACCTCCCGATGGCTTTTCGGCTGGTGTAGCAAATGCACTTGTCGTATTACCAGATCCACCGAATAGACCTCCCGATGGCTTTTCGGCTGGTGTAGCAAATAGACCTCCCGATGGCTTATAGTCAGATCCACCGAATAGACCTCCCGATGGCTTATAGTCAGTTCCACCGAATAGACCTCCCGATGGCTTTTCGGCTGATGTAGCAAATGCACTTGTCGTATTACCAGATCCACCGAATAGACCTCCCGGTGGCTTATAGTCAGTTCCACCGAATAGACCTCCCGATGGCTTATTTTTGGCTGTGTCCAATGCACTAGACGTATTGCTAGAAATGCCAAATATACCTCCTGACTTATTGTCGGGTGTATCCAATGAACCTAGCTTCTTGTCAGACGAATCAGATTCTGGCTTATCGCTCAGTATTGATCCAGATGAGTGCGACATAATGGCTTGGAAGGCGCAGGGGTGATCTTGTCGAGACTTGTTGATTTTGATAACAAGCATAAATGCGAATGTCTAAGGACTTGTGCAACAGACTGACCAGACCCCAGTGTCAGGTCCCGCTTGCTTAACCGCACTCAATACTCTACTAGATACTCTATAACTTTACTTAGTATTTGCCTTTCTGAATGTTGTCAATGAGAGCAGCAGAACTCGCCTATTCGCAAGTACTTTCGGCGTAGCTCATAACTGAGAAGAGAACGGGGACATGCTCACCAAGGCTTGTTGAAATACAAGAACTGCAACTCTTGGTCTGCCTGAAAACAGGGATTCGCCTTGTATTCTGAGTAGTGGTTGACTTTTTATAGTTAGAAAAAATTGACAATGTATTGAGCACACCCAAGAAATGCCATTCATGCCCTTTGAAGGCTTACCGTGACGTTTTTGTAAAGGGCTAGCTATACAAATGTACTTATTGTGTTGGCGTGTGATTGCATTCATTCACTGCGGCGGCATCCTTATCAGTTTCAGCTTCCGGGGGGGGGGGGGAGGGTTTATTTTTTATTTTCTTTGGCTGCGCCTCCCTCACCTTCCGACTCTTTGAAACCCGTGTTAGTGGCAGAGCTGGTTCTGCATAGAGGCCCACCCCGGCGCGTAATTTCATAAGCTGCTGTATAACCACTCTTGCTGATGAGTATTTGCACGCTGGTCTCTTCCTCGCAATAAGGCTATCATTCCAGGCCAGCTGAAGCTACCCTTGTCAGATCACGATCAGGTATATCGTACGGGCGCATAAAAGGAAACGTTTAGGGGGGTTTGCTATCAATGCAAGCTTGACACACTACCTAATTACGAAGGTTCTGATTTTGCTCGTACATGCCAAGTAAAAGACAGCATCAACTCAAGTCGCAATCCGGCGTTGACGTTGTGACCTCGTGTTTCATGAATTTAGCTGATGATTTTGACATTGAGCGACGATAACAGTCAGCCACAGTCTCTTAGGTTCAATCGCCTTTCTGAGCACTCCAAGGAAAAGCGTCGCAGGCGAGTCTGCGATTTTCAAACCACAGGAGGGGGGGGAGGGGGGTAGGGGGGTAATTGATTTTGAAAATGTATTGGCCAACCTACTGTAGATGGTACAGGAACGCCCAACGGCCGCGCAACATCTTTTTCTGATCTGCAGTCACGCAAATCTACAACACCATTCGTGCATATGTACTATCGGTATCATACAGAACCAACAGATCTCCAACATGCAACCTGGTTCTGCACGGTAGTGTCTGCAAATTACAACCTTGCCAACTAGATTAGGTTAGTTTGTTCTCGAGGAAGCCAGGAAGCATAGTCCCAATAAAGAGCGGAAAAATAATTTCGAGTGGGTGCGTGGTCTAGCATACCCTCAGCCAGCCGCGGTATCAGTCTCGTCCGCCAAAAGCTCAGCAGGATACTTCTAAAACACATCCAAAGGAGGCTGCGCGGTTTGATCGAGATTCAGGGTAGTCTATCGACCCATAATAGCCTGTTCGACTCCCATTCTGTTATAATGTTCGTGGGTTTGGATAGATTCTGTCTATAAGCACCTTTTCCCTTCCTACTTCTTGTTTTTGACACGCTTTGCGCCGACTCGTTTCGTGGTTACTGACTCGCTAGATACAGCCCATAACTTACAGACTTATGGCGAAGACCTTCTGTCGCCAAAGTTCGTAAATCGGTCTCGCTATCTTCAATGTATAGCTTATTATTCATGCCCCATAACGTACCGATTGCGTGCCGGAAGCCGGCGAGTTGATATACGCTATTGTTGAAAATGCTTTCGTCTATAAACTTTGTCGAAGACCTGGCTCACTCTACAGGCCGAACGGTATGCAAGAAAGCGTAAACGTAGTACTATAAATTAGCGTTGTGCACACACTCATCTGGTGATTTATAGAGAAAAGAAGGAGGGTACGGTACTAAGACTGGGGGCGAACGATGCGGAAAACGAAGGTACGAAAGGTACTGCGGCACGGGGCAGAGGCGACGGAAATATCGCCAACCTAGGGTGACGCGGACGCCGTAATTGAACAGTTAGTGCTCCACAACGCAGACTGTGCTTATATCGATGGAATGGTTTACCGCTGAGAACAGAAGGAGAACCTCAGCTCGCTGGATTGGAAAGATCCCCTAGAATTCATATATTGAAGGTGAGCTTGAACACTTGCTCAATTTGATATCAGCGCGATTAGCTATGATCGGATCTATATGCGACATTGTTCCTGGTCACGTCGAGATATAGTCACAGATTCATGCAGCGCAGTCGATCATCATCTAAATGGTATATCCCTATTGCAAAAGATCCGGCAAGGTCCTCTTCGCCTGCCGATATTGTACGCAATCGTGCTGACGCAACGCAGCAAGAGTGGTTGACTGAAGAGTTGGCGCACTCAGTGAGATTTAGCGGTAGCCTCGCTAATTCTTGTCATCGACCGTTGCGCTAATGCAGTGCTAATGTTTGCACCTTGGTCAAAAGGTTCAATTCAGAAGATTGTGAGTGCATCATAGAACGTAATTATCCGGCGTGACATCTGATAGATTGGGGGGGGGGGGGGGGGGGTTTTTTTTTCAGGGGTTCTTTTGTTCGCGACGGTACGTCTACGCAAGGTCATCAAACCCCCCACCCGATCCAACAACTGATACGAGTTAGGCGGCATTTATGGTCCTCGAAATGAAGCTGATAATCGCGTGTGAATATGGCGATGGTACACATCTGGTAAGAGCACACGTCCGGTTTACCATCCTTTTCAAGACATGCATAATACAACGGTGGGCGGCTCTTGCGCCCGCACCGTGATATTTGAAAGAGCCTTGAAACTAGACGAACGCAATGGGAGAATTTTCCTTGGACCTGTGTTCTTGACAAATGGTAGGTTGTGCTAACTTGTGTTGCCGCATTGGAACGTATCTGTCTTGAGACTCTATAACACCCGTTATGTGAGTACTCTGATATATCCCCTACCTAGATTGTGCGATGATTCAAAGACCTGCGGCTGATGTCTAGCATTGTCTTATAGTATGAGAACATTGCCGAAGTCATGTACTGCATAACCATGTTTTCGATCAAATATGTTGTTCTCCACCAAGTCAAGTCGATCTTTTTCACGCACAACCGCAAGAGCCTTTTCCATCGGGTAATCACAATCTTGATCTGGTTGAACCTGCTGTTATATGCTGCCCTCGGCTTGGCATTTGTTTTCGCGTGCACACCAAGGGAGAAGATCTACCACCCAATGATCGAGGGTCGTTGCATCTCAGCAGCGATGGCCATGTCTGCTGGTGGGGCGCTCAACATCGCCTCTGACCTTTCAGTTCTGGTCATCCCACTCTTTGGAATCTCGAAATTGCAGACGCCGCTCAAGAAAAAGCTGTTAGCTGGGTCGGTTTTTGCGGTTGGTATATTGTATGCGCTTTCTCCCGCCCATTCACCAAGGTTATGGGAGAGCAAAACTAAATGGGTCCTTGGCGCTACGGCCGCCGCCACGATTCGATTTTACTACGGCCTTCAGCTGTTCTACACTGAAGATACGACATGGGGATTCATGCCCATTGGTAATTGGACGTAAGTTTGCTTCTTAAGGATCTTTAAGCTGGACCAAAGCAACAACTCGTCCTTAACAACTACAGGACCATTGAGTTTATGATGGGATTTATCGTCGCCGGCGCGCCTTATGTTCCGCGGTTCGTGGAGAAGCTGCTGGGGCGCAAAAAGGAGACGCCTGTCTATGCGTCCTACAAAATCTCCTCCCTTGGAACCAAGAACCACAAGCCAATGGACCGCCCCGATGCTAGTTGGACAGCCCTCGGAGAGCAGGAGGGCATGCCCTTTGACGGTGCGATGAGAAGTCAAGCAACCGGCGAGCGCTTGTGATTCTGTTTAAGATATCAGTTTGTAAATTCATGAATACATAATCAAAACTACAGAATACTCCGTCCCATTATGTTCGAAAATCAGGTCAAGTCATCATCAACATCTGATCCATAGAGACCTTGCCAACCATAGTCTATTGACCTATCATTCTCATTGAAGTTTTGCGCCCCGACCCTACGACGACCCTGCAGGAAAAGCAGCTTAACTTCACTCATGAGGGCTGTACTTGACTTCCAACACCGACAGAAACAGCAAAATAGTTCTTGCGGAGGCCCAGCTCAGTGGTGAATCTGAGGAATCTTAACATTTCTCTCTTACAGGTGTTCGGCCACAAAGCTTGGTAATGGCATTCCTAGCAGAACCACCGAGCCAGACTTGTAGGCCGTGGACCGAAGTGTTAGAGTTAACGATACCTTGATGCTGGTATATGTCGCGCTTAAGGATGTCGCGAAACAAAGCTATCATGGTTGGACCGTTGAGACTGGTAAGATCTGGCAGCTCGTAATGCTTGAGCGAGTCTGAAGACTCAGCCTTTGCCTGATCCTGAGGCTACTTTTATCTCGAGGCTGTTTGTGCTGCATCAGTGTTCCAGCGAATTCGATGTAGGCCTTGAGCGCCGAAATGTTGCCCGCCAGGTCATACACACCGCAGTTGCTGGGGTCCAGATCGACGAGGTATTCAGATCTGGCCGGGAACAAACTGTTGGAGAATTTCGGAAGCGCTGAGCATGTACCGAACTTATATGCAGCACTACGCTATGCCCATGCCGTCGTGCCCGAGACTCTGGGCTTGAGCTTAAGGGGCGCTTGGGTTGTACAGAGGATCCACTCGCTTAGAAAACCTTCCCCTGTGCAGTAATGGGAAATACAGTCTTGCCTCTGCAACTTATTCGAGAGGGTCTTCTCGTACTGGAACTTGTACGAGATACCGCGATACTGGGAAACGTATCGAAGGTCCTTGCTGCGGGGGCATGGCAAGGCGAAGCTCGACATCATGGTATTTTTCAACGCGAAAATCGACATCCAGTGCAATGGGCTTTCGGGATCTTGCCACTTCCAAAATGCTGCCATGCCTCACTTCTGCTACGGAGCCAAACTTGATCGAGCTGCTAGGGAAAGTCCACAACACTGCCTGCGGCATCACTGATATACACTTTTGGTTGAACTCCCCACCCAGCATGACCTTAAGTATGCGATGCTTGTACAGTATGCTATCACTATGATAGCACTTGTCAACAAAGAAAGGGCGGTATAACTTTGCGGATACGAGGGGCTCGGTGATTACCAATGAGACAGAGTATCGTTTTCTGTGCAGGCTATTAGAACAGCAGCAGGATGAAAACCCGACACTTTGAGAAAACCTTTCGTATCGAGTAAACCGTGCCTATTGGACCAGGCCAAGAACCATTGACACATCGCTGATTATCTAAATAAGAAAGTAGGAGATCCCAGACCCGCATAGATGTTCGTTATTTGCAGCAGCTAGGGAAGCAATTGCAACGAAAACAAACCATTGCCGGAGAACACCTCAGCTTCGCGTAGTGCGAAGCCTGATACCATCTTGCGACAAGACGGAAGTACACTGCGGTATAAAGATTTCCTTTTTTTTCCCCCCCATTGGCCTTCCCAAGAGTCAATGAGGCAACGTTGTTAATGAGAAGCTTGTCTATTGTACTCGTGATATCGCCGTGTCTAACCTAGCAGATGATTGTGTTGTCCTCAAAATTGAGGCCACCGAGCTGAACCCAGTCAATACCAAGATGGTGGCTCCTTTGTCGCCGCCGGTGTCAGTCAACGTGCAAGAAGGGTTGATTTATCTCCCTATTCAGCTTTGCGACTACGTCTGTTGCTCGGCGTATGGTATGGAGGGTTTGCGGACCAAAGACGGGTGTCTTCGCCGAGTACGCATCCACGACTTAAATTACGCTGAAGATTTGCGATCAGGCAGTCGAGCGGCTTGAGGGCGATTGTGAGTCTTATAGTTCATCAAGAAGAAAATTAGAACGCAATTTGCGTCATTCGCTGTAGCCACATTCAAAGTTGATTTTTTGAGAAATCAAAATAAAATGTTAATTGACTGAGCACCTTTTAGCCATGCCCGGGCCCAGGCAAATATCTAGTAAATTTTCGAACTAACGAGTGGCTTTATGTATCAATCATATACGACTGCATGCTGAAAATGTCGAAGGTGAAGAAAAAGATCAGAGAATAGTCCATTCTGCACCGGATTTTGAAGCCTGAAATTATCTTCGACCCTCTAGGCCACTGTGCGTTGTATCCCATTCACAAAGGAGACAAGTATAAGGGTAGAACCAGTTTTCCGGTTCTCATTCTTATGCCGAACATCGAAACTATCAGAATAACGACTGATTGTAGATCGCTCGAAAAATCGGCAAACCCAACCTCCTTCGGCTACGAGAAGGGCGACAGATGCGCGGGATCTAGATCCAGACGCGACCGGAACCTTCCTGGCCACAAACCATCTTCGTAGAAAAAGAGGCTCTCGTCTTGAAGCTTTCTATTTTTTCGCTTGCGCCCAAGTTGCCCTTTCCTCCTCGCATGATTGTCCTGTTATTTCGAATTGATGACTGTCAACAGGACTCTTCACCTCACGTCCTCTCCGTACAGCACTCCTGGCCTCAATACCCCCTTTGATCTTTGCAAAACCGAGGAGCGCAATTCGTGTAACCTCTGGCGATGCTCTAGCTGTTGATGAATAATTTGAGCTTAGTCGCATGTTGCGATCTTTGTTGCTCGCGATTGGTCGTTCCGTCCAAGTCAGAATCCAAATTCCAAAGTGTAAGGAGCGCAGGAAGCCAGTCAGGCTATGCATATTGGCTTCAGCACCTCTATCATGGAGGTAGCATCCGGCTCACCCTTCATGTACACTTCTGACCAGGCTGTCTACGACGTCGATCCTATGACGATCGTTATGTCTAAGAAACCAAACGCAGCCATCGAGTATGATGGCAACGGCGCCTGGCCCCAGGCTTTCGACTGGCAGATCGACAGTCGTCGTAGGATAACCTGACTCAGGGTGTTTTGTCGACCCTTCATGCATAGTCTTTCTTCGTTAAACTTTCTCTTTCGCTCGTCTAATCTCTGCGAGCCCTCAACGCCACTTGTCTCAAATGCTGGTTGCTAAAGAAATTAAGTTACAAAAAGAAGAAGGATAGGCAAAACTCCGTATCTCAGTTTATCTGGGGCAGAGCGGACGGGATGCCGAGTTTTCTAAGAGCTATGGTCATGTATGCTCATTGCTCGTAAAATCGTTAAATATAGATAATCTTACAAATTGCCGAAAGCCTATCGAAGGTCATTTTCTAAGTACGAATCAAAATCGCCATATAGCTACATAAAGTTATGCGCAGATTTCCTTATAGTATAACGAAGGGGTGAATCTCTTTGCCCTTTAACAAGGAATATAAGAAAGGATAAATCTTGCATATCGCGCAAGCTAGAACGGGCATTAAAAGCCAGAAAAAGCCAATATTTATTAATAAGCTGGATAAGGCTCTCGAACGACACCGGGGAGGTGGCGTGCAAGGCGCCTAAGAGCACAGCTGAACCTTTCTTGTACTGTATAAGATTATTGTTCGCAATCTATTGTTCTGCGGTGACAGGTACTGAGTGCTAGTCTAGGTTAGTGAAATTGCTGTACTGATCGGCCCTGGCCGTAACCCCAAAATCAGCCTCAGCTTAAGGCTTACTCACCACACAATGTGGGGGTACTGAAATGTCCCATTGCCGATCCATGCGCTAACTAGAGATTTGCGAACCGACGGCTCTGAAGTTGGTTTTTTCAATGGATGCGCGACAGCGATCCCGAGGTCTGTAGCCGGATCTCTAGTGTGAATTGAAGCGAGACAAATCTAAACCAATCGGCTTGGGATGACGACGCTTCTTGAGGACTTCAAATGATTTCGCCAGCTATACTTTTGGTTAATTAAGCCGTTTCGCAACAGTATACAAGGGTTCGCGATGTCCAGCAGGGCATCCGGAGGCGCCGCCAATGGCAATGCACCAGAGCCAACAGGAAATCAAGCAAATGATGAGCAGAACAACGCTCAACAGGCCAGCAGTCAAGATGACCAGCCCAACATTCCTGCAGCACCACCAAGGCCTGGCATCATGGCCAGGCTGGGGCTTGATCAGGTTACTCTTTTGATGATGTTCAAGTAAGTTCTTTCTGCAATGATGTCATGTTATGGAGTCTCATGATCTCTAGGGGCGCGGTTGCTCCAACCATTGCGATATCGATACTACAGTCAAAAGAAGTTGCTGAATACTACACCACCTTAGGTTATTTGATAGGCATCATCAGTATCCTGTCATTATCTATCCTGCCACGTGGCAAGTTTCTGCAGACATTGACGCTCAATGTTCTCTTTGCTTGTGCTGGAGCGGCTATAGCCCTTTTGATTATGTGGTCAGCCCTTCAAGCCCGACTGCATACGGAGTCTAGGCCATTGGATCCCAGTACCGGACTGCCACCATATAATCCGAGCCAGTCGGTTGTCTCGGCGGTTTGGCTCTTCTTCGTCATCTGGTTCGCCAACACGATAAGAGCAAAGTATCCTACCATGAACGTGCCCGTGATTGTATTCTCTATATTCACCAATATTTCAGCCACTTACAGCCCAATCATGACGAGCAATGCTGCGTTCGAGTCACTGGTCAAACGACTGCTCACTGCCATGCTCACAGCTTTCGGCATTGGGTTTGCTTGCTCATTGCTAATCATACCTGTACCTAGCCGTAAGGTTTCATTCGGCCAAATCAAAGGAATGATGATGCTCTTACGCGGGGCGGTAAAACAGGAAAAGGTTTACATGCAGAGTCTCGAACGGGAGGACATGTTTGCGATACTACACAATGTCAGCTCAGCGGTTGACGGAGGAGGATGGAACAACCAATCAAAGAAGAGCCCAGAGCCTGTTACTGCGGCGGAGGCAACCGCCTTGAAAGCCACGATCGCCAATATTCGACAATTGGCTGGCAAAGTGCAGGCTGACTTGGCATTTGCGAAGAGGGATTTCTCGTGGGGCAAGCATGGGGCTTCTGATCTACGCGACATATTCCTCAACCTTCGGGCATGCCTGATTCCTGTTGTTGGAATAAGTACAGTTATCGATATATTCCAGGTGGTTGCAGAGAAGCGCGAATGGGCAACGGACGAGCATACCCCAGCCGAGGTACTCGCAGAGAAAATCGAAGAGAAAAGGATGTGGAACGAAGTCATGAAGCAACTTCATGAGCCCTTCGAGGCTTTATCGCAGATCGTTGACCAAGGGCTAGAACATGCTGGAATACAACTCGAGATCTTTCCCAGGCCAAAGGCTGCGAAGAAAGGTAAAAAGGACAGTGCCAATGGAGATATTGATGTTGAGGCGAAAGGAGGGCTATCGAAACCTGGCGATAGCGACTTCGCTAAGACATTAGACGCCAAAGTGAAAATTCTAAAGGTCAGTCACCCGGCAATGACGACACTGGAGTGATTCATTTTATCCCATATCATGTTCCCGGATTTTGCTCCGATAACTGTGGACAACCTTTTGAGCATCCAGTGGCTTCTCATGCTATTCCACATCATGGTAGTGGATATACACTGATTTCATATTATGTCTTTCTTGCATTTAAACATACGCTAACTCTTGTCCGTAGGATGTGAAAGGGAAAGTGCTCAAAATTTGGGCGAAGGAAAGAGGTTTAATAGGTGACACGGAAGAGCCGGAGAGTATGCGTGAAGGTTACTTTGAAGCCGAAGATGACGTTGATCGTCGCAGAGACCAAGGGCAGTTGTTCTTACTCTTATATATTGAGAAACTCGCAAGTACCTTCTTGCACCATGTCGTGATATTAGCGCTAACAGCTAGCTAGATGAACGAAACTGCAGAAGCAGTACAGAGTTTCGTGATATATGCTGATGAGAGAATTGCTAATGGCAGCATGTCGAAGAACCACCTCATCGTACCAAAGTGGAAGAAATTGAGGAAATGGGCCGCGGCTATGCTCAAAGATGAAGATGCTTCTTCGGAAAACACTGCAGACCTCTTTGACTCATCAAATGTTGTGTATGTTGGTGACGGGTTCTCTGAGAAGAAGGATCCGGAACATCTACCAGCCTCAAACTGGTTCGAACGCCTTGGCAATGGGATCAGAGCTATGAACCGGTTTTTTGGTTCTCAGCAGTCTTTCTTTGGCATTCGTGTTGCTTGTGCAACCATGACTATTGCCATTGTCAACTTTCTCGAGCCTACTCAGGCCTTCTTCGTTAAGCAACGATTGGTTTGGGCAATGATCATCGTCTCAATCTCTATGACGGAAAGTAAGCATTCTACAACAAAAACCTATAGACTGGCAATCTTGTGAGGTACTAATCATGATTTCTAGCATCTGGTCAATCCATTTTTGGCTTCTTTTGTCGTATAGCGGGAACAGCTGCGGCGATGGTGCTCTCCTTAATTGCCTGGTACATCGTTGACAAGAACATTCCTGGCATCATTGTATTTTATGCGCTATTCATAATGTGCATTCATTACTTTTTCCTCAAATATCCCCAATTCATACCTGCTTGGATGATATCTATGGTTACTCTCACCATGATCATCGGCTACCAACTGCAGGTTATCAAGATTGGTATAGCTGTCGCTGAATCGAACAGCCAGCCGTTTTATCCGTAAGTCACTCCAAAATGCATATAGCTTGATAGGCCTAACATAAATGCAGCATTTATGAGTTCGGTCCCTACCGGCTGGCCACAGTGGCGGGCGGTGCTCTTGTCGCTTTCATTTGGACCATATTCCCTTCACCTATTACAGACAGGACCTGGCTACGCCGCGACTTATCTGCGACCATGTACCTGCTCGCGCACTACTTCACTGCCATCAACGAAACTCTCAAGTCGCGCTTACACGACACCGGTGGCGACCCAAATGTCAAGACATCCCCAGCGCACAAACTCGCCAAAATTCGGCGTAAACTGTTCGGAAAGCTTCTCCTGATCTTACCCTCCCTGAGCCAGCACGCCAACTTCCAGCGCTTCGAGCCCACCATCGGCGGCAAATTCCCGCGGGAAACCTACCTCGACATCATCCAGCGGGCCACCCGCATCACGTCCTATCTGACATTGATATCGCACTCGGTGACCTGGACCCCGCACCACGCTCAGCAGGACCGCGCCTGGATCGAAGCGCTCTCGCTATTGCTGACCGACGTCAGCTCGACCAAGGACACCATTATTTGTGCGCTTGCCTTGCTGTCCAACTCGCTCCTGAACGGGCACCCGCTGCCGCCTCATATCCCGGTGCCCAAGCCCTACGAGCTGACGAGACAGCTCGAGAAACTGAAGCTGCCCGGCTCGCCGGGCCAGAGGCCGATGAATCTGCTAGATGCCAAGAACATGTCCGAGAACGGCTATGCCGAGTTCGCCGTGCTGCAGGTCTGCAGCTCGCTGGTTTGCGACGACCTCGAGGGTCTGATCAAGAGTGTCGGCAAGCTGGTGGGGGTCGTCGACTTCAGTTTCCGGGTCGAGAGCAGTGCAGGAAGCCTCCGATCTGGTATGGCGACCGCGGTGAACACAGATAGCGATGCCGACATCCATGGGAGAGGCAAGGGCAAGCGGGACTAGAAGGGCATGGTCAGGTCATTTGGCCTTCGCATTGTTTTTGGGATGAGTCTGAGGGCGGGTTTATGACCAAAAGCCAAATTTTTACAATGAGGTTGGGAAAAGGCGGCCATTTGTGTACATTATTGGATATTCTGCAGACTGCAGACTTTGCAGGATATCCTGGAATCAAGGATTACTTTGTCAATACATGATAGGTTTAACCCTGACGGGAAAAGTGATTGAGTGCATAGTATTCACTCGTTTCAAATGAGACATCCACGAGTCTACGACACTGGAATCAGCCTTACCACCCGCACATGTGCGTGGCTCTCCCATGTGCACTGCCTGTAAAGCACCATGTTTTAGACATGCTCGCGACCTAATGAGACATAACTCTGAGCCTAAGCCTTGCAGCAGAGCCGCGTGTAGTCACAGTGTGTCTGCCACCTGTCTTACTTTGCCCGTGTGTCAGGGCGCGTGGGTGGAAAACAAGACTGCAGGCAAAAAACAAAAAAAAAAACAAAAAAAGTGCCGTTCTGTCAAAACGCTAACCAATACCTTGTTATCGCGAAGATCCCCCCAATCCTTGTCGCATCCCGGTTGAGCAAGGTTTTCTGGAATAATTCTGTCAAACATTAAAATGTCTGGCTGTGGAAAGAGACGGCGATTTGCCACTGACATGGGCGGGTCAAGCTGCGAATAGGAAAAAAGCCGACGTCTGGTATGTGATTACGCATGCTGAGGTGTTTGCCATCAGATCCGAAGGCGGGCCGATCTTCTGCTAGACCCTGCGACGACAGGCTCGAAAGGAAAAAAAAAATTGCAACATGCAATACTAGGATTTGTGCTTCGAGTATAGATCGACAATAAGGGTAGAATATCGGCAATGCACATGAGCGGAAATATCAATACCCAAAGCCTGGGCCTTTCGTGTTTTAGGATAGTATTCGTGTCAAGGTGTACAGACTAGCCAATCATCTTACACCTTGTATACCCGATTAGAAATACTTGGAAGCACTGCCTCCCACTGGGTCTCCCACTGGGTCTACGGTGGCATAGAGCTACAGCCCGGCAGGATGCAACAGACGTCATCTGAGTTGACTCGGTTGCGTGTCGGATTTCAGCGTACAATGTACACATGGGCTGCAGCGACAGCAGGCTATAGCTCTGGGACCTCCACATATTTTAAGATGCGCCAGAGCATAACGACGAGGTGTCATCCGCGCGACTTGCAGTACTTTTTATTTTAATTTTTTTTAATTTTAGGTGTCACTGCGCGTTACGCAGCAGTCATTCATGCAAAGCTTGGCACATAGTTCTAGCCGACGTTCCCGTCATACTTTTGACTAACAAGAGAGTTAGAGCACATATCCCGTCGTTGCAGCGGACAAAAAAGCCAAGTGGACGGAGATGCGTGTGAACCAACTCTATCGAGTGTGTGTGGAGCACACCGAGATGGCCTGGGCTGCAAGCCACCTAAGAAGGAAGACGAGTGGCGCCCGAGTTTGCCGATCGTTTGGAAAATCAGGGTCCTACTGGGTGTGCGTTTGAGCTTCTCGAAAGGATTCCTTTTTTCTAGAAGGTATTGATACAACTAAACAATGAATCCACGGAGGGTTTTCTGTGAGACCTGGATATAGTGATGGACGTTGATGTGAAAGTTTTCTCCGGGTCTTGATGCCACAGCATCTCGTGCAAAGCGACCCGCGTGGGAACGGCTCTTCAAAACGCCCTCTAGCGCCAGCAACTCTGGTGCACGACAGCTGTTGCGACCGACCGATGAGAGATGTTTTCCTGTACATGCAGTGTGATCAAAAAAAGTAGATTGCATGTCTTGCTAAGGTCGATCGGTTGTATTCGCCTCCTGGGAGGAAGATGCGCCGAATGTGGCGACGAAGTTGTATGTCGATGCTATGTGAGGTCATTTTTGCCAGCTCAGCTCAACACCGCCAGACGCTGAGAGCTGAGTCGGAGTTTAGCAAGACCGACGAACACTCACATTTCTGAAGCGGCAGGTATCATTCGCCCAATTGTCTGTCTCACTCTATCCGAGTTTTCTATCAAATCCCACCAGTAGTTCACCACAGACAGCGAGACTCGGAGAAAATCAAATTGTCCTACACGATCAGGGTACTGGATAGGCCATCGCGGCAGTATGCGTTCTTGGCAAGCTTTGAAGCTGTCAGCGGTGCCGAACTGCTTGTGTAGCATGCAATCTCGAAAGATGGTCTACTCAATCGGAGATTTAATCCTTAATCATCCTAACGGCGAATTGACAATCAATCATCAACAGCTCTTCTCAAGATACTTACTACGTAGAGGAGGTAGCCTCAAACCGGCTGCATAATGACATATCGAGAACCGCGCTTGCAGATCGGCTTCTGCACGATGATTTGTTTTCTCTTATGTACAGTTGTGGACGACTGTAAACAAAAATTCCCGTTATTGAAAACTTATACCAATGCTGCATACTGCATACTGCATACTGTATACGAAATCGACCCATGTCTTTGCAGCGGATTACGAACTCAGCGGCCACTGACATGTGCAGAAGTCAGAGTTCTACGTTATATTGTCCATGTGGTAAGTTGATAGCGTCACTGGAGAGCCTTGTTTGACATGATAATGTTCGTTCACGGCTTCTGACGTGAAGTACTGGTATCATCTCTCAGGAACACTATCGCCCGGTAGTCGGCCAACGCCATACAGTAGACGCCTGACCGCTGTAATGCGAAGAACGTGAAAAGATGGTCAACGGGTAACGGGTGTGAGGGCTTCCGCACCTGCAGCAATGGGCATGACTAACTAATGAGAGTCTGGTGTATTCCCAAATTAGGTGGCCGGCTGGTTTGTGGTATCAGGTGTGGTCTAATTTTTGGTTGCACCAACCGGCATCCCCAAAGAGGCATGAGGACCAGTCTAATCCCCATGGCACAGTGCTTGCATCGCGTGGTTGTGAAGTCTGGGGAAGACAGGGGTTTGAGTTGGAGCCATGTCGACGATCTCCAATTCCGAGTGCTCACCGATGAAATCATTGACACCAACCAGATTACTGGAGTCTTGAGCGGACCGATCCTTGCTTTTTACACGAGACTCATGCTGTAACGGCTGCTTACTACTGTGCATGGCGGCGAAAGATTAAGACATGGACATAATCTAGACCTCATCCCAGTTGCGTTGTTGGGGTCGAATCAAAGCAACGCCCTGCATGACTGACGGTCAATATTGGCATAAGCAGTCTTTTTTTTCACTGCTAGGCTACTCACATCACTGTATACTGTCTGGACGGAACCAGTGGGCCTGAGTTCTCTCAATCCGTTGGCGTATGTGTTCGGCTACCTGTTTACGTGTTTGTAATAGCTAGGTTCCTCTTGCTCGCCAATGTTTGGATACTTAGTGGCCGGGACCCAGCCATAAGAGATGAAACGGTCGGTTCTTGAGCGGACCTGTTCTCCAAGGTTAATAGCTCTTAACTGTGCTTATAGTGTTCGAATCACAAGAACCGATCAAGGTGAGGAATGAAAGCTTCAACAGTGATACTGTGAGGTTTCGATGCAGTACCGGGATCATTGCATTTTACTATCCAAGGTTGGACCGCGGTTCATTTATGAAGGAGTAGAGTAAAAACGTACAGTATCATGGGGGACTGCTGAAGGTGTTGCCGGTAAATAGACTTTTTTTTTTTTTGGAGAAAGTTGGGGAATGGGTTATGCTTCATCCTCGGCCACATGTATCCGGACCAGACAACACAGCATTGGCATGTAGAATTATCTCTTGTAACTCTGGCTAGTCCACGGGGATACCTTCAATCTGATAATGGGTGATCTTGTAGTGGGCAGTCATGGAAAGTGTCATGTGGTTAGTATCTCAAAGTTCTCAACTTTCCAGCTCTGTTCCCATTCTGGACCCTGGATGTTTCCCCAGATTGCCGAGTCCAAGTTGGAGCTTCAAAAGTGGGATGAAATGGGCATAGCAAAGCATCGGAGATTTGGAGAAACCCGAACTTGAGCTCTCATGCAGTCAACGGTCGGAAATAAGTTTTCGTGGATAGAAATCCTCGCCATTCGTAGCAATAGCCTGCGATAGCTCAATGGCTAGCCAGGTATCCCTGTTGAACCTCGCATGAACCACCCCGTCTGCAATATTCAGAGTGAATATTCCCGACGTTGTCAAGGACACATGCAAGACTGACCTCATGAGGTGGAAATGCTTCGTAAGAGCAATTCCAGGATCATGAGCTGGAATCGGTCCCGAGACCCGCTGTGTCGAGGCCAAAAGTCTGATACTGTGAACTTTCGGCCCTGAGATCTTGAATGCTGACACGATTCTTTTCTTGAGCAGAAATCTATTTGCAAACGCTGCAATATATAGGCGGCTTTCCTAGATTATAGCTGTAAATAAACCACAAGAGAACCATGACCATCAATTTTGACAGTGCGACCAGACGCTGGGTCGTGGAATGCCTTGCGACTCGGCACTGATGTGACTAACGTTATTGCCGCCACGCGTAACGCGTTGAGAAGCTTCAGATTATGGAAATGACTTCATGTATGGCTTGCATTGGTGGCGTCCTCGGATATTGTGGTCAATAGCGGTAAAGAGCCCGTGTTTTTGCAGGCCATGAGAGGATCAGCCAAGCTGCAATGACGATAATTGTCAGCAGATTCGACCAAGTGCATTTGCGACGCATGGCTGGCGTAGTTCCGCTATGTGGGTAATGGGAATTGTGTGCCAAGACTATGCTTCCAACTTTGCCAAAGCGGCACCTTGCGGGTGTCTGGCAAGCTCAGGGTTCTTTTCTTAGCTTAAGCCGCTGATACCCCATACTGCTAAGACCAATTACTACCCTAAGCTTCGGCCACAGGCCGTCAAAGCCTTTTGAACTCCCTGGCGGGTTTATGGATCGTGTTGGAGGACTTTGTTGAGGCGAATCTGATCGTCTGAGGTTAGTGACTATGAAGCTCTCCACAGCTTCACCGCCAGATTCCGAAATAGTGCTCGGGAACGCGGCTTTTCCTATAATGACTAAGGATGAAAGCTGTTAAAACGGCGAATCTTTTGGCGCAAGAAGTGGCTGACCATCCGAGACGTCACCCTGGCCGTAACCCTTGAGGTTTCATTGTATTGCAAGCTGGCGATTGGTCGATTGAGTTCAGGGCAAGGGTTCTCACTGCCTTGTGACTCGCAGAAAGTCGTTGTGCATGGTCTCCATATGGTACCATTTCAGTGTCTGTGTCATAAAGTACGGAAGCTGTGCGCTACTGGTATTCCCTAGTAACGCGGCATCGCCTCGGCTGAGAGAGAGCTTGGATGCACCATATACGAATACAAAGTTGTAAGATTCGTGATAAGCTTCAAATAAATCTATGTGTTGCTGGACTGCGAGCTGTCCCCTCGTAGACCCTGTGAAGACAGGTTGACGTCGAAATCATCTTGTGCTGAGAGTCGTATCAATAGATCAGCACGAAGGCTTTAGGATCTGGAATAGTGGTTCTGTCGGGTAACGATCGGCATGATCTTGTCTTGCATAAGTGTTGCATATCGACTCCTATCTGTGAAGCTTTTGCCGATACAGTAAATGTTGCATTGCTTACCAATATCTCAATATGAAATATTTGTATATCGCTGTGATGTCGGCAATCCAAAACAAATCAAGCAGAGTCACGAGTAAGCATTGCGGAGCTGGACTCGCTTATTGAATACCTCCTCTTCAATGATTCTAGTCACTGCTTGTGAGCAACCACAGGATTGTACTTTGATTTCCCGGCAGCAGCACAGTGAACGTCTTGCGCCAGAGCTTATTCTTTGGCAGATTAAATAATTTGTTGATTCGCCTTTGACCTTGTAATTTTTAAAATAGCGTTTTACTTTTCCATATGATGGCATGTTGTAAACATTGCTGTCATATACTGGCTTTCTGTACAACAAGCCGCGCGAATACTACTACGATTTCCGGCGGCTATTCATAGTAAGCCACTGCCTGCGACCCACAAGGCAGTGGGTTTCGAAAGAAGTGTGCGTCGCTGCCTGTACTTAGCCTCCGGTTGTATTGTATGAGTCTTGGGTCCGTGTTCTTGGAAGTTCTGGCTACATAACATCAAATGTAATCCTACGGGCGAAATGTGTGTGCATGGGAAAATGCGATGTGAAATCAGTAGTCTCTTGAAGTGTTGAGCTGGAGCACTTGGTCGGACCCAGTTGATAGCAGTATACCATATTGCGTATAGCATAAGCTGTCCGAGCTCAATGACTGTAGCGGACATGAGCTCGATATTGCCAATGTTAATACCGGGTGTTATACACGGAGGGTCTGGAGACTCGCACGTTTAGGGTGAAAACGGCCGGAGGTCTAGCTGTCTAAGCATGCATGACTGCAACAGATGGGTGTATTGAAACGAGCATGGAGTGATTGAAGGCATCTAAGTGCATACTCGATGCAGGCGCCGAAGAGGGGAGTGGGAAAAGGCTAGGTAGCGGGACCAATCAATGGGCATGCGGCTTGATGCCACAACCCATGCAAAGAGACCGGGCTCGAATGAAACGATCGACTCACCCGTGGTCATAGTTAATATGCAAATGCATTTCACTTACGAGCAGCTTTGCGGCAAAGTAATAGAGCGCCCAGACTCGGAGTGACAACTTTCGACCAAGACACGATGAAGGTGCCTGCAGGGGACTAGTATCAATTGATTCACAAGCGCACCGTGTAACCAACCAGTCAGAGGACTCCCGTCGTACCCCTCCAAGCAGGGTCCTTTCTCGAGAGAAGATGAAATCGAGGAATTCGATGTCGGATGCCGGCGATTGGCCGACTGAAGCTAAGTAAACCCATCCATCCTGTTGTAGCGTTGGGCATGATGCATTCGTATCTATGGATACCATGAGGATAACGATGGGCTCCAGTATGTATGAATTAGGCGCTGGACGGATCCAAACAATGGGGTTAGGAATTGTCGTGAACCACGGAAAAGACGAAGCACAATATGCACTGCCGGTTATAGGATTACAATTCCTCTTCGGCAGGCGGGTAGCATGATATGTCATTCAATAGCATGGAGCATAGCATTGGCAGATAGATAGATAGATGGGTAGATAGGTAGGGAGGGCGAGAGAGGGAGAGAGAGAGGGACAGGGAGAGAGTGAGAGACCTGGAGATTGAGTTTGCCGCAACGAGGCCGACACGACCTCAGTATGCAGAAACTGTATGGAACAGAAGTTGAAACTTTATTCGGTAAAGGGAGAGATCGAAGCGCTAGCGCAAAAGGATGCTAGGTACAAATTGAGCATGTCGCATATACTACGAGTGGGAAATCCCTGTGCCACACGATTGGTGCCGGGCAAACCTCAGCCCGAGCAAATCAGGCCAGCCCACCCACAGCCGATTGACAGAAAGTCGTGCCTGTGATGGCACAGAAAGGTAGGAGCGCTCCTGAAGAAGGATTCTCTTCCGGCATACTGCGACAAGCATATTTCCATGGGCATCGCGGCGGATGCCCGTGCAAAGACATACAGTGAATGACTCCAGCCCGAGAGAACAGAGTGCTAGCGTGCGGTTGAGCCTAACCTGACCATTTGACCTCTTGGCCTCTTGACCTCGACCCTGACTGACCCTGACCCTGGCCTTGGCTCTAGCCGGATAACATGCTAATGTCGGACCGAAGTATAGAGTACCCAAAGCGTCAGGTATTAATGAGAGCGTCACTTGACCAATTAGTTAATTTCCAGTCCACTCAAAAGTAACGGCCGGCCGCAGGTTGACTGTGCTCTGCACTGTACCAAGAGCCAATAGCGAGGACTGTCTCATGTTCAAGTTCTAGCTCCAGGTCGGGATCAACTTACTCTTTCCAATTCCTATCACAGCTCTCTTTAACCTGTCTAGCCGAGCGAGCGAGCGACACAAGCAACACTTGAATTGGGGGCCTGTAAATCGAATCATCGAACCGGAAGAGCGCTGAGCAAGCCCCAGTTTCTAACCAGAGCAGAGCAGAGCAAACGCTGTTCTTCAATTCAATTGTTCGTAGTAGCATGCTAGCGAGCAGTGGCATCCGAAACACCGCGCTCCCCTCTGCCTCTTGCTCGCCTTCCGATCCCGCCGCCGCCCCTCCAATAAGCCGCAGTCCGTCCATCTGAATCTGGTGCGCGCTGCTACCAGCTTTCTCCCCACCAAAGACAGCCCACCGCCCGACATCCCACTTTCAAACCACCAGCAGTCAACTTATTCTCGCTCGAATCTCTCGTTTCTTTGCTCTTTGCTCTGAGATTCCCGGCTGAGACTGTGACTTTCAACTTCGCTCTCGGTAGTCATGTCCAATTCGTCCGCTTCTACTGCTGTCGCCGGGGGCAATGCTGCCAAAGATGAAACCGGTATGGAAACCTTGACCATTGCTTTGAGTGCCCCTCCTTTTGCTCACTCGCGAGCCTCGCCAACCGCCCACCACGGATGGCAATATTCGCCCCCTGGTGCTTCTGCTTGTGCTGGTGCCGGTGCTGGCACTCGAGAAGGAACAAGGCCAAACTCCCATCGCATGCCACGAGAGTTGTTTTTATTTACTCTGAACTCACTAACAATCACTTACAAGCCTCTACCATCACTGTAAATACCGCAAAGGCAGCGCCCAACTTCCCGCCGCCCAAGACCGACAAGCCGCGCCCTCACGTTTGCGCGACTTGCCAGCGCTCCTTTGCTCGGTTGGAGCACCTGAAACGACACGAGAGATCCCATACCAAGGAAAAGCCATTTGAATGTCCAGAGTGTGCAAGATGTTTTGCCCGGAGAGACCTGCTGCTGCGTCACCAGCAGAAGCTGCATCAGACCACGACCCCGTCGTCCCGGCCGAGGAACCGTCGTGAAAGCGCAAGCAGCACCGCCCCGGCCAAGAGCCGAGCTCGTCAGAACAGCGTTGCCAATGCCAATGCCGCCACTGCTGCCGCCGCCAACGCCGCCGCCGCCGCCAACATGAGGCCAAGGGCAAACACCATCAGCCATGTCGACAATGCCGCCATGCAGATGATTGCCGCCGCCAACGCTTCCGTCGCCAGAAGCCAACATCAGCCCTCACACAACCGCCATGCGAGCCTCATTGGCCTGCCCATGCACAACATGGATCACGCCTTTGGTGGCATGTCCAACGTCATGGGCCAGAGAGGCATGTCTCACGGCTTGCCCAAACTAGACACACACGCCATCAATAACATGGACTTTGGCGCTGGCTTGCGGACTGCTCCTGCTCTGAATTTCGGCCAGCCTGACTTCGACTTCGAAGGTCTGTTGTTCGGCCAGCCTGGCACAACCATTAACCCAAATGCCTTGCACTATGGCGAATCCCCTCATTCCATGGCCCTGGAACAGACCTCCCCGTTCGGCATGGGTATGAACGATGTGTCTACCAGCCAGCACTTGGATGAGAATTTCGACTGGTTGACTGGATTTGAGCAGAATATGTCTTTCACCAACCCAAACGAGCATGCAATTGAGAGCAACTCGCCCTCGGCCATGAGCACGACCAGCCAGAGCGGCATCAGCGATGTCATGGTAGATGGATCCAACCATCCGGCCGTCTCGGCAGCTACCAGTTCCATGTGGCAGCCCGCCATCATGGGCCCGCCGACCACCAACAGCAGCGCATTCTCTCTAGACCAACTGAGCGCCTCCGTCTTCCCCGATCTCCTGGGTGGGGCTCCAGTGTCACCCCAGCCACCGGCCTCGAAGCCCGTAGACAACATATACTTTTCGACGCCGCCACAATCAATGAGCTCCTTGAGTCCATCGGCCATCTCTGGACTGAGCACGCAGAATTTGAGCCAAGCTCTCAACAGCTTCGGCAATGGTCCTGAGACTCCTACATCGCTAGGTAGCCATCATGGACATTCCCCGGTTTCTACCATCACAGAAGCAACCAGGGCCGCAATCGTGAGTGCCCTCTCGCAATGCGTTCCATCTTTCGGTGGACGCAAATACTCCTTTCCTACGCCAAGTTCTCCGCTGTCCCCTCAGAACCAGCTTTATGGAGAGAGTATCCCGGAGTATGCTAAGAATTTACCCAGCACTCATGATTTGCAACGTTACGTTGCCTCTTATCTTCGTTATTTTCACCCTCATATGCCGTTTTTGCATGTTCCGACCCTTTCGTTCGACATGCCATCAAAGTCCACAAGTTCCAAGGTTAGCTCTGTAGGAGGAAGTGGCTGCCTCATCCTGTCCATGTCAGCCATCGGCGCTCTTTACGAACACGAACCTTCACCGTCCAAGGAATTGTTTGAGATGGCCAAGAAAATGATCCAGCTATATCTGGAAGAACGTCGTAAGGCAGACGTCCGAAAGGCCGATTTCCGTCGAACTCCAATGTCCGACCACGGTTCTTCCGAGTCATCGCTCCATACTCCGCTTTGGCTCGTTCAGGCTATGCTCCTGAACGTCATCTATGGGCACAACTGTGGCGACAAGACAGCGAGCGACATAGCATCCACCCACTGCGCTGCTCTGGTCAGTCTGGCGCAAGCAGCTTGCCTGTTACGCCCAATCAATCTGGACTCCCCTGACAACCGTGATCTTCAACTCAACGATGCGGAGGGTAGTTGGAGTGGAATCAAAGCCGAATCTGAAGACCACGCCGAGTGGCTCAGGTGGAAAACCATGGAGGAGAGAAAACGGACGCTCTACATCATCTTCATTCTTTCCAGTCTGCTTGTCTCTGCTTACAATCATGCACCAGCCTTGACAAATTCGGAGATCCTCCTAGACTTACCATGTGACGAGGAGTTCTTCGCCGCCGAGAGCACTGCCGCCTTCCAACTCAAAGGCGGTGTTCGCGCGGCCGGCCATAACCGCATGTCCTTCCACGACGCTCTTGGTGAGTTGCTCCGCGCGAACGACAAGCAGCAGAGGTTAGCCTTGAACGGCCATCAGCCTTTTGGATCATCCATACACCTGGGCGATATACCCAAGAGTGAATTGAGGCCAAGCACCTTCGGGTGCTTGGTCTTGATCAACGCGTTACACAATTACATCTGGGAAACTCGCCAGCGTCACCATAACAAGGTCTGGACCAACGAGGAAACTGAGAAGATGCACCGTCATATTGAACCAGCACTTAAGGCATGGCAAGCTGCTTGGGCCAGCAACCCTCACCATAGCTTAGAACGGCCGAATCCCTTTGGCATGGGGCCGTTGTCCGCTGATTCGATACCGCTATTGGATCTAGCATATGTCAGACTGTTCGTGAATCTTTCTCGCTCAAAGGAGAAGTTCTGGCAACGGGACTGGGATGGTCTAGCAGAGGAGCTTTCTCGTGGGACGGAGATCATTCAACACGCACAGCACTCGCCAGCTTCCAACGCTGAATCATCGACAGATCCATCCGACGTGTCGGTTGCCAGTTCGGTATTTGTTGATTCGCCGTCAACCCAAGCATCTTCGTCCCCAGAGTTTGCTACGGCCAAGTTTCCCCAAATGCAGCAACCATCAAACCGGGTTATCTCCAAGCGGGAGAAACATCTGCGCAAAGCAGCATTTTATGCAGCGGACTCACTTGCGATGGCTGACAAACTTGGTGTCACCTTCGCCGATTTTACAAGCAAGGAACTACCCATGCAGTCAGCCTTGTGCGCGTTTGATTGTGCACAAGTCTTGGCTGAATGGATTGCGACCTTGCAAGATCGTGTTGGCCGGTATCTCGGAGTGCTGGGACAAGATGACGTAGATCTCGCCCAAGTACCTGCCATCATGCTTTTGGAGGAGGAGGATGTGAAGCTTCTGAGCAAAGTTCAAGAAGTCCTCAACAGTGCCGAAATGAAAATGAGCCTAGACCTTGTGAGCGGCAATATCAATACTGGAATCGACGCTCGGATGCAGATGGACGACCACAGCGGATTTGCTGCCAAGATTCTCCGCTTGACAGCATATATGATGGATAAATCTGCTGTGTGGCCCGGTAAGTCAGAAGAATCCCCTCACTAACTACCCCAAAATTGATGATTGGTCTTGCTGACTAGATTCGTTCTCAGTCACGCATTTGATGGCCCGCTGTCTCGAGACTCACGCCAATCACATGCGAGCTCGTGCTGAGAAATCGGTGCTTTCCAGCGATTGAGGTTCTGTTGGTTGTCCATGACAAGCGCTCTCAAGTCGCCGTCGAACAATGCTTCAAAAATGTTGCTTGAAACTGGGTTGGGTTTCAATACCAAACTCCCCAATTCCGGCATAGACCACAGCTCACCCCTTAAGACAGATCTCAGAGGTTGCATTTATCCCCATGTATCCTTACTGTTGGTGCGGCGAGTATTTGTGAAAATGGACGCTGCAACCTGGTCGCATCTGCGTTCTTCATTGTTGATTACCGTTGTTTAAGGCATGTCAGAGCAGGAATTGAACGAGGGGGGCCTTGTTGAGCTGGAAAACGAAAAAGTGAAAGCAACCGAGAGGGGTCGATCTGAGGGGTATAGCTGAGGGGTTCGCCAAAAGCTTCTTTTCAACAAAAGTCTGGCCAAGTCACCCCTCATTTAGACCCCGCAGTTGCGAATTGGGGAGCGGTCAAACATCTGTTGCGCAACGCCTCCGATCAGGCCATCCGTCGACCATGTTCATCTGGTTGTCAATCAAAATCATCGTCATGGTGTACTATGATGATTTGGCCGCCGTGTTTTGCCCATCCATGGACGACGGCAGATATTTGGGAACGAACATAATGAAGCATACGATCACGATGCCAAACACATTTTGCGAACGAAGACAAACAAGTCAATGAATTAAACGAAAATATAGGAGAGCAAGTTATTATGAAAACAGAAAACATGGGACAAGTTAAGCATAACGTTTACACTTCAACCGTTCCCATGGGGCAGGATATATAGGGCGGTTGCAGGAGTTGTTCCCAACAAATTTAGTTGACAGTGTTCACTTGTGGCAAATAGGAAAATACGGTGCGTGTATGTAGGCTCTTCAGCCACGAACTGAAAGACACAACTGGCTGGTTCAGATGGATTGCTAAAAAAAACAGTGTCAGCACAATGCTGCTCTACAATTCCGGTGGCTCCGTATGGTTTGTATCCTACATATATGTGTCTAGAAGGATCCAATCCACTGGACATCAGTCTTCATGGCAGAAGATATCCATGAAGATAAGAGAAGAAGAAGAAAAAACTTTACATTTCAAAATAATGCTATAATTTAACGTGACCGAGAATATTGCTGACGAGTGAAAACTGTTGCATACGAATATTATTTATCAGAAGGTCTAGACTAACTCATATACATGAATGTTTCTGCCTTCCCTATGGCTGGCTACAATGCGGCTGGGCTCTCTTGTTTCATTCCTCGGAAAGTTCTGATACCATGCACTCAACCATGACGCATTGAGAGTTGAGAATCCGGAGTATCAGTATTGTGGATTGAGCGTGACATCCATCTCACCATAGATCAACAGGTAGTCTCCATTGTAATGTAAGTTTATGAATGGGGGCACTCCTTACGCATCGCTCGCCACTTCGCCCAGCCGAGTCGGCGGCGGCTGGGGTTTGTGTGAGGCTCGAGACGTTAGCTTGTATTCGGTGTCGCCCGCCGATAGCTTAGACGTCCTAGAAGGTTGAAGGACTCGGCCCAAGGCAGGCTCTGGGAATGGGCGTCGACGGTCCAGTCCCCAGCACGTGGCTGTTGTTCATGTCGCTGCGAAATTCAAGAGCTAGTCATGTAGAGACAAGAGTGGTTTAGCCCCAGTAGAACTACAAGTGGTACAGATATCTCTCTCCCCGGATGTATCGCTCTCTCACATCGCCACGCAGGCCGCGATGCCATTGTAGCGGCTGGTCGTTCAACTGCACCCCAGAATAGACACTCGAGATCCTGCCTGAAGTCGACGTTATACACTTGATGATACCAAGATATTTTAACTGCTTACCTTAATTGAGGCTCGTGCTAATATGCATGGTTAGTGAAATCGTTTCAATAGATGATAGACAATGCTCGCCGTTATCTGATCGCGAGAGGATTCTCGTGGAGCTGGACCTCGTGTCAGGTTCGCATCCGACGAAGCTGTAGCGTGGGACTTGGCGAGTAGCAATGCCGCCGTGGCCAAAGGTGTTCGCGAACATCTTACGGAGATACCTCAAGAGCCCACCTCAATGCGACATGGTACTCAAGTGCCTGGAAGGTCAAGTGTTGAACAGAAAGAACGCCTAGGACGGTGCAGATACTTCATCGGATTGGACAATTTGCAGCTGCAGTGCGTATGCAGGCAGTTTTACTCTAAAGATTCACCAATAGTTTGTTGGTGTAATCTACTCGCTTCCCGTAAATAAAATAGTGAGACATTAAATGGTTCGGCCAACAAAGTCAGTCCATGCACCTCATGAGCACCTGCAAGCAGTGTCCGCGATACCACTGTGCATATTTCTATATCATGTTCTTTGGATTATCTGATTGGAAGCAATGCCAAGTACGAGCCACGGCAGAACTTTGTATAGTAAGGATTCCACAGGTCAATGTATGCACAGTGACCTATTCTTGGCTCGTTCCTATTCGCGAGAGACAATGTTGATCCGTGATATCCACACTTGCAGATTACGTCCTACCTGGGAGGCTCAGACCCCAGCATACTGGCCAACTTTGTTGTGATATTATTTACTTTTCCGACTGTGGTCCATTGGGCGCTGCGTGACTGGGGGGCGTCTGAGCGAAGGGTGTTCTATGGGAATTCGCAGGAATGGTCCTCCACCAACGTTTGCGTGGAAATTCCAACGTGCGACCTGCCCGCTGAGAAAGGTACAGTCAAAATCGTTGCATGTTATGCAGCTGGGCATGGGAACATGACAACGTCTCAAAAAAGCATCCAAGTCAATCAAACTGCTATCGGCGTTTGATATGGTTAGTAACATCACCAAACTACGACGTCAAAATAAGGTTACAATACAATAAGGCACTCAATAAAACTTTCACGGAGTGGTTTGTGGCATGAGCAATAACTTTGAAATCATAATATTAATCCTAACTCGCAATTTTGGTATCTCAATCCCTTCCCAGCCCCTTCATGAACCCCGTCCACCTCACCCTTTTCAAGCCCTGACAGCCTGGATGAGGCCCTGGTGCTGCGCCGGGTGGCTCTTCTCGACGTTGGATTTGATCATCTTGTTCATGAGCATGTTGGAGTCGATGGTGACGGTCTCCTCGATCTTGTCGCCGACAACGCGCCACGCGCTCTCGAGGCGGATGGCCCCCGTCGGGGCCTTGCCGTCGATGAAGGCGTCGATGCCGCCCGCCCGGTTGGTCAGCGTCATGGGGTACGTGGTCTGGCCGATGGGCTTCTTGTCCGTCACCTCGTAGACGCAGGCGGCGTCGAGGCCGGCGCCGGGTGTCCCCGAGACCAGCTTGTAGGAGATGTGCTGCGGGCACGCCATCTTGATGTACTGGTCGTGGTCGTGCAGGACGGCGATGACGGCCGAGGCGGAGGTGCCGGCGGGCATGGGGGTGGAAATGCTGGTCTGGACGGGGGCCATTGTGAAGGTTGAGTTGAACTGGGTTCTTTGTGGTGAGGAAGGACCGTATATGAAAGTTTGCACGGAGCTTATGTGTGTCTTTGGTTGTAGATGGTTCGCTATGGTATTGATGCTTTGATAAGATGATTGATATCGTACAAGAGGTTCTATTCAAAGCCAGGAATACTCATCCTTATATATTCAGGATATTGGCTGCGAACACAGGTATCTAAGAGGCCATCCATTTCCTCCTGAAACTATCGCGGTGACTATCCACGGTGCTGCACCGACAAGTCCAAGCTGCGGTATACGATGGCTATGTTGCTCAATGTACGAGCAGTTGCATGTCTTACGGCTTGGAGAGTCTAAGCTCCAGGTTAGTCCTCTTTTTCAGGCGAATGGTCTTCGTCCGATGATTTTGGACGTCAGTGATCCGACCCCTAAAATAGGTGTGTCCGCTTTCCAACGTGCGCAGCAGCCGGCCTTCACCAAAAGACGACCTCTGCGCCTAGAGGCAATGATCCAAGAAGTTGATTATTGGAAAAACAATTAAAAAAGGAATTCGTGTGAAGTGCAAACTCGAGCGCTCATGTTGTCTTTTCGGAACGAGATGACCTCGAGTTTTGTGCAACAAAGCCTATATGCGGCTGCATTTTTGCTAATCGTGCCAAACGGTGCTCGTCAAGTTCGGACACGCTGGTCGCATTCGCGCAGCTAGACCGATAATCATAGCGTTCGACGCCCTCTCCGCACTTGTCCGGTCTTCACACATTTCGGGGTCCAACTTTCCACACAATGCCAACGCTACAAAGTCATCAAATGCGCAGCCAACGAGGGGTCTGATCACTAGCCCGCGAGGTGCCGCGCCGCAGAGTGCGTTGTGCTAGAACCGCACCGGAGTTTCAGCGAACGGCGCTATCCACCTGAGACGGGACTTTCTCCAATGCTCAGGTCCGGCGGCTGCGGTGATCTTCTTCAAAGCGGCGCTTGAGCTCGTCTGTACCCCAAACATAATATTCGTTGAGTTGCCGTCAAATCAGTCGGGACTATCGCAGCAGTTGAACCCAGCGCGATGGGAGCCAATTCTCCATTTCGCATTTCAGGAAGCTCAGACAGTCCGGTTTGTACCCATAGTATTATGCTAGATTACGGATAATCCATGCGAAAATAGTCTATCTAAAATAATTCCTTTCCAAGAGGCCCCAGATCGAACGTGTATGAAACCATTTTCATCTTTGTCCAATCCAGAGGTTGAAAAGAGGCCCTCACTCACATAATTCTCCTTTCCTCCTACCCTTAGACGACGCTCTGGACATTCGTCAACATGCTTCAATATATCACCCCCGCCGCGTCCTCGACAATCTGGCCTAATTCCTTGATCACCTTCTTGTAGTCTCCCTCAGACCCTCTCATCTCCTGCTCTCTCGACTGCTCAAAGTCGTGCTCGATGTGCCGGAGCGGAGTGCTCCTGGTCGAATTCGTTTGGTAGGACGCAGTGGTAGATCTGCTCCCAGCTGCGGAAGGCGTGTTGTTGGTGCGAGTGGCAGCAGCAGCAGCAGCAGCGTAGGCGGCGGGACTTGGCTGCTGAGAGGTAGCCCATGATATATAGCGTTTCTGAAATGGGGCAGTGGTAGTGGCAAAGCGGCCAGCGGGAGCTGGCGTGGCACGAGCAACAACGATGGAGAACATCGTAAATACTTTGTGGAAGTGCTGACGGAAAGAGATAAGAGCGACATGAGACTTATGAGAGCTTGATATTTTGAGTTCTTGATGTATCAGAGTATATCAGTGATAAAGAGCGTTGTCTTGGATTGGGGAAGGATACTGCTGCCAAACAAAGTTGCAGTCATATTGACGACCTAGTTTTCGGAGATGACTCTCAAGGTTGTAAGCCTTTCCACAACTCGAAGCAACTTAAAGGAAACCATGACACTTGAAAAGCTTGCTTTACACCACGTCTTTGCCGCTACCTCACTTACATAGGTTGTGAGATACGAAAAGCAATATTTTCACGATGATAGATGCCGCTTCGAAATGGAAGAGCCTACAACGTCGCCAGTGTCATGAGATGAAGGCCTGTGTTTACGGACCCACTCGGTATATTCATGCTCAAAAGATCTCACACATGTAGTCGCGGTATCGAAGAAGCACGAACTACGTAACTGAAGATGGGAAAGTCTCACGTTGTACTCCTAAGCTCGAAACTCCTGTCTAATCGCTGTTGGAACCCATAATTGTCGAAAAAGAAAAAGAAAAGAAAAAGGGGGGGGGGGGGGGGGGGGAGGAAAAAGAAAACCAATACACAATGTTTAAGATGCCGATCGTCGTGCAACGAGCAGACCCGGGTAGCCCGTAAGATTATTTTCCCTTAACACTGATTTTTCAAATCAGAGTACCGGTATTCTAGGCGGTCCAAAAAATGGCAGTGCCTGATGCCATTAGGTCGTGCTTTCGCAAACATGTCAATCGCTTCTTGGACACCGAGCCCGCATCTCTCTACCAGATAGCACACGATGAAGAAGCCTGTCCTGTTAAAGCCGTAATGACAATGAACGCCGATTGCATACTCTTCCCAGCCTTGCTCCTGAGCTCGGACTTTCTGGTCCTCCCTGACCTGATCGACCTGTACAAGTTATTTAGCTCTGTCTGACTGGAAAACATTATGGAGCCTACCAAATTGACAAAGGTCTCGACCTCTTGGTCTGTTGGGGGTACCTTTGAGACAGTGGGAAACTTGTGGTATTTAATACCTTCACGTTCCAGTCCTCTGGGATCGTAGGCCGGGTTGTCTTTGCTGATGTCGATGATGTCCTTGACGATACCACCCCATTGCTCTGAGAACTTCTTCGGCGAATGCTCTTCGTCCACTTCACGCAAGGTTTTCATGGCACGAAAAATGTTGTTGATGGGTTTTGAAACAGGCTGGATTGCTTGCCACTTCTTCAAATTCTTCAGCTCCCATTTGCCCAGGCGATTAAGGTGTTGAAGTTGCCAGCCAAATTCAAGCCTCCCAGAAATATGTTCTACCATGAAATCGCTGATCAGGCTCGACAAAACACGGACTTGTTTTGGATTATATAGAACTGCATGAGTGGCAGGAGCTGGCATGATCCTTGTCTTGACAACTTTTTTGGGGTGCAACGATTGGTGAGGAATCGCACCGGGAGACTCTCCCGCGTCTCGTGGAGTAGATGCCTCTTCGAAACTTTCTTCTACATTCGCCGAGAGCTGTCTACGCTCAAAGTCATTAGCGGTGATGTCACCAATCGATTCCGGAAGATGATCGCTCGGCTTGGCTGTGGGAACCACGGGTGCCGCAGATTCGCCAAGTGTGCCGCTAGATGTTGATTCTTTGCTAATGACAGATGTCCTCTTGGAATTTAGTAGTTCGGCGATTTTGGTAACTTCAGTAGGTGAAGTCACGGTATCCTTCTCGGCGCCGATGAGATAGACCGGGATATCAAGCCCAGACCAAGTAGGCTCTCCAAAGAGGCCACCTGAGGCCTCGCCGGCAGCATACGTAGGAAGACTACCCCAAGCCATGCGTCGGAAAACAGCAGTTCGACTTTGTTTGTTAAATCGGTCTTGCAACGTTCTGCACACAACATCTGCCTCTGGACCGACAAACCGACTGACGCTTGCGCTCTCTGGGCCTCCTCTCTGGTCCCACTTGCGCCAAAGGTCAAATAACCATGTCGGGATCCACAAGAGTCTTCGGAATATTGTTGTCTTCTCTCGCGAGAAAGGCCCACTGACGGGACATATACCAATGAGCCCCATAACATGAGAAGGCAAGTCTGTTGCATGGCGGCCTTCCTTATTTGCGAGCCTGGCAGCAAGTGCAGTGCCCATGCTATGACCAATTAATACAACCCCCTGACCACGCTCCTTGTCGCGATAGCTATTGATGATCGTCTCTAGCAGCTCAGCTAGATGGCCTGTCTCGTAAGCTTCCCAGTCCCGGGGAGCGAATTCGGAACGACCACATCCTGGTAAGTCCACGGCCAAGCAGGATGCAACATTAACGAGACTGGTTAACAGAGGATGAAACTGGGCCACCGAACCGCCGAGGCCATGAATAAATACAAGCAATGGCAACGGGGCAGGGTCTTGAGGAAATTCATCTATCTTTGGGCGAGGTCGGAAGAATACACGGATTTTTGGATAAGTAAACCTGTTTGTTTTGTAAGGCCTTATCTCGGAGTTGTCCTTGAGCAATGGTGGATCTGTGATTTCGGCATCTAGGAGAGGATATTAGCAGATCGCCTTGTTTGGCAGGATCTATCCTGTCACGAAATTACGGACGCACCATAGGCCTGCGGCGGCTGAGCCATACGGAACTGGCGACAATCCGGTCTTCGAGATGATGTATCTCGAAGCACGTTAGTATCTTAAGATGGCCGGATAGTGTAAGAGAATATTTTCAAAAATTGAAGAAAGAATGCCAGGTATTTGTCATGTAACTCTTGTTCTGGCTCAACTCCAAAAAGTAACTGTCTTACTTGGCTGTGTTTGAGCGTTGGCAAGCTTTGTCTACTTTGGTGACTCCACGTAACAGAAATTGCAGCACTAGGCAAACGTGGCAAGAGCACTGCTACAAGGTCTAGCTCGATGCGACAATAGAATGATATGCCCTGCAATAATTCTTTTCGAAAGCACGACTTGAGAAACTGGGTCGCGACTTAACAGCGCCTTCACCACCCGGTCGGCCTCCGGAGAGGCAATAATGGGCTTCCTGTCAGCCGGAGTTTCGCAATCTGGTATGATCAAGCAATGAGCAGAACGAGAACATGAAGCTTTGGCGTGCGACGGAGGATTGACACATGAAACAGATGGAATAGAAATAATTGCGAGCTGATCCTTTGTTGATGAGCTCTCGGGGGGCCGGTACCCGGAGGAGCAGATGCCGTAACTTTAAACAATATTTCTTGAGAACGATGTCATAGCTTCCGTTGTCCAACGAATCGTCATGGCAGCCCAACGTGGGAAATGTGGCTCTGAAAAAGGCTGTGATTGGACTAGGACACGGCCAACCAATAGCTGTCGTGAACCCGCCAGGGGTTATAAGGCTGTACTCCATTCTTGGCCCCGCCAATTTCCGCCATTTGTGAAGAGATCAATCCACCGAGGAACAATTCCAGAAGTCTTCTATAGTCGGCTGTTGGCGAGATTGTCACGGTCCTTCTCATCGCGGTATGAGCGTGTTGGGCATATCGCCATTGCATATCGTTCCACGTGCTTGAGAGAAATCCAGCATTCTTCCTTGTCAAAACATGGAGGGGTTCCAAACTCCCACATTGGCCATTTGGTGAAGGTAAGCACATAGGTGATGATCTTTTCCTGGTCCTTAGAACCGCTAGTATCCGTGCTTTTGTCACACAAGCAAGGTGTACGTAGCAATCATACTTTTCGATTGGTTTCTTAGTTCCCCCTCCCCTATTTCGGGTTGAAGGGAATTTTGGAGCTTGGATCACTTCGAAGAGGACGCCTTTCAAAAGGTGAGTAAACCACGTGTGGTTGCAGCATCGGTGATAGGGCCATCTTGGTGGTCAAACGGAGTCGGTACCTCCCTTACCGTAGCTCGCCATTGTTCATCCATGCGACAACTCAACATAAGAAGCCCAACGTTGGTAGGAATAAGCGGACTGGTAGCTGAGCTGCACGGAAGGCGGGATTGAAAGTCTTGTAAGTTTCAGAACTATAGCGATTTCGACAATCGAGAATCCACTGTCATGTTTGCGCTTGGCTGTATGCAGTCCTCGGTGAACTACAGACTTTGGTACTGTGGCAGCACGGGGATGGTCAATTCTAAGCTTAGTGGATCGGTTTTGAGAGCTCCAAAAACGCCGACACTTTTTTTCTTTGGTCGATGACGTTCAAGCGAACTTCCAGCGTTGCTCAGCTCTGGAAGAGACGCACGCATAGCACTCGAACTACTCTGATAATGCCAATCCGCGTTCCACGGTGATACATACAATTGCCAAAAAATACTATGGCTTCTACATTACGAGTATGTCGCGCCGCTGGTGCATCTAGCTCTGCCCTGCGACAAGCCGCCCGCCGCCCGTCACAGCGCGCAGGCATTTCCACAGCAGTACGAGCACTGCGCCCAAGCTTACAGCAAAGCACAACGAGCATTTCTGCCCGTCAAACACCGACATCGTCGTCGTCGTCGTTTCACACAAGCTCACGGAGAGGTGCGGAGCGCGCAGATATGCCCGGCGGCAACCCGGCCGCCACATCGCTGGCACAACTCGACGTCCTCGCCAACACACCCGCGCCGTCGACGGCGGTCGACATCACCATGTCCTCGGGGTTCCAGCTCAACAACGGCACCCGGGTGACGGACGGCTCGGGCGTGCTCCTCGTGAGCGGCGAGGCCTTTGGGTGGAGGCCGTGGGATTTCTCCTCGTCGTCGCCTCCGACAAGATCACCGAAGACGAACTTCCGGCTCCTGAACAAGAAGGGCCAGTTCGACATCCACCCGGAAAGCCTGAATCTGCTGGCTCAGATATACCCGAGGCCAGATATCCTGGTCATGGGGCTGGGACAGGAAAACCGACCCCTGAGTCCGGAGCTCAGGAAGGCGATCAGCGCGATGGGCATACGTGTCGAGGTGTTGGATACGAGGAATGCGGCGGCACAGTTCAATCTGCTAGCAACAGAGAGGGGTGTCGACGATGTCGCGGCTGCGCTCATACCCATCGGCTGGGTCGAGGGCAAAGGCGCTGGAGAAGGTGACGAGGGAGACATGACGCATGAGTAAATCAAAGACATGTGTCAGGATGTGGCCAGCTCACTAACGAGTGGGCTACATGACGTCTGTACAAAATTGTATATAATGGATTTCCAACGTCACGTAAAACGTGTTGACGTGAATGGCGGCAGATCTACGGATAGCGGTTACGAGTGACTCTCTCTACTCGTTGAAGTGGTAGATATCTCAGCAACGGTACAAATCAGGCGACTGAGATTGCAACATGTGACAACGCAGTCCCCAACGAAGGGTTGCCCGTAATTCCCTACGAGGCATGATGGAATAGACAGGGTGCATCCCGTTGAAACAGACTTAAGATCATGGGACGTGTTGTGGAAAAACGTGCAGGAACCACGGTATTCCAGGCCGGACTATCACGGACCAACGTGTATAGGCACAAGAATCGCTGGGCCGCGTGTGGTAGGATGGGGCTTACAAGAACAATTTCACTTGTGCTCGAAAAGATGTGGTGTGATGTCCCAATGTCGATTATAGCATTCGGATCCTCTAGACACTCAAAGACGCCCTAGAAACAGCCGTGGAACTCTTTTTTGCAGATGCGGGTCCTTTGTACATGGAAATGCCCTGTCCCCAGATGAACACCTAAAGCAACGTAGACGACCCAAAATCATGCCACCATTTCATTCCCTTTTTGTCGTGAAAGTGTCCATTTATTTCTTGCCCTTGTTGGCGCCCTCCTGCTCCTTCAGCACCTTCTTGACGATCTTCTGCTCCTCGATCAGGAAAGCGCGGACGATGCGGTCGCGAACGCAGTTACCGCATCTGGAACCACCGTATGCGCGCTGGACAGTCTTCTTGGGGTGGGAGAGCTGAGCGTACTCGCGGGGTCGGAGGGCAGGGACCTGATTGTGGTATTAGTATGTGTCACACGGCGAAGAAAAAAAGCCATAATCCATGAGCGCGTAATCGAGGCATGTGCCGTTCATCCATCCGGTCACGAACCGGACTGCATGGTAGGTGCCGAGCGGCAGAACATGACCATGCTTCCTGGTTCGTGACCAGAGTGCACAATTCATTCAAGAATTGTCGCGGCCAAGCAAGGGTCGAATAGTTTGTCCTCGACGCTCATGGATTCATGGCTTTTCGGGTTATCGGAAACTTACACCGGGGAGCTTGGTACCGCAGTCACCGCACTTGGGAGCAGTTCCTCGCTTGTTGATGTGCAGGGCACGGAGCTCACCACCAGGGGTCTTGACAATTCTAAGGCAGAGTTAGCAGATTGTCGATTGAGCCAAGAAAACGGATGGACTTGCCTGGTGTTGTTTGATGTGGTGTTGTAACTAGAATCGCAATATTAGCCTCACTACTTTTTTTTCTTCTTCTCCCCATGCCATCGGTCTCCTCTGACGAGTTTCGAGCCGTGGGAAGGGTCGAGATCTGGGGAGGGCAGGAACAGCAGCGGATTCAAAAATCAAACGTACGGGTTGCGGCGGCGGTAGGTGACTCTGTTGTTCGGCATCTTGGCGGTATTGTCAGTGGTGAGACTGCTGTCGAGAGGTTGTCGGCGTTGGGTGGATGAATCTCGAAAATCGTTTTTGTCTGGTCTGCTCTTCCGGAAAATTGAACTTGTTGCCCGAATTTGCGAACATGATTGTGGGGGGTGTGCCGTTGATAATCCAGCCAATCAAGCGACGGACCGTGCAGGTTGTGGAGCTTGGAGGGGTTTCGCACCGCCACCTCTCGTGAGAGATAACCTTACGCCTCAACTTGACATGGTCAAGCCACAACTAAAGAGCTTGGGCCATTTTGCTGTGCGCCAGGGTGGGGACGCTGCTTGGTCCTCAGGTCACGTGCGGCTCAAGGCTGCTCCGTTCCATCAATAGCATCGCGACTTTCTCTACACTAACTAGCTCGGAACTTTTTTCGAGACGTGGGAGGCGACGGTTACTATCATCCACCTCAACGCAAAGTCCGCAAAGGTCATTGGCATCAACCTTTCGCGTGACCTCGACCACAACACACGAAGCAATCTATAATTCCATCCGGTGCTGCTACAGCGGGAAAGCCATTGATCTCATCTCGGACTGCGACCAATACTAATAGGTCCATCGCGACCGGCTCGCGGCGCGGAACCGACCAGTCAAACATACTGTCGAGCATCGCCGTCGTAGTCGTCGTCGCATACCGTGACTGTAAACATGTCCAACTTCCAGCCCCCTCCGCCTCCTCCAGGCTGGGGCCCTCCTCCTCCACCACCGCCTCCTCCAGGTCCTCCATCCGACGACTTCCTGCCGCCCCCTCCTGGAGCTCCCGCTCCTCCCCCACCAGGCTACCAACCGCCCACGAACCCGCAAATCGCCAAGTTCGCCCAGAAGAAGAAGGAATGGCTTCGCATGCAGAGGAATCGCTTTGGCGAGAAGCGCAAGAGCGGCTTCGTGGAGACACAAAAGGCCGACATGCCCCCCGAGCATCTGCGCAAGATCGTCAAGGACATTGGTGATGTCTCCCAGAAGAAGTACACAAGTGACAAGCGAAGCTATCTCGGCGCCTTGAAGTTCATGCCCCATGCTGTCATGAAGCTTCTCGAGAACATGCCCATGCCTTGGGAGTCTGCCCGCGATGTCAAGGTTCTGTACCACGTCAACGGTTGCTTGACCCTGGTGAACGAGATCCCCAGAGTCATCGAGCCCGTCTACCATGCCCAGTGGGCCACCATGTGGCTGACCATGCGGAAAGAGAAGAGCGATCGTCGGCTGTTCAAGCGCATGAGATTCCCGCCGTTTGACGACGAGGAGCCACCGCTGTCTTGGTCCGAGAACATCGAGGATGTGGAGCCGCTCGAGCCTATTCAGATGGAGTTAGACGAGGAGGAAGATGCCGCCGTCTATGAGTGGTTCTACGATCACAGACCACTGTTGGACACATCACACGTCAACGGCCCAAGCTACAAGACATGGAATATGAACCTCCAGCAAATGGCGGCTTTACATCGTCTAAGTCGGCCACTCTTGAGCGAGAACTACGACCCCAACTACTTCTACCTTTTCGAAATGAAGGGTTTCCTTACCGCCAAGGCACTGAATGTTGCTCTCCCTGGTGGCCCCAGGTTTGAACCCCTGTACAAGGACATTGATCCCAATGATGAAGACTTCGGCGAGTTCAACGCCATCGATAGGATCATCTTCCGGAACCCCATCCGGACTGAGTCGCGGGTCGCGTATCCATACTTGTACAACTCACTACCTCGCAGTGTTCACTTTAACTGGTTTTCACACCCCCAGGTCGTGTACACAAAGACGGAAGATCCTAGTTTGCCAGCGTTCCTCTTCGATCCCTCTATCAACCCCATTTCATCCCGCTCTGTGGCACCCAAGAACAGTGCCGTCAGTCATGAAGATGAGCTCTTCGGGCCAGGTAGTAACGAGGAACCCGAAGAAGATGCGTTTGAGCTTCCTGCTGGCGTCGAGCCGTTCTTGGCCGACGAAGAGTTGTACAATGAGGATACTTCTGCTGCCATCGGTCTTTGGTGGGCACCCTTCCCCTTTGACCGACGATCGGGCCGCATGGTTCGTGCTCAAGACGTGCCTCTTGTGAAGCAGTGGTACCTTGAGCATTGTCCTCCCAAGCAGCCTGTCAAAGTCAGGGTGTCCTACCAGAAGCTGCTCAAGACATATGTGTTGAATGAGTTGCACAAGAAGAAGCCAAAGGCTATCAACAAGCAAAACCTGCTCAAGAGCTTAAAACAGACCAAGTTCTTCCAACAGACCACCATCGACTGGGTTGAAGCAGGTCTTCAAGTCTGCCGACAGGGTTTCAACATGCTCAATCTCCTGATCCACCGCAAGAACCTGACGTATCTGCATCTTGACTACAACTTCAACTTGAAGCCCGTCAAGACGCTGACTACCAAGGAGCGAAAGAAGTCGCGTTTCGGAAATGCGTTCCATCTGATGCGTGAGATCTTGCGTCTTACCAAGCTCATCGTCGATGCACAAGTACAATACCGCCTTGGCAACATTGATGCTTTCCAGCTGGCTGATGGCATCCTGTACGCGTTCAATCATGTTGGCCAGCTGACTGGTATGTACAGATACAAGTACAAACTTATGCACCAGATCCGATCCTGTAAGGATTTGAAGCACTTGATCTACTACCGCTTCAACAGTGGCCCTGTTGGCAAGGGACCTGGTTGTGGTTTCTGGGCGCCTGCCTGGAGGGTGTGGCTGTTCTTCATGCGAGGTATCATACCCTTGCTTGAGAGATGGCTTGGAAACTTGCTATCCCGTCAATTCGAGGGTCGTCATAGTAAAGGAGTTGCCAAGACAGTCACGAAGCAGCGTGTTGAATCACACTACGATCTCGAATTGCGTGCTTCAGTCATGGCTGATCTCATGGACATGATGCCCGAGGGTATCAAGCAGAACAAGGTCAACACCATCTTGCAGCACCTTTCGGAAGCCTGGAGATGCTGGAAGAGTAACATCCCCTGGAAGGTCCCTGGCCTGCCTGCACCGATCGAGAACATCATTCTGCGTTACGTCAAGTCGAAGGCTGATTGGTGGATCTCGGTCGCCCACTACAATCGCGAGAGAATTAGAAGAGGTGCCACGGTTGACAAGACCGTCGCGAAGAAGAATGTCGGTCGCCTGACCCGTCTCTGGTTGAAGGCTGAGCAAGAACGTCAGCACAACTACCTGAAGGATGGTCCCTACGTGTCGTCTGAGGAGGCTGTCGCTATCTACACAACCACAGTGCATTGGCTAGAGTCCCGAAAGTTTACCCCCATCCCCTTCCCTAGTGTCTCCTACAAGCACGATACCAAGATCTTGATTCTTGCCCTTGAAAGATTACGCGAAGCCTACTCTGTCAAGGGACGTCTCAACCAGAGCCAACGTGAGGAGCTTGCTCTGATCGAGCAGGCGTATGATAGCCCAGGTACGACTTTGGAGCGCATTAAGCGTTTCCTTCTTACTCAGCGGGCCTTCAAAGAGGTGCAGATTGACATGAACGACAATTACAACACAATCAATCCTGTATATGACATCGAGCCGATTGAAAAGATCAGTGACGCATACCTTGATCAGTACCTCTGGTACCAAGCTGACCAGCGACACTTGTTCCCTGCATGGATCAAGCCATCAGACTCCGAAGTACCACCACTACTGGTGTACAAGTGGGCTCAGGGCATCAACAATCTGGACAGGGTATGGGAAACAGCAGATGGCGAGTGCAATGTCATGATTGAGACCGAATTGTCCAAAGTCTACGAAAAGATCGATCTGACCCTGCTGAATCGTCTTCTGAGATTAATCATGGACCACAACCTCGCAGACTACATCAGTGCCAAGAACAATGTCCAACTAACTTACAAGGACATGAACCATGTCAATAGTTACGGTATGATTCGTGGTCTTCAGTTCTCCGGTTTTGTCTTCCAGTACTATGGTCTCGTCCTGGATCTCCTGCTTCTGGGTCTGAACAGAGCCAGCGAGATCGCTGGTCCTCCCAACAGCCCGAACGACTTCCTGCAATTCCGTGACCAGGACACCGAGACCAAACACCCCATTCGTCTGTATACTCGATACGTCGACAAGATCTGGGTGTTCCTTCGATTCACTGCGGAAGAGTCCAGAGATCTTATTCAGAGGTTCCTGACCGAGCAACCGGATCCCAACTTCGAAAACGTCATCGGCTACAAGAGCAAGAAGTGCTGGCCACGTGACTCGAGAATGCGCCTAATGAGACACGATGTCAACCTTGGTCGGGCTGTATTCTGGGACTTGAAGAATCGATTGCCTCGATCTGTTACCACCATTGAATGGGATGACACTTTCGCTAGTGTCTACAGCAGAGACAACCCAAATCTCCTGTTCTCGATGTGTGGGTTCGAGGTTCGCGTGCTGCCAAAGATCAGAAACCAGAATGATGAGTTCCCGATTAAGGACAGCGTCTGGTCTCTTGTGAACAACACGACCAAGGAGCGCACGGCGCACGCCTTCCTTCAAGTGACAGAAGAGGATATCCAGAAGTTCAACAACCGTATCCGACAGATTCTCATGTCATCTGGTTCCACTACTTTCACCAAGATCGCCAACAAGTGGAACACAGCTCTGATTGCTTTGTTCACGTACTATCGTGAAGCAGCCGTGTCGACTGTCAACCTCCTTGATACCATCGTCAAATGTGAGACCAAAATCCAGACAAGAGTCAAGATTGGTCTCAACTCCAAGATGCCTTCCCGTTTCCCGCCCGCTGTCTTTTACACGCCAAAGGAGCTTGGTGGTCTCGGTATGATCTCTGGGTCGCACATTTTGATCCCAGCCAGCGACAAGAGGTGGTCTAAGCAGACTGATGTTGGTGTCACGCACTACCGTGCTGGTATGACGCATGACGAAGAGACACTCATTCCCAACATCTTCCGATATATTATCCCTTGGGAGGCTGAGTTCATTGACTCTCAGCGTGTCTGGACTGAGTATTCTCAGAAGCGACTGGAAGCCAACAACCAGAACCGTCGCCTGACTCTCGAGGATCTCGAGGACAGCTGGGACCGTGGTCTCCCTCGTATTAACACCTTGTTCCAAAAGGACCGAAGCACCCTCAGCTTTGACAAAGGTTTCCGTTTACGAAGCGAATTCAAGATATACCAGCTGATGAAGAGCAACCCGTTTTGGTGGACAAGTCAGCGACACGATGGAAAGTTGTGGAACCTCAACGCCTACCGAACCGATGTCATTCAAGCCCTTGGTGGTGTCGAAACGATTTTGGAGCACACCTTGTTCAAGGCAACCGGATTCCCATCCTGGGAGGGTCTTTTCTGGGAGAAAGCGTACGTGTTTATCCCAATAATCCCAACAGCCAATGGTTGGAAGAAGATGCTAACTTATCTGTGATCAATAGGAGCGGTTTCGAGGAGTCGATGAAATTCAAAAAGCTTACTAATGCCCAAAGATCCGGTCTGAACCAGATCCCCAACCGTCGTTTCACTCTTTGGTGGTCACCCACAATCAATCGAGCCAACGTCTATGTTGGTTTCCAGGTCCAGCTTGATCTTACCGGTATTTTCTTGCACGGAAAGATCCCAACTCTGAAGATCTCGCTCATCCAGATCTTCCGTGCTCATTTGTGGCAGAAAAGTAAGTCTTCACACCATGCCAGATCTTGTCTGTTTCGAAGAGAAAGCTAACGTGTTCTTGCAACCAGTCCATGAGTCTGTTGTCATGGATCTTTGCCAGGTGTTCGACCAAGAACTTGAGTCTTTAGGTATCGAGACAGTGCAAAAGGAAACCATCCATCCGAGAAAGTCGTACAAGATGAACAGTTCCTGCGCCGACATCTTGCTCTTCGCCAGCAACAAGTGGAATGTCACAAAACCTTCGCTTCTTTATGACACGAAGGACACCATCGAGCCCATCACTACGAACAAGTTCTGGCTCGACGTGCAACTGAGATATGGTGATTACGACTCTCATGATATTGAGCGTTACACACGTGCCAAGTATCTCGACTACACAAACGACAGCATGAGTATCTACCCATCGCCCACCGGTCTCATGATTGGTATCGATCTGGCATACAACTTGTACTCGGCTTATGGTCAATACTTCCCCGGTCTGAAGGTCCTGGTACAACAGGCCATGGCCAAGATCATGAAGGCTAACCCTGCCCTGTACGTCCTACGTGAGCGTATCCGAAAGGGTCTGCAGCTCTATGCATCCGAGAGCAACCAGGAGTTCCTGAACTCGCAGAATTACTCGGAGCTCTTCAGCAACCAGACGAAGCTCTTCATCGATGACACCAATGTGTATCGTGTCACCATCCACAAGACCTTCGAAGGTAACCTGACAACCAAGCCTATCAATGGCGCCATCTTCATCTTCAACCCCAGAACAGGTCAACTGTTCTTGAAGATCATTCACACTAGTGTTTGGGCGGGTCAGAAGCGTCTTGGTCAGTTGGCCAAGTGGAAGACCGCCGAAGAAGTAGCTGCGCTTATTCGGTCACTGCCAGTGGAGGAGCAGCCGAAGGAGCTCATCGTTACCCGTAAGGGTCTGTTGGATCCTCTCGAGGTGCATTTGCTCGACTTCCCCAACATCTCAATTCGTGCCTCTGAATTGCAGCTTCCTTTCCAGGCTGCGATGAAGGTCGAGAAGCTTGGAGACATGATCTTACGCGCCACTGAGCCGCAAATGGTGCTGTTCAACCTCTACGATGAGTGGCTCAAGAGCATCTCTTCATACACCGCATTCTCCCGTTTGGTGCTGATACTACGTGCACTCCATGTTAACCCAGATAAGACCAAGCTCGTTCTTCGTCCAGACAAGACTGTCATCACACAGGAACATCACATCTGGCCTACCTTATCCGACGAAGACTGGATCAAGGTAGAAACGCAGTTGCGCGATTTGATCTTGCATGACTATGGAAAGAAAAACAATGTCAATGTCTCGAGTTTGACGAGCAGTGAAGTCCGAGACATTATCCTCGGTATGGAAATCTCGGCACCGTCGTTGCAGAGACAGCAGGCTGCAGAGATTGAGCAGCAGCAGCAAGAACAGGCTCAACTCACTGCCGTTACTACAAAGACGCAAAACGTTCGAGGCGAGGAAATCATTGTCACGACAACATCCCAGTTCGAGCAGCAGACGTTTGCTTCAAAAACCGAATGGCGAACCCGTGCCATTGCGACATCGAACTTGCGCACGCGATCGAACAACCTCTACGTCTCACCCGTTGATAATGACAATGATGATACCACATACATTATGCCCAGCAATATTCTGAAGAAGTTCATCACCATTGCCGACCTTCGAGTGCAAGTCGCAGGTTACCTATATGGTGCATCTGCACCTGACACAGACGATAAGGTCAAGGAGATTCGCTGCATTGTTATGGTTCCACAAGTCGGTGGTTTGCGCAATGTGACCCTGCCCCAACAGCTCCCGTCCCACGAGTATCTGAAGGATATGGAGCCATTGGGTGTAATCCACACCATTGCGGGCAACGAGTTACCGTACATGTCTGCGGCCGACGTGACTGAGCACGCGCGCTTGTTGGATCAGCAGTCCTCCATCAGCAAGACTTCCTCAATCACAGTGGACGTGTTTTTCACACCGGGTTCCGTGTCGCTTTCTGCATGGAGCTTGACCCCCGACGGTTTCTCGTGGGGTGCTGAGAACAAGGATTTGGGCAGCGATCAGCCCCAGGGCTTCTCAACAAGCATGGGTGTTAAGAAGCAGCTGCTGCTCAGTCCCAAGTACAAGGGTTTCTTCCTAGTGCCCGAGAATGGCAAGTGGAACTACAGCTTCATGGGCGCTGGATTTGACGCGCTGTTGAAGAAGAAGGTCGATGTCAAGCTCGATACTCCTATCGGTTTCTACGCGGATGTACACCGACCGCTACACTTCCAGAACTTTGCTGAGCTTGAGGAGGTCGGTGTTGATCGAGAGGATCAATTCGCATAGGCAAATCATGGGTTGCAAAGCGAGAGATAAAGCCAGAGTGTATTGGACAACGAGTAAACGGGAGAAAATGAGACGAAGCTTAATGGAAATTAGGAACTAGCTTACGAGCTCATTGGAGGCGTTTGGGAGTTTGCAATCTCATCATTAAGCATGGCATGTAAAAGGAGATTGGTGTTTTGCAACCTCAAAGACTTGTCGTTGTCCAAAGCAACAAAGTGTATTTTGAATAACTATGTAAAATCAGTAAAATTAGCTCCAGACCGGAAAGAAGACTCCTATATCTTGAAAGCTTGGTGTTTTGGTCATAAGCAGGAGGGGCTTCACATAGGGTCAAAGTTAGTTGTTCACATGTGGTATTCATAAATCCATTGCGAGGGCAAGCATAATCTACAGCTATCAGCATAACGCAGGATGTAGCAATAGTGATTGAACCATAAAAAGTCCACGCTCCAACCTGCTCGTGGGTTGCCACCAGATCCGGCTCAGTCTTTTGGTGCTTTGCTGAGCCCAGCTTGGCCTCGTTCGAAATGCTCTCGGGCTTGGGGATGCGCTTGGTATTAATCGCTGCAGTCTTCCGAGTGCCTCGGTGATCCGCCTGGTGGCGAGTGAGCTCGCAGACCATGTCGGTGTAATCGATCCGGTGCCGGGCATGGTGCGCCTCGACCTCGGCCGAGCGTTTGGGAGCGGCCGCGGGCTTTGCCGGCGAAGATGAACGGGACGCGCTGACGGCGGTGCTGGGCTGGGAGGCATAGCTCGCGGTGCTGGACAGCTTGCAGTGGCGCGGGCGCTGCGGGGCCGTTTGTTTCGGTGCGGAAATAGGAGTACCAGCGCCGGCACGGCTGGCGGATTGTAAACCCACCTTGCTGAAGTACTCGACCCGACTTGTGGCGGCGTGGGCTGCGGATGTGTCGACATGTTTCTCTCGTTGCTGTTGCTTGCTTGAATAATGCTGCTAAGAAGGTCGGGGGTGGATGAATCTCTCGGGGTTCGTTTAGGTCCCTGGGCGATAAAACACGATCGTCCTCATGATGGCCAGGTATCTCAGGACGGCCACGACGGTCTTCAACTGCATGCCAACCCTGCCTGGTGCGGCGGGCAGATGACCTGGCAGCGCTCTCTTGGACGGACCACTTCCTCTCGGGCTATCGTCGACAGAGCGCACCCCTGGATGCGGAACAACAGGTGACCTGACCGGCTCTGGGTGCTGATGCTGCTCAGGCTCACGGTAGATAACTACGAGGACATCGACGAAGCCATTCAAGCCCCGCGTGCAGATCATCTCGAGCTGGCGGCGGCATTGGGTCGGACCTGTGTTCTGGAGTCAGGTGATCGGGACGATAGTGTTGATGTCGCGATCAGGGACGTGGGCCCCGAGGATCGCGATGCGCCGTAGATGTGCAAACCAAACGCATGACATTGTACCTTAAGCAAGATAGCGGCAAGTCCAGGAGCTACAGAGGCTAAATCGAGCATTTACTGGTGTATTTAACTCAACATGTCCCTGGTGGGTGCTTTTCAGCGATAATTACTCTTTGCAGATCCACAGTTCAGTTCCAGCTCTGTATTCATTTTTGCAAGATCCTTATCCGTTGAGTTTGAAGAAGAAAAAGAAGCAGTCAGAGTTCCAGCGTTAGTACTTTGAGATCCCATGTTGGTAAGAAATATTCATGACTGTCCGATTACAAATGAAGTTGTCAAAAAGCGTTACGAGTTCCCACAATGAATCCATGATACGGTATTAGGTATCTGGGATACCGGATCGGGATATATAATGACGGCAGGGGTGTGTCCGTCGCGTCGCAGTTTCCCAAGCGATCATCGAACTCAAGGCGTGCACAAATGTCAAGCGAGTTAACAAGGATGAAAGAACCAGATGCACTAATAGTTGTATCCAACGATGCTTTGGAAACGTAAGAGAATAGGCACATTGGAGGGTTTATAGGAATACGGCTTGCTGGCTTGTCAATAGTATTTATTTGTGATCACATGCTACTACCGTTTGCGTTTACCTACATTATGAAGAGCCAAGAATATTAATTTGACTGAGGAAGTATAGATCATTACTGAAAAAGAAAAAAAGTGGCATAGGGTAGATTAACGATCTTGAGTAGATGGACTGCCATGGTTTATAGGATGGAACCATGTTATTCTTGTAGCTATTGGCCACCTTCTTTCTAGCTTTTAGTCGATCTGCATAATGAAGCACATGCGCAGAGCACTGTTTGTGATTTATAGATGGCCATGTGACCAGAGACGGCCAACCGCAACATACTTCACCATTTAATCCTCAACATTATCTTCCCCACTAACTTCGTACACAATTATTTGACGTGATGAAATGACATTGCCTGTCTCCATAAGAAGGCAGCGATGTGGAGCGACCGTGACGTGTCCGAGTATCTTCGCACTGTGTATAGCACGCACTGTGCTGCCGCCCAAACGCGTCGCCCCATTCCCCCCACCACATCCCGTCTTTCCACACAGCAGTATCTTAGGTTTAACATATTGGTATACCAGACCGAAGTCCTGACTATGTTAAAAGCCAACAATGACGCCTTCGTCACTGTTCCATACCCCAATCGTCAGTCCCAAAGTGTTGTCAATAAGCTTGGGCAGAAGCTTTTCAATATCAGCACACCCTATGGCTAGCCGCCAGAGTACTCCAGATTGGTTGCAGCGAATACTGGACGACAGCTCAGCTCCTCCAAAGCTGTACTCTTGGACTTCTGCAAACCTGAGCAAGGAACGTGCCAATCAAGCAGTCCCCAAGACTCAAGAGAACAGCCCAAAAAAGCCGTCCAGGGATAGAATTCATGTTCTAGGTATAGGCAATATGGGGCGCTTGTTCGCCAGCAGCCTAGCTAAGCTGCCGTCCAGGCCACCCATCACGTTGGTCTTGCATCGAAAGGCACTCCTGGAGCAGTGGGTTTCTTCTCCAGGCATTGAGATCACCCGCTCTGGTGAAGTCCAAAAATCTACGGACTTTGATGTGGAGTGGTGGACTGATGAGAAACCTCATAGTGGACCGGTGATCGAAGCTACGAGCGGCACTGGTATCACCAATCTCATTGTGGCTACCAAGGCATCTGACGCTTTGCCCCTGGTGGATAGATTGCGGAGATACTTGGACGACAGCTCAACAGTAGCTTTTACACAAAACGGAATGTGCAAGATGTGGCCGCCGGTCGGAGATATCTATACTGGCCATCGCTTTTCGAAAGACAAAGGGCCCAACTGGATCGCATGCATCACCACACACGGAGTTGTATCTCTGGCCCCGTTTAGAAGCAGACATGCTTCAGTGGCTGACGTGTTAGTCGGACCAGTGTCCCTGAATGCTCAGACTGGGAGCAGTTCAAATTATCTGACTGATCAGATCGTCAACGGTCCAGACCTATATGGCAGAAAGGTCTCCAAGTCAGATCTGTGGGTATCGCAACTGAAAAAACTTGTGGTGAATTCTGTCATCAATCCATTGACCGCGCTTCTGAGATGTAGGAACGGAGATCTGTTCTTGTCAACGGATGACGAGGTAGCGCGGGTTATTGATATGCTCATTCTAGAAGCAAGTGAAGTCCTAAAAGCATTGATTGCGCATTCATCAAGTGCCGAGATTCTGGAAATTACCAATGTCGAGCACAAGTACGATCCAGACAGTCAGCAGACGAATGCCACCATGGATAAACTTCATGATCAGTTCTCATTTGATAATCTCCGCAAGATGGTCTACGATGTGGGTCACAAAGTCAGAGAAAATACCAGTTCAATGCTTCAAGACGTACGTGCAGGCAAGCCCACTGAGATCAGGGACTTCAATGGCTGGCTCGTGGAAACTGGGGAATTGCTGAATGAGGGCCTCGATCTGCCGAGCCACAAAAGACTCATCGGCATGGTAGAAAACGGGCTTACACTATCACGCGAAGAGCTAGGCGACCGTTTCGGGATCACTGATGGGCAGACGCCCTGAACCATAGAAGACTTTCACTGGGTCCGCCATACATCAGTCACAAGTCCAAGCAGACAGCAATGACGATTGATTGGCTCCACGTGGAATCATGAATTGTCACGGCTTGGTCTATCGTCTCGGTACCATTCATTTTTCTCGATTAGGGTGCACTGGGTTGCATCGAATTCCGCACCTGAACCAAAATGGCAAATCAGTGGTTATATCAGAGAGTATTATTGATCCGGGTAGTGGCGTTTTGGCGCCGCATCCACTCATTCAATCATATCTCCCAGCATGTTGTCAGCGAGCCTTTTGTTTTAAAACGACATGGAGATTAGAGCGGTCTGGAAGAGTTTCAAGAAGTTGTGTCGGGCGTCTCATGGCCAGAATGGCGTGGGCGGCCGTGACTGTTTCCGCGCCGAGAAAGACTGGTGTTATAGTTAATTATGGGGTTGTTGTTTGTTTGTATGAGGAAGCTGTTGCGTGATCCGGGTACCACCAGCTTCTCATCCGCCGCAGGGCTATCGCTGCAATCGATCATATGCTTGAGCCAACACTTATCACCCAGTGCTATGGCCTTTGTGCAAGGTTGATACTCCACTGCGAGCCTAAATAGGTCCCCCCGAAGCGAAGCATCTTGCGTCAAAGTTAAAACATCATTCTGGACTATGAGCTGCACACTTTTGACCTATCGTCGGCGATATCGGTACAGGCCAGGAAAGCAAGCATCCCAATGTATTAAGCGAGGCACGCAGTCAGCCCCAATTGTCTGAGGGCATAGGGGATTAGGTTGCAAAACTGACCTCGCAAGCAGCATTCAAGCCATTGTCTTGCTGTTCCCTGCCATCACGGTGGGCGATAGCTGGTCTCCCATCGATAGTTCCGACAGCTGATGGTGCGACTTGGTATCAAGTTTAGAACGACGACGTGCCTGCCCCTTCCAACCGCCTCAAAAAGGGCGATTATCGTGACTTGCAAAGACAAAAACAAATGCCCATGGCAACTTTGCAGTCCATAAAAACAGCCCTTGTTCCGTGACCGCATCGAACCGACTGGTGCGGTCGCAACACCGATGGACCCACGGCCTTTCAAAAAGGCTGTTCTTAAAAATCTCCGATTGGGCATTACCACTATGGGTAAGCAAGACGGGCAGATCTCGCTTGACATGCCGGGGCAAAGCATCGTTACTGTGGATTATGAAAACAGCAACAAAGCCGACTTAAAACTTGATTTTCACGGCCCTTCTTGTTGGTTCCATTTTGAGCCAGCAGTAGGTAACTTAACAGAGTGCAGCGCAAGCGAGCTCTCGCCCTAAGCGAGCTCTCAGCTTTGTACACGGCTGGTGGCCAGGAACGGTCACTCCTTCATGGACCGGAGAATTGCAAATGGAAAACCCAGCATGATCCGAGGACTGACCCCTATGCTATGATTTAGTGATGGATGCACTCTTGATGCGTGGCTTTGAGATGCGCTCCTCGAGACTCACCGACGAAGCGCATGTCCTGCAATGAGCGGCGGATACAACAACGTCAGCGGGTATGGTGTTAAAACAGGTGCATCAGAAGGCCCCCTGTGTGATGAATTCGTTATTCTCCTAGGGCGCTGGATGACCCCACTACGGGCGACTTGTAGGGGGCTAGTCTAGGCCTTGGGCTCAAAACCCCCCCACTGACGAGAAAGCCGCTCGATGACACGCAAAGAAACTCATGAGAAGCAAACAGGCCCACATCGAGATGGTTACATTGGATCTGTGACTCGATGCATTTCAAATTGACTGGCTTTAGCAAAAGTCCGTGCCGGCAGCCGCCGCCGCGACTGATACGGAACATTTTGCGGGATCCGTGGCTGAAGGAGGCTCAACCCTGGCCCTGGCTGCAGTACCTTTGGCGAGATGTGGGGTGCACTCGGCCGGATCGTTGTGCTGTGAGACGGAGGCTGGCATCTACACGCGAAGCGACGCTCCGACGTTGCATTTGTGGCTTCAAGTGCAGCGTCTGCATATCTATTGGCAACCACAAGCGACCTCGTCGATAACGCATCTTACGATGGCGCTGAATGCGTTGCGTACGAGCAGCGCCGGTTTGACCGCTATCGCGCTGCTGTCTACATGATGACCGGCTGTGTGTCACGAAGCGCGTCACAATTATTGCATGATATGCGCCTCTTTCACCAGCTGCCAATTCACGATCCTGTCACATGCTTGTTTCGAGTCCTCAAAACCATTGCCAATGAAACCCACAACGCCTAGGTATATATCCGAATACTTCAAGGTAGAAAGAAGTTGTGGTCAGCACGTGCATCCCCATGTTTCGGACATTTTTCATGTCAGACTCCCACAGTCGAGTCAGGATGGTGGGGTGAATCCCTGGATGATGTCCATCATCCAGGGTCGGCAAACCTGCTCTTCTGCCACAATCCTGGTATCAACTAACGCCTTGAGCGGGTTAAGTTCTAGCAGCAGAAACAAACCCGAACGGAAATAGCGAATCCCAGCAGATGCTCATCACCAAGTAGGGTGTGTTTTACAAGATATTCCTTCACCGCAACACTTGCCCGTGTGGGACAGTACTGGCGTCAATGCCTACCAGATAGATAGCCATTGTTGCCCTGCTATATCTCCGACCGGGAACGTCCTACTATAGTGTAAGCCGGGAACTAGACCAGTGGAGGTGCTTACCAGTCCATCATTGCATTGCCTGGTCCCTGTCACGGCACATTGCGAGAGATCATCTCGGTAGATTAGAGCACTTACCAGGCCTACTGACTACCCGCATCAAGCGATGTATCCCATCACCAGTCTTTGTTTTCTCCCAGGATCGGATTGCCCTATGCAGGTCTGCCTGTTACCTACCACAGTACCGCTAGGGTGTATCGATCTTTCATGTCGCATGGCCTGGGTAATCGAGGGATAGTACTCTTCTACACTATTCGGCCTATTGTTGACAAAGTGCCGACGGGTGACTGCATGCTGGGCTTGGGAGAAACCATCCATTCATGACTTGCGTACCTTTGCAAGCGAGCTTTGGTGGCGGGCGTGGTGGCGAAATGGCGGACTACGTTCCTGGCACCCAGGGAGCTTATTATCAATATCAAACCAAAATCATTGTTGGGAGACGATTTTTAATCATGGAATGGGCAAAGGTCGAATGGGAAGATACGAGATGGCGAATCGATCTTCAACAAGTGTGCTTCTATGTTTAAACATTTCCCCCTTGTGTTTCTTCATGTCGTGCTGATCTCATGGGCTGTGTTAATGTTCAATCCCTGTGTTGTCCGTCTCTGATCGCGACCAGAGGAACATTGCCAGATCGGATTAGCAATCGTAGCCACCGCAGTTTACCGCGGCTCTGAAGAACCAGTTCGAGTGAATAATTAATAAGCTTGGTAGCAATATACATGTCCTGCATTTGTTTTTATCCTAACATCGATCATATCCATCCAATCATGATTCCACATCTGCTTTCTGTATCTTAATCCTTGCCACTCGATCGTCTGATCACCTTCCCTACCAGCCACCCATCATTCTTCTAAGTATGCGTCAATGGGGCGATGCGCTCTCGCAACACCCGCTATTAGGGTATCATCTCGTTGTCGTCGTCCATTTTTTTTTCTTCCACAAAGAAAAGAAAAAATACAGAAAAAAGGAGGGATTATTACAAGTACTAGGAAAGTAGTGACCTTTTGTGGATGCTGTCGCCATGTAAACAAATGATATGTACTATGCGTGAAGAAAGGAACAAAAAAACAAAAACAAAACAAAAAAGCCTGGTAAAAGCAAACATGTGCTATCTTTCCCCTCCCGAATCTATGTATCGTTAGAACATAAGACCGCCGTGGTCATTGGTATCTCTAGGCAAAATTAAATAGTAGTTGCCCGCTCTTAACCAGAGAGCGGCGCAGGCAAGGGCAATGCAACCTCCTTATGAGCATCATCGTCATAAAAGGGCATAAATGGGGGGGTTTTTTTTTTTCCTTCCTCGAGTCGTCTTCTTTTCGGGGTCCCGGCGCCTCGCCACACTTTGAATCGCAGGAGAAAATAACCAGATAGCTATTGCTTGCAAACTTATAACAGTCCCGTACCTCCAGGACCTTTTCGCATCCCAAGGTCAGGCCGATGTGTGGTAATTTGACTGTGGCACATCGCTGTTGTCGTCGTGCCGGTATTGCTGGTGTGTAGGTGGTATCTGGGAGCCTCCTAAACCCAGGTGCTGAGGATAGATAGTGTCTGATGACCCGGGACCTGAAACTGCCGTCGGAGACGCTGATTGCGATAGATTCTCTTCTTCATCAGTGCCCCCTTCGAGTTGTTGGATTCTTTCGCGACATGCCACCGGAGTAAATCCAGTCCCCATTTTGTTAGCCACGATGCGCCACTTCTCGCTTTCGTAGTCGGCCAATGCGGCTCGTAGTTTTTGATCCTGAAGATGTACGAGTTAGTTGCTTGCCCACGTGGCAAATCAAGCATTGGTTTGAATGTTGTAGAAGGGTGCTCACCGTTTCGTCTGTCCACTGCGTCGTCTTTGCTTTTAGCTTTGTGCAATAACGGACCTGCAACGTCCCAGAAGACCGCCCGGGGAAGAAATCAGCGATCTGCTTCCAAGTCAAGTTCTTGTTCTCCTTCAGATCGATCAGCAACTGATCATCTTCGGGTGTGAACTTGAGCTTCGGCCCCCTTGGTCTGGCGGCGGGCTGCGGCATTCCAACTTGGCCGACCACGCTCGGTGCCCCTCCTCCACTCGCAGGCAAGCTTCCTTCCCCGTCGCGCCTCATCATCTTCGTCGGCGGGCCTTGGTCAGGGAGGCGATGGTGATGATGTGTTGGGGGTGCGCTGGAAGCTTGAGCATACGCAGCGCCCAGCGGTGTCTGCTGCATGGACTCCAAATCCCCTTGGTCCAGGTCAGGCATGCCAGGAAGTGAGAGATCTAGGTCGTCTGGTCGACTGCGCTTCGTTCCGGCACTATGCGGCTGCGTAGGTGTCAGGGACGGGTACAAAGGGACGCCATGCGATGCTCCAGGAGCGCCATAATGTGAAGGTCCCGGATGTCCCATGTGTCTGGCTCCTGGCAGACCTCCCATATGCGACGGATCCATCAGGATCTGATGGTGGTGAGGGGTATGATGCTGCGACATCGTGTGATGCGAATGCGACTGCGGTGGCTCGTGTAAGCCACCGGATGACGGATGATGAAGTTGATTCCCCCGATGATGGTGGTGAGTATCGTAAGCGTGTTGCGACTGGTTCTGTTCGCCTGGATGCGATCCCTGGGGAGAGTAGTCGACATTGTAGTCCCCTACTCGATAGTTGCCTGCCAGCGTGTCTCCAATACATGGGTCCCGCCAGAGCGAACCGCTCTGGACGGTCGCCGGACTCTGGACGGAAAGTATTTGACGAAAAGGACCCCCTCGGGCCTGCTGTTGCGGCGAAGGCTGCGGAGTGGGAGGACCTGCGTTGCGTGAGGCGAAAATCGTGCCCGTCTTGCCTGACTACCGTGGAATCACGAATAGGCGGGGCTCTTACTTGTCGAAGAGCCCGGCACATGTGTTGGTGTGGTAGTTACCGTTAGTGTGCTATTCCGATTTGCAGTAGCGGTAAGCAAGGCTGGTTGTATCCGTGTAAGATGTGGCTATTGAGCAGATCGCGGGTCGACGTTCGAAGTGATCAAAAACTTATGTCCAGGTGAACAACGCCCACTTTAAGAATACAATGTAACCCTGACCACCTGTCGTATGGGAATCCTTTCCAAGTTTTAGTTTCCTTAGCCGGACTAATATATCATGGCAAGAGTCAGATGGAGGGATCAGTAGTAGAGGACATGAACCGCATTATATCGTCTGATCTGCCTTATCGTCACGTCCCTTGACAAGGGCGATGCTGGGAACCGACGGACGGGTACCTTGACTACTTCTCTTTTTGTCCAGAAGTTAAAGCGTTCTGCTATGTGTAACACGAATGAGGGTATCGTTCCTGAGCGGGTGTGGAGAACCCGTTACCTTGTCTAGCGATGACGGTGGCATAAATTGAGGATCTTATGCCATGGTCTGCTTGCCGGTTATAGAAATGAGACCCTGGCCCGGGGAATGATGCAACTGGGGCGAGGACAGCCACAACGGACCATGCCTGTCATACAGGGTTCCCAGGAGAACAAATTTCATAAGCTTCTAAGACCCTAGGTAACTCTGACTTAAAGAGGGTCCTGGGTGGGTGGGCTGTAACCAAAGAGTGGGAGATCCAGGAGACGGATAGAGAGCTACACAGAATTGAATAGCCAAATGGAAATAGAAGCTGAAACATGCCCTAATATGCAATTGGGCAAGAGGTTGGCACTGAAGACTCGCGGTGTGGCCCATGGTGTTGGGGAGCACTCTATCCAAGAAGGCTAATGCACTTGCAAGTCTCTCTCTTTGGGGAGTTGTGATGCCGACGAGTCTGTCATGTGCGATTGGTTCCTGCTGACATGCGGAACCTCAGTCAAAGGCCTTGAAGAAACAGTTGGGCAGGGAATTTTGTCTCCTCGTGACTCCACTTTGAGGGGCCTATATTCAACTGGGGTGCCCTATATTAAGGAGTTAAAGCTTGCGATCCTGGCACCCCATAGGGCGGGTTTGTGACTGGGGTCGGTAGCAGCCACAGAGTGATACCGTGAGGGTAAAAGGGACAATGCCGATGAAAGCAGGGGGTAGACTGTGTAAGGATCGATGGCTTTCAAGCCACGTCTGTACACGACAGTGTTGCGTTGACTATTCGAACGCGTCTCCGTAGTTGTTCTGCAGCTTTTTGACATCCACTTCCAGCTGACTTGCCCAGTTGGCAAGTGATAAGCTCTTACACATTGTGGACTGGGGGTTACTTCATACTGTCGGAGTCAGGCACGACGGTGTATCATGAATTTCTGAAAGGCCCTGTTGAGAAGCTGTACAGTGTAGTGGGATATCCCTTGTGGGTGCAGGTAGCATGGTTGAGAAGGCTGACACAGTGCAAGTCTCTTGCGAAACGAGACTAGGCACTTCAGATCCAGTCAATCTTTCGGCGCGGCTGATGAAATAACAACCCATCCACTCGAAGACGCTGCGATACGACATGTGCAGTACGGTGCGACTGGTGATTCAGCAACTCACGGCCGTTTGAGGTATCGTGGGTATAGTTCCATATTTGCTTGTAATGCGGTAGAGCAGCCATTGGGTACATAGTACAATGTACAGACGCGAGCGAAAGTACCCTTGCTGCGGGACATTGCTCGACTCAATGCAAGCACGTGGCTGATATTCAGTGGAAAGACGAACATGCGCTTGCAAACGCGGTGCAAACGGAAAGGAAAGAAGACAAAACTGGTGCGGCATGTCCGCAAGGTGGTGGTGGGCAATTATGGGGGTTCAGGGATGCGCATGAACAAAACGTGTTTCAACGTACCCAGGTAATTAAAAGATCAATTATGCTGCATGAAGAGGTTCCTCAGCTTCTAGAAAAGTTGAAATTGCTTCTAGCGCTGCTTAGGACTCTCTGCGGCTCCGCCACGACCTTGCGTAAAGTGATCTCCATGATGAATGAGGATGATGATAGTGATGATGCATGTTGAGCAGGTATGCTGTGGTGAGGTACGGATACAGTATGGAGAAACGAGCATGACTGGCTCGAGGGAGATTTGACAGCTGGGGTAATTCGATCGGCGGCGCCAATCGCGACGGACTGCGCTATCCAGCCCTGCCTTTTCCAGCTTAACTTCAAGATGCATAAGAATTGATGCTTAAGGCCAATTCGAAGTCATCTCCCAAAAATAGATTCAAATCTATCACGGCTGAGCCCTATCGACCCCCAATACTGAGTGCTCCTTGCCCGACAAAAGCAAGTTCGCCAAGCGAGATGCAATTGACGAAAGTCATGATAATGCAGTGACAGGTATGCGATCAGACGCAAGATGGAGAGTCCGTAGTCTCATCGCTACGGCAAGTGGAACTCCTTGTTCACGTACTAAGCGTGCCCATTCAGACGATGCCCTCATGTCTGATGAACCAACCCCAGTCTCCAAAGCAGGCCTCCTGTTCGTCTTCCTTCCTTCTAGAAGGTTAATCCTAGTCAGTTCCCCTATCGGTTTCTACTATGTACGGATCCGTACACACACATCCACCTCACATTGTACTCGCGTGTTACGTATCCGACCATTTGGATCATCCGCAGCAGCATGACGCCACATGCACCATCCCCAGCTGCCCAGCTTGGCTTTTTTGGGTAAGGGATTCTGCAGAAGCAAGCAGGGTAAAGCAGGGACATGGCTGTCGTCATTGGACAGCCCAAGCCTTTCATACGGAGTACCATCTTCAATATCTTTGTGTCATCTCGGCACGACAACCTCCTACATCGTTTTCGGTCCCTTTTCCATACAAAGGAGCAGGGTTTACCTGGACAACTTTCGTAGAGGACCGTGAGAGACAGCGGATAGCTAGCAGCACCGCGTTAAACATTTTAGACATATTCATCCCATGATAGGACGAATAGGTCGCGTGAGGACCACTTGTCGACCATTTTAGTGCTCCTGTCACATTGAAGGAGAAGAAGAGGAAGAATAAAACAAGCACCCAAAGAGAAAACCCTCCCGTCTGACTATTTCACCTTGATCCCACTTAGGCTCGATTTGCCGTCTGTTCCAAGAACATCTCGCATCTTCAGCATGCTGCCATGGAGTGGGCAAGGAAATGCATCACTAGCCGCCTCCACCATGACTATTCCCTCTTTAGCGGCCCCATATCCTGTCAATGCTTCCAATTACGCTCGGCGCACTCGCCGCGTTGACCAGTTTCCGGGGTCCCTGATCTACACTACCGAGTCTCATGAATGGGCTGACCAAGAACGTACAAATTCTAGGCGCATTTAACCTTCATCTGCTCAGTCTTGAATCCACTGATATCATTGCCCAGTCCGCCAGGTCCCTCGGCGGACAGACACGCTTATCCGAGATAAACGTGATCTCCTTCAATGCAGGAACGGAAGTTGTTGCCTCGTTTTGAACCCTCTGCCCCTATGTCGCATACGTTTCGGACCATTTTGGAGTCTTTCTCTTCCAAAATCTCGGGTCCCACCATTTCGGAGAATCATGCCGACCAAGATTCGTTGGGCCCTTGGCTTCTTTGCGACCACAGCTTCATGCTTATAGATTTCATGAATGACTCGACCTTGAAGATCATACAGGCCACCATAGTCGGCCGTTGCATGTAATGTCACATGAGAGTAGTCGTGTGTTCTGGAATCCAGAGAGCCGATTGTGATGCTACAACCGCCAACAAGTCACAGCATGCATTGCTTTCTGATATGACGACGTGCCCTGCTTCACAAGCCACCTCCAGTCATTACTGATAGTTACATAAACCCCTGCTTAGACCCAACTCAGCCGCTGAAATACCTTACTTACAGTAGGCTCTCCGAAAATAAAATGCCTGTCTCCCGAGCGACAACCTTGCTCTTAATGCACATCTTACAAGAGCTGTTTCGTTGACCCCCCTGAGCTTTCCCGCATTGTGGGAGCCTCGATTGCAGTTCTACATCCACAGTGGTTTGCAGCAGAGGTATCATGGTTGCAGGCACGTGTTTGACGACAAAAGCACAGCCCATGTGAAAATCTCGCTTGCCCAAGACGTCAATGGAGAAAGGACGCAAAAGAGCAACAAACCCATAGAATTGTGGCTCATAAATGGAGAGATCCAAGCGGTGGCTCTCGCGAGTCCCGGCAACACATGTGCAGGTTGTGGTTTTTCCCCGGAACACGGAGGACGCATGATGGCATAAGATAAGCTAATTTGCCCGTACAGCAAACTACGTCAGCCGCCATTTCGGCGACGCCTCCAGCTCGCAGCGGCCTACTGTCCAAGCTCCCACCTTTGTAGGTTATTACTCCCGTGTTCATCTGCGCCGCATATGTTCGTGATGGAAGGTCCAACTTCCTAAACCAGCTCGGCGGCCTCTCAGCCTGGGGCTTTTGCCCAGGGCAGATACAGGAGATCTCACAGCCAATTTACTTGCACTTGACGCATACCGTTGCGGAAGGTTTATTGCCTCGCTTACTTCTCATGCAGCGGCACGCGAGATTGTTGATGCCATTTATCCAGGTAATCGATCCGCAGGGTCGCGGTACGAACAATAACGTTCCTTGACTCTCAAGGGATTCTGGGGTATGTCGCCAGTCCCACGGTCGCGGACATGTTGATCATCGCGCCCCCGATGCGGACACTTATCTGACAGCGTTACATCCCACCTAATCCCAGAAAGTTTCACTGCAATAGTAATTCAACCATATTGCTTGGGTCTAATATTCGGCTTAATCTTGGATCAAAGATAATTGACCGACCGGCCAATCGTTTTACACCATTCCGAAACAAAAATGTTGTTCTTTTGAATCACGGCCTGGCCGATAAAACGGTAGATACTATTTGCGCAGTATTCAGCAGAGTAATTGATTGTGCATATCTTCATTTCGCATTCGGTTCTGTTCGAGATGCACTTGTCGTCGATCGAACCATGCATGGAAACATTCACTATCTGGGCATTCCATAGCGCCCTGGCTATGCATTGGTGGATTCATGCCTCATAAGAATGGCAAAACCCTCATGATTACTACTAGTAAGCTAAGAGCAGACAAATTTGGTTAAAAAAATAAAAATAAAAACAATGCACTTCGTAACAATTGTAATGTTGTGTGTGCAAACACTGCCCTTGCTGAAATCGGGGGTATTGAACTTCGTCATATCGCTATCACTTATATAGATCAGCGTTTCTGAATTGTGGTTCGTTCGTGGCGATGCACATCAAAGAACCATGCGAACGCGCAACTCACGTACGCAACAATATGTGCCAATTCACCCCACGCGCGAGAGCAACAGCTATAACAAGGTTTCAGACAGTATAGAGTATGCACTTAGGATTGACCGAGAAACCCCTCAACCCCCAACACTCGGCCCCCGGTTCCTGGTCTACATCGCACCACTTGTGGCTCGCTCAGCATGGCGAAAGAGGTATGCGCATGCGGACGGCCAAGTTATGGAGCATATTTCGACAAACACGGCCAAGGGGTAAGATAAAAGGCGACTATTGACGTCATGTACACAAATCATGTAATGTGTAGAACGAGTGAGGCCGTGCTAAATCGAATGTGCTCAGGCATCAGGAATATGGTCGACGAGCACTAAACCGAGGAGACGGGCCACATTGACCTACAACGCATGTCTAGTATAGCACAAAAGTGATTCTCAACTACGGTGCCGGATATAATGGTATATTTGCAGGCTCTACGGCTACTTTCCAAAAGCCGTAATCCCCTAGGGTCAGAAACCAACTTCAACATATACTGATTTACCATTATTAGCAGATAAGAGGGTCACAATACAATTGATCATCTGTAGTACAAGTACTAGGTCTTGTGAAATGCTTCGTCGCAAAGAACCGTCTCGCAGCTCCTCCCGCTAGCTCCTCAAGATGATAAACCGGGTCTGCCTGGTTCTGCTCCAAATCCAAGAGCGACAGACTTGCGAGTCTGCATTTGGTCTCGATGGAGGTGCGAGAGTCGACTCCCAGGATGGTGTGAACAACCGCATTCGTCTACAGAGATCTCGGTAAGCGGCCAAATCTCGAGTTTCTGAGAGCTAATTATGGTTTCATTCTGTAATATCATGTTTCAGGAAGAAAATCAAGGTGGTGGGAATACAACTCTTGGGCAAACCTACCGATGGCTTGGATGGGTTTGTAATAGAGCCCTGTGACCGATGGATTCGGGTTTCCATACTCTCTCTCTCTCTCTCTTTTCCCGTAGGAAACGAGCCCGAGATGCAGAATCATTTTCACAGACCTGGACTCAAGCTGGTGCAATCTTCAGTCACCAGATGAGTGACAACGAAAAAGATCAACCGAAAAAGAAAAAAGGAAGAAGGCCTCGAGCCTGGGCCATCTTGAGGAGGCGCAGCGGCTCGATCGAGTCTTATACCACAGATGCGTGTGCAACGGTTATGGGAGTCGCCGAAATGGTCCAGTGGTATCTCGATCCGAAACTTATGGCTTTCGTGGGTTGAAATCCCGTCATCGCTCGATGTAAAGTGATCCCGGCCCCAGACGTTCCATATCGTTAAGAAAGAAACCCGTATTTGCTCCAATTGCGACTGCACCATACCAGCCCATCGAGTCTCGCACCAGTCGACTATTAAGATGTCCAACGCCACTTATTGTTGAATCCGAGCAACAAGACAGATATGTTATTTTCCTGGCCCGAATTACATTGGCGCAAAGTATGTATACATCGAGACCAGCGTGGACAGTTTCTACTACGTTGTCCTCATGAGCTTGATGTTAGTTTGAAAGGAAGCCAAGTGAAGCCAAATATCTATCCAGGTTTCCTCGAGTGCTGAATGGTTAATTTACCCCCCAGGAAGCAGAATCTGTGGCCAAAGCTGCTGAAACCACTGCGGAAGAGAATTTAGCGACGTATTTGAAATTTATAGGAAAGTTAGCTTCGTATAGGTTGACCAGGACGCTGTTGCTATGGCGGTATCTCGAGCGATCTGTGTCATCCGCAATAATGCTGCGGCTTTTTCAAATACCAGGGCAACCATCATTGTTGAACGATAGGGACACTATGTCTTCCAGTTCGGGAGCATGTCCACAAGTTGTATAAGTTCAAGATAATTAATGCATTCAGTCCAAGAAATGGCAACCATACTAAGAAAGCTTCACATACGTTGCATTGTGTGATTTGGATCGACGCTGACCAGTCGTCTATGGCTTGTGATTATTATGTGAGCATCTAATCGCTGTTGTTACTGGCTGATGCAGTCAGGACCTCTTTTACAGACAAGCACACAAAGCTAATGTAGCTACCTCGTATTTATTATATGAGACGTCTGTAATCAATAGCTTGCAATATTTTGTTCGCCAAAGGCTTTAAATACCTCCTTCATACTAGGCTGACAGTTTCGGTTGGACGGTTCAGCTCAAGCATCATCGTAGGAACAAGTTAATAACCCCAACAAGGCGGCCAAGTTCCCAGCTGGGTGGAAGCATTCCGGAGAGAACAGCGGCATACATGTGAGATCAGAAGACCATATAGTCATAGAACAGCGCCGAGCCTAGCCATGGAATCAACGTAGAAGATACCTATGGTCTGATCATGGCTGACAAATTGCCATTGGCTTAGGCGGAGTGCAAAATCTCTACTCCACCACGTTTCAAGGGCACTCGCTGAGCTTCCAAAAAAGCTCAACAGCATTGAAATCTTTAGCAGCAACAGTATTTATAGTGCTCTTCTCATTGTACTACTCATGCAGCTATCTTACAACAAGAATTGAAATTTCACTCATTGAGTCTGGGCACAAGGTTGATGCCAGAAAAGAATTATCAGACATGTTTCCCCAGCAGTATAGCTGCAGTTAAGGGGATAGCGGTCAGTAGATATGAACTCATCCATGCACGGTCCGTGTACAAGATAGGCTGATAAACTCAGTCTGAAAAGAATCGCGTTGACTAGGCTATCTACATCTTAAAACATCAAAATTCGAATAAAAGGTGATAAAAGTTACCAGGATTATACAGGCGTTCATGTCCCCAGGTATGATAACATCTCGAAAACACCGTCCAAATCCCAGTTTTACCATCCCACCTGGTCCAGTACAGTAAAGGTATCTCAAAGAGCTCAGGTGCCCCAGTTCCAACATAAAAGCGCGTCATTCGGCGTGTTGTTTTTTTCAGCCAAAGCGAGTACTTCGGCCCGGGGAAAATCGTTACAAACACCATCGTTCATTACCGTCACGTCATAGCAAGCTTAGTAAGGTGGGTTAGGACCCATGGGAGGATAGTCCTCCGGGCGTCCGCCACCACCCATGGAGCCAGATCCTCGGCCATCGCCTCGGCCATCACCGAAGTGCTTCTTGCGAAGAGCAGCCAGTCTCTTCTTCTTGGTCATTGTGTTGATGTAGGTGCCAATGATGAATGCCACGACGTTGAAGAAGGGCATCCAAGTCTCCTCGGGAAGGAACTGCTGAGCGAAGGCAAGGCAGACCGGGGAGGTGATCCACGAAACCTTCATAACCTTCATGAAACCGACGCGCACAGTTGCGCGGACCTGGTGGTATGTGCGAGCGCCAGCGATGAGAGCCATAGCAACGAGATATACCGAGTTTTGAATAGGGGCGATGATCAAGTTGCTGACGAGGATCTGTAGGATCTTGGCGCGCAGGCTGGTCCTGTTCTTGAACGTCTTTTGCAGGCACCAGATGAGGAAGTGGCCTAAGGGCGCGCTGATCAATGCGCCGTACGCGGCCATTTTGGGGACTCTCGACGTGAAGTAGTTGCCATGCTTGTTGCGATCCTTCGCGAGCCATGATGCGAGGAACTCTTGCAGACCGGCAAGGGTTCCGGAGGTAAGCATCTTGGTGCGGAGTGGGTTCTCCTCAAGTTGCTTGATGTAAGCCTGTTACAGGTAGGGTGTTAGCAGACTGACGAGGATTCGCTGGACGCGTGGCAGAGATGAGAGGGGCAGAGGAAGATACTCACCATCAAGTAACCCTTGGTGCCAGCATTTCCCTTTCCTCCAGTAATGGCAGTTCCGATCTTTGCGAGATGGGGATGCTTTCCCTTGGTTCCGGGTATAGGGCCATCCTTTGCGGCACCTCCAGCAGCAGCCTCAGCGGCGGCTTGGGCTGCATTGGAGACGGTCTCGGTGCCCTTGCGGATGGTGTCCCGCTCGATCTTGAGCGTCGACATTGTTGTGGAAGCCGGAGTGACGCTCAATCAAGTGGAGGGACACTAGTCGCGAGAAATCACCTGGGGAAGAGGGATTATCAGGGCAGCGCTTGGATGGGGAAATCGTGTGTTTCGAGGCGGTCACTGTGAAATAGATTGATTGTAAGGTTGGGACTGAGTCGGGGGCGGGACGCAACACCGCGCAAAGGCCAATTGCGAGACGGTTTGTTTATGTTTGGCCAATTGAAGCCGAGGCTGCTTAGCTGCTTCAGTGACCCCTGCGATGAGCGACGAGCATGACCCGAGCTTCTTGCAGTAGCAACCAGTATGTATCCGTATTTTGTAGATGCAGAAGGTACATGTAATGTAATGCACTGCAATCTACTGAATGTGCAGGTTTATTTTTATTTTTTATTTTTTTTTGACAGCTGGAAAGAAAAAAAGAAGAGAAAGATGGAACTCACCTGCAATCAAGCAATCAAGGAATCAAGCAATCAAGATCAAATCAATTGCTCAACATTTCACATCCGCCCATCCGTCAGACTAGATACGGTGCTGGAGTGGATAGGGTTGAGCAACAGCGGAGGCTGGTAAAAGACTGAGCGAGAGGTTGGACATATCCCATCCCTGGCAGCTGGGGGAGGCCCCATCTTCGGCTTTCCTTCGCCAGGCTCAAGCTCAGGCTCAGGCTCAAAGCTCAGGCTCGCCATCATGTCGCGATTAGGGCCATCGAATGGCGGCAATCGGGGGTTAGAGCCCAGTCTAGCCCGCTCAAAACTGGAGACGCGTTGCTGCACGACAGCTGAATCGTTGCCAGGCACCGCACCCCTCGAGGCCCCGTGCATGTGATATTTTGATTGGTCAAAGGCTCCTCTGTTGGTGGCGCCGACGAATCGTTTTTCCGCTGATTGAGCGCGCGACAACTCATCCCACATTCGGCAGACCAGCCAACATCCTTGGAATCTCCAGCAAAACTCCAGTCGAGCCAGACAACCTTTGACTTGCATGAGTTGCATTGCTCGACAACGGTCCGATATTGTGCTTTAGCACTGGCTAGAGCATGCCGAGTCGTTTAGTCCCAAATTGTTTTAGGCGTGTCAGTGCCCAATGGACCCCTGACAGCGAGACAGACACTGAGCGGGCTTGCTTGGCCGTAGCGAATGCTTGATGCAGATGTTAAAAATGCGGCTGATCGCAGCCTGATTGTTTGTGACTGTATTGCCAGGACTGAATTTCGAGGGGCGTCGAGAGGGACAGCCCAGATAGAGCCAGATGATGCCACTGAGAGTCCCTTTCCTGTGTCAAGTTGAAAAGTTTGGTTGGATACCGACCATGTTCAAGCGTTGTGTTCAGAACAAACCAAAACAATCGAGCAAGTAGGCACAGCAGAAAGAGCCCGACAATAAGCTGGGGATCAAGTAAGATGCACGATTACCTAGGTTAGTGGATGCAGTTGGCAGAGCATTTTCAAAAGATCAGCGGCAAGCGGTCACAGGCTTTCAAAGGGCCATTGAAGAAAAGCAACAACGACGGTAGTGGTAGAGGCAGAGGGAATGAATCGCGACTTCCATCAAAGGTGAATACAGGATTTGTGTCGACAACAACGAGAACACGACAAGTAGAACTACTTATACTTAGTACAACTTTCTGGGTACCCCACCAGAACGATTCTCGGCTCCTTCACTTCACTCATCCTCAGACCCAAACAACAAACTTTGGCACCATTCGTTTGGATACTGACGGGCCAGGTGTTGGGCATTACTTGACTTCATTACTATGCAGTAATTTCAGAATACCATTGGTTTCTTCAGTCGTCTGCTTCTTCTGCTTCCGCCAACTAGGTACAGCAAACACCAAAACCCAAGCATGTCTTCACCAAAATTGCAGCGCAATGCGCCCGTGACTCTCGCCGCCCACACATATCGACCCCAGACTTGGAATCCCACCTGCACTCATTTAACCATGACGCGCATCTTCGAGCCCAGTTTCGTGTGCGCCATGTGTCGCCGATCAGGCCAGTAGGGCTGGCTGTATCGATGCACACAGGATCGAGAGCACATGCTCGAAGACGCCATCGCGAAGGCTCGCCCCGTCAATTTCGACCTGCTGGGTCTGTCCATGACTGAGCATGTCAAGCCAGCTGTTCGTGGACCCGAGATGAGATCCAACCGCTACAGCTTCTTCAAGGAGGTTGATGCCGCGACTATGAAATCGTATTCTCCAGACCAGATCGCGATCGTACTGGAGCAGCGAGAGAATCTTCGCCGGGTAATAGAGAATGAAGAGCGGTCGCCAGCTGCCCTGAAGCGCACTTACTACATGCCCAGTTCTGGAACCGTAACCAGAACCGCAGCCACCACCGCAGCTACTATTCCCCCACCTCCTGGCTTCACGGGCCCTCGTGTCGAGAAGCCATGGGTTCCACTCGATGAGGACGAGTGTCAGTTCAAGTGTTGCCATAACTGTCGTCCTACTTGCGAGTCTCGAAGCTACCTGAGCCTCGACGGGATTCTCAAGGATGACATCCCTGCCAGTGCTGCAGTTGGCTTCGGCTTCCATCTGCAGGGCACGAGGCCTGTGATAGATGCGGACATTGTCAAGAATATTGGCTATCGCCCTGTACCTCTGGTAATTATTGATCCAGACGCCTCTATCGAATTAGGGTGAACTGACGTTGAATAGTCCAGCCCTTCTCGCCACGAGTCTGTCACCCCAGCATCTTCGTCAATGTTGAGCATATTGGATGTTATCGACGAGCAGATCATCGAGATGGCACGTCAAGATGAAGCAAAGTCCAGCGAGCTCGGCAAGACAACCCGCAAAACTACCGACGCAAACACTGGCGGTATAAACGGCAGCCTACAGCTTAATGGATCGGCCATCCGACCTTCCTGGGCACCACACACCATACCTGCTGCAAATGCACATGAGGTCAAGTTTGCCATAAATGCGAAGCCGACGCACATGGAGGAACAGGAAGAAGATGGATGCTTCCACGAAGAACCCTTGGAAGTTGCCAATGGTGTTGCTGTCTTGGAGGAAAGCGTTGAGATGCACGTACCAGATGTTATAACACAAATCTGATGTCTTGGAACTATACCCATTTGGCGACGGGAGACGCAAGCGGTCACACCTGCGCATTGCAGAGGGCTAACCATCGGGGTTTAATGCGTGGGACTACGCGTTACAATCGTTTCTCGGCAGTCAGACAAGAGCTTGGATCGTGGTTAAAGGTACCATAGAGCTTGGGCATGATAACCCCATTGGTCGTGCCACAGTCAATCAGCCTTCCAGTCACTTAGCATTGTCAATTTTAATATTCTACCAGCTGTGTTTCTTCTGTCCTGTTGAGAGTCCATCTAATGTACTGGTTTGTTCATCACATTTTGTGCTTCGGTGGCTTTATAATCATTCGCGTTTTGTCCTATCCGTGGAATGCTCACCTACTGGGTCTCAATCTCATCATCACAATCGCAACATTAATTAACAGCCTTTTGGTCAAACTGCACGACGTCTTGGCTGTCACAGATGGGCCTCGGTAGTTTCCCGTACTTTAAGAACTCGAGCAAAGCAATAATACTATCAAGGTGTGTATGAGGTATCATGGGCGGCAGAGCTGTTAGGGAGGACAATCCGTATGTGGCCTTTCTTTCTTTAGTATACATGATAGCGCTGTCCTAAACCCTGCGAAGCTATCGCTTTCCAAGTTGTAAGTCCTCGACGGGAAACCGCTCCGATATCGCAGTCCGAATGACTATGCAGTTCGCAAGCCAAGACTATATAGTCTAGCTTCTGAGCATGTGGGTCAACCAAAAAAAAATTCCTCTGGACCACCTTGCGTTGAAGCTTAAGATCATACGTAGTATACACTTGACCCGACCTGAGAGAGTGGATCATTCTCGGTCTCCAGTATGGCAAAATTCCAGTACGGGCAGTTTATGCTCTTCGGTGACTCAATTACGGAGTACTCGAGTGTCGAGGAGCATGGCCTCACACCAGCTCTCCAGAAGGGCACGTATCAGTCTCGACTCCCTAATCTGTCTGCCAAATGCTAAGAGTCTTTTGCACAGCCTACATTCGACGCTTGGACATCGTGAACAGGGGGTTTGAGTAAGCCATGATGCCTGCCCTCTTGATTTAATTTTCTTCTTATGCTCGCCTCGAGAGCAACCAGTCTAACCCGTAGAATGCGGCAGCGGCTACAATACACGCCAGGCTCTCCAGGTTCTGCCCCATATAATTCCGTCTCCAGAACAGGCCAAACTGCGTCTTCTGGTAAGTCACACTCGCCGCCGGTTGCTTCCGGTCTTTGACCTTCTCACAAAATAACGTCCAAGACCATCGGCTTCGGCGCGAACGACGCGACCTCCCCCGAGGCCAACAACGACTTCCACGTCCCTCTTGCTCAATACAAGGAAAACCTCCAATCGATCTTGTCGCACCCTTCCATAGCGGCTCAGAGCTGCAGGGTTCTCCTCATCACGCCTCCGCCGATCGATGAGTATCAGCATGAGACCAAGGACAGGATGGCAGGACAGCCGGGCTTGACGCGGTTTTCGCAATCCGCCAAGGACTATGCAGATGCCTGCCGCCAGGTCGGCGAGACGATGCATGTGCCGGTTTTTGACCTCTGGGGCTGCTTGATGCGGCGCGCAGGGTGGTCCGACGGAGGGGAGTTGGCCGGTGCAAAGGATGCGCCGAGGAGCGATGTTCTCGGCCAACTGTTGTCCGACGGTAAGTGCTCAAGCACTTGGCACAAGGTATAGCTATTTTCTGACAACAACAGGAGTTCATTTCACGTCTCAGGGGTATCAAGTGTTTTACGAGAACTTGATGGACTTTGTATCGAGGACGTATCCTGATCTCAAGCCGGAGAATATGCCGTTCGTCTTCCCGACCTGTGACGAGTTCACCGGCGAGCTTGAAAAATAACAAGTCCCAATTCTGGTTTTGGAAATAGAGAAGAACCCCGCGTGTTGCTCCAATGTCAAAACATCCAGCAGCATTTTATATGTCTCTGGGTACAACTTCATGATTACAACTTTGGGACATGACCGGCAGAAGCTCAGCAGAAATTTCAAGCAGTTTGCTCGGAGTTAATGAATCAGTTGCGTCAGTTCGTCAATTCATAATGCAATACATCGCTTTAGATACAACAAAGAAAACATCTGCAACTCGTATAAACGCAATCTACCATAAGAAAAGCAATCTAGCGCTACGTCTGTCATCTCTCCGATGGCAAGAACAGCCGCCGCAGTGACACGAACAAATCTGGTGTAGTCTCCCGCCGGTTTTTTTCCCCACAAATATCATACCCAACCCTCGAACAGAACATGCTATCTGGACAACATGGTGATATTTCAGTCTGTCGTCGCTTCAAGTCGAGCACTACCCAGTTTTGCATGAAGCGATCGGACGTGTCTCTGGTAGTTATCACGACGAGTGAAAGACTTGCCAAACTTCTTGCAGCCTTCGTCGTGGCAAAACCACGCCTCAGAGCTTCTGAACTCTTTGTGCGCTTGACTGTAGACTTGATGACGTGCGAGGTCTCGTTCAAGAGTGAAAGTCTTCCCACAATCACTTATGCCACATGCGTAGAGCTTCGCATGTATGGCCCTTGGGCGCCTGAACATGTGTTAGTCGGTTGGATGGACGAGGTTCGCGTGATGGCCAACTAACCGAACATATGACTGCCGTGTTTGAGGTTGCTTGACTGGTGTTGGTTGAGGCGCATTGCCATTCGAGACCTCAGAAGTCGGTGCTTCAGGATGCGTGGCCGGAATGATGAACGGCTCCAGACCCGGACCTGTGGCTTCGAGGGGGTTTGAGGCCACGAGTGTCGACCCAACCCCTATCTCACTCCTTCCAGCAGTGAGACTTTCCGTGTTAGCACTCAGCCGAGCAATGTTGAAATCGTACTGTTGATCTCCGACTTGGAACAGCTGGGGTGGCTCTTCGACGTCATGAACATGCCTGCCAGACGCACTAACGGTGGTCATGTTCCAATGCTGTCCCATTGATCGGAGTGGTGGTGCCAAAGAAACGGTACTGATATGATAATCTAAGTTATAATGCGGAGGAATATAGTTGATATTCGTTGGACTGGTATCGACGTCTACGTTATTCGCGTCTAGATGATAAGATGTGGAGTCTGAGGCAAAGCTAGGAGTAGCTCCTGGATGATCTTCAGGCTTCTAGAGAACTAGTATTAGCTATGCATGTTCGACTGTACATTATTAGATATCAAAATCATATAATCATGAGTTCCTGAACCGACGAGCAGTCGTGATATGTTCTTGGTTTTGGTGGTCTCGATTCGAGGCAGCGAGAAGAACCCAACAATCACTGGCAAGCTCACCTCGGTGTAGGCATCTGTTTCTGTTGCCCATGACGAGATAGGCCAATGGCCGGCACCAGTTTCCTTTGTGCTCATGATGCTTGATGGGTAGGAACGATATCGACAGATCTATGACTATTCGGATTACATGAACAGTTGAATGACGGTGATTCTTTAACAAGATTATATAGAAAAATCGCTTTAGCAGGCGTGCATTACAGGTTGTCAATTGGAGGCGATTTGTGTTCATACCCAAACAGAGGCGCAAGGTAGGTATATTGTCAATGTACTGTATGTCATTTTTAGTGTGGCAGCAAGCCAAGTGCCCAGTGAAGATGCCAAAAATTACATGCAAATATAAAGCGTGCCCGCGTAGATGCCACTTGGGCTTTCCAGCAAACAGCTAGGAGTCACTTGCGTGCCGGAAAGAACGAGACTTTTACTTCATGCAATATGCATTGGGTGAGAAACCATGGCGCGTTAAGGGAGGCCATATTTTGGTGCAGCTAACTGCCATGGGATATTCAGCGCGCAGCCAATCAGCGTCACATAATACTCCTTATAGCCTTGTACCGTTCGCGATGATACTGCACGTCGGCTGCCACTAGACTGACAGCGCGCTGTTTCGCGTGTCGCGATGAACGAATCACATCGAACAGTGGCCCAGTGATTGACACAGGATATTGAGTGAGCTATAGTGGCCCAGTGCGGCTGTCACACAACTGGCTCTTTTGATATGCGACTACTGCAAGCACCTGCAGGCCAAACCTCGCAATCGGAGACTAGAGGTTAGGCGGCTCTCTGAACTCCATGCCACTAGTCTCAGTAACCTAGTCTAAGTAACTTACCCAAGTCTAAGTACCCAAGCTTAGGCGGCTCCTCTGAACTCCATGCCACTAGTCTAAGTCCCCAAGCTTAGACCAAGGCACCAGACCTCGAAGGCTAAAAACAACTGTTTTTGCCCATTGGCAGTCTTGACCGAGACCTGCTGGGTCTCTCTCTCAGATGGGTTGTCAACCGGTCGAGTCCCCCCTGCCAGCAAAGGGAATGCGTACCACAGTACAGAGGCCCACGCTTAGACGTCGACTCGCGGAGGTACCGTCCGCAGTCCTCCTCTCGCCATGGTACGTTCCCCAATACGTTCGCTTTTCTCATTTGATAGGTCAAACCGGAGTTCACACCCGTCTGACGACTGCTTTAGGTTCCCACATTAACAACCCCCTGCTGCGACTATCCGGCCGCTGTGGAATGTCAAGAGGACCCTGGCCCTACGGGAGACATCGACTCGGTAGGTACCGCACTAGCGCAGCATTCATTTAGAGGCACATGACATACCAGTTGCCTACCATTTGCGCTTAGTCTAAATTGTCTGTCTCTAAACTACTATCGGTCACCTACGAATTTTTATACATTAAATTATTGCAGATGACATATCTGCTCGTGGTATTGGCTATATGTAAATTCAATTGATTCTCTTTGAGCAGATCGTTCTCCACTCTGTTCACAAGATGGCGCCCATTCCTGTACCGAGCACCCGCCACGTCTGTCTCGTAAGGCGCCTCCACAGGCTCCATCGACGACACATGGCGACGAGCGCCTCCGGAGCCGCTGAACAGATGATGCAGACATTCTCGGACAGGACCATCACCCAGCGCCAACTTCTCGACGCCAACCAGCTCCAGAAACTCAGCCTGACGCTCGGGCGCAAGGAACTATATCCAGGTCGAGACATCTCCCGGGAACCTCCACCGGCCGGCACCCCACTTCCGCCCGGCTATCACCTGGTCTACTTCACCCCCGGCGGCATAGAGACCGAGCTCGGACCTGATGGAACGGATCGGACCTTCAACTCGCCGGCGCCGTTCACACGGCGCATGTGGGCCGGTGGGGAGATGAGGTGGGTCGGCGGAAGAAAGAGCCAGTTGAGGGTCGGCGAGGTGGCCGAGGAGCGGACAAGGCTTCTAAGCGCGGTGCCCAAGCGGAGCCGCGACGGCGGCGAGATGGTCTTGGTGGATGTCGAGAAGGAGTTCTGGGGAAAGGATGGACTCGCACTGGTGGACCGGCGGTGAGTTTTGTCCTCGTAGAAGACGCAACGTGGGGAACCGCGCGGCTAAAGACGTGGCACGGCAAAGGTCTTGGATATTCCGTCCCGAGGCGAAGGCCGCGGCGGAGCCGATCGCCAAGCCTGTGCAGGGCAAGGTGAAGCGAGGACCGTCAACAATGGAGGATGAAGAGGCAAAGGATGGTAGTAAGTTCCGCTCCAACGGGATTTCACACAGAAGTATTGATGTCTATGGTCTGAAGGTGCTAACAGCGTCTCAGCATACCCACGCCGCAAATTACGCTGGTCACCAGTAGGACTTTTCCGCTTCTCGGCATTGACATTCAACGGGCATAAGATCCACTACGACGAGAGTTGGACACAGAGCGTAGAGAGTCATCCAGGGCAGGTAGTACATGGCCCGTTAAACCTAGTAAGTATGCTTGATTATTGGAGAGACATGTGTGGTGGTAAAGGGGACGTGGAAGAAATTGTCTATCGAGCAATGTCCCCCATTTACGCCGGAGATACCTATCACATCGGAACCTCGAACCCTGAAGACACAGATGGGAGCTCGAAGTGGGGAATCTTGGTAGAGAAAGCCGGCGTCACTTGTATGAAAGGTACCATCAAAGGCCAGCGACAATAAGCGTGCAATTACATGCCCGAGCGGTTAGTTCCAGAAACATGAGGAATCAAGGCTTGCTACATGGACACGTTGATGTCTGCTTGATGTCTGTGACGTCGCTGCGACTACTCATAGTGGCTGACGCTTATCATCGAGAAACCCTTCCACCCGGAACCAATGTTCACCTGTGGCTGTACGCACGCTCGACTAGTTTGATATCAAGTTCCAACTCAAGGACGGTCCTCTCTAGAAACGTTCTTGGCTGTAACCAGGCGGTAATGGCAATCGTCTCACCGATCTTCCCCCAATCATCTAGGATAACTGCATCCCCAGTGATTCTTGAGTCCCAAGTAGCGTCGTACACACCAGCTCCACTCAGTATTTCGTCCACCTCATACTGAGCTATCTCCAGCGGCGACGCAATATTCTCACGACTGAACTGTCGGATCAGACCGCGGTGGGACCATATTTTGCAGAAGTGTTTCCCTTCGGATGTCGTGCTCCTGTCGCTGTCGCGTTGCAGTACCCACACAACCACGAAAGGTGGATATCGACTGTTCGTTGATACAAAAGACACGACACCATTTCGCTTCCATTGCCTGATCCTCTTGAAATTGTTCTTTATGTCATGCTCGAACAACAGGACATAATTGGACTCCTTACAGTTGCGCCAGTCGATGTCGTACTTGGGGCTGCGGTTTCCCTTTTCAGGTGGTCGCAATTTCACTTGCACCATAGACATGGATTTCTGAAAATCAGTGTGCCTTCGTTCCTCATTATTTATGAACGTCACCGGCCTTTTTGCCACCTGGTTCATATCAAGTAATACTGGGTATGGCCGTTAGCGATACGCGTCACGCTCGTCTCACGAGGCACATACCATGCGGTGCGGATTCCCCGCCAACTAGTTGAAATTCACCGGAGCCATTCCCAGACACACAGTACATCAAGTTCGAAAGCCGTCGGAATCTATCGTCCGTACTCCGGTGGTCTTGAATATCTCTACAAATCAGTATGACGGGGCGGCATAGGGGGTTCGATCCCATGGTGGCGTCGAGGATTGCGGCGAAGATTTCTATGCCGACTTTGGGTGGGGTGCCTCGACCTTTGAGCGGGCAAAGCAAAACATCCATGGTCAAGCTGCCATCGACAAAGCTCATAGAAGGAGGCAGATAGTCGAGCCCATCAACGGATACGTTTGTGCTGGCTCCAATATCATCGTCTGGTCGAAACATGCCGGGAGAAGGCGCCAGAGGTGATATTTCCCTAGAGTTATTCCAAAAGTCCCGATACGGCGGCAACTGGACGAGTGGGTTTCGCCATGCGAGTATAGATTGGTCCTTTCTTTTCCGGACGATTTCATGCTGTAAGCGAATAAAGGCCTTGGATCCTTCGCCGTAAAGTAATGGTATATTCACATCGAACAATCCTATAAGGCTGTACGCAATGTCCTCCTCCTTCTTAGTTTCTCGCTTAGAAGCCCACGACATGATTCTTGCGGTACTTGTCGAGGCAAGGACATCTTGTATGGGCACTGTGTCGTGGGGACAATTGCATCTTTTCCATCGGTTGCGGTCGTTCTCAACCCAATTCTCGGGGGTGTAATGAATGGCGCAGTCCCCTTGTTCCAGAACATAAGCATCGACACCAGTGATGAACGCCAGGTCTTCCGAAAGACAGAGCTTATTACCAATATAGCCCCAGCTGGAGTTGTAGAATCTAACATCCGAAGGCGCTATGAGTTCCTGCAGCGTCCAGCCCCGAGTAAACCAGCGATTCCCGGAATGCAGCTTTCTGCCAGGTTCCAGATCGGCCATGTAGACATAACATTCCGCCGAGTCTTTGTAGTATCTGAACATAGAGTTGATGGCTTCCGAGAGCTCAGCACTGCTGCTCTTGTCGATGCAGCAAGTGTCAATCCAAATCCAATCATAACCATGATCGGAAGCTTTGCGGCAGCTTCCAGCAACCTTGCCGAATGCCTGTTTCTGCCGCCAGGTGGGAGACTGCGGCTCACTGAGATCTTGGAACAAGATTTCATCATCGCCCCACGTGTGTGAGAGGATCGCATATTTCGGAATGTCGCGGCCCTCGAAGCCACGAAGCTGGAAAGTCCTCGTGTGTAAGAGGAGCATGGTACGTACGATGAGTGGCAAGAAACAAAAGCCCCTCGACTCAGATGTCAATCACAAGCAGGGGGAATTCACAGGCTTTTGCGGTGGCAGGCTCTTCGTGGAGAGGCAGGCTCTGCTTGACGAGGCAATGCTGAGCCTCACTACCACCACCGCTGCAGCTGTGATTGGAGAACGCAGAGTCCAGCATTCACGTCCCCATCGACCTTTCAAAGACCGGATCTGGCATCGTGGGAATGATAATCAACATTATAGAGTCTTTAGAAGTATCACTAGGACACCCGATAAAAGCCAGCTTAAGTGGCTGTTGGCATTGATAGACAACATGATGAAGCATAATGGCAATTGATTTGAAGGCTGTTGAACACTGCCCCACGTCGGAGTTACCACTGCCGGCCACGTCATCCAGCACAGTCTCACGGGAGATGGATGTAAATTAAGTTGAGTATTTCATTTGTTTTCCCCCCCAACATCTTGAGATATCTAAACTTTTAAGAACAAAATTAATATACATACAATGTTATACTATGACATTAGTGAAGCTTTCCTTTACAATATGCGCTAATAGATGAGGAATTATCAAGTTCTTTGTCTATAGATGTTAAGCGATAGTCAGCATATTATTTAGAGTTAATAGCACTGAACGAGATAGCTCCTTCTTCCTATTTGCTGACCTCTTGATTATATATATGGACAATGATAACGCGAAGGCGAGGTTATATCGAGTTGCTTGACGACTTGTGACTAATGCCCATCAGCGACGGTCACCAGTTTGGCCTATCAAGCATCAACTAGAACATTGTTTCTGCACCGCGCACATTTGAGATGGGTTGAACCCAATAATTTTACAACTTGACAATATACTACCCCAACTCTGGTTCCATCGAGCCTTCAGCCTATAGTGCAAATATCCAACATGTAACGCCATCAAAATGCAACATGATCGATAGTTTCCACTAAATAAAACTCCACGCTCGAAATCAATAACCAAGGACCTCACTTAGGTCTCAAATCCAGTGGGGAAATCAAGGGATATCATCGCTATAACCAAAAATTGCACCAAAACGCTCTTCTCCCTATTCAACTATCACAGGTCTCCCATGCTGCTGTGATCACTCATTGCCCCACCAGCAGTGGCAACCGAGCTGCCAGTCGTGACTTTGGACATGTCCGACACCATAACGCTTGATCGTCGACCTAAGCCCTGCGACGCAAAGCCTGGTATTTCGCCAACATTATTTGGCGAGGTACTGCCACTCACACCAAGCTCGCCTTCATCGTCAGAATGTTCATCTTCTTCGTCATCGGATGACAGCTCCTCATTGGCTAAGTAACCATCTTCCCCGGTTTGCAAGAGTAATCTCCGGCCGATCACATCATCGGCAGACTCATCAAAGTCCGATGATACACTGTCGAAAGAACTAGATGCAGACCCAAAGTAGAAAGCAGGTGGTGGCAGCGGTACCGCCGGGAGTCGGTGAATTACACCCCCGAGATACTGGATGTCGATTTTGTTTTCGAGTTGCATCACTGGCGATATGAGTGGGATCGGCGATCCTGTGGACATGATTGCAAGACGGGCTACGATGGAGTCTGCCGTGTTTTTAGAGATAGCAGCCTCAAGGGGTTCACTTTTTGCCAAGGTTGGTCGCCGCCTGGGTTGATGCGCCTCTTCTGTGAACTTGGGGCGGCGGGTAGACACGGCGATGACGAAGTGATCATCTGGAGTCACCCCTCCGAGGCCGCTAGCCTCTAGGTTCATCAGCCTTGCTGACTGCTTCAAGTCAGACCATGGGAAGTCAGCTTGAATCTCATCGGTGTCACCGGTTTCGTCTGATGCGGCATCGTGTGAAGTGAAGTCGAGGTCCATCATAACACGGTGAGAGTCGTACTCACTCAATGGCTTGAATGGAATGGACGAATGGGAGCCGCTGCGGCCCATCTCTGGCACGCTTTGGTCCGGCGAACCTTCATCGCTGGTGCCGTTGGAGGCCACTCCATAATCTCCAGACAGATCAGTGCAGAACGGGGCACCTGTGTAATAAATGATTGCACCGTCGCGACGTCTTTTTCGTTGCGACATGCCGGAAATACCACTGTAATTCCAACGAGAAGCCATACCGAGGTTGCTGTCATCGGCTAGGCCGATGGAAGATGCCGTCTCGTCACCCAAAGATGGTTGCTCATCAGAAGATGATGTCAAATGACGGGCAAACATGGGCTTGTAGTGGAATTCGTCAGAAGAGCTTGAAACTTGTGGGACGAGTTTCGATGGTTCCGATACTGTGGCATTATTTCCGGACGGCTGTACCTTCAATCTCTTCCGCTGATCTTCTTCATTGGTACCATCGGACTCTGGGCTGGAGTTACCATGCTTCGAACTATGTCCACTGTCGTCGCTGCTAAACCTGGTGCCGTCGCCGCCGCCCCTCCAGCGAATGCTGCGTCCGTCTGGTGACAACTGAAACAATCTACTCCTCTCATTGACGGCGGAACGAATGAACGCCGGGGTTACATTCAACATATGAAGCTGTGCCATACTACAGAGCAGGTTGAGATATACCCAACCCTCGGCATCTGGAGCAACATCGCTGGCCGAATACTGCCTTTCCTCAGGAGCGACAAGACCCAAATGTCGGATGTAGTCCATGTTCTCAGATGGGATTGAAGGTCGATCGGGATCCAGATCGTTGGGCCGTGTCGCCCGTTGTTCCGGTACCTTGGAATCACTGGCAGTGGTGTCGAATTCCTTGTGGTTGCTTCCACTGCCACTGCCGGTAGCATTTCTCGAGATTGCCACATCCTCGTTGGAATGGGAAGGCGACACGTTATCGCGGGAATGGCTCTGTTTCTTATTGGGCTGCGGCAAGATGTGAGCTTCTCGGCTAGCGTTGGCTGCTGCTGTCATTGGTAGGGGCAACTTGTCGTTAGAAGTGCCTGACATTCCAACAGCCTCTTCATTGATCGCAGGCGCTAGTGGAAACGAAGTGTGCTTGGTGTGCCCTAAGCCATTCCCGGTAAAGATCTGCTCGAGGCGACGCACGACCAACTTCTTCTTGTCCTTCTCCGTCAAAGCAGTTGATCTCGATAGAAGCCCTTCCGGAATGTCTTGCAAATAGCGTTCAACCGTGTTGTTGTTGGCAGATCTTGTTCTTGAGAGCTTGGTCGGCAATGTAGGGTCCAATGACCCTGCGCCTGTGGACATGGACGCATACGCCGAGTCAGCTTGGTTTGCTCTGTTGTTGGATCCCGACGATGACGAAGCGTGCTTCGATGTCGAGTCAAGGCCTTTGACACTCTTGAGTTTGTCCTTCTTCCGAGCTGGAGAAGTCCTAGCACTAGAACCCTCCAAACTTGCTGTGAAGTCACGAAGAGCGTTTTCCAGCTGTCGCTTCTTGCGGCTCGGTAACCCATGGACCTTGACTTCGAATAGCTTGTCTCGCCGGAGAGCGTCAGGTCCCATTTGCCTATACCTCTTCAGCTCCTCCTTCAAGCGCTGATTCTCGATGGTGAGGTCGTCGATTACACCCCGGTAATCCTCGGCGACACTACTGTCCGTGACCACATGTGGCAATGCTGTTTGCTGATTGCTTTGAACGTATCTGTACGCTGGACTTTGTGAGGGCACCATATGACCATCCCCCATACTAGAAGATTCCGACTGTTTCTGAAAGTAGGGCGGGTCAACATCCATAGATGAGTCCATGGTTGAATACACATTCCGATTCGAGTTGTCGAACCATCGCCTCGGGTCGCTGACTCTGGTATCATTGCTCTCGTCTGAAGAGTTACGTCGAGGTGAATTCGTGATCGAAGGCTTGGGAATCTTCATTGGCATACTACGCATCGACGCGTTCCGCTTCGAAGCCTCTCGGGCCAAGCGATGATGGCGCAGAGTTATAGAATTCTCAGGCGATGTACGCCTCGGGTTGCTATAGGCTATGGTGGAAGGTTGGGAGGCTGAAGGCATCTTGTTCGCGTCCGCCATTTTAACAGCATTGGAACAGTCTTTCTCAATCGATGTCACGCCGAACTTACGGCTGGCGTTGGTCATGTAATCAACTGCAGAAATGGAAACTACCGTTGCAAGCCTTTGGTCAGCGAGCGTACAAGAGCAAGAAATAAGAATCAGTCAACCCAATTGCTTTTGGGCCCCTCACGATGCTGTAGCTTTCCGCATTTCCAGAACGACAGACACTGAATCGCTCAAGATGGAAATGTTTCCGAGGGATTCGATCAAATCGACTGCGGAGGTGGGCAATTGTGAGCGACATACGTACATTGCTGACAATTTGCGGACAGACTCGGAATCTGGCCGATAGCAACAATATTTATTAGTTCGTTGTTGCGGCGAAAGTGTGTTGGTAGTGCTGATCTGGCGGCCGTCGTGCAGTCTGCAGCGGCGAGGTTAATGGTTGTGGGTGGGCGTGTTGTATGTCGCTGTCAAGGGACTGCGAATAGCTTCGAGCATGTTTGGGATCGGGGGGGAGACGAGACAATGCTTCCACTGTTTGGCAGGGTGAAGTGTTATGGAACATGATTAATTGGCTTGCGGCAGCGCAAATCAAGAATCGACCGATTACATCGAGATCCCGGAATTTGCGATGAACTATAACCCATGATTGCTTGTCCCCTCCGATCTTTTTGCGTTTTTACTAACCTAGAGATGGTGAGCAGTGTGTTCGATTGCGCTGCAATGGTAACTGTCACGAAGATCGGAAATCAAGGGTAAAGATCAGGGTCCTGCAGACCCGTACCTTTCTGATCTAGCCTTAACGAGTCGGAGGCTCCATCCAGTGGTGTGTGCCGAGTGCGCCTTCAGCCAATCGCCGTACTGAGCCATTCGTCGTACGCTGTCGTCGTGGTTTCTCCAACCCCTAGGCTCAGCGGGGCGACGACGGCGAGGGGCGTGTGAACAGCGGAACAGCACATAGTCGTACACAGTATATGGTACCCTGATTTTCGATGGATCGTAGCGCCATCACTTTCAGGCTCGCCGTGCGGATCCGTATCTGTGATTGGCTGTGGTGATCAGACTTTACCCACCTAAATGGGTTCTCGAGGTGCACTAAGTCTCCGTAACCCTGGCAGCCTGGACCCTTTGCACCCATCAGTGCTCTTACAAGGTCTCTCAAGTCCTACTTTGTATATACTTCTTAAGCCTTGACAGAAGGAAAACCAGGGTGCAGCCAAGCTAAATAAGCGTACGCTAAACCCTCCCCCCCTACTATGGTAGAATCTTCCACCGCCAGGTCCCACTTTCACCACCCAAGATGGCAGGCAGCGTTGCTAACTTGTTCAGATTTCAAGAGGTTCATACATAACTGTTTGGTGGTTTCAAAGCACTAATAGTCCGTATCGGTACCTCTAGTCTAAGGCCAACGATGTGATTCAATCTGTTGGGACATTTGCAACGTGTGTCATGTCATATTTTCAGCCTGTATGGGTCAGTCTGCCGCTGCGGATACGAGTACTAATAGGCACGGATGATGATGATATGACGTCACTCTGCAAACGTAATGGGACCGCGATGAGAAACCCTGCATGTGGTACCCCGGATAAACGTGGAATTATTGGTACATGCTACACAGCACTCGAGAGACAGCGTGGCAATACTCTATTCATATGAATCTTGCACTGGAGAAACATTGACTCCTTGGACGAATGCCTTTGGCTTCGGTGCTATAAAAGAAAGAAAAGAAGAAAAAAGAAGAAAAAAGAAAGAAAATTTTTATAAAGACCCCCCCCCCCCCCCCCAAGAACCATCTGAGGAAATATATAATCGCAGCAAGCAGGTGTACAGTGTATAAGCATTAATTCACCACCGGCCTCGACTGCGGCTTGGATGTATTATGCAGCTCTGTACAGTAGCTCTGCAGGGGTTTGTGGCTTTTCGGTCTGGACCACCATCGAATTTCTGCGGCAAGGATCGAGCCGCGCCCAAGAAACATACTAGGTTAGCTCTGTAAGCACTACCTGTACATAAAATATGCCTTTCGTCCAGAGACGGCACATGACTTTTATTTTATTTTACTTTCTGTCGATTTGTGTCCCAAACACGATCGCCAAAGTTCAGTAGCTCACGGCTTTCACGGCTTCGATTGGCATACACCGATGCTCTGTAATGTATCCATCCATGTTCACTGAATGACAATGACAATCGAGGTTCCAGTGGCTGGGTAAAACTCAAACTACCGAGCTGGCCGATGCAAACTGGCAGCCTGGGTTGACATTCAAGAAGATTATGTGCTGCCTTTTGCGGAGAATTCTGTCTGTAACATAAGCGTATCTCACTACTCTGCTGTTCTGACAGTGAGGCCCGGGGAACTCGATTACGACTTCGGATTGCTCTTACATAACAATAGCCTATCCTCAATAATACCATAGATATATATCAGCTCAAATTAGATATCTCGGTCCACTGTAATAGTAAAACTTGTCCGTGAGTCCGTAATCGACGCGGTACCAAGTACTACAAAATAGAGATGGATAGCAGACTATGCCTGGGGCCGAGAGGGGTTGTGTCCCGCCTTTAATAAACACCCAACACAGAGCTTCCAGCGTGTTTTCCATGAACCTTAATTAGTAAAGATTATCAGGCGGGGAAAGGGTGCGGCGGTGGATGAACAAGCTATTAGCATCGTCAGGCGAGCAGGACACTGAATTTAAGACTTCAGACATCCTAAAAATAAAATTGCCATATCGCCACTCGGAACTGCCCAGGTGGGTAGTATTAGTATATGAAGCAGCCTGGCCCCGTCGCCCCGACGGTTTGATCTGCCGACGCGTCGAAGATCGAGCCCGTATCAAGGCCTCTTCCAATTTCAACGTTATTTCACGCTGAATAACATTGCAAACAACAACACCCTCATGAGCATTTCCGCCACAGCTCGCGGTAACATCCACTGCTGCAATAGCTTGGGTCCCAATTTAGACATGTTCGCACCCAACGAGAAGGTCAGGCAAATGACAGCTTAATCAGGAGCCAAGGGAGATTCGATCGTGGCCTATTAGAGGGAGAAAATTTTTTTTTTCATTGATACGAAATATCTTCTGGAAAGCTTTATTCTGGCCGCCCGCAACGTACCGCACCAGCGCAACGATTAACGAACAATCACGGAGGAGCGGCAAAAGCCATGTCCTCCGGGGACGAATGACAAGCGTGTCGGACACGAATAATATCCACACGCTCTAGTGCACGCGAAATAGAGCTTAGGCTGGATCATCCGAAATATTGCGAGGCCTCGAAAAAGATCCAACAAGCTCTACCCAAGTTTGGTATGTGGTCGTGCCCCAAAGTGGATCGTTTCTTTCTGCTGACAGACCTACTCCTGGGGCAGGCGGACATCTCGGACCTCGCCAGGTAAAAGATGGGTCTTGTCACCGTCAGCGAGGTTGTCGAGACCACAATTGTAGGACTTGCTCAAACACTTATTTTCCATCGCATCGATGGATAAGATCGTTGTTGGTACTCTTGCTCAGTGCCTACCAGATATGTATGGTGCATCACATACATAGTATAACGCTTAAAGCATAGAACGGCTGGTTGGGGCTACACCAAGCAACAGCGCCACCAAGCGTTCCTGAATGTCTTGTACTGGTATGGCAGATGGTCTAATGTTCAGCCATTTGCCAGCGTTACGTCAGTTCTTGCTGGTCAATCTCTCGCACCTTGCGCCACCGTTGCTCATTTTTCATCGTCCATGACTACTTAAAGTATTCGTTCTAGAGAAGCTTTGCGAATGTGATGAGTAGTGTCTAGTTGGTGCTTGATCAGCTGCGAACTCACGATCAAATCCGCAGGCGGAGGCAGAGGCAGAGGCAGAAGTTACAAGACTGCTGAACATATTTGCCTGGAAAATTGGTATACAGCATAATCTCCGTCAGTAATTTGCCAGAATACGTCTTAACTCCATATATCACAGCGCTGAGGCCTTTCCTGCTCACATTGTTTGTAGGCATCGCAACCGCCCATCAAAGACTATTGCACGCAATTACTTGTCAATTCTGAGCTACGATGGGAGATATCCTCTTGGACTACCTAGTATGCAAAACTTTTCGCAGGATATTGGCAGGTCAAATTGCACCGGGTGTGCTTTGCCAGTTGTCAGCTGACAAAACCGGCCTTCGTCTTTTTCTCACATCCTACATCGTCGATTCAACATTCTACATCGTCGATTCAACATTCTACATCGTCGATTCAACATTCTACATCGTCGATTCAATATCCTACATTGTCGATTCAGCCAGAATCCTTAGCTGATGCTTCGATTTGTGGCACCCGCATACGTCACTTCCGTCGTCACGCAACCGAGACTGCTTCACACAGTAACAACACAGGTACAAGCTTTATTCGACTCATGTCTCATGCAGTTTTGCGCGGGGGGTCGTCCGTCTCAGGGATCCCGATCTCGATCCACCTAACGTAGTATCAATTCCTACACAAGCAACAAATCTCTTCAGATCACTAGCAGTCTTATTACTTGATGTTCTCACAAGGCCCACGAAACTGGCACCTCTCTTACATTCAGCAATTGAAACTATATACATGAGATATTGGACGCTCTTCTGAGTACAAAATAACACTTGGTAAACAACTAAATTGGTCCGCGCTTGTTGTCAGGTAACACCAATGACATATCCAGACTCCATGTCATTGTCAAGCTTTGACCTCCCTATTGTATGTAGTCTAGCCGCTGCAATTGTCAATTCATCTAGAATTCACGCGAGCGGTCGTCCAAATCGTCTCTGTAACACCGATCTCACTTCGCAAACAAACATGTGGTCATACGCTGTCTGGGCTGTCCATGCTATGCCGCCTCCCACAATTATGACACCTCACCGCCAAAGGATACCCGTCTTTGAGATATTATAAGTGGGTTTATGTGGAAATGTCATCGATCACAAGCTTTACAAGTCTCGCATCTCCATTTCTACGAATCTTGAGTCGACCATCACGTTCGCAGGGATTTTAGCTTTACAATTACCTGATACAAGGATTACATTACATTTTAGGTGGTACACACTGGAAACCAAGCAAATTACCAATGCCCTCCTTTCGTCTTCAACATTGGTTCACCAATATGCTTTTATTTGCCCTGCTATACTGGCAAACTTGACCTGGCATAACTGAAATAATTACAAAATTCGCTGCCTATTTAGTCGAATCGTCCTCCTACTGTTACACACTGCCACATTTTGATTATTGCATGAGAGTGACATGAAATTCAGAGCTTTCTGCGAAAAGCGCCGTAATATGCCGGTTCAACAATGCGTCAAGATACCCCCAAGACGTCACGACCTAGCACTTCTTCCAGCCTTCAACTACTTTGGTCAGGCTAACCTTGTTGATACAACGATGATTTAACCACCAGGTTCAGCATGTTTTCACGCGTAAATGATATCACGATGCTACTCAAGAGCCATACCTAGAGAATAGTGACTTTTCCAAGAAGATGATGACACCGACAGGTCATGATTGGTAACGTCTATACAATTACGCAATCCTACCTATGGATTTTCGGTCTGGTCCTAGGTGGTCGCCTAAAAGCTGCCTATGAGTGACATAGGGTAGAACTGTATACTTCTTTACTTAACATTAAAACACAAGCACATATTACGAACAAAATATTCGCACTTTGTATGGAATACAAGTTGAAGGCTTACACTACATTATACATTCGCTACTAAGAGGTTATGTTTACCAATTGTCGATGCTATCACTTACCATAACAATATTTTCACTCGTGACGGAAATCATGCAAAGAACATTATAACGAATATTGCTAGAGCCAGACACAAAAATAATATACAAGCAGGGATGTTATATGACGTGACGTATTTTTTAGTACCAGATTCGGGAGTGTGGACAGGTATTCTTCATGCGCAACGGGAAATGCTAGGTTGAGAGTTTATAGTCTGGGCTCTGTGATACGATAAAACTCATCGAGGTTATCACTCAATACGCGTATGATCTCTCTCAAAGAAGACTCCCGAGTGCGTAGATATAAGACCCAATCCTCGAGAAAACGGAAGTTTCAAGGAGGATTGTTTTATCATTTATCAGATAACCTAAATCTCATGTATCGAATGAAATATTCAAGGCAATGACATGCGCTACAGATCGAGCAGTAGGTAAGAGACAGTTCACTCAGGTTTCTTAATAGCTCGGACTCGGACTAACGAAGAAGCTCAATCCCCGACAGTCGTGCGTTTTGCCACAACGAGCAGTTCGAGACTCGGGCATCTCGATATACACACACAAGACCCAGGTCACTCGGAAATATTGTAAACAGTCAGCTTGCGTAGTACTTGAGCGAAAACAGCAAGATGCCAGTTATCATGACCAGCTCCGTTTGCTCAAACATTCATCTCCAACAACTCTGAACGCCGCTTCTGCGCGCGAAACACTGTGGGGTTGTTACGCTCGTCTTCATCCGTAGGATCCGGCTCCGCAGTTGGGAGATTTCTCGGTTGCGTCATGTAAGATGCCTCCCCATAGCACTACGACTATGTCTATTGTTCATGCCAGAGCAAAGACGATATGGCCGCAGCACGGCCAACCGCGATTGTACAACTGGACACTCGCTGTGTCCCGTTGCAGCACTTTGTTGCATTTAGTACGTGGTTACGGATCCGTATACCTGTGGGAGTGCTCGTCAAGCTTGAAAATGCTCATCCAGAAGAGCCAACCAAAATGGGATCGGCGTCTGCTAACACTGGCGCGCAATTGCCAATCGTTTCAAAGAGCAGAGGAATATAAAGCACCAAATATCGGAGTCTGATGATAGAAACTGTCTATATGCAGGTTTAAATTTGCTGAGCGTGGAGGGGTTAATTACAGCTAGATATACAATGAATCATGACCGAAATACTTCAGTCGATCAACGCCGAGCCCTGCGTCTCAGTACCTTGGTATCTTATAATACAATCTGGGTATGTACACCCCTTCTCAATGCATCTTCGCCCATCCTTGGCGGTCCAAGTTAGTCGCGCTCAACTCCCATCTGAGTTCTCAAGTCGCATCACCTTGCTTTTCGGGGGCTTCCTCCTGGGTTTTACATTATCTCCGCTACTTCTCCCTTTCACGTGCCAGAGTAGACAGCTGTGACGAAACGACCACATTCGACCCTTTGCTCGACACTCACTTTCCTGCCCTTGCCTCCCTCGCCAATCCTTGTGGTGGTTCTTGGTGTGATCTGGAATCTGTGCTGCTCGCCCTTTCGGCCCTTTTCGGCGTCTCCAGCTCCACCATCTAGTGGTCCGATATAGGTTGGTGTGTTGACATTGTTTCGCTTGCCCGTGCCTAGCTGGTAGTGCTCGTTGCCACCCCACCAAACGATGTCGGCGCCCCAGTTCGTGTCGTTGTCAGTGGCCGCAGTGGCCGAGTGAGTGCCGACTGACGTAACGTTGTCCATGACGGCGGCGGCATGTGTAGACCCAACACTGAGTCGTGCGAGGCGGATGGGGATAACGGCGTTGTTCTTCTCATCCCATTCGAAGAGTCCCGACAAGGGCTTGATCTTCGTTGGGCCAAGTGAGATATGTGTCCATCTGCCATTGCCCAGACTGCCAAAAATACCAGAGCCGCAAGCCCAGGTATCTGCGGTGACTTGACCTAGATTCCTGGCAGGTGCGACTTCCATCTTCTCACGTTGACTACCTGGCTGGCCGGCTACACGAGTGGCGTCTACTGTGAAGAACGAGTTTGCACCTCCAGCAGCGATAGATGTGACCTGAGGTAGTTGCTGTGTACCTTTGTATATGGTGGTAAATGGCAAGGGAATAGGTCCATCAACAAATGGGATCTCCTTTTCGGCTTCAAACCCCAATTGACCAGAACTGTTGTCGCCAAACACAAAAACTTTTCCATCCTTGTCGAGTGCAAGAGAGTGGTAGTCGCCCGCGGCGATCTTGGCAATCTGGAAACCTTTCAGTTGCGGGATCTCGTGGGGCTGGTCGTAAGGGCCTGGAGGCTTTGTTGCCCAGGTAAGGCCGGGAATACCAAGTTGACCCTTGGTGGGAAACTCGGTATTGCTTGAAGCAGAAGAAAAGACGCGTCCCTTGCTAGTAAGAACAAGGGCGTGGTCAAGACCGGATGATATGTCGGTCACGTTCTCGCCCCAGGCCAGATTGGGGATGTCGAGTTTGCGATACGATGCGGATGAAGGACTGGACCAAAGCCCAAACCACGAGGAGGGTTGCTCCTTGGAACCGGAAGACTGGTCGGCACTGGCGACTGGCAGTGTATAAACGGTGCCGCTCTTACTGAGAGCCAGGATGCGATCCCTCGAGATAGCCAGCTTGGCCAGGTCTTTCCCTTTCAGTGTGGTCGCTGGCTTCGGGTCTTGCTCGGAGAAGGCTGTGCCCCATTGTACCAAGTCGCCCTTCTCTGTGATTGCAGCACCAAACTGGGCATCCAGCTTGACGTCGCGGAGTAGCTGGCCATCGAAATAGGTAATGCGCCTGGGGGTCTTGATGACCTTCTCGGTCGAGTCGGGAGCGGCGACGCGGCCTGTATTGGCTCCCCAAGCATACAGGCCAGGGCTCTCCCAGCTCTTCTTTACCTGTAAGTGTTGACTACTGATTATATCCCTATTGTCCTCGGTTGTTTGCGGCCTTGGGCGGACCTTTTCGTAGTTGATAGTAGCTTGAGCGGGTTTCGCGGGCTCGGCCACATATGCGGGCCAAAGGGTCATGATCAGACCTGCTCCGACAAAGGCAACGGCAGCTCCTCCCAAGAACTTGCCGGCGCTGCCTTTGGGGCCACCAAGCGGTTGACGACCCTCCGGTCCTGAGCTGGCATATCTGACAGACTGGTGTCGAACTGCCGGTCCATGTCTGAGCGATCGGCATGCTCGCGGCGCTTGGCGCAGGGAAGCCCTAGACGGCAACATGTTTGGTAATGTTGCGGTTCAGTATAGAAGAATAGGTTAAATGGAGTCACGAAGATTCAACAGGCACCCCTCGAACATTATTTGAGACCTTTCGAAGCTGTAACACGCACAGCGAAGTGGTGTGTCCGATCTTAGCGGATGTGGTGAGGTCATGAAAATAGCTTCATGATCATTGGAAGCGAGCTCTAAATCTTCTACCCCACTTTATCTGCACGTTAGCCTAGATAGTCTAGCAGCATGCCTGGCATGAGCACTTGAGTTAGTCCAGAGCTGTAATTTGACTGCAGGGTCTACCGCCTCGTCACGCAGCACGACGTGTCACTGTCACAGCACAAGCAGAGCTTACTACATGTAACTACTATATGTATGTACTTACCCCGTACATCGTACGTAGCGGAGTGTACCCGCAGTGGGTGGGACTTGCAGCACCTCCCCTGCTCCCCACCACCTCTCAGCGCCGCCCAGCACCTTTCAGCACCTCCCAGCAGCCTCCCAGCGAGTTAGTTCACTAAAACTATAGCGCTTACATGTCAAGGTCAAGCTCCGGCCCGTCGCGGCTGTCCCCCCCAAAGCAATCGCACCGTTTCTATGTATCTATGTAAGCCTTGTGCCATGTGCCTCGTGCCTTGCGCCTTGTGCATTGTGCCCGTCGCGTGAATCGACTCCAATTGACGTCTGTCGTGGCATGTTCGAGTTATGTGGGGATATCCTTACTCGGAGAGCTGTCTTTAACACCACCAGCGAACATCGCGAACCATGTACGACGATTCCTGGTACAGCTTCGTACCAGAAGTCGCAAAGCAGGACATTTCCTCTACCCCTCAAAATGCTGGCCACAAGAGAAGAAACACACTCCTTCAGCCTCCTAATGTTCGTGTCGCCCCCATCAACCCACCATCCCGCCCTTTGCTAAGCGAACATTCAGGGCGCAAGCCAAGCAGATATTGTAGACCCTCTCGGAAACCTCTACGACGAGGCCGACGCATCCAATGACCCACCCGAGGCGACACTGACTAGGAGGGCCAAATCATACTCTGATTTCTACCATGTCGTTCGAGCCCAGCTTTCCAAGGACGCCAAGAGGAGACGAAAGAAGAGGAGGGACGACAGAGACAGGTCATTCGAAGCCTTGAGCCTCGTGAAACCAGAAGACGATACCAATAGAAGAATCAATGCACCTGACACACCTGTCGACGACCAGCTGCTCGAGGCAAGCCAACAGGAATATCTGCTTTACCAGCACCAGCTTGCTATGACCGAGCGGCATCTGGACACCCTCGTCGACGACGCAAATGGAGCTCTACAGCTGCTGGAGACCTTGGCGAGCTCTTTCCATGCAGTCGATACACAGACGTCGTCTTTCCAGTCCCAATGTGACCATCTGCTGTCTGAGGAGAAGAGGTTGCAGAAGCTGGCAGATGAAGTCGGCACAGATCTGCATTACTACGCCTACCTCGATGGCGTAACCAGGCGTCTAAATGCTCCTGGCGCCAGTCGCTTGGTCGACCATGAGAACTTTGCCGAGATTCTTACCAACACAGACGCGTGTATCGGCTTCATGGCGAAGCATGTGAGCTACCCCTTGTAGATATTTCCAGCATTCTCATGACTAATTGTGCGAAGCCGACATACCGAGACGCTGAATCTTACTTGGCTCGATATCAGTCCTCGTTGACAAAGGCTCTCCATCTACTGGAGAGTGGGTTCAGTGCTCACCTGGAACGCATCTCGGCTGAGATATCTAAGCAAATCGCATCTACGCAATCAGAGGCGGCACGATATGCTCTGGCTTATGGACGATTTGAAGAACTAGTCCTCGAAGCCGATGGTCTAGTATCGAACGTACAAAGGGTCATCCGCAGCTGCTATGATCAGTTTGGAAGCCCGGTGTCCGGGCAGAATTTTGACTACTATGCCAATACCGCTGTCAACATCTTTCATTCGTACTCCAGCATTCGAGATCGCGATTTGAAGCCCATCACTCAACATGATCTCGAGACGTTCCAGAAGGAGTCAAAAGATGCTAGCCCAGAGACTGCGTCACGCAACTACGTCAAGCAATGCTACGAGAGATCGTACAACGAGACCGGCCTCTTTACCAAGATATTCTCCATTGAGCCACACTTTAGCATGGATGATCGGTCGGCGTACGCCGCGATCAAGGGTCAACAGAAAGCTCTGGTCAATGCTGCCAATGTGGCCCCCATTGCCCATACTCTTCAGCCCATTTTGTTGGCCAGCGAACTGCAGACAGTCTGCAATCTGCTGGGTTGGATCTCGAACGAGTATCTACTCTTGGATTATGATGAAGATATTTCGCAATATTCGCAGCACTGTCAGGAACTTACAGCACGGCTGCTCATGGAACATCTGTGGCCTTTTGCAGACACTGCATTTGAGAACGAAATCACGAAATCCATTACAAGGCATGTTGTCGCTCCCGACACGTTGAAGATCACCCCTGTAGTGAATGGCGTCGCTTCATCGAATGCACACCCCATTGCAAAGAAGGCATTGGAACTCTTGATCATGTACGATCAAGCGATGCCAAAAGAGCGAAGCGTAAGAATCTGGCCCCAATCTCTCATACCCACTGAAGCTAACAAGCCGTAGCAAAAGTCAAGTCCAGTCGTCTTCAAAATTGTCCACGAAACAATATTGGCCTTACAAAGAGCGGAGGCACGTATCAAATCTGCTAAATCCGCGAATCCCGAACCTGATCCCGATCTCTTCATGATCAAGAACCTGCTCATTGTCAAGAATGAGCTCGTCTCACTGGAGATCGGCGACGTGCGATCGCAGGGCACCGCTAACATGCAGCACTTTGGTCACATATGGGATACCCTCTCACCCCAAAACTGGATGGGTCTTTTCAGAGGCATTTTGGGCGGCTCCTTGTCGCTTGGGCTTTGGTCATCGAATCCCGCCGCTGTAACAAATGGCAAGCCTGTAGCTGCCAATGATGGAGTGCAGGATGCTAGTGAGAAATTAGACGAGCTGCTGCGCCAGAGCATTTACGCTTTTACCCAGCGCTGGGGCGGATTGGTCAACGCCGCCAGGAGTGGTAGGAGGAGCACGAAATCCCTGGCACAGATTGAGAAAGAGCTGGACGAAAAGCTGCTTACAGCGTTTGGTGGACAACCCGAGGTTGTTGGCAAGTTGAAGGAGGCAATCCAGATCAATGCTCAGGCGCAGAATGAAGTTGGTGGGACTAAACGCTAGGTTGATACACCGGTAGCCTAGTTTGCTCTCATGTAATTGACGAAGGGCCAATGAGTGGCACAAAGACGTGATGCTGCCCTAGTGATACAATATTGTCGTTTTTAACATATACGGTGGCCAGACGGTTTGAAAAAAAGAAAAACTTGAACTCCGTAAAGTCACTACCGTCTCACGAGAACTTTTCACTCAGCACTGAACTCTATCCTCCCGCCCCATCCACGTCGATGTTGCCCATGAAGCATAAGAACTTTCCAGTTTGCTTTGCTGTTTGGCAACAAGGCGCGACGCTCCTTCTGGAAGCCCTGAGCATGAAGTGGAGCATGAAGGCATATAGCAGAGGATTCGATTGGATCTGCACTGCCCTTGGTTAGCATTCACAGGCAAGCCCCTTCCCGGCATGCATCAAGGCCCGACCTGAAATCCAATCAGTTCGCTCACCGCTGTTTTTTTTTTTTTGGAGCTACTTTGGTATAATTAGAAGGGCGAACGAATTATTGAAAAGCAAGGGGAAGCACCATTGGAAGGGGGGGCAGGAGTGGTCAGAGCCAACAAAAAAAAAAAACCAAAGAAAGAAAAAAGGAGAGGGCTGCCTGTCTAATTTTTACCTTTCGTCCAACCAAGTCGGAACCTCGGTTGGATATTTCCACTTGGAAAGAGGTATCGTATCGTCGGCTGGGTATACTCTGCGCCTCGATGGCTCGTTTCGGTGGTGAGGCGATTCAGCTGAAGACCGGTGCCTTTGACAATGAGGCGGCACGTTTCGGGCATCGATGCCCCCCCCCCCCCCCCCCCCCCCCCACACACACACACACGTCGTGGTCGACCTGGCCACCAGGGCTTACTGAATTAACGAGATGACACGGAATCGTTCGTGGCAACATGGTTGACTGCCGCTGATTTGATGCTCATCGTGTTGTTGCTACTTTTCTTAAACGGACGCGGCCTCTTTTGTCGCTAGTTGAGTGATCTAGTAACGCAGTGCCGCACTCTCCGCCGATCAGTGGTGCTTCCCTCGAGATAGCTTGAGAGTCTTGGTGTGGCCGTTTGGTGATCTACACCTGGAGGATGGTATAACATATGAGTACAATATGAAGACTGCTTGTGGTACATATATTGTATTCAAAACTTTGAGCGTCATGTACGGATAAATACACCAGTCAGCAATCTGACGAGAGCCCCAATCGACACAGATACAATACAAATGAGGGTATCAGGGTTCCTGCCTAATACTAGAAGACAAACCTCTTCAGCAATACATCCCGAAATTACAAGTCGCCTGTGAGCATGCTATAGAAGTAAAGTTCTAAAAAGAAAAAAATTTACAATCTTCCAAAAGTCTAACTGAAAGCATATATAATCTTCCTACACCGGTCCGGGGTATCAAGAGCACTCTAAACCAATTGCTGGAAGATGAACAAAGAAACCAAAGTTAAAGATATCCACTTGGCGTCTTCATATGATTACGCACGCTGTGCTTTGCAGTGTTTGCATCAAGTTTGGGGAATCGTTCGGCGTATGGAACATTAGGTGCTCTGAGTCAGAGGTTGATGAAGCTCGTTCTGCTGGTATCTCAAAGCTAGCCCTTCGCCTCGGCCTGAGTGTTTCCGTCTCATCCCTTGTGTCTAGGGCGAGCTTTGTAGCCGAATCGATGTTCTGTCCATCCAGACTTGATGCTTTGGGAGTTTTGCAAAATTTGTCGTCTTCATGGCCATTAGCGGCGGCAGTAGTAATTTGCAGGCTGTGGTCGAGGTGCTGCTTCGTTGGTTCCGACAGTGGAGTTTTTTCGGACTCATCCCAAGATCCAACATGGGATAGCTCAGTATTGAACTCGGGTTGAGCATTTGTAGGAGCACAAGAATGAGTTACTGGGGCTCTCCTATCGCTCGGCGTTGAGGTTACGGTACTAGCAATAGACATGCTTCGCATTTGGGCAGCTTCGTCTCTGGCCCAGAATGCTAACACATCGAGCTGCCATTGGTGGCCGTCAATGTACTTTAGTACAGTGTCAAACACCGACTCTAGAACTTCAACCTCCATAGCAGATGTCCTCATTTTATGGAGCAGCCAGCGGTTAATGTAGTCGAACTTGTTTCCGGGCTGCCCTGTAGAAAAGAGTGAGTCGATGCCATGCTCTTGGATAGCTTCGGTAATAGCCTGCGCTCGGCCAGGGTCGTTCTTTGGCATTGACACTGCCTTTTTCACAGCTTGCTTCGTTGTCAGTGGCGGGTTTTGCAAGACATGCTTTGGATTCGATAGCAGAATCGGATGGATTTCGTTCGATAGAGTCGCTGGTTCCTCAGCTGACGGACTATGTGCAGAGTTTAGAAGATTCAAAGCTGGGTCCTCCAGCTGTCGAATGATAGGTTTATATCCATCCTCGTCTTCGTAGAAAGGAATGCTGGCAGGAACGACACCTCTCATTTGACATTCAGCCTGGAGCTGGTCGAATTCCATAGTTAACTGTCTTATTTTCTCCTCAGCCTTGCGTTGGTGCTCTGGGAAGGTTTCCAAGAACTTCACTTTGTCATCGTCGAGCTGCACGTCTCCTGACTCTATGGCGACGCGCCTGAATACCAAGTTATGGAGGTCTTCCCTGGCAAGCTGTAAATTTCCAAAGACTTCGCGTAGTTGCATGTACAGCGGATGGACAAGATCTGGTCGGTCACGACTTATACCAAAAAGAGAAGCTCTGGATGGAGGGCGAGATGGCCTAGCAGAAATACTATCTCTTGTTGATAGTGCGGAATCACTTGCAAGAACCTGGCTGTAGAAGCGCCTTTCCATGATCTCAATTTCTCTCTCAGCATCATTAAGGTCATCGGTCAATGACTCTACAGCCTGCTCGGCCTCTTCGACGTCGAATTGCGCGCGCTCAGCTGCTTGCAGGCGCTGCTCCAGCTCATTACGGTGTTTTTCGAGGAGGTCCAGTCTCAGATCTTGGAAGATGTTACGTTCCAGTTCGCTTTTCCGTCGGCGCGCATCTTGGAGCTGAATGCGTTTCTCATTCAGCTCATCCAAAATATTCAATACAGTCACTCGTCGCTTCCTTAACCTAATCCAAAACTTCCCTATTCTCTCACCAAGGTCTTTATCGGAATCGTGTGTCTCTGTATCAAAAGCTGGGGCGGATCTCGCAGACCGAGAAGAGGATCGCGAAGAAATCGGGAAACCAGGAGGCTGCGGGGCTTGAATTCCGCCTGAAGCTGCGACAATCTGATGCTGCTTGGCAAGCTTCGCTGCAAATAAACGTGGTCGAGTCTTGGTATGCGCGACAGATAGTGTAGGAAGAGGCGAAAAAAGCACACTATTTCCATGATACTCGAAATCCGCAGAGCTGGTTGAATCGGAGGAATAGTCGGACTCGTCAGATTGGAGATCGTGTGATACTGAAGTGCCGCTCGTTCCAATGTCTATAGTGCTAGAGTCGTCTAGATCCATTCTGCGTCGAAACCCAATGGCTATCCCATCATGCTGGACTGAAGCGGTGCGTAGATCGGATATATGATCGGCGAAGTCGGTGGTTGGGCCTTGAGCGCCATCCTCGGTCATGAATAAATTTGCCATCATGCCATGTCATGATTTTCGCCCTCTGAAACGTATGGACAGGAGTTGCCAACCACTTTTCCATGGCGCTACGGAATCAAGGGGAACTCAAGCCGAGTATAGTCTGCTGGGAGTACATGAAAATAACTTGCTATTGACACGCGTCTTCACCGTGCCGGAGGTGGCTGGATATGTGCGACGGGAACATCACTGAGCCACAAGTGCAGCTGACAAGGTTTACATTCGCCATGCAGGGTTAGTAGGCTTGAAAACGAAGGCAAATGAGATTAATCTGCGTTTGGGTGCTGGAAGAGCCGCATCTGAATATCAGATAAAAAACGTGCAGGCATGAGTTTGGGAAGCAAGTCGACGACGGGGCTCCGTCCTTGGGGCGTTTGCCATTCATTCGTTCTCCCTAGGTACACTAATGAGGCCCCCCACTCACTATGTACGGGCCGCTGTGGAGCCTAAAATTAGACCATCTGTTCCAACGGAAGTGAGCCATGCCACCGTGGCATGAGGTTGGCTGGGCTGGCTGGTTGAATTACGGATTACTGTAGTGCCTTTGGAAGGCATGAAGGGCGGTTATCCCAGAACCATGACCCGTCCCACCCACTCGGGCTGGTGTAAAGCAGCAACTCGTTTCCATGAATGAAAGGTCAAGCCCGAGCTGTGACAGTACAACATGTACTACGCATAATGCAGCCTTCACGAGTTCACAGGAATCTGCAACTCCCGAAGCGAGCACACCTTCCCCTCCTTATCCCACCCCTGCTGTCCAATATGCGGCGAGGCGGCCATGAGTCCTGCTTGCATGTGTTTTGCTTTTCGTTTGGGCTTTTTTTGGGTTTCTTTCTTTCGGCGCTGTCATTCCCGCTGTAAAACTAGCACAGATACAGTTCTTCTTCTTCTTCTTCAAATCACGACATAGCATAAATGGTCAATCGCCTCTTGCTGCCAGTCCAAACGGGAGCCGTGCACTAGGCACTGTTCTTGAATTAAAACTTATTGGCAAGAATCAAAGAAACACTTCACCCGGAGTTCTGACAGCAGCTCGTCGCACTAATTGACCGGCTGCAGGAGGTGTGGGTAGCTTGCACAGCAATTTTGGCGCATCCTGCTGGATCTTATCACATCTAACCTTAGCACATATGCGGTGCACTATCTGGTCCCGGAACATGGCAACCCTCTGACAATGACCTCCTCTTTCCGTATCAATCACGCGGTCTCTTCGTAGCCAATAGGCCCGAGGTACTCCGCTTCAGCTATTGCGCACACAGCTTGCATAGTATTGGGCCGACGTCCCGGTGCAAATCATGCCCTCCCTCAGTCTTGTTTTCGACCTGGACTGCGGGAAATCGCAGAGCCGCATTTCTCGGCTAGGAATGATAAGGCGTTCACATGGATCGATGGGGACGAATAGACTTTTTTCTTCTGCTCAGTTGTTTCAATCCCCTTGGAATTTTGTAGCCTTGCATTACCTGATACCTACTATCCAGTAAAAAAAAAAAACACGGAAAACACTTGCTCATCGGCAGGATGTTGAGATGTCTGGATATCACAGGTCCAGCAAGTCCCATTCTCGAAGACCAGACAATGGCGATATAGCTTGGGGCCCCTGGAAAATCTCCAAGAAGCATGGTTATGAGTATCGCGATGGTATAGACGCACAAGGTAGGGATTAATGTAGCACCTTTGTACTATGCTAATACTTTTTAGGCCAGGAATGTAAGGAGACCAGGCCTCCCGGGAGTTCTCAAGAAGATCCTAGAATTCCTCGCAATGCAGATGTGGATGGCTTTCCACAAGAGCTTAGCAATTTGGCCATAAATGAAGAAGCATCGTGGGGTTCGCCTTCCCAATCTTATAGTCATGATTCTCATCTCAAAGAGAAGGGAAAAGGGAAAGGGAAAGGGAAAGATCATGCCAAAACCAATGTTCATGCTCACAACGATGACCCTGATAGCCAGGACTACAACGATCCTTACCACCCTCTTCAAACTCCTATACCAACGGTTATTAGCGAAAGTAACTTCGATTCAATCGATGGAGGGTCGATTGGTGGTCACTTTTCGTCCAGTCTGCCGCTTTATGATGAAAATAGTCCCAACCAAGCTATGTACCACAATGACTCGTCAACTGAGCACGTACCGGGCATGTCCCCGAGCATGGATGCTAGTGCTAGTTTGAGCACGTCGCTGCCGCAAACTCATATTAGCTACGACGACCCAGGTATGTCGTCTTAAAACTGCAAACTAAGCACTGGCATATTACGGTTGAAGCTAATCACTCTCCCAGTAGATGGAACACAGTATGGAGAAGAAGAGCAAGACAGCGATTTCGCTGCGGCCATTGAGGAGAGCGCCAACATGTATTATGGCCAAGAAAATCTGGGTGAATCGTCGAACAGCGCTGCGCCTATTATCAATACTTCTAACTATTATCCTAGTGCGCAAGGAAACCGTAAGATTAATATTATTCCATTCAAGCGGATGATGGCATCAATAACTTACATGACACAGTACCCACGATCCTCGAAGGCCAGCCAAATGCAGGCCCATCATCAGGAGGAATCCCGAAGGAAAGCTTTCCTAATTATAACGCCAGGGAGGATTATACATGGCTCCAAGATAGTCGTATGTCATGATGATGCTTAGGACATTGACTTTTTACTGACAATGTTGTAGGTTTTGGCATACGTCACTCGAATGAGTTTCAACCAGGTACAGTAAGTACAGCAGCAATGTTTGATAGTGTCACTTAATTTTTTAACTCTTCCAGGTGTTCAAAGTTGTTTGGGCTGAGCCTAAAGGGTCTGGTAGAGGAAATGTTCCACTACAAAATACCCCAGAATTTCCTTATTCGGAAGTTCAACAAAAGAGGAGCACTGATGGCATGGTATACACCGGAGTCCGCCGTTTCATTGTGATTGCCAGCGAAAGCGGTAGTAGTATATGCGTGTACGTGTTTTGCTCATCAACCAAACTCAAGTTGCTAATGGTTTCCTAGTCCGATTTTGACATATGAAGGCAAAGCCTGCCTAAAAAAGGGCGTAAAATCCCATAATCATGGCATTATCTATGCATCTACCAGGCCTCCTCATCCCCTAAGAGGCGAGCCGCCGCATGGCTTTGCGCCGGTCAAGTTGGACCTCACTGCAGAGGGCGAGAAACTCGTCAAAGAGTCACGCATCAATTACTCCAAGCTGGTCACCATTGAGCACAACCTCAATGTCCTGTTTATTGGTTCAATATGCCATGAGCACTTCCCATTCGTGTCTGACGCAGTCGACACATGCTGGGCGCGGAGAATCCGCGAGCAGAAGGCCCCGAACCGTAAGAAGAAGACTCATCGTCATTAATCTCATCGCACGATTCGAGCTCGACTCAATTCCGAATGCGATCTTGGCTCAATCCGTGAGCTCAATCAAACGGGTGCCTACAAGACATCCTACAAACGTTTGCCACCGTTCCGACTTGCGGTCTTAACGGTGCTACCAAATTACTTGAACAATTTTTCACCACTTCAATACTTTACGTTTTCGGTGGGACAGCCGCCGCCGCAATCCCATCCCTGGGGCGAAGCACGAGATACAGTCAATGACTACAGGGCAATGATTTGATACCCACTTGTTACGTATAGCTGTCTTCACGAGTCATGACCACGGGGGATTATAAATCCCTTCTCAATTTTATTTTCTAATTTCGTGTTCATTTCCTTTCAAACACAGGTTTTGAAGGCCGTTGTCTTGCCTCTCTGGCATCTTTTATGGATAGACTGTATAGCCACCACATACGACACCAGCACCAAATGTACTGAGCCGTATTTTCTATCGTTGTAAAAGTCCTAAGATGCAGGTGGGACGGATTTTGTTGGGGTTCATGCTCTATCGCGACACAGTTTGACGAGAAGCTACAAGATACTTGACCAAATGACTGCCAGTCTTTCACGAAATTTGCTGGGATCGGTTATCTTTCTTATACTAGCAATATCACCCAAATTGATATATATTTGATTGCATTACCTGATCAAGCCAACGACAATCAATATGGTATTTCCTGGTTTGGGATGGACGGAAACGGACCAATCATCAGCCATTTGAAAGTGTCACATGCTGCAATATGCCATAGTGCGGAGAGAGCATTTCGTAATGTTATGCCGGCCCGTTCCACAGTTCAGCCTGGTGCTCGGTTCACCAAGCATCTGAAGTTGTGCAATGCAGCGCTTAAAGCGGCTTTGGATTCCATGGCAGCCGATATCGTATGAAGTGCCACCGAAATACAAGGAAGCGCACCGTCCTTACATGGGTGCGGGAACTGGTGTGTTGTCGCCATGTGCTACTCATGGGCGTCACATCCGGTGGCTTGTCGTATTTCCGAGGCTGGTTCATGTACATAGATTCTGCATCGATATTGCGATAGCTGTTAATTTCTCTATCCGTGGATTTGATAACTCTTTCTGCTTGACAAGGCTGCTGATATGGGCCACGTCGAGCGTCAGCAGCGGATGCGGCATGAAAGAAATTGCTAGGGGAAGTTGGCGACCGGTGTGCTCCCACGCGGGATGAGGTTTTTGACCGGTCTCTCATCTGAACCAATAGCCGTCGCCGTAAATGTCAGAAAAGGGTGAGGCTTTGTGTGACTCATTGGGGGGTTCATCATTTGTATACCGAAAAGCACGTAATCACGGGTACAACAACCGCCCCGTGGGGTCGGGCAGAAGGGAGACTTCCGCACCTCGCACCACGCACCTCTAGAGGTCTGGTCGCGAAAACAAAAACGAGGTGAGCCACGGTGAGCTTTCCTTCACCTAGGATCAGGCTGTCAAGTAGCCTCGCAGTTGAGGGAGGTTGGACTGTCGCTTGCCCTTGACTCGACATGCATGCATTTAGGGCTGAGACGAGAGGTTATATGATGAATCGCATGCAGCTAGGCACGGGCAAAAATTTTTTAGTTGGTTCCTGCAGTGCGATATTTCGAGATGAACCCTGGTTCAGCGATTGCCGAGATTGTGGTGGAGTGCTACGCCCGACTCTTACGGAGGCCCGGCTCAGTTGCCGAGCGTGTTTTGGACCAATAACTTATGCATTCCGGCCAGAAAAAGCTTATCGAATATACACAGTGCGTTGTCGAGTCCTGGTCTATTACTAACCTACGTGGCCCGAGAAGTATAAGTTAACTGAGTAGAGCACACTCCAAATTATCTCAATAGTGGGCTTGGCCGTCACAACTTCCTTGGTTACTTGAGCTGAGAACCATATGAAAGAGTATGACTCTTCAGAATTGAGGCTGAGTTATACTATCTATCTCCATCTCAAAATCCAACTAGTGCTCGCAATATAGCACATGAAAGCTTTAGGGGAGAACACAGCAGAGCATTGCAACGAACGTGCAAAACCTAGTATTTTTCAGGACTATCACATCTCCTATCATTGTTTACCTGTACATCGACGAGCTGTTGGTTCAATTGCGCTAGGAGAGTATGTGAGTTCTCCTTGGACGGTTTAGCATGTACACACACAGCGCTATTGTCTTTGGGCACAAAGCAATAATAAGCCGAGAAAGAGGGCTACAGTCAGGAATTAGCAATAAAAATAAAATATAACCAGAATTCTATATCAAGGATTGTGGGGCCATGGTGAAACAACTTGAAGACAGTATAAAGATATGATCCAGTTTGGAAGAAACAATTAATGGTGGTTAGCACACAGCCTCGATCGCGCTCAATCTATCATTCTAGATGAGACGCTCATAGAAACAGCTCCAAGTATTGAAAATGTGATATATCCAAAATCGAACTCGTGTGACTATGCTCTCGGCACATACACAACTCAGTAGCAGGTGGTCTTAACTTTGTAAGCGCACATCTCGCACGTATTTCTATTGACTAAAAACACATTCTAACCTTCCATTGTTGAAAATATTTTGAAACATGCCGTATACTGCGTTGGACGGACCATTGGGAAGTTTTACCAAATAGTCAATTACATATAACAATCACGATACTCTCTGGACATGAATTGGGAGTGATAATCAACAAATCCCTTGGCATCATTGATAGGACGATGATCCCTTCCGAAAGACTGTTGGATCAACCCGCCTCTTTTGCGGCACCATACCATTCGATTGCACTTGAGCTGCAAGGCGCATCGAGAAATGCTTACTAGGAGGCTAAACTGAACCGTATGATCTCATATAAAACTTGAAAAATCAGAGCATCGCGAACTCCACTAGGCTTGATTTTGAGTTAGCGCGTGATGATATGGTCGCCGATCAGATTTAATACCAAACGAAGCGTCGAGGCCGAGATGAGAGTGTGAAGGTGTGACATGGAGGCGTCGCTGTCGAGATACATGCCTATAACCACGGACGGAAGATAAAGCAGTTGCATAAAGCTGCCCAAGAGTGAACAAGGTGGCAACGCTAGATTACTCCTTATATGCTATGGAGTTACTACAAAACATTTACTACACATCAGTGATTTCTTTGATCATTGAAGAAAATTTACGAGATTGGCAGCGCCAAGTGGACGACTAATTTGTATGTCTAATACTGCTTGGCTTTGCCCGACTCGTAGCTTGTCAGCTGACCGGAGATCGGCTCCGCTCATCGCGGACACTTTCCCGGAAAGCCAAGTAACAAAAAATCAATTTTGAGAGTTGCAAAGCAATTAATCGTGCCAAAACGCCACTTGCGAGCCGAGCATAGTTAGACGGAGGGCATGTTACTTTCACCCAAATGTTGAATAATTATATGCTTGACACGAGCTTTGCAACAATTGAAGCGTCCTTGTCGTATATTCATTCCCGCTAACCTGGTTTAGACCAAACAAAAGCACGTCATTTGTGCTTGCTGTTGCATTTGCTCCACTAAAATTCGTTTATTTCCAAACGGGCTTGATAAGATAAACACCATAGCGCCTTCTCCGTACGTCGGCGGTGACACTCACATCAGCGACACATTCCACAGGACAGCAACTGGGACTCCTGTCTCGAAACACCTGATCCTCGAGAGCGCCAATTTTCACTATCGTGTTTTTCCTTTTTTTTCTTTTTCGTAAGCACAGCTTGACAGATCAATCCCACCGATCAGCTAAGGAGAGCGCGGGCAGGATGGCGGACGCTGCTGAGGATGTGTTGGCCCACCAGGGCGCTGTCTGGAAGGACCTGTTCTCTGGTGCTGTTGGTGGTGTTGCGCAGGTCTTGATTGGTAAGTGATTGTTCTTCATCAGTTGTTAGTGATGGCGGTGGTGTACAACTATGTAGCACAACAATGTCAGAACCGATAACCTCAGCGTAACATCTCTTGCTGGGTTGAGAAATTCAGGAGAAGCTAAAGAAAAGGATCACAACGCTGTTCTTGCCTCAAAGTTAGCGACTCCATTGCATGAACGGTACAGGGCATTGTTGCATCGTCATTTCGGGCTGTATGGAAGGCCGTCTTGAATAGTGGTGCTGGATTTCTGTCGTCACCATGAAATTTACTCGAGCAGTAAGACTAACAACTCTCTAGGCCAACCTTTCGACATTATCAAAGTGCGTTTGCAAACAAGCACACAGTACAGCGGAGCCGCAGATGCCGCAAAGGCCATCTGGACCAAGGAGGGACCGCTCGCCTTCTACAAGGGCACGCTGACGCCCCTGCTGGGGATCGGCGCCTGCGTGTCGGTGCAGTTCGGCGGCTTCGGCTTCGCGAAGCGATACTTCGAGGAGCGGAACGCGGCGGCCGGCCGGCCCGGCAAGGACCTGAGCTACCTGCAGTACTACTACGCGGGTGCGTTTGCCGGCGTGGCGAACAGCGTCATCTCGGGCCCGATCGAGCACGTGCGCATCCGCCTCCAGACGCAGCCGCACGGCGCCGCGCGTCTGTACAGCGGGCCTCTGGACTGCGTGCGCAAGCTCAGCGCCCACCAGGGCGTGCTGCGGGGTCTGTACCGCGGCGAGGCCGTGACGGTGATCCGCGAGGCGCAGGCCTACGGCGTCTGGTTCCTGGCCTTCGAGTACATGATGAATGCGCACGCCGCCAGGAACAAGATGGAGCGCAAGGAGATCCCGCCCTATATGGTCGCGTTCTACGGTGGGCTGGCTGGTGAGGCGCTGTGGTTGGGGTCGTACCCCTTCGATGTCATCAAGAGCAAGATGCAGACGGACGGTTTCGGAAGTACGCAAAAGTACAAGAGCATGCGGGACTGCTTTGGTCAAACTTGGAAAGCGGAGGGTATGAGGGGTTTCTGGAAGGGTATCGGCCCTACCTTGCTCAGGGCTATGCCTGTGAGTGCCGGCACTTTTGCGACTGTCGAGTTGACGCTGCGCGCTATCAGCTAGACGGCAGAGTTACGAGTTGTTGGGATGTGCGGAGAGGTGGACAAATATAGTTTAAAAAAAAACTGCTATGCAGCATCTACATGGCGTTCACTGGAAAAGTTCGCCGGAAAACGGACTTTTACTTTCTACAAATAGAATCAAAATGGCACTTGGTTTCATCTTTCATTAGGCTCTGTGATGAGAATCGCTATACGCTGTTCTCTACCCTGCTCTGCAAGATACGTCTCGCATTGCCAGGCTCCAGGGTCTCAATGCCCAGTTCCTCGAGCACCTTCCTTGCCTCTGCATTGTCAGTGAAGATCCGGTCGCTCGCCTCCTTAAGTGTGAGACCGTCGTCGGCCTCCAGCGGAAGACTCAAGAGTTGAGCACCCTCCTGCAGCTGTGTCATTGCTATCGAGCCGTCCGGGATGTGTCGATCGACCAAAGAGAAGATAGCCTGAAGGTCTTTGACGAATTGGTTCGCACCCAAAGTGGTAAAGCTATGGCGGAGCAGGACGTTCGACCATATGTGATCCTGGAGGCGCTCCAGTACATCACGCCACACCTTGCGGTATACGATGGTACTTAGAGCTAGCTCTAGGAAATTGAGATTTCGTTTGAGAATCTGTCAAGTTGTCAGCAATTGCGCGAACACTTCGAGATTATTCTGGCCTACCCGGAGAGGTTCATCAAGCTCTGCAGTGACACTGAGTAGCGACGAGTCTGATTCGCCATTGACGATAGACCATTGCGCCGCGGACAGATAGGGGCGGAAAGCAGTGTTGTGTGACTCAGTCAAAGCGTCTATTAGGAAAGCCTGCGCGCGATCCCGACGCTTGCTGTAGAACTTGATGGTCTCGTCGAAGATAGTTCCAAGATCATCAGAGTCGATCTCAGAAGAAGTATGATCCTTGACGTGGTTGTAGCTCATGCCGCCGACGACATTATCCTGATCATCCACCTGTCTTACACGGTTTTTGAGCTCTTCCCACAACAGCATGAAGAACTATCACAATTAGCTCATATAAGCCGCTTGGCAAGGAAGGAACTTACTTCTTCATTCCCCCATGCCTTTAATGTGTTTATGACATGATCAGAACTTCCCAACACTTTGCATAGTGTCTCAAAGGCACCCGTGCCCTCAAGGGCTGCCAGTTGGTCTTTTGAGACCCCCTGCAGAGTTCGAGCAATGTTGGATGTCAAGGTAGCATATGCTTCCAAGGAGTCAACGAGTCGGGCATGGTAAGAGTCCAGTATCTCTTGCTGTATGTCAATCAAGAAGCGAACTTTGTGTGGTAGTCTCTGAATTCGTTTGTACTGGGCTGTCACCGACTTTAACAAATCCATGACACGGACGGCGCCGTATGTGGGCTTCATTTTGCCCTTTCCGCTATAGTCGTAGTCAATCTGTCGAGCATCCGGGGCATTCAGAATAGTATGAAAGCGCTCCAAGGCAAAATCTTTCTCGGCTTGCAACCAATCTCGGAAGTGCTTGTCCAGAACTTCAGAAGTCAGGCCAGGCCACCCTTCTGGCGCATTGCCTCCACCATAATCGAATCTTGTTCGAATTGTCTCGTCAAAGGTCATCAGCTGGTCCATAAGACTGCTGAAGTACTGAGGGTTTTTCAAACCGTACTGGACCACGGCATCAACCTTCTGCCTCATGATGGGCATGAGAGAAGTGATGAGTGCACAGGCAGGGTCAACATATACAGCCTGGCCAGCCGCCTTCGTTCCATCAAAGCGCGGTTTCAAGAGGTGGCCCAGGTTTTCACGGAAGAAGTCCTCCCACTTCTCAACCAATTGTAAGAAGCCAGGCACGCAGAAATTCCCGAATGCTTGTGGCGTGCTTGTCGGAGTGTCGCCCATGAACTGGAATCGAAACCACTGCACAAAGGGCTTAACCATGACGTCGATCGGAAGCAAGCTCACAATGCCTTCTGAGTACAGAATCTCAGGAGTCTGTAGGTCAACAAGTTTTTCAAAGCACTGAAGCCATTCGGCATCCATCTCGGCTTGAACATCGACCCCTTGCGGCCAGTTGCGCTTTCTTAGCACGGCCTCCATCTCCTCGGACATGGTCTTCTTCATCTCATCCCATAGACTCTCCGTGATCGCTTCGACATAGGTGACCAGATGCCCAGCAGCCTCATCAGCAGGACCTTGTAGTTCTCGGAGTCGGATAGAAAGTTGCTTCAATCTAGTATAGGGTTCCAAAGCCGCTTTCGGGCTACTGGGCAGATGCAACCTCGCCTCGGACCTCATGTTTTCCACGTCCTGCAGTAGAGAGACATATTGATAGGCAAGCTCAACCTTTTTCAGCTGTCTCATAGGAGGCTCGAGCCGCCGGATTGCCTCGTCAGGGGCGTCGGATGCTGCGACGATCTGCAGGCGTACGTCGATGCTGTGTTGTAACTGTTGGAAGTCCTCGATCTGTCTTGCAAGACCACCTTGGCGATCCTCGGCGGAGCGGCGCACCTCCTCGAGCTCTTGCGTGGCATCGTCAAGTTGAGACTGGAGCTGGCTGCGTTGTTCCTCTACGCTTGCCAACAGGCTGTCCAGATTGTCGAGGTCGGTGGTGGATTGCAGCTTGTCGTCAAGGTAGTCTTCCAGGCGTATGTCAGGCTCCATGGACTGAGCGCGGGTTAAAGTGAGAGACGCCATACACGGCGATCAGTAGCTTGTTCTTGAAACTAAGTTGGTGGTTGTGCAGGTACAAAAGACTGGGTTGATTGGGACTGTTGCAATAGAAGCTTGTTTACTATTATTGTTATTACTACTAACCTGCTGGACTACGGCGAACTCGCTTGCGGCAGCTAACTGAAGCGGCGTTCGTGGCATGATGTAAAACCTTAGTGAAGTGGGGGGTGGGCTTCAATTTGATACCTTATGTATACACCGTTAGATGCATATATATGGCTGTCGCTCCTTCGTGAACGTGAAACATGAATGAACATTGTATATGTACACATATGTAAACACTTATTCTATTTACGCGAGGTGAGAACATCTGGTAATTTATACGAAAATAGGTGTGCCGGATGATGCAAAACCACCTTCTGCTACTTTTGCAAGCCTGCGAAATAGTTAATTGACACATGTGAGATGACTGGGATCCCCCACAGTGGCAATCACAGTTTCAATGGTCATTAAGCGTAGCACAGGGAGGCAACATGGAACATTTATACATAAGTTATGATTTGCAAGGAATATTCAGGTTTCCTGCATAGCCAACCTAGTGCCTGTAAAGCAAATGCATTTTATAGTGGTGATTGGTTAATGTTGGTGCCTCTAACAAACAAACTGAGAGTGGGGTCTGAAGCGGTAGGTTTTCCCAAGGGTCACTTTTCTTGTATTTCCGATAATCTCACGAGCAAATAGATGCATATGCCTAACCAATGCTCAGCAGTCTGCACACACTCCAGCTTCTAACCCAACCTAGGCAATCGCATGAACGCGACAGCCAATCTCATACAACTGGGGAAACTAAGCAGCAACCACTTTCAGCCCACCGAGCTTTAATGCCCATCGCCTGCTTTGTCACCCTTGAAATCCTGTAGATTTTCGCAGCAAACATGGCCGACGCGCAAGAGCTCCTCGCCTTTGCCAAGGATTACTCCAGCAAGAACATCGATCTGTACCAACTACTAGACATCGACTCCCTCAAAGCAACAGATGCGAACGAAGTAAAGCGCGCCTACCGAAAAGTCTCCATCAAATACCACCCCGACAAGCTCGGCGACAAGTTCGACCCAGAGAAATGGCAGCTCCTCGAGCGCGGCCGCGATGTCCTCATGGACAAGCCAGCCAGAGACGCCTACGATGCAGCCCGTAGCGCGACCCTCAGAGAGCAGGAGCGTAGGAAGACCATGAATGCGAAGAGACAGGCCGCCATCGACGACCTCGAGGCCAGGGAGAGGGGCGAGGACCCAAAGAGGCAGCGGAGAGAGGAGAATAGCGGCATCAACGCCGCAGAACGCCAGAGTTTGTACGAACAGGGAGCCCGCCGTATGGAGATGCGCAAGCGCGAGTTGGCTGCAGCCGAGGAAAGGGAGCGCTTGAACAAGCCACACCAGGAATCAATGGAATCAGTATCAGCAAGGCAACCTCAGCCGAAACTGCATCAACAGACTCCCCCCGTTCCAGCTTCGCCATCAGTCCAGAACGATGAGGACGACCCAGAGATTGCAGCACTTCAGAAGAGAATCCGAGAGGCGCAGGAGAAGAAGGCGGCAAAGGCCGCGAGGAAGGCTGATAAGGCGGCACGAAAGGGTGGCGAACAAGTGCCACCAATCGTCCCAGGACCACAGGCTCAAGAAACACCTATCAAGAACCCCATAACTACCACAACAGAACCACAGGCTGACACAAAGAAGGTGTTTTCGTTCACTACCCCTGCCACCACTGCGACGACATCGACAGCGCCAAAGAGCGACTGGGCCTCCATCAAGGAGAGGTTGAAAACTGCACAAGCAGAACGAGAAAAGCGCAAAGCCGAGCAGGCCGCATCTACTGCCGCATAATGACACGATATGAACGTGCCGATTCCGTAGTTTAATATATGATACCCAAATCTTGCGGCAGAAATAGTACGTAACAACCCGTCTCATTGCATGTTCTATGATTTGATTTCTATTCAATATTTCCAGATCGCCGTTGAAAATTACTACTGCATCACTACTGGGTACTACTCAGCCACCACCGGATCAGGGTATTATACAGTTCCTTGCTCATATAATACTGGGTTGAACAGCCCCGCTGGCACCAACTTGACGAGTGAGCCAGTCTTCGCATACATGCTTGCTTGTCTGCCGCTAGGGGAATGAAAATTAAATCTACTTCAACCACCTCCAAGTCTGTCTGGACCACCGCCTGACAACATGCCAAGTATCGTGCGCAGCTCTTGTGGCCTTGAACTTGGCGCTCGATGTGTCTACCGTGTTGGCAGCAGCCTGGTGCTCGGCTGCCCAAGCTGCCCACTCCTCAGGTGCAGATGTGCCACCAGGCAAGCTATTGAAGTACTCCCAACCAGCAACACCACCAAACTCGGGGTACTCTGTAACAAGATCCTCAATGACACCCCCCGAGGTGGCGAGTGCCACAAACCCGTTGCCGTTGGCACTGTTCGTCAGCAGGCCCAAGACAACTTTGTCCGCGGGGAACCCGGAGTCGACGATATCTTGGTAATCTGAGGTAGAGCTCGCACTTCCGAAGCCAGAGTAGAACTGCGCGTTGTAGAAGTCGATCTCGCCACCGCGCTGTGCCTCGAGATCCGTGTAGCTGAACCCGCTGAGGTTACCGCCACCTTCCTGCAGCGCCGAAGCCACAGGCGCGAGCGTGATGACAAAGTCGTCACCGAAGTCCGAGTTCAAGCGGTCGATGAGCCGGACAATGCCGCTGAGCGACATGTCCTCCTCCACGTCGAGGTCGAGACCCTGCAGGTTGTACGTCCCGATCGTCTCCTTGAGCGGGCCGTAGTACTTCTCAAACTGCTCGTCGTCGCCGTCCAGGCGCGTGAACGAACCCGCCGCGGCACCGCCGAGCATGCCCATCACGGTGACGCCTTGGCTCTGTAGAGTTGCGACATCGCTCCACACAGCGTCAAATCTCGTGTTGTTCGGCGGAAAGTCGTTTAGATGGATTCCGTCCGTGTCGTCCAAGTGAAGTGCGGAGACGAGAACATGAGTTACCGCGATGGGTGCGCTCTCCACCAGGGGTAGCAGTGATATGTGGCTGTCTGCCGAGCTGTTGAAGTTGGTTGTCTGATAATAGATCACTACACGGTGGTTGTCCGATGCCGCCTCACATGTGATAGGCAGGAGGAAGGGGAAAAGTTTGACCAGCAAGGTCGTGGCACTACAAGATAGCTTCATCTTTGAGATACCTGGCTGGGGTCCAAAACTCTTGCAAGAAATGAGTGCCTGTACAGGATTAAATAAACGAAGAGATATGGTGAAGGTACCTCAATCATACTTGGCGATCTCTGCCGTTACATACCTATGTCTAGAAACAATGAACGGACCGTAGGATGGTGAACCCAGTCGACTAGCCCCAGTAGTTGATCAGGTTGTGAATCAGACTTACTTACTAGTCTTGGTAAATCAGCATGTTTATGAGACGAACTAGCTTGACTTGTGGAATGCGGCCGGGCTTTTGGTTGTCGAGCCGGAGCGTGAATGTCATTGTGGTTGTGCCATCCATGACAGCAAGCAGCACTCGCATGCGTTGTGCACTATTTCGAAGGATCAGTGGAGACAGTCCGCTCTAAGCCCAAGCGCCCCGTTCGTAAGAGCGAATAAGCAGCTACGCCCTGCCATGAAAATCCCCAGTTGAAAACTCAGGAGGTGTATTCCCTGCTGTTTGTTCCCAGAAAGCTAGGATTACTTGGCTTTGTATACGGTGCCTGCAGTCTTGCGTCCGGGGGCAGATACATGTCAGCATCCCCGTGGTCATACCATGTGAATATGTATGGGCTGAGGTAGCAGCGATGCCGGCTCAGCGCCGCGAACGAAACGTTGCAATACAAGTATCCAGTCGGAAGGGGTTTCAAAGCCTAATTCATGGAAACATGGTCAATCACGCCGAGTGTGAATCATTGGCCCAAGACGGAGATCCGCTTGCATCTGCAAGTCTACCCCAGATTCAATGGCTTCTTTTCGACCTGCATAATCTGGTAGTGATCGGCAAGTCACCAATATCGCTGAAAACATGTACACAGGCAGTGTGAAATATGATGAATTGCTCATTTCAACCACGGCAATGGCAGTCATTTGAGTTTCCTTTCCCTAATTTAAGTCGGATTGTAAGCGCGTTCTCTATTGAGTGGTCCACCACAAGATGTCTAAATTTAGACGGGATCCATTGGGGCTGGTAAATGGTCTCCGAGAAATAAAGCTTGGTGCTGCTTGGGTCTTAAGGCGTCTAACAAGCAGTTCAGCAAGGCGACACCTGGAACCGGGAGGATTAGCAGGCCGGATATTAATGCTGCGTTTTGATACCGTACTCTACAATGAAAGTCGTGTTTGAGAGCCAATATGTAAATAAGTGCTGCCAACATCATCTAGCTTTACTGTTCTGCCCGGTAATAGCAAGCAAACAAGCCTAAGCCCTTCCAGCCAGCTGGCTTAATGTGGTGGACAGCTGCGAGTTCACTTCGGCGCGGTTGCTTAGGTAAAGTCCACTTCTGGTGAGACAGTGGGCCCTCAGAAAGTATTCTATGCGTCATCGCAGCATGTAGGCAGCAGGTCGTCACAAAGAGCCTCATGATAAAGAAATTTCGGTCTCAAGTCGCAACACGTGAGATGTTCGAAATTTGTTGGCTTAATCACTGATTGACGCGTAGTGCCCCGACAATAGATACCTGTTTCGCTCTGTTCTGCTTCGTTCTGTTCTTGAATTTCTTAGTTTGCGTTCCTAAATTCTGTCACCTTATCCAGTTCAGTTCCATGGATCTGATTAACCTTCTTTTTGCAAGTCAACGCGCCGTCGCCAACTTATTACATCACAATCTTGGCATATACAGCCAGCAATAGAGATCAAAGTTCCACACCAAACCAACTGGACAACACTCACGACGCTATGGATGGTGTCACAACTGGGTCACCTCCAAGCACAGATCGTTCTGACTTGATTGCTGAGCAAGCAGTTGCGCCTGCGTCTGCATCTGTACCTGAAACCGACGATGGCGACGTTGATGTCCTTGACGAGCAGGCCGCACTTCGTGGGCTCACTGCAAATGTGCGGGACCAAGATGATTTAGAACGAGACATCACCTATCAGGCAAATCTAGCTCTCATTGATGCCGAAGATGAGAAAGACCAGAAGCGCATTGAACGTGTTGAAGCGAATATCAGAAAGTTCGAGTCGCAGAAGAAAGCACAGCAGGAAAAGTTTCGAAAGGCTATCGGCAGGCCCGAGGTCAAGACGAAAATACGTCAAGAACTTGCGCACCTCGATGCGGAGATAGAACTTGCATCGAAAGACATCGCTGATTTTCATGCTCGCATTGAGCAACGACACCAATCCCAGAGTGACGGTACTGATCTGGTCCAAGGTGGCAACAAAAAGCTACCCAACGAGACTCATCGCGAATTTTTGATTAGAACGGGCAAGATTACCCCATTTGCCAACATAGGTGGACCTCGACCTGCCGGTGTCGAGGGAGAACTGGCAAGTGCTCTTGTCGATGCAGAGGACGAAGCTATTGCCGAGGACCTTGAGGAGGCTGCAACACATGGGCCCCGTTCTCACCGAAATCTTCGCGCACCTGGTTTTGCTGACGCCGAAGATGTGCATACTACGTCCACTGTCGCTCAGTCAGAATTTTCCTTACGTCCTCGAGGCAGTAAGAAGCGTCGAGTCGAGCCTAGCGGTGATTCTTCAGATGAATATCAACCCGCAGCTTCTCGCAAGGCCGAGGCTGATTTCATCGTGGATGATGATGATGAAGACTCTGAGGATGACTTTGATCTTACTGAACTACCGCACAAGAAATCCTCGAAAGCAAACAAGTTCGTCGAAGACTCGAAGGTCAATCCTGCAAAGATCGACGATGGTAATGAGAATGCCTATCAAGATCGCCTCGCAGACTGGTGTCATCGGCGGAGTAATGCCCGGCGCCAAGAGCAAATCGTTACTGGTGACAATGCGGAGCAGATTGATGACGACGGGGAGTTGGAATGGTACAAACCTCATCCTACGGAACCAGATCATACTTTAGAGTATGGTCTGAAGCTGCCTGGTGATATATTTCCCTCACTTTTCGACTATCAGAAGACTGGCGTCCAATGGCTTGCAGAGCTCTGGAACCAAAAGGTTGGTGGTATTGTAGGTGATGAGATGGGTCTTGGCAAGACTGTTCAGGTCATCTCATTCATCGCGGCACTTCACTACAGCAAGCAACTTCATGGTCCTGTAATCATTGTCGCCCCAGCTACCATCATCACACAATGGGTGAATGAGTTCCACCGTTGGTGGCCTCCCATGCGCGTCTCCATTCTCCACTCTTCCGGCAGCGGCATGGTCAATGTTGGTAATGAAGACCGCATGGTGGAAAACGATCTAGGTTGGGACGACGACCGATATCAAGCTAACAAAACGTCAAGCGCATCCGCAAAGAAAATCGTCAAGCGTGTTGTGGAGCAGGGTCATGTATTAGTCACTACATACGCCGGCGTGCAAACTTATGGTGACATTTTGGTTCCTGTTCACTGGGACTATGCCGTTCTCGACGAAGGCCACAAGATTCGAAACCCGAACACTGCTATCACGATCTACTGCAAGGAATTACAGACGCCTAATCGCATCATCCTCTCTGGCACACCTATGCAGAACAACCTGCTCGAGCTATGGTCACTGTTCGACTTCATCTTCCCTATGCGTTTGGGTACTCTTGTGGAGTTTCGTAATCAATTCGAAATCCCGATCAGAATCGGTGGATATGCGAACGCATCTAATCTGCAGATCATGACTGCTCAGAGGTGTGCTGAAACGCTGAAGGATACCATCAGTCCTTATTTGCTGCAGCGTCTCAAGGTAGATGTCGCCGCTGATCTGCCCGAAAAGAGCGAGCAGGTCTTATTCTGCAAGCTGACGAAGCAGCAACGAGATGCCTATGAATTATTTCTGAGATCTGATGAAATGCAGGCCATCTTCAAGCGCACAAGGCAATCTCTGTACGGCATTGACTACCTCCGTAAGATTTGCAACCATCCTGATCTTACCGATCCGACACTCAGACACAGAGTCAGCTATAAGTGGGGCGACCCGAAAAGATCTGGCAAGATGCAAGTAGTCAAGGCTCTTCTGCCAATGTGGAAGAAGTACGGTCATAAGACACTTCTCTTCTCACAAGGTGTGCAGATGCTAGATATACTGGAGGAGTTCGTGAAGAATCGAGACGACCTGACATATCTACGAATGGATGGCAAGACTCCCATCAAGGAACGACAAGCTCTTGTCGACCAATTCAACAATACTCCTGAAATAGACGTATTCCTTCTTACAACAAAGGTTGGTGGTCTAGGTGTGAACCTCACAGGTGCTAATCGTGTCATCATCTTCGACCCTGACTGGAACCCTTCAACTGATGTTCAAGCTCGTGAAAGAGCCTGGCGTCTAGGACAGAAGAAGGAGGTAGTTATCTACCGACTCATGACCGCCGGTACCATTGAGGAGAAGATCTACCATCGTCAGATTTTCAAGCAATTTCTCAGCAACAAGGTCCTCAAGGACCCGAAGCAGCGGACCACCTTTGCAGTCCACGACTTGTATGATCTATTCACATTGGGTGATGCCAACGACGATCAGACACAGACGGGCAGACTGTTCCAGGGCTCCGAAGTCAAATTTGGTGCTGCCTCTTCTGGTAGCCAGGCTGGCCTTTCTGTCTCCGCAGCAAACGGTAATGTTGCTCCGACTGATACGAACACGGCTTCGTCACCAGCTACGGGCGCGGATGATCTCACCGCCATCGAGGGCGTTGCCAGCCTGGAGAACTACCAGGGAGGCGATGAAGAACAGACGCCAGCTAACGAGGAGGCGCGCATCATGGAAGGTATCTTCGCGCGTTCCGGCGTGCAGGAGGCCCTGGAGCACGAGGAGATCGTGAACGGCAGGAAAAAACCGCAGGCCAACCGCGCCATGCTGCAGCAAGCAGCCAATGCCGTCGCTGCCGAAGCGGCCGCGTCTCTCCGACGTGCTGGCGAGCGGGCCAGAAACATACCGATCGGCACGGTGACGTGGACGGGTGAAGTCGGCGAGGGTGGCCGCCCTGGCTCCGGCCCACCGTCCAACGTCCGTCGCGGCCGTGGCGGTCCCGGCTCTGCGTCCATCCTAGCCGGCATCCGGGACCGCCAGGGTCTCACGGTGCCCGTCACCGCCTCGCCCGGTCGCTCGTCTAGCGGCGCGTCATCTGCTCGTGGCGGAACGCCCACGGCGGCAGCACCAGCACCAGCAGCGAGGATGGGAATGCGTGATTTCGAGCGCATGATTCCCGACTTCATCCGTCGACACGGTGGTCAGGTCCCCACGAAGCTGTTGGTGGATCATTTCAACCAATACTGTCAGACCACACAGCAGAGCAACGACTTCAAGAGTGCGCTGAATCGTGTAGCGAAGATGGAGAAGAAGGGAAGCGCCATGCGAGCCCTCTGGGGTCTGAAGGGTGCTTGAGTGGTGGCACAGTAACGAAAGCATTGTCCCCCCCCCCCCCGAATGTGTTCCCTATTGGGTTTCTTGCGCGGAGTTTTACGGATGGGCTTTGAGATATACCATGAGTGAACGAACTGCAAGCGTGGCCAACGGCGTAAAGGAAATAGCCATCATAGGTTACGTAAAATGGAAGATATCCTCGACACGACCATCAAGGGTCGAACGAATTTCACTGGGCTGTATTGCTGTGGTCACATATTGTTACATGCAACATCTCACAATGCAATCAGTCACAAGAGTTCGAAGTTCACCACTTGGCAATTTAGAGTCCACAGTGTGCGAGGGAAATGCAATCATCGTGTTGACAACGAATGGACTCTTTGACGAGTCCATCTTCATTTGTCTTATCATTTCAGTAGACTAAGCCTACGGAGACCAGGCTGGCATGGTACCATGCTGCCGTTCTCCTCGTAATTGTCAGATGCCGCCTCAAAGAAGAGCCATTTCCAAGCCCAGATGATGCCGTGTTCCCCTCGTAATGTCGTAATCCATTTTCCCTGTCCTTCCTAGGTTGTTCTTGTCCCAGACCAGATCGCAAACAAATCCACAAATACCCTGCACATGTAGGTACGGAGAGTCGTAGAAGTAGTAGGCGATGCGTCTAGAGACGACGACCACGGCGACCACCCTTTCTGCGGGTGCTGTCGGAGGGGGTGGGGGTAACATCCTCGATGCGGCCGATTCTCATGCCGGAACGGGCGAGAGCACGGAGAGCGGATTGAGCACTAGAGGCATATCAGTCGCAAGCTCGATGTTGCAGAATGTGGTAGAATCTTACCCAGGGCCAGGGGTCTTGGTACCGTTACCACCGGTGGCTCTGATCTTGACGTGGAGGGCAGTGATACCGACCTCCTTGCATCTCACAGCAACGTCCTGGGCCTACGGGAACTGGTCAGCGGTCGAATCTCGTCTCCTCGCATATATGGTTACTTACAGCCAACATGGCAGCGTAGGGGGAGGACTCATCACGATCGGCCTTGACCTTCATGCCACCTAGAGTCACCTGGTTAGCTCTGAGAACTACATGATTCCTTCCTATAGAGATATGCAAGGGAACTTACCAGTAACACGGCAGATGGTCTCACGACCGGAGAGATCGCTAATGGGGTTGGTCAGCACTGTGAAAAATGCAGGACAGGTTACAGGTTGGACGCCTTACGTGACGTGGACGAAGGTGTCGTTGAACGAGGCGAAGATACGGGCAACGCCAAAGACCAACTCGCCCTCACGGACGTTGGGGCCGAGGGAGATGTTCTCTGGGATGGCTGTCAGTGGGATTCACGCGAGGCTGGACGGTTCAACTGAGGTCGTACCCTTGGGAGCTTGGGTCTTCTTGGGAGGGGCCATTGTGACTGTTTTGCGGTGTCTTGACTGAGGGATGTGAGACTGAAGACTGGATTTGGCGTTAAGAGGCTCGTCGCAGGAAAGTTCGCGATGGTTTTGACGCTTCCGGCGTGTGAATTTCCAAGCGGTGAAGGCGGGCAATTTGAGCCTGGGCCCCTCTTGTCCCAAGCAGGTCTAGCGTCCCTTTCAAAACCCTAACAGAGGCGGATATTGTTGCAGGAAAGAGCGATGAGCTGGCCCGTGCTTCCTTTTTTGCTCTCCCCCCTCCACCCACTAACTAACACCTGGGCCCATTTTCCTCAATTTTGCGTCCTGGAAATTTTTGTTTCTCTTCTCCAGCTTGGTCTCATTCTTTCTCATCAACGCCTACTAACGATCCTTCCCACGATCACAGCCAAACTCGACAAAATGGCCCCTACCAAGCCCACGTGAGACGCCTCTCCCTCTTTCTCATCACAACATGATGTCGCCGCCCCGTTCTGGAATCTTGCAAGATTGTCGTGGTCCTCTCGGCTGGATGGCAGTGGCTCCTCCATTCTGACCGCTCTCTGTTCCTGGAAACGGAACATGGTGATGCAGTCTCATGGAGTGCCACGTATGCAAACCAGCTCGATCTTTCCTGGTGCTTCTCCCTCTATTCCTCCAGCTTGAAACACAGTCTGGGAGTTGAGAGACGTAGCCCGGGGTGTTGGAATTGAAGGTCTTCGGACTTTCTTTCTTAAATCCATCTGCCGCTCTCAATGGCTTTGGTCAAGGCATAATTGTCTTCCATCGACCTTGTAACAGGCGAGCATGTACTCTCGAACTATGTTCGAGGCGTTGTCGGTTGAGTGTCTGGTATTGGTCAACCTCGAGACGTGAAAGCTCTCCTGGTCGTTCATTTATCCTCATCTCACTGATCAAAGTCATATTCGAGTCAGCCACCGCTGAGAATGTCGCACTTCAGCCGGCAATTCTCCAATCGGCGCTCAGCTCATCCATCTTTGTGATGTGATGGCTCGTGTACCACGTACTAATCTGAGTGCTTCACAGTTCCGTCCCTACCAAGGATGATATCCTGGTCCCTGAGACCCTCTTGAAGAAGCGCAAGAGCCAGGAGAAGGCTCGCGCTGAGAAGTCCGCTGCCTCGGACAAGCGCAAGAAGGTTAGTCACTACTGTTGTTACATGTTATTTATGGAGGACGATATGATGCATAAAAACCTTTTGCGACTAGACCAAGGTCCATGCTGTTGCAAATTAACCATCTTTCGGGTCTGATTGTCGAGAAGAAATAATTTCTGTTCGCTGCCAATTCGTGTCAAGCAGTAACTAATTCCTCTCAATCTAGGACAACAAGACCAAGCGTGGTGTTATCTTCCAGCGTGCTGAGAAGTACGTCAAGGAGTACCGCGACCAGGAGCGCGAGAAGATCCGCCTCAACCGCGTTGCCAAGCAGGAGGGCTCCTTCCACGTCGCCGCCGAGGAGAAGCTTCTGTTCGTTGTCCGTATCAAGGGTATCAACAAGATCGCCCCCAAGCCCCGCAAGATCCTCCAGCTCCTCCGTCTGCTCCAGATCAACAACGGTGTCTTCGTCAAGGTCTCCAAGGCCACCACCGAGATGATCAAGATCGTCGAGCCCTGGGTCGCCTACGGTTACCCCAACCTCAAGACCATCAAGGAGCTCGTCTACAAGCGTGGTTACGGAAAGGTCAACAAGCAGCGCATCCCTCTTACCGACAACTCCATCATCGAGGAGAACCTCGGCAAGTACGGCATCGTCTGTATGGAGGATCTGATCCACGAGGTCTACACCGTCGGCCCCAACTTCAAGCAGGCTGCCAACTTCCTCTGGCCCTTCAAGCTCAGCAACCCCACTGGTGGTTTCCGTACCCGCAAGTTCAAGCACTTCATCGAGGGTGGTGATCTTGGCAACCGTGAGGACAAGATCAACGCTCTTGTCCGCCAGATGAACTAGGTTTTCAACCTTTTCGTCTTTGGTACATGGGATTCTGGGCAATGTTTTTTCTTAGGGGTTAAGGTAATGAGGTACTTGTTTCTGCATGGCTGCACGGCGTTATAAAAGCTTCGGATGCTATACCAAATGAATTGAGACTTTAATGACCACCCCGAGACTGCTACTTTTTTCGTGAATTTCTCTTGACCTTTGCTCGTCGTCACAAAGCTTAGAACCTTACTTCTCTCAAGTCCTCAGCTGCCACTCGTCAAGCCAAGCCAAAGTACTTTGCATCCACACCACCTGCCTGTATGATTCTCAGGCCACCCTGCAGCTTTGCGCTACGGTTCGATAGTGAGTGTTGACAGTACTTGGTCAGATCGATTGGAAGTCTTTAAATTTAGGTTTTCGAAGGAGATGATACCAATTGCTTGATCCTTGAATGCGAGATGTCATCCTTCATTCTTCCTAACATGAATCATGTTCGTCGTTTTTTCGCACATACCCTAGAAGACCTATCCGCGCATTATACCGTGCACAAGACACTCCCCCGATGACAGGTTTACCATCATCGTGCCTCGATCCTAGAGAAATGGGAATCGTTCATCCCAGTATCGCACAAGCTAAATTCCCTTGCAGACCGTTCATCGAAGCTAAGCATGTCATACCATTTCCGCCCTTTGATAGATACCACTTCGAGACACTTGTCATACGCCATCCATCGCAGAAGAGGAATGTATTTTCGAACAAGGTCTTTACAACCGGAACAATGCTGTCATCAAGTCCGTGAAGGGGTCCTTCGTCATTGCTCAAGTGAGTAGAGGCTCCTTCGAACGTCCGAAGCTATCAGAGGCGTACTTCACTACGAAAAGCGAAGCCAGCATCCCTAGGAAAACTTGTCCTGGCGAGACTCGATCGCAAACCGCTTTGTAGTATTTGAAAGGACAGCTTCGCAATCTCTTGCGGTCTGGTCAAAATCAACCTAAAGACAGATGAAGAAACACTGCTTTGAGGGTTCAAGCTCGATAAATGAGCAATAATTTCAACAGGACAGGACTCTGTACAATGATCCACGAATATAGACATCCCTCACCATGAAGTCATTGGGAGGCAAAATATCTCTGCTCACAACTCCCAACCTAACACAAGAATCTACGAAGGAACCCATGTAAAGTCCCCTCACGGTTGTATTGCATGCTACAAAATCAATTGAATAGGTGTTGCAATCAATCGTAAAACATGCTCTTTCATACCACACTATCCCGGGCTATTGTTTCTCGAAACTTGGCTGCCCATCATTCCGCATGGTTTCGATATCTGTGCAGCACACGATCATATCGAGGGTGTAACTACACCACCCAAATACCATAGCCCCCAAACTTACGATGCTTAGTAGAGCCTATTTTGTAACTCCATTTTCATTCCAGCTTATCCTAGGTATCATATGGCCCTCGCTGTTGTAAATGTCTAAGAACAACGACAAGATAGAGCGAGATTTCTACCACCTGCAAGCTAAGGTATGCCCAGACCTCTACTCCAGTAGTTCCAGATCAATTCTTGCTCTCCTCGGCGTCTTTGGTCCACTTCATACCATCTTCCGTCTCTGCAGCGAACGCAGTCGATATATCACTGAGTTCCGACCACGGTGGGTATGTCGACTTCCCATCTTCATCGATATTGACGACCCTGCCGCCGTCGACATATTTCTCGACCCAGCCCAATGACACCACCGTATGGACCAAGTTGACGTAGGGGCCCTCGGTGGCCTGGATAGCCTTGAACTCCGGGTCCGAGGTCACCCTGCTGAGATCCGCGAAGTTGCGAAAGTAAAACTCGACTGTGACGTCGTGGTCCTAACCGGTCTGTTAATATGCGAATCTGGCAACAGAGTGAGTCGGGGCGGAAGTACTTGCATCCACTACGAAGCCGCGCCCGTCGCGACGGTTGATGGCATCTAGAGCGGTACGGTAGCTGGCGGGAGAGTAGACCTGGAAAGACGTTATCAGCAATGTACGCCATGTGAACGAAGAGCCATAAGAAAGGCAATTGTTGCTGCCCAGCGAAATGAGCATGCCTGGGAGAAAAAGAACGGCGAACAACAGAAGAACGGTCTTCGTTTACTTGTTGATACATCTCAATGCCATTCTTAGCATGTAATGGCGCAATCTTCTCAAGATACTCCCTGGCAAATTTGGCTGCCTCATCGCCGGCACTATTCTGGTTGCGATAAATCGATAGGGTGTACCGCAAGAGACGACCAGGCGAAGATTTGGTGGACATGATGCGCAACTAGAGATATATGTATAAGAGATGTGATTGAAGTAAAAATACGTCTTAGTGAAGGTGTAGAGGAAGCCGTTGACCAGTTCAGTGGAAACCAGTAGGCCTATATGTACCGATCGAGACGGTCATTGTAGCACGATGCACATATCACAATTCTCCTCGGACGTAATGACGCGCCACTGTGAGGGATTGACCCTGGAACTACTCCTGTATATTCACTCACTCATGTCCTGCTGCCAAGCTGTAGAGTTGTCATTCAGCTGATCTCCGTTGCAGCGTATAGCAGACACGGGACAGCGATTCGGCCGGTAGAACGGGAATCGGATCGGGATTCACTCCAAGGGAAAAGGTCTCACACTATATGGAACAACATTTTTCAAAGAACCCGTTTCATTCGGCATGAATTGATAGCTCAAATCCATGAAGCACTACTAAGATATTTTGTAGAGATTCTGGCCGTCCGTGATAATCACCGGGTATGACGGCACCTCTGCCCGGTCTAGATGCGCCAACTCCATCAGCAAAGGCACATGATGGAATGTCCCCATTCAGATCAATACTCGGATTGATGGCACATGAGTTCAAGTCGGATCAAAACGGCACTGATGAGCAGTTCTGCCTCTGTCTGTAACACGACTTGGCAATTCTTCGAGAAATTACGTGCTCTGATTCTCTCACTCTGAGCTCGGTACCAAATTGTTGCGGCACGTATTCGGCCGACCCAAACGCCGTTCTCAACAAGCAGGTTTCGAAACATCATCAATCATTGTCCCAATTTTTCAGATATCATTTAAGTTGAGTTCAACTGTATAAAATGATGAAGTTGATCCATGATCTTTCATTAGCCCACGTGCCAGAGGCACTGCTATGGTATGGTTCTAGATTACGTTTCCCATCTTGGATGGGGTCGAAAACCGGCAAGGGCCATACTATAACATGTATAGAGCAGGGAGATGCCGACACCATATGCCTTGAAGTGGAGAAGCGCATGAATAGACCGCACAGTCGTCTCCACACGAAACTCAAAGCCGAAAGAGCGGGACAGACGGGGGAATGGGTGCACCTTCGTCATTGATTTTACAGCTCAGTTTCCTTTCAGGTTGTCACAAATTGTGTCTACTGCCACAAAACTACCAGCCACCACGATTGTCAAGGAACCTCGCCTTCGGAGCCAGTATCAGAGCAGGGTTTCCCACCAGCTCCAGGACCCAAGCCGTAACCATTGCTAGTTTAGGGGTCGAAAATGCGAGTAAATCCGACCCGTGCCGGTCACTTATTTCGGTAGCTAATATTAGGCACAGGCCTTCTTCCGGTCAGCCCAAGGACATGGTACCAAACATACCACACCCGGAGCTTAAGCTGCCGTCTCCGAGCTATAGCTACGACTTCCGCATGTCGGTAGACCTCAACCCGAAGGTGGCCGTCGGCAGGGTGCCGTCAGGAGGCGTAAGGAATTGGATCTCGTTCTCCGGGGGCAACTGGGCGGCCACATGGGGTTCAGGGACGGTACTAGTAAGTCGACCCGGCCCTTATGCCCGAGTGCGTTCGCATCAGCGGCGACTGTGGCTGATAGTGTTGCCAGCCCGGCGGCCAAGACTCACAGGTCGTGGACCCTGAAACATATATTGTGCATATGGAAACGATGTACCTGTTAAAGACGAACGACGAGGAGCCGGCTTAGTGAGTTTCAGTAGGAACGAGCATGGCAGGCTGGATTGGGATCTAACCGATTGAAAGCATCGAGATTCGGACGCGTGGGTTCCGTACCGGCCCCAAAGAGGTTCTGGAGGCCCTTCAAGACCCGGAGAAGGCGAATGACGTTGATCCTTCGAGTTATAGCTTCCGGCTGTTCGTGCAAATGGAGACCGGCGACAAGCGGTATCAAGACAAGGTGAACTACGGAATGTGGGTGGGAAGCGGCATGAGAAAGGGAGCTCAGGTCATCTATGAGTAAGCGAATCAGCCCAAAGTCCAAAGTCTTACTAACGACAGAAGCGCATATCGCGTTACTTGATGCTAGGCTATAGGCAGCCTTCACGCTCTCGTATTACATTAGTTAGTACAAGGCCTCCAAGCGACGTGATGGATGTACCAAACAGTGGAGTATCTTGATGGATGAGGTTTATATCATAGCCTACTTCAATACGCCTGCGACAGGCTCAGAAAGTGTACCGGTAGTGGGGGCTTTCATCGCCGAGCTCGGTGAGCTCTTCCTCGCTTAGACCTTCATGGATGGGGTCAGTGTGCCCAGCATCCCGCTTCGCATTCTGCTTTCTAAACCAGAACAACATGAAACCATAGATACAAGTAGCCATGCCAACCATGCTCAGGGAGACAGCATTGCCCCTGATATATCTTGGGCCTTCGGCGGTGAGGCTGCGGATCTTGTTAGCCGGAAGTGTGACATGAGAGAAAGCATGGGCTTACTAAATGAAGGGAGTCATGATGCCAGAAGAGTTGCCTATGGTTAACTGCATGCCATTTGCAGTTGTGCGTTTGCCATAGCGTGGTGTATTGTTTGGTAACTGACACTCATTAACATCGATGATGGCTCCGGTACAGTGAAAAATGATACTCACCCAAGCCAAAGGTAGACCGACAGCAACATATAGACCCATTGCCACCAAAAAGCATCTGCAGGAAGTTAGCGACTGTGCATTACAAGTCAATGGTAACCAACTTACCCAAAGTAATGTACCCCGGCAGTAGAATCGGATATAAGCACACCGTAACCAACGACACTGATCAACCCGAAAATAACGCAGAAGATGCCTCGCTTCCCCGTATGATCCGATAGATACGCAACAGCCATATATGTAACGGCCCCCAAGAAGTAGCAAGGAATTGTTAGCAGCTGAACCTCTGCCGATGTCCATTTGCCAATACCATTGATAATGGTTGGCAAAAAGGTCGAGTATCCTACACTCGGTCAGCGCGCTCGTCTCTCTTGATGTTTGTCATATATCCGTCACTCACCATAAAGCATTGTGTCCATTCCGAACTGTCCAGCGCAAAAGGCCCACACCTTCCAATCTTTGAATGCCTTCATCATGTCCTTCTTACTAAACTGCTGAGCGGATTCAGTGTCGCCATAGCCTCTTCGCGCCCGGGCAATCATCAGCTTCTTCTCGTTGTCGTTCAAGAAGTAAGCACTTTCAGGGTCGTTCGGCAGTAAGAACCACGTCAAAATACCAAGAATGAAAGCCGGCAGCCCTTCAATGATCATAATCCATCTCCATCCGCTGAAGCCTGCAATTCCCTGCATGTGGCCGATGCCGTACGCAAGCAGACCTCCAAGCGATCCCGCAATGGCCGCACTAACGAAGAGGTATCCCACTCGCAGGGCCAGCTCTCGTTTCGTGTAGAAAAAGGTCAAGTAGACGTTAAGCCCGGGAAACAGCCCAGCTTCCAGCGCGCCGAGGATCAGGCGACAAGCTATCAGCGATCCAAAACTATTTACCAGACCGGTAAGGGTCGCGACTATACCCCACGCCGTGGCAATGAAGGCTATCCATCGCGATGGTGTAAAGCGCTTCAGTACCAGATTGCTCGGCACTTCAAATAGGAGATATGTGACGAAGAGGATAGAGACAGCAATCTGATATTGGTTTCCCACCAAGCCTAGGTCCTCTGACAAGTTGTAAAGCCGTGCATTACCAATGTTGACACTGCAATGCATTGATTAGCGCTTGCCCGTGTTCATGATGGTGTTCAAAGTCTGGTCACGTACCGATCCAGGAAACTGAAGGTATACAGAAGCATGACCATGGGTATCAAATGCCTGTCTAATTTGGCCACAAGCTTCTTCTCATCAACGCCGAACGTCGGACCGGCCGCATCATTGCGCTCCTGGTCCTCGAGCTTCACGTCCGCAACCTCTGGGGGAGTCGCCGTCTCCATGATGCACGAACGGTCTGTGCAACAATAAGAGCTGAAGTACTCCGATTGACAACAATTAAAAAGAGCTTCACTGATGGTGAAGCCTTCCTTTCGACCTCGGAAGTTTTAGATCGCAACGGTGGCTAGCGCTGGCCAATTTTTTGCAAGTAATTTTTAGTATGTATTAGCACATGGGATAAGCTTCATGCTTGGCGTCGACTGTTGAGATTGATAACGGGACCTTTCGTAGGTATTTATACTCGGGTTTGGTTACGAATAAGCAAGTGGAAACCGCTGTGGGCATGAGCTGAGATGGTTGCACGGAGTAGCACAGGTTACGACAGATGCATCAACGTAGTGGAAGTTGTGAGACAGACAACCTCGTTCCATCCGGATCTCGCAGTTGATACACTTTCGAGTGTAAGTGTGGGGATCGGGCTTCCGTCGCCGCCAAGTCAACGTTATCAGTGCCCCAGAGATACGGCAGCTTTTCGATGCCGCCCAGGGCGTTTGCGGCGTCACTTGTTATTAGCTCTTATCTCCATTACGGTGACCAAATGACATGGTTAGAATATTGCGGGTGCAAGAGGGTGGCTCTAACTAGAGAAGCGGAGAAAATATAACATGGGGAACAGCACCAAGGTTAGAAGATGGGCGACGGGCTGACCTCAAAAAGAAGTTAATTACATACCATCCAACGGTGACGTTGATTACGAACGCCTCTGACCCTACTGTAATACTCCAAAGGCGGCTACTTCGTCTTAATCGCGATGTTTTAGCATGTACTTAGCTCGGGCATTAGTAACGACAAGCCCCAGTGGGAAAATACATGGTTTTGAGTTTAACCTCGTGTCAACTCTGGGCTCCATGATGGACTATGCGCCGTGAGAGCCGTATGGGTTGTATTAGTTACAGATACTTTGGAAACACTGGAATGGGACAGAGATGGCTGAACCGCGCTAGAATCAATCTGAACCATCTTTAGAGGCCTTAGCCGTGCTTCCCGCCAAAGCCAACGTTACCGTCAACTTGTTTAACTCAAGTAGCGCAGCTCCATTATACTCCGTACGGATTCGTGCCTTAACTTTGGTGGCTGGGAATTACAGTACGTCGGAGATCCACCACCGTATGCTGCCGCTTGAAGATACCAACAACCCTGTGCTTGCCTCTGTCACAAGATGCCCATCATCCACGACATCATCTCTGCTTCCCATTAGATCTCATGTGCTCTTGGTGCGGCAAATAGACTGACACTTGACAACCGTGCGTCCGACATCTCAAATGCATCGCGACGCGCCACATTCACTGCTAGATGTCGAATGAATATCTCGGCCTACAGCCTTGGTCATCACGACTTTACCACGATGTCTTGAAGTGAGGCCCAACACAAAAAGACATGGCTTATATGATAGAGGTCTTCATACTACGTCACTATTGTATTGGCATTACTGGAAGTACTTGACAAATGTAAGCACGGCAGAGAAGGCCCCCATGATAGTGGGCTTTCATGATTGTTTCACGTGTGGCAGAATGTAACTGGGAGTTTTTGTTTGGGATGGATGCAATACAAGCTTCGGTTCTGTGCATTTTCTCCGCCTACACCATGCTATGAAAGATTGTGCCTTCTCATCATCTGACGCCATGAAACTTGTAGTCTTCCATTTCCAGGTGATACAGCCACCAGCGCGCTCGTATCTGCCAACCACTATTCTCAACTCTCAACTGGGTGTTCTGCATCTACGAGCCCAAGCGCCAGATGACATGCTTTTGCCCGAGGGGTTGCGGAGGCGGCTGGTACTCGTCATGCGGAGGCTCCTTCCGTGGCCATGGCCACCAGCCCTTCATCGGCATGTCATCATATATGACGTTGAAAGCTTCATCTAGATTCCATCTCTTGTATTGGTATATAGCCTCGCCTGCCAGGCCCCAAGCAAATGCGGAGTGCACGTTCCGAAAAGACAAGTCGTCCAGTCTGATACTGCGTAATTTATTTATGCAGTCAGAATGGGCTTCGAGCTTCGCAATCCAGAGCGGAGGCCGCTGGAGATCTTGCAGGTACATATGGCGTGTTAGGTGCCACGTCGGGTTGGCTGCCTGCTCTGGTCGTCCGCGTTGTGCGTCGATGAAGCCTTCCTCCCTCAGTAGATGGGCCTCGTTGATTTCAAGACCTTCGCGCATGAGCCGAGGAACGTTATCACACTTGATCCACATGACAGCCCCCCACGGCTGTTCTCTCCATATATCTTTGGCGACGGGGCATATGCTAAAGCAGATTGAATTCCTTCCCTCGTGTTCTCTCCAAAGCCGACCATTCCCAGCCGGTGTCGATTGATCCGGCCGCTCTTGGCTGTTATCAACTGTTGACTCTACGAAGCCTCTACCAAGTAGACCAGCTGTAGAGCCAAACGAGTTTGAATTTTTCATATCTAGGAAAGGATTCTCCAATGAATTGGGTATGGAGATCTCTGTTTCAGAAAAGGTTGCAGATGAATACATAGTTTGAGGATTATGTTTGAGAGACCAGGCATGATTTTACCCAAGTCAGAGCAGCTTCCTATATATATATTTTTTAAATCATTTTATACTATAAGTCTCATAAATTTCTCTCTTCCACAGAAGGCAATGCCGCTCTTGGTGATTGCGCACATTTGAGATCATAAAGCTTGCTGTGTCCGTAATTCGTTCCGGAAATTTTCGAAAAGGCGCCTATATACTTTTGCTCGCGTTGTACACGTAAGAGGCGATAAAACAGCGCAACAATGGTAGTGCATGTGAACCGAAATCTTGTCAATGAATGGGAAAGCACGAGAAAAACCATCAGGCTTGCTAAAGGGGACTCTTGAGCACATTACCAAGGGATAGTAAAGCAACTCTAGCTGTTATTGTGCATATGACGATGAGATATATATATTTAAAACTCGCTCTGTTGTATAGTTTATGAGTACCATGGCCTCTACGCGGAACCGCAGATGAAGTATATTTTTATAAAAACAAGTCAAAAGCTTTAGCAACATAACTCACTGTATTCCTCGACCTACAAAACATGAACAGATACTGCGAAATCGCCCTATTGCGACAAGACCGGGGCATCGCGTTCTGTGCCGTGCGCAGTTTCCCAAACACCGCTGGCATCGGCACCTGCTTCAAATTAGACTGGACACAGGAAAGCATGCCAAATACCAAAGTATGGTGCCAGAAGTGGAACGGCGGCTCTTTGTCTTGGTTGATACACACGATAAGATATTCTGATACAAACGTGTCGGCAGGAAGCCCATAGCGACGAGACCAAAAAGACTTGCGTTATCTGTGGTTCATCTTTAGCTCCCCGTCATCTTCAATCACAGAACGCGTATCGATCTGACAATCTAGACGCTCTACGGGCACCAAACAGGCACAGACTAGTCAGCCGTGTTGCCTACATGATGGGGAAACAGCCTAGCTCTATGTCTGGCTGACGAATGAGTGGTATGTCGTTTTCATGATGTCGTTCGGGGAAAGTTTTATCATGCCGGCAAGCCCATGGGAGACAGACCGATTGCGTTTCGAATCAACCAGTCATTAGAGCATTTCAGGGGGGATACAGAGCAAATTACCCTTGACGTGATAATCAACAAGTTAATCGATACGAAAATTGCTACTTTGGGCTACCACGCAGCTGCCTAAACTGGCACGAACATACACCGTCATGATTAAGTACGTCTTCTTCGCGTTTCCGTATCCTCTCACTTCTTCTTTTACATTACAGCCTTTTCTCACACAGCTTCCACAGACAGCTCGCCTTACCACAACTCTCAAGCCTCTTCTCACCACCAAAGCTGTGCCACCACCCGCATTTCCGAGGCCTCTCCCCATGAGGATTTGACCGACCCTTTCACAAATCATGGTACATGACCCAGGCGACATTTTAGAAAGAAAGGAACCAGCAGACATAGCTGCGGGCGGGTTTCAGCCTCGTATCCAGCAACATAATCAGCAACTTGTCGCCACCTACATCTCTCCAATAATCCCTTTGCATATTCGTACGTTCATAGCTCGCCTCGGACATGTCGACATACCGCTGCTGACGTGTTCCATCTCCATAGCACAGACGCCTGCCCCTATCTGTTGAAGCGTCTGTTAGTTCTTGAACAGCACGCAGGAGGGGGAAATTTTTTTTTCTTTTTCAAATGCGTTTCGTAGCTTGACATCCTTCCGACTATCTCTCGTCGTGGGCCCCGATGCCACGATCATCTAGCTAGTACCAAAACGTTTATAAGATGGGTTTATACGGTATCAACATAATGGAATCATACATCACAACTAGTGCATCAGCATAAGAAGATTCACGATTGTTGATTATTTCAGAGTTTAAAAAAAAATTAAAAATTTCCTTGCGTAATCTCTTTAGTGGTGTACAAATAGCTGGTTGTGTTGAGGAAATAGTTATTGGGTGACTTTCACTGAGTCGCAGGAAGAGGAATCAAAAATCATAACTCCTTAAATTCATGAATTTATGCAATGGTGGTATCATGGGTTTGCTCCCCTATGCTAGTGCAGGCTGGCATTAACAATAAGACACATTGGTGCTTTCTTCCAAGCCGACAAAGGAAAAATAAAATGATGACAACAGAAAAACACCCCCATCGAATGTGTAGACTGGTCAAGTTCTACTCCTTTCCCAAAAAGAAAATTGAAAAAGCTCTCGACTGTATCTCCCTCCAGTGATCAACGTCCACATTAATGGAGGCTCACTTCATCCCCTGCTCTTATAGCCAAAGGTCTAGATCCTGGTGACTCGGTGCCTTCATACTCTTCAAGTATTCCTTCTCTATACGCTATACGCTTGCTCCTCGTGACCTTCCGTACTTGAGGAGAGCGTACGGTTCTTCATCTTCGTAACCTCGAGTTCTTGGTCGATATATGGCGGGTGGCTCCGTAGGCTTTGCAAGCAATAGCGCCTCCACCGACCGATCCCACATGGCTCGCTTCGTCGCCTCATCTTGCGTCTCCTAATTGGCTTGAGGCAACGGCGGCAAGTCCTTGTCCAGACTGTCTCTGCTGATCACTCTTCTCAAATCTTTCCCCATGCTTCCGCTACTATCGGCTCGGCCTAGTTTCCCGTCGAAATGAGGAATCAAGTAGCTGCTCTTGGGTGGCGTAGGCGGACCCCTCCCTCCAAGACCGTTCGGGCCCAAATCGGTGAATCCATTAGACCTCATAGTACCTGGCGTTTCCATTGGGCTCGGAGTGTATGGTCGATGCACGCTGGCGCTATCATCTCGACTTCTCGAACTCATACCGCTGACGACACTTCGGGTTTCAGCCGTTTCCTCGACGACCGGAAGAACGGCGTGGGAATTGCTCTTGCCGTGGACACTGGCTGCGTCTTGTGCGATCGCCCGGATTATGCGCTCCGGCACTTGGTCTTCCTTCGCGACGTTCTTCTCTTTCTTCGTGGCTTTCCTGAGGGCTTTCTCGACGGTTGGATTCGGCTCCGGAGACCTCGGGCTGCGCAGGGATGGCGGCGCGGGAGGTAGGTACGTGGGGTGAGGAGGGCCGTCGTGGTTATGCATCTCACCATCCTCAGCCATTGCGGCGGCAGCCTCTGCTGCGGCCTGGCGGTCGTACTGGTCACGCTCGGCTTCTTCAGCCGACATGGTAACGCCTTCCATGAACTTAATGAAGCGTTCACCGTACTCATGCGGGGGCAGCGCTGAGATCTGGCTGCGGTCGGCGGTAAGGCCTTTCCAGAAGTGCTCTATCTTCTTGATCATGCCGTACTGTCCCATGTTAGTTATGTTCATGACAGGTGCTCCAATGCACAGGTACTCACATGCGTCAGGCAGTCAATGACTCCCAGGTAGTAGATTTCATCACCTGGGGAATTGTCCTCGTGCGTCGCTCTCAGACCACCATCATCACTGTAAAACACGCCTCCACGGTTGAATCCTTCTTCCAGCTCCTCGGGCATTGCTGAGCTGCTCTGACCCATTGGCACCGGGCGCTCGGCCTTGATCATCTGCCTCAGTTCCCTGGCCTTGCGAGCACTCTCGAGTTTCGAGGGAGTCCTCATGAGGATCTGGTGAGGATCGATATCGTCCGAGTTGTCAGCGCCGCCTGGGTTGAACACCTGCAACGTCTTGCCTCGAAGATTCTCCTCGTTGCCCTTCTTCACATCATGAACACCAATGAGCAGAGAGTAATCCATAATTTGCAGTTTCTGCATCAACCGCACGTCACGCTGGAGTTGCTGGAGGAACAATTGCTTCTTGTGCAGCCCCATCTCCAGGTGTCGTTTCCTGCGCAGCCAGTTCAGGTCTTTCAGTGTTGCACGGGGGTTCTTCTCCAGATCTTCCTCCCGGTAATCTCGGCCAACAGTCGAACCCTTCAGGTCGAAAGTCTGGTGAATGTCCCGGTGCGGGGGGAACAGGTTGTTCATGACGACAAAGTGAATCTTCTTGCCAGACCACGGCATCTTGACGCGGTGCAGGCCATAGAACTGCGACAGAAGGGTGTTGGGGTTGTCGGTAACGTGGTTGTAGTACTCTTTCAGAATCTTACGCATGAATTTGTGCTCGGCGTGGTGGATGGTTTTGATGATGTACTTGTAGTCGCGTGAGAAGTAGAAGAAACTGCCGCTCTTTCCCGGCGACCCTAGTTCGGAAAGGATATATTTGCCAGTCAAGGACATGAGGTAGTCGGCGGGGTCCAGCTTGAAAAGAGCACGGAGATGGCGGAAGACCCAAGGGGCGTAGTCCTTAAACTTGAAGTCGTACTTGGCAGAGGGTACCAGCTCGTTCCCGGTGATATCGAAGGTAGACTTCTGCTTGGCCACGAAATCTGCGTCGGTCAGGGGCCGGTCCAGTTTGGCGTTTGTCCTCGACACGGATACACGGATGCCCGTCAACATGTTATATGCCGTGGTCCAGTTTGCGTGAGTCTCATCCACCTTGGTACCGACCAAGACCTTGTCGTCGTCCAGCTCTTCCCGCTTCTTCTTCTTGGCCCGCTTTTGTCTGTATGCCTCGGCCCACCTTGCAGCATCCTCGTCCAGAGGAACCTCGTCCCGGGGCACTTCTGAGTGGATTGAGCGGGTGTTCCTACGACCCAGGCTCAGTGACGCTCTACGGCCAGTCGATCCTGCCACGGTGGGAGAGAAGCGGCCACTAGCGTATGCGTCTCCCGTGCCGTCCCTCGAACCTCTGCCTGGTTGCACCTTGGGGACCTCGAGGGTATGCCTGTGTTTGAGCTGAGAGGACGGAGGTGGGGGGGCAGACGCGGAAGCGGAGGGGGCAGAAAAGCGCTGCTGGGAGTGCATTCTTTGTTGAAGCGGGTCGGGCGTGGTCGTCAGCGAGGGCGTTAATAACGAGCCAGTGGAGTTCTGAAAGTTAGCAGCAGCGGTGTCATGCGATGCTCTGGGCGTCCTGTCACCATTGGTCAGAGGCCTCGAGGGGTTACCGTCAGCGGGCGTCTGTTGTGTCGATGTGCGCCCAGATGACTCGACCGAAGGTCGCTTGGGCATGCCGTCGGCGTAGCTATAGTATTGGCCTTGAGAGGGTATGTTTACTGTGGGGGTGGAGGAGGAAGTCGAGGTTCTGCCGTTCATCATGGGTCTCGAGTCGGAAGAGATCCTTTCTGGTGCCAAGGGCTTTCCATTGTAGCCGGACTGCATCTTTCTTTGGTCGACGTGAGCACCATCGAGGCTGCCGTCGAGAGCCGAGTTGTTGAAGCCATTCACCGCACCGTTTGCTGGCTTGCCTCCGTTCGGTGAAGGAGTCATGGTGGTGGCGGGTGTCAAATCCCCATCCATGCGCGCCCTCGGGTCTGAGGTGTCAGACGAGTGGGAAGAGGAGTTGTCAAAGTCGAAGTCGAAGCTGTTGCGGTCGATGTGGCCGATGGGGGCAATGGGAGCAGAGGTCTGGGAGACCTGCTTGACGGGGTAGAACTGGGAAGAATGCGGGCCGTTGATACGAATGACCCCTGAACTGGATGAGTAGACAGGCGTGTTCTCGTCGTTTGCGAATGAGGGCATATTCGTCGTGATGTGGTGTTTTGGGGGGAGGAAAGAGGCTCTGACTGCGATGCAGTGCAGTGCAGTTCAGTCCAGGTCCAAGTTCAAGCGAGCGGTTTGTTTGGAGACAAGACGTGACGGTGCCCTCCGTGCCGTCTTCTCTCTTTGCTGCTCCAAATCTCCAACCCAAGCTCCAGGGATCGACACAGGCCGGTTCAACCGATGGCGCCAAGAGAGAAAGAAGGGAGGAAGAAGAAAACCGTTGGCACTGCAGAGACTACTCCAAATGAAAAGCCTACTGTATTCAAGAGATGCCTGCGCTGATCGTGGGAAACAAGAAGAAGAAAAATTATCTATCTATCGTGATTGACCACAAATGGCTCTGGAATGGAGAACGAGGACGAAAATAGGAGGTTGAATTGGGCCGATTAAGAAGCGCATGCAAGAGCGACGTCAAATGCTCAGACAAGGTCAAGTCAGGTCAGGTCCCAGGGAGCGAGAGGGTGGGAAAAGTTGGCACAGGCACGGATGCGTACAAAAGGCAGAGAGAGAGCGAGAGACTTGGGGGCGTGGTGGGCACTGAGAACTGGGGCCCTGGGCGCTGTCGCAATTGAATTGAATTGGAATTCAAGTGAATTGAACTTGAATTGGGAATCTGGGAGACAAGAATCCACGTCCAGCTGAGCATGGGGAGGGGGGCTCAGTTCAAAGTCAGTGCAGTCGAGAGTGGATTGATTCTTAACTACGTCTCGAACCAACAAATCTCGAATTGTTTTTCTCCCCCCTGGGTGACATTTCATGCTAGGTTAGACTAGACTAGATCAACGTACAGTCCATAATATGGAATACGGATTAGCACTATTACTGGACCTACACGTCCCGTTACTTAAGCGCATACACCAACTAACTGTGTGTACATACATAGTCCGTCGCCTTGAATCTGACCAACGATAACCATGCTGTATGTGTGTAGTTTTTGAGAGGACACTTGTTTGTCTTTTGTTCTTTTCTTTGCGTCACATATTAATCCGACCAAATACGGATCATCGATGCTACATGTCAATTTGTGTACCTCCCACTGAAGAAACTTCGCATCACCGCAATTCAAATTGACCACCACCATGAACACGGGTTTCGGCAATCCGCCAAGCCTTCCCTAACCAATCCCACATGCTCCCTAAGCCAGGTGTCAACGAGCGGTCGCGAATGTCTACAGCGTCCCATCTCTCCCCCACGCCGACCTATAGAACGAATCTCTGTACTTGTACGACATATGCGGTGACGAATGTTAGATTCTCATGTTTTGCAGTTCTGCTGTGCCGACACCCATTGAAGGACCACCTGCTTCATGAACCCCATCTGCAACCCGTTCCTCGCTGCTCCATTGATACAGTACACACGAGGCATGAGGAAATGCACCGGGTTCACGCCGTACTTCCGTGGCCCCGTTCTCCCAGTCTGGCGGGTCCACAGCCACACTCAATAATTTCAGCATCGCGTGGAATGTGACCAGACTGACGAATCTCGAGGCTGCTCTAATTGTATTCCATTTATTGCATACACTGCCAAACAAACTGCAGGGCTTGGGGGAGTAAGGGGAATTAGCAGCACTGTCATGATCTGCACAATATGCCAGGCACTCTTTGTCCATATAGGATATGCAAAGCAACAAATCATCACTCCGACGACCGTGGCAGCAACAAAGAATATTAAATACGAAAAAGAAAGTTATTTGCACTCAAGTCGTTGGACCGACCATCCTTGGCCGTTCGAGAGCTTCTTTCGCGGTGGCTTACCCATTGACAAATAACAAGACCAATAGCGAGCTCTGGTTTATGAGTTTGTCTCTGCATAGTAAAGCCTCAATCGGACTCTAGCATGTTCCCGAGGCTACAAAAGAAGGGACACGATAATCTCAAGCGGTTTGCGGCCCCACGATTCCTCCTCGGGCAATTTCATTTAGCTTTAGACACACGGGCTGCACATCCTTTTTACAGGGCCGATAGTACCGAGCTTTGTTTGGTTGCCTCAGAATGCCAAATTTTCGTACTGCTTGCTGCGCACTTCAACACAAACCACTTCAATCCTGTATCTGGTGGAAGAAAGAGTTGCGGTTACTAAACTATGAACTAGACTAACCTTAGACTAACTAGATGAGCAAAAGTTAGGTCAACGTGTGGCTTGCTCGGAGCCGTGTCCGCTGGCCGCATTCTGAGCACATACTAACGCGGATCACGACCCTTGTGGTCTCACTTGCGGTCGTTGCCGGACCTGTACTCTATAAGTCATTTTGATGGTGCATGTTATCTTCATTATTTTAATTGCTTAGCCTTTTGAAGCCATGACTTTTTCTGGCGATCTTGACATTGAAGACAGCCGCAATTCCTTGCAAGAGTGCGATTGGGGGGGGGGGGGGGGGTTTCTCGATATCTTTCTCACAGTAAGGAATTAAGCTATGCTTGTCCGGTGAATTAACAAATACGCGAAGAATGATACATAAATGGGAACTGGTTGCAACAACATAACGTCATCGCAGTCGCCTCATAGAAGGGATCGGAACCTCAACATAAAAAACACCCAGTGAAAGAACGCTGCTTCTCATCACAAATTATTTGACGTTGATAGTTTTTCATTACGCTCACAAACATATACTTGTCTCAGATTCGTAAACTCTCACCTACCATGGCGTCATCACAGAAAGTTCTCATCGTCCTTTCGGATGCTGACCACTTCCCCATGAAGAAGACCTCAGGTCAAGATGCCGGCAAGACAGTAGATCAACCGTCAGGATATTTCCTCATGGAGCTGGCCAAGCCGCTCTCCAAGCTGCTCGAGTCCGGCTACGAGGTTACCTTTGCCACGCCGGAAGGCAAGGAGCCCACGCCCGACCCGAACAGCGAGAGCCTGCTGGCGTTCGCGGGCAACTTCTACGAGCGGCGCCGCGAGAACGAGCTGGTGGAGCGCATGAGGCGGGAGAACGGGTTCTCGCGGCCGCGCAGGTTCTCGGACATTGCCGACTCGGAGCTCGAGGGCTTCCGCGGCGTCTTTATCCCCGGCGGCCACGCGCCGCTGACGGACCTCGGCGACAACAGGGACCTGGGCCGCATCCTGGCGCACTTCCACTCCCGGTCCAAGCCCACGGCCGTCATCTGCCACGGCCCGTACGCCTTGCTGTCCACCAAGGTCTCCGAGGGCAGGTTCCTGTACTCGGGCTACAAGATCACCAGCTGGTCCGACCAGGAGGAGAAGCTCATGGAGACCGTGTTCGGCGGCGAGATCCCCAAGGTCGAGGCGGCGCTGCGCGCAGAGGGCGCCGACATGCAGGAGGGCGTCGGCGAGAAGTTGGGCTACATCACCGTGGACAGGGAGGTCATCAGCGGAGGAAACCCGCTCGCGGCGAATGCGCTCGGTGACAAGTTCATCGAGATGATGAAGGCATGAGAAATGGAGAACTTATTACGGAATCATGAACGAAATGAACGATGTTTGTCTATTGGCAAGAAGGCGAGGAGGATCTATGTATCATATATCACAACTGGCCACTGTTAGAAAATGAGCTGTTTTAAAACTGACCTTGCAGAGGCATGTAAAGTATATAAAAAAATAAAAATAAAAGGGATACCCGCATGCAGGACCACTTCCCCATGTTGTGCATGGTATTATCACGTGGAAATGGACCGTTGATATAGCTCCAAGTACCTGAACGGAAACATTTCTGGTAGGACCAAACGAGTGAGGTTCTGGCTGCCTCTGGATGAATCATGCCAAGTTATATACCACAACACTCATTAAACACCACGAAAGAGATGTATGCCATCAAAAACACAAGAGGAAGGAAAGCCAGTCATCTCCGGTTGTGGCTTGCATCCCTCTACCCATGCAGCTGCAAAGGTCCCCGACAGAGACCCCTAAACCAAAGTTCCGGGAGAGCATTACCTAAGCCAGTTAGGCCTGACGGACAATGGGGCCCATCCAGACGCCCTGTAAAAATAAAAAAATTATGAGGTCACCGATCGCCGGCGCATTGCACATCACTGCCACCCTCTCCCGAAAATCAACATTTCCTTGGAGTACTCCCTGGTGCACGAGCGGAAATCATTCATGGCCACTTGTTACATAGCATTCGTTTTTTTAAGCTAATTCTCCCCTGACAAGATGTACTTAAGACAGTGTCACGCGGCGACACGTGTCAATGCGATGATATCATCGGGTCACGGCATTGGTGGTGGGCAGGGCTGCTTGGTCTGTGTAGCCAAGTACTTGATGGTGCAGTTTCCATTGCTGGTACTCCGTAGTGCTGGGTTTGATGTAATGACCACCAGGTAAATTATTAGTAGGTAGGTATAATTAATGGTCTGTGCCATCTATCCATATCCATGCGTTAGAAACAGTCGAAGAGAAGACGTGTTGACTCGTATCATGTGTTATTCCAGCAGTTTTTCTTTTCTCTTTTCTGTAATATGTATTGGCAATGCTATCCGTAAGATGATGTTAGGAGGATGCACAATTTATTGCGTCTGCCATTAGCACCGATTTTATCACTTATTTGATTTCTAGCATTTATATATATTTGAGAGAGTCGTAAGTGCTAGCGAGTAGATAAAGGGAGAGATGCCGACCGAACCAGTGCTTTTGTTTTTTATATGCCCAAAACTCCGGTGAAGTATGTACAAACATATTGTACAGAACTATTATACAGTTGCGTCTCAACACCCGCAACAGACGATCGGGAGATCTTTGCTTGGAACCACGGAGGAATATAGTGTGAGGTCCCAGTCTTATTTCTTCTCTGCGCCAGCTTCGATAGCCATCTTGTTGGCACCCTCCTTCTTTAACCTCTCGAGGGTCTGCTTCTTCTGGTAATCGGCGACACGGTACTGCTTAAAGTATTTGACCTGGCCTTGTTGTTAGCAACGGGAGTCCTTCGCGGTCCTAGCGTCTTTGTTGTGTTTCCCCGGGGGGAGGGAAGGGGGAAAAAAAAGGAGAAAAAAAAAAACTAAAAAAAAACTGGCGCATGTACCCAAGCCGTGGCGCAGTCCTCTCCAAACTGCTTGTTCTCCTTTGCGCACTCCTTGTCCGCCGTGGCCTTCCCGGCGCCCTTGGTGGAGTCTATGACATTGTGCTTGTCGAGGCACTGGTAGAAGCTGTCGCGGGCATCCCAACACCTCTTGCGCTCCGATCGGTCCGGGACGACCGCGCCGGAGCGGACCTCCTCCTTGCGCTTGGCGTCGGGGGAGGAGAAGAAGTCGAAGAGGCCCATTTTCCGATATGCGAAGCTCGGTTGAGACTGCCGGTATTGTTGCGCTGGAGAGGTGCGCGTGCTTGAAAGTGACTGTGACTGCCGCTGTCGAGATAGATGATCGAAGCAGTTGTCGACTGCCTATAATCTCTGGGCGGATGGGCAAAAGCTCTAAATTTAGAGCTTTCTTTAGAGCTCTCAGCGGCAGAACGCCCCAGGCTCAGCAGGCGGTGTCGCTGAACAGGCTTATTTTTAAGCCTGCTCACGCAAGGTTAGTCTCCTGTACGCACTGTAGCGCACCCGTTAAATTAGTGGTGCGCCCCCAGCCTGTCTCCCAGCATCCCGGATAGATAGATAACTCACAATACAATACAGCCAATAAGTTTTGTTGGAAAGATTGCATGTCGCGGGCCGGCCAGAACAAGCTTGCCATATTAATTAAACCTTAGACAGAGGCTCTGGAAAAGGGACAGACTACATCTCTGCGTCCCGCGGCCCAACAAACGACGTAGCAAGTCTGCATACGGGGCGGACAGCAACGACTTGAACACGTCCGGCAATCCACGGGCCCGCGACTCTGCGCGACGGTGCTGAGATGAACACGTTATAGCCACGGCATTTCAACCAACTTCACTTCACCACACTCCTTTAAACCCAAGCCTCCAACGCCGGCGACGCCTTCCGCGACTGAGCCGTCTCTCTCCCTCTCTCTCGCTGTCTCTTTCTCGCTCACACCCACGCATTACATACACATCTGCGTGACGGCCGTTTCTTAAATACGCCACACATCCATCTGGTCTCGCACCAACCTCCCAGCTCGACAGCATGGCTCGAAGGAGGAAGCCCCCACGAAGCGGCGCCATCACCGAGCTCCCACCCCTCCGAATCGCCGGCCAGATCGCAGCCCTGCAGGGCATATACTATGCGGTGGCTCTCGTCCTCATGCTCTTCATGGCGCTGGTGTCCGGTACCGGCTTCAGTCTGGACCTCGTGTTCGGCTGGGGATCACTGCGCGGCGACACCACACAGGGCTGGTTGGTCGGCTTCGTGTGGTTGTGCTGCGCCGGGGCTGTGTATGTTTTTTCTCTCTTTCTTCTTTCTCCTTCTTCTTCTCTCTCGGTCCCCATTCGGAACTTCCCCCGCCCTCTACTGTTTTTGACAGGCGCATCATGTCAAGGAGTTCGGCGAGGAGCCACGGGCAACGCTAACTTCTCGCGTAGTGTCGTCGCATTGGTTGCTTTGATAGCACGGTCGAAACTCATACCCGACTTCGCGCTGACGCTACACGTCATTCATCTCGTTGTGGTGTACTTCTACACGGGCCTGCTGCCGCGGTTCTGGATGTGGTGGGTTACGATGGGTGTCTCGAGTGCGGCGACTGTGGTTCTGGGCATGTGGGGATGCAGATGGCGAGAGCTGCGGCCGATCTCTTTCGGCGGAAACAGGCCGAGTAATGACCCAGGAGCATCCACCGAGAACGGCCCTGCCGACGGCGGGGAGGATGTCGGAGATGCAGAAATGGGTTTCGGTAGGGGTAGGGGGCGCGGGAGAGGCAGAGACGGTGCCGGGGAGTATGAAATGGTTGGCATGAAACCTGATGATAGGTAGCTGCATGCATGCCTTACTGACATTACTATGGAACCAATTTTATGACCGGTATAGACGGGAAAGCGCACGGTATTTGCATTGCATGGAGTCATGAGTTCTAGGAGTAGAGTCGGGCCTAAGCCCACGGCCGAACGGGTCGCCATACACGCAACTGATACATGCCAGGAAGAGTAGTGATATGAAACCACGCAGTCTTCCCTGGAAACGTCGAGCGCTGGTTGCCAAAGTAAATATATAATGTATGACATGACCCTAAACAGAATATAGGAAACTGTGAATACAAGGGGTTGAGGAATCCCGCCTCCCCCCGTTCTTCATTCTTTTCAGTTGAGCTTCGATGGTCCTGTCTTGTTGCCTTTGGTCATTGGTATTTGCTGCTGGCCGGCTTATCTCCGTCACGTGGCTGATCAGGAGTTCCTACGGACTCGAACGTAGCTGATCCAGGATAGGAATCAAAAGATTTAGCAAGCGCCTTTGAGGTGTTGACTTGCTTTAGGGGCATATGTATCGCATAGGATGAGAGTGCACTACCACACACAGGCATTTCTAGGCGCTCTGAAAGTTTTCTGTGTGAGTTTGGATGAGGATACGAGTAATGGAAACTCGACCATGTCGCCATACGTAACAGAAGATCCTCGGAAGCAAACAGCACCTGGAATGCATGGATTTGGCCATGTGTTAGCCTGTCGAAGTGTTTCTGGGAAGCATTGCCCCAGTCGATTATACCTTGACCAATGAGTGAAAATCTATCATGCTTGTCCTTCCTAGCAATTAACCCTGTGGCACATTGTCTCGATGGACCTGCGAAATTTATCTGAATGAAACATCGCTGGTCTTCACTTGTTAGCCATGGCAATTCGAAGACAGGGTACAGAATCCAATCATGACGCCGCGCTCCATGAGATGCTAAGACGGTGCATTGTCCTGCCTCTGGACTGAAACTGTTATGCTGGCGTCCTGTGGTAATAGAATCACTCTCGTACCGATAAGCCACAGAGCCGTCGGGATCAATGTCTTCAAGCAGGGCAAAAGGTGCCATGTTGATGCCAGCTGTGTTCATCTTGAATCCGCACCATACAAGTTTCGCAGAATGCTCTAATGTATGATTCGGATTAGTGTTTTGCGCAGTTTGTGATTCTAGCGACCGTCTTCGACCCCGAATGACTCCCTGTATAATCCGGCTCGAGAAATGCAGCTCAAGCAACCGAACAAGCAGATCAGCCATTTGCACCGACGGCGACTTGTCCATAAACTGATCCTCTGTTATTGTGTCCGAACCCATGCTAAGTCTGAGGACGTTGATGGCCAAGTCGAATTCATTAATGTCATAATCAGGAAAAATCCGGGGCGATCGAGTCCAATCAACTAGTGACAGCACACCGTACACTCTGTCACGCAAATCATCAGACTGGGAGTACTCCAGCTGCTTCATTGCGTCGTATAAAGTCAAACGTGTAAAGCTTTCGGTTGTGGTTTGAAGAGACCTTTCGTATCCTATGATTTCGGGCGAGGGCTTCATTGAGGTTTCGGCCACCCAAAATCTTCGAAGAAACCAAACACGATGACACAGATATCGCATATTTCTGTTGATAGAGAATTTTGTCATAAAGGGTATCCAGTCAGTCATTGGTGAAGGGAGCCACTGCGAAGAATGACGGATTGGAGAGTAAAACCCATTCAATACGTCCCACATGGCACAAATCGTAGGTATTGATAATTGATCCATGCCGCAATGTAGTGATGCGCTAGTTGCTAATGTCAGTTCTTGGACTACCCATACTCGTGAGAAGTACGGGCGCTTCAGAAATTCAAGCAAAGCTCGAGCGTTTCGTCGCCAGGTCGACGTTCGACATTTCAGGAACCATTCCAAGAGGCTTCTTCTATGCCCATGAAAATTTCTATATCTAGGGTCATCTTCATATGTAATGTGATGAGTCTTGTTGGGACCGCCGAATACTGGCCCGAGGATGGGGTTCAATATCCCCTGATAGTGTTCCAATGTACGTATCATGAATAGACTGTCGCTGTGGTGAGGTCCCACGCACGCAAGGACGTGGGCAGCATTGCGATATATATCACCCATCATTGCCACCTGATGGCCTTTCTCGGTTGTATCGTTTTGGTCTATGCAAATGGCATCCAGCCAGTAATAGCGACTGCCGCCGTGGCTGTGGGCTTGCCGTAGAGCATACTCGCAATTCTGCCGAACTTGGAATTTCTTGCCATTGATGCGCAGGTACGTGGTGAATTTCGGGTCACCCCACGTGTAGGAAATGGCATGGTATTTGGGCCTGTCCTTGGGGTCTAATGGCCATAGTGTGAGCTCGCAAGAGATTCCAGTGGTGTCGCTGAAACCAATCTCCTTGATCTCCAGCAGGCGAATATAGTCTTCCGGGGAAGGAAGAGCGCAGTCATACTGGAAGTCTGGGAGGGCGAGGACGCTCTCGTGCATTGCGCTTTCTTCGGGGCTTCCAGTCTCTGAGTAAAGTTTAAGCATGGAGTCGAGTGACTGGAGTGTGAGGGACTTTTATTCCCAAGGTGTAGCTTTTGCTTGCAGAGGCTGGTGGCTATGTCGTAAGGCTCTCTGGCGGGCATTTTCGCCATTGGTGACCGCGGTGCTGAATGCATGCAGCCATGCAGCTTGGCTTAAATTTCATAAAAGTGCCGTTCGTTGACGAGTAGTCCAACGACGTTTACGAGAAAGTTTCAGTGGCAACTTCTGGCTGAGAATCATGTAGACGTATATCACCATACGAGTATTAGCAAGGGACAATTTGCTCTGCAAAAGCTTTATGCGGTGCTTCTTTGTTTGTCTGTATCAGAGGTGCTGCAGAGTAAGAGTAGTAATCGTAATAGAGTATCAAGAAGATGTGGTTTAGAGGAGGCCCCTTCAATGCACAATCAGCGCGCATGATTGGAGGTTCCCGAGAACAGCTGCGCCTCCCCTGTCTACGTCAGATATCACCATTACTTTACATTTCCAAACATGAGCAGACAATTTGTGTCTCACGCACAACACGTCCGTTATGTTACCTTAGTTGTACAATGCGTCTGTTGTCATGTCATTTACTCTTGTTGCAATAACATCTGTGCCAGAGAATACAGATACGCCTGCAAGCCTTGTACAATGTCAGTCTTCCCTTCGACTCTGAACGTCTGCCCTAAAGATATGTTCGACGCTTTCTTTTTGGTCTAGAATTCCTCACATCAAATTCACATCCCATTAGTAGATCTGTACGACCAGGAGGACAATTTCTTGCCTCTAAAGACCGATGAGCTTTTAGTGCTTCACGATTCAAAACATGCGCCATCTTTTGGGTTTTCATACACACTGTTTCCCAAGATACGCTCGACTTTTGGGCTGTCACCGCATTATGGATATCTCGAGGGTGATCATGAAACTCTGGCAGACGCCGATCATATCGCCCTTCTAGGGCTGAGATCGGGGTGGAAATTCAATATTCAGCACGACAGCACCTTTGTTGGATGTTCGGAAGAGATGCGTGGAAACATCGATGAACCCTGGCTTCATGATTTACCCAGCTTAATCTTGCCTGAGGACTTAGAAGTCGTGTTTGGGGAGCCAGCCAGGTGCGAGAGTGTGTGTCGGGTGAGCCCAAAATCAACAGCTTGCGAACACTTGCTTTGCGCAGAAAAGCAGGCTGAACTCTTCCGAGACAATTCCTGCGATCATCTACAACGCAGAGAGCGCATAACCACCTAGTGCTACGGATACTTCCCATGATCGACGTGCTTGAGTCAAGCTTATTGATAATGCTGATAGGATATAAGATATCCATCAGACTTTTCGGATTGTCCAGTCAAAATCAAGCACACCTTCAACCCTGGCTTGCGAGAGGTGAAATGACGCATGAGGGGGAATGCCTTATCAGAGTTCAAGAAAATAGGCTAGTCATGGTGGGCATTGTGGAGTATGATCAGATAGTCCCGGGAAAACTTGGCACATATAGTCTAGCGCAACGGGCAAGACCTGGACGTCTTTTGAGCTTCCATTCAGCTTTCTACAAGGTGCGTTTGTTTCGCATGCAGGGCCGATGGACATCATCTGCAGGACGGAGTCGGGACTAAAACGTCTTGCAGGTCTTGCGTTCAGTTTACACTCGTGATTGGGCATCTTTGTCGTGACAATAGTAATTGATCAGAGCTTTACGACAGAGCCAATAATATCACTTCAATACAAGCCTTTCAAGTCTATAGGACTCGCCCCCACCGGCTCCGTCGTCGGAAGACGTTCAACGAACCCCGGATATTGCCTTATCTATATGGAGAAATCAAACCACACTAGGAATCGGCCGGTTAATATTTCGAGCGGCGGTGCTTACGACAACTCTATTACCATACAATATGAGATCACCCTCAATGGCTGTGGGAGGTTTGCGGTTAACTTACCCGTTTGAGAGAACGTGGAGGGGCCTTATCAAGATGACAATACTTAGAGTCGGTCTGGCTACACTGCATGGAGATCAGGGGTACCCTGACCAGCACTACCGGAAACGCGCAGATGCGAATCCCCAGATATGTGCGCTGCTGGGTCATGCAGGAGTCCGATTCGCTTATACCAGCGCGACATATCCGAGATGCGCCATACCGATACACCGAGGCAGCTAAGAGATGAGGATTGCTAGAACCTGTTTCTTGAACGGATCATACCGATATCTCGTAGGTGAGTTTACCTCAACCACTGACAAATTTCCAGAATGAGGATGGTCAGAATCACGGAAGACTTGTATGCTCGAGTATATAGTGATAGGATAGAACCGAGTTCATCAGAAGGTTCCGAATCCCAGTACTCCTAGACCGCCGTTCAACTCTTTTCTTGTGGCTCCTTCGATCACAGGAACTGGTCAAGATGAGACTGCCCTCCTTCTCAAGCCCCGGTGCTGTGGCGACCGCCGCGCTTGCCTTGCTGTCTTCTGCGGACTTTGCCTTTGCCCGACCGAGCCCTGAGCCTAAGGTACCGGCCCGTATGCAATGGTCTCACAATCGTGGAAAGAAAATTGCCAGGAGTGCCTTGAAACAGGCACTTGAAGGCCGCTCATACACCAACGCCACAACTGAGGCATGCAGCACTGCACAGGCGGCTTCCATCACGGCTCCCCATGACAATGTTTGGATTGGTCTGAGCGATGCTGAGGCTGTTTCTGTTGTCGCGTGGCTCTTTGCTCAGGAGAGCCTCAACTTGACAGAGACGGACGGTGCTGGCGAGTGGGATAACACGGTGTAAGTACATGTTGCCTTTGAATATCATAGCAAATGCTCACAGTCTTTCAACAGCCTTCTCGTCGAGTTGCAGACGCCCAACAAGACAGATGTAGTAGCACACGTGGATGGTGGTGCTGCGGCTCCGGAAAGATGGGCTCATGTTGTGCTCGACTACCGTGCCACCACGGAGCCGTACTACCAAGATCTTTTAGTCGGCCCACTCCCATTGAACAATGCCACTGCTACCATTCAGCCGCTGGAATTTCCCTTCACACGCAAGACAGAGGGCAAGATTCGAAACTTGGACGCTGACTCTGAGACCATGTCTTCTGAGTGGCTATACAAGATCGGTGCCGAGATCGCCGATATCACCATGGACCTCTGGGGTGGTCAGGCTGCTGGTCTTGACAACGACACTCTCGACATCTGGGGTATCGATCCCCTGTGGCAGGACGATGGGCGAATCATCCGCTGGGACACATTCTGGAACTTGCCAGATTCATTCTTCGACACTGAGACGTTGTTGCCCTTGGGTCTTTACTTCAAGAGTGATGTCACTGGACGTGACCCTAGTCAGTGGAAGCTTGAGGGTTGGCTTTACAACAACATCTACTATGAGTCGACAGAAGAGTTCAGAACTGCTTACTGGAACGGCTCCATCGAGAAGCTTGGTGCCAACGTCGAGGGATCATGGGCTCGCACTGACCCCCAGAACGTCAGCCTGCCCTACGACTCCAACTATCCCCCTACCACCATTGCCCCCTCTGGTGCTCGCTTTGGTGTTGACTACGAGCGAAAGTACGTCGAGTGGATGGATTTCAGCTTCTATATCGGATTCTCGCGTGACGTGGGCATGACTCTTTTCGACATCAAGTACAAGGGAGAGCGACTTTTGTACGAGTTTGGTCTTCAAGAGGCGCTGGCCCACTATGCTGGCGGAGATCCCATGCAGTCCGGAACTTCCTACCTTGACTCTTACTATGGTTTCGGACCGTATGCTTTCGAGATGATCCCCGGTTACGACTGCCCCGAGTACGGTACTTACCTCAACTCGTCTTTCTATGTCTCGGAGACTACCCACACCCATCTTAACAGCATCTGCTTGTTCGAGTTCACATCGGACTACCCTATCCAGCGACACAGCACCAGCGAATACGTCTCGGCAACCAAGGATACTCACTTCAGCATCCGCTCTGTCTCCACTGTTGGCAACTATGACTACATGTTCACTTACAGCTTCCACCTAGACGGCTCTATCTCCGCAGAAGCCCGAGCTTCAGGATACATCCAGTCTGCTTATTACACCACTGGCTCTGACTATGGTTTCAAGATTCAGGAGAACCTGTCTGGCTCCATGCACGACCACGTTCTGAACTTCAAGGCGGACTTCGACATTCTGGGCACGGCCAACTCGATCCAGACCATGACCAACGTGCCCGTCTCCAAGGTGTACCCCTGGTCCAACGGCAAGGCGCGCAACACGATGCAGGTTGTGCGCAGCTTCGTCGACAACGAAGACCAAGGTCGCTTCAACTGGGCCCCCAACAGCGCACAGCAGGTGCTCGTTGTAAACAAAGACGAGACCAACCAGTGGGGCGAGTACCGGGCATATCGTGTCCTTCCCATGACGGGCGCCCTCCACTTGACGGTCGAGAACTCGAGCAACCTAGTCAATGCGGCTCACTGGGCCGAGTACGACATCCAGGTCACCCGCCAGCACGACTGGGAGCCGCGATGCGCGCACGCGTACGCCTCGCAGGACGTGTTTGACCCGCCCATCAACTTCGAGGAATTCTTCGACGGCGAGTCGCTGGACCAGGAGGACCTGGTGCTCTGGCTGAACATGGGCATGCACCACGTCCCCCACACTGGCGATCTGCCCAATACCGTCTTCACGACCGCGCACGCCGGCATCCAGTTCATGCCCAGCAACTACTTCGACATCGACCAGAGCCGCAACACCGTCAATGCCGTGCGCATCAACTACTCCAACGGGACGGCGACGGATGTCGAGACCTTTGGCCAGAAGGACGACACCTGCGAGCTGCAGTTCAGCCCTGTCGAGTACGACTTGTATAGCTACAAGGGTGATGTAGTCGTCAGGAAGTTCCCTTACGACCCTAACAACCCCTATTATGAGGTGGACTCTATTGTTTAGATGGTTTCAGATCGGCGACAACGCTCGAGTATATAGCGGAACTAAGTTCCACCTAATGATTAATGATGCAACACGTCAAACACATGTTTTACCCGTGCAGACCAAGGTCGATAGAGACTTTATCGAGGAAAATGCCCCAGTCTATCACGTGCTAAACCCATTGAACTATAGTATCTGCCAAGAGGTAAGTTCAGGTTTCTAGAATGAAGTTGTTCGCCAAGCAGCGTCTCGGGCAGAGCAACTGTCCAACAACTCCTATCTCCAGGTAATGCTCCGAGTTCCATGATTCTAAACACGTTTCCTCAAACGTTCTCTGAACTCGTATACTAGCTGTTGTGGGAGACAAAAGCTATCATTGCCAAAAGAAAACAAAATAAAATTCGGGTTTCAATCAAAACTTTGAGAAGCTATTCTCACGTTCACTGTCTCACCCAAGCTTCGAGGACATCCATTTATTATGAATTCAAAAACCACCATAAAGCCGCCAAAGATGTCGTTGAATTTGGCCATATGCTCCATGAACTTGGGATTCATGGACGAAGACGATCCAAGCCCGAAGAATATTAAGGTAACGGATAACCGCCATTTTCTAACCGCTTGTTTTGTAAAAAAAACAAAGAAAAAAAAGAAAAGAAAAAAAGGCTGTACTGGCGCACCATGATCGCACGTCTTGTGAGATGCGATAGTACCAGTGTTATGTTATAGGACTCATCTCGAGCTTTCAGTGGGAAGTAATTAGGCTCGTGCGCTGTGTAAGTCTATGAAATGGCCATCGGATATTTAGATACTCTACGTCGACCAGTTGGCGTCACGGCGTCCTCCGTTCTGGCACGCCATGCTGGGCATTCGACTCGAGGGAGCAAGTATGTATATTCGCCATGCTTGTCAGCAGAGCCGCTAGGCTTAATACTAGATGACGTCTACGCCCTGCTTTCACTCATTGTCTCCGGCTCGTGTCGTGTAGCGTTTCACTTTGTAGACCTTTTGTCCCCTAGGCATTCATAAAAGATGTGCTCCTCTCAAAGGACCGTGGAAGGATCCATCAGCCATATGACGAGGCAAAGTCTTAGTTTCTCTCTGCAACACACAATGCCAGGGCTACTCGTTGGGACGCAAACCAGAACTCTATTCGAGACCACTGGTAACTGACCGACTCCCTCTCCATGAGACTGGCCAGAGCAGCTTTTGTAAAAGCACTAACCTTCACTCTGCCGCATGTAACCCATTTGTCGTCGCGGACCACGCACAAACTTGTATGACATCTCCACCGTAGCAGCCATATGAGCTATCAATTAATCTGAGTGGAAAAAAATCTGTACACAGAAAGAGCCCGACCAGAGTACTTTCTGACGCTGATGTGACCTGTTGCCAAGACTATCAAATACGTTTAATGGTATTATTGGTGTTCTGCTAATGCTGGGGGTTACCAAGAAAATCAAGTTAGACCGTCTCTGTTTTTGATGGGATGTCGTTATTGACATGAGGTTGTGTTGGTTCCACGTAAATAAAGTACTTTACAGAAGTACCCTTCATGACGACCTGTGTCAGAGATGGACTAGGGTATCACGAAAAGATAAAATGATTATGACGTTTCTGCATTGGGATCTTGTTCTATATACGCAAGTCCTAATACGATTAGGTCTTCATCACCACCAAACAAGCCCCGTTCCATCCATAATGCCGAACTCCGGTGTAAGATGCAAACCCAATTCATGTTGGGAAACTTTGGAAATAACGAAGATCAGTCGACCAGAACCAAAACGTGGACTGCAGAGTGTGCAGCAAGGGGGGTATCTCTGGGCATGCACATGATGCCTTGCTTTTCCCAATAAATCAGTCGCACGTGTGCGCCTCTGGCCCGTTCGCATGTCGAAAAGGTGTTTCTCTCCGAAAAGAGGAGTAGTCGACTTGGAAGAAGTGAAGATCGTAAGCGAGTGCGGGCCCAACCTCATTCATCCTCCATTACCGACCATTGAATCCATGATTCACAACTCCGAGGCGCCCTGGTAGCCATTTAAATCTTCCGTGCCAATGCAATGACAAAACGCCGTGCCGTGATTCTAAATGATACATGAAATATGTGGCTTGTCTACAACAACTTGAGTTTGGAATCTGCGACGCCGCGTTCGATGACATCCTCAAGCTGCCACCTTGGCGCCTCGTATGACTCCTCCAGGCCGTTCTCCTTTCGCCATTCAGCCTCGTTCTCGGCGTTGATACCCTGAGGAAGCTTCTGGCCACCAGCGATACCAGTCGAGAACTTGAGCTGCAGAATATCACCAACTTCATCGCAGGCTGCCAGGAGACGGTCCATGTCATCCTTGTTGTGAGCGGCCGAGACACAGAATCGCACACGGGAGCTGATCAAGGGCGTGGCGGGGTATCCGACGATGACGACGGAGATCTTGCGCTTCAACATCTCGTGGCTGAAAGCAGACATTTTACCGGGGTTGTACAAGGGAACAGGGATGATGGGAGAATCGTCATGGCCGTACACGATGAGTCCAAGACGCTTAAGTCCCAGTCGCAGGTACCGAGAGTTAAAGGCAATTCGTTGCAAGCGCTCCTCACCATGGCCGGGTTGGAGTTCTCCCGTAATCAGCTTCAGTGAAGCAAGAATCTGCATAAGCACCGAAGGAGCAGGGGACTCTCCCAACTGGGTGGCAGCGTTGACACTTCTGAGCTTAGCAATGATATGAGGCTCAGCTGCAACATAACCACCGTTGGCACCAAAGGACTTGGTCAGGGTACCCATGAGGATGTCGACTCTGTTGGGGTCAATGCCGAAGTAGTCGCAGACACCGCGTCCGTTGGGCCCGAGGGCACCAATACTGTGAGCTTCGTCGACAAACAGGTAGAACTTGTAAATATCTTTGAGCGCAAGGATCCCCGGCAGATCGCACATGGTACCCTCCATGGAGTAGAGGCCTTCCACGGCGACCAAGATCTTCTTCCACGGGCGGTGGGTGCGAGGTTGACCTTGGGCAATAGCTTCACGCAGCTTCTTCTCTAGCTCGTCCATATCGTTGTGCTTGAACGAGCGAACGACAGCACCAGAGAGACGAACGCCAACGCGAATGGAGGCGTGGTTGAGCTCGTCGGAGATGATCAGACAGCCCTTGGAGACCAGAGCAGGGAAAGAGCTGGAGTTTGTGACGAAACCCATGGAGAAAACCATGGCAGCGGGCTTGCCAACGAACTTGGCGACTTCCTTCTCGACCTCGACTGCGAGATCCGAGGTACCAGCATCTCCACGGGGACTGCAGAAGCTGAGACCGTACTTCTTGACACATTCGTCAACGGCATCGGCGCAAGGACCGTCTGATTGAGCGAAACCGAGATAGTTGTACGAGCTCATGTTGAGAGTCTCAGTGTGGGTGCCAGTGAACTTGTAGGAGCGGTTGAAATCGCTGGAGACTCGGTCCATGAGGGTGATGAAGCGACCTGGAACGCCAGTGGTGGGACGAGCAAAGCAATCGTCGATACGTAGCTTTAGTCTCCGAACGTAGAAGCTGTCGAAATCGTCGGTCAGAGGCGCATATCCGTTCATCGGCTTGACACTCTTGTACAGAGGGTTCTTGCTGAATCTCTTTCCAAAGAAGTCGCGGACGTGACCGAGGGCGATGAGAAGCAGATAGCTGATGTAGGTGGTGAGGACGAAATAATAGGGAGGCTCGTCGATGATGGGAGCTTTCAGGGCCTCGCCATGGTGCATGCTGACATATCGATGGTTTGGGTGGCTAAGGGGACCGAACTGGGCATCGGCCTTCCTCTTCTCCGTGATCTCCTCGGACGAGGGAGGCTGAAAGAGGGTGGTCGGCTGCTCATCGTTATTGGGTTCTCCGGCAGTAGCAGTGGACAGCGAGATGGTTGGCAGCGAGATGCTCGGAGCGGTGATGGACCGAGCAGAGCCGTTCTGCATGGCCATGAGGGCCTGGTGGGCAGTTTGCGGCTCCTTTGGCTTGGGCGAGGCAGAGAAGAACTGGGTCAGGCGGTTGCCTTTCGAGGTAGACGGTCTCCTTTCGCCAGTCCTCTCCGTCTCTGGCATGCTGCTGGAAGATGTGAAAGGCATGGAGATTCGCCGGGGCATTTCTACCAGATGTCTAGTTACAGAGGGCGGTGGTGGGAATTAGACGGCTGAAGGCGATTGGGCGGTGCGAGTTGAGCAAAAGTGCACAATTATGCTTGTTAGGATACGTCTATTTCGCAGTTCGATCTGGGTAGACAAGAGAGAAGGATTAGCAACCGAAGGGAGAAGCAAGCCGCAAACAATGAGGTCCAGGTCCAACCGTCGAGGCGGAGCGACGCTGTTCAAACTGGGTTCTGCATTGAAATCAAAGAGAGAGAGAGAGGGAGAAACAGAAAACAACTGAGTATGCAGACGTCACGAGGACGGGCACTTGAGTGTGGCGTTCGTTGAGCGAGGGAAGGGAAACAACGATAACGACCAAGACAAAAATACCAAGACCAAGACCAGGACCAAGATCAAGGGGATCGGAAAGACGTCAAGAAGAATGGAATAAGGTTTTGCTAGCTGTTACTCGAGGTTGCACATGTTACTCACCAAAGAAAAGCCTCCGTTACATCCGCGAAGCGAATTATTGCCCAGATTATTAAGATTATTATTCCCGTCACTATTCTCGATTGTCAAATGCTCGTATTGTCGTCGATGCGCCACCGTTCTCAGGAGCTCAAAGGAAGCTGGGGCTATCTGTGGAATGTAGCAGGTGTAATGCTGACAGGGCAACACCAATTGGACGTGGACGTAGATAGCTGCTGTGCTTCCGTTTGGTTGAGGAGCTTTGAGCGCCTGTGTTTTGCTGCAAGGGACAGGACACAACGGTTTGGCCGGAATGGGCGGGCGAGGTTCGCGAATAAGGAGAGGATTGGCTGTGGTGGCTGGGGGGAGGTTTTTGTCGAGTAAAGTTGCCTTCTCTTTTTTATAATTTTTATTATTATAATCCCGAGTCAAATCCAGCTGCCTTGACGACGACAACGACAAACAAACAAACAGTCTTAGACGTTCTGCAGATGCACGAGAAATGCGCGTCTCGGCAGGTAGCAGAAAGAATAGTGACGGAGCGGCGATAACTACACTTCTCACAAATCAACCAAAGCGAATCGTGGAGGAAAGAGTTAAAAGGGATCCCAAGCTCAACTTTCAAGAGAAGAAAGATTCCCGAGCGAGCCTGAACCTGGACCAGGAATCGACAGGTCTAATTTAGAGGATCAGCCTGCGACCCATTGACCCATTGACCCCCTAACAGCAAAACCAGCACAATTTTGCAGCAAACCCACTCAGCCTTCAATCATCCCATCCCCTGTCCTCCGTGCACATCGAAATTCCGGATCATCCGTGCCACCCAGAGCCCAATCGAACCCGATTGCAATTGGCATTTGAACAATGCCCACCACTCGGGATTCGTTCAATAGGAAACCCGACCTCCCTTGGTCTCCCCTTGGTCCCATAACCACAGAAACCTCTAGACCTTCCCAAGGCCTTGCTGACAAGCGCACATTTCTCGGATCCAATGCGAAAGCCGCGAACCTGCGGGATCTGCCTCTTCACCCTTGCATCTGCGTTTCTCGGTGTCCACCTAAAGTCCGACTGCCCCCCAAAGCTTCCGAAGGGGGGGCGGGGGCTTGCAATAAACTGTCTGTCAGTTTGGGAGTGTGCACTAACTTACGTGGTACGTACATTATTGCACACATACATACTTACTTAGAGTTCGTATCACGCACCCGTCGCATCGGCACTGCACAATGAGTTGCATATCTAGTCGGACAACCTTTGCATCATACTAAAAGATTCTAGCGCCATCATCCCCATCTCGTCCCCATCCCAGAAGCCTGGGAGTTCAGGAAGCGGGTTACTAAGCGTAGGTCTAATATACCGCGATAAACAAAGACATCGTCATCGTCATGCGAAGATTGAGCCAGCAGCCGTCTGATCGCGATGATTCGGATGAAGTGGTGTGAAGTGTCAAGTAAACCCACAGTTGCCAGGGTCAAGGGGGCGGTTCGTTTTTTTCGCCTTGTCAAATGTCCTCTGGGCCTTGGCTAGAATTCTCCTGGCGAAATTGGCAAATTGCACAAAATGCTTGCCCAGGCTTGCCCAGGCTTATGTCAGTGGAGGGGGGGGGGGGGGTGTGTTTCGTTAAGCGGAAGCGGCTCGCGTGCAATTTACAGACTAAGTTGATAAGCTGTTTGGCTGTGTCAGCCATTGATTTTCGGGCACTGCGGTCAGGGCTGCACAACCATTGGTGATTAAATTCGAGTATAATATAAGACATCTCTCGTAAGCACTTGGAGACTATCGGGCGGCTTTCTTTTGACGATCGAGGGAAACAAACTCCAACGATGTTGTAGTCGTTCCCCGGAAAGTCATAAAACGGGTCATCTTGCTTCTAAGCCTCGGCAATAAGCGCCCCTCTCTATCCCGTTGAGCGTTTATTGAATAAGTGAGAGCAGCACCAAAGAATGCAAACTTCAACGACTCCAACTGGGTCCCATAGGTCTCGAGGAGGAGAGTGCTTGGAAGCCATTGATGGTGCATTGAACGGGCATCTTATATTATCCCATAGCCGCATCTAGCCATGAAGCTCACCGCTGTGAAAAATGCCCCCCCTATCGGCAATCCATCAGTTCCCAGCGCTGCTAACCCTCCACTCCCCCGTAAGAAACCGAAGTCGATTCCGCCCGAATTTTAAGCTTCGTTCGGAACCCCGATGTACAGAAGGTGGACCTTTTTTTCACACTGAATAATCTCCTTTTACTTTTTTTGCTTTGGTTTGATCTCTAATAAACTTGTATTGGGTTTTTTTCTTGAGAAGCTTCAGTCGTAATCAGACCAGAAATTCAAACTGAGACAAAAATAATCCTTTTCCTTCAACAGTCACAGAGAAAGAAAAAATAAAATAAAAAGAAACATGGGGTCCCAGGTTGCCGAGCCCCAACCACTGGAGCTGTGGCGGCACCCGGACCCAGAGTCCACGCAGATGTGGAAGTTCCTGCAGCACGTCAAGGCCAAGCACCTCCTGGACATTGACGACTACCCGGGGCTGTACAAGTGGTCGATCGAGAATGTTGCGGCGTTCTGGGAAGATGTGTGGCGTTTCTGCGGGATCAAGGCTTCCAAGCCGTACACGGAGGTAGGCAATTCTTATATCCACACGTGAGGCATATAAGGAAAGGGAATATTCGAAGGAAGTTGATCCAGCATGATACCGCCGCACGCCGGACGTGTGCTGCGCAGCAGATGAAATCAATATCTGATAGAGGCTCAAACCGGGTGCATACGGGTTGAGGATGTAGAGGGCACACGAGAGCATGGGCACGTGGGAGTGAAGCATGGCGCGTGTTCGGTCTCGAGGGCAGAAGCATCGACTTCAGCTACGGCTTGATTGGAACTCCAATCGCCCTTGCAGGAATGTGATACACCACAAAAATCAACTAACATGCATTTCCCAGGTTCTGCCACCCAACGCACCAATGTACCCGCGGCCAGATTTCTTCTCGGGCGCGCTCCTTAATTTTGCCGAGAACATGCTGTTCCCCAAGAACGCTGACATCTCGGACTCCACACCGGCGACCATCACCGTGACCGAGGTGGAGGGCAAAGAGACGACGACGACGTGGGCGGAGCTGCGCGAGGCGGTGCGCCGGTGCTCCAACGCGCTGCGGGCCGCGGGCCTGAAGCCCAAGGACATCGTGGCGGGCTTCGTGTCCAACCACCACCAGGCCATCGTGGCCAGCCTGGCGGCGGCGTCGCTGGGCGCCATCTGGACGGGGATCAGCCCGGACAACGGCGTGAGCGCCGTGCTGGACCGGCTCGCGCAGATCGGGCCCAGGGTGCTGTTCGCCGACAACGGCATGGTCTACAACGGCAAGTCGTGGCCGTCGACCTCCAAGACGCTGGAGATCGTCGAGGGCCTCGTGCCCAAGGGGCTGGAGCTCGTGGTCGTCATCGACAACATCGACGTGGACTCGGGGCTGGAGGAGATGCGGGCAAAGGGCGTCGAGGCGGCGGTGGCCTACGACGCGTTTCTCGGCCGGGGCGCGGACGGCGGGGAGCTGAGGTTCGAGCAGCTCCCGCCCTCTCACCCGCTCTACATCCTGTACTCGAGCGGCACGACGGGCCTGCCCAAGGCCATCGTGCACACGGCGCTCGGCACGCTGATCCAGCACAAGAAGGAGCACCTGCTGCACTGCTCGGTGGACTCGTCCTCGACCATGCTCTACTACACGACGACGTCCTGGATGATGTGGCACTGGTCCATCGCGGCGCTGTCGTGCGGCGCCACCCTGGTGCTGTACACGGGCTCGCCCTTCAAGCCGCACGGGTACCTGTCGGTGCCCCGGCTGCTGGCCAGGTACAAGGTGACGCACTTCGGCACCTCGGCGAGCTACCTGACGACGCTCGAGTCCAACGACGTCATGCCGGAGAGGGAGGGCGTCGAGCTGCCGCACCTGCAGGCCGTCTACTCGACCGCGTCCCCCCTGCCGCCGTCGACCTTTGCGTACGTCTACCGGGCGTTCCCGGCCCGCGTCAACCTGGGCTCCATCACGGGCGGCACCGACATCATCTCGCTGTTCGGCGCGCCGTGCCCGCTCCTGCCGGTGCACGCGGGCGAGATCCAGTGCGCGGGCCTGGGGATGGCGATCGGGGTGGCGGACTCGGCGACGGGGCTCCCGACGCCGGGAGAGGATGGCGAGCTCGTGTGCACGGAGCCGTTCCCCTGCCAGCCGCTGACGTTCTGGGGCGAGGGCGGCGCCGCCAGGTACAAGGCGTCGTACTTTGAGCGGTTCGAGACGCACCACGACGCGGCCAGGACCGGGCCCATCTGGCACCACGGGGACTTTGTGCGCATCGACGGGCGCACGGGCGGGCTGACCATGCTGGGCCGCTCGGACGGCGTGCTCAAGCCCAGCGGCGTGCGGTTCGGGTCGGCCGAGATCTACAACATCCTGACCAGGTACTTTGGGGCCGAGGTCGAGGACTCCGTGTGCGTCGGGAGGCGGAGGGAGACGGACCGCGACGAGACCGTGTGCCTGTTCGTGGTCATGTGCGAGGGCAAGACGTTTGGCGAGGAGCTGGCCGAGCGGATCAGGGCCACGATCCGGAAGGAGCTGAGCCCCAGACATGTGCCCGGGGTCGTGGAGGAGGCGGGCGGGGGTATCCCGAGGACTGGGAACGGGAAGAAGTGAGTTCTTGGTCCATTCATTTCCCCCCTCTCCCCCTACATCGCCTGAGACATCCCTGTCGATTCCGTGAGAATGGCACCAGCAGACAGGCAGGCATAATACCATACCAAGTATACGCGAGTCACATGGAGACAAGGGACGCTGACAAGAAGAAACTACAGGATCGAGGTCGCGGTGAAGCAAATCCTCTCGGGCATCAAGGTCAAGACCAACGCCAGCGTGGCGAACCCGGAGGCTCTCGAGTGGTTCAGCAACTGGGCTGCGCAAGGAACGAAAAGACGGCACTCGCAAGCAACCAAATAAGCCTGTCACGGTATAGAAATTTTGGGCGACAGCCTACCAGCTTCATGTGGTCCCTCCTTTTTCCTTCATGCGTCCGAAAGCGGCCGGCTTGGGAGATGCGGAGGACGTATTGTGAAAACGTCGCTTTTTTCTTTCTTTTTTTCCTCTGCTCCTTTTTGGCGTGGTTAAGCTTCTTAAAAGCCATAGATCTTCAAAAGACCAAGGAAAGGGGTAGAACAGATTGCAGTTTTCAACGTCCAGGAACAATGAAAATTACAGGTTATTAAAAGCATGCATAGGTCTTTTAAGCTGTCCATTGAGGAGGCTAGTATCCCCCCTCGAAACTTGGTAAATTAACATCCATGGAAGATTATCAATATCTTCAGTGATGCCGAACATGACTGACTGACTACCTTTTAAGATCATCCCAGAATATGGCAAGTGCCTTGACATCTGTCCAGCCCTAGACTAGTGTATTTATGTTGGGGGGGGAATCTGTGATTTATTCATGATGTGATGTCGTAAAATAAGTTCATGCAACGCACTGTCGAGATGGCTAATCCACTCAACAACTACTTCCTGTCCTCTGAAAATAGAGGTATGCGCATGGGGTCTATGCTGTGACAACGGGTTGTATTCTCTTCAGTAGGGTAATTTCTCGCCCAGTCCAATGGCACCACAAGGTTGGATCCATTATTTGACGTCGACGGCCTTCGCGCCGGAAGGTCTCAGCATGCGATGCTGCCGAGGTGGAGTTTCTTTTTTGTTAAACTCGTCGACCATATCTGTCCCCTCTTTGACGATAATTCTTATCGCAGGGCAACTTATGCGGTGGACTCCTCGTCCTCCTTGGCGGACGCGGACTGGGACTCGCCGAACAGAGCCTCGTTTTCCTTCTGGGCCTTGATGAAAGCGTCCTTGAATTGGTTGGCGTTCTCAGAGTTGGCGAAACGAATGGCAAGCGTAACAGCCTCGGGTTCTCCCTCGCTGACATCAGCGGCGGCATTCCAGACCCAAGATCGGTCACTGCCAACGTTGGGGGACAGCTTCATGTCAGGGACAACTGTGGTAGGAGATTAGTGGGGATGTCCTTTTATTTTAAACTTTTTGTGTTGCTCTTGTTCTTGTTGTTGAAAGGGTATATATAGCACGTACTGTAGTGGTTGGCGCAAACCTTGAGGGTCTTGTCGCGGCGCATGACGAGTCTGGTCTTTCCGTTCTCCTTGTGCTTGAGCAGACGCACATCGCCAGTGCCACGCTCCTTCCACTCGCTGGTCTCGCGGACGAACTTGAAGAGCTTGGCGCGCAGCTTGAAAAGCTGCTCCTCGGCCTCCTCGTTGGTCTTGACGTCGACCTGCTCGGTCAGCTTGACGACGGGCTCGAAGTGGACGTCTTCGGACTCGGGGGCCTCATCCTGTAGAGTGGGAGATTAGAGTTAGCGTTTGCTCCTTCAAGGGTTCGTGGATTGGGAGGGGGTCCTGATGAAGTTGAAGGTGCATGGTATATAGTGCGTATGATATATACATATACATATGCAAATATATATGTAAATATATATATATGTACAATGCAGGGGAAAAAGAAAGGCGAGGCGTACGTCGTTGCCCTTGGTGGCAGCGGCAGCCTCGCGCTGGGCCTTGGCACTGCCAGAGTTGTCGCCACGGTCCTCGTCGTCGTCCTTCTTCTCCTTCTTTGCGCCGCCGCCGAACATGGAGAAGACGGAGGAGGAGGTGACAGAGGGCTTGGCGTCCTCGGTGGCCTTGGTGGCCTCGAGGGGAGCGGCCGCGGCAGGAGCAGAGGTGTCCTGGGGCTTGGTCTCGTCGACCTTGGGCTCGGTGTTCTCGGTAGAGCTCATGTTGACGGTGTGGATGTGCCGGTTGTTGTGTATAGGGAGTTGACTGTGCGAAGAGGAAACCCGGGAGTCAGCCAGCGAATATTTTATGTTGCAAGTCAAGGATAGTGGGGGTGACGAGACGAGGGTCTCCATAATACTTTGTAGAATAGACAGACAGTACTTACTCGCGTTGAGTTTATGTGGTCTTGATTAAGCTCAACAATAAGCTATGATGATGCGTCGCAAGATTTCCCGGTGATATGGGTCGGGCGCTTGGGTTCTTGTTCTAGCAGAGGGAAAATATGCAGTCGGCGTTGCTGGAGCAAAATGCAAACAAAATGCCAAATCAAATGGAGGGGAAGCACTTCGACTGGCCCTTTTGGCAGGCCCTTTTTGCCCCCCTTCTTGCTTCTGAAATTGCGGGCAGCCGTTTTGATTAGCCCCTCCAAGCCCCTCCCTCTGAATTCGTCAACTCAGAGGTCTGAGGTCTGAGGTGAAAATGCAGCTGCAGCAGGTCCCAAGGGCCCCCGGGCAGAGAGCCAGAGAGCCAGAGAGGGAGCGAGGCGTGCCCAATGAGACAGACCAGTACCCAACCCAAAGCATCCAAGTCCACGTACCTGCCCCCGCCAACTCACACGCCAAAGGTCACTTTCAACCCCCTTCAGAAATTTCCAGGGTACACATGGGCCCGTGCCCCCTCCTCCCATCCTGACCCACTCACTAACTTACCACGACAAACTCCCAAGGTTCGTGCCAATCTAGGTACTAGACTTACTGATGCGTGTGCGTGTGTATGTAGTACGGATCAAGTATACATAGATATCACCAATTGCCCAACATCCACATACCTCTCTCGGCGCCCGGCAAGGCAACGCAAGGCGGTACACACAGCACGCTTTGTATCAACACGAACGGTATCAGCACAAACGGTGTCAGCACGAACAACCAGGTCAGATCCATCCATCTAATTACCCACACAAGCACGACATGTCAAGATAAATGCGGCAAGTATATAATGATCAGAGTGCTAGTCACTCGATATATTACGAGCTTCCGAAAGACTTTCTGTCTTACAAAAACATGTCGAGGTACCATAAATATGCGCTGCTCTGTTTCAAAGACTTCCTACTTCGTAGCCTCGTCTGTCTAATATGCAAAGCAACATAAGAGTGCGAGATATCTGGGTGGCATGTCTTTGCCGTCCTAGCAACTCCAACCCATCCATGCCATGCCCTAAAATCATGCCAAATCCCTTGCGCTGCATAGTCAACCGGCCCAGAAGCCCTCAAAGCTCTTGCGAGATCAAGTCGGAAGAGGACGACGCTGCGACTCAGAGCCCAAAGCCCAGAGCCCCCAGAACCAGGGCCAGGGCCGAAACTCATTGCACTGATACATCCGGGGAAAAAAAAAAAAAAAAAAAAAACGCCAGTCCTAAAATCCATATTGCCGACCATGGTATAAAATTTGCGTGATAAAATATGACACACTCCTAAGAACCTCCTTTGCAAGCTCCCCAGCACATGCTGCGCTTCACTTCTCGGCGCTCCTGCTTGCGGCGTGCTCGAATCTCCTCCTTAGTGCGCTCCGCCCTAGCGCGACTAGCAACTGCAGCCTCCTTTTGTTTCCTACGAAAGTGTGGGCCAGCAGCCGCTCGATATCGCTCATACTCGGCCATCTGCCCACTCCATCGGAGCCACTGTAGCTTGGAGTTCAGTTGAGCCTGGAGGAGGAATAACGAGGCTTCATCTTGCGCGTCCTGTGCTGTGCGCCATAGCTCCTTTCGGGCTTGCTCCGCACGACCCTCGGGGAAAGGTTGCTTGACGAGTCCTGCAATTTGACCACCAAGACTTCGAGCGACGTGAGTGACCTCGTGCAATCCTTGCAAGATAGGGTTGGCGACAGAAGCTGGTTTCGACATCAAGTCAAAGGCAGGACTACAGGTCTCTTCAACCCAGGCCGTTGTACCATTGATTGTGTCAACAACACTCTGCGCAAAGTCCTTGACGAGCTGCTTCCCAGCATCTAGGGCATCCACAATGATGAAGTTGCCAAAGTTGACCTCGAAGGTTTCCTGGATCTTCGGTTTGCGGGTGGTAGCAATAGAGACATCGAGGACACCGTAGGCTTCACCATGCGCCACTTCGATGATGAAACCCTCATCAACCGCCGTAATCTTGGCAGCCTTTGACGAGGTATCATGGGCTCCACGGCTGACGGAGATCATGACAGCGTGTTTCGCAAGCCACGAAGATTTGAATTGCGGGGGTGCTCTGAGCAATATCTCGTTCCGGCCATGAACGCTGGCCGAACATAGCCTTTGTCGTACGTGCAAAGCTGAGCCGGGCGCGATACTAGCTACGCTCTTGGAGGAGCCTGTCGTCTGCAAGGCAAGGGACTGGGTTTTGGTCCAAGTAACTGTTGATGTCACGGTAGATGTGGCAACGATGACCTCTGTTGCTGAAGGTGTTATGGCCGAAGACACAGAGGCTACAGGCACAGTAGTCAAAACCCCCGTCTCAGTTAACAGGTTGCTTTTCATGTACTGGCCAATATTTGTGCTGGCAACGAGCAAGATAGCGATCGCCAAGAACCCTACTACGCGTTGCTGCAGAGCATTGTTCTGAAGGTACTCTGCAGTGTTCTTGTAAAGATCACGAACAGACAGGTTTGCCCATGACTTGCGGTCTTTTGAGCGCTCCGTATCAGCTTTAGCGGTATCACCCTTGGTCGTGTCACTTGACTGGTTGGTGGCTGTGGCAGCAGTCGGTCCTCGAGCCAAACCAGCCACAGCGAGTGCTGCTCGTTCAACCTGCAGATCAGAACGGCCTTGGTCTGAGAAAGATGCCCTTCGAGAGAGGTGGGTCGAGTCTGGGGTAAACAGCTCGGTGGGGTGTTCCAGGCTTCGTTCCGCCTCGGTCATATCGATCTCATCTTCTTCTTCATCGGTCTCAGCCGCGCTTTCGTCGACAGGCTCGAATGTGTGTTCCAGGTTCTCCTCTTCGCCGTCATCGTCAGAAGAGTCGGTGTCGACGTCGTTGGTGAAAGCGTCGGTACCGGTGTCGGTATCAGCGAGGCTCTGGACATCGTCGTCCACCTCGGAAGTGGCGTGTCCGTAGGACGAGGCCGTGGCTTCGGAGTGGCTTTCGCCGTCAGTTCCTATGACCTCGTAGCCATCGGTGATGCTAGCATCGTGTGGGTTGCCGTCGGAGAAGCTGGGGGTATGCATGATGTCTGGCTGACTCGAAGAGACCCAGTTGGTAAGCCGTCTATCCCCCACAGGGCGAGGAAAGCGAAGAGTTGGTACCGAACTCGAAGTCGCGGCACCGCGTGTAGGTGCGGGTAGTGCTTGCTGGTTGTTGGTTGGTGGTTGGGCTGTAGTGGCTTCTGGTATAGCTTCAGTCGTATCGGTGATAGGAGCGGGTGATCCAAGCTGTTCCATTACGCGGCGTAAGATGACCCCTCGCTAACTCACGTCATCCCTCGAGTTTACCACGGTGACTTGGCAAATCTGAGGATGACAGAATACGGGAAGGCAGAAGAAAGTTTGTCGACGGCGGCTGATGAGTGCGGGGCTGGTATATGAGGCAGGTGTGATAGGGACGCCTGAGCACTTGGATGAAGTTATTGGTTGCAGGCGAGATGACGAGATGACGAGACGACAAGACTACGGGTTTCGGTGGGCAGGCCAAAGCAGAGCAGAGGAGAAAACAGAGAGAATACTGTCTTGCAGCTGAGGGCTGGATTCAGTAAATCCGTGGAAGACGTTGCTGAGAAGTTTTGATCAAGAGGAAGGCATCAAGAGAAGGGTTGAGCTCATTAACATGGTTCTAAGGTTCGTGCTTTCCCTGGATGCCTAGGACTACGCCGAACTGCCTGACGGCAACAACTGGATATGTCAGTAGGTAACTCGAAGTCATGGAGGGGCACATCCCACTGAGGAGGGGGTGGGGTCAGAGCCACTTACAGGGCAGGTAGGGGTTCAAGGCTTTGGTTTGCCTGTCTGGGGGGGGCAAGATGCAAGAGGCGAGAGGCTTGCCGCTTTCCTGTGAAATGCCGTCTTTATGGCGCCTTGTGCGTTATGTTGTTGTCGTGTTGAATCGAATCGAATTGAGCACGTTGTTCTGCCTTAATGGTTCGCGGTATCGACTGCAGTATAAGTTAGGTACATGTACAGTGATGTGCTGGCCAACAACAGTGGTGGGTGACCCCACAAGTGTGGTCTGGGGGGTGACTGGTACCTATCATTGAAGAGGTATTGAAGAAAAGGCGCATTCATGGAAAGTAAACGTACGAAAGGCGATAAAGATAAAGCCTATATACACATGGATGAGTGAGGGCGTAGAATGCAGCTGCAGCAACGTACAATATGACCAGGCACCTTTTGGAACAGGTTCTGTGGTAATGTATGTACGGGTCATGTATGTATGTGCAGTAGGAAGGAGCGGGACTATGGAATTACCATGCAGAGTGGGGTGGCCCGCAGCCATCCGTGAGATGAGAGAGTCCCGCTCCAGACCAAAGATATCTCCCACCTCGGGTCTACATTAATCTGTTACAGGTTCCCGTCCGAATATCAGAGGTGCGCATAACTATATTGGTAGGATACTCTGTCAAATGAGCCACCTAGCTATGTCATCTACGCCATCTCCCCTCTACAACTCTCAAGAGAACCTCAGAGCCGAACCTATTGTATCGGTCCTCCAGGTTCTTTATCACTTATCAGCAGTAATGAGGGGCGCCCATCCGCTAGACTAGCTGTGATCTCACGCTTTACACTTTAGGCGCTCACACGTCCGTAAGGTTCCGTTTCCGTGTCCATTGAACTGCGGGGTTCTATTTCGAGATACACGCCAACTTGGCAACACATACCAGCGGAGGCTTTACAAAAGACTGGTTGAAACAATGTGAAGACGCACTTGGAGCATTTGGTAGTTGCTGAAATGCCTGTGTGGTATAGACAGACTCCCTTTCCTACGAGGGGTCTCGGTTCACGACCCTGTCGTCATTTCATGATGTGCTGACCACCCTTTGGCTTAGAAACATAACTTTAGGTAGGTGATCTGTCAGTCTCAGATATGCGAGGTTTCGTAGAGTTTCGAGCCCTGCAGATGGTCACATTGACGCGGCTAGTTCGCGCTAACGATCAAGATAACGACGACGCCGTCTGTGGTCCCTTAAATTGCCAGTATGGTCTCATTGTTTACCGGATCCCGTGACGGACCGCATTGAGCCAAGTGCCAGATGGGAACTCTCCAGGTCAAGCATCATAAATACTCTGCCAACCAACAGAACAGTCAACGCGTAGGGAAATCGGCTGTCAGGTCCAGTTATTCATGTTCGCAGGTGGCCCGTATTTGCATTGTGAACAGACATCTTTATGCAAATATACCGAACAAAAAGCTGGTGATTGGTGGGCTCTATCAGCCAGATGCATAGAACTCGTGGTAAATCCAGCATGGCAACTGTCAAGGTGCATTTCCTTCAACATTCCCGCGTGCTGGGCGGTATGAACTATGTCTGAAAGACTGAGCGGTCTCTACAAAGGCCATCACAAAGTAGCTTGAATTACTTGAAGCCCATCTATCATACCATCCACTCCCGTCAGGTACAGGTGGTTCTAGCCGGGCGATAACTTCTCCTATGTGCGTGGCGAGAGGGCTTTTTTTCCCGCTTTGCTTTCAGACATTAGGATTTATGGCTTGCACAAGAGACTATGCCTTGTTTGTAACCAAACTTTTACGCAGTGATTAATCCCAAAATATATACGACGGCTCTATACACTGGTTGTGCCACACAACTACCTCCCGTGCTTCCTGTAGACCTCATAGACCTCATAGACCTCACGTGGAGCGTCTAGGCTCACAAGACTGAGTTTGAACATAGTATTCATGGACATTGCTGGCTTCATTAATATACGTTATACACATCTACCAAACGAGAATCGGTGTCGCATCTCCATCGTCTGCATCCAAAGCCCATATCTGTCGTGCCGACGACGCCAATCATCATTCAGGGAAAGCCATGTGTGATGGCAACTACCCAGCCATCCCAGTCCCCGCTCTATATAAAATTCCGACAAGAAATTCCACCAAAAATAATTCACAACTTGACCAAGCTACAGGGGTTAATAGGCCCCCTGGCTCCGTCTTCGTCCAATTCATCTTCATGTAGAAGTGACAGTGGGCATTGGTTCTCCATGCAAGACAACCCCACCGCATAAAAAACAACCGACACTCCGGTTGTGAACACAGAACCAAGTAATCGCATCAAAGGGGTATCATATGCGCGCATAATAGCATTGCTCAACAAACAGCAAAGAGATGATTCATAGAGAAGACAAAGGGTTTTGACACCGCTGTGACACTGACATATCATGCCCATCTCATAGAAGACTGTTCTTTTGGAAAAGTTTCCTGAGCGAGTCAGTGTCAAAGTCCTCGTCCTCGGGAATCAGGTCGATGATGCCCGTCATATTGGCAATGAGGTCGCCTTGGTTTTTGTATGCCAAGATTGTTGGTACGGCAGCATTGTCGAACTCAATGTCCTCGTAGTGAACCTTGACAAAGTGGATGTAAGGGTTTTCGATGACCAATGGCCGTAATGCCTCATGGATGAGACTTGATACCTCGCACTATATACGTGTTAGCTTTGTTGTTGATGTAGAAGTGCTGCCATGAATAGAGCTTACCTCGTGGTCATAGACGAACACAACAACGATCGTATCTCTGCCGACCTTTTCGATGGCATCGAGATATCCGAGAGCGTCAACGGTGTCCATGCGGCCGAACGTGCGCAGACTTGGACTAGTCCTTCGGTTCCGCATACCGTTCTTGGTCTCTTGCTCAAGCTCGTGCCGCCTAGACTCCCGCCATTGCGAAAGGAAGGCCTCCTCGTCGGCGTCTAACTCGCCGTCGCTGCTGGCCTCACTCTGACTGTCGGGATCCTTGGCCTTGATGTTGCCCATGCCAAAGACGGACCGTCTGGCGGCGCGGACCTTGTCCCTGAACCTGCCATGGCGTGCTTCTTCGTATGCTCTTGCGTCTGCGATGACGCCCTTTACACCTGTGCTGGCTCCCTTGTCGAAGCTTGCCGGTGGCAGCTTATAGTTGGCGCCCTCGGCGGTACCTCTGAGGCTGGGCATACGCATGGTGGCGTCTATTTGTTCGTTGAGCCAACGGTCTTCTTCGTCGTCCTCGCTGTGTCTAGCTTCACGGTCGTAGTCTCTGTCCTCGGGATGTACTGGAGGACTGTCACTGCCGGCGTTCTTGTTCAAGAGATCTTGGAACTCTTCCTGTGCGGGTGTAGGGTTGTTTGCGAAAGACATGATGGGCTGTGATGGGACGGGGGTGCCCGAGTACTTTTATGCGGTTGATAGGCTGTGGTAGGTCTCGGTACCGCAAGGGAAGAAAGGAAGCAGTTTGGGGCTTTGTGCCGGACAGACCGCGTGGTAAGTGGATAGGCTGAAGTACCAGTGTATCGGATTCAGAGGATTGGGCGTGGAGAGACAAGCCTCGAGGCCTGTAAGCAGCAAGGAGGAGGTGTTGTCCAGGGATCACTTCTTCTGGAATAAGGGAAGAAAGCAGCGATAGGCCTGCCGCGGCGATGGGGACAGAATGGGCCCAGTGACGGTTTGGGTGGAGGTATCAAGGAAGCGAACGAACAGATTTGTTGCCGGGCTTTGCAGTACAGTACTTTGCAGAGAATGAACAATGCGCACGCACGTCGTTGGAACCAGAACCCCTGGTATGCGTCAGAGTGTTTCAGGGTTAAAAGGCCCAGCCAACCGGGCTTAGCAGAGCGCGCTGTGTCGGAAGCTAAGGGCTTATAATGCTTGCCAATATCGTCGGGCGGAGAGGTCAATGACGAGAAACTGCTATAGAGATGCCAGGGATAAAGTAAAACCTTGTTGGCACCGATGTCCCCGTCGGGAGGAAAGAGGGGGAGGTGCGGCGGACAAGAGTCCGAAAAGATGGTGCTTAACCGGCAATCTTGTCAGAGAAGCGCAGGTCGTTGACGATCGCAGCTTCAGATAGAAGGCCAAAATAGACAATGCATGTACGGGTACAGACGAAGCACGCAGAGTGGAGGGGGGGAGAGAGCCTCGTCTTTGTTCGAGTCCGAGTCAGAGTCTCAGTCTGCGTCTTAGTAAACCAGATCTCAGGACAACAAGGAAATTTGTGGAAAACCGTAGCTCGCTCGTGTGTGCCGATGTTGTGATCAGGTAACTAGATGTGGATGAAAGATGGATGCATGCAAAAGTCGCGTTGCGGTCGAGGGTGTCGTGGCAGCACAGCCGCAAGCATGCAGAAGCCCCCCAGTCAGGACCAGCATTCCTGGCGGTCGAGGCACCCCCCCTAGTGGTGCGTGGCACAGACAGATGGCCCTAATAGTACAATACAGGGATCAAGAAAACGTGGTATGAAAAGGCCAGCCAGGATATGTAATTGCCCCAACTTTTGCTGATCTGCGGTTTCAACCTACCATCTCGAGTCTCACCTATACGAACATCAGACTGCCGGTGCCAGTTTCACATCTTTGCAGAGACTCGGGGCTTTGAAAAAGGCCAACCGTTCGATTCGATCCGGCTCGGCACACCACACGAACACAAGCCTTTTCTCGATTCTTTTTTCTGTTTTTTTTTTCTTTTTTGGTCTCATCGGAGAATTATGCTGCACCACCACACCACCACTACGATGTAGTAAATCAACCATCAGCAAGAAACATTGCACCGATTGGTTGTCCGGGTCAGTTTCACACTCGACAGGTTGTGATCGACAGGTTGTCTTCCACGTGCGATCCTACTGCTGAAATCGGTGGGGCCCGAGCTTTTTTATCCCTTACTAACATTCTTGGCTCATTTGCCTTTTTTTATCTTTTATTTTTATTCGTTTTTATTGCTTCAATGCGGCTGATTCGGTAGTTGTGCTTGACAGTCTCACGACATGACTGCATTATCTCCTGATACCTACCACCATCCTACGTCGGAACCTGGACCCTGACTCCATTGTTTCCACGCTCTGAACTAATTTCCATCAACTTCATGACATCGGCCATCCACAATATTGAATGTTCAAGTGTCACATCCCTCGATTGGTCAGTCGAGGGTTTTTTTCCCGCATACTCAGAGACATGACGGCATATTTGCACAAGCATTGACCTGGGGTTTTAATTAGCAACATGGGGGAAAGTGAGATCTACCACGACACCGCCATTTCCGAATGCCCTTGTGTCCAAGAAGCCGTTGCCAAGCAGCATGTCAAAAGTCAACTTCGACCTAGACTAGACTAATTTTAGGTCCTTCAGAATAGCCCAAACTCTACACCGTGTCTGGCAATAGTCCAACTTAATCAAATGTATATCAAGCACTCCGATTCAGGCAGCTCTAAAAATTGGTGAAATTATCACGTACAAATACATAGCTTCTCGAAGGATCTCATCAGCCGACCTCAGCTGATGCATGATTAAGCTTCCGGACACAGGCTGTGTACTTCCAACCATCAATGCCCGCAGTCCGCTTGTCCAACATTGGGGGTGGGACGGGGGGAAGCCGCATAAGGATTCTAATTTAGATGTCTCCATTCCTTCTGGAAAACTTCGAAACCCACAATGCCAAGCAGATCAGAAGTCCAAAAATAGTCAAGGGTGTCTTGACCGGTATCGCCGTTTTCAAATGCCCTACAATGCTCAGGGCCCGAACTACATTACCTGCCTTGAGCCCTGGAGCATAGTACGGTGCAGGGATGATTATGGCTTGTCAAAGCAGCATGAACAACATTCATCTCGCAAGCCCGAGGGAGAGTGGCATGTTGTACTGGATGGTATGCAAGACGAAAGACCCACGGTGACGAAAGACCCCACGGTAACGAAAACAGAATCAAATATCCGTTCTTCAATTATGCGAAGGCAGCGCCACGTGAAGACTCTTGGAATTCCTGCAGGATGCGCCATAATAGCTTACAGCCTGGGCGCCAATAAACCCTCTCAGCAAAGACGGTTGATTCCAAGGACTGCCTGAAGCATACGCTAAACCATGGGTCGATCTACATAGCCGCCGCCGGTCGTCTTAGCGTTTAGTCAACCTCGATGTGTCCGAGAGGTCATAGGATGTTTCACTGTTTCCAGACGTGACTCAGCAGCCCAAAGATCTTTAGATCTCCACGATTGTCTCGATACGTGGGTACGATGTACTGATAAAACCCCTCATACCAAGCTAATAAACACGATTGAGATGATGGCCATGTTTCGGAAAGTTTGTTTTGGCTCCTTAGCATTGTCTTCGAACCAAACATCCCATCTGCTGCCGCCGTCGTTGCCAGAGGCGGGGTAAGAAACATCTCGAGTCTCGTCGTAGACCATCAGACGAATGTTATCGCCTTCGTCGCTATTTCATCCGATAGTACAGCTTCTCTCCAGGCTGAAACACTGACCTCAGGTCAGTGACATCAACAACCGGCTTACCGCCTCGTACGCGAATTGTTGGCCCCAATTCTTCAAAGCTGCAATTGTTGATCTGGGTCTGGAATTATGGTAACCTGAGACGTCATCAGAGTGAGGGTCGTATTCCTGCCGCCGTGGCGATCTTTTCAACATCTATTACTGGTACTAGCAAAACAACGGTAGTCCTGTTCTATCAACCGAGAGCACAATTTGGAATAGCCATATCCTCCTCCAGCTATGGGAACCATATAGACCCTACATACGCATCATAGAGCCCCAGGGCTGTATGCGATTCTCTCTCGATACGATGGTAGTCGTGCCTTAAATCTGAGCTGCAAAGTCAACACCGAGGCGAAAAAAAAAATTGGGAATTCAATCATAAGGTAACCACACCATGAAATGCATGCTGGGCACAAAAGGAATGTGATCCGAGGCGGGCTCGATCCGCCGACCTTCAGTGTGTTAGACTGACGTGATAACCAACTACACCATCGGACCCTTCTGGAGTTTGATCGTCGCCAACCCAGCTCCTGTCGATGAAGATTTATTGCTTTAATTCTCGTAGAGATCCTTAACAGTGCTGATAACGGCAAGCGACTCCGTCTTGTAAACTCTTTTTGCAATACACAAAACGCTTCGGTAAAACACTGTCTGCTGCCTTATGGCTCGCTCGGTGAAGTTGAATAACATCATTAAACAGCCTTTGTTATATTCCCAATGCGACCCTACTACACGAGTGCTAATCTAGTAAAGCGGACGACATGTCTCCTCCCGATGTCTACTGTTAGATGTAAATTAATTATTATCAGATCTAGTGATGGTAGTGGTCTTCAGGATAACCAGGATGCTCTTATTTCAGAAGAATGAAGGGAACCTATGCAGAAATTAGCAACAAAATGAGTGACACTGTACTTTGGAAGTAGGCCTATATATTCGCCCCTTGTGAAGCAGAGTTGCGTATTCGACAAATATTGCATGACTTTTGACGCACCGATGCAAGTAAGAAGTGCATTGCTATCCCCGAGTTTACTCCTGCTTCGGTGCCAAAACAATTATAGAGGTGGATTTATATCAAGACGAAAACTTCATCTGGTCGTCAGTCGACGACTACATGCAAAGACTCCGTTGAACTCGTCATGTCAGCTTGTGATGGTTGTGCCGTACTGTGGAAAGACCTGGTGAGTAGATCAGCAACCGCCAATAGTTATGTCTGGCACCAGACCACGATGGCTCCCAGCATCTCGTAGCCGATCTCGAGCAGTCCTCGTCTGTCGTTTAATGTATAATTACAGCCTTCTCTGTTCATCTAGATATTGGTGGGTATTACCAGTGTTGGCTGGTAAGGTTCTCCAACACCCCGTCGATAGGCCATTCTTCGTCGCTTTCCGGAAACCCGTCCCCCTCCTCCTTGATCCAGATTTCCGCCATGCTGAGACAATCACCAGCGGTGCGTCACATGGTAGAGAGTTGGCTGTGTGAGGTGCCGAAGTAGTAGCATGAGCGTAGTAAGCCTCCCAGTTTTCCCTGGTCGGAGGAGCTTCCAAGCGCACGCACGTGATTATCATAGATATGAAAGTCGAGGGTGATGCGACTATTGTCTCTAACAAGATGTCCCCGGAACGAAAAGGTACAGATGATAGTAGTGAAAACAACTTGCCGCGCGATGCAGCGCTATGAACTGTAGCATACAATATAGATTCACCAGTTGATGGAATATTCCAATCCAATAACGCCGAGATGTGATAAGATATCTTTCGCCCATTAATCTACTCGCTATTCCAAAGAGTGTATACTGGCCCCCATCCTAGGTAGCGCTTTACAATTATGTGGACGAATGCGAGATATCTCTGTCTCTCGTGACATGAATCACTACTAGAGTAGATGTGTGTTCCTCACTGGCTGGTTGTTAAACTTTGGACGACTTCCACTGGGCAACCATTACCTTCCTAGAGAACTACAAGGGCACGCCCCCCCCCCCCCCCCCCCGATTTATTCTGGGTCACTAAAAAACGGCAGTCACTTCTTGAAGAGGCGGAGACTAGATGTATACTAAGGTGATATATCCAGTATGGGTTCTGTACTCTGCCTTTCCGTGTTTTCACTTCCTCGATATACGACTGATTTCCCTGGTTTGCGGGATGAAAAAGGAGATCGTGGGCGGATCTAATATCACCGCAGACGGTTAGTAATGTATCGATAACAATACATAAACCAACCACTGGTGAGCAGCTTTTGTCTTCGTTCCGCCCAAATACATCAACGAACATGACAGTATCATAATTGCGGCCCTTCTCGGTTTGAGCGACTCGCAACGAAGCACGAAAGGAACTCATATATTCTTCTGGACGATGTGGAGTGGTCACGTTCTGAACTGGAAGGCAGGGTCTTGCATGACGAGGATGCCACAGATTGCGGCTGTCTGTTTCGGCCTGTAACATTTACTATATTAGGTCCGATAAATGACGGTAGTGGTACAACGCAACCAAGATCAATGCCATCTATCAATTTCGTTTGACCACGATCCCCAGTCTTGCACTGAGAAGCCGTTGATGGACTGATAATATGTGCCATCAAAAGTTCAGCCGGATCACAGACTGAAATAAGTTCTAACGTATGGCAGCTATAGTAAGCGAATTGTTGGCAAATATCCAAATCAAGAAATTTGCACAAAAGACGTAAGTAGTGTTTCTCCAGCCATACATCTAGGGAATGAATTGCTACCCTCATATGCTGCCTAAGAGGTTCGTAGCGGTAGCTTAAGTGAAAACTGCGAATTAGGGAAATATTGAATCATAGAAGAGACGATGTAGGAACAGACTAATCAAGACTCGCCTAAAGGATTTTGGATGATTACAAATGTGTAAAAACGACGATGATTTTTCTTTTTGCAAATAACTGGAATCAGGAAGGGTGATCAACTCCAGTCTTTGCACATGGCGAGAACAAAAGGGCAAAAAAAGAAGAAAAAAAGAAAAGAAAACAGAAGCTTTTAGTGGGGTCACATTGTCCAGCCCACCATAATGCGTATTAACGAGGCAGCAATGTTTGAGAGTATACGGATACTAAAAGGTCCTTTTAGCCACAAACCTACTTATGCAGGTACATAGTGGCTTTAATATTGGGGGCGGGGCATCTTGGATTGTGCATCCATTTAGCCCCCAACTTCTTCATTGTAATATTTAAGTATGTGATCAACTCCGAATCTGTTGGGGGGGGGGGGGAGGGAGGAATAAACCCTTATGAATGCCGGCCATGACGGAATCAATGAATTTGCGAGAACCTTTGGGTTATGCGAAACTTGTGCGTAACATATAGTTCCTAACCTTGCACATGACTTTTACTTTATTTCCAAGGATTGCTGGAAGCTAGACACGTGGAATTTGTCCCTGCATCATGACGAAGACAGTGTAAGTACATAGTCAAACCTACCAGCCATATATGATTACGATCTAATTACAGTGATGCTATCCAGTTTGTCTTAGCCGTTTATCTTAGCTGCTTATCACAGCCGTTCATCTCGAAATTACTGCGAGTAAACAAATCAAGGAAGCCTTTGGGAATTGGCATACCAAAAAAAGCAGGATTGGAAACATAATCGTAACTCAGGTGACTAGAAGATTTATCACGAAAGATTAAGCATAGCAGTGTGCATCCCACACGGAGAACTATATAATTATCAATATTTGTAGCTCAATATAGAAGTATGAAGTTGAGTTCTTGATTACTTCTCAGGCTCACCACATGACCTCTTGCAATCTGGTCTTCTCTTGATCACCCCCGAAAATAACATCTATACCCTTCCTTGCCAAACCACACAGGTCCTCCTTGGATAGTTTGAAATGCTCTTCGATCAACCTCCATTCATTCGAGACGGGGCTACCAAAGACACCCACGTCGTCAGTCTGGTAGGGGACAGTTAGCTCTCTTTGTTCGTCCATACCCTCCAGATCCATCAAACTAAACAGCAGCAATCCGAGACTTACGCAAGGCACCACGACAACTCCATCGACGTTCCACCACTCTCCAAAATGATGGGCCTCGAAACTCCCAGCAATCATCTTGGCATGCACATTACAGCTGAGACACAACTCCAGGCCGATACTTCTACGGCTAGCAATCACCTGCTTCACGCGCTCCGGTACATGGATCACATGACCCAGCCGGTCCGGATACCAATCCATAATCGTATCGAGCTCCTCATCGGAAGCGCTGCACTCAGCCTCTGCAAAATGGATCGTGACTTTCAGTCCCGCGTCCTTCGCAGCCCTGATGGCCGGCGTGAACAGCGACACGTCGCCCTTGGCCGGGTCACCACACAGATCAACAGCCACGACCCCCCGGGCGGCGAACTGGGCGGCGAGCGCTACCACCTCCTCGGCCTCTGCCAAAGTGTTGCGTCGGTCGACGGACAAGATCAGACGCACATGGATGGAAGCATTTTCTTGCTCTGCTGCGGCGATCGCTGAGAGCACGGCCTCGACGTAGCCGGCCTTGTCGAGTCCGGCGCCCGCCATGCCGCGCGGCGTGGTGCGGAGCTCAAGGTAGACGACGCCGTCGTTGGCGAAGTCCCTGACGACGGACCTCGTCGTGTACTCGAGCGAGTCCCGGTCGTCGACGAGGTGGTAGATGTAGGACGAGAACAGCGGGAAGAAACTGTTAAAGCGCAGACTGTCTCAGTGAATGTTGCCTTTACTACCGGGAACGACAGGTATGTATATGAATTAGGGGAGAGGATTGGGGTCGGTCTACGTGTTCAGGTCATAGTCGTGCTTGCCCACTGGCATGACCACCAAGGGATCCTCGAGATCTGTCGCACCGGCGGCTTTCTTCTTGGTCCATATCTCATGTAGACATTGTCTTGATATGGAGCCGGAGAGGTGCGCATGAAGCTAGGATTACAAGAAGGGTTAGTTTATATCTTTCACCAGAGTCTCTTGCTCGCGCAGTAGAATGCTTCTCCGATCGACACGAGGGTTTGAGCAGCCACTAGTTAGTAACGTTCATGGCATTTTCCTATTTATACCAGATAGATGTAAAAAGACAAGAATAAATTCGGGGAGTCCTCCGCAGACAGAGACTGTATTACAACAGCATAATGAAAGTTCAAAGAAATGGTATTTACCTCGATCTTGGGCATAGCCGCGAAGTCCACGTGACCACTAGCCATTATTGTCTTGAGGGTCTTGGACTGGCGATGTACCTGCCTATATTGGGGGAATGACGCAAGGTATACGATAGCTGAAGGGGGGATGATTATATGTTACAAAGCAACGGGACAAGCGTACAGCACTGCTGGACAGATTAGGTATTCATCCCACGGCCCGCAGGCTGCATGGCTGCTCTAGCCACATTTTGACCTGCTCAAAGGGGTGGCACAATCAAAGAGGCCACTAAAGTGAGCTACTGTATGTACTCCATATCTTTTCTGCAAGTCAATCCTGCATCCTACGACGTACATACATAGATCAAGGAGCCATGGGGAACCGAGGCACAGTAAGGGTTTCACAAGACTGACCGGAACCAGGAAAGTGCCGTTTCCAATTGATCTGGTAGATTGGTAAGCGCGGTGAGTTCCCCGACGAGAAACGACAATTGACGTCGTTTTCGTAGTGGTTTTCGAAAGGAAAGGATAGGTTAGAACCAAGCTGCTGGGTTAGTGAGATATGCCTGCCGTCCAATCCGGCAAAGCCTTGTTAAGGCTCTCGGACTGGCGCTACATTTACGGTCTGACTCGCAGGACATGGTGCAGGATTTGAATCTCTAATCGACCAAAAAGAAAAAAAGGACGAAATTGGAGCACAAAGAAGACAGCTTGCTGGCGCGGCCAAACTGGGCACCGACATTGCTCTCGGCCTGCTGGCGCACTGGCGAACACAGCAAGGAGACTCCAAATCCTCACCGACAAGGGAAGGTCCTGATTCTAGAAACGTGTTAGTGAAATTGCGCTTGGCCAGACTGAGGCATGCTCGGTGTTGCTACAGACCGCGCCAAAATTTCCGTTGCATGTATCATCAGGTCCACAAGCCCATCAAGCAGGGCCTTGTTCGAAACACGAATCAAGGAGCTTTATGGCTTTCCAATTTGGCGATCGTTCGTCCGTTCGCACAGTGCATGGGGCGTGTTTGGGGGCCATCGTATTACAAACCTTTGCTTAAAAATAGGTAGGGGGGTAGCAGTTCCCAGCCGCCGGGCTTGTGAGCTCTGTGATCGACAACCCAATCTGTTGTGAAACTGCTGGCGAATTTATGCAAAAAGCCCTACGACAGCCAGCGTGAGTTGAGATTGTCTACGAGATCACCGAAAGGAGTTAGGACTGCGGCTTTGCAAAGTAAAGTCACCCGCTGGGGTTCAGCCCGAATGCAACGGCTGTCATGTCTCGGAAAGGAAATACCGGCTGCAAAATCATTGCTTCTTCCACGTATTCGACTGTTTAATTCTGCCTTGATCTGTTTACCAATTGCTTGTCAATCTATGCTGATCATTTTGCACCCCACGCCGGAAGCTGGGCAAGTATGCAATGCAGACGGTGTCTGCATGATAAAAAGCAGCGACGGCAAGTGCAAGACGATTATGTTATATTTGAACTTGCAATACCTAGTTTACAAGTAGTTTGATCTTGCCGTTATAGCTCGTTTTGGTTTGGTTGTATACTATCAGCAATAGTCTTTGATTTCAAGGTTTCGAGACTAATGCTGTCTCGAATTGTGTTATATCATCATTATTCGTCGAATTCCACATTCGGGTAGTTGTAGCATCAGCTTCGCAAGAGTGTCCCAATATGGTCAGGGAAGGTCAGTATTATCCAAAAGCAAGTCTTGAAACCAAGCCGCTTGTCATCTTGATATGTCACGGCCCGCAGCCCCCCGCGAATTCAAGCCAAAAACCCAAAAGAAAACCCGCTCCATCATATATGAATACAAATGTGGCAGATGTGGTGAGACACGAGGCTGGAACGGATGTCGGGACCAATAACATAAAGTTTAGCGGATGATCCCTAGAGGGCTTGGCCGTCGTCGAAGCTGAGCATGAGTTGATGGACGACATGTTTTTCATGGGGCGCATGAGCTTGATATCGCAGAGCAGTAATGACGACGGCACAAGCTGAAACTTCGTACATGGAGTATTGAAAACCCGCGTCGCCGCGTATGCAGGATAAGGATTAGGCGAAGCGTATGACTCGGAATATGACTGGTTTGGACATCACGAGTAGTGGTAAGAAGCTGAAAGGTTAGTGAGCAAGCACATCAGAATGTAGCGATCCCAGCACGCTGAGGAGTGCCGGGGAAGCCAGTTGGCGACCTGTATTTGCATCAGGGGGAGAAATCCTGGAGATTTGTCGAAATGCTGCAGCGAGCGCCGATACATAAGTATCTGAGGCTGGGTTGGTCGGCGACAAATTGACAAGACGAACCGTCGGACAGACGTGCTTTAAACCTTAATTTACAACCCGTCGGTCAATATCTGTCTGTATGCGTTCCCAAATCTGAGGTTATGGTGAGCGGACTGTGTGAGGAAGGTCAACATTTACTGTGCGAAGTTACACAACTCCTGGTTTCTCTGGTCCCTCATTTCTCGAAATTCGCAAGCCGCAGGATGCAGGGGAGTGGGATTGAGATGGGATGGATGGAGGGGTCGCTAACAGGAGACTATCGGCAGTAATCTCCCACAGGCCCTGCCCCAGTTCTTTCTCCAGAGACAATGGACCGGGAAAAGGCTGACGAAGACATTGAACGTTCTGAGCAGGAAACTCGGAAACTCGTTGACCACGTAATTTTAAAGCATCTGTGGAGACCCGTTTGAGCGCTTCATGATCATCATAAAAGTATGGAGATGGTGCAACAGCGAAGAGGGATGCCATCAGTTGCACTTCTGTGCTGATCCTAAACACAGCGAGCAGCCGCCATTCTCTTGATAAGGTACTCACTTACATGCAATGCATCATAGGAGACTTCAATATGGATGCCTGTCCGGCTGCACACGAGTACCGTGGGCACCGATTTGGCTTTCCCTTTCAATGCGATGATGGCGATTCAGTGGGTGCTCAGCTTGGAATGGTTTGGCGACGAGACCGCGACATGAAGTTGCAAAAGCTACAAAGAACGTCAGGTAATTTGCCATGGTGTCGATAAAATCCATGCTGGGTGCGAGAAAAAAAAAGATGTATGTAATAATGTACTTGCTTGCCTTGACGGGTGCCCATGACGTGCAAGGTAATTCGTCAATCGCGTCTACTTTAGCACCCGACACCGTGCTGGCTCCAATAGGCCGGTCCCCATCTCACTTCTTGGCCTAATGCAACCAAAGGAGCACACACGGACACTGTCAAATCTCCATTTTCGGTGATTCGTTCATCTAATGGAGGCAGTCGTACATGAGTTTTGAGGTTCGCTTCCTGGCTTCCTGGGTCCTCAGGTGAAGCTCGCGTGTGAGCACTGAGCATTAGCCGCAGCGAGCAGCCAAGTTTGTTATTGATTTTTCTCCTCCCGGTACGATTGAATCGAACTGAATTGAATTGGGAGTTTCGCATGAGAGATTCGACAAACTTTACCTCAATTTGTTTAAGCGAGGGACGGAGTTAACGCTTGTGATCGGTAGGCAAACAAGAGAGCCACTTGGTCTGGGGGACACTGTCGGGAAGAAGTTGCAAAAGCGACCTAATAAGAAAAGTTGTCGCCTCGACCCGCGCTGGACCGGCGGTCTATTGGATTGGGTGACGCGATTACGATAGGATTGCAGATTCGGGGATTTGTTTGGGGCCTTTACTCTTTTTGCTGTCGGCGGATCGATTGGCAGGCAGGCGCTCATTAGTGATCCGTCGTTCCGCTGAGCAGATGGAAATGGCAATGCCTCAATGCATCGATTATTTGGTCATCCTGCCTGCTGCACAGATCATTGGCCTAATACATCCATACTTGGCTGGCCTCCGGAGTTCTGTCCTTGTGTAATGAGCTGGACCAGCTAATAAGTAAGGCTACCCTGTGTAGAGCTCATTATCATTATCATTGTTGTTGTTGTTGCTGTTGTTATTATATGCACCCGACATGAAATGCATTGGATGTGTAACGTTGATATCATACGGGTCGACGTCAATGTCAGTCAATGTCCGTGTCGATGTTGTCAGCGAGAGTGCATCGCAGTCTAACCTGATGTGTAGCGAAAAAGCTTCCGACCAACTAGCCTAGCACCGCTCTTATGCAGGAGGCAATCTTGAATTTGGAGCCCAGGCTGGCAGGCTGGATCTCTCAAGGGCGACGAACATGTTCTAATGGCTGGGCAGTGAAAGTGAGCGAGTGTATTTTCTGTGGCTCCCTCGTCCGCCGCCAAACTCGCAGTAGCCGAGCCGGGCGCCCTCACATGAACTGCCTGCACATCTTCTGCTTCCACCCTCTCTACTGCTGCCCACTCTTTTTTAATTAACTATTTTCTTTCTCGCCCTCCCTCTCCTACTCCCTCCTGAGTCCTGACGGGAATCCTCGAGGAGAAAGTGCTCGTCCAAACTGCAATACTGCAACCTTAGCATTGCGACCCCACCCCACAACCCAGCCAGTGCAGTTCTGAGCAACTCCGTAAGTCCTAGGTAGTCAGTCCTAGACTCCCTAGACTCCTACGACAAACTCCTAGGCTCGCTACTCCTGCACTCTAGACTGCCAATCCAAACCGGCCGCTCCACATTTTGCACTCAATCCTGACCCCCGGCGAGAATCAACTGCTACTGTACTCGTACGGATCCGTTGCCAGCCTGCTCATCCCATCTTACTGGTCAGCTGTCGCAACCCCCCCTGGAGCTCGCATTTCCTAGTATCTCCTCTCCCTGACCTACTTGGGGGAGCAACTGCTGTCTATCCAACTTCAACCACACCTTTTTCCCTTTTTTCCTTCGGTGTCCTCTCCACACATCCATCAATTCGCTGCTGTCCACCCAACGAGCCCCCCGACCCGGTCGTTGTCGTTCAGCATCGCAACGCACACATCAACTCTCCTTAACTTCCTTTTCCCACCGGCACTGGACAGACAGACAGACAGACCGAGTCCACCTCATCCCGATCTCCTCAATTGCCATGGACTCTCAACGGCAGAACGATGTGTCGCCTGAGGCGATGCAGGCGCGCATTCAGCAGGCGCGTCGCGAGGCTGAGACCCTGAAGGACAGGATCAAGAGGAAGAAGGACGAGCTCGCCGATACCACTCGTAAGTAAACTATCAAAAAAGATGTGTATAAAAAAAAAACCATCAAAGAAAAAAGTCATGAGCAACCATGTCGTGCCATCCTGCACCAATTGCCTGGAGAAAACGACGCCGTCTCGTTCCGTCTCGTCCTATCCTTCTCTATCTGCCCATCCACCTATCTATTAAAGATCTGGTGGCGCTCTCTTGGTGACGACTCGAGACACTGACACCCTCTCTCTTTCTCACCAGTACGTGCTGTGTCGCAGCAATCCCACGACTCGATACCCAAGAATCAGTTGATGAAGACCAAGAGGACGTTGAAGGGCCATCTGGCCAAGATCTATGCTATGCACTGGTCGACCGACCGAAGACATCTTGTATCCGCGTCGCAGGACGGCAAGCTGATCATCTGGGACGCCTACACAACCAACAAGGTCCACGCAATTCCTCTGCGATCCTCATGGGTCATGACTTGCGCATACGCACCGAGCGGAAACTATGTTGCCTGTGGCGGTCTGGACAACATCTGCTCCATCTACAACCTCAACCAGAACCGCGACGGGCCGACCCGAGTCGCTCGTGAGCTGTCCGGCCACGCCGGATACCTCTCGTGCTGTAGATTCATCAACGACCGTAGCATTCTGACCTCGTCTGGTGACATGACCTGTATGAAGTGGGACATCGAGACAGGCACCAAGGTCATGGAGTTTGCCGATCACCTGGGCGATGTCATGAGCATCAGTCTAAACCCCACAAACCAGAACACCTTCATTTCTGGTGCTTGCGATGCATTCGCCAAGCTATGGGATATCCGTGCCGGCAAGGCCGTGCAGACTTTTGCCGGTCATGAGTCTGACATTAACGCCATCCAGTTCTTCCCTGATGGCCACTCCTTCGTTACAGGTTCCGACGACGCCACCTGCAGGCTCTTCGATATCCGTGCGGACAGGGAGCTTAACCTCTACGGCGTAAGTGCTGCTACCTTGTCCTGCCCCGCGCCCATTTTGATCGTCTTACTTACTGAAGAACAGTCTGAATCTATCCTGTGTGGTATCACATCGGTTGCCACCTCCGTCTCCGGCCGTCTTCTTTTCGCTGGTTACGATGATTTCGAGTGCAAAGTCTGGGATATCACCCGTGGCGAAAAGGTCGGCTCTCTTGTGGGCCACGAGAACCGCGTCAGCTGCTTGGGTGTTAGCAACGACGGTATCAGCTTGTGCACAGGTTCTTGGGATTCGGTCGTAAGTCTTGATTGCATGGGTTCCATCGGGACAAGACTAACCTATGTTGGCAGCTCAAAATCTGGGCATACTAAACAAGCTCAAACGACCACGACTTGAAGGCAAAGGCGATCCTCAAGAGTACAATGTCTGGCGAAAGCCCCCACTGAGCACGTTACTGGAGCGCCATCTCTCACCCTTCTTGGAATGGTTATTTTGCACTAATTTCACCCTGATCTGATACGCCCTTGTAATATCCAAGAGAAGGCGTACCCAGGACGAAGTCACGACAGCCTCTTTCGCAATACCATTTTTCTTTGATACACATACCCGATATTCGCCCGAACCCACCTAATCTACTACCGGTCGTGCGTTGAGATGGAGAATAATACCCGTCACCACTTCTCGACATAACTGCCGCAGTCTCCGTTTCCTGCTTCGTCGCACCCCGCCCCGTCGCAGCTGTATTACCTCGAATCGGACTGGGCCTTGCTTGATTGCCCTCCTACTTGAAGCGTCACGGGAGTTTCTTGCGACCGCGACAGGGAGGTGCATGACGCACGTCAGGACCTCCTAGATGTGCTTCTAGATTAGCCGGCCTTGTCCTGGAACCACCGGCTTCTCGGAAAAGCACAACCGGCAGAATTGCCGCTGTCTACTAGAACCTGTCCATACCCCTCGGACCATTTACACTCAAAACGTTATCAGCCTCTGTTTGATTTGTTGTCTTTTTGTTTTGTTTTTGTTTCTTCTTGCGTTACTTGACACCCCGATCTCGTTCTGGTAGATGGAGCCAGAGATATGTTTTACTCTGATATGTGGATAAGATTAAAAATCTGAGGGCTGAGGAAACGAATAGCAGTCATTCTTCATCAAATATGGATGACAGAAACCAACGAGCATTTTGAGGCGCGGGGAAATATGACTTCATTCCGGGATATTTCCGTCTCCTTTGTCTCTCTTCCTCTCTTGATCTTACATCTTTCTCGGTCGTGGAATAACGACATAGGGGGCATTTTGCGTTTTGGGTTTTGCGTTTGTGACGGAGTAGGACATGTAGGAATCAGGAAGAAGCAGAAGAGAGGAAGGAGACTTATGAAGAAGAAAAAAGGGGGCGCGGTATACTACAAACCCTCCATTAGTTGCCCCAATATAGTAACGCTGGATGCTCAAAAATTGTCATAGTTGTGTCTCACCTTTCTCTCCTGCAATTTGGGGAAAGATGATTCATACATTAACCTCGAGCAGAACTATTGTGTCAACTAGGAATTAAGCAGACAACTACTCGTACTGAGCATGTGACATGAGGAACCCAGAAAGGTGATGGTGGCAGGAAAAAGAAGAAGAAAAGGACAGGTAGAAGTTCAACCGACAAAGAGTATGCTATTGCAGGACCGAGACGCCTAAGGGGTGGTATCAGACATTGTGCTTCTTGGACGTCTCGGACTTGCGATGCATAGCTTTATGTGCTTCAGCAGATCGACTTTGGTGGGGATAGCATTGTGAACACTCTGTAATTACTAGACGGGGTTATCTCTCGCCGTGAACTTGCTTTCGTCCCCGTGATCATAAACAATGACACGGCGAGGCGTTTGTACCTAGGCAATCATTACTCGTAAATGGACCGCTGTCCAGACTTTCCCTTGTCCCCCCACAATACGAAGCCAAGTACCCCGGTGATGTGTTTATTTCCACCGCCGTCCACGTCCGCTCGTGCTCTTGTCGCGGGCGCCCTGCAACACGGATTTGAAGTCATTGAATAGCGAGGCCACCACCCCGGCCTCCTGCCACTTGTCCACGATGTCGTTGGCAGCCTGGCGCCTCTTCTTGGGCTTCATCTTCTCGCGCTCCTTGAGCTTGGCGGCCTTCATGTGACCGTCCATCTCGAGGCGGTCCTCGACCCACTCCTTGAGGGCGTACTTCCAGTGCATCAGGCTGTGCGCCGTCTCGGCGTTGCTGCTGCACGTGGAGCCGACGGACCACTCCCTGGTCTGCGGCGGCAGCGAGTTGCCCTGCGTGTCGATGGATACCCGTCCCGAAGCGTCGGATTCGTCGGAGTCTTCGGAGTCGGATTCCACCTCGTCCAGCGTGTCCTTGTGATAGGGCCGGCCCTGCATCATGATCTTCCAGGTCGCGGGATGGCCGCTCCTTCCGCAGGCCTCGCAGGTGCCGTAGAGATCCGAGTCGATCTTGCCCACATCGAACGCCTCGAGCTTGGGCCGCGCCTTCAGCGTGCGGTAGAACTCGACCTTCCAGACCGACGATACGAACTTGGAAGAAGCTAGGCCCCGGACCTCGTCGTCCAGCTTGCGCCACGCGTGCGTGTAGGTGTCGTCCTTCCGGTCGAAAGCTGGGTTGATCTTGTTGTGGATCAGCCACTCGACGACGAATGGGAACTGCTCCTTTAGGGGCAGGCGCGCCTGTGCAGTAAACTCGATAGGAATGTCGAGGTTGGCGGGGGCACCAATCGGGCCATCGTCGTCCTCCACCACAAAGTCGTCGAGGCCGTCGTCTTCGCTGTTACTGTCGCCGCCTCTCTCGATTCTTTCCTGCTTTACAAAGTTCTTGGCGCTCTTGGATTTGCGTGCAGATGTAGGCTCGTCCTCATCCACCTCGACATCGTCTTCCTGAAGGGCACCGTCTTGCTCCTCCTCATCGTCTTCGTCATCAGGAAATTCTTCGAGAACCTGCAACGCGTCGTCACTATCGGTGTCGTAAAGGCCCTTCTTATCGTCCCCAGATTCGGATTCCGATGATGTTAGCTGGCCAATCTTCTCTCCGGCACGACGCCGCCTGAGGAGTTCCATGTTCTTCTGCTTCTCAGTGCGATGACCCCTGTGGCGCTTGGTTGGAGACGAAGACGGCTGGCCCTTGCGCATCAATCTTCGTGCCGGAGTTTGAGTGGACGGTCTATTCATCTCTGGGCTCGAAGAAAGTATGGACCCATGCACAGTCTTCCTCTTTTTCGCCGGTGAGACGTCAGATTCGGAATTGGAGTCTAGCTCGATCACCTCAGCGCGTCTTCTTCTTGAGGAGCTTGGTACGACCGGCAGATCATCTTCGTCATCTTCATCATCTGATATGACCGCACGCTTCAGACGGCTCGAGACAGACTGGGACGATGTGGGCGGTGGAGCTAGACTAGGGATGGGTAGAATTTCGTCATCGTCATCACTGTCGTCTCCACGGTTGTCCGGGGCCTCATCAACAGCTTCTTCGTCTGACGAATCGGTGTCCACCCTGTTCCTTTGCGACCTGGGCATGAAAGACACCGAGGCAGTCTTTCTTGACGATGAAGGACTTGCTTGACTACTACGGAGCGCTGGCTTCATGTTTGCTACTTCAGTGTCAGCAGGAGTAATAGTACTGTGGATTTCACGACTTAGATGCAAGACGTCACCCAGGGGGATGGCTGGCTTTAACAGGGATCATGCCCAGTGGTGGAAAGGTTCATTGACGATACGGGGAAAATTGTACCACGTGGCAGACGCTACATACCTAGTGAGCCTTGGATTGATATCTGACCCTTTTTCGAGCTTGAAGGTCGCACAGTGATTTTCGGGAGAGAAGGTGACGATCTGGCCTGGGATGAACCGGAATACCTGATATTGGCGGGTGAAAACCGCGAGTCGGAGGAGGCTTTGGCATCTCCAGTAGGCTCAAATGTCAGCCTCGCTTGCCTTTTTCTTTTCGAACCCATTCCACCAAGGTTGTGTGAGCTTTTCGCAGACAAAGCGATCAAATGCGCTCGAAGAGTCGTCTGACGAACGCAACAGGTGCTGAGCAATCAGGTGGGGTGGCAAAGAATATTGCGATCAGGCAGCTTCTGTGCCTTACGTTCTTTCGCAGGAGCTTCAGATAGGCAACTGCTCAAAAAAATTTGGGCCTTCCAAGTAGAAGAGGGTAACAAACAGCTCGTCGTGTTTCGTGGCAAGAAAATTGAATATAATCGGTTGAAGATGGAAAGACGCGCTTGATGCGAAAGCTTCAAGCATCAAGCATCAAGCAGACGCGACATCACGTGATACCCATTTAGTCCTGCCAAAGAAAACCATAGCCTCCTACTCTTAAACCACAACGCACAAATGGGAGATTTCATGTTGATCATCCGGCAATCAAGAGTTATTTTATCTAACTGCTGTCCCTATGATATGTTGTACGGTATTTAACGGCAGGGCACCACATGCTATTAGATCTTGGCAGATAAAGCCGTGAGTGAAGTGCTAAGTACATCATCTTTGAAAAGACACTGCACATTTCTACAAGAATTCCTTTTTATCGCGCTTTGGAATATTTAGGTGGAGGAGAAGAGTGCTTACTTGCAAAGCACCGCTCACCCTGCTCAGATCCATGCCGAGCTGCACTGCCCGTAAGCATGGGGAATAGACAGTCACGGTTAGGTTAGTCTAGACTAATAATGCCGGCGGCTTCAACCCCCGCCATACTGTAACGCAAAGGCTGTAAATGGTCTCCCAGCAACTGCAACCTTCTCCCAGTAGCAATCATGTTTCTCTCTCTTTGAGCTCTTGAGGATCGGCCAGCAGAATATCGTCATGGATGCACTGCATTATATCGGAGCTATATCAGTATCATATATCTGCTATAGGCTCATTAGCCACATATCCTTCTATTTGCTTCCCAACATCTCCCTCGATAGATGGCGTAAAGTCGACGAGAAGCCATGGGCGCTTGTCACTGGCTCATCCGCCGGCATTGGCTTGGGGACCGCGCAGGAACTCGCCATCAGAGGTTTCAACATAGTCCTGCTCGGACACCTGCGCCATGAACTAGCTGAGGCAGGCGCGCTCATCCAGGCCGAAAGTCCCAAATCCGAAGTTCTGTTTGCTGTTATGGATGCAACCTCGGCAACTTCAGACGAGATAGAGAAAGCCGCTAGTGATATCTCTACTCTTCCGTTGACAGTTCTCGTCAACAATGTGGGCGGCTTTCCTATAAAGGTGCCACAGATTCGGGACCTGGTGGACTACTCTGGCGAGGAGCTAGACCGATCGCTGACCATCAATGCACGCTTCCTGGCCCAAGTCACGCGCGCCTTTCTCCCACAGCTGTCTCGAAATGGCCCGTCTCTGATTATAAATGTGAGCTCGGCGGCGCGAATGGGTATTCCTGGCATCGTGCCATATTCTGGCTGCAAAGGTTTCATCATTTCTTGGAGCAAGGCACTGTCACGAGAAATGGCAGCTGCTCGTGTACCGGTAGATATACTGGCTGTTGTGCCAGGTGATGTTCAATCGCAATCCAACGTCGCGGGGCTGACTCCCGGAACACCCGCGGCAAGAGAGTATGCGAAGGTCATGTTGGATCGAGCGGGACGCGCTGTCAATAGACAATGGGTTGAGTGTGTTCCATTTTGGCCACATGCCATTCAGATCGGATTTATTGAATCACTGCCGCATTGGTTGTCTCAGAAACTGTTATTGAAAACCTTTGAGGACAAGAAGAAAGCTTCTGAGTTGCACCGCAAGCAGAAGGTTATGTAATTTCCCAAACGATCAATGTCAACACTTCATAGTGGAAAAATACACCGAATAGGTTGTCTCTTGTTTCTCGGAGTGGCAGACCTTTCCCGTTCCCCGGATACCCCGATTACCGATCCGAGATGGGAAATCGGGGAGAATTTTTTTATAAAACCTTTCCAGCTCTATACGGATCTATCCCAGAAGCGAAAAGAAGTTTCTGAGTTCATGGGCCACAGCTGTATAATATGATATGAACCGATATTTACTTACTGAATTATGCACATGGCGTAAGTGCTGCGTGTCTCAAGTTTGGCCACACTCACATTAATCCTAATACAGATATTTGAGCCTTGTGTATCAGTGTGGCACGTGGTTACATGTTGTGAAACTTCGGAAAACCACAGCCAAGGCGATCGAGGTTCTCAGCGATAGTTTGCTTCCTATTGATACAATTAAAGCCAGTTAGCGGTTTGCGCTTTGTGTTCGGCTAGTGCCTCTATCCCGTCTCTGCTATTCATGCGCCCTTCTTGCCACCCCCGAGCCGCCATTGTCCTGAGGTGTATACGGACTTGAAATGCACAATGGTATAGTCCTAGTCAGTGGGAACTGCATGACGGCAGGTCCGGTTCTTTCAAGAATGCAATGCTTCCCTTATCCTTTAGGACCTGTGTCTAGCGCGTTCTTATTATCCAGCACCCAAAACAGTGATGGAACATCCTCATCTAATAGCTATAGATCTGAAAGGTTACCTGTAACTTGCAGATTTCTGGACCAAAATAAGATGCGGCATAGTGCGGAAAATACGACAGCCTAGCTTTACTAAACGTTTTGCATATGTAGGCTGATTTATTCCACCATGAGAATATGCTCTAGACTAGTTGAATGTCAAGAAGACCTTGCGTCTGGGAAGGTTTTTTTTTTTTTTTTTTTTGGATACTGACTGGAGCTGGTCGTTACTGAGCCACCCGAAATTTAGCACTAATACTAAGCCGTGGGACTGTGCTCTCCATATCAGACAGAAGCTCGATGAGTACTGTAAGTACTTCTTAATTAACGATATACTTTCATGTCCTAACGCTCACAGTCTTGAACGATAGTACTGTACTGCATTACTCACATCTATACACCCTGCCAATAACCAGCGACGCCCACGTCGTTGGCACCTTGTTGGCACCTTCTATGCCCGTATCAACCATGGCAATCCTTCAACATATTGAGGATATGGATGTCAAGATTGGATTTGTGCCCACCTTCAACGTGCTATTCTATCAAGCTCTGAGCATTCTCAGCAGGCTACTTCAAATTGAGATATTCGCTGCAACTATTGCGTGAGTCACCCTGATTCAGCATTCTTCACAGCCACCACCGAAACTCATGCAACCACACATTTGGCAGCTCACTAGTTCTCTAGATTAGCCTGTTAACAGGTAAACATCACCGTACAGCACTCGTAATAAGATAAATCTCTGCAGAATCGTCACTTACACGTAAGCGACACATAGAACCCCTAAACGTGGCTTAATTCAACCATGTGTGCTGTAGTCCAAATAACTCATGATGATTAGTTTCAATGGCCCAAGGCAAGCATGATTCACCACTCAAGAGTTGCAACACTATCAGAAGGCGTGGTTTCAAGTGGAACCTCCTTTTGCTCACCCAACATTACATAAGGATCACTCTACTCCCTTACAGTTTGTACTCCATTTGTTTACGCTGTACCTTCAGAAATTATCCGCTACGAGTAGACATCTACCCATCTAACTCAAGCCCGGTAGCAAGACCCAGAGTGTGTGTCAAAGGGACCATTGATCGTTCTATCTCGACGTGGCTTGTCAGAATGGAAGACACAGAAGAGTATCAACATCACCATTGCGGAGCTTTCAGTAATTTGGGAGATTAAGAAGTCGCCCTGTCCAGGAGAAGAGCAGTATTAGCCTCCCAATAACCCGTAGCCCAGGCTCCTAAGCAGGGTGACAGGCTTCCATGCCCAGATATTTGTAGTGAAGCAGACAGTCGCTCTAGCCCAAACTTCACAAAGAGACCCAAATCCACACTGCCGAGAGACAATTACTAAACAATCACAGGCGCCATGCAACTGTTAGCATAAAGCCTTGTAGATAACCGCATGACGTTTTAGTGGACTACTATATAGACGTCAAGTGAAACCTTTGAGGAAATAGCTTTAAGAAGTCGAGTTCAAGAGTCGAAGACCTCATACCAGAACTAGCAAAGCCTTTACCACGAATGGGAATGTTATTGAGAGCTATGGTTCGTGGTTGTCCTAATATGACTGACTAAGTGGTAAGACATGGATGGTAGTTGGAGGAGCTTATCCTAACGTTGATTCACGAGTCTGCGACTTTCAGCATTTTCAACGTGAAAGCTACGTTCATTTAGCAAATTTCGAGTAGAGTATCATTTCCCTCCAGCTTGCTGTCTCGAGGAGTAATGCTTATTTGTCCAGGTCGCCATGGTCATTATTGTAAACCAATATTTTTGTGTCAAAAAACCACCAACCAAAAGGTCCGGGAGACAATGCACACGATTGAGCACAGAGTCTATCTCAACAAACGTAGCACCAAGGGGAGAGTGCACGTTTTTGCTAGGAATGCGTTGCTGCCTTGAGTTACCCTGCGGCTGACAAATGGGGCCTGTGCGTCCGCAATAAGTCGTTCTTCAGCCCTCCACCGCAATGCTCCAACTTTTATCTCCTTACATACACCGCTTAGATTTCATTATTCCTTCCACATTCTTTGCTCAAGTACAGCAGCCATGGCGTTCTCCAGCCTTGTTGGACCAACAACGACCGCATTGGCGTCAGATGTCATCCTACCGGCAGACGCCGAAGACACGATTTCCTCCGTCTCGTGGTCGCCGACCGCAAACCATCTCGCAGCGGCTTCCTGGGACGGAAAGGTACGTGTCTACGATGTCGCGTCAAATGGGCTGACAAATGGCGTCGCGATGCTCAACGCAGAGGGCCCCCTGTTCAGCTGCGATTGGGCCAAGGTAAGTTCATGAGTTTTCTAACCCCACAGCATCTCTCGTATCGAAAGAAGACAAAGAAACCAATTTCCCCCAACTAGGTAAGTTGGATATCTTAAGTTTGCGATATGTTATGAAATATTGACTATTTAGGACGGAAAAATGGTCCTCGCCGGAGGAGCCGACAGAAAAGCACACCTGCTAGACTGTCAATATGGCCAGCAACTTACAGTTGGCACGCACAATGCACCGATCCGCTCAGTGCGGTTCGTAGACGTGCCCAACTCTGCTGGACCAATCATTGCGACGGGATCCTGGGATAAGACAATCAAGTTCTGGGATATCCGGCAGCAAAACCCAGTAATCACTCTCACCTGCCTCGAGCGTGTTTATGCCATGGATTCGAAGGCGCAGTTACTAGTGGCGGGCACGGCAGGATGCAAAATCCATCTGGTGGATCTAGCAAACCCCACGGCTTTTGCCCGCACTTTGGAATCTCCCCTCAAGCATCAGACGAAAGCCGTGGCCGCCTTTCCTGACGGCAGGGGCTGGGCTACGGTGAGCATTGAGGGTAGGTGTGGAATCAACACGACTGCGGAGCGGGACACGCATAAGTAGGCCGCTCAAGTTTTGTTACCAGTACGTCAGGAGCAACGTAGATCTGACGAGAAAACCAGCATCAACTTCACATTCCGCTGTCACCGCGGATCACAGGACGCCAAGAAGGTGACCCAGGTATACGCCGTCAACGACGTGCAGTTCCACCCGGTCTACGATACGAGTTTCAGCACAGTTGGCTCGGACGGCATGTTCCACTTCTGGGATCGTGTCGCCCATGCGCGACTGAAGGCTTACCCCGATGTTGGTGGTTCTATCACTACCTCCAGTTTCAACCGTGACGGCACCATGTTTGCTTATGCTGTAGGCTATGATTGGAGTCAGGGTTGTGCCTCAAACACCCCCAACTATCCAAACAAGCTTATGCTGCATGCGGTTACGGAAGAAGATGTGAAACCGAAAAGCGTGAAGAGATAGGCAATGATGGATTAGATCGCCTGACAAATTGGCCTGGAGAAGAAGAGGAAAGAAATTGGCTCGAAGTGTCTAGGACATGCGCTAAATTGGCAATCTTGTATCACGGGGGATCTCATTTGTCTTGGTCTGGTATATGTTAGTCCCCCAATAATTAGGGGACACGAAGACGGATTTAGGTCGGGCGATCTAAAGGATACCATAGGAGGAAACGCGCTCATGTAGAGCATATCTAAGGACTAGGAACTATTACACAAAACAAATCAAATGCAAAGGGTATACATTAAAAGCCAACTGAATTCCAACCCATGACGCCGTGACCCCGACTGTAAGAAGACCATTCCTCCAGGAACGCTATATTATTGTCTCATAGAAGTCAAACGAGATGCGAAGCTGTGAAAGAACTCCTTTAGTCGTTGCTTGATGTTTCGCGCGCTCCGAAAATTTGCGCCATGATACTTTCACGGTCATTCAAGCTGGGACATATCATAACCCTAAGTCATGCCAAGTTTCGTAGACTTTGCTTCGCATCTTCTCGTGTCCCAGTGTTCGAGGATGAAATGTCTTTCCATAATAGGTTGGCACATACCACATAGAATTCTCTGCTGTGATATCTCCGCTGGCAAACCTCAAGGTGGGATCTTTCGCCTTTGATATGGCCATGTAGCAAAGAGCGAGCTTGCCCCAATCGCCAGATCGCTGAGCCGGCTCTAAACACGTATGCGGGTCGACAAGTTCAGAATGAGGCGGAACCGTCGCACTCTGCGTGGCCTGCTTCGCCTGTGTCTCGTTCCGTGCGTTGTCCGGCCCTCCGACAAGGAAGAAATATGTATCATCTCTTTGGTAGTCAGGTTCCTGTACACCAGGTTCGCAGAACCGATGCCCCTCGAAATTTGTGTCATAATTCACAAACAGCACCTTTGTCTTTACGAACTGCGAGTTAATCTTGGCGACGGTGTTTTCGATCTTCTCATTGACGGCTTGGACCATTGCATTCATTCTGACACGCAGTTCTTTCTTCAACTTCGGGCCTCTCCACCAGACACCGAGACTCATATCATTGCATTCCTCTGTCTGCTCGTTGAAGAAACGTGCATAACCGGTGACGGTGATCAGAAACCACTGAAGTACTTTGTAAGTCACATCATTCACCCATAAAAAGATTTATAACAAAATTTAAGAAATCCACGGTCAACCTACTGGCTTCTTCTCCCATCTCACTTTGTCCAAGAGTTGTAAGATCACGATGAACAGGCTCTCCTCAAACTCGTCCCCGTTCAATCTCTCCTGTGCATGCTGTAAGGCGGACTCACACGTACCCGAGTAAAAGTTATAAAACCGGAAGATGCACGCGTTCATGACCTCAAAAAAGCCAAGATCATTTCCACCTACGGACAAGAGGGCGAAATCCACTGGCAAGGAGCCGTTCAGAGCATCCATTTGACTCTCAGCGTTACCGGCCAAGAGCTCGTGGGTCGTCGCCCCGGTGCACGACAGAAACTGGAAGAAGGTGGCGTTCGGTCCGCCTTGCGAGGCAGCAAACTCTTTGGCGATGATGGCTGGATAGGCATGCGCTCCCTGCCGGCAATCGTTCTCGGCCCCGTCCACGCCAGTGCCGATCCCAGCGCTATAAGAATCGCCCAGAGCTACGAACCCTGTGAGCGGTCGCAGCCTCTGCGACGAGGGCGCAGGTGAGAATGAAGCGAGCCATGGCTGGCTTTCCCGTTGCTCCTGTTCGGATTTCAAGGGATGTTGCTGCTGCTGCTGTGGCGCATCATCCGAGGGCTGACGCAGCCGCCAGGAGGTTCCGAGCACAGATGCCTGGGCGGCCAGACAGGCCGAGGCTATAGCCAAGACGAAGCTTCCGCTGCGCATGGTCGGGTCTTGGCAGAACGTATAAAGATAGCATGAATGTAATGCGATTTCAATGCTCAGTCATCCAGGATTTGAGCAACTTCATAAAATTTGTATCGCCGCGCTCAAACAGAGAAAAGAGGCAGGCTGCGGCGCGTGCCTGTTGACCGGATGGTGTTGGTCAGACTAGGGAGCGGCTAGCCAATCCTTCGGCCACATGCTGGAATAATTGCATATGTAGATTTACGCTGCCTCTCACGTGAGACCAACGGCCCGCTATGTATACCTAAGCTATGCACATGATTGGGACTTGAAGATATGGGGGATGACACTACTTCCTAAATAAGGTTAAGGCACATGCCTCCATCATCTTTACCATAACTCGGTGGTTCGCAGTATTTTGTATCTCAGACTCGTTCAAGTTTGGAACCAATTTAGAGAGTGTTCGTTCCTTAGAAGAATTTGAACTCAAAATATTGTGGGTAATCTCCCGATTTTGATTGTAAGCCCGAGTCGAGGTTTCTCGCTTAAAATGAGCGGTCTAGTCGTATTCCAGTCATGGCGTGCTCGTTCTGCCCCGAAATCAGCGACGTCAAATGTCCTCAAACTGGCAGATTTGAAGCCTACCACAACAAATGTTTTATGGGTGCCTCACCACTACTATAAACTATACCTGCAAGGGGAGGTCAACTCTGTATAACCTGCAAATTAGAATGGACCAAGTGTTATCAGGGCTTGTTGATTGGCTGCCTGGAGGTCAGGGGCTTCGGGAAACGGGGCGAGTCCGAGGGACAGCTCCCGGTGAGTCACCTTCTATTATAGAGGCCAGATATATACGAGAGAGCTACACTAGGTGTACATGGGGGAAACGATGCATTAACGCAATGATATAAGATGCCTTGCGGGTAACAGCCAAGGACTGAGAGCTGCCTTGTTGCCTCAGTATCGAATTGTCCAATGAGAAACATGTTCTTAGAAATCGCTTGCCTTCAAGATGCCCACTTACAAGATCGAAAGGTGTACCGTCGAAGATAGTGCCGGAGTAGCACGCAACAACATGTCAGCCTTCTGGACCGATTCTACGTGGAGACTCGTCTGGCCTGAGGATCGGACTCTGGAGGAGGTGATAGAGGCGTGTGCACTGCGTTGGCCGAACACAGTTCTCACTGACAGAGTCCATAAGCGACATTTGAAGGCGGTTGAGGTCGAGACTGGCACAGTTGTAGGCTATATTCGGTTTCTTCTCCCAGACAGGCTTTCTGGAGAATGGCTTGATGCGCAACCTCCCGATGTGACTGCCGAACAGAGGAAACAGTTCGACAAGCAGACTGCTAGTGCTAATTGGACATTTCGCTCTCACGCTGAGGATATTGACGAGCCGTTAGAGCCTATTTTGGCCAAGTATAGGAGCAGGGACTATATGGGTAAGCCTATGCAACTTTCTGCTGCAGACGGTCGTAAGCCGAAATTGATTGGCTGATGATATTTTCAGAACTCGAATTCCTCGCCGTCCAGCCCGCGTACCGTGGCCAAGGAATCGCCACTCTGTTGATGGAGGCTAGTCTCGCCGAGTCCGACAGGCTGGGGATTGACGTTTTCATGGTCGCTTATAAGGCTGGCCTCGGCGTGTACAAGAGAATGGGATTCGAGATTTTAGAATCACTCATCATAGACGATACTCCCTGGGGCGGTCAAGGAGAATACGCAAATTATTTCATGGAAAGGAAGGCACGGAAGCAACATTAAGTTAGGTCTGAACAGTATAGTTGATTGAAAACACCAAGAATTGGCTCTCACCTGACTTGTCAAGTACGACGATCGTATAGTCAATGAATGAGGGTTCATACTACTGTTCTGCTGATGCAGCGGATGTGGGTACTTGATGCAGTATAGTGATCCACATGTAGTAGTCTACTGCCACATATGATCGGTCAACTTTGCTTAGTCTAGATCGAAGTACTCGGTAGTATTCTGCTCGAATATGAAAAGTCCGAGAATGTACTTGTCGAGAGCTCGGGTCGCAACGAATGCAGAAGCAATTGGCCTCAACATGTCACAGCTGTACAACCGACAGTACCATGGCACCTTTGAAAAACGCGTTTCTGGCCAAGGAGCTTATGGTCGGCCTGGTTTGAATCAGGTGATAGCTGGAGCTCCTCTGCGTCATAATGCTTTGACGGCCGATTAACTTGACAGCCTGGCAGGGCTGGATTGGGCCTTGGAAGCAGCTTCGAAGCTTTTATTCATTGCATTTCCAATGGCGTGTCTCTCTCCAATCGCCGTGGTATCTATCCTGCTCTACTCCAAATCGTGGTGACGTCGATTCGCTTGCGACCCCGCTATACGTCATATTTCATATTATAGAACACGGTGCCCCACCTTGCGCAACGCAGCTCAAAGTGAGTACCTCTGTAACCTCGCACGCAGCAGTCATATTTCTGGCCCCCGCTTGCGAGTGTAATGCCTCATTCAGCAGTCCAGATCAAAAGACCTGTTCGTGAATGCGCTGGATGGACGGACCCGCACAAACACGGGGCTGGATCGGTGATTCAAGGTACGGGACGAGCACCCCGTCATGTCTGATGCATTACCATGGTGGGGAAGGTTGGCTAGCAACTGAGTTCCACCCCCAGGAACCAAGGAAGAGAGGCCGCCGCTTAGCCTGTGGTTTTACTACCAAGTCTTGGAAACAAAGCCACAGAAGCTCGTCATTCGCGCCCTCTGCAATGAAATATCCAATGGAAGGATTCAAAGGCCACGGAGCCCCGTAGTAGAGGCTGTTTCCTGTCCACTTCATGGCCAAGTTAGACTAGCGCTGTCGCTTCCAAGTCCATCGGCTGGCACATGGATGCATACTACGAAGCACTGTACTTTACCGTACGCCATCGGGAAGACGTCACTCTCCCTTGAAACGTGATACAAGCCCCTCATAAATAACTTCCAAGACCTCGCCGTTAACTCTTGTCACATCTTGGCTCTTCATTTCCCATATTATACCCAAAGAACACCAGTGATACCTAGCTTCTGACCAAGCCGCCAAGCGACCCGCAACCAAGAAAGACCATCGCGTTCACCCATTTCACCACACCTACATTTGCCCATTTACATTCAGAGCCACCCCCGTCAACATGGAGACTGTCAACAACATCGCCAAAGCTGCGGCGAACGCTGTTTGGGGCGAAAACACCAGCACCGGCAGCACCACCACAGGCACGGAGCCCGTCTCTGGCCAGCGAGGCAACACGTCCGTCGGCGAGCCATATGACAAGGGCAATCTCGAGGGTGAGGCTTGCATCGCGTATAGATGTGTCTTGTGCAGTTGGCTAACGTTCCGCAGAGCCCGGCTCCACCACTAGCACAACCGGTCACTCTGCCACCGGTACACCCACAACCGGTCTATCTTCCACCGGCGACTCCACAAGCCATGGAACAGGAGGTGCTTCTGTTGGTGGCCTCTCCTCCGGAATCCCCGACAGATCCGCGACCCACGGCTCTTCTGGTACCGCCGAAGGCACTCACGGCCCTCACAGCTCAAGAGTTGCCAACGCCGCGGACCCAACCGTAGACAGCGACCGCGATGGTAGCCGCACTGCTGGCTCTACCGGAGGCAACCATTCCTCCGGCGCCCTTGGCGGTATTCCCACACACGACCACCACACATCTGGGTCCACAACATCCGGGGTTCCTGGATCCAGTGCTACAACAGTCGCTGGTGAGCCACACCCATTGAGCGGGCACAGCTCCCGAACAACTGGCACCACCGAAGGTTCCCATGGCCCCCACGACTCCAAGGTCGCGAACGAACTCGACCCAAGGGTTGACAGCGACCGTGACGGTAGTCGCACCGTCGGTAACAGCAACACCACTAGCTCGACTACCGGCCACAGTGACAGTGCCAGTTTCGCAAAGAATACTGGCACGGCCGCCGAATCTAGTAGTGTCCCCGATAACAAGTACACAGAGAGGAAGGCACACGACACACCCGCCGACACATCCAAGGGCCAGAACGACACTCGCGACCCTTCAAATCCTCAAACCAACCCTAAGAACAACCCCACTGATGTTGACGATACCACAAGCGGCCCCAACAAGGGCCAAGAACTTGGACCTGGCCCCAAGCCTCTGGTCGACGTCGCTAGAGAGCACGGTGGTGATGCAGGTAACACCGGTGTCACGACATCATCTGGCGATAAGTCCAAGGCAAAGGCTGCCGAGTCTGACGACCCGAATGACCCACATGCCGCCAGCCACGGTGAGGGAACTGGCGAGAAGTACATCAAGAGCACAGGCCTCGCCGCTGATGGTGGTAATTTCGACGTTACCAATGCTGGCGCCGGCAGAGAAGCTGACCGTAAGTTACATTCGCATCATATGCCATATCCCAAGCATAAACTAATTCGCGTATGTAGGACTCTTGGAAGAGAAGGGTATCCACACCACAAAGGGACCTGGAGGGTCTCCCGACGATCACCCTACGAGCACTGGAGGTGCAGATACGACGGAGAAGAAGAGCCTTAAGGACAAGATTAAGGACAAGCTGCACCGTCACTAAATATGGTATCTAATACCCGTAGAATAATTACAAGTGGTTCGCACAGCATTGCCTTGATTTTGCCAGCTGACTATCTTGAAACATTCTTTCGTTTGTCATGAGTCCGAGAACGCATTGCTGCATGTGACTAATAACGTTGCTATACATTTGTGGCACTGCGACTTGATGCTAAGCAGTGCCTAGTCTAAGCCATTATCTGATAAGCCTTCTGACGGTCTTTCTCACAAGGCTTGTAAGGATCGCCGCGATGCAAAGATGTAGGTTAGTCTAGACTAGTCTAGGAATACTTTATTTTGGGGGGGGGGAGCGGGGTTTAGCCTAAGGTTATAGCAAATCCGGTAGGTAAGTACTCAATGCAATAATTATAGTTCATGCCATTTGGTGGTGTGTATGCATGGGATAAAAATCGCTTACCTGTATGCTTTAACCTGGCCGTAAGCTTGGGTGACTCTGTCCACCCCAACTCCCCTTACGATATTCCCAAAAAGTACTCCATAGTAAAGGTTAATGGTACGGCGAGACAGGTCGCCGAACCCATCGCGGTTGCTGCGCGCGACATCGTTGAAGCGCGAGTTGTCTACATGTACGAGTCTATGTTGTAAGACGACCTCGCTCAATCGACTGCCGATATAAGAACAGGTTAGTGCCGTCCCCTGGCCTGCCAATTGCAAGTCCACGAACGATCAAGTCTTATTCCACCCGCTATACATAATTGCGAGACTCCGGGAGGACCGCCAGCGTCCATGTTAGCAAATTTCTTTGTAATTTACTGATGCGAGAAGTATTGGTCTTGAAATGATCATAAATAATACTGATGATAGTTTTTACATTATTGTTAATCATTCCTCATGCTAACTGTGGAATATTTATTTAACCTAACCGGTATACCGCATCTTTACTGAAGTGCTTCGAGATATCATTATCTGTCCCACAGTTGTGGCACTTGTGGAAGACCTTGGCACCCGGGTGACTGGGTCCAAAGTGGCCAGGACCAGCACCGCTAGAAGCACCTTGGCTAGGGTTCTCATGATCGTATCCTGAGCCGCCGATACCAGAGTGCTTATCTTGAGTGCCACTACTCCAAGGGCCGGCTGCGTTGTTGCTGTGGTCACTCGAGTCCCTGAGTCTCAAGTGCGAGTCACCGCCTGCCCCGTGTTGCCCACCGTGGCCGTGATCATATGAGTTGTCATAATTGGAACCACTGGGGATAACAGTGGAAGAGCCTGTTGGAGCACCACGGTGATCGCGGTCAGAGTCGACCCTTGGGTCCAAGCTGTTTGCAACGCGAGAGTTGTGAGGACCATTTTCGCCCTCGCGATGACCGGCCGTAGTGTTCTGGGTGTGTCCGCGCCCTGGAGCATGGACTCCGCTGGTGCCAGAGACGGTGCTTGTGCCGTACGGGTCAAGCATGCTCGTACCGGCGCCAGTACCAGGCTGGGTCGCAGTGTTAACGGCATGAGGGTCATTCAGGCCGAGTCCAGCACCAGACGTGCGCTCCCGTGACCCAGTGTTGCCATAGACATCATTGCCTCGGGAGCCGCTGTGGTGATGAGAGCCGTACGAAGGGTCGTTCTCGCGCAAATCTTGTTCGTGGTGACGATCTGCCAACTTGGAAGCGCCGAACCCCGCGGCAGCTCCTCCAGCGAGGCCAGCCCCAGTAGCTCCCAGTCCATGACCTTGGTAGTCAGAACTAGCTGTTGGGGCGTCATACTCTTGGATTTTTCGATCCCGGGGAGTCACTTTCGACTCAACGGGACGGTGAGGCAGGTTGGATGTTGCGCCTGAACTGTCATGGCGGTAAGGATCATAGTCATGGCCACCTCCAGTACGGTTGTACTCGTCATTTACCTGACGCGAGTCTAGGCTGTGGCCCGAACGATCGTGAGCACCAATGTGAGAACCCGGCTCGTTGATTCCTGCGCGGTGGGAATCACCCCAGTATGGGTCCTTGGCTTCTTTGGTGAGCTTGTTGTGTGTTGATGTGCCAGTGGGACCGTGATGAGCGTTGGTGCCAACGGTAGCGCCGCGGTGATCACGGTCGGAATCAACGCGCGGGTCGAGGCTATTGCCAACCCTTGAGCTGTGGGGACCGTAAGCACCCTCACTGCCCGAATAGTTGCCAGGAGCACCGGTTGCTCCGGAAGGACCAGTGTGGGTACCGGTCGTTGTGCTGGTATTGGTGGTAGTGCTGTGGGTGTTGTGGCCGAGGCCGGATCCAGGAGCACCACGGTGATCCCGGTCTGAATCAATACGAGGATCGAGAGTATTGCCTACTCTGGAACCATGAGGACCGGAAACACCCTCACCCGTCGTCCCAGCGGCATAACCACCAGAAGTGCCAGTGCCGGTTTGGTGGGTGGTGTGGCCGAGTCCGGTAGAGCCGGGCTCAATGCGTGGGTCGGCGTTGCTGGCTGCCTTCGACCCGTGAAGGCCGTGGGCGGCCTCTTTGTGTTGACCAATGGTCCCTGTATGGCTGGTGGGGCCGGTATTGGAACCGTATGTATAGTCTCCCGAGTTTCCAGTCCTCGTGCCTGACGTTGTGTTCAGTCCCTGGCTCCCATGTGTGCTAGTCTTATCGTTCGTGCGTGGCACCGTTTCTGAAGGGTACGATCCAGGTGTCTGATGTGTGTTAGAAGAATCGTGAGAAGTCTCCTTGTCGCTGTGAAGGGCCTCCTTGATCTTTGCTCCGATTCCCATTTTGTGTGAATTGTTAGAGTATATTTCTTGAATTATTGGAATAGAATTGTTGGGATGTTATGATAAAGTTGTCGTTTGGATTTAACTACTATTACAACCTACCAGTTGGACGTTGGGTGCCCCTCTATATACTCAACCTTTTAGATGTCGTTTAAGCTTGGCACGTCATACTCCCCGATGAATCCATTCTTTCAGGATTGATATTTCAATACCCACGCTCTTGCCTCGCCCCACTGCTATTGAAAGTGACATCAACAAATCAGGTCACAAACAGGGCAGCAGTACAGCAGGCGCACGCTGACTTACGGCCACGCCCACAATTGAGGCGCAGAAGACTGAATTCTTCACTGACTGAGATTCAATCGGCAAATAGTTGCCAGTGTTTCTTGGTTATTTCCAAGTAGCCGGAAGGTTGAGTTTGCCTTCTGTCGTCATCATGACATGGAAGTGCGACAAGGACTAGATCGTTAGTATTAGATTCGAGATGTGCCCCGGAATTATGGTCAAAAGTGGGCCTGCCGATTAGCCGGCCACAAACCGTTACGATGGATATGGGGAATGAGGCTCTTGTTCGGAATGACGCATCCTGTTCTGAAGTCTGGTTGAAGGATTGTGAAGCCAGGCGAGGCAGGAGCCAGTAGAGACGAAATCGCTCGGAATTTGCTTCCGGATATGTGTGTGAATTATCGTGGTCTGGCGTGCCGTTGTGCCGGCATGCATGGGCGGCATGCTTAATTGCCATGTTTTAGCTCGTTTGCTCCAGATGAAATAGCTTGACGCCTAGGCCTTCGCGCTTACAAGTATTATTGATAATAGTATAATATCTCAGCTTGTAAAGTTCTAATAATAAAATTCTGTATTTACTCATTTTCGTTGATGTTTCCACGAAATTCACCATAAATAAAAATGAAATAGTTATTACACACACACACTTTGATGTTTAAATCATATAAAGACGTATTGAAATAACAACGACCATGTTAAGCTTATTATTACATTTGTTCTTATGCTGATTCGGTAATACTTTAGCAATATATAACTTTTGCCTCCGCCTTACTGATTTCGATTAATATATCCTTAGTTTAGTGGCGGTTGGATGTCTATCAGGTGGCAACTATCCAGCCGGGCTATGCTCGAACCACCAGATGTATAGATAAAGTGGCGACCGACGATTAGGTTTAGGTTGGATTATTACTGCCGTGCTGGTAAGCTTGACCTAGTATGTGATATATTGACTGGGCGATTGTGGTCGATATGGACGAGGGTGTCAACGTAGATAATCTAGTGCGCCAAGGTATTGTAATCGCGCGGAGAGATAGGTGCGATCGAAGACAGCTTGCAAGCAAATACTATAGAATCCACAAAGTCTTTGGCTACGGCGCTGAAAGAGTCCTACTTCCTTAGAGAGAAGCTCGTGCCTACAACGACACTCGATGCGCGGCAGCACCAATAAATCATGAGGAGAGAAAGGTTCGATAGTGACTTGTATCTTCCTGACAAGCAAGCCTTGAATACCCAGAAAGCATTTAGACTCGTCTAGCAGAATAATAAGGGGGTGTATCCAGGCAGCCTTGCGGATATCGCCTTCCTCAGATGAGTACTACTCAAGAAAAATAACGCCCGGCTCTTGTCACTTCAATAAGATTTCCGGCATCCCTCTCGCACCTTGTTTACCTGTTACTATCGAACAGAATTTCCACCTGAACACTTCCCAATCAAAACCAGACCATGATATGATGTTACGGCATAAGAATAATCCACCCGGATGCATGCTTCGTTGGCAGTTTGCCCATCCTCATGCTACTATCTCCGAAATCACACAGTCGGCGGTTGTTGGAGCCTGGTGCCTGTCATGGTGATGAGCTTTCCAACAACTGTGTATCAAGTAGTAGTGTTACTACATGCCAATCCACGGCATCGTTATGCTTTGGGCTGCTATCTAAGAGGACCATTACTAATAAGCGTGCGATTTGGACCAGAACGATGTAATTAATAACTGTTATACTGTTATTCATGAGAATGGTGGCGAGTCCGATGACGATTTGTGATTGGTCCTACCTTTTCCGACTCTTGATGTTATTATCGAAAGCAACACGGATCAGGTACTTGTAGGTTCACTATACGCTACCAGACAGAGGAAGGCAAAGAAGAGGCCGTCTCAATGTGTCCTTAGCCCAGAAGAGCTAACTGCCGCTTAGTTTGTCGCTCCACTCGAGGTCTTCTGTGCTGGGTTCTTTACAAATATTTCTTTTTGTTCCGAAAACGGTTCTCGGCCATAAAAACCATAACGGGTACACTTCCTTTGACTACTTAATGGGTCGCGATAATAAGTATGATAAATATTGTACGTCGACATCTTAGTTCAAGTCGACACTTCATTGGCTATCTACCGTTCACGTCCGGGTATAGGAGAGCACGGCCGTGTCTCAAAACCCGCCGTCAACTTCACTTCTGCTGCAAGCGAGAATTATACCCACAATTGTTCCGACACACCCATCGGTGTGTCTTACAGATGGCCTGACTACCACTTCCAAGAAGCGTCGAAGGAGTTGATTAGAGTCTACCTGGACAGATTTCACGTCATGTGGTACGCAAGAGTCACCATGTGGTAATATGCGACAGCAGAACGGTATAGCGGGCCAAGAGCCGAGCAAGGTCTTGATCCATAATGCACAACGATGCAAGAGGCGAGCTAGAGAGTCTGAGGAAGCCGAGAAGGCCAGGCATACCATACGTCGAAAGGCAACGTAGCAAAAAAACGAAGGCTATTATGCCTGTGGCGGAGGACCAGGTCAGTCAGGTGCCGAACGGGAGGAGAGACACCATCATCCTATGATTTATGTATCCGGATTGCTAGTTTTCCGCGCTATATCGGTATCATACCGGGCGAAGATGAACTTCTATCAGCTATATATAGGTCGTGGGTTGATGTTCTTATGGCTTCTCTCTAGAGCACTTGCTTCGTGATCAATAGCAATCTTCTCACTGGTTAATGCTATCCGATATTCAAAGTCACAAATAGTCCAAACTCTGGGATGGCGGATATCTTTATACTGAATTAGCTTCTCTCAATTGTCTGTTTCGAAAATAAGTCAGTAGATTGTCCAAATTGGCAACGTATTCTTCCTTGTTTCAGTCATATAATCACGAAAGGACAACGTAAGGTATACAAGATCTTATTTGCGACCTCATTAGGTCTGTCTTTGAGTATTTGCAGGACGTAATATATATGTACAAGTAGAAACGAACCCAAGTTGAGCACTAAAAAACAAGTGTTCACTCAAGTTCATGCATGTCTTCTCCAAACCCCTGTCCTTTCACTTCATTTCCACCGTACTTCATTAGGAGACTCGCCGCGTCCCTTAGACGCACTGGGAGTAGTAGTCGTTCATGACTGTGCAAGTTCCGGAAGCGCAGCTGGTAGCGCCAGTGTAAGATGCTCCGCCGCATTGTCCATACAGGGCGACTGATCCAGAGCTGGAGCCAGAGGTGGCGGAGGCGGCCTTGCTGCTGGTGCGGGTGACGAGGGTGGTAGGGGCAGCAGCAGAAGAGGCGGCAGCAGTGGTGGGAACGGCAGAGGTGACAGTAGGCTCGTCGTCGTCGCTGTCGCAGGAGTCCTCGTCGTCATCCCCAGCATCGGCAGCAGAGGTCGTGGCGGGAGCAGCAGCAGTGGTCGAAGAAACCTCCTCTGCGGCAACGCTGGTGGAGCTGGCAACTGCGCTGGTCACGGCAGGGGCGGAAGTGACAGCGGCAGCGGAAGTGGTGGCGGCGGGAGCGCTGGAAGCAGCCTGGGTAGACGAGGCAGCAGCCTTGGTAGTAGTGGCGGAGCCGGAGCCGGAGCCACCGGTGTACAGAGCAGGACCGGGAATGGTGTACTCGATGGTGGCGGCGTAGGGGTTGAACAGAATACCGGCGTCATCCTCCTTGTACAGCGCAGTACCCAGAGTACCAGAGGGAGAGTCGGTACCAGAGCCAGTGATCGCAATGTTGAAGCACTGAGGGTAGTTCTGGGCGCCATCAGCGGAGCCGGCACCGTGGAGAGCAATGATCTCGTGGCGGAAGACGTAGTTGCCAGCAGCCAGAGTGGAGGGGACGGTGGTGGTCCAGGTGCTGTTGTTGTCGATCAGAGTCTGAGCAGCCCAGGTGGAGGTGCTGGAGTCGTAACCGCTCTCATCGATCTTGACCCACTCGAGGGTGGTCTTGTCGGCGGCAGAGCAGTCACCGCCGCAGGCAGCAACGTAGGTGAGGACGGGGCCGATGCCGTGGGGCCAGGTGGTCCACTGGAAGTCGACGGTACCACCAGCAGCAACGGAGGAGGTCAACGCGCCGGGCTCCGAGTTGATGTGGCAGTTGATGTCAGAAGTGCCGTAGGCGCTAGGGGAGACGAAACCGTTGTCGGTATCCTCAGCGTACCAGGCGGCGATGTCGGGGAAAGAGCCGGAGTTGATCTTCTCGTAGTAGTAGTCCAACAGGAAGCCCTGGTTGTAGGTTCCGTCGGTGACGAAGCCAGAGACGGTTCCGTGGGCAAGAGCCTTGGCGGCGAAAGCGCCAACAAGAGCGAGAGACGGCTTGAAAGACATTGTGGTAGTGCGTGACACAAGTTTTGGTGTAGAGAAATTGGAAGGTGTGGATGGTTGTAAGAGAATGGATCGTTTGAAGAAAAGAGTGTCCCGGCTTCACACAGTGAAGTTCGACGAAGTGAATGAAAGAATGAGGGTCCTCGAAAGGTAAGAATGAAAGACTGTTCTAGACAAAGCTGCTGAAAGAAACTCTTCGGGTTCGAGTGAAGGAGGGCATCACGAAGCTTTATGTGAGTCGTTGATCTCGCTGTATAGCGCTGCTGCGAACCACCCTCTCCCGGCCTGAGCTACACACGAGGTCTCCATAAGCAATACGCCTCCATTATACTCGCAACACACGACAAGCGACCCGGAGTGGTGGAAGAATTTGAAAGGCCAATCAACGGTAAAGCCGTTGACCGTCATGGGGCTATAACTGGGATTCTGTCTAGGGGCCCCCCGGCCCTTGCGGCTCAAGCAGCTCCACCTTTCAGGGGCATTTGTTGGCCCCGACTCCAGAAAACACAAAACCTAGCGCAAGATGAAACGAGCCCTCGTCGGCCCAATCCGAACTCCTTCATTTCGCTCGATAGGAGGCTCTGTCGACTGCTTTTGACTTGGCTCGTTGTTTCTTGATCCACGCGCTCCATGGCGGTGATCCCACATCCATGCATAGCCGGCCTTGGCGGTAGTGTTCAGATGAGAAAGGTCTGCCCAGATGTTTCTGATTGATAGAAAGGAGGATTTAACGAGGCCATGTTTTCGCGTCATCACACGAATCGAGAAATTGAGTCTCGGCGCATCGCATCGTGGCTCTGCTCCTTGTATGGAGTAAATTTACGTGACAATTCGGATTCGGCGGCAAGGTAAGTAAACATGCTGCGGTAGCTTTCCAGCTTTCAGATCATATTTAGGCTCTCTATTGGAATGATTTGGAATGCGGAGATGGTGGGCCGGCCTGATCATTTACCAAAACGGCATAACGGTTGAGATGTAGTGGATTTCTTGCCGCTTGAGATATATTGGCTTGCTGACATCCCGAGTAGGCTCTTGGCTTTTGGCGCTTACCATACTGTCGGGCATACATGAGTGACGCAATCGACTTCCATTCTTTTTCCTCGGTCGTCGCTTTTTGTCATGTACACTGACACGACTGTTGCCATGTACTCGCAAGTCGTCTTGGATCGCTCCTTGTAAGAGAGCTGAGCTCAGTGAGAGCTGTTCTCACTTTAATCTGATTAGTCCGTGGCAGTCGGTGCCCAAATACACACACATCGAGGTCAGCCAAAACACGTAACGACCCGAAACTCATGCCGAAAATCGCCAGCCTTGTAGCACCGCCAAAGTAGTGCTTTTCTATGCTTCGAAAAGCCGGCAGACACGCGGTGTGTTGATTCATAGCCCTAGTATTGTTGAATCATAGAAGCCGGCAATTCTGAATCATCAATATTAAGCACGTTGATGTGCCCGACGTGATAGCCCACCTAGTTTGGTCTCAAATCATGGTATAAGGAAGTGTCAATATGTAACATTACTACTGAATGATTCATACGCTTTCTTCCTGAAGACACAACTACATCGGTATGGTAATCCCAAAAGAAAGGAAGAAAGAAGAAGAGGAAAGAGAAAAAGGAGAAGCAGAAATTAACTCAAAATAGTGTCTGCCCGCCGTCAATCACAATATCTGTACCATTGATATAACTGCCAGCGCGACTTGCGAGGAGTACGAGTGCTCCAGTCAGTTCTTCCGGGTATCCCATCCGGTGCATCGGATTACGGCTCAGCCAGATGTTTTTGGCATCATCCAGGCCGACTCCTTCATTAAGAATCGTATCCATATAACCAGGCGAGATACTGTTGACCCTGATACCAAGGTGCGCCCATTCGGCAGCTAGACTTTTGACCATGGCCACGACAGCAGATTTTGATACGTTGTACGACACCTGTGGCCTACCGACAGAGATTAGCTGGATCTCAGTACACCCAACACCCAAACTCTCCCGCAGGATATGATCGAGTTGAAATGCGCCAGAACTCACTGTGGATAGTTGACACGATGGGCCGAGATACTTGCAACGAAGACCATGCTCCCACCGGTGCCCTGCTTTTTCATTTGGCGTGCGACTGCCTGGGCGCATAGAAAACCACCAGTCGCATTGACGTTCAAGACGCGACTCCACTCATTGGCTGTCATGTCGATGGCATGCTGGCAGTTGACTATCCCCGCAAAATTCAACAGGATGTCAACACTTCCAAATACATTAGCTGTTTCAGAAACCGCTATAGCGACAGCTTCGGCGTCGGTAATGTCAACTTTGGTAGACAAAATTGTAGTGCCAGGGAACTCGGTTTTGAGACTCTTGACTTTGTTGTCTGCCTCTTGAAAACTCATGTCAAAAATCATCAGACCTTGAAGCCCATGCTCGAGTAGGGCGCGAGATGCCGCATACCCCAGGTCGCCGGCACCACCAGTCACAATAGCGGCGCTGCCGACGAGGCGGAAGCGTAGTGCAGCACGTTCGGCCGGAGAAACGTTGCGGGGTAGGGGTGGCGGCGGGGACGCAAGAGAGCCAGGAAAGCCATTCCCGAGTTTCATTTGGGGGAGCACTCTACTCGTCAGATCGCCGCGCACGGCGGGCTCTGTCTTGAGCTCGACTTCCTGATCTTTTGGGTATATCTCCATAGTCGCTTGTGCTGTGTGCTAGTGAGGTAGATGGCGAAGCCTCCGCAGAGCCGCTGTATGCAAGTCGTATGCATTGATTATATATGTGACCTCGGGAACAAGACGGAGAGCTACGTGGGGCCAGAGGCGCATAAGGGGGATATCACACGCCAGTGGGAGACCCGAGATTTAGAGAAGGGTTGGGCATTAATTGATGCCCGCTTCTAGAGTATCAATCGTGCTGTGTTGCCATTTGACTGCCATCCTATTTTGACAATCAAGAAGTCACGCACATTGTCTTTGCACCCAGCGTTCTGGTAGAAGCAGAGCGGCGGCGGCGCATGAGCTTGGAAATGGTTTCCTATCTGAGCGTGATTCTTGGACAACCGCTAGAAGAAATTTATTAGCCGTTTTCTTTGACCCCCAGAAAGTATCTCTTGATTGTCATAAACCAGAGTGGCAAAAAGCCAGAGCAGTCTCGGTCAAGACTGCTATAGAAGCGACTCTGCCTTTTGCCTTCTGATAGAGGTACTGCTGATTTTGGTGGCAAAATCTTTTGTCTTCGCTGCATCGTCCGAGATATCCTCAGCGTCAAGAACGTCCACTTCAAAGACCTCCATGGAATGCCAGCCGAGAGACTTTCTCTTATCATTCACTGCAGCTCCTCCGGAACGTGTTTCTCCTGACACCACCAAAGCATCCATAGCCTCAATTGTGATGGTAGGGCCGTATGTATCTTGAATGACGACGCACTCAATGGATATGGTGTTGTTCCTAAAAAATGCGGTGATCTTGCCGTCTTCCTTGTGCATCTCTGGTGCCCGTCCACGCTTCCAACCCTCCAAGTGAAGCGCCAGTAGTGATTTCAAGAATTCAATGGTGTACAAGGCTCGGTCCTCCCAAGATTGCATAAACTCGGCGTACTTTTTGTTTTTAAGCAGCTCGTCGCCGGTAATACCAATGATAAAGCGGCAAGGCCTACTTGATGTGTCTGTGGGCACCTTCAGGAGCAGAGCACCGGCTGTCAAGAGAAGCTTGTGGCCAGGGTGTAGATGGTCAAATGTGCCGCCCAAGCAAACGACATCGTACAAACTGGGTTTCGGTTCTGCCGAAGTTGTTGCGCCAACATGCAAAGTAAGCCCTCCCTCAACGGTAACTATTTGCTCCTGCTTCAATGACTGGACGCCTTCAAGCAGTCCTAGATATGTTGATAGTAGATGATGCCCCGCCTCGGTGTCTACACCGAATATCTGACTCCACGGGTGATAGGCAGACACAAAGGTGCCCAAGTCCACAACAATGGTGTTGTTAGTCTCGATAGCAGGCCTGAAATCCGAATTTAACTTTTTGTCGAGATCATGGTCAATGAGGACGATGCGTGTGTCTACAGCTCCCCGCCCAGAATTTATGACAGTATCGATCTTGAGCTCGGCGCAGACGGCAGATATGATGCTATACAATCCCGCTAGAAGCGACTGTGCTTCTGACCATTGCAAGGATTTCTGTCGCCGAAACTGGCCTTGCAGGACAGGCGAAACAAGGGCAATGACGAGTATGGCACCATTCTGGCTGTCGGCCTGCTTGAGTCTGGAGAAGACCGATTTCAACGAGGGACGATACGCGGCATTGAGGGCGGCGCGATTGGCGGGGCGCGGCGCTGGAGGCAGCAGCAACAGCGAAGGAGTGGTGCCCTCTTTCATGGTGACCTGTGCAGCTCGAAAGCTACTCTGATGCGAAGTGAGATCAGAAATCAGAACAAGGTCTCGACTGAGATAGTAGAGCCTGTGGTAGCTTTGAGATGGTGACGAGCCTTGTAAAAAGGTCTGAGTGTGTGATCACACGGTGCTGATGATGAAAGAGTTGATCGATCCCTCGGTTAAAGTGGGGAGCAGTCTTATAGAGGGGAACAAAAGAATGTGAGCAAGGACTTGGAGGCTTGCACATGCAACATCAGCCGTGAACGCGAAGGTCATATTGTGAAAGCAAGCCATCTTGGAGACAAAATCGGCGGTATCCGTCATACAAGTAGATACGATGCGGTGCGATGATCAACATTCACACATGGCCCTTTCTGTTATGCGACATAAGCTTAATTGGCAAAAATGCCGTCGACTGCCCGAGACGTCCAGTGTTCTTGTTACTACAGTAAGGACCAGCGTATTCTTTGCAGAGAATTGGAAGAGAACAATGAAAGTAATAAAAAAGAAAAAGAACCAATGATGATCCGCAAGTACCTGCACATACTTCCATACCATACCTAACCAAGGTTTTGCAGAGAATGGGAGCTTGATGGATGATTGCAAACGTTCCATCATGTGGTTTGCCTGTACGGATCCAATGCCAATGGGTCGGTCACACTTTCGCATAGTTTCTGAAAACATGAGCTCAATATTGAGAACATGGGAAGAGAAGCAGTAGCCGCCGTCAGGGATCAAGGTATTCCATTCCGTCGAGTGGCCTCAACTTCCGTCCTTGCCTGCTTTGATTAGGTAGCCACTTCTGGCATGAATTTCGGATTGTTTGAGTTCCTCATTGACACCCAATCATGAGGATGCTTAAATTGTCCGAATGAGCATGAACGTGGAGGTGTTGCACTCTCCAAACAAAGAGCCACACTCATGTGTAAGTGACTACAGTGCGTCCGTCCACATATAGCTGGGGAGGATTAGCGACGTCCGCATGTGCATTTGCATTTTGCGACACCGCCCGGACACTTCTAAGGTGGCTCTCTCACTTTGACGTCCACCACCACTGCAGCCCAACGGCAGGCAGGCCAAACAATCAGTGCTGTACTCCGTACTTGTTGTGTACTCACATACCTATTCTATTGTGCCTACTTGCCGCCGGAGCAGACGCCAGGAATTGCGATACGGTATTCTCGAAGTGTAGCCTTCGGTGCGACACGGACTTTACTTTGTTGCTCCAACTCGCGCCTTCTACATTGTAGCGTGCTGTTTTCATACTGCATATTGCAGATTTCAGATTCCAGATTTCATACCCGTACTCCCGCATCGCAATTTCGCTTGAACCCGGCGCCCACGGCCATATTCACGCCCGCACCCACGCCTTGATCAGAAGCGACCTCGAACCCAACCCAACCCGCGTCCGTGACCGCGCCTGTCATATTAGATAACGGTCTCCCACTCTCTTTATCGTGCCTCCCCCCCGCCTCGATCGCAACGCGGCTGCGACTGCGAGGGCGAAGGGATTCACGATGAACCAATCGCAATCTTATGGTGCCCCGCGGCGCACTGGTGCTTATGGCTCCGGTTCTGGCCACGATGAACTACACATGTCGCCGACACACGTGCAAGGGCAAGGACAAGGACAAGGCCAAGGACAACAGGAACAAATGTCACCCAGGGACTTCGCAACCATCCCTGGCCCTCAGATAAAGCTCGACCAGAGCGTCTCCCAGCCAGTCACGCCGGGCGCCGGTTCCCATTACTCTCAAGGCGGCAACACCAACTCCTCGGTGCCCAATGTCCTACAACCTGCAGGAGGCTTGGGTGCCCCAAGGCCAACCGCCATGAGTGCTAACACTGCTCCTGCCTTGCCCACCATGGCCGGCGCTATACCGCAGTCCCCCAACGATTACTCCTCCTCCTCCTCCTCCTCGAAGCCGCCTACTCTCAACGTCTCCTCCCACGGCTACTCACGGTCGAGCCCCGCCGCCCCATATGACTCCTCATCTGCATATACTCCTTATACACCCACAACACCTGGAGGCACTCTTGCCGCTTCGTCGCAGCTCATGTCCACTCCCGACCCAAAGCATGGTGCCCCTGGGTCCGGCCCCGGATCAGGATCTGGGTCCCAGCGCAACATCTCTAATACTCCTCTCGGGCTAGCTGATATCAGGCCACGCGCCGACTCCAGCTTGTCCGACGGCGTCCCTGGCTCCTCGGGATACGAGCTCGCCAACGCCCAGCCCTCCCCCAGCAACTATCTGGCACCCTGGGCCCTGTATGCTTTCGATTGGTGCAAATGGGCTCCTTCGGCCAACGGAGCAGGCAAAGTAGCCATCGGCAGCTACCTTGAAGATGGTCACAATTTTGTAAGTTAGGCTCTGCCTTCTCGCACCACCTACCATCCCCTCAGCGGTAGGCTCGTCCGTGTGCAACTTGGCGCTGACATTTCCTTACTCGCAGATCCAAATTCTCGATACCCAAATCGTTAATGCACCTACCGACACCTATAACTCGGGATCTTCCAAGAGCTGTCTCGAGTTTACAAAGATCGCCGAAGCCACGCACTCCTATCCCGTGACTAGGCTACTGTGGGAGCCTCCGTCGTCGAACAAACAGACTACCGATTTGTTGGCCACGTCCGGAGACCACCTCAGACTATGGTCTCTCCCCTCGGAGCCTCAGAGCTCCTACGGGAGCATGCTCGGCCGGCAGCAGCACCGCCCGGCCACCAAACTCACCCCGTTGGCCCTGCTTTCCAACTCCAAGACCCCCGACCATACCGCGCCGCTGACGTCCTTGGACTGGAATACTGTATCCCCAAGTTTGATCATCACCTCTAGCATAGATACGACATGTACTATTTGGGACATTCCGTCTCTGACAGCCAAGACTCAGCTTATCGCTCACGACAAGGAAGTGTACGACGTCCGTTTCTGCGCCAATAGCGTAGACGTGTTCGTCAGTTGCGGTCAAGATGGCAGTGTTCGCATGTTCGACTTGAGGAGCCTCGAACACAGCACCATTATCTACGAGCCAACTGCCAAGGACGATAGAGGTACGATGATCTAATTTTCGAGGTCTTTCAGGAACCTATAACGCTAACAAGCTACAGACGCGAATGGTGGAAGGATCAGCCCAACCTTGGCTCAGCAGACAATGTCTAATGCACCACCGTTGATGAGGATTGCCACATCACCACACGATACACATCTCTTGGCAACCTTCGCGCTGGACTCTAACGTGATCCGGATTCTCGATGTCAGACAGCCAGGCCAGGCCCTGCTAGAGCTCCGCGGGCATGGCGGTGCCGTTAACTGCATGGAATGGTCGCCCACCCGGCGGGGAACGCTGGCCTCGGGAGGTGATGACTGCCAGGTCCTGTTGTGGGACTTGATGAATAGCACCCCGAACAGTACGGGCTCTCCCGATAAGCATCTTACGCCGGTTGCTGCGTGGCAATGTGATTACGAGGTTGGAAATCTTGGTTGGACACCACAAAATGGTGAGGGCGAATGGTTAGGCGTTTCTGGAGGTAGAGGCGTATGGGGACTCAAGTTGTCTTGATGCAGCCTATGGGCTTATTTGAACGATTAGAAAGCATGTTGGGTCGAGCCAAGCTGGGCCTTGTCGAGATGTCATGTGGAGGCTGTACAGTAGCACAGAAAAAAACGGATGCCTCATAATCTAGCCTTCTGCGCTTCGGCTTCTGTCTTGGTTAGCCGAATCACGGCCTTGCCCCATACTTGACGCGAGGCCATGTCTTGGAGAGCCCGCGGGACACTCTCCAGGCCCGTATATATGCCGTCGTACACAGTCGGCCCAATCTTACGGGCATGTATGAGTGGCAACAGCTCCTTCCATATGTCAGCAGTCTCAGTCGGCTCACGGCGATTTGACTCGCCGAAACGCTAGTAGTGTGGTTAATATATTGCCTTTGGGTATATCGCAACTGGGCTGGGAAAGACTTACATATCCGATGAGTGTGGCCTGTCCCAACAATACTCGGTTCATTCTGACGGCCTCCATATCGCCCTCCCTTGCAGCAAACCCAACTACGAGTACTACACCCCTGTACGCGAGACAGCGCAGACTATCACCCACCAAGCCTACAGAATCGAAGACGATGTCGGCCCCTTGACCATTGGTCAGTTGGTTCACGTGCTCCCACCATCTTGGATTGGTGGTGTAGTTGATGCACTCGTCGGCACCAAAGCTCTCGGCAACGGAGCACTTGGAGGCAGATCCGGCCGTTCCAATGACGCGGCAGCCCATGGCACGGGCGAGCTGGACAGCTGCTAATCCCAAGCCACCGGCCGCTGCGTGGATGAGCACTGTATCTCCGGGTTTCATGGCAGCTCGAAGTTTGAGGGCCCCGTAAGAGACAGGCAGGGTGGCACCCAGCGAGGCCGCTTCGACGAAACTCCAGGAATCCGGGATGAGGTGCAACGTGTCTGCAAGAGAGCAGTGTAGGGTTATGTACTCTGCATAGGTGCCAGTGCAGGAGCCAAATACTCGTGAGCCCTTTGGATGTGGGCAAGATGCTGGAGCAGAGAGGACAATGCCTGCAAACTCAAGGCCCAAGGTGAACGGCGGCGTGACATGCCTGCGGTTGTTCTGGTGAAGGCCACGACACTGGTGTTGAGGGGTGAGTTTCAAACTATTATGATATACGCAGAATAGACCGTGATGTGGATTGCGCTGAGCTTACATAGAGAGTATCCACGAAATTCACACCTGCCGCGACGACTTGGATGAGTATCTCGTCATGTTTGGGTATTGGTGAAGGGACTTGGGAAACACAAATTTCATGGTAATTCTGGCAGGCAGGTTAGCTTCTCTCAGCTTATCTAACTTGCCATACCACCAGGAAGCTGGGGAAGAGGGTATTCGCTAACCTGCACAAAGCGGCTGATAACAATTGCTTTCATGTTTGAAGACGGATGAAATTGACGTGAAATCCAGAATCAGATATGCTTTGAATCAAGTATTTACCGTAATGATGTCTCAACTCGATTCCCAGGTCATGGTATCTCTAGTTTAACCGAGGCATGACGGCAATGGATTGGAAGTAAACATATAGTACACAATTACAGTACATATCGTTTGTATGTGTATGGTTATAATAAAACTAAATGTAAACAGCTTACCTATTGTAGGTAACGTTGTTGGAATACCTTACGTTAGTCCTCTGTACTGTGTAAATACGCCACCAAATCCAGCTTTCCATCTTTCACTTTTCACCTTCCACACTTTCACCTTTCCATGTTTTCCACGTTTTCCACCTTTTATTTGTATGTATTTGTATTCTTGCATAGGTAAATATTCCGCAGTGATACTCAGGTTTCAAGATTTATCCAAAAGCCCACATCATCATCATCATCATCACCATCGTCAGTGTCGGTGTCGGTGTCGGTGTCGGTGTCCCCAGTTGATCCCCCGCCGACGCTTCACTAATCTCGAGTTGGCCTAGCTCGGTAAGCTTTCCATTACCCGCGATTCCCAAATTCCAACATCACATTGCGCGCTGTCTTGTCTTGAAGCTCTGACATAAAAATAAAAATAGGCATTGGCAATAATACCATCTCCCTTCATCGCCGTCTGCGTCGCCTTCCACTTCTCCCCGTGTTTCTCCCTTCCCCCCCCCCTTCTTTTCCTTCTTCTGAAGACAACAACAACGACACCATCGACCCGGCATCGTCGACAATTTCCCTTTCAAAGGGTCAATCACCTCGTTTTCCTGTTCTCCATCAGCCAAGATGAGCTCTCCCCGCGATCACAACCGGGACGACTCTGAGGACGAGGAGGACTTCAACCCTGCGCCTGAGGTTGGCAGCGACGAAGAAAACAACAATGACAACGACAACGACGACGATGATGACGAGGATGCAGTTCCCATACGCAGATCCAAACCAGCCTCTCCCGTTGCCAACGACGAGGATGACGAGGCCGAAGCCGAGGATCTGAATCGTAAAGATGATGATGACGACGACGAAGAAGATGATGAAGACGAAGACGATGATGAGGACGATGAAATCCAGGTGAGTAGAATGCCATCACATCTTGCTCCCCTCTGAAGCCGCCCTCGCCTCTGCGGCCATCTCTCTGCCCCGAGACCACCACCTAACGAGCCATCGCCTCAGGGCCATCGTCGCAAACGCCGCAGAAACCAGCAGCACAACGCTTTCCTCGATATCTATGCCGAAGTCGACGATGAGGAGGCTGAGGAGGACGAGGACGAGGACGCCGAGGATCAAGAGGGTTTCATTGAGCGGGAAGAAGCCGGCGAGGCTGATCTCGCCGGTCGCGAGGACGACACCCGACACAGAGAACTCGACCGCAGACGCGACCTCGAGGCCAGCTTCGATGCCGAGAAGCAGGCCGAGATCTACCAAAAACGATACGGCAACCGGGGGCGCTCTGCCAAGGGCATGGGCGACTCGGGTGTCGTGCCCCAGCGCCTGCTCCTGCCCAGCGTCGACGACCCCAGCATTTGGGGAGTGCGATGCAAGGAGGGCAAGGAGCGCGAGGTTGTCTTCTCCATCATGAAGCGAGTCGAGGAACGAATGGGCACCAAAGACGAGCTCGGCATCACCGCTGCATTCGAGAGGGGCGGCCCCAACTCCGTCATGAAGGGTCTGATCTACGTCGAAGCCCCGCGGCAGAACGACGTACTACAGGCCTTGGATGGCATGCTCAACGTATATCCTAGAACCAAGCTTCTGTTGGTCGACATCAAGGAAATGCCCGACCTCCTCCGCGTTCAGAAGACACCCACCCTGGAGCCCGGTTCTTGGGTCCGCCTGAAGCGACCTCCCAAGCACGCAGGCGATCTTGCCCAGGTTTTGGACATTACCCAAAACGGCCTTGAAGCAAGAGTGCGCTATATTCCACGCCTCGACTACGGCATGCGCGACGATCCTCTAGCTGCCCCAACCGCCGACGGTAAGCGAAAGCGCCCTGCCTTCGGCGCTGGTCCGCGCCCTCCCCAGAAGCTCTTCAGTGAGGTCGAGGCTCGAAAGAGGGATCCCCGTGCCCTCACAGGCAACCCGACCACGAATACATGGCAGTACCGGGGCGACGAGTTCGAGCAAGGCTTCCAGGCCAAGGACGTCAAGATCCAACTCTTGACTGTCCAGGATGTCAACCCCACCCTTGAAGAGGTCACCAGGTTCGCATCTGGTGGCGAAGACGGTGTCGAGAACATTGACCTAAAGTCTCTGGCCGCAAGTCTCAAGGACAGCTCCGCCAACGTCACGTACCTGCCTGGTGACGTTATCGAGGTCTACGACGGAGAGCAGAAAGGTGTAGTGGGAAGGGCCACCAACGTCCAGGGCGACATTGTGACCATCGACGTGACCGAAGGCGATTTGGCCGGCCAGACTATCGAGGCTCCTAGCAAGGGTCTGAGAAAGCGCTTCCGAGCTGGTGATCACGTCAAGGTCATCGGTGGCAGCCGTTACCGCGATGAAGTTGGCATGGTGGTCAAGATCTCCGAAGACAGAGTCACACTTCTGACGGACCAATCTCATACCGAGATCACCGTCTTCAGCAAGGATCTCCGAGAGGCCAGTGACATCGGCGGTCAAGGCTCACTGGGCCAGTACGAGATGCTGGATCTCGTGCAGCTGGACCCTACAACCGTCGGTTGTATCGTCAAGATTGACCGCGAGTCTATGGTTGTCCTGGACCAGAACGGCGACAACAGACAAGTTCTGCCTTCACAGGTTGCAAATAAGCTACCTCGCCGCAAGTTGGCAGTTGCAGCAGATCGCAACGGAGCAGAGATCAGACTCGATGACGTGATAAAGGAGTACGGCGGTATGGGTCGGCAGGGCAAGATCATCCATATTCACCGCACCTACGTCTTTTGCCACACCAATACCACCAACGAGAACGCCGGCATCTTTGTGTCAAGGGTCAGCAACGTCTCTACCATCTCTGCCAAGGGTGGTCGAAACAACGCGAAGTCTGCCATGCCTGATTTGACTTCCATGAACCCAGCGCTGAAGCGGAACTCCCATGGCGGCCCTGGTATGGCGCCACCTCCAAAGCCCACCATTGGTCGCGATCGCCTCATCGGCCAGACTGTTACAATCAGGAAGGGAGGCTACAAGGGACTTTTGGGACGTGTCAAAGAGACTTCTGACACCCATGCCCGCGTTGAGCTTCACACTAAGAGCAAAGTCATCAATATCCCCAAGGGCGACCTTATTGTCAAAGATCCTGTCACTGGTCGCGAGATCAAGAACTACGAGAGCCGTAGGCCACAAGGTCCCGGAGCTCCTCGCTTTGAGGGGGGCCGTCCTGGCGGAGACTGGAACGGTGGGTCGCGAACGCCCATGGCTTCTTCCATGTCCAATCGGACCCCTGCGTGGAAGACTCCTTCTGCTGGAGGAAACGGAGGCCGTACTCCGGCTTGGGGCAAAGCTGGCGGCGATTATGGTGGTCGAACTCCAGCTTGGGGAGGTGGTGATGGCTCACGAACAGTCAACCCGTACGATGGCAGTCGAACTGCTTATGGCTCTGGCTTACGTACGCCCGCGTGGAACTCGGGCTCGAAGACCCCGGCGCCCGACTCCTTCAGTCACGGATCGAAAACACCAGCATACGGTGGCAGCGGCTCGTCCGACCCATGGTCTTCCGGCTCCAAAACCCCGTACGGTGCAGCAGCCCCCACGCCCGGCGCAAGTGGCGGCGATACCTGGGGATACACACCAGGTGCCTCGGGCTCGTCTGGCGCCTACGATGCACCGACCCCTGGTCCTGGTCTGCTAGGTGCACCCACTCCTGGTGCTCTCAACGCTCCCACCCCAGGTGCTTTCAATGCGCCGACGCCCGGTGCCATGAACGCGCCAACTCCAAGTGGGAACTGGCAGGGAGGCTGGGGGGCAAGTGACGCTCCAACACCTGCTGCTGCTGCCTCGACACCCGCAGCTAGCGGTTTCGCTTATGCCGCGCCTACGCCGGGGGCTTGGAGTGCAGAGACACCCGCAGCTAGCGGCCCGCGCTATGAGGATGATTGAGCATTGTACTTAGAAAAACAAGGCCTCACATGTACTACAGGAGCTGGCGTTTTGGTGTTTGCATTAGTTTGGTGAATCTGTGTCTGTTCAGAACCAAGGCAGAAGACTGGGTAAAGCACGGCGATGGCAAATTGCACTTTGCTTGGCCGCATATGGGTGTATTCTAGCTAGACACAAGGACATAATAATCCTATCTCGACCCGATTCAGATTTTCGATATGTGACGACGATCTTAGCTTTGGCTGTTTTCTACCTTAGTCCTGCCTGTCTTGATTAGCACCAGTGCAACGGATTCTCCTTCATTTCAGACTGAACGTCTTGTGAAGACACTCGCGTGACATGCGCAACACTCTACCAAACTTTCACGATTTTGCAGCTCGATTACATTGTTTTTATTATGCCAAGACAAATTTAACTAGATGACACGGAGTCTTTAGTCCACATCTGGGTATTGATCTTTGAAGTTGGTTCCTCCCCTCATTATCTCCTCGGCGTTCATACGCACGCTGTGTCGCACTACAGTCGTGTGGGCTTCGTTGACGTAGCCGTCTCCATGCGGAGAGATGTCGCTCTCGGCGGCCCTCGAGCCAGCCGGCCTGTGATGCTGAAACAGGGAGGGCTGCATCGACAGGCAATCGTGGTATGACCGGCCCTCCTTCTCGGCGCCGTCGCAGAACCACAGCAGCAGGATATCAAAGGCCGTGTTGAACGGCTTCATGCCCATCTCGTACACCATCTGCCGGGCCGTGTTCTGCGTCACGGCGTAGCCGAGCGAGCAGATGCCCTCCTGCACGTGGTGGTACACGCGCGCGTGCTCCGGGTACTGCTCCTTCAGGTCCGGGGCGCCCTCGATGTACCTGTGCTGCGGGACGGTGACGTCGTTCTGCACGACCCGCGCCCGAGGCGCGAGCTTGCTCCAGGGGAAGTGCATGCCGCAGTGGCCCGTCCACATGAGGTTCCAGTGGTCGCCGTACGGGGAGACCTTGGGCGGCTCGGTCGGCTGGCGCTTCTTGAAAGGAATATTGTGCACCATCTCGAGCTGGTTCTCCTGGGGGTGGGGGTACGTCGGATCGGCGTACTTGCCGGAGCCCTCCAGAGGCTGCGTCAGGGCGTGGGACGCCAGAGCCAGGTCGCGCATCTGATCCTTGATGCTGATGTCCCAGTCCGCGTCGTCCTCGATGATGAGCGCCGACGTCAGGTTCCTCTTGACGATTTCCTGGATGGCGTTCATATGCCCGCGCCATGAGCCTATCACCGGCTCGGGCAGCCTGGTGTATTCCGGCCCAGCTGGTATCGCCTTGTCGGGCACGGTTTCGCCCAACAAGCCATCGATAAACTCAATCTCGATGTTGCTCAGCGCGGCGGCCAGTATCATGCTGTCGCGCCGATCGGTTCGTGTAGGTAGTCCGACGACGAATATCTTTTCGAACTGGTTTTCCGCGCGTTAGCTTCGGGGCTCGCAGTTGAATAATGGTCATGATAATAATAGACATGGTAATAGTGATAAATAGACAGAACATACGCCGAGAGTACTATTATAGACATCGTCTATCAAGTGCGAGCTGGACTGCTGACTCGAATCAGCAGCGGCAGTGTCTCCATGGCCAAAGTTGTTGGCGATCTTGGTTATTTGGCCGCTGGCAGACGAGGACCACGACGTTGAAAGCAATATGAGAATGAGTATTAAACTTCCACTAATGGCAAGGGTGGTGGGCATAGATAGCCGCCATCTCCACGTCTGCGGTGCCATCACGAACGCTGACAGACGACGATAGAAAAGAGGTCTCTCGATTTTTTTTGTTTATTTTTAATATTTTTTATTCTTGTTTGAAATCAACGCGAATGGGACAAGAAGATGAGAATGGAATCTAGTTGTTGCATAATTTTAGGCGCATGGTAGTCCTGGACTGCAATGAAAAGAGATAGGTGTACGGCGCAGGATGACGGGGCGCTGCCAAGAACTACTTCTAGTTTGTCAAATCTAGCAGAACCAGTTATCAAGAGCCCACTTATCGCAACCTGTCATGTATGTATTCCGTACCTGCGGAGCACCGCCAGCAAACGGAATCCGCAGGGATTGCTTCAAATGGTTTGGCAACAGGGCTGAGTTAAGGTACGGAGTGCCTGCAGCCCATCTTAATGGTATCGGTGGCGCGTGTCTCGTCCAAAAAGTTGCTGCCTAGCGAAGGAGCGGTGCATAATCTCCGGTGGCATCGATGTTTCTCTCGTTCGCGAGGAAGCTTTGCGGATATGTAGATAGCGGGCAACACATGATGTAATCTCTGCCATACAGGAGAAAGAAATGAAGAAGAAGAGTAAACGAAAAGAAAAGGAAAAGCAAAAAGGAAAAAGCACTCAAAATCGGTGAGCGGCTCAGAAGATTCAGGCACCCACGCGTTGTGGTTCCTGCACAAGCTCTTTTCTGTACCATGATCTAACCTAGTTGATGGTCTCCTGTATCATAAGTATGCACTGGCAAGTGAGGTCTCTCTCTGACTTGTAGTGTCTTCGAGTATAGCGCCACTTGTCTTCGGATAGCATGCCGGTCCATGGGCCCGTCCCGTGGGTCAATTTTCATCAACAAGCGAGACGCAAGGTGCCAGGGTTCGTGCTTTAATTAATTGCAGTACGGATCCCGTAGACGTTTTCTTTCTCTTGCAAGCCGCAAAAGGGTTAGTCTCTATTGCCAAGTCTTCGCATACGAAAGATGCATTGCCCATTGTGCGCGCGCCGTGGAGGAAAAATCTCTCATCGGATGATTTTTCCACCTCTGGAGACGTTGTCCTCGACCCAAAGAACTATTAAGCTTAAGTGGATTGAAATAAGATGATGCAGATTAAACCTTGGCAAACGAACAAAGGCTTTTTGCATTGAGTGGGTATAGTGACGTTACCGAGTCGTAGTATTGTGCGCAATTTTCTCCGTGGCTGGCAGCAAGCACAGCACTATATTAGCTAGCTTCTGGCCGCTTGGTGCGCCACTTTGCGGCGCGATGCCAAATACTGCAGCTCTTCGCTGACACACCTGCTCGAAGTCAGAGTGGTTCTTGAACGTCTTTTGCGACAAAATGGATGACTACATATTGCATGTTGATATCTTGTCACGGCAGAACTCTCGCAGCATCCAACCAGGCCACTGAATCGATTGAACCGGCCAAGTATTTGCAGAAATTTACAGCCATCTATCTATTGACACTACTACACTAGCATGATATATAAACCTTATCGCCGTCGTGAACCCGACTTGATGCCTTCTTCCGAGTTCGCACCAGCCAAAGACCCATCAGCATGTAACAACTGCTGGCCCAGGCGCCGTGTAGCTTGTTGGAACAGGATAGTAAATGTTGATCATGATGCCTGGGTCGGTAGCCTTGTAAGCGCCAGGAAACGACACTCCAGAGAAAGTCTTCGTGCCACCTCCGGTGACAGTGAGCTGAGCGCACCTACTGCGGATTAGCATTTTGCCTGCACTCTTCAATCGTGACCACTTACGAAATGTAGAACTGAGCACCACCTGCGCTGCTGGCACTGCACAGGAAATCAGTGATCCGCATCTTCGACCTCCAACCCACGTTTCAACTTCCCCTGTACTCACCTATGAAGCGCAATATGTTCGACTCGGACCAGGTAGTCGCCAGGAGCCAGGCACTCGGGGATCTTGGCCGTGACTTGCTTCGCGCCCTGGCTGGGCCACGTCAGTCCGCTCGGAGCGATGTTTGGACCTTGTGAAAAGATCTTGAACCAGACTAGGCAACAAATATGTTAGTCTTTCCTGTACTGGTCCGCAATGGAGGCTTCCTGAGAGTGCAGGAGATGTACATTGGGGATGCGGTATCTTCTTGGAAAACACAAAGAAAATAATCTGACTACTTACCGGCACCATCGCCGTCCCAGGAGTCGGCAGTTTTTCCAGCAGGAACCTTGGCCATGTAGAATTGTAGCGTTCCAGGATGAGACACGGACGCATCTGCTGTGAATCCAACCGTCGAGCCAGCGGCAACCGTCATTGTCTCGGCACCCTCGTTGCCGGCTGCGAGTTGATAGCAGCGAATCTGTGAAGAGGTGACATCCGTCACGGGACCGTTGGACTGGTAGTTTGTCGTCTTACGGACATACTGCCACTTGTTTGTAGCGGAGCTACCGGATACTAGTGCTGGGAATGTGTCTACGAGTAGTCAGCATGTTATGATGAATCACCGCAAGACGAAGCGTTGCATACAGTGCGCTTGAGAAGCTGACACGAGGCCCAGTAGGATCAACGCGAACTTCATGGCTACGACTATGCTGGGTGGCCTTGTGCAGCGAAATGCTTGCAGAAGTGCGAGGTGATGCTGGTTGATTCAAGACGAGGACGCGAATTGTGAACCTTGACTTCTAAGCACCTGTAGAGTCGATCACCCTGTTGTATACTTCTTGATATATAAGTAATATTAACAATCGCTGTCGTTTCTACTCGAGGATCTTGAGCAACCGCCGTATCATGTTCAATGACGGAATTGGACGTGCCTCCGAGGTAGCGCATAAAGGGGTAATCACCCGCCCGGGTAAATCTAGCATCTGCCAACAACGGCCACTCGGAGCTCTTCGGTATATTGACGCGTTCCAAATACTTGTTCTAGAGGCGATAGTACCATGGTCAGATCGTCGGCAGTGGTGCTGAAAAGTCTTAGATAGTTGTCATGATTGGTGCCCGGTAGAATCTGGAGTGCGTTTTCACGGATGCGAACAACTTAGTCATCCCACTCCAAGTCTGAACATTGTGGATACGTGATGCAAATTCAACATGATCAGTCTCGAATATGTAGAACGATTACCGGGTCAAGGGGCTCCTCGTTTATGCGGCATCTTTTAGTAAAATTCACAAGCGGCATAGTTGATAACGATCATAATTATAGGCAATGTTCTCTGATTCCCGGCGAAGAAAAAAACCATCTAATGGGTTGGCACAGGCGAAGTAGCTATATTGAAAAAACATTTTGGGTGGCCGATTAGCTGGTCGGTCGGTGCATCGTTTCGGAATTGCCAAGCCAGGTCTCGTTGCTTCACTGCCGACTTCCACTACCCAGAACTCCCTTGATGCAGGCTTACATTGGCCAAACAAAGACGTGAGAAAGAGAAACGCAGGACTCAAATATCGGGTGGCCGGAATGCTCTCTTACAATATGTAATCCGCCCCAGAAGGCCACGGGTTGAACTTATTGTCCTCGTTTAATCTATTTCCTTTGGGTGTGTCTAGACAATGTGATTCTTGTAACAATAAGCACTGAATGACATGACAATGTATAAATCACCAATCAATACATAACTTGAATCAATCCTAACCCGCAGACATGAGTATTTTGCCTTTTCCTTTTCCGTCTTAATTTTTTTAATATCTTGGCAGTTCATCTGTACTAAGACTTCACTATGTGCTGGCCTACACGACAGATTTGCTTCTCCTATAACTGTCGCCAAATCACTTATGGTAAGGTTGTTAAGTGCGAGTGTGCCAAGATGTACAGTCACCAGTGCATAGGTTTGATGGATGCTCCTGACGAGCACACTACTTTTGTCCAAGAAATATGCCCCAAGCACTGGTGTGAGCAGACCGGTGACAAGGAAAAGGGGAAGAATAGATGGTTATTCAGGAAGTAGACATGGGCTTTTACTGGCATAATACTATGTGCCTCTGAAGTACGGCGCAGCAGATCCGTAGGAATACATGAATGTAGACTCACTTAACTATAATGTTAATACTCCAACAATTCTGTTCAACTATGGAGGGCGGCGATTTCTTGTTACATTAATTATAGCGTACATTGCCGTAGTCTAAACATCTCTCATCATCTGGCAAAATAAGGAAATCATCAGCACTTAAAAGTTTCCCTTGTATGGGGTTCCATACTCTCAGGCCTAGACCTTCATCAAATCTCCACGTCTGCGGTGGGTGAACATCCGTCCGCAACTTACACACCGTCAACTCCGACTCTATCATGGCACAGTTTTCCGTTTCCTCATCAAGGTCTAGTTCAAGCTGATGCAGATGGTACTCAGAGAGCTGGATGTCGTACCAGCTTGCTTCATCGGGTAGTTTCTTCTCGTCTGGGTCGCCATGGGCGGAGTGCCACTTCTCTGACTCTCTGTCTGGGATTTCCCGTTGTTCAGGCTCATGTACAACAATGTGCGAGAAATAATAATCATCTCGGCTTTCCCAGTACAAGATGTGCCAATACTTGAGTTTCTTCTGCGCCACGTCGACGTTATCCTTCACCTCGTTAAGCTCTGCCTCTAGCCTCCTGACATAATCTTGGTTGAACTCCTCACCCGAGTCTTCGATGGCAGTCTCTTGATAGATCCATCCAGACTCCTCTTGACTACTTTCACTCGTAGAAACAGCATCAGGATCGTATGAATTTCTGATCCATGTTGTCGTCAGACCGATGAGGTCCGAGTCGTTGCCTCTTACAAACCCGCTCACTTCGTCCTCGTCCTCGTCCGCTTTCTTGCACACTGGTGGCGTATCATTCGAATCGTCTAATGCTCCGGATTTGATACAAGGGGTATAAACTGGCAAAGGGATGTTACCACCGGTGTTATCCGATGAGTCGTAACTATAGTCCCAGGATGTGCCCTTCCTTAATGAGGAGAATTTTTCTCCTTCATGATTTTCTGCAAGGTGTGATCTATTTTTATCCATAACTTGGATCTTGTTATTCGGTTATTATGCCGAATGAAAGTTGATTAAAGCGAAGAAAAGAAGGCATTTATACATGCGTGTAATTAAGATTAGCTTTGGTGCCAGGGATGGTTACATTTACATTACTGCTTATACTCGATTCCCACCCAACAATGGCATGCGCTGAGCCGAAGCTAGTCTTTGTTGGTCTTTGTTGAAGTCCAAGAATTGGCATTCTTTTGGTGACCTTTTCTTTGTACGTGACGGTGCCCAAAGACTGTGGAGAAAATTAGACCATGAAGGTCAAATATTAATAATAATTACTGCCATCGTGTTCTGCTGGTCTTCCACCATAGGCTTGAGTTGAGCAGACTAGTTGCATTCCCACATTGTTTCATCATCAGACTCACGAGGTGATAGCATACGCCAAATTGCGTATCTGTACTGAAGTATGCGCATCACTCATCGGCCCCGAGATGATGAACAGGATGATAGTGTGCTCGGTGATACTCGTGGGATATCTGCCCTGAATTATTCGGATATCTTGTTACGATCACTTATTTGTGCTCCAATCTCATGAGATTTACTCGAGACTGGACCAAAGGAAAAAAAATATATTGGACAATGGATACATGTTTTCTCTTGAGCTATGATGGTTCAACCTCTTCATATTAAAGAGGCAGCTTCCACACAAACAAGCGAGTTACGCGACCATCAGGAATCGCACAGGCCGGCAGCCAACCGAATCGCCCAAACAGGGGTTATAGGCGAGGCCAGTTCGGGAATGCGGAGATTAGGGCGATTCATGCAGGAATTGACCCAGTGACCATTACCCCAGGTTCTAGCAGGAATAGCTTCGGTCTTTAAACGTCAGGTCGGGCAGCTGGCCCGTTTATGCAACGGAAGTTGCTGTTATTGGGGGCTTTTCACTTCCCGCACGAAGAGTCGTCGCGTCGAGCGGTGCCATCATAGTCCCGAACCAGGACATGACATGTGGTAGCGGCGGGCCAATTGGGTGAATGCCAACTATAATAAGATGCTACCGAGACCAAGTATGCACAGCGCAGGTTCCCGCCCGTCATTGCTGGCGCGTCGAAACCATGGCCAGAGGTGTTAGACTTGTTGCGTTACTCGCGTTGGTCACAGTTGAGTTTGTTTCAGCTGTGACCTTCGCCGTACCGACCCAGGCTCTTACGGGTGCCGTCAAGTATGCTGCGCTAGATCCGGCTCCAATTGGAGTTTCGTAAGTCGGTCTAAATCGTCGAGGCCGGATCAGATCTTGCTAAGTGAATACTGCCAGCTTCGAGTTCTTCGCTTTCCCATCCTATTTCACCAATGTCACTGCCACAACCCAATGCTTGGCCAATTTCCAGTCTCTCACTGGAACATGGCCCCCGATCAGAATTGGCGGAACCACCCAGGATCGCGCTCAATACGACCCAGCAACCTCTGCCTATGTCGTGTATACTGTAGCAAGCGCCGCGGATGCACCCGCTTCCTTGACCTTCGGCTCCAGCTTCATGACATTAGCAAACACGTACAAAGGCACCGTTGTCGTTGGTTTGAACAGAGGGTCAAACAATATCAGCAACACCATCGCTGCCGCAAAAGTCGCGGTATCAAGCATGACGAATCTGCTTGCCGTAAGTAGTCACCTGGCTTATCTCCAAAATTTTCTTCCATGTCTCCATGATGCAATATCTTGCGCCTGAACCTGAACATTGCTGACTATGGATCGTAACAGGTAGAGTTGGGCAATGAACCAGAATGTAAGTAGTAGAAACCGGAGCAATTGACTAGCAAGCAATGATTGACTGTTTTCACAGACTATTCCAGCGCTGGCCAGCCTATTGCCTCTGGGGGTTGGAGTCCCGCCATTGACGCTGCTTCGCAGAACAACTGGGACATTCTGGTTGGTACGGCGGTCAACAAGCAGCCTATTATTCAAGCAGGAAACTCAAATTCTGCTCCTCCAACCTGGGGTGCGGCAGAACTCATTGCTACGGAGAATTCCACGGTGAAACAGCACGTGAAGACGTATGCCCATCACAACTACCCCGGAGGAACAGTGACTTCATTGATGAGCCACGCGAATATTGCAACGAACCTGCACATATTTGATGCAGATGTCACTGCTGCGTTGGGACAAGGCAAGCCATACATCTTTGGGGAGACGAACTCAGGTAAGTCGACCATGCTCTGGAAAGAACTTCCAAGGATCTAAATTGACCGCTGTTGTGGTACAGTATCTGGTGGTGGTGCTGCCACGGTGTCGCCAACTTTCGGTGCTGCTCTTTGGACGCTTGATTACTCCCTGCGTGCAACATATAGCAATATTTCTCGTACATATTTCCACCATGGTACAGTTGGAAACTGCCAATATTGTTTTTGGGGCCGGTATAGCATGGGCGCTCCGTATTATGGCGCATACGCTGCGACGGCCTTGTTGGCCAAAGCAGCATACTTGACAGCGTTGGATGATGGCACCACTAACTATGCGGTATATGTTTCGTATGACTCAAGCAAGGCGCTCCTGAGGGCATTGCTGTACAACTCGGACTACTACAGCGGTAGTGGCACTCGGTCGAGCCAGTCTTTCGTGCTAACAGGTCTCACGGCTTCCTCAGTTCGAGCCAAGAGACTCACGGCCGCAAGCGCATTGTCGCGGCAGGATCAGGGACAGATACCAACATTTGGAGGCCAGTCATTCACAGATGGCACATGTGTTGTGACCGGTTCTGAGACCTATGAGACAGTTTCGATTTCTGGTGGGCAGGCCACCTTTACGGTCAATGCCAGCGAGGCGCTTGTGGTCTACTTCCAGTGATACGTGGCAGCTCTCAGCGAAATGGAGGGGGGAGGCCTGTCCGAAGTTCTTTTCAAAGAAGGGCTTGGTGGGATTAGAGGCGATGTTCACCTCATGTAGCCTACTTTAACTAGAACATCACGCATCTTTTGCAATGCAACAACCTTGGATTCGCTCTCTTCAACTAACACCTCGCACTGAAGTTTGTACATGCTGGCTTGTTTCGTAGAATTGCTGTCTCTAAAGGTGTTGGCAATTTTGACCTGAAGCTGTTTGGCGCGGTCCGCAAGCACTGATGCAATATGGGCCAGCATCACGGCTTGCATCGAAGATGAAAATTCTGGGGATGCAACAAAGTCTCCGACTTTAAGCTCTGGAATATGTAGTTGAGGCTCTTGGGTTTTCGGCATTGCCAGTGTGACCTTTGCACACATTGACACATGAACCAGTAGAACCTCAAGGACATCGGTTACACGAGTGTGACATGTAAGCAGGAGGTTGAAAATGAACGGGTCCAAAGGTTTGGCTTCGTAGGCCTTGGAGGCGAAGGCTCCCAGCTCTCCTTCCAGGTTCTCAGGGAGTTCCAGGCGGTGGATGCAGTTGGGGTTGTCACAATCTTCGTCATCCAGCTGCTTGAAAATAACGTCGACAGTGCTTGGATAAATGGTTATGAGGCGTTGTGCTGAAGCGAACAGCTGTTCGAGTGCCTGGCGCTGGGTGAATTTGACTGGCCAATTGGCCATCATATCTTCTATTGAACCATCCTTCGACATGTGGACGCCAGGATTTGATGGGATTAGACCGAATACGTTGTCGATGTCCAAGGCTAAGGCTGATAACTGCTGAACGCATGTTGACCTAGGATTACTCTTCTGTAAATCCAGTGCAGGCGGCGTGACGTGTGACTCAAGCAAGCCGGTGAGCGTGCCATCAATCTCCCATGTTGGCCAGTCCAGGTTCATTTCGAGGTTGTGAGCATTTTCCTGCCAAGCTATTTCAACTTCGTTCACTGGGCTTGCCAGTGTTCGTCGGACGTTCAATCCAACAGGACTGAAGATGCACGAAGCGCCAGCTTTTGCGCACCTCGTGCATGTGGTAACTCCTGGCTGCTTTGGACATTTCAATTTCTGAGAGTGACAACGGTCACAACTCGTTCGCAGCGGCCGCGGCATTGGATCAAGCGCTTCGGCAGTTTGAAACAATTCTGCGCAAATACCACTGGAAGTCAAGAGCTGCGATGTGACTCTTTGACATGCAGTCTCTACCTGTATAACACTGGTCGTGCTACTAACATCGTGGGGTAGGTTGGTAAAAGGGGACGTAAGCATGAAAAAGCTCCACACAGGACAGGGTTGTGGTCCATATTAGGCTTAGTCTAGTGCTTCTGGGGAGGGGATTGCCATTGTTAAGCACTTCTAACCAGAACGAAATCGCATTAACAAGCTCGGCTTTTGAGCTCACTGATCTCGGTCGTTCGAAAAGAGCAGTAGTACTGTATATATATGAGTCCAGTGCCGCTTCGTTCGATTTTCTGATCATATTTCTGGAGTTTATCATCGTTGAGCGGCAAATTACAAAGGTTTGGCGTGTCCGTCACGAACGTATAATGTTTGGCCTTGTGGTTATGCATTGATAACAACACCCACTTTCACGGTACGAGTATTTTAGACAGAGATGAGACTGGTTAGACATATGCCCTCCTCTGGGCATTTATGGTTTCGACAATCGATGGATTCACGGATGATTCTTTACCTCTGTGCTCAGGAGCGCATACCGGCCGGAATAGTAGTCCTTGGGCGAAATCTCCGAAGTGACAAGTGTTGTGAAAGTGGTGACAACCGCTCTCAGGTATAAAATCACCATGTCTCATATTGAAATATAACTAACGTCGCTGCATTCCGTGACGGCTTGCATGGTTTCGGCGGTTACAATAATTGATTGATCTTGGACCTCTGAACAATCGAGCAGATATAACAAACACTGTTCATGTTATCGGGAGATATATGCTCAGCGTGAATTACTTACTACAAAACAGCCTCCAGTACTGCCTACGTGTTCATGACATTGCTTGTCTCGACTTACAATGAAGACTTTAGCACTATTATTAGTCGCAGCAAAAGCGAGCCTCTCATGAACAACCATTTGACTTCTCTGGGTGAAACTTCTGCTTGGTTATTACTGCCATGGACAAGTACAGCAATAGCCTCTCAGTTCCCCAGTCACAACAGTGACGATGATGACGGTTTTGTCTAAGATAACCTTTACAGCCGGACTACGAGGCTGTATCGCTATCCCAACTCTTCCCTAGCCCTAGTGGGTGAATTCTCGGTATCAATCCTGCCTTTACTTATCGAACATATAATCATTGTTGTACATGGTTAGTGCGTGGCGAAACTGGAAATTATGGCGCATGTTTACGACTTATACAGCGGAGCCTCGTTCGCTCCCAAGCGTATGCTAACATACGAGAGAAGCACCATATGATAGAAGAACTAGCTACAGTGCTGTCCTTCTTGTTAATACAGGTTTTGACCTGAACACCACACGAGGTGGCTGAAATATGCCATACTTCTAAAACCGGATGAAATCATGGTAATACTAAACTAATTATTATTTCATCTTGTTGCAACAGATCAGATCTGCAGCATCACACCGGTGCATTTCATTGACGCAGTTTAATTCCCACTATCCCATAACCTGGTGATTGATGTCATCTTGTTAAACAGAAGCAACAAGCTCAAAATCCGAGAGCAAAATTTTGTATTTCGTTTCGCACGTTACAATGCGGACGACAACACGGTTTAAATAGCAATCAAATAGAGTTATATAGATTACTTCCAGTCACAATATATCCACCATATTAAATTATCTCCACCTTCATTTGATTATGAATATGACAACGATCGTTGGGTATTTCATCAATTGAATACAACAAGAATGAGGTTGTTAGAAAATAACGACAGTCGAACAACTGTGCTTATAAGCTTTGAACATAAGTATAACGACCGCCACAGAATATTTCTGGACGTTTTAAATGCAAAAACAATTTGGTTGCTGTTTACACATTAGTAGCAGCGGTAGCACCTGCACCGTTGTGCTGTGTACCATGAGCTGCAAGGTTGGCGCGATCAGGGATGGAGCCACCAGGACCCTCGGGATGCTTCTCACGAGCCTGTTTGGAATCGCGGATATGCATGCCAAGCTGCTCAGGTGTGATGTTGCGGTGTCCCCAAATCAACAGAGCACCCCAGACAGGCTTGGCCAGCACATCTAGGATACCGTAGAAGATGGCTTCAGAGTCGGGGTGGATGACATTTCCACCTTCACTGATACCCCAGGCGATAGGGTACAGAAACCAGAGGAAAGTAAGCGCGACACCAAGCATCAAGTATGTTTTTTTGGGAGCTCCGCCAATGGCATTGGCATGCGAACGACCGACGATGATAAGGTTGTAGGCAATGTAGAAGAGAGCAAACATGCCGAAAGTCCAGTAGCCCCATTTGTAGGATGTTCGTGTCAAAGCACCGACAAGACCAGTGACGATCATAACTTCGTCAGCAAAGATGGTAATAAGGATTGTAGACGTAGGTAAGCCGGCAGTAAGCAATAGATCCAGTAGAAGAAGCGGCGTCGTAATAGCCCAGTCGATGTAACGGACGTAGAATATCTCACGAGTGCCAGCAGCACCAACTTGTGATGATCCTGGTCGTAGGAACTCGGCCTGTATCGGAACTTGACCAAGGTTGGAGCCCATAGAGAAATACGCAATACAGGCAGTAGCAGTGATGGCAGCTGTGATGTAGTGGAACACGCGGTCAGTGTAAGCTTTCCTGAGTCCCAGTCCCATGAAGACGAGTGTTGAGAAACCCATCACAGCACAGACGGCGAAGTACCAATCTGAGGCACGGGTCGTAATCGAGAGGTCGGGCTGCTGCCCGACCACGTCGTTAATGTTGAGTGCTTGGTTTCCAGACATTATGGAGAGTGTCAAGAGTCGCTTTCCCCAATGTCACTCGAAAATACGTGAAGTGGTGCAACAGTTGCTGAGTGCTGGAGATGAGAATAATTGATGAAGCGAGAAAGTGATTTAGTATATAATTGTCGGGTCAAGGGTATTTGAACTCGCAGCGGAGGAACATTAAGGGTTCCGATACTATATAGAGAGTGATGACTTCATCTTCACCTCTACCGCATTCAATACCCTGCAGGTGTGCTATGTAACAATTCCATCATTAGCTAATCGCCTACATGTTTCCACGGTCCATCCGGTATGGCCCTCACACGATGCAGTGACTCGAGCCCCCGCCGACTCGGGAGTTACTGTACTGCAGGTGCCATCGAATAGGCGCGCTTGCTTGACGACAAGCTTTTCTTTAGATGCTCTCCCGTGTTGGCGATCGGCATGGATGAACATTATTAGTGGTCGAGGACGATGGCTGCAATATCAAACGGCCGCTTACATCTAATTCCACCATCACCACGAAGCTGCCAAGAACTTGGAAAAGTGGCATCTGAACAGCCCTACGGAAGTGCCGGGGTCACATAGCTTCAATAGGTATGCTCGTATCGTGCTAACATCCAAGTGCCGGTGAAAGGATGGAAAACGCATTCTGATCATAAGATGAGACTCGGTGATCATGGACAGCCAATCGTTGTTAGCTCTCTGGTGTACTCATGAATCACCACTAGTGTCCGCTATAGTGCACCATGTCAATTTAATTGGTGCACGTTCAGCCAAGTCATGATATCATCAATACTCCGAACAACCCGGTCCAAAAACACTGTTTCAACACCCCCTGCAAGCTGTTATACACCTCGCTTCGGAGGCCCATTAAGTCGTCAGGCAACACAATACAGTAAAAGCTTTTAGGTAGCGACAAAGCATGTGGTCTGATCTGAATATTGAGTACAGAATGTACTGAAATATGGTAAGGTCATTTCGATAGTTGTACGAAAATCATGCCAAGGCGCTGCAATCGAAATGTCACTAAAAATGCTCATGTGGAGAAAGTGCATCATCTAATAAGATCTCCCACAACAGCAACCGTCAGAACCAACCAGTCGTGTTAGAGTTCTGCCACTTACGCCAAGTCATTCCAATCGAATTGTCGCTGGTTCTATTTCGAATTTTATTGTTTCCGGACGACGGAAATTGTTTGAGTTTGCTGGGACTGCCGTCATTGGGGCCTAGACCCATTTGACGCGAAGGCGAGGACGATTGTGAGTGATCCTAGCATGACAACTCCAACAATGCCGTCATAACCTCTTTGCATTTGCCTTTACCTCTGCCTTTGTCATCAAAGCTCCAGGTTTAGAAAGTGGCCCCGATGCAAATACCAAGAATTTTTGAGCTCCAGCCGAGGCGTTAACAGTAACCCCTCAGTCCAAGATATTTTATCTGCCTGGACATCCCTTGCATCTCGGTTAGGCGCGTGTGGCAAATGTATGGGCCAATCCTACCCAGTCGTTCGACATGGATATGTAGATATTACTGTTGCACAGCCCATGGACGAAGGAGTTCCATTATACATGAACATCGTTGCCATTTAAAATGTCGGAAGCATTGCTAAGGACTGTTGCTTCGCAAGACGAAAAGTCGCAACAACTACGAGGGCCACACCCGTAAGTACCTGCCACCTCACATAAACGCCCATGATTTCTAACACATTGTCAGGTACCTCTCAGGGAACTTTGCTCCCATACAACGTACAAGGCCACTTACAGCATGTACCTTTGAAGGTGTTATTCCAGTGGAACTTGCTGGCGGGCAATATGTTCGCAACGGCGGAAACCCCACGACGAACGAGGATCTGGGAAGAGATGCGCATTGGTTTGACGGCGATGGAATGCTGAGTGGCGTTTTATTCCGCAGGGGCGGCGCAAAATCCACGGAAATCGTGCCTCACTTTGTGAACCAATACATTCTCACAGATGTGTTTCTCAACGCCAAAGACAACCCGAATCTCAAAAGACCCCTGCTACCAAGTATTGCGACGCTTGTGAGCGCTTCTCTGTTGACTGTAATCCTGGCAGTCTTCCGAACTATGTTTCTGGTTCTGCTATCATGTCTGCCTGGCTCAAGACACCGAGTGAAGAAGATCAGCGTCGCAAATACAAGCGTGGTATACCATGACGGCAGAGCTTTAGCAACTTGCGAAAGTGGCCCGCCCATGAGGTTCCAGTTACCTAGTCTGGAGACCGTAGGTTGGTTCAGTGGACGAGATGCCGAAAACGAACCACACCAGGATCCACGGTCAGGCTTCGGGGGAGATTCGTCCATCGCCTTTTGGAAGGAATGGACCACAGGACACCCCAAGGTGGACCCCGTGACAGGAGAAATGATTGCTTTCCATGCGGTTTTCGTCAAGCCGTTCGTTTACTACTCCATCGTCCCACCAACCAAGCCAGTTGGGAAGTCTTGGCCCATGTTGGGGCCAAGGTTTGATGTGCCTGTTCCAGGGGTAAGCTCGCCCAAAATGATGCACGACTTCGGTGTATCTGCTCGTTACACGGTCATCATGGATCTGCCTCTCTCTTTGAACCCGATGAACAGCGTGACCGGGAAGCCGGTGGTCTCGTATGACCCAACTGATCGTTCGCGCTTCGGCGTCTTCCCACGATATGAACCTGGAAAGGTGCAATGGTTTGAGACCAATGCCTGTGTAATATTTCATGTTGCGAATTGCTGGGAGACGACGGCACTCAAACCAGAGCCCGAAACCTGCGTTCATCTACTCGCTTGTCGGTTGACGTCTGCTTCCGTGGTTTATAGTGCTGGAGCACTAGCGCCACCAACACCCAAGCCAGTACCTCCAGAGTATGTAGAAGAGGAACAGTGCAGGCTTTACTACTTCAACTTCCCACTCGCCGACAGTGGCACAGGACGGCCAATGATCCGCAACCAATGGGCACTATCAGCAATTCCGTTGGAGTTCCCCGTGCTATCACCAGCCCACAACATGAGTTCGGCGCAATACGTCTACGGCTGCAGCACCGGTTCAACGTCGTACTATTCTGCAGCACTCGGAAAGGCTGCCAAAATCGACTATCTGGCCAAAATCGATGTGAAGACTTTAATTGCGCGGGGCACTGCGCGGCCGCCACAGCAGATCAAGGGATGCGTGGACATGCGAAGCATCGACGAGATTGTGCAAAGCAGCGATCCAGATGACCCGATCAAGATGTTCAAGATGCCAGACGGCTGGTACACCCAGGAGCCCCGGTTTGTGGCACGGTCTAATGCGGCTAGCGAGGACGATGGGTGGCTCCTCACTTACGTGTTTGACGAGTCGCAACTGGGCGAGGATGGCGAATGTGGAGGGGATGCAGCCAGCGAACTCTGGATCATTGATGCGAAGAATATGAAAGACGTTGTAGCAAAGGTGAGGCTGCCGCAGAGGGTGCCTTACGGGTTGCACGGAGCATGGTTCTCGGAGAATGAGATTCGAGCGCAGAAGCCATTTGTCTCTGTCCGCCGAGAGACATTGAAGGCGGAAACAGACAGCACCTGGCCATTAGCGATCGTTCGTGATACCCTGGAGAGTTGGATTGGATGAGGTCGATGTGTGCATGTTATGCACTTGTACAACTGGAGATGCATGGGCCAGTTTTGTGCAAGTAAGGCACAAAGTAGTCATGTCCCCCGCCTGCCCTCGGGGGAAGCTCAGGCCCAAGCTCTTCCATGTTTGTACTAGTTAGACTACATAATTAATGTTTGGCGTGTTTTCCCCGCTATCGAAAGGTACTTGGATGACCGAGAGCCCTGCTTGAGACTCAACGCATCTGCTAGGGGACCCTGGCTGTGTACTTACCTTCTATGGTCTCAGGCCTTGAAATGGGAGGTGGGGCGAGCTCTCTACTTTGGTAGAAGAGAAGGTACAAGTAGTGGCTTGGAGCTTAACATGGCGGAAAAACACCCATGCAGTCGACCTGGTACCTGCCCCGTTGCCCTCTCTAACCCTTGGTACGGTAGAACGGATCTCCCTCTGTCTCTCTGTCTCTCTGTCTCGCTCTCCACTGTTAATCATACCCGCCCAGAGCGACGTGTACTAGTAGAGGCTCAAGCAGGCTCAGGAGGCTCCGGCAGGTAACGAACGGAGTACAAACTCCGTACATAACTCCCAAAGGTACTTGTAGTTGACAGTACTATAGTACTAGACTAGTAATAATTGAGCATTTGCAACGGCATCCCACTCGAAACACGGCCCATTCCGCTTTGTGTTTATGTATTTGGTTTATTTGATTTGCGCCGCGGCATGTCATGTGTTACGTATGTACTTGTCAGCTCACATACCTCACGGTTCCCTTCCCGTACGGTAGATACTGTAGCAATCCTCCCTGCCTCTGTCTGTATTTGCAAGCCGCCATTCGGGAAGATTGTTGCTATTGTTGTGCCCAATTGCCCCCCGTCAATACAAGACACGAATCAATAATAAAATCGATGAGCTTCACAACCATTCGCCTGGCATCCGCCACTTGGCGATTCATGAGCCATGGAGCTGATCCCTTATACGTCGAGAGAGGGACGTGAGATTGTCCTGTACGTCATCTACACTGCTCATCGCAGCTGGCAATAAACTACACACCTCGCCAGACCCTCTCTGGTGTCCTTACTGACCATGACTGCATTCAATCAGCCGCCATCACAATGCTCTGGTCGTGCGCGATCCTGCCTCGCAACGCCTCGAGATCCGGGGCCTGTCCCTGACCGAATGCCCGGCCTGTCATCAACCGCTTCGAGCCCGCTCATCCTCACCCGAACGACGCTTCGAGGGACCAGAAACCCACCATGAATCCTACGTCAACCCAAACTATTTTCGCATGCTGCGGGCCGCTCATGGCGAAGAGCACCATCCACCCCCCAGCCCCATCTTCGAGCGAAGGCTCCCACACCCAGCGCTGCCCATCGGCGAGCACTCACGGGTACAGGAGGTCGAGATTGCCGAATTCGTCTCGAGCACGCCGGCTCAATCACAGACCCCCCAGCAAGGCGCCCGCATCCGACGGCAGGCTTTCAGTCCCAACTACTTCCGCGCCTTCTTCGTCGAGGAGCGAGAACTGGGCCGCGGCGGCAAGGGTGTGGTCCTGCTGGTTCGTCACGAGATCGACGGCTGCCAGCTCGGCCACTTTGCCTGCAAGAGAGTCCCCGTCGGCGACGATCACGCCTGGTTAGAAAAGGTTCTCATCGAGGTTGAGCTCCTCGCCAAGCTGTCCCATCCGAACCTGGTCTCGTACCGCCATGTCTGGCTCGAGGATGTCAAGCTCCATCGCTTCGGCCCGAGCGTCGCCTGCGCCTTCATTCTACAACAGTACTGCAACGGCGGCGATTTGCTGCGCTATGTGGTGGGCGACCAGCCCAAGGAAACCACCAAAGAGCAGTTGAAGGCCCAGATGCGCAGGCGTTCCAAAGGCCAGGCCGAAAGGCCAGACCTGCAATCCTCCCAGCGCCGTCTTTCTTTCGAGGAGATTTACTCCCTCTTCCGGGACATCGTTTCTGGCCTTGCCTATCTGCACAGCTCCAATTACGTCCATCGCGACCTCAAGCCCAGCAACTGCTTGCTGCACTACGAGAATGGCAAGCTGACTTGCCTCATTAGCGATTTCGGTGAGGTCCAGCCTGAAAATGCCGTCAGAAAGTCCACGGGCACTACGGGTACAATCTCTTATTGCGCCCCCGAAGTCCTCATTCAGGACCCCTCTGGCCGCTTTGGCAACTTCACCGCGAAATCCGACGTCTTCTCCATGGGTATGATCCTCTATTTCTTGTGTTTCGGCCGGTTGCCCTATAGGAACGCCAACTCCATCCACGAGGAGCTCGAAGACATTGATCTTCTGAGAGCTGAGATCACCGACTGGAAGGGATTTCAGGAAGAGCGCAGGGAGCGCCCAGATCTACCGCCAAAGCTCTACCACTTGCTTAAGAGAATGTTGGCTTTGAGTCCGTCAGAACGCCCCTCCGCCGCCGACGTCCTGGATGCCATGAACCATGAATCCAACATGGGTGCCCCCCGAAGGGAGTCCATCACAAGCAGCCCGCCTTTAGGTTTGCGCGAGCATAGAATTCAGAATCTCGACTCGCCCATGGCACCGGGCACACCCGTCCCTGAACCGTTCAAGCATCGATTTAGGGGCAGGACGCCCAATGATGCTGTGATCCCTGACAGTAACCCTTCGGATGGCAACGACCAGACACGTGAAGCATCCCTGGATAATGCCCTGCGAGATCATGTAGATGACATCAGTCCTGGCCGTTCACAGGCCATGATGCTATCGAACAGCCAAGACGATTTCTTTCAGTCTCCACCCGCTGAGCCAGATGACAAAAACAGTCATCAGCCTCTCGCATCTCCCCCACTACTCATGCCCCCGCCAAGTACCTTTGGGGGTGACATCTGGCATAAAGGTGTCGTCGCGTTGCATAGCACGCGTCGATTCTACTTGAGCAATCTCCAGGGTGTTGTCTTTCTCTTACGGCTTGGCATATTCCTACTCAAGATGGCATCGGTGGCTCGCATGTGCTGGCCGCTCACGGCTCGTCTCGAGATCAGCGCCCCTCTGGTGGCAGTCGCCGCCATGGATCTTGGTATGCCACACGATGGTGCTGCAATATCGGCACACGCGAATGGCCTGCACGTGCCGCGGTATTCGGCTTCTTTGCGATGGGCATGGGGTTGGAGGATCAGCAGCATGCTTTTGATGCTGCATTTTGCTGTAGTCTGGGCAGTGACCAGTTGGCACTCACCATGCAACCCACGCTGGGAGTACATGGAGAAGGAATAGCGAGATGCTCCTGGAGGGATGCAAAGTACCGCGGAGGGGTGCAAAAGTATCACGTGGGCGATATATATGAAATGCGAACGGGCATACAGCTCTAGTCCATGAGGATCCGCGTTAGAATGAGGGCCTACGGGGCATAGCGAGCGCGTTCGTTGTTGTTGATGAGTTGATAGATGGATTTAATAATCCTTATATAGTGCGGCTCGGGAAATGAGAGACTTCTGCACAGCCTTGACTGGTTGTTCATCTCGAGGCGGTACAACTCCGTATATCTCATTCGGTATCTCGTACTGAAGTAGTATTATACAGACTCGGCTAAAAAAAATTCCTGTCCTACCACCCGGCATTGGAACGTCCCAGTGTAGCGTATAAGTCCGAGCAATATCCCATCCTGGTTGCGAGCTTCACTTCCAATCTCTTTCCTTCTTCCATTGGCAGACCCTGATTGCCTGTTGCTGTGTAAGGACTTCGAAGGACCACAACCAGGGAGCTTGCACGAAGACCAGTCAAGTCACGATCGAATGGCCCCTAGTCGTGTATGCGACACAAGCTATATTGAACCCCCATCTTTTCAATCACCACTAACCAGGAGACCTGCACAGGTCACAAGTATCGTTACATGAGTTATGTTTAGAAGACGTCGGTGGTGCTGGTGGTACCGCTGAGTTATAGAATGTTCTCAGAGCTTTCGACAACTCCATGAGTAAACATTTCATGATTTACAAGAATCTTGCCTTTTCCTCTGTTGGGAAGCTTTAGAATGCTATATTGTGGTATTTGAGCGGATGTCGCGTGTCCTGTCTGCGTATCGCATGAGCAATGAATGTGTCCACTCTTGCTGCCGCAGACATAGCAGAGGTGAAGCGGAATAAAGACACTGGAGGTTCGATTCGTTCCGCGAAGTTTATCATTGGGTAGATGTCGGCTGTTCATGGATTGTGTACACAAGTTCAACTGTATTCTTACGCGCTACGTCAGTCATGGACTCTATATAGCTTGATAGGTGTCCATACATGGGATGCCCTCAATTCATCCAGAGGCTTGCTCATATATGAGCTGATGGATCACTGTCACACACCCGACAGCATTAGCAACTAGTGTTTAGCCTATGAGTTTGACCAAAGTGGAGTATGCTGGGGCTCGTTTCTGATCTTGTCGCATATTCACTTTTGCAGGAGAGGGAGCACCGAGGTTTTGCTCAAAGACCTCCTTAGCTTGTCGAGTCGACTGCTGACGTACGTCACACTTGGTGGTTCTAGCTACCAGATATTTGCACCCGCTTCCGGTACTGAGGTCGGGCTGTCCGCCCCGTGAGTCGAAAATATCGCCCATATAGTCCGTCACGGGGCTCGTTTCTCGATGCAAGCTTACGATTACAATATGTCATGATACTTCGCGTGATTTCAAGCCTTACAGGTACAGGTTCACAAGTGTAAGATCAATCCCGTTCTGGTAGGTGGATATGTAGTGAACAAACGCAGAAACATCAGGAGGCGGCTAGTCAAAGTTGGCTCCTGTTATCGCCAGAAGCGAGACGCAAGACACTAGAAGTCTGAACCAGACTGACCAGGCCACCCAAATTGGCACGCACAACAATAGACAGAATAGTTACATCTCCTTGTCTTGTTATAGTGTAATAACATGGGTTCGGTTCGTCTAAGTCATGCTCGTGTTGTCAAAAGCCCCATTAAGCAGGGTAACTGACTAGTGCACGTGGCTTGTGTGCATACCTTAGCTTGTGACCGTCAGCCCTTTTGTAACCGCTGCATATATATCTGTATCAAGATATATCCTAAGAGCCATTGTATTCGGGAAGTCGGCCAGAGATGTTGACGAAGCCAACTAGAATAGTGCATCGATACGCCTCGTTGACGGTGATGGACTATGTGTCGCAGGTGACTATATATATAGATTATTGACTCCGCTAGTCTATCCAAAATGGTTTATATCCAGTCGTGGGCGTTGTCTCCCATGTATCATGTCTTTAGCTTGTATTACAGCACACCTTCTAATACGTACTTCGTTACCCAGCACGTCCCAGCGCCTCAAGCGTGTGATATACACAGGAGATGCCTGCGAGTAAGTTGACACCAAATACATTTGCGTGGGTAGACAAGGACGCTTAATCACGGTACTGCATTGATCTCAGATTCACCGACTGAAGTCAGGCAGATATCCTTGGAAGCTGTGTAGTGCACTCAGGGGTAGATAGATTACAAGCAGGTGACAGGTATATTCCTCTTCTCAATAGCACACGCTATCCTGCACCGTTCCTACACATAAACATACGTTCATTATCTTCAAGTACATACTGTGGTCTAAGCGCGAATTTCTACAACATAATATAACGAGCCTAACGAAATGATCGAAGGTCGTTTCTTCCGGCTCCCAGGAAGGCAACACGAGCAATTATTAAACGTAAGTTACACAGTCTATTTTGAAGTGGTTATTAATGTTTAGATTTGATAAATTTGTCTCGGCGTAAGCGTATTATCAATAATTATATAATCAACGCCGATCGTGTCCGAAGCGAAACATTTGCTTGACCCAAGAGTGACAATAGCAAAACCCTAAATTACTGTTAGGCACCGCTGTATGCGTACCTTAATCCCTTCGACTAGCATGTGAGGAAACGCCAGCAATTCAAGGCAGACAAAGAACAAAAAATGGTTGTGTGCTTTTGATTACATCTAGATGATATCTAGGATGATCTAGGTGTAAAAGAGGTAAGCTCCTCGAGTGCAAGGTACGGCGAAAGCATTGCACCTTTTATATAATGCGTGTTAGATATTAACCCTTCCATAGCTACATACTATCATATGCGCAATTCCGCGCCAACTTGTGCAAGGCGCGTTACATCAAGCGGCTCGTTGAAAACGTGCGCTTTTAAACCAGCAATGAACCTTCGAGAACTGGTTAGAGGGTTTTCTGGCTCGACTCTGCATCTTCGAAGTTCTAAGACCAAAGTTTTTATTTAAAGCATGAATATCATACAAATCGTTCCCATAATTGAATTATAATTCGACCCTGAAGCTAAAGCCCTCCACTCACATTAAGAATTGAGCGTGTCTTGGCGGAACATATATGGTTTGGTTTTTCCTCAGGCAAGTCGCTGCGGGAGCAGTTCTTCAGCATGTTATAATTATGCATCTTTCAGCTGCTGGGTCGACAATGGAATATAGCAATGCCAACATATCACTATGAAGTCAATCTCGAGAGCAAACAGCAGACTAGTTGATATCTTGGGAAGCATCAGTGGGAATCTGGCACAGCATGGTAAATCCGGGCAAATACGGGGCTGTGATATCTGTATCTGTGCAATGACCGCCACCTCGTATAGAATTATTGAGTCGCGAGTATCTTAGCGTCTTCTTCAACGTACAAAATCGCGACCGAACCACGTCAAACAGTCAAGTCTGAGATAATTAAGATATTGAAGCGCGGTTGTCACTCACTGGGTAAGCCATCCCTAAAGAAAAGTATTTCGGTTTCAAACTGAAGGAAATAGGCTGTGCAGCCTCAATATCAGGAAAGACCGGACTATGAGTAATGCTCTGTGGCAAAATAAGCGTCGGATAGGCTATGACTTTGGCTCAGAAATTTATGCCTTAGCTCTGCGTATACAATACGAGATCTTTGCAGAGCTTCTCGTTCGACCCACGAAATGGAATGCACAGCATTTTCTTTCCAGACGGAGAACCGTGATGCCTTAGCGGTCCATGGAAGGTGACAGCAACACATGGATCGTGTCTAATTCCACACGACACATTCGACTTCGGCCATGAGGAAGAATGCCACCCCGTTTGACCAACCTGCCGGTAAGGCGGAAAGACTACCCTAGCAAGACCAGCGTCATAATATTGTTTCCACCGCGGCGTTAGCCCATCAACTCTGAAAATAATATTTCTACAGCGTATCACCCAAGGACGACGGCAGAGACGGCTTTCTCAGTTCAAATTCCAAAGCATAAATGGAAGCATAAATTACATGGTAGAGCGGGTATTGCGCCTACCCGATCAGTTCTTAGAATTGCTGATCTCTCAATCTACGAATTTTCGGCCAGTCATACTACGGTGGAGGAACTGGAAATTCGACTCTTCATAGTTGATCGACATGACATGCACTCAATAGTGGCAATAGAAGTAATTGCGTACTCAGCCCCCCAGCCCCCCCGGATTCAGCTATATCAAGCTTAAAATGGTGCGCCACTCAGTTCCACGCTCTGCTCTGGTGGAATGACCGGACGCTAGTTCAGCCGCAGGCTCAAGTTTGTAGGTCTTCGTATCGCCAATCTGACTACTCCTTCCGGAGGACGACATGTTACAGGTCGATCACTTGATTCCGGACTAGTTGAAATCCAACACATCTGGATTGTATCGTTTTCCCCCAAGCAAGTCATGCCATAAGTTCATATTCGATATATACATATTGGCTGGGCTTTTCAGATTTTGTGATGACTGCTGATGGCCATTGCCATAAATAGTCATACTTAAAAACACCTATATTCAAATCGCATAAATCTTCTCTCTACTCCGGTGTGCTATTTATCTTCTTGAATCTACACCGTCGCAGTCGTTACGATACGGTTTATGAACGTCACCGTCGTGCTGGCCCTGTCCGTGGATTTGACCGAAGGAATATGTACTCGAAGATGTGTCGTGGATGAATATTTGCCGGTGCTAGAGGCCTGGAGTTACGGCTCGTGCTAGCCCTTCTTATTCGGCATGACTGCAACAGAGTGTGGGTAGCTCTGTTATTGAAAACAGAACGACAACAACTTTGGTCACGGAAAGCCTGCAGCCATTGACACGGACAGTCTTGTGCATGAGACAAGCACCACTACTGATATCGGAAATGTCACATCCTTTTTGGCTGAACCCACTACTACCGTGACGAGCACATAGACTTCAGTTGTGTCTGTTGAGACCATTGTCCCCGGGTAAACTCTGCGAAAGCGCGACTCTGTGCCCAGCCTTCCAGAACTAATGGTCTTTGGTGCATCAAATATAAGCAGTGCTTATTTGTGTATCATATCCGTCCCTTCAAAAACGACTACAATCATCAAAACTGTTTCGACCATATGGACAATCATGACTTCCACAGTGACCAATGACGCCTCAAATCTTATAATATTCACAACAGAGATGGTAATCCTTACAGCCAGTAGTGCAATCATGCTTGTAACTCCTGCTTCAAGCACAGCTACCACGACCATAATAGACATCAAAGCGGTCAAAAGCTCGGTATACTCAGCCTATAGTTCAGGGGAGGGTTTTACATGATCAAATTTCCGCATTCAAGGTTCGGACGAGACATTATACGAAAGCTACATACATCCTGGACCATTTACTGCCACAACTCCAACTGGTGGTGCCCATATGTGAGATAGCACTAATAACTGAGTGAATCCTAGTCCCCATGACACACCAACTCGCATTACACAGACCGCAGGCGATCTGTGCGGTTTCGACTTCGACGGCATATGGAGTTCGACTTCCAGGATTTCTTCACAACGCGAATAGATACCTCTGCTCAGACCAGTACACAGTTCTGGGGTATGCTCAATAACTATCAATGCACTCCTGTTTGTGGTTGCCAGTACGCCGTCAATGCCTGAAGACGAGATACTATGGGCACATGATGCATTTAGCAAGTCGTACTGTCTAAAGACCACTGCCAGCGCAACGAAAGTTACCTTGGGCAAGTCTGTAGCTGTCATGGCATTTGACGGTACGAGTCATATAGTAATAACCAGTGCACAGATTGCAAATGTCGCCACAGATGCTAATGGACAGGTTCCATTGTTGTTTACGAGAAAAGGAACATTCAGCCTGAAAGCTGCCAGATCGGATTCTATGAGAAGCAACGCTATTTTAGTTACTGTTACCTGAACGAGCACCGATAAAGCTTGCTATAGTATCGACTTGCCATGAACTAATATAATACTAAGCTATTTGGACTAGACTCAAGGTAGGCTGTAGGGACATGAAAGGTTCGATTGGAAAAGGGGGTTTTTGTGGTTAACAGACGGGGTACGCCGCCAGAATACCAGTCAATATCACAATTTGCTTCTTCTCACTAGTCACATACTTGCGACATAGCTTGTCACAGTGAGATGATCGTTATCACAATATGACTTTGGATTCCTCATCCTAAGCGCGGGTAGTACTACAAGACAAATAAAAGGGAGCCTAGAAAAACATGTACCATCTCGACTCCCGCCACAAGGGACGAATAAGAGCTCAACACGCCACGGGCCAATACGATACATCCATATTCAAATTATGTAGTCATTGGAGCCCCGCTACCTAAGAAAACTGACCTCTAGCGGCACCAGGAACAGCCAGGCTGGAATGGATATCGGTGAAAAAATTGGTCGGGTTTCGTTCAATCTGGCGGACGGTGAATCCAAAGCCAGTATCGACACCACTCCGGAGAATGCCAGTTGTGAATGGTCCCTTTTGACAACCCACACTGACTCTCTTGCCGAGAGGGTTAGCGACATTGACGAGAACAGGGTTGGGGAACACGATGCGTGGAGGGCCGTTGTTGCCCACGCCGGCTTGGTGAATGTGAGTCGCTGTACGGGCAAGTGATTGATATTGGCCTTGGAATCCAGTGACGGCAATGTTCCAGCAAATGACGTTCTGATCAGACAAGAGTCCGTACTGGAAGACACCCTTGGCACCGCGAAGACCGCCGGTGAAGGTGACGAGGGCAGGTGCAGTGCCGTTAACAACTTGGCTGGGAGTTGCTAGAACGTTCTGGAACGAGGTGAAACTCTTGAAGGCACTTTGCCATTGCCACCAGCCGTAATTGCCCGACGTGAGCCGATTCCAAGGGAAACTGGCGAAAGAAATTTTGTTCCAGTCAACCTGGGTCCAGTCAACATTATCAAATGGAATGTTGTCCCAGTTGAAGGTGCCATAGTCGAGGCTGTTCCATCCACCTGTGGGCTGCCAGTTGCGTGAAGGTGCTGCAGAGGCGCCCGCGACCATAACGCTCAAGGCTGAAAGAATTGTTGAGAATCTCATGGTGTCGGTAACGATTGTGGAGAAAGGTTTGCTAAGGCTGGACAGATGGATGAACGTTTGGTGAGACCTGAGTGAAGTTGATCTGATGGCTAATGATTGGGACTGAAGACCAGAGTTGGGGGGGTACATTTATATTGACCTAGAAGACCGATTCCATGTCTGATGGAGTTGGTGCTCATCTTGGCCATTGCCCACGGCTCGGATATGCGGCCACCACAAAAAATGATCCCAGGCGGGACATACGAATTGCCTTTTCACAAGCTGTATTTTACATGCCGAATATTGTGGGAGAAGGGCTATTCGGCTTGCCATTGTTACAATAGAATTTAAGCATCAATTGGTGGCTAATAGCCAAGGACGAGCTTATAAGGTTAAAAAGACTTCTGCATAGCTCATTTGATAATTGGACATCCCGTCATATACACATGAGAACATAAGTCAGAATAAGCAAGTGATTGTCTAAGACACTTTGAGCTTATCGTCCACTATTGGGAATAATATAGCACACCTTGCTAAAACTGGCGACGGCATAATATAGGTTGGGGCATGACGAAATAATGAGATTGCTATACCGGCTCCTTCGGGAAGATCGACCTCGCTAGGCCACAGCGCTGATTTTGCCAAGCAAGGTGCCGGAGGTATATTGTCGGGAATAAGGGTAGTCTAAAGGAGTTAGACAAATAATATAATAAATAATAAATAATAAATAATAAATAATAAATAATAAATAATAAATAATAAATAATAAATAATAAATAATAAATAATAAATAATAAATAATAAATAATAAATAATAAATAATAAATAATAAATAATAAATAATAAATAATAAATAATAAATAATAAATAATAAATAATAAATAATAAATAATAAATAATAAATAATAAATAATAAATAATAAATAATAAATAATAAATAATAAATAATAAATAATAAATAATAAATAATAAATAATAAATAATAAATAATAAATAATAAATAATAAATAATAAATAATAAATAATAAATAATAAATAATAAATAATAAATAATAAATAATAAATAATAAATAATAAATAATAAATAATAAATAATAAATAATAAATAATAAATAATAAATAATAAATAATAAATAATAAATAATAAATAATAAATAATAAATAATAAATAATAAATAATAAATAATAAATAATAAATAATAAATAATAAATAATAAATAATAAATAATAAAAATAATAAATAATAAATAATAAATAATAAATAATAAATAATAAATAATAAATAATAAATAATAAATAATAAATAATAAATAATAAATAATAAATAATAAATAATAAATAATAAATAATAAATAATAAATAATAAATAATAAATAATAAATAATAAAAGTTTTAATATTCTTTATACTTTTTTATTTATTTAAAGAAAATTACTTTATAATATTTTTATTCTTAATTTAATAAAGAATCTTAAAATATTTCCTTTAATATATTAATAATTGATAACTTTATAAAATCGCGTCGAATAAATATTTTAAATATAATAATTAAATCCTTATTATTATTTACTTTTATTTACGCTTTTATATTTATATCGTAAAGTAATTATAATATAATAATAACGTTAATAATAATTAATAAAGGGTAAACCAGGCTTAAATAGAATTTATATTACTTTTAAATAGATAAAAACACTTATATTATAATTAATATAAGCGTAATAAAAATATAATGAAATAATAACGAAATAATTATAAACGAAATTATTAAAAGCGAATTATAACTCGTTAAATTAATAATAATTAGCTTAATTTCACTTAAAAAGATTATTAAATTAATAAAGTTAATAAGCCGTTAATATTAACTTTAAATACGTAAAAATAAAGGCCGGAAAAAAGACATAAATAAAAAGGCGTAACCCGGGCGTAATAACGTTAACTTATAAAAATAAACGGAAATAATCTTAATAAGTTAAGAAAAAATTATAATAATAAAAAGTATTTAAGGCGATTATTTAACGAATAAATCGATTATAAAATTATTAAAAATTATAAATAAAGCGTATAATAATAATAATATAATAATAATAACTTAATAATTATAAAATAATAATATAGTAATTACTTTTAAATATAAAATTATTTAAACTATTATTATTAATTAATAATAAATATATAATATCTTTAATAAAAAGGGTTTATTTATTTAATAAAAAAAGTAATAATATATAGAATGGCTTCTCTATTTATTTCTTTCCGTACAGTTTGGGCGATAAATAAATCTATTTAGCGCTGTTATACGAAGGAGAAGAAGGGATTCTTCCCCTCGTACGTAGTCTATAAATAAGGGTTCACCCGTACGGCTATTAGCTACCGATAGTTATATCGTGGCTATAATGACTTATTATTAATACGCCGGTACTACTTATATTACGTAGTTAACCGTTATATAAGACCGCGAATAATATATTCTAATATAATAATTATTAAAAAGATTTTAATAAAGATTTTATAAGCCGTTTATAATGAAATAATAATCATTTAAATTATCTTTAATATAAACGAGGCAAAAAAACATATTATTAAAGTTAAAAAGAGCTTATTAAAAGGCCTTTAAGCCTTATATAAAGTATTAATCCTTTATATTAATAACGTAAATATTACGAAATAACTTTATAATATAACGTTATAAAAACGTTAATATTTTATTCTTACGAATATAATTATGTTATACGCTACTCCATTTTATTTTATTTATTCTTTTTTATATTTTATAAAAGGGATTTAAGAAGTATTTAAATTAAATTATATAATAAGGATTAAAAAGGGATTTAAAAATTTAGTATTTAAAAACTATTAATAGTAAATTTTTATTAAGTCAATTAAGTTAATTAAGTTAATAACTTATAAGTTTTAAGTTAATTTAAACTTAGGAATTTATTTACTTAAAGTAGTTAAACTTCATTATTTATTAACTTAAATTAAATTTAAACTTATTAAGTTTAATAAAAACTTAATAAGTTAACTTATAAGTTAATTATTTCTTAACTTAAATTATTATATAATTAATACTTATAATCTTCTTTTATTATATAATATACTTATTAATATATTTATTACACTCTTTTTATTAAATTATGTTAATTAAATTTATTAAAAGAGAAGTTTTAAAGCTTTATTAGATTTTTAAACGATATATTAATTAATATATATTTCATTTAAATACTTAAATTTTTTTAATTATACGTAATAATATTAAAGAACCATATAATTGATATATGAATTATATTAAGAAAAACAAATTAAGTATATAATGTTTATATTATTATTATTATTTATTAATTTAAAACAAGTTAATATAAATATTAAACTAAATATCTTGTTTTAATTAATAAATATTTTTATTATGTTATTACGTGTTATAAGCTTAGCTTTATACTTTATAAAGTAATTATATTAATTATACTTATAAATCTCCTTTTATAATGTTTATTTATTAAAAGCTTTATATAAAATATAGATTATTTATCATTTTATATATAAGTTAGTAAAATTGTTTTAAAAAAGAAATTTAATTAAAAAGATTTCTTAAAATTTATATTTCTTAATAAAATACTATTCGTTTAAAACATTTAATAGATAAATATAAAAGTATAAGTAACTTAGAACCAGTTCTAAGTATTAAAATAATTATTTCATAATTATTTAAGAAAAAGAAAGCGGAATTTGTAAAATATAATAACCTTTTCTTCTTTTTTATTAAGAATTATATCTTTTAAACAATATTATTATATATAAACAGCTAAATATAAAATTTTAAGCGTTAAATTCACTAAATAAAA